ATGTCGTGGTTTGGTGAGGGGACTTGGATGGCGGGTACCTTTTGCATGCTCCGTCTTTCACTGGCTCCATCGTTCGTTTGTTCCCCCCTCTCATCCCCACGGAGCCCGCGTTCCCACCTCCCCAGGACCTGGCTCCGTTCATCCCGGGGGATCCTTCATGGGGCCGTTTCCATATTCCACGGTTAATGTTCGGGAAGTCCGTCCTGAGCTCCCATCGACTTATAAACCTTCCCTCGTCTGCTTATCTCCTGGTGTCCAGTCTTGATGTGAGGCGTACCAGAACAGCTGTGCTGTGTGTCCCCTTTTCCCACGCCACATTCATTAGCCAAGGCTTGCCCTGTATCAGCCCGCGCGTCTCGGGTTCAGAATCGACAGAGGAGCTCACCTCTTCTCTATTCATACACGATTTCGTAAAGAAATCGAAGTAGAAGTCGCAATGGCAGCACTCGCCTCAACGGAGAAGGCCGATCTTGGGCAAGAGGTCGACCAGAATGCGTCGCCGGCCGGCAGCATTGACACCACCACCCCGGATACCGAGTTCTCGCCGCCGGAAAGCCCTATCCAGCGGAGCGGGCCACCGAAAAATGCGAGAGCGCTAGCGAAAAACAAGCTGGCCGCCTTGACCGTGGAGGAAAAGGTTTGCAGCACCGAAGGCCCATTTTGAAGCCACGGGGGTTTAACGTCGAGTAGGTGTCTCTCTTGGCCGCCGCAGACTTCTGGAGAACGAAGGGGATTCCGTCCAAGAACATCCCGGCGGTTAAGACAAGCGACGGGCCCAACGGTGCCCGTGGCGGCATCTTCGTCGGGGGCACGAAGGTGAGCTTCCCGTAATAAAAAGTACCCGACAGCCCTTCGCTGTTCTGACCATTGCAAATAGGCCGCGCTTTTCCCTTGTGGTATTTCGTTGGCCGCCACATGGAACAAGGACATCCTTTACGAAGTTGGCCAGCACCTTGCGGACGAGGTTAGAGCTCGGTCCGCCGATGTTCTCCTCGCCCCTACGGTTTGCTTGCACAGACACCCGCTGGGCGGGCGGAACTTTGAGTCCTTCTCCGAGGATCCTATTCTCTGCGGCAAGCTGTCTGCCCAGTATATCAAGGGTCTCCAGGAGAAGGGCATCGCTGCCACCATTAAACGTCAGTTTCGGCCCTCGGCGGGATTTGAAAAAGTATATGCTGACCGTCAACACAGACTTTGTTGGCAACGAGCAGGAGACGCACCGATTGACCATCAACTCAATCATCGGCGAAAGGCCGCTCCGTGAATTGTATCTCCGCCCATTCGAGATCGCCATCCGCGAAGCGAAGCCCTGGGCGGTCATGTCATCATACAACCTTGTGAACGGCCTTCACGCGGATATGAACACGCACGTTCTCCGGGATATTCTCCGCGGCGAGTGGGGGTTCGACGGGTAAGTGCCGCGCTCGGCCAAGCTTAGTGATAAGCGAGGAGGATCAACTGACATGTCCCCACCAGAACCGTCATGTCGGATTGGGGTGGCGTGAACTCAACCGTCGAATCGATCAAGGCCGGATGTGACGTCGAATTCCCCTACTCTGACAAGTGGCGGTTCGGGAAGGTTCTCGAAGCCCTCAAGGAGGGAAGAATCGCCGAGGCCGATATCGACCGGGCAGCCGAGAACGTCCTCACCCTTGTCGAGCGGACCAAGGGCAGCGATCTGACCCCCGAGGCCGAGGAGAGGGAAGACGATCGTGAAGAGACGAGGAAGCTCATCCACGAACTTGGTGTGCAGGGCCTCACGCTCCTGAAGAATGAGGGAACCATCCTGCCCCTCAACCCGACGACCACCAAGGTTGCCGTGATCGGACCCAATGCTAACAGGGCCATCGCTGGTGGCGGTGGAAGCGCCAGTCTCAACCCCTACTATAACACCCTCCCCCTGGACAGCATCCGCAAGGTCGCCCAGCAGCCGGTTACCTTCAGCCAGGGGTGCCACATCCACAAGTGGCTCCCAGTTGCCTCCCCTTACTGCTCTGACAAGACGGGCAAGCAGGGTGTCTCGATCGAGTGGTTCAAGGGCGACAAGTTCGAGGGGCAGCCGGTCGTGGTCCAGCGGCGGACCAACACCGACCTCTTCCTCTGGGACTCGGCACCCCATTCCGAGGTTGGGCCGCACTACTCGGCCGTCATCACGAGCTACCTGACGCCGCCGAGCACCGGCAAGCATACCATCTCGTTTATGTCTGTCGGCCCCGGCAAGCTGTACGTCAATGGCAAGCTCGCTCTGGACCTTTGGAACTGGACCGAGGAAGGCGAGGCCATGTTTGACGGCTCCATCGACTACCTGGTCGACGTCGAGATGCAGGCCGGCAGGCCCGTGGAGCTCCGCGTCGAGATCACCAACGAGCTGCGCCCGCTGGCGAAGCAGAAGCAGTTCAACATGACGCACAAGTACGGCGGCTGCCGGATCGGTTTCAAGGTGGAGGACCAGGTCGACTATCTCCAAGAGGCCGTCGAGGCCGCCAAGGCGGCCGACGTGGCCGTGGTCGTCGTCGGGCTGGACGCCGAGTGGGAGTCGGAAGGCTACGACCGCAAGAACATGGATCTCCCTGCGGACGGCAGCCAAGACCGCCTTGTGGACGCCGTCCTCAAGGCGAACCCCAACACTGTCGTCGTTAACCAGTCCGGCTCGCCCGTAACCATGCCGTGGGCCGACCGCGTCCCAGCCATCATCCAGGGGTGGTACCAGGGCCAAGAAGCCGGAAACGCCCTCGCCGATGTGCTATTCGGCCTTAAGAACCCCAGCGGCAAACTTCCGGTGAGCACCCTCTTCACTAATTTACTCAATACGTGCGTAATGATGCTAACATCACCTCCTAGTGCACCTTCCCGCGCCGCCTCGAAGACACGCCGGCGTACAACAACTGGCCCGGCGAGAACCTGGACGTCATCTACGGCGAGGGCATGTACATGGGGTACCGGTACTACGACCGGATCGGGCTGGCGCCGCTGTTCCCCTTCGGGCACGGCCTGTCGTACACGTCGTTCGAGTACGGGCGCCCCTCGCTCAGCGCCAAGGAGCTCACCGAGGACGGCACCATCGACCTGGTGGTGGCCGTCAGCAACGTCGGCGCCGTCCGCGGCCTCGAGACCGTCCAGGTGTACATCCACGACGACAAGAGCCGGCTGCCCCGCCCCGAGAAGGAGCTCGCCGCGTTCGAGAAGGTCGACCTCGAGGCCGGCGAGACGAAGCACCTCCGCATCCCCATCGACAAGTATGCTGTCGGCTACTTTGATACCGCCATCAACCGCTGGATCGCCGAGGAGGGCACGTTCAAGGTCCTGGTTGCTGCTTCGGCTGCGGATGTCAAGTATGTTCCCCTGCCTTTTCCCCTCTCCATTCTTTACTGGATTGCGAAGGACTCTTGCTAACCTACGTTTTCTTTCTAGGTACGATGTTTCGTTCGAGGTTAAGGAATCCTTCACCTGGTTGTTCTAAGGCCTGCTAGGCTGGTCGGTCCTATGAGGTGGTTGCATCCTCCGTGTATATTTCTTACCCGGCTAGCTCGCACAAATTCCCATGGGAACTTCTCATCTGAACTTCTCTTTCCCCGTTCCTGCGGACCCGCCACTGGCCTTTGATATAAACTTTCGAGGGCTTCCATGCCAGCTCCCCCCTAAAAGCTGTCTCGTGTTCCACTGGTTTACACCCAAGAGGCTGCGGGTTCGACCCACGAAGTAAAACCCTCGCCGGTTTTCGTAGCCGACTGCCTTCCCGTCGTTTTAAGCGGGGTGTTAGTCGGTCAGCTTTTTGAGATTTATTTTATTCTGCCGATTTATCGCGCTCTTTGTTTATCATTGGCAACCGGCACTCTTCGATTGTTGCTCCTTGAGTCGTTATGACCGGTTCGTTGAGGCGAAAATCCAAAATCCCACCGTTGATAAATCATGTTTCGTTTTCCTACCCAATGAGACATGTCATGCGAGCCATTTGCGTTGGATTTAAGCATTGAAAACCATCTCCCTGGTCTGCCTCGTTCCATCCCTGAGTGTGCGTGAAGCCGGGGGCAAAGCTATTGCTTTATGGCATGAACAAGCTTTACTGGAGTCATAACTACCTATAACCAGCTCGATATCAGCCATCTTACGTATTACCCAGTCACGGCGCCGTGTGTCAATATCGGAAACCAAGCGTTCGTTTATCCGTGCCGGCGCATAGCATACCCTCGTGTTTTCCCCCGAGACAAAGGAAAGAGAGGTATAACATGGATAGCAAATGTTGTTGAGTGAGGTGCACTCATCTCCTCGGCACCGCACGGCATCTCGATGGAACCCCCGGATCCCGGAAGCCGCGCCGAAGTCCGGAAATGGCGGCATGGGTGGGACCCAACGTCGAATTCAGGGCTGTGGACACGTGCGGGGAATGGAGAGTTGGAGAAATTTATTACATATACGAATAGACGGGAGTTCAGGTGAAGCAGGAAACACCCAGCTACTTTACGGGAAGAACACATCGCGAGAGTGCGTAATTGTAAAATTGGGGATTACCGTTCCCCACTGCAATGTCGCCTTCTCAAGAAGAAAAAAAGAAAAAAAAACGAGCTCCGTAGTCCAGCTCCAGCTGCTCGGGCTCGCTGATGAGGCTGCGGGTTCGTTACAGGGGTGACATGGCGATCTCAGCTGGCCCCGCAGCGCCTCGACCGCAGGCTGCCCCTGGTCAGCGGCCACTTTCTCGGCTCACCCACCGACGGCCGATTCACTGACGGACACCCAATTCGACTTTTTGACCCGAGTCTTGGAACCCCTATTCTCAGCGCTATCCTTTACCAACCCGCAAAGACGCTCGTTAATAGCCTACTGGATACCTGCGGCGTAGGGAGCATCCCCAGCACGACCGCGGCGACTCCCATTTCAGCGCTGACGCCCGTCGATCGACTGGGCCCCGAGATCTCCCAGACGCCCACGAACCTCTCCCGCCCCCAAATCATCTGCAGCCCGGGACCTGGACCGCCGGGGAATGGCTGGACCGAGCCTCCACCATGGCTCGGCCGTATAGCAGCAACAAGAGCAGCTTCTCCTACCCTCCGAGGTACTACCCCGACCACTCAACCCCCTTATTTGACGACCTTCGCGCCCTCATCGCCCGTGCCTTCCACGCGCTAGCTCGGTTTTGGCGCGAGCGTGGCCGCCGCATGGCCTACAGGACCCTGCTGTCATCGGTCTACCGTCTGCGACTGAACCTGGCCTACCATCGCCTGGTCTCCTTCCCGCACCTGCTCGTCGCTCTGTGGGTGGTGGTGCTGCTGTGGGGGGAGAGATGGGTGTTCCACTCCAAGGTCGAGAGCTGTCACTGGAGTAACTGGGAGCAATGGGTATGACAGACAACCGCTTCCGCGACCGTTTGGGGCTGCGCAACCAAGATCAAATGCTAACATGTCTCTTTGCTTGCCACACAGCCTGCTGGCGCAGAACCCCACCGTGTCGCGCTCGTCGCCGACCCCCAGCTCATCGACCCTCACTCGTACCCGGGCCGCCCGTGGCCGCTGAATCCGCTGACGATGCTCATCACCGACAACTACCTGCGGCGGTCTTACAACCAACTGCAGTCACAGCTCGACCCCGACAGCGTGTTCTTCCTGGGCGATCTGTTCGATGGTGGGAGGGAGTGGAAGACGGCTCATGGGGAGTTTAAGGACCCAGAGTGGGGACCGCACCCGAAGAGCGAGCAGAAGTATTTGAAAAAGTGGCATAAGACATATGGCGAGTTTTACTGGCTGCAGGAGTACGCCAGGTTTGGGGACATCTTTTTCGATCCGTGGGTGAAATCGGGGCAGGCGAAGGGGGCTGAACACAAGGGGAGGAAGATGGTAGCGAGTCTGCCCGGCAATCACGACCTGGGTTTTGGCGACCAGATCAAGCTACCCGTGAGGGATAGATTTGAGACATACTTTGGAGAGGGCAACAGGATCGACGTGGTTGGAAATCATACGTTCGTGTCAGTCGACACGGTATCGTTGAGCGCGGGTTCATCGGACGAGGCCAAGCGTCACGATTTGAAGGAGATCTACGAACCGGTTCAACGCTTCCTAGGCGGTCTCGAGAGGGAAAAGAAGAAGGCTGTTAGCAGGGCGTTGCGCCTGCTCCGGGGAGAGATCACGGAAAGTCAGTTCAAGCACGATATCGAGGAGCTCGACAAGGTCAAGTCTGACGACAAGCCGGCCGCCGACATCAACGCGCCGGAACTGCCGACCATCCTCCTCACCCACGTACCCCTCCACCGCCCGCCCGGAACACCATGCGGACCGCTGCGCGAGAGGTCCCCCCCATCAAAACCGCCCAAGGGCCAAACCACACCCGTCTTCCCCGACCACCGCAACGCCATCTCTGTTTCGGCGGGCTACCAATACCAGAACGTCCTCAACGAGAAGGATTCAGAGGACCTCATCAAAAAGGTCGGCAACGTCGTCCACGCCTTCTCGGGCGACGACCACGACTACTGCGCCGTCACCCACTCGGACGCGCAGGCCAACGTGCCCGAGATCACGGTCAAGAGCATCAGCATGGCCATGGGCGTCGGCAAACCGGGCTTCCTCCTCGTCAGCCTCTACAACCCGCTCGACCCAGCCACCGGCAAGCCCCTCAACGAGCACGACAAAACAACAACGACGACGACAACAACAACAACAACACTCCAAACCCACCTCTGCCTCCTCCCGAGCCAGCTATCCACCTACCTCCGCTACGTGACCCTCGCACTGGTGTGCATCGCCATCCTGGCCGTGCGCGCCGTGCTGGTGCCCATCCTAGGCCTGACACCATTCGCCCTCGACCATGCGGCCTCTGTTTCTTCAGGGGCGGGCCGACCGGGCGGGCCGGGCCGCAGCAGCGCCCTCCTGCCCGTCTTCAAGGCCAAGGTCGACGACTACGACGAGCATGCGCTGCCGCGCGGCTTCTCGGCCTCGCATTTCCTGAACGGCAACGGCCATGCCAAGGCGCGCGATCGCTCCGGCAGCGGGTCGGTTTCTGGGTCTGGGTCTGGGTCTGGCTCTGGCTCTGGGTTGGGGCATGGGAGGCGCGGGAGGGGCGGCGGTTCGTCCGCGGGGAAGTGGGGGTGGGCTGGTGCGAGTGGTGGTGCTGGTGCTGGTGTTGGTGGTGTTGGTGTTGGTGCTCGTGGGGGGAGGGCGCGCGCCGCGCCGAGAATAGAGATCCCTAGTGAGGGCGAGGAGGAGGATGAGTATGGGGGTTATAATGGGGGGAAGTGGAAGGCGAGGGCCAAGGGCGGGCGAGGGGGGTTGCAGCCGAGGTCGGTGGTGGGGGTGGTGGTCAGGGAGTTTTGGACATCGGTTTGGAGGGTGGTGTGGATGGTGGTCGGGTTTTTTGGGTGGTTGGCCTGGAAGGGGTAGGGGTTGGGGATGGGGTGTATGAGTATGATAGAGGGTAACTATCGAGTAATGGGTATAGTGCTTAGACGGAGTTTGCATATACAAGGCGATGGCGTTGTTTTACTTGGAGTGTCTTCTGCTGCGTTGCCCTTTTTCTCATCACCGCCGAGGTTCCATGCGCTGCTGACAATCGGATTGCGCCGGTTCCGAACGAACAATCAAATTGTGCTGCCGGTTCCGAAGAAGCAAGTAATCCTCTGCAACCCCCGTGACTGTCATCCCGGACACCGACATGATGATGGACCAACGCGCGCACAGCCGGGAAGGTTACCCGCCGAGTGTCGTCCACCGCGTAAAGTGGTTGCAGGACAATAGGCCAATGACGTCGCGTAGGGCTGGGATCTCACGCGCCTTCTGGGGGCGATCCGCCAATGGCGCTCCACCTTCAGCTCACGGCTTCCGCTTCATTGTTCAACAATTGTTGGATTTGAGAGGAGTAAACAGGTGATTGAAGACGTGGAAATGGTCGAAAAGGGCATTAGTGATGTTGCTGTGCTAGAACAGTGTCTTCTGGGTATTACTTTTTTCAATTCAAGTCTAACGAGAGAGAGTTCCTCTGACAAGGCTGGATCCTGCCGACTCCCCCTTACCCCTGCTCTCCTTCATTGCGAGTTAATGAGTGACGCCAAAAACCGCGTCAGAAACGCGCTTTGCTGGAAGCAGCTAAGAACCGTTCCCCGGTCAGCCAGCCATCCAGGCTCCCAGGTTGGTTACAACTTGCAAGGTTGCAAGGTCTGAGCTGCGTCTCCAGCTGCCAGCTTTTTGTTTGCCAGGTTTTTGTACTCCTTTCCACTCCTGCTCCCACTCAATTGCTTTCGAGAATCACTTCTCACTACTTTTTCGACTTTATCATCTCGGAATCGGTGGAATTTGGCCGTTATCAACCAAATCAACCAACCGACCAGGGCTCAAAGCACGCCCGTTTGTCTTCAAAATTGAAGTCGTCAAGCTTTTCTCCATTCCCTCCGCCATTTCAACGACTTCCCTCTCCACCCACCATCGACTTTTCTCTCGCTGTGTAAAGCAACTAGTTGTTTCTTCTTCGACTCCACTCAACCGCCGCTTCTTATCCCGCCATCCAGTCCACAGAATGTCCACTCTCAAGCGGAAGGCTGGCGCCGATGCCGGTGCGGAGTCAAAGAAGCCCAAGCAAGGCAACATCATGTCCTTCTTTGGCGCCCCCAAGTCATCACCCACACGCGCCAACGCAGCACCCGAGCCTACGCCCGCCAAGTTCGACAAGGCGAAATGGGCAGCCTCCATCACCCCCGAGCAGCGGGCGCTACTCCAACTCGAGATTGACACCCTGCACGAGAGCTGGTTCTCCCTGCTCAAGGACGAGCTCATCAGCAGGGAGTTCCTCGAGCTCAAGAAGTTCCTCCAGCGCGAGGCGGCCGCCGGCAAGACGGTGTTTCCCCCACGAGAGGACATCTACAGCTGGTATGTACCCGTCCTCCTTACTTCCCCCCCCCAACCACCCATCAACAAGCCCAGCCCACTAACCTCAACCCTCTTCCCCCCCCCCCATCAGGTCCCGCCACACCCCCTTCTCCACCGTCAAAGTCGTCATCCTCGGCCAAGACCCCTACCACAACCACAACCAAGCGCACGGCCTCGCCTTCTCGGTCCGCCCCCCGACCCCGGCCCCCCCCTCCCTCAAAAACATGTACATCGCCCTAAAGAACGACTACGCCGCCTTCACCCCACCCCCCAACAAGGCCGGCCTGCTCACCCCCTGGGCCGAGCGCGGCGTGCTGATGCTCAACACCTGCCTGACGGTGCGCGCCCACGAGGCCAACAGCCACTCCAACCGCGGCTGGGAGCGCTTCACCCAGCGCGTCATCGACCTGGTCGCGGCGCGCCGCGCGCGGGGGGTGGTGTTTATGGCCTGGGGCACGCCCGCGGGCAAGCGCGTGGTCAAGGTGGATCAGAAGAAGCATTTGGTGCTGAAGAGTGTGCACCCGTCGCCGCTGTCCGCGGCGAGGGGGTATTTTACGTGCGGGCATTTTAAGGCGGCGAATGAGTGGCTTGCGAAGAGGTATGGGGAGGGCGGGAGGGTGGATTGGGCGCTGGTGGAGGGTGGGAGTGTGTTTGGCGGGGAGGCGGAGAAGAAGGAGAAGGAGGATGCCAAGGTGAAGGCGGAGGCGGAGGATGAGGATGAGAGGGCGATGGCGGAGGCGGAGGCGGAGGCGGAGGCGGAGGAGGGGAGGGAGGTGAAGGTCGAGGGGGAGGTGGTGGAAGACGGTGTGGTGAAGAAGGTTGAGGCGGCGGCTACGGCTGGGGGGGATGCTGAGAACAAGGAGAAGGTGAACGAAACGGGCGTGGAGACGAAGGGGCCGGTCAAGACCGCTGACGGTGAAGAAAATGCTGCGCCCGAGGTTGAGGCTTGAGGCTTGCGCTTGGGCTCTTCGGGGTTTGGTCTCTTTTGTCGACACGGAGGATTATGAATGGTCGTTTTACCTGTTGGATTATCTATGCCAGTCGATGGAGCTGGGGGTGCCTTCATCCAGGGCAGGTTTGTGTCACTCGAGCGTTGGGCTGAGTCGTCCCGTCAGTTGAAGGCCTCTTGCCAGACGGTCTCAGATAGACGGGTTGGGGATTTCATGTGGGATTATTACAGCTGAGAAGCAGAAGAAATGGCGAGGGACTTGTTTCTGCCCTCACTTGGGTTGGGCTTAGATAGAAGGATAATGAGTTGATGTATACCATTCTTGGTTGAGATCCTTACACTGCACGTTGATATGGTGACCATGGCGATGAGGGGGGCAAGAACGACGAAACATATGGAGTCGACGCTACGGCTGCCTATGTTCATGTCTAGGGTTGGGTTTGTTGATGCATGTCATTATATCATGTGGTTGACTGCTTGCAGCAAGTCCTCAATAGGCCAAGTCCGTCCATACGGGTGGAGGGTGACTGAGGTCCGTGTCTGGCTTGTCTGTCTTGTCTTGTTTGTTCCGGCATTTCTCGGGCTTGGAATGGTTATCTTTGCTTTCCCTGGCAGGACGAAAGGAGTTAACGTGACTTCTTCAATGGCCGTGCTTCGAAACAACCTCATCCCATCCACTTGGCAGATGAGATGAGCATTTTGCCTACAGATTACAAGTGGATGTTTGTACATGTTTGTACCCCTGGAATACGGTGAGAAATGGCGCCCACCAGGGAGTGCCTGTCAGCTTATATAAATTTCTTACTGTGTATGTCGCCGCACCGAATACTCGAGACAAATAAGCTGGGTCACTCATTTGGAAAAGTCTTATTTGATGTCTTTGGACGGTGAGTTCCGGAATCCCGGAATTGCAGTTCGACGTGACCTCACTAGTCGGAACGCTTCAGCAATCCTGAACTCGAAAGAGTAACCCGGACGATCTGAGTTCGTCTCGGCCTGCGCTTCATTCGAGTCATGTGCTGGCCTGGACTGGTTCGATTTTTTTGGTGCTCATGCAACAGCGGGACTTTGTGCCGAAGCACCGAATGGAGTCGTGTTTTGTGTGTTTCAGCGCTTTGTGGTTGGATCGATGATCGGTCACAGCTGTGCTCCAATCTGTCCTGAGTGATGCATAGACCGCAGTCGTAATATTATTGCGGTATCATACTTCGTACGCACAGCCAATTGTTTTTTCTTTCTTTCTTTTCATTTTACATCATAGAGATACGAGAAAATGAAGGGAGAAGGGAAAAAAGCAGCAGGAGAGGAAAAAAGGAAGAAAGATGCCAGTGCTCGAGTTACAGATTCCGAGAAAGGAAAGCCCCCCACCCCATCATGAGCAATGATTGGACCAACAAGAAATCAAGGGTCGGGGCATCAAGCTGGAACACCGTGGTGGGGCACAATTACTCTGTTACCAGCTGGACTGCTCACATGGATGAGGAAGCCCCATTGAATGCTTCTGAGGAAACCCGGGTGATCATGACCCAAGGATCATACAGATAGTGTGCATTGCGTTTTTCTATCCTTGGATCAATCGGCCCTCGGTTTGAACTAGCATCCCTCGTCTGTCCCGCATCGATGCTCCAAGTTAAGGTTGGCTCTGTGCTTGGATGCATGCAGGTCCAGGGCCCCACATAGGATACCCCTGCAAGAAAGCCCCGGCACCCTCACGGGATGGACGCGCGTGTGTGTGGCAGAGGGGTCCACTCCACTGTGTCTCGGTGCAGTGCGTTCAAGGTTGGTTGCCTCTCTGGGCCAAGCCGAGCATCGCACTCTTCAAACCATCACGAGTCGACAATCCTCGACGCGTTCCAACTCAGACCCGGGGTTTGGGGGCATTCTCCGGTGCAGGTGGTCAATCAATGACCAATCGCCCCTCGCTCGGCTTTGTGGTCACTGGCTGTGATGATTTTGTGCACAAACGCGGGGTTGATGAGTTGGCACTGACCTGACCACGCAGACATGCGCAGACATGCACGCAAGAGCAATCTGCGGCCACTGGCCTGACACGGGGCCGAGCAGCTAGCCGAATTCGTACACCATGCGGGGGGGGGATTTGGCGGGCGGATGGAGGGAGTGGAAAACCGGGAGCAGGTTTTGGGACAGGTCCGGAAGTGGCGTTCGCGAAATTGACTGCTGCAGGTTGCTGCTCGAGTGCAACCTCCAAATGCCGTGCCGAGTCGTCACGTCGGCCGAGTCCCTGGCAGGAGGGTATTTTTGTTCTCTACCCGGTCGGTACAAGTTAGTAAGGCCGCCTAACTTGAATAATTCGTGTTGCTCTTAGAGGGAGAACAAGAAATGACGAGGAACTGGTGGAGCTTTTATGGGTGACGGGAGGTCGAGCGGACGAAACGGACAACAATCCACGGAGGCGACACAAAGAAGGATAGACCTTGAATTCGGACCCTGGATGTGCACCTTCCCTCCCGATCCGAACTCCACAGACATTGGGCAAGAACGACACTCCCGAGCCAGAACCGGGCATCCATAGGACTCGGCGGGCAGTGGAGGCTAGCGGTCGAAGTCGGACGCTTCAACATCCATTGTCCAAGCATTGCCGCTTCGGTGGTTCCATGGATGTGGGGGAGGGGTTCATGGTTGATGGTTGGTTATCTTGTGAATACCGACAATTACGACCAGTGTTACGACCAGCGTTCGGTCGAGAGAGTGGCCGTTCATTTAAATGATAAAGCATTGCGGGTGCTGTGCTCGTTGTGGTCGCCCAATGTGCCGTTCCTGTTCCTGAACGGGCTGGAGCAATTCGTTAGCATGGCGTTCGCCGCCCATCATTGCAGAGCCTAATCCTAATTCAGGCTGGCACCCAAGACACCAAGTATCTTTTTGCGGCTAGTCCCAGCTAAATAAGACTTGGACTTCGAATTGGAGGCGGCCCAGCCAACACCCGCCCGGTCAGAGCAATTTCCTGGCGCGACTGGGCTGAGATCGCAAGCCCCTGAAGACTTTCACAAAGCCACTTGCTTCGGAGGAAACAGTTTCTTCTTCCATTCTGTTTCCCATCGTGACTTTGCATTCTCACCCAATTCTTTTTATTATTCAACATCACTCGCTCCCTTACCCACCTACCTGACCGCCATAACCCCGGCACAACCTCTGTAACGTACCGTCTTGTTCCCGAAACAGCACCGAATCGACGCTAATAATATGTAGGGGACTGCCTCCAACGACCGAGACCCAATCGTTAGGGACCCCAAACTCCAGCTCCCCAGCTCTCTCACCCGGCCAAGATATTTCTTTGATTTTTTTTCTCGACATCTCGCCGAACCGCGACGCTTATCTATCCCCACGTCGGCATTCTGAACCACGGGGGCCGCTTAACTCTCCTTCTCTATCCGACCCGCATTGCCCACCATTCCCGACCTACTTGCATTCCAGGCCTATTTCCGAGACAGGCTATCGTCAAAAACGATGCCGAGTCTCTTTTCCCGCCTGAAAGGCAGAGACGGCAAATCCAAATCTAAGAAAGGCGCGCTCGACCAACTCGCCCAGCAGCCGCCAAAACCACGATGGGACGACGCGTGGGCGCGCAAAACAATCGACCCTGAGGAAGTCCAACAATTGCTTCGATTCTGCACCGAAGAGCTCAAGGCGCGAGGTATGTCATCAATTTTATGCCCTGCTGCGCCCACCATGCGCGTCAAGCGGCTCTCGCCGCGCCCTGCGCCCTGTGCCACACAACATGCAAGCTAACGGTACCCTGCAGCTCTCGATCTTCCATTCCTCTTACTCCCGTTTCGCCCGACCTCCGACCCGAGCGCCGTCCGTACTTTTGTGCGACACTTTTTCGACGGTAAAGATGGCGGTCAACTGCTTCGAGGGGAGGCTCTGGCCCACGAGCTGCGAATGACGGAGCCAATGGTACGATATCGCGACAATCCCGCGCGTGGGGTTGGAGCACGGGGCGCTAATATCGACGATAGGTCATTGCGGGCGTGGTCAAATGGTGTTGGAGCAGACTCCAGGGCGGCGTCGTTGGCTGGGACTCCTACGAGCTTTTCAAGGTCGGAGAACATGGTACGTCGCGGCTCGGGCAGACGGAAAGTTACCACGGCCAAACTGACATTGGGCGCAGACTCGCATCTGGCCAGAGATTCGTTTAAGACTTTTATCCCCCTCAGTGTCGACAACGACTCTCGTGTCAAGATCATCTTCGATTTCTTCGACCTTCTCGCGGCAATCGCCGCCCACAGCAAGTCTAACGGGTTTGGAGGACGCAAGCTCTCCCGCATGGCAGCCTGGTGGGCGTTCGAGCCTAATGATAACGGCAATGGGTTTGAGGGCGGGTACAAGTCGTGGCTCAGGCAAGTTGCTACTTAGCCCTTTCCATGCATTGCCGCGCTTCCGCTAACAGCTTGGACAGCGCCGCGGACGCCACAAGCCATTTGTTCTTCGCTTATCTGCGCTCTCTCGCCCCTGAGCCGGTCCAGGGCGGCATCTCGCTCCTGCCCATGTCGCTGCAGAAGCTACTCCAAGAGACCGAATACCCACCGCAGAGACCGGCGCTCATGCAAACATCGACGAACAGGGTTGCCATGATTGTCGACACCGTCTCGCCTACCCCGTTCACCCTGCTCCGAAGAGCCAACCATTTCCAATACCGCGAAGAAGACCGGGCGCTCCAGGAATGGTCCGAGTACGAGGATCCAATCCAGGCTTTGACGGAAGAGTGCCGCAGAGTTCTCAGGGCGATTGCTGCGGCCAACCAGTCGCAAGCTGTTTCGAGTTCGAAGCATTCCACTAGCCTTCGTGACGCTTCTTGGTCTCGGTTCGAGGATATCGGCTTCGCAAGCGCGCTGGAGGAAGACGAGATGGACGATGACGCGCTCGCGAAGCGCCGAATGCAGCAGGGGCTAAGGAATACGCCCGCTTCTGGTAACGGTGACCTGGGGCGACCAACCACCCCATCATGGGCCGATTTCCTATCATCCGGCTTCGTGGATGAGCGAGGCGCACCGAATACCCTATTGCCTCCTGACAAGGTTCTGCCTCCAATCGACACGGGAACCGCCCGGCAGCGGAGCTCTCAGTCCCACAAGCCGAGACTGGAGACCGAACACCAGTTCGAGCCTGGTGAGTTGGCGAGCATTGTTCGGTTTGACCTCGATGACTCCTTCTGGTGGGTGTGGATGACCAGTCTGGCCCCTGAGGAGACCGCGGAGAGGAAGTCGGCCTTTGGGCGGTGCGCCGTGATTGAAACACTGATCCGAACCGGCCGTTGGCTTGTGATGGAGGAAATTGTCAAGGGCGCGGCTCCTGATCCAGAGGAAGGTGCCTACATCGCAGAGAAGAAGGGCTTTTTCAGTTGGACTCGGCGCGGAAAGGGCCTTAACAGGAGAAAGTCCACCGGAAAGCACGCCCTGGACAAGGATGGGCAGCTGAAACCAGGCTCTACCATGGGCTTGAGCAAGACGAGCATTGGGCCCGATCAGCAAGCCAGAATCCAGGCGGCAGCGCTTCAGCTTCACAGGCAGGAACAGCAGCAGAAGTCATCGCAACAGGTCCAGGAGCGGCGGGGAAGGAAAGACGCCGACTACTTGGCCGAGAAGACTAACAGCGTCTTCACGCTTCAACCAAGCATCCTCAGCGAGGCGTCTCCGGCTGTCAAGTGGGCCAGCAAGTATGACAAGGAAGCGATAAGAGACGCTTACCTTGCCAACACGAGTGCCGGCCGTGGTGTCAGCACAACTTCGCTCGCCAACGGACACGCCACGCCCACGACAGGTGAGCAGGAGCAGCGCCCGGAATTGCCCCCGAAGATGCCTTTGTCGCCCGCAGGGCCGGACCCGATTGTGACCACTGGCTCGTCTTCGGTCCCCCGTCGTAACGAGACACCGACCCCCCAGACACCGAAGCGGGAAGACAAGGAATTGGAGGTGCCCAAGGAGGTTCACCCGGCAGAGCGAGTGCACAGCCCAGTACCACCGTCGAAGGAGCAGGCGAGCATGGAGCTGGCACGAGAGCAGATGGTCTCCCCCGAACCTCTCATAGGCCCCGACGGCCAGAAGCAAAAGAAGCTTCACAAGGACGTGGCCAAGGTTGGTGCCGGCGGCGGCTTGAAGAAGTTGTTCAGCCGCAAGAACAGGAGTTCGAAGTTGCCCGAGAACGCCGCAGAGCAGCTCAAGTCGTTCACTGCTGCCACCGAGGCTTCTGCTCCTCCGGCCGTGCCGGAAAAGGCTGCGCAGCGGGAGCAAGCCCGGGCCGACCCGCCCAAGGAGCAGCCTGCTGTTTTGCAGAAGCCTCAGGCCGTTCCGGCCCGCGTCCCGGTCCCCGCTGAGTCTCCTGTCTCGCCTGTTTCGCCGGTTTCGCCACCTCCTGCGCCGGTGGCTGCTCCGCAAGCTACCGCGCAGCGCGCTCCCGAAGCTGCTCCTGTCTCCGAGTCACCCCTTCCTCAGGATGTCTCGCCCGTGAGCCCGAGGGATGCTGCCGCCGGGAAGGAGGAGGTCTCCCGCTTTAACCAAGGACCCCTCCTTGACCAGCCCGCCTTCGTGCCCGACGAAGCGGAAGAGGATGATGCCGTTCCCCCTCCCATTGCCAGGCGCTCCCCTCGCAACCCGTCGCCAGTGCCGCAGCAACCCGAGGAAGAGGAGGCAGCCCCGCCCCCGGCGCCGGTGGCTCTTGCTGTCGACCCGCAAGACCGGTGGGCGCAGATCCGCAAGAATGCTGCGGAGCGGGCTGCCTACCGCCAGGCCACGCAACCTGCGAGGTCCTCGGGAGGTCTTGCTGATGACAGCAGTGAAGAGAGTAAGCCATCACCACACCTAACCTATAGTTAACTCTATGAATAATTGCTAACTATCTCCAGCGATCGAGACCCGTGTCGCCCGCATCAAGGCCAGAGTTGCCGAACTGACCAGCGCCGCCGAGGGAGGCCCTGGTGCTCGCGTGCCGCCCCCGGTCCGTCGCTAGACGCGATGCAGCTGCACCGAGCTACTGTCCCGTTGGCGCTGGAGCTCGCCAGTACGATGTTGAAAAGGATCGATGTTGAAATAAGGTGGAATGCGAACTGCAATTTTCTCCCGTCATGCCTCTCGGACCAGGCATTTTCGTTTCTCTCTTTGCCATGGCCTACGCCATACCAGCCCCTTCTTTTTTCTTGGTGGATTGAAGTCCGCAGTCGACACCCGGCACTCGTAATATACCATTTTTGGAATTTAATGCTTTTTCACCCTGCGGAGAACTCGAAGGATATTGCAGTTGGGTTGCTATTCAGACAGTCTTTCCCTAATCTTTGGCTTTTCCCCTATGATACCACTAGAAAAGTTTGCGAAGTAGCCAGTACAATGACATCTCCCATCTGGACCATGACCGTGGTGGTTTACTGGGGTTGGGAATGTTGAGTGTTGAATCTTCGATGCACACTGGCAGCATAACAAAACCTATCCGCTTCCGCACAGTATCGACCATGGTTTTGCATACCTTGAACAGACTATATAGAGATTCATTGCCAAGGAGCTGATCGCGCAATACACTTCTTAATGCGGTTGCCCTCATGGAAAATTCATAACATACAATGCCTAGCCCAGTGGTGAGATCACCAGCCCATCGTCTTGTTTATTCAACCCCATCAACTTACACCACCGTCCCGCAAATGTAGTGTACAAGTAGGTAGTTCCGCGCCCGAGCGAACATCTAAGCCATCTTATCTAATGCAGACATTAAAACAACGCTTCCCCGCGTGTTCGCCATAATGAGTCGAGAGTCGAGAGTCACCGCAAAACCCCCCAGCAAAACGCCTTCGGCCGCCTCGCTCGTTGCCGGCTCGTAGAAACCAGAGGACGCCCCGAAGAAAAAGCAGACGCCAAACATGCTACCAGACGCCAGAATGCGGTAAAAAGACGAAGACGTGAAGATGCACCACGTAACACACCCCTCTAAAAGACCCGCCCGGCAGAGGGAAGCAATCCCCCCCCCCCCCCAACCATCACCATCACCATCACCATCCCCATCCCAACTCACACCCCACGCCCACCCACCCCCCCAACCGCCGCCGCCTCCGCGGCACCGCTAGCGGTAGCGAGCCCCCTCCGCTCGGCAAGCGCGCGCTCGTTAACCCCCCGGAACACGCGCTTGCCCACCTCGTAGCTGCTGATCATGATGGCGCAGGCGGGCGCCACGCGCAGGGTGCGCGGCACGCAGCCGCGGAACAGGCCCGGCAGCCCTTCGGTGCGGAAGATGTGCCACAGCAGGCGCGCCATGTTGCGCTCCTCGGGCGCGGCGGCGGTGGCCGCGGCAGTGGTGGTCGCGGTGGTGGTGGTGGTTGTAGACGGTGCGCCGGTATCGCGGAACACTTGGGTCCGCGTCTTGCCGACGTCGAAGGGCATTGTCACGACGCTGGCGAAGCCGCCCGACGCGGCGCCCGCGATGAAGCTGTCGGTGAAGGTGTCCGCGTGGTTGTCGCTGGCGCGGCTGCGTGAGCGTGAGCGTGAGCGTGATCCGCCGTCCCGGCCCCGTTCCAGATCCAATTCCAGTCCCAACCCGTCTCTGGTGCGGCGCTCGCGGGCGTCGGCTAGGCGGCCGCGGATGGTCTCGTAGCCCCACCAGTACATGCCGGAGAAGGGGACGTCGCGCCACAGGGTGAGGGAGAGGCCGCGCCAGAGGGCGCGGTAGCCGTGGGCGGCGACCATGTCCTGGATGCCGCGGAAGGTGGAGGCGAGCGGGTTGGCGGCGGCGCGCTCGGGCACGGCCTGCAGGCGGGTGCGGAACAGCTCGATGGGCGACACGGCCGTGGCGGCGAGCACGCGCGCCGTCGACCCCGCCACCAGCGGCGCGTAGTCGTCGGGCACCCCGCGCGCGATCGGGCTGCCCGCCCGGTTGAACCGCAGCCACTCGTACCCCGTGAAGTAGATGATGTTGGCCGGGATCGCCATGACCAGCGTCGGCGAGAGGCCGCGCCAGAGCGTCGTCACGCCCTCATTGCGGGCGATCTTGCGTAGGCCGTCGAACGTGGAGGTGAAGGTCCGTTGTTGGGTTTGTTCGACGGCACAGTTGATTGCTGATGGTGACGTTGCTGGGTTTGTGGCGTGGATATTGTTTTGTGAGAGGGGACGGGGTCCCGCGAGGCAGGCCTCGGCGTTGTTGTTGGTGAAGAAGACCTCGCGGCAGCAGGCGGTAACGCCGAGGTCGGCAGGGCGGAAAGCGGCGGCGCCGGGGGTAGCGGTGGTGGGGATGGCGAGCTTGGTGAAGTCGATGACGGGCTGGGTAACGCCCTGGGACTGCCAGCGGACGCGGACGACGTCGAGGGGTGTTGCTGGAGGGGTGAGTTAGCTTTTATTGCGGCACTCGGTGGGGAGCTGACGGTGGTACATGCCTAGCAAGCCCGTCAACAGGCTCCCCGATGTGGCCGAGAGCATCTTCTGCATGGCCGTGATCTCGACGGGGTCGCTCGGGAGGTCGGCGGCGGCGCCATGGTCGGATATTATGTCGTGGTTTTGACCAGCAGCGTCGTGCGCGTGGACGCTGGTTGCGAATGGAGCCATTCAAGAATCTGCAAATTTATGCACCTCTTCTCATGGCCTGGCGGTGCAATCCCGAGCGACGAAGGATCGAGTTATCACGGAGGCGAATACCCCTCAAGCGCAATTCCAATCACCCTACCCTCTTTGCTCTTTGACCGTCAAGGTGGAGTCAAAAGTTGGTGGTAGTTGTCGCTTGCTTTTTTGAGGAGAGAATTCCTGATGCGCAGGAAATCTGAGCGATTGTAGATGCTAAGAGAAGGATTAACTAGATAGCTGACGGAATTCAGTTGTCGGCGTGCTGATATGCGTGAAGGCAAAAAAGTCGGGTCCGACCGAGTCCGCGCGATCGGAGATTCTTCGCTCCAAGTTACAAACCCTCGGCGTCATCGCAGAAGATTATTCTCGACCACCCGGGGCCGAAAAAGCGGGTCGTGCAGAAGAGCCTGGAAGCCGCTCCGGGAATAGTTCGTTATTGCCAAGAGCCGCCCCAAGCCGAGAGCGCTGCTTATGTCATGCCTTCGCCCCGTCACGCCATCACGTGATCTTTCTGCTTACCCAAGCATGCCAAGATTTGTTTGCCAGACTTGGTCAAAGCTTCGTTCAATGTCTTGGCGGTGAAACTGGCGGACCCAACAAGCCGTGACCCCACACTTAGCTTGCCAACTGCCGGGCCGGGGATGTGGACCTCTTTCCAACACCAATCTATCCACATCCAACTCGTGCCCTTCTAGAAATCCCGCTTCATCTCTGTGCTTTTACCGCCCCACGTAGGCGACGTAAGCTTCATTAATTTCCCGTTCGAAGCTTGTTTGGAACATGCCGCTGCAAGGCAGGCCTCGGTAGTGCGCAACAATTAATTGTCAGCCGAGTTCCGAGAGAAAGAGGACGACTTCCGCGCTAGTGAGAGTATGGAATGTATCAAGGTAGTGAGTGCTAAGGTAACCATTCAAGATAATCGGAATAACTTGGTCGTGTGTGCAAGCAGACAACATGGCATTCTACTAACAGACGGCGTTCAATAATGATACGAATAGTGTCTAATGTAGGTAGGTTTGCTATGCTTCACACTGGATAATGTTGCCATCGCGCCGCACCAAATATTTGTACAAGCAAGCAAATACACTCCGAGTTATCAAGAAAAAGAAAGAAGAAAAAGTTATGCTTTTCCTCTTGATGTCCGCACCGTAGTATGCTGCAACAAATGAAATAACTAAGCACAAGTGACAATGCTCTGTAAAATATGTTCCGTATGCTCTGCATAAGAAATGAAGCCCGTCGGCTGGGATGAACGGAGGACAGGTAGTGACTGAAGACGGGCCGATTGGGATGCAAACAAAATAAAGTTATCGCCCCAAGGAAATATTCAGTCAGCAATTTCTCGTCAAGGACCGGCGTATCATGGAAAGAAACGAGTCGGAAGCACTCTTGCTTTCCTTTCCGACTCTAGTGATGCTCTTACCCCCTCTTCAATGCAACTTTTCCTTCAGGTAAACAACCGCCGCATACCCAGCACAGCAGCCCCTGCTCATGTTGTGGTGGCACCAGGGGCATTTGACCATGGTGGTGATGGCCCCCGAGATGCCCAGCAGCTTGTCCTCGACCACCGCGTCCGGCTTGGCCATGCACTCGTAGAGTTTGGACGGCATGTCGTGGTAGAATTTGCAGTTGCAGCACTCAACAAACATCTTGGCGATCGGCGCCATCCCCGCCGTCGGCGGTCGCACTTGGACCCCCGCTTGTAGCTGCATGTGTTTGGGGAGCGCCGAGAGGGCCGGCGGCCGGTCCGATGCCGAACTCTTGGGCTGTTTCAAGATTGAGACTGGCGCCGCCCCGGGCGGCCGGGCCGATGGCGTGGAAGCTCCTGATGCCGCCAGCGATGATAGCGAAGGGATCGGAGCAGAATTTGCTCGAGGCTGTGCAGGAGGTTTTGACGGCATCTGGTGAAGTGGGCTCGGTAGGGAAACGGGGGACGGCGGCCCGGCTGAAGTTGGAATCTCGCCCAAAATGCCATGGTATGTGAGTGGTTCCGGAAGATCACCGAAATAATGGTCGTTGGGCACTTGAAAATCCGGAGTTAGAGTTTGTGGAGGTGTCGACCCAGCGGATGGAACCGTCGAGCTGGCTAAGGATATCGAGCCGGGCGCCCGGTTGCGCTGCGGGCTGCCGGGAGCAAGCTGGGCCGGGTATTCACCCCTCCGCCCTTCAAGATCCGACGTTGCCTCTGGTTCTCGTTGCTCCGTCCGCCTTTCTTCAAATTTCTTTCTGTACCTCTCTGATCCGCCCTCTTGCGGTTCCCTCTCATTTGCGTATTCGAAAGGTTTGGGGTTATTTCTTGACGCCCTCATTTTCGGTGACTCCCTGGACTTAGCCACGTCTCCATTGTGCTCAGACATTCCCATCATGTCCTGCGTTGTTGCATCTTCCTTCTGCTGCGGGTCTGTTGAAGGGAAAGAGGCAACTGACGATCCGTTTGGCGAACTCTGGCTTCGTTTCCGAGATCGCGGTGGAATGGATATTGCGGGTTCAGCACTCCTAGCGGTGGGACCGGACTTTGGTGCCACCCTGAGGGGTTTCGGTTGTTCAATAGGCGCCTGAGGGGATGGCGGTCTCTTTGGGGACACCTGTTGTTCGGTATCATCCACGTTATCGAAGTTGGAGACCGTGGTCATGAAAGACTGTGCATCGCAGTCGATATCGATCGGCAAGGCTGTCCTGCTCCAACGGTCTTCGTTTCCCAACTCCACGCTTCCTCGCGTCTCCGAGTTGCGGACACGGGGTGTGCTTGCTTTGCTCGAATCTGGTGATTGGCGGAGCGTTCGTTCATCATCCTGAGGCCCAGAACGCTCGAAATTCATCTTGGGAGGCTCCCTCGCGACCACCGGAATATCTTTTGCTGACTGCGGCCGCGAAGTGTCTGGGGTTGTCGTTGATGATGGAAGCGGCGACCCGTCTTCGTATGCGGATGACGACGACGAACCCTCAGATGCTCGGGAGCCTCCTTGAGCCGCGTTCTCGGTTGGTTTGGCTTGGTGGGAAGCCGAAGCCGCCGCGAGGTTCTGAGGCTTGTTAGCATTTCGAATAGGCCCAAAACCAATATAGGAAAAGGGACATACGGAAGCGGCCTCTGAGGTGGTTTGTGGGGATGCCTTATTCTCTGCGTGGATGGATGCCCGAGAGTGCATAAGAGCCCGCAGCCTGAAATATGGTGGCAAGAGAACGGATGGCTGAGAGCTCTCGGCGGGGTTTTGAGCCTCTTTGGACCTGCCTAGAGCGGATTTCGTAACATCTCTCAAGCTCCGGCCTTTTTGGCTGTGGCTGCTGTGACCAGAACTGGCAGTTGATGGATCGCTCGAACTAGCAGAGCTTTGAGCAGTTGATGGCCGTTCATGATCCTGCAACCGGAAAGATCCGTCAACACTCCTTGGTGACGCGGGCATGCTTCCCACCGATCCCGGAGCATTGGGACTAGAAGAGTATGGGATTGCTTTGAAGGTCAAGTAATCGATTTGGTCGTTCCCGTCTCTGCCGGAGGAGGGAGCTTTGATACCCACAAGTTTCATCGCCGCAGACTTGGCTTCCTGTGTCAAAGAGGACCGCCTCGCGTGCTGCGTCTGCCCAGGACTGGAGCTCGAGGGTGGATAGTACTGACCAACCTCCGCAACTAGCTGCTCGTCGGCAAGACCAGCCATCGCCCGTTCAGCGACCTGGGCTCTTTGATGAAGCACATATCCGTTGCGGCGAGGCCCATCGGCGATGCGAACGGCAGCGGGCGGCTCTTGCGAGTGGTTGGCGCTGGACATCCCTTGAGCCATAGAGTTGCCTCGGGCGCCAGAAGGAGACATGTGCCGGAGCCTGGGGGTTCTCGAAGCCGAAGGTGGAAATGCATCACGCGGAGACCGACTCTCAACTTTTGATGGGAGGGGTGGGGCAGACTGTTGGGTGGGTGGTGCTGGCCCTTCTGACATGGACCTGCGCATCTCCTGTCGCGGAGCGGGGCCATTGTCGCGGAACAAATGATGGGGTATCGTCGTCGTAGAAGGGTCGCCCATGCCTTCACTGTACCAAGCGCCGGAGCCCGAGCCGGAAGCGATCTCGGCCAAGGCAGGCTGATGCCAGCGACTTTGTTGAAGATCGTCAGCAGAGGCTGTCCGCCCGACTTCTTCCGGCCGATGGATGGAATGGTTGTTCTGCATCAGTTGCCGACTGACGAGCAGTGGGTCTGACATTGAGCGATCCGTAGCAGCCAACGCCAAAGGTCTGGAATCCCGACTGGTTGTGGCCGGCGGCGGCGGCGGTGGCGGCGCTTTGCTTAGCCTCGCAGTGTTCCGTTTCTTCGCAGCTTTGGCTTCTTTTTCGGCCTGTTCTTTTTCTTTCTTTCGACGCTCGGCCTCGAACTTCTTGTCCTTCTTTCTCTGGCCGTAGCCCTCCCAACTAGGAGACTGGCATATCGATGATTGCTCCGACTTGCCATCTTCGTCATCGTCGCCCTCTGGAGAGAGAAATTTCACTTGCTTCTGAAACGGCTCATTGTTTGTCGGAGTGCCGACCTCCTCATACTCGTCGTCCTCCTCGACCTCCCATTCGTTTAGCTGGTTCCGCCGTTCGTTGCCGGCGCCCTGGGGTATGGCAAGGGATAGTGAGGGTGGGATAACGGTACGTTGCGTGGCTCTGACCATTAGGAATTGCTCTTGTGGGAATAGATTGTCCGGACGCTCGGGCCGAGGCGGAGGGCCGTCTTTGAGCTGGGTTGGGGGTGGTGGGAGAAGGAGTTGTGGACGTGGGGATTGCTCCGTCTGTTAGGATGTGAAGGGCAATGTTAGATACATGCCCCAGTGTAAGACATGTACGGGGCAATCGAGACACGAACCGAACCAACAAGCAAGCAGTGAGTGCAGATGGGGCGCAACGCACCTTATACTTCTTTTCTAGCTCAACCATTCGCTGGAAGCTGCTGGATTTGAGCAAGTCCTCCGTTCTCCGTTCGATTTCTGCCATGGCCGCCTTGGGCATGGCCCCAACACCGTATGGGGAGAACAGGATGTCCATGGTGGCAGCAACAAGGGTGACTGGCAGTTGAGGGGAAGGTGTAAATAAGGACGGCCACCCTCGCCAGAGGAAAACCTCCGAAGAAGGAGATCCGGTACAACTTGAGCAGAATACGGAGCTAAGTATAAACACGGCGGTTTGAAGGCGAGTGAGGGCCTATGCTCATGAAAACGTCCTGGGAGCTTCCGTGTGTCCGTGTCCAAGGAGGGGGGGTGTGGGATAACAAGACAGGCAGACTGTATAACCCTGGCCCTGGTTGGCGACGCTCGATCCCGGGCATGGCACTATGATCTCCCGCAACTGACGAAGGAAGTGTCTGAAATTCGGGCGCGCGTAGCCGCAGCTGGTGGGTGAATGCACCGTGTCTGGGGCCACGGGTAAAATGGCTTGTCTGTGTCCGGTCTTCACCCGGTGGCGAGCTCACTTGCAGGTCGCACTCCTCCTGTTGGCGGTTATTACATACATTAGACGGCCCCGCTGGGGGTAGGATTGGCGGGATGTCCCTCTCCCGGGTTGATGAAGAACAAAAAGAAAGCTCGCTACTTTGCAGCTTGCCTTCGCTCCGAGCCGCAGAGAAGCACATCATGGTCCTTGCCATGCGGTTCCACCAGGACTCGCAGACACGCAGGTAGCGAATATAAATAAACAAATATAAAAACTCGGCAGGACATGGGCGTACAGTCGGTGCGGCTTGTACCCCCATCGCTGCGGTCTGAAGGGGAAGTTGATGTTAGTCAGGAACGGCGAATGCAGGACAACACGAGGTCGACGTGGGCAACAGCCAGTCACCGCGCCAAACCCGGGTACCGAAAACCAGTCTTGGAACGTTGGGCACGGCGTGTTGCAGCTGCGTGTTATGTGACCCGTGTTCGCACTTCTATTTTGTTCGACTGATGTATCACAAAATCCAGCTGTCCAAGTGAGGGGGTAGAACGCAGTGATGCAGGTGTGACAAACGAAGCCGCGAGGTGCAGAAACGAAAAGCATTGAAACCAGGGAACGGCCCGGATTTTAGACGAGATGGAATTTGACGGGAAGGAACGCAAGCTGAGAAGTGAGCTCTCGGAGGTGATGGGGTGATAACCTGAGTCACGCTGCATTAGCTGATCCGAACCAGAGAGTCATGTTGAGGAAGGCACATCTGAAGTTGGGTGTTAGGTAGGTACCTAGACTCGGAGCAAACAGATGGATGGAAGTTGCGTCCGCCCACAGGTTGAAGGCCCTGAAATGGCTCTGATCGGGACCCCTGTAGCAGGCTGAACCCCTGTAGGGCTTAGCGCTCCTATCAAACCCAGAGGGGTCGGGCTTGGCACCACTTTTGCTCCCATCTCATCTTTCAACAGTCACACAACAAGCTTTCTTCACGCTGCATCGATCGCCGCCGCCGAGAAACCAAGAAAACGACCCACGCTTTTTCTCCAAGTAATTACTGCGTACACTACACACGACTTTCCTTTGGGTTATGCTCACGCCCCGCTTGTTTCTGCACAGCTGCCCGTTTTATTCCCAGCCGGAGGAAGCGAGACAAGCTGGGCCCTGAGGTTCCTTCGACCGACCAAAGCACCTCTCTCAGCTCTCTGACGGCATCGTGAACTAATATCACCCAACCATCCTGTCCCGACCTGTCATCGGGGCGAGACCAGCCCAAAGCCTGCGCAAGACAATCCAGCGTGGTAGCGAGAACGCCTTTGTCGAAGTATTGGCAAGTCTTGCGAGATTGGCATGCGCGGGCATGCTGTCTCACGCTCGAAACCGCTACCTTCCTTGCCTGGTTGCCGCCTGAGTCTAGGCTCGGAGACAGGACGATGGCGATTCTCGGCGCGGCGAGGTTGACGCTAGGCCACCTGCAAAGAGGCACAGGGAACTTTGGAGCCAGCCTCTCCCACGCACTCTAGGGGCGTATTCGCGGTGAGGTATGTCGACCTGCGCTGGCACAGTTGCCGCCGTCCTCGCCCGTGACACCTCGCCCACAGACACGACCGGAGAGACATGGGACGTCCGGCCATGGCGCCATCCGTCATGCGCACAACAGCCTTCCACACGATATCACAGCCCGCGCCTGGCCCTCGCGCTGCCTCAGCCCCTGAGGTCAAGAATACGACCTCAAATGCAACAATCTCCCCGATCCCCTTCGCATGCGACCCTCGGGAAAGACGGCGCCGGGCATCGGGGCGAGGGGAATCGGTGCTTCTGCGGGGCCTTCCATGGAGCGCCGAGTGATGCGCCGAGTGGTGCTGGTTCGTTGTTGTCTACGCAGATCGGATCGAGCCTGGGCAATCGCTCGGCAGGTCTAGGCAAGTGCTTGATCGAGGCCGCGCTCCGGGTCACAGGTTGTTAGTCATCCATGGCACTCTGTGAGACCGCTCTCCAGAATCCCCACCGGTGATCCGGAAGTTTGGCACGGGTTGCCGAACCCGCCCTCGTTCCACGGTTTTCCTGGTCAGCGAAGGACAGGATATTATCCGACGCTTTTTCCAGCACGCGGAAAATAATTCCCCGCTGCAGCCAGCATCCGGGCCCTCGGGATGGTGGCTTCGACCCGCTGAGAGAAATATTCATAAATTGGGGCTTACGTGTCGGCCTACAAAGTCCTCGGTGTCTTCCCGCTCTCATCTCCCCACTCGCCTGAGTTCTCCCCCTTCTGTCGTCTTCCGTTCGAGCACGACGGGACGGCATCCAATGGCCATTGGCTCTACCGACATGCCACGGCTCCGTGGGGAATGCCTGCGCTGCTATTCTTGACAGGTCTGGGCCAGTTAATATGGGCGACCTCAGCCGGCAGTGCGCAAGCCTACCTAGGGCGAGCCTTCTCGTTCTGCCGGTTTAATGACTTGCCCTCCACTGGCCCAACCTCTTCCCACCTGCTCCCAACACTCCGACAGCATCTGTTGGATCGGCACCCTCTACATTGCAGATCATTACCAGGTTTTGCTAATTCGGTACAGGAGTCGCTTGCCAAACCTGAACGAACGATTTCAGCACGGCACGCCGAACCATCTTAAGTCCGATGTCGCCCAATAGTTCGGGCCTTGCGGCGCGCTTGCCGCTCACACACGCCGTCGCGGACATTTGTATCGGATTTCGGCAGCCGGGGATCGCCAGGCTAACCAGGCTAACCAGGCGAGCCAGGAACCCGTCAGGCAATGACACCCTCCAGACTGCTCGAGACGGGCAACCGACCATTCCGCCGCAAATATTGCTCCACAACATCCTGGCCAGGCGATTGATGGCACCAGATCTCGTTCCCTGGACCCTGGTTCATCAAGCCCCTCGGCGAGGCGAGCGATGCGTCTCGCTGGAACATGCCTCGGAGGCGCGTCGAGAATTCGTGGGGGATCTTTAACCGAGCTGCGACCCATTTGTCGTCAGGCCGGTGATCAGACACGGCCTCGGTTTCGGAGTCGGCGCTGCTGAGAAGCTGCTCGTCGGGCCATGCCTCGGCAAACCTGCTTTGCGTCACGGGCAGCGTGAGCCTGAGGAACTCAAGTGCCGAGTGCACTGTGAGGTAAATGGCGCGCTTGGGGTCTACGATGGTTTTCATAAGCAACGACATCCAATTTGGATAAAGAACCGCAAAGTCGGTTTGGGACAGGTGTGTCGATCCTCGGATAGTCGTCATCCAGGAGAGCGTGTCTGCCGCCCGGGCTTCGTTGCAAACCTGCTCGATGCAATCGAAGTTCTCGGCCCAATGCATAAAAGCCTCACTGCCGATGGAAATGACCGGCTTGTGAACCGACTTCTGCTCGGTGCATTCCGGCGTTGCGGGTCCCCATGGATCGAGCAGGATTCCCTGGGTAATCCAGGCAAGCTTGTCGGACCTCAGCGCCTGAACTGTCGTCGCGCCACCGAAGGAATGGCCCATCATGGTGACGCTTTCCAGGTCCAGCCGGCCTTCCCAGTCTCGCCAGTCGATGCCGCGAAGGCCGATCGAGCTGGAGCCGATGTGGCCCACTTCCCGAAGGTTGTCGCGGCGCACTTTGTCACCGCTCCCGTTGTTTACCAAACCCAAAACGTAGAACGCCTCCTCGATCTCGGCTAGCCTCATCTCGATCTGTGCCCCGCGCAACTCCTTGTCGACCCCATCGGGGTTATGTGGGGAGGTGTCCTGCGCGTTGTCCTTGGGAACGAGGTAATCGATCTTGTAGTACGGCCTTATTTCTGTGTTCCTCTTCTTGCGATGCCGGCGGGACTTCTTTTCGTTCTTCGGCGGCCCGCCCGACTTATCCACATCTTGACTGTCCAGATTTTCTCTCTTGCCCGTCTTGTTGACAAAGGTCCGAGCCCCGCTCCCGTCCCGGTGCTCAACCGCGACCACCACCAGCCCAAAGCTGGCGAGCTCGCCACAGATGGAGCTATACAGCGTCCGCGACCCGCCCAGGCCGTGGCTGAAGATGACAACGGGGAACTGCGGCTTGCCATGCCCCCCCTCCTTATCCCCCTCTCCTTCTACAAGTGTCTCGCCGCTCTCGTACCCCCCAGCACCGGTCGTCGCATGGTCCTGCTGCGCTTCCTCGGGGGTCGTCCTGGGCCATTCCCCAGATAGCCGGGCGTTCCGGTATGCGGGTAGCTTAGTGAACATGCTCGTCGCGGCCATGTAGGTGGTGACGGGCCAGTGGGGGATGTTGAAGAATTTGGCGTAGCCTTTACATGTCGCGCCGCGCGGGCGGGGGAGCCAAGGGGCGCGGCGGAGGTGTGGCCTAGGCTCCCCTTGACCGTCTGCTCCTGTCTGCCCCTTCTCCTCCCCCTTCCCGTTCTCTTCCTGGGCTGAGACCCGGTCGTTCCCAACTGGTTTCCCATCACCGCCGTTGCCCGCCCGCTCCCCGGGCCCCGGAGCCGCCGTGGCCGCCTTGTCCCCACTAACCGATCCTTTCCTCCTCTCGAGGTCCGCGGGGTAGTAGACGGCGAACAGCACCGTGTCGAGCTTGAGCGCGAACTCGCCGTTGCGCTTGATGTGCGGCGAGAAGGCGCGCGGGCGCCGTGCCGGGAGCTCCAGCTCGAGGAAGCCTACTTGGTAGGGCCCTGTGTAGGGCGGTAGGGCGTGCTGGACGCGGTCGCGGGGGGTTCTTTTAGGTGGTTTGGGCATTGTGGTGGTGCTGCTATTTTAGGTTGCGTTGGTGGCGTTGTAGGAAAGGTTGGTTTTTAGAAGTGGTAGGTTTCAAGGTTTGGTCATTGGGGTGTCGTTGTTGGTGTTATTGTCGTGGGCGGTACTGATTTCTTAGGGAAAAAAGGTACGGGAGGGAGGGAGGGGTAGGAGTGTTGGTGTTGAATGCGCATTCCACAGTTTTGGATTCCAGTGGCATCTGTCCTCTCCCTAACATAAATTTTAGTAGCTTGGCAAGCACAACAAGCGAGCAATGGAATGTGCTATTTTTCTGTGGGTAAATAGATCAGATTTATCTCAACTCTCGTGCTCTCCTGCCTGGGTCGTCTCCAATTCAGGTACGGATGACGTCATAGAAGCCAGGGAGTTCCTGGGCCCGCTTTGGAACTTCGGATGACTGCCTGTGGGTTGTTACCCGCCCTTCGTACTTGCCCTGTAGTGATAGGTGACTTCCTTTTCATCGGGATGGAAGGCACAAGAAGGGGATTGGTTTTACAAATTCGAAGTTTGCAAATGCGTATCTTGAATTTAATCCCTGTAATCTATAACTACTGCGCAACCACCCTTCTTACACCCTGCCGCCAGACCCCCAAACTTCCTTGACGGACAAGGCAAAATCCTTAAATTTCCTAGGCGCCGACCCCGTGACAGCCAAAATTACATCGTTCGTTCGGTTCTCAGAACCAAACTTGACGGAGGTGTCTAGGGCGCCCATCATCTTCGCATAGTCTTCGGGCATGCCAAAGGATTGATAACGCTGCTCGAGCTCTGCGGACGAGAGATCGACATGCACAATCTTTCTCCCTAACACTTCGCTCAGGATGTTTGCGATCTAGAGTATTCTAGTCGGGGAGTCTTCAACATCACAGTCGGGACGAAACGTACCTCTCCATAAGAAAGCAACTCGGAGCCCAGAACCAGGTACTCCCCATTTGGCGCCACCTTGTCCGTCAACGTCCGCACCGCAACGGCAGCGATGTCGTCGGCCGACACCCACGGGAGCTTGGCATCCCCCGTCGCCGAGTACACCTTGCTCTCCTCCTTGATACTCTGGACATGATTCGACTGGTCGGCAAAGTTTTCTGCAACATGGTCAACACACAAATGCCATTTCCTAACCATAGAAGAAACCCAAAAACCACCAAAAGAAAAAAGAAAAGAAAAAAACGTACGCTGAAACCACGTCGGCCGCAAACAAGCCCACTCGGCCTCCCCGCGCTGGCCCAGGTCACGCAGATGGGCGTGCACCTGGCCCATGGCCGGCCCGCCCGCCTCGATGGGCGACCCGCTCTGCAGCACGAACCGGCGCACGCCGCGGCCGCGCGCCAGCTCGACAAAGTCGATCATGACCTGCTCCGCGCCCAGCGTCGGCGGGGCAATTAGGTACACGGCCGTGATGTTGGTGTTGGTCGTTGGGTTTGCCGTGTTTGCCGTGGTGGTGGTGGGGAACAGGTTGTCCCAGGTGTCGGTGTCGTGCCAGTCGAAGGGGACGTGCTGGACTCTGGGGTTGGCTGAGTCGTTGTTCTTGCTGCCGTTCCGCGAGGCCACGAGGATGCGGTGCGGGTGGGAGGAGGCCGCGAGCTGGCTGACTATGCGGCTGCCGACGGTGCCTGTCCCGCCCAGGACGAGGATGGCGGGTTGGGAGGAGGAGGACATGTTGGGTGGGTCTTGATGGAGTGTTGGGTAGGGGATGGTATTGGGGGTAGGTGATGGTGCTGTTCAACAATACAGCTGCTGTCTGCCTTATGAAGTGAGTATGAATGTCGTTGAGAGAAGGGCGTCTCTATTTCACTTTGACGCCATCATGAGCTCATCAAGGGGCAGATCGCAGCCAAGGAGCAGCCAAGAAGGGCTCGGGGCAATCGAATCCGAAGCTGGCCAACCAGGAGCTTCCCTCTGCCGCAGAACTGCCCGATCCGGAGCTTACGTGATAAACTCCGGCGCCCTAAATCCGGTGGAGCTCCCCGTCTTCCGGCAACAGTGGAGACCGGCCGGAGGTTGACGGCGTTAGTTACGGGGACGGTTGTGTTTTTCGTTTGTTCGTCCGAGATAATACCTATACGACATGGGTCTGGGGTGTTGGGACACGAAAAAGAGGGAAGCGTTTGTGGAGAGTTTTGAATCCGGAGGAACTGATGCACCGTGACGACATCGGGCATCAAGTACAAAGGAGGACGAACCAGACGACGTTTTCCCCTGAACCTCTTGAACCCCTTGAACCACTTAAACACCTTGCCCTATACAGCTATTCTATACATCCCACTACATTACACGCACGACACTTCCAATACTCAAGATGCCCTCCTACGATATCGCCCAGTACCTGCTCGACAGAGCGAATATCCACGACACAGTGACCAGAGTGGTATGCCCAATCCAACGCTTCCGCCCCCCAACCCCTTAAACAAACACACACACACACACACACACACACACACACACACACACACACACACACACACACACACACACACACACACACACACACACACACACATCCCACCCCACCCAACCACCCTCTAACAATCCCCAGCCCCTCTACTACGACACCGGCGACATCACCGGCCTGCTCAACCACGTCTACGGCGAGACCATCGAGATCGACTACAGCTCCATCACGGGCGGCAGCCCCTTCACCACCTCGCGGGCCGACTGGACCGCCCGCGTAGGCGGCCTGTTGGACGTCTACACCTCCACGCAGCACGTCACGTCGTAAGTCTCCCCGCCAGTGGTGCAGTGGTGTGCATAACAAGAAATACTGAGGCAATTAACTACAGAGGCATCATCGCCCACCTGCCGCAGCCCGGTGCGGATGTGGTCCGGCCGGAGAAGGTGGCCGTGCAAGCGCAAGTGTCGGGGAATATGGTGGGGAAGGCTCAGGATGGTGGCAGCGCGGGGGTGCCGTTTACGCAGAACGGGGTGAGTTGTGGTGGCTTTCTGTTCTTTTTTACTTTACTTTGGCTCCGTGGTCGGCTCGCGTAGGTTTTGTGTGCATAACCGACTGCTTGGCTGACTTGACTCCTGCCTGTACACAGGGTCTTCTCGAAGCCGAGCTCCAATGGGATGCGGCACTCGAGGCACAGGGGCAGAATCCTTGGCGGATTACCAAGTATAAGGTGGTTAAGAAGTGGGACAGGCGCGAGCAGGTCGGTTCTGGTTCCTCGTCGGATAAGTAAGTAGGTAGGCGGTTGTGAGTGGGAGTCGGTTTTAGGTTTTATCAGTTACGAAAAACTAAATGCATGGATTTGGTATATTCCCGGGTATTCCTCGTCTTCTCCCACCATGACCACACATAACAAAGCTCAAAACAACAGAAAATCATGAATATATCCGACCACTTCCATACCCTCCCTTCCCCTTCCTCCCTTCCATCAACCCTACACCCCCGACCTCGACGGCCCCGCCCCATCCCCATCCCCACTCATCCTCAAACTCTCCTCAATCGCTCTGATCAACTCCTCATCGTTCTCCTCCACCTCATCCACCCCCTCCTCCGCCCCAACCACAGCGCCCTTCCCCTTCTCTGACAGCCCCAACAACCCTGTTCCGGCCCCCACCCCCATCCCCGTCCCCGTCCCCGTCCTCGACCGCCTGTACTCGGCCTCGGCCAGGCTCTGGCGCTTGACATACTCGAGCACGATCTCCTCCTCGGTGCGCTGCCGCTGGGCCTCCTCCTCGCGGCTGCGGTGCTCGCGTTCCGACTCCTCCATCGCCAGGCGTAGCTGCTCTTCGTCGTCGTCGTCGTCGTCGTTGCCGTTGCCGTTGTCACCGGTCGGCGCCCTTTCCGCTTCGTTGCTTAGGCGGGTGGCGGTGGTGGTGGTGCCGGTGGTGGTGCCGGTGGCGGGAGGGAAGAAGGGGATGTAGCCCGGCAGTTCGGCCGCTATGGGGGCGTCGAACTGGGTCTGCCCCGCCGTTTGGGGTTGGGGTTGGGTTTGGGATCCGCTGCGGCTGCCGCTGCCTTTGCCGCTGCCTTCGGCGAACCGGTATTTCCAGGCCTGCTCCGTCTCGTGCTGCTGCATGCTCTGCCGCACGGCCTCCTCGATCAGGGCCTGGTACTCCTCGTCCGAGATGTTGGTCCACTCCTCGTCGGTCAGTGCACCCGCGCCCGAGGCGGCGGCGGCGGCGGCCGGGTTGATCTTTTGGTCGGCGATCCAGCCGCTAAACGTCGGGGTCTGTCCGGCTGGTCCCTGGGATGGTTGTTGCTGTTGCTGTTGTTGTTGCTGCTGCTGCTCTGCAGCCTTGCGCATCTCCATCACGCTCGCCCTAACCGCTGCCTCGACGCGCGCGTCCTCCTCTCTGTCGCCCGTCGAGGTCTGCACGACTGACTGCTGGATGGCTCGCTCGATGGACTCGTTGTCTTCAAAGGTGTAGTTGCTCGACGAGGAGCTGGCTGTGGTGGGGGGGAAGAAGGGGCTCGAACCGGCAGCCGTGGTGGTCGTGGTGGCCGAGTTGCTGGTGGCGGTGCTGCCGGCCCGCCGTCTATTCCACGGTCCCCGAGGCAAGTTGAGCAGCCCACTGCTTCCCTCGAACGGCTGCTGATCTGCCCCAGCATCATCCACGGCCACCGCCTTCCCCTTCTCGGTCTCCCGTTGCTTCAGCAGATAGAAGCCCTTCAGCTCGTCCCTCATGGTCTGCCACCGCGCGACCACATCCCCCCTCTCCTCGGTCGTCGCCGTGGCCCAGTCCTCCTCTCCCTGGAGCACCCGCGAGGTGATGATATAGTTCGTCGAGCTGCGCGCAAACATGCCCCTGACTTCCGCGCGGAGCCCCTGGACGGTATACGCGGGGATGGCAAAGATGGCGCTCGCATTCTTCAGGAAGAACCCGCCAATCCCCTTCCCGACACCCTTGACGAACCCCTTCCCACCTTCTTTCTCGGCCCCCTTCCACGGCTGCGTGAAGAGCCCCGAGGTGCCATCGTAGAGGCCGAAACCGAACTCCTTGCCGGCCACACGCATGCCGCTGACGAGGCCGGTGACCTTCTCGGGCGGGCGCACCGTGTCGTCGTTGTAAAGCTTGGGCGCGTTGCGGAAGCCGCGCGCCAGGCCGAGGCAGGTGTTGGCGTAGAACTTCATGCCGGCGCCCACGATGCGGCCGACGCCCTTGCCCGCGGCGATGGCGACGTCCAGGTTGACGGGGTTGGAACCGGTAGGGGTAGTACTGGAACCGGGCTCGGGAGTCGAGAGTGAGCGCGGCGGGAGGTTGGGAGGTGTGGCTGAGATGGAGGGCCCGGGTGAGTGTGAGGCTCCGAGTGGGTGTGAGGAGAGGGCGGTGCTCGGCGTGAGGGCGGAGGGTTGGATCGAGAGCGACTCGACCGAATCTTGAGCGATCGAAGGAGATGCGATGCTGGGTGTGGCAGGGTTGGAGAGTGCGCGCTTGTGCGACGAGGAATCGGAACCCGATGCTGCGTCGTCGGCTTTTGCCGAATCGTCCTTGATATCAGCCTTTCCCTTGCCCTTCTTCCCCTGCTTGAAAACTTCCCGGGGGAAGTCTGCCACAGCCATGGTAAAGGCACCAACGTCGCCGACGAATGCGGCGATGACGGCCGAGATGGGATCCCAGGGTTGCTCCTCGGTGTTGTACTCAACCGGGCGGTATCTGCGGCGGTTAGCTATGCACCTCGGTGATCATGTGGAGAAACCTTACAGCTTAAGATCTGAGTACTTCAACACACCCTGCTTCACCAACGCCGCAGCAGCCAGCGTACTCAGCCGGATCTTGGATCTCCTCACTCGCCAGACCGCCACGCGGCTCGGGGCCAGCGAACACCTCATATTATCAGTGTTTAGAAACTGGTGAAAGCTCTTGCCTCCAACATCCGCGCCCTTCTCTTGCTTGATCTTCGTGCCCAACTCCCGCGCTCGGGCTTGGGTTTCGGGCTTCACCGCGTATCCAATAGCAGCCGCCAGACCTTCGGCCGTCAACTTTTTGTACGGAATAGGCGCTGGCCCGGCGCCGGCTTTTGCAACCATAGAGCCCCAAAATATCTGGTCGCCAAAGAACGGCACCACAACCGTCGGCCGGCCGGCCAGAATGCCCGCAGCAGTGGTCCCCGCGCCGCCGTGGTGGACGACGGCCGACACATGCTTGAATAGCCAGTCGTGTGGGCAGTTGCCGAGCATGAAGATGCCCTCGGGAACACCGGCTGCGTCACCGCCTATCCCACCCCAACCCTTTGATACGATGGCCCTTACGCCGGATTTGATGACGGCTTGAAAGATGGTTTGAGTGAGGCCGTCCGGGTCGTCGACGACGATGGACCCGAAGCCGATATACACGGGTGGCGGCCCGGCAGCGAGAAAGGCGGCGAGTTCCGGGTCCGGGGTGTAGTTTGATTCGAGGTTGAGGAAGTAGAAGCCGGATACGCTAATTTCAGGCGCCCAGTCGGCGGGTTTGGGTGTCAAGGCAGGCGACCAGCAATAGGTTGCGGGAATGCGGAGGCGGTTGAGGAGCCCGGGCGCCCACATTAACGAAAGATATTCTAGCTCGAGGACGTTGACTCTAAACCGGTTAATCACGTCTCCGAGTCCTTGCCACGTCATCATCTCGACCAAGGCGTAGGAAACGTAGTTCGTGATGGCAGTGTCGGTCTCAGCGGCGACAACGTCGGCTAGGGGGTGGGGGAACGCTTTGGTAGGCGACCAGGGCATCCTATCCGGCTTGTCAGCTCAGCTCCGAGTGGTGAACGATAAGGAGACACTCACGTAAACATCATATGCAGCGGAACCCCCAACTTCTCGGCAAGATGAATGTGGGCAAAACTCGGGGGATTCGCAATGATAGCGTCTGCTACAAACGGGCGAAGTCCCGGATCCCCGGGCAGGACGAAGCGCTCATCCAAGGGCTCGTCCCTCTTATGCTGTGGGGGCGCGACACCCATGCCGTCGCCGGCCTCGATGCAAGAGCGCCAGCACCCCATGAGGATTTCCTCTATCTCCAGACGGCGTTTCTTGATGTCGCCGCTCTTTAGGGTATCCAGGCCGGGCATCAAGCCCGGATTCTTGACCATGAAGGCCATCAGCTGGGCCGGGTCGCCGCCGATGTTGAAGAACTCCAGCCCGTTCTCCTCAACAAACGAGCGGAAATTGGCGTGGGTGGCCAGACGCACACGGTGTCCATACGTGTCCCGGAGGACTTGACCCAGGGCAACGAAGGGCTGGACATCACCTCGTGAGCCGACGATTTGGATTACCACGTTTAGGCGAGGGGGTGGCGTTTGACCAGGCTGACCGCCCAGACTCGGGGGGATGTATGCTGGTGGCAGGGGGCCGGCAGGCTCAAGCGGCTTTGCGAGGGTGGATGCTAGGAGCTCCGAGAGGCGATGGTTCTTTTCGTTGATGTGGATGTTTACACGACCCTCGTCTTGAGCGTTGGGTTAGTATGCCATGTAGAATGTAGAAGAGAACCATGGGATGATCTTTGCTCACTTGTGACAGCGGCATCAGCGTTGAAGCCAGCCTGGGAAAACTGCAACTGGTCATGATGCTCGCCATAAGCCGGGGGCGCAACGTCCATGTCGGCATCTTCGAGGTCTTCAGCGATGGGGACTGCGTTGGTCCTCCCCGCCCGGTTTGCGCCCGTCACTCTCCGCTGGGGAAGTCCCTGGGTCATGATGAGGGAGATTTGAGTGTGATCCCTGAAGAGGGGTTTCAGGTCGGAAAATGGCCTCACGTCTCACTCGATTCGGAGAGCGAGATGTGGATGAGGGGTGAGGTGAGTGATAATATGGTGATGCCTTGCTTGTAACGTAACTCAACTCTCCATGATGCGCATGTGGTGGGCGAGTAAACTTAAGAAACTCGATGATAGAGGTTGGCGATGCAGCTTGATTACGAAGGTCGGTGCCAAATGTGTACCGTCGTCGTTGAAGGGAAGGCGGCGGGGTGACTGAGGTAAGGTTGAGAAGGTCGGTTGTTTGGGTGAGATCCGATATAAACGTGGGCCTTGGCGAGTTTATTAAGCCGATAGATGCATCACACTGAAGGAATGGTGCGCTTGTTGTCCACGGGGTAAACGAGAAATACGGAGAAGGGTCGGCCTATTTGTGTGAGCCAAGGCAGCAAATCGAACTCTTGGGAAATGCAGTTCGATGTGGCATGCTACACGATAAGTTGTCATGTTATTGGTGAAACATCACAAGCAGCGGGGACGGGATACTTGAACTCCTCTCCGGCGGAACCCATCGTCATGAGAGCCTGGTCAGGCCTGGTTCCCTCAGACTAGCTTCCTTCGGCGGAGGGGGCCAAGAATTGCCAAATTTGTGGCGATGTCTGGCCAAGGATTCAGGTCGATCTCGCTGGATTTAAACTCTTTCCAACTAGACACAGTGCACAGCCACCTTCATATCTTCACCTGAAGCCCCTGAAAGGGCGTCGTCACAGCGCCTAAGATCGCGCAGTCAGTACCTAATCTGCCTTAGCCCCTCCCTGGGTTAGGTGATGTGGAGCCGTGTTAATCGCTTGCTTTAACACACTGTATGCTGAGCCCCTGCCTGCGTCCCCTTGACGCGCGTACTGAGGGCCCGATGGCTTGCTCCACAGAGCCCCGAGCCCGGCGGATCGGGATGGAATACGGGGGGATACGATTGACTCCCTGCATGATACGGGTTATGCGACTGGAATAACTGGCAGCGAGTCTGGAACTGTCGCTCCACTCAGTTACTGACGATATTGACAGGTCGGACGATGGCGGGGTTGCATGTTTCCGCGTTTACGCCTTAGCTTGGCAACCTAAGAAAAAAAACCCTCCATCTTTTTGCATTGCCAGACGACTAAGCTGGAAAGAACGAAGAAACGATTACACAGATAGCACAAAGAAGCTCCCGCAGGACTTGCTTTACCGACGACTTCTAGACTCCCCAACCCGTATGCCTAGCTCGACACCCAGGTGTCATCACCACGGCGCCATCTACTTCTTCTCTTGCGGCGGCGGCGCTCCACCGGTCGTGGGCAGACCCATGAAGATCTTGAAGTAGTCCTGCGAGTGGGTTAGCATTTCCGTCTCGACTAGGAACGTTTGACAAAAAAACTCACATAGATCATCCACTGCAGACCAGTCAGGGTACCGATCATGACGATACGGACGGGCAGGCCGTTCCACAGCCCCCTAAATCCGATATCCTTGTATATCCTCGACGTGACCGTCCCGAAGCCCTCGCCCGCCTTGCGGTACGCATTCAGCTTGCTGACCATGACGTCGGCCGGGTGGGAGACGGCGGCGCACAGAATACCGGCGAGGTAACCGCCGACAAACGACACGCCCGTCTGGGCGCCCTTGCTGTAGTCGCTCTTGGAGCCCGGCAGGCGGTCGTAGATCATCTCGACGATGGTCTCGAAGGAGGCGAACTTCATCATGGTGTAGGGGATCTGGCGCGCCCACAGCGGGTAGAGGCCCTTGTACAGGCCGCTGATGCCCTCGGCCGCCGCGATCTTGCTGAACCCGTCCAGCGTGCCCGTGTACTGCGCCGGGATCGTCGCCTGCATGCGCACCTTGACCGCCTCGAACGGGCACAGCGCGATGTCGGCCAGGAACTCGGCCGAGGCAGAGGCTGTCAGGTACAGCGCCGTCTTGTACTTGTACGCCGCCTCCGGGCCCGCCATGTCCGAGTAGGTCTTCTTGAAGTATTCGTACCACCCGTACTTGAAGGCGCCCTGCGCCGAGTACCCGAGGAGGGTGGGGCTCCAGCCCGTGAAGATGCCGCGGACGCCCTCGGTGCGGAAGATGTGGCCCCACGCCTGGAAGTTGCCCTTGTACAGCTTCGAGTCGACCTGCCGGCGCGTCTTGACGAGGTCGAGAGGGGTAACGGCCGCGTGGGTCAGGCCCTGCGCGTGGTGAGCATTAGCATTGGCAATGGCAGTGGCTCGGTTGGTTGTTCATGGTCACTTACACAGGCCATCATGCCGCCGAACGTGCAGGCGGCATAGTACTTCCCCGAGAAGAGCTCGATGTGGCCTGCCTTGGCCTGTGCCTTCTGGCTCGCCGCCTCGAATTCCCTGGTGGCCTCGGCGCTTAGTTTCTGTGCCTTGTTCTTCGCATCGTCAACGACCGAGTAGGCCGGGTACAGCTCGAGGCGAGCTTGGTACGGCGTAGGACCGCTTGGGGTAGGCTTGTTCTGCGGCAGACCGCGCGAGTACGGGCGGCTGCCGAAGGTATTTTGGAGGATGTCGTAGCTGGGGTAGAGCGTCATCTTGCCGGATGTGGTGTCGTCAACTAGACTCGTGTTAGTGTGACGCCCTTCTAGCCAATTGGCCCGGGCCCGTTTCAGCCGGAGTGTCGCAGCCGAATGAAACTATTCGCGTGCTGAGGAAGGGTGTGGCTTGGGCAGGCTCACGGGTTTGTACTCGTCAATAACGGACCTTGGATTCAAGGTCGACGTCTGATTTCCATAAAACAACTACGGTTTATAGGAACAAGAGAAGGAATGCGAAGTGAGGGAATAAGCCTTCGAGGTCAGATGAAACGGTCCCTGCCATAACCAACCGTTAAATTAGGTAAGCGTCTAATCAATGGCGTACAGCGTCTCATCGTTGACGGAAAGTGAGCGTATAACCGGGAATGAATGGGGAATGAATCCTGTCTCGCATTCCTTCGCGCCCTGCCACCGTGGTACGGTGGGGTTGACCGGCGACTTCTCCCGAGCTTCAATCTTCGCCCCCAAGCTCAAACAATTTGAATCGAGTTATGCCATAAAACACAATAGGAGGAGTTGAAATGGGTATCCTAGGTAGTTATTTCTTCCTCGGTATAAACACTTGTTCTTTGTTCACGTAAACATTCTCTTTCTATAACTGTTAGGCAGGTAACTGACGAGCTCATGTCATAGGAGCTACACTTCCAAGTACTGATGACGCTTCCAGACGGTGACGTAGCGAAGCTGGGGCCGTTCCCTATCGTCGCTTATCGGGCATGGGCGCGGAAACGAACGGAGACGGAGTTAGCGGGGTTAGTCGATGTTTCCGGCCCCGACGCTTCACTTGTGTAAGTATTCTCATGGCTTCCCGGGACGACTCCTTTCGAGGTTCCACAGAGCCCTCACAGTACAATGTTAGTAATATAGTTAGATGTGAGATCAGCCGCATGGCCACGAGTTATAAGTGATGTCAATTATCTACATACGAAGTAGCAACTGCGGGAAAGAAAACCAAGGGCAACGCAACAGCCTCCCTCGCTCTCCAGGTCGAAACCTTCTTCAATTTTTTTTCTACATAATTCAACATGATATCACCCATCTCCTCCTGTGTTTTTATCCATGATGTATACTTTTCTCTTGTCTAGCCGACGACATCAAAACAACCTAGGCTTCAACGTCCAGTTTGAGCGGACGGTCCAGGAACTCTCCTCTGTACAGAATAGCATGTGATTGGGTGCAGATACCAACGCCAAGGTTCGTCACCAAAGAGCGGGCTCTGAATCACGTCAAACTTCAATCCACTCAGCTGTTTGGTGCACCGACCTACACCGCCACCAAGCAGAATTAACTGAACAACCACCATTCTAAATCAATCAATATGACCGATATAATGGCGCAACCACCCCAAGCCCAGGCTGGCACCTCCCAGCCCTTCGTCTCGAAATGGGCGTCCAGGTACCGCGGGGTAAGTCCGTCCGGCGCATTGTGCATCCCATTCACCCCACCACCACCACCATCACCATCAGCACCAGCAACCCCCCCCCTCCAAAACATTACTCTCCCAATCCGATTCAACATACTAACACCCTCTCGCTCTCTCTCACACACAGGCCACAGTCGAAGACCTGGACCCCCCCGCCGCCCTCTCCCTAACCCCGTCAGACCAGATCTCGACGGCGCTGATGTCGGCGTTCGAGCGGGACTACACGCACCTGACCGTGACGGACTCGGCGACGCGCGCGCTGCTGGGCTACCTGTCGATCCCGCACCTGCAGGCGCTGCTCGAGGCCGGCCGCGTGCGGCCCGAGGACGAGGTCCGCACCGCCATGGTCCGCTTCCGCCGCCGCGGCGCCAAGTACCGCGTCATCACCATGGAGACCCCGCTGGAAGAGTTGGAGGCGTTTTTTGAGGGCTGCGAGACGGGCGGGCAGAAGCAGGATTTTGCGGTTATTACCGATTCGGCGAGGAGGTTTGTTTTGGGGGTGGCGACGAGGGAGGATTTGGAGGAGTTTGTTAAGCGGAGGCCTGCTTGAGGTCCCAGAGGGTACCCGCGCGTTGGAGGTTGGGAGAGGGGCGTGGAAGAGGACGCGGAGAAGGAGAGGCGGAGAAAGGGGGTACGGATTAAGAGTTGACTATCATCATTGACCGGCGTTGGGCTGTGCATTTGGTCGTTTGTGGGGAGGTGGGCTGGCGGTATAGGGGCATTCAACATGGACGGGGAACTCAGGAAAGACAGGCGGACAATACCCAAGGCTGGATGGGAGGCTCAGATTCCTTCCCCTCGGAGCTCACGCTTAGGCATTATTTCATCAACAATTCCAGAGAGGATACACGGAGCAACGGGCCGGGCCATGTTCGGTTTTGCGGATGCAATGTTATTGCTGCGATCTAGCCTATATATGCGTAGTCGCGAGAGATTGGCCGACCTCCAATGTAATGCTCCCGCATCCCGCCACTCTAAGGACCCGTATCTCTCTCCCCATCTATACATTACAACAGCACCCTCATCATCCCCAACTGCCGCGGCTACCCCTTACTCGCTAATGAAGTCGTAAACCAGCTCCAGCTCCGCCCTCTCGGCCCCCTTAGCAATGACCACATTCCTAACATGCCTGCGCACGCCGTCGACAATCTTAAACCCCCAGATCTGCGTCGCCGTCCAGTCACTATCCAAGCTCTCCACATAGCTCAGCAGATGCAGCGCGCCATCGGGCCCCGCCTTCTCCGCCTCGCCATCCAACCACCCCGATTTCAAAAACTCATCCGTCACCTCCTCGGCCTTGACGAACTTGGTCTGGCCCTTGACGTGCCCAAACAGCCAGTCGCGGTGCTCGCGGAAGGCAAAGTCCAGGCACCGCTTCTCCGACGAGCCCTTGAGCCCGCCCGTGCCCGTCTGCTCCACGTCGATGTGCGTGCACGAGGTGATGCCCTCCGTCGGCTTCTCCGCGGGCGAGGGCGGGCCCTCGTACTGCTTGACTTGCAGGGTCAGGGTGGCGAGGCCGACGGCCTTGCGCGTCATCCAGCTGATTCCTTGCAGGGTGAGGCCGGGCTCGATGTTGGAGGAGAGGGACTTGTTCTGTTCGTTGTCGGGGGGGTTGGTTAGAGTGGGGGGTTGGAAACTGGAAGGGGGTTTTTGTTTGGAGAGGGGGGAGGGGTTGGCGGGATCATCATTATATGGATCGGGGGTGGCTCTCGGAGGGGGGGCTTACCATAGTCCATTTGCCATTGAGGTCGCCAATAGTCTTGTTCGCGGGGGCAGCCATGGTGGGCGGTTGTGGAGGTTGGGTCTCTAGGTATGTAGGGGGAAAGGGAGGTGTGATAGGTTGGTTGTGTTGTGAAGATACCCAGGAAAAGGTTGAGGTTGAGGAGTTGAGTGAATGAATGGTTCAAGGGAAAAGAAGGCAAGCTGCATGGCCTACTTTCCCGCATCTTAAGTACCCTACCTCCCTCTTTGACCGTACCCACGTCGTCCGAAGCCTCCCTGCCATGGTGGGGAACAATTGCTGTCACAAGATTGGGGGAGTCCAAATCTCCAAGTTACACGCACACGACCAGGGCTCGGCGGCCGAGGTAAAACTCCCTGCTTGGCTGTGATGGCATAAGCGGGATGCCGTTCTGGGGCCCCAGGACAAGCCTGACAGTGGGAACGGACACCATTTTCAGCAAGTGACCGGAGATCCAAGCATGACGCGGTAACCTTGAGGCTGGGGAGCATTGCGGGGGATGCTTGGCTGGGGATCGTTCTCTGGATTCTCCCCGTTCCCGTTCCATCCCTTCCACTCGGGCGTTCCATGGGAGTGCCCGGGGAATCCATGCATTGTTCGGCTGCCAGCGTCATCTGCAGGTACCAGACTGACTTGGGCCCCTCGGGTTGAGTAAATTGTGCAGACAGACTTCAGACGACAAATCCTAGGCCGCGTCATTTTCGCAGCAGTGACGCTTCCAGGTTGATTCTGGCATCGAATTTCGATGGTTTGGGGTTGCCAGATTGCCGCTGAGTTAGCGGGACCTTTCGTGCGGGGTCGAGACTAAAATTGCAAGACCTGCACTGGTCCTTGTTCCCAAACCACTTGTGCCCGAGGCTGCCATGTGAAGATGGGAATCAGCAAACAAATGCGCACAGGTACAAGTGGCCCCAGCCATGGTTCCCCAACACTTGGTAGCGAAGTTTGGAGAATCCCAAGCCAGGGAATCGATGTTCGTACCCGCCATCCTTCGTTTCGGTTTCGCGGTCCCGCGTGCCTTGGCAGGGCATGTGAACAACTTGTGGGTTGATTACCGTGGTGTGTGTGCACTGCGTTGCATCTTCTTGAAGCACTTCGTCATTGTATTATTAGTCGAAATAGGATATCCTAGTATTACACAACGTCTCTCCGCGTGGTCCGGAGGTTTTCTTATCCACATTAGTCCCGTCTCTGACCCCCGCATCATGACTCTCGGCGCCTTGTCCGCCCCGCTGTGTATCCCCGACCGAAACCGATGACCAGCAAACCCCCTATCTACCCCGCCAATAAAGGCGCATCAAGGCCACCACTTCATCTTCTTGTAGCTCTCAATCACCTCCTCCACCAGCTCCTTGGTGATCTTGGGCTTCTCGTACGTGAACCCAACCACCTCCTCTAACCTCGAACCGTCCATGCTGAGGTCTGTGTCCTTAAGCAACTCCCTCTCCATGAACGGCGTTAGCGGCCCCGGCCTCGTGATGTCAGCCTCCGCAAGCAGATCGGCCCACGGGCCTAGTAGCTCATCGTTCACGTCATCGACGACGCTGTCCAGGTTGAGCTTGGCGAAGGTGCTGATGAGCTGCCCCTGGAAGCCGGTCTCGATGCCGAACACCTCACCGATGATGTCGGCCATGGCGCCCTGCGTTGTGGCGCCCTTGTCAACCACGTTGAAAGTCGGGGCCGGGTTGCCCATCGTCTTGGCATCCCACTTGTCCTTGCCGGCGACATACCAGCCGGCGACGGCCCACAGCGCGCGCACCGCGTCGTCGATGTGCGCTGTGTTCGTGCGCAGATCCTTGGTCCACAGCCACTTCATCTCGGACTCGAGCGCCTTGTACACGCGCGCCATGCACAGCGCCGTCGCGACCCACTGCGACGCGTAGGGCCCATAGATGTGCGGCAGCCGTACGACGGCAAGGTTTAACCTGGGGGGCCGCTTATGTCAGTATGACTCGAGCAAGATTCCTCAACCTCCACCCCCTATTCAGCTGAAAACGTACCCCTCGATCTTTGCTAGCTCCTCTTCCGCCTGCAGCTTGAAGACGGCAATTTTGCTCCACGGCTTCAGCTTGTCGTTCTCCTTGCTCGGAACCGAGTCAGGCTTGTAGACCATCCCCGTGCTCAGCTCGACGAAGCACTTCACGCCCCGCTTGGCCGCCTCCCGGCCCACCGTGAGCGAGAGGTTGAGCGACCGCAGCTTGTACACTTCGTCCTCCTGCGAGTAGCGCGTCTCGCCGCCGCAGTTGAACACATAGTCCCACGTTTTCCCGTCGGCGCGGTCGAATATCCTGGGGAGGGATTCTGCGGCATAAAAAAAGCCCCGTTAGCGAAAAGGGGGATCTCCAGGGGTATGGGTCCGAGGGTTTTGACACCTCCCAGCAAAACTTACGCTCTCTGCTCGCATCGGCCTGCACAAACTTGGGTCCGGCGCAAGCCTCCTCAAAGTCGGGCGGAAGCCATGCCAGCTGCGGGAGCACCTTGTCGACGATGCGCACGTCGGACGCGAGGTTGTTCTCGTGGATGTGGAGGGCCAGGAACCGGCCAATGTAGCCGAGACCGCCGATGATCAACACCGACGGTTTCTCCGCCATGGTGACTTTACTCGAGGGTTTTTAGGCGACGTGGGTGGAGGGAGGGCTGGTAGTTTCGAGCGCTCGCTGTGGCTGCTGGTTGAAGCCGAGGAGGGAGGAGGGAGGAGGGGCGTGTTTGAAAATCCAGGGGCAGGCAAGCGCGGGGTCGCAAGATTTTGAAGATGGGGACTCGGCGTCTCGCGGTGTTGGGCAGTCGTCGTGGGCGTTTGCTTTCAAACGACAGTCAATGGGGGCCGGGTAGGATCGTAAACTCGTGAAAATGAGCTTCTGTTTGTGGGAGAGTGGTTCGCTTGCCCGTCTTATGAATGTTGGGGGGGACAAAAAAATGATGGGTGACAGGAATGAGCTGGGAGGGAAGGGGTGGGCGGGACTTCGGCAGGCTTCGAGAAGCTCGGCAGGTCAGGGCAGGAACAGGGCAGGAAAACCTGGAGCGAGGGGGTGATGCCCAAACCGGACCCTCACAAGACCTTCCTCCACTTGGAATGGAATCTGTCCCAACCGCGAGAACCGGGCAAATGGACCGCGTTGGGATAAAATTTCTCAAGCTTTCTTTCCCACACTGCATGCAATTCAAGACAGGGCCGACGCTGCTTTGCTGCCCACAGTTCTCGCGGCCTTCTTTTATTTATTACTGCACAGTGTAAAATGCCATCCCCTTGTGGTACATCATGGATCTAACTGCAAGTTGGGTAATAACACAGTCAGGTAGTTCGAAGGCAGGCACGCAGGAGGTGCCCCCGTGGTTTGCAGTTGCATGCTGCCAAGGTGCTGCAGGTTTCCGCCGATGGCCTGCAAGTTCCTGCAGGTGGAGCTTTTGGGCGAAACCCTCCATTCTCCAACAAATTGACGATCGCCTTCTTGGTTCTTTTTTTCTGTTGTTGTCCTTCTTTCTGTGCTTCTCTTCCTTCTGTCGGGCATTTTTCGATTTGCTCCATTGGACAGAATTGGACATTTCCGGTTATTGGATGATGGTTTTCAAGGTCTAACCTTCCAAACCTCCCACTCTTCGTCCGAACTGGTGCAGCCGAGAAGCCTCTGTGGGCGAGGATCCCAGGTATCTCGTGTCCAGCCTCTCCTTTCGGCCGCACGGCCCAAACATGAGTCTCCCAGTCAGCCATCAGGAACCCGGACCAGGGGCAAGGTTCAGCGCTCCCAGGAACCTCGTCATCCCCTTAAATAGGGGGCCAATCGGGAAGGCTTTGGCAAACAGCTCCAACGCCCCCCAGATGACGACCGGACGCCCAGTGTGAAGATCGTGATGCTGCAACGGCAACCGTCCAGGGCCGGGTATCTCATTCCAGGAGGATGGCATCGCACCTGAGACATTTCGATATAGCAGCAACCCGAAACATTGGCGCGAGCAGGTTCCACCGCCAACGCCGGGTCTGGCCCACACGGCGGGTTTACTCGCCATGTTGATGTGAGAGAACACGCTCGCGGTTCGTCCCAAATTCGAAGCAAGGCGGCAAGCTGCAGGAGAGAGGTCTGTGCTGTTCCACCCGTTTGCACTTCTTGGTTCGGAGACGTCGGTTTTGCCTTCTCCCCGGTGAACCCTGGTCGAAGTTCGCGAAGCTTTCCTCTGCCCTGTGGCCCGTTCAAACCTCCTCACCGGTCTTGTCCCGTTTGCAACCGGAGCTGGCCAGCCCGTGATTGGGCTTCGCCATGGTCGTCGAATCTCGGAGTTGTCGCCGGCAAAGCAACGAGTTGATCGGGAGGAAGTCCGCCAGGGGTTCGGTCACACACAAGGTGACAAGTGACAAGCACGACAGGGTCTGCCCAAACCCGGAAAGATGTCAGCAGACGGGACGCCAAGAATGGAACCGGTCAGGGGCAGCAACCCCACCTCACCATCCCGGGCCGCTCACGGTGAGCCGGGAAGCCACGGGCGAACTTTTCTAGAATATTTCCAAGCTGGGCATGTTGTGAACCAGGTTCGGCTCCCCTTCCGGTTCCACGGCGGGTTTCTGAACCGACGGGGTCGCCGGCGGCTCAAACAAGGCCTCAACGGTCAGAATCTGGTTCGGTGACAAACGACAAGATCAGTTTCCCGTGGGCGCCACATCAACCGTCTCGTTTCCCAGGATCAGCCCCGAGCCAGCCTCCTCCCAAACGGGTTCGTCTCGGAGATGTCCCCAAGTCCTCGCGCGCTGCCGTTTGCGTCATTCCCCGAGCTCTTTGGATTTTGATTGTCTCACCGTTTATCCTCCTCAACACCAATCAAGCCTTTTACCAGTTCAGCGGAACAGGCCTCACAGGCTCAAACCAACTCGCAAGCCAGCTCGCAAGCCAACTCGCAAGCCAGTCCCTTTTCACCTGCAGCATCTGACGCGAAGGCTGACCGGGACGGGGCCGTCCGGCCTCCGCGGTGGCGAATAGACCGTTCTTGGATGTCACGATCGGCGCTTGAAAAAGCAACATATGTGCCTTTTCTGGTTACCCAAAGACTGCCGGCACTTTTACCGATAACTAATCGCCCAATCTCGGGAAGACGCCGCCCGCGATCTCGCGGAGAGTTGCTCGGTAGAACTAACCGGAATTTTGCGAGAGCTGACATTCTCAGGTACCGCGGCAGGGGATGTCTCAAGCCGGCGTAACTGCTTCTTTTAGTACCGAGAGTGCAAGTATTCGGTACTGATACCTGAAAAGCAAAGTAGGTGTGCCAGACCACAAGGTGGTTGGTCGAACTCAAAGTGGTGAGGCGTTGCTGAGAAAGAAAAACCCAACCTCTCCTGAGGTGAGGTTTGAGTTTGCCGAGATGCGGGTCATGGGACGATCCAGATCTTCCCGCATCTCCATTGACGCATATGTCCAGATTAAATTGATGTGCCCTCTTGAAACGGACCCACTGGTCTTTCCGTTGCGCGGCCAAGATTGCCGTGGGTCGATGGTGGCAAAGGAGTCCTGGACAATTTCACGGCAAAAGCAGTTGTTTCGCGGCTCCGAAGCGTGGGGGGGCCAGCCGAGAAGGTAATCTCGGGCCGGGGGAGGCTGGTATTCATGATATCATGCGTCATAGTTTATTCATCTCTCCTCATCTCCGCATACTCCCAATCAGCTCCCGCTGCGCCTCGCGATCGCGCTGGCCATCGCTCAGGCTCCCGATGCTGCGCAGGTCGCCGACCACGTCCTTGGCCTTGCCGAAGTAGACCTCCTGTAGCAGGTTGCGCATCTTGAGCTCCATGTCCTCGACCAGCCGGCCGATGTTGGCGATGTGGCTCTCGTCGTTCTCCACCGGCAGGTCCTGCTCGACCTGTCGCGTCATGTTGCCGCTCAAGTCCACCTCGCCCAGCGCCGCGCCCTTGGTCGCCAGCGTCAGGATCACCGTCGACGTCAGCCGGTAGTTGGAGGTACGCCCGCGCTCGCTCGCTTCGAACACGTGGATCGAGTCCCACACGCCGGATGAGGCGCCGTCGTTTTGGGGGGAGGCTAGACAAGCGAAACAACACAGCAATTCGTCAGCTTCAGATCTGTAGACATCTAGCCGTGATGGGATGTGTGCGTGTGCGTGTGCGTGTGCGTGTGCCTGTGCCTGTGCCTGTGCGCGCGTGCGTGTTTACTCACCCTTCTTCAACAGCACCACCCCAGCGAACCCGTCATCCAAATTCCACAGATACACCGAGCTCACCCCGCCCTCGTAGTACAGGTCGCGGTAGACGTCAAAGGCCTCGTTGGCCTTGACCTCCATCTTGCGGACGCGCTCGCCGGGGACGGCGCCCTCGCCGGCGCCCTCGTTGCTGCCCCCGGGGCCCACGCCGCCGGCGCCGGCCTCGTCCAGCGGCGGGTCGAACTGGTTGCTCCACGGCGAGCGGTAGCTGTCGCCGTCGCGGTTGTAGTCGCACAGCAGGTAGTCCCGCCCCGTCTGCTTGCACCGCCGCACCGTCAGCGGCTGGTCCACCGACGACAGCAGGTCCTCCGTCAGGTCGGGCGCCAGCGAGATGATGTTGGTCAGGTGCTCCGCCGTCTGTTTGGGGTTGAGCCGTCGGAGGAGGTCGCTATCGTGCGGGAGGTGGGGGTTAGTTGGTGGTGGGAGAATTGGGTTGGGCAATGGATGGCGTGTGAAACTTACAGCGCCGAGTCGAATGGGTCTGCGGTCGCCATCTTGTGTGGTTTGTTTAGTGTGTCTGTGATTGTAGCCCGGGTGAAGTTGCTGGATCTTGCGGGCTTGGGCTCGAATATGACTTTCCAGCGGAAGTTGAGGTTCGGCGTCGCGGGGTGTTCCAAGGCTAGAGCTGTTGCGCTGTGGGGGGATGGCGGGGCTGTCTTCCAAAAGGCTCGTGCACCTTCAGGGGCAGTGACAGGGGTCGAAACGGCCTGTGGCGGAGCGGTGGGGCCACGCAACGTCCTCTGTCCATTCCGTTGCTTGCCGGAAAGCTCACCTTTCAGTTTCCCATAATCAACTGGATATCACTGTCAACACCGATATTGTAAAATCAAGTGGTGGGCAGTCCAATTCATGGTCGTCCATCATTGATACAAGACCACTATGTCACCTTCAAAGAATGAGCAGTCAACGTCTGCCAAAAACCACAAGATTGAAGCTTTAGCAACGCGACTCTTAGGTAATGATTTTTATTTATATTCATTTATTTACTATCCAATGTTTTCAAATAATTAGTTACTGATGGTGATACAGATCCCCTTTTATATCTCTCAATACCTCTTCTCATTTTGGTGCACCTCATCGTCGCTCCCTACACCAAAGTTGAGGAATCATTCAACATCCAAGCAGCTCATGATGTGCTGGTCTACGGGGCGCCAACATCCGACATATACAACAGGCTGTCCAGTAGCTATGACCACTTTACCTTTCCGGGCGCTGTCCCACGGACCTTTGTAGGCCCCGTGCTACTGGCCGGGTTCGCCCAACCGATCGTTGCTCTGGTTGGATTTCAACATGCCCAGCTAGTCGTAAGAGCCATCCTCGGCCTCTTCAACGCCGCCTGCCTGCACGTCTTTGCCCGGAATGTCAGACGAGCATATGGCCCCGGCGTAGGGAGATGGTACATCGTCCTCCAAGCCAGCCAGTTCCACGTTCTCTTCTATGCCTCCCGGACGCTGCCCAACATGTTTGCCTTTGGCCTGAGTACGCTCTTCCCAACTCGCTCCCTCTCCATCCCACCGTATCAGCTAACCACCATATAGCAACACTCGCCTTCTCCTTCCTCCTCCCAGCCCCCCTGGACCCCAAATCCACTGCACGCCGCCAACGCCTCTCCATCACCACCTTCGTTTTTGCAGCAGTCATCTTCCGCTCCGAAGTCGCCCTCCTGCTCTTCACAACAGTCCTCTACCAACTCCTCCAACCATCCCTCTCCCTGAACCGCGTCATCCGCCCCTTCATCATCTCCTTCCTCGCCGCCCTCGCCATCTCCGTCCCCATCGACACCTACTTCTGGCAGCACCCCCGCCCGCTCTGGCCCGAGCTCTCCGGCTTCATCTACAACGTCCTCCACGGCGGCGCCTCCGCCTGGGGCACCCTCCCCTGGCACTGGTATTTCACCAACGCCATCCCCCGCCTCCTGCTCAGCCCCCTCACCTGCCAGGTCCGCCTCCCCTACTCCCTCACCCACCCGGTCATCGGACGCGGCGCCCGCGCCCTCACCATCCCCTCACTCCTCTTCATCGCCCTCTACTCCCTCCAGCCCCACAAGGAGACCCGCTTCATCATCTACGTCGCGCCCCCGCTCACCGCCGCCGCCGCCCTGAACGCCCACCGGGCCTTCCGCCGCGCCGCCTTCCGCCGCGGCGGCGCTAACACCTTCTTCCGCGCCCTCCTCGCCGTCGGCATCCTGCTCTCGGTCGCCGGCTCGTACGCCGCCAGCTCCATTGTGTTGGTCGAGTCCGCGCTCAACTACCCCGGCGGCGACGCCCTCGCCTACGTGCGCGGTGTCGCGGCGGCGGCTGCTGTGTCTGGTGCGGGTGCGGGTGCGGGTGCGGGTGGTGGGGCTGGTGTCGTGCAGGTGCACGCGGATGTGCTGGCGTGCATGACGGGGGTGACGCTGTTTGGGACGGACGCGGCGGCCGCGAGGGTTGCTTCTTCTTCTTCTGCTTCTTCTGCTCCTGGGCCTGGGGTGGGGGGTGATGACAACGGGGGTGAGATTGTTATGGTCAAGCAGCAGCAGCAGCGAGGCGGCTACCCGGCCCAGAACGGGGTGCGGATTGTGGTGGACAAGACGGAAGACGATGCGGTGCTGGCGAGCGCGGATTTCTGGACCCGGTTTGATTACCTGTTGATGGAAGATCGGAGCAAGGTTGTTGGTGGGGAGTGGGACACCGTCGGGGTTGTGAAGGGGTTTAGCGGGCTGGAGGTTGTTAAGCCGGGGAGTGAGCAAGAGGATAAGGTAGAGAAAGGGGCACCTCCGGTTGTGGGGCTCGGGGAAACGGTTGCGCGGTGGAAGAGAACGGTCAGGGGCCTGACCGGCGGATGGTGGTATGGTCCGAGGATGGTGGAGAAAATATATATCATGAGGCGGGTCAAGGAGGCACCCAGTGTGCAGGCGGCCGTCGAGGCCAAGTAGATCTCTGTTGCGAGAGTCATGTAAACTTGTTTCGTTTTGTATATTCCCACTTAACGTCTGTGAAATAGAGTTCCTTTTCATAGCGCACTGTTTCCGATTTCTGGGTCTCACGTCACAAGGCTGTACCATTTAACTCGCCGTGCAGATAAATCAACCAACATTCCCCATTATATTAACGTGGGCTACGAACTACCTCCGCTTCAAAGGGTATCTACCAACGGCAAAACCGCTACGAAGCAACGGGAGTCCAAGGAGCATTAAGGCCGTGAGGAACATAAGCTATGTGGAGATGTGAGAGGGGGAATGCGAGGAACGTGGGGGTCGGTCGCGTACGCCAGCTTTGCCTTTCAAGCCGCGAAGACCACCGTGATATGCCGACAGCCCGTTTTTTCCAGAGCCATTCGCGTCCATTCCCGTTCGCCCCTCACCCGGGCCCAGTCACCCTCTCTACACAGTCTCTCCGCCCAAACTGGCATTCGATTTCTCAAACTGCCAAGTCGGGGGATTAACCGTAACGCGCTCCTCCCAGTAAATGCAATGTGTCCGCCGAGGGTAGCAATCGCAAGCAATAAATGCCTAGAAAGGACATTCAAAAAACCTCAGTCGCAGTGGCCAAAGGAGTGAAATCCGATCTCATCACTGCCCATCCCGGGCTCCGAGTTCGCTGAAATCGGCGCCTTGTTCCGGGCTTGACGTCTTGTCCGTATAGTTATCGCCGCTTCCGGCAATCGATGGATGTATTACTCGTTTCCAGGGTCCAAGGGACGCCCGTATGGTTCCGTGGGGTTTCGTATTTGACCCATTCGTCCGCGCACGCGTGCTACCGTGTAGCACCGTTCGTCCTCAGCCTGCGGCTCGGCCGTGTGGTGTCTGGTCCGTCTTTTTTTTGGCTTGGCGTTCTATGTGACACCGCCTAGGTAATGCACCGCGGAGCGTGACGCACTGTAGCATCGCCGACAATTCAGACGCTTTGGGGATACAACCCGGCAGGCTACGAAAAGTGTTAGTCCACTCCCACTCGGTGTGCTTTGTGTAAGGTGCGAGACATACCGGGCTGTTGAGCATCTGGGCGCGCTTGTTCCTGCCCTTTTTGATGTGATTCTTGAGAGCGTTCGAATCCAGCGGCTTAAGTAACTCGAAGCTGCACAGGAGCTCGGTAGACACTGACATGACAGCACCCCAATTATCAAACTCTCCGCAGTACTGGAACTTTGTAAGTTGCTCGTCCGGGGAGACGGTCGGTACAGTCAGTACTCACATTCGGCGCGCTAAACACAGTGACCAAGACTCGATCGGTGAAGAATTCATAGCCGTCCTCAACCACCATGTGGGCTCGACACACTAGGTCGAAATCGTTGTTGGCGAGGAAATCGGTGATGACTTTCTTCCCGAAGCAGTAGCTCACGCCTCGTTCATTGGCCTCCCAGTCCTGTTCCATATCGGCTGGATCGGACCAGAGTAGATCGTTCAAGAGCCCATAATCGGGGACATCTGTCGGGCGCGCAATGTTACGAATGTCGTCCATGTGACCGAGAGCTGGTGACAATCCTCCGTGAACGCAGAAGATCTTGGCGGCCACGATAGCAGCAATGGGGAGGCAGTTGAAGGTGTCGATAAAGGTCTTCCAAACCTTCACATTGCATCTCCGCTTACATTCGTCGTAGAAACCGTAGACGCGCGTGACGTTAGCGCACTCGTGGTTACCGCGCAGGAGAAAAAAGTTCTCGGGATACTTGAGCTTGTAGCAGAACATGAGCAGGATGGTTTCGAGGGACTGCTTGCCGCGGTCGACGTAATCACCGAGGAACAGGTAGTTCGCCTTTGGAGGAAAGCCGCACATCTCGAACATGCGGATGAGGTCCGTGTACTGGCCGTGGACATCTCCGACGATCTTGACTGGGGCGTCCAGTTCGAGAAGAGCCGGCTGCGAGAGGAGGACCTCCCTGGTACGGTGGCAGATGGCGGCAATCTCGGCGTTCTTGAGGCAGACGCTCTTGGTGACCTTGCCGGCATAGGCGGCATCAAGCAGACGCTTGATAAAATCATCCAGGTCGATATCCTTGATGTCGCTCATCGCGACGCCCGCGGCGGTTTCGTCCTTGGGAGATTCCTGCCCGGCGATGTCCAAGATTGGGTTGGGTGTATCATCGCGCTTGACGAGGATACTTTGCCCAGGCTGTTGCATGGCCAAGTCGGCATTGGCAGCACCAGAGGGCGGCTGGTCCGAAACTTGGTCCACTTCTCCACTGGCTTGGGCAGCAGAAACATCATGGATCCCAGCCTTCATGGACGCCGACTGGATGGGGGATGGCGGGGGGACATCGTCGCCGACCGGGGAATTTGCGGTGGCGGTGTCGACCGACGAAGGCGAGCCCGGTGTCGGGACCGAACTGGAACGGTTGGCCCGGCCGTGCGGCGACCTGCCGCTCTTTCCGGACCTGACCGAAGTCGCGTCCGATTTCTCGGGTGTATCACCATTCGTCAGTACGGCAGAGGTCCTGGGACTGTCCGTCTTGCCTGAGCCCGGGATCTTGGATCGCAGGGATCGGAACGACCGGGACGAGTCTCTCGTGTCGGACCTGCTGAAGGAGGGGTACGATTGCAGCGCCTCGTCGCCATTGCCTGAACCTTTGGCGGATGCCGCACCGGAATCCTTGGAGGTTTGGTTGCCCATGGTTTCTCGATGTCAGAGATTGTAGCTCTGATATGGAGAAGTCAACAGGGTGGACGGCGTGCGCGTGTCAGGTTTGTGGTACCGGCTGGGTCGCCTTTGAATACCAACACAGCCTACCGCTGCACCCGTCTCGAAGCTATTGTCTTTTTGTTGTGTCCCCCAAGTATTAGGGAGGGTGATAAAAGTGCTCGAGGTCGAAGAGCAAAGTAGCGGAGGTGGAAGACCAACGACCCGGTGAGTGTTCCGTTTTCAAAGATCCGCGAGCGCGCGCGGGGGAACGTTAGGTTGTTGTCGGGGTTATCAACGCCGGGGCGCCGTAGACGCTGGTCGGAAATAACGGACGGACAAAGGTCGCTGTAGAACCGGGAGTCGGAACTGTTGGAGGCCGGCGCGCGTTAGACTTACGAGGCTCGGTGATGTCAGCCTCGCGAACAGAATCGGTGAACGGAACAGCAGAACAGCCGCGAGCGCAGCCAAGGCAACAAAACCGCGTGGTAATGAAAGCCAATGGATGATATCGCGGAGCAGCGCGCGAAACGAGAGAAATGTGGGGATTGCACCGAAGACGATGGCGTGGGTGGGAAAAACAAACCTGCTTGGATGCGTGCGGTTCGGCTGATAAGGGAGCGACCAAGAACAAACTATCACGCCAAGGCTAAAGGAGGAGCTTGGTGCCGGGGGAATGATTGCTTTGGGTCGGTCTGTCGGTCGACTCCCGCTGTCAAGTGCAGTGGAAGATATGACGGTCGAGGTGAGGTAGTCGGGGAGAGAAGGAAGAAGCAGGTCGGTGGGTGGTTAATGCAGACGCGCCGTTCGCCGCCGTTACAGAATCGCCACCGCTGGACTTCGATTGATAGGGGCTCTGATCGCCACGGCCGGGTGTGCCGGTCGGTGTCAAGAAGGTCTGCGAGTTGAGACGAAAAATAGATAAAACTGAGGGTTCAGGGTCCGCAAGCGATGGTTGACGGGACGGGTCAGACAGGTGAGGTTGATTGGCAAGCGTCACCCTCTCTCTGTCAACGATTTTTTTTGGTGAGTCTGGGGAAAACCGGGCTGCCGTCGTCATCGGCTGCGGGATGAGCAAAAGGGTTGGCGGGGCCTTCTGATACACTAAAGTTGTCCGAACAGGTCGGCTGACCGGGGTTCGACTCCAAGTTTTGCTCAGCAAAAGCAACGGTGAGGGACGGCTGGAATTGGCGACGACAACATGCAAGATACTAGATAGCGGATGGCAGTTGCCTCTGGAGGTTTCTCAACACACTTAAGAAGATGCAACGTCAAAAGACGGCAGGCGCTGCCGTTCGACAATCGTTGACTTAGTTGGCAGCACGTGCCTCATATCCTGCTGGAGTCGAGGCGGTTGCCCACTGCACGGCACTGTTCTTGGCTAGCGCGCCCCGCACTCCAGCGTGCCTTGCACCTCACCTTGCGGAGCTTGCAGCGGCCAGAGCGGTCCATCCACGGACCAACAACAAGCACCAAAGGGCGGGAAAAGTGTCGATTTGAATCTGAAACTCCCTCCATTCGCAGCAGGTGGCATCAAGGATGTCAATCTCCCGCAGAACGCTGAAATACACAAACTCAACCAGAGTGAAACACAATGGTAGGAGCGTCCCATCTCCCGGGCCTTGCCCTGCCTTGGCTGCGCCGGGTGAGACAGGAGCCGTCTTGGTCCTGTTGTGGACATGAAGCAAAGATGTCAATTCCCCGGAACACGGTATCCCCGACCGTCGCCAATACTCTGGACGCATCGTACGGTATCACAAGCATCAACTTTGACACCGATACTCAAAGTACAGATTCCGATGATAGGTGGGCGCAAAGAGCAGAAAATATGGATGGCCACATTTGGATCGGATGGCACACTCGAGCAAGTTCGCGAAAGACTGCTGATGGATGCATCGCAATGCAACGATCCCGATTGAAGAGCTCCCGCCAGCAGTGGGGTCAAGAACCAAAGCGCAGCACCTCAGCCAGGGATTGTCAGACGTGCCGGCCTGTGTGACTTTTTCACCCTGGCTTGCCCTCCCCGCGACGGCGCATGTGTTTGACCACATGACCGCTTCCAAGGCCAGAATTTCGGGGAGCGGTGTGTGTGGGACAGACAGGATCAGTGGTGATGGAAGAAAGAGATTTCTCCACGAGCGTTGATGATTCGATCTCCATCCCCAGGCGGCGGTCTCGCTTCCGAATTTGCATAAGTGCTACGGCTGCAGGCCGCTGGGGGTCAGTGGGGGGAGTCAGGCGGCTGGATCGCAGAAGCGATTGAATTGATCGAACCCGCATTTTACGCTGAACGCTGATTCGGGCAGATTCGGGCAGGTCCGGGCTGCCGAACAACATTCCGCCAGCGCATCCGGAAGCTCGTCGATTCCGGCTTCGTGGCTCGAAAAACGCCGTTACGGTCGAGGGACGGGATCAAACAACACGACTGAAGCCATCTCTTTTGTCGGCTTCTTTTTATTTCATTTTTCCCGGCCCTTCACCGCATACTACTTTCCAGGCTTTCGCAAAAAGAACGAAACCATGGCCGCCGCCGTTTCGACTTTTGTTTGGTAAGAGGGCAGGGGCGGCCGGCCGGCCGTCTCGACCATGACCGGGCCAAATCTCGGTGGCCGGGTCCGGAGCCGTAGCCGGGCTTTACGGATGCGGATCATGGTGGGTTTCGTGGAGGCCGGGTCTTGGCGATGCCGCCCACCGCTCGACTGCTTTTGGTGCCGTGGGTGCCCACAGTCCCGTAAACGTGGGAGAAGGCGGATTTCCAAATATAGAAATTCTGCCCTCTGGCACCAACAAGTCACCAACAGCCCAAACGTGGCCCAGCCACCTCAACGCATGGCCAGCCACAGATCACCAACCGCATCTCCCCACGGTCTGCAAGGTTTGGATGAGGAATCCACAGTGCTTGGTGGTGCGATCACGTTGAGACTGCAATGCCACTGAAATATTCCACAGCGGCTTGCTGAACCCGAGAGAGGACGGACGCGTCGTTGTTACGTCGAATAGTGGGTGTGCGGGTTTTGATTTCGTATTGACGCGGCTGTCTCAAACTGTCGGAGTTTATCTCCTTCAAGATAAAAAAGTGCGCGATGTTGAGGCTCAGCGTTGGGCGCTGTCGTCAGCCCGCCACAGCGAGAGGAAGATGACCCCGCTCAGCCAAGGAAGACGACGCCAATCGCGAGGCTCGCCAGTGGCGGGCAGCTCTCGGTGGGTTCTCCTCCCGGAAGTTTGCCTGCACTCATGCAACCCCGCAATTCCAACCCGACCTTGCTCGCACTGCAAGTACACGCACACGAAGACGCGTGGTTGCTTGTGGCTGCGGCTCCGGTTCAACCTCAAAATGGTGGGGATCGTGCGAACTTCAACGCCAATGGAAGCACTGAAATGGCGTTTTGCGAAAAAAAGATCAGCCCGACTTGACCTGACGGATCTGCGTCAACGCAGGAACCCAACGGGTTTGATCTGGCTCAAGCCTGGGAAAAACTGGAAAGTTGACCCGGGGTCCTCGGGGCGAAATATGGACATTATCCACATCGTCCGAAGACGAGAAGAAGGGGATTGTTTCGAGGTGGTTACCGTTTAGGGTCTTTGCACCAGAGCCGGCGACTGTGCTGGACGCAGGAAGACAACCCAACCCGCCTTGGTCGAACCAACAAGTCGGCCAGGGCGGGAGGCAGGCACGCACGCATGGAGGTTGGCACGTTGGCCAAATGTTTTGCAATCAACAATCAACATGGAGCCAGCGATGCTGAAGACCAAGGCAGCCGTGCAGCGCAGGAGTGCTCCTGGTGTCGATCTGTAATTTTATCACTCATCGCCCAAGGGGACTTCGCTCCGCAGCCCGCACCCAAGGGCACCCTGTTGCAGGATGATATCCTTTTTGGGCGAAGTGACTCCTGATGCCAGCGGTGAGGCTTAAGTCCATTATCAGTGTTCCGCAGCGCTGGGCCATGCCCGAAAAAGCCGCGAGATGATGGGGCTGGAAGTGCTTGGCTTGGAGGCCTGGCTGGGAAGGCCCGGGGTGTTGCACCGCAGCCTGTTGCCCTGGCTGCCGTGGTTCGTGCGTGGCTGCTGCATTTCTTTTTCGTCCTTCGTCCCGTTTGGTTGAAGACCGGGAAGTGGGTCCCTATCGTCACCTGCAAGGATGCGGGCTGGGGATGGGCAAACTGCGCCACTTGTCGGCCGAGAGCACAGCCCTTCTGCGAACCACCTGCTGCAAAACAGGCACCCCTGTCAACTGTCAGCACGGGTTTGTTTTGGCATTCGCCTGATGAGAGCAGCCAGCAAAGCCAGGCCGGGTTGGGATTTTTATTTATCTCTAACCACCCGCCCGTACAACCGACCTCGTTCCCATATTCACCTATCTGGCTTGTCATCTTCTCCCGAGTTGTTGATTCCTAGCGTTTGCAACAATTCGTCTCCTCGACTCCCACCCAGCGCAACCTTCCATTGCTTGGCCGAGACATTCGCTTCTCGACGTTTGCAGCGACTTACGTCACCCCCCACTCCCCGCCAACCCGAAAAATACCGAAAAACACCTTAAACAACAACAACAACAACAATTCCTCGCCGCCTTCCTGACTGGCAGAAAACCGTCTACAACACAACAAACACTAAAACATACACAATGGTCAACTTTGGGCGATTCGTGTGTGTGCTGGTGCCGTTCCTGCTGACGCTGGCATCGTTGATTGCCTTGCTGGTAGCAGGATTGGCGGGCATCGCTGACAAGAGCCTTTACATGTTCCGTGTCAATCTGACGGACCTCTCTCTGTCGCCAGCCTCGGTATCAAGTATTCTTGACGGCACCGGATTCCAGGCCCCGAATTTCGACGACATTAACATCCCCGACATCAACCTGCCCAATGTCGACCTGCCCAACGTCGATATCAGCAAGCGCCAGAGCCAGACCGAAAACATCACGGCCTCCGACCTCGACCTGTACAACATCTACGACGTCAACATCTGGAACTACTGCTACACCACGCAGAATGACACCCGCGAATGCACCGGCGGCGGTTTCAACTGGGCCTCCACCGCGCTCAACACGACGACGGACGAGTTCAACAGCATGCTCACCGCGGGGGGCCTGAACGTGACGCTGCCGCAGGAGATCACCGACGCCGTGCGCGCCTTCGGCACCGTCTCCAAGTGGACCCAGGTCGTCTTCATCATCGCCTACGTGGCGCTCGGCATCGAGCTCTTCTTCGGCCTCTTCGCCAACTGCTCGCGCGCCTTCTCGTGCGTGACCTGGCTGGTCGCCACGCTCGCCACCATCGCGACGGGCGCCGCCGCGGGCCTGGCCACCGCCACGGCCGTCATCGTCGTGGGCGCCATGGAGGCGTCCGCCACCATGTACGGCGTGCAGGCCGAGCTCAACACGCGCTTCCTCGCCGCCGTGTGGATCGCCGTCGCCTTCGCCATCGCCGCCGGCCTCTTCTGGATGTTCACCATCTGCTGCTGCAAGCCCGACCACTCGTCCCGCCGCAGCCGCAGCAGCCGCGGCGGCGACGAGGCCGAGAAGTTCATCCCCAGCGGCCCCGGCTACCAGCGCCTCAGCGAGCCCGGCGGTTACCAGGGCGGCGGCTATGCCCAGCAGTACCCGCGCCAGTCGCAGGCCGCCGGTGCCTACGAGCCGTACTCGCACGCCCGTGTTTAAGTTCAAGCAAGGGGGTGCTGGTGATGGTGGTGTGATGAGAGAGAAGGGATGAAAATCGGTGGTGTGGTGGGACAGGTCACGGTTTACGAGCGGAGGCAAATTCTTGTTTTCGCCCATTGACCTGTTTGTTAGTTTTTGCTTTTCCTTTTTTTCCTATCTTCAACTGCATATGTTTGGCGTTGGGGTCGGTCTTTTGGTAATGCGGGAGACGGGAAGCGGTCCTTTGGTTTTGGAAGGCTCACTCGCGGTGGGCGGCAGTTAGACACCGATGGATGGCATCCTCGCTATGATACCCTGCCGGGGTTTGATGAATGGAATCATGATTACGTTTTCTGCACCTGATGTCCATTTCGGAATCGTGAAGGCTAGGCTACCGTGACACGAGCTGGTTTGCTTGACCGGAATTCCGCATTATTCTCGTGCTTTTCGGCCGGTTGGCTGAACACAATCCTTCGAAGCTGCCAGGCGACTTGCATGAGGCATTCAGCCCCCAGGATTGTTGGTGCTCTCTCGCCATATGCATCTGTGCCACAGCCGGACAGCACCCGCATATGCATGTCCGTGGTAAGCATGCAGCATGCGGTGACGACGTGGGAAGTGATGAGCGAAGCCCAACGACAGAACACACAGTCTGGTAACCGGAATTGCCCCATCACACTTCCGTGCTGACTGTCAGCCTTCTCCGGATCGGAACCAATCGGCCGAGTTGGTCGGTCGAAGGTGGGAGAGCAAACGAGTCGGGCTCCAATGGTGAAACTGCAGAAACTGAAACACCATCTTTTGAGTCCCCTCACCCCCTGAATCGCTCGAGGCTCACCTCATCTTGGTGTGTTGCCAAGATCGTAACTATCGGCGACTCCGTGTGGTTTGAAGTTGTTACATTTGGGTACTAACATTCTAGCAACCCAAACCCTCTCCTGTGTTCTGTTTCGGGCAATGTCATGTAGTTAGGTAACCAGGTAGGAAGTTATCTCGACCGTTGCCCCCTTTCTTGACCACAAACACAGGGTTAGGGTTTATGCACAACAACATTCAAAATGGGGTTTATGAGTCGAAATTCTCAACTCAAACACCACGAATGAGGAACGGCACGTTCGTGTTATGTCAGCATGTTAAGCAGTAAAATACATGACAATAACGAATATCGACAATAATTAGGATAAGAAACTCATTTCAGCCGCTATGGCTCAACAGGTATGGAACACTGCAACAGTGACTTTCTGTTTGACTCATTCAAAGTCTCCTCGGGAATTTGGCATAAAAGAGAGACAAGTTACTAACTCATCATAGAGCCGGGCTATTACACGGCTACAGCACAGCTATGCTCTCAGCCCCATAACTGCTCTTGCCTTGTACGAGGCCGGACCTGACCATGTCCTCCTCGCGGGTGAAGATACCTGGCTCAAGGTCTACGACGTCCAGTCCTCCCGTTTGCTCGGCCAGCTCCGGGTGTTCTACTCCCAGCCCATCCACGGCATCCACATTTCTCAGTCTGGCAATGACAGCCAAAAAGAAACGCAGCTGCTCATCTGGGGCGGCCACTCAGTAACCCTCCTCCCGTCCAGCTCCCTTCAAGCTCTCATCGCCGGGAAAACCCCACATCCACCCACCGAGACTCACGCCCCAGACTGGATCTACGACGGCATCATTCTGCCCGCATCCCCCTCAAACCCAAGCGCAGAAGTCACCGGCGCGCTGGTAACAGCCCACAACGAAATCCTGCCCTTCTCCACCCCTCGCCATAACAACGACAACGACAACGACAACACCACCACCACCACCACAACCACCACCAACAGTAAACCCCCACCCCTAACCTTCGGTCCCCTAACCTCCCCCTCTCGCCCCATCCTCTACTCCGCCAACCTCGCCCTCCTCGCCCCCTCCACCCTCCTCGTCGCAGGCGGCACCGTCTTCGGCGAGATCATCGTGTGGAAATACCACGTCGGTGCCGCAGCCGAAGCCAACACTACCACCACCACCAACGCTACTGACAACGCCCGGTGGGAGGTGCTGTTTGTGTTTACCGGCCATGAGGGGTCTGTTTTTGGGGTTAGTGTGTCGCCGGACCTTGGGGGTGGGAGGAGGGTGCTGGCGAGCTGTAGTGATGATCGGACGGTGAGGGTTTGGGATATTTCGGAGGGGGGGGCGTCCCGGTCTGGCGGTTGTGATGGGGATGGGGATGGGGATGGGGGGGTAGTGGTGGGTTTGGATGGGGCGAGGGAGACGGGGTTTGGTGGGGAGGGTGATAATTCGGAGGTGAGGGAAGGTAATGAGCGGGATTCGGACAGGTGTGTGGCTGTGGTGATGGGGCATGTGTCGAGGATTTGGCATGTCAAGTTTGGGAGGGGGTCGCTGGCTTCTGGGGTTGTTGAGGTTTATTCGTTTGGGGAGGATTGCTCACGGCAGAAGTGGGAGTTGGACTTGGATCTCGAGCGGTGGAGCGCGGTCAAGTCGGGGGCTGGAGGGAAGGTAGGGACCCTCCGGCATTGTGGTGCGAGTACGTGTCACAGCGGGAAGAATATCTGGTCTGCCGCTGTGTTGCGCAGGGGAGATGATGAGCCCCTGGTAGCGACTGGCGGAGCTGATGGCAAAATTGTCATCGCGGGGAAGATTAAGGGAGTTGCTTCGGGTTTCGGCACATACGAAGACGTGGATCTCAGTTATACCTTTGACGAGGTACTGCGAAATTTACAAGGCAACACACGGTTAATATCTAAAACCCAGACCGCAAAGAACACCAAGCACGCCTTCCAACGGTACGCCTTTCTGTCGGACACAGTCATGGCAGTCACAGCCTCGGGCAGGTTGTTTCTCGCGACCATGGGAAGCTCTCTCACCTGGGAAGAAGTCGCCGTCCCTGAAACTATCGTTACAGATCTCAAGTCATACAACGTCGTCAAGAGCCCGGCAAGAGACACGGCTGTCCTCGGCAGTGCAAGCGGCAGGGTTTATTTGTTTCGAAAAGGAGAGGTTCGCGAGATAGCCATTCTTCCGGAAAAGATCTCAGACATCATCCTCCTCAATGCCCCCAAGCGTGCTGCCAGCGAGTTATCTTGGTCTGTCCTCGTCAACATTCTCGGCTCTGACCACGCTATTCTCCTACACTTCGACACATCCACCGATACCACAACAATAGACAACCGGAGGATACGACTCGCAGAACACTACATCGTCACCGCAGCCGCCTTTTGCGATGGCACGCTCATTCTCGGGTCCCGCACCGGCTCCTTGACGGTCTACGGTACCGACCCCAACACAGACGACTTTATCCCCCTGATCTCTCGAAAAGACTGCAAGACAAAAGACTCCATCACCTGCATTGTGCCCATTCCGGGTACCCCCTCTGGCCAACCCTCCTTCTTGGCAACCTGCCGTGATGGCAAATACCGCATCTACACGCTTTCCACTTCACCATCCTCGCCAGGGTTAAACCTCCAGCACGAAATCTCCCCACCGCTCAACACCCTCGAGGCAGCCTTCTTCACCACTCCACCCCCGTCTCAATCTCACGATTCTTCGTCACCAGAGCCAAAGTCGGAGTTGATCCTCCACGGATTCTACGGCCCCAACTTCCTCACCTACAACGACTCAACCCGCTCGATCCTCTCCAGCATCCCATGCGGCGGCGCCAACCGGCCGTTTACAACCATCTCCTGCCCCCACGACCCAGGCCGGATGCGCTTCGTCTTTTCCAAGGCGGGAACGCTCCGTGTCGTCTCACAGAGTGCCGAGGCCGAGCGGGTGTTACGGGCTGGCGGGCACGGGAGGGAGGTCAAGAGCGTATCCGCCACCCTCCTTCCCTCTCCCTCTACTCCCTCACCCTCCCACAGCCCCGACCAACAACCAGCCGAAGCAACAACCAGCGCCCTAATCGCAACCGCCGCAGAAGACACCTCCATCCGCATCTGGCGCCACCAACCCCCCGCGACCAACAACACCACCCCAACTCCCACCACCACCACCGAAATGACCTGCCTTGCCATCATCCAAGGCCACTCAGCCGGCATCCAAGCCCTCCGCTTCTTCACCCCCCAACCCCCATCCCCATCCCCATCCCCACTCCCCTCCACCCTTGAATCTTCCTCTCCCACCTCCCAACCTACACCCTCCTCCTCCTCTGCTAAGGAAACCACCTACCTCCTCAGCAGCGCCGGCAGCGAAGAGCTCTTCATCTGGCGCCTCTCCCGCCTCGCCTCGCGTACCTACGACGCCCTCGCCGTCGTGCGCGAGGCCGTCTGGTCCGACGACCACGGTCAAACCACGCCCGACAAGGACCTGCGCATCATGGACTTTGACGTCGCGGGCTGGAACCCGGGTTCGGGTGATGGCGGTGAGGGCGGTAGTAACGGTGGGGGGATGCTGGTCACGATGGCGCTGTCGGACTCGAGCGTGCGCGGCTATGTGTACTCGCCCCCTCGGGACGGGGGTGGTGGTGGTGGTGGTGGTGGTGGGTTTGGGCTGCTGGCGGTGGGGCGGTATACCGGGGCGTGTCCGACGCAGGTGCGGTATCTGAAGGTGGATGGCAGCGGTGGTGGCGCGGGGGAGGTGCATGTGCTGACGGCGTTTACGGACGGGCATGTGGCGGTGTGGAGGACGACTACGACTACGACTACGACTGTGGCGGGCGATGGGGCTGTGGGGTTGTTTGAGATGGTGCTGGTGGTGCGGGTGCATCAGAGCAGTGTCAAGAGCCTGGATCTGGCGGCGGAGGGGCCGGGCCGGTGGCTGGTGGCCACGGGCGGTGATGATAACGCGCTCGGGTTCCTGGATCTCGCGTGGGATGCGGGCAAGGGGGGGTATGTTGTGGTTGGGAGGTATCGGGTCAAGGACGCACATGCGGCGGCGGTTACCGGGCTGTCGGTGGTCAAAACGGGGGCTGGGGTGACAGAAGTGGCCACCGCTAGCAACGACCAGAGAGTTAAGCTTTGGAGGGCTGAAAGGAGCGCCACTAAAGGGATGCGGGTCACCATGCTGGACAATCGGTACAGCTCGGTGGCTGACGCGGGAGATTTGGAGCTCATCGCTCCCGGAAAGCTGATGGTTGGCGGTGTTGGGGTGGAGGTATGGGATGTCTCGAGGGATAGCATAGTAAGCTAGGTAGAAAAAAGCCGGGCATCGAGATCAACGGGGGCAGTGGATGAGATATGCTCTTTACCGTCTACTTTTCTATTATAGACAAGACTTGTCCACCCACGCCCGCTAACCGCACAAGCAACCGATGAAACCGAGCAACCGAGAAACACCAAAAGCACCTTCACCAAGAACCGAAAAACCCATGCATCCGCCGCCTGCAAGGATGATCAGAAGGCCTACTCCTTTTCGTCCCTATACCGCAGTGGCTTCTGTCTTTTCCTAGCCGATCGGTCCACCACGTCATCGTCGTCATCTTCCGCCGTGTCCCCTCGGCTGCCCCGCGTGCTCCCTCTGCTCCCTCTGCTCCCTGCTACCGAAGCCGAGTCACTCATCGGTCGGAACATGTTCTGACTGTATAATCCCGGAGTGTCTGCGACGCTGCCGCTGGTGTTCGCGTCTTCTGCCTCGGCCTCGGCGCCTCTGCGCCTCCGGCCTGCCCCCGAGCCGGAGACCTTGCTACGGGAATCGTTCTTGGGCGTAGACAGGACGTTCTTTTCTGCCCTCTTCGGTGTCGACCTGGATGCTTGGCCCCTCTTAGGGGTCAACTTGTCCGCGTCATCGTTGAGGCTGCTGAGGCTGCTCTGACTCGCATGGGCAGATGTTTTGTGGCCTGGCTTGTGCGCACCCGGTGGGCGATGTTTCGGCTTACGACCAGCGCCGGGCCGGGCGCCACCGCGCTTGGACACTTTCTTGATGGGCTCTGCGGGCGTCGCAGACCCGGCGTCGGACCCCGAAAAGCTCTGACCCGGGTTGAGCATGGCCGAATAGGAGCGTTTCAGGACCCGGCGGCGGGTAGGCGTGGCGGGGTGAGCACTCTCGCCTTGGATGCTGTTGCTCTCGGTGCGGAGCTGCGAGCCCGGGCTGACCTCGTCGCCAGCGTCGGCCGGAACAGACGGTTCGGCCTGCTTTTTCTTCCTACCAGCACCCGGCCGCCTGCCGCCTCGCTTTTTGCGCCGTTTGCGGCCATGGTCCGACCAGTCATCGCCTACGTCGTCGTCCTCTACCACAGGTGGGCCGCCAAACCATGGGTCCTCTTCATCACTACGTCCGTCAGGGGCGAAACCAACGCCTTCGCCGTTCGCCTTGGATGTTGTTTTGCGTGCAGTGGGGCGTTGAGTGGTGTTCTTGCGCTTTTGTCCCGTGGCGCTTCTGTCGCTGCTTTCGCCTGCTTTCTCGTTACTGCGCTCGACGAGTTTCTTGGTGAGGTTGGGGAAATTGTCTCCGTAGTTGAAAAAGAGCTCCTCGCCTGCTTTGATATCTCGGATGGCCAAGAACTTAATCCGGAACTCATGGTTGACATACATGATCCTAGGCATGATGTTGCAGTTGGCGGAGGCATGGTTTATGTAACGGCTGAGATTGCCATACATGGCAGCATCAACCCAGATGCCCTCTTGTTCGAGCAAGGTAAACAGGTACGAAACCTTGTTATCTTCGTCAAAGACGTCACCTCGGCGATGCTCGCGACGTACGCCCTCGTCGTGGCTAATAAGCTCGCCGGTATACTCGATGACGAACTCGTCTTGAGCAATATCTTCGGCGGCGAAGAGGCCATAGCCGCATGCCTCGAGCTGTGACTTGCCGAGTAGGACCGCCTTCGGTGCTCCACGTTGCATGGCAACGTTCTGGCAACCCGTAGAGTGCAGTTGGTCGTCGTATGCATTCTCCGGGTCGGCCCTCTCCCTGGCGCCACAACCTTTACATAACATAGGATCGCACTCCCGGTTGAGTTGCACACATATGCAAGGCTTCCCTTCCTTTTGTCGCTGGATACATGTCTTGCCAGACGAGTGGCAGGCGCATCCGGTGAACTTCAAAGAGCACTCCTCTGCGGTGCAGAGGCAGAATCGCTCGCAGAGTACCGGGTGGGAGCCGGCCGACGCGCAAGGGCAACCGTTCGCTGCGGTACAAGGTCCGTCGTGGTGACATGGCGCGAAGAGTTCACGCACAGCATGCTCGTGGGTGATGGTGGCATCCTGCCAGTCGCCCAATAGTTGCTTCTTTTTGCGGTCGTACCACGGTATCGCCTTGGGGGGCTTGAGGTTCTCGGAACGCGGCTCGACGGGGGGCAGAGTCAGGTCCAATTCCTGGAGCTTGCGGTGGACATCCCAGCAGTAGCGCCCGAGCACGGCGCCAACGAAGCACTCGGCTCTCAACGTCGGGCTATGGCCAATGGACGCAAACATCCATTCGAGAACGCTTACATCATCTTCGGACCAAGGTTCAACGTCCTGATCGGGATCGCCGGTATTATAGCTTCGGTAGCACTGGTTCCTGCAAGGTTGATGCGTCGGCCTTTGAACTGCGCCGTTGGCCTGGCCGGTCTTCTGGGCCTCGAGTTGCGCTGCCCACTTACTACAGAGGGTCGGGGCGAGCCCTCCGATCTCTTCAAGCGAGAAGCATCGTTTCTGATTATCTCTCTCAATTTCACCGTGCTCACAGTCGTGGCTGAAGCATATGAGACACCCCAGGGTAGAGTAACTCCCCAGCGATTCCACCGTCTTTTGCATCAAGGCCTCATCACGAGGCTTTTGCGAGCTTGGCCCGTCCTTTGCCCTCTTGTTGTCCAGGATGGGCTCCACGGACTTGTCCAACATCAAAATGTCGCGCAGGGCTACACGCCTGTAGCTCTTCTTATCATTGAATACGCGGTCAAAGGCCTCGGTAAAGAGCTTTGCTCCCCGCACCGCGTGAGGAGAACCGATGCCCTCGCTGTGTGTGTCGAGCAAATTCGATTTCTGCTGCGGTGTGATTGCGTCTTCGTTCTGAGGCTGGTTTGCCATGTAGCGGATGAGCGTGGATTTTGTGCAACCGTCGATGGCCAGCTTGCGGAGCCATGGATCGAGGTACGGGGCAAGGGTCGCTGCGTATTCATTCTGCGCCCTCTTTGCCAGCTTCTGTGCGCGATTCTGAGGCTGGAAACCGGATTGGTTGTCGAGGCTCTCGAGGTCCCTGAGCCAATTGCTGTACTTTTGTTCCTCTTCCGAATTCGGGTCGACGTCGCGAAGATGGGGGACGAAGTTTAGCATCGAGTTCGGCGCGAGAATGTTCTTGCGGATTTCCACGTGGTGGAACCGGTATCCCGGGACAGGTTCCTTGTCGGGTTTGATACAGAGGACAGGGACCAGAGCGCGGCGCCCGTTGCCCCTTGATTTTCCATGCTCTCCGCTGTGTTGCTACGAGAGGGTTAGCATTTTCAATGGCCTCGACCTTGCAGTTCGGATGGCCACTCGCCTTAAACTTCACACCCATGGTTTCTATCTTCGCCGGCGGCGCAGCAGTGCTGTCGAGCGCTATTGATTGCATGCTGGCGAAATGATCGTCCTTGCTGAAATGGCTGGGCTGGCGAGCCTTCTTTTCAGCTTCTTCGAGCACATAGTCGACTAGTCGCGCATGGCCTTGGCCGACTTGCTCCGAAAGGTCGACGAGGGCGCTTGTTATCTTGTCGACCGTCCAGCTCACCCGCTTTGGGGTCTGCATGTTGGGCGTCTGGTGGCCTCGGGACGGTCGAATTGAGGGTTGCGGGGTAGGAGGTCGTTGGTGGGTGGTGGACTTGATGGTGGGAGGAGGAGATTGAGAGTCGCGTACTTCATCGCGGATAGAAAAGCGGGTGCCCCGTGATGGAGTGTCATCGCTGGCTCGTGCGGACCTGCGAACAGGTGACGCATCGGGGGTTCGTCTCTTCGATCCGACCGACGACAAGGGGCTCCGTGCCCTGTCTGGCTTCGCAGTGGAGAAGCCATTACGCAACTGCGACTTCGACGCCGATGAAAATGATCGCGATGCTTGAACACGGTCGTCATCTGTCGAATTGAGCGAGATTGGGCGACGTGCTGCGACCACGACTTCGTCGGCAGTCAAACAGCCCTCGGAGGACGACGTCTCCATGGTCAAATCGACCACATCGCCGAGAACAGATGCCATGGTCCTTTTCGCATATCCTGTTATTCCCTAACCTACTATGTATTGTCTGAACCCGACATGCAACCGATCTCCTTGCCACCTCTTATTTTTTTTTCGGGGTCGGCAGCGGGTTTGCACGGGTTCGATTGAAGCAGACAAGGTTGGGTCAAGATCGTTTGATGGTTACGCCTCACCGGCAACTGGTTTCGCGCATGGCTTCGGATGTTGTTGGATTGTGAGGCGATGTCAAGTCGGTAGCTACCTAGTGACGGACGGTTGGTGGTTGAAGAGCGGGCGGTCGGCGCTGCGGCTTTGCTGAGGTGATCGCCGTGATCCTCCTCAATTGCAACCAAGACGCGATGCGATGTTGAAGGGACGCGATTTCTTGGCTAAGAGCCCAGTGATAGCGCACGGGCCAACTCATTCAACCAATTCAGGGACGGAATTTACAGTAAGCGAGGTAAAGTACCGTACGATGCGTCTTTGGTGTAACTTTGACTTTTATCGATACCAGGAAGTCAACTGCCAAGGGAGAGACTGGCTAGCAAACACACAAACTGTTGAAGGATGGCGGCAAGATAAAAAGACGGTCGCGCAAAACTGCAGATACGCATCCTAGGTCATCAATTCCACACCTAGCCAAAGTGTCCAAAATACTCTGCGCCCTGTCGCTCTCAAAGCCATGATAATCCACCCGACACGTGTGTCTGGCCAGGCCCAGGTCCGCCCCCACTGAGCTGCACAGCCCACCATGCGACAGGCGTGGTTGCACGGCGACGTCATTTGGCTAGCGTCGCATAAAACAACCCAGTTAACCCAGTTACCGCCTGATCCGTTCTCATTTGAATGCCTGCTCCCGTCGCAACACTCAGGCTTGTCCTTTGTTTCGAAAACGTCCGACAGACTGGGACATTGAAAAACTTGCACGACACCCGCTACACCTCCGACCTTTCCGTCGTGTCTGCGCAATTGAACCTATCTTCGTCGCCTAGCAACGTCGCACGTCACCAAACCGAGATTCCCTTCCCCCCAAAACCACAACCCTTTGCGCAATCGCCATGCATCGCACATACTCTATGCGCGCTACGCGCGCCCCAACTGCCTCCCAGATCCAGGTACGGAATGGCCTCTATCATGTGCGATTGACGAACCCGATCTCGCTGACCGGGAATGTACACAGAACCCGCCGCCGCCACCATCTACTACAAAGTCTGGCCGCCTCTTTGGCCGGGGAGGATTGGGTGAGTTGCGCCTAGCGAAGCTACTCATGGTTGGGCGTTAACAAGAGAGGTTCAGGACATGCCCTCCGCCGAAACGCTGCCGGTGCCTTTGGGCCCGACCTCGCCAAAAAGCTGACGCAACTCGTCAAGATGGAGAAGAACGTTATGCGGAGTCTGGAACTAGTGGCCAAGGAACGGATGGAGGTTGCCGTATGTGATCCCCCGGCTGTATTGCTATCTTGACGGCCCGCTAAGACACATTGCAGCATCAACTCTCAATCTGGGGCGAGTCCGGCGACGAGGATGTTTCGGACGTTACAGATAAGTTGGGCGTATTGCTATATGAAATCGGCGAGCTCGAAGACCAATATGTCGACCGATACGACCAATACCGCGTCACCATGAAGAGCATCCGGAATATTGAGGCGTCGGTACAGCCTAGCAGAGATAGTACGTACTGGATAGGGAGCCGTGCGGAGACGGGGATACTGACATACGGCCAGGGAAACAAAAGATCACGGACCAAATCGCCCAATTGAAATACAAGGAACCCAACTCCCCGAAGATCGTCGTCCTCGAGCAAGAACTTGTCCGGGCGGAAGCCGAGTCCCTGGTCGCCGAGGCACAGTTATCCAACATCACGCGCGAGAAGGTTAAGGCGGCATACTCGTACCAATTCGACGCCCTGCGCGAGCACTGCGAGAAGGTAGCCATCATCGCGGGGTACGGGAAGCACCTCCTGGAACTGATCGACGACACCCCCGTGACGCCCGGCGAGACACGGCCAGCATACGACGGCTACGAGGCCAGCAAGGCCATCATCCAGGACTGCGAGGATTCGCTCACCAACTGGGTCACGCAGAACGCGGCCGTCTCGTCCAAGCTCTCGACCAGGGCGCGCACGCTATCGCAGCGCCGCCGCAACAACATCAAGGCACGCACCGAGGGGCAGCTGCAGGGCCACGGCCACGACCTGTCCGCGCAGGACGCCCCGCTCAACGACCGGGACTCGTGGGTGCCCGCGGGCCAGCACGAGTATGTGGAGGACGAGGAGGAGGACGGCGAGGAGGACGACCTGGACGCGCCGAGCCATTCCGCCGTGGACACGGAGGCGAGCTTGAACGGCGAGCATCGCGGGCGGAATCATGACCCGGTCATGGCTTAGCATGCACAATGACTGGCGTTGGTCGGCCAACGTTACTAGGGGGGTATTTCACTAGGATTGGATCTTTCGGCTGGGACATGGCGACCGAGTGGCGGCTTGACGGTGGAGTTGGGAGAAAAGCCAGGGGACGGGACAATTCATTTCTAAGTTGGCAGGCTGGATTTATTGCGGGAGACAAGCCCTTCCATAAGGACCGTTTACGCGTAATAGGTAATGAATAACGGGCAATGGATGGTTTGATGATCTACGGGGGACGGGGTCTTGGGAGTCCAAGAGAAAATTAGTCTACCGAATAATTACCGGTGGCCCTTTTGTGTAACCAGCAGCGTGATTACCGGGCGGCAGCAGACTCGGGTATGCACAGAGCTATGTATACAAAAATTGACCGGGCGTTGTTGTGCCTTCGCTCCGGTCGCCTCCACAATGGAGGTCTGGGAGAGGTATGCTCGGCAAGCACAAACCCTCCTCCCGCCCAGTTCGGGCAGCCATGAAACATCCACCTCGAGTTATTCAACCACCCATCATTACAACCAACCCCTAACACACAACAAAACAACATCTAGATCTCGCTCTCTAGCACAGCACAACACGCCCCTTCCTCAACCGGGCATTCACCTCTCGGCATTCACCCCAGTCTCCCGCCCCTTCACCTGGCTCAGAAACTCATCCACCTCAACTTTGACAATATACTCCCCCGGAATCACCAGCATGCCCATATACCGGCTCTCCATCTCCACCGGCTCCTTCTTCTCCACCTTCTGCTTTCCCTTCCTCACTTCCTCCGCCCTGGCCTCCTCCGCCGCCTGAGCCTCTGCCGAACCACCACCACCGGAACCCTCACCGGAACCATCGCCAGAGCCGCTGCCAGAACCGCTGCCGGAACCACTGCCGCTGCCGCTAGCGACTCCTTTCTTCCCGCCGCTGCCGCTGCCGCCGCCGCCGCTATCGACGTCAGTGTCATAGCCGCCGGTGAACCTTCCCTCAAAGTCCTCGAAGCCCATCGACTCGATGGACGGCGAGACGATAGAGACCAGGGGCCGGCGGCCGTGCTGTGGGTGTTGTAGTTGGCGTGGGAGGGGCTGGCGGTACTCGTAGGCGTGATGTAGGACGATGCTGGCGAGCTGGGGGCGGTTGTGAGTACTTACCTAGGGGTTGTGGGGGGGGGGGGGGGGGGGTGATGGATGGGGTGGGATGGATGAGGTGGGAGAGGGGGTGCTTACCATGTCGACGCATTTGAAGGTGCCCCAGTACATGCGCGAGTCGTTAACGGTGACGCGGAGCTTCCTGTTGAGCATGGAACGGAGGAAGTCCAGCTGCTCTTCCCTTCCTTCGATGGTTTGCTCTGGGTCTGAGGGGGGACCGGAAGAGCCCGCGGCGGAAGTGGTGGAGGACTTGGAAGTGCTCATGGTGTGGATGTGTATTTAAATAATAGCGAAAACAACCTGGTTGTGGTTGTAGCACTTCTTGTGTGGAATATGGAAATGCAATTTTGATGAATTGCATGCACATTCGAGTTCCGTGTGGGATGGAAGAGAAGGGGGATTGCTGCCTTTATATAGGTTGGGAAATCAGCGCAGAATCAAGCACGGGCATCCCCGGCCGCACGTCTTTTTGCTCTAAATTGACGAGGGTCTGCGTCATTAAGGTATGTCCAGTCATAGAAAGGCCTTACAGTAAGAAACAGAATGTCTGAGAGCTGACCGAGCCCGTGATTGGAAAAATGAGCTGGGTTGCCCCTGGGTTTGACCGAGCTTCAACGACCGAGCTCGGGGACGTGATGCGGGCTTCGGCCGATGCGATGCGGGCGATGCGGGAGATGCACCCGTGGGGGGCATGGCGGCGGACGGTTTTTGTGGGCTCGATGCGGGGACCCGGGGCCCAGCCAGGCTGTCGGAGAATAAAGGGCCAATCAATACCGTGTTCCCACACTAAACCAGGCAGCCGAGCAAGGGTCCTTCTCAAACATGGAAGCAGTCATCGGATCGATGATAAACCGCCTTCTCCATCTTTCATCTCGACTTTCCATCTCGACTTCTTCATCTAAAAGCACGACTTGAAATATGGCACCACTTCTCCCCCAGAATTACCGATGAAAGGCCGTGCGGGCTCTTTAACCCCCTGTTTCGACGGCCCAACCAAGGTGCATGGACATTTTATTTCGTACAAGCACCAAATAGTGAGGTCATCAACAAGCTCCTAACGTTTTTAAACGCCACCATCCATGGGTGTGCAAGGCCTTTGGACCGTGGCACAACCCTGCGCACGGCCGACGAATCTCTCGACCCTCAACCGGAAGCGCCTTGCCATCGATGCTTCCATTTGGATCTACCAGTTTCTCAAAGCAGTCCGCGACAAGGAGGGCAATGCCCTGCGAAATAGCCATGTCGTCGGCTTCTTCCGCCGCATCTGCAAGCTGCTGTGGTACGGCGTAAAACCCGTCTTCGTTTTTGACGGTGGCGCTCCAGCTCTGAAACGCGCTACTTTACAGGGTCGCCGGAGAAGGCGTGAGGGTCGTCGCGAGGATGCCACTCGAACAGCAGGAAAGCTGCTCGCCGTGCAGATGCAGCGCATGGCCGAGGAAGAGGAAGAGAAGCGCAAGAAACGTGCAGATGCTGCGGCCGGAGAGGTCGAGGAAGAGCAGGAGCAGCTCCCAAGCATGGATCAGATCGTGTACGCGGATGAGCTGGGCATGTCAAAGCAGGAACGCCAAAAGAACAGGAAATTCCATAAGCAGGATGCCTATCACCTCCCGGAACTGCAAAATGGCATCGAAGGCATGGGCAAACCAAACGATCCCCGTATCATGAGCATCGATGAGCTGGAGGAATATGCGAGGCAGTTCAACGACGGCGAGGACATCAACCTCTACGACTTTAGCAAGATCGACTTTGACGGAGAGTTCTTCAAGAGTCTGCCGCCCGCTGACCGATACAATATTCTCAATGCTGCCAGAATCCGTAGCCGTCTCAGGATGGGCCTGAGCAAAGACCAGCTCGACGGCATGTTTCCGGACCGGATGGCCTTCTCGAGGTTCCAGATTGAGCGAGTCAGGGAGAGAAACCACCTCACGCAACGCCTAATGTACGAGATGGGCATGACTGGCACCGACCTGACCATGGCCGTCAACCGCGTCGCAGGTGACAGGACCCGCGAGTACATCCTTGTCAAAAACGAAGGGGCCGAAGGAGGCTGGGCCCTCGGTGTCGTCAGCAAAGACAAGGATAGAGGCCAAATACACAAGCCCATTGACATTGACGCGTTGGAGTTCCAGTACCAAAAACAAAATGATGAGGACGAGTGGGAGGACGAAGACTTTGAGGATGTTCCGATTGAGGGCCTGAATAGGCTACCTAAGATCAGGGCTACCGAGGTCGAGGAGTCGCTTTTTGTTGATAACGGCGAAGCCACCCTCTTTGAAAACGAGGATGCTCTCCAAGGCGACGAGGACGAAGACCTCAGCCGCGCCATTGCGCTATCACTTCAGAATCAGCACAATGTCGGCAGAGGGGATGACGATGGTGAGGCCGAGGGTTTGGACGAAGAACTCGAGGATGCACCGGCGCCTGAATGGAAACAGAAGGCAGCCGAGGCACCAAAGCCCATTGTCAGCACCAGCGGGCGGATGGTGGCCCACATCGTGAACAACCGAGCGAGCGCTGCTGTTCCCCGGCGCCGGGACAGCGGAAGCAGCGACAGTGACGTCGATCTACAGTCCGCATTAGCAGCCGCGAGGGCAAAGCAGCCAAGAGTACAGCCAGTTAAAAAACCAGCGCCGGCACCTGTCAAGCCTAATAATGTAAAGAACCCCTTCGATGGGCCTCTTCCATTTGAAAAGCTCAATTGGCAAAGTGCGTTTGGCGGGAGGCTCGCCCCCTCCTCGACAGAGAAACCCAAGGAGCATCAGAAGCCGCAAGATGTCGAAACTGGTGATCTCGAAGCCGTATCTGATGAAGAGGCTGGAGGGTTTGAGAAGGAGTCTTCAAGGGACAGGGCTGTCGCCGGGGCGGACGACAAACCACGCCCGCTGCCTCCATGGCTCACGGACGACACCGATATCCGAGAATCTGTGAGGAAGCAACAGCAGGCGTTGGAGAGGCAAATGAATGAAGATGATGAAGAATTCGAGGAGCTGAAGTTTGGTCAAGACGACGTTATCGAAATCGAGTCCTCGAGCGATGATGGGAGCGATATTGAGATCCTAGATGCCCCGCCCCCCATCGAAGACCCCGTTATCAAGGAACCTGCAGTAAACCTTCTTTCACTGGAGGACGGTACTCCTCCAGAAACTAGCCAGATTCCGGTCGAGCCCGAAATTCTCGACACTACTATAGGTGCGGACACAACAAGCCAAGAACCCACAGGCACCGGCGATCAAGAAGCCCGGGAGATGCCTGTCAAGCCCACCGTGGATGATCCGGAGGATGACGAAATGGAGTTCGAGGATGTAATCGTGTCCGCTGGACCAGAGCAAGCGGCTGAAGCGCCTATTGACGACGCTCGTATGGCCGAAGAGGCCCGCATTGAAGCAGAGCTTTTCGGCGAAGGAACGCCTCCTCCAGCACAACAAATAAGAACCGAAGGATTGGCATTGCCCCACGAGGGCTCCCCCATAGATCCAGACGCGCCCGGCCCTGAGGAGTTTGAGGACTTTAGTGACCCAGAGGAAGAAGAACTTCTGGCACAGATGGCTGAGGAGGCCGAAGAACATGCCCGGTTCGCGAGTGAGCTGAACAACAAATCCCAGCGTGAGAACCAGCAAGCCTACGAACAAGAACTACGAGCGCTCCGTGCCCAGCAAAAGAAGGACCGGCGTGACGCAGACGAGGTTACCCAGGTTATGGTGACTGAATGCCAAGCTCTTCTCACCCTCTTCGGCATCCCGTACATCACCGCACCCATGGAAGCGGAAGCGCAGTGCGCCGAGCTCGTCCACCTAAACCTCGTCGACGGCATCGTGACCGACGACTCGGACACCTTCCTCTTCGGCGGCACGCGCGTCTACAAGAACATGTTCAACGGCAACAAATACGTGGAATGCTACCTCGCCAAGGACCTCGAAACCGAGCTCTCCCTCTCCCGCGAGCAGCTCATCTCCCTCGCCCAGCTCCTCGGCTCCGACTACACCGAAGGCCTACCCGGCGTAGGCCCGGTCACCGCCCTCGAGATCCTCTCCGAGTTCCCCGGCGCGGACGGCCTCTCCGAGTTCCGCGACTGGTGGCAGGACATCCAGAACCGCGGCCGGCCCAAGGAGGCCGACGCGGCCTCGCCCTTCCGCCGCAAGTTCCGCAAGGCCCACGCCACCAAGCTCTTCCTCCCGCCGGGCTTCCCCAACCCGGCCGTCGCCGACGCCTACCTCCAGCCGGAAGTCGACAGCAACACCGAGCCGTTCCAGTGGGGCGTCCCTGACCTCGATGGCCTGCGCCACTTCCTGATGACCACCATCGGCTGGGGCCAGGAGCGCACCGATGAGGTGCTGGTGCCCGTGATCAGGGATATGAATAAGCGGGATGTGGAGGGCACGCAGAGCAATATTACTAGGTTCTTTAGTGGGAGTGTGGGGGCCGGGGCGATGGAGGCGTTTGCGCCCAGGCAGCGCGGGGCGGGGGGGAGTAAGAGGATGGCGGATGCGGTTAGTCGGTTGAGGGCGAGGACTGGGGTTGGAGGGGGTTCTGGGCTGGGGGATGTTGTTGAGATGCCGGTTGCGCCGCCGCCGGGGCCGAAGGGCAGGAGGAAGCGTAAGGCAAGGGCGCCGGTGGCTGTTGATGATGATCAGGAAGATGGTGGTGATGGGGTTGAGGGTGAGGACGGTGAGGAGGAGGAGGAGGAGGAGGGAGCGGGTTCTAAAGCGAAAGGGAAGAGAACGAGAGGTGGGAGAGGAAGGGGTCGAGGCAAGAAGGCGAGGGCGTAAATATACAGCAATACTACGTCTTACCTACTCTTGGTGTACATTAATCACCGGGCATTTGTGGTCAATCACAACGGGTGCCATTCCCCGAACTCCGAACTTCGTCTCGGCTCGCCTCGGAGTCTTGTACGGTCATGTGGAATTGGTACATGTACCTAGCAAGCGTGGGGAACCTACGTTCCCCCATATTCCTTTGTGTTAAAGGATCATAACCACAACCCTCATACACAGCATCACGGTCATTTTGGGATGAGGCATTGTGTAAACACAGTTACTCAATGTCGTGTACCCAGAGTGATTAAAAAGGTCGACTCATTCGTTGATACCTAGGACATGATGATGCCAATGTTGCTTTCCACTATCAACACATCAAAGTCTCCTATTACGTTAATAATCATGCATAGATCTCACCAGTACATAAACAACTCCACTTCCTACTTTACTTTGTAGCCCTATCACGCGATCCCATTATTTACTCTATACGGCTTTTGATCCGTGTTTTGCCATGGCCATTGGTCATTTAGCATCATACACCTCCGTCTGAACTCGGTAACGGGGGTGATACAAGCAGTTGACTGTACCAAGCCCCTGACACATCTCTAGTTCTGTGCCTTTGTTAAGTATATAAGGGCTCCTGTGGCCCCTGCCCGTATTGGGAATCTCTCCTTTCGTTGCAAATATCCCCTGACTATGCGGGAACTACCCTCATCGACACAACTCATTCCTGTCCTGCATACAAACGAGACATTCACATATCGACAACGATGAGAACCCAAATCACCACCGCCATGCTGGCCATGGTCGGTGCGGCCCACGCTGCCGTCGCACCCCTTGTTTATTCCGCCGCCCAGAAGCTGTGTGAGGGAAAGTCGGTTGAGGAAAAGGGCAACACGTACTGCCAGAAAGTTCAACGCATCTCGTACGAGAATATGGGCGTGGGCAAGGGAGGCTCGTACAACGAAGTTGTCAACATGGACCAAAAGACTGGGAAGTGCAAATTTCAACCCGCTACGTTCTCAGGGCCGCTAGCACCCTTTGTTGATCCGGTAAGTCCTCTGTCTTTAGCATAGTCTCCGACTCGGAAAGGGGCTGACCGGGAATAGTTGTCCCTCCACTTCCGCGGACCACTCAACTTGAAGCAGGTTGCCGTATATACGCTTGAACCCCCCAGCAACAAGGCATCACAGACGCAAAGCAAGTCTACCAAAGCTACTAGGGGTATCAAGGCGAGAGCAGCCAACATCGGTTATGGGCAGCACCGTGCTCCACACCTCGAACACTATTACAACGCATTCATGAAGGGGTTCAACAACGGAACACACTGGAGACCTCCGATCAACGACCACAGAAACCACACGGGCGATAAACACAGCGAGGTGTCAGTCTCGATGCCTACTGGTAGCAGCTCGCGGCTTGAGATTTGGAAGTTACCTCCTACATCGACGCTTGACTCGGCCACCAAAAAGAACATAGAGACTGTGATAATTACTTCCACAGTCATTATGACAGTCGATACTACCCTAACGTTGGATAGTACTGCTGCTGCTACTACGACTAATACCGGGGCGTCGGGCTTTGTGATGGTGACCGTAACGGTCACTAGTCACGTTACCCGCACATCTAGGATCGGGGAATATAACGAACAGGACAGCGGAAGTATCGGAACACCCACTCCATCGATGATCACGGTTGTTTCTAACATGGGTTCCTCCATAAGCACCATGCCAGCGGGAGTGGGTGGCTCGGACACGGCTTTCTCAACGACGTCGATGGCCAATGTTGTTTCGAGTCCCAGCATCCTGACCAGCATCGTCTCCAGTGCTTCGGGAACAGGGGTCGGAACACTTGTGCAGTCCTCAAAGCCCGCTAGTTTTGGGTCCAGCGCACCGGCCAGTGCTATCTCGAGCCGTCGACGGTGCTCGAAGTCGATAGCGCCTTCGCTGTTGACGACTGGTCTCGCTTCTACTTCCAGCTCCAGTTCCAGCCCCAACTTCAGCTCGGCACCGAGTACTAGCCCTGCCGCCCACACTAGTTCTAGCATTGGCTCTAGCTCCAGAACGAAATCATACAGTGTCGTTCCCATCAGCGGCCCAAGTTCCGTCCCCGCCCCTATCCCGTCCAGCAGCCCCGGCGGGAGTAAAAAGAGTTCTCAGTTTGTCCGCACCGGTTACTACAACGCGGAGCAGCAAAAGGCTGAGGGCGTGATGTTTCTCGGTAACTATGGTGGGCAGGGATCCGGTAAATGGACGCCGTAAGTACTCTTCCACCCCCATGCTATCATCAGCACTCATGACTAACAGTCGACAGAACCTTTGGCAACACTCTCTCATACGTCAACGCAGACGGCACTGGTGGCGCCGCAAACGCAACCACACTCAAGGACACGACCCTCCTCTCCTCGAAAGAAGTCGCCCTCTTCACCGACGAGCCCTGCGACGGCTCCTGCGGATACGTACAGAACGGTTCAGTGGCATACAGTAAGTCCTCCCCTTCCTATACCATAACAACCCCCTTAACACCCGTTTACTAACCCGGCACCCACCAACAACAGAGGGCTTCGACGGCCCCTCCAAGATCTTCCTCCTCGAATTCTCCATGCCCCACACGACCACGCCCCCCGTATCAGGCAACGCCACCTCCCAAGGCTACGACCAACCCGCCATCTGGCTCCTCAACGCCCGCATCCCCTACACCGCACAGTACCGTAAGCCACTCCCTTCCTTTCTCTCTCTCTACCACCCCCCCAACCCCCCCCCAACCCCCTTTTCCCCCCTCATAATCAACCACACCCATATCCCTTAAACTAACCAACACCACAGACACCTGCAGCTGCTGGTCCACCGGCTGCGGCGAGCTCGACATCTTCGAAGTCCTCTCCCCGGGCCACGACAAGGCCAAGACGACGGTGCGCGCGACCTACCAGGGCGGGGATCCCAACTGGTTTGAGCGGCCCGTGGATGCGAGCAGGCCGGTAAGGCTGGCCGTGGTATTTGATGGGCAGAGGGGCGCGGTGGAGATCATGGTGCTGGGGAGGGGGGAGGGGGATTTTCCGGAGGTGCTTGCTGCTGGGGGGAGGGAGGGGGTGCGGGGGTTGGGGGATGGGGATGGTGATGGGGGTGGTGGGGTGGGGAGTTTGTATCGGATGGGGGGGTGAGTGGTGGGTGCGGGTTTGTTGTTTTTGTTGTTTTGGTTTGGGGGAGGGAGGAGGGAAAGGGGGTAGGGGGTAAAGGGGTTGAGAGACGGGAGGACGGTGGCATTGGGGGGGATGGTTTGCGGTTGGGTTACCTCTTCAACACATGATGACATTTCGTTAATAGGAGATAGATGGTTATCCTGGTTCTTTCAACTTAAGCCAAGGGGCAATTAACCCAAGGAGGGACAACCATGTGGTGCATGGATCGGCAAGCCCAGCTCTACATATTCTGCTCTCCTTTTACGTTCCTCCGAATACACTTGCTGACATTCGTTCTTTCACCTTTGGGTTATATTGGTATGTTTTCTATTATTAGTTCTAGCATTCAACTCTATTATAGGCGGTCAAAAAACATATCAGTTTCTAACTCGGCCCATTTTCCCAACCTACCGTTCGCCCAGGAGCCATCGCTCATAGTTGCACGGTAGTACCTACCAAGTATCACTCTCGTCATAGACAGGAGGAGGATCAGAGGGCACCGCTTGAGGTGCTCTATGTTGTAGCTGCTGATCCCGGAGCCAAATCCAGGTGGGATTAGTAACAAACGGCGACGTCGCGTTCGAGGATCCCCCATTGTCATCAGAATCACCGCCAGCACCGTTCACCGGTCTTATCTGCGCCTCTCCCCAGCGAGGCATGGAGCCATCCATCTTCACACTCACCCATCGGGGGTCGTCAGGCCCAGGTAACTCAGGCTCGGGGGACACGTCGTCCTCAAACCAATGCGGCGCGTCGGCCAGACGACACGGGTACCAGAACTGCAACGGATCACTGCACAGCTTACGCTCCAGAAACAACGCCTCAGCAAACAAGCCCATATCCATCAGCAGCGAGATCACATCATAGCGCAGCGCACTCTTAGCCTGCCGCCGTCCCACCAGCGCACCGTACACACCACCACCCTCCTCCCCCTCCCCCTCCTCATCCTCCCACTCCACCGCCTCCTCCTCCCTCAACGCCTCCTCCTCCACGGCCGCCTCCTCCGCCTCCGCCAACCTCCCCACCACACCCCAGAACCGCTCCTCCCCGGCATCCCTCGCAAACCTAAAAAACCCCAAACACACCTGCACCCACGTCCCCACCCACACGGGGTCCAACGACCCCGGCGCCTCGCGGAACTCCACCGTCGCAGCCGGCTTCCTCGCATCCGCCACCCCGTCCATGCGATACGCCTGCAGGTTATAATTCGCCCTCTCATAATACGGCGTGTCCGACGGCGCCCCGAACAGGCTCGCGACCTCGGCGCGGTTGCGGCAGGCGAGGATGTGCGCCACGCCGGCGCGCACGCTCACGCCCGCGAGCTGGGCGATGTCGGGGACGGCGGTGGTCTTGACGGGGCCGAGGAGGTCGAAGCGGGCTTGCGCCGCGGGGGGGATGCTGTTGCGGCGGAGGGCGGGCAGGAAGTGGTCTGGGTGGAGGCGTGGGGTGTGGGTGGAGGGGAGGAGGGATGATGATTGTTGGGATTTGGGGAGGGGGGTGAGCTTGTCTAAGGGGGTGGGGGGCGGGTGGGAGGGGAGGGCTTCTTCGTGGGTGTGGAGGGTTTGGGAGGCGTCGTGGTAGTGGTGCAGTTGTACGCCGTGCGCGAGGCGCGAGCAGAGGCCGATCGGGGGGGCGAACTCGCTGAGGCCGCGTTCCGGTGGGAAGGCTTGCGCCATGAAGCCGTCGGCTGCCCACATTAGTGCGGCCGCGCGCTTGAAGACGCCGAGTGAGTGCTTTGCTAGGCGGAAACTGCTTTGTTTCTGCTTGGTGTCCCCGTTGGGTTGGGTTCCCGTCTCCTCCTCCGCCTCCTCGCCCACAGGCTCGATGCCGGCGCCGACGTGGCAGTGCAACCCCGTCGAGAGGTTGACGCGCAGGCGGAAGCGGTTGATCAGCTCCTGGACGACCAGCTGGACGTGGCGGTGGCTCTCGGGCCTGTCCCAGAGCGCGGGGCTGGTGACCTCGAAGGCGCGGTAGCTGTACCCGCTAACTTTGAAGTAGTCGTCGTGGACGGAGCCGTCGCGCTTGACCGACCACCCGCCGTACGTCGCGCCGGGCTCGGTCATGACGTACATGTCTCGGTGCGGCTGGTCGACCACCGTGCTAGTGCGCTCGAGCTTGGCTCCCGGAACGCTGAGGATGGCTTGCTTGATCAAGCCGGTTGCCCACGCCCGCGGGGTGTTCTCGCCCGCGCCCTCCCGGTCTTCCTCGCCCTCCTCCTCGTCTTCGCGTTCATACTCCCCGTACTCGGGATACACAATGGCCTTGGGGAGTACGAGTGCTGGCGGAAGCTCGAGTTCCTCCTCCTCGTCGACCACGAGGCACCCGGGATCTTGGGAGTCGTCGAGCTGAGGGTTCTTGAAGTAGAAGAGGAACTCGAGCTCGACGCCAAATGAGAGCTCGCCCTTGTCGGCCTTCTCTTGATTCGACATGCTCGTGTGGTTGTCTAGGTTATTGCGTGTGATCTCAGGGGCATGTAGAAGGGGGGGGGGGCACTTGGGTGAACATGTAAAGGTTTCAAGCTTATATCGGCGAGTGATTGATCATCTTGTACATATATGCCTTCTAACGGTAGTCCAAGGAATTGATTGGAGTGGCTAGTTCGTTTGATGAAGAATGGCTTTGTTTTCTAACGCTCCAACAAGCGGGATCCGGGGGTGTCTTTGTTAGGGGGTCGGAAAACACCACGTCGAAACAAAGGGTGCTGTTGGCAATATCTTTTGGAAGAACGCTTTTCGCTGCCTAGGTCTGCGACAATTAGATGAATGTGGGATGAGAAATGTGAGAGAAGTAGTTGAATTTTGTCATGACAATATTGATTAGCATTCTTGTGTGGATTTATGACCTATATGGCTCGGTCTAATCAAGCCGCGATCTAGGCGTCCTTGCTGTATATCCCTCCTCTAAATTAAATGGGCGCGTGATCGACCGCCAGCAGCTGAGTAGGCGCATTTCCCGAGTTTATATACCCCCTGTCGTCCATACCTGGCGTGGGCTCGTTCCGTTTTGCGCATCTTCGGTCTTTTGTGGCGGCTCCGCACCAAGTGGTGGGTGATCATTACCCTCCCTCCCGCAACGCCGGCGGAGGAGGGACGTATCCAAGTTCAAGATTCCGTAGACGAGGACATGCGTCCTCCAACGGCCCTCAAGAAAGGTCGAGATACGAAACCTCGTTCAGATCCCGCACGGGCGAGATGATGTCGGCCTCGTCCTTATCCGACTCCATCTCGTCCTTATCCCTCCTCGGCACGAGCGGCGGGGCGGGAGTGTGGCCCATGGCCAGCGCATGGGGACAGGGCCCCTCGCCGACGGTGGCGCGGTGACTGTGGAAGGTGCACTGGCGGAAGCCAAACATGCGTTCGCCGCTGCGCAGGCCGTTGGCGGGCAGGCGCAGCTGGGGGTTCTTGATACGCACGTCGGCGCGGCTCTGGGTCATCTTCTGTAGGTGCATGGTGTAGTCGGCGTTGAGCTCCGGGTAGAGGACGAACAACTTGTCGGCGTCGTGGCGGGCACCGGGTTTGTCCGCGCCCCCGTGGAGGGTCCAGGCGAGCATGGCCACGGCCCACTTGCGCAGGCGCACGGCGTGCTGGGGGTCGCAGTCGGCGAAGAGGAAGGACAGGAAGCGCGGCGACATGTCCCAGTCGAAGCGCAGATACATGTCCTGGAGGGCGTCCATGGCGGCGTCCTGGAGACATGGGAGGTCGATGACGGCGGCGAAGAGGTGCAGGCGTACGAGGTTGGTGCGCAGAGTGCGGAACTTGTCCGGACACGCGGTCTGGAGGGCGCTGTCGATGAAGGTGGGGAATCGGCGGCGTTGGTAGAGCCAGAGGACAAAGATCTCGAACATATCGGGTCCCTCGTTTGGGAGCCAGAGGACCGAGTCCTCCTCGTCCTCGTCGCCATCCTCTCCCGGACTTGACGGGGAGGGGATTGCTTCGATATGGCCCTGGAAGAAGGCGCAGCTTTCGCTCAGCAGCTCCCTGTGTATTGTGAACTCTCGCTGTTCCTCCCCGACTAACACCTTCACAACATCACACCCCTCGATGCTGTCGCGTCAGAACGTTAGTTGGTTTCTCCAGATGTACTTGGTTTGCCCGAGACACTCACGAGCCGACCACCGTTTTGCTTGCGCTCCACCTCATCGTCTGCTTCGTTGTTGATTATAGACCACCGGGGTACAGTTTTTTTTTTTTTTTTTTTTTTGTTGGCCGCTCAGCAGCCAAAACGTGTTTGGCAGTAATGACCGGATGGGTGTGAAGGAAAATGACGAAAATGGGCGAAGGAAAGGTGTCGGAAGTGGGCGAAGTATGTTTTACATGAGACGTTCATGTCCCCTCCCCCCTTACGACATGGCTCTCGGGTTTAGTTATGAGTATTCCGCCCGACACACTTCGTCCGTCCAGTCCGTCTCAGTGCCACCGGTCGCGCGACATCTCCGGCAGGCTGGGCCGGAGAGTGGGATTGAAAAGCGAAGCGAGTCACGACTATCTCTGGTTCTCGCCCCTGCGTTTCGTTTCGACCCCCCTGTGGCGGAACCTGGGACAGCGCCAGGGACCCCGCGAGCAAGGGGGCTCACCCCCTCGATCTTGGCGGGACAGCACAGGGGAGCACTGAGGGGATACCCGTTTTGGGGTTGTTCTTTGGCGTTTGGGGCTTTGGTTGCCGCTTTGAGATAATTCCCATGTCTGCTGGCCCCTTGTGTATCCACCTCGCCGTCACAGTCCGTTTCGAGCTGCCCGTGATGGAAACGAGATGCGATATCGAACTCAGAATATAGGCTGGGGTCAGGGCGTTGACATCCAAACACGCCAGGGTGTCGAGGATCTCTCGGCAAGCGGAGTCTCGGAAACTTTCCCCCCGCAAGTCATCGTGTTCATCCTCGCGAGGTGGACCATGAACGCTGTCGAAAGCCAGTGGGGCACTGGGACTAACTACCCGCTGGTGCTTTTTCCGATATAAAATGGCGATATCCGTACTGCAGACACTCTTCCGTGCATTTTCGGGATGACGGCGATTTGTCAGTTTTCGAATTGCGAATCGAGATTCGGTTCTGCGTTGCACGATTTGGTCAGAAGGAAAGCGCGGCAATGGGACAGTGCGAATTAATTAATTCCGGATGATTCGAATAGCAAGAGGGTTAGGGCTGGTCTTGCTCCACCCATCATTGGCAAGCAAGCTCCAGGGTCCCGGTCTTCGGGTGCTTCACAAAAATTGCGCCATTCATCCGATTCGACGTCCAAATTGTAACGATTGACAACCCCGATCAAACCCCCATCGGCGATGGGCGCTTGGAGGCTGGGATAGCTCGATAGCTATCATTTTCCCAACTGAACCAAACAACTTTCACCGTCAGCCAGCGCTACTATGAATTGCTATTTGTTCTTCGCAAGGAGAAAAAAGGCACCGAGGTTGAGCTTCGATGATTGTTCAAGGGTTAAATACCGAGGTAATGTATGTACCGACGGAGTATTCCCTCTGAACTGAAGATAGAGGTTAGAGAACTATATAAGCCGAATCACCACCCTCCACTCCCTTGGCTCGTTGAAGTTACGCATCACCAACTCGAACTCGCACCTCTACTCCGTTAACCCGTCAAGAGGTTAGCCGGTCGATGGCGGTTTGGAGAGCTTTGTTGACCTGCATCTGACGGGGTAATTGGTGAAGTGTGGAAGACTTCTGATTTGGTGGAGATTATTCGTACATCCAAGTCTGTATGCTTTTTGTCTTAGATACACCGACTAATTCCCTTAGCGAGCTGGTCGCGTGGCCGTTTCTGAATGCCCAATGAGTAGTTACTGATCGCCCAACGAGGACTGTCTTTTTCAGCTATGATGGTGAAAGACAACCCCCTCCTCCGCTGTCCTGGGGTCCTTCTTCAACCACCGGGTCACCCTCTAGTTGAACTCCCTACCCTCGAGTCGTCTCACTGATCGGGCGTTACACCAACACTCGATCTACTGTTACACAGCATCTTTCCATCTCTTACACGCCATACACACAGCCAAAATGACGGTCGAGAAGCTCGCCCCAAACACCGCGGCCGCGGGCGTCCCCTTTTACACCCCCATCAAGACAGCCCCGGCGGGAACGGCGCTCGATACGGGTGCCGATGTGCCCACGCTGTTCACGCCATTGAGGCTCCGGGGCATGACACTTCAGAACCGGTTCGTTGTTAGCCCCATGTGCATGTACTCGACCGAGGACGGCCACCTCACGGACTGGCACCTCGTGCACCTGGGCGCCTTCGCCGTGCGCGGCGCCGCCCTGACCATCGTCGGGGCCACCGCCGTGACCCCTAACGGCCGCATGTCGCCCGAGGACGGCGGCCTGTGGAAGGACAGCCAGATCGCGCCGCTGAAGCGCGTCGTCGACTTTGTGCACTCCCAGGGCCAGAAGATCGGCATCCAGCTCGCCCACGCCGGCCGCAAGGCCAGCACGCTCGTCCCCTGGCACACCACCCCAACGTGCCCCCAGGTCGCCACGGCCGAGGCTGGGGGGTGGCCCGATAACCTATGGGCGCCGAGCGCCATCGCCTGGGACGAGGGGTACCCGACGCCCCGCGAGATGACGGTGGCCCAGATCGAGGGAGTCATCCAGAGCTTCGCCGACGCCGCCCGCCGCGCTGTGGAGGCCGGCGTCGACACCATCGAGATCTACGCCGGCCACGGCTACCTCCTTTCCGGGTTCCTCTCGCCAATCACCAACGTAAGCAAGCCCCCCCCCTCCTTCAAAACCAAAACCAGCACAAAAGCACATCACTAACCCCCCTCCGCCCCCGCCCCAGCAACGCACCGACGCCTACGGCGGCAGCTTCACCAACCGCACCCGCCTCCTCACCTCCACCATCCTTGCCATCCGCGCGGTCATCCCCCCCACCATGCCCCTCCTCCTCCGCATCTCGGCCACCGAATGGATGGAGCACACCGGCCAACCCTCCTGGGACCTGGCCCAGAGCCAACAACTAGCCGCACTCCTCCCGGACTTGGGCGTGGACCTGCTGGACGTGACCTCGGGCGGCAACAGCCCGGCGCAAAAGATCCGTGCGGATGCGTACTACCAGGCCGACCTGGCGGGGGAGATCCGGGCGGCGTTGTGGCGGGATGGGGAGGAGAGGTTGGCGATTGGGGCCGTGGGCGCGATTGCCACGGCGGAGATGGCGAGGAGTATGGTGCAGGCGGGCGGGACGTGGCCGGCTGTTAATGTTAATGGGGAGAAGGGGAGGAATGGGGAGGGGAGGAATGGGACGGTGGAGGTGGATGCGGAGGAGGAGCATGGGACCGGGGCGAAGGCGGATTTGGTGCTGGTCGGGAGGCAGTTTTTGAGGGAGCCCGAGTTTGTGCTCAAGACGGCGGCGTCGTTGGGTGTCAGGGTGCAGGCGCCGGTGCAGTACCTCGGCGCGCCGTTCAAATTGGGAGGGGCTGTAAACGGTGGGTTGTGACATACAAAAGTTAACGGGCAAGGGGGTAAATAGACGATTGCTGGTGCTTGGTATTTGGGGGTGGAGGGGTAGAAGGGCATACATGGGCCGGGCTAGATTTGATATTTGAGACGACGGCTAACGAGACATGCCGAATTGATCCCATCATTGTCATGAGTAACCCAAACCAGAACAACCCTTCCTTACGCAAAGATGATGCCCAAAACCTAGACCAAACCACGGTAACGCCAGCTTGCTGCAAGTGGAATGAATCAAGACCTCAACTCGCCGCCTCTGCCTTGCCCTCTCTCTTCGCCATCTCGCTCTCCACCACCGACCGCACCAACTGTAGTAGCAGATCCCGCCCGGTAGCAATGCTATGCTCCGACGCATCACTCGGCACGTGCAGGAACAGGACCTTCCTCTGCTCCCCGGCCTTCTCCAGGTGCGCCAGGCTCGAGAAGTAGATGAAGTCGCACAGGTAATGCCCGGCGTCCTCGGAGATTCTCAGATCCATGTGTTTCTGCGGGTGGGTGTCAGCGTCCCCTCACCAAAAGAACCAAAAGAACCAAAAGAACCAAAAGAACCAAAAAGGGAATGTAACACATACCGGCGAATGCCCCCTCCACCTCCCCAACACATCCTCCACATCCAACGCCGTCTCCAACTCGGCCGGCAACCCCTTCCAGAACCTCTTCTTCCCCTCACCACCCCCCTCTTTATCTTTATTTTTATCATCACCCTCCCCACCCCCTTCCCCATCCTCATCACCGAGTAACTCCCCATCCACATCCGGCATGCCATACCCATCCCGATGCCCCCTTCGCTCGATACTATAAAACAGCCTCGGCCCGGCCATGCCAACATGGATAGCCGCATCGATGCGCGTGCGGGCCGCACCACCATCGAGGTCCCATAGCTGCGGCACGAGGGCGCGCACGGTTTGGTAGTTGACGCGGATCGGGGACGGGTGGACGAGGAGGCGGACGGGGGGGATGGCGGGTTGTTGTTGATTTTGTTGGGGGGGCGATGATGATGATGATGATGAGGATGGGTAGTGGTGGTGGGGTGCTTTGGCGCGGAGGGGCGGGAGGTGGGTGGGGAGGGAGTGCACGATTTCCCAGGAGGGGTTGACGGGGTAGTCGCGTTTGAAGGGCTGTGGTGGTTTTGTTAGATGGGGGTTTGGTTATTGAGGTTATGAGGGGGTTGGAAGGGAGGTGGTGATGTTGGTGTTTTGTTGCTTTGTGGGGGTGTGGTATTCGGTTGGGCAGAAGAAGCTTCCTTCTCCAACGCCGAGTGTGGTGGGATAGGGAGAGGACGTACCCCGAAACCAGTGATTAACACCGTAAATGGTTGCTCCTCTGAGCTGTCTGCAGCAACGGATCCCATGGTGATGGATGCGTGAGATACAGCCGTGTATCACGATACTAGTTGTTGGTGTTGCACCGGGGTTGTTCAGTTGGCGCAGGGTGGCTGGCTGGAACCTTTTGGGACCCCGCAACCGTTTCTTATAAGAGGGAGGCGTTGTGAAAGGAATTGGGGATTTGGGGGATATCATTGGGACCACGCTTCTTGAGGTCACTGCACTGCACATGCGTTGAGGGGTACCGAGCTAGTGCGGAGAATGGAAGCCACTATCACGGCAGCGGGTGCCCTTGATTGGCGGTCTTCCCGCTTCGCTTTCACCGTCTTCAACCGCCGGAGAGACCCGCACGTGCCCGTTTCCATGTTCATCACGCTGCAAACGGCAGTGTGTGTCCTACCCATAACCGGCAGCGCAAAGCATCCCACCGTCATTTGTAGCGTGGTATCAAAAGCTGCTTTGTTGATGCATACTACAAGTAGTAGTAAACATCAGACGTTGTGGACGGTGAGCCCGAGGCTGAGTCGGACGCGGGCCGGGCCGGCATGCACTACCCGCGTCCCCGGAGCCGACTTCGGCCGACCGCAGTGACAGAGTTACCCACAATGTCTGGATAGGATCCTCCGGTAGCTCTGCATCTTTCTTGGTTTCCGCTTACACATCTTCCGAGTTGATGCACTTGCGTTGTCCGTGAGGCACCCTTTGGTAAGGAGCAGGCAGGAGGATTCCGATATGTCTCAATAAATCCTTAGGAACCAACCGGCAGAGATCTCGATAAATGCCCCTCGTGGCCCGAGGTTAGTGTGACCTTCCAAATCGATCGCCAAGCCGATGCCACGACCAGATGCCATGACCCAGCTGCCGTGCGAGTCTCGGCGAAGCTTGAGACGGCCAATGGTGCTTGGTGCATTGCCAGAGGCAACGGGGACCCGCCCCGCATGCCAATGTTCTCGGTGTTGCTTAAGTACAACATCATGGTGCTTACAGGTTCTCGTGTAAGTGGGTTAGAAAATAAAGGATGGTATCCGTCTGGGACGACGTCCACTGGGGTTCGAATTAGAGGGGTGGTCTCAAAAGGCAGAAGTGAGCTCAGGCGGGATGACAAGCTTCACAACGGTCCTCGTCCCCTGATCTCAATCTATCATACATTCATATGATGAATATACAGGGGTATCGAACCCATCTACATACCTGCTGAAGCGTTAGCACAACCTTGCGGTGGTGTAACAGCTTCGCGAGGGACAACCACCAGGCACCCAACCCCTTGTATCCGTCCTGGTTCCATGTGCGCCTTTGTGTTTCCAAGTTCATCACGCGTTGTAACCACCGCAAACCGATCAACCCAACCACCCACGGGTATAAATATCGTCCATCCCGACGCCGGCCAGCCCCCTCCACCCTACCCCTCATAGTCCGTAAACCCCGCCGTCGGCCCGTCCCTATCGAGCATGTATCCAAAACGCTCCTTATTCTCCAACAAAAACCGCGGCACGTCCTGGTTCCCCTCAACACGGTCGTACACCTCGCCCTTGCGATCCCACAGGTCCTTGCCCCTCCTGATATAGTCCACAATCCGACGCTCGTCGCGAAACTTCTTCGCATTCATACTCGTATGCGAGAACGCAGCCATCTTGCCGAGCAGCTCGGCGACGGTCTCGAAGCACGACGAGCAGTGCCAGCTGGCGTTGGACAGCACGCCCTTCTCCCACTCGCGAAAGGGCCACATGCCGCCGTCGGCGATGCGCAGGTCGTTGGGCCGCAGCGTCTTGAGCATGCCCTGGTAGAAGGTCGCCTGCGGGTGCGGCCACTCGGGCCCGCGGTGCAGCCACTGGAACGAGTAGTAGTAGAACCGCGACGACAGCGTCAGCCGCCGCGGGAACTCGCACGCCCGCAGCACCCGCAGCGTCTCCGGTCGCGGGACTTCGTCCACGTCTGATACCACCAGCACGTCGCCGTGCTGTGGCGCCTGCCGCCCGCTGAGGTGCGGGAAGACCTGCGTGAGCATACTATTGCGCTGCAGGTCTTCCATGTCCCAGGTGGTGCGGGGCTTGAAGTCGGGCGGGTATTCGATCTCGTGGTAGATCATCTTGGAGTGGTAGGGCTTGAAGTCGGGGAGGTAGCGCTTCAGCGTCAGGGGTTTGGCGTGGTTGGTGAAGGTCTTGCTGCCCTCGACGATGACAAAGTAGTCGACCTCGTCCCAGGTGCTGTTGAGGCGGATCTCGAGGTGGTCGAGCTCGGTGTTGAACATCATCAGGTCGTACACCTTGCGCGGCTTGCTCGGGTCTTTGGGACGGAAGGGCTTCCAGCCATACTGGCGGCAGATGTCGAGAGCGTTGTCATCGCGGGAAGCCCAGGTGGGGGAGAGCGGGTTGTTGTCACTGTTCCTGCGGGCGACGCTGAGCACTAACCAAATGATTCCGAGTACAGCTGTTACCCGTACCCAGCGCCATAGCTGCCGCGTCCTGCGCGACATGGTGAACTGGTGCTCATGGGAATGGGGGAATGGGGGAATGGGGGATATGATAACAGGATCAGGAAAAAGAATCGGAAAGAAGATTGCGAATGCGACGAGGGGGCGGTTTGAGCGCCATCATCGTATTTTCCCCGTCAGCACGGAGGAGCTGGCCCTTGTCGCGAAACAAGTTGGTGCTTGCTTGCCGCCCTGCGCCCTGTTGCGAAGCTGCACTCATGATTGGCTTGGCACAAACGGCACCGTGCCACACTGTCGGGCTGTTAGGAAGTTACCTTCCGCATCGGGCTCATTATCGTCAATCTGTGGGTTCGGTCACAAAATCCCCGTGGGAGGAATGTGTCTCCGTATTGGGGAAGCCGTGTGCCAAACATGACCTCGACGACTTGGATTCCTCGTTAGCCACCAGTTGAAATCATGCCGAACCCTAACCCCCTGTTCCCAAGTTGGTGATGAGGTTGATTGGAGTCGCGGGGTAGCTCAGAACCCCACCATGTCGGTGTCCGATGCCGAGCCCGGTTGCTCAGCAAGTTCCAAGAGATTGAAAATAATACACCAAGTTTCTCATAATCAACGAGACCTGAATATATTGCAGGTTTAATCGAGCAGATTCCTGTGTGTAGTAATTCCACACAGCTCCCTACAACGGACCGACCCTCCCAAGAATTCAGCCGACTTACCACCCGCTCCTGACTCTTCACCACCTCATCTCACTCAACATTCGACATTTAACCCTCAACACCGTCACAATGTTCACCGGCATCGTCGAAGAGATCGGCAGTACGTCTCCCCCCTTTACCACCCCAGTCCCCCCTTTGTCCCCAACCCAAACCAACCTAACCACCACCACCCCCCCTCCCAGCCGTCACGGAGCTCAACCCCTCCGACGCCACAGGCGGCACCTCCCTGACCATCACCCTCCCACCCACCTCAACCCTCCTATCGGACTGCCACCTCGGCGACTCCATCGCCATCAACGGCGTCTGCCTAACCGTCACCACCTTCACCCCCACCGCCCCAGCCCCCAGTTTCACAGTCGGCATCGCCCCCGAAACCCTCCGCCTCACCAACCTCGGCACGCTCACCCCCACCTCGCGCGTCAACCTGGAACGCGCCGTGCGCGCCGACACGCGCATGGGCGGGCACTTCGTGCAGGGCCACGTGGACTGCACCGCCACCATCCTGTCGCGGGAACCGGACGGCAATGCGGTGACGCTGCGGCTGGCGCCGGGGCGGCGGGAGGCGCTGCGGTACGTGGTGCACAAGGGCTTCGTGGCGGTGGACGGGGCGAGCCTGACGGTGACGCGCGTGGATGATGACGAGGGTTGGTGGGAGGTGATGCTGATCGCGTACACCCAGGAGCGGGTGGTGACGGCGGCGAAGGCGGTGGGGGAGACGGTGAACCTGGAGGTGGATATGACGGCCAAGTATGTGGAGAAGAGTTTGAAGGGGTATTTGGAGGGGTTGGGGGAGGGGAGTGGCGGGTTGTTGAAGAAGGTGCTGGAGGGGGCTGGGAAGGGGGGTGCTGCTTAGGTGGGCTACCTGGCCGTGTAGTTGTTCGTCCCTGGGCCGGAAGGGGAGGCGTGGTTGAATGGGTCAATAGTGCAGTGGGTCTGACTACATTTGTTTATCTTGGGGTATCTAAATGCTGGGGTTGGGTCTGCGCGGCCCTAATAAAATCACACGTCCCCCCATACCTCTGCTAGCTTCTGGCTCACAGCCTTGGACATCTTCTTCCGTCCCACGAGATGCACCAGCCTGTTCGCGACCAGGTCCATCTTGCGTCTCCTCCCTTCTTCACCCGAACCACACTGTTCAAACGCCCTGACAAAGTCGTTCGGCGTCTTCCATACCCTCTGAATCTCGATGGCCTTCTCACCCGTTACCCCTTTGGAACACATCAGCATCTTGAGAAACAAGTCCCGCAGGGCCATGTTCTGCGATTTGGATGCTAACGACGCGAACGCGGGATAGCTAATGTGATGGCTGGCCGACGGTTGCGTCTCGCGGAGATGCTTCAGCAGGGGGAGGTAGTTCTTCGTCGTGAGGACCTTTGTCGGTATCACATCGAGTGTCTTGCCCTCGTACACCGACTTGAGCATCTTGGTCATGGACGCTAGATAGCGAATTGTGTCGTCCATCTTTTGCGTCTGCTTGAGAAAGTAGCCGTTAACTACTTGCATCGACGCCATGGCCGACTGGACCGCTTCTTCGTATTTCTGGAAGTGGGTGGAATCCATGCTGATCTCCTCCACCACGTACACGACGTTCTTCACCCCGGACCGCTTGAGACGGAATTTTTGCTCGTGGAACCGGCCGTCTCGGAGTGAGCCGAGGAGGTCATCTAACCTCTTCCTCTCGACGATCCAATCGAGAACCACCTCGTCGCCTTCCGCCCCCTGCCGAGGTAGCCAGCCCGCCTGTCTGCATCGGGCGACCCACAGGGCGTCGCCTAGCTCTAGGGCACGCACAATTGGTTTTATGCCTCGCTTTGCGAGCTCCTCTTGAATGTAGTCACGGTCCGTTTTGGCCCTGACCTCTCGGTTGTCCAGTATTAGCTCCACCGTAAATGTACCAGGGGCGAGCCTGATCGGTGTGAATGATGGCAGCTCCGCATCGTCGGGCACGACTGTCCCGTCTGCTACTACGTCTCCAAATTCAGTAGTCCTCCGTTCCTGGGGGATAACACGGCCCTCGTCATCATCGTCGTTATCGTCGTCATCGTCAAGATCGATGGGCTCAGCAAATGTTGATCGAGCACTAGCATTAGCGGTTGCTGGTAGCCCGGCTTGTCTACTGGGCCCGGCAGACGCAACGGTTGAGTTTTCGTTGCTAGTGCTGGCCTTGGGAACAGTCGTTTCCCGGATCCTTTTAGCCACTTCCCATCCCTCATCCGTTAGAGCATATCTCTTCAGGGGTCGGCCGCGCTCATACACCAGCTCTTTTTGGAGCAGCGTCTTCATCGAATTCCAGGCCGTGTAGAACTTAGTAGGGTCACTCGGCGCCGAGAACGACGAGTCGCAGTGCGGCTGAGCCTCCTCGATCAGGTCAGCCTTGGGCATCCCCACCACCTCCTGCCCTGGTTTCGAGAGGGCAACCACCAGCGCATACGCCCCAGACCGGTAGGCAGGTACATATGCCTTTGGCTTCTTGGCCCTCTTGGCTGGGCGTGCAGACTCGTCCTCTCCGCCATCTTGGACTACCGTTGGTCTGTTGGCCCGCTTCTTGGAACTCGGATGAGGGGGCATGCGCACGCCATTTTCCTCGCAGTGCGCCCTGAGCTTCTCGGTCAACCGCTCGCATAGTTTCGGCCCGAAGCCCTTTAGCTGCTGAAGCGACGAGGGGTGTTCGAAAGCGATGGGGCAGGCCTTGAGTGAGTCGTAGGCATGCTTGTAAGTGGTGACACCCTTGGAGTTGCTCTCCCGAGCCGTTTCCCACCATTCCTTGACCCATCCGAGAAGCAAAGGGTTCGCACACGTGTCCTGAGACATTGGGCAGGCCAGGTCAGGTATGGATGCAGTGACGGTGAGCCTCAAAGCAAGTAAAGAACGGGACAAGAAATTGAATAAATAAGCAAAAGGGGGCAAAGTCAACAAGTTCCAGAGTGGGTGAGGGCGCGCCCCAGCAAACGGACTGGAATCGACCCAAAAGGAAAAGAAAGATAGCAAAATGAGCAAATGGAAGCAAGGGATGCAACCTTGATAGCGTCTCAAATTGCAATTTGCCAATGCATCGTGTGTTGTCCTGCCCGGTCTTTGCTGCGATGAGTTGTCGAGGTGGTAGTGAATGGAAGTGAATGAACAAGGCAGGCGTTCCTCGAGCGACGCGTTCCAAAAGGTCAACCAACAATTCGCCAGGATGAGGGCGCTTTCCCTATTAGGCTAGCTTGCGATGTCCCACATTGCCAAGAGGTCCCTCAACCCCCACCTCGACCTCCAACACACCCCGGCACCTAACAGCCCAGCGCGGGGCAGCTCCCTCAGGGCCTCCACCGCTTTCAGTCCGACCTCTAAAACCACCACCCATCTCGTGTTCCTGAGCCTCCCCCTTCCTCCTTCTTTTCTTCGATTTACTGTTCCTGGGCTAAAATCTGGGCTATTCACATCCAACAATTGCGTCATTTCATTTCTGATCCTCACCACGTCTTTAAATCTCCCGTTCTTCCTCACCAATACCCCGCATCACCCATTCCAAACAACTACTACCTGACCTACTATTCGGAGCTCCGGTAGCACCCAACATTTACTTACCCACCTTACCTTGCCTACCTCCATACACTCCAATCCCCGTCGGTACCTTGCAAATATAAACACCGCCACCCAAAATGGAGAACCACGACAGGGCAATCCTAGAGGCTTCGGCCAAGCACCCGATCGTGCCCCTTGAGAAGGGCAGGTTCTACACTTATGGCACCGCCGGGTTCCGCATGAAGGCCGATCTGCTCGAGGGTATTTCGTTCCGTGTCGGTCTTCTCGCCTCTCTTCGGAGCCGCAAGCTTAACGGGCAGGCCATCGGTGTTATGATCACTGCCAGCCACAACCCGGCCGTCGACAACGGCGTCAAGATTGTCGATCCCCTAGGCGACATGCTCGAGCAGGATTGGGAACGTTACGCTACCGCCCTGGTCAACGCCCCAAGCGACGAGCAGCTCGTTGAGGTCTACAACAGACTGGCTACGGACCTCAAGATCGATCTCAAGGCTTCCGCCAAGGTCGTCTACGGTCGCGACACGAGACCCTCGGGCCACAAGCTGGTGACGGCCCTCGCAGGCGGTCTCGAGTCTACTAAGGCCGAATATGTCGACTACAAGATCCTCACCACGCCCCAGCTGCACTACCTCGTGCGGGCCACCAACAGCGAGGGCACACCGTTGTCATATGGCAAGGTCAGCGAGCTTGGATACTACGAGAAGATTGCCGAGGCCTTCGTGCGTGCCATGAAGGGCAGGAGGATCAATGGGACTCTGCAGGTGGACTGTGCCAACGGTGTTGGCGGTCCCAAGCTGTCTGAGTTCCTCAAGCACATCCCTAAGGACAAGGTCAACTTTGATGTCAAGGTTGTCAACGACGATGTCCTCCGGCCCGAACTGCTCAACCTCGACGTACGCACCGCGCACCCTATCCCTTTTCTATTTGACATTGCTAACCCCTTTCTAGTGCGGTGCCGATTTCGTAAAAACGAAGCAGAGGGCTCCTCCCACCCCCAAGCCCCAGCCTGGCGTCAGGTGCTGCTCCCTGGATGGTGACGCTGACCGCTTGATCTACTACTGGCTGGATCCTGAGGGCGGGTTCGTCATGCTGGATGGCGACCGCATCTCGTCGCTTGCCGCCTCCTTCATCGGCGACCTCGTCGAGAGCGCCGGTCTCAAGGACGAACTGCGCATCGGTGTCGTGCAGACAGCCTATGCCAACGGCGCCAGCACGAATTACATCACCCAGCACCTGAAGTTGCCCGTCATCTGCACGCCGACTGGCGTGAAGCACCTCCACCATGTGGCTCAGGGATTCGATATTGGAGTGTACTTTGAGGCCAACGGCCACGGCACGGTCCTCTTCTCCCCGGACGCCCTCAGCTCTTTCAAGAACAAGGAGCCACAATCGCCCGCCCAAAAAGACGCACTTGACACCTTGGCCGCCCTGGGCGATCTGATCAACCAGACCGTCGGCGATGCCATCTCGGATGCGCTCATGGTCGAAGTTATCCTCGCCCACAAGAACTGGACCCTCCGCGACTGGGCCATGACATATGCCGACCTCCCCAACCGCCTTGTGCGCGTCGAGGTGGGCAACAAGGACCTGTTTCAGACGACCGACGCCGAACGGCGCCTGTCGCACCCGGAGGGCGCCCAGGACGAGATCGACCAGGCCGTCAAGAAGTACAAGGACGCGCGCTCCTTCGCCCGCGCCAGCGGCACCGAGAACGCCTGCCGCGTCTACGCCGAAGCCGCCAGCCGCTCCGAGGCCAACGAGCTCGCCGAGCGCGTCGCCAGGATCATTGAGCGCTACGGGACCCTCTAGGTCCGGGACCGAGCCGTTTCATCATCGTCGCTGGAGCCGCGCCCCATCACTACCACCACCACCCTCTCAGCGCTCCACATCGATTTACTAACCGCGAACAACGGGCACCCCAACACCGGCCGAAACTACAACTACAACTACAACCGCAACCGCAGCGTCTCGTTGTTCTCCCAGCTGCAACCGGCCCCGCACCACCAACACCCGCGGTTCGACCCGCTCGGCAGATACACCACCACCACCACTACTACTACTACTAGCACGGATACTTTTGTGTTTGAGATGGAGGAGGACATCCAGGAGAGGGAGCGCCTGCGCCTCGCCGGCGTCGTGCCCAAGTACAATGCCCCCTGCAGCAGCTGCAGCAGCGGGGAGACGACGCCGGACGTGGGCTCCTCGCCGTCGGATCCGTTTCTGGGGCCTTGGCATTCGAGGATGAAGGAGGCGGGGCTGGAGCCTAGGGAAGGAGAGGGGGAAAAGGTTGAGAAGGGGGAGAAGGAAAAAGGGGAGGGATGCGCGGGGGGGTTACTGGAGGGTAAGGATGGTGAGGAGGAAAAGGAAGGGAGTCAGCAGACTTGAGTTAGGTTGGGTCGGGAAAAAAAAGGGGGAGGGGGGGGGCAAAAAAGATGAAGGAAAAAGTTGAGACGAAAAAAAAAGAGTTGGTGCGTTCTTCTGGTGGTTGTTTTGCATCTCTCTGCTTTTAGCTTGCCCCGTTTACCTGCTTGCCTGCCTTGTTGTTTCTTGCTTGGTTTTGTGGTTCGGTGGCTTTTTCGTAGACGGACGGATATGGGAGGATGAGAGGATGAGAGGAAATGATATGACAATCAATGATTGACGATGATGACTAGGACGATGATTGATTTTTAGGCTCTGCCAAGTGGGAAGAGAGAGGGGAAAGTAGGGAGGAAACCTAAAACTCAATAAGTAGACAGGTGGTAGGGTACTTCTTTGGCGGGTGGATAGGAATAAAAAAACAACGAGACGAGAGTTGACACCCTAAGCGCACCGAGTGACGGGGTTCGTCCATGGAGAGGATTACAATATGAATGAGGATATGTCAAGATGGATAGACGCCAAACAACGAGGTCCTTCTAATTATCCCACGCATACATACGGGTATCCCTATTCGTCATCAAGACACTCAAGGTCATGCACCATACTCGTCACTTTCTCTTTTCCTTTCCTGTCTCTCCTCTGTCAGTCGTGCGACGACAAAAAGCCCATAGAAACGCCAGTTGACCCTTCTCTAATGGTTAAAACCAAAGCCCACCAGCTAGCCAGCCATAGTAACGCTAGTTAGCCCATCCCGTGTCACCATCCCTCGAGAGCCTTTCTCACTCCTCTGCTCTCGCCATTGCTACATCACCCAACATGCCGCCGGCCCCAGCAGCATACGTCCGCTTAAGATGCGCCTACTAGCACATCTTGTACAGGCAGGTCCCACCGGCCTGGCGGTTGGGGTCGGTTGTCTCGAGGCGGTACTCGACCTTGATGTCGAGGTCGCGCTTGTTCTTCTCGTTGGGGCGGTTGTGCAGGGCGCACTCGACCTTCTCGCCCTGCTCGACGGTAAGGACGTCCTGCAGGTAGAAGACGGTCTGCTTCCAGTGGGTGTACTTGGTGTGGGGACCCGTCGAGAAGCGGATGGGCTTGTGGCAGGCCGTGAACTCGATGTCGAACCACGCTACTAGCGCGTGGATGAAGTCGTCGCGCCGCGCCGTCAGGTCGAACGGGCAGCTGAAGGCCAGGTCAGCCGCCTGTACCTTGTAGAGGTCGAGGGTCAGGACCGGCGTCGGGTCTGTTACGACGGCCTTCATCTCGACTGTGTCGACGAGGGGTTCCGAGAGGGCGGTATCCTTCAGGGGGCTGTAGTTGAAGCCGTAGACGTTATCCCAGACTTTGGGGTGGTTAGCATCTTGGGGAAACCGAAAAGTGGTTGGGTGGATGGGGCGGGGGTGCGTACAGCCAATCTTTTCTTCCTTGTAATCACCGTCCTCTATTCCAGCGACAAAGATGGTAGCCTTGTCAGGGAAGATTAGGCCGTCCTTGTTCAAGTACGTGTCACGGGCGTACAGCACCGTGTCCAGCATGCTCTCGTACAGGAGGAAGTAGCCCATCCACTCGGAGATGATAATGTCGACCTTGGGGAACGGCATTTCGATCTCCTCCATCTTGCCCTGGATCAGTGTAATCTTGTCCGACAGCCCATTGACCTTGACGATCTCGCGCGCCTTGAAGATGATGGTCGACATGTCGACGCCAATGACGTGTTTCGCGCCAGCCTTAGCAGCGAACCTGATGATAGTCTGTTAGCTGCTGAACTTGCGGCCATCGTGTGTGTGTGTGTGGGAGAGCGCCATACATGGAGAGAATTCCGGTGCCGCATCCTACATCCAGTACGACCTTGTCCTTAAGGATATGCTTGTTTTGAACGATAGCGTTCATGTACGACCTTGTCCGGACCTCATCTTTCTGCAAAGGCGCGCACACGCAGGTTAGCCAGCCTTGTCTTTGAATTTAAGGGGTGGTGGCGGGGCGTCGAGAGGCACACACCAACATTTCCTCGTGGATGCCTTATCGCGGGGTCGCAATGGTTAGCCAAGAAGTCCGTGTTAGATCCAACAGCAAATTCGGCTCACCATGGTGGTTATAGCTAGAGCAGAATCGTTAGCATTGGTATGCGACCGCGGATCCATGGGACGCAGAGGAAGAAGAACATACCTGTTGAAGTAGTGCTGCTCCGAGTGGTCGAGCGACTTAAGCTGCTTCTCGGCAACCTCGATTTCCATTCCCTCGCCAGCCATGCTGATGTGTAGGAGTTGTTTGGAGTAGTGAAGGGTAGTGAAGGTGACCACGTTCAGATAGGTAAAAGTCTGGTTTAGTATGATTCTTCAGTATTTGAGGAAAAATGAAGAAGTAGAACTACCTAAGTAGGCAAAAAAAAAAGTTGAGGATATGGGCAAGTCCGATGGGGTCTGGACTTGGGCTTGCCTTTGCGCAGAGAATTTGGGTGGAAAATTCCAAGACGGCCCGCTAATCGAATGTGGGGAATATTGCCCCGCAGTGTTGTTCCTCGTCAATTGTAAAACACGCCGCCGCTTATGGAGGAAGGGGCGTCGTCGTGTGAGGTGAGACTCCGATAAGCCGATAAGCACCTCAGGTAAAGAGTACCTAAGTGTTAACCTCAGGCTAGAGGATGAAGTCCCGTCTGTATCGAGATTTAACCAGGATTAGACTAATTCTACTCTGACACGGGCACAGAGAAGGGTTTTGCCGCTGAACTTATGTGTGTATTTAGGGCCTTCTAATCGACTGGGCTCTCTTACACCGACCCGGGAGACGTACCAGGGGGTTAAGCCACCGACCTCGACATGTGTTTGCCCTGCCAGTGTCTCAAAGCGCAATGTTTTACGAATAACAATAGCCGCTAGATCGTCTGCGCCTGATGTTTGCCCGAAATCTACCAAAGACCAAACTCATGAAATCCTGGGAGCAGAACTCCCTCCAACCTATACCCAAACGCCAGGTGATGCATACCGAATATCAATGCTGGCTACCTTAGGAAGACAATGTATTTTTACCCTTTTCAAGCCATGCCCGCCATCTGCAACAACCGTGTGCCCACCTTCAGGTTGGCATACTCGTAGGCTTTCGACTCGGGCGGGAACGTGCCATTGGCAGCCCATAGATCAATCAGGGGCTGCATCGGCTCCAGCTCCTGCGGCTTGAGCATGTCCAGCGCCGTGGCGGTCAGCACAAAATGGCTGAAGCAGCTGTTGAGTTGTTTCTCTAGGTTGAGGTGGTAGAAGGGCTCCACAAAGTGCGCCCAGTAGAGATGGGCATAGACGCGGAACATCTGGAGGAAGATGGTCTTGCAGATGCTGGCGAAGTCCTTGGGAAACCCGCTACGCTTGCCGACCCACTCGTCCGGGCTGCTGAGGAGAGCGGTATTGGCGATGTTGGGACTGTGGGAGAACGAGACCCCGGCGGCGTCGGTCGGGAAGATGTTGGTGTCGTCGACTTTGCTCGAAATCCATCGTTGCATCAGCGCGATGTACTCAATTGCTGGTAACTCGACACGCTCGTAACGATCGCCAGATTTGTTGAGCCATGTGTATGAGTGGTTCCTGGGACGGGCTGTTAGCACCTGGGTTGGATCATAGCACAGCAAAGGGAACTCACGGCCCAGCAGACATGCGGGGGCATGTGGTGGCGTTGCAGAGGTTCTTCCCGTTGGCCTCTTTGGCGTACACGACATGGACGAAGTTCCATAGATTGCGATAATGCTCAACCACTACAGATGCAAATCAGCGATGAAGCATGGGATGAGAAGAAAGAACCTTAATTACCGTGGTGCGCAATCCATTCGCCCTGCTCGACCGTCTTGGGTCTGCTGCTGAGCGTCATGAAGTTGCCCTTGACGATATGCTTCGCGTAGGCGGGGTTGAGCCACATGGGCAGCGGCTGAGGAAGGCGATAAGAACTCAACACCTCGTCACCCGTGGACGCCATGCCGATAGCTTGAGAGAGCGCTGGCGATGCAGGAAGTGGTGGAAGCTTAGAGGATGACAGGTTGCTTGCTGACAAGTTGCTTGACGACTTGCTCCTCTTGGAAAGGCCTCCGGGTGAGGGGAGGCGGGCATCTTCAACTACGGGTGACACGGGGCTCTTCGAGCTGGCCTGCTTGCTCGAGGTTCCCCTCAGCCGGGCATTGCTGCAACGCGGGGTCAGCATCGTCGTTATACCTGCAAGTCCATGTCTCAAATAAGGAGCTACATGCGTAACTCGAAAGCGGAAGCACATAAAACGAGCAACGAGAATACATCGCCAGACCGTCGGCTTTGAGGATGGGAGCAGACATCGGCAGGATAGAGGTAGGCTTGCTTGAAGGTAGGAACTTACATGCCGGAAAAGAGGTTAGACATTGCAATGTATGTCTTGGGGCGCTATGAAAGAGGTGTGGGAGCTAAGGCGAGAGATTTTGAGGAGCGAGGTGCTTTTCGTGCTTTGCGTAGTGGTTTGTTTCACCGGCGGTCGGTGTGCAGATCAGATGTAGAACAGATAAGACCGAAGGAACAGGCCAGGTTTTGGATGTGGGATAAAACAGACTACGTAGGCTCTGTGCTCACCCACTAAACAGTGCCGGTTGACAACACTTCCAAATTAATGGGTATTGAGTTCAAAATTGCAAGTGCAGTGCTGCCAGTGACTTGGAGTAAACGCAGATGGGCGCTGCCAGCACCAAAGTGAGAAAGGGGAAGGAACAGTGAAACTCGCTTGGCCAATCAATGCCAAGCAATCAGGGGTCTCCTGCTGCGTTGTTTCTTGGCGAGAATCCAATGTGGCACGTGAGCGCGTGTGCAGTTGGTGGTGAACTGCCCCACCCTGAAGGCCGCCTTCCCTGAGAGAGAACCGGAGATCCGTGTCTGCCAAGAGATCTGCTCCCCTCTCGGCCCGCACACTTTACGTCGTGCATTTTACACGGTCTCTCCATGCATCTCGATCAGGCAGCCGCCGGTCGCTTAGCCAACTGAAGCAGAGGGAGGGATGACTCTGAAGAGTTAAAATGTCTCATCGCGCTCTTCGGGGGAGATGGAGGCGCCAGGGCTTCCAGTGCCTTCAGACAGTCTTTGCATCAACAAACCATCTCCATCACCAGTCAATCCTCCCACAGTCTCTCCAACAAAAAGTGATGAAATCACCATCGCTCAGCGAGAAGATTGCCTTCTTCGACCAACTTGATGCTCTTGACAATGTGAGCGATGCGGACGATGAAGTCGATGAGAAGGAGCAAGACCATCGAAACAAGTGTCAAGCCTTTTTCAACTCACGAAAACGGAAGAATCCCGAACCAGTTCAAGAGAAGGCCAATGCCCCTTCCCATCAACGGAGAACTACATCAATGCCTACCCCGGCCGGAGTTACGCCAGGCTCTCGGGTCATTCAAGCTACTCCTGCGGTTCAGAAAAGGGTGACTAGACAGGCCACAGGAATTGGGGGGCTCCTCCCAAACACTACTTCATTTGTTGAAGAGACACCGGTGCCGAACACGACTCGCCCACTGCCTGCAACACTTCGGAGGAGTTCAACAGTCCCACCGCCGAATTCTTCATCAACAATCGAGCAGTCCCCATCGGCAAGCACCGCGTTGAGGAAGCGGAAGCGGCAGACATCGACCAAGTCGGTGCCCGAAGCTGCCCAGATGTTCAGGGGTCTCTCATTCTATTACATTCCAAATAACGACATTGCCCCTGCGAGAAAGCTGCGCATCGGCAAGGCTCAGGAGTACGGTGCTCGATGGGTGCGGAGCTTGGAGGACGCTAGCTACATCATCGTTGACAGGCACCTGGAATACAAAGACCTCGAGTGCGTGCTCGGTGCCGAGGTTTCGGACTCTGTGGTCATTGTCAACGAGGAATATCCCATCGACTGCATCTCCTTCCGCACACTACTCAACCCAGACCAGAATCGGTACCGGGTAGCAGGCTCCCCCGGAAAAAAAGACAAACTTATCTCTGACGAAGCGCCGCCTCGCCCATCCCAGAGTCCCGATCATTCGTTGCAAGTGAAAGCACCTCGGAAACCAAGAAGGAAGGACTCGACAGATCCCCCACCTGGGAATGAACCAGCATCTCTCGATGGCTCTGCGCAAGTTTCACGAGAAAAGTCGGAAGACCAGACCTCGGGGGGGATCTCTGGCAATTCGTCCGAGGCTCAGGCCCGCCAAGTTCCTCCAACAATACAGGACGACGAGTCATCAGACAAAGCCCCGCATCCACTTCGTCGAACATCAAGCGCCAAGGATGAGCTGTCAGAGTATATCGAACTCCTTCAGCAGTACAAGGACCTCCCATTAGACGTAGGATCGGATGACGCCCAGTCGGTCAAGGATGCTCAAGAGGCAGACACGGGCTCCGAGATCGAAGAACCGTCAGCGGACGAGCGAGCTCGGAAGAGGACGGCAAAAACGCGCCGCAAAGGCCAAAAAGAAATCCCCTTCGATGAGCGCTTCGCCTGCAACCGCGGAGGGACCAAAGACGAGGCCGCCGACGGGACCAACCCCAACGCCAAAACCATCGAGATCCTCCAAAGCATGTGCGACTACTACACGCGCACCAAGGACACCTGGCGCATCATGGCCTACCGCAAAGCCATCGCCACCCTCCGCCGCCAGCCCACCAAGATCACCACCGAGGACGAAGCCTACCAGCTCCCCAACATCGGCCGCCGCCTGGCCGCCAAGATCGAGGAAATCGCCACCACCAACCGCCTGCGCCGCCTCGAATCCACCCTCGACAACCCGCTCGACCAGACCCTAGAAACCTTCCTCGGCGTCTACGGCGCCGGCACCGCGAGCGCCCACAAGTGGATCGCCCAGGGCCACCGCACGCTCGACGACCTCCTGCACAGGGCCGACCTGACCCCCAACCAGCGCCTCGGCGTCGAGCGCTACGCCGACCTCAACACGCGCATCCCGCGCGCCGAGGTCGCTGCCCTGTTCGAGTGTGTGCGCCGCGAGGCCGGGCGCATCGATCCTGCCGTCGAGCTGCTGGTCGGGGGCAGCCATCGGCGTGGCGCGGACAGCTCGGGGGATATCGATATCATTGTCACGCGGAAGGGGACGGCGGCGGCGGCGGAGCTGGTGCCGTTTCTGGGGGAGCTGGTGGAGGTGCTGGAGCGGAAAGGGTTTCTGGTGGCCACGCTGGCTGCGCTGCATGCGGATCGCGCGGGGAGGGATGGGGTGGGGAGTAAGTGGCATGGGTGTTGTGTGCTTCCGCCCGGGGAGGAGGTTGAGGGGGGTGAGGGTGGTGGTGCCCCGAAAAAGCCGATCTGGCGGCGGATTGATTTCTTGCTGGTGCCGGAGGCGGAGTATGGCGCGGCGCTGATTTACTTTACGGGGAATGACATCTTCAACCGCAGCCTGCGGCTGCTGGCGTCCAAGAAGGGCATGCGGCTGAACCAGCGCGGGCTGTACAAGGAGGTGCTGCGCGGCAAGAACAGGGCCAAGATCACCGAGGGCCAGTTGTTGGAGGGCAGGGACGAGAAGCGCATCTTTGAGTTGCTTGGGGTGAAATGGCGCGAGCCGTGGGAGCGGTGGTGCTGAGTTTGGGGGAAGGGACGTAGTGGCGTGTCGGATACCCTGGTTTGGAGGTATGGCTCTGAGGGAATGAACGTATGTGTATGTATTGGATTGTATTGGATCTGGTGTCCTTGGGGAAGCCAAAAAGGGTGATCGGACAAGGAAGGTTGCGAGGGCGTTTCTTATTGAGTTTGCTTGGTTGAACGACTAACCAACACCATGGGATGTGACACGGCTCAAGTATAAGTTGATCTTATGTATTAAGATAATGACTAGTAATTAACCCCAACTCCAGCCCAAACCCAAATGTAGCCTCCCTGTATGCGATGCATCCGAAAAGTCGTGACAGTCATCCGAGCCAGTCGTAACGTCATCAACCCCAGCCATGCAACCCATTACCTCTATGTACAAGAAATAGCCACACAGTGGCGTTTATCGTGGACGAGTCACAGACTCTCCAACAAAGACCAGTTTATGAACAAGGTCGAGGAAGGAATTAAAAAAGGGAAGAAAAAAAAAAGAAAACCATCTCAGCAAGCGCCATACTTGACGCCGCGCTTGCCGACCTCCTTGCGGCCGACGGGGCACTCGGGCAGGACCCAGCCGCGGGACCTCTTGGCCTCGCGCTTCTCGGCCAGCTGGGGCTGGGGCATCCAGGCGTCGCGCGGCAGGGCCTTGCGGCGGGTGCCGTCGGCGGGGGCGCCGATCTCGGCCTTCCAGTGGGCGTGGCCCGGCATGGGCTCGTCGCCGGCGAGCATGCACAGGCCCCAGAGGGCGAGGCAGGCCGTCATGCGGGCGTCGGCCGGGTCGACGACGCCCCCGTCGAGAAGGTCGAGGTCGTCGGCGCTGGCCAGCTGCACGCTGCCGACGTCGAGGGAGCCGAAGTGCGGCGTGTGCTCGGCGCCGTTGCGCACGTAGACCAGCTCGATCTCGGTCAGGATGAAGCCGTACCGGCAGCCGTGCTCGCGCATGGCGTGGTGGAGGTGGGCCAGGCCGCGGAGGTACTCGACGCGCTTGACGTTGCCCTCGGCGCGCATGCCCGTGTTGAAGCGGTCGAAGCTCTTGACCAGGCCGACGACGCGCGCCGTCGGCTTGCCGCCGAAGATGGCCGCCGCCGAGGACGACTCGCCCGCCGCGCTGGCGACGAACATGCAGTCCGTGGCCATGCCGAGGTTGTTGCTCTTGGGGGTGGGGTTGGTCTTGGTGGGCGCGACGGTGAGCTTGAGAGGGCGCTGCGAGCAGAGGGCGAGCGCGTTGTTGAGCTTGGGGAGGTAGTGCGCGGCGTAGATGGAGTGGAGGGCCGCTTCGGTTTCCGGGTGGCGCTGGGTGGTGGCCGGGGTTGGCAGGAGGGCGGAGGAGATGGGGGTGGACAGGCAGCCGGCGGCGCCCGGCATGGAGAGGATGGAGGAGGCAGTGAAGTTGGTCCAGGGGCGGATCTGGCGGACGTCCCACCAGAAGTGCTTGGTGTTGGGGTCCCGGAGGGGGAAGGAGAGGTTGCGGACAAGTGATGGGGCCGGGTTAGGTGCGGTGAGGTAGGAGTAGAGGGTGGTGGACGGGGTCACCTCCGGGGTGATGGGCGCGGCAGCGGCCAGCGGCGAGGGGCCGCGCGGCATGAACTGCTGGTAGAGGAACTGGTCCTGCTGGGGGAGAGCCTGGGGTTGCGGCGGGGGAGTGGGGCTGCTGCTGGCGCGGGCCGGCATGTAGGTAGGCATCTGGTAGGCCGGGAAGTAGTTGTCGACGGTGACATTGTCGAGGCTGCATGACGATGCGCGGCGGGAGTCCATCACTGACGACTCGCGGGTGAAGCTGACGGGAGAGCAGAGGAGAGGAGCCGGGTTGCTGTCGTCGGCGAAGGTGAGGGCAGCCGAGTACGAGATGGTCTCCGGGTTGGTCTGGCTGCGAGCGTGCGTCGGCCGGTAGGCACTCTTGTTCGGCAGGCTGGGCGCCGGAGAGGTCCTCGCCCGCTTCGCCGGCCGGGGAACAACAGCAGGGGGGATCATGGCCTGGTCTTGGCTGCGGATCTTGGGCAGGAGGAGCGGCCCATGGGTGCGGATGGGAGACCGCGCCGGGGTGGTCCGGCGGGTGCTCGGGGCAGTGATCGAGTCGGAGGGCGACGACTCGAAAGAGTAAACAGACCCATGCGAGCTGGAGCGGGCATGGCCGGGGTTGTAGGGGATCTCGAGCAGTGACGGGTCAAAGGTGAAGCTCGGAGGGGTGGTGGGGTCGCATGATGGGAAGGTGAAGTCATAAGTGACATCCGCTGCCAGACTGATTGTTGTTAGGATCTGATCTGTCTGATCTGTCTGATCTGGTGTTCGAGGGTACCACTGGCATGGTACTCTAGGTGAATAACTCACGTGGACATGTTGGCGACTGGTCAAGGGTGTGTCGACTTGGACACACACACAGCAGATTATAAAATTAGTGTAGTGTGCGAGGGTGAGAGCTCCGTGGGGAGTCAAGTTGGGAGACCGGCTCCGTTGGTGTAAGTGTTTGACAGAAGAGAGGGAGAAGGAAACGAGGTGGTCCGAGAATATCGACCAAGCCTCCAGACAAGTCCAGGGAATCGAGGGGGACTGGGGAAGTGGAATGGATGTCTGAGGATGAACAAACAAGAGCGACGAGGAGGGGGGAAGAGAGGTCGTACTTATCCTCGCGGCAGATCAAGGCCGGAATCATAGGCCACAGACGGCCGCTTCGGTGCGGGCCCAAGATGCATGAGCCGACTCGCGGTACTAGCACTGGACGCGGCGGTCTGGAGACGGATCATGACAGGCAAGCTAGTGTGGCAGGGTAGGATGTTACTCGTGAAGGTGGTGTGGATCTTTGGGATGCTTGGATGATGGATCGTGGATCGTGTAGCGTGTAGCGTGGACCGTGACAGCGCCGCGGGGCAGTCACTGAGCGAGCGAGCGCGGACCGCGAAGAGGGAAGAAAGAAGCGCGGAGTGGAACCGTTGATCCCGCGCCAGGAACCCAAGGTTACATCTGGCCCAGAAGGGACCGTCAGGTACGTACCTTTCGTCCTACCAGAAGTGCAGCTGTGTAGCCTTAAAAAATTGCAAATTGCCATTCGATGAAAATAAATCCTGAAACACGGAGTCAAGCTTGCCATTTTGTGGGGTGAACGGCGGATATTGCAGCCACACAGAGACCTTCTTTTGCTCGGACGGGATGATTGAGACGCTGAGGCCGCGCACAAAGACGGGTACGTACCTTGCCGCTGTGGTCGGCGGCTCGGGGGGATATCAGACGAACTCCCATGGCTACCGCTTGGGCCAGCGGCTGGTGGTTCACAAATGGCCCCTCAACAAAATTAATTGTGTGCGAGTTCTTTTCTTTCTGCCAAGCCGAGAAAAAAGGGGGAACATTGTCGGTGAGCAATCGGTTCCTGCCCAAATCTGCAGAAAGGACCTGCAAGCTGTGCTGGCCCAAGCTTCATTTTCCCTCGATGCGGGCATCCCGTCCCCCACAACTGGCTCACCTCTGGAAAAAATCGAACGAACGAGGAAGCAATGTGGGAGCGTTGCAAAGAAGGCAAGTTGAAGTGCATTTCGGGCCTCTGATTGGCTCGGCATCTCGTTAATGCAAGCCGCCCGCAGGCGTCTCGTGAGTCATATTTCGACACCTGGCAAGCACCGCATTAGCGGGCTTGTCGATGTGCGACTCCACCCCGCGTCCGGCAGAGCGCCAATAGGAAACCCAGGACCGGGGCGCGCTTCTGCCGCGACTTGGCTCTCCGTCGCGGCTCTTGGGACACGCTTCCCGCGCGGTCGACGTGGGCGTGGATCGCGGGGCGTGACAGTGGGGCGAACGGCAGAGCAGCCACGGTTGTGGCTTTACCCCACGTCGACGCCCACGTTGGAAGACAGATTTGGGCAGAAAGGTACGCTGTTTAAGGTCACAATGGCCACGCCGACATGGAAAATGTAGGGCAATCCTCGCGAATGAAGCTCATCAGGTGTCCCTCACCGGCATCCATTGGGCATTCCCCCTTTCCGATCCCGGCGTTTGGGCAGCTCTGCGTGGAAGCAGTGCTGGCCTCATTTCCCAGGATAGTCAACGTTACCTACCCGCCGAATTCAGTCTTCTCGGACCGAGGATTCCATGACGGGTGCCAGGTGAACCCTAAAGTTATTTTTGGGCGAGACCTCAACACCAGCATCCGCCGATCGAGATCTTATCCCGGCTCCGTCCGCTCGGAATCAAAGGGATCCTGTCTTAGGGCTGACGGGCAGGCTTGATGACCTGCTTGGAGGCGGTTACTGAGATTGCTGTTGTTTGACGACTGCCGGAGGGAGCCCATGGTTGGGCGGTTGCGGAATTCGAAGTCCCAATTCGGTAGCCGCCCAACTAACCGCGGGCGCTTGCGAGCGACCAAGCGAGAGGCACAATGTTACCGTACCAGCCTCCCCTGTTAAGATGACCCGTGCGTAGCAGGGGGGAAATGTTAACAAATATTAGCCGCGATTTAACAATTTTGACTGACCAAAGAGGCGGCCGTGATCGGGGAGTTACATGGATAGACGGGCGGCTGCTGAAATTCGCGGCTCGACCTCGCCCCAGGCCCGTACCCCAGGTTGCCTCTGGAGAGACCTTCGTTCCGAGCCGACCGCGTCAGCGCTCGTTGCACCGCCTCATCCCCCCAGCCGGGCGCTTAAAGACCCTGCCAAGGAGTCGGGGTGAGCTCTCGGTCAGAGAACCATCTTCCGCTGACCGAGGTGAGAGCGAGCGCGACTACGACGCGATCAAGCCAAGCCCAAGATCCACGAGCACGCGGAAACACGTGCACTCGTGGATCGGTTTCGGACCCCCTCTCCCCGATTCGTGGTTTCCCCCCTGCCGTCGCCATGCAAGTCGCGCCCCGCACTCAGCCAATCCGACCCGCGCAAAGTTCAACTCTCACCGACTCTCACCTGTCGAGTTCGCGATTCGGCCCGTCGATTGGCTGTCACCGCCTTTTGGCTTTCCCAACGCCCGCGATTGCATGACTCTTATCTGCAGCTTCCTCGTTGGCGTCCGGCTCGAGATGCAGGCGAAGAACTTTTTCTCTCAACGGCAAATTGCGTGGAGGTGAGGGGAAATTCCCGCATCCGGCAATTTGTTTCCATCTGTTTCCTTGTTTCCCCCGCGACTTCCCGAGGGGTTTCCCGTGTTTCGATCGACAAGCTTCCAGAACGGGAAGCCACCTCGAGCCACACACCACCACAGCCAACCAAGCGTTCGTTTCGTTTCAGGTGGACGCACATGCAAGCAAGACGCAAGCTCTGAATGACTCATTCAATTGATTAACATCCTTTCGTCATCCTACTATCCGGCCGATCGGGAGTTCTTGTTCTTGTTACTGTGTAGTGGAGGTGAGCGAGGATCTTTTGCCTGCCAAGATGGTGCATGATGGTTTGTCGAAGGGGTCAGCGGCGAGCACAAAGACCGAGGGGGGAAGCAAGTGTTTCCTCGTGTGTCTCGGGTGGACGCGTCCATTGTTCTATGAGACGCCTCACCAGCGCGAGGCGCACATGCAAAACAGAAGTGGCTTCGATATTTCACACATCTTTTCGTCTCAGCCACCCCACAACTTCTCCTGTCTCAGAGGTTGTGCCGCTTCGACCCATGATGATGCCTATCACATCAAGCTCGTCACTCAACAAGTCCTTGCAGCCACTCAAGTTAGTGTCTCCGTCCTCAGGGCCTCATGGAGTATCATTTTTAGTTTGACAGGCTCAAACCGGATACTGCTTTCCCATAAATATCAGAGATGCATCCGTGGTGGGTATCAAGCTTTATGTAAGCCGGCACTCAAAGAGTCTCGATATGGGTCGAAATATTCGTCCACACTCCACAGCACACAGAGTGACGACGCCGTGTGATAGCGGCTCAAACGTCGCAGCCGAGCCAAAGCCCACGTGGAAAGGTGAGACATGCACTCAGCAAAAAGGTAGTACAGGGTTAGGGTAATGCCTCTCTTCGCAGTCGCTCCGAACCCCGCCTCCCCAGTTCTCAACACTTCTTTTACAGACTCAGAAGAGAGAGCTTCATTACAATGCATGCTGATGTTCCACCGCCGCGCCTTTTGAGCTTCTACAAGTGAGATTGGCTACCGTGTGAGGTAGTTATATAGTTATTTACCAATTCGGCAACCGGGGCTGGCACGCTTCGCCAATTCGATAAAGTTAATATTGATTGTTTCCCAAATTGACAAGAGCTCGACATGCGCTTTGATCGCTAAATCTACCAACTCTACGCTTAACTTGACGTCGTCTCTCGCCATCCTGTTACACGAGAAAAACAACGACGGCCATAATCATTAATATTTGTTGCCATACGAAGTATAGTATTCGGTTTGTTAAGAGCGATTCTAACTCCGAGTCAATTCAACAATTGACCAAACATGCCTGGCATTAAGAACTTCGACCCGAAGAAGGATGTGCCGGATCTCGCGGGCAAAGTCATCCTCGTGACAGGAGGTACATATTTTATTCTATTTCACTTTAGTTATTTTCTTACTCACCTAAATAATATTCTCAATTGAAGACGAGCCATCATTGACCACATCCAACAGGCACCGCCGGCGTGGGCGCCGCAACGGTGATCGAGCTCGCGCAGCACAACCCAGCACACCTCATCTTCACGGGGCGCAACCCCCAGTCAGCCGAGGCCACCATCTCTAGCGCGCGCTCCTCTGCCGCCGGGGCCGGCACTAGTGCTGAGGCCGTCCCGCTCACATTCATCGAATGCGACCTCGCCAACCTCGCCTCGGTCAAGGCCGCCGCCGACAAGGTCCTCGCCCTCACCGACCGCCTCGACGTGCTGGTCTGCAACGCGGGCATCATGGCCCGGCCCGCCGCCCTGTCGCCCGACGGCTACGAGATCCACATGGCCACCAACCACCTGGGCCACGCGCTCCTCACCCTCAAACTCCTCCCCCTGCTCGAGCAAACCTCAGCAGCAGCAGCAGCATCGTCCGCCGCAGGCACCAACCCCGCCAACCCGGCGCGCATCATCACGGTCAGCAGCGCCGCCTGGCGCAGCGGCGCGCCCCCCGGCGGCATCCAGTTCGACCGGCTCAAGACGCCCCAGGCGATGGGCGTGGGCGGGCGCTGGCTGCGCTACGGCCAGAGCAAGCTGGCCAACCTGCTGTGGGCGCGCGAGCTGGCCGCGCGCCACCCGGCCGTGCTCTCCTTCAGCGTGACGCCCGGGATCGTGGCCACGGGGGGTGTCGCGGCGTTTGGGCTGGCGGACAAGTTGTTGGTGTATGTGGCCAATGCTGGGCGGGTGTCGAGCGTCGACCGGGGCGCGTATAATCTGCTGTGGGCGGCGGCGGTGGTCTCTGGGGATGCGGTGGAGCGCGGTGGGTTCTACGAGCCCGTTGGGGCGCCTTCCGCGCTGCAGAGCAGGGCTAGTAGGGATCCTGCCCTGCCGGGCAGGCTGTGGGAGTGGACGGTGGAGGAGTTGGGACGGTTTTTGTGATCACGAGGACGCCTGCGGGACGGTCCGTTGGGGACGGACGGGGCGCGGATGGGGGCCGGATGGGCGGCCGGGATAGGGGACAGCGTGGCGGCGCGCCGGCAGTAGCTTCCATTGTTTTTCGGGGGATTCGTGCTTGCGTGCAGGAAACAGGCATGCTGTCGACATGTTGGTCCGATGTTGGTCGCTCTGTTGATCCATGCTGTTGTTCCATGCTGGTCCATGCTGGACCATGCTGGTTGGTGATGACCCCCACCTATATTGGTCTCGGCATTCAAGCATTCCTGCTTCACAGCTTCCTCTCTCGTGGAGAGTTCGGATCCGGGGGACGTGGGGAACGTAGCCCGGCGAATCGGGTATCTCTGGTGGTGAATGCCTCCCTCTTTGTTTCCGAAGGGAGTGCCACTTATCTCTTCGACGCCGTTGGAGAGCTCGAACCCTGGCTCCTGTGGAGTTGTTCTTGGCGGGACAGGCGACCAGTTGCGCGGGAGAAAGGTGCGGTCATCCTATCTATTTCTTCCGTTCGGTCTTTTGACCTTGCCGTTTCAAGGTCTAGCCCGAAGGCTGGTTCCGCGGTCTACCCGACACCGGAAGCTCCGGATTTGCTGCAGCTGCTGCATGCCAGGGAAGAACACCTGTTTGGGGTTCGTTGATGCTATGCGATGGTAGGAAGAATGTAGGATCGGCCTGTGAAGCGCCCCTGCAATGGAACAGCAGCTTGTCCAACGGCATACAATGGTGAATGGCAACCGAGCCAAGTGGCCAATTTCTTTATGCTTTACCGAATGCCTGTCACCGTTGTTCCCCACGTGCCTTATTCATACTGATGGGACCGAGTCGGTGGCGCCCGTTGTGTTGTGTCACCTTGGGAAAGGGAAACGGGTATAACTACCTATCTTCACCTCGACCACAACCACATTTTGCCACATCTCGCTTGAGATCCAGATCCAGCTACTACTGGTATCCGGACTGCTACTAGTTAGCACTTAGAGCCAATTCAACATGAGCCCTGCCGAAACAGCCAACGGCGTAAGCCCTCCTCCACACGTCAACGGGGTCAATGGCGTGCAGAAACCAAAGACGGAGCCATTGGCCATCGTGGGCATGGCCTGCCGCTTCGCCGGTGGCATCACCAACCCGGACAAGCTCTGGGACTTGGTATCCTCGGGGCGCGATGCTTGGTCCGAGGTACCAAGTGACAGGTTTAACCAGAAGGCCTTCTACCACCCCGACTCTCAGAGACTATCCACTGTAAGTACCATCCAGTCATGCCAGGGAGGGAGTGAGTGATATCGCGAGATCAGTGTTAACATCAACCATCATAGATGTCTATGCAAGGAGGGTTCTTCCTACAGCAAGACCCAGGAGTGTTTGACTGCTCCTTTTTCAACTTGACCGCCGACGTGGCTGCGGTATGTTCATCCCCCATACCCCACTTACACCATGAACAAGCCCCCTGTTCTAACCCGGAGTAGGCCATGGACCCCCAGATCCGGATCCAACTCGAAGTAACATTCGAGGCCCTCGAGAGTGCCGGCATCCCGCTCTCCAAAGCAGTCGGGTCCAACACATCAGTCTACACAGGCTCCTTCACAAAAGACTACCAGGACCTGCAAGTCCGCGACCCCCTGCACACGTCGCGCGGCTTCGTGACGGGCAACTACGCCGCCATGCTGGCCAACCGTGTCTCCCACTTCTTCGACCTTAGGGGCCCGAGCACGGCCGTCGACACGGGCTGCTCAACCTCTCTGATGGGGCTACACCTGGCGTGCCAGAGCCTGCGGGCGGGCGAGTCGGACTGCGCCATCGTGGGCGGCGCCAGCCTGCACCTGAACCCGGACGCCTTCGCCAACCTGTCGGCGCTGCAGACGTGCGGGCCGCACGGCAAGTGCTACGCCTTCGACCACCGCGCGCAGGGCTACGGCCGGGGCGACGGCATCGCGGCCGTGGTGGTCAAGCGGCTGTCGGACGCCCTCCGCGACGGCGACCCCATCCGCGCCGTCGTGCGCGAGTCGGCTGTCAACCAGGACGGCCGCACGCCCACCATCACGGCGCCGAGCGAGGACGCGCAGCGCCGGCTGATCGAGCACTGCTACAACATAGCCGGGCTGGACCCGCTCGAGACCTCGGTCGTGGAGGCGCACGGGACGGGCACCAAGGTGGGTGACCCGGCCGAGGCGAGGGCCATCGGCGCGGCGCTCGGCCGCCACAGAACGGCTGCCGGCGTGCCGCCCCTCTATGTAGCTTCGGTCAAGACCAACCTCGGGCACACCGAGGCGACATCGGGCCTGGCGGGCCTGATCAAGATGGTCATGTCGCTGGAGCACCGGCAGATCCCGGCCAGTCTCAACTTTGAGAAGGCCAACCCAGAGATCGACATGGAGGCGTTGCGGATCAAGGTATGTCCATCCCCGCTCAGGGGCTCAGGGGGTGTTGTTGTTTACGGAGCGGAGCGGCTAACAGCACAAACTACCAGGTCCCTACAACCCTCGAACCATGGGAGACAGACGGCGGCGTTCGGCGTGTCTCGCTGAACAACTTCGGGTACGGCGGCACCAACACCCATGTGATAATGGAGGAAGCCGCCGCACACCTCACCCCGGAACCCCAAACAAACGGCGTCACCCCCACCGTCAACCGCCAGCTCTTCATCCTCAGCGCGCGCGACAAGGCCGGCGTGGGCAAAGTAGCCGCCAACCTGCGCCAGCACCTCACCCAGCACCCGGACATCTCCCTCCCCAACCTCGCCTACACCCTCGCCGAGCGCCGCAGCAGGTTCCCCTGGACCTGGACCACCTCAGCCGCCACCGTCTCGGAACTACTCACCGCCCTCGCCGACGACACCACCACCACCACCAACCAACCGACCCAAGCCACCAACGACAACAACGGCCCCCCGCGCCTCGGCTTCGTCTTCAACGGCCAAGGCGCGCAATGGCACGCGATGGGCCGCGAGCTGGCGGCCGCCTACCCCATCTACGCGCAGACGCTGGCCGAGTGCGACCGCACGCTCCAATCCTTCGGCTGCCCGTGGTCGCTGGTCGACGAGCTGGCGCGGGACGAGGCCGCGTCGCGCGTGCACGAGGTCCGCGTCAGCATGCCCGTGTCGTGCGCCGTGCAGCTCGCCCTGGTCGAGTTGTTGCGTTTCCTTGGGGTGGTGCCGGCTGCCGTGACGGGGCATTCGAGTGGGGAGGTGGCGGCGGCGTACGCGGCTGGTGCGGTTACCCTAAGGGAGGCGATGGCGTGTACGTATTTTAGGGGGCTGGTGAATGCGGGCCATTTGGCGAAGCTGGGGGAGGGGAGTATGGGCACCATGATGGCGGTGGGCTTGGGGCCGGCGGAGGTCCAGGTGTATCTGGATAGGATGGAGGGGGCGGCCAAGGTGGTGGTTGCGTGTGTGAACAGCCCCTCGAGCGTGACGCTTTCGGGTGATGTGGTCGGGATCGAGGCGCTTGAGACCGAGTTTGCGGCGCAGCGCATCTTTGCCCGCAGGTTGAGGGTGCAGGCCGCCTTCCACTCGCATCATATGCTTCCGCTGGAGGAGGATTATCGCGCAGCGCTGGAGGAGCACATGGACACGGAGGGCGAGCGGGCATTCGCGCCTGGCGTGCGTTTTGTCTCTCCCGTGACCGGTGAGGCGGTTGAAGATGCCGACAGGCTCGGCCCGGGGCACTGGGTGGACAACATGACGCAGCCGGTGCTCTTCGCGCAGTCGTTCCAGGCCATGGTGGCGGCAAAGGATCAACAGCAGGTGGACATGGTGGTCGAGGTGGGCCCTCACAGCGCCCTTGCCGGCCCCATCCGCCAGACTTTGAGGGGTGTCCCGGCTATCAAGAGCTTTACTGTCGGGTACGGCTCCTGCCTTGAACGTGGCACCGATGCAGTGCGCACCATCCAGAACTTGGCCGGAGCCCTTGTGTCAAGGGGCTACCCGGTCGACACCATGCTGGTCAACGCCCCCCGCGGACAGGAGAGGCTTCGGGCGCTTGCCGGCCTCCCATCATACCCCTGGAACCATAGCCAGCGGTTCTGGCACGAATCCCGCGAGAGCCATGAGCACAGGTTCCGAAAGCACTCACTACATGACCTGCTGGGGTCGCGGCTGGAGGGGGCAAGCGACGGCTCGCCCATTTGGAGGCACATCCTCCGCACCGGGGAGCTGCCATGGGTGCGCGACCACATTGTGCAGGGTGATACGGTGTACCCAGCGTCCGGGTTCATCGCCATGGCCATCGAGGCGGTGCGCCAGCTTCATAGTTCCGAAGCGGACAGCATCTCTGGCTACCTGCTCAGCGAGGTCGAGATCCTCAAAGCGCTGGTCATCCCCGAGGGCGAGAAGGGTGTGGAGGTGCAGTTGTTCCTCGAAGCGCCTAACGAGAAGGCGCTGGCGCAAGGCAAGCGCGTCTTCCGCATCTACTCGGCTCCAACCACCGGAGCGGAGGGCACATGGTCCGAGATGGCAAGGGGCACCATCGCCGTCGAGAAGGCGGCCACTCCGTTACCTGTCCTGAGGTCGACAGCCAGCATCGAGTTCGACGAGGCCGCCTATCACAAAAACATGAACCCCAAGACTCTATACGATGTCCTGCATGGCGTGGGCGTTAAGCACGGCCCGTCATTCAGGAAGCTCGTAGACATCCGCAGGGGAAGCGACGAGGCCAAGTCGACATTTGAAGTCTGTGACTCGGCGGCCCTGATGCCGTGCCAGTACCAACAACCGCACGTCATCCATCCCATCACGCTCGACGCCGTCTTCCAGGCCGCCTATACCACGCTCTCCCCGGAAGCTCGCGAAGCCGTAGGCGCGGCGGTGCCGACGTCCATCAAGTCGCTATACGTTTCCTCGGCCATCAGCTCCGAGCCGGGACACCGCTTCGAGGCCTTCTCCCGCCTCCTCCAGCGCCACCGCTTGGGGTTCAACGTCGCACTCGCAGTCCTCGAGTCGGGGCAGTCCAAGCCGCTGATCGAAGTCGACACCATGAATTTCACCACCGTCGGCGGGACGGGCGCCAGCAGTGACAGCGGCAGTGATGAGGCGAACACCGCCCTGGCAGCCGCCTCCAAGATTTGCTCGTTCATCGACTGGGAGCCCAGCGTCACGCTCAACGACGCCCACACTCAATGGGCCGAGCGGCTGAAGCGCCCGGCCGACCCAGTCGAGAAGATCCTGGCACAAGACCTCACCCGCGCGGGTTACTACCTCGTCGCCGACGCTGCGGCGCAGCTGACGGAGGACGACATCGCCAACCTAGAGAAGCACCACCAGTCCATGTGGGCGTGGATGCAGCTGCAGCTCGAGCGGGCGGCTGCGAACGAGCTCGCGCCGGGCAGTGCGGAGTGGGCAAGCACACCAGCCGACGAGCAGTCAACCTTCCTAGACGACGTGGCGGAAGCGAGCACGAACGGGGCACTCGCCGTGCGCGTGGGACGCAGGCTGCTCAGCATCCTACGCAAGGAAGTTGCGCCGCTGGAGGTCATGCTCGAAGGCGGGCTGCTGTACAAGTTCTACCAGGACATGCTGCGGTTCAAGGCCTCAACAGCGCAGCTGGCCGAGGTCGTGGGCGCCCTTGCGCGCGAGAACCCGCGGCTCCGGATCCTGGAGATCGGCGGCGGCACGGGAGGCTGCACGCGGCCGGTGCTAGACCACCTCCGCACGCTCAGCGACGGCGGCGTCAACGCGGCCGGCTTCGAACACTACACCTTCACGGATATCTCGTCCGGCTTCTTCCAAGCCGCGCGAGAACGCTTCGGCGAGTGGGGCGACCTGATCAGCTACACGGCGCTGAACATTGAAGAGGACGCGGGCGAGCAGGGCTTCTCGGAGAAGAGCTACGATCTGATCATCGCGGCGCAGGTGCTTCACGCGACCAAGAACATGGCGGTGACGATGCGCAACGTGCGCAAGCTGCTCAAGGACGACGGCAAGCTGCTGATGATCGAGACGACCAAGGACAGCATCGACGTGCAGATGGCCTTTGGCACGCTTCCCGGCTGGTGGCTGAGCGAGGAGCCCGAGCGGAAGTACAGCCCCAACATGCCGCTGCCCATGTGGGAGCCATACCTAAAGAACGCCGGCTTCACGGGCCTCGACCTCAGCGTGTGGGACTGCGAGGACGAGGAGCACCAGACCATGAGCGTCATCATGTCGACTGCCATCCCCGAAACCGCACCAGTCTACCCCGACCAGGTGGTGCTCGTGTACGATGCCACAGCACCGCCGCCACCAGGCTGGCTCGAAGGTCTCGCGTCCACCATCACCGACACCACCGGGGTAACCCCCTCGGTAACGGACCTAACCTCGCCCGACGTCGAGAACAAAGTGGCAATCTTCGTCTCCGGGCTCGACGGCGCAGCACAGAACTACCTCGACGACGACTATTTCGAGTCGATCAAGGCCCTCCTGCTCAACGTCAAGGGTCTCCTCTGGGTAACCACAGGCTCAGCGATCGACTGCCCGCAGCCCGAGAACGCTCTACACACCGGCTTCCTGCGCACCTGCCGAGTCGAAGACGGCAGCCGCCGTCTAGTCTCCCTCGACCTCGACCCAGCCCGCCAGCACTTCGACTCCCCCGCCATCACCCACACCACCATCACCAAAGTCTTCACCACCGCCTTCAACACCTCCTCCACCAACAACACCAACCCCAACCCCAACCCCGCAAACGACTGGGAATTCGCCGAGCGCAACGGCACGATCCTGCTCCCGCGCCTGCGCCGCGACGCGGCCGAGAGCGCCGCCTACACCAACGCGCCCGGCGCGCCCGAGATGCAGCCCTTTCTCCAGACAGAGCGACAGCTCAAGCTGGAGGTATCCAAACCCGGTCTGCTGGACAGCATCGTCTTCCACGACGATGCCGACGCCGGCGCGCCGCTGCGGCCGGACTGCGTGGAGATCGAGCCGCGGGCGTACGGCATCAACTTCCGCGACGTGATGGTGGCGATGGGCCAGCTGGACGGCGAAGAGGACTTGGGCGTGGAGTGTGCCGGCGTGGTGACGCGGGCGGGCGAGGAGGCGCGCGCGCAGGGGTTGGAGGTTGGGATGAGGGTGGCGGCGCTGACGGCGCAGGGGCGGATTGCCTCGCGCGTGCGCGTGCCGTGGGTGTCGGTCGTGCGCATGCCCGATGAGATGGACTTTGCCGATGGCGCGAGTGTTTGTGCCGTGTTTGCGACGGCCTACTACTCCATGTTTGAGGCTGCGCGGCTGGAGCCTGGTGAGACGATGCTCGTGCATGCGGCGTCGGGCGGTGTTGGGCAGGCGTGTATCATCCTGGCGCAGTGGAAGGGGATCGAGGTGTACGCCACGGTGGGCACGCCCGAGAAGCGCCAGTTCCTGACCGAGACGTACGGTATCCCCGACGACCGCATCTTCAACAGCCGCGATGTGTCGTTCGGGCCCGGCGTGATGGCCGCCACTAAGCAGCGCGGCGTCGATGTCGTGATCAACTCGCTGGCGGGTGCACTCCTCCACGAAAGCTGGGGTGTCCTGGCGGCACACGGTCGGTTCATCGAGATCGGCAAGAAGGACATCTACAACAACATGTCCCTGGATATGGCCACCTTCCGCAAAGCCGCAAGCTTCATCGCCGTGGACCTCATCCAGCTGTGCAACAACCGGGGCCGCGTCATCAACCGCGTCCTCAAGGCCGTCATGGACCTGCTCGAAGCCAAATCCATCCGCAACATCTCGCCCATCGTCACGTACCCCATCTCCGCCATCGGCCGCGCCCTCCGCACCATGCAAGCCGGCAAGCACATGGGCAAGATCGTGGTCGTGCCCACAGTCGACGACATGGTCAAGACCATCCCCAGCCGCCCGACCGCCACCCTCTCTCCCAACGCATCCTACCTGATCATCGGCGGGCTCGGGGGCATCGGCCGGTCCATCGCGCGGTGGGCCGTCGAGCACGGCGCGCGCAACCTCATCCTCATCTCGCGGCACGCCGCCGACAGCCCGCACAGCCAAGCCCTGCAGGCCGAGCTCGCCCGGCAGGGCGCCACGGTAGCGGCGCGCAACTGCGACGCCAGCGACCTCGCCAGCCTGCGCGCCGCCCTGGCCGACTGCAGCGCAAACAACAACATGCCGCCCGTGCGCGGCGTGATCCACGGCGGCATGGTGCTAGACGACTCGATCCTGGAGCGCATGACAGCAACACAATGGCGGGCGGCGCTGCGGCCCAAGGTAGCCGCGACCCAAAACATCCTGACCCTCTTCCCCCCCACCGCAAACGCAAACACGGACACCGACACCGACACCGACACCACGCTCGATTTCCTAATCCTACTCTCCTCCGCCGTCGGCGTGCTCGGGTCAGCATCACAAGCCAACTACGCGGCGGGGGGCTCCTTCCAGGACGCGGTGGCGCGGCGGTGCGCGGCGGCGGGCCAGCCGTGCGTGACGACCATCGACCTGGGCATGGTGGACGGGGTCGGGTACGTGGCGGACTCGGACGCGTCGGTGGCGGCGCGGCTGGTGAGTGCGGGTCACCGGCCGCTCTCCGAGGCCGATATGCTGCGCCTGATCGACTATGCCGTGCGCCGGCCTGTGCGCCGCGATGGTGGCGGTGGTGGCAGTGTGAGGACTGCGCAGGTCGTGGTTGGGCTGGCGGGGAGTGTGCTCAATACGAGCCGGAAGAGTAACGATGGGAGTGGGCCGGGGTGGGCGAGTGAGACGAGGTTCGCTGCGCTGAGGGAGGAGGATGATGACGATTCGCGTGACTCTGCAGCGGCGAGGAAGGGGGGGTCTGGTTTGGGTGGGCTGAAGCAGCGTCTGGCTGGTGCGCGTGGTGTCGATGAGGCTGTCGGGTTGGTGGAGGGTGCCATTGTCAGCAAGCTGGCTGATATGTTTGTCATCCCGGAGCAGGACATCGATGCCACGCGGCCGCTGGCAAAGCATGGGGTGGACTCGCTGGTTGCTGTCGAGCTGAGGAACTGGATCGTTCCCATGATGCAGTGCGAGATGTCCATTTTCGACTTGATGCGTGCTTCGTCTCTCCGCGAGCTGGCGAAGAAGATCGCGAAGAGGAGCAAGCTGGTCACCTTGACCGATGGGCGGAGTGGAGGAAATCCCTGTAGTCAGCAGTAGGATATAGAGAGCGAACACCTAGAAATAGATGGTGTGTGATAGACTGTATTCGTTGGTCTGTGTGTGGATGGATGATGAGTTGTAGAAGGGAACCTGAGCGCCTTACCAAAAATACAAACGGAATGTTTCCGATGCCACCGTCCCTCGTACAACTCACCGCATTTCTATATATCCTACGACTTCACCAACTCCGACTTCCCTCCCCAGCCTGCTCCGTTCCCCCATTACCACCACCACCACCACCACCACTACCCCACCCATTACCATCTCCCCCCATCTCCCCCTCATCACCAGCCACATCAGCCGTACCACCCCATCCCTCCCTCGCAACCCTCAACGCCCTCTGCATACCCTCCAAACGCATCCTCTCCCCAACCACCACCCCCCTCGCCAGGTCTCTAATCGCCCGCCGTCCCATCCTTTCATGCATATCTCTCCACCCAGCCAATTCCCCAGCAACAGTCTGCTGCGCGTACCGCAGCTCCCTGCACAGGCCGTCGGCCTCGCCCTCGCTGCGCCGGGCCTTCTCCTCGCGCTCCTCGTTCTGCCGCTGCCGCGTCTCGTCCAGCACGGGCAGGCTCAGGCCGAGCGGCCAGCGCGACGAGCGGTTGAGGGAGTTGTAGCTGCGCTCGGCGTCGCGGCGGACCGCGTGGATGCGCGAGACGGTCTGGGGCGGGCGGGCGAGCGCCTTGAGGACCGACTCGACGTTGTTGTAGAGCGTCAGGAAGGTCGTGAAGAAGGTGGCGTGCGGGGAGGAGTGGGATGGGGTGAGGGCCCGCACGTAGGTTGCGAAGGCGGTTACGTGGCCGGCGGGGAGGAAGGGCAGGGTGGAGAGGGTGCGGGCGAAGAGGGTTGATGATTCGAAGAGGTCTGAACGGGGTAAACAATGTCAGTATGCTACGGTTATGAAGACGGGGAAATTGTAATGAGGCTGAAAGTGGTGGACGTACCGATGACGACGTTGCCGACGACATTCGCCCGCCGCGCGACGCTCCTCGTAGAAAAGTGCACGCTGCGCACCATGTCCCGCGCGTGGTCGATGAACTGTTCGACCTCGCGCAGGTCCTCGACCGGCTCAAACTCGTCGTGCACCTTCTCCATCTGCGCGTCTGCCTTGAGCTTGCTCCGTTCCGCCATCATATCCAACTGCAGGTCCGGCACAAGGAAGAATTCCCACAGCATCTCGTGCGTCGCAAATGTCGGGTGCTGTAGCAAAACCCTCAAGAACCAGTCCATTCTGATCTGTAGGTCCTTTAGCACCGCACGGCTCGGTTTCGAGGGGATCTGTATCGGGGAGCGCAAATCCGCCAGGGAAGGGATCCACGACGCCGGGTTCTCCATCTGCAGCAGCTTAGCCAGATGCTCAAAGTCGGTTAGCGACCGCCGGCAAGTGGTGACAGCAAAGCTCTGGTTATCGACCGGAGCGCCCGACTTGAGCACGAAGCGGACTGAGGCGTCCTCGACGAAATAGGCGCGGACGACGCCGGTGGTCCGAGAATCCATGCAGGGCATCTGGGAGAACAGCGTCAGGTCATCGATCTTGTTCCGCACCTCGTCGTCCTTGGCCAGCTCGACGGCCGTCAGTCCCCGCAACTCCCGCGCAGCAATGTCGACGCGCGGGTCGCCGAAAAGGGCCCGGACCATGCCGAAGCGGCCGTATTTGCTGGCCAGCATTAGGGGCGTGAAACGCTTCTCGTTTGTAGCGTTGACGTCGACGTCGCATTTTTGGAGGATCATCATGGCCAGATGGGCATCGTTGACGATGTGTAACAGCGTGTTTCCCTTGATATCCACGTGGTTGTCCAGGTGCAGCGGCTGGCCATCCCCCTGGGTCCTAGTAGCCGCCTCTAGTGCGTCCCTGACCATGATGGCATAATTCGGGTGATCGTACGACCGGCACAGCGCAAACAACGGCGTCTGTCCGTTCTTGTCCTTTTGGCGCCACGGCAACAGCCTGCCGATGCGCTGTATCAGAAACGGTGTGTGAAACAAATAATGAGCAGCGCTCCTGCCCCAGGTGTCCTGGATGGCGAGGTAGCGGCTGATCCGGCTGTCGCTCGTAGATTCCAGTAGGAAGTCGAGGACGGTGTTGACGATGGTCTCGTCACCTAGCTGCACAGCAGCGCTGAACAGCGTGGTCCCCTCGTTGTTTTGGTCGTCCAGGATAACCTCGGCAGAGTAGTAGTTCCTCAGCGAAAGGAGATACTTCAAGGCCCGCGGCTGCTTATTTTGGATAGCCATCATAAGGACCGACTCTCCAAAGGCATCTTGGGTTTGAGCGAGCCGCTCAATCGACGTGTCCCCCTCAATTCCGCTGATTGTACCAATGCTCATAGGCATCGACCGGAACGAGACCTCGGAGCCGCTGGACATGCTCCTTGTGTCCATGGCCACCTTTTTGACTCGCTTAGGCGGAGGCAGGAACACCTCTTCCTCGTCTGCGTCCCCATTCTGGAACGGGAACACATGGCTCAGACCGGAACCCCGGGAGAAGCTCTCCAAGGTGGTGAAGCTCAATGAGGACCGCCTGGAGATCCCGTTGGTGAAACTCCAGCCGCTGGACGATTGCCTCCGAGAGTGAGATGACCCGAACACGGCCTTGTCATCTTCGATGGCGTCCTCGTCCGGCTCCATTATTTTCCTCAACTCGGGAATGTCACCTTTTGATACAGCGTCCCACAGAGCCCTGTTTCGGCGGCTCGCTCTCCGCAGCCCGCCGGAGTCGCGGTCGAGGTATGACAAAACCGCCTCGCAAGTGCTGAGGGCATATCCCATCTCGCCGCTTTCCACATCATCAACAAAAACGAAACTCTGTATGTAGGCCAACCTCGCCTGCAGATGCTTGATCTGTGCTTTTATCACAACGTAGAGCAACAGGGATACCAAAGTGTCCGCGTTGATCGTCATGGCTGGTTTCTCAGTCGCCGACCCTGGCTGCCCCGGCTGCGGAGCATCCGAGAGCTGAGTTGCCGCTTTGGTCGTGGACAAAAGGATCTCCATCATCTCCTGCGGACAGCTGGCATGGGGCATCTTTCGGAACTCTTCGACGGCTCGGCCAAGCCTATTGACGACATCACGTTTGGCACGGTTGCCCCCGTCGATAGCGACGCCCAGCTGCGAGATGTCGATGAAATCCATCTGCCTGATTTTGGCCTCCAGCTCCAGATCCTCCAGCCTCCTAAGCGCGGCGAGTCGTGGAAATACCATGTGATGCACGTTTTCGGCGATGTAGCGCTCGATCAGTCGCTCGACAAGCGGCCCGGTCAGATCCGTAGTAGCACCCAAGAGCGAAAGCTGCTGTCTATCGACACTCTGGAACAGGTCAATAGCAGCTGTGACGGCGGTCTCCATAGCGGTCCTCATGATGGTCTCGTCATCCTGGAAAGCCCCGGGTACATGGCCCCCATTAACCCCGTTGGCGTCGCCTTGACTAACATCGCTGTCCGACCTCGCTCGCTTCAGTGCCGTAGTTATCGGTCCATCCGGCTCCGGATCCGGTATCTCGTTGGCGGATGGTGGCGGCGGCAAGGGGCGTTCGAAGACAAGCGTAAATTCGCGGAACAGCTTCTCTAGGCCGGCCTGCATCTGCTTGGCAATGGCCGGGAAATGGATGAGCAGCTCGTGAAACGTCCTTATATCCTTCTTTTTGGGCGAGCCGGAGGACTGCTCCTGAACTTCGGGTGCCTTTGCGACTCGGCCATCTCCTTCGGGCGCCGGGGGCAACACGGCGGGTGGGACATGAACTTCCTCCCATGATCCCACCAAGGGACGCGAAATGTAGTAGATTAGGAACGGTCGAGGATCGAGGGTGTCGGGGTACCAGATGGCATCGTGGAGCAGAATGGCTTGGGTCAACGCCTTGAAGCCTAGGTAGACAAGGGGTCAGCGTCCCGTACACGAAACAATGTCACAGACGAGAAAGTAGCAATACCCTTGTTGGTATAGATGCAATTGTCCTTGATGACGAGACTCCTGCCATTGAATGTGCCGTACACCTTGGGCTTCCCGCGCATCTCTCGGAGGCTCTGGGCGACATCCTTCCCTCCCGGCCCCTGCGGCTTCGGTATGGGGATGCGCAGCACATGGCTCGCCAGGAAGTCATCCGAGGTTATGGAGGCCACCAGTGGCGCGCCCGTATCGCTGTCGCGGGCGTTGAGAAGGACATCGGCGGCGGGGACAAGGAGGATGTGCTGTTGGGTCGGCAGACACTGGGCGAGGATAGGGCTCTTGGAGAAGGCGCTCAGGAATGGGTTTAGAGGTTGCATTCATTCAACTGGTTTAGCGACCGCTCTGAGTGTTCGGGCGTCGCTGAGAGTATGGCCACCATTGGGCGGTTTCTCGGAGTATAGAACCATACAACAACGGGCTCTTGAACGAGGCCCAGGGTATGAGGTACACCTTTCCGGGTATATTTGGACGGATTCAGGGTCCGGGGCACTCGGAAGGGGCTAATGCAGGGCACGAGGCTTTCGTGTTGCGGCGGCTCGATCGGGTTCTGAAGTGCAGGTAGCCAATGGGTTGAAGGCGGGAGTCCGAGTTCCGAGTATCCAGAAGAGAGTCGTAGTATGTAAGTTCGTTGAAGTTTCCAGTCAGTCACAGTACTTCGTAAACAGCACTTGAAGAGGAGTTAAAGCTCGGCCGCCATGTGCGATGGATGCCGCGAATCAGTGGCGCGAGACAGGGATGCTGCGGCGACACCTGGACAGCAGCTGCGCAGCGCAACGGTGCACGGTGCAGGCCGGCTTCTCTGCCAGCCAATAATATCTGACAAAGGGCGATCTCCCGTTGGAGGTGGAGCGGGGCATCTGTTGCTTGAGACTCAGCTTAAAGACTCAACGCTGTTGCTGTTCCACAAGAGTGATTCCACAAGAGCGAGTCCACAGAGGAGTGAAAATTCTGTGATTAAGTTGTGGGTTCTGGGGCTTGTCAAATGCACAGTTCAATGGGCTTAAAATGTCTTCATTTTTACTTTATTATGTTTCACTGAGCTATGGCGGGATGGGACTTGGTGGGCTTGACTGCCTCGGGTCACTGGCCGAGGCGGCGCCGTATGTACCCGCAGCGTACATCTACTGTGTAGGTAGGTTTCATCCCGTTTGCGGCTCTTCAAAGTCCAGGCGCCGGCTACCGGGAATCGATCCCAGGTAGCCAGACCGCTCGAAGACCCCATAACCAGGGTGCAAACCCCGCGGGCTACGCAGTCTCGGTCTCATACACTGAGGGTCGCGCAGCAGCCTACTCATGTCTCAGAAACTCTGTGTCATTTAGCTGCGCGACCTTAGGCCTTGGCAGCACCAGCCTTGATCAGCAAGATATCGCCGTCCTCGACGACGTAGTCCTTGCCCTTCGTCATGACCTTGCCCTTCGACTTCACCTCGGACTCGTCGCCGAGCTCCTTGAGGACGTTGTAGTTGTACACAATGACCTGGATGAAGGTCTTCTCAAAGTCAGTGTGGATGACACCCGCCGCTTGCGGGGCCTTCGTGCCGTTCCGGATAGTCCATTGGCGGACCTCATCGGGGCCGACAGTGAAGAAACTGCCCAGGTTGAGCGCCTTGCGCATCTGCAAGATGATCTTGGGCAGCGCAGACTCGGCGCCGATCTTCTTGCACTCCTCTGCAGCCTCCGCCTCGGTCTCGAACCGGGTCAACCGCTCCTCGAAGGAGACTGAGATGGGAATAATGGGGTCGCCCGCGGCATGCTCCTTGATCCACTCGACGATCTTGGGGAGATGCTTGTTCTTCTTCCGGATGTAATCCCTCTCCGAAAGGTTGACGAGGTAGACTACCGGCTTGGCGGACAGGAGGAAAAGAGGATTGATGGCCTCAACCTGATAAAAGAATTAGCGTCCGTGCCACTCTGTACTTTGCGGTGGCAGTATGAAGACGTTGGGTGACGGAGTCAGAATGGGGTTTTTATCTCAGCTTGCACTCAGCGTTATTGAAGAGGCAATCGACGAGCTGGGTTATTAGATCGGACCATTGGTCCTTTATCATCATGGTGGAAGGCCAGGGTTGCAGAACCAAAAAAAAAAAAAGAAAAGTAAGCAGCTTACCTCCTTGGGAGTCCAGGTGCCCTTGCGGACATCCTTGCCCTCCTTCAGCCAGGCGAGGATCTTCTCGATCGTCGCCTCCTCAGCCTTCCATTGCTTCATCTGGAGAGACTGGCCGCCCTGACGGGTCTTCTTCTTCTGGTTCTCGAGCGCCTTCTCGACGAACTCGATATCCTTCAGCCGTAGCTCCTCGCTGATGATGTCGAGATCGCGAACCGGATCCACGTCGCCCTCGACGTGGATAATCTCGGCATCGTCGAAACACCTCACAACCTGAAAGATAGCATCGACAGCGCGAATGTGAGACAGGAAGGCATTGCCGAGACCGGCTCCTGTTGAGGCGCCACGGGTCAAGCCAGCGATGTCATAAACTGTAAGGTTGGCAGGCACCCGCGACTTGGGGCTGTACTTCTCGCACAGCCAGTCATAGCGGTCGTCAGGGACGATGACGCGTGCCTCCTCAGGATCAATAGTAGCATAGGGGAAGTTCTAGCGGCGGGATCAGCGAGGTGGTCCTTGCGAGAGGTCTCGGGGGCTCGCGCATACTGCAGGGTTACCCAGGTTGCACTTGGTGATGGCCTGGAAGAGCGTGGACTTGCCAACGTTTGCTAGCCCAACCTGTTCGTCCGAGACAAGTCAGCGGAGCTGAGGCGTTGATGTCGACCGAGGCAACCCACAATGCCGCTCTTCAGATTGTTTCCGGGACGACCCAGGAGGATCTTCTCCTCGACCACGGGCTTCTTGGGAGCCATCTTGTTTCTTCTGCTGTAGTGACGAGTGGGGATGTAGACGAGCGCGCAATCAAGCAACGGCTTCCTGAGAAACGCAGAGCTAGCTGCGGGGGTTCGAAGGAGGGGTAAGGTAGAAGCGAAGAGAAAAGAAGGAATTGACGACGTCGTGGTGACGCGCTCGTGGACTTTTTGCCACGAGCTACGTTATGAGAATGGTTGCTCAGACAAGTGAATGTCTAGCAATCGTGTAATACCGGAGCGTTGCGGGCAAACGCGGCTTGTTAATTGTGGTCAACCGTTGTTGAGCCAGCGTTTTCGCGAGGTGATGAAGTTGAGAGTGAAAATTTTGGGCGAGCTTGCAAGCATGGCGGGGTTAGCAACTGGTGGGGCGACCGAGAAAGGAGCGTGCACGAACCAAGCAGCTCTGCCCCACTTTTGAATTTCAGCTGAGAATCCTGTGGGTCTCCAGCTTGCCCAGGTCTGGGAGCCTGCCACAAGGCGTCGTCACAGACCTGCCTCATCTTCAACATTGGCAATAATCACTTGGTTGACCTCCATCATCTTCAACAGATTTGCTCCGATAATAACTATCTCTGATCTGTAGAAGTCAGTCGACTATCAATACCGGCTCTTAATCTCGACTAATCGCATTCTCCGCCATCGCCTTTCCCGACATTATCTTCTCCTCGGAGCATCCATTTCCCCGTCTTTGTCCCTGCGTTCGCTGCAAGTTGGCAGCCTGGCCACCTGATGAGCTTCCAACAACACCACGTCTAACCCGCATCTCCGCGTGTCTTTGACATCAATCAGTTATCGACACATCACCCCCCTCCTCCGACCGCTAGCAACCTTCCCAACCTCCCACCTCCAACACAAACCCACCACACCACCCACAATGCCGAACCCGACTCGAAAACACCAAAAGAAGCCCTCGCGGTCCCGGTCCCACCGCTCGACGCTCTCCCTCCAAAAGACCGAGATCCTCATCCACATCTACGACCTGCTCCCCCCGGGCCGCATCTCGACCGTGCTCTGGCACATGGGCACCTCGCTGCTCCACTCGGGCGTCGTGATCAACGGCAAGGAGTACGCCTACGGCGGGCACGACCGGCGGGGGCTGACGGGGGTGTACTGGACCAAGCCGCGCACCGAGCCGCCCGGCGGCACCTTCCGCTGCGAGTACCTGCACGGCTTCACGCTGGCCCCGCTGGCCGAGGTCGAGGCCATCATCCGCGAGGCGTCCGAGGAGTTTCTGGGGACGGGTTATAATCTGTTGACGCGGAACTGCAACCACTTCACGTCGTTTCTGTGCGAGCGCCTGACGGGCGAGCCCGCGCCGGGGTTCCTGAACCGCGCCGCGAGTATTGGCCTGGCGCTGCCCTGTGTTGTGCCGAAGGAGTGGATCGAGGTGCCGGACTTTGATGCCGCTGACGGTACGGCGCTGGATGAGGACGACGAGGGGGATGATAGCGAGCGGGTGAGGATGTTGAGGTCGTCTGGTGATCAGCCGCGGTTGGTTGGCCAGGAGGATCGAGAACCGAGCATGGAGTGGGATAGTGATGAGGAGCGCCAGCGGGGTGGCAATGGCAAGGGGAAGGCGCCGGTTAGGGACTCGGCGGGGAGGATGCTTCCTCCTGCGGAACGAGCGCCGACTATGTGATGCTCAGTCAACTTTCTTACTTCTCTTCGGGCATTGGGTTGGAGTTTGGATGGGGTCTTTGGGGGCAATTTGATGTGTGATACCACGGTTACCACGGTGGGCTGGGCCACTACCACGGCCGGCGTTTGAGGGTGGTATAACGGTGCTTGTTTTCTCGGGTAATCAGGGTAGGATGGAAGACCTTTGGGTTCTGGGGGGATGGGATGGAGCATACCTGGTAGTAAACCTTAACCTGAGATGAAGGAAAGAACCTAGAATTCGTCATTTTTACCAAGTCTTCTTGAGAGTTGCACCTTGAAAGCGAAGTCAAGACCCCAGGTGCCAATGGAACCTTTTATGGAACAGCCCTTGGAGTCGTACAGCCGGAAAAAGCCCCTTCAGCTGTGCTGCAACCGTTGGTGTGACGCAACCAACTTCCCATTCCGGTCTGCCTGCCTCAGTGGATCCGCAAAAGAGAATATGCAGATACCACGACCCGGAGCGTTACTCAGTATGCTAATAACTATTTTCGTAGCTCGCAGGTAACCATTTATTTTTGGTAGGAGTACCATTCATACACTAGTAAAACCAAGAGTGTTTTCCGATCCTCAAGACGGGGTGCACAACTACTTAGACGAGTCTGGTTGATATCCGTTCATTATTTCTACAAGCTCTTATATACAGATGATTACCGGCCCTGCCTGGCCCTCGTAGTGGCCGTCTCCAAAACCACGAGCTCACGCCGCAACACCCTTCGCGGTCAACGCCGCCTTGGCCATCTTCCCATCCGGCACATCCCCAACCTCTTCCGCCGCGCCCTCATGCTCGCGGTTCCACTCCAGGATCTGCTCGCACACCCCCTCGACGGTAGTACACGCGCCCTGGTACCCGAACCCGCCATCAGCGACACTCTTACGGGCGGCGCTGTCGTCGATGATGGTGTGAACCGACACGCTAAAGATGGCGGGCTGGAGCATGTGGATGGGGCCGGACGGCTCGCGCAGGCCAAACACCGAGGTCAGGAAGGGCAGGCGCGCCAGCAGCAGGCACCAGGCCTCGATGGCGTGGGCGACGAGCAGCAGGACGACGGGGCTCTGGCGGGTGGTGCGCACGCGCGTGGCCGACAGGTGCTCCCCGGCCTCGTAGATGTCGGCGAAGGCGACGGGGGGGCCCGGGTCGGTCACGTTGAAAGTGCGCCCCGCACAGGCGGGCATGGGCTCGCCGCCCTCCTTGCGGGCGAGGGCGGCCTCGAACTGCAGGTGGGAGAGGGCAACGTTGCGCGAGTTGACAAAGTTCTGCACGACGTGCGCGATCCAGGTCACGTTGTCCCCTAGCCGGAGCATGATGCCGATGACGGGGTCGGTCTTTTGACCGTAGATGGGGTTGCCGGGCCGGATGGTGCCCGTGCGGAAGCCGTCTTGGTTGGCGGCGCAGACCGCGCGCTCGGCTTCGGCTTTGGAGCGGCCATCTGTGGTCAAAGTCAGAACCTGGGCGCAACGGAGAGGATCAAGGAGGGGAACTGACAGTTGGAAAAGAACAAGTCGTGCGCGCGCAGGGGAGCGTCAAAGTCCTTCTCGTTGGCAACTTGAAAGTACTTTTTGGGGGTGCTCTGCCACGGCCAGATCCAGAAACTAGGGGGGACAATGCTGACGGAGGCAGACGAGGTGGCGATGAAAATATCCGCGCCGGCTTCCCGGGCCGTTTCGAGAACGTTCACGGCGCCATCCCGGTTCACAGGGCTAATGCGGCCGTAAAAGAGCGGGTTACGTTCCTGAGGCCGGACAGCGGCCGCGGTGTGGAAGACAGTCAGGGGCAGCTTGGCGACAGACTTGGGCCACGGCTTCGAGAAGGCGGCTTCGACAGACGACCGGGATGTGATATCAGCTTTCACAAAATCACAGCCGGCGGCCGTCTTGACCATGTCCCGCCGGTTGAGCGGCACGAAATCAACAACACGAATGCTGTCAGGCGACTCGCCACGCTGGAGCAGCTGCAAGACAATATCCCCTCCCACGAGTCCTAAACGAAATCAGCGCAAGGCCCCAAGCCTAAAAATGTCTAATTTGGGCTGGGCAAAGTGGCTCACCTGACCCGCCGACAACAACATACCGCCTCTCCAGACGTGGCGGGAGAAGCCGGATGAAGTCGATCGGGTTCTGTTTCACCCGTTGATAAACATTCCGAAGCTGATCTTTTGTCCAACGACTGGGCGAGGCTTTCTGCACGTCTTCTGGCACACTCTGCATAGCCGAATTAATGCGAACAAGCCATGCCGAAGCGATGACGGCAACAGCCACGACCACCGCCCAAATCATGGGTATTTTTTGTTGTTGCTTTTGCTGCTTTTGCTTTGTTTTGTTTTGTCTTGTTTTAAAATAAGTGGTTGAAGTCGCGATGATGCATGTATCCCCGGGCGCAATTCAGAGGGAGTACAGAATAGCTACTCTACTTGTAGATATTTAACTAATGCAGGAATAACTCGGAGGGAAGGGGGTCTTTGAGGACATGCCCCAAGTCTCCAGATTGGACATGAAGTGGAACGAACTTGCAAGTTGAAGAAGCTGAGAACGAAATACTAGTGTTCTCCACTCTCACAATTTCGGCGCATTGATTGGTTTGGTCGGACGGAACCCCTTGTATTTGATCCCCAGGCTTCACAACATCCCAGACCTTGTGGCCTTCCAGATTTAGCCCGCGCGTCCGATAGCCGTTGTCAAAGCGGCCAGATGTCTCGGAGGGATATTGCATGGTGAGCGCATGGATGGAGGAATGGAAAAGGTATGTATCGATCGGTTTTTGTTGCTCTGCGGGACTTTAGCAGTAACTACCTACCTACACAAACAAACCAAGTTGCTGAGGCACCGGACCGGCCGTTCGAGGCCGTTATCATCAGACGGTGTAGCCGGACACGCGACCTTCAACAACCGGGCATTGGAACCATCGTCCGAAAGCGCCACGCGATCATGCTCGCACAAAAACACGGGAAAGGATTTCACTACCTAGCTAGTGTGGAGCTCAACCTCATATTCATTGTGGGGATCGAGATCAACGACGGGATCCCATGGCGATCGCTGCAGCTTGTTGCTTACCTCATCATGAAATGTTCAACGACGACTTCTTCAACTCATCAAATCTGACGAAAAACCGAGGCCGCCATAATGTGAGCACAGGGGGCGCGGCGGCATAAAAGCTCAGGTGGGATGAAACACCACGGCGCGTGAAAGAATAGCGTATTTTAACCCCCCACGACCCGGTCTGGTTGCAGTTGGGTTTTGCATCTCCGGAACCATCGGAACGGTGGGCCGCTAACACCAGCGCTTGTATGGACATCCACTAACTAGGTAATTCGACCTCTCGGGTTCGAAAACTCGGTACCTAGGTGCAACCTTGAGATCTCTCGATTCCACCGGTGTGCCCATTCAGGTTGGGTTGTTTGCATCGGACTCAATTCGTACATTTCCGGCTTCTCCCCAACCTCTTTTGCGTGCCGCTTGTGGCAACGATGGACTTGAATGATGACGTGAAGCGAAGCCCATTGCGGGGTGTTTGATGTGCCAGTGCATGTGCCGTTGCCAGGGTCAGGAATGGTCGCCGAGTGCTCGGCTGCCAAAACAGTGACATCGTCACCAAGCAGGGGGGCTGGGACGGAAGGAAAGGCCATCGTTCAACCCCCGGACCACCCACGATAGGCCAATTCATCCAATCATCCGCCGCCCAGCCCTCCGTGAACAGACTTTCCCGCTTTGTGCCGGGACCCGGTTTGCACTTTCGCACTAGCAGTATTCGCAGGAAGCTGCTGTTTCGATTCCTCTCCTGCGGCGGCGGGACTCGGCTGCTCTCTCGACTTCTTCCACAGGCAACAACAATTCGAAAAGAGAAATTCGTATTTTACTTCCTCTCTTCTTCCTCTTCCCCCATAACCGCATTTTCGTAAATTCCATCCATCCATCTCTCAGCATCAGTTTCCCGCCAACCGAGATCCATTCGCACTCCTCACAATGCGTCAGAACGTCCTCCTCCTCGCGCTCTCGGCGGCCACCGCCGTCACCGCCCAAGAGCGCAACTTCACCATTGACATCAGCGCCGTCGAGCCGGCGACCAAAGGTATGCGTTGCTCGCTACATTGGTTATATAACTACGCTCTTGGACTGACAATGACCCAGCCGGCTGGTGCGGTGCGCAATATAACACTTGCCGCCTGCTCTGCGACGGCAGGCCGACCAAAAATGACTGCGATACCGTATGTTCAAAGTCGAGTAGTCGGTTCTTGAGCTTGATGGGCTGACACAGCGCAATAGAGCACCCTAGAGTACAAGTGCACATGCTCCGATGGCACTGCGCCCGATCTCGAGAACTACATCCAGACCGTCCCGACTGTGAGCTCCAACGCTGCCTACTCGGATGAGGGGTGAATTTGCTAACCTGCCACAGTTCATCTGCGAGCGAGCCTTCGAGGAGTGCATCGCGGCTAACACGGCCAGCTCCAGGGCTCAGGATGAGTGCGAGACCAACATCAAGAGCGAGTGTGGCGACCTGGATCCCACCAAGGCTCAGGCCAACACCCCCTCGGAGGACTCGACGACCAGCGCTGGCTCATCTCCCACCGACAGCCCGTCTGGATCTGCCGCCGAGAACGCTCCTGCCAACACGTCGACTTCCACTGCTGGTGCCGTCCCCACCGCCGCATACGTCGGCAACGGCGTCGCTATGGTTGCTGCCGGTGTCTTCGCCGCCATGCTCTAGTAAGCACAGCAGTGTGAGAGGGTGGCACTGAGCCTATGCCGCACAGCGTTTGGCCATCGTGCACAAGTATCGCGTTCATAGGCGTCGATCTTGTTCTTGTATTGATTTTTGTCTCGATTTTCCTCTGGACAGGCTTTTGGGTCGGCGACAGCAGGACCTGCAGGTACATAACCCGCCGCGACGGACTAGATCCGCAGTATAAAGGGCCTGATGTGCACAGGAGGACGAAGTTGCGGGAGATGAAAGAGGGTAGCGCCGAGGTGAACGGCTTAATTGAGGAGGACGGAGAGAGAGAGAGAATGAGGGTCTGGAGAAGGTGTTCTAGGAGCTAGCACTATATCCATTTGCTTTTTAGGTCGGGTCCCCGGATGCTTTGGATGTGATGTGACAACCGAGGCGATGTTGACTGGAGGGAGAGGGCTGTGGTGTATTGTTCCCGGTACCGAACATGGGCTTTGTCCGCCCTCTTGACAACAATCCCTTTATTCCACGCACAATCTGCTAAGTATATTTACAGATTCTCGAGCCCAATCCACCCGATCAGCCTGGGACTGACGAGCTGGGCTCTTCTCTGTTGGCGATTTAGCTTGAAGTTCGAAACACAACCACCTCCCTACCTGGAACCACCTGCCAACCATGGCGACCACCCGACCCCCAACCTCCCAGATCCGATTCCCGGGCCCTCTCCCCGACGACGTCATAGTCGACATCCTCGCCGAGTCCCTCTCCAGCCCGCCAACCTGCGCCCTAGACCTCCTCTGCCCGGAATGGCACATCTGCGCCCGCCCGGACCCCGAGCTCGAGCGCATCCTCCGCACCACCCGCGTCGACACCTACACCCTCCCGCTCGACCCGCCCACCGCCACGGAGCCGTTCGGCACCATCTCCACCACCTTCGACCACACCGAGGCCGACCACATCCGCCTCCCCTTCATGCGCGACCCGCGCGAGCGCTTCCACATCGCCACCACCTCCGGCGCCGACGAGCAGCTGTCGCCCGGCGACCCGCGCCAGGCCTACCTCATCACCGAAGACGACGACGCCAAGGCCAAACTCAAACACGCCAAGAAACAGGACGGTTCCCTGCCGCGCGACATGCAGCGGGCGCTGATGCGGCGGTGGGCGGGCCGCAGCGCCGTCGTGGTGTCGCAGCGGCCGGCGCCGCGCCAGCTGCACCCGGCGTGGGAGGACATGGGCTGCCAGACGATCCACGGCATGATGCTGCTGCGGGACGAGGCCGCCGTGCGCCTGCTGCCCTACGAGGACGACGAGTTCCTCATCCAGGACGACCCGCACCGCGCCCAGAAGCGCCGCGTGCTGTGCGCCGCCGACTGGTCCGAGAAGGACGTCGTGCCCTTCGCCGAGGAGGATCATCCGGCGGGGCAGGATTTCTTGTTTGCGCGTATTCGGCATCTGGTGGTCAAGACCGTGCCGGCGCTGACGGAGGCGGCGTTTCAGGATGTGGCGGACAGCCCGTGGGTCGAGGTACGCTCGCTGGGGAGTGTGGAGGCGGTGGCGTTGTGGGAGAGGTTGGAGGATGAGCGGCTCTTGCACTTCTACGTGCGGTGGGAGGCGATGGAGCAGCTGGAGACGCTGTTTCTGGACCTGAGGGGCTATAGCGCGGCCAACAGAACTCACAGCAACTTTGAGGTGGGGCGGATTGCACACATGCTTCAGGGGAAGCGATTGAAGGTGTTGGTCATTGCCGGGCTGCGATCCTGGCATCTCTATCCCGGTTGGGAGCCGTTGACCATCCAAGACGTGTTGGCAGGGGAGTGGGATCCCATCTTAAGGCTGTACTCGACCGGGAGGTTCGGGAGGGATATTAACATGCTCAAGTCTTTTCGGGGGGCGGTCCGGCCTGGCGGGAAGCTTGTGTTCGTCGATATCGACCGGGAGGAGCCGGAAGCGGACTAACGAGCTCACGGTTTCCGTCTCTGGGTATAAATTTGATGTATAAGGTATGTGCCTGAGAATTAATATATGTTCCTGCTTGCTCACACATGGTAGTAGATGCCCAAGGCAAGGTACTACCACAGCATCTGCTTCGCATCTGCCGTGATATCAAATCTTGTTTGGTGAAGACCCCTTTCCTTTTTCCATCCGTCATTTCCATGCTTGCCGTTACCTATTGATTAGCTACCGCCCTCGAATCATTGTATGCATATTTTTACCCCAGAACTAGTATGCCCAATGACGGTTTATATCTGCAAATAGGGACCACCTGAACACCGACCCCCACCGACAAACAACTGCGTGGGCCATTTCACACGCAGCTACCGACGGGTTACCGGGATTTGCTGGATGATCAGCGTTGGCACTTATTGTTGGCGGACGTGGTATGGTCCACGCCAGCACAAGGGACCACTTGTGGTGTCGGCCAGTCATTGGGCCACAAACCCGGTGCTCTTCCGCGCGCTTCCCATCTTCCGTTCGTCTGCTTCCGCTCACCTCTACCCGGCACCGCCTGACCGCCTTACCGCCTTAAGCAGCCTCACTCTCACCAGCATGGCGTGTTTCAAGCTCTTCTCTTCCACATCATCATACCGATTCCAAGACACTCCCCGTGACCCGCTGCTGCCCATGGGCTGTAGTGTAATGCATCACCAAACGCATATCTACCACAGGAAAGACTCGGTCTTATGGCACTGACACTAACGGCTCACTGTCTGACCGAAATCTCTGCTAATCGGCGTCATGGACAAAGCGTCTGGGTCTACCTATTTAATCGGGACACTTGCACTGGATAACCCGCAGTTTTACTTCCCTCCCTTTCTTCTCCCTCTCACCGACCGCCGTGGTTGACAAAGCTCAAGTCTTGACAAACACCACAAACCTGACTACCATGACGCGGACTCGACATGTTGGCCGCCAACATACCAAGGAATCGCCATCCTCAGGCATTTTAACGTGGGTAGCTCGAGCCGCCGCCGCCGCCCGGCTGCAAAACACATCCGGCGGGCAGGATCACCCACACACTGGCCCTTCCACAGACCGCCACCGGGGATCAGGCACTCGCCGGCCTGCCTACCCTCCAGTGACCAAGCCTATTCCGACGGTGAGGATTGTCCTGCGCCCGCTTGACCCCCGGTACTGCGGACTCGCCGTCACGGTGCCAAAGGACGCCGACCACTCCTGTCTAGTACGCGCCATCCGGAAGTGGTACGATCGGGAGGACCAGCGTCTGGCTACGCGCAGCTTGTTTCGTTTCTACGATTCCAAGGGGAAACAGCTAGACTTCACCCCTGAAATCACCAGCGACGAGACGGAAATTTGGTACAGCGTATCAAAGTCCGAGCGGCACTTCTCGAGCTGGAAGTTTTCGGACTGGGCAGATCGCGAGGATCGGGCTCTCGATGTGCTCCTCGCTGCGGAGATTCTCTCCTCCATCGGAGCAGGCGTGACCGTTGGAGAGCTGAGGCAGACGGTGGCTGATCAGATGGGCATCCAGGACGCCAACAGAGTCGCTCTCATCGTCCGAGATGGCATGCGTCCTGGGGCACTACAAGGGAACCACTGGTGCCTCGGCAAACTCAAAACGTGGCTCTGCCGCTGGATCTCGATCGCCTTAGCTCCAGAGCGTGGTTATGTCATCCTTCGTGGTGTGCACGGGGTGTTTGTTTACCATCCCAGAAGAATCCAAGTGGGCACGCGGATGCATCTAAGCTCGGTGGCGGATTACATCACCACTCGAGTATTCCAAAGCCCGTACCCATGTCGGATGAGCGAACTGAGCGGCCAGAGCGACCTCGAGCTCGATCTAGATGGCACAATGCAAAACCCCAGGACCGCCACCGTGAAATGGGGTGCCACATACGACTTCCGTCTCTCCCACAACCTCGCCGAAGCCGTCATACTCGAAGGTCCCTGGACCATGGAGACAACCAAGCAGTGCAGCATTTGCATCGACGACAAGTCACGGGACGAGATGCCCGTCCAGATCACGCCCCGTTGCACGCACCAGCCCACCGCCTGCAAGGACTGCCTCGGGGAGTGGCTACGGTCCAGCATCGAACGTGGTGCTTGGGACCGACTGCATTGTCCAGACTGCCCCGAGGTCCTAAGCTGGCAAGACGTCAAACGGCACGCCCCCGAAGGGACATTCAACCGATACGACACGCTAGTCACCCGCGCGACGCTCACCAAGGACCCAACATTCCACTTCTGCCTCTCCCCAGCATGCGGATCGGGTCAGATGTACGAGGCGGCATGCCCGCGATTCGAGTGCATCAGCTGCCAGGCGTCGTCCTGCCTCCACCACCGCGTCGCCTGGCACACCGACGAGACTTGCGAGGCGTACGACAAGCGCAACCAGGCGCGCCAGGCGGCCGAGAAGGCCTCCGAAAAAGCAATCCGGGGGTCGAGCAAGCCTTGCCCAAAATGCCAGCGCGACGTCCACAAGTTCGCCGGATGCAACCACATCACTTGTAAGCCCCCGCCTCCCTTCCCTCTTAACCCCCCCCCTTCCTTGGCCTCCCCCAAACAACCTCACCACTAACCCTCCGCCCCCGCCCCCCCTCCCACCAGGCCTCTGCCGCCACGAGTGGTGCTACATCTGCAGCGAACCCTGGCAGCGCCTCCAAACAGGCGCGCCCTACTGCCGACACGCAACAGGGTGCACGGAGCGCGACGCTTTGTTCGAGGCCTGGGAGGAGCTCAACCCAGGGCTGCTCCTGGCGGCGCCGGGGCCGCAGGGTCCAGGAAACAACAACAACAACAACAACGACGACGCTCCTCCTCCTTTTTTTCGGCCGCCGCTGCTGCCTCCCCATGACCACCCATGGCACGACCGGCCCGCCGTCGTTGTCGACAACCCTTTCGTCCCGCAGCGCCTGCGGGACCGGCGGAGATTGGTGCGACGGTATCGGCGTCCGCCTGGGCTGGAGGATGAGCAGGCGGAGGACCCGGATGAGGGCCAGGAGGGGGAGGGGGATTTGGAGCCGCGCGCGGACTGAAACTTGGGTGGTTCATGTGGTGGTGTGATGGACGGGATGAGGGGCTGTTGCTGTAAGAGGTTGTTGGTTTTGGGAGGTTGGGTTGTTGTGGGTTGTTGTTGTTTACCTAGGCTTGGGCATCGGATGCGGCGGGCGGAGCGGGATGTGGTTATACCCCCGGTTTTGTGGTCTTGTTTCGGCTTTTCTCTTGTATTGTATTAGACGCTTAAGGGATATGATAGTTTTTTACCCCGTTTCTGTGTTAAGCGTGTGGCTGCTGTTGTGATGTATGTACCTTAGGGAGTTCATGAACTGAGATCGCACCATGACTAGAACTGTAAACAGCCATCTTCGAGAGGTAGTGCGAGTAGCCTCCACCGGTTACTCATAACTGCTAACGACAAGGCTCGTGGGGTCATATATCTCCGGGGGACATCGTGAATACGTCTCGCAAGACTGATGGTTCCTACCTAGTCAAGTACATGTATACTGAGACGAGTTAAATCTAATTGCCACCATAACTTCGTCTGTTTGCAGCACGCCGCTACACGTATTAGTACTGAGCCTTTTGCCCATGAAAGTTGTGTGTCTGCTACCTATGAAGGGTCCGGAACTGGTCGCCGCAGAACAAAAAACTGTACTTTCTAAACAGAAACGAGGACCAGAAGCTGCCGTTCAACTACAGGGAAGGCGAAAACGCCATTCCGAACCTGGTATTCCTAGCTCACTCTCTTTTTGCGGCAGGGTGGTAACCTAAATAGCAAAACTTGGGTCACATATTAAAGACAGTACATCTTTAACCCACACTCCTACACGGTTTCTCATTTCTCACCTAACCGTTTCCCAAGTCCGTTTCCCAGCCTTGCCATGGTAACTATGATTCTAACAATACCTTGGTCCGCCAACACGTTGCGAATTTTATCTTAAACGAAACCAAACACTTTTGCGATCTTGCTCCAGCTGTGACTGAGTTGCTGGGAATACGGGTAAAAGGCTTCCTGTCTGTTGGCCCCGCTCGGTGCTGCTGGGACCAACAAGCCGCCTTGCAATGACTTGCTTGTTGGTTGCCGCTGGCCAGGTTCGTCAGGGTCCCGCCGCCAGACCAAGGGGGCTTTTCAAATACGACCGGTCGCCTTTATGGACAGCCGAGGCCATGTTACAGGTTACAGATCCGCTGTCCTTGTATCGAATATGGAAACAAGACTAAGTATGTGACCCCTTTAAGGCTGCGGCAAGCCCAGCCAGCAGAGAATCTGGTACAACGCCACACAGCCGCATAGAACGAGATGGCCATGTTGAGCAGCCAGTTGGCCTGGTCGGCACCCCGTCGACACCTCGGTGCCACAAAGAACAGACAGACGAGATGAAACGGCCCGGCCCTTTCGATCCTTTTTCAGATGAGCTGGAACCGTCCCATCCTTGGCCTCTGGCCTCCAACCCGCAGTATGCGATGGATGCCCGTGTAGACAGGACCCCAACCCCAAACTGATTCTGAACCCGCCACTCCATGTAGTCTATAGCATTTCGTCGGCGGTGCCGCTGTGGCCAACGCCTGATGGCCAAGTTTCGGGAATGGCCTCGACGCCGCCGTCGGAGGGCAAGGTGTGAAACGCCATACCCAACAGTTGCTCGTTGATGGCCTGGGACTCAAAGGTTCTCGATCAGAGCGTGGGATCCAAATCGAGGAACACCGAAGCAAAGTTGTATAAAGAGAGGTCAGACGCTCCCCAAACCAGCTCAGAAAACAGAATCATCATCAACAGCTCAAACACCCATTTACAATCTCACAGCTCAGCTCCAACTCTCTTCAAGACATCGGCTCATACATTCGGATTCCCAACCGCTCCATCCCAACGTTCTCTTCACACAGTCTCTACGCTACAGCCACTTTTCTTGACCCCTTACATTTATTCAATCTAGGTAAGAATGTAGCCTTCTCTCGTTTTGCATTTACAACGTTGCTGACACGAAGATGTCCTCTGCCTTGCCTAGGTAGCCACAATGTGCACCTTTCACTTCACCCTCTGCGCTCGGCCGGGTTGCTCCAACCAAGTCGGTTTCGTGCAACGACCCGTCCCGAACTGCAGTCGAGACTGTACTATGCAACCGTCGAACACCATCGTCACTCGACATGAAACGACTCTATGCGGCTCCCATAGAAATGGTGGATCGAGATCGGGCTCCAGAAGCACTGGTTCCAGTTACGGTGCCCGTTCTGGCGGCAGTCGTCACTCCAACACACGCTCCAATGCTCATGGACGCTGGTAAACCCATGTAGTGGTTAGATCTCACGAAGGGCAAGTTGAGTGGTTTGAGCTCGAGCGCTGGTCGCTCGTTCGTGGGGTCTTGAGCTCGGACGCTGGCCGTTAGCTCCTGGGACTGTGGAGAGTAGAAGGGATGTCGTGTGCTTGATAGACTTTTCTCTTGAACTGGAATATAGGTCGTTCCATCACTATGATGTGTGCTGCTACTGCTTTTGTGTGTATCACAGTATCTACTGACGCCGAGAAAAAGCCCGCAGACTTGCCTCTGTCTATGTAGTGAACGAGTGCCTACGCTGCCCAAAACACAAGTGCAACACCACCACCTACTCGCCGATATACCCTAGTACCGGTAGTATTTGGGTTCTTAGGGAGAGGCCAAATCTCACTCGTCAGAACCACGGCTTAGCTAGGCCATAGCCAGGCCGTCTGGCGCCCAAGGCTCTCCGTCCAGAGGAAGAAGAGAATGTCACATCATTGGAATTGCTACAAAAAAGAGCCTGGTCCTAAGTCTAATCCTCGGCCCAATCCTCGTCTAGGCGCGCCTCATCAACAAAAATGGACTTGATGCTATCCACTCTGTCATTATCGTCAGCAACCTCGACGGCGTGGAAGTCAAGGTAGTTGTCGATAGGCTCCGACGCGGACGTCAGCTCAACTAGCGCCGAAGACAGTTGTTCGCCGGCTGGAATATTCCGCAGCCAGTAGAAACAGACGTATTTGGACATGAGTAGTGGCGGCGAATCCTCGGGGCTGCCGACTTCGGGGTACGGAAGCACACGTCTGATCACAGAGGGCTCGATATCGCCGCCAAAAAGCATGTTGCTCAGCTGACGGATGGTGTACGCCACGGCGGGTTTGCCCTTTCTTAGGACGGTCGAAATGGTATCGGCATCCGATAGGGGGTTCATATCAGGAGCCAGATGCCGAAACGCCTCCCGGTGGACCTTGACCAAAACCACAGCTGGCCCGGTCGGCATGACGAAGCCGGACGGCTGAATCTTGATCGAGACGGCCATTGTTGGGTTTGTTCGTTCCTGAGTCCGTATATTAGCCCTAGATTCCATGGCATTTTATCCAACACAAGACCAACCTGGGCTGCTTGTCAAAGATGCTTCTGCTGGTATTCTGTGTGAAAGCGAAAGAAAGACCAAGCGGCGTGGTAAAAGCCCTAGGGGACTCTGTGCTCTCAAATAGTACTTGGAAGTTGAGGAAGCGGGGTTCGACACCAGCTTGCACTTACGCGCCAAACAATGCTCCCAAACTTTGTCGCTCAGGCAGTTCGGATGCCTCCGCGGCCGCATTCCGAGTGACCTGGCGCCCAACAGCATAAGGCTCTGCGGTGTATACGGTGGGCCGTGGCGAGGCTGGTGTGGCCTGGAGGCGCAGCTTCTATCGCTCGGTAGTGAACGCGTCCCAAGAAGAGAAGCAGCCAGGCGATTGGATAGGCACTCGAGAGCGTCGTTGGGACCTTGCATCCAGGTTACCACCCTCCAAACGTAGACAGTGCAGAAACGGCAACTTAAGGGTGCGTGGCAACAAAAGTGAGCAGAGACTCTCTCCCTCCCGAACTCCCCTCGGCTCAAACAGCTGACAGCTAGGATATCCAGCGGGAGCCCGACCTCAGCTCCTGGCGCATACGAGTCCGCCAGCGCTTCTATCTCCCTCCCCACCATTTTCCTCTCTACAAAACCTTTCCATAGCCTCAACCTACTCTAGTGGTAGCAGGCCCAACCACACCGTCTAATACCCTCCTCACCCCTCCCAAAGAACCGTTCATCTAAAGCCTGTTAGTAGATACTATCAAAACGCCTATATCCCACACGCTACGTATACGACCTAGAAGTGGCCTGTCTCCCAACTCCCGCACATCAGCACGTTGGCCGGTCGGAAGTCGTCGCACCAGAGCTTGAAGAGCCCGCGCTCGAATTCCAGGTAGGAGGCCAGACGGCCATCGCGGGCAAGTTTGTGGAACAGATGTCAAGCAACTTACCTTTTGCGCCGTTATTTCCGTCGTAACGACAAGGGTCGCCGCCAGATCAGCGCTCCCTTCAACAAAGTAGACGGAATGTGATGGAATGGCATGATGAATCGATCGGGAGGGCGCCTGGACAGCGCATAGGGATGATGACGCAAGCTAGGTGCCCGTCCAGGCATAGTCCAGGGATGTATGGACGGCAGGCGTTGAAGAGCTGTCAAGGGCGGCTCGGCGGTGAAGACATCCGCAATTCTGCAGGCCGGCGTTACTGTTCCCGTTGTTGAACAAGTCATGAGTGAAACAAGCCGTCCGATGTTTCTGTGTCTCCATCGATAGCCGCCAGTAACACTGCAAGCGCTCGGCCGGCCGTGCCATGACTCGGGAGGCTCACCGCAGCCTATGACCGCAGGCGTCCTCCTAGCTTACCTTACGGGCTTGACGTCAAGGTGCAGAATCTTTGTTTCTTTTTTGACTCCGCTGTCCCGGCACCGGGGTAAATAAGCAACATTAAGGTGGTGGACGAAGACCTCAGCCCACATGGCGAGGGAGAGAAAAGCTGTTGACAGGTGAAACATTGTTTCGAACATCAAACACGGGGCTGGATTGGTCTGGAACCGGGTTTGAGCAGTCCCAGGATTGGTTTCTGGTCGAGAAGCAGATTCTTCATCGCCCAGGTTTTGTGATCGAACTAACTAACGATTGGGTGCAAATCCGGGCGGGTATGTTTTCGTCAACTTGTGGATGAACCGGGAGATCCGAGGCCACTGCCGTTTGCCGCCACCGCATGAGGATCGCGGATAACTCGACTCGACGGGAGGAACGCTTCCCTGCAGAAAACCGGTTCAGAAGAGAGAGAACGTGGAAGTCGGCAATGGACCGGATTGGCGGCAGAGAGTCGTGGCTCGAGCTTTGCACCCCCAGCTTCCCCGCAAAGCCTATCGGCTAGCGGGTTGGACGAATAAACAGACTGTGCCACTACGAACGAGGTCATGGCCCCTCACCTAATTTTGTCAATTGGACGAACGAACGAAAGGGAGGAAAGAAAATAAAAGTAGACGCCAATTTGGAAATATGAAAAAATCCAGATGGTCAAATCAGAATTTACCGGCCACAACTACCACTCCAAGAATTGCAAGCTCCCTCACGAACAGAAATGATTCAGTCGCGAGGCTTCCACCACTCGGGTGTCGTGGAAGGAGGAGCGCAGGGGCAGCCGGGGATACCACCACAGTCTATTTAAGCTGCCGGATCGGGCAAGTGCCCTGGCCCACCATCCCGCGTCCTTTTGGCGCACGAAAAACGCCGATCGCAACTTGGAGGCTCTATCGTCAACGACAGAAGCCATGGGTTCCATGGACGGAATCGGCATTCAATCGGGCATCCTTCTTTCAGCAGACTAGTTTGCACTTTGCAGGGCGTCTCTCTGTCTTCTTTTCATTCCATGCTGTGCGACTCTGCATAGTACTGTGTATCGCGATCAACGGCAGTTTGCAGGTGGCGGCGGCTAAGCGACGCCTCGGCCTTGGTTTGTGGAGATAAGTGAACTTGAAGTTCAAAGGAGCTTTGAGCCAAACAGCCACCGAGCCTGGCGTGCCTGGCCGTCCATGGTCGTCTTCAGTCCTGGTCCGAGTGCCATTCGGTTGACGGCTGCGGTGGGTGCGCGCGTGGGCGCCTGCTTCCTTCCAATCTGAGCGCCGGGATGCAGGATGCAGAACATCGCCAATTCCCCATCCAGGGCGACGCGGATCGGTGATTGGCTGTCATGTCGCGACTCAGGGGCGCCTGCAAGGTACGGTGCATTCAGGGCGTGGGATGGAGGACCCTGCCCCTGTCGATGGCGCTGGGAGTCTCGCCCAAAGGGGACTGGGATGGCACCCTTCTCTCCCTCACCCTGGCAAATCGCCGGCGCTAATGCTACCAACCTTTGCCCAGATGGCCGCCGTCGACTCCTTTTTGCTCCCTTTCTTTCAGACCTGATGCCACCCTTTCACCCCTTTGCCGAGCTATTTTGTCCTATTTTGTCGCTGCTCTCAATGTGTTAATCAATTGCTCGATTCAGGGCCAATCGAATGCGGGGGTTAGTGCGACAAAGGACTTAATGAATGCCACTGCCCACTATGGCCGCTCCTGGACCGACGCCCGAGGGCGACATGCCGCCGCCATTGCCCGCCACCACTATCCCCGTTCTTCCCGATTCTGACGATTCTGATACACGAGTTGCTTCGTCTGATCTGACCACTGCTCGCTCGCCACCGCTCCCGGTCCCCCACCCACTCTCCTTCGAAACACACGACCAAACGGACGCGTTTCCCGAGCTGGTCTCCGTGTTACCGAAACACCCACTGCCGAGCCCACGCAGCGGCCGGTCTTTCAGTCTGGCTCACTTATCGGGCCCCATCAAGCGGAAGCCGTTGTCGTCGACCGCCTCGCCCGCCGCCGTCCGCTTCTCCAAGGGCGCAGCAGCGTATGCCGACCTCCTCGCCGACCTTCCCCGGCCCGACCAGCGGTTCGCCAGGTCGTGCTCCCTCGACAGCCCGACCCTCTACGAGTTCCCTGACCAGCGGAGCCTGCTGGCTACCGAGAGCTCGCTGAACACTGTGCTGGACTGGCCCGCGAGTCCTCCAGACACCAGCCAGCCGTATGTTTCTGACTCGCCGGGTAAAAAGGTGGCAATATCGGGCTAACCCGGCTCACTGAACAGATCATCTCCCGTCTCCGATTACTTCGTTGAGCCCGCTGAACCCGCTGCCGTCCCGGCCGTCGGTGGTGCGGGAGACGCGCAGCTGCGAAACACTACGGGAAACAACCCTGCAGCAGCGACTCAGATCTCCCACACCCTCTCCGAGGAAGAGAGTCTTAGCGCCGAGACGGCCAGTCTGACCACTCAGGGGTCAGTCCCGTACGAGCTCGACGATCTGTACTCCATCCCCGACTCGCCCGAGTCGTCCGGAGAGAAACGCGCCACCATCATTAATACTAATAATCCCAAGACCATGTCCCTGTTCGCGCGCAAGTCGCCCCCTCCGCAGTTAATTCTTGGATCAAACACCAGAGATGTACCGGCGGCCACGGCATCAGCAACGTCATTAGACCAAAGTAATCTTAATAAGCCGCTGCCCAAGTCCCCGGCCTCCTCCAAACTCAGCGCCCTCTTCGGTTGGGCCACCACGCCGTCGCCCACCACCGCGACCGAGTACTCGGACAAGAACTTCTCCCCCCTCCCTTCCCCCACGTCGCCCAAGCCGACGACCGCCGTGACCGAGTCATATGATACTTCGATCATCACGAAGAGGGACACATACTCCAATGTTGCAGACCCGAGTAACCCCCTACAGTATTGTGAGGCCTATCTTCAGACACCCGCCGATAGCACAACGTCACTTGGCCAGCTGGAAGAGATGGAGGACGAGCTGAAGGGCATCAGCGTCGAACTGGCCTCGTCCATTCGGCGCGAGATGGACCTGGAGGATTTGGTGGACAGACTGCAGGAGCAAATCAACAACCCGCAAGCGCCCGGGAAACGGACCAGCGACTACTTTTCCGACTCCGGCTACAGTTCGGCCAAGTTCAGCGAGTATGACCATGCCAAGGAGGAGATTTCCCAGATTCAACGCAGGGCAGAACAGGAAAAGGCTCAAATCCGCTTGGAGCTGACGAACAAGCTGCAAGATGAGCGCTCGAAGCGCCGGTCGCTGGACCAACAAATCCAGGAATTGTCTAGAAGGGCGTCAGAGCTCGATGTTGCACACCTCGACAGCAGCGATGCCAACGGCCGGGTCAAAGAGCTCGAGAGCATGTGCGAGGACCTCAGCAGGAGGTTATCCCAGCAGAGCGAGGCCACAACCAATCTGGAGGGCCTCCTCGACGCATTGCAGGGCGAGCTTCAGACGGCCGCGAATGAGCGAGACAACCTGCGCGACGAGGTCGTCCCTCAGCTGCGCGCTCGCCTCGAAGGGCTAGAAGCCGAGGCGGCTGACCAGGCGAGGCTCGCCTACGACACGTCCAAGATGCAGCAGGAACTCGAACTGCTTAAATCACAGAATGCCGAGCTCGATTCGCTCAGGGCGCAAACCGCCGAGCTGGATTCGCTCCGAGCCCAAACCGCCGAGTTGGATTCACTCAAAGCACAAACCGCCGAGCTGGATTCACTCAAGTCACAGAATGCCGAGCTACAAATGCTCCGGTCCCAGAACGCCGAGCTGCACATGCTCAGGTCCCAAAACGCCGAACTCAAGCAGACCGGGACCCGCATGTCGATGGCGCTGTCTAGGTCCGTATCAGTCACCGGCGGCCCGCTCAGGAAGAACCGCACGCAATCCATCTCGCGGTCCAACAGCACAAAAGTGATTGAACCCCGCGATGTCCTGGCCGAGAGGCTCAAGGACGTCGAGGCACAGCGGGACGCTTTGCACAGCGCTCTCAGGAGCCTTCTCGAAAGGCAAGAGCTCCAAAACCGCGAGAGCACCAAGAGGATACGGCAGCTCGAGATGGAGCGCGATCGTCTCCTCACCTCATCGCCCAAGAAGGCTGGCTATGAGAGGGACGTATCGAACCTCCGCGAGGAAATCAGCGTGCTGCGCCGGCGCGCCGAAGAGGCCATCGAGCAGAAGTGGCAGGTCGAGAAGGGCCTTGCGGGGCTCAAGATGGACCTGGACCGGGCCGAGGGCGAGATCGCATCTCTCCGGAGCCTCCTCCAGGAGAAGGACATCCTCATCCCCGAGGCTCTCGCCCGGCCAGGCAGCAGTCACAGCCAGTCCGACTTGCCCGTCAGCTCACACTCCCTTGAGCAAGCGTACGAGGACTTGCAAGCCGCATACATGGATGCGCTCGAGCGTATCAAGGCCCTCGAAGAGAATGCGCGGCCGGACGAGAGGACGCAGCTCGCCATTCAGCGGCTTGAGCAATCCCTCTCGGCTGCCATCTCGGACCGCGACCACGCCCGCAACGAGGCCGCTTCCTACCGTGACCAAGTCGAAACACTCCAAACCCTCGAGAAGGAACACCTCGACACCGAGAGCGACCTCGCCGCGCAGCTCCACGAGTATGCCCGCCGCGTCGAGGAACTGGCCCAGCAAGTCCGCATCCAGCTCGAAGCCAACACATCTCTGCGCACCCGCCTCGCCGGCACCATCGCGCGCGGCGACGCCGAGCAGCGCGTCAGCACGGAGCGCATCTCGGGCATGCAATCCCGCCTGCGCACCCTCGAGGAGCAGGTCGTGGCCGCCCAGACGGGCGCCGAAGAGCGCGTCACCCGCCACGAGGAGGAGCTCGCCGCCCTCCGCGACGCCCACAGCACCCAGCTCCACCGCCTGCGCAACGCGACCGGCGCTGCCGGCGGGCCCCGCCGCGGCAGCGGCCAGGGCCAGCGCGTCTTCCCGCCCAAGTCCCCGCTCTCCCCCATGTTCAGCCTGCGCACCGCGCCCGCCGCGCGCACAGCACCCAACCCCGCCTTCCTCAACGTCGACGACGCCGCCAACCCCCACCAAACCCACCCGGGACGTCCCGGCGTGCGGCGTTCCGCAACAGAACCCGTGGACATGGACATGACGGCGCAGATGAACACGCTCAAGGGCCGCGTGGCCGAGCTCGAGGGCGCGCTGGCGTCGGCCGACGCCGAGATGCAGGAGGTGGTCGGGCGCATGAACACGGCGCAGATCGAGGTGCTGCAGCTGCAGGAGCGGCGCGAGGAGGCGGTGCGCGAGACGAGGCGGCTGCAGCGCGTGCTGGAGGAGGAGCGGGTGCGCGTGTTTGAGGGGCGGTTTCGGAGTTTGGTGACGGAGGTTCGGTGATTGCTTTTTTCTGAAGGGTGTGTGTGAGTGATGATGGGGGGTGTGATGGGTGTGGGTGTGTGAGGATGTGTGAGTGAGGATGTGCATTGGGCGGTGTTGGTGGTGGTGGGTTTTTTGGGTTTGGATTTTGGATGTTGGATTTTGGATTTGGATTTGGCTTCGTTCCATCCAATCTTCCCCTTTTTTGGATTATCAATGTTGGAATACCCTGTGGTGGCATTTCTTCGTTTTTTCTTCTATCTCTGGCATACTCCCTGGCTTGGGGGCCTTGCATGGCAGGACTGCTGCATTTTGTTGGGGTGGGCTTGCTTCCCTCCCCCTTCTGCTTCTAGAGTTGCCGCCCGCGGTTGGTTGGCGCGTCCGTGCCGGTATCTACGGGCTTTTTGTGAGGGGACTACCTTGCCTTACATAGATGGGGCAATCGTAGTGTATATTTTTTGGTTGTTTGGGTTGGGTGGTGGTGGAAGGAGTAGCGGTCTTGGATACCTACGTTGTAAAAGACTGAAAAGTTGGGAGGAATGTATTGAGGTGGATGATGCACTGGGTATATACGTGAATCTGACCAGGCTTGAGCCTCGCGTCCTTAGTTTAGTGTAATACTAAAACAACTGAAGCAACTATGCACTTGTTCCATGCTGATTTCACTGAGGAATTTGAGGACCGGTGGATGCCGCTGTTTCGGTACCTTGGCTCCTCATGGACAAAAAAGCCGAACTCTCGGTGCAGATGTCGGCAATGGAAACTTCGAGTCCTCAGCTGGAGGAATATCACGAAAGTCATCCTGAAGCCCAAAGAAACTCGATTTGCTCCATTTCCTTTACTTTTACCCTCTTTCTTTCATTTGACTTAGTTTTCTCGATTTCTTTTCATTTGTTCTTTTTGCTTGCTTTCTTGCTTTCCTTTCGAGTTCGGCTTTTTTTGGCCAGAGGGTGCTTGGCTGCTTATGGAGGCGATATCTCGGGACGGAAAGGGCATCTCAGCGGTATGGTACCGGTATAATTAAGTCGGCCAGTATGCCGGACAGAACTTCCGGGGTGCCGTGGCATGGCCTTGAACATGGACCTGGCCATAGAATGTTCGGGGCTTTTGACGCCGCATTACCTACCTGAGATTTCGGATGATTGTCTTGCTGGGGTGGTTTTCGAGTTGTAGCAGACCTTGTGGCAATTGGAACCGGACTGGATCAAATGTTTTGCCCTTCAAATCCCGTCATCATCTACGCGCGCAAGGGAAGGATCGGCTCATTCCGTCATTTCCATCTTCAGTCGGCGCTAGAGGCGTTTTGTTGAAATCATGATCTCGTCGTCTTGAGATGGAGGTCATCCGAGGTTTGTGCGTGGACGGGTTAGGGTTACAGTGTGGGTCATGAATGTCGAGGTCGGCATGGTGTTCACGGCAGCTGCAATGCCCAAACGCAGTATTGTGCGAATTGGCAATGACGTGCCAAATACAAAATATGTAATAATGGTCGGACGCTAGTTCGGTGAGAGTGATTTCAATCATGCGTGGGCCTGAGCGCTGGTCTGAAAACCCATCTCGCCTCCCCGACAGAACAGCAACAGCGCCCTCCAGAAGTTCAGCCCACCAAAAACTTGCCAAGCTGAACCGGGAGCCCCAACACAGCGAGCCACCTTGAACCTTCATTTGGCAATCCAATTTCAATCTTGCCCTTGCTCATTCTACTGCCTTTTGCTAGCACTATGACCGAGGCCTCAACATGGCTCTCACTGCATCCATGACCCGCGCGAGAAAGCTCGCCGCCACCGGTCATCCCTTCTCCAAAGCGAACAGCCACTATGCACCCCGCCCGAAGCGCCAGCGTGACCATTCGGAACGCGACTTCGAGAACATCGTAGCCAAGAAGTCCAAATTGACGACGGGAATTGCGGTCGAAATTCCGGCGAGGTCGTCGCTGCATGCCCGCTTCACAAACGACGACGCCGACACTGCCGACACCTCCCACGCGAACTCAGCGCCCACGGCCCCTATCGCGGCCACTAATGCTCCGGCTAGTCACCGCGTCCCTAATGGGCCCAAACCCGCCCCTGGCAGCTCCCAGCAGCAGCAGCAGCAGCAACAGCGGCGGCGGCCCCCAACACCTACAAAACACCGATCGAAGGTTTCCAAAGGGTTGAAACACGAACTCGACAGATTGCAACCGAATGAAGCCGATACAAAAGACCAGGGCCGGAAGCTCCGGTCGCAGGAGGCTATTCGCTTCAAGAGCGAACTGTCCTCCTACTTTCCGGAATACGATGAAGTCATTGGCAACGACCCAAAAGAGACGCGTAGGTTTATGATACTCCCCATTATACACCACCAATTCCCAATATCAATTGTCAATCAGTCACCGAGTGTGTTAATCAATTGCTAACCACTTTTCGCCTACCACAGACTTCCTCAATGCCGACACGCCCATCGTAATCATTCCCGACGCACCCCCACCAACACAACAACCAGCACCCCACCCTGCGTCACCAACCCCCGGGCACCAGCACAACAACTATCCAACCCGCAGCTACAGCGATGCCCTCTACACAGACCTCTTCGACGCGCAGCGGATCGACTTCAGCTTCCTCAGCAACCCGGCCGCGGCGACGTCCGACCCACTGCCGGACACGCTCTTCGCGCCGGCGCACAAGAAGGCGGAGCGCACGGAGCGGTCGATCCGCAACACGGAGAAGGGGCGGGCGCAGCACGAGCGCGACCAGATCGTGCGGCTGCTCGACGCCCTGCAGGGCCACGACTGGCTGCGCGTCATGGGCGTCAGCGGCGTCACCGAGCCCAAGAAGCGCGCCTTCGAGCCCGCCCGCGCCCACTTTGTGCGCGGCTGCGAGGCCATCCTGGACAAGTTCCGCCGCTGGTCCCGCGAGGAGAAGAGGCGCCGTGCCGAGCTGCTCGAGCGGAGGCAGGCGTTCTTGAGCGGTGGTGAGGGGAGCACGTGCGGGGAGGGGGTGGAGAGCGATGAGGAGGGGGAGGGGGAGGAGGCGGAGGAGGAAGGGGATGCGCGGCGGTCCGAGGGCGGTGGTGAGAGCGGCGAGGAGGTGGAGGACGCCGATGACGTCGAGGACGAGCCGCCCGACGAGAGCGACGTCGACGCCTCGATCGCGAAACAACTTCGCGAGGAGGCCTTAGCCGCTGCTGCGAAGAAACGGCGGGCCAAGCCGGGCGGCAAAGCGGCGGCCGCGAAACGGGCGACGACGACCGCACGGGGCAAGTCCGCCGCAGCGCCGGTGTCACATGTGCCGGCGGCGGCACGTGAGTCGGCGGAGCCACCCCGGGAAATCGTCTCGTTCTTTCGAAAGCGCTACCAGCGGGACGCGGCGCTCAGCACGAACCGCCGCAAGGGCCGCACGGTTCTCGCGTGGGGTGAGCCCCTCCCGGAGATGCCCGAGGCCGAGTTCGAGCTGCCCGCTGCGCTGCGTGACGACGACTCCTTGCGGTCGCCTCCCAGGAAGAAGAGGCGGGCTAAGCGGGTGAAGGAGTGAGTGAGGCTCGACCCCGGGGCCGGAGGGGGAGGCGGTTTGTATGTACATTGCGATCTTCGCGTGGGTTGTTGGCATCTTCAACGGAGTTCCGGGTCATTGTTTCTCTTGAGGGGCCATCGGGAGCTGCCCCTCAGCGGTGTTATATCATAGCGGGCGGTTAGGGAAAGGTTTCAAGGCGTTCCAACGGTTGCATTTGCTGAGCGAGGCTGCTGGTTTGGTCCATAGGTCTGTACATGGGGGGAATAGTTAAAATGGATAGGTTACTAGCTATCCTTTGACAGTTTGACTCGGATGGGGGTGGAAAAAGACAGATGGGACAAAATCGTGTGACGAGAGTCGGCTAGCTGCTCTTCAATGATGCCTAGCAGCACAGCATGTTTCGTAGCAACCCCCTGTCCTGTGACTTCACATGTTTTATTTGGCAACTGAACGCCTGATGAGTGAGTCAATGCCCATGACTGGTGACTTCAAAGAGTATTTATTTGTAACTTATTGCTTACATCTTTGGCCTTTAATATGGGGTTTCCGCAGACTAAGGCCTAGAGGGCCACGTACCCGTTAAAGGAGGTACGTTTACTTTCCGTTTTCGTTATAACTTTTGTGCTCCAGTCTTCGGCTTCTTGGTACCTGCGTGGGCCGGCGGAGTATATATAAGCTACCTAGGTAGATCCCCAAGTGTGGTTATTGTGGTCTTAACTCCTTCTCTCGCAACCCACCCCTCACAATCCCTCAGTTTAGGTGAGTCTCTCCTGTGCTACACCGTGCCAGAACGAATCCCGGGACGTGTTTGGCCTCACCCAGCTGCTAGTGAATAGTGTTTTCGAACAAGGCTAAGCGTGTTGTGTGTTGCAGAACAACCGTTCTAACCAACCTCTTTCCCACACAAGCTTCCCCTCCGAAAACCCCAAGTCTATTTTACCTTCTTCTTTTGATGCCCTCCAAACATATCCTCATATCAGCCGTCCTCGCCATATTATCAAAATGAGTGATAGAAGGCCCCAGGTGACGACAGCTCCCCGATCTCAACCCCTTGGCTGGGTGCTGACCTCTCCAGTGCACGATTTGCGGTGACGACTTTGACGAGGGCGTCCAACCCGTCTGCCACAATGACCGTATGTATAATTCCTGCCATTCATTCCCCTTGGCGATATCAATCCAGAGATCAGTTGGACGATATAATCCCCTTCTTCGACCAGAATAAGCAAGATTTCGGCACAGCTTGGTTTGCTTCTATATGAAGCTTACCAAGACCGGCTCACAATCATGGCTCCAAATACCTCCCTCCGCTCTCGCTCCCGCTCCCGCCATAGAGCGGCACCCCATGCCCTATCCCAAAATAACAATAAAAAAGAACCTCACTAACAACCTCCACCAGACGCCTGGTGCCGCGGCTGCATCGCCGAATCCATAGAAACCGCCATCCGCAACGTCACGGACGCCGCGTGTATGCCGCCGCGGTGCTGCGGCGACCCGGTGCTACCGGTCGAGGGGCTACCGGTCGAGGGCGACGACGTCGACCCGGACCAGCAGCAGCACCCCGCGCTGCGGCTGCTCGGCCCGGCCGCGCGCGCCTCCTAGCAGCAGGCCGTGCGCCGGGCCCGGGCCATGAACGAGGTCCGCGGCGTGTTCGTCGACCGCACCGTCATCCGCATGGCGCGCCACGCGCGGGGCGAGAATTTGTTTCAGTTCTGTCCGCGCTGTCACAAGTTGGTTATGAGGGCTGGTGGGTGCAATCATATGGAGTGAGTGGGAGGCTTCTCTGGTTGTTTTTGGGTTTCTTGGCCTGAGGGGGGAGGCTTTGCTGACGCTGTGGTAGGTGCCCTTGCGGACATGATTTCTGCATCATCTGCGCAGGGGACTGGCCCGTGGGTGGTGCTGAGGCCACCCAGCCTCTTTGCCACCCCTTCTTCGGCGGCGAGGAGGAGCACACCTTGCGGATCCCCCCGGAGGTCCAGGCCCGTCTGGACGAGGAGGAGAGTCAGCCGCCCGCCGCGGTAGGCAGCCCCGCCATGCTTGATGACACAAGACGAGAACTGACGAATTGGGATTTAACAGTATGTTGATGAGACTGCCGAGGGTGTCCTCTGCCGCCACCAGTCCGACCTCCTTTACACGCTGAGGCTCCGTCGGGAGCTTAGCAAAGAGGAGCGGAGTCACGCAAGGTGCGATGTCTGTGGTAGGGTGGCGCGGGCCTTTCTATTGCAGTGTATCGGATGCAGGGCGTTGTTCTGCCTTCACTGCCGGGATGCGGTATGGAGCGAACGGCCGCCCGGTGGGGCCGACTCGCCTCGGGAACTTGACACCAGCGAAGAGGAATAAAGGCCCGGTCTGGGAAAGGTGTCGGCTCTGCCAGTCGAGGGAGCTCTAAACGTTGGTAATACCTGTCACATAACGAGAAGCGGATGGGTTTCGCGAAGACTGCCCGGAATAATTTGGCCATCGCGAAACAGGATTGGCATCCGCTGGGTGGAACATAACATTAGAATCAGATATAATGAAGTAGCTCAATTCCTGAACTAGAAGATGATGTCTCGTTGCTTTTGCTGATGCGCTGCGGATAGAGGAGTGATTGTCGTTCGCCCAGACCTTGTTTGCTCGATCGAGGTCCTAGCACAAGAGATAAAAGGGAACAGAAATACCGAGATAAAACGAAATATAAACGGATGGAAGGACTCGAGGGCTTTGTTGTTTGTCGACGTCTAGGTAGCTTCGAGCGACTCATCAGCAAAATGAAGGTATACCTAGGTAGGTAGCTCGGTAGGGTGGTATTTATTTGCTGTTATTATCAAAGCCTAAAAGTAATCGGTCAAGCCCTTCTTCAAATGCCATCTTACCCATCTGTCAAAGGGTTGTGCATTGACAAGGAGAGCACCCGGATGTCGTCTCGAGAACCGGTCGTCGAGTTTCAGCAGATTGTTGTTCTGATACAAATCGAGAGCCGATCTCCATTGCTTCAACCCTACCCTCGTCCCATGAGTGAGGGAGGCCCGGTGGTGGGTCTACCCCTCAGAAGCTCTGGCCTCCGCTCCGAGAACTGGCCCCACCTGCAGCTGCCTGAGTTAGTCGGCAGAACTTCGGCAGCAATTGCCAGTGCACGGTCTTTGATGCTCGTCGTCACTCGTTCTGGAGTTCGATCGCGTCTTTCGAAGTTGGGGCTTTTTGTCCACTGTGCTGCTGCACCATCTCGCCATTCACTACTGTGTAATTATTTGTTGCCAACCAGGCTATTGTTCTGGCGGCCCCGATTCCTTTCCCGAGCCGCGCCCGTTACATCCAGGTTACCCTTGCTGGAGGGGGGCGAGAGGTTCCGTACGTGTGACGGCAGCTTCTTTTTGCGCCCAGTGCTGTTTTGCTGTCGTCGCCGTCCATGCGCGCATGCAAAATCAACTGTGCACCCGATCTGTCTTGCTACTAGTACTATCGGTAGCTGCCATTCATTCTTGACAGGCTCCCGTCATCATCTTCGCATTCTCATCGCCTTCAATCACACCGATTTTCCACGCCTCCGCGCGTCCTCGGTAGCCAGCTACCAGCCCCGAAACCACGAACCGACAAACGCTGACGAAATCGCCCGCCGTTCTCTGCTTTTCCAGCTCCACGCGCGACTCAAATTGGCGACTCAAATTGTCTGCCATGACCACATAAACCCGAGCCGACTTTTCGAGCCTCGAAAGGCCGGCTGACCGACCGATCCTCTCCGTTCTGCCATCAGCAAAACGGCCATTTCAACCTCTGCGATTTCGCACAAGCAACCCCGGCGCGACATCGCCATCTCCAAAATGCCGACCGCAATAGAGAACGATTTTGTGGCCGAGCCTGGCATTGCGCCTGAGCTACCTGTTGGGGCCGAGCCCTTTGTCATTATCAAACAGGACGTCGAACTCGAAGTCAATTTCATCGAGAAGAGCATCAGCGGCGTATCGACCATTCATCTATTTACGATCAACCCTGACCTCGACGAGATTTTCCTCGACGCGCGCCAGTCTGAGATCGACCTCAAGAATGTCACCGTGGATGGATTCAGGACGAACGCGTCGTTCTCCGACCCGTACGACCTGGCCCGGACCCCACCCCAATGGCAAATCGGTGCAGCACAACACCACATCGTCAAACGGCGGATGGCATCACTCAGACCCGCCCGGCGATCCGAGGTACCGAACAAGGACCGAGAGATGCTTCCCTGCTGCGTCCCGGCCGATCGTGCTGTCAAGGTCTCTCTGCGCCCCGAAGGCGTCGTCAAGGACGAGCCTCGGCGGACCCTTAAGATCAAGACGTTGAAGGCCGATAAAGACACTCCGCTTGACCGACCCGACCCGAACGACGAGAAGAATGGAATTAAGATTTCCATTCCTTTCTCCTCGAAGAATATACGCGACGGTCTGCATTTTGTCGGTCTGGATGAGGGCGACCAGAGATATCCTCATGTTTACACCCGCCACTCGCTAGAACCGGGGACCGCGTCTTGCATTTTCCCCTGCGTTGACGATCCGGGGTCGAGACACCCATGGAAGATCTCGATCAAATGCCCGAGAACCTTAGGAGACGTCTTCGAGCAGCCTTTGGCTACACAGCAAGCAGCTGCTCAAAGTCCAGATTCTAGCCGGAAGCGGAAGCTCGGCGAAGCCCCCCCAACGCCCCCGGTGTCTCCGGCATTGGCTGAGGAAGACAAGCTTATGGAGATGACGGTAGTCTGCTCCGGAAACCTTGCGGGGGAGCAGATCGACCCCGAGGACGGCAAGAAAAAAATCATGACCTTCGAATCGCAGCTCTCGGCGGCACAGCACATCGCGTTCGCCATCGGCCCCTTTGAGCACATCCAGCTATGGTCCGAATTTCGAACCGAGGAAGCAGACGAGAAGCTCGGCGCTAACGCCGCCAAAATCCATGCCTACTGCCTCCCAACCCGGGCCCACGAAGTTCGCCATACCTGCGCTCCGATCGTGGCAGCGGCTGACTTCTTCGCCCCCGAGTTTGGTCGCTACCCCTTCGAGAGCTACAAGGTCTGCTTTGTCGACGACATGGTCTCAGACACCGTAGCGGCAACATCAATGTCGCTGTGCAGTAATCGGCTGCTCTACCCGGAGGACATCATCGACACCGAGATCGACGGGACAAGAACGCTGGTCCACGCCTTGGCGAGCCAGTACTTTGGTGTTCACATCGTCCCAAACCAGCGGTCAGACGCCTGGCTCATAGTCGGCATCCAGTGGTTCATGACGGATTTGTTCATGAGGAGCATCTGCGGCAACAACTGGTATCGGTTTCACCTCAAGACCTTATCGGACAAGCTGGTCGAGGTCGATGTGCATCGGCCGTCTCTCCACGATCTCGGCGAGTACCTGCACATCGGCGACTTCGAGTTGGACTTTATGTCTCTCAAGGCACCGTTGGTTCTCTTTATCCTCGACCAACGTATGTCCAAGATACCCGGGTCGATGGGCATTGTTCGCGTCATCTCGCAGATTGTTTCGAACGCGAACATCAACGCCACAATTACCAGCACGTCGCTCTCCGACGCGGATTTCCGGCGGGCGTGCGAGAAGAAGAGCCAGTACCAGCCCGACGAATTATGGCAGCAGTGGGTGCACGGCGCCGGTTGCCCAAAGCTCCTTATCAAGCAGCGGTTCAACAAGAAGAACTTGAACGTCGACATCTCCATTGCCCAGACACAGAGCAAAGATAACGGGGCGAATGCCATTACGAAAGACGAGTTCTTGAAGGAGCTGGCAGAAGAGGTGCATGAAGTGTGGGCCGGTCCGGTGCCCAAACTCTTCACTGGTCCCTTCACTGTTCGAATCCATGAAGCCGACGGTACACCCTATGAGCACTACCTCGCTATCACGGACAAGGACAAGTTGGCGACCACGCTTCAAATCGCTTACAATACCAAGTACAAGCGAATGAAGCGCACGAAGAAGGCCACGGCGGCGGCGGCTAGCAACACTGCCGACAAACAGGATATCCAGGAGGACGACATCGTCTATTTTAACATGCTAGGCGATGTGCTCATGACTCAACGCGACCTTGAGAACTGGGGTCTCCAGGAATGGTCCGACAATGTGCAATCCGCCATGGATCAAGAGTCGTATGAGTGGATCCGGCTCGACTGTAACTTTGAGTGGCTGTGTGAGACGGTGACCGACATGCCCGGCTACATGTACCTAGCTCAGCTGCAGCAAGATAGGGACGTCGTCGCACATCAAGATGCGATGCTCTTTTTCCAGCGCGGCAAACGGCACGGCGTGGCCTCCAGCATCGAGACACGGACGGTCATGGACCGCCGCTACTTCCACGGCATCCGCACCAGGGCCATCGACGACCTACCCAAGCAGGCCGACCCGGAGATCAACTACATCGGGACGGCTCAGCTGATTCTGATTTTCCGCCACTTCTTCTGCGATCGCATGGTTGGCAAGAACGGCAATGTCACGTTCCCTCCAGTGCCAAACGACTTTCACGACAAGGCCCAGTACTCGGTACAATGCGCCCTCCCAGGCGCCATTGCACGCACGAGGGAGAACGGTTTCTGCTCACGCCAGGCGCGGAATTTCCTCCTCGATCTGCTGCTCTTCAATGACAACTCGGACAACGAATACTCGGATCATTTCTATATCGCGAAGCTCCTGGAGGCTCTCACCACCTCCATCGTTCCCGACAAAATGGAGGGCGAGAGGGATCTTTTCTCGAGGCTTGGGGTCGACGAGGATGATGACATGGAACTCAAACGGTTCATTGAGAAGACCATCGAGGAGATTGACAAGTACCGTCGCATGGACGAGTGGACGTCGACGTACCAAAACATATGGACGACGACTGCGCTGCACTGCAAGATGCGCCTGATGAAGGCCAACGTCATCCGCACCCAACCGCTCGAGTTTGTTCGGTACCTGCAAGATGAGAACCTCGATCTCATCAGGATCAAGGCTTTCGAGTGTCTCGTCGAACTAGGACTGCTCGCCAAGGTGCCGATTATGAAGCTGCTCCTCGCGAGCGCGAGCACCGATCCGTCGCCCTTTGTCCGCGACCGCCTCTTCAAGATATTCTGTAAAGGCATGGCGGCCGTCGCTTTGGGCGAGAGCAAGGCCGCTCAGCTCGAACCAGAAGCAGCCCTCGACGACATCGGCTTGGTTGTCGAGCAGGGCGAGGCCGAGATTCAACGGAGACAGCTCGCCGCGACTCGCAATCAGAGCATCCAAGCAGCCGTCAAGGCACTGCAGGAGGAACTGAAAGGCAACGCTGAGCTGCAGGCCGCCATGTGGACGGCCGTAGAGTCGCCGTCAATCAGCATCAAGGAGAAGTTCCAGCTGCTGACCATCTGCTCGGCCATGTTTGAGGCTGAAGATTGTTTGCTAATGACGTTCAACTACCCCAAGGTATGGAAGTGCACGAGGGAGCCTGTTGCCGAGGGGCCGACTGCGCCTCAAAAGCCGAACGGCAAAAAGCAGTGCATTCTCAAGTTTACTACCCACTACCGCATGCACCCGCGGCATAAGCTGGTGATGGAGCCAGCGCCGCCGCCGCCGCCGCAGTGGGAACCCCCCAAGCCTGCGGAGGTCAAGAAGATCAAGCTCAACACCAATAAATCTTTCAGCGGACCTTCAAACAACGGGCCGCCTACTCCAGCACCTCATGTTCGGAAGGACTCCATTTCGGTCACACTACCTCGGCCGGCGGTATCGGCGGCAGCTGCAGTGGCCTCCTCAGACTCGATCTCCGTCCAGCCCCTCGCCCGGCTGTCCACACCTCTGGCAGGGTCGCCCTCGCCGGCTACTGCGGTATACAGTCAACAGCTGAATGGCGCAGCCAAGACGGGAGAGAAGCGTCCCAAGCCGGTGAAGAAACGGAAGAGTGACGAGGGTGAGGTCGTCGACCGTCCAAAGAAGGTGGCGAGAGTGGAGAGCAGCATGAACGGCCGTCCTAGAAAGATTGTCAAGCTACCTTTTACCGCCTGGGATAGGCTGCCAGCGAGCATCAGGGATAGTATCCGTGCCAAAAAGGCGAACCCCTCGACGTCATCAACGATCGTCGCGACGCCTGCACATGCGAAACGCTCTGCGCTGCCCGGGCACCCCGATTCGTCTTCCTACGCGACGGCTCGGCCGTGCTCCCCCGCGACTGATTTACGGTCATCACCAGGGCTCAACGGAGGTCACTCGGGGATTAAGAAGCGCAAGCCGCTACCCTCGGCGGCTCCGCAGCATCACTCACCACCCCCGCCGAGCACCCCCGCGACTACCGGGGAGACCACTGAGCCGAAAAAGAAAATCATCAAGCTCAAATTCAGACCACCTTCGCAGGCGTCGCGGCCGCAGACACCGCATGGCGGATAGATTCGCCTTGGTTTCTCCCCCCAAGAATCCTGCGACTTTCCGTCTGTCGACACGAAGTGAATCCCCATCAAGGGCGTTATTCGGCGCAGTGGATCGGCAAATTCCCCGAAGTAGGGTTGCCATCCCCCGGCAACAATCAACAAAACAACACGCAAAATTCAGAGAAAACAAAAAAAGAAATTGGCTCGTCTCATTTTACAGCACAGCAGCAAGGCGTTCAGGTTGGCTTTGGGTTGCTCGGCTGGGGTAGGCCCGAGCATTTTTATCACGGTTTTTATCACGGGTCATTCGGTTAGGGTAAAAAGGGGTTCGGCTCTGGGCATCAGATTTGTTGTAATAGTAGTACATCGAAGGGGGCCAGTGAGCTGGCTGCGATTGCAACGGTCACGGCTCATCCTCGGCTCGGCTTGGGCGGGGCGGTGAGGGGAGGGGGATACGGGCTATGATCGAACGGATGGGAGTTGTAGGTTTTCGGGCCGGGGAGGATTAAATTGGACTGGAGGGCGGGTGGTGGGTGGATGGGCTCAGGTTGGACGGAGGCGGCGAGGGATCGGCTGTTGCGGGCTGGGTCGGCGTCTCTGAGGATTCCCGCCAGAGCTAGGAAAGAAAGAGCGAAGCCGCGTGCCTTTGCTTGCTTGCTTCTTTAGCAACGGGCGCGGGAACAGTTTATAGTTGCAGTTGAGAATTGACAGTGGAATGATACCCCATTGTAGTTACTCGTGTTGTACAGCATGCTTTCCATTTGGCAGAGACCATATCAAATTTAGGGAAATTGATGACAGGCAAGACAAGAGCAACATCCTGGATTTGGTATCTAACCTCTACCTTTTCCGGTACTCCGTTAACCCAACCGCCCAGCCAAAAATCATTAGTTATTGACACCCAAGTCTACGTTGAATAACACCCCTAGTGCTGCCAGATCAACCAAATGCATGCAAGAATCTCGCCAGCCACCTCGAGAAGCAGAGCTAGATGAGATTGTACCCTCAACGCCCCAAATCACACACAAATACCCAACATCAACCGCCGCGAAACAAGTCACTATACAACAGCAGGTGGTTCCCAACCCAGCATTCCTGTGTATAAAACCAAACCGCCCACCTCCCCTCTCACCCCCAACCCCCAACCCCAACCACACACACGCACAAGCCCCCCATTTCTTCCTTAACCTTAATAAAAAGAAATCACTGATGCGACCGCCCCCTCCTCGGCGCCGCAACCCCGATCCTCTCATCCCGACTCCGCTGCACCCGCGCCTCGGGCGTAACCGCCGCGGCCGCCGCCGCAGCACTCCTCACACCACCCCCCATACCACTCCCTACCCCAGCACCACTCCCGACTCCAGCCCCCGCCCCAGAAACAGCCCGTCCCCCAACCCCCGCTCCAACAACCCCCAACCCCCCCGCCATCGAAGCCTGCCCCTGCACCTGCCCCAGCCCCTGCCCCCGCTGCCGCGTCTCGCGCACCGTCGGCACCGCCACCGCCGCCGCTGTTGCCCCCGCCGGCGTGACAGCCGTCGACGGATCAACTACACCCTGCTGCGACTGCGACTGCTGCTGGCCATGCAGCCGCGTCGCAGCGCGCGTCGGTGGCGGGGAGGAGGTCGGACCGCGCGTGCCGCGGCCGCGGGTGCGTGTTTCGCGGGTGGGTGGGGGTGGTGGTTCTGTGGTTGAGGTAGTGGTGGTGGTGCTGGTGGTGGGGGGTTGGGTATGCAGGTTGCCGCCGCCGCCGCGGCGTGTTTCGCGGGCTGGGGGCGTTGCGGTGTCGCGGTCGGCGGTACGTTCGCGGGTTCGGCGCTGTTGGATCGGAGGGGGTTGCATGGGGTTGTTGGGGTTGTGGCGGGTTTCGCGCGGGTTGGTGGGCGTTTCTGCTGGCGCGGCTGGGCCGGCCTGGGCGTTGAGAAGGAAGTTGTCTTGTGGGGGGTGCTGCTCGCGGTGGTGGGGGTGGTGGTTGTGGTGGTGTCGTGGGTTGGGTGCGTGATGGTTGTCCATGGATCCTTCGCTCATTTCCTCCAGCTCTGCCTCCCCCAGCTCCTCCTCTTCTTCTTCGTCGTCCACATCGTCATCGAGGAGATGGGGTTGCTGCGCGGCAAAGACCTGGCCTCGGCTGAAGCTGACGCGGGCTGCCTGGGACTGGGCCCTCGCGTAGTATGAGGTTTCCGCCTCCGAGTCGTCGCTCTGTTCTTCGTCGCTGAATTGGTGCTCGGCTGGGCTCGTGAGCACCCTAGTGCCGTGGAAGTCTATCCCGCCGCCATTGTTGTTGTACCGTCCCGCTGAAGGCCCAGCGGTGGGTGTGGCGGCGAGAGCAGCCCGGCGGAGAGCGGCTGCTGTCGAAGACGTGTCGTGTCGAGTGCGGGCGCGGGCTTCGGCGACTTGTTGGCGGGCCTCGAGCTCGGCAGCGCGCAAGCGGTCAGCGGCACGGTCTTCGTAGTCGGCGATGTCCTCTGGAGTGAGGGATAGAACGGTCGCAGGGCGGCGAAGCATGATGACTGGTAGTATATATTTGGGTGTTTGGTTGGGAGGCCTGGAGTAGGAAGTGTGAAGATTTATTTTGGTGTTGCGAGCAGCTTGAACTGCCGGACGCGGGGCAGAGAAGCGATGAAAGTTGAGAATGGAATGGTGGGGGAATGAGGAAATGGGGGTTGGGCGTTCTAAACTCTCGCGTTATCCTATCACGTCCTTTTCCAATTCGATAACTCTGCACGTATCTGCATTCCTACTCCTTCGGCCATCAGCTTCAAAGCTCATGTGTACCTACAGATGTCGCATCCTGACGTTGTGTCCTGATGGAGCGACCCGAAGCTTGTCAAATGCAGAGCTCCCATCAACCTTTTCGAGAAAAGGGAGGGCAGGTGATTGGTTGATATGTGAGGTGGATCTCTGTCAACACGTGACTTCGCGGTGCTTTTCGTTCTTGGCGTGCTTGGGTCGCGTGGGTCTTGGCATTCATAAACACCGTTGCTCGTCCCTTATTCGAACCCCAACCCTATTCTATCACCTCTGTGCCGGTCCACAAAGGCGGTCTTCCGCCTGGCATTGAATACAAAATGTACCTAGCATACAGGTCTGTATGTACACAAAAAACATACCTCTCCCGTCACACCGAGGCTTCCCCCGTTTTCTCCTTGAATTTTCCACGAAGAAGCTTGCTTGTTGAGACCACAGTGGCGGCCAGGGCCGAGATGGACGAAGGGCTGATCTCTCCTGCGCTAATCTCAGTCTGTAATTCCTTGGCTAACCAGGTCTTTATTTCGACAGCAACGAGCGAGTTGACTGTTTGATTCCGTTAGCAGGGGAGCACAATGCGACGAGCGGACGAGCTCGATCCCAAGGGAAATTTCAACTCACCTCCGTAGCTCTGGAGCGACTCCTCGACAGCAATCTCATCCTCGGGAATCATGACTGCGACAGCAACGCGCCTGGCCAAGATTTCCTCTACGACGGCAACGGCGGCGGCGGCGGTGTCTACCCTGGCCAAGGCGTCAATCCCAGCCTGCATCCCGGCCGTCTTCTTGGTGAGAGAAGCTTTGAGGGCCATGCAGAGCTTGCCGTCCCGCGCCCAGGGGCTGCGGTCAATGAGTTGCTCGTCAAGGGTGGCGCCGGCCAGACCGGCGACGATTTGTGGCCCAGTCTCCTCGCTGCCGATGGTGTAGCCGGTAATGGCATTCTTGATGAGGAAGTGGATGTCGGCCTCGCAGACCGCCAGGGCATTCAGATGGCTCAGGCTCCAGTACCCCTGGTGGCTGGCCTCAGCGAGGTAGCCGACGTCTCGGACGGCGCCAATGTCCAGGGCCACGGCCTTCTGGCCTCGACGGCGGCGGTAATGCGCGAGGGCATCCTCGAATGTGTTTCCGGCTGCGTAGTTGGCCTGTCCAGGGTTTCCGATGATGCCCGAGGTGGACGCGAGCATGATAAAAAAGTCGACATCCTTGACCAGGACGTTGTGGAGGTTCCAGCTCCCCTGGATCTTGGGCCTGGTACAGGAGACCCAGTCGTCGTAGGTCATGTTTTCGAAGATGGCATCCTGGAGGAGGAGAAAGAACGAATCGTTAGTCCGAGCCACCACGGCCGACCAAAAGGAATGAAAAGCCTACCTTGAGCGTCATAGCACACTGGATGGATCCCCGGATGGGAGGCATCTCGGACTGGCACTGCTCGATGGCCCTGGACAGCTGCTCGCGGTCCGAGATATCGCATGCGTAGGCGTTTGCCGTGCAGCCCAGGCTCCGGAGCCTTTGCAGGAAGTCCTGTGCAATCTCGTTTTGGCCACCAGACCTCGAAACAAAAGCCAGGTTTCGTGCTCCGTGTACGTGCAGCATGGTGGCAATGCTTCTCCCAATGCCGCCCAGTCCGCCAGCGAGCACGTAAGTCGCGTCTGGGTCGAGCGTGAGGGGGTGTTCGACGCGAGGGACGACGGGGACCATCTCGTCATGATTAGCACGCATGACCACCTTGCCGACAACCTTACCCGACTGCAGCGCACGGAACGCCTTTGGCGCGTCGCAGTAGTTATAGACATTGATCGGGCCGAGGGGCCGGAGCTTGCCGGCGGCGACCAGCCCAAAGACTTGCTTGAAAGCCTTCTCAACAAGCTCAAACTCCGGCAGATGCTCCTCGTACTTTTCGAGGTTGAAGCCAATGAAACTGGCACTCCTGATGAAGGGCTCCATGTCGAGCCCGGTGTTGCCCAGAATATCGCGCTTGCCCAGCTCAACAAAGCGTCCGAAGGGGGCCACGAGATGCCATGACTTGCGGAGGAACTCGCCAGCAACCGAGTTCAGGACCAAGTCTACACCCCGGCCGTTGGTGGCTCTCATGATGCCCTGCGCAAAGGTTGTGTCGCGGGAGTAAAAGATATCCTCTTCTGGAATGCCGTACCGCCGCATGAGCAGCTCTTTCTTGACGACGGAGCCCACGGTGGCGTAGACCTTGACGCCGAAGTGCTGGCAGAGCTGAACGGCTGCCTGACCAACGCCGCCAGCGGCCGAGTGGATCAGGATGGTCTCACCCCTGCGCATCCGGGCCAGGTCGACGAGGGAGACCCAGGCCGTCGTGAAGGCGACGGGGATGGAAGCAGCCTCCTGAATCGAGATGTTGTCAGGGATTCGATGGCACATGGTCCACTTCATCCGAGCATGGCTACCGAAGCCTCCGTTACAGAAACCAGCCACTTGAAGAGGGACACCAGTTAGTATCATTACGAACAAATGTGTATGCCGTTCCAAGGGGACAGGTCCTTACCGGTGTCGCCAGGCCTAATGTCTGTCACAGAAGACCCGACCTCGACAACATTACCGACAACCTCGCTGCCAAAATATGGCCTCGGGATCTCTCCAAGAGACCCCATGATGTCGAGAAAATTCAGTCCAGTATACATCACCTTGACCTCGACGTGATTATGCGGGAGGGGCGCGGCACATCTGTCGCTGTCCTCAAACCGGAGAGAGTCAGGCGCTCCCGCCTGACCGATGGTCATCACCAACTTCCTGTCCGGCTGGAACAGCCTATCGGTCACCGGCTGTGCGGTGGCGCCCGTGGCGGTTTGAGCCGCCGCGAGTGCAGCGTCCTCGACCAGTCTCGGCACATAGATGCTGCCCTCGTCCTCGGCAAACTCCTTGTCCGAGGCACGGATATCGCCGTCTCCAAACAGCGACGTGAAAAGACGCATGATTGTCTCGGTCGCCTGGGTGGATGCGAGGTCCAGCCCCGTCGACAAGTCGAGCGTCGCGAGAGGACGAGCCCCGTCCTCGGACCTGACGACGCGGAAAAGGCCCGAGGACACATTGCAAGCCGGAGCCGAGGCGCCAGAGACGTTGCCAGCCTGAGTCACCCACAGCATGCCGCCCGCTCTCAGGGACATGTTCTTGGTGGCGTTGAAGAGCTCCTCGGTTAAATCCAAAAAGACCTCGCCGTCCAGCTCGACGAGAGAGATGAGAAGCTTCCCGGAGACACTCGCCACCTCGGGCCACGGAAGCGTCAAAGCACTCAGGCCAAACCCGGCGAGGCGAGCAGAGCAGTCCTCGGCCAGTCTCGTGACCTTCTCGGAGGGAGTCGAAGGTGTCACGAGCAGCACGTCCTTGTACTCGTAGGCCGTCTCGCGCGCGACAGAGCAAACCATGACCGACAGCTGGTGAACACGAGGGTCGTCCGAGTCCCTGAAGACCTGATACACGCCGGTAAACCCGTTGCTCTTGAGTCGCTCGCCCCAGCCGAGTTCATCGAGCCGTTCCCCAGACTCGCCGTCGCGCCACCAGGCGTGGGATGACCCGAGGACGAATGCAGTTCGCAGTTGGGACTTGGTGATGGCTTGGACAATCAATCTACCGTCCGGCTTCAGAAGCGTCTTGATGTTCTTCAGGGCGGCATCCAGATCCGACGTCGTCAGGAGCAGATCATCCAGTATGATGTAATCGAGCTTCCCGGGGCTGAGCCCCTGAGCTTGGACGTCGGCTTCGATGTTGAGCGCCCTCACCTGCAAGCATTCGTTCGGCTTGATATTGTTCGAGGCTGCTTCCGTAGACTCTTCGTCAGGGCTCGTCCATATGTACCTGCCGATGCGGCTGTTCTTGCCCCCAAGCCGTTCCAGCACCTCTGCAGCCCCTGTGGTGTCGGACCCGCTGGCGATCTCGAGAATCTCGACGTTGGGGTTGATGCTGCCCACATGGTCCATGATGTCGGCGACGACCGAGTTGACGAATGAACGGCCCAGGGATCGATTGGCAAAGTCGGCCAGAAATGCGCTAGAGAGCACGTTGCTCTTGGACTCCGAGTCGATGCCGAGAATGCGCCCGATATCAACGCCGACTGCCTCGATCGCATGGCGGGTGCATGTGCCGGAAACTGCAGAAGGACTGGCTGGTTGATCCGCGACGCCGTCCACCGGTATCGGGTCTCCCGAGACCGAACGCATCCAGGCAACGTAGTTTTGCACCGCTTCCGGTCTCTTTTCGGGCTCCTCGTCGGCCTCGTGGCGGCTCAAGCCTTGTAGAGCTTTCCTGATAAGCTCGATGGCGGCATTGTCGCTGAGCTGAGCCTCGGCAGCCGAAGCCTCATCAGACGGAGGAACATACAAGTCCGCCGGAAATCTCGAGTGGTTGACGTCAAGCTTCCAGTCAAGACGAGCGAAGGCGGTTTTGGGCGGGCCAGTCTGGGGCCCGAGGGCGGCGGTGATGGTCAAATTCTTCATCACGATGACGGGCTTTTCCCATGCCTCGTCCGAGAGCACGGAGGTGCCGGTCGCCTTGGCCGCGCTCTGTGGCACGAGCGTGCAGTATCCCTTGAGAACCAACCCGGCGGCCGTTGGGGCCGTTGCTGAGACGTAGAGACTGTCAATGGAGTTGGGCAGCATGACAACATCCCACTTCTGGCTCTGCCCGACCCCAGCCAGCATCTGGAAGGCGGAATCGAGCACCGCGGGGTGGAGAGGAAGCGGGTACTCGAACTCGTCGGGCATGGTCGAGGCCGTGTCCGGCGTCTCGAGCTCGCCGTACATGAACCCGTCTCCGGACTGGATGTGGGACAGGTTGCGGAAGGTGGAGCCAAACTGCAGCCCGTTGCGATTCAGCTTGTCGTACATGTTGTGGACCGGGAGGGTGATGGTCGGCCTGGCCTGCATCGTTTCATGCTCGGTCCGGTGCCTGTCCCATTCGGCCACGGCTTCCATTCCCCTCTCGATTTCACCGGGGAGGGTGAGGTATTTCCTCTCAACGAGGCCCGAGCAGTGCTCCGATATCCTATCGTCGGCATCGATCGTGGTGATGGAGAAGCGCGTCCAGGTCGTCGTGGCAGCCTTGGTGCCGATCTTGTACGGTGACAGCTGCAGAGAGATCTCGACCTGAGCATCCGGCGACTCGAAGACGATGGGCTTGTGCCACGTAATGTCGCGGAACTCGAAGCCTTCCAGAGTCCTGCTAGGGTCGGCAGTATCCCGGCAAGCTTCCATGACCATGGCGATGTAGACGGCGCCCGGCATAACGAGCAGCCCGTGGACTTTGTGGTCTAGCAGCCACGGAACCTCGGAGGGAGAGAGAAAGTTCCTCCAGCTGGTTAAGATGGTGTTGTGTTCCGACGTCTTCTGTCCCAGTAGGTCGGTCCTCGGTGTGGGGTGGCTTTGGACCCAGCGGACACCGCGACACTCATTCCAATATCTGCGCTTGTGGTTAAACGGATACCGGGGTAAGGTGACCAGAGGGCGGCCCCTCAGCGGTTCCTTCTCCGTCGAGTTGACCAGCTCCAGCTTGAGACTGAAGCCCGACGACCACAGCCTGCCGGCAGCAGTTAGCGCGGTCAGGAGTGCATTGGCACCGCGCCGCAGCATCGCGGTGTATGGGACACTGGCGACGTATGTCTCGTTGGCGGCGGCCAGGATTTCCCTCAGGGGGCCTTGCAAAGCGCTGTGAGGACCGAGCTCGAGAAGGGCGTCGACGTTGGCAACCCCCTTCCGTCGATCTCTTGTGTCTCGTGGCTTGAGCAGCGACGTAACGGCAGCGGAAAATTTGACAGGACTAACCAGGTTCTTGACCCAGTAGTCGGCGCTGCCCATTTCTTCCCTGCTGATCTCGGAACCAGTAACGGAAGAGAAGACGGTGATGTCGGATGTACCTCCGAGCGGGCGAACATCCTCAATGTCCTTGCGGTACCAGTCCGCGACGGCCTTCATGTGGGGGGAGTGATATGCAGTCTTGACAAGGAGCCTGCGGCACCAGACGCTATCGGCAGTGAGGAGCTTCTCGGCCGCAGACACGGCATGATCGTCTCCAGAGATGGTCACGCTGTTGGGACTGTTGATGCAAGCGACAACCACATCACCCTCCTCCACCTTGGCCAAGTACTCACGGGCGGCTTCCTCAGACAGTGCTACTGCCATCATGGCTCCCTTGCGATCCGGCGCGAGAGTTTCCATCTGTGTGGACCGCAGACCTCTCCAGTAGGCGGTTTTCCACGCGTCCTCCCTGGACAAGATGCCAGCAGCATATGCGGCGCCAATCTCTCCGCTGGAGTGGCCGACAACAGCCTTGGGCCGGACGCCCCAGTGCCCCAGCAGATCCACGAGCGCGACCTGCAGGGCTGTGCACAGAGTCTGGGATACCTCGGGATCGTTGATGCGGCTGGTCGCGGCGTCGCGGCACAACTCCTCGGTGGCAGACCAGGGGCAGCCCAAAGAGGCGATGTAAGCCTCGGCTTCATCAATGCTAGCCCGAAACACAGAGTGTCCTAGGAGTTCGCGGCCCATGGCGAACCACTGCGCACCCTGGCCGGTGAAAACGAAGGCGCATGAGGGCTTCCTGCCGGCCCGGCTGTGGGTGGGCAGGCCCAATTTCAACGAGGTCTGGAGTTCCGTGAGGGTGTCGGAGATGGCAAAACTTCTCCAGTCAAAGATGGTTCGACGAGACGCCAGGGTATATGCTAGGTTGTCCACCTGCTTGATCTCCTCGAGCGTGGCTGCCCCCTTCAGGTCACGAGAGAGAGCGTCTTGGTCCAGGTACCGGGAGTACGTCTCTGCAAGACGAGCCAGACCATCTTGCTCCGGGGAGCTGAAGGCGAAGAGCCTGAGCTCTGGTGTACATGGCTCTGTCTCCGGGGTGGTATGGGCCAGGGAGATGGCTGAATCAGAGCTTTGCGAGCTCGGCGTACCAGGTTGGTTTGTTGACGCCACAACAGTGTCATGATTACCAGTCAAACCTCTTTCTAAATGTTTGTTGTCAGCCTCTAAAGTACCCTAGATATTGAGCTGGTGCTGCCAAGTTGGGGAGCCCACCTTGAAGGTAGTTCAACGCGTCGTCCAGGATGACGTGTCCGTTTGAACCGCCATAGCCAAACGAGTTGATGCTGGCACGTCGGAGACCGTTTGTAGGCCACGGAGTCAGTTCGGTGGGGATTTGGATGTTCCATTCGTCCTGCTTGATCCGAGGGTTGAGGTTCTTGAACTCGGCGACGGCAGGGATCTCGGCCCGTTCCAGAGCCAGGACGGTCTTGATGACGCCGGCGATACCGGACGAGCCTTCAAGATGTCCGATATTGCTCTTGACAGACCCGACAAGAACTGGCTCGTCGCCCTCACCGCGGGCTGCGCCGATGGTCTGTCCGATCGCTAGCAATTCCAACGGATCGCCAACAGGGGTGCCGGTGCCGTGGGCCTCAAAATATGTGGTCTGGCTCATGTCAAGGCCGGCTTTGGCATACGTCGATCGGATCAGGCTCATCTGCGCGTGGGCATTCGGGACCGTAATGGCGGGCGTCTTGCCATCTTGGTTGATACCGCTGCCCTACATCCAGTATTGTTGTCAGACACTGTTCCCCCGTACGCATGAATGTGTGCGGCAGGGATGGAAGAGAAGTAGGAACCAGGCCGGTAGATGAACCAGGTTGGTAGGTACTCACTCGAACGACCGCCCGAATCACGTCGTTGTCCCGGATCGCGTCCGCCAAGGGCTTGACGATAATGACTCCCATGCCCTCCCCACGGCCATACCCGTTGGCTTGGCTATCAAAGCTGTGACATGCCCCGTCGGGACTCAAGAACCTCTGACTGGAAAGAGCACGCCAGAGAGCCGGTACCAGGATCAGATTGGAACCTGCAACGACGGCCTGGGTATATTTGTATTAGCTTTGGCAACCAGAAGTCCGCAGTTCAGCCTACCATTGAAGTTGTCCCGTCCTGCATGTCACGGCAGGCTTCATGCAGCGCCACCATGCTGGACGAGCAAGCCGTGTCGATCGAGAATGACGGACCTCGTAGGTCGTAAAACCAAGACAGTCGATTCGACAACATGGAGTTTCCGCATCCAGTGCTCTGGTACATTGACTGTTTGTTGATCTCGGCGCCGCTGACATGCAAGTAATCGTTGCTGAAACCACCGACGTAGCATCCCACATCGGTCCCGGCCACGTTTGTGATGGGAATACCAGCTGTTGGGAGTCAGCTTTGGTGTGCAGAAACCAATGGCGCGGGTAGATGCATGTGCTAACCGTTCTCAAAAGCCTCGTAGCTGATTTCCAACAGCAGACGGTGCTGAGGGTCCATGCCTTCAGCTTCAGAAGCTGTTATGCCAAAGAATGGAGCGTCAAAAAGTCCGACGTCCTCCTTCAGGAAGCATCCTTCCTTCGTGATAATCTGCCCCGGGGTTAGGACGGATTCGCAAGGCTCCAATCAGCCCAAGGCATAAGCACGTACCGCACCGGGGCGGTCTGCGTTCGGATGGTAGAAGCCATCCGGATTGAACCTGGTGTTTGGAATCTTTGTCCTCGTAGACCTCGCGTTGCTCAAGATGTCCCAAAAGCCTTCGGTCGTGTTAGCGTCTCCGGGAAATCGGAAACTCATGCCAATGATGGCAATAGGCTTTTGCTTGTCGTTCTCCATCCTCGGCGATCTCGGCAGAGTAAGCCAGTTGTTGATACAAGAGAGAGAGTGAGGTTTTGAGTCACGGAAGTGCCGCAGGGCGTAAGGTTCCGGCTAACTGACACAAAGTGCGGTGGTCACGACGAGCCGGGAGAAGCAGTAGCCTCTGCCTTGCTCTCCATCTTATCAAACAGGGCGCCGCGGAGCTTTGTAGCGTCCTTGTGATCTGCCGGTAAAGGGCCCCGAGAGTACCTCTACTAACGCCTTGGTGCAATACCCAAACCTTGTGATGATACAAGCCGTCCAGTCCAGGCAGGTGTTTTGGTTTCTCCCGGACCACACCCTCCAGGACGGGGGTAATTTGCCTCCCGGGGCCGTGGCAGCCCACGGGCAGTTTCTTTCCACCCGCGGCCAAACTCGCCGACTCCTTTCGGCGTGTAAACAAGAATGGGCCACGGGCTTGCCGACAGGCTGAAGTCGACTCACAGACCGTGACCTGAGGTGAGTTGGTCAGCCATGGAACCAACTCCGGTTTCTCTGTCAACCTCAGCCGATAGTTTGGTCGTTCACAAGAAGACATCTGCGAGGGACTGGGAACTGCACAAGCGTGAATCAACTGCCCTTTGTCACATTGCAACTGGAGTACGTTGTAAGGTTAAGAGAGCTTGTGTATTACAGTATTACGAGAACACGGAATAAAACAGCAATGCTAGGCGCGGGTTGCGTATCTCGCCAGTCTGGCGCTGGCCGGCTTCTCGGCTTCCTGTACATATACCGTAGCTAAACAACTCTCACGGGTTTCCCTCCTCATTGTTGGCTGCGGTCCTTGCATAGATGGCTTCCAAGTCCTCCAAGCGTTTCGTGATTGAGGGTGGCCTGCTCTGGTAGACGCACAGTGATGCAATGAGGCATGCCGCCGAGATACCAACGCACACGTACATGTTAACCTGGAAGGCGTCGATGTAAGTGGTCCGGACTTGGAGCTGCTTGTACCCAGAGAAGGATAGCATCGCGACGGGCGATCTGTAAAAAGCTCCCATCTCGGCCGCGCTGAGCACCCCGGTCAGCGTCTCGGCGATTCTGCTGTTCAGCACAACAAAGCTCAATGCCACTCCCAGGCTGCCGCCCAAGACACGCATTTGGGCGACCAGACCTTGCGCGATGGCTATCAGTGCTCACCAGTCAGCGCCAACTCATCGAGAATAACACAGGGAGGTACACTTTACCAAAGTCTTGGAAATCGGCATTCAGCGAGGGGATCAGTGTTGCTGTGGACAGGTTCATGCCGATGCCGAACCCGAGAATGACTTCGAACCCCCATTGTCTCGCCGCCACGTCGACCGTGGCTGGGAGAATCGACATGATGCCGCAGCCAACAAGCATAAATACGCTTGCGGTGTTCAGGCTCCAGAACGTCCGGTTCTGTTTGGATGAACAGGCGCCCCCTAGAGCAGAGCCCACTGCCGTAGCGCCCATAAGGGGGAGGAGCAGGACTCCCGACCTGACTTCATCGTAGAAGTTTACGATCTGGGCACGCATGGGTATGTTGACAATGACGAGGTACATGACGAAACCGGTCAGAATCGTGCTCCTGGTGGAATCCCGAGTCTTGTTAGCTTGGATTCAGGGGCCCATGTGCTTTTGATTGCCTATTTCCTCCACAGGACTTTGGAGAGGTAGGATCACTGGGTTGAACTCACACGACACTGGACATTAGGACCCTATCTGAGAGAATTCTCCATGGGATCTGGGCACGGATATGTCCGAGGTTGGGCTTCCTTGAGAGGTACCATTGCCACCACGCCAAAATCAACCACGCTAACACGCTCAGGATTAAGACGGCAATTGTCTGCGGACTACTCCACTCGTACTCCCTCACGGTGGCTTGGTTGATGATAAATACGAGGAGCACCGTCGCCATCAAGAGCAGCAGCGCACCCAGGAAGTCGAGGTGACTGAAAGGCATCGTTTTGAATGTGCGGAAGTTCTTCGGCCATACAAAGAACAGGGCGAGCCCTGGAACCACCCCGATGGGGCCGCTAAAACCAAAGTCCAGGAGTCAGTCGCAATCTTCGAGCCGTGTGGGATGCCGAGATAAAAACGCACTTCATCCAAAAGGCCCATCGCCAGTCGGAGTATGTGGCGAGGAGACCGCCAATGACGGGACCACTGACGCCGGCCAGCGCGACAATAATGCCCAGAAGCGCGGAGAGAAGGGGAACCAGATCAGGAGGGCTGATCTCGGGATAGATGATCATGGTCATGGCGTACAGGCCCGCGCCGCCCGCGCCCTGGGCAGCTCGGAAGCCGATCAGTTGATCAAGCGTCGACGCCGAGCCGCAGGCCACGGACGCGAGTATGAAAATGAGAAAGCAACCGATCAAGACCGGCTTCCTTCCGAGGACATCAGACAGGCGGGCGATAAGGACGGTACATCCTTGGAAGCGGGGTGGAGGCGGCGTTAGCGGTGGGCTGCTGCTGAAACAGGACGGATTCGATCTCAGGCTCACCGAGGTATGAGAGGGTATACGACAGCAAGACCCACGGCGCCAGTTTGAACCCGCCGAACTCATCCGAGATGCTGGCAAGCATCGTGGCCACAATGGTGGTGTCTATGAGCGAGAGGAACAAGCCGACACCGATGCTTGATTTGAATGGCAAAGTCAGTGTTCCATGCATGTTGCCCGGGGCCGGGAATATTGGACTTCGCGAGGGAGAGAGCCATACCTGACGAGGATTGTGACCAGCCGCCATCTTGCAATCGGTTCCCGCTTCAAGATCAACTCGTCGCTTGGTTGTCTCGCTAGGGGCGGCGGCCCCTCGGGAAGTGCCGCATCTTTCGAGCGAGCAGCCGTCGACTCGTCTGTGCCTCCAACCTTGCTCATCTTGGTCAAATCTTCTGGAGGGCCGCCGGTTTCGTTTGCGCCGGACAATTTACTCGAAGATACAGGCAGCGGACGGCGCTCTCGATGCTGGGAGGAGGAATGAGGAGGCAAGGTAGGGAGGTGGCCACCCTTCCCTTGCCATCAGTCTGGCAAGGGCTGACGCCGTGTTGGTGCGTGTTGGTGCTGGTTAAATCCCACTCCGTACACGGCCCGACGCGGACCCCAGGACACGGGGCCGCACTGGCTGCCGTGTGGGCAGGGGTCTTGCCGCGCCGGCCTGTTTTGGGCCACCTATATTATCGACTGATGGTGGCAGGAAAGGAACTGGCCGAGCCAATTGGGGTTTACTAAGAGGCCTTGGCCTACAGTGCTCATGGTACTTTGTGGTGGTGACCTTCGATGCGTCAGGTTACGTACTTCGTGTACGAATTAAATCATACCTTAACCAGAACCATCATTGCCCTTTCTCCCTTCGCAAGCCTCAGCTCGAAGTCTCTGAAGGCTTAAAGGTTTCTTGTTATTGCAAGCATGAAGATACTTTGTCTTCACCCGTGGTGAGAAGAAATCCGTACCGCTGGAGAGGGATCATGGGACATTCCGACTAACGGTCTGCCCATTCTGCAGGGGGACCTCGGGTTTCATCTTCGAGAAGCAACTTCAAACGCTGAGTGGCATGCTCGGGCCGACGCACGAATATGTGTACATCAACGGCAGCATCCCAAGCGCCCGGGCACGAGGTAAGACCCCAGGCTGGCGGAAGCAGACCAGGCCCTGAACGGATGGGCAGGACATAGCGAAGCGAGTGGTAAGAACAACGTGGGGATCCGTAGCATTGCTGATGAGAGGCCATCTTAGATCTTCCCGAGTTCGTCAAGGGGCCCTACTATTGCTGGTACGAGGGCCTGTCGACGCCCCAGTGCCTGGAGGCGCACGACATCATAGCCGAAACGATCGAGGAGGAGGGGCCTTTCGACGGCGTCATCGGCTTCAGCCAGGGAGCCTCCCTGGCTTTATCCTTCATCCTGCATCACGAGCTGCAACGCCCGGGTTTACCGTGCCCCTTCCGTTTTGCGCTGCTGTTCTGCACGACCCTGGTCATATCCCCGGACATCAAGTTGAACCACGACAAGGTCGCCAAGTACAGTGGATACTACAAGGCGCCCCACGACGGAACGAGATCGGCTGGCAGGGTTGACGAGGGCGAAGAGCGCAGCGACCAAGGCGGGACGGAGACCGAGGAGGGAGAGGGCACCGGCCAGACGGCACCAGAAGTCAACGGCAACAAGCGCAAGACGGCCCCGAAGCACCGCGCCCTCCTTTTACTCCCGGGGATGAAGCAAGCTCTCGTCGAGGAGCTGGTCCATCTGGTCGACGAGATGTCCCGCAACGTGTCCGGCGAGACGGACGCATCGAGGTACTCGTGGCCCGAAGACGGCAGGCCCGAGGACTTCCCGCGGCTGATGCACCCGCTCACCGTCAAGGCGCGAGTACCCATCCCGACGGTCCACGTAATTGCCCAGAACGACCCGCTCATGCGCCACAGCGAGCTGGCGGTGCGGTTGTGCGACAAGAAGAAGACGAAGCTGGTTTACTTCGACGGCGCGCACCGGATTCCAACCGCGCCGTCGACCCTTAGCGCCATTACAAGGGCAGTCGAATGGGCCATGCAAAAGGGGCAGCTGATGTGAAAGGTTGCTGAGGATACGAGTGTTGTGATTGTGGTTGTGGGATTTGTCCGTCATGCTGCAAGCGCACTGGAATTCTGGTAAATTTCTCCAAGGTCAGACGATAGAATGATGCATTAAGAATCCCTTGAAGCTACCTTCGGTTCCCAAATTAGGTCTCCGGACCAGTGGCCAGTTAGGGAAGGTTCAGGGTTGAGTTTGGTTGTGCCTGGACCCCTTGCTGAGGGCCTTGGTTGCTGGCTTCCTTCCATCCATCTTCGTGCCTTCGTGCCTCAAAAGATGGGAAGTGGTTGAACAGTGGTGAACACGCCACTGCACCCCTCGGGCAGTTTATGTCCAATAGGGTTCATCCTGACCCGCCCAGCCGCTAAAACCGACGAAAACTGGCCGAAGAAGCTGCATGGGTGGAGCTTGCTGAGCTCGATCCAATCGTTAATTAGCAGCCAATTGGAAAAAGACGCCAAGGCCGCAAGGATAAGAAGAGATGGGATTCGGTGCTAGCACGAGTTTGTGCGACCGGGCCCAAGCGAGTCGCGGGGTAACGAACTAACTCCCGAAGGAGGGAATGCCCGTCGTGCGAGCATTCCACGCAGCATCGCCGAGTATGGTGTTGAGGTGGTATGTAGGTACCGAGACCGACGCTGCGACGGTAAGTGCCTGATACGAGAGCGTCTTGCCTATTTCAAAGGCAAGCTGGGGCTCGGCCCTTGCCTCCCGCCTGGGCTTTTACTGACGCGATGTCACTCCCGTCCGATCCATCATCCCCAGACTTGCTCGGTCGCTTCCCCCGAATCAAGGCGATCAATTGCATCTCGACGGCTCGGCATGCCCAAGGAAGGGCCGTTATATCCGGCGTCGACTCCAAGCCCCCGCTGGCGGCCAATACCAGGCACCATCCCGCTGGCTACTTCCATGCTCGCACGAGGGTCGCATCCACCAGCAGGTGTCACTGTAGCAGTGCAGATGTGGTCACTTCCGCTGTGCATCCTGCAGCGGCGTGGTTCTTTATTAATTGAATCTAATCCGGGGGGTTCCAACACCGCACGGGCGGCCAGACCGTGGCATCTCGATGCGGTGATGCGATGTACTGTGTACCTTATTGATGCCAGAGTCAGCCATGGCTCGGGGGAGTTGGATCGCTCATCAAGGCCACGGAGAGACCCAACAATGGAGACACTTGTGCCGCTCTGCCAGCTTCGGAACGCAAGGCCAGACCCGGCAACCTGGATCCCAGACAACCATGCCCATCCTGCAGCTGGTTCATGATGGATCGAGACAACCGTGAAAACACTCGAGCTTCCCCCTGCAGTTGGCGTCGACTTGGGTCACCGATCCAACAGGCAGGCAAGGGTAAAATCTCGGGGTGGCTCAACGACATGACAAGTCCTTCGTAGGAAACCATCCACTTGATCAGTAGAAAGCGGCGCGGCTCCCAGCCCTTGTTGGAGCTGGGTGCCGCCGTCCGGGGGGCCCAAGACACGACAGGGCTCTAACTCTTGCCAACCAGAAACGAATGGCAGATTCCAGCTCGCGAGACTGGCCGCCCGGGCTGTCCGACCTCCGACTCGCCTGCGAGGAGTGCCACAAGCGCAAAATCCGTTGCGAGGCCCCTCAAGAAAGGGGACCGCAGGGCGCTTGCCAGGCATGCCGGGCGAACCACCGGACCTGCCTCTTCTCGCTGAAGAACAAGACCGGCCGCCCGCGGAAACCCAAGCCGACTCACCTCTACCGGGACCCCAAGACACTCTCCCCGCACACTCTCGAGCCCCGGGCCGGGATCGGAATGTCGGCAGCTACGATCACGGGTCCGCATCCTTCCGGGCCGAGACACGATTGGGCTTCAAGAACAAGACAGCATGTTTCTGGCCATCAGTCATCGGCAGCCGGGCATTACGAAACTCCAAAGATCCCCCCCTACCATGTTGGCTCCCCACCAGCCGGGGAAACGTCTCTCGGGCAGCTGTCGTGGCTCTCTGGCATTGGGACGGGGCGAAGCGACTTTGGCCCTCTCCTTGACAGTCCTTGCGGCGGCGACATCCAGGCCTCCACGAGCCCTGGATTTCTTCAGCTTGGGGATGATTTCGTTCTGGAGATGCCAGGGGTTATGACGTCGCACCCGAATCCCCCAGACCCGTCTGGCAACGAGCGCCCTGGTTCGGAGTCGGAGCGGCTGGGACGACCATACACCATAGCCCCGGGGACAACACCGTCGACGGAAGAATCGAGTGACAGAGGAGACTGCGGAGACTTTTGGCGGACCGGCCCGGCTCGGGACGGGGCCGGGGTCCTCGGGGACAATGGAGACTCGACGATGAGTGAAGACTTCTTTGACACGATGAGGCTCTGCGGCGAGATGAATAACGGGTTCCAGAGCAGGGTTCTGGACGTCACGGCCCCGGCAGACAAGCAGGAGCTGTCCATAGTTCTCGCCAACATTGAAGAGCTGGGGCACAAGACAGTGGCGGCGATGCGAGACGCCGCGGGCCCGCCTGGGCCGCCCAGCCGACAAGAGCAGTACAAACGGATGTTGACGCGTGTGGCCGTCCTAGGCGCGGTTGACATCGCCGCCGACCTGGTCAAGCACAATTTATCCATCCATAACATCAGACACTCGGGAGGGTGTGAGGCGGAGAACGACGGCAGTCCTGACTTCTCAACGACGGATCTCCCTCGGGAGGGTAAAGACCATGACGGGGATGGCAGTGCTTGCATCAATGCGTCGGCCGAGCCTCTCGAGAGCGTTCTGTCGCTGGTTCGGCTGGACTACGCTCTGCTCCAGTTCTTCCGCTTCCTTTCGGCAAACCAGTGCGAGGGGGATGGATGCCACGACCCGTCGAGGATGGCCCCAAGGTCAGGACACAGTTGCTCCGGGGGTGGGAGAACCTCACCGCTGGCGAGGACGGCGCAGACACGCGCCCAGCTGTGGGCCCTGGTGAAGGGAATTCGGAAACTGTGGTGACTCCCGTGTTAGACCCAAACTCTCCAATTTCGTCGAGCCACTGAAGAGTCCTGGATAGGAAAGAATGCAACGTCACACCAAGTTCAGCTCTGAGGTCAAAGTGTTAGTTCACTGTGCTCCTGCAAAGTGGCTGGAAAACTTAACGATGGTGGTGGGGGGTCGTCTCGTCGGCGAGTCGGTTGCTCAGGGGTAGAAAGACGCAGCATTGCGGCGTGGATTGACACAGCAGAGGCCGCGTTTGAGGGGTACATACATACAAGTCCCAAGGCTGCCGGGAAGCGCGTAGCATTGTACCGAAGTACCGAATGCATTCTCAGTCCGTTAGTGAGCTTGTGGCCCTTTGCGACCTTCCTGATAAAAACCAACGGCCGGGGGTTTCCACCGCCGGGGCTGCAACACCTGCTGGGTAAAGCGTTGTCAATATTTACATGCATCTTCCTAACTATTGGTCGAGTGAATGCAGCTTGCAGCCAACCGGCAGCGTTGCAGCGCAGCCCGGCAGGCGGACAGCCAGCCGGGTCACCGGCTCGGCAGCCCTCCGGCGCATGGTTCATGGGCCGCCGGCAACACCCGCCCCAGCTCTGGAAGAGGTACATACACAAGTCCTGCACATGCCAGGTGGAGATGTGCTCTGCAAGGGCTAACAGGCCAACATACGACCACACCACAAGTGTCGTAGCATGGAAGTCACCTACCTTCCCTACCTATCCTTCAAGGGTAGCAGTACAACGGGCACCGCCGACCTCAGCACTCCGGAGAGAACTGACCCACACCGGTAACACCGCTGTGTCGGCGGCGATGCCTCAATTCCAATTCCAACCGACTCTTGGCGGGCCGTTGGTGGCATAGCAGCATGCAAGCCTGAGAAGGAACACATCAGCTCATCGCCCTTCACAGTGGGCATCCTCCTCTCGAATCTCGACACATTGACAACCCCCTTTCGCCTCTAGAGCACAGCTAGAAACACAGCGCCTTACCGATCCGCAGCTCGAGTGTGCGGTTCAAACAAAGGATGGGCTCGCCGTACGTCCCGCACGGGACGACCACCAGGTTGACCCCCGCCGACGAGGCCGCTTCATCGAAGGCAGCCTACAGGAACATGGAGCAGCAGGCATTCCACGAGTGGCCCAATGAAGCCGGTGTACGCACTCCTCATCCCTCGGCCAGCGGTGCCATCACTTCACGTTCGCGCTAGGGTGTCTAACTGACGGTGGATTATTTGTGGTCTAGTTTGATGGCCTGACCGAGCACCGCGGCCCCATCGAGCTCAAGGTCAGCGGCAATATCCCAGCATGGGCGGCCGGTTCGCTCTACCGTACCGGCCCCGGCCAGTGCAAGGTCGAAGACACCAAGTCGGGCATGTTTTACACCTCCCACTGGTTCGATGGGCTCGCCCACACCCACCGTTTCGACATCGTGGCTGAAGACGGCAGCGGTGGTGCCGCAGGCGAGCCGACGGTCCGCGTGTATTACTCGTCTCGCCGTCAGTCCGACAAGGTTGCGGCCGACATCAAGGCCACGGGCACGTTACGCTCCATATCGTTTGCACAACGAACCGATCCTTGCGTTGGCCTATTCGGCAAGTTCATGAGCGTCTTCAACAGGCGGCCGACTCTATACAACGTTGGCGTGACTGTGAACGTGGACCTACCCTTGTTCAAGCGCCCGGCCCAGCCTGCTGTCGACGCCCAAGGCCACCGAGCTGCCAGTATCGTCATCGGAACGGATGCGGGGGTAATGTGCGAGATGGACCCCAAGACCATGGACCCCGTCGACTTCCCGAAGCACTCCAAGTTCCACCCGGACCTCAAGGGCCCGCTCGGCGGCGCCCACGGGAAGTTCGACCAGGAGACGGGCGACTACATCAACTACAACCTGGAGCTCGGCAAGCAGCCCGTATACCGCGTCTTTCAGGTCAGCGCCGCCACGGGGAAGACTGATATCCTAGCCACCATTCCGTACAAGGCGGCCTTCATCCACAGCTTCTTCATGACGCGCAACTACGTCGTCCTGTTGGTGCCGGTGGCGCACTACCAGTGGAAGGGCGGGAAGATCGTGTGGGAGGGCAACCTACACGACTCGCTCAAGCCCTTCGACCCGGCCGAGACGTGCCGCTGGTTCGTCGTCGACCGGCGCCACGGCAAGGGCGTCGTGGCCGAGTTCGCGTCGCCGGCCCGCTTCTTCTTCCACACCGTCAACGCCTTCGAGGATGACGACGGGGACGTCTTTTGCGAAGTGACCGACTACCCGAACCGGTACATCGTCGACTGCTACTACTACGACGTGATCCTCGACCGCAACGGCAAGGCCACCGAGTTTTGGACCGACGGCCAGCTGGCGCACAAGTCGTTCTCGCGCCTCGCGCGGTACCGCCTTCGCAAGAAGGATTTTATCGCGAGTAGCGGCGGCGGCGGCGGCGGTGGTGGCAGCAAGGACGTCAAGCTGCCCACGCCCGAGATCGTCATGGAGGTGCCGGCACCGCACGCCGGCGACATGCCCGTCATCAACCCGCGCTACCGCGGCCGGAAGCACCGGTACGGCTACTTCCTCGTCAGCCGCGTCCTCAGCACCCTCTTCGACGGCATCGCCAAGATCGACACCGAGACCCGCGAGCTGCTCCGGTGGGAGGGACCGCGCGGCCACACGCCCGGCGAGGCCATCTTTGTCCCGCGCCCGGCGACAGCCGCCGCCACCGCCGACGACGGCGACGGGGTGGTTCCGGACGAGGACGACGGCGTCCTGCTCAGCGTCGTGCTCGACGGCGCCAACAGGACCAGTTACCTGCTGTGCCTGGACGCCAGGACCATGACGGAGCTGGGGCGCGCCGAGTGCGAGTTTGCCGTGGCCATTGGCCTTCACGGTCGCCATGTTGCGGCGGCGTCGTGAAGACCCCCGAGGAGGGAGACTGGCAGTCGGAGAGTATGAACGCGGTGTTGTCTTTTCTGTTGGCAAGTAGTTCGATTGAAGAATATGATGGCAGCCTTCCCATCTCTGCAAGTCAAGCGTGATACACATGCAGCCAGCGACGGGTCGATATACTTGAGAGATCAAACGGGCAAGCACCTCACCGTTCGATCTAGTTAAGTTCCGTTCGCCAGCAGTTGATCTCGTGTAGGTGAGAATATCACCCCCGCACAAGTTCTTCAGAGCGACACAAGGACACTTAATCTTCCAGAGCAAAATCTATGGTATTTTCGGGACACCGTCGGTCCAAAAGCTAGACTATCTAGATGACAAGCACAAGTGGCTCGCCCCATCTCCCAATCCTCCCTCAGGGCCACTCCACGCCGTAGAGCGCGCAGGTGTCGGTCTTCCACTGAATCATGGCAAGCCTAAGAGTTCATTGGTTGGTTAGTTGTCGTTACCAATCCGACCGCCGCCTCGATACCATCTAAATTAAATCCAGGGGAAGGGAGGTTGGAACACGTACACGTCGTTGAAGTCGGTGCAGGCCTTGACGATGCAGGAGGCAATCGCGGTGTTGTATTCTTCCCCGCTGTAATTCGAAGCGTAGGCCAGGTTGTGGTTAGTCGATGACCTAAGACCAAGTGCACGACGGCACGATTTAAATCATGGCGGGGGTGTTTCGGGCGCTTTCTTGTACATACGTGAGGCAAAGGCAGGGGAAGTCGAAAACCGGGTAGCTCTGGCACCCACTGAGGGGGTTTGTGTCCATGATGCAGCCGATCTTGATTCGTTTCAGTCACTTGGCTCAGCTCCATGTCCGAAACGGTTCCTCATGATTTGTTGGCAACAAAGCACTCACAGCACAGGTAGGAATCTTGCTGACGTCTTGTGCCGCAACAAGTCCGGCCATGGCGGCCATGAGAAAGGTCTTGCTCTGCATGTTGAACGGAGTGTTGGTTGAAGTAGAGGGTCGGCTTTCTCGTGGACTGATGTTGAGTGTACAGGCTGTGTTGGCTTGGGCGCTTGACTTGGATGTTTGGATCTATGTTTCCAGGGCGGTGTTTATATTGACCAAAGTTACAACATGCGGTCTCAAAGCCCTGTTCTGGTAACTACCTATGCAGCACCCTGCTCACGGACTTGTGGCAGAATACTGTGGTACTAGAAGACTACCTATTCTACAGATCCGCCGGAACCCGCCGAGAGAGAAACAAGCCGAAGGAGGTCCGGCCTGTTCTGCGCCGGTCACGGCGCTCGGCCACTTTCGGGAGAACCGCCACCGCTCCTGGGCAAGACATGCACCTAGCTTTGAAGCTGAAAGGGCCGGTTGCGACTGGAACGAAACTGGCAGGCATCAGACCTGGGTGCTGCAAGACAACTGTATTCATCGCTTGTATGCTACGCCTCGAGATGTGTGCGCTTCTGGTGGGCCCAGTTCGCAGCTCAAGCCTCCCTCGTTATTTACAAGGAGGCGCGTCATACGGATAACTATCCTCGGACCCTGCTGTTACATCTCGCATCTCGCATCTCGCATCTCGCCTGCTATCTCTCATTCCCAGACAATACATACACAGTACTAACAGATCATGCCGCCATGTAACAATAACCCCAACGCCCGCTCAACAGTCCGAGCCGATTCTCCCGTGCTCCCCAATGAGCTCCCTCTCCTTGTTGAATCCATCCAGCAGAGGTAACATACTGGGATCGTTAGCCGCCGGCTAAAGCGAAATGCCACCGCAAAGAAAAACTCACCGCTCAAACCACTGACGTCATAGCTACCACCATCGAAGTCGCGAGCGCGACGACAACCGAATGCAGCAGCGAAACCCGCCGTGTTGCCGCGCTGTTCTTCTTGTCGTGATACAGGAGCCCGATCGACTCGTTCCTGTCCCGGCCGTTCGTGCTCATGCAGGCGCTAAAACCCTCCGCCACCACCGCATCCGAGGCGCTCTCGAGCTCGGGGTCGACCTCGCACCAGAGCCAGCACTTGTCCGAGAGGTGCACCGGGTACGGGTCGCAGCAGGACACCATCCACGGTGCTGATGGGTTCTGGCCCGGGACGGCTATGTAGCTGATGTTGTTGGGGACACCGGGCAGAGGCGTGGGTACGCCATTCGTGGGGCAGCTGGTGTTGTTGGTTTGCCGTATCATAGACATGTCGACGTCGATGTTTCGTTTCTTCTGTTGTGCCGTACGACGTAGCCGGTGAGGAAGGGTATAAGGCGTGACAAGTCCTCGATGTAAGTGGGATGAATGATACGTCAAAAGAGCACGAGGAGAACAGAGAGACCAAAACCCGGCGTGGGCAGTGATTTATACGAGCTCGCTGGTAACACGGAATTTGACATCGCCGAAACAAACCAACAAATGCCACGGATTAGGTAAGTATATTCGTAGATCGATAGCTCCACCGCTCAGATGACCGAAGATGGGAATCCTTCGCACTCATCAGCCTTGCTGCCTTGTACTACCTTCACATTGCTCTCGCCACCACGGCACGCACAGCCATGAGGTTACATTAGCCCCGTCACTGCTGTGACGGCTGGGGTGAACCGTCCTTGAGAAGGAAACCGTAACAGCCGTTACACATGAGCTTCTCCCAGTTTCCATCTTTCGTGACTACCAGCTTTGATGTCTTCTCTTTGTTGCAGCGATCGCAGGTGAACTTGGTGACCTTGGCGAGTCGAAATTGTTGGAGATGACCACGCATCGGGAATTCCTTCAGGACGTCAAACGGAGGTGGGTTGGCATCCTGGTCGCTGGCCGTTGTTTCGGCGGTAGACATGATGGGTATGTGTGCTTGGAGCTCTCCGGTCAGTTTTGGTGTTGGGGGTAATGGCGGGCTATGGGACGAGGCATACCGAGCCTGAAACAGGTGGTTGTCGATAGTAGCTTAGTTGTTCGAGTTCGATATTTGGCTGGGGTAGCAGCTTTTCCTCGAAAAGGTGATGATCTTGCCGTTATTTTCCACTGACGCTGCTGTAGCAACTGGGGAAAACATATCACAGGACGCCTCTTGTAAGTGAGGAGAAGGATGCACATAGCTTAGGGAGAGGAGCAAACGCCCCGGATCGTACAAGCGGGGTGATTTTTTATCACGGTTAACCGCGTTCCTCTGTTTGCGTCCTAGGATACTACATACTGCTGGTAAGTTTGACCATTCGGCGCCCTGGATGCCGCGGTCGAGGCGTGTACCCGGGCACTACTGCACCGGCCCGAAAGGCCACTGCCATTTGTCGGCCTTCCACCCCGCAACGGCACGCCAAAAGTAGTCGGGCTTGCCCGTTCCGCGAGCGGGCAGTCTAGGAGTTGAGATAGCCTTCTCGGTTCATCAGCCCAAGGTCAGGGTCAGGTGTGTTTACTTTCAAGTACTTGTATCTTGCTTGCAACTCCTCGCTGTAAGGCTTTCGATTACAGTATACCTACCGGCGTGAGGAGCGCGCGGCGCCACACGCATCACAAGATGACCCGACGTTATGCAGAGTGCACATGGGACAGGTTCAGTAAGTTTTGAGCTGTGGTGGCGGCCTCTTGGTGCGAAAATTCTCCAAAAGATCGTCGCTAAATCCATCGAAGGGGTCCCGCCCGGTGGTACTAGGAATGCGTTTGGGGGTAGGAAAGGGGTCTAGGGAGGCGGCAAACGTGTCTCTAGAAGGGACAAGCGCGTTTCTGGAGGCGCTAAAAGTGTCCCTCGAAGCGGAAAGGAGATCCTGTGAGGGAAGGAAACTGCTGCTACCGCCAACTCGGCGGCTGCTGCCAGGGCCGTAGCCCCCGCGCGAGTCCCTGGTCAAAAGATCCCACAGTGCCTTCAAGGCGGCTGCGTCTTTCGCGCTGCTTTCTTCGGCCCATGTCTTGAATTTTTCCTTAGTCCACCTCTCCATTAGTGTCTGGAGCTCGCGCCCCAACTTTCCGCCGTTGTGGCAGTCAATGTCAGCGGTGCTGGCCCCTCGCGAGATGGACTGGCTGAAGGAGTTGCGAAAGCTGGGCGCGAGTAAGGAGTCGGGAAGAGTGGATGGCGCAGCGCCGCTTCGGTTGCCACTTGGAAACCCGGGCCCGCGAGGTTCAAGTGCGCCGTAAGATGGCAAGTCCTCGCTCCCTGGTCCGCCGCCTGGTCGACCTATACCCAGTGCAACTTTGCCTGTGTATCCACTCCGCAACAAGCGATCGAACTCTAGGCGAAGGCTGTCCCACATATCGTAGAAGATGTCGTCATGGCCCCAGCACTGCATATGAGACAGTTCATGCAGCATGGTGTTCACCATCTTGTCGAGGGGGAGAAACTCGTTGCGGTCCCTGGGCTCCCGGAGACGGACGAGGATCTGTTCACGGTTGAGGTTTTCGCCTAGCAGTACTTCATCCTCGGGATACATCTCGGAAAGCATCCCGAGCTTCCACCCATGGGCCCGCATGATAGGCTTTACAAGTGAAGCGATCGTCGTCAGATGCCATAGAGCCTCCTCATGACGGGGCAAGTTGAGATGGGTATAGTAACCAATGAGCTTCTCGGAGGATTGCGACATGGTGCCTTTACTGCTGTTCTTGTATCTATCTGTGTTGCGTTGACAGAGATGGGCTGCAGCACTTACTGTGTGTATACACGTTTGGAAGTTCGCTGGCGTAATGATATACATAGGTAGGTATATATATATTATTGGTGTCAAAGGTGATAGATGCGTAGTCAAGTCTCGGTTGAAAATAGCCCAAGTCGAAAACACGCGCCGCAGTGTGGAATAAAGAAGGCCGTCCTCAAAGGCGGACTTCAAAGGTGGCCCTGAAAGGCGGAGAACAGCCGAGGAAAGGCTTGAAAGAGGTCAGTGTAATCTGTAGTTAGATAACAGCCCTGACCTGGCAGCTGCCCACGGCTGACGCACAATCGGCAGTGCAGAACAAAACATTTTCATCCGAGATCAAAACCGATCAAAAATCTGCGGTCACAAGATGAAGGTCGACCACCGCGGGATGCCCGTGTCGTCCAACACTTTTCTCCGGGCTCCGGGCGGCCTCGGCAGCTCCGGACCCGCATGAGCCCGGGTGATCCGGACCCGCCGGCCCCGGAAGTGGAGGGTGGTTATCGAATCGACGACCAAAAAAAGGTTGATCCTGCCAAGTCTGCAAAAGAACGGGATGAGATCATCGTTGCGTACCGAGGAAAAGATGCAAGGATGCCAAGCCAGCCAGAAGCTTGTCCTGGAAAGGTGGCTGTTTCAAGCTGGAAGCGTCCGACGGTGTGGTTGGTCGAGCACGTTGAGCAAAAGTCGACGAATTCTCCCAATGAGCGGCCTCCGACCAACCCAGTCGAACATTCCTGGCGGTTGCAGGGGATCAAGCGGCGACCAGGAACATTTCCCTCCACCACTGGGGACCCTGAATCAGACCACAATCGGAAAGCTGCATTTGCATGCTTGCCACCACAGCGTGCACAGGAGTGACAGGTTGCTCAGCTGCCACAACAGCGTTTGCGCATCTGCAGGGTCCACTCCCTTCGTGAACCCACTGCAGGAAGTTGCGAAATTGGGATGACCAGGCACAGCCCAACCCGCTCCACTTTACACGTTTCGAACCGTTGGCGATCACCGAGAAAGCCACTCGAGCCACTTTTGTTTCAACGAACGAGCCAAGATGGCTCTCCCCACACTCCGGCTGGGCGTCGGAGCCGGCGCGGTGACCAAGGAATGTTTGGATGCCAAGGGCCGGGGTTGACCCCCGTCTGACTGCGAAGAAGGGAGTGAGAGGATGGGAGTGGTGTGGCTCTGTGCCAGTGTGATCAGGCTGTCCCTCGTCAGTCCCCAGTGAGTGGTGGTGCTGTCATAGTTAGTGTGGGTGCTGCCGTCTGCTGTGCTGCCATGGACAAACTCCAGACCGAACCGATCGGCGTGGGACTTCCATCCCCCCCTGAGTTGGGGTCCATTCCATGAATGCCATTTCCAGGAAATGCGATATGAACCGCATGAAGAAGATTGCTAGCGAACCCGCTCGCATCCACTCCTTCTCATTCCCATCATTCCAACACAGGCTGGGGCCCTAACCACCATTCATTCTTTACAAGACCGCGTCTTTCTTTACTGCTCGTCTGCGAGTAGGAGTTGGTCTCTCTCACCACCATCACTCTCTTTTTTTTTTAACTACCGGTAACCGACTTCATTCCTTCGTTTCTTACCGAGTTCTCTCCTGGTTGGGTCACTCTTCACAACAACAACAATAACAACAATCATGAAATTCGCCGCCTTCGCCTTCGCGGCATCTCTGGTCGCTGCCGCGCCCCGGGTCGTCCAGGTTCACCCTTCCGACATCCGGCCCCGCCGCATCGGAGGATCCAAGTTCAAGCTGCCGCAGATTCACAATGACATGTTCCGGCAGCACGGCAGAGGGCCCAGGGCTCTCGCCAAGGTCTACGAGAAGTACGACATTGAGCTGCCCACCGACCTGATGGACGTCGTGCAAAAGATCCTCAGCGAGCTCGGCATCAAGCAGACTCTCAAGCCCGTCACCGCCGGCCACAAGCCCCATGGCAGCAAGAACAACAACGGGGCGCCGTACACGAACGAGACGGATGATCAAGGTGCGTCATGAATGCGTTCCCCCACACTACCCAAGGTCCTCAACGCACACTCACTCACACTTGCACAGGCGAGGTCTCTGCCACCCCGCAGCTCTACGACGTCGAGTATCTGGCCCCGGTCGAGATCGGCACGCCGCCGCAGACGCTGATGCTCAACTTCGACACGGGCTCGTCCGACCTGTGGGTGTTCAGCTCCGAGACGCCCAGCAAGCAGCAGGGCGGCCAGAAGCTGTACCAGATCGAGGAGAGCAGCACGGCCACCAGGCTGTCCAACCACAGCTGGTCGATCCACTACGGCGACGGCAGCCACTCGTCCGGCAACGTGTACCTCGACACCGTCAGCGTCGGCGGCGTCAACGTGTTCCAGCAGGCCGTCGAGTCGGCCACCTACGTGTCGTCGTCCTTCGTCGGCGACGCCGCCTCCTCGGGCCTGCTCGGCCTCGGCTTCGACTCCCTCAACACCGTCACGCCCAAGAAGCAGAAGACCTTCATCTCCAACGCGCTGGAATCGCTCGAGATGGGCCTGTTCACCGCCAACCTGAAGAAGGCCGAACGTAAGCCCCCTTTCCATTTCCTTTTCCCTCCCCTCCCCAACCCAACCCAACCCCCCCAAACCAATAACAAACAAACAAACCACAGCGGGCAACTACAACTTCGGCTTCATCGACGAGACCGAGTTCACCGGCCCGCTCACCTTCATCGACGTCAACTCGACCGACGGGCACTGGCAGTTCGAGGCGTCGGGCTTCTCCATCCACGCGGCCAACTCGACCGGCGACGACATGGCGTCCATGTTCGTGCCCGTCAGCCACGCCGCCATCGCCGACACGGGCACCACCCTGCTCATGCTGCCCGCCGCCGTCGCCCAGGCCTACTACCTGCAGGTCGCCGGCGCCCGCACCGCCGCCGAGGTCGGCGGCTGGGTGTTCCCCTGCGACGCGTCGCTGCCCGACCTGACGCTGCACATCGGCGCGTACAAGGCGGTGATTCCGGGCGAGCTGATGGTGTTCGCGCCGGTGGATACCGATGATTTGGATACCGCGACGGTCTGCTATGGGGGGATCCAGAGCTCGAGCGGCATGCCGTTTGCGATTTATGGCGATGTCTTCTTCAAGGCGCAGTTTACCGTCTTCGATGTCGAGGCGGGCAAGCTGGGGTTTGCGCCTAAGCCGGAGCTTTGAAAGGGGGGTCGTTTTTTTAACGAGAAATTAGAGGGAGGGGGGGGAGGTTTTATGTTCTGGTGTGTGTATATTTTTCGGGGTTCATACTAGGGGTTTTTCTGAAGTCTGCGGGCGGCGCAGTTGGTAGATAGGGGAAACGGTAGACGGACATAGCTCCTCCTCAAGTATACCCTGGATTTTCGCTTCTAACGTATGTGCCCCTGCCTTTGCATGTCTCGGGTCTGACCACCCGGTTGTGCCACTTTGCGATGTGATATGTATTGATATTCAAACAAATCTGCTAGTAAACCAGGGGTATGTACCCTTACCCATACCGGTGTTGCGACAGATGGCAGCAAAAACAAATGGTATCATGATATTATACACCGACACCCGAAAGTTGACTACTACAGCTTGAACGTGATGGTCTTCGTCCTGACCCATTCCGACAGGCCCAGCGCAGCATTGAACCGTCCATACCCCGAGGCCTTGGCACCGCCGTGGGGCAGGGCGCTCTCGTCGTGGACCGACATGCTGTTGATGTGGACGGCGCCCGTCTCGATCTCCTTGGCGAAGCGCAGGCCGCGCCGGAGGTCCTCGGTGAAGACGGCCGACGAGAGGCCGTACTCGGTGTCGTTGGCGATCCGCAGCGCCTCCTCCTCCGTCTCGATCTCGTACAGCGCCACGGTCGGCCCGAAGCTCTCTGTCTTGTAGATGTCCATGTCGGTCTTGACGCCCGTGACGACGACGGGCCGCATGCGCGTCGGGGTCGACTCCTGGGCGTTGACGTCCCCGTATAGCAGGGAGGCCCCCTTGGCGAGGGCGTCCTCGATCAGCTTCTTGTTCTTGGCGACGCCGGCGCTGTTGATCAGCACGGGGGCGTCGTGCGCGCCGCCGAAGATGTGGTCGATGGCTCCGGCCAGCTTGGCCTCGAAGGCGGCCCGGACGCTCTTGTGCACGAGGATGCGCTCGGTGGACATGCAAATCTGGCCCGAGTTCAGGAATGAGCCCAGCGCGCACTGCACGGCGGCGTTGTCCAGGTCGGCGTCCTCCCACACGATGGCCGGCGCCTTGCCGCCCAGCTCGAGGAGCACCGGCTTGAGGTGCTCGCCGGCTAGCCGGCCGATGATGCGGCCGACCACGGTGCTGCCGGTGAAGTTGATCTTTTTGATCCGGGGGTCGGCGATCAGCATCTGCGTGATGGCGGCCGCCTGGGCGGGCTCGTGGAAGAGCAAGTTCAGCACGCCGTCCGGCAGGCCGGCCTCGTGGAAGACGGAGCAGAGACCCCACATAGTCCGCGGGCACAACTCGGACCCCTTGAGGATAGCCGTGTTGCCAGCGGCGATGGGGTACAATACTGAGCGGACACCGAGGATGTAGGGGGCATTCCTGGCCGGGTTAGCTGTGACGCACTCTTTCTACTCGGCAATCAAGGTAGCCTACCAAGGGGCAATCGCAAGGACGACGCCAAAGGGCTCAGTGACAACCATGGCGCCCGTGTCCGGACTGTGGGGGGTGGGCAAGCTGCCATCCAGAGTAGCCAGCCTGCCGGCCACGTCGAGGATGAGCTCCTTTGCCGCTGTCACGTTGAAGTCGGCCCACTGGCGCGGGCAGCCCGTCTCGGCCATCATATACCCCCCAAGCTCCTCCTGCCTCCTCGCCATGATCTCGGCGGCCTTGAGGAAGATGTCACGGCGCCCCCCTGGCAGAGCCTTCTTCCAAGTCCGGAAGGCATTCGCGCCTGCGTCGAGGGCGGCTTCAACATCGGCCGCGTTCGCGCCGGCGGACTCATGGGCCACCTCGCCGGTTGCGGGTGACACAACCTTGAACCTCTGCTCCGGGTTGACGTGGACTTCCTTGCCGTTGATGAAGAAGGGGACCGGGGAGCCCTCGGGCGGAGCAGTGGCGGATGTAGACATGGTGGAGGGAGATGTTTGGTGGAGAGAGGTATCTGGTGGCGAGATCCGGGACGTGAAATGGAGTAATCTGTAGTTTATAAGAGGGCGAGGTGCTATGGTGGGAGTAAGTTGGAGTTTAAAGGGAAAAAGCAAGTCCGCCGCTGCTTAACAAGCCCGAGCGAAGGTGGGGTAAGTCCCTCCCCGCCGTCGCCCGGGGGTCGAAATCTTGGGATCAGACCCCGATCGGCAAGTGGGGATCCGGAGCAGTCCCGAGATGCAATGCCGGCGCTTTTTGTTGTCGAGGGTGGATCCAGTTGGGGCGACTTGGGGCCGTCAAACCATTCCCAACCCCCCTCACACCCAACCCAAGCTCGGATTTGACTCGAAACAACCGGGTTGCTCCGTAACACACGGGGATTTGTAATGCTTGGAAAACTCGTCCACTCTGCTGGAGCTGTGGATAAGTGCACCTATTTATTTCCCGAACCGGACAACCGCCGCTGGCGGGTATCGGGACCCCGGTCTCGATGCTCTAAATTGGCTAGATGAGTGAGTGAGTGATTGTGTGTTCCTCGTTCGGCTTGGTAATTCTGTGCTTGGAACTCCACGTGTCGACCGACATCCGCTTGATAATCGTCCTTGGGGTTTGCTTCGGAGGCATCCCTGACTACGGATGCGGGGTTCGGCGAGCGTGTGGAGATCTGGGGATGCGGAGAGAAGCTCGGCATCTGTTGGTAGGTCGGGGACCGGCGGAGCAAGTCGATGAAGCTATCACGCCCGTTCAAGCGGGCTGCCGTGGATGCTGGGAGCTTCGTGTGGATTGTCGGGATGCACAAAGGGCTGTGGAAGCGCGATTAAATAAGCTTCTAGGTGTTGCCGCCATCTTGACCAGAGGTTTACAGGTATCGTATTGGAGATCAGAGGTAGCGACCGAGGAAAAAAGAAAAAGGATGAGCCGAATTGTTGTTGGAAATACGCCGGGTACAGTACCTGACGAGACTCCTCAGATGGGAGTCCATTTAAGACCCAGTACGGAAGGTGGTACTTGGTACCTACCTAGCTCAGCACTTCGGCAGGCCGATGGCGGCTCCAGCCTAAGGTCCGTCTTCTCAGATAAAGTGGGTAGGAAGGTAGGAACCTAGGAAAGAGCTACCTAGGCACCTATAGGCCACTACAATTTGTACAGCAAGCAGGCAAGGTAGGCGCGAGCTTAGGTACTCTCTCTGGTCGAGGCCTTCCAAGTTAGAAATTCTCGTTTGTTCGTCGAAGGCAGAGTATGTGTACCTTCGTACCTGATATCTGACATTATAGCTTCCACATCTCACCGATGCGCCGCGTCTGAAACTGTTATCGGAACCTCATTGTATACTAACCGATTCAAAAACTTGCCCCCCTTCCCTCAGAGCAACATGGCCAGTGACTCGGACATGGCCAATGACATGCTGCGCGAACTGTTCCCAGGCGCCTCCACGGTAGAGACCAGGCCCATCTGCGACCCTTCGTCCGACGGTGGGGAAGGCACCGCTAGTGATCGTGTTGGGGAACTCGAAAAACAACTCGCCACCCTCACAAGGTTCCACAGCTGTCTTTTATACGCCGTTGCCATGGCTCGTATGGCCGTGTTCGCCGTCGACAATAACCAGGGGATTACGATGGCGGGAGGAGCGAGCAGCCTGGCTCGCCACCCTTCAAATACTGGCAGCAGCGACTCTACACCGTACATCGGAGAGAACGTATACAACGCCTTCAGGCGGCTGATCTCGGGACCTGCCGACAAACGAATACCCCCGTTCTTCGGATGTCTCGATGCTGTCATAAACGGCCAATGCCCAGAAACTCTTCAGGATTGCGAGATTGGCACGTCGTCTTTTCCCAACATATATCAGTAACATCCAATCCATTAACACAAGTCAGATGGCCGCCAATATCGAGCACATTTCGGAGTGCCTCGTGAAACTCCGGGCCCTGGCGGCCACACCAAAGGCACCGGTCCCGATTGTGCTATGGGCTATGTCATCGACACGACGCCGTTCAGGGGCCAGACCCAGCCGAGTCGTAACGACAATGACGGCTACACGGCGGTAGACGAATGTGCCGCTGGGCTAGGGGATCAAGCTCTGAACGCTGTAGGTTATTTGTTAGTACATGTTGGAAATACTAGGAACGTTAACGCTAGTAGACGGTCCGTCTGCTGCAGACTCAAGTTGCCAGTGTCGTCAGCGTGGCTGAACGGCTTTTGGCTGACAAGCAGTTGGCCCAATGGAAACTCCAAGAGCAAATCCAGGGGCTCGCGGACGCCCTTTTGACCCTCGTTCGTTACACTTCGGACCTCCCCAGCGCCAGGCCCATCAATATACAATTCTCCGTGCCGAGCGTCATCAAAGAAATATTCGAGGCACTCCAACCCCTCGCTGAGAACAAGGGACTGCTTTTCCGATTTGACATCGCAGATGATGTCAGCATTGGTTTTGAAGTTATGGGAAACCCGGGTCACTTACAACGGCTCCTGAGCAGTTTACTGAGGAATATCATCAAAGCCACATGTGTAGGCGATATCCGCCTCTTGGTATCCAAGGAGCAAGGCGACTCGGGAAGTACGATCCTCAGATTTGTCATCACAGACACGGCGAGAATCGGCGGAGCATCTTCTCCGGCTGGCCCCTTGGGGACGATGGAATGGGCCTGCGTCCAACACGAGCTCGGCCTTTGCAAGGCCATGGTGGAGGCCATGAATGGGCGCATGTCCTTTAATTCAGCAGCAGGGACCGGCACCACAACCATCATTCGGATCCCCTTCAACTTGCCAGCCAGCAAGGCATGTCCTCCTCGATTTGCCACTCCACCGTACAGCCCCTTTTTATGAGTACTCTGTGACGCCCCGGCGAGGGAGCGGACACTGCAGGTTTCCCTGGCACAGGTGGCCACTGAACCCGACGAGTAATGGTACCGTTGTGGGAGCTGGGGTGATACTATGCCCCCCAGAGAAGCCTTGGTAAATTCGACCCTAGAAAGGGGCGCTGGGGTGGGAAGAGATTGGCTTATGTATGTGCTGAAGGGGGAGAATGTCGGTGACCGGGTTGGCTTTACTAGCAATTCTAGATCCGGCTCTCGGATAGTGTATTAACGTTGTTGTGGCCCAGGCCAAACTTAACATACGGGCTGAGTGGATGGCTAACAGGGTATAAGACAAGTACTACGTTGGTTGCATGTTCATGCGTTCCTTCGGTTACTTTTCATGGGGGCCGGAGCTCGGACCAAAATCCGGTTCAAGAAAGAAGGGGAAAATAATATAAACGACCTAGTGGATAGACAGATAGAGGAAGAGTAAGGAGAACAAGGGAAGAGGGAGAGGGGATCGAAGGGGGAGAATAAAACATCATATCTTGCCTTCTTTTCCAGCCGTATACTGTCTTTGGGAATTGTCTAGCCCGAGTTTAAATGTCAACACATGGATCTCTCTTACACACATAACACAAATTAACATAACGGTCAAACGACATCGATATGAATGACACCAACAATAAATGGTATTGATCGCTCAGAAAACTCGCTATGCTAGAAGACGGTAACCACCCAACGAAAAAAAAGCCCAAGCGAGGGAAGGAACCCTGAAATCGGCCTGGAAATGCTCAGGAGGGTATCTAGTATACACTGATTAACTACAACAGAAAAAAAAGGTAAAGAAAGCCAGTGGCCAGTAGCTCAGAAAAAAAGGCCAAGAGAGTCATAAAACTAAGCATTACATGTGTCGCTATGCGGAATCGAAGAAACAGCCACTGCCGTGACGATGGATGCAAGTCAATGTTGCCGAGTGAATGCGTAGATCGGGGGAATGGGAATCGAGGTACCCGTGGGAATCGGCCGTAACACATGCCGTGAGAAAGGTGAGGCCGTTTAAGTGCCGTGTGCGTCGTGGGGAATGCGTGGGACCCGGCCGTAAGGAGCAAACAAACCATCCGCACCTAGGGGGGGGTTTCGTGGCCCCCTTTATCCATCTCCGCGGAACACCCCTCCCTTCAATAACGGCAAGCGGTTAGTCTCATACCCTCGTCCGCTTGCCCTTCCCCAGCGTAAGCTGACTCAAGCTCAGCGTCCTCGCCGCCTTCCTCCTCTTCCGGGCGTCCTCATCTCCACCCTCATCGTCGTCCTCGGGCCTGAGCTCCTCACCAAAGGCGCCATATCCCACCATCGGCGTCTGTCCCTCCCTCGGCGTCTGGAAATCGTCCTCCGTGACCTCGCCCTCGTCCAGATCCGCCCGCTTGGTCTGCTTTTTAGCAGTAGCAGCCCGCGCCTCGGGCGCGTCGCCATCGTCGTCATCGTCGTCCGTCTCAAATACCGAGAGCTGTTCCCGCGGGATCAGCGGGGGCGGCGGGGCGAGCAGCGAGGTGGCCATCTTAGGCGTCAGCGGCAGCGACAGTGCTGACCCGCTGCCGCCGGGACCCGCCGACGTCGACGGAGCCGGTGTCAGCGTCAGGCGCTCCTGCGACCGCGACTCGGACGGCCCGCGCACCATGGCGAACATGGTGGTGGACAGCGTGTTGAGGCGCTCCGACAGCTTCTTGACCTGGGCCTCGAGCGCCTGGCGGGCGGCTCGCTCGGCGTCGAGGTCGGTGCGGAGTTTGGCGATGACTTCGTCCCGGAGAGGGTCGTGGCCGGGCTCGCGGCCGAGCGTGGGGAGGCTTGCGGCGCCGCGGACAGTGGAGGTCGATATAGGGCGGTTCGGGGGGTTGGCTGTTGCAGCCTTGGCCTTGGATGCCGGGTACGGGGGTGGCTGGAGGGACGATGTATAAGTTTGGTAATCGCCGAGGGAGACTTGGGATTGTGTGTCGGTCTCGAGCGATCGACGAGAGCTGCTGGGGCGGACCATGTCCTTGCGGTCAACCACTCGCTTAACGCCCGGGACTGTGTGGCATAACTTGTCGACCGCGCGCTCCAGATGTAGCGTGCGAGACTCGAGGCCCCCCAGACGCATATCCATGTCCGCTGCGTGCGTGATCTTCATCCCAAGCATCTCCTTGGACAGAAGGCCGAAGTTGAACGGCTGGGGAGGGGTCCTGGGAGGTCTCTCGACCGCGGGGCTTTCGGGAGCGCTGATGTCTACCATGCCGGTGTCGTCGACATCGTCATGCGCATTCGATGACAAGGGCGACATGAATCCCGGGTTATACGACTCGCGCCAATAGCGTATCTCATCACTCCGCCGGCGGCCAGCGCGCTGAAGTCCGGCAAGACCCTGCAAGCCGGAAAGGCTCCGGGACCGCCGCCGAAGACCACCGCCACTATCGCTCGTAATGGCGCGGCCAATCTCGGTGGGATCATCGGGGTCCGCCCGGCCGCCAGCCCGGCTGGCGCGGCCTTGGGCACTGGCCGGGCGTGGTGATAGGCCGGCCCCCCATTCTCGGTTGAATAGATGAGGCCTCAGCAAGGCGTGGCCACCCATGGTCGCAGCCCGCTTGCGGATTGCAGCGCTCGACGAAGCCGGGTCACCCTGCAGAGAGTTGCGCGCACTCTCGATGGCCATGATGTCGTCGGGACCAACGGAATGGGACCGGAGTGGTCGGTCAAACTCGCTCATGGGGAGCGAGGCCGACCGCTTCGGGGACCTCTGGTTTGATCGGCTAAGCGCCGTGGGGTCCTAGGTTTGGTGTTAGTCAGGCACGCACATGTCCGCATGTTGGAATATGGACACTCACGCTTCGATGCTGTACGGATCCTAGGGGCCTGGATTCACGTCTAGACTCCCTAGGAGCATCCTGGTTTCCATTGGGGGCTTTCTTTTTGCCCCGGCCGAACAACCTTCCCAACGCGGACCGCAAAGTGGACTTCTTCCGGTGCGGAGAATCTTTGCTCTGAGTGGTCTGCTTGCTGGGGGCATCGCTGATCATGGAATATCTGACAGTACTGAGTACAGGGTTTGTGGCTCTCCTTGCGGGTGGTGAAGACGGCGAGGACGAGGCGGCTGGCGGGGAGGTCTTTTGGGGTGAGACCCGGTTAGGGGGTGATCGCGAGGCCGGGCGTGAAGCGGGGCGTGATTCCGGGCGCCCGGCGGGCGTGTTGGGGCCGCTCGGCGGCGCTGGTGGCGGGGTGGACGGCGGCTCCGGAATGACATCCTGTGCTAAGTCCGTGCGACTGCCCCCTGAGCCGCCACTGACTGAAGGCGGTTCGGGGATTGGTGAAAGAGCCTGTGGTTTCTCCTGGTCGCCTCCAGGTCCGGTCCCGCTATCGGGGCTAGATTCGAGCTCGCGGGGCTGCTGATCCTGCTGGTCTCCAAGCTCAGGTGCCTCTGAACCCTCGACGGGCTCTTCTGGTGATGACTCGGGACCGTCGGTGGTTGGCAGAGGGGCCGCAACCCCAGTCCCCGACTGGCGAATTGGGAACTCGTCATCTGTTTTTATCGACGCCTTGGCCGACCCCGGATTCCGGATCGGGAACTCGTCTTCATCCGGACTCGTGGGTATCGGGATCGGAGCCGAGATGGTGCCCCGGATTGACTTGTGCCGGGTCTTGGCACGGCCGGCGGTGGAGCCGGATTTCCCAAAAATACTCGGCATGGCGGCTGGTGTAGGCTGTCGGTCCGTGACAGACAGCAACAGGGTTATGGGAAGAGAAGAAGGCGGATGTGGGCGGGTGGAGGTGACTGATAAGGCTGTCGTCTACTCCTGGCCATCTGCGCACAACCAACCAACCGTCGGGGTCAAGCAGACCGGGTCGACGCCTTGCTCTTTGGTGCGTCCTGCGTGGATGAGGTCGGTGGGGGACAATGAACCTATAATAACTTCTTTGACGTTCCACCGTTACAAAGTCCGCATTGCCAGCGATGCGGTCCCTTTCCCGGTGCCCGGAGCGTGTTGGTCCCTGTCAAAGTGGCGTTGGTGGGAGACCCCCTCGTCAAAGAAGGAAACTGGTTGTGAGATGTGGTGGGACGGAGAGTGGCGGCTTATGGAAAGAATGGATCCGGTCAGTTTATGGACGACAAGTGGACGGAGAGCTCAGCAGCACGGCACACCCTGGACCGCTGCATCAGGTATCATGCTGGACTCTGGCGAAGGGTTGGTCGACGCGAAGACGCGGGACTCAAACCAGCAGCACCAAGAGGTAAACAGCACACAAGATCGCGGGACCGGCTCCGCGAGGGGAGAAAGCAGCACCAATGGTGGATATTAATGTCCAACATGCTGCGCCGACGAGGCCCCCGGGGGCCCCAAGCTTGCGATGCAGGTGCAAGGATGGACACGACTGATGCGACGGTGATGGGAGAGGGGCATGAGGGGTGCGTTTGGGGTCGCAGGGTGGGGAAGGGGGCGTGAGGCTTGCCTCTCTCGGGGCTTCAGTTCCTTGAATGCGAGTCTGTGCGTCCGTGCCTGCGTCCGGGGGGGGGGCATCTGGAGGAGAAGAGCCTCACTTGATTCATCCAATGCGGGCTGTGTTGTCTTGCAAATAGCCCGGGATGCTGTTTAGCGAGTGCCCGAGGCCGAGCTCGCGAAGTGGCCCTGCCGATGGAATCTTAGGGTGTAGTCTTCGTAGTGTTCTTCTGTGTGCTGTGATGATACGGGGCGGCTGCAAGCAGTCTGCCCCTCTCTCGCCTGCCTGCTCGACGCAATATTCTTTGAAAAGAACAACTTGGAGTAGTGTCTCGGGCGCATGCCTGCAGCTGCACCTTGGCGGAGCTGCATTGGTTCGAAGGGGCTGTCTCGGACGGTGAGCAGCCCGCAGTAGGCTGAATGCCACGCACGCCCAGGACAGACAGGATAACTCGTGGATGGCAACAGATGACGGGAAAGCCTTGCCGAGAATCGACAAAAAGCCTTGGAGCCCACTTCACCCCCGCGCCGCCGTTGGCAAGCGTTGACTTGCCTCTAAATTGCAGAGCCTCTCAGGTCTGAGGAGGCAACCTCGCGCATTGTTGAATCTCTTTCTGATGCAGCCTGTGCCGCTCCTGTTCATGCTCTCGCTTGTAATTGTAGCTTTGCTTGGTCGCCGGGACGGGCAGAGCAAAAGTGCCTGATGAACACCATTTGGGAGCTTCTCGGGAAGAAGTGGAAGAAAGTGGCCAGTGCTGGAAAAGGAAGCCAACTGCGGGCCTAATTTAGCGCATCGCATCGCGTGGCCCCGATTGAGTCGAGACCCCTGATGCTTGTCGACACCATCCCTGTTGGGAATTGCATCCCTTTTGGCCGGGAGTGTCTTGACGAGGGTTCGGTGTCACGAATGGAACAAGGAGAATTTTGTTTGTCTGTTGTGAACTTGAACATGCCGACACAGTACACAGGAGGCCCGTGTATTACTGTGGAAGGAAACGGGTCGGTTTATCGTACGATCATCCATCCCATGGAGGCATTCGTTCCTACCCCAGGCGTGGGATGTCCCTTCCTCCCACGGAGTTCGGGATCAGATGGACAGCAGAGCCTTTCTGGAAGGCACTCGGTGGGGGCAGTCAATATCCAGCTCGCACAAAGTGGACCAGATCACTATGGACCTTGTCAAGCGAGTTTGATCCACGCCGCGGGACCCGACAAACCGCGAGCGTCCCCGGGCCATCTTATCATCGAGGGGTGCGTTTTATGATCTGCCCGGTGGTCCAAACTCTTGATATCTGGGAGCCGGGCACACTCCAGAGTCCACCAGCCGCCGCACCACCGGAGCCCCCAACCGTGCGTGCCATCCGGTTGTTTCTCGTGATGTCGCCGCCTCAAAGATGCAGCTCTCTGCCCTAAACGACACGAGACGCGCACCTTCGTTGCAACCTCCTTGATACGTTGTCTCCGCCGTCTGCATGCGTGCGCATGCTTATGTACAACAGGCAGAAGGCCTTGCCAACCAGGTTGGCGAGCGCTCAACTAGCCGCGAGACTGCATGCGTTGCTGCACTGAACTCTGGCGCGCAAAAAATATGACACGGCGCATCAGCCAATACCGGCTCGAGGACCACCCTTCAAGCGCGGCTGTTTAAACGGCATGCAGGATGCGCTCGCGTCTTTGCACAGATTCGGCAGGAAACAGTCCGCCGGACAGTGACGCCGAAACCAGCAGCGTTGAGAGAAATTCCTGGTCAACGAGCCGGAGTGCACGGTCATTTCGCATTTCGTTTGTCTGAAGGACAGGGCATGACGAGGCCGATGAGACACTGCCATCGATTTGACAAACCCCTGGACGTGGCACGGCGCCCGAGCCCTGGAGGCCACAAGACACCTCGCAGCGTGTCACAACATTGCAGTTGGTCGTAGATATGAAACTTCGGGCAAGTGCTAGCGAGATGCCGTCAAGTAAAAACACGAAGCGAGCTTAGCATGGATGAGCAGTTTGGTGCAACCAGTGCTCGCAGGATTGCTTTTGGTAGGTTGCGGTTGAGTCGGATCGCGGGCAGCTCTCGGCCAGAAAAGGGGCGAGAGGTTGAACGAGGAAGCCAACCCCGCCCTTGCACGCCTTGGCAATCTCGTCAGTGCTGTCTCCGCAGACAGGGAAGGTGAAACATACAAGGGCCAGGGTGCCCGGAAAAGCCCCATTCGTCAACTTAATCCACTCATTCCCAACCTCAACGGTCGATATGGAAGGGACGAAAGAGACCAGACGACGAACACACACAAAAAAGCAAAAGCCTCTTGAAAACGGTCGGTTTTGTCAGCAGATTACTGTACCCGGCCGCATATTCTTAGATCTGTTTCATCAATCGACTGCAGCAACCATTGGCGATGCGCGAACCTGAACCTGCTGTCCGTGCATTTTCATTTTCGTCTGGACCACCCTCGACCCCCAGATCCCCGCGGGGGAACGCCACCACCACATCCCCACGCCAACGGGGAACTCTGCAGAGCAACCTATCCGAGCAATTACAGCAAAGAGCAAATTCTCCGATCTCTCAACCGGAAGCGAGACAACAGCGGAACCAACGGAACCACCGGAACCACCTCGCATATGATTGATTCGAATGGAGACCCCTGACCGGATCATTTTGTCTCCTCCTTCCATCGGAGCTTCTAGATCGATTCCGCACATGCGGCCCGGATCCGATGCATAAATATCAAAGGCCGAGACTTTTATCCCGAGATGCCGGCGCTCCGCTCCGTTTATGCATCTTGGGCAAGTGATGCCAGATCCGGGTACCGGAGATCGGCATTTTCTTCTAGAAAGTCCATCCAGTCCTTCAAGAACTTGCTGCCCCTGTAGATTCAAGTCAGCCACGAATTGTCTCAAACAACGAGATCCGGGGCAACTTACTTTTTCACCGTCTCAGAGTCTCCGATGACGGTCAACGAACGCTTTGGCCGTGTCATCGCCACTGTGATGATTGCATTAACACTCATCCCTTGCCATCGTAGCTGTGGCATGCACTAATAGAATGGGAAGGGATGCGGCCGAGAAACATTATCCGCGGCAAGCCCCAACCATGAATGTACGCCCACCGGATTGGAGTATCAACTCACCATTCAACCGGCGCTTCTCACCCAAGAAGCCGACCTCGCCGTCCGCGTTGCTCCGGACAAGGCTGACAATAACAGCCTCCTTCTCCCGACCCTGGAAGCCATCGACGCTGCCGAGCTCGATTCCGGGGAAGCTCTCTTTTAACGGCGCAAGGACCGCGAGCTAGGTTCATCCCAGGTTTTGTCAGCCGCCTGATCATGCGCGTCAATGCTTCCCGCCGCATGGCATGAGCGTCATCCCGCAAGGCATCCACCCACTCATGGCTGCGGCGATCATGCGAGTACATATACGTAGGGAGCATCAAAATAAAGGGTAGGGATTGCCACGCACCTGTGCATTGTACGGCGTCACCACCGCGATGTCCTCGGGCTTCACCCCGGCATCCACCAAACTCCGCACGTGCTGCCTCACCAGCGCCGCCTCCATCTCGTTGCTCTTGCTGTCCCCGTAGAGGCTGCTCTTGGTGAGCTTCTTGCTTCCGCCGCCGGCGTCCTGGTCGTCTTCGTTCTTCTCCAAAAAGTCACCGCCCTGCGTGTCGATGAAGATGACTGGCTCGGTCGTGTCATCCGTGTCGTCCACCTCGTAGGGCAGGTCCTTTAGCAGCCTCGCCTTGACGGCCTCCGCGGCGATGAGTTTCCCTTCGTAGAGCTCGTCGGACGGGAACCGCATGATATTCTCGTGCATGCGGTACTGGGTCGTGAGCATGCGCTTGATGGATGGACCGTGGAGTTTCAGGAGGCGGTCGAAGAGCGTCGTCTCCAGCGTAGCCCCTTTTACCACACCCTCGGTGCCAGCAGCAGCGTCCTTCCCCTTCTTGCTGCCGCCCTTGCCCTTCAAATTCAGCGATTTGATCGTCGGCGGCAGCTGCAAGTGGTCCCCCGCGCAGATGGCCTTGCTCGCCGCCAGCAGCGGCACCCAGCACTGGGCCTCGAGCGCCTGGCTGGCCTCGTCGATGATAACAACATCAAACTGCTCGCCGCGCAGCTGGAACCCGCCCGCGCCGTGCAGCGTCGCCAGCACGACCTTGCTGCCGGCGACCAGGCTGCTGACGCAGCGGCGCTCGCGCTCGCGGTACTCCTTGCGCAGCTCCTTGAGGTCGGCGTAGATGGCGCGGCGCTCGCGGCCGTTGCGCGTCTTGCGGATCGACGCCTGCTTGGCGTCCATCTCGGCCCGCACGTCCTTGACGATGGCGCCGGCCTCGGACGTGCGCGTGAGCACGTCGAGCGAGTGGTTGAGCACCGACGGCAGGAGCCGTGCCGGGTGCCCGAGGCGGATCAGGGGGACTTTATGTGGTGCGAGTCGCTCCACGATGTTGTCGACTGATATGTTGGACGGGCCGCAGACGAGCACGCGGAGGTTGCGCTTGAGGAGTTGGAGGATGAGTTCGATGAGGGTGTGCGTCTTGCCGGTCTGCGTCGTATTAGTATCCCCGGCGTTGTCGACTCTCAGAGGGGCTGGGACTCACTCCCGGTGGTCCATGGATCAACCCGATCTCCCTCGACGCCAGCGCGAACCGGATGGCATCCTTCTGGCTATCATTCAGCGTCGGATCAACCCACTCAATCTCCCCAACCTCCTCATCCTGCGTCAAATCCGCCGGAACCGGTGACGGCGACGACAGCCCAAACAACACCCTAACAAAAGCCGAATACTCCCTCTCCTCCATCTTAGCGAGTCTCTCCATAGTAGCATTCATCCTATTCCACCGTCAGCCTCCCCCATATCGCCGCCCATTCCCCCACATCACCCTCCCACCTTCCCCCTAGGATAAAACCCAAAACTCACCTCCGAAAAGTAACATCATCCGCCACCTTGACAATCCACACCCTCTTCTCCCCGACCACCCCCGCCAACAACCCCTCCCCCTCCTCCTTCCCACCCGCACCACCACCACCACTCCCACTCCCATCCCTCTCCTCCACCGCCACACCCACCACCGCCCTCCCCACCCTGGTAACAACCCCCTTCACCCCCCCACCCGCCTCCTTACCCACCACCGTCTTCTTCTTCCCCACCCCACCACCAGCAGGCTGCTCGGCCACGAGCACGATGTCCCCGACGCGGATGCCATGCTCCGGCAGATCGGCGGTAGCACCACCAGCAGAAGAAGAAGATGAGGAAGAAGAAGAAGAAGCGGTGGCTGGGTCGGGCCCGAGTTCCAGGACGGTCTTGCCGCCGAGGCCGGTGCGCTGGGCGGCGACGGTGAGGTTGGTCAGCGCGACGCCGGCGCGTTGGAGGGCGGTGGGGGAGTCTGGTTGGGGTGGTTAGTTGGTTTGGTCTTCTATGTATGGGGTGGTGGGTGTTTGTGTGTTTTGTTTGTTTTTTGGGGTGGGGAGGGAAGAGATGGAAAGGGGGAGACATACGGAGGGAGACGAGGGCGGATGACTCGGCGATTTCGGCTGCGAGTTCGGAGGCGAGGAGGGAGATTTGGGTTTGGGCGAATTCTTGGACGTTGACGGCCATCTTTGGGGGGTACGCTATTATAGGTTGTGTTGTCTTTTGGTGGTTGCTGTGTTGATGGTGGGGTGAACGAAGGTGTGGGTTTGAGGTGAGTTCGGTGTTGAGGTGAGTGGGACAAACAGCACTTGTAGTTGAGGTGAGGTGCATTTGAGCATTTGGCAAAAAAGCACAAACTGGGACTTTTCAACACTTCAACTATGACGATATCCATTCCTAATCGGCTGATCTTCGGGCTCGTTTATTCATACAAAAGCTGTCATGCATCACTGGTATATTGACAACTCGGTTCATCCTCGCCATTCACGTTCGACCCGAAATTCTTTCCACCTCGGACACCCCAGGTTAACCCCCCCTGATACCGTCCCAAATTTGTGACAAATATAACCGCTCGAGTCCAGCCACATCACCTCGGGCCACTCTGCACGGTAAGAATGACAATCAGCGAGGCCAGCGTCACGGTAAACGCTATCAAGGCCACCAGCATGATGGTCCCCCTACTGGCGGGGAATTTGCCCTTGATCACCCAGTGCTGGCCTGACAGGTACCTGTTATACCCGAGCAGCAAGATCAATATACTGACCCCCAAGAAGGCCGTTCCGAGCGGCTTGCCTAGGTGGCGGAGAGTCTCGGCTTGTCTGCTGTCATCGGCTAGCGACGTGTTGAGACGAAATAGCTGCGTTATAGCGATTCCGATCGAGGCGAACGCTAGGGACGTCCGGAGCCAGGCGAGGAACGTTCGTTCTGGATCACAAACAACAACCCGTTAGCTTTGCTTCAGTTTATCCCGTTTTGGGGACGCAGCCGCAGAAAACAACGTACCCAGCGCCAGATGGTCCCGCGCAACACTGCCCTTATTCTCGAGCTCGACGCTCTTGAAGTAGCGTAGCGTGCGCTTCCATCCAGGCTCCTCCCGCTCCGCCCTTGGCCGTTCCCGCGGCGCACCATCACCACCGTCCCGTCCGGGGGGTTGCGGCGATAGCTGCCCTGGGTACTGCGCCGACGACTTCCTGCTCAGCGCCGATCTCCTACGGGCGGGGCTCGTCTCGACCGTGCTCTGGTAGTTGAGGGTCCGCTGCCGCTCCGGCTGGGAAGTCACTACGTTGTGGCCATTGCCGTTGAGTTCTGGTAGGGTACCCGAGCCGCAGGGGTCGCTGGCTCTGCGCGAGCGGCCGAGTAGGGGTTGGAGCTTGGGACTCGCGTTGGGGGAGTCGGGATCGAGGGACTCGGCTCGTTCGCGGGCGCCCTTTGGGGGGGGGTTTTGAATGTCAGCTTCTTGTCTCAAAGTGAGCACGTGCGGCGTGGGGGTGGAGGTTGGGGTGCATCATCGGCAAAGGATGTTGTACGAACAGTGACATTGAAGATGCGATTCGCCGAGGGACCGAAGATCGCAGCGGCAATTCGAGACATGCTGGCCACACTCGGGCTTGATGGTGGTTTGGATTGTGTACCGGTGCACGGGATGGATCTTGTCGACACGCGCCAACGAGAGAGAAAGTGTGGGGAAAGATGGACAGAATCCCTGACGGAAGCAAGGTCCCAAGACACTGATGCTCTGGGCACGGTGGTCCGGCTTTCCAGTGACAGTTGATAAGACTCAATAGACAACAAAACTAACCTCGAGAATGTCCTGGATGCGGTCCTTGGAAGACTTGCGCCTCGTCAATTGCAATGTCGCAGACCGGGAGAGAGGGGCGGGCGAGGCCGCATTTGTGGCGATGGACATGGTCGGATTTATTTGAGTTGGTTGGTGCTGCCGCGCAGGCTTCACAATCAACTAGGAAACCGCAGAGGATGCGAGGGACGGTATGGTACGGCGACGGCGGTATCAGTGGCGTCAGCCCGCCGAGAGATTGCGAGCCTTGTACAATGTACGGAAGGAGAGAGAATGCATCATGGGTTCCGGGTTGCTGGGCTCAATCTTGGCTTCGAACTTGCGCCAAGTTATCGAGATAAAGACGCCTTTTGGCACTGCACGTCATAGCTTTTCCTCCTTCCACTGGCGAGTGGACCCGATACCTGGTGGCTTCAACAGGGAGTTGATTGGCCAATTGAGACTGACACCACCGGGCACCTTCGGCACTGCGAAGCGTGTAACTAATCTGTACCGCGATCCTCTGCACCGGGTTTCTCGCCGTTAGGTAAGACGGGTATAAATATTGCATGTGAGACATGTCGAGATACCCGTTTTTTCATATATATATTGAGATTAAATCGTGAATATTTAGGGGTTCCATAACTCCCTATTCAAGCAGTAGGTAAGGTAGTTATCATGTGCTTCCTTTCCAGGTTGTTGCGGGCCAACATGGAACCCTCCTAAAGCGGGGGCGATGAATTCCGTCTGGAAACGAATTCCGTCTGAAAACCCGGCGGCACTTTCTCCCTGTTGTTATCACCCAACCCTCAGACTACCTAGCTTCGGAGACTTTCCAATAGCTATTACACAGCAGGTGCTCTGCTGGACCGTTTCGGCGTTAATTGCTAGAGGCCGTCGACTTCATCCCGATGCTTAAGACCACTAACTCCGAACCAACAGTCAAACTCCCGGCATATATATTCAGTGCCATAGTGGCATTTGCACGGGTTCGATAAGACGTAGTTCATACTTCGTAGTCAAACACATCCTCCAGCGTCAGATCCCAAAAGCTTCACTTCCATCACCACCATGGGCCACACAATCCACGGCAAGCAAGTCGGCAACATTGGCTTTGGCATGATGAGTAGGCCCCCAGAACACACACCCACCTAGCTTTTGACACATCAGCTTACCGTCACACTTGGGCCTGACATTGCCTCCCGGCCGACTCACCGAAGAAGAGGCATTCGCCGCCATCAAGGCCGCCCTTGCCACCGGCTGCAACTACCTGAACGCCGGTGAATTTTATGGCCCGCCCGACGCCAACTCGCTCACCCTCCTCAACAAATACTACGCGAAGTATCCCGAGGACAGGGACAAGATCCTGCTCAACGTCAAAGGCTGCACTTTCGAGAACCTCCGCCCGGACAACTCGCCGGCCGCCGTCAAGACCAGCGTCGAGAACTGCGTCCGGCAGCTCGGCGGTAAGGGCCGCATCCACCAGTTCGAGCCAGCCCGCAAGGACCGCAACGTGGACATCGAGACGACCATGGAGGCTCTCAAGGAGCACGTCGAAGCCGGCAACATCGGGGGCATCTCTCTTAGCGAGGTCAGCGCGGCAACCATCCGCCGCGCCGCCAAGATCACCAAGATCGAGTCGGTCGAGGTCGAGCTCTCGCTGTGGGCCACCGAGCCGCTCGAGAACGGTGTTGTCGAGGCATGCGCCGAACTCGACATTCCCATCCTCGCCTATTGTGAGACATACCTTCTCATCACCCACCCATCCAGTCATGTCACTAACCATGAGGATACCAGCGCCCCTCGGACGCGGAATGCTCACGGGCCAGATCAAGTCGCCGGCCGACATCCCCGCCAACGACTACCGGCACACGGTGCCGCGCTTCCACCCGGACGTGTTCGACACCAACCTGCGCATGGTGGCCGAGGTGGAGAAGCTGGCGGCCAAGAAGGGCTGCACGCCGGGCCAGGTCGCCATCGGCTGGGTTTTGGCGCTCGGGAGGCGGCCCGGCATGCCAACCATCATTCCCATCCCGGGCGCGTCGCGGCCGGAGCGGGTTAGGGAGAATGCCGTTGAGGTTGAGTTGAGTGAGGAGGATATGGTTCAGTTGGAGAAGATTGCGAAGGAGTTCGCGCCTGTGGGGACGCGCTATTCCGCGCACGGGATGCAGTCGCTGGATACGAGCACTGAGTAGACTGTAGTTTACATGTTGGGTTGAAAGATATGAGAATGATGAATGTTTTGGTTTAAGTGAAAAATAATCCGTTCTGAGATCAGAGATGAAGTTGTCGTCGACAGACAGTGTTGTTGTGCTAAATACACAGTGCGGAGTGTATGTCTCGGAGTTTGGGTTGCGACAAAAGCTCCAGCTCTCAACAACCGAGAAACGAGAAATTGGTTAGAATTGGTGTCGAAGCAACTACGAGACTCCGGCCGTTGGAAAGAAAGTGCCCCAGCTCGGGATTTTGCACAAACGGACCACCGAAATCAATCCGGCGAATCCGACTCTTGCGCGACTATTACAGCATTACCGGCCACGTCTACATAGTAACGCGCGCCCACCGACGTCAGCGGCGCCTCGAATCCAGTCTCGAAGCCGGCCATCACCACCGCTACCGCGCACTCAACACTCGCGCCTGTCGCCTAGCCCTCTACATAACCGCCCAAAATGCCCACCCAGTGGGTAGACTGGTCGAAAACGACCCGGTCGCAAGACTACCGCGGCTCAGGCTCGTTCGCGACCTTTCTCATCATCGGCCGTACGCCTCCTCCATCCCTCCCCCTTACCCTTTCTTCCCTCTCCCCCATCCCAAACAAACCCAAACCCAACCGCAAACACCCCCCATCCAACCCCCTCATCCAGACCCCCACTAACCTCCCCCCCAACAGCGGTCTGTTTCGCCCTCGGCATCCTCTTCGCCTCCTTCCCCTACGACTTCCCGCTCCTCTGGACGTCCGACCCCATCCCGCCCCCCTTCCTCGACCACCTGGAAACCCACCTCCGCCTCATGCACCAATCGCCCCCCCTCATCGCCCGCATGCTGCACATCATCGTCTTCGTCGGCTTCTTGGGGTTCTTCATCAAGCTGTTCCGCCCGTCCGAGGCCAACATCCTGTTCGACGGCGGCAGCCTGATGCTGTACGTCATCGGCGCGGGCGTGTACCTGAGCAATATCGTCAAGGGGATGAGGGCGGTCAGCCAGCCGGGCGGGTTGGCCGCCGCGGAGGCTGCTGCTGCTGCCGCTGGGGGGGCGGCGCCGTCGTCGCATGTGGGTCCCGTGAGTGGGGCGGTGATGTTGGGTCGGGAGGATAGCCTGCGCGTGCTGAGCGCGAGCCATGTGATTCTGGCGTTGGTTTTGGTGGGGGTGTTGGTGCTGCAGGCCGGGCAGTGGTATGCGGAGCGGAAGGAGGCGGATGAGGTGGCTCAGTTGGATAGGGAGGCGGCGGACCGGAAGGGGGCGGCTGGCGCGGGGAAGAAGAAGTTGTGATGATAAGATGCCGGGGAGGGCTCAGCTCGGTAAAAGGTTGGATTTTGGGTCGTGTGTGAATAGATGGACAGGTTGTTCAGATATTTCGATAAAACTGTTGTCTCCTTGTTGAATCCATGGGTGCGGCTGCCACACATTCCAGCGGCTCCGCAACTACATATCTCAGCCAATGTTCCTGAGGCGTGTGTTTGGACAACTCAAAAACGAGCAAGCAAGTTGGTTGTGATAAGGTTGATTAAAATATGTACGGCTCGAAAACCCAAAGTTGGCAGTCTAATACCGGGGTATAATGTTCCATCCTTCTATAACCCCAGCGAGACCACGCTGATGCCGAGTATGATGCGCGTCTCCCTTTATCCAGCCCAAGACGCCCCTCCGATCCAAAAAGAACTCCATATCCATGCGATATCAAAAAGGGTGGTATACCACTCAAGAAAATAGGAAAGCACCGCGCCGCCACCAAATTCGGCATTAATTCAACCCCTTCTCCCAACCCTCGCCGTGCCCTAACAAACACATCCTATCACCTCCTCGGCATCGGTGGAACCTGCCCACCGTTCGGGTTGTACGCCAAATACCCCTCGCCGTTCGCCATGCCGCCCAGGTCGGCAGTATCTAGCATCTGGGTGAAGGTGGTCATGTCGGTATACCGCCGGTCGGCGTTGCTCTCCGGCGTCCGGTCTGGTGTGATGTTCGGGTCGGCAAATACGTTTATGCTCACCGAGCTGGGCTCGCGGTACTGTCGGGGCGTTTGCGGCATGAGCCCGTTATCGTGGTTGACATAAGGCATGTCGACATATTGCGGTTCTTCGAGATTGCCGTACCCGCCGTACGCGGGGGCGATCTGAGCCCCCGGCCCCGGCGCCGCAGCCGGCGGGACGGCCAGCATTCCCCCGGTCTCCGGAGTGTTTGCTGCCGAGGCGATGAGAGCCCCTGTTACCGAGTCCGGATCCTCAGGCGGGGTGCGTGGGCCTGGGCCCCGGGCAAAGTCGCTGCGGAAACTGTTATCCGCCATGATGGGGTTGCTGATCAGGTTTCCGAAAGATGAGGTTGATCGTGATAGTTTGGGGGGGCTTCCGGATCCGCTCGCCTCTTCCTTCTTCTTCTTCTTCCTGAGAAAGATAAAGGCGAAAACGGCGGCGCCAATGAGCACGACGGCCCCGGCTGTCACACCACCAGCAATGGCGGCTACGGGTGGGCCGCTGCTTGAACCGTCTGCGCCGTCCGAGTTGCCCGTTGCGTTCGGATCTTCAGCGGAATCTGTAGCATCCCCCGTCGGACTGGCGCCGCCCGTCGAGCTCGCTTCGGCATCGCCCGTACTGGTAGGGCCCGGTTTCACCGTCTTGGTTTGAAAAGGGACCGCGTTTTGGTTCCGGTCCCTGGCGCACTCGCCGTCTCTGCACGAGTACCCAAATGGGCAACATTGTCTGCCGCAGCGCACCAGAGTCCCTCCTAGAGCGGTCGTTTTGACGACGGCGTCGGGGTTCTTCTCGCCATCTTGCAGCGCGACGTTGCAGGGAACTGGCTGAATCCTCAAGCAGTCCGCACCTTCTGGGCAGCAGAGGACCGTCGTGTTCCCGGCGAGCGCAATGCAGGTGTCACCGGACTTGCAGCAGAAATAATCGGGAAAATCGGCGTTTTTGCACTGGTCGAAGTTCGGGGCGCAAGTTGATTGTCGCGCGAACAGCTCGTGAATCGGCACCACGGATGCGGCCGTATGTACGGCAGCTACTAAAGCCGCCCAAAGCGCGAACTGGCGCCTGGGCATCCTGAAATCCGAGCGGCTACTTGCTGGTAACCGGTTGAACGGGTGAGTCTTAGTTGACGGCCCGGGAAGAGGTGATGCGTGGGCTCGTAGTTATGACGAGCCGACGATTTCAATGTTGGTGGTGAGGACAATGGGATCCGGTGCGTTGGTTCGGGCCGGTCGGTGATAAAGAGACATAAGGCTGATCAGATAATGCGGGCAGCGAGGCGTAGCTGGTTCACACAAAGCGGTCGGTCCCTCGTTGTCGTTGGCAATAATGAGTCAACATCGGTCGCTCTGGGAATACCGCAAAGGAGGAAAGACGAAGACGGTGCCATAAGGACAAGCCCGGCAGAGCTTGGGGGGGGAGAAAGGAAGAATTAGGAACGGGGGCCGGGCACTCGCCGCGGAGGTATATCGAGACAAGATCAAACAAGGACGTCAGAATTCTGCCGAGGAGGGACATGACGCATCCACATCCGGTTGGTCTTGCAAAGAAACAAGACACAGGGTCCGAAGGGGTGGTCGGGAAACAAAACCAGGTCGAGGCCCACGTCCAACGGGGCCCATCCTACGGTGGAGTGGTGGTGGTGGGCGGCGTTGTTCAACAGCAGTCCATGGAGATCGACTGGCCGCTGGATGGTCGCGGGCCCTGCCGAGAAGTTCATGGTTCATGCCAAATCTATCCGATGACAGGGGGATCTTGGGCGCCAGTGGCCATCAGGTTTCCCGATCGCTCGATGCGAGAAAAGAACCTCCAGCTGGAAAGGCGCTGCGGACCCTTGCTTGCAGGTTCATGGTCGCCCAGACAAGTCCAGACTCTGGCAATGGCCATTTGGGAACTCGGGAACTTGGGAGATGGATTTTACCCAATCCATAGTGTGAGGCGGTGCATCGCTCGTTGTTTTAGGAATCCGGACTCCCGATCGATGACAGGTTGTTGCGAAGCGCCGATGGCCCTTTTGGCAGACCAGATGACCCTTGAAGCAGGGCGAGTGGTGAGGAAGTCTTCAAAGCAGTTGAGTCCTGCCGGCAGCGTTTTGGGAAGGGTCGCAATGGGCCGCGACCGCCCTTCTGATTGGGTCGTCACAGCTGTAACTTCTATTTTCGGCGCAGCGGTTGGACGAGAAGCGGCGCGAGATCTTGATGGTCCGTGCATGCATGATTCCACTCTGTACCTACAAGTAAGTGCACGTGCAACGGGGTCCGCTGTTAGCCAGCTGGCCAGGCACCGCCAGGCACAGCCCACTTTTTACCGCCGAGCGACTCTTCGAAGCGCTTGCTGTCGGCACTTGCAACCCACAACGCACAACTCATGAAGGCTCCATCGTCAAAACCGAGGCGGTCGATGTTTCTTGACCAAAGGAGGCCTCTTATGACGTCTGAGAATTGAGACTTGCAGGCAGCTGATATCGAGACTCCCTTTTAACGTTACTCAACTCGGCCGCCACGTTGGAGACCCAGCGTGGCTTGGGTGCCTTTTGGGTGTCCATTCGGCCGCTTTCTTCTCGACCCGAGGCGTGTCGCCAGAGGTTGACTTTAGGTAATCGAGTCTCCCTTCTCGTATCAATTTCACGGTTGACTCACCGAGGCAATTGAGGGAGCCGACTACTCATAGTTACGAATAGTGAGGCAAGATGACGAATCTCTCAGAGTGTAGTTGAGTAACCGAGATCCTAGTGGCGGCCGACGTTTGGGCCGTAGGGCAGTCGGCACAGCTCAGTAGGCCCACGAAGGCGGCAAGGCTGCTACGTTTCACACCTCGGGCGAAACAGCCCTCTGGTCCCGGCCCAGTTCTAAGGTATCGTTCATTTGAGTTGGATCAGCCTTGTGGAAGGTTTCTGGAAGAAATGCCTCCGTCTCAATTACATTTCCTTGACGGTGATCGGCCATCTCCGAGGTCGAACAAGTGGTCAAAGACAGATATGAATAGCATCTTTCGTCTGACCTTGAGGTTGTCCAACATTGCGAACGTAGATCAAGAGCACAGCAGTCATATAATGCATCCCCCATCTCGCAAAGCTAGACTTTGTTCTCTCCTGTAACAATGGTAAAACATGCATCAGTCAACGGCGACACGATGCAAGCGCGGAGGCGCCGCAGTGCTCTCTCTCAGAAAGCACAGCAGGCAATAAAAGTATTACAGGAGAGTGGCACCAGACGAAGACCCGTTCGTATTCTAACGCATTCGTCCCCCCTCGAGCACACCGCCATCTCGCCCAGGGCACCGGAGTCGTGATGGGTTGTGACTAACACGCCGAGGTCGGACGGCACAACGCATCGTAGCCCCTGGGACCCCGTGGTCACACCACCTCATGCTGGCAGCTTCCTCGGGTAGGTACGGAAAGGTATGCACGCGCAACGGGAATCTATTGATGTAACAGCCTTGGACAAATGGCGGTGGGTGAGTTGATCTGGACGAAGAGTGTTGAACTTAACATTCGTAGTCATGCTGTGAATACCCTCTCATTCAAGGGCAAATGCCGAGGATTGGACTCTAAGGTGGTCATTAATGATGGAGGTTATCTCAGAAGCTGTCACATTGCAAAGGCACAAGAGAGTATTGATCAGAGTCCTTCATTCTTTTGATCTCGGCCAACCTAGGCGGGTATAATCCCCATCACTACTTTACATTCACCTCATCCCCTGCGTGACATCTCAACTCCGATCCAAGCCCGTGGTATCCCCTTCAAGCCCCCATGACCCAAAACCCAAAACTCCGCATCATGCATGCTTCTCGAACCCTGTATATATACCGGGGAGACTCCAGATATTAACAGTCCAAGAAAAAGGAAATATAAGAAAAAGAAATATGAAAAAGAGAGAAGAAAAGAGAAGAAAAAGAAAGCCCGGGATGTAATGCCCACCAGCCCAGTCCAAAGGCCGGCAGACACCCAACTCCCATCCACCATCCTCCGCGTCCATTCCATAGTCCAGTGTCGTCCAGAAAAGTAAACTCTCTCTCTGTCCCCTCCCTCTCCAATATCACTTGCCTCGCGGCAACTTCTAGCAGCCCGAGTAACAGAATGAAAGTGTGTGTGTGTGTCAAGAATAGTAGTAGTAGTAGTAAAAAAAAGACTTCAAGCTGAAAGTAGCAGAAGGAGGCCATTCCTGCCACAAGTTCACCATGCAGATGATTTGAATGCCTCTCTTCAAGATGATCCAGCCAGCATTGAAGATGTCGATTTTGAGGTTATCAGGTAAGGGATAGGATGATTGCTTTGTTTGTTATGGTGTGTGTGTTTGTTTTTAAACGAGCAGGTAATCCCAACCCTTCATCTGCATGATATCCCGCCAGTGGATGAACTGTGGAGCCTCCTGTGGTGAGGATGAAGATGCCGATCCGTCGGCGGCCGCGGGGGAGGAGGCGGCCGGTTGCTGCTGCGGGGCGGCGTCGTTCTGGAGCCAGACCTCGCGCAGAAGGCAGGTGACGCGGCCGAAGCTGCCAAAGTTGGCGAGCTCGCCGAGCTGGGCGACGCGGTCCTCGAAGAAGGCGCGGAAGGTGGAGCCCGGAAGGCTGGCCGAGCCGCCGATGAGGTACACCCACGCGAGCGAGCGGTCGAAGCCGTTGGTGCCCGAGGGGATCTGGTGGAGCACGCCGGTGAGCTTCTCGACCAGGCCCATGCAGCTGGCCTGGGTGGGCGAGAAGCCCGGCACCAGGCTGCAGAGGTAGATGCGCGCGGCGAGGCGGAACGCGGCCGTGATGTTCTTGCTGAGCTGCTTGGGGCTCAGCGAGCCGTTGGCGTTGAAGGGGAGCACGGGCGCCTCCTCGCCCATCTCGGTCAGGCCGATCTGGTCGCCGAGCACGTGCACGTGCTGGCAGAGCGTGATCTCGTCCATGCCGTTCTGCTTGAGCGCCTCGAGGCAGGCGATCTCCGAGATGAGGTACATGACGCGGTCCTCGCAGCCCATGAGCTCGCGGAGCCCGAGGGACGGGTTGGTCGGGGACAGGTGCTTCTCGCGGTAGGTGTGCGCAAAGATGGGGGCGCGGCCCTGCATCGTAGCGCCGAGGATGTCGATCCACGCAGTGAGGGTCATGTTGAAGGGCGTCTGCGCCAGGGGAGCGTTGGGGTCCGACACGATGCGCGGGAGGTCGAGCTTCAGGACGAGTGACTCGACGGCCTGGAAGTGCTGGTGCCACGGGATGTCGGGGAGCGAGTCGTCGAAGCGGCCGACGCCGCACTGGAAGAAGATGAGACCGAGCGCGGCCTCGAGGATCTGCTGGTGGTTCTCGTCCCGGTTGAGCGCGTCGCACAGCGACGAGATGGTGGCGTACCGATGGCGCATGATGTCGCCGTCGATCTCTTCGCCCTGCAGGCTCATCGCCGCCTTGTAGTGCTGCGCCGCGATGCTCAAGCAGCAGTGCAGGTAGCCCTTGTTGTTCTGCAGTGCCGGGAGGATGAGGTCCGAGCTGACCGACCCGTGCTGGTTCGACTCGAGGATCGGGAAGATGGCGGGGAGCACGAATTGGATGAAGTGATCGAGCAGGCGCTGGTCGCCCTCGTCGAGCTCGATTGCCACTTGCCTCGAGGCGGTCGTGGGCCCTTGGGCGAAGTCGAAGAAGTTCATGTTCAGCGTCTCTTCCGTGAGCGACTCCCTCCGCTCCGAGTACACCTGTTCTGTCCATTCGCCTTCCAGAGGGAATTGGGGCAGAACGGTGCCCGGTGGCGGAGGAGTGGCGTAGGTGCTGAAGGTCGAGGTCGTCGATTCGCGCAGCGTCGGGATATCGTTGATGAACATCTGCCTCTCGGTCTTGACATCGATCTCGTAGGGCGAGTATGGCGAGAACATGAAGTCGGGGTGCATCTGTGGTGTGAAGGGTCCATACTCGTGCGAGCTCTGCGGGCTGTTGAAGTTGTAGCCGAAGTGCGAGTCGATCGAGCCCGATCGCGCGCGGTCCAGGGGATCCGAGAAGGTCGCCGACGTCGGGAGCGAGTGTGAAAGGCCCGGCGGTGAGCCGACTGCGGTCTGGATCGTGTGCGTGTGCGTTGACTTCTCCGAGAGCTTCTTGCGCTTGATGATCATCTTGATGTCCTCCTTGTGCTTCCTCCTCATGTCGTTGTTGCTCCACCACATCGGCCGCTTGTATTCACATGCCAGGCCGAGGTGCTTGCATGCCGTGCACATGGGCGAGCCCTCGTCGCACTTCTTCCGCCTGAGCCTGCATGTGTAGCACCCTTCATCGTCACCATGGTTAGCTTCCCAATCCGGCAGGCAGCTGTGTGTAGGTGAGAAGAGAGACAAACCTGTCCTTGAGCGGCGGTGCATCTGAGCCTTCTGCTTGGTGCTGGCATTGGCGCCGGCCTTGGTGGCCGGCTTGGCCTTTGTTGTTGTTGCGGTAGCGGCAGCCATGTTGACTTGCGATGCCTTCAGGTGTGCTCCTTGGTGGTTGGGGGGTTGTGTTGACATTTGTATCCTCCAAGGGTGTGGGGGTGGCCGGGGGCAGAGGGGTGTGTCGGCCAGGGGGGGGTGTGAGCCTGGGGCTGGGCCGAGCAAAAGCGGGAGGGCGAGTGAACCGGGGGGTCCTCGCTCCTGGTCAAGGTCCAGATGCCCAAGAGGGGGCAAATCGAGTTCGGGGGGGGAAGGGGGCCTTGTCGTCCAAGTTCCCAACCCTCCAAGCACTCGTCGAAAACTCAAATTGTCGTCGTGACTATTAGATTACTGTATCGTCGTGAATGAATGACTGGATCTTAGCAAGTCCGGCTTGCGTTCTGGAATCTGAACAGTGGATAAGATGGTGAAAAGCTGCCGAAGTCGATATAGTATCGGATATCGATTTGGTTGGACGGCGCAATGTATAAAGTGTAATTAAAAGAGAGAGAGAGAGATAGAAGAGTCTGTTGACTGGACTGGACTGGACAACACCTGGATCTCCAACTTCGTTTCTGGGCCTGCTCGAGGGAAGGGAAACATTTGGGCAGTTCGAGAAGTGGGCAAATTCTTATATCTTAGCCCACCTCAAGTCCAGCAGCCCAGCCCAGCCTGCACGATTTGCTGTTTCTATTTTTGAACATGCTGGGCTAAATGACTGCTTCCTGTATTTGTCCCATTTTGGGATATTTGCCCACTTTCCAGCCCAGAGTGCCTGCATGCGCGTCCGTCCGCCGATCGAAAGTGGTCGGTGTCTCTCTCTGTGCGTTCGCACTGGGGGGGCGCGGGAGGACAGGGGTATGGGGAGCGCGGTTATTGGTGCCAGTCGAGAGAGGCGGCCACTCGGCACGCCTCTCTGCTTCGGAAGGGAACAGCCCAAGATGGACCCACTGTGCTCTGCACAGAGTTGGAGGGTGACATCGACAGCAGGGGTTCAGAAGTGGTGGGCACACCTTCTCCACGTCGGCCGCCGGGCACGGAGCGAGGTGGCTGCAGGGGTGGGAGCCTGTCGAGCGATTAAACAGGCAACTCAATGCATCTCGAGGCCGAGGGGGCCGGTTGCTCATTGGCACGGGGACTCGGCCGACTCGAGAGAACAATGGAGCGGGGGCTTCAAAATGTCACCCGCAAAGTCTGGCTAAACTCGCTTTGGACAACCCGGCCGCGGCGCACCCTTGAGGCCAAAGGCACTGTAGATCTCCAAGCATGGGGGCGTCCAGCTGAACACGCGGCCGGCAGCTTGAACGACGGGAGAACGGCCGTCTTTGTTGCACAGAGAAGAACAAGACTCATCAACCTTGGGGCTTCTTGAAGATTTCGCCGTTGAGCTAAGGCTGACGAAGGTCAAGAGTCAGGGCTCGCAGGCTCCCCGGGACCGAGGAATACAAACCAGATGCTTGGGGCCGTGTGTGTGTGGACGGCCGACCAATGGGTTCTCGTTCGCCCTCTCTCCACTTCTTGCCGGTATTCCCCTTGCAACTCTGGCATCGATAGAGTGCATGCCCAGCATGGACGCCGCAGCCGGTCTCTCTCTCCCGGACGGCAAAAAACTGTGCGCGGGCTCCCGCAGCTAGTTTGGTTGTGCGTCGCTGAGATACGGCACAGCAGTGCTGCCACCGGTGGAGCTTCGGCGAGGGTTCTCTGGCTCTGTAATTCCGCAATCTCCCGTCGGATAACGACCCGGACCAGCGGCGAAGGATCTTTTACACTATTGATCTGCGCAGAGGCACTTGGGAGCTGGGGAATGAAGGAGGGGCCTTCTCACCGACGGCCTTCTCGGGCTTCTCGCCGCGTGATTTCGGGGTCAACACCGGTTTCTTCGAGGGCGACATCGGCTTTCCCTTTTCAAAAGACTGAAATCTGAACGGCTGGCAAATCAGCAGCGTCCTGGTGGCAGTCGAGTTGGGGATTGGCCGCCTCGCAAGCCAGTCGCTGCGTCTGACTGGGCAGGGTTGAGGGGACATCCCATCATCTGCGCGGAAGACCCTGAGTGAGGGAAGGCCGCGGAGAGGACAAGTACCGAAAGGGTGGAGGTATTCACCTGTGGCCGCGTGTTACCGTGGGTACCTTGGTCATGCGAAGAATCTGCGCAACCATCGCACCACTCCCACGATGTTGTGTGGTAGCGGCGTAGCATCCCCGACGGCCGCGCGACATCGGATGGGAGGGAGGTCAGCATGGGGCAGCATGGGACAAGCATGGGAGCAGCATGGTGGTGGTGCGGATTGGTGCGCTGCTTCTGTGCGTGTGTGCGTGGTCTGGTGGTCTGGTGGTTGCAAGAAAAAGCGAAAAGCGCGGTTGACGACGTTGATTCGATGGGCTGAGGTCGGTCAGTGTGACGGCAAATCGCTCGTGCATATCAGCATGCGGCCCGAGAGGCGGCAACCAACCCAGATTGGCTGGCGCATCAAGATCAGCCAGGGTCAGTAGCAGGGATCTCTGCGCGAGCGGATGACGCTTTGGCCAATAACGCGGGAAGAACAGGGGGATTCCAGATGGACTGGGGGCCGGCCGCGGGGGCCCTGGTCGGATGATCCGCCTTCAGCGCGGAGGTTGGTTTTGGCACGCAATTTGACTTTGCGGGATGAAGGCACGGTCGCGGGCGGGGGGAAGGGGAGGACAGCCTTGTCTGGTCGGGACGGCCATTTCGGTCGGATCAATTGCTGGGGAATTTGGAGGTCCCTGTCCAATTCGGAAGGTCTGATAACGGTTCGTGAGTTGTAAGTGGGCGATATCGTCGGGGGTCTCGGCTGTTCGGTGCGAGTTGCGAATTTCACCTTGGGTCGTCGAAGTCGTCGATGGAAGTCGCCGAAGTCAGAAAACCAAAAACCATCCGACACAAAGCCAACGCAAGCGCCCGCTGCTGGATATGGCGATGACTTTATACCTGGATGTCCATACATCATGGGTAGTTGGAGGTTTAGGGCTGAGTGCGTTTCGACATGATTGTTCTTGGAGGATCCAATGCCAATGCGACAATGTGTGGTGGTCGTTTGCTCTCCCGCTGATGGTGGGAACCAAGAAACTGGGATAATTAGCCGCCCTCTGTCCATTTTTGGACAATTAGCTCACTTCCCCTCTTCATGCCAAATTTGCCCTTCGGGTGTGATGGAATTAGCCCGCCTGCATATTTGGGCTAATTATGTCGGCCAGCATCCAGCTCGGAGCCAGCTCGGCCAGCAAACGATTGGCGCTATTTTTATTTTGCCCATCTTCTTCAGGTGACAAAATTAGCCCAGAATCAGAACCGGGCTAATTAACTGTGCTCAGAGTCTGGGTCACTTTATTGACCCCGTCCGAGTCATGATGATCAATGTATGTACTTGTCTTTCGCACAGTGCCCGCCGAGAACGCTCCCTCCCCCCGAGATCGAAGCTCCGGATCCGAGAAACTCCACCCCGTCTTGCTGTCTTTGCCAAGCCGCTGCTACCAAGAATTGCATTGTCGTCGGGTCACACAAAAATCCGCTGGCCCTGTGTGAATTTGTCAACCCCTGCCATCTATCACCACCTTGCACCCCCATCTTCAACATCGGCTTCACGGCTAAAAGAGAGAAAGGCCCGATGACGGTGCCGGCGGGATTTGCATTTGAAAAGGGAATACCACGCTGGGGCGGGAAAAGCAATTGTTGCGCGATGCTGACATCGGACGATAACTGAGAGAATAATCATTATTCCCTCGCAGTCAAGGAAAAGAAAGGATCAGATACGTCGCTGGCATCATCTTCAGACAAGGGTTGATTCTATGGCTGCGGGGTTGAATGAAGACCATGACAAATGTGCATCCGACCGACGGTCAGGAGCGGCCCGGTCGATTCCACCTTGACCGCGGTTGGCGAGCGGCGCATGTCGGCTCTCTTTCCGCCGACTCCAAGTATACTGCGTAGTCCTGTAAGCTAGACTCGCCGGGGCTGTCTTGCTAGCTCCGGAGGCTTGAGATATATTTGTTATTGTTCTGAGCCGTTAGTGACGCATTGCACAATCCACCAGCCCCGATGGTTTACGGGCTATTGAGATTTGAAACGGCTGGCAATGGCGGGGATTTTGAGTTTGGATGAGGATTTGACGATCTCGACAGGGAGGCGTGAATCTATCCCCATCCTCGTCCATCGCATCTTTGCCTTGTGGATGACAACGCCGCTGCAGATCCCTCTGAAGACCCCGGCTTTCCCTCAGCGCCCGTGCGTTTTTTTGAACTTGGCGAGTTTTGGGCATTGACGGCCCGGAAAGCTGAAAGGAGTTGCGTGGTCTGCTGGTCTGTTCTGGCTGAAGATCCGCCTGAAGACCCGGGTTTTGAACCCGGCTGAAAACCCACCTGCGCCTCTTTTGCGCGGCCGTTACCAAAGACCGTTAATGGCTGGACGGTTATGCTCACCTGATCAATGCTGTGGCAACTGACTCTGCGATGGACCACGATGCGCGAAAACTCCCTCAACGCTTTTTATCAAACGAAACTTTCAAAGAAAATCCCGTGTTAGTGACTCCCTTCCTATTCTGGAAGTCAGCTCGGAGTGACCACCGAGTGGGTCTCCAACTTGAACACCCAGACACCCCAGCGCCCCTCACAAATCCATTTTCAAGGATGGGCAAGCGAACACCCTCCGAGCTGGCCTCGGGACCCACTCGGCGATGCACCAATGCACGTCGTCACCGATAGCTTCCGTGACGGGGAACATGGATCGTGCTGAGAGATCCGAACGTGGAGATGGAGATGTCTGTGTGGCAGGGTTCCATGGATTGTGGAGGCTGTTGGTTGCTTGCTTGCAGATGTGATAAGGAGATTAAATCTCAAAAGAGGAAGACGTGATATTCGTCACATATCGGACGGCATGAGAGCAACAATTCCGTGGTTTCGAGTCTCGACTCATTTTGTCCTTCACAATGCTTTTCTTCGAGTTGTGCAATTCGAGACCACACATGCAAATTCTTCATGCTAGCGGGCAAGTGCAGACCCCCGGAACCTGCTGTCATTCGACCTTTTGGTGACAGGGGTTTATCGACGGTGCGACGCTGCGGGCTCTGCCCCCCTCCGAAACTGGCCATTCACACACCAAGGTCACCACTTCGGAGTGTGTCGCGATATCGACCCGGCCAACCACCGCACTTGGCTGGCCTCGATGGTCGCAGACCCTAAAAGTCATGTGAATGAGTCAAATATGAGCAGAGCCGTTTCCACCATTCATTCGACCCGACCTCCATCTGCGCATGAACGGGTGAGGAGTTATCGAGACCGGAGTGGAGGTCGTACTTAGTAGCATGGGTAGGTTTGTTCAGAGGCTATCGTCGGTCTTGCCCCAGTCGGGAGACGGCAGCATGCTGGATCACGGGTGCGGACTCCGTGGCCACCAGTCCTTGAGCGGGGCGACGGCGATATCCGACGGCATTCCGCTCCTTGTATCCTCCATTCAGCCGTTGGGCAGCAACCAAGACGACACCATCTAAAACCTGCGTCTAGCGGTCAAGAAGAAGAACACTGCAGCGTCCGCCAGAGTAAGTCCGGGGGTGTCAGCGACGATGGATGCAGAGGGCCGTTGACTACTGTAAGAAGTGCATTCCCGAGCTCGAGACCGACCGTTGGCCGCCCCACACGGAATGCATCGTTCAATGTCTCACACCTCACTGCTCGCTTAGTCAAGTTCCCTCATGCCCGGGCTCGAGCATCTGTGTAAGTCAATCTGCGGGCAGCCGTGAATGGAAACGAGGAAGAAACGACCATGATTGAGACACAGGTAGCCAAACAGCGTGTCCCCGAATACACAACAAGTCTCCCCGAAGCTCACGGACGACGTCTCAAGCGGCCGGTGTATTCACTGTCGCACGTGGGGTAATCCTTAATGGTGACTCGACAGGGTAGTGAACACCCCGCCTGGAGCGAGAAATCCCATAGCATCAACCGAATATCATGAGGGGTTAACAGAAAGAGAGAAAGAGTGGTGCGTTGCGGCTTACAACTCCGGTTTCGCCGACCGAGGGAACTTTTGGTGGAGCTGATAGCCATGGCGTATTATGACTTGAGGCGTGTGCGTTCGATGAAGATCGTGATGATCCGGAGGTCGGCGTGATCGTCCAGGGTGAGCGACTGAGCTACTGCAGAAGGATCTTGCTTGCTGAATCTGGAAGCTCGCTAGCTCAAAATGCCGTCGGAACTGAACACACAAGACCTGCTTCTGTGCCCGAAAGCTGCTCAAGCAGTCACCTGAGAATGCGCGCCTCCGTCGCCCCCGAAAGTTGGCGGCGGTGAGCCGCCAAAGGAGGCTGACGATGCCGAATTCTAAAATGCCATTTCGCAGCTATCCAGTCCCCGCCGTAGTTAAGCCTTGCCCGGTCATCAACTCCGCAGATCAGAGCATGTCGCCCCCGTCATGTGCCGGAAGGAAGGTCATGTTCGCCATCATCCTCAGCTGGGCGTTCAAGCAGGGCGGGGTAGCCGGCCGGGGAGGCCTGCATGAACAGGGGATAGTATGACGGCTGAGTGCATGGAACTCCGCACGGCATGAACTGCATTGGTTGGTGAGTGGCCGAAAAACTTCAGAGCAACTTGACTGCGGGAGCTCCATCGTCAGCCGGACCGTCCCATGGTGACCGCAACTTCCGGACGGAAAACCGCCGAGCTAGCTGCTGATCAAGACGTATCCCACGGCCAATCGACTTTGACTTTTTTGCAGACTGATCTCTGGTCAACCAAATTGGGCATCGGGAGGTCCGGGACGGCCCAGAGAAAGACGTTGGATTCTAGTTGCACCTCGCAGGCTCAGATGGGGGAGGAGCATGGAAAAGCTGGTTATTCGGCCCCGCAACAGTGCAAGCCGACGACAGCGGGCCCCGGACTGTGGGACAACGGCAGAGACTCCGGTCTGAGGAAACCGCCCAGAAAGAGGCTAGAAAGATGACAGCACAGCAGCTGACGAAGCCAACTCATCGACTCCGGCTCCCTCCGAGGCCTCACCGATGACGTAGAATGTGGCGCAAGCGTCTGAAACTCATCGTCGCCGGCCGCCGTCGAGGCCGGCGGTCCGCAGTTTGGACCTGATCCTCGGAGGCGAGGCGCGGGCGGGTCGGCCGGTGGACGGGGGCCGTAGCCGTCAACTCAAAATCCAATTCATTCACAGTCCATCTTGCCAGTGCCAATGGTGAGGGGGAACGGTGCGAGCAGCGAGGTGCGTGAAAAAGATCGGCTGGCCAGGGTCACCCCGGCTCCTTCCCGCTCACTCATTCACTCCGCAGGCCCTTCGAAGGCGCGGACAGATCGGGCTAGTGTGGCTTCGTGGGCGCTTAGACCGTCTATTTTTTGAACCGAATTCTGAGAATCTCGCCAATGAGATGCTGGAACCGTCTGAGAATGGCAGGCACAGCAGGATTTTCAGCCCAATGAGAGCCGGAGACGGCCCTCTTTCTCCCGGATCCTGACGGCTTGGCATCCCACCTCGGCTAGTTCCCCCACCTTCTCCCCAAGCCGCTGCCCATACCCACCACTTGCACCACACCTCGAGTCTCGCATGGATGCAATGCACCAGCGCGGCCATCCCACAGCTGCCCAACCAGCCCTCGACTTTCGGCCGACTTACCGCTCGCCCTGCTCGAATTCGGTGGTTCTCGCACGCCTGAGCACGCACACACAGCTCTAATTATACCACCTTGAGCAGGGAAGGTGCTGGGGGGGGCGCGAGCCACAGTGGTCGAGAATGGCAGGCGCAGGGCGGGCCATGGCGAGCAGAGCAGGAATGGCAGGCATGAGACAGGGTGGGAGCTGCTGCGAGTGCTCCCCGCAAGTGCCGGCCGAGGGCGGGAAAATCCAGGAAATCCAGTCGGCGCACTGCTCTCATCAAGCCCGAGCCACTGTCCGGCACAGTGCCTGCACCTGGTAAAGGTGTCCTGGTTCTTCTGCTCTGGTTACCCTCCCGCCTCACACTCACCCCCAGCACCTAGTTATCACACATATTGATCCCGACCCCCCCGCTGGTCACGATTCACAGGGGACCCCTCCCAGTTGTTGCTCGTTTCTCTTTTCCCTTTTCCTTCCAGTCCACTAGCTTCAACTATCCGCCATCGGTGTCGTGCCATCTCGGATCAGATCACATTAGATTTTGTGACCCGCAACGGTTGCGTTCCCATCCCGGCGCTTGCGCATGCATGTTGCGGTGAATCCCCCGACATACACAGTACATAACTTCCGAGAGCCGCCCGCCCGTGGCCCCACCATTCCGGAATCTCTCCTCCTGGTTTTGGTCATCAACAGTAGTTGAGCAGGCACACGGAACTAGACTCGTCCTGTCTACCTACTTTCAAGGTGGCGGCAGTATACCCAGTATAACGACTAGAGGGTCCCTGTCGACCGTGGATATAAACTAGAGATCGCCGGCTACGGCAGCAGAATTACCGACACTTCAGCGTTTTGGACGATATTCACCGATATGGTACGCTCGATGGGCATTGGCATGGCTGGGAACTTACTCGAGAAACTAACAATGGCACAGGAAACAATACGGTTCGCCCCAATGGAGCGGCCACCGCGGGAGATGCGAGAGAAGGCACGGGGGCGGGATGTGTTCTTCTCGACGGCGAGGGTGGAGGACAGGCCGTATTCGGTATACACCGAGTTCATGGAGTCGGATACCGAGATTGAGCAAGAGGACGACCAAGAAGACGACTCGGAGGTGTACAGCGAATTTGGGGATTTGGAGGGGATAGAGGATGGCGAGTGCTCGCCTCGCATCAGCATCGGCTCGGTGGGTTCCCCCTGACAACAAGAGTCGAGACAAGTTTGGGATGGTTTACTCATTGATACACAGTCCGGTGGGCAACCCAGTTTCACGACGCTGTCGACACAGGACGAGGTTCAGACACCGAGCTCGCTACGGCACCGGCCGTTTCTGTTCGACCATGACGCAAAGCAGCAAGTCGAGGGACCTAGGGGACCTCACTTGTTCCGCAGCTCCATGTCCTCGGCGCAGTCGATTGAGCTTCAGCATGCGCTCTCGCTTTCGCCCGTCACGCCGAAGAACCCGCATCTAATGGACCTGCACCCCCAACACGTCCATCTTACTCCCCTTCCTAGAAAGAGACGCGACACTGGCCCTTTCCAGTTCACGGACGAGGAACTCGACACCTCGGCCCTTCCCGACTGGACCCCAGAAATGGTCGCCCAACAGATGCTTAACGCTGGCGTTGAGCTCGTCGCCTCGGAAAGATTCGTCGAGAACGATATCAACGGCGCTATCTTGATTACATTGAAGTTTGAGGACCTAAAAGAGCTCGGGATCGCTTCGTTTGGCGTGAGGACACAGATCTGGGACGAGATCCACAAGATCAGGCATCTCAAGAAACCGGAGCCGATGCCGGAGACTCCGATCGAAGACGAGCCGGATAAGAAGGTCAAGAGGGAGTTGCGAAGGCAGGAAAGCGGTGCCGGAAGTCGGAGGCAAAAGCCGCGGGTGAAGGTGAACGATATCATCTCTCCGCTGGAATCGGTGTCGATTGTGGGCATCGAGCAGGTCCTACCGAAGCCTCATACCTGCAAAAAGGGCGAGAACTGCGCCAAGTGGAAGCGGAATCAGCGGTTGATGGAAGCTTTCAAGAAGGACCACCCCTTCATCAACGACAATGGCATCATCATGGTCGCCGGCGACCCCGGAAACCCGGAAACAGCCGGCGCCATTGTGGCGAGCGACGACTTCCGTCCCGTGTCGGATGCTGTGCCGTCGGTGGTCGCTTCGTCGGATGTCATGGGCCCGGGCAGCCTCCCTCCCCTTCAGTATCTCCAGGAGGCGGCGCTACGCAACCTCCAAGCTAGGGACCCCCAAGAAAACGTCCGGCAGTTCCTCGACTTCCAGCGTCCGCATGCCGGTGCCTCTAGCGAGGTCCCTCCGACGCCGCCCTTTGAGATTTTCCCTCAGGGTAACCAGAAGGCGGCACACGCAGGGCTCCGAGGCCTTCCAAAGCTTGCTATCCCTTCTCAGACAACGACTACCGCTCCAAAGCGGGAGCCGCAATCGGCCCAGGCCCGGTCTGCTCGTCCCGTGTCACAAGTCATCCCATCATTCCGAGAGCTCAGCCCGTCGTCCGACGAGGGTACCCCCACCCCCACGGCGCCGTATCGGTTCGGCACCCCATTCTCAATGATGGATGTTCCTGTCACGATTACGGAGCTTCCTCCCGTCTCGCGGGATTTATCCCAATCAGTCCCGCCAGACATGAACTACCGCCACAACCCGGCGCCCCGTTCCATGTCCCGCAACACCATTCGCCGGCCATCCTTTCCCGTCATGCCTGCGCTCGACGAGAACTCGATCGTAACCCCCCCTACCAAGGCGACCAATGGTTCCTTCTCTCAGCGTGCCGGCCAGCGCCCGCTCCAAGCCCCTCCCCGTGTTCAATACCCCTGGTCGCAAACCGAGCGCCCGACCCTCGAGAAGGCCGTTCCGCCCATGCCCAACTCTGCAACCACCGCTGCGGCCGATGGCGCCACCACTACCACCGGCACGGTAAAGACGGTCAACATCAACGGCCGGCTCTCCCCCATCAGCGACAAGCCGCAGGTCGACATGACGGGCGGCGGCGCCATCTCGTACCAGGGGCTGATGCGCAAGCGCAAGACCAAGATGCTCCGGCACGAGTGGCACGAGCACTTCTTCACGCTCCGCGGCACGCGCCTGACCATGCACAACAAGGACGCGGCCGCCGCCGCCGCCGCCACGGCGAGCATGAACAAGACGCTCGAGTACATTGACATCGACGACTACGCCATCGCGTGCGGCGGCGCCGCCAGCACCTCCAAGCTCAACGCCGCCTTCAAGGCCATGCACATCCGCCGCGGCAGCGACGACGCCAAGGCCAAGGACGTCGCCGCCTTCAGCTTCCAGCTCATCCCCCAGGACGCCAAGGGCGGCGTGCGCCTCCGCAAGCGCGAGAGCGTCGTGCCCGGCAGCGTGTCCTCGTCTGGGCCGGCTGCGGCGGCGGCGGCTGCTGCAGCGGCCAAGGACAAGGAGGTGCCGCCGCCGATTGAGGGCGCGGCGAACGGGACTGGCAAGACGCATCATTTTGCGGTTAAGGGGAGGGATGAGCGGATCGATTGGATGCGGGAGCTGATGCTGGCCAAGGCGAAGAAACAGAAGGGGGAGGGGTTTGAGGTGAGTGTTAATGGGAATATGATTTAGGTTTATCAGGTGGGGGTGGTGCGATGAGTGGGTGAGGGCTTTTGGATGATGAGGGTTTTGGATGATGATCATGACGACGGGTGTATATGTTTGCGTTTTGGTTTGGTTTTTTTTTCTTTCTTATATCCTCTTTTCTTTGGGTTTCTTCCCTTCTTCTCTCTACTCTTCACTTCTTTTGGCTTTTTCTTCTTCTTCTTCTTCTCTACCTGTCACGATGATACCTTTTTTGCTTTTTCTCACTTCACACCTCTCTCTCCTGTTCTCTTTTCGTCTCTGCTTCTCTTCGGGGTTGTATCTTGGATATCCTGCATGACCTGGCGTGGTTTGGCGTTTGACTTTTTGTGCCACGGCCGGAGGGGAATGGATAGGTTGAAGGACTAGATGCGCGCTTGAGATATGGCAACATATTGACCACACTCGTTTCGATGGATGATGAGATGAAAGGGTGGGCTGGCTGTGTTTGGTGGGAGTTGTAGTTAGTTATGTTTAGTTTAGCTGATGATGAAAAGTATGTGCCTTCAATTATCCGTTCATTGGCGTTGGTGAAGATGGGTATTAACTATCCGAATTTACAACAGATGGTGATATGAAAGGGTTGGCTTGGTGTGTTTGGTAGGAGTTGGAGTTGGTTTTACTTGATGATGAAAATATAACCTTTCATTGTCCGTATTTGTTCCATGATGCGTTTCTAACCGGTGAAATTGTATCCACCGTCCAAGGTTAGAATGGATGATGGAGAAAAGTGACTGGTTGTGTTTGGTGGAAGTTGGAGTCGGGGTTGTCTAATTAAGAATGAAAAACTATTTGCGCTTCGTAATAAGGAGTTAATAAGATTTAGGTAAGGAAGTAAATATCTAAGAGATAGTAACTTTAAGAGCCTAGGTCTAGTTAAAACTTCAATAATTAAGGAAGTAAGTATCCAAGAGAAAGTAGCTCTATAAACCTAAACCTTGTCTGGATTTATTCAATGTGTTGGTGAAAATGTGTATCAAACCAACGTTAGGACGGACTCTTCATTGTATGTCGTGAAATATTTAAAAGCAATCAATACTGATATTACGGTAGAGTAATAGACGTATTCATTGTTGCTTCGGGCATGTCAACTCACAGTGCAATGTTCAGACAGGCCCAGTAAAACCAGTTCTACATGGAGAGAACAGCACATAGTAACCTAGAAACGGAATTGATGCGTGTTTCGTTTTCGACATGATACATACACCCAGCGACTCGTCTATTTTGTACAAGTACATCTAGATCCACACCAGGAGCGGCAAATGGGCCTTTCCGCCTCTCCCGGTCCCACGATAAATAATTATACAACCTTAACAACCAACCCGCCCCGTCAGAGCCTTACCGACGCGACAGCCCCCCCTCCCCTCACGCCATGGGCGCGGGTGCGTGCGCGCCCATGTTAGCCGACATCTCGAGGCGCTGCAGGTCGGCCTCCTTCTGGACCAGGTCCCAGTTGACGTGCTTCCACCACTTCTCCGCGTAGCCCAGCTTGCCACGGTCCGGGGCGCCGACGCCGAAGCCGTAGTCCCACAGCCAGACGTGCTCCCACGTGTTGATGCACAGCACGGGCTGCAGGTCGGTACCACCAGGGGCGTGGGCGACGCGGCGGGCGGTGGCGCTGCCGGGGCCCATGCGGCGGCCGGCGCCGTACGCGGTGCGGTCCAGGTAGGCGCGGCCGGCCTCGAGCGCGGCCTCGCTGCCCCCGCCCGCCGCCGTGTTCATGTCGTTCTCCTGCCGCCGCCAGTGCGCCCCCGGGTAAGGGGACCCGGCCGCGTAGGTGACGAGCACCTTGAAGGATACCGGCAGGCCCGGCTGCGAGGTCTTGACCAGCCACACGAAGCCCGGGCCGAACATGCCCGCGGCCGTGTAGACCATCTCCTGGCGGAGGGTGTCCATGGAGCCGAAGGACTGCTCGAGGCGGCTGCGCAGGGGCTCGGGCACCTCGACCTGCTTGGGGGAGATGTGCTCGAAGAAGAACTGGTTGTTGTGGATCATGCTGGCGTGGTTGAAGATGGGCGCCGAGCCCGGGTCGCGGGCGGTGCCGAGCAGGATGTCCTTGACGTGGTGGGACTCGTACTCGGTTTCTGGTGGCATTGTTAGTCCGCGAGTTCCCTTGCCTTTGCCCCGCCGATTGTAGAGACACGAGAGAAGGGAAAGAGAGAGGGAGAGAGAGAACACACCTGCTGTCAAGACGTTCAACTTCTGCAAAAGATATGTCTGATACTGGGTCCAGGAGATGTTGAAAGCGGCGGGCGACAGGAAGTCGGAAATGCCATTCTGTGTAGCCTCATCCTTGATGTTGTAAGGGAGAGGGGCGAGGGCGTGCATTGATCGTGCCTGGCAGGCCATCGGTAGCAAAGTCGAGGTCGCCGGCGTGCGGATGCGCGGCCGCATCGCTATCCTTAATAACCCTGGGCGCAGCATGGTGATCTGTGGTGGGGTTTTGTGGTCGGAAGGTCGGAAGGGTAAAGGGGCCCGGGCGGCAGTCTCTGTCCCTTTCTTGGAGGGGTATCGTCCGGGGGGAAGGGCGTTGAGTGGTGTTGTGTCTTGTGCCGCCCTCGTCGTCGCCGGTTTTTTGCCGGGTCCCTCACGACTGGGAACTTTTTTGGCTGCAGGGGGGGTGCTGTATTGGCGCCTAAGAATTGAGGCACAGAGGTTTTGAGGGGTTTCCCTGGTTGTTTGCTCCCATCGGACGAGACCCTAACCCTTATACCAGCAGCTTGCTTGGTTTGGCAGTGGTTTGGTGTCAGGGTGTCATGGTGCCAACGGGCAGCGCTCTCAACCGAAGCAGTTCAGCTCCTTTCCATGGTGGTCTGGAGTCCCAAAACCTCAAATATTTTGCGCTACTCGATATGATATTCAGTACGCTAATTATCTGCTCTTTACCATCAAAATACTCTCATGCAACGCCTGTAAACTCCGACGCAAATGCAAACTAGACACTAACTGAACTGGCCGCACACGTGGACCTCCCTCCCCACGGCTGGAACACCGAGTCGAACACAAAGCCTCGCGCCAGACATGGAATGCCGACAATATGTCTGTTATACAGCGTACCCCCCCCTCCCGATATCCCACTAGATGTCGTTCTCAACCATACCCAATACATCCAGCTCTGTCCGGACCATTCTCTCGAATTCCTCCCTGTCGATGCCCGAGGCCCGCGAGAGCAGGAATAGGCTCCTGATGCTGCGCGAGATGTGCTGCTTCACGCCAAATTCGGTCTGTTCACGACTCTCGGCCGCCTCCTCAAGTCTGGCAACTGTCTGGGACGCGTTGGAGCTGGCGCTACCAGGGCGCGGATGAGCAAGCACCCACGACTCGTCTTGGCTGTTTCGGGAGCCAGATGAGTGCACTGATTCGGGCTTAATGGGAATAGGCTGAGCGAGGGCGGGGCCGTTTGTTGTTGCCCTATCGACTTTTGCGGGCTCCGGCTTTGCTAGGTTGAGAGGTGGAAGCGGTCCGACATGTTCGCCGTGCTCCTTGAGGTTTGCTTCCTCGTCGGGGTCGTGGTTGTCCATGGCTGGTTGGACCGAGTCGTACTGGGCAAAGTACGCATCCTCGGCCTCGGTGGACTGACTAGGTTGATTATCGGCTTGAGCCGTCTGCGCAGGTCCTCGTGGGGCCGGTGACTCCTTTATCGCCGGTGTCCTAGATGGCGTTGCGTCATACCGAGCCCAATAGTCGTCATCGTCATCCTCCTCCTCATCGACCGTAGCCTGTGCGCTCCAACCACTCTTAGTGTTGCCTGCTGCATGACTACTGCTGGTGACTGACAACCCATTGGTTTTGGGTCTTGTCGTCTCGAACAACCGTTCGGCTTCCTCGATGCCGGGAGAACCACCGAAGGCGGCAACGGTGGGAGGATCGACGATTCCAACTTCGCCCACTCGCCAGCCATCGCCTCCGCCATCGGGGTCGCCGGTGCAGTAGACGAGCCGGAAGAAAAGCTGGAGGTCGTCGAGGACGGCCATGGCCTGGAGCGTCTCCTGGTCTAGTCGCTTGTATCTAATACTGACACCGCGATCCCAGTCCACCTCAACCTCGCCAGAAACCGGGTGAGGATCCAAGTCACCGCTTCGGGCGACGCTCGTCAACTTGGCCACCTTGGAGGGGTCGTACGTCAGGAGCCGGATCCATGGTTCTGTGGTGGCCGACGATAATAGCTGGACTCGCTGTCGGAGAATGGGCGAAAGTGACGGTAGCACTGTTGTGGCGGGCTCTGTTGAGGCGGCCGCACCGGGTAGAGCCGAGAGGACCGGCGTCACGGTGTTTCGGACGTCTGGAGGGGCGATAGGGGATTGGGGTAGTGCGATGGCCATTGCGATGGACCGTTTGTAGACGAGCAGTGTTGGTTTTGCTCAGATCCGAGGCGAAGATCCGAAGTTGGGTTAAAAGGAAGAGAAAGCAGGAATATAAAGGACGGGATGTGATCCGAGAAGGTAAAGTTTGTGTGTGTCAAGGCGCAGGCAACTGACTTGATCACATGGGACTATCAGTCACGAACCCGCCAACTGCCAACTGCCAACCTCGTCACTTAGGAATGAATGTTGCTAGCACAAACTCAGTCACGGAAAAGGTCTGTGACGATGATGAATAAGAGAAGAGAATAGAGGTGAAACACAAACAGAATGAGAAATCAGAATCAGCACTCCTGCGGACGGTTGAATCTCTCTCTGTGCCACAATGCAATGTCACAGACAAGGGCAGTTTGGCAGTTAAGGGTGGGCCAGGCCACCCCGAACCCCGCCATGTCCGAACTCCTGGGGGAGCTGCGATTGCGATGCAAGCGGGCAAGCGGGCCTCCGACTGCCTGTTTCGTCACGACTTCCGTACTGCCGCCGACTCCACTCGTGCAGTGTCGGGCATTTCAGCCAATTGAGTCGGCCTACCGATTCGGTCGGAGGGAACCCAATGAACAAGGGCAAGTTACAGCATCGTCCGCTGTCCTGTGGGGGCATCCAGTCCAGGCAAATTACCGAACGAGATGCAATGCGGGCAGGCGGCAGGGCAGTCTGGACAGACATACATATCCATTAAATCCTGCGTAAACAAAGCCGGCACCGCCGGCTGCCGGAGTATCTTGCCGAAAATGTGGGACGGCTCTGAGCTGTTTGGGAGGTTGCGTGGGGGGCTGGGGGTGTCGCGGACTGTGAAAGGAGCAAGAGTCAGCTCCGTGAGAGCTGACTCGGAGGTTTCATTGCTTGTCGTATTTTCGGCGTTTTGTTCCAACGAGCGTTAGGTATGTAAGTAAGGTAAGGGAGTTAACTATCGGGGGATGCCGAGCGGCCCAGGCCCCTGCAGGCCAGAGCGGCAATGTCGTCACCACCTGCCAGCAATTCAAGAAAATTATTTTGTAAATGTTGGGCTGGACTGCAAGATTGACGGATAACGACGGCCTTGAGCGCGAGCTCCAAATCGTCCGAACACGACATTCTCGAGCTACTATCCTCTGCTAGTGTAATACATCGTTGTTTGCGTTTCCGATCCCTGCTGCATGTTTGCGGCATTGAAACACGCCGCAAAAAATACAACAGGATTTCTTAGTCGGCACACGAGCACACGTGAAGCGACAACGAAGCAACAAGAGGCAACCTCACCGACCGAACATCAACAACAACAACCCGAAAGAGGCATCGACATCCCCGGCAGCCCGGATAACCAGACCGGCCCCACTGGATGAATGTCACTCAAGGGCGACCGCCTCAAGGATGAGGGCTCTCGTTTGCAAGTCACGGCCGCCGGGGCCACGGCTGGCTTAGTCGCTCGGTATGACATCGGAATCAAAACTATAACCAAATCCAGCCCGAGCACACGCTGACACCCAATCCCCCCCCGGTCTAGCTTCGTCATCGCCCCCCTCGACGTCGTCAAGATCCGCCTGCAGCTCCAAACCCACTCCCTCTCGGACCCGCTCTCCCACCGCGACCTACAAGGCGGGCCCATCTACAAGGGCACGCTCCCCACGCTCCGACACATCCTCCGCTCCGAAGGGATCACCGGCCTGTGGAAGGGCAACGTGCCCGCGGAGCTCCTGTACGTGTGCTACAGCGCGATCCAGTTCACCACCTACCGGACGACCACCCTCCTGCTGCACTCGACGCTCGGCGAGGGCACGCTGCCCCAGTCGGCCGAGTCGTTCGTCGCGGGGGCCGTCGGCGGCGGGACGGCCACGGCCGCCACCTACCCGCTCGACCTGCTGCGCACGCGGTTCGCGGCGCAGGGCAACGACCGCGTGTACGCGAGCCTGTGGCGGGCCGTCTCGCAGATCGGGCGCGAGGAGGGCGCGCGGGGCTTCTTCCGCGGCCTGGGCCCCGGCCTGGCCCAGATCATCCCCTACATGGGCTTCTTCTTCGCCGCGTACGAGACGCTGCGGCCCCACTTGAGTGGTCTAGAGCTGCCCTTCAGCACGGGCGGCGCCGTCGCTGGCACCATGGCGAGCGTGATGGCCAAGTCGGGCACTTTTCCGCTGGATTTGGTTCGCAAGAGGATTCAGGTCCAGGGCCCGACCCGTGGGCGGTATGTGCATAAGAATATCCCGGAGTATTATGGTGGGACGGTTGGGGCGGTGAGGACGATCTTGCAGAGGGAGGGGTTCAGGGGGTTGTATCGCGGGTTGACGGTCAGTTTGCTGAAGGCGGCGCCGGCGAGCGCCGTGACTATGTGGACTTATGAGCGGGCGTTGAAATTTTATAGCGGGTTGGGGGAGAAGCGGGAGGAAGAGAGATTGTAGGATAAGCGGGATGCGATGTGATAGATACCCTAGACGATAGACTGTACATTTATGTAATGATATCAAGCAACAATTCGAGGGCTGGTAACGGCCGAGAGACACCCAGTCATGTTCCCTTCACAAAGCAAATTTGTCTATCCGACCGGATCTCTACCTAAATGTATGGTACAAGCAGACACGGGGCAAGCCATCAACCTCGCTGCTCTCTCCATCTCTACACACGGCTCTCCCCGCCGCTTTTTTTTTTTCTCACAATAACTCGCCTCGGGGCAAGCCTTTCCCCAGCTCCCTTCATTTCCCCTTGCGCACCCACCCCTCCAACACCTCTCTCGCATCACGCACCCCCTCATGCACCTTCCTCTGCGCCAGCTCCGCATGCACGCGAGCCATATGCACACCCTGCTCCACCCCCTCACGAGCACGCAGGTGCGCATCCGCAACCGCCGGCACGCGCTTCTCATACTCCCACGCCAGCGCGCCGACATTCCCCATCGTGACGGGCAGCACGACCCACGCGGCGCCGAGCCCCAACGCCAGCGGCGCCGCACCACGCAGCAGCACATTCCGGTTGCGCGCGACGATGCTGCCCGCCATGCCGGCGACCAGCACGTAGATGGCGCCCGGCATCAGGCGCTCGCCGCTCTCGCGCGCCGGCGCCAGCGACGCCACCGTCGACGTGAAGGACCGCTCCGCCGCGAACGCCCGCGCCATCGCCCCGTTGACCGCGTCCTCGGCCACGCACGCCTGCTCGTACACGAAGAGCCGCGCCTGTCGGATCTGCGCCGCGAGCCGGTCCGTCGGGGTGGGTGCGCGCGTGCGGACGACGGTGGTCGGGGTGGTGGGGGTGGAGTCGAAGAGGGAGGGGGTGGTGGGTGGTGCCGGGGTGCTGGCGACGGGGAGGGGCTCTTCGGATGGTGAGGGGGGCGTTGGGGTGGGGATGGCGGCGCTGGTTGTTGTCGGGGTTTTTGGCGGCGCGGGTCTTGTCAGGGCGAGGATGTCGGAGTCGTCGTAGATGGGCTTCCTGAGCTGCAGTTGCCGAGGCCGGGTTAGATCGGGCGAGGGTTGGGGGGGAAGGGTGTGTTCGGGTATACGTACGTATTGGCGTTCGCTGGGCGCTTCGGCGTGTGCGGTCCGGGGGTAGAAGGCGACGCTTCCTACCAGTACGGCGGCCGTCAGCGGCGCAACGCGCTGTATCGAGACAAGTGCCAGTCAGTATTCCATATTCCCCCATGGAGGTCATGAGACGCAGAGGCCTAAAGCTTGGGTGAGCACGTACCCGCTGCAGAAGCACTCGAGAAGCCATTATCCACCCAATTGAGACGTCCCTCTCAAGCTCTCAATAATTCCGGCAGTGGGCGGGCAACAGCTCCCGGTTGGTGGTGGGCGAGGAGCTTGGATGCAAGGTCCGAGGTTGTGAAGCGTGGGCAGGAAACCCAGGATCGGAGTTGCAGAAGCGCACTTGCGGCTATTTCCGGAATCTGAGCTTTATCACGTTCGCAGAATCTGGATGTGGGTTCCAATAAAAAACGCAGAAAATGGACTCGTTCAACCTTTTGCAGTGTAGCTGTGGGTCCAAGACTTGGGCCTGGAAAAGAATGCCCCGGTAACTCGGAATTTGCTCCCCTGTCACTTTTTTTTTAGCTTGAATTAATCCCACTTTGACGATTGACACGAGCAGCGAACGTTAACTATTTACGGTGTACTGTGTAGGTAATTTCGAGCCTGCCACCCAGCAGACGGCCGAATATATATCACCGCCGGTCCGGGGCCATCACCGAGGGGATCCCGACTTCCAATTACATTCTCGATGCTCGATTCGGCTTCAGAACATTGGTAGCGCCCGGCGTCGTGACCATCTCCCTTCGACCGCCGACGCTTTCGCGCCCTCACCGACGCTGGGTCCGTCATGATAAGAGCAGTGACGCGGCCGAGGCAATTGCAACGATGGGTTTGCTCGAGCTGCCTGTTCCAGCGTACGGCGCCCGTCTCGCCTGCCCGTCAACAGCACCGATTCACAACTTCGCACAAGTCGAACTCCGTCCGGGACCAGCCGATTGTCCCAGTTAGCCATGCGCCAATAACCCGCGAAGATGACTTCGTCTTACGCTCGGTTTTCGACTATCCCCAGTTTTGGAAGGACTTTACCAACGCCCAGTATGGCATGAGTGTCGGTCTCTTCCGGAACTCGTTCCTGAGAGAGCCCAGGGGGTTTATCACCTTCTCCCGGGTGAGCCTGAAGAAGGCCCGGGCCGTTGTCGCCAAGGTGCTCGCCGCATCATCCGTCGCCGAGTACCGCCTTATAGTCCGGGACCTTGACCGCCTGAGCGACATTCTCTGCCGCGTGCTCGATATGGCCGACTTTGTGCGCGTTACCCACCCCAACAAAGCCATGCAGCGGAATGCGAGCACGGCCTGGGAGTCCGTATACGAGTACATGAACGAACTCAACACCATGACAGGTCTGCACGACCAGTTGGCTACCGCGATGGCCAACCCAGATGTTACCGCCGTCTGGTCCGAGGAGGAAAAGGCGGTGGCAGAAGTATTGAAACTGGACTTCACCAAGTCGGCCGTCAGCCTGCCCCAGAAATACCGCGATCGCTTTGTCAAGCTTTCGTCAGAAATCAGCGCAGTCGGGTCCGCTTTCGTACAAGAGATGGCGCCCGAACAGGACACAGTCATCTTCCCCAGCAGCGAGCTCCGGGGCATGGATCCTGTCCAAGCGCGGGGCCTGACACAGGGCGGCAATGTCTATCTTCCCACACTGAGCGGGCAAGCCGCCCTGGCATTGCGTACCGTACATGACGCGGATGCGCGGAAGCGGATTTTCTACGCCTCCCGCACGGCGTCCCGTCAATCCGTAGAGATGCTCGAGTATTTGATGAAACTACGAGCCGAGCTAGCCACTCTCTCAGGATTTGAGAGCTACGGCCACCTCGCCTTGAGCGATCGCATGATGGCGAGGAGTCCAGAAGCCGTCGACCAATTCCTCCGTGCACTCGTCGACAGCAATAGGCCCAAGGCGATGCAAGAGATGGCCGAGCTCCTAATCGAGAAGCAAAAAGCGTACCCTCAGACAAACAAACTTGATCCCTGGGACAAGGATTACTACTCAGACCTCATCCGCCGGCCACTAAGGCTGACCGGGCGCCAAGGCGACATCCTATCGTCTTACTTCTCGCTCGGCGTTGTCATGCAGGGCCTTTCCAGGCTATTCACGGAGCTGTACGGCATCAGACTCATCCCGAGGCAGCCCTTGGTTGGAGAGACATGGCATCCCGACGTGCGCCGCCTTGATGTGGTGTCAGACACGGACGGCCATGTCGCGGTTCTGTACTGCGACCTTTTCAACCGCGCCGACAAGTCCCCGAATCCCGCGCATTTCACCGTCCGCTGCTCGCGCGAGATATTCAAGGAAGAAATGGCCGAGGTCTGGGAGCAGAGCCAGCAGGACCCCGAGATGGCCATGACGTTCGGGAGTCCCGAGCTTGCGGCCAACGACGGCATGACCTTTTCGAGACACGGTAACACTATAAAACAACTCCCAACCATCGCCCTGGTCTGCGACTTCCCGCAGCCATCCAACCAAGGGGACCAGCCGGCCCTCCTGAGCTTCTTCCAGCTCGAAACGCTGTTCCACGAGATGGGCCACGCGATCCACTCAGTACTGGCGCGCACCTCGTTCCAGACCGTCTCGGGCACGCGGTGCGCCACGGACCTAGCCGAGCTGCCCTCCACGCTGATGGAGTTCTTCGCGGCCGACGCGGCCGTGCTCGGCCAGTTCGCGCGCCACCACGAGACGGGCGAGCCGCTGCCGTACCGCATGGTGGCGCAGAAGGCGCGCCAGGCCCGCCGCTTCGAGGCCTCCGACACGGAGAACCAGATCCTGCTCGCCATGCTCGACCAGGCCCTGCACTCCCCGCGCGCCGCCGCCCCCGGATTCGACCCCACCGCCATCTTCCACGGCATCCAGAAGGCCCACAGCTGTGCGCCCCCCGACCCCCCCGGCACCAGCTGGCCGGGCTTCTTCGGCCACCTGTCCGGCTACGGGAGTACCTACTACAGCTACCTGTTCGACCGCGTGCTGGCCCAGCGCGTGTGGGACGTGGTCTTCCGCGGGGGGGAGCGCGGTGGTGCGCTCAAGCGTGAGAATGGCGAGCGCCTCAAGGAGAGCCTGCTCAAGTGGGGCGGGGCGAGGGATCCGTGGAGATGCCTGTCGGAGGTGCTGGGCGATGACAGATTGGCCGAGGGGGGCGAGGAGGCCATGGCGCTGGTGGGGAGTTGGGGGTCGACGAAGCAGAAGTGACGGACCTGCCTGGGGTTGGTTGATGAGATTGGTGTTGGATGTGCATATGAACTTGTAAATTTGTTGCTAGAAGGCTAGATAATGCCCAATGATATACGATATAGAACTACATTCCACCATTCCTATGCCGATGGAAAATCACATGCTAAATACATGTACTGTATACTCAGGTGTCACTGCAGTCGGGTAGTTGCAGCCGTGGCATTGAGTTTACCGAAACTCAGACATACATACTTCGCCAGAGAAAAGGTACTTCCCAAACCGGCTGATATCTCCGAGCAATAGCTGGAAAGGAATTAGCAAACGCCATGTTCGATACCGCAAGGCGTAGCGCTGACAGGGGTTACACTAAGAGTGGATCGATAATCTTACTTCTTTCAGCCCTGTACATCCCTCACACGCGACTCAAAAGATCTAGACCACCCTCACCCAACCCGTTACTCATTTTCACCCCAACTTCATCCCACCACCGTCATTCCTTTTTCCCCCTCACTCAACGCCGTGACGCGTCACAACCCGCTCATTCTCCTTAGCACTTTCAACTTCCACACACCACCACCCAAAATGCACCCCCCAACCCTCCCCCTCCTGCTCCTCACAGCACTCACCACCACCACCACCACAGTAACAGCCCAATCCCAATCCCCCTCCCCCAAAACCCTCGAAATCGTCACCGACCCCTCCTCGGGATACACCTACCACGGCTGCTACAACGAGACGACGGGTCTGCCGGACACGGCGGGCGCGCGCGCCCTCGGCGGCGGCACCAACCTGGTGCGCGCGGGCGACATGACGGTCGAGATGTGCTGGGAGTTTTGCCGGTCGGGCGCAGGCGACGCGAGTGGTGGGGAGGGGGCAAGGTTTTTGTTTGCTGGTGTGGAGTATGCGAGGTGCGTTTTTTTTCTTTTTCTTTTGTTTTCTTTTATCGGGTTGTTGGTACCGTGTTATTAGGGGTGGGTTGGTTGGTTGGTTGGTTGAGCCCTGTTGAATCCTGTTGAGTGTTGGGGGGCGGTGATGGATGGAGTGTTGGGGTGCGGGGGGGATAAGTTGATGGGGGTTCGTTTTGGGTGGTCTGATGGGTTGCTTTACAAGTAACCAGGAGTTGGGTGATAGACAGGCGGAAACCCAAGGCATACCTGCTAACTTACCACAGAGAATGCTGGTGCGCTCAGAGTATCTCAAGCCTGTCGGAAAAGCTCCCAGACAGCGCCTGCAACCTGCCTTGCGAGGGAAACACGACACAAGCCTGTGGCGGGAACCTCAAGCTGACGGTGAGACTACCCCTGAGCCCAAACTGCAACTAACACGCCGCTGAACAACAACTCCAGGTTTACATAGCTGCCGCCGCCACTGCGCGCGTGACCTGGGCTGCGAGCCTAGTCGCCGCCGGCGCGGTATCTCTGCTGCTAATATAACCAGCAGGTAGGGTGCGTGACACAAGTGTTTTTGATACTGTTCGATACTTGGCGAGGTTTTCTGGCGTAGATACCCTTCAATAAACTTCTTGTATCCATCTTCATTCAAACTGCCTACTCATATCCTCCTCCCCCAACGCACCGCACCCGCCCTATCCAAAATCCATAACCCCCAACCCGCGTTCCCTCATCGCGCCCTGAACCGCCCCCTTAACCGCCACAACCGCCTCCCTCCACGACTCCTTCCCAGCCCCCTCCTCACCCTCCTCAACAAGCCAACCAAGCCACTTCACCAACACCCTCGCCTTCTCCATATCCCTCTCCTCCCCCACCACCCGCGCCACATAGCGCTCAAAGACCTCCACATCCGCCCGGTGCGGGCCCTCATCCCGCGTCGCCTCATGCCACACCCCGACCATCTCCTTGACCTCCTTGACCGACGTCAGCCCGGACCGCGCAAACGCCACCCGAGGCGGTTTCGCGGGGAACTTGAGCCGCGTCTGGCCCCGCGGGGCCGCACCACCACCACCATCAGCACCACTACCGCTATCAGGACGGCGGCCAGGGGCATGATACCCCAACGCGGTCCCCGCCCCCACTCCCACCCCAGACCCGCGCGCCATCCGCCGCCGCCGATGGTCCTCGACCACCTCGCGCCGCACATCCTCGGGCAATTCAGCCAAGAATTCCGGGTCCAGGTCGCCCGCCGCCACCATATCCTGCCCGGCAGCAGCAGCAGCGGCGGCGGGCGGCGCCAGGTTAGTCTGCAGCAGGCGCGCCTCGGCATCCTGCTGCCGTTCCCGCTCACGGGCGCGGCCGAAGAGCGATCTGATCCCGCCGCCGCGCTTGGTGGGCGTGGACCGCTCGCGCGGGCGGTGGATGACGCGGTCCTTGCGCGGGGACTGCGGGAGGCGGGTCTGCGCACCACTACCGCCGCCGCCGCCGCCGGGCTGGCGCGGTTTGCGCTGTGGGCCGTAGGCGGCGAGCACCTCGGCTTGCATGTCCTCGGGGAGGGCGTCGAAGACCTCGCGGTCGATGTCGGAGGGGATGTCGTCGGCGGTGGTGAGGGCGGGGCTGTGGGAGCGGGACTTGATGGGGGATGGTTCACGGGAGGGGGAGGGAGCGCGCGGGGGTGGGCGTTTGGCTTGCTGCATTAGTTTGGCGCGGATGTCGTGGGGCAGTTCGGCGAGGACGGTGGGGTCGACGTTGGAGGGGATGATGAATTGCGTGCCGGCGAGGTTGAGGGGGGAGTTGGCTTTGTCGTCGGCGGCGTTGGCTCTGGCGAGAGCTAGCGCTGGGTGCACTTTTGGTTTCCTGGGCGTTAAGGGGTCGTCTGCGATGGGGTCCTCCTTGACCTCCTGCCCAGAGGGACGGCGACTCAGTTTTCCTGCGCCGTCCTCGTCATGAACTAGCTCTGTTTTGGGTCTATTTGAGGGAGGGGCTGCGATGCCGAAGTTGAGTTTCCTTTGGCTCCCCTCGGGGGCACCTGATGGCTTGATGGGTTCTAGCTTGGTCATCTGCACTCCCAGACCCCTGAGATCACCAGGGCTGAACCTGTAAGAACGAAGAATTGCGATGGACTCCTTCCCAATGACGCCGCTGTCATTCGTGGCCACACCGAACGTGACGCTCTTGGTGAATGTGTCGCATTTGCCATGCCCCAGATGTTTGGCTGGGTCTAAGGGTGCATCGAGGGCACGTCTCATAATCTTCATGGTCAGGTTCTTCCCCTTGACGCCCTCGTTCAGAAGACGGCGCTCAAGTTCCTTGCACAAGTTGTGGACGAACTCGTCGGCTTCGGCCTGGTTTACGAACCGGATCCCCCAGTTCACGTCGGCCGATACAGACTTGCGGATGGGCTGCTCTCCAACCTCGGCGCGGTCGATCCCGCGGGCATATTCCCACAGCTTCTCGCCCGTCTTGGGCCCCAGGAGAGACACCAGGCGTTCCTTGTATGTCTGGCGCAAATCATTTACGAACTTGACGCCGATCTCTTCGAGCTTTCCACCAATGCTGTAGGCTACGCCAGGGAGGTCCTCGACCTTGAGGGGGCCGAGAATGTCTAAGACCTCCTCCGGCCGGACCTGATACTGGCCGGCAGGTTTCGCCTTTCGCAGGGCGATCTTGGCGAGCAGTATATTGCCGCCGATTCCGACTGAAACATGGCAGTCTGTCTTCTCTTTGATTTCCGCCCGGAGATTGGTTGCGATTTCATCGGCCTTCTCCTGTTCCCTCCAGACGCTGCCTTCGCTAAGGCCCACCCCTTTGGAACCTGCAGCAGAGAGTATGATATCGGTGATGTCGACAAGAGCCTCATCGATACTGACACTCTGAACGACACCTCCAACGCCGAGGATGGCATCATAGAACAGCCGGCTCGCTTCCTCGTAGGCCGGGAAGTCGTACGGCACTACCTTGATATCCGGGCAGAGTTCCTGAGCACGCTTCATCCACATGCCATTCTTGACACCGAACTTTCGGGCGGGGGTAGTTGCAAGAGGCGATCTCAGACCCGCTGCCGGGGCTGTGAGCAACCACGACCGGCTTATCCCGATAGTCGGGGGCGTGCTGATTAATGGAAACGGCGCAGAAGAAGCTGTCAAAGTCGACATGCATAATGTATCGACGGGAGCCGCTTTTGCGCTTAGCTGGTTTGATCACTGGCCCCCTTTCCGCAGTCATACTCATCAGACGCGACTTCAGTTCAGCTTTCCAGGTAGATAAATGGTGTAGGCGGCTCTCAGAGTAGTACTGCTTCAGGAAGTCAGGGTTTGCGGTGGATGATTTCCGAATCTTGGGATCCTGAAGAAGCAAGGCATTGTGCTCTTCTGAAGTCATCGGTTTCCCGGGAGGTTGTTGTTGCGGCGAATTTGGTGCATTATTAGGGTCAAGACGCTTGACCTCATCAGGTTTCTCCTCCGGGTACGGCTGCGGGTGCTTATTCGGCGACGGGACATTGGGTTGGGTCCCTTTTTCTTGCTTTGGGGCTACCGAAGCCTCGAAGAGCATATCCACGTCCACGTCGTCGAAGTCGTCGATGGACTCGAGGGCGGCTGGGGCAGGCTTCCTTGCAGACGTGGGCTGGAACGGGCTGCTGGAAGCTTGGGACGGGAGACGGTCTGCCGACTTTGAAAACTGGCTGTTATAGAAGCTGTCCTGAGTCTGCTCGCGGTAGCCCAGGGGGGACTGCTGGGTCGCTTGACTGAGCATCTTCCCTTGGTCAAATTTGATTGTCTTCTGCCTCGGACCATCATCGATGACGCGGTAGTCTGACCAGGGGAGCAGTTTCCCAGCCTTGATCGAGTCCATCACCCAGGCGGGCTTGACGACGCGATAGTTACTAAATTCGGCCTTCTTCTTCGGTGGCATGGCTGAAGCGATGATGTGGGTGGCCATGGTCTTGGAGTCCAAGTACTGCAGAAAGGCGGCGCCATGCTGGACAAGTTCCTTGTGGAGGCTGCTCAGGGGTTAGCGGCTGAAGGGGGTCCAGGGGTTCAAGAACATGACCGGCGCTCATTACTTACACCTGTAGCGGAGGTTGGGTATAACCGGAGACATGAGCCACTATCCCCTTGAATATTTGGGGTTTATCTCCACGAGCTTCGCGCAGTTCAACGTCGAGGTTCTGCAACTTCAGCTTCTTCCTCCTGAAATAATCGCCAAAGCCCCCAAACTCGCTCTCCCCGTACTCCTCGCCTTCTTCGTCGTTGAACTCATGGCTAGCGATGCGTTTCCGCGAAGCCTCCGAGCCCTTTTCCAAACGGCTGCCCATGAAATGCGATTGAGAAATGCGAAAGCGAAAAAGACAATGACATCATCGGGCGAGTGTGAAAATTAGTGTTTTTCGGACTTGGTGTTTCACGCCTTCATGGAGGGGCGGCATGAAGTCGACATTAGAACATAACAAGATGGCGTTGTGAGAGTTGCCATATTTTTCCAAAAAGAAGTCGTGTGTGCCTAAACATCTGACGCCTTTTCGGTGGCAACTCGTAGCTGCGATTAGTGTCCGACGTGCCGAGAAGCGCGCCCTTTGGCAACGCGGTGTCACATGATAACTAATGACATCTCCGTTCACCTCGATTGATAAGGGTTAGGGTTGAAGATGGAACATTTGGGACTTGCTTTCTTCCAGGTCTGGACCGAGCTCTCTCTTGATCCTCTCCCACTCACCGTCGCAATCATGAACAACGATCAATTTCGCAGGCTCCTGCTGGCCAACTCGGCCAAATCTAAAGCCGACAAAAATGGCGCCTCTCCGACCGACGCCCGCCCAGTCTCGAACACTCCCGCCGCACTCGGATCCAGGCTCAAGTCGAGCATTCCCATGACGCCGCGCTCCGTCGCCGGCGCTCGCGTGGACTTTGCCAAGCAGCTCGCAGAACGGAACCAGGCGCCAGAGAAGTCACAGAAAAAGTTCAGGTCTTTTGCGCCTAAGGGTAGCAGGTTCGCCGAGGGATACGTCGACCGCTCCAGGACAAGGGAAGAGGAGGAAGACGAACGGGCCGAAAGGCTCAAGGCTTTGGAAGAGTCGCTCAAGAAGGAAGAGATTGACCGCGAGACATACGACCGGCTACGGAGCGAGATCGCGGGTGGCGACCTGTCGAGTACGCATCTGGTGAAGGGGCTCGATTTCAAGTTGCTGGAGAGGATACGAAAGGGAGAGGATGTCTACAATGAAAAGGAGGAGTCACCCCAGGCGGAGAAGGAGGAGGGTGAAGAGGAGGAGCCACAAGACGAGCTAGGGGCGGACCCGGACGACTTTCTAGAGCAGTTGGAATCCACCGAAGTCAAGGCGATCGAGAAGGAGAAGGTACAAAAGAAGGGCCAGTTCGCCCCCACCACACTCAACCCGGGTCAAAAGAGGTCGCGGAACCAAATATTGGCTGAGATGAAAGCCGCGAGAGCGGCGGCGGCGAAAGCGAAGGAGGAATCAAGCTTGGGTTCCAAGTTCAAAAGAATCGGGGAGAAGAAGACACCCGGGACTAGGATAGAGAGGGACAGCAAAGGCCGCGAGGTCATGATCATCGTAGACGAAGACGGACACGAAAGGCGGAAAGTGAGGAAAGTGGACCTCAAGGCTGAGGAGGAGTTGGAGAAGGAACGGGAGCTCCTGGCCTCGAGCAAGGTGCTCGGCATGGAAGTGCCCGAGTTCTACAGGAAACAACTGGAGGCGCAACAGGCTGAGGAGGACGGCAAGGAGGTAAACATTTTCGACGATGCCGGTTCCGACTACGACCCGCTAGCCGGTTTAGAGGAATCAGACGGGTCTTCAGATGAAGAGGGTGAGACCAAGGACGAAGCGGAAGCGAAGGCATCAGCAGAGATGCCTCCGCCACCAAAACCGAACGCTCCAGCCGCGAGGAACTACTTCAAGGACTCCAAGACGGCGCTCACGTCAGAAGACAAGTATAAGACGCCGTCACTGGATGACCCGACTTTCATGGCAGCCCTCAAAAAGGCCAAGGCGGCCAGCGCCATGGAGAAGTCGGAAGAAGAGAAGAAGGCTGCCGAGAGGGAGGAGCGTCTCAAGAAGAAGCTGTTGGATTCAAACCGCGATGATGAAGACATGGACCTCGGCTTTGGCTCGAGCCGAGTGGAGGATGAAGCGGACTCCGAGGAGACCAAGGTCAAGTTATCGGCTTGGGGTGGGGGTGACGATGAAGAAGAAGGCGGTGGCGGTGGCGGCGGTAAGTCGCAGCGGAAGAGAGGTGGGAAGAAGCGAAAGGGGGACAAGAATAACTTTGAGGATGTTATGAAGGTGATGCAGAGGCAGAAAGGGGGTGGGTGATGGACTGACTGCCCCCGAGTCCAACAAATGCAAACATACCTAATGAGTTTGTGAGGATCTCTCCAGACAACCACTACAACCACTTCTCATAAATACCTAAATGCAAACAAATGAATGACCACAACATGCTAGGTATTTGGAGTTTGCCAAATGGGCTGTTTTGGTTCAACTTCCTAATCGGGCAACCAGCCAACCTTTGTTGCTCATGCGATCAAATCTCAGTGGAGCCAGAGTGAAACGCACTGCCTCTCCGCTTCCAACATTGCCGGGCGACACTTAGTCACCGGATCTTACTTCACTTGACTTGATACCAGATATTTTATCTTCGTTTTATTTATTTTGTCACCCATTCGTAACAGACAAATTCATAATAACTCACTCAGCCCAAGTTACCCACCTCTCCCGACCTTACTCACCAACAAACATACCCAATTCAAAATGGAAGATACACGGATCCCCGTTTGGCTGGACTGTGATCCCGGCCACGATGTAAGTAATTTCAACTCGTATCGGGGTGAAACCGTCTTCTTGCCTCTCTTGGTCCTCCGCAGAAGACCCGGGCCAAATATCAAATGAGATAGGCACCGGCCGGTCAGGTCCGGGGGGATGAACGCGGGGGCGGGGGAGGGGCAGAGATGTCTTTCTCACTGGGTCACCGAACACCATCACCCAACCTACCCCTGAATCACCTCAAAACAAACACTCACTAACTCACATCCCACCAGGACACCTTCGCCATCCTACTAGCAGCCTACCACCCAGCAATCCGCATCCTAGGCGTCTCAACCGTCTTCGGCAATGCCTCCCTCGAGTAACCCCCCCTTCTTCCCTTCTTCCCTTCCCCTTTCCCCTATCCATCTACCACCTAATTACTAACCCACCCCCCCCCCCCCCCCTCAGAAAAACAACCCGCAACGCCACCTCCATCCTCACCGCCATCGGCCAAGCCGACACCATCCCCGTCTACATCGGCGCCTCCCACGGCCTGACCCGCCCACCCCTCCACGCACCCACCAACATCCACGGCGAGACCGGCCTCGACGGCAGCGAGCTCCTCCCGGAACCCACCGTGCCCGCCCTCACCACCCCACCCGCCATCGACGCCGCCTACGCCGCCCTACGCTCTTGCCCCCCCAACACGGCCTGGGTCGTCGCGACGGGCGCCTTCACCAACGCCGCCGCGCTGTTCGCCAAGTACCCGGACCTGGTGGCCCACGTGCGCGGGCTGAGCCTGATGGGCGGCGCGCTGGGTGGGGGGTTCACGCCCGCCGTGCTGGGCGCCGTGGAGGGGGTGCCGCGCGTGGGCAACTGGACCCAGTTTGCCGAGTTTAATGTTTTGGCGGACCCCGAGGCGGCGGCGGCGATCTTTGGGGATAGGGTGTTGGCCGGGAAGACCACGCTGATTCCGTTGGATGTGAGTCATTTGGTGCTGACGACGGAGGGGGTGAGGGATTTGTTGCTGTATGGGCGGGAGGGGGTGGAGAAGGAAGGGGGGGTGAGGGATGGGAGGGGGATCACGGCGTTGAGGGTTATGCTGGTGGATTTGTTGATGTTCTTTGCTGGGACGTATAGGTGAGTGCTGTTGTGTTTGGGGGTTATCTATCTCACAGATGTGGATGGTGAATGGCTGACCGTGGGACAGCAACGTCTTCGGTATCACCGAGGGCCCGCCGCTGCACGACCCCCTGGCCGTGGCGGCCGTCCTAACGGGTGTTGGCGACCAGCACGAGATCCCCTTCTGCGACTATGACCCGGCTGGCGAGCCTGGGCTGACGCAGAGGGAGCGGTTCGAGGTGACGGTTGTCACCGAGGGCACCTACGAAGACGCCGACGCCGGCGCCAAGACGGGCCAGATCACCGCCAGACTGCTTCCGCCGGGCGAGGAGGGTGTCAGAATCCCGCGCAGCTTGGATGTTCCGCTGTTCTGGAAGGTTTTGGAGGAATGTGTCTCGAGGGCGGATGCTGCTAACGCCGCTGCTGCCGCTGCTTCTGGGCCGCTGGTCAACTAAGGTGGGGATGAAGACACATGGAAAAGATCGTATTAAGAACGGATAGATTGGTTAGTTTCCGGCTAGATTTGACACCTTTTGTCCTGGCGCTGGCATCAGAAAAGTCAGAGAAAATAGAACCCAATGCGATGACCGGAGAGACTGGCATCAACAAGTGAACTCGGATTCGAACGTTGGGAGTGTGCTCGACTTGATACCCATCACCTCGAACCACATTACGCCCCAGCATCTAGTCCGTATGATCCTTCTATATTGATAACGACCGCCAGTCCCAGACCGCACCAACACCAGCTAAATTCAGAGCGACTAACACAGCGGCCACAGAACATGATGATACAGATAAAGCCCGCCCAAATGTCCCTGCCGGCGCCCAACGCCCGCCTATATCACAAACCTGCCCACGCCATACATACAATAGAGACCACCCACCAAATCCCTCCCTTCAAGCCGAGCCGTCATCGGGCAGCTCCTCCACGACCTGCTCCACAATCGCAATCAACTCATCGATGTCCGGCCGCTCAGCCGGCTCCACCTTCAAACACCCCCTAACCACCTCCCGGATCGGCTCGCTAATCGTCTCGTCCTCCGCCGCCGCGGCCGCCGCCGCCGCAGGGCCCTTCCCCTTAGACTTGGGCTTGCCACCGGGGCCCTCGTCGGGAAAGCGCCAGTCGCCCGACAGGACGCAGATGCTGAGGGAGCCGCCGGTCTCGTCGCTGCGCATCTCGAAGGGCGACTTGCCGACGAGGCAGGCGTACAGGGTGCAGCCGAGCGACCAGATGTCGACCTTGGTGTCGACGACGGTGCCCGTCTTGACGTCGAACAGCTCCGGCGCCCGGTACGGCATCGTGCTGTGCTCGGCCGCCGTGTCCTGGGTCGCGATCGCCAGCGACCGGCTGGTGATGGGGAGCGGGGATACCGCGACGGAGCCCAGGTCCATTATGATGGGCTCCGTGCCGGAGTCGGATATCATGATGTTGGCTGGCATCCCTGTTAGCATATCGTTTATACATGGCGGCAGACACTCGAGCGGGTAGGTGGAGGGTGGGGCATACCCGGCTTGATATCGCGATGGGCATAACTCCTCGTCGCCCCCGGCGCGGCAGCCGGCATCCTCTCGTCCTCGGTCAGCAACGACCGTTGCTGTTCCGTCTCGTCCTCGTCATCCGCCGCCCTTGTCCCCTTGGCCCTGATATGCTCATCCACCCCATCCGCCCTCATCTCCATCCGCTCCCTCGCCGGCCCACCCCCACCACCACCCACCTCCCCACCACCCCGGTACAGATGCATATCCCTCATCGCCCTACACACGCCCAAAAACAGCAACATCAGCCGCTTCTCGGGAAACCGCGTATGATTAACCAGGTTGGCGTTGATCAAATCCTGCAGGTTGCCGCGGCGGTAGTAGGGCAGCAGGACGTAGACGGTCTTGGACTCGTCGCCGCCGCCGCGCTCGGTGGCGATGGAGTAGTCGACGCTGTGGATGACGCCCGGGCTGTGGGCGAACAGCTTGTAGGCCTCGACCTCCTTCATCGCCTGCGCGACCGACTCGGCCCCGAACGGGCACCGGATCTTCTTGAGCGCGAAGAGCTCCGAGGTGGATGTGTCCTGCACCAGGTAGACGTACGAGAAGCCGCCCTGTGAGGGGGGGTGGTTGCGGTTAGAGGGGGAAATGGTAGGTAGGGTCTAGCTGGGCTAGCTAGGTGGGTAGATGGTTTTGGGGGGGGGTTGGCGCACCTCGCCTAGCAGGCGCAGGATCTTGAAGCTGCGGCTGTTGATTTTGAGCGTTGGCGAGCTCGGGAAGCAGTTGAGACAGCTCCCGAAGGAGGAAATGAGGTCGAAGAAGACTTGCGCCATGGCGGGCTGTGTCGCGGTGCGCTCGAGCTTGGGGGGTTTAGTGGTGGGTTACGCTGCTAGGTAACTGTTCGCATTGATGGGTCGGGTCTCTCTGTCTTGCGTCGGGTATTCTTCGTCGTTTCAGGTTCGGCGGCAGGTCGTTTTCTCGCCAAAGAAACCGCTCGTTAGCCCCGTATCCGCAATGGAATTGGAATTGCAAGTGGTTGTCGGACAGATCGATTCCTGCTGACAAGCTGTCAGGATGTTTTCTCCAGAGATGGATTCCAGGTTGCGCTGGCCAGGATCTCAGCCGCCAAGGTGCGCTGCTGTGCAACGGAACGGCAGCGCCGGGGTGGGTCCGCGATTCGGCCGCATGCAGCGGGCTCTCCGCCATAGCCGACGGCCAGCGGGTCCAGTGGGTTCCCCGCTAAATTTGGAGTTTCAATGTTGATATCCGACTGAGCTCCCCGGCAACCAAAGAGGGGTTCAACGTTCAACAGGGACACGGCCGAGAGCGCGGAAAGAACGGGATGGATGAGAATACATTGAAGATATGGGTAGGTATGGATGGGTATTTTATCAACTATGAACCACAGTATTCTAGGGTATGGATGATTTCATCTAGTTAGTATTTTACAGTCTTCCACACAATACTTCGTACCTCGACGGCTGTATCTCAACACTGTCAACACCATGTTTACACAAAACCGCGACAGGCCGCTCGCTGTCAACATCCTCTACCAAGAACAACACCCAACGCAGAAGAAAAAGCATTCAATTACAAAGCCCTACTAAACACAACAATACCCGTAACCCCAGAAACCAGACCTTAATCTACCCCTCCCATTGATCTTTGCGATGGATGAAGAAGGGAAGCTCTCATCAGCCTTCGTAGAACACACACATACATAACCCCGTCTCAGGTAAAACCACGCCGCCGCTAAGCTACCCAAGAACACCGACAACGTGACCAACTACGCTTTAGAAGGCGTCCTCAAAGGGACAGTCCACGCTATCGTGCCCGTCGCGCTCGCACAGCGCACACCACTTGCTGGCATCCACCACGCCGCTATCCTTGCCGGCCACGGGGCCCGACTCCATCGGGTTGGGGATGGTCCTCGCGCCAGGGGAGGTAGCAGAACCAGCTGACGGCGCCGGCGCCGGAGCCGGAGCGGGGCCCGAGGCTGCTGCAAAGGTCGGGGCGGTCGCGGTGGTCGGGGTAGGGTCGGGAGAGGTGATGGGGAGGGTAGGCTTGGACGACTTGAGGGGGGATAGCGGGGCGGGCCTGGTGATGCCCGCTTCGTGGTATTCGCTCTCGCTCTCCTCGATGGTCTGGGTGCGGGTGGCGCTGGCGTCGTTGTTGTCGCTGCTGTCGTCCCGCTGGTGTTGGTCCGGTCCGAAGACGTTGGTGCACGTCAGGATGTCGTGGCCCGAGGTCTCGCAGATCTCGCACCAGAGCGTGCTGTTCTCCGTGGCCGTGCTGTAGGTGTCGCTCTCGGGCATGGTGTCGAGCGTGGTGCCGCGGTTGTGCTTGAGCGGGGCTAGGCCCATGTGCTGCTGGGGCTCGGGGCTGCCGATGCTGGGCGGTGCGATGACGGTCGCGCGCGAGTCACGGATGGAGCTGCGGTCGTTTGCAGTGCTCCCGATAGTCATGGCGCTCGAGCGGTGCCCGGCCGGCCCGACGGCCGTCATGACGCTGCCTCTGCGCAGTGACTCCAGCTCGCGCTCGAGGTCCTCCTCTCGAGAGTTCTTGCTCTCAACTAGGGCGCGGAGCTCGGCGACTTCACGGTCGAGCTTTTCACGGGTGAGGCGGTCTTCGATCGACTCACCCTGGTAGGCGCGGATGGACTGACGCTGAGTGGGAGTCCTATCCGAGTTGTCGTTGGGGACCGAGTCTCGGCTCAGCGAGTGAATGATGGCTTTCAGACCCCTGATTTCGTCCTCCTTCTGTTCTAGCTCCTTGGACATAGATCCGCTGTTCGCGGCGCCGTTAGCGCCGTTCACAGGTTGAGCCTTTTCCCGTTCTCGGCGCAGCTCGGTGCGCGTCCGTTCTACTTCCCCACGGAGGAACTCGACCTCGCCCCGTGCCTCGGCCTCGCCTCTCCTAGCGTCTTCGAGGCCTTCTTCCAGCTCCTGCACGAGCTCCTCCAGCTGTTTCAACTGTGCCGCGACGGTGTCGACGTCGGCGGTCCTATCTTGGAGCTCCTGGATCTCTTGCATCAACTCCTCGATCCTCTTCTCGTAAACCCTCTCCGTCTCTGAGCTTGCCATCTCTAGGGTGTCGATCGTGCTACGGAAATCGGCCCGGTGGGCGTCAAACTCGGCCGTGAGCATGGCAATCTTATCGTTCTTCTCTCTCACCAAAGCCCGAAGTTGCCCGGAGTCCTTGTCGTCGATGCTGTTCCGTCGCTGTCCCAGTTGCGCTTCCGAGTTTTCGATTAGCCCCTGGAGCTCTGTCAAGCTTGTCTCCATCTCGGCCAGCGTCGAGGCCTGCTCTTTGAGTTGCTGATCCCGGTTCTCCAGCTGTAATCTGAGTCTCTCCAGCTCTTCGTCGTTGGCATGGTTGCCAGCCCGTGACATCGCCCTCGACGCCGGCCGCACCTTCAGCGAGAAGGACGAGACCGAACCCATACTACCGTTCGTCTGGGTCCTCTGTATGCCAATCGGTGTCGTGTCATCGTCGGTATAATGCGGGTTCGAGGTGGTCCCAAGGACCGAGACACTACGCGGCCCCACCCCTACACTCGCTTTCCGCATATGCCCCGCCGGCATCCGTTTGCTAGGGTCACCAGCAGTGCCGCGAACGCTCTGGGCAAACTTGTTGCCCGAAACTGGGCTACCAAACCTGGGCGGTCCGGTTTTCGGTGCTGGCGTGGCGATGGATGGGCGGGGTCCTGGTGTCATAAGCCTCCTTACGGGTGACTCTGGACGCGGTAACGACGGACGCGTCTTTTTCCCCAGCGGGCTCGAGGCGCGGCCGGGGCCGACGGACTGGCTGAACTTGGGCACGCCGCCCGGGGTCGGTGGTGTGAAGTTGATGGAGTTTTGGTTCGCGACTTTTAAACCGCCGCTTGCTGGTGTGATTGGGAACGAGTTGCCGGCCACGGCGGGCGACTCGTGCTTGACCGCCTTGGATAGAGGGAGGAATATGCCGGCGCCCGGTTGCTCTGTCGTGAAGTAGTAAACGCTGTATGAAGGGGTAACCCGGTCAGTGTCATGGCCAAGCTTTTTGCATGTGTCGCCAGCTATCAGCTATGCGACGCGGGACGCGGGCAGGCACCAAGAACAAAGAACCACTTACCCGTCGACATCACCGCTGTTCTTCCCCCTGGTCGCATGGTCGGGGTGCAGCTCGACGCCGGCGAAGTTGCCCTTGCGCCCAGCGACGGATCCAATAAACCGGACGGTGCCCGTCATGTTCCCTGGGACGTCGACCGTGTCACCGATGGTAACCTCGTCGCCGCCGCCGAAGCGGCCCGGGGTGTGTGGCATGGGGGGCATGGTGTCGCTGGTCAGGTCCGAGTTGTATGCGTTGTATGCGTAGCCTTCAGAGTCATCGGGGATGGAGGCCAACGAGTTCTGCGTCAGCGCAGCGACCGACCCCTTGCGCGAAAGCGCCGGGGGCAATAAACGTGAGGGCTGCGACGTATACAGTTGGTTCAGGTTCGGGGTTGATGCCGTCGCTATGCCGCTGCGGCCAGGTCGTCGCGACAAAGTATGTCTGGTGGTGGTGTTGTAGGTTGATGTTGTTGTGGTGAAGGACATCTTGGCTGGAGGGAAGCAAGTGGCGGCAACGGCGACCGACTTTCGTTTGACTTGTTTACACCCCACTGCTGCCCAGTATTTTGGGGACCAACGCCCGGTGACCCGCTGAAGAGGGGGCACGGACACCCACACCAATGCACTAACACAGGCAACAAGCTCGGGCTGCTGGAGGTGCGGTTCAGCAATGATGATAGAGAGTCTAACAAAAGTAAAAGAAACACTTTGTACAAAATGGGTTGCAGCTCGCTTTTGCTCTCCCGCCGCTTTCAAATCTGCTCCATTCATCTCGTGATCAATCACTTCGGCCGAGAAATACAGGTCGGGGAAATTAAAGCCAACGATCAACCTATCGTTTAAGGTCCTTGTTGCGCATGTATGCACAGTTAGTTACAGATTATTCTTGGCCTTTCCTTTAGCTATTTCAATGCGTTTTCCTTAAATTATCTTTATCCGCATCCATTCAGTGATGCTTCAACTAGTTATTACGTCCCTTTGGTCATCTCTCTTCATATATTCATCTTTCTTTACCCTGATATCGGCAGCGGGAAGAAGAAAGTTGCCCGCAACGCGATAATGGGATCGGCGGGGTGATTGGTTCCTCTCGGCCCAACAAAACGGCGAACCGGCAAAGCAAAAGGGGTAAACGAATGCAAGGCCTGCAGAGGGAGGTGCTCCTGCTCGAAACTTGTCATGTCCCCCAACGATGGTGAGCTCACCTAGGAGACTCGGGCCTCTGTATGATGTCTTCACTATTTAAAGGGCGGCTCCCATCGTTCAGAACCATAGCTTCGCGGTGCCGATGCCTCACACGCTGTTCCTCGGCCGTCGGCGCTTCCTGGAGAGATCGGATCAAGAGCCGCGCCTGCTCATCCTCGCGCAGATTTCTGATGTTGATGTTGTTAGGAAGTAAAACGCTGAATCGCTCGATCAGCGGGACGTTATCCTCTGGTTCGCTATCCGTAGGAGACGATGGTGGCAGGAGGCCGGTTCTCTCCAAAGCTTCCCGGCCAGCCTGCGATCCTCGGATTGAGGCGATGATGTCGTTGATACGGTTGCCTCTGCAGCGCATATACTGCGCAAAGTTCCGCTGGCGGTCCTCTTCCGTGGATCCCCAGTTCTGCTTGGCCAGCCATTTCTCGACGAATTTGGCCTTGACGAGTTTCTCGGCGTCGTAGGAGCCAAGCAGCTGGCTGATGAACATCAGACACAGCTTCTCCGTCATGTCACGCAAGGTGTACTCGTCCGTGTCCTCGTCGTCGAGCACTTCTTGCTCCGGGTCGAGGGACAACTCTAGGCACCTGACCAAGGCAGCGTACGCCTTCCACCTATGGAGCCGCTCAAGGCTTTCTTCTATGCAGTCAGTCTCGCATCAAAAATCGCCACCGGCCTGAAGGAGAATCATAACCTACGAGGGTCTGTGATGATGGCAAGCGCCCGCAGATTCTTCATGCGTTCATCATAGTCCTTGCGTGTGATGCCCCAGAGGAGCAGGTCGACAGTCTCCTGGTCATTAACCGCTCTGTCGCAAACGATCTTGGCCGATGTCTCGCGAATTGACTGGTTATAGTGACCAAGCAGCGTATCGAGCGTGCCGAGTTTCAGGGCGTCCTCTGTTTCTTGGGTGATGTACTGCGTCTTGGGCTGGGGCTGTTTGACTTCGGCTTCGTCTCGCCACTTCCTAAGGAGAACACGCACGCCCAAGAGCCATCCCACTGCATTGATGACTAGATATCCGAATAGCACTCGATCATCCCGGATGAGCCTGCCTAACAATCCCATGGCGCGCAGGTGATTTGCGGCCATGACGGTACTGTTGGGTGGTTAATTACTGTGGTGGTGAGTTGCCTCTGACGAAAGCGAGTGGGTGTGAATGAATGCCCCACAGCGGGAGCTTTTACTCTGCCGGTGATGCGCTCGGTGGTTGCAGCGCAGTCAACGCTGAACCCGCACGTGCCGCTGCTCGTGTAACTCTGTATGTACCTGCTCGTAATTCCTGCCAAATGCCACCGCCAAAATTACTAGTCCCACTGCAGGTGGGGCAGTAAAGATAAGATAGCAAAGCAGCATGTCGCCCAAAAATCTCAAAATCTCGGAGCATCGAAGATAGAGAAAAGCTCACACTGCGACAAACCCGAGCCACAGAAAGCGCCAAATTGCTCCATAAGATGGCCGGGTCACAATTGAAGAGGCTAAAAGCCTCTCTCAAAGACCAAGGAATTATTGGTCCCCAGCAGTCCAAGAAACAGAAGCGCAAGAATGCCGAGGAACAGAAGGCGAGACCCGACAAGCGCCTACAGCGAGGGGAGGCCCTAGCCAGCATCCGCGAGCAGTTCAACCCCTTTCAGTTCAAGACGAACGCCCGGGGACCCAAGTTTGAGGTCACCACCAACAAGCCGGCCAATGACAAGGCGACCATGAGCATCAAGGGGCGGCCGGGGTTGGCAAAGGCAGTGGGCGAGGAACGGGTATGTCCAATGCGGAGTAGGACGTGGGAAGGGGATGTTACAACATGTTACTAACTATATCGTCAGCGGCGGCAAACCCTTCTTGTCGAGATGCAACGGCGCAACAAGGTCGGCGGGCTTATCGACAGGCGCTTTGGCGAGGATGATCCGAATATGTCACTTGAGGACAAGATGATGGAAAGATTCACCCGAGAACAGCAACGAAATCACAAGAAGAGCTCCATGTTCGATCTTGAAGAGGACGACGAACCGATGGGAGGATTGACCCATATGGGCAGGCCCCTATTTGACGACGACGAGGAGGTCCAGGCACCTGTGAAGGATGACTTCGATGAGGAGGATCTACCGTCGGGCGATGAATCCGACAACTCCCGCGCCGAAAGACGGATGTTGAAACGCCAACGCCGAGCGGAAGCTGCGGGTGAGCAGGAGGAGGAGGATGACGAGGACGACGATCAGCCTGAACGGAAAAAGACGAAAAAGGAGATATACGAGGAAGTCATTGCCAAATCAAAACTGCACAGATACGTAGGTCTTACTATGCTCACGTGGCAATGCCCACCGTACTCACATTCCACAGGAACGACAAGCCGCCAAAGACGAGGACACCGAGCTCAGAGCCGAACTCGACCAAACCATGCCTGAGATCCAGGCACTTCTCTTCCAGAGACAAAAGCCGCCGGCAAAGGATGGCCCCTCCATGGCCATTGCCGGGAAGGACAAAACAGCCCTTGATAAGGATTACGATCTTCGGATAAGACTGCTCGCGGCCGATAAACGAGCACAGCCAGCTGAGAGGACGAAGACGGAGGAGGAAACTGCAGAAGAGGAGTCGAAGCGACTCAAGGAACTCGAGGAGCGCCGGCTTAGGCGTATGCGTGGAGAGGTGGTTTCGGACGACGAGGAGGACGAGGAGGGCAAGGGCAGAAAAGGGAAAGCGAATGCGGACGACGACGACGACGCGTTCGATGCCGAAGAGAATGACGAATATGGCCTGGGTACGGGCGTCAGATACCGGCCGACTGCCGCCGAACTGGGATTCGACGACGAAGACGACTTCCTGATTGACGACGATCTCGTTGCCAGTGGGTCCGAATTAGAGATTGAAAGCGATATGGAAGGGGAGGAGAGCGATGATGAGGATGCTGGGTCAGAATCTGCTTCTGACGACGACGAATTTGTTAAGGGGATCTTGACAGAAGCTGTCACAAAAGATCCGGTCTTTCAAATATCCGGCAACGCCAAGGGAGACGACGAGGACGGCATTCCCTACACGTTCCCCTGCCCACAAACCCACGACGAAATGCTCCAGGCTTTCGACGGTATCGAAGTCTCGAAACTCCCAGTAGCTGTCCAGCGGATCCGGGCTCTCTACCACCCCAAGCTGGATAGCAAAAACAAAGAGAGGCTGGGCAAATTCTCGCAAGTCCTCATACAACATGTCGGGTACCTGGGCGATCATTTTGAGCCGCAATGGTTTCCTGCATTGGAAAGCCTGAGCCGGCACATCCATTCGCTCGCGAAGTCCTTCCCTATCGAGGTGGCCAAGGCATATCGCGCACACATCCAGGAGATCGAGCAAGAACGACCTCTGGCTCTCACCGTTGGGGACCTTGTCCTTCTGACTGCGGTCGGCACAACCTTCCCAACGTCGGACCATTTCCACCAAGTGGTCACTCCCGCGATGTTAGCCATTGCTCGCTACCTGGGGCAAAAGATGCCTCAGGCGCTCTCAGACTACGCGACTGGAACCTATCTCTCAATCCTCGCACTCCAGTATCAGCAGTTCTCAAAGCGCTATGTGCCGGAACTGATGAATTTCTGCCTCAACACTCTCTGCTCTCTCGCCCACGAGAAGCCACCACAAAGCTTGGGCTTCTTCCCAGTTCACGAACCGGCAGCGGGGACCCGGATTAAGGGCGCCAGCAAAACCGCCATCCGGCAACTCAACTGCGGTGACTGCCAGCCAAAGCAGTCCCTCTCCACCGCCGAAGAAGCCTCACTCAAAGTAGCCATCCTCAGCACCACCACAGCGATCCTCAAAGCCGCAGCAGAGACGTGGCACAAACTCCCCGCCTTCCACGAGACCTTCCACCCGGCCTCCCTCATCCTCCAACACCTGACCTCCAAGCCCAACAGCACGCACCTCCCCCGCGCCCTAACCAGCAAGCTAACCGACGCAACCGCGACCATCGCCCGGCTCCTGCAGCTCGCGCGCCTCTCGCGGCGCCCGCTCGAGCTGCACCACCACCGGCCCCTCGCGATCCGCACGTACGTGCCCAAGTTCGAGGACTCGTTCGACCCCGGAAAGCACTACGACCCGGACCGGGAGCGGGCCGAGCTGGCCAAGCTGCGGGCGGAGCACAAGCGGGAGCGCAAGGGCGCGCTGCGCGAGCTGCGCAAGGACGCCGCCTTCGTGCAGCGCGAGAACCTGCGCGTCAAGAAGGAGCGCGACGCCGCCTACGAGAAGAAGTACAAGCGCCTCGTCGCCGAGATCCAGGGGGAGGAGGGCAAGGCGGCCAACGAGTATGCGCGCGAGAAGGAGGCGAGGAAGCGGAAGGCTGCGAGGGCGAGGTAGAGAGTTGTGTATGTGTTTGTGTAGGCGTCTGTTATGTGTTGTGGGTGGTGTTTGGTGGGATTGGTGGTCTGTGTTGTATATATATATATGTATATACATGCAGCAACATTTGTTGCAAGGCTTTGGAAATGTGCTCTGGTGGTTTGTTGCAATACCAGAGTCGGCAATTCATATGTCACTCACGTCCCTGGTTTCGTAACGCCATTTAATATTTCTGATAAACACATCAATGAACTCCTCGTTACCTACCATGACCCCCTAGTTCCGATAGATATCCATCCGCACAATACACACAACACATCAAACCCGATAACTTAACAACCCTCTACGCCAACTGCAACTTGTAACTAGCAACCTCAAACGGCCTCAAGTCCACTGCGAACTTACCTCCCTCAAAGGCCACCTCCTCCAGCTCGTCTTCCAGAAGGTTGACCTTGTACACCCGCTTCACATCCCACGTCGTGACCACGGTGCCGCGCGCCCTGCCGCCCAGGCTATCGTACAGCCGCACAATGACACTCCGCCCCTCCTTGACGGGCAGTTCCCCGCGCGACACATCCTCGTCGTCCTCCCCGCGCTTGACTGTGTCGAGCACCAACGCCTTGCTCGAGTCCGAGGCGAGATACACGGGCGGCTCCGAGAAGGCAGCCAGCGCGGCCGCGGGAGAGGGAGCAGAGAGGAGTTTGAGCGGGCTGTTGAACTCGGCAGCCCTTCGCACGGTGACGTGCGACAGGGCGCCTTGATGCGGCAAAATGGCCCAGCGGATGTGGTGGGTGCCCATGTCGGCGTCGGCGTCGGGGGCTTTGGCGCTACGCAGCAGCGAAAGGCGCATGACGTTACCGGCCGTGGCGAAGCCGTACTTGGAGTCGTTGAGGATGGATACGCCGTAGCCGTGCTCCGACAGGTCAGCGAAGCGGTGCGAGCAGACTTCGAACTTGGCCATATCCCAAGAGGTGTTGTAGTGGGTCGGGCGGCGGACAACGCCGAACTGCGTCTCGTACGAGGCTTCGGTGTTGCGGATGTCGACGGGGAATTCGACCTTCAGGAATTTCATGGTTTCGTGCCACTCGACGGTGCTGCTAACTTCGATATGGGATTGCTGACCCGGAATGGCGGCAGCGAGTGTGAGAATTGTCTTGATAGACGACTTGTCGCTGATCTTGGTCTGGGTAACAAGGCTAACACGGTGCTTCTTCTGTTCGTGGATCTTGGTCTCGCCTGAACTGAGGGGCTTGCGGGTTTCGAGGTGGTAGACTTCAACGTCCCAGGCCTGCCAGTACAGAGGCTTGTCGTCGAAAATGATGTACTGGTTGGCCTTTTGCCCCTTCGGGATGACTTCGCGCTCAGCGAGCCTATCATAGAGCGACGTGATCACGCCGGCTTCCACCCTGGCCCTGAGTTGATCACTCTCGAGGACAAAGACGTCTGGAGACACTTCCTTGACAGAGACGAGAGCACCGTCTTGGTTCGTCTTGAGAGTCCGCAGCTTCATCAATGGGCCGTTTCCGCAAGCAACAGCAGCATCGTCTTCCGATATGTCGACGATTTCCTTGCGGTGCCACGGCAGGGTGTTCAAAGCCATGCCGTCCGCGACGGTTGTGGTCGGGACTTGGGATACACCAAGGACCTTTGAAATATCCTTCAGGACGCTCTCAGCAGTCTTGAAAACTTCGGCATACATCTACACACTGTAAGCATTTATCCTGTTCATTTCTCGTCCGCAACTCACTTCGTCAGACTCTCGGTAGGCCATCGCGATAGAGCTACCTGGGAGGCAGTCATGGAACTGGCAGAGAAGTACCGACTCCCACATGGCATCGATCTCCTTCTTCGGATACTTGTATGACTTATCTTTGATTGACGCAATCGTAGCCAGCAATTCCAAGTCTCGAAGGACGATCTCGGACTTGCGGTTGTCACGCTTGTTGTTTGACTGAGTCGTGTATGTACCACGGTGCAGCTCGAAATATAGCTCGCCATACCATGTCACAAAGGAGTCGGCTTTTCGTTCAAGCTTGTCGAAGAAGTCGTCGACTGAGTTGCCCAAGTGAACACGAGGCAGGAGGCCGACGTTGTCGCTGACACCACGGCACCGGCGAAGCTTCTCGAGGTGCTGCCAGGTAGGGCCGCCGCCTCCATCGCCCTTGCCAAAGACAAGCAACGATGTGGGGTCCTGGTCGAGGGACTTGTGCTGCGACATGCTGCGTTTGACATCGCCGAAGTGGGCTTCGGCGGTATATGTCTCGGCGGGGGGCATGTGGCACATTACCTGGGAACCATCCAGGGCAACCCAGTTGAAGGTGGTATGGGGAAAGCGGTTGATATTGTTCCAGCTGAGCTTCTGCGTGAGGAAGCGCGTCATGCCTGACAGGCGGCAAAGCTGGGGTAGCTGGCTCGAGTAACCGAAAGTGTCCGGGAGCCAAAAGGTTTGGGAGCGGCTTCCAAAGTTGCTCTCAAAGAAGCGCTGGCCGTACAAGAACTGGCGGACAAGCGACTCACCGCTCGGCATGTTGGTATCGTGCTCAACCCAGCTGCCTCCGATAGGGTGGAAGCGGCCCTCCGCAACCTTCTTCTTGACGCGGTCAAAGACAGAGGGGTACAGCTGCTTAAGCCATTTGTACTGTTGAGCCTGAGAGCAGGCAAAGTTGAGCTCGGGATAACGGTCCATCAAGTCGCACTGGTTGGACCACGACCTAGCAACCTTCCGCTTCGTTTCGGCAAAAGGCCATAACCAGCAGCTGTCGATGTGGCAGTGCCCAATGCCATAGACGACCGGCTCTTTGCCACTATCATAAACCTTGGCCGAGTTGACGTTGGACCCCAGATAGTCCTCGGCAATGGTGCGGCAGATCTTCAACGACTCTCTATTGCCAATTTCAAAGGTATCAATGATCTCGTTGCAAGTCTTGAGTGCCTTGTGCTGCTCCCAGGAGTCTTCGGGGAACTCTCTCGCGGCATCGCCGATGACCCAGATGTCGATGTAAAGTTGGCGAGCATCCGGGTCGACAGCCACGATTTCAGCTTGATTAAGCCGGAAATACTTGTTGGGATCTGGCGGCTGGATGGAATCCCCGCCAGGAGCGTTCCCAAACATGCCGTTACAGGCCATTTCGATGTAGATGGTGTGCTCCTTTCCATCGCGGAACGAGTCCGGCAGGATCCATTCCACGCGCTCACCACCGCCTGTGAGGCCTTGAAGCGGGTGGCCGCTCTCATTCCAAATCAGGCCTTCATTGTTCGCATCCCAATGAAGCTCGAGAAGCCGCTTGTCCTGAAGCTCTTTGGGAACTTTCAGGATGACTCTGAACCAATGGGTCGTCCAAGCCGGACCAAACGATTCTCCCACGGTGGTCTTTTTGAACTCTTGGGACGTGGCGTTCTTAAAGGTAGGCCGGGTTTGGTCCGGGGCGTGCCAAACCGAGAGTTGGACGTTGGGCTCGCCGGAGACGACGCCCTCGTTCATCATGGCGCGGAGATTCTGGTGCTCATATTGGCCGCCCGCGTAGAACTGGCCGATTCGTTCCTTGTAGATCTTGGATATCATCTGGCCCACGGGCTTTGGGGCGCGGAGGGGATAGTCGCTCCGGGGGCCCTTCTGGACTCGTGTCTCGCCACCCATTGTGTTGATGCCAGGGTAGTAAACTTGGGAGGCAGTGAGGGATGGAGATGAGATAATGGAGAAGAACAGCGGTGAGATTTGAAGCAGTGAAAGACGAAGGGAAAGGTGGGATTTGAGATGGGAAACGGCTGTGCCTTTGCTGCCTTAGACGCTGAGGAGTCAACTCCTCCAAGCGGCTTTAAATACAGAAATTCCTTGAGGAAGAAAGTGAGTTGTTGAGTGTGTGTGCCCAGGTGCCGGGAAGGAGTGAAACAGTATAAATGAGGACCGGTAACACAGAGAAGGCAGGTGGTTGGTTGCCGGATGCAGCTGGACCCTCCCGTCGTGGTCACGGCCTTGGGGCTGCGACTGCCCTGCCAGGGTGTCTTGACAGGGGTTCTGAGCCTGGCCGGGTTCCCCGCAATCCCCGACGGAAGGCGCCCGGCCAATCAGGGGAGCTTATGTCGAGGGAAGTGGCAGCTGTGCCAGCTCACTCATCGAAAGTCTCAGACTCTCAGACGAACTTCACCGTGGGCCTCAAGCATCTGACTTGAAGCTTTGTGCCTAATGTCTTCACGATACAATTGGGATACGACGTTGGACACGAACAGACAGAGTAGTAATATAGAAAAACATGTTTTGCCGCGAACCCGAGTTCGCCGACCGTGGTTGTGAGACCGGGGCGGTTACTTTATCTGGACATGTGCCTGCTCAACATGCTTCTTCGGGTTACACATCGAGTCAGGTTTGGATGATCATTCGAACAAGAGTATTTAATATATTTATTTTGGGGAGAGTGTTTTGTCTGGGAGCACTCTTTTGGCTCATCCACCAGACTCGCCATCCAACGTATTTCGTCATAGAATTAAGGTGTGAGAGGGTGTTTGCAGCGTGCCTTGATCGCCATCTTCAACTAGGCCGCATCTTTGAGAGGAGAGACCGGCTCTCCCTGTCCAGCCCCGTGCCCCTGGCCTTTAGACTCATTCTTGACAACCTTTCCCCCGTCCACTTCGCCCCCCTCCCCATCCTCTTGGTAGTCTTCCTCGTAGTCCGCCTCTTCACCATACCCCTCCTCTTCATCCTCGTAGCCCATAAACTCGTCTTCCTCCTCCTCACTCTCGCTGTCGCTATCACTCTCATCAAACGACAGCGCCCCCAATAACGGCACCTCGGTCCCCGCCAAGTGGTTCTTGATGATATTCCCCGTCACCTCAAGCAGGTGCGCATCCTTATCAACGGGCACCTCCCGATCCATATCAAAATCCACCTCCTCCTTATCCACCGGCAGCTGCCTCCCCAAACCATCACCACCACCACTCCTCCCCCCACCCGCCGCCCCCATAACCCAACGCCTAACCGCCTCCCCCTTGGCCACCCTCCTCCCCCAAAAGTCCCCAACCCCACCCCCAATAACACCACCCCCAGCAGCAATCCCCCCCCTCGCCGCCAACCCCCTCTGAAACCTTCTCCGCCTCCTCTTGCGGCGCCTCACCAGCCTATCCCGCACGTACCACGCGATCATGACGGTGGCGGCCTGCATGACGGCCTGGCGGCGCTTGCTCTGCTCCTCATCGGCCCACGCCTGGCAGCGCCGGTGCTGGGCGGCGGCCACGGCCTCGGCGCGCTGCTGGTAGAAGCTCGCCATGCGGGAGGCCATGGCCAGGTAGCGCGGGTCGATTCCTGGGGGAGGTGCTGTTGCTGCTGGTGGTGATGGTGATGGTGCTGCTGCTGCTGGTGCTGCTGCTGCTGTTGGTTGGGGTCCAGGGTTGGGGTGAGGGTTGGGGATGGTGGGGGCCTTGTGGTGTTGTTGGGGGTGTTGGTGTTGGTGGGAGTGATGGTGGAGGATTTTGTTGATGTTGATGTTGTCGGGGAATAAAAAGGCGTTTAGTGGCATAGAATTGGCTGCGTTTGGTGTGTCTGAGGTTGGTGAAGGTTGGGCGGGTTGTGGTGATTTTCCATCATTTGGGAGGGTGGAGCTTGTTTGGTGGTGGACCGCCCCCTGAGTGAAAGGTTGTGGAGGAGGGCGATTCATAAACGTTTGGAATTCGGCCGGAGGTGTGACAGGGACCTGGGCCTTTAAGGGCAGCGGGATTGATGCCGCCATGTTTGCTGAGGACGTTGATTAGGTATGCCGGGCGTGATGACGTTTTAGGGGTGCTGGAGTAAGTTCGTCTTTAGATATTTATTGTGTGCTGTTTTGAGCCTCGCACAACGAATAGCTCGTCGCGGTTGACTGTATGTAGTATATTGTGAGACGCACGAGGTCGGACACCCGAAAAGCAATCCAGCGTCGACACGAGCAAAATATAAAACGGGATCCAAGATATCGGCGGCTGAGGCCGGGGGCGGGCGAAAGAGTTCTTTTATACCGACATCTCCGAACTCACCTTTCCCGAGGGTCCGGGTAGCCCCCTCGCCCAACGCCCCATTTAAGAACACGCCCAGATCCAACAGCCACCCGTAGATTAATAAGTGGGTTTCGTCAGCACCTGGCAATCATCCTCGGGACCTAATCACGCAGTAACGCAGCACCGAGGAGCCCGACATACCCACCGCCAACAGGCCGTGACGGGTCGCTGCGGGGCGCATGCGAGCCCGACAGTCGCCAAAAAAGAAAGGTCTGAGACCGGGGGCGGGAGGAGATTTGTGATGGCCTGGTCGGAGCGGGGAGACGGGGGCCCTTGGAGTTCGGGTAGCAGGCTGCGCGGATAAAAATGGCCTGAGAGGATCCTCGAAAGCCGTGGGATGATGACAGAACAGGCCCAAATCGGTCGATGCCGAATGTTCCTGGCAAATGGCCACCCTGAGCCACCCCCCGGCGCGCCTCGGCCGACAGCAAGATCGGGCCACCCGAAAATCATGCCCAGAACCTCAAAACCTGCACGATTGGTTCTGGCCCATCTCGAACGGCTCACATCTCTCGAAATTGTGGGAAAAGGTGCCACTCGTCTGCAGCGACCGCCGCTTCATCGTGTCTTCCGCCGATCTCCCACCTAAATTTGTTTTCCGTGCTTTTGAGGGGCCGTCGTGGCCGTCTCGGCGTCCAAGATGTGCTGCTATCGTCGGCTCTTTTTTATCCACCTCGCTAACTAGTTAGTTAAATTCCAAATCAAGAAGCGAGCAGCGAGAGATTTGTCTCGGCCCGGAGATCTGTTAGTTCCTTCATATTTCCGTTCTTCCGTTAGAACCTGGGAACCGGCGCATCATCACATCCGTTCGGACAACACGGCGCCGTTGCCACGCTCTCCCATGGACTTTGTTTCCCCGGAGTTTGTCGGCCGGATTTTGACATATTTTGACGATCCGGTGTTGTTGGTCCTTGCCCGTGCTCCTTGCTTCATCAGCACATTTCAAATGGTCCGATTGCTTTGCTTAGTTATACGCTAGCCGAAACAGGCAAGATAAAGCTCAGCTAGGCGCCAAGCCCTTTCGATTTCCATTTTCGTCGTTTGGCTGACATTTCTTTGCTTTCCGATTTTAAGAATATTGTGCCGTGTTTAGTCAAAATCCCGACTACACTAAATCTAAATATTTCCCGACACACAGAGGAACGACGTTACCTAACCCATCCACCATCTCCCGATGTGGAGTGCAACACCAATAAGTCATACTTGATGCTTTGCGCGCGCTCAACACCAGGCCCACGCATTCGAACCGCGTACCTCGGCTGTTCTCGTTCTTTCCGGCCATGTAGCCCCGCCACCGTCGGGCGCCTTGGTCGACGGAATGTAACCACGGCCTTGGTTCATCGTGGGCCTGGATCTGGACCCCTTCAAGACCAGCGAAAAATTCCGCATCTCCAGGTCCGCGGCAAGAAAACTCGGACGGTCGTCAAGCTCGACGATTTACCCCAGGGATTTGTCGCACCAGCAGAGCCGCTCCCACCCGAAGAAGATGAACCGGCATACCCAACCGTGGTGCTACAGGCGCGCCGCCATATGCAAAAGTTTGGCAATTGTGTGCTGCTCACACGTGTCGGTGGCTTCTACGAGTTGTACTTTGACCAGGCCGACGAGTACGGTCCGCTCCTCAACATTAAAGTAGCGCAAAAGAAGACAAGTGTCGGCCCAGTTTCAATGGTATTGTTCCGTGCCCGTACCATGCCGCTGTTTTGTTCATTGGTAGTCTGATAGATTCTGTTTCTTTTGCCAGGCCGGCTTCCCATTCTTCCAGTTGGAACGCTTCCTTAAGATTCTCGTCCAGGACTTCAACCGCTATGTAGCCGTTGCTGAAGAGTTCCCAAACGACCCCTCGGAGAAGGTCAAGTCGGGAGGTCTGATGCACACTCGCAGGGTGACCCGTATCATCACGCCAGGCACCCTCATCGACGAGAACTTTATGGACCCGTATGCAAACAACTATGTCATGGCCATTCACCTGCCCGAGCCGGCGGTATCGGATGATGTGAGCTGCCAAGAGGACCAACATGCCACCGAGACGTCAGATTCCGCAAATGATGCCCCCACTGGGCTAGGTCTGGCATGGCTGGATCTGTCGACGGGCTCTTTTTTTACCCAGCCGACAACATTGGCTGAGCTTGGCTCCGTCCTTTCCCGAATCTCTCCTCGGGAGGTAGTCCTTGACCAAGCACTTGAAGTCGACCAGAGCCACGCTCTTCTGTCTGTTCTCCAAGAGGAAAGATACCTCGTAACCTATTCGCCCCATGGGGCGCTGCGACAGCTGTCCGACTGGGAGCCCATGCTAGAGTCAGAGATACCAGCCCAGACAGTCGACAAGTTCACGGATAGTGAGGTACAAGCGGGGAGTATTCTGCTTCAGTACGTCAAGGGCCGGTTGCAAGGGCTGAGCATGAAGCTTCAGCCGCCGCTCCGTCACGAGAGCGCGCATCTCATGAATATCGACAAGAATAGCATGCGCTCCCTAGAGATTAAACAGACGCTTAGGGATGGCGCCTTCAGGGGAAGCTTGCTGCATGCTATCAGACGAACTGTGACCAAGAGCGGTGCCAGACTTCTTAACGAGTGGCTCAGTACGTCCTCCTTGCCAGGGGCCAAGTGGAAGTGAAAATAGCTAACCTGATATAGGCGCGCCTTCAACGTCGCTTGAAGTCATCAATTTCCGACAGAACCTAGTCTCGCGGTTCATCCAGGACGAGGACCTCCGAGACGCCGTAATCGTCCTCCTCCGCAGGAGCCATGACTCGCAACGTCTCGTCCAAAAGTTCGCGCTCAACCGCGGAGACCCAGACGACCTACTCCGGCTCGCCAACACTATCAAGGCGACAGACGACATCGTCAACCTCCTCAAATCATCCGTTCCACCCCAGCCAGACAACGGCCCGGAGGCGAAATGCCTCTCTACGATGGTAGACCGCATCAGCCTCGACCAGCCTCTAAAACTCGCCCAGCGCATCCGCGACGCCATCGACGAGGACGGCCTCGTGCACCAGCACCAGATCGCAGACAGCGAAGCGGACGAGATGATAGCCCTCGCCCAAGAGATCGTCAAGACGGAAGGCACCGACGAAGACGGCACACTGCTCCCCAAGGGCGCGACGGCCAAGATGACGACGACGACGACGACGACGACGGCCAAGAAAAGATCTTCGGCCTCCATCCGCGACCACTACGGCGAGGACAGCGAGGTGTGGACTATGAAGCCGGGAGCCTCGGCGCTGCTCACGCGCCTGCACAGCCAGCTGGCGGCGCTGCGCCAGGAGAAGGAGGCCCTCACCGAGACCCTCCGCGCCCGCCTCGGCGCGGGCTCCCTCACGCTGCGCTGGACGCCCATGCTCGGCCACATCTGCCACGTAAAGGGCAAGGACGCGCGGAGCCCACCCTCCGCCGCCGACGACGCAGGCGGCGGCCTGGCACCCCCGATCCGCACGCTCTCGTCGAGCCGCACGACACGGTCGTTCCACCAGCCGGAATGGACATCGCTCGGCGAGGCGCTGGACCGGCTGCGGCACCAGATCCGTGGGGAGGAGGGGCGGGTGTTCGGGGCGCTGCGGGCGCGGGTGGTGACCAACCTGGTCAAGCTGCGGCGCAACGCGCTGGTGCTGGACGAGCTGGACATCGCGACGTCGTTCGCGCGGCTGGCGACGGAGCAGGGGCTCACGCGGCCGGCGCTCAGCAACACGCAGCAGACCGTCATCGTGGGCGGGCGCCACCCGACCGTGGAGGGCGGGCTGGCCGAGCAGGGGCGCACGTTCCAGAGGAATGACCTCTTCTTGGGGTCCGCGCCGGGGACGAGGACGGCGGCGGCAGCAGCACAGGGTGAGGGAGAACAACAACAACCGCCACAAGGCCACGGCAGGATCTGGCTGATCACGGGCCCCAACATGGCCGGCAAATCGACCTTCCTCCGCCAAAACGCGCTGATCACCATCCTGGCGCAGATAGGGTGCTACGTGCCCGCAGACTACGCCTCGTTAGGCATCGTCGACGCCATCTTCAGCCGGGTGGGGTCGGCCGACAACCTGTTCCAGGACCAGAGCACTTTCATGGTGGAGATGCTCGAGACGGCGGCCATCCTACGGCAGGCGACGCCGCGGTCTTTCGTCATCATGGACGAAGTGGGCCGGGGCACGACGCCTGAGGATGGCACGGCCGTGGCGTTCGCAGCGCTGCACCATTTGGTGACCGTCAACAAGTGCCGGGCGTTGTTCGCGACGCACTTCCACGGCATCGCGGATTTGGTGGCGAAGGAGGGATTAAGAGTGGAGGATGGAGGCCCCAGCGGGACCATCGACACGTACTGTACAGACGTGGAGGAGGACGAGCAAGGCGGGTTTGTCTACGTTCACAAGCTACGCAAGGGGGTCAACAGACAGAGCCACGCGCTCAAGGTGGCGCGCTTGGCTGGGCTGCCAGAACAGGCGATACAGGTCGCCCAGCAGGTACTGCGGGATTCTGGGGTTGAAATGTCACCAGGGATGGTACATTCTACCAAGATACCGTCGCCGGCGGCAGTTGGAGGATAAGTTGATGGGACGTATGTTGAGTCTAAATATTCGTGTCAGTTTCGATACCCAATGTAAAAGTTTGTAACATATCAAAGGGAGAAAACTGTGTCTCATAAAAGTTGTGATGGGTTTCATCAATGGAATTCAGGGTTAAAAAGCTCTTTGATCATTTGCATAATCATCGACAGCGGATGTAAAGACGAGGTGAAAAGTACTAACCTGGGTTGTCAAAGCGAGCAACTGACACGGTCAGTCAGAGCATCGAAACACAACATGAAAAATTCAATGTGGCCACCAAACACGGATTGAATTGAACCGGCACCGATCTATATAGACGAAGGCAAAAGTCCAGAGGACCTTTGCCCGACCACAACCAGCATTGCCGGCCCAAGCACACCGTACTTGAGTCGTTAGGTTTAGTCGCTGTCACCCATGTTAGCAGTGTACCAAAACACAAGTGCGGGGTCACAAACAAGAGACCACCAAAGCCCTCCTCGTCAGAGTCCTCCTTCTCAGACTCCTCCTTCTCCTCAGCCTTGGTCTCGGCGGGGCCAGCGGCCTCGGCGACAGGAGCGGCAGCGGCGTACGCGTCGGGGTTGGCGATACGGTCCTTGAGCTCATCGATCTCGGGCCAGCTGAAGTCAGTCTCGATGGCGACGGCCAGCACCTTCTTGTAGGCGTTGACGGTCGAGTGGATAACCGACGGCAGGGTGGGGAAGTTGAGGGCGAGCGAGATAGCGGCAATGGTGGTGATGGCCGACGAGAAAGACTTCAGGAGCTGCTCCTCACCAATGTCGAGAACCTCCGCGGGGAAGGCGTTGCCGTGGTCGTAGACCTGAGCGATACCCATGCCGTAGGTGAAGGGAGAGATGTTGAGCATGTTGAGCAGGGTCGCCTCGGAGGGGCCGACCTTGAGGCCGGCCTCGACAAGCTTGAGGTCCGTGGTAATTTCAATGGTACCACGGGCAATCTTGGTCGGGACACCGAGCGCCTGGAAGAAAGAAGTCTTGCCAGGTTCCATGCCAGTGTTGCCAGCAGGCACCCACACGTCGGAGGGGGCAACGGCACCGGCACGGGCGGGGGCGGCGACCTTGTTCGCCAGAATCTTGTCGCGGATTTCCTTCAGGTCACCGTTGGTGAACACGAAGCCGATGTTACCCTTGACGAAGGGCAGGAGGCGCTCGTACTCCGGCGAGTCCGCGAGGAACGTCTTGAGGGCACGACGGACCTATTGGATTGCATCATGGTCAGAAATCTGGTGATAGCCGCGCTAAAATGAATACAGGGCCTTTCATGCTTACCATGGTGTTCTTGCCCATCAGGACAACGCCGTCGCCGCGGAGCGACTGGCGAATCTCGTGCATCTGCTGCGACGAGACATTGTCGACGGAGACAATGAAGATGGATGCGTACTCCTCCAACAAGCCCTTCAGCTTGTCGAAGTACCCGGCCTTGTTTCCTGTTTTGCCCCCCATATCTTCTTGCTTCTGAAGGTAGGATGTTTAAGGGCGATGGTTTTGTGGTGAGGAAACGGAAATTGAGCGATCGCGATGTTGCTTGACAGAAAACTTCCCGAAGCAGAAAGCTCAGAATTAATTTCGCAGAATTGAGCTGCAAGTGTGGGGGCTGCTTCGTAGGGTTAGGTGGGTCGGCTAATGTGGAGAATTGGTATGCCCCGTTTTTATCTTGACCAAAACTTCGACTTCGGTTGTGTGGCTCAGTCGAGCGTACAGACAAACCGAATAGAGAAGTTGCTCAACCGAGAAGGCAAAAAGCTAGAGGCGTAAGAGTTTGAATACAAAACCAATAAATTCAGAGGATATCAATTGGGTAATATCATGAATCTAATCGTTTCTTTCAATCGTGATTTGACGTCGTCTTGGTCGAATCAGCCACATGTGGCTTGCATTTGACAAATTTCTTGCAAGTCGCCGCTGCCGCTTTCACTCTGACCTTCCTTCCAGTGTGTAACCACTGAACTGAATCTTGAGTCACGGTATGTTGCCCATTCTTCTCTGATGCTGGGATCCTTGACTAAGATTGCGCGGATACAAGGGTTAAGACTCGGCTTTACGCCTAGAAGTCTCGGCGTTGTCTCAATCTCGCTGTGTAATCACTTCTTCAATTCTCTCACTGCATCACCACGAGGCAGCTCATTCCAGGGAGGGTTTAGGATGGTTCTCCCTTACCATCTCATCAAGGTGTGCGGCAACACTGTCTTTGCCGCACAGGGGAGTGACATTCACTCCTTCAATTCGGGCCTCGAGTATGTCTCGACTTGGAAGTACCCGGTGCAGCAAACGGACGAGTCAAATGGTCCCTCTATCGATGCCCAGGAGTCACCGGCGCAGGAAGAACCACCCACCAAGCGAAGGAAGGTTGAGCCAGGCCAGGAAGAGGGTCCCAAAGGCCGCCGTGCGAAATATAAAAATGGGCAGTCAAAGGGCAACAAGCCTGCCAAGCACGACGTTCCCGGCAATGAGAGGCCGTTCGTCCAAGGGCTCTATGCCACCACCGATGGCCGCCATCTAGTAGCCGTCACGGGATCTGACAAAACCATTTGGGTATTCGAGCACGACGGCGTGGGCAATTTAAACCAACTCAGCCAGAGGCAAGCTTACCCCTGACCCCAAACTACATCACTACCAAAGCTAACCCCTCAGTTAGAGCAATGCCAAAACGGCCCTGCTCCCTTACCCTCACACATGACAACCTCACCATTCTCTCAGCCGACAAATTCGGCGATGTCTACGCCCTCCCCTTGCTCCCCTCTCCTATTCCCACCACCACCACCACCTCGGCCACCCCCGGAGCAGCCACCCCGTCCGCCCTCTCGCCACCCACCTCAGGACCGGACGAATCCCGCAGCGCGAGCGCCACCCCCTCTACCGCAACCCCATCCGCCATCAAGCCGCAAGCGACCGCGCTAACAGTCCACACCAAACGCAACCTCAGAGCGCTCGAACACCAAAAGATCTCCCTCGGCCGCCGCGCCCTGCAAGAGCAGCCCAACCGCCCGCAGTTCGAGCTCACCCTGCTCCTAGGACACGTCTCCATGCTCACCGCCATCACCGTCGGCACCACCACCACCGCCACCGCCAGCACCGAAGCGGGCGGGACGCGGGTCCGCGAGTACATTGTGACGGCGGACCGCGACGAGCACATCCGCGTGTCGCGCGGCATGCCGCAGGCGCACGTCATCGAGCGCTTCTGCCTGGGCCACGAGGACTTTGTCAGCCGCCTGTGCATGGCGCCCGGCGGGCGGGCCGAGGTGCTGATCTCGGGCGGCGGGGACGACGACCTGTTCGTGTGGGACTGGGTCAGGGGCGAGCTGCTTGGCCGGGCCGGGGTGCTGGAGCATGTGAAGGGGGTTGTGGGCGGGGAGGCGGCGAGTAAGGTTGCTGTGACGAGGGTGTTCGCGTGCGGGTGGGAAGGGGGGGTGGAGGTGTTTGTGGTCGTGGAGCGGTATGTTCTATTTCCCCGCCCGTCTATATGCTATTGTTTTTTGGACTTTTTTCATATCGCTGACATCCCTCTAGCGTCCCCGCGCTCTTCCGCTACGAACTCCTCGAGGACAACACCCTCCACCACCGCGAGACCATCCCCACGCCAGGCAACCCGCTGGACGTCGAAGGAATCGAGGTCCCGGGTGCGGCGCCACGCCTTCTGGTCGCCGTTTATCCCAGCGGTTCCACCGATGGAAGCAGCAACTCCTCGTTCATCGTGCTGGACAAAGGCGAGTCGGGCTGGCGGCAAACGAGTGTTGAGAACCTCCCCGCCGGCGGAGACATTGCCATCAGTGAGACTGAGCTGCAGAAGATGCTGTATTCTACCGAAACTCTACGCAAGCTCTCGGATTTTGACTGAGCAAACGCGAGACCGAATAATAAGAGGATGACTTTGTCCAAGTCGTTGTGGGACGTTATAGATCTGATTGTGACAGGGAGCCTCTTGTAGGGCAGTTTAATGACTCGCGGGATACCGAGGTCGGGCATAGGTGACAACTGTTGAAGATATCTTGTCTAGTGTACCCAAGACTCAGAAGGTGCTACTCTCACAAGCATCTAGAGGGGAACGGCACAAGGCAACATGGACCATGCCGGGGGGTAAATCTCTAGAAGACTCTTCCTCTCGATACGTTCACAGTTCCAAACACACCCCAGAGCAAGACCCAGCTACTACTCCCATAATGCCCGATTCATTCGCTAAAAGAAAAAGAAAGATCCAGGCAGCAGAGCGAGCTGCCGCCACAGGAAAGCCAAATGCCTCTCTATCCTCTCGAGAACGCCGCCTTGCCAAGAGTGTTGTTGGGGTGCCAAGTAAAACACGAGAAAATGAGGTCGAGAAAAAAAACCCTTCATGCATGCCCAAGAGAGGCTCTATGCTTCCCTGTCTGGTTCTTCCCTGGGGTATTTTCCATGTACCCTCCTGCCCCTTCTCTCCGCCTCGTATCTCATTAATCAGAAGACCCGCCGCGCGCATCTATCATGGAAGATGCCCATACCAGGCGTGTCCCGCTCATTAATCGCCCCATTAGCTTCAAAATAGATAACGGGCACAACGGGTTGTGAGCACCCCCACACCCCTTTTTCATCCTATATATCCTTTACTGGGATGCGCACTGGACGCGCTCGCCCCCGTGATGCTCGTGCTCATCATCCTCTTCCATGGCGCCGGAGAAGCCTCTCGAAGAGCTGTCAACGTCCTCAAGATCGGCAGGCTCCGACATGGCCTCGGCGGGCGGAGTGTTGACGAGCTCGGGTGAAGGTAAGAACTTCCGGAGGGCCTCGAAGGCGGCGGGATCCTGGGTCCAGTTCTTCTCGGGAAATTTGACCGCAAACTGGATGAACAGGTTGCCGAAGTCGTGATGGCGGGGGGATGGCATGCCTTGGCCACGAACCATCTTGACGGTGCCTGTGGACAACAAAGTTAGCGAGGGATTCTCTCGTGAGGAAGAGCGGGGTATATGTAACGTACCAGGGGCAATCGCCTCGCCCGGGAGAATGTCGACGCTCAGCCATCTGTCATCGAGATGCTCGACGTAGATGGTACCGCCAGCTAATGCCGTAACGAGGTCGATTTCTGCCTGGTAGACGAGGTCGTCTTCCCGACGGGTGAAACGGGGGTGAGGCTTTTGCTCGATCTGGAAAACGACATCGCCAGCGAGGATGCCGGGGGCTTGGTCACCCTCGCCACGGAACTCGACCTTGGTCCCGCTGCGGACACCGCGGTCGACGTGGACGTGGAGGACCTTGCGGTCAACTATCGTCTTCTTGCCGTAACACCCCTTGCAGCGATCCTTGTCCTTGACAATCTCGCCCTCGCCGCTGCAGTCTGGGCATACCGTCTGGAAGCGCTGAATCATGGGGCCCATCTGCCGCATCATCGTCTTCATGCCGTGGCCATCACAGCCTGTGCATTTCCGGACAGCGCCCTCCTTGCCACCGCGACCCTCGCACTTGGGGCAGATGATGGAACGCTGAAGAGCCAGCTTAGAGACCTTGCCGCGGTATATGTCTTCGAGCGAGACATTGTGCACGTGGTGAATGGTTTTGGCCTTGGAGGGGCCGCGCTGGGAATTCATCCCGCCGCCGAACATGCCTCCGAAGCCGCCGCCAAGGCCACCACCGCCGAAGAATTGAGCGAAGAGGTCCTCGGCGGCCATGCCGCCACCTCCGCCAGCGCCACCTTCTAGACCGGCTTCGCCAAACTGATCGTACACCTGGCGCTTCTGGGAATCGGACAAGATCTCATAGGCGTGCGAGATCTCCTTGAACTTCTGCTCGGCAGCGGGGTTGTTGTGGTTCTTGTCTGCATGCACAGATTAGCGTGCGTGAACATACAAAGAAAATGGGCAGTCTTTTTGAAACATACCAGGGTGGTATTTGAGTGCGCCCGTCTTGTATGCCTTCTTCAACTCCTGCTCTGTGGCATTTGGCGAGACCTGTCGCAGGGGGTTAGCTCACTGGTACTGCCAGAAAGGCGTTTCGGAGCTGGGTATGCATACGCCAAGCACATCGTAATATCCCGTCTCTTTGACCATTTTGTCTGTTTACTCGGGGAAAGTGTAGTGTGTTGTGCCGGTGTCGTGTCTTTCGAGGCTGCCGGGATTACCTGGGGCCTGACGCGGAATGGCGGGGATGTCGAAAAGATGCCGAAAGAGAATCGGAATCTTGGTGGTCTTGAGCCAGTGGAAGTTAGCAATGCGATTCCGGAAAGTGAAACGCAAAACGAGCGTGATGTTCCGGGGTGAAGAAGAAATGGTTCCAAAAGAGCTGGCGGGGATCTCGAGAGTGCGAAGCCGGGGGGTTGGCGCAGCGAAAAGTCTCGAGTATTCTGCCGAGGGTCCGGGAAGAAAGAAAGAAGCGCACTTAGAAATGCTACGTACGTACCAGGCAGGAACAGTGATGTTTTGCACAGATTCTGTGCGCTTGGTGATAATCCGGTCGAAAGTCGAGCCTTTTGCACTCTGGTTCTTAAGGAAGGAAGACGATTGTCCAACAAGGATCACAGTCGAGCGGCAACCAAAGAATCTGTATGCTTATGAAAGTGCAGCGCATGGAAGGAGGCTGAAATTCTTGGGTTTCCAATCGACTCGCCGCCTTCCCTCCACTGGGCCATTCAGCCCCTCCCGATGGAAATCAATCGAAGACTCTGGAGTGTGGCTGGTGCTATTAGCACGGTACCCAGCCTTGAGCCTGTTGGGTGCGCGGTTTGACTCGAGCGCTGCGTACCAGCCTAGCTCAGCCCGCCAAAGGCGGCCAAGGCGGATGCGCGTGGAAGTCCAAATGCTGGGCAGCTGGGGTCCCCCGCCGACCGTGGCTGCCATTCCGTGGGGCCGTTTCAGCAACCACCAGTCTTGGCCTAAAATTAGCCTCCGAGGTTCGTCATTCTCAAGCAACCTTTTTGTTCGAGATTCAACCATTTGTCGCAGCTATCCGCATGGAGTTTGTCCTTTGTGTGAAATCACCAGGTACCCATGTTTTCAAGCATATTCCTAAATATTTTTGTAGATCGGAATAGCCGACAGTTTGATTGACGAGCAACTAATCAATCACACTTTTTGGCGGAGGCGAATCTGGCGCCGGGCAAGGCTGCATACCTTACCTAGCCTGACGGCCCATAACGACAGTTACAAGGGAACAATGGAACCAACCGACTCGACCTCCCCATTTCTTTGTTCTGCTGTTTGCCCGCCCGAGTGAGGACCGCCTTCAGTCGGCATGAATCCTATTTTGAGTGAGTTTCCCTGGTCACTCATAGATATCGCAGTTTTTTTTTTCTCATGTTCTTGCCATCTTCTTTTTTACAGTTTCGTCCCGTCCCATCTTCTTTTGCCCCCGTTGGTTTAGTATTGACTCGTACATATTATCCGTTCGTGAGGGAGGGGGGCAGGGGACCACAAGCCCAAGGCTGGCTGCATCTGACGTGTCCCGCCACATCTTCATGTGTTGGCCACAGGGGGGATCAAGGAAATGTCAGGTTCATGTGAAACATCCCCGTTAAGCAGGTACCATTCTGCCTCATGCTTTAACCCAATGTGGCTGGTCACCAGTCGCCTCATCGCCTGCCGTGGTACGTATGTACATACATAGTACTGCGTACAGCAGTCTCGTTCTTCAATAGGTAGCAACCTCGCATGCCCATGGTACTCAACACTTCACGTTTAGGCCATCTATTATTACCGTAGCCTAGCAAGCGACCCAAAAACCACCACCACTCGCATATCACCACCAAACCAACCCAACCACAGCCATCCATGCCACTCGCGAGACTAAATATGCAACCAGTCGCCTTAGAACCACCCCTTTGAGTCAAGAATTGACAAAGGACTCACACGCCCCACCCCCCCTCGCCTCCCTTCAGCACTAATCTGACTTTCGCCTTCCCCCCCCCCCCCCATCGGAATAGAAAGCAGTAACCGCAGCAATAGGAGAAAATATAAGCAATAAGATAAACAAAAACCAAGTCTACACGCTTTTACCATGCCCATGCCCCGCCCCACCACTTTTCACCCAGCGGCAACCAAGGAGAAATAAAACAGGTAGTAGCAAAAAAAGAGAATACAATTACTGTACAATGACCACCACGTATTACTCTCCCTCGAACTTAAACGAGGAGTCTGAATTCGGCGGCCAAGTTTGGAGCCCTGTGAGGTAAAATACCTTTTCCATTAATTACCCCTATCACATCGTGGCACCCTGCAATACCCCGTAGCGGCCAACTGCCAACTACGCACGCACTCGGCCCTATGAGAGTAGATTCCTCAACGACGGGCTGGCACTCGCACCACTGGGAGGCCTATTCTCCCTGTGCTGGTGCTGATGCTGGTGTTGGTGCTGGTGTTGCTGATGTTGGTGCTGCGGCTGGTGCTGCTGAGAAACCGCATGTTGCGGCGGGTGTTGTGGCAGCCCCTGTTCACGGTGCCCCATTGTTACCTGGGGAGGACCGTCCCTCATCGGAGGAGGACCATCTCTCATAGGCGGAGGGCCGTCTCTCATCTGCGGAGGACCATCTCTCATAGGCGGCGGACCGTCTCTCATCTGTGGATGGCCGTCTCTCCCCGGCGGAGGGCCTGGCGGAGGGGGGCTCCCGTGGTGATGTTGGGGTGGTGGGCCGTGAGGGTGAGGATGGCTCTGGTTCCACTGTCTGAGGTAATTTGGCGCGGGCGGGGCCGGACCCTCCGGACCGCTGGGGTGTGCCATGCCAACGGGCGGCATCGGGTTCATGGGCGGCATGTGATGCGGTCGGTGGTCGGGTGGGGGGTGGCCGTGGTGCGGATGGTATGAACCTGGGGGACCGTTGGGCGGTGGAGGAGGCGGGCCACCGCTAACCCGCCGCGGGGACGGGGGGTGCTGGATGCCATTCACGAAAGCGGGCTGCACCATGTGGCCACTGGGCGGTGATTGTGCCGGGGCGTGGGGGATACTGATCGGCGGCGGTCGGAGGTGATTGGGCGGCGCTAGGGGAGTGATAGAGGAAGGCGGAGGGGACGGGCCACCGTTGACATCGCGGGACGGGTGTAGCGGAGGCGGGCCATGTCCTGTTGACGGCCGGTGCCAGTCGTAGGGGCGAGGGGAAGCGTAAGCCTGAGGAGGTTGGATTGGCGGTGCCCGCGGCGCGATTGTTGGGGGGAGCGGCGGCGGCGCCACGGATTGGGCCTGTCCCGGCGGGGGGCCAACCGGGAGAGAGATAGCACCTGGTGCCGGAGCCTGAAGAAGGGAGGTTTGTGTGGTGTGCGATGAAGGACCCGCCGGCGGAGGCCACCCGTACGGCGCTCTGTTTATGGGCCTCGCTTCTTCAGTCCTCGGGGGTAGTATCGCTGCGGCTGCCTGCGAAGCTTGCCGCACCGGCTCCGGCGGAGGTGTCGGTTCCCTAGCAGGTTGCGAGTGGGCGACGGGTTGCCGGCCCGCCTTCTTGCACTTGTGGCATTGAAAGCTTCGCTGCTCGACAAACTTCTGGGCTTCGGACCCGATGTTGCCGTAGTATCCATTTGTAAGCTCCCGTTCCTGCGCCTGATCGATGGGATGCCACTTGGGGCTCACGTCAACACCGCAGGTCAGGCAGATCTTGCCGCCAGGCTGGAGGCCGCTCGGCGCGTCTTCGCGGTCGCCGTTGACCAAGGCGACGAGCGATGCCCGCCTATTCTGGTGCCCCGTGACTGGCGTAGGCAAAGTCGACATTTTGGAGGCAACGGTGATCTGGTTCGCCTTTCTCGCACAGCCTGTCAGGGTCAAATCTGCTTGCTTGCAGTTTTGCACATAGAGTTGCAGGGCATTCGTCCCGGTCTCTGCCACAGCTTCGTGCATTAGATGGACCGTTGTCTTGGTCGGCAAATGGTCCTTGCACCAAACACCAGCCGACATCGCGCCGCTAACCCCGTTCATGGTAACGAACCGGGAAGGATCCCGTCGGGACCCCTTAACGGGTGTGACTTCGAAGCCAAGGGTGTAGCCGGCCTGGTGAGCGCATTCGACGTGGACTGGGGTATGGCAGTGGTGACACTGCACACACGCGCCATCGGTCTTCCTGCAGACCTTGCACACTTCTGCGTACTTGTCGCGCGGGATCAAGGGGATGCCCTCGCTAGGACTGAGGGCTTTAGCGTTGCCAAACTTGACCTCGTGCGTAAACACAGCACATGTAACGTGTACCCAGTTGTTGTCGGCCGTCCGTTTGAGCGGCTCCCGAGGATTGACCGGGCGGTTCATCTCTTCCTGCTTCTTGCGGTAGTAGTCGGCGGCCCGCTGGGCGTTCTCCCGTTCCATCCGCTCGCGCTCCCGTTCCTTCTCCGTCTTCTTCTTGTGAGAATTGGAGACCTTAGGGTGCTCGACAAAGTCGTGCGTCGTATGCTCAACCGGGCAGAGAACACACTTGTAGTGCTAGTTTCGGGGTCAGCATGGATAGCTTTGATAGTTTGTCAGAGATGACACTTACGATCGACAGCTGAGGATTCTTGTCATTCAGACACATGTCGCAGGTCCACTTGCTCGAAGCGCGGTTATCGACGACACCATAGCAGTTGCGGTGCACCGTCAGACGGCACTCCTTGCACGACAAATGCTGGTCACCCAGCGGCGCCATCTCCCTGCAGATGGCACAGGGCAAGGTTTTCGGCTTCGGGATCTCGGGGACGGGCGGCGGCGCCGGAGTTTGTGCGTGCTTTTCCGCCGTCTTCTCCTTCTTTTTGGAAATCGGGCCACCAGATGCGCTGCCTGACTCGGACGGGGTTTTCTCCATATCCTTATCAAGCAAGTTGCTCTTCAGCTTCTTGCGTGGTGGTTCTGCAGCAGCTGCCTGGCCGTTGAGAGATGCCACCGGATTGTCTGTCTCGTCATCTTCGGGTGTCGGGAGCCGGGTGCTCACCATCTCGTCGACGGCGAGCAGCTCCCGATGCAGATCCTCGTCGACCCTGCGCCTCCATCCGCGACCACCCGTCTGAGCGACCTTCTTCGCCAGCTCGTCAATATCCTCCCACTGAATGGCGTACCGCCGCCACAACTCGGCACAGCGTCTGCAGAGCGCTTGGATATACTGCTCCTTCTTATCCTTGTTAGAGTTCTTGCCCCCGTTCTCAGTCACGGAGGTCACGGCCGCAGCCGGAGCTCTTCGCCACTTGCGGGACCGCTTAGTGCCACAGAACTTGCACAGGAAGGCCTTCTTCTTCTCCCTAGCCCTGTCTGCGTCAAATGCGGAGTCGTCGTGGACGTCGGCAACATCGTCAGCCAGCTTGTTCGCAGCAGCCTCGGCCTTCTTGGCGTCCTTCTTGCCTTTTCGGCCGGAGAAGTTGCCCCAGATCTGCTTTCCGCGGTCTGTTTTCTTCCAGGTGTAGTAGTAGCGGGTTATGGTCGCAGGCTTCAGGGTCTTGACATGCTTTTTGACGCTATGCAGTTCGGACCCAAACTTGGCTACGGCCTCCTCAAACTTCTTCTGCTCCGCGGGGGTCAGCTCGGGCTCCCCAAAGTCGGCCTTGGGAACCTTGGGGAGCTCCGAGAGGGCCTTTGCTGGGTCAAAGTCGTTGCGGAAGAGGACGTCCCTGGCAACATCCTGGAGGTTAGTGGAGTGTGGTGGCAGACCAAGCGAGACGGCCATCGACCTGGCCGTGCTCATGTAGTCGTCGAGAGCCTCACTGGGCATGGACACGCCGCAATCTTCGGGCGGCTTGTAGAGGAGGGTCGAGGTATCGTCGCCGCCCCGCTCGACATATCCGGGGGGCTCGTCCTGGACCCACTTAGGTCGCTGCTCCTTCTGAATGCGCTCGGCTTCGAGGGCAGCCTGCTGGTCTTTGGTGAGTTTGTTGTTATTTTTGCCGGACCTCTTAAACTCGAGCGGCTTGACGTATTCCACCGGGCGCCCGAACCAGGGGGTCACGATGGCCTGGTGGCGGAGACCCAGCCGGGTGCTCGCGCGGGGGAAAATACGGTCGTCGAGGTCCAGCGCATCCTCGACCTTGCAGTGCATCCCGAAATACCGATACGGCCACAGGCTGGCATGGTAAATCTGCTCGGCTGTCGGGGCTGGATGTGGGTTCTCGTCGGCCGGGCTTGTGCGACTCGTGCGGCCCGTATCGACGCCATCGACGCCGCCCATCTCCTCATCCTCGTCATCGACCCCCTCGTCGTCCTCACCACCATCGTGGTGACGATGGGGGTCCGTGACATTGGGCGTGTGGCGAGCCTCGAGCTTCCGCTCTTGGGCGCGGCTGCAGGCGGCGCACGACCAGGCAAAACCACGACTCGGCTTCTTGAGCAGGGGTGGTTTAACGCAATTCATATGATAGGTGTGTTGACAGACGGCACAGTCCACCGAATCATTGCTGTTTAAGGGGGGGGGATGATGTGTCAGCATTCGGGTCCACCTTTTACACTCCACTCTCCACTCTTTGCACACCCTCCTCCCACTCATTGGGTCCCACACGCCACCCCGCCAAATCACAGGGCCCGGTCGGGTTTTTGGTTGGCTGGGGCCGCCCACTTGGGTTGGACCTCTCTGGTTTGATGAAATGCTTGTTCACTTACTTCGCGCAAAATGTGGTGCATCGCTTGCACGTTTTGACCGCGCTGGTCAGCTCCTTCCCCCGGCCCTGCTCGGTCAGGACATACTTCCACCGCTCGTCGAGCACCTTCTTGACGTGCGCCGGCACGTTGATGACCTGCCGCGTCGGGATCACCTCGTAGTTCTTTTGGATGTACCGGTCATACAGCCGATCGTACCAGAAGCAATCGGGCGTCCGCTTGTAGGCCGCCATGTCGGTGATCTCGGTCTTGTGCCGGATCTGACACTTGCCGCGCAGCGACGTCAGAGGGCTGATGTCTGAGTGCATCGTGGCGTAGACGAGACGGGTGTCTTGCACCTTGCGCCCAATGTCCTTGGGCCGGTAGTACCAATTGATGCGCAGCGCGTCGATTGGCAATGTCGCGTCGTTTTTGGCGTGCAAAAACTCCATGATGCGCCCCAGGTAGTAGGGTTCCCCGGGCGGCTCACAGACCAGGTACACATGATCTGCATCGCCCGCGTCAGAACTCTCGATCAAAAATAAAATGAGAAGAGCGAAATATGTCATGGGCGTGTGTGTGTGTGTGTGTGTGTGTGTGTGTGTGTGTGTGTGTGTGTGTGTGTGTGTGTGGGCGGGGGCGGGAAACTTACCATTCACCTCGAGTACCGTGCCGTCGTCTGCGACCATTTTCCCATCCTTGGGGCGGGACTTGGAAGTCTCGAAAGTGACCAGGTTCGTCTCGCCATAGCCCGTACTGCTTGGCGTGGCATTCCCGCTGCCTTGTCCGCTGGTTCCGAGGCGCTTCTGCAGCCCCGACGAGGAGAGAGCGCCATTCGACCCTGACGGCGTTTGGCTGCCGCTGGTCGTTGCAGCTGTGTCGGCGACCTTGCGCTTCTTGCCCTTTGAAGCGCCATTTGCTGTGCCGGTACCAGTGCCGTTAGTGATGGAAGACGATGATGATGCCGCAGTCGACGGCTGCTGTTGACTTTGTTGCTGCTGCTGCGGCTGCTGCTGCTGCTGTTGTTGTTGTGGTTGCTGTTGGTCTTTGGCGCCGTTGTGCTGCTTGCCGTCCTCCGGAAGCGGTTTTCTTGAAGATCCATTGCCGGAGCGCGGGGCAGCCGGCGCCGAATTGGTTGGCGTTGGTGTTGACGATGCGCCTTGTTGCTTGGTGGCTAATTTTTTGGCGTCGTCATCTTTGCGCTGCGGATATGCGTCGAACATCTCCAGATCAAGGTCCTTGTCCTCGGCATAGTTTGGGCGTGCGGCGCCGGTGCGGTTCCGCGATCGCGTGCCGTAAGGAGACGGCTGGGAGCCGGCCGCCGGAGGCTTCTCCATGGCCTGTGGCGGTGGTTGCGGCGACTCAGAATTGGAGGTTGAGGGTGGTGACGGGTCGGACATGCGTGGCAGGATGGATGAAGAAGGGATGGCACCCGAACTACTAGACTGCCTGGTCGAGTTTGGTGACCCTGCGCCGTCCTTGGCGGAAGAGGTGCGACTGCCCGAATTTGCCTGGTCCTCGGGCTGGGTCGCGGACGGGGATTTCTGAGCCATGGTGGGCTAAGAAAAAGTGCTGGCTACCGGAAGATGACGAAGCCCGCGCCCAGTCAGTGAGAGATGACGGCGAGGGCGCAGCCTCGGTCCTTGTTGACGATAGGAAAGGGTGGGAAAATGGCAAGGGCGCCAAATCGCATGGAGGCACAATGGAAGGAATAGAAGGGGATGGATGTGACGCGAGTGGGCCAGTGATGATGGTCCATAAGACGAAACGGTAGCGGGTCCGATGCCCCGTGCAAAAGGAAGCGCCCTCAGCAAGACGTCGCGTGTTGTGTTTTCGGCGAAGGAGTAAAGGAAGCTGGATCGTGGGGGGGGGTTGGTGAAAACCTGGGACCCTGGGGGATCAAATAGGTTCGGGGGGAGCGGGTAACGCGGGTGGGGTGAGAGATGGTGATGGCGGGCGGTCGGCAGGATATAAAACGTGGGATGGCGAGAGAGTGAGAGAGGGAGGCGAAGCGTCGGGCCAAAGGGGACGGGCGCGCTAGGTGAGAGGAAGGGTGAGAGAAATCGCGTAGCTCGGGTATCCAGACCAAAAGTTGGGACGGTCGAGGGCAAACACCAGCCAGCCGTGCCGGAATTGCTCACGGGAAGTGAGATTTCCTAAAGTGAGGAAGAAAAGGGAAGGGAGAGACTAGCAGCAGAGATATGTGGGCAGAAAAGGTAAAGTAAGAATGGGGACGAGCGAAGAAACGTCGAATGGCAAGGAGAGCAAGCCAAGGCCAGGTCCAGCATGAGGGTACATCTCGCGGTACATTGTCTAAGGTACTCCTTGTGCCCTGGGCTGCTTCTGGGCGAGGCGGCGCCCATTGCGAATTGCGGACGTGTGCCCGGGGTCACCCCCATGCTTCCATTTCCATCGAGCCTGCCGGGCCTGCTTTCGACGCACAGCACGCTCCGGGCAAGTGGGCCGCCGCTTGCACTGTGGAGCCAAGAGGGGACTGTGTCGATATCGCGGGTTGCAGGGATTTGCATTCCCGCATCGCCCAGATTTCAACGTCGGAGAACCACCCCAACAAGCGCCAGGTCGGTAAGGTACCTCTGCGCGACTTGGACTCCGAATAACATCCAGCCTCATCCATACCCCATTTCGTCACGTCGGTCGAGAACATTCTTCCTAAGCCACAGAACAACTGCTATCCGCCCGCGGCTCCGCTCAAGCGTCACGCGTGTGGGATGAATTGCTCGATGGAGAGGTATGGAGCTTTCCGTGCAGGACAGCTCTCGGGAAGGCGGGTGTGGGGAAAAAGTACATACGTCCACCATGCAGATGTGGAGAGAAACGTGCAGCCGAACCCAAGCCAAAAGGCCTTCTCGCACTCGCCGGAGGCGTCAAAATGAGTGCTCAGTCCGGGTTGCTTTCGCCGCCGTTGAGCGCACAGCTTTGCTGAGCGAGGATCCGTTCACCACCTCAGCGGCCACATCATCCGTGCCCATTTGTCTGTTCGTCAGCGGCTGACGACGTCGAAAAAAAGCGAACGGCTGGGATTTCGGGCCTCTCGACTTCGTACACTAGGTCAAGGGAGGCTCGGAAAATGGAAGATAGATGGGTACATGGTACCTCGGGCCTTCCGAGTTTCAACAGTTATTCTAGCATCCTACCTATTTTACAGCCGCTCTTTTTTCCCCTTCTTTTCTTTTCTTTTCATCGAGCTATTCTTCCTGAAGCTTGACCCCGTCCTGTCAGGGGGAACCATGAATACATTGCTAACATGCAGAATGCCCAGATCGGAGATTGGAGAAGGTGCCGCCCGTGTTCTGCACGCACGACATGCTTCGGCTGGCCAACATTAACAGAACGGCAAAAACTTGAGCCCCTCCCGTTCCTACCCGGTCGAGCTCAAAAAATCAGAACGACCGAGACCTACGAAGCATCTTCAATATATTTTTCGTAACAGCCAAAAAAAAAACTGCGCAGTACAGGAATGCTAGGTTATCCAGCGCCCCATGCTAGCTAGTGTGCTGCGAGGCCAGGGATCGACCCCGACGTCCCGTCTCGCACGCATCCTCGATCCGCCTGCCCCGGCAGAGAAAGCATTCCATTCTCCCCACCAACACATAGCAACATGTTGGCTCCACGTTTTGCGGTGAGATGTCTTTTCTTTGTCCAGCGGTCAATGGCCTCGCGGGCGGAGACAGTCAGGAGTCGGGTTTCCCGTCAACGGTTCGCCTTTGAACATCCCATGTCGCTGGCGCACTGTGCTCCCCCAGGACCGCGCTATGGGATGGGATGAATGATAAAGCTGCCCTGCACCGAAAGGAAAGCTTGGTTTCCGACCCAGACCTGGCGGTTGCCGAGTTTGCATCGTGGCACCGCTGTGCCCCTTACATTCTCCACAGCGCCCCAACCGACATCTACACTCACTGTGTCGAGTCGAGGCGACGTTGGTGATGGCCCTGGCAAATGCGTCCGTACCTGTATTTCTCTGCAGCTTCACCGGTTTAAAATGCGTCGATGGCTTGCTTCTCTCTTGCGTGCCGCAATGATTGGCACCCCTGTGATCGGCAATGATGTTGAGGGCGGCTGGGTTGGGATGCCGCCGAAGGCTTGGCACAACCCACCGCTGCCAGGTCTGCGACTCCCGAGGAGTGTTCTCCGGTGGCCGCGCGAAAGGATGAGCAGTTATCTTCACGACCGATTCGGGATGGCATCAATTATCAGTCCAACGTGCCATCAAGATAGGAATAACACTACTATGTAGTTGCTACTATGCACAACATTTGGCCGCCAAACCCCCCGGCGAGACGCCTCCCTGGTGCCTGGAAGATTCTCTGGAAGATTATCTGGATAGCTCCCCCCGACGACTCGGCGAGGCGCCAGGCCCCCCCGGGCAGGGTGGGAACACGGGATTCTGAGAGTCTGAGCAAGGCGACATTTGCTTCCCGGGGTTTTTGACTCCGCGTGACAGGAGCAGCTCCACAAAACACGGTGTAATTTTGTCGTGGCCGTTGTGCAGGTATTTGACGGCGAAGCAGAATGGTGCGGTTTCTGTCGTGAGACTGCCTCGGACTAATCAATAGTCATTTTGCTGGGTCGACCAAAGACCATTTCATGACGCATCTCGATGTCGAGCATGATGTGGCTTGGCGCAGCTGGGGTATAACTTGTGTCTGTTCGTGGTCGGCCACATTCATCTGACCCAAACGTGTTCCGTGCATACCGAAACGGCACACAACAGGCTGCCGGCCTCACCACACACCAGCCGCCGCCCTCATGCTCTCGACCTGCCAGCCTACTTTCTCCCGAGGGGGGATCATTCATTGGCTGTAACTTGTCGTCGTCGTGGTCGAAGCATGCCATCTTCTCTAGCGGGTGTCGTGTTTAGTTTACATTGGAGATGGGGGATAGAATGGGGGGGGGGGGGCGAAGCTCGTTGTGAGCGACGGATTCTTCTGAACGGGTTCCTTGGTTGAGCGCGGCCCAGTCAGGAAGGAAGGATCGTTTGGGATGAGGCTTCAAGTTCTTTACTGTTACCGTGCGATATGTACGGTTGCGCACTGTGATCTCAAATGCCAGGTGTGGTGGCGGCGGGAGATTTCCCTCACTGCAGGTTTCACTGAATCATCGCTCTCTGTGCAAAGCCTTAAGGCGGTTTTCGTCTCATCCATGACGAGCAAAACGGCGGCAGGCGGAACTAACCACCTGGGTGGGGAGCTCTCAAATAACATCGGGGGCTCGCGACAATTCCGTGTCGCTGAAAGAATGATTTTACCAGGCCGGATTAAATCATTCGGGATTTGACTCTGAACTGCCGAGAAGTGACGTTATTGTTTCCTCGACACCAATACTGTGTAGCCGTCACAGCGTTTAGTTACATTCGTCATTGCGTGTCTGCGCCCAGGTGGTCTTCACTATCACCGTCGGGCTCGCGGTCTCTTTAACGGTGGAGACCTGCAGGGCTGTGCGCTCCGGACGACTCGCAGACTGCTGGTTATGGCGACAGCACCATCTTCCCCCTCCCCGTCCCGTTTCTCGCGCAGCGAAAAGTAAATTCTCAACCCATCGCGGTAGAGAGTTTGGCGCGTTGACGCAGTAAAAATCGTCGCCACTCCTCCCGCGCACGACGAGCATCACCCCCCTTGCCGACGATCAATCCCATCCCGTCCGCTCGGTTTCAGATCGGCTAATCCGTTGTCTCCCCTCCCAACTCACAGCGGCAACCCTCCTCCTGATGTTGCTACTACTGGCGGGTTTCGATGGAAAATGGGTAAATATGATTCGGCCTGGGTATGTCGTGAAGCCTTCAACCCGAGTTCGGTCCGTTGCATCTCGATGAACGCCAAAGCGGGGCGGGGCATGGAAGGTCGTCGTTTCTGGCGGCTGTGACAAAGTGACGAAGCTGGCCGCAATGAATGGAAGTGCTGGGTACAAGAAGAGTGGGGCATTCGATGCCAAATCGCTCGGAAATGAGAGGCTGCTCAATGTTCAGGGACCTCGAGCCAAGAGCAAGGGCTGGAACGACCCGCCGGCCCCACAGTAAAAGTGGATTCAAACCCCTGCGGCTTTTCCCAAACGGCTGGGAACTCAGCTCGCGGCATGGGGCGTGACATCCAAGCACGGAATGGAAACGCGATTTGCAGCAGGCAACCACAACGAACCGCCTCCAAGTTGCCTTCCTTGAACTTCAACACCAACGAAAATGCCGCCAAATTTTCCGTGACTTCAAAAGTCAAATAACACTACCGCCTGCTACACGTCAAACTACGACACCAGGCCAATTTTTGATATGAACCCAGCATTTCACCATTTTTGCAATTTTGGGAACGGATCGAGCCGGCCCAGGTCATGGCCGACCAGTCCAGGCCCAAGCCCAGTGTTTGGGGTACGACCGTGCCGTTCCAGTCTATGAGGCAGCCATATCAACGGATTCAGCGGGTCCAGTCTACAAGTAGTACCACTGCGCTCGCCGCTGGGCAGAAGCGGGCCTATGATGCTTACTCGTCTCACAATTCCAATCAAACCGATGCGGCACCGCAGGGCAGAGTCCCGCCGCCGCCCGTTTTTTCGCCCTACTGTGAATAGCAAGACTACGAATGAACCACCAAGGCTAGCTGCAAGTCGTATTGAATATGCGGACGGCTCTGTCATCAGAGAACAGCCATCCGAGTACTCGCAACGGCAGGTCTTTGCCGCCACACCAACATCAACCGTTGACCCTTTGCTTTCCCTCTTACATCCAGCCTACGGGCTTCCCGCCCAGCTCGTAGCAAACTTTGCTGCTCTCGGCATTAAGACCATCTACCCATGGCAGAAGCAATGTCTTGGCGGCCCCGGTCTCTTGGAAGGGGACCGAAACCTGGTGTATAGCGCCCCCACCGGCGGCGGCAAGTCGCTGGTTGCGGACGTCCTCATGCTGAAGCGGGTGCTCGAAGACCGCAAGGCCAAAGCCATATTGGTGTTGCCATATGTTGCTCTTGTCCAGGAGAAGGTGCGGTGGCTCCGGAACATCGTCGGCGGCATCTCGCGCGAGGAGCTCGAAGAGAACGAGCAAACTGAGAAGCCGGGATTCTGGGCTCCGAGGGCGGACAAAGACACCATCCGAGTGGTTGGTTTCTTTGGCGGGAGCAAGATCAGAGCCACGTGGGCCGACTTTGATATTGCAGTCTGTACTATCGAGAAGGTAAGTCAGCAGTCGAGAACCTGCAATAGCGAAGTCTGACTGAGCTTCCACGTAGGCGAATTCTCTCGTGAACGCGGCCATTGAGGATTGCTCCATCTCCACGTTGCGGGCTGTTGTCTTGGATGAGTGCCACATGATTGATGACGGTCATCGAGGGTATTTGCTGGAGCTCATGGCTACCAAATTGCTGTGTCTCGGCCAGCCAGTCCAGATCATTGGCATGAGCGCCACTCTAACGGTGCGCGGAGTTGCTCTCCTCTCTCTTCCGATTTTCCAAGCTGCTAATAAGGACACAGAACATCGAGCTCCTCAAAAAGTGGCTGCAGGGCCATTCATACGAGACTCATTACCGCCCAGTTCCCATCGAAGAGCATCTGGTGTATGATGGGAAGGTGTATGCCGCAGGGTCTACCGCCAGTCTCCTTAAAACAGTAAGCCAACTAGAGTCAAAGAGCCAATTCAGCCAGCCCCGGTTGCAGCCATTGAGAACCATCCACGCTTCCGACCATAAAGAGCTCACCGACCCTGTTCGGAATGCCGTCGTCGCTCTTGCCAATGAAACAGCCAGGGCCGGTTATGGGGTGCTAGTATTCTCGAGCAGCCGTGCTGGTTGTGAGTCGGATGCCGTTTTGATAAGCCGAGTCTTGCCAACTCTTGAAGAAGCCGATCCCGCCATCCAAGAGAAGAGGCTGGATCTGCTGAGTGACCTGCGCAGTCTGAGTACCGGGTTGGACCCGAAGCTGAAGCAGACTATCCCCTTTGGCGTAGCCTTCCACCGTAAGTACCCCAACGCTAGAATACAACTCTATACTGACTTAATTACAGACGTAGGTCTTTCTGTTACCATCGCCGGCGGTCAAAGCTGACCCTTCCAGGCCGGCCTCACAACTGAAGAACGAGAACTAGTAGCAAACGCTTATGACCACGGGGTGCTTAAAGTTTGCGTGGCAACATGTTCCCTCGCTGCCGGTATCAATTGTGAGACCTTGTCCCACTCTCATCTCTGGTATGCCCATCTAACAAATATAGTGCCTGCGAGACGAGTGATCCTCCACGGTGCCCGTATGGGTCGTGACCTTGTCGGCCCTGCTATGCTGTAAGTGCAACACCACCATGGCACTCGGATAAAATGATGTATGATACTGATCCTTACAGTCGGCAGATGCGAGGGCGAGCCGGCAGGAAGGGCAAAGACGAGGTAGGCGAAACATACCTGTGCTGCCGCCAAACTGATCTAGAAGCCGTCGTCGACCTCATGCATGCAGAGCTTCCAGAATTATCAAGCTGTCTTATTTCAGACAAGCGTCGTGTCCAAAGGTGCCCATCCCCTAGCTCCGGGTTAGGAGTAGTATTCGCTAACTATCGGGACAGGGCCTTGCTTGAAATCATCGCAATTAGACTGGCCACAAGCCAAGACTCCCTCGACGACTACGTGAGCAAAACTATGCTCGCCTACTCGGCGAAGTCACAATCGATACAGGAGACCGTCGAGGCATGCATGGCCGACCTCAAGACCATGGGGTTCATCGAAGTTGAAGACAACGGCGACTTCCAAGCTACCTTGTTGGGAAAGGCAGTTGTTGCGTCGTCGCTTGATCCCGAAGACGGCATCTTCATCCACAACGAGCTAAAGAAGGCGCTACAAGCGTTCGTGTTAGACGGCGATATGCATGTGCTCTACAATTTCACGCCAGTCCACGACCTAGACAGCGTCCCGGTCAACTGGAAGGTCTTTTGGAACGAGATGCAACAGCTCGATGCTAGCGGCCTCAGGGTCATGCATTTCTTGGGCCTCAAGCCCTTCATAGTTGACAATATGTGGGTGTTTTGTACGGTACATACACATGTCCGCATTGGCTAACATGAGACAGGCTCCACGGGGGTAATCTGAAGGAGTCAACACCCAAAGAAAAAGAAAATGCACGACGCTACCACCGGTTCTACCTCGCGCTGCAGCTGCGTGATCTTTGCAACGAGAAACCCATACACCGGGTCGCAGAAAAGTACGACATGCCGCGGGGGTCCGTCCAGACTCTGGCTCAGACCTGCCAGGGGTTCGCTGCCGGGATGATCAAGTTCTGCGAGACGATGGGCTGGGGGTAGGTTCCACGCCGGCATATGGCTGACTATTCTCGTTAACTGCTTGCTAATCGTGGCTAGGGCCATGGCGGCCGCACTCGACCACTTCTCCGACCGACTCAAGGCCGGGGCCAGATCTGATCTCCTGGCGCTTGCCAAGATTACGTTTGTGAAGAGCAGGACGGCGTAAGTCGGGCGGGCCGGGCGCTCCGTTTGGGTCGGATGGTTGGGCTAACGTTGATGACCTTAGGCGGATTTTCTGGGACAACGGCCTGAAGACGGTCGGGGCCGTCGCTAGTGCGGATCCGAAGGAGCTGCTGCCGGTGCTGATGCAAGCGCAGCCCAACAAGGTGAAGTTGGGGGCCAAGGACGAGCAAAAGTTCAGGGACAAGCTGCTTGCGAAAGCGAAGATCATCGCCGACTCGGCAAACAGGCTATGGCGTAAGCATTCCCTTGGAGTTTGTCCGTTTGTGGGAACTGACCGAGCACTTTATAGAGATCGAGATACAGATGGAGATGGAGGAAGAATAGCAAGACGTCGACTTCTAATCGGTTGCTCGGCCCCATCGGGAGTGCCCGATCCTTCGGGAAACAAGGCGGTCCTATCTCTCGGCGCCACGTTACAAGAGCGTTGGGGAAACACGGACGTAGGTAATATGATGGATAGGAGATGCCGCCCGGGCCCTGTGCATGATTTGTTTGTAGGCAGGTATTAATGGACTGTGTAGATTGCTGGCATTGTCAAACTCGTAGCAGTGATGCCTAGCCTGGTGGATTCGAAGAGTGACCAAACACTACGGCCAAACCCCACCGACCGGTAGGTTTTGGAGAGGAACCGGAGAAACTGGTGAGAAGCTGGTGTAAAGTCGAGCTGAGGAGGTTGAGAAAAGGGCCCGGTTAGGTCGGTCAGGTCTTGGCTTCTCTGCCACAGGAAAGAAGGTCGGCCAGGGAAGTACCTAGGGTGGGGTTGTGGGAGGGAGGTTCCAGGTTACCTTGCCTTACTCAGGCCGGCAGGCGCACCCATATGCACGTCGTCCAAAGATGCGCGCCATGCAGGTGCAGCAAGCACCTTTTGGACACACGGCGCAACGCATGGTGAGCTGCTCGTGAGGCCCTTCAGCCTGTCGGCTCGCACCTTCCCCTGGTCCATCACCCCATCCATCATCCATGGATCTCATTATCCATCAAGCATGTGAGCATCCATGCATTTTTATCCTCCCGCTCTCGGCTTTGGCGCTTTTTTCGTTTCGCTTCCAGATTTACTGCATGTTTTGGTTGTCAAGAGGCTGGCTGCAGGTAAAACCCCCGCCACTTTCGGCAGCTCATTCGGGGGATCGACATCGGGCAGTACTTCGAGGGTGCATCCGTACCATACACAGGACATCCATCCAACAATAACTACCTACCATCCACATAACTGCATCCATCCATCAGATCTGCATCAACATCTCGCGACATTCTTTTAACTTTTGATCCATCGCATCGCATCACATTGCATCACTCGTGCTATCATTCTATCCATATTTATTTTTTTATTCTCCCGTGACTCAAATCCAAACCGGGTTTCAGGTCGTCGAGTCACCGGTGCCGCCTTGTTGCCTGCGGAGGTAACCTTCTTCTGGCTCTGCCTCATTTATCCCGCTGGACGAATCTCGCAGCCGCGCCAATTCACCCGCTCTTGTGGTAGGTCAAAGGCCGCCTCGTGCACCAACAAAAGGAAGAAGGGCGACCCGCCGGCCACACCACTATTCTCGTTTGATATCGAGCCCGCCCAGAAAGACGTCTTAGAAGCGTACCGCATATCATTCGGCAGACCACCATTGTGGCTTACCGGACAGCAACCCTCCTCCCCCCGTGCAGCTCTTTCCCTTATTTCTCTTTGGCTCTGCTCGCATGGGATCCCATCTTGGTATTTGCCTCCATTCTTTTTTCTCTTGACCAATCCGATCGGTCAAAAATCGTGTCAGCTTTGCCACCTTGTGGCATTCAGGTTCTGGACCACCACCATCGGCCTTTTTGGAGTTGTCTTTTCGTCCCTCGTCTCGTCTTCAGCTTTTAAGTACCGCCGCTAGGTAGTTAACACCCAAGGCGTGGCTGGCTTCTCGTTACTTTTTCCTCTTCTGCAACTCGCTTGCACCTCCCAATATCCTACATTTACAACCGCCGACCCAGTAACCATCTCCATACACCTTTTGAGTTGCACGCCGTCTCGTATCGCATCGCATCGCAGCGCAGCGCATCGCCAAGGATCATGTCTGCGGTGCCCAGCGCCAGCTCAGGTGCTGCCGCCGCCGACCTCAATGAAACCGGCAGCAGCCAGGGTCAGGGCCAGAGTCGGGGCAATGAGAGAGGCGAGGGGAGCTCCGGCGCCAGGAACGAGGAACGAAGCGCAAGCACTTCCCGCACACTCGGCGACGTGATGAGGGAACCGTCCACAACAACCCCCGGTGTCGTGGTGTTGGATTCGCTACCCGAGACGGCCGGGCGCAAAGATATCCTGGACCCCAAGGAGGACCTCTGGTTGTCCACAGTCGACGGGTGAGTTGCATCCGTCCCTCCGCTTCGGCCCCACTCTCGGCCCATCTCCCGGAGCACTCCCTCGGAGTATCCCCCGGCATGGTGTCCCGGCGAGCATGGATCGCCGCCACACCGTTTCGTCATTTGCTCTTTTGAACCTGCTGTGTGGCTTTCTCGAAAGCACCACGGTTGGCTGACATGCAAGTGTAGCCGATACAGTTCACCCATGATCCCGCTTCGTGTGGGCGAGGCGCCTTACCACGAAACCTTCTATGTATGTGCACTCCCTGGTTCTACACACTGTGTAGCGTATGTGTTGGTATACTGACTGTGGCTCAGGTACACAAGCACGTCCTCCTGAAGTCCGAGTATTTCGAGAAGGCCCTCTGCGGTGAATTCAAGGAGTCGGGCATGCAATCCATCGACCTCCCGGAGGAGAACCCTGCTATTTTCCACTTCCTCGTTGCCTACCTCTACGAAGGCAAATATGAGCCTATCCGGCCTGCCGCCTCAGTATTGGGTATGCCATACCCCACCCCACCCCGGCTTCCCTAGCGAACACCTCGCTAATTTACTCTCTACAGTGCCAGACCAAGACAAGGGGAAAGGCAACGCCGCCGACACGGGCGCCGGGTCCGACTCCGACTCGGCCTCATCTATCGAATCCGACATCAGCGCCCGCTCCCGCCGCCGGCGCGACCGCCACCGCCGCCGCGAGGACCGCAACTGGGAGCGCATGCGCCAAAAGCACCCCGGCATGCATCGCCCGAACTGCAACTGCCCGCAATGCGCCGCCGCCTCCGGGCCGCCCTGCTGGTCCTGCCGCGCCCCGCGCAACCCTCCGCCCTACCACCACCCACCTCACACCGTCTACCTCCACGACGGCCGCCCGGAGCGCCAACCACGCCGCCCGCCGCGCCGTCGCCAACACGGCCCCGGCATTCCCCCACCCCCGCCGCCGCTCACACCCCCGTTACCACCTCCGGGGGGCGGTGGCCCAGCAGGTACCGGCACGGGCACCAACGGCGGCGGCTCTGCGGCATGGGCGGACCCCAACGGCGGGCGCATCTCGGGTGAGGACCTGCGCACGTGGCTGCTGACGTACGAGCTGCACATGGACGTGTACATCGTGGCGAACAAGTTCCTGCTGGAGGGGTTCAAGAAGGAGGTGGCGCGGGCGGCGATCGACATGCTGGAGACGGCCGGGTCGGACGCGGCGGTGGCCGAGGTGCTCTTCCTCTGCCGCAAGCTGTACGACGGCCTGCCCGAGTCGGACCCGCTGCTCAAGATGGTCTTTGCCCGCGTCGGCTTCCTCCAGCCCTGGCGCCGCGCCGAGCGCGAGGCCGCCGACTTCCTCGCCGCCAACCCCGAGATCGCCCCGCTCCTGCTCCGCGAGATGGCCGCCCGCCGCGAGGACGACGTCAACGGCCGCGCCCTGCCCAGCATGGTGCGCCCCTGGTACGCCTTTGGCGGTGGCGCTAACGGCGCCATGGGCAACGGGAACGGCGCCTTCGGCCCCAACGGCCAGATCGATGTGTTTGGCGGTGGCCCGTGGGGACCCGGGAATGGGTACCGGGGCTGGCCGGCTGCGCCGGGACCGGGGCCGGGGCACCATGTGAGGAGAGGCGGGTATTAGGGTGAGGGTGTTGTGCTAGGAATGTGGTGGTGGTATTTCTTGGGTATGGGTGGAGGGGGGGAAGGGGGGTAGGGGACTGATCTTGGAGTTATGGTGGATAGGTAGGGGTGGCGGTGACTTATGGCTCGGTTTATGGTGAGACGCGGAACGGGGACCGTATTTACTAGCTTTTTTACGGGGGAAGGAATGCGAGAATGATACCAAGGTGTTTTTGGGCTGCGAAATTGTTCTTTGGCTTCTTCCCGTCTCACCTTTTCGGCCTCTTCCTCTTTGGATTCACATAAAACTGCGAGACGGGAAGGACAAGCGGAGGAGACGGAAGTTGGAAGTATACAGTAGGACCGGGGGTTGAGCAGCATCGGCTTTCCCAACCACCACCCCGCACAACTACCTAACTAACTACCTACTCGCCGCCCCACCCTCAGTCAATACAATCATCCCTCATCCTAAACAACACCCCAAACACCTCATCCGCCTTGGACCTCACCGCATCATGATACCACCCGTTCGTCTCCCTGACCTTGATCCCCTTCACCAACCCCGCCGTCTCCCGCGCGAGCTCGAAATCAACATACATGTCGTCCACGTAGCTGACGGCGTACACGGGCACCTCGTTGCGGCGCAGCTGCGCCTCGTCGTACAGGTCCTCGTCCCACTCGGCCGTCGCCGCCAGGATGTCGGCCGCCTCCCGCATCCGCCCCAGCTCCGTGCCCAGCGTGCCGTCGAAGTGGAACGGGTACACCATCTCGCCCGAGAAGTACAGCGGCTCCGACGGCGGGGTGGCCCGCAGGAAGGTGGCTGGGTTGGCGAGCCAGGAAAAGGGTGCGAGGGCCTCGCCGACGCGCTGGGCGGCCCAGTTGGAGGCGGGCCCGCCGGTGCGCTTGGTGTTGTAGATGGCCTCGTGCAGGATGGCGTAGATCGGGTGGGTGTCGAAGGAGATGTGGGCTTCGAAGTCGGCGAGCGAGGCGTGCGTGAGGCGCCCGACTTGGTCGAGGTCCGTGGCGAATCGCAGGACGAGCGAGTGCACTTCGTCGAGCCCGCCGTGGCCGCCAAAGGCGAGGCCGAGGGTTAGGAAGAGGGGCACGGTGAGGTTGCCGCCGGATGGGAGGGGGGTTTTGGTTTGGGATTGGATGTGCTCGGCGATGCGGCGCACGCTGGCGATGTCGTCGGGGTATTTCTTGTAGTAGGCCGCGTTGCGCTCGATGAGCTTCTTGTATGTGGCGGCGTAGACCTCGTCGGCAGTGCGTTTGACCGGGGCGAGGCCGCCTGTGAGGAACGCCTCCCTGAGGCTTTGGGGGTATTTGGAGAGGTAGGTCAGGCTGACGAATCCGCCGAAGGACTGGCCAAAGATGGACCAGGCTTTCTTTTCCTCGTCGAAGTCCTCCGTCAGGCAGAGTCGAACGGCTTCCAGGTCACGCACGATATTAGTGGCGCGGAACAATTTTAGGTAATCGGCCTGCGCTTTGGGGTCGCCTTGTGATAGTACAGAGTCGGCGTTGATGGGTGTGCTGAGCCCAGTGCCGCGGTAGTCTAGGTACAGCACCTGGTAGCCGCGGTTGAGGGCAACTTGGGTCAGGGCATGATTCTGCGGGCCACGGTTCCCAAACCCCGGTCCGCCTTCGAGGTAGGCGAGATAGGGCAGCTTCTCCTTGCTGGCTAGCTCCGCGGCGGAGAATGGGGTGATGGGACGTTCATTCTTCCTGACACTGCGGCCGAACAGCTTCAGGGTGCCGGCCTCGGGACGGGCATAGTTCTTAGGCACCTCGAAGAAGAGCTCAGTGATGAGCAGCTGGCCTGGTAGTTATGTGTAAGTGAACGGGCCCCAATCAAGAACACAGCAGCTGGAGAGACTCCTACCGGGGAGAACATAGTTCCGCCGGCTAAGGAGTCGGGCAGCCTGGATAGCGGCCATATTTGGACAGGTCGAAGAAATAGAACAATCAAGGCTTGGTCACTGCCCTGCTTGCTCCAGTGGATGATAGCAGACCCTTTGCACGTCGTGTGCTGTGGGATGTGTGATTTGTGATGTCCCGATGTGCGGTGTCGGATTTGGGTGTCGTTAGGCAATTGAAGCTTCAGAACAGACCAATCAACTGGAGAAAACACCGATATTTGGAGAAAATGAATTGGATGTATTCAGTTGCTGGTGGTTTTTGGAAGGAGTGCCCGAAATTACAAAGCCGTTTATGGGGCTTGACGGGGCACTTTTGCCAGTCAGGCAAAGCGGTAAGCAAATATGCAAATTTACAAAAAGAAAAAAGGAAAAAGCCAGGAAACAGATGCGAGGTTAATATCCTGTAGAAACAGGTGATTTGTTGCGTTGGACAAAATCCGGGGCAGTTGTAAATGTAGGGAGATAATTCTGTCGCCAGTGTCCGAAACAACCCCGCCTGAAGCTCCTGGAGCGGGGATCGACAACGGCGCGTTCGGGACAATCGGGGTGGGGCCGGGACCGGGGTCTCCTTCCGAGGCAACGGAACGGTTTAACGTGGTGCCTCTCTGAGAGGTGGGGTCTTCCCAGCTGCGCCCAAAAACTCGGAAAAGCCTGCAAGTGCAACTGGAAGCTCGTCATGCAACCAACCAACACGGGAAGCTGCCCGAGCGAACAAGCGCAACCGATGTGACATGAGCAACATCCAACTCATCCAGACTCTGACCGAGTCCTTCATTGCGCTCTCGGATGAAGTCCAGTCGCTGATTGACCGCAAGACAATTTTAGAGCACAAATTGCGTTATGCACATGAACAGGTATGTCGAATGATTTTTTTGATTTTCTTTCCCGCGGCTTCCGTGATGATTTCTTTAGCTCTAGATCTGGAGCTGGCTCCCCAAGGGATGCACAGCGAATGGAGACAACTCAAGTGTCTGATCCTAGCCAATTCACACTCTTCTGCTCCTCGAATTGTGCCAGCAGTCAGCTAACTCTAAGCTCGACAGTACCAATACCTAGCCGACAAGTACGCGCCAGCCGTGCCCGAAGTCGCCGAGACGCTTGTAAAGCTACAGCTACCTCCAGACTTGCACCAGCCTGTCGCGGCAGCAACCTCGGCGGTGCCCTTACCGAAACGTAGCCAGCCCGGGAACAGTCAGCATCAGGTCGCGCTGCTCATCAGGGCGGGCCGCAAAGCTGCTCAGGAACTCGTGGCCGGCATCGCCAGTGCGAACCAAGGCGGGGAAATCGGGGAGGGCGACGGACAGTCAGCGTCTCCAGACATGGATATCTTAACGTCGGTGTCGACCGTCCTCGAAAAGGACTTCACCGTTGAAGGCAAGAAAGGCGTGCTAGCCTGCCCTTTCTCGGCCCAGCCGAATCAAGACGGCGGCCTTCCCGAGGGCGCTGAGCGGGTCGACGGTTCTCAGGACCCAGCCAGCGCAGCCGACCCCTCGCCGCACAAGTCATCTGACCCCATCTGCGCTGCCATGCTCAACGAGACGGCCGATCCGTCTGATTCTGCTCCGTCCAAGTGCCCGATTCGTTTTCTAGACAAGCATTCGCCCGAAGAGATTGCCCACTACGTTGAAACGCACAAGCATTCGATCCCTCGAAGCCATGAGGTCTGCGTTAGGCGGTACCAGAAGAACGAGGAGCAGATCAAGAAGCTTGATGCCAAATACGGGAGTCTTGTGAACATGGTCAAGGACCTGAGCCATCTCCACCGTCCTATGATGCCGCCCTCGCAGCAGGAGCAGAAAGAATCCGACAGAGCGTCCAACAAGAGAGTAGAGGATTGGACGCAGACGGTTGTGGCAGGTGATCCGGAGCCAGATGAAGAAATGCCAGTAAGCGATGAGCGCGAGGGCCGCTTTGACCGCCCCATGAGGGACGTGCGGGTCGGAGAATCGCCCAGTCGACCATGGGGGATATCAGTACCCTTGGAGGCCGGACTTCAGCAGCGTGGACCATCACCCAAGCCTGCCGACGACTCTGCGCGGGCGCCCAAAGAACCGACGGCCCCTCGGAAATGCCCGTTTGATCATACGAAGATGTTCGCGGGAGCAAAGCCGGAGCATATCGCGGACACTCCGGTCAAGCCGCCAGCCACCCCGCACAAGGTCGAGGCGCCGCCACCGAGCACGCCGCAGCCCACGTTCGTCAACCTTCCTGAGGTGCCGGCGCCGGCTGGGGAGAAGGGCGATCGCCCACAGGTTATTTTCAACATTTCCGGCCCGGTCTTTATCGGTTACCCGATGGAGCAGGCCATGGAGTTCATGAAACAGTTTCAGGGAAACCAATGACATCGGGGCTGGCGGGGTTCAGTGATTTCTTACGTGCTTTATGGGTATAGTTAGCGAGCAAGGCGTTCGGGTAGCGGACTGGGGATACCACCTGGCTGTTCTGGGAGGTATTTCGTCGATGGCTACAGCAAGATATACTCCAACACAATGTTTATTTGACTTTTACAGATTGCATAATGTTACTCTTTCCAAGACGGTCTCTTCTATTGACACTGAACCTGAACCCTACGCAAACGCCTGTCTACTCCAACGCCACCATGTGGGAACCGAACAATCAACCAGCCAGCTAAACCAAAAAACCGTCAAGTACAAATCTGACAACGACACCTATTTCTTTGCGCCGTTTATACCTTCGCTTCCATGCCCGTTCGAACCGAAGCCGTTGCCCACCGGCTCATCGTCCCAACTATCGTGATACCCGTCGCCCGAGGCATCCCACAGCGAGATATCGTCGTCGTCCATCAGCGCAGCAGCATCCAGCTCGTCCGGATCCACCATCCTCCCGTTCTCCAGATCGTCACCCATCACGCCCTGCTCCAGATCGCCGTCGCCGTCCAGGAGCGCCTCGCCCGCTTCGAGCTGCGCCTCGCGCGCCAGCTCGGCCGCCCGCGCCATGGTGCGCCGGTAGATGAACACCCCCACGGCAAAGCCCAGCAGCCCGAAGACGGCCATGCTGATGTAGTTGACGGCGCGGTCGAACCCGCTCATCTTGTCGCCCGGCTCGGCCAGCAGCGCCAGCCGCGAGCCGATGAAGACGTGCACCAGGAGTTTCGGCCTGCGTGTCGTCAGTCAGTCAGTTAGCCGTCTGTCACCGCTGACCAGTCAGGGAGGGGGAACGAGATCGAGAGAGAATTAAAAACATACGTCGCCCCCGCCGTAGCCAGCGCAAACTGCCCCACCCCAATACTGCCCACCGTCGCCAGAAACCCATTACTCAAGCTATACGGCAGCGGACACAGCCTAATCATAACCAACACCCCCAACCCATCCCTCCTCAGCACCTGCCCCAGCGCAATAAACCGCTGATCCCCGCCCACCAACCGGTGCACATACCCCCTCAGCCACCCGCGACTCGCCACGAACGCCGCCGCGGACCCCACCACCGTCGCGCTCGCCGCGATCGGCCAGCCCAGCGGGAAGCCGTACACGAACCCGGCCAGCGTCACGCAGGTCGAGTAGCCGATGACGGGCGGGAACGCCGTCGCGACGGTGGCCAGCCACAGCGGCAGCCAGCCGAGGGGCGCGGCGCGCCACGACTGGGCGGCGGCGCCGAGCGCGACGAGCAAAGGGTGGGAGTAGACCAGGAAGAGGATGGAAAGGACGAGGATGAGCAGGCCGGCGAGGGAGACGAGGATTTGGTAGCGGATGGGGAGGGCGTTGTACCAGTGGGTGTATTGGCGGTAGAGGTAGGTTAGGGTGGTGGCGGCGGTGGTGAGGAAGGGTTTGTGGGGGGCGGTGCTGCTGGTGGTGGTGGTGGCGGTTCCGGGGCGGCGGGTGGAGAGGCGGCGGGCGCCGGGGGGTGTTGGGCGCGGGGTCCAGGGGGGAGGGGGGATGGTGGAGGTGTTGAGGCCCCCGATGGTGTCGTTGTCGTTGTCGTTGTCGGTGGAGGGGCGGGTGGTGATTATGGTTGGCGGGGAGGAGGCGGTTTGGTTCGAGGAGGCATCGTGGAATACGTCATCTTCGGAGGGGGGAGGCATCGCGGTGGTGTTGGTTCTATTGACGCTTGCTTGCTTGCTAGTGCCGGGCCGTGTCGACGTACGCAAGGTAGGTACGGATGTGACAAAGGGAGGCGGGTCGCGTTAGGTGTCCCGGGAGGGGCGGAAAGATGGTGGAAACGGACACAGTTGCTACCTGCGCATAGCGATGGTATTGATATTTACTGTAGGTCTTCGATTGTAGGATAGGTAGCTATGCGGTGCTTCGTATAGGTCGTAGGGGGTCCGAATTGGTTGGTTTGGGATTTGGCATTGAAGCTGGTCGGAGATGCCTGCCTGGACACCTGGAACAAAAAAAGGGACGGGTCGAGGTTCCATGTCAGATTGCCGGGATCTGCGGGTCGGAACTGGCCCAGACTCAGCCACGGGGGCTCGCTCTGAGAGCTGATTAGAGCGGTGCTGACGTGCCCAGAACCAACCAGTTGAACGGTGTGGTGTGTGGCACAGTGGCCTCGACAATGCAAGGCATGCAGTCTTGATACGGGCTGAAGAGTTTAGATTGGCGGAGACCAAGTATGCAATAATCTCTTGGTGACCGAAGAGGTGTACACAGTAAGGCTGTGAGTAACTCCCACCCATAACTCGTTGCGCACTGTAGGATCAGCAGGGGATGCATCATCCCGCTTAGAGACGTCATTGCCAAGGGGGAGAGGCCCACACTATTAAACGCCCGTCCTGTCTTCTTGAGCCTCTCAACATGGATTAGCGCAGGGGGCCACATCAAGGGGCTCTACACAGTATGGCACAGTACAAGTATATCTCGAGTTCAAGGCTTTTACTTCTTTCTGTTCAAAAGGTAGCTACGGGCCCCATTGTCACCTGCCCCTGGCACCCGACGGGCCCTTGGGTGGTTCCTTGGCCGCCGACGTGTCCCTAACAAGCAGCTTGACCTTGCCCTCGCCGATCTCGACACCTTGGGACAGGATATCCACCTCCTCCTTGTCCTCCTCCTTCCTCGTCAGTGTCTTGCCGTCCTGCGAGAGCGTGCGGTCCCAGCTGCGTGCGTCGATGCCCAGGATGCCCCCCGTGCTGTTGCGGTCGCCGGGCACCGAGAACTCGCGGTACGCGTAGCGCCACTCGTTGAGGAAGCCCCGAACCGCCTTGCCGACCTTGTCCTTACCATTCTTGCTATGGTGGCCGGTGCCGGTAATGGCATAGATCGGTCGGCTTTCCGTGGCGTTCTCCGTCAGGATGCCCTCGAGGTATTCGACGGCCTCTTCCGGGTGCAGCCCGTGCAGGTCTACGTAGATCTCGGGGCAGTCCCCCCTATTTTTGTTGCGTTCCTCGTACAGCTGCTGGGCCGCCTCACGATGAGCCTTCCGCATGAGATCGTTCTCGCTCTGCCCGCGGAGACTGAGCGCTTTGGCGGCCCGCGCGTCATTGCGGTTCCAAGCCTGAGCGGCACTATTTCATGTTAGTATTTGATCAACCCATTCCATTCTCCTCCGGCTGGGTCACAAACCTCTGAAGAAACTTGTTCCGGAGGCCACCGTGCTTGATGGCCTCCTGTCGCGCCTTGAGATAGGCCTTGTTGGCCTTGTCACCGGTCTCAAGCCAGGGAATGTGCTTCGGGTTCGAGATCGCCTGGGCAGCCGCGCTGTTCTCGCCGTTGCGGACGTTGGTTGAACTGCCGTTACGGGGAGTCCTACGGTTTGGCACAGCCGGCGTCGGCGTCGGCGACATCTTGACAATGTCCGCCAGTGTGCTCGGTGCAAAGTTCTCTTTAGGCCCATGGCCATGGCCGCCTCTCTTACCGTGATGTTTCTTGCCCTGCTTTACTATAGCAGCGCCAAGCGATGGGAACGCATCGGCATCGTCCGGTGAAGGGGCAGACTGGGCGTTATCCTTCTGTTGGTGCCGGCTGCCTGGCCGAGATCTAGGCCGGTCGGGGTAGGCATGGTGACCCTTGAACCCGGGCGGCGGCGTCACGCCCAATGTCGGATAACTGGCGGTAGTCGCAAAGAGCTGCTCGGGCGTGCCCGGCTGGAGCGCTGGGAAGTTACTATAGTCCTGCAAGTTCACCGTGGCATGTTGCATTGGCGGCGTGCCGGAGCCATCGATGTGTAGCCGGTTGACAAGATGCGAGGGATCGTGCGAGAAGATACAGGTGCTGCCGGCAAGGCAGTTGCCCGCAACCCAGTATCTGGCACATGTCAGTTCCGAACCAGCCCGGGGCTTTCCCGTAACTCACTTGCAGATGTGATTGCTCAAATCATGACTAAATCGGCAGTCGGCCCGCAGACACTGGCCAGTGGAAAGATAGAACTTGCAGATAACGCCCGACTTCTGCTGGTCTGCTGGGGTACCCGGCCGGCCGTCAGGGCTCATCGTCTTCCCGATTGTAACTCGGTTCTCTTCAGCCTGGGCGGCCAACGCGAGGTTGTCCTGCACCTGCGTCTCCATGATAGCCGCAACGGTGGCTCCAAGGTCGTAGCCGTGCATGGCGAGGGCGGCGCTGATCTCGTCGTCCGACTTGGTCTGCCCAAGGATCGACCGCAGCATGTCGTAGGGGGTCATATCCGACTGCTGCTGCGTCGAAACAAACTCAGGAGCGCTCACGTTCAGCCCGCTAGAGCCACCAACCGAAGATGTCACGCTGATTGCATCGTCGCTCACGAGCCAGTCCACATTGTCAGACTGGTAGTCGCCAAAGACCTCCTGCGACGGTGTGTCGTCATGGGCAAACTGGTAGGCGTTAAGGTTCGGGCTGTGCGGCACGGGGGTAGCAAACGCCAGCCTCGGAGACGGCCGCGGCGAGCCAAAAGGGGACGCGGTCGAAGACTTTGTCCGACCAAACGGTGTAGGCATGAAGCCCGGCGGGGCAAGGGGACTGACGCCCAGTCGAGGTGAACTCGAGAGTGGGGTCCCAGAGCCGCGCCAGGAGGCCGGCGACGGCCGCCGCAGGATGGTTTGCCGAATCGGTGGCGGCGAGGTTGTGCTCCCCCCTCCTTCTCGGTATCTCCATAATGCATCTAATATTGCGTTTTCTAGCGCTTGCCCAGCCAAGCTGGTCTTCACTTTGAGCAACTCCTCGAGCCTGTCCGTCTTGTCCTCATCTTCGATGTTCGGGTCCTGGAGGATCGGGAGGCAGATCTCGTACGTCTCGTCGGAGACCATGGTTTCGGTCAACGGAAGGGTTGGAGGTTGTAGTAAGAAAAGTCGTGGAAACGGCGGTTTACTCGGTGACTAAGAGACCTAGTTGGGGGGTTGCCCGACGTTGGGTCAAAGGTATTATGCTCGAGACGATTGGTAAATCGGATCAAAGGCGAAGGAAGAAACAAAGCACAAAGAAATCGAGGTAACGAGTGAGAAAGAAAGCGGGAAAAGCGTGACTGGGCACGGCGGATGGAGGAGTATGTGCCTGGTCTGCAGCTATGTCGGGCGTCGAAGCGGAGTCGGTGAGCTGTCTGCCTCAAGCCCCGGCGTCGGAGCGGCGGGGCGACTGACGATTCACTGCGACAACACAGGTGCGGTATGGTGTGAGGTCCGAGGAACGTAAAGATGGCGGCAGTGGTGAATGTCTAGTCGCATGTTGTCATCGAGGGGGTTGCCGACTACCGTCTTCAGGGGGGAAGTTGCGGTTGCGGGCAGGGATCGAGAAACGGGGGGTGGTGGATTACGCGACACGGAGGTCTATGTTGGGGAGAACCCCCAAAGTTCGAAGAGGGTCGGTGGTAGAGGTGGCCCGCAAGAGAGAAAAAGAAGACAAAAAACCTAAGATGATAGAAAAGAAGTCGATCGGGATTGAACGCGAGGAGTGTCAAGAGCGCCGAGGCAGCCCGCGTGTTCAGCTGCGACCAAAACTGCGGAAGGTGATCTGGGGGCACCCGCCGTCCGAACAGCTCCCGACGACTGGGCTGCAAGGTGCTGAAGTGGAGGGTTCTGGGGGGACTCGGGGCCGTCTTGGACCAGTGTGGGGCTTTCCCTTACAGTGCACAAAAGCAACATGACCACACTGTGCCAAGGTCAGGCGCCCCGCTGTGACCCAACCTTCCCGCCTTTTGGCTGGCTGAGCCCAATCTGAGCACGGCCGAGCTGAAAGGCGGAGTGACTTGTGATTGGTGCAATTTAGTTAGTGAGCCTCTCGCGAACAAAGAAGTCCTCGATCAACTCGATCAATCACGCCGTCGTTTTAGTAAGGAGTTGCCTTTATGGTATGATTTCAATAAAACAACAATAGGAACCTCACATACAACCAAATAATGCGTCACGATCTACCCATGCACCTTGCCCCGGCTCTTTGTGTAAAAGTACCTCCCTGCCTCAGTTGCGAATATCTCTCCGAGTATTATCTCCTTCATCGACAATGGACCGTTGAATGCATGCAATTGGACGCCCTTGAATATTTGGTAGATACTAGGGTACCTCGTCATCTTCTTCTTCGAACCCGAACCCAAAGCTAAAACCCGTGTTCTTCTTTTGCGGTTGATCTCCCGAGCTCTCGTCATCGCCCACCACGGAATCCCATCGTCTTTTCTTCTCAGCCAACTGTCTCAGTCCCACCTCGAGCAAGTCAGGCCGCTCCTCTCTCAAGCGGCTGGTGAAGAGGGCGTATGGGTCGGCAACTTCATCCTCAAATCCAGACACCTGATCTGCCTTATCCTTCAGGAAGGACATGACACCACCAAGGTGAGACTCGGGCACAAAATTCTGCGTCAGGGCAATCCCGTCCTCTAGGTTCACCACAAGATGCCACCAGCCGCTCGGGACGTGGAGAATCTCGCCCGTCTTGCAGATGCCTTCTTTGCACTCAGGCAACTTGCGGGCCTCTGAATGAAACTCTAGCAGCCACTCAGCAATGCTAAGCGGACTGGTGACCTCGCTGCTGTCCTTGGAAACGAACACGCCGGGTACGGATGCTGATGGCGGGAACATGATCCAGTACTTGGCGCCCTGGATCACGGCATTCCAGGCGCTCGTCGCATTGGGGTCCTTGTGGAAGGTAGATCCGCTCCGCTCCGGCCCGATGATGAGCCACCGGTGGGCTGGCCGCTCGGTTCCAAGGAGCTCAAACAAGTCCGGTCCAAAGCAATCCGGCTTCCAATATGCCGCACCTTCCTCCTTGCCAACTTTCAACGACATCTTCTCGGCAAACTTCCGATCGAACAAGTAGAGGGGGCTCTCGTCCTGGCTGTTGCGCATGTACTGGCAGTAGGTTTTAAACGACCAATCCACCGCTTCCGCTCGGAACACGACATCCGAATATTGGGAGAGGAGGCTCTCCAGTGTCCATGACTTGGTGACTGGCCAGGCCTGGATGCACTCGGTGAGGATAAACGGCTTCTTGCTCCATTTTCCCGCGAAGTCCTCGTACGAGAGATCCTCGAAGCGATCAATCTCGTTGGTCGTCGGGATGTTTTTCGTGTACTGGCTTAGGGAGATATGGCTGCAGACGAATGGGCGGTGCAGCACATCAGAGAAAACACTGCTGCAGTCGACCCGGATGCTTTGTTCAGGTGACAAGTCCAGAACTGTCGCCCTCCAGGATCCTCGCCACTCGAAGGAAGACTTGTTGCCAAGGTCTGACCTGGAGCATCGTCAACAGATGTCCCCGCCCCTTGTGATGACACAATGAGCCGCTTGGCTAGAATTGAAGGGGCACGTTCCGTCATAACGTAACCGGCTGGTCAACCGGTGAAGAAACCGCGTCCCTAACCTCGGGGGTTCAGGGGTTCTGGGAACCGGCGGACAGAGAAATTAACATACCCTGATATTCTACCCACCGCTGCTTCGTTTGTCGTGGCACAGTCTACTGTACATATCACGGGGAGCACACGTGAATAACTTACTCTAAAAAAATCGCCTTCCATATGTCGTCAGCCATGCAGCACCCCAGGAGAAACTTGCATGTATAGCCGAACAGCCTCAAAGTGCGAGCATCTAAGTATTCCAAAAACTGCATGAGGATCTCGTCGGGTACAATTTGCAGCACCCCTAAAGACGTCCGAGCATCCTCGCCGTTGAAAAAGTACTTGTTGCCTAGCGGTTTGATGCCGAAGGGGTGTGGTGGCACGGACGAGCCGAGGCTGGAGTCATCTTGACCGCCGTTGGCAATGACTGGGTGACTCAATGGGTGACTCCCATCGACCTCCCCTTCGAGGGCGCAGCTCCGGATTTGCCGCTGATGTGAGGGCAGCAGCATGATGGCGGGGCGAGGATGGGCCGAGACCGTGCCGTGCAAGGCTGGTGATAACTAGGTACCTAGGTAGCGGCTTGTTGGCAATGCGCTGCGAAATCGACCTGATCAAGAAACGTCGTTCAAATTGAAGGACAGAAAAAAAACAGCATGTGTAGGTTGGTTGCGTGTGGTCACAGACGCTGCGGGGCAAAAATAGAACAGTGACCGTTTGGCTTGCAGCCGCCCGCAGCCTCAGCAAACCGGTCGCCTGCAGTAGCTGGTGGGATGGGTGGATCGATGATCGATAAGACTTTTTTTTGCCTGTGCGCCACCGAAAAAAAAAAATCGATAAGCCCCACGCCCCACTGGCCTTGTTGGCTTTGGGCGGGGTTGCTGCCTAAGGCCATGATCGATTCTGCTCCGCCAAAAGGAATTTTTATCGTTGTCCACCCAGGTCAGGCTTTCCTCTCTCCCATCACCACACATCCAGGAACCACTACCTTCAATAACTACGTCCTTTCATAGATTCACTTGTTCTCAGTTAGAATACTGGGAACTTTGAGTCTATATTCTTTTCTGGTAATCCATTTTTTACCGAGACTTCTGCAGCACTCGACGAGTCGCCTGCGGATTTTTCCCTCGATACCCCACCATCACCTTCTGAATTTCTAGATCTAAGCCGGGCTTGGATCTGGAAATCTTTGCGAACACTACTCGCAATCATGGCTACTGACAAGGGACTCGAGGATGTCCCCGAGGGTACGTTTGTTTATGCTCTTCGCCGTGAGGGGATCACATTGCGATTGTCAACGAACACAATGCCGAGACTTGACCGGTCGCTGCGATCCCCGCCCCCACTAAGCACTGCACACAAATGTGCGATGAAATATGGAACACGGACGCTAACAAAGCTTTGCATTACAGGACAGATCGAGTCGAACTACGATGAGACGGTCGATTCTTTTGACGACATGAGCCTCAAGGCCGAGCTGCTTCGCGGTAAGAGCTGTCCGACCGATAGTTGATGGTGGCAATTAGGCATCCACTAACTCCTCCAAGGTATCTATGCCTACGGTTTCGAGCGCCCCTCTGCTATCCAGCAGCGCGCTATCATGCCGGTCATCAAGGGTAAGACGAGTCACTTTTTAGCCTCAAACGCAGGGCCATCGACCACTAACGCAACGACCAGGCCACGATGTCATTGCTCAGGCCCAGTCCGGTACTGGCAAGACCGCTACTTTCTCCATTTCGGTCCTGCAAAAGATCGACCCGAACGTCAAGGCGTGCCAGGCGCTTATTCTTGCTCCTACCCGTGAGCTTGCGCAGCAAATTCAGAAAGTCGTCGTTGCTATCGGTGACTTCATGAACATCGAATGCCACGCCTGCATTGGTGGCACTAGCGTCCGCGACGACATGAAGGCCCTTCAGGAGGGCCCCCAGGTGATTGTTGGCACCCCCGGCCGTGTCCACGACATGATTCAGCGCCGCATTCTCAAGACGGACAGCATGAAGATGTTCGTCCTTGACGAGGCCGATGAGATGCTTTCGGTAAGTTGGTTTCTTGGAGATGTCCATCCTGATGAAGGTTGTCTAACGATGAATAGCGTGGTTTCACCGAGCAAATCTACGACATTTTCCAGCTGCTGCCGCAGTCTACCCAGGTCGTCCTACTTTCTGCCACTATGCCCCAGGACGTTCTTGAGGTCACCACCAAATTCATGCGCGACCCTGTCCGCATCTTGGTCAAGAAGGACGAGCTTACCCTCGAGGGTATCAAGCAATTTTACATTGCCGTCGAAAAGGAGGACTGGAAGCTCGACACCCTCTCGGATCTCTACGAGACCGTCACCATCACCCAGGCTGTCATCTTCTGCAACACGCGCCGCAAGGTCGACTGGCTTACCGAGAAGCTCACCGCCCGCGACTTTACTGTCTCGGCCATGCACGGTGACATGGATCAGGCTCAGCGTGACCTGATTATGAAGGAGTTCCGTTCCGGCTCCTCGCGTGTCCTGATCGCCACCGATCTCCTGGCCCGTGGTATCGACGTCCAGCAGGTCTCCCTGGTTATCAACTACGACCTCCCCGCCAACCGGGAGAACTACATCCACCGCATCGGTCGTGGCGGTCGTTTCGGTCGTAAGGGTGTTGCTATCAACTTCGTTACCGCCGATGACGTGCGCATGATGCGCGAGATTGAGCAGTTCTACAGCACCCAGATCGAGGAGATGCCCATGAATGTGGCCGACCTGATTTAAGCGACCTTCTCGACTCAGACATCATATACTCTTTCTCAGCACACCTCAACACATTCCCATTCCATCCGCATCGACAACCTATACAGCACCGGAGAGGGACGTGCTGCGGTCTTCTGGTAGAAAGAGGAGGGGGCTGCGCGGCTGTAGGCGTTTCTTTTTTCGCTCTTTTTGTGGGGGGCGTGGCATCTGGTTGTCATCCACAAAAGCTCTGATAGTTGATAGGGGTTTTGGCGCCTGCACCTTAATTAGTGAACGGTGTGAGCGCTACGGTGTCTATCAAGGAAGGCTGGTCTGCTCTTTTTTTCTCTAGTTTTGCCGGCTTTTCAGTGCCATATGTACGCAGAGTCAGGGAGGTTACCAAAATGCGACGTAGACTGATACCACGACTACATGAACCGGGCGGTTGCCTGACAACGTTGGAACGTCTTTTGGTGATCAAGAGGACGAGAACTGACCGACTTGAGAACTGACCGACTTCACTGACCGGCTGAGAACTGACCGCTGGCTCAGAAGCCAATGGGGGCGCGGACTGTACAACTATATGTGGGGCATCCCCAGCGATGTTGGTGGCAAGCTCAACCGCACTTCTCCATTCTCTCTCCATTTCGACACAAACCATCTGCAACCACAACTCCCAGTCTTTGATTTACAATGGATCGCGCCCTCGACCGCAGTCTCGACGATATCCTTGGGGATTGGAAACAAGTACGTTAGAGAACTATTAGGTCTTCTCTCGCCCACCGCAATAATCAATTCGCAGTGATTGTCTGGCGGTCAGCTGACACGAGGCTGTAGAACAACAGCAGCAGAGGCCCTCGCGGTGGTGGCCGTCGTCGCGACAGATCCGACTATCCTAGAGATGGTGTCAGAAAGGTACGCACCTACAACAGTCCCGGCAAAGCCTTGTCCCACCCAGTCAAGAAGTACACGAGGGCTCAGATTTGGCCGTCGGGCGAGAACGCGGATAGGTTGATTGAACCCTCTCTCCTCCTCTCGTGTTCTTCCCCTCGATCATACAGCACATGGTTCGAACGACGCAGCTATGCACAAGACACTGTGTGCGCGTGTTTGTTTCGCGGCGGGCTCAATGCACTCGACCTCGGCCAAACCGGATCGGATCGCGACTTGGGGGAAGGTAACAGTTCCAACTTGAAACTTGCCGGCTAACACGCTCCCGATCGTTCATTTGGCGGGACAGTCCTTCAGAGATGACACACCACGCAACCTCGACTCGTACGTATCTCGGATCTGTGTCGGGGTGGGATTGGCAACTGACGCCGTTGTGTTTAGCGAGTGGGTACACGACAAGTTTGAGGACTATGGTACGTTCGAATAATGGCAGTCTCCCTGCGAGGCATTCCTAACGCTGTCGATAGGCAACCGCCGCTCTGGTGCTAGGCGCCGCCACTCTCCCGACCCATCAAGGTACGACAACACCGCCCCACTCCCCAAGACCTGACTCTGACTCCCGCAGCGACGTGAGGGGCAGCAAGCTCAGGGTAGACAACATCCACTACGAACTGACCCAAGAAGACCTCGAGGTACTTTCCTCCATCCCCAATCCCAACCATCACCACGACTGACCCACCCATTTCTCCTCAGGGCCTCTTCTCCCGCATCGGCCCGCTCGTGAGCCTCGACATGAAGTACGACCGCGCCGGCCGATCCGAGGGCACCGCCTTCGTGACGTACGAGTCGCACCGCGACGCGGCCCAGGCCATCCAGGAATTCGACGGCGCCAACGCGGCCGGCCAGCCGATCCGCCTCACCCTCATGCCCAGCGGGCCGTCCCTGTCGTCGCGCCGCGGCGGCGGCAACCCGTTCGACTCGGCCGCCGGCGCCGGCCGCCCGCTCGCCGAACGCATCACCGTGCCCGGCCAGGGCAGGTCCCGCTCGCTCTCGCCGCGCAGGGGCGGCAGGGCGTCGGACGAGGAGGCTGCGCGCAGGGGCGTCGACCGCTACAGACCGCGTGGTGGAGGCGGCAATGCCGGGTCCGGGAGGTTGAGTCGGTCTAGGAGTCCGATTGGCGGTGGGGGTGGCAGACGCCGGGATGGCGGCGGTGGGAGGAGACCTGGTGCCAGGAGAGACGGTGGTGGTGGTGGTGGTGGTGGCAGGGGACGGGGCGAGCGAGGTGGCGGCGCCGCTGGTGGTGAGAGGGGCGAGCGGGGCGGGCGGCCGAAGAAGACGCAGGAGGAGTTGGATGCGGAGATGGAGGATTACTTTGCTGGTGGCGGTGGCGGTGGCAGCGGCAGCGCCCAGCAAGGCGAGGGTGCCGCCGCCGGGGGTGTGAACGGTGCTGCTGCCGCGCAACAGCAGGATTTGGGCGAGGATGTGGATATGATTGAGTAGTTAATGGTGGGTGAGACTGGAACTGTAACTGATGGGGGGTATATGATGATATAAATGGTTTTTTTCTGGGGATACACTGGTGGATCTATGAACATGCACATCTTTGCTGGTTATCTACTCGTTTTGGTGTCACGCTTCCTCGGCTGTGGTGCATGACATGTTGGTGCATGGTTGATATTTTGTCTGTCTCCTACAAGTACTTCATACAACCTCCGATATCCTCCCTATCTTCACCCGACTCTATGTCTCAATGATTGGGAATGAAACTGGGAAAGAATGAAGAAATGGTCTGTTTTCAAAGGCACGCTGTCCGCTGCCAAATAATGCCATACCCAGTTCTCGTGAAAAGTTAAAGACGGGCGAAATGCTGGCTATCGACCTCTTCTTTGTTCCGGTGTCTGCTCTGGAGGGTCTGCCGGGGCGACATCGCAGCGGGCGACGAGATACGAGCGAGGGGCGTCCACCTTGGCGGCCACCTTCCCCTTCCGCGTGGAAAGGAAGACGCCGCCGGACGAGACGGCGCCGAACAGGCCGGGGCAGGAGCCGACGGCGTCGACCGGGGAAGCGCCGATCACGGCACCGGGCGTGCCGAACGCGGCCGTCACCGACTCCCTCGTCTCGACGGGATCCCAGCGGCGGGCCCAGTCGGCTAGCGATTGCTCCCGCGTCGGGTACGCCGCCTCGACGAAGAACTGCACGTGCGATCCCGGGCTGACGATGCTGTCCGCGTTGCCGGAGCCGGGTGGGGCGGCGTCGCTGCCGCCGCCGCCGCCGCCGGGGCCTCCGAGGAAGGATGCCTGGAAGCTGTCGAGGTCGCGCTGGTCGTCGGTCCCGGGCCGCGTTTGGGGATCTAGGGATAGGAGGCCTTGCTTCGCGCCCCAACCGCCGCCGCCGCTCACTGATTCGTGGGATGGTTAGATTCACGGTAAACTTGGCGGTTGCATGGATGTACTCACAAACTTTGTGGAATCGGGCGCCGGCAAGTAGGTACTCATCCATCATCCGTGCCGTTTGCTGGGCTAGTTCCCATTCTACCTTGGGGTCGTAGTTGTCCACGGGTAGCGGGGGTAAAACGCGCAGGCCCACTTTGATACAGCCCGGAGGTATGACGAGAGCCCAGACGGCGATGTGGTGGCCGACCGGATCGTCACCGTCGTGGCTATCGTCCCGGAGCGTGCGGGGCGCCTTGAGGAGTTTCGGGATGATAGATTCTAGCCGTTGCGAGGGCGGAGCCGGCTTTCCGTCGACTTGGATGCTGGACAGGATGTTGCCCAGGCTGCGGATGACCATGGCTGGGAAGGTTATCGGGACGAGGTGGGTGCGCATCGTGGTCGTTCGGCCCACGGGATCGTACCCTTTCCGCAGGTCGGCCACCGGGAGGAAGACGCTCTGGCTTGTCTGGCTGAGCTTTTTAGTCAGGGACGGGGTCTCGAGTCTGTTGGCACGCCAGCGGGACGCAAAGAAGGCGTTCTGGCTACCAGTGGAGAAGAGGGTGTTGGCCAGAGGAACATGGACGGCCAGTTGGCCCGTTTGGCCCGTGTGGGCAGGCTGCCGTTGGAACACGAGCGAGGGCGGTGAATCAACCTGGGCGCTGTGCTCGGGGCCGAAGAGGGACGACGGGAACAGGTGGAGGGCCCGGCCGCGCAGAAGCGAGATGCCTTCTGACGAGGAAAAGGTGTCGATGTGGCGATCATAGCGGGGGACTTTGTCGACGGCGGCGCTCAGCACGGACAGAGTTGCCCCTTGTCGGTCGGACATGCCCGAGGCGGCAAGCAGGCGGGCGACAAAGGCATCATCATTCAGCCAGGCGGCCAGCGACTGCGACACGAGGATGACGGCGGCGTTGTGGGCGGAATCCCAAGGGGGCGGCTGTTTGAGACGGGTTCCCAGGGCCAGCCAATCCTCGACACGGGAGATGGCGGCTTGCTATATTTCAATTTTGCGTCGTCGTTTAGCGTGGGCTCATTAACTACAGGGCAGGTGTTGTCTGCTTTTCTCTCTCTTTTCTTTCTCACCTTGAGCTCGTCTACCGCGCCGCGTGACGGGTTGAGGTTGACTGTCACCGCGGATAAGGGCCATGGACCGCCGGGTTTGGGCGGCACCGCTCGCAAAATCTGCCTCCCCATCGCCATTATGTGTGGCCCGCTCTCCCGCCGAGAACTGAAGTTGAGCTTAAATCCAGGTACCTGTGTACGAAGTTAATCCAGGACCAATCCGAGATGATTTGTGACGTTTGCCAAGGACTGGGTTTGGTGACTTGCTGGTCCAGTGCTTGGCACATCGAGCACTACATAATATTCTGGCTTACACCTCCCCGGGCACTTACAATTCACCTTCTCCCAAACCTCACAACCCCAAACCACATCCCCAAACCACTAGACATTCCAAATTACACACACCACACACAAAAAACACACACACACCAAAACACACACACACACAAAATGGCCACCAACTCCAGCCGCGGCAACCCCATCGCCACGACAGACGGCCCGCCCGCCCAGACAAGCTCGTCGCCGCCCCGCGTGTCTGAGGCGCTCAAGCGCGCCATCCGGAGCGACACTTCCTCGGCAGCAGCAGCAGCAGCATCATCGGGGGACACGGCGGGGCTGCACGCGGCGGGGCAGGATGCGGGGGCGGTGTCAGCTGGGGGGTATGTTGAGAGGGTGGGGGAGGAGGTGAGTGAAGGGAGGGGGCAGGGTGAGGGGCGTGGTAAGGAGGGGAGATGAGTTTAGATTGTAGATTGGGTTGGGTTGGGTTGGTGGAGTGCTGAGTGGTGCTCGGTGGGCGGTAGTAAGGAATATGGATTGCTGTGTAAATTTAGGTTGGTTGTGTGATGGTTTAGTGAACGGTATTAGTGTACGATATGAGCTGCATGGAAGTGCGTCATTCAAGTGAATCCTGGCATTGCTGGTTGTCCTCAAGACATATCTGATAGTATGGTATCATAAAGCTGCTCATATTTTACCACAAAGTAAACCCCGGGCGCCGGGGCCGGGTACATTCGACAACAACCCCCATAACCTATCATATATACGCTTTCTCGCTCATTCCAAACGTCATCAGATAAACCGCCCCATCCCAAGCCCAGCCCAGAGAAAGATCCCGCCGTATGTCCCGCATAGTTAACCAAGATACCTAAGAAAAAACATCCAACGAGCGTGTCCTTCAAGCGCAGCCCATTACCACCTCCACTTCCACTTCCCAACTAAACAACACACTACCTACTACATAACAACACACCTCCCCTTCTTCTCCCTCACCCCATCCACACCACCCCCACCCCCACCTCCACTAGCACCACCCCCATTCCCACCATGCCTCCTCCCCCCCACCCCAAAAGCCGACCGCACGCTGTACGCCGCAACCGTAACATCAGTCCACCCGGCCGTACTCTGCGCATCATCAAAATCACCACCACCACCACCCTTATTCTTACGCCCCCCACCCCTGCGGCTCTTGCTGCGCGTCGACCGCCCGCTCCACCCGCGCTTCTTGGCGTCGGCCACGTTCTTGGCCGCCGACCGCTCCGCCCGGCTCTGCTTGCGGCTCAGGCTCGGCACCCGCCGCGAGAAGCTCGTCGATGCGGACCCGGGAGGGGGCGGGACGGCGAGGAGGCTGCCGGGGGCGAGGTTCGGGGGGCTGTTGTAGATGGGGCCGAGGCGGTGGTCTGGGGGTGGTTGTTGTTGTTGTTGTGGTTGGTATGGTTGTTGGTGTTGGGGTTGGAGGTGGTGCGGTTGTTGTTGATAGTGGTGGTGTTGTTGTTGTTGCGGTTGGGGGTGCTCTTGCGGTGGCGGGCGGAGGATGGAGGCCTGCGTTTGCGGGCGGGGGTGGCGTGGGATGGGAGAGAGGATGGGCGTCTCGGCGCGCCGGTCCGAGGGGTGCCGTTCGGGCGGGTCGAAGGCGCCCGAGACGCCCTTCGGGGTGCTGATGATCAAGGGCATGTCCTCGACCGGGGTACTCATCATGTCGTGAGGCCGCCGCGGCTGGGGTTCATGGATCGTGGCGCGCGTGTGGAATTGTGCCGCGGGAGACTGCCCGCGGGGGCGAGGGAAGGAGTAATGCTGTTGCTGGGAGACGGGGCGTTGGTACGAGGTGCGCCGCCAGCTGTGCTCACCGCCTGGGTGACTGTCGGTTGCTACCCCCGGGAGCGGGAAACTGCCAGATAGGGGCCGTGACGCGGGCGCGAGGTTGTTGAAGGCGGGATTCTGTTCGCTTCCCGGTAGAGGGAAAGACTGGGAAAGCAGTTCGTTGTTGTTGACCGGGGGCGCCGAGTAAGGGTAACCGACGGGGGGGTTGTTGGTGTTAATTGCCACCGGCTGTATCGGCCACGTCCTCGAGACAGAAATACGTCGCACCAAGGGGTCACCGCCAGCTGGGATATCGTTCACAGGCGGGATGGGATCGCTAGGGGTCTGCACCGCGGCCTGCACAACAAGGGTCGCCGGGTGACCACCCTCTGGCGACACAGAAGCGGTCTGGTTCCTCCCCGTGGTTACAGATGCCCCTCCAATCGTGGTCGGGGGCGAGCCAGGTGGCACCATGCTCGTTTGAGATGGTTGTTCAGGATTGCTCGCTGCCCTGGTGTCGCTAGGTTCGCGCGACACATGCCGTCCCACTGGCGCCAGCGCAGGCGAGTCGGGCGGTGAGACGTCGTAAATGTTCTCACCCTCGAGATAGCGCGAGGCCCTGGAGGCTGGACGCGCTGAGTCCCCGTTGGAGGATGGGGTTCCCAGACTCCCGCCGCGCTCATGAGCGCGAGTTTGCGGCAGAGGGGGGACTGGGGGCAACGGGGAACCGGCCACTCCCGGCGGAAGAGCCGGTACGGGGGGAACTGGTGGCATATCAGAGAGGGAAGGGAGTGGTGGGACAGGCGGAACGGGGGACGAGTATCGATTCGCCGACGCCACTGTTTGAGCACGACGATGCTGCTGGTGCATAGAGGCTGACGAGTTCCGCATGGCTTTCCGGTCCGCACTTTGTTCGGTCCCCTCCCCAGCGGATGCTGGGCCTGAACCGGTAGGCGGCAGAATAGATGTGTGGCGGAGGAATGAAGGTAAATCACCCGGGTCGTCTTTCTGATAGGGGGGTGGCGGCGGGACCCAGTTGTCGGCGTCGCTCTCGTGAGGATGCTCGGCGCGGCCGTCCGCCCTGCGATATACGATATGACCACTGGTAGTTGCCGAGGGGTGTAGTCGGCGAGTGTTGGCTGCTGCGGTTGCTGCACGGCGGAGCGTTGTCCCTGACCGCGGGCTTGCATGTGCATATGGCGCATCCAATGCTTCTTGCTCTTCGATCGATTGCCCCTCGGTTTCCTCGCCCGCGACCGTTTGCTCGACACTCGGATGGGGGCCCCCTCCAATGCGGCGAGGAACAAGAGGGTCATCTTCGTCACCTTCCGGCTGCGTGGGCGCCTGTGTAGGCAGCGGCGGGGGGCGAGCCGCACTTGTCGCGCTGCGCATGGCGCCGGCGTGACGGCTTCCCCTATTCTGGGCAACTGTCCGTCGACGAACGATGGCAACCTCGGTCGCCATGTCCCGGTGCTCTTCTTCAAGCACCTCCGGTTTGTCTTCCGTCCCGACCTCGATGGTGTACTCCGTAGTGGTCCCGTCCGTGACTCCATAGTCAAAGTCCATGATGGTGATACGGCCGCCATCCACGAAGTCAATCCCCTCCTCGTCGGTCACCGAGATATTTGGCGCGACACCGCGAGCAGCCACTAGTAACCGTTCCTTCACGCTCGACTCTGCAAAGTCCGCCACAAACTTGACCGTGTTGACGCCCTCCAGCTCGCCGATTTTGGAGCCCGCAACAAAGGTGTTCCGGAGCTTGTCGCATAGAATCTGCCATTGCGGTACCCTCGCGGAATCGCTGTTTTCTTGTAACCTGACACTCGAACGAACGGACGGACCACTGTTGTGGCGGGAGAGCCCGTTTGCGTTAGAGCCGTTCTCCGCGCTGGCGTTTGTAGTTTCGGGCACGGCATCAAGGTCCTCGGGTACGCCATAAAGCCAGATTTCCTTCCCCTGAAAGCCGGCCGAGACGAGATCGCCGTAATAGGATGCGGCGGGCAACGTGCAGGGGATCAGCCGGGCTTGCGAGTTCGGACTGGGCACTGGACCCGTGAAATAGGTTGTCCCGTTCCGCAAATCGTCGATGCGCACCGCCCGGAAAGTCTCAAAGCTCCTGTCATAGGTGAAGGTCCAGGCAGCTTCGTCGTACTTGCCATTCTGTATTAGCACCGCGTGGCTACAATCGCGGCTCGTGTTCGGAAACAGGATCGACGTAGTCCAAAGCGCGCTGATGTTGTCATCAGCCATGTGGCTGCCGGGATCGTAGTAAGGAGCAGTGAGGATGACCGTGTTAGGTTGGGACGCTTGCACTGTCGTCCCGAGGATCTGCGTCCCATCAAACGAGAAAGTGAGAGCATCCACACCGTCGCACTTGACCGCGCGCCTGTCGGTAGCCAGTGCCCCGGGGTTTATAGACGAGACTTCGATGCCGCCTTCGTAGGCCGCGGCCAGAACGGAACCGCAGGGGGAGAGGGCGATAGCGCGGGGGCTGTGGTCCAGGATCATCGAGTGTGTTCGTTTCGGCGGTGTCTTGTTAAGGTCGTAAATATCCACCTCCATCTCGGTCAGCAAAACGGCAAGCGTGGTGCCTTCGTCATTGATGCACGTCGCAGCCGGGCGTCGCAGTATCTTGAACTCCCTCTTGACGGCGATCTCGAGCGCGCGGAGGTCGATGACATGTATCCTCGACGAGTTGTAGGCAAGAAGATGGTGGCCTTTTGGCGAGGCGCTGAACTGGATGCCTTCGCCGCCCGGACAGGATGAGGAGCTGATCGAATTCGATATCACTTTGATCACGGTCTGGCTGGGACGGAGGTACGCCTCGAACAGGTTGCGTTTGACTTCTCGAGCAAACAGGCGGCGGAGTTTGGGCAAATCATCGTCGCCGGTAACCTGCGGGGGGCCGCTATGGCTCATACCATACGAGGGGCAATTCGCAAGGTGATGCGCGTAGAGGTGGGCTTGCTGCGCGACGCTCCTCCATTTCGAGTTGAGCAGGGCCAGCGACGCGAAGCCATTGGAATCCGTGGCCTGCAGTATTCTATTATATCGGGTGAGTATGCGAGCGAGGGGGAGACATCAACCCTGAAGAGTAACGACGAGATATAGAGATAGAGATAGAGAGATTGGCGCATACTGTTGAATGATTTCGTCGGGAAGGCGCTCGAAGGCTGGTGGCTCGCTGTCGTCAAGGCCATCGGCGGCGTCGGGTATAATAATGGGCTTCTTCTCGATTGACGACCGCCTGCCCTCGCTGACGTCGGCGACAACGCCGGTTACGACGACATCGGGTTCCGTCATTTTGGACGACAAAGCCCGGGGCTGAATGTAATCACGGCAGCCGGTTGTCGAGCCGGAGAATGTATCATGGACCGGCGACGTGGCTCGCCATCGGAGAAAATTTGGTGTTACGGGATAGGTGGACGCGGGCGGGAACACGAGGGATGGACGGGATGGACGGGATGAATGGACAGGTGGATGGGATGAAGGAAGACTCGGCCCCCCCTCGAGGGATGGCGGTTTGGCGCTGCCCCGTGTTGGCGCTGCAGTTGGCGCTGATGAAGGGTTGATGCTACTGTAGCGCGGCACGACGGCAGCACGGCAACGCAGCTGGTTTAGAATATGGACGCAACGCCGCAACGATTGGATGGTCAGGTTTGGATGGGCAGGCACATTTGTTGGGGGCAATCTGGTCTGAAGTGTATCTGAAATGCCTCCTGAAGTGCGTACCCGACTGATGGTAACTTTTAGGGGCGCAGGGCGTTGGCAGCAGCAGGCTGCAATCCTTGGTGGGACTTGGTGCTTCACTGCATGAGGTGCGCCAAGCCTTTGAAAGCCACCCAAGGCGCTAACTTTTCCGTGGGTTCCCTCTCGCTCTCGTCGCTCCCAGGTCCCGCTGAGATGGAACTCCCGAACTCACAACCCAGCTGGGATCCTCAAGCTGGCTGGCTGTGGCGACGAACTGGCGCGAATGCACGGTGCTGTTGCAAGGATCGGGCAAGTGATCGCCCTGCATGCGCGGCAAAATCAAAAGTCGATCTGAACAGGGCATGTTCGCCGCCCTCAATACGGGTATTGAAGCTGGCTGATGATCCTCGTCTGGACCCTCCCGGGAATGATTTCTGGAATGCACACCGACCGACCGAGGCTCGCTCACCCCGAAGTTCCCTTTTCCAACGAGCTGATCGAGCCTCAGCCACCATCATCGAGAGGGCGAAGGCGAACCCCCCTTTCTTCAGAAACACCCGCCCTTTGTTTCTTCGCCTGGCTACCGCGACGGCCCCCAAATCGGACAGTGCCCAGACTGGCGCTTCGTTGATGATTGAGCCCGGGAACAAAAATAGCAGCAGTGTGCCCACCATGGGTTGCGCCAACCTGTCTCATTGGGTGGCGCTGCTGATGTGGATTGGGCAGAATACTTGTGGAAAACAGGGATCAAGAAAACACAAATCGATTCCGAGCCGCAAGCACGGCATCTTATGCGCTTGGTAACACGGACTCGGCGGCGGTGTCAGGCCTGGGTCCACAACCCGGGCGCCTTTTGTTGCGCTTTCTGGTGAATGTGCTCTGTGGACAACGTGACAACGAACAAGAATGGGGATCGATCCTGTCGCTCCAAGCGGGCCGTTGCGGGGGCATCACTGGGCATTTGACCCTAGTCCGAGAAATGGAGCCGAATGCAACGTGATAAAACAACGAGTTTGCGAGTTGCGGAGTTGTTCCGCTAAAAGCTCTCGGAAAGGCAACCCGACCGTTCAGCTGCAGGGTGGCAATGGACTCTCGATCTTTAAATTCGGCTGCCTGCTGGGTGTCATCAGCTTTCAAGCAATGCGTCAGCGCACTCCGGACCGATATTGATATTGGCCCCAACCGAATTATCGAGAAAGATGGATCCGGCCGGAGATCAAATTGATCAAATTGATTGCCAGTGTGACTGATGAGGAAGGTCATGAAAGTCAAAGAAGAAGAGACTAACAACGCAATAACTATCTGTTTGTTCACGGAGACGTTGACCACAATCACTGTGTAAATTTGTAGCTACCAACCTTGGCCGTTTGCCGTCCCAAACGCTTAACGACCTTGCTGCTTGTGTAGTTAGTTGGGTATGAGAAAAAGAGTAAAACAAACAAGAAGAGGTACTTGGTATGTCATGATACGTTGCCAGGGAGGTCTGTGCCTCCATATCACTTACATAGTCCAAAACCCCACCTCCAGAACTTTTCCCTGGTCAGGACATCAATCATTGAACTTCGAGATGAACCATGTCGTCCGTGCTCCGATTTCAAGGTCAGCGCTAGCAAATAACGAGAGGGGCTGTCAGATCGTCTCAAGATTTCGACTGTGCCGTCCCGCCCGCTCCGTTTTGCCCAAAGTTAAAAGTTCCAGGTTTCATGTCAGCACTCAAGAGGGCAGTCAGGGTTGGGGTTGTGATTACACTTTCATCCCCCATCTTCTCGAACACCCTTGCAATCATCGAGCGAGATACTAGTTCGGTCTCAACCGGTTCCTCACATCCGCGCTCCGGCCGTAGCCTTCCAGGCCGCTTTTCTAGTCATTCCGTGGTAGCCTACTAGGTAGGCATGGTTTCCCTTTGTAGGTAATCAGTAGCAGATGGCCCGGCGAGCCCTAGTATATCAGTATACGACAAGAATATATCTAGACCAGCAGCAAGGTCGTGACTTGCAACGCTAATTCATCCAATACTTACGAACCATATCAGGCCGAGAATTAATCACACCACGTTACAAATGAAAATATTACCTCCGCAAGAGCTGTAACGGGCCTGCTATTACATTTTCTTTCCACCATTACACCCCGTAACTGCATCTCCCGCGGCATCCCCCCAGAAGTTTACGGGAAACTTGGCTAGCTCCCTAGTCAGGGGTTGGCGAGCGCGGGGGGGCGGTGGCGCGGCGAACTCGAGCTCTTCCCGGATGGGGGCATACCTAGCCAGATTATCGCCTCCGAAGCGCTTTTTCAGCCATTCCTGACGCAGTCTGGGATTGGTTTCCCACGCGGCCGGAATCCAACTGCCGAACTCCTCTAGCCGGCTCTTCCAGTAAATCCGCATGGGGTTTGGGGGGAGCGTCGTGCCAGCGTAGGGTCGTCTCTTGTGTGTCGTCTCGGCGTCGACGACTGCGAAGTTGTAATCGATTAACACGACGCGTGGAATCGTGCCGGGCTGCGCTGCCGTCTGGTCATGGGCGTTGGGAGGGGCGTGGACGATGACGTTGCGTGCGGCTAGATCCTGCTGGCTGATGCCCTTAAACCGCAGGTTTGCCACGCCATCCAAGATTCTGGCGAGCACCTCTAAGCGGTATACCTCGCTAAACACGGCGGCGGTGGGTGTGGGTTCGGCACAGAGCTCGCGAATGCTCTTCCCCGGGATGTACTCGATAAGGATGAGGCGCACCGAACGGGACTGCGGCGGGGTTGTCTTGCCCATCTGGAGGCCGACGGTAAAGGTCCATGACCCAAAGTACTTGGGCGCAAAGGATCCGGCCTGGCCAACGGCCTACAGATGCTCGTACGCGAGAGCCTCGCGGGCGTAGTCCTGTTCGGCAAACCGCGTGACATCGCAGGGTACGCTCGGCACGTCTGGGTGGGGAAAAGAGTAGTACAGCGGGTCGTAGATTTTGGCCACTGCCTGGATGGGACCATGGCCGACCGGGTCCTTTGGTTTGATGGTGCAGAGGGCCAGCTGGGCGCCTCGGCCGTCGACGACGGCGAGATCGCGGGTCACAGATAAGGTGTGGATTCGCGGGACGGGCGGGTCTTCTGTCTCGAGCGGCGGGTTGGCCATGACGATCTCGGTCTGCTTGAGGGTCCGCAGATCAAGCTGGGACACCATAGGCCGTCGCCCGGGGCCGTAGTCTCGTCCGCCAAAGGGAGCGGGCGGGACGTGGCTCTTGATGTCGACGGTGAAGCCCGTTCGGTAAGGGCAGGGGGGTTTGTCCGGGTCCGCAGGCGGGCTCCATGGCCGGAGATCGGGGACCACTGGTTTGGTCGGCGACGGCGGCGGCGACGGCATGGTAGGCGGGAGGCGTGTCAGTGTGGGTGAAGTAAATTGAGTGACGCCTCCGGCCTCCGTCGCCGGCGCCGTTTGTAGGTAGGAGGTCGTTAACGGAGGCGGCTCCGGTCCGGGATGGTTTAATTGGGACCCCACCCATTCTCACGTGACTTCGTGGCGCGTCTGTGTTACCGCGCCTTCACTCTCGAGTCAAGCTGTGGATCCTCGGCACCTTCGCGAGTCAACTCGGATTAACGAAACCACTTTCTTCATATCCGCAACAACCACAATCAGTTGACGTTTTTACAATGGTCCGACAGTCGGCTCGGAAGGTAGCCCAGGCGATGGCAGCGGCAGTTGAATCAAAAACCCCTGTCGCGAGAGCAGTTGGTGCCTCGGGGGCTTCGGTCAAGACCAAGGCCAAGATTGAGACGACCAAAACGAAGGTTTCCAAGCGCAAAACTACTCCCAGCGAACCGGAACTCAACGGCGAGGATGTTGAAAACATTAGCCCTGCCGAAGACAAGAAACCTGCCCCCAAAAAGCGCAAAACTACCAAGAAGACCGCCGAAGGCACCCTGCTAGCAACCCGGACAGCTGTTGCGTCGCTCAAGCGAGAGATGCATATTGGAGCTCATGTCTCCAGTGCCGGGGGTGTCCAAAACTCGATCGAGAATGCCACCCACATCGGCGCGAATGCCTTCGCCCTCTTCCTCAAATCCCAGCGGAAATGGACCAGCCCGCCGCTCGCAGACGAAGCCAAGACCCAATTCCACGCCATGCTCAAGCAGCACAGTTACGACGCCCGCAAACACATCCTCCCGCACGGCTCGTACCTCGTCAATCTCGCCCAAGCCGACGAGGCAAAGGCCACCCAAGCCTACGACAACTTCCTCGACGACCTGCAGCGGTGCGAGGCGCTGGGCATCACGCTGTACAACTTCCACCCGGGGTCGACGGGGGGCGCGACCATGAAAGAGGCGTGCGGGCGCATCGCGGCGCAGCTCAACCGGGCGCACAAGGCGACGGAGACGGTGGTGACGCTGCTGGAGAACATGTGCGGCAGCGGCAACGTGGTGGGGTCGCGGTTCGAGGAGCTGCGCGACATCATCGCCCTGGTCGACGACAAGGCGCGCGTCGGCGTGTGCATCGACACGTGCCACGCCTTCGCCGCCGGCTACGACCTGCGCACCCCCGCGGCCTTCACCAAGACCATGGCCGAGTTCGACTCGGTCGTCGGCATGAAGTACCTGCGCGCCTTCCACCTGAACGACAGCAAGGCGCCCTTCGGGTCGCACCGCGACCTACACGCCAACATCGGCACCGGCTGTCTGGGGCTGCGGGCGTTTCACAGCATCATGAACCACGAGCCGCTGCAGGGGCTGCCGATGGTGCTCGAGACGCCCATCGACGAGAAGGGGCCGGATGGCAAGACGGTGGAGAACAAGCAGATCTGGGCGGACGAGATCAAGCTGCTTGAGAGTCTGGTCGGGATGGACGCAGACAGTGCTGAGTTCAAGGAGAAGGAGAAGGAACTAAATGCGAAGGGCGCTTCGGAGAGGCAGAAGATCCAGGAGCAGGTCGATAAGAAGGCCGAGAAAGACGCCAAGAAGGGGACGAAGGGGAAGGCAAAGGGAAGGAAGAGCAAGAAGGACGAGGAGTCGTGCGACTCGTGCGGTGAGAGCGATTGAACAGACTGGGCAGGATTCCCGTCGTTTGTGTGTTTGTGTGTTGAGCTCGTGGAGGACTGAGCAAGACGTGTACTTGTATGTACAACAACAAAACTTGTCTCCTGGATAGGGCGGAAGCTAGAGAACAAAGACTGATACTCAGTGGATATCGAAAATAAATAATAATGAATACCCAGCACAAATCCAACCCTCGCATCTCATATTCATGACTGTCTTTACCAAAGGATATCATCGACCTCGAACCATAGCAGGGAAAAGAAGAGACAACAATACGAAAAAAAAAAGAAGTCAGTCACAAAAACCCACCCAAACAAAACCACGCCTACCTCCTCTTCTGCGCCCAAGCCTCCACCTTCCCCATCAACCCCCTCAACCCAACGCCCCTCTCACAATTCCCCTCCAACCACCCCTCCATCCTCTCCCTCACCGCCCTCATCCCCTTCAGCACGGGCATGACCCCACCCTCCTCCCCCTCCACAAACGCCCCCGGGTTCAGCAACAGATCAAAACACTCCGCCCAGATCTCCGTCTGCCAGTAGCGCTTCAGACTCTCGCGGGTGCGGTAGCGGCGCCCGCCCGCGCCCGAGGTGGCCAGCCCGCCGGCGTCGCACCGCACCGTCTCGATGTACTTGCCGAACAGCAGCACGTGCAGGGCGCCGGCGAGGCCGTGGTAGTCGATCTGCCAGGTCCAGGGCCGGCCCTCGCGCATCTCGGCGCAGTCCTGCGCCGTCGTCTTCCAGTCGGCCACGAAGCGCACGTCCGGGGTGAATGCGCGCGCGTCGATGGCGCGCCCGAAGTCGATGAGGGTCACGCCGCGTCCGGCCCACCCGCCCGCGCCCGAGGCGTGGTATTGGGAGGAGAGTTGTTGGTGGTCTGGATCGTTGCTGTCGAGGCTGAGCCGGAGTAGGCAGTTGTCGGCCTTGATGTCGCCGTGCATGATCTGTTTGGCGTGGAGAGCCTCGACGGTGCGGAGGAGTTCGATCGAGAAGAACATGGCCAGCTGCTCGTCCATGACGCCTGAGGCTTCGCCGCGGAAGAGGTTGACTACGTCGAGTAGGGTACCGTGTGGGTGGAAGGGAAGGAAGAGAAAGCCCTCGTCTTGGTAGAGGTGCATTTCGAGGGCGGGTGAGATGGAGGCAGTTGCGCGGTGCTGCGGGCCGAGACGAGAGTGCGCGAGGCGCATCATGTAGAACTCCCAGGGTGTTGGCGGATCCTCCATCTTGAGGGCCTCACGCTCGTGGCGCCGGTTGTGTGTGCTGGCGAAGCTGCCGCGGCCCATCACGGCAACCGGACCGTTCTCGTCGTTTTGATTTTCACTATTGGGTGAGCTGCCATCTGGACAAGAGTTTTCGACCAGGTACACTGGCGCGAAGGCACCGGCACCAAGCTCCTTCCGGATGGTGTACTGTGACTTTATCCCGGGAAACTCAAGAACGACGGCGGTGCCTAGGTTGCCCGTCTTGTCTGTGCTGGTCCTGCTTCCTTTGCCCGCGGCCTTGGCAAACTTCCGAATCTCAGACCCTCTCTCATACTTCTCACCCCTGTGGTCGTAAAACCCACCATACGAGCTGAGCGGGGGGTGGATGTTCGCCAGAATTTCTGCCCGTACACTCTCATCAACGGGGTTGCACTGGGTCTCCTTGATAATGGGACCCTTGGGGATAAGTGCTTTTGGCGCAAAGGGCGTGCCGGCCGAGGCTGGCTTCACTTTCGGGAGAAGGGGCTGAGGGACTCTCCCCTTCGGGATTTCCTCCTCTATCACCTCTCGTAGAGGACTGCTCAGCGGCTCCAGATCGAGGTTTTCTTCCTCGTCCTCAAGCTCGTCTTCCTCTAGCAGATCCTCAGCACGCCTCCTTGACGGCGTCTTGCCAAATCCGGTTGTTATATCCAGCGAAGTCTCGGTCCTCTCCGTGATCGGTGTCATAAAGGGAAGGCGGTTATTAGCCGCCTCGACGGGGTCCCTATACGGCCGTCGTGAGGGGACATAGTCTTCCGGAGGTATCGGCACAAACATGGTCCTCGTTCTAGGAGGTTCCAAGTCATCGTCGTCCTCGTCATCTTCCCGGCCGCTCCTTGCCGAAGCCTCCTGGCCCATGTCGATCAGATCAGAAACCTGGGTCTCGTCCCTCTCCTCGGCCTCTCGCTCGAGGTCAGGGATGTGCTTGTGCATTGAGAATTCTGACCATTCGCTGGCCACGCTCTTCGCATCCGAGGCTTCGTCCTCATCTTCCTCCCCGGCCTCCTCTTCCTCGTCGCCTGCTTCGCTTGGTGGGATGTTGGTCGTGGTCACCGTGCTCTCGGCGCCGCTTGTGTAGTCATCAGATTCGTAACCACCCTCATCATCGCTGTCGCCTATTTCATGGCCAGCTGGCTTGAGCGGTGCGTTAAAGATATCATAAATGTCGTCAGTGGCTGCTTTGGTGTGCAGTGTCATGGTTGGTTCGGCGGTGGACCGCCTCTTCTTTTTGATCTTCGGCCCAGAAGGCGAGTCCAACTTTGCTTTGACTACAACAACAGTGTTAGAGATGAAAATAACAAGAACGAAGACCGGCATACTGATTTGTGTTTCATTGACCTCGACCACCTTTTTCTTCCGTGGCTTTGCCTGCTTTGGGTAGATAGGGGCACCGTTCTCGTCGAGCCGCAAGACGTCACGGTGGATTGTCAGCTTCTGCGAAACGCGATCCGCCAAAGCATTCACCTCTCCCATGGAGTTCTCATCCGCAAAGGAAGGCAGCTCTTCGTCTTCCCATTCATGACCGAGCCATCCCTTATTCGCAGCCCAGACCTCCTCAAAGCTAAGTTCAGTACCAGGTTCATCAGGAGTCGGATAAATCGCCCGCAAATCGACAAACACGCGTTCCCTTTTCCCGTTGGCAGGATTCACCGTGACCTGGACCTTGTTATGATGGATTGGGATGTGTGATTGCGAAAGCTGTTTAGACAGAGACTGGATACATATTACGCCAGACCGCCACGCATTAGTCCTATAATGATCAACACCTGGTTGTGGCAGGAAGACGGGGCTTGGGCTTACCGCATCCCTGAAAACAGCCATCTTTGCGCCGCTCTTCTTGCCTCCGGCCTTCAATGTTTCCCCAGCCCATGGTTTAGGTTCCATCACGTTCTCCTTTTTGCGGTCAGACAGAGACCCGATGTTATCCCATCCCTTAGATCCTGCGCCACGTGATGACATGGCTGGCGCCACAGGTTCGGCGTCCGCATCGGAGAAGATAGCCAGCTTCGAACGCGCGGGTTTTGACGACGGTCCTCCGAGTCCACCGGGCTGTCGTGGCGCCTGCGGATCATGAGCGGCGGGGGCAGCGGCGGCGAATGGGTCAACCTTTGCGGCAAGTGCTAGCCGAGCCGCTGGTAGCGCAGGGGATGATGGGCCATCATCTGCCTCTGCCTGCTGCTCTCTCCGTTGCTCAAACTCGCCAAATTTGCGCAACAGCCGCGCTGCGGGCCGGGCCTCCCGCTCGATGCCCAGCTTGTAGACCTCCTCCGCCTGCGCCCACCTGCCGGCACCCTCGAGCCAAGCGGCATACTCCTCGTAGAATAGCGCGAGCGTTTCACCGATCGAGTGCCGTGAGAGGAAGACGAACGCCTCCCGTGGTGCATCTGAGAAGAAGGTGATGTAGTGTAGCCACATCTTGACATAGCGGGGGTCGTTTTTGTATTGGGCCGAGCTCACAAACGCCTTGGTTGCGCGCTCGAGAAGCGTGTGTAGCTGGGACTGCGGGGTGGCCTGGGCCGTGGGATACGCGTCGAATGTCCAGCGCACATAGCGATCGTAGATATCGAGAGGGTCGTCTGACTCGGAAATCTGTGCCAGCTCTTCCTCAAACTCGGCACGGATGCTGTCGTTCACATCCTTGGTGTCCAAAGGTGACGGGGTCAACTGGGGTTGAAGCGGCGACTGGGAGAATAATTCGGCCAGCTTCTTGGCTGACCGGCCGCTCGGGAGGGCCTGGATATTTTCTTTATGGTCCTCGATGATATCGAAGTTGACAGCGTCGTTGGGCGCCATCTTGGTGGAGGGGTCCGTCCTTAGCGGGGGATGGTTGGTGAGGGGTCGTGCAACTTAGGCGGAGGAACAAGTGTCGAGAAATCAAGCTGCGCTCGAAAAGAAAAGAAACAATATAGCCGTTGTTGGCAATAGCAGCTCGTCGACCTACCTGGTCTGTCGCATTCTGGGAAGTTGAATTGTCGGAGGAGGGGGAACGCGCTCCAGTTTCGGGTAATTTGAGGGGTTGCAGGTCGCGACGAATCAGAAACCCACTTTCTTGTTTCTGCACCAAATAATTATTTGTCGTCGCTGGAGCAACCATTTACAGCTGTGACCATCTGACAAAAGCGAAGTCCGGCAGTTGACACCCTCGATCTTCTGCAGCGCTTTCACCCCCAGATATCAATCTGGAGTAACCAATTACCAGGTATCCTACTGGCTGAGTTAAATGGTATTTATTCCGTTGTCCATCGTCAACACTCACCATGGTGTGGTCGGTCCGGCTGTCGCTTGGTTTTAACGAGTAACTTCACAAACTCTTCAAGAACAGGATGCGAAACAGCGAAATCATCAATCATAATGGCAGCATTGGCCTGGTATTTCTTTGTTTCTAAAGCCACATTACCTCCATTTTCATGAACCATGCCGAGATCATTTTTTCCCGAGGTAAACACCTTCCCAACCCAGCCAAGTTCTGCCAGTTTCCTTCCAAGCGAGTCATGCGCTGGGCTCCCTTACAGCTGGACCGCCTTGCGGAAGTTCTCGCCGGCATAAACGGCCTTGTCACCAAGCTCCTCCTCGATGCGGAGGATCTGGTTGAGCTTGGCAAGGCGCTCAGACCGGCACGGGGCACCGGTCTTGATCTGGCCAGAGCGGATACCGACGACAACATCCGAGATGGTGACGTCCTCAGTCTCACCGGAGCGGTGGGACACCATGACGCCCCAGCCGTCGGCATACGAGTCCTTGGCAGCCTGGATCGACTCAGTGAGAGTGCCGATCTGGTTGACCTTGAGCAGCAGAGCGTTGGCAGCCTTGAGGTCAATGGCCTGCTTGATGCGGAGGGGGTTGGTGACCGTCAGGTCATCAGCAACAATCTGGATGTCCTGCGACTTGTAGAAGTAGCTCCAGGCCTCCCAGTCGTCCTCGGCGAAGGGGTCCTCAATGCTGACAATGGGGTAGGTCTTGGAAAGCTCGCTGTACAGGTTGGCAAGCTCCTCGTACGTGAGCCACTTGCTCGGGTCGCTCTCGGGGTTCTTGAAATCGAGGTCGTACTTCTTGGCGTCCTCCTTGTAGAACTCGCTCGAGGCCACATCCATGGCGATCTTCATCTGGTCCTTGTAGCCAGCCGCCTCGATGGCGTCCATGATCAGGTCGAGGGCCTCCTTGGGGGTCTGAATATCGGGGGCAACACCGCCCTCGTCACCGACGTTGCCGGCGGAATGGCCGTACTTCTTCTTGGCTAGACCCTTCAGCTTCTGGTACACCTCGGCACCCTGGCGCATGGCCTCGGAGAACGAAGGCGCAGCAGAGGGGACGATCATGAACTCCTGGAAGGCCAGGCGACCACCAGCGTGCGAGCTGTCGAGTCTAGTCAGCAAAGTGCCCTACGAGTCTGCGAAGCGAACATCCCGACTCACCCGCCGTTAAGGACGTTCATGAAAGGAACAGGAAGGACGTAGGGCTTCTTGGTGCCAGCAAGGTCCGAGATGTGGGCATAGAGAGGCACACCCTTCTCGGCGGCGCCAGCCTTGGCAATGGCCAGACTCACACCGAGGATGGCGTTGGCACCAAGCTTGGTCTTGTTGGCAGTGCCATCGAGGTCAATCAAGAACTTGTCAACCTTGGACTGGTCCTTGACGTCGATGTTCTCCTTGATGACAGCGGGACCGATGACCTCGTTGACATTCTTGACGGCCTGGAGGACACCCTTGCCACCCCACTTGGTCTTGTCGCCGTCGCGGAGCTCGCAAGCCTCGTGCTGCCCTGTGTCACCACAACCGTCAGTTACGCCGCTGCTTACGAAATCGGGATCGGTGCGACGAACCGGTAGAAGCGCCCGAGGGGACGATGGCACGGTGGAGGCCAAGCTCGGTCACAACGTCGACCTCGACGGTAGGGTTACCGCGAGAGTCGTACACATAACGAGCGTGGATCTTGGAGATGGTCATTGTGGATGATTCTGGCAATTGGGTGTCAGTGAGTCACTTGGGATTGAGAGTGGGCAATGGAATGAGCTGTTCAAACGTTGCAAGGTTAAGAAGGGGTTGTGGTAGGGGGTACGACGACAGCTTTAACTACCTAGGTAGCAGAGCCATGTGCGAGCCATAGAGCGATTTGCCCATCTTATGGACAAAATTCGCTCAATTGCAATGATGGATAGGATTTCCCGCAAGCCTCATCGACGCCCAAAACCGCCAGACGGGACTCGCGTTGTTTAGGAGGTCAAGAGGCTATGGAGTCGAAGAGGATAAGGGAAGACGAAGCTAAATGCTGGATACGTACCTTGGGTTGAGCTTGGTTGGCAGTTCTCTCAATGTTGTGGGGAGACGGGTTGCTGAGAGAAAGAGGAAAGGGAGAGGTCAAGAAGTCGATCGGAGCTGGGAGAAGCTTCTGATCAAGGTGTGGTCGAGGAGGGGCAGGATCTGTTTTGGTGGGGTGATAAGGCGCTGCAGGGGACATTGATGGGGACTGTTAGTGGCTGTTAAAATGCGCCTGTCATACAACATGAATCACTCAACAAATCGGAGGGAAGGAGCGCTCGATTGCTCCCGTTTCCACCCCTGCTCTAACAACTTCGCTCTGACGATGGCGTGCAGCCCAAACAAACCTACGGCGGGCTTTTACGTTGGGGGGCGAACAGACGGGGCGAGCAAAGTCCGTCTTGCCCAGCGAATTCTGGTGAGCGCGGGGGTCAGAAACTCCTTGGAAATCCCGCCGTTGTCGGAGCTACCCCCTGTGCAACTGCGGGAGCAAGAGACGCGAGATGGAGAGTGAGTCCTAGTTTGGTCCAGGAAGCCTTTCCCAACAACGTGCTGTGATGAGTATAAGACATTGGCCGCCCCCGCAGTGGTATTGGGTCAAGGTCAAAAATAATCTTATGCTCCTCACCGAGCTTCCAGTCTGCCATGTTAACCCAGCTGCTTGCCCCTCCTCAACCCCTCCATCACCAAGCTGCTCAAGTTACCCCGCTGCGGGTTCCGGAGAGCGGGTCTGGAGCTGGCAGGTCTCCACCAAAAGAACCAAACACGCCAGATCACTCTCCGATGGAATGTGGACGGTCTTGACAGATGGAATTGATCTCGAGACGGGAGCTCTTGTCTCTAACACGAGGAGAGGTTTCCGGTTTTCTGATCGATTAGTTAGTCCTCTGGATTGCCGGCGCACGTCTCTTTGGATGACGCCCACGGTTGTGGTTCGCTTTCGTTGGGCCACTTTGATGTGAAGGAAGGCATGTTATTTCTGCCCCTCGTATGGACTGCCCTCTATATCAGACACCTTCGGTTTGCGACAGGAGTCAGGCTCCTCGTGACAGATGCGGGTGGTCCAGTCGTCAAGGTTGGGCTCCGACTATTAAAGTATTGAAATATACCGCGTACTCAGTAATGCAAGACGGTAATTACACAACTTTCTTTGGGGGTACCCGCAGCACCAGACCAGCTGCCGAAAACGAGTTGGACCTTGTCCCAAATAAACCATACTTGACGCCTGTACGTAAACATTCTTCTCCGTTCTCCATAGTATTTCGTTTCTGGAAGCTCGAAACAAACGATTCCGGCTTTACCATGCTCCCCTGTCACTGACCGCTTGCCGAAAGAGGTAAGCGACTACCGGCACCTGCCGCATTGGCAGGCAGGGGCCTGTGCGGCATTCATCGGCGCAGCGCTCTCTCTCTCTGCTGGCAACAAAGCGATTCATCATTTGCGGTTGAATTTTGGGATGAGGAATGCTTCAATCTGACCAAAAAGTGTATGATAGGGACCCACTGTACATTCATGTATACTGTTTCTCATTTATAGATTTCTCTTCTTTTTCCCTCCTTCAAGATGTTTCGCTCTCATCTTGCTGCTCGTACCTTCTGTCGTGGAGTGCAGAGACCAGTCGCGCAGGCAGGAGCGTCGCTGCATTGTCGCACCCATTTGACGTCGAAGAATTTTACATCACGGTACGCTCTCGCATACGGCGGCCCAGGGGACCCGCACCACTCCTAAAGGACGTCAGGGACCCAGGGGGGGTCAAAGGTGCCTGAGCTAATCGTCACCCCGCAGTTATTCTGTCTTGAGTCGCCTGCCCTCCTCATCAACCACTGCTACAACCTCATACCGCCATCGGCCGCTCTCACAACAACGAACTCTTCGCCTCTGCAGCCCACCAGTGCGCCACTGCTCCTACCGCCGTCACAACATGTGCCGAACACAAGCTGCCTCCGAAATGGCAGGTGGGGTTAACGTGCAGGGCCGGGAGCTTCTCCCCGCCAACGTCATCCCGCGGCACTACAATGTCACGTTGGAGCCCGACTTCAAGAAACTGACATTTGACGGCACCGTGGTGATCGATCTCGACGTCGCCGAGGACTCCAAGTCCATCTCGCTGCACACCCTGGAGCTTGAGATTCACAGCTCCAAGATTACCTCGGACGGCCAAACAGTCAGGTCAGCCAGTTCCCCTGCCCTTTTGGCCATTGCAGCCCAGCTGACCGTAGATGCAGCTCGTCTCCTACTGTGTCGTACAACGAAGCCACCCAGGTTAGCAAGTTCGACTTTGACAATGCCGTCGCCAAGGGAAGCAAGGCGCAGCTCGAGATCAAGTTCACCGGCCAGCTCAACGACAAGATGGCCGGCTTCTACCGGTCGACCTACAAGAACCCCGACGGCAGCGAGGGTATCCTAGCCGTCTCCCAGATGGAACCTACCGATGCACGCCGTTCGTTCCCCTGCTTCGACGAGCCCTCCCTGAAGGCCGAGTTCACCGTCACGCTCGTCGCCGACGAGAACCTGACTTGCCTGAGCAACATGGATGTCGCTTCCGAGGCCAAGGTCAAGTCCGAGCAGACGGGAGGCACTAGGAAGGCTGTGAGCTTCAACAAGTCCCCCCTTATGTCGACATACCTGGTGGCCTTCATCGTTGGCGAGCTGAACTGCATCGAGAGCAACGACTTCCGGGTGCCCGTCCGCGTTTATGCCCCGCCCGGCCAGAACATCGAGCACGGCCGCTTCTCGCTTGATCTGGCTGCCAAGACTCTCGCATTTTACGAGAAGGTCTTTGGTATCGAGTTCCCTCTCCCGAAGATGGACCAAATTGCCATTCCCGACTTCGCTCAAGGTGCCATGGAAAACTGGGGCCTGGTAACCTACCGCGTGGTCGACTTGCTGCTGGATGAAAAGGCCAGCGGTGCGGCGACCAAGGAGCGGGTCGCCGAAGTCGTCCAGCACGAACTGGCGCACCAGTGGTTCGGTAACCTCGTTACGATGGACTGGTGGGACGGTCTGTGGCTCAACGAGGGCTTCGCCACCTGGGCCTCGTGGTACTCCTGCAACGTCTTCTACCCGGAGTGGAAGGTCTGGGAGTCGTACGTGGTTGACAACCTCCAGCGTGCCCTTGCTCTGGATTCGCTCCGGAGCAGTCACCCGATTGAGGTTCCCGTGAAGAAGGCCGACGAGATCAACCAAATTTTCGACGCCATCTCATACTCGAAGGGGTCCTGCGTCCTGCGCATGATCTCGACTTACCTCGGCGAGGACACCTTCCTCGAGGGTGTCAGGCAGTATCTGAAGAAGCATGCCTACGGTAACACCCAAACCGGGGACCTGTGGGCGTCCCTTGCGGAGGCCAGTGGCAAGAGCGTGGAAGAGGTGATGCAGGTGTGGACCAAGAACATTGGTTACCCCGTAGTAACCGTGTCGGAGAAGGATGACAAGACCATCCAACTGAAGCAGAACCGGTTCCTTCGCACCGGCGACACCAAACCCGAGGAGGACAAGGTTATCTACCCTGTATTCCTTGGCCTGCGCACCAAGGACGGCATCGACGAGTCGCAGACCTTGGACAAGCGGGAGGATACCTTCAAGGTGCCGAGCACCGACTTCTTCAAGCTGAACGCAAACCACACTGGTCTGTACCGCACTGCCTACTCGCCGGAGCGGCTTAAGAAGCTGGGCGATGCGGCGAAGCAAGGGCTTCTAAGCGTTGAAGACAGGGCGGGTATGATTGCCGATGCCGGTGCTCTCGCCACATCTGGTTACCAGAGCACATCGGGTGTTTTGAGCCTGCTCAAGGGCTTCAACTCCGAAACCGAGTTCGTTGTCTGGAACGAGATCATTTCTCGAGTCTCTTCGGTGCAGAGTGCCTGGATGTTCGAGAACCAAGCGGACCGCGACGCCCTCGATGGGTTCCTACGCTTCCTCGTGAGCGCCAAGGCGCACGAACTGGGCTGGGAATTCTCGGAGAACGACGGCCATATTCTGCAGCAGTTCAAGGGCATGATGTTTGGCACTGCCGGCATTAGCGGAGATGAGACTATCATCAACGCCGCCAAGGACATGTTCAAGAGGTTCATGGCAGGCGACAGGGCGGCAGTCCACCCCAACATTCGGGGCAGCGTTTTCAGCATGGCCCTGAAGTACGGCGGCAAGGACGAGGTATGCTTGTCACTGTTGCTCGGTATCGTGTCAATGCTAACCGGAAAATAGTACGATGCGGTCCTCAACTTTTACCGCACGTCAACTAACAGCGATGAGCGCAACACGGCACTGCGCTGCCTGGGTCGGGCCAAGGACCCCGAGCTTATCAAGCGGACCCTTGACCTTCTCTTTAGTGGCGAGATCAAGGACCAAGATATCTACATGCCGACCAGCGGCCTCCGCAGCCATCCAGAGGGTATCGAGGCGCTGTACACCTGGATGACGGAGAACTGGGAGGAGCTTGTCAAGAAGCTGCCGCCAGCGCTCTCGATGCTGGGCACCATGGTCACCATCTTCACGTCGAGCTTCACTAAGAAGGAGCAGCTCGCGCAGGTGGAGAAGTTCTTCGAGGGCAAGAGCACCAACGGATTTGACCAATCCCTGGCTCAGAGCTTGGATGCTATCCGATCCAAGGTTACGTGGATTGAGCGTGACCGGGCGGATGTGGCCGCCTGGCTGAAGGAGAACGGCTACCGTTCGTAAATTTCGCTTGGATGAAGGGCCAGAGGTCTGACGCTGCAGTCAGGTCCCCAAGCATCATCGGAGTTGGCTGGCTACAGAGCATATCGTCTCTAGACGCATCATAGATGTAGGCATGAGCATCCAAGACGGCCATGGGTGGCCTAGATACCGAATATAGCCGACATAGATATGTATAGCAGAGGAGGGGTGATAAGAAAAAACGCCACTTTTCACCGCGTAGTTGCGCGCTTGGACGGGAGGATGTGTGTATCATTACAATTCTGACTCACCATTTAGGTTTGCCTCTGTCGTATGTTTTACGCAACACTTGCAGGCTCAAGATATGCAAACGCAAACTGTAGCTTCGTTCGTACATGATTTGAGGTGGATCCATTTTTCACCGAAAACTGTAACAGTATAAGGGTGCTTGCTTCTCCGCACTTCAGTTTCTGCAATTCAACGGCTGCCCAACTTGAATACACATTCATTCACACAAACTTTCAAGATCAAAGCATAAATTAAACACAGTCAAGATGGCGAAAGACAAAAAGGGCAAGACCGAGTCAAAAAAGGCCAAGCTGGCTGAGAAGAAGCAGAAGGCCGAGAAAAAGGCTGAAAAGAAGGCGAAAGTGAAGGCGACGAAGATGGACGGTAGTGATGCCGAGGACGTTGATATGGATGCCGTGCTCGAAGAGTACCGAAAAGAGCAGGAGAAATTTCTCAAAATCACAGAGACCGTGGTTGAGGAACCCCCACGTGCCCGTTCAGCGGCGACCTTCCTGGCCAACCCGACCAACAGCAACCAGCTGCTGCTCTTCGGCGGCGAGTACTTCAACGGCTCACTCGCAACCTTCTTCAACGACCTCATGGTCTACTACATTGACCGCGACGAGTGGCGCTGCGTCACCTCTCCCAACGCACCCCTCCCTCGCAGCGGCCATGCTTGGGCCCGCGGCGGCAACCAGAGCAACGCCGTCTACCTCTTCGGCGGCGAGTTCAGCTCCCCCAAGCAGGGCACCTTCTACCACTACAACGACTTCTGGAAGCTGGACCCTACCTCCCGCGAATGGACCAAGCTCGAGCCCAAGGGCAAGACGCCACCCGCCCGCTCCGGCCACCGCATGACCTACTTCAAGAACTACATCATCCTCTTCGGCGGCTTCCAGGACACCGCCCACCAAACCAAATACCTCTCGGACCTCTGGCTCTACGACACCACCAACTTCGTCTGGCACAACCCCACCCTCCCGCCAGCCCAGCTCAAACCCGACGCCCGCTCCTCCTTCACCCTCCTCCCCCACGAGCAGGGCGCCGTCCTCTACGGCGGCTACTCCCGCGTCAAAACCACCGCCCCAACCAACAAACAACAACAATCCACCCGCCAACCCGCCCACAACACCCAACGCAACGTCCTCCGCCCCCTGCTACACACAGACTGCTTCTTCCTCCGCGTGACCCCAACCCCGGCCGACGCGCCCGCGGGCGCCCCGCCCACGGTGCGGTGGGAGCGGCGCAAGAAGCCCGCCAACGCGCCCAACCCGGCGCGCGCGGGCGCGACGATGGCGTGGCACCGCGGGCGCGGGATCCTGTTCGGCGGCGTGCACGACGTGCAGGAGAGCGAGGAGGGGATCGACAGCGAGTTTTTTAATGCGTTGTTTGCGTGGAATGTGGAGAGGAATCGGTTTTTTCCGTTGGGGTTGAAGAAGCCTAGGGGTGGGGGTGGTGGTGGGAATAAGGGGAGGGGTGGTGGTGGTGGGGAGCAGAGGGCGGTTGGGGGGAGGAGGGGGAGGGCGAAGGAGAATGAGGAGGAGTTGTTGAGGGGGTTGGCGGCGTTGAGGGCGGGGGCCGGGGTGGAGGATGAGGATGAGGAGGAGGGGGGTGGCGGGGAGGGGAAGAAGGAGGAGGAGGAGAGGGAGGAGAGGGTGGTGAGGGAGATGCCGGTTCGGTTGGAGTTTCCGCACCCGAGGTTTAATGCCCTGCTTGCGGTGCAGGATGATGTGCTGTATGTTTATGGCGGCACGTTTGAGAAGGGGGACCGCGAGTTTACGTTTGACGACATGTATGCCGTCGATCTGGGGAAGTTGGATGGCTGCAAGGAGGTCTTTAACCGGCCGGTGGAGGACTGGGTTGTGAGTACCCCTGACGCCACGATAGGCGACGCAGCGCTAACCATAGTTATAGGTATCCGACGACGAAGATGATGATGAGGATGAGGATGAGGACGAAGATGAAGACGACGACGACGACGAGGAGGAGGAAGAGCCAAAGGAGGACCTGTTCACGCCGAGCAAGCGTAAGAAGAAGCAGAGTGTTGACGAAACGTCAAACGCGGACTCTGCGCCATCTCCCGTCCCTTCAGAGGAAGAGGAGGAAACCGAGTCGGTGGCTACAACAGTTGATGACGGGCTGCCGCACCCGAGGGTGAGTTTCCCCCTCAACCTACCTTTAATCACCCCTCACCACGCTAACTGTGTTTCTAGCCCTTCGAATCCCGCCGCGACTTCTTCCAGCGCACCTCCAACGAGTGGCAGGAGATTCTCATGACGGGCCTCCGATGGAAGGGCATCCAACCCGAATCGCTGACAGTCAAGGAGATCAAGTCCAAGGCGTTTGAGTTGAGCGAGGAAAAGTGGTGGGACTGCCGTGAAGAGATTACGCTGCTTGAAGAAGAGCAAGAGGCTGCGGGCATCAGTGAGGTTGTATCGCTTGCTGAGAGGGGCGATTCGGGGCCCGGTGCTGGCGGTGGTGGTGGTGCCCGAAGGAGGTAGATTAGGTATTTGGGGAATAATTGTGATTTATGCTTGCATGTTGCATGCTTCAGCGGTAGAAAGGGAATGGCTTACGAACTATGATGGGTGTAGATACTAGACTAGGGTTACTCTTAGTGTTAGTTACCCAAGATTGGGATCGAATGTCGGACAGAGCCCTAGGCTACCGGTCGGGTTTATTGCAGACATATTTATATCATGCCCGTTGATTCTAGGAGTCTTCTCGTTGATGGCTAAGGGTATCACGTGACTAGGCGCCACCTCTTGACGCGACATCACTCTTTCCTTGTCCCATCGCGTAATGTCATTCGTGCCTCACTTTTCCATCTCTGGCATTCCTTGCCACTAGGTTGCTTTCTTCTTCTTTCTTTAACTTTGTGACAACCGGCTAGATCCTGTAGTCAAATTTGATACCGGCCCTGTACCCTTTCCGACGCGACACTATGCCATTAGGAATACAGCGCCTCAACGCAAAGCGATCGCAGCCCAATGAATGTATCGTTTTCATTAAGCCCTTGAAAGGGTCGGGCGAGCAAATTGCGCAGGATTTTCTGGAGAGGATCGCGGCTCAATGCTGTAAGAAGAACCATTTCCCTTCTTAAAAATGTGCATGTTAACGTGGGTGCAGTGCCTGTCATGCGGGAGCACCGCCTCTCGGTCATGTCGCTGGAGGAGTACGAGCCAAATCCCGAGTTTGTCGGCCGGAATTTCAATGCTGGCGAGGTCATCCAGCTGGTGCTCAAGGCCCGTTCTGGGCACTGGCTGCCTTTCAACTATGTGCAGATGGTCATGATGCATGAGTGCGTCTCTTCAGCCTCGTATGGTTGATATCTTTGCTGACATCTCAGGCTGGCTCATTGTAAACAGATGAACCACTCCCGCGCTTTCTGGGCGGTAAGAAACCAATATGCGGAGCAAATGCGTGGCCTGTGGTCTCGCGGCTTTACGGGGGAAGGCCTCTGGGGAAGGGGTGCGGTTCTGTCAACCGGCGAGTTTGAGAAGAATATGGTCGACCCTGGCGAAGTACTGCCGGAGCATCTCTGCGGCGGCACATACCGCTCGCGGGATAGGAAACGGAAAGCCAAGAAGACCCTCACCTACAAAGAACAAAAAGAACGCCGCATCCTCAAAAAGTTCGGGGCAAACGGCGTCGCTCTCGGCGACGATGCCGAGACGAAGCAGAAGTTGGAGAAGGGCAAGAAGGTCGCGGGGAAACCACGAGTGGCGGGGAGTGCGAGAGGGAGGGATTTAAGGGCCGCCGCAGCTCTGGCTCGGTTTGACCAACAGAAAAAAGAAGAACCAAAGAAAGAAGGGGACGACGAGGGATCCGAAACCGAGAGCGGTGACGACTACGAAGACGATACAATATCCGGCCCGGACGCGGTTGATATCGACGGCAAGAAACTCGTCGATTCGAAGGGAAGGGGGATGATCAAGATCTGCGAAGATGAGAATCCCGACGATCAAGATGCACAAGACGAACTGCGGGAACTGCGGAGTTTCGGGTCGAGGAAGCCGGTCGTCAAAGCGATCGATCTGACCCTGGATGAGGATCTGGGAAACCCGGTCGCGAAGCCGGCAGCAAGCAAGCCAGATACGCCCAGCAACCCAAAACCCTCGAAACCGAATCCCAAGCCGCCAGCACCAAAACACACTCGACCTCCCGCACCCGGTCCCTGGGACTCGAGGACCTGCTCAGTGTGTACGTTCGTCAACGAGCCAGCTGCAACCACCTGTGCCATGTGCGCCAACACACTAGGATCGGAAGGGAAGTTGGGCGTATGGGCCTGCCAGAGCAAGACATGCAAGGGGACAAAGTATCGTAATGCCGGGGATTGCGGTGTTTGCGGTGTGTGTGGGGAGCGGAGGCAAACGCCCGTTTCGGCAGGAGTCGTTTGAATGTCGCCCGCCGCCAACCCGAAGCTGGTTTCCAGGTTTTCTCGGTAGCCTTCATATGTTCCGCTTACTGTGTAGCGGGCTAACTCTTGTGGGTTTACCAAGTAAGCTAACACCGCACCGCCGTTGGCGGACTTGAAAACACCGTGTTTTAAGGACCGACGGTGGATATTGTGAAGGGCGGCGGTCCAATGTTCGCTTCCAATGAGTTGAATATACACGGCACGCGATCAACAGTCGGCTCCGTTCATCTGTGCAGTAGTTACCCAGCGCAGTGGTTGAGTGGCTCCGTCTTGGAGTCTTGCTCACCCCACATCACAAGGTATATCGGAACCTCCATGTCCGCCCCACGATCCGCCGGCTTGCCCACCATCCCCAATTTTCGTCATTGCAGGGTGATGCGCGTGAAATTCACATCTCCTCGCCCGGTGCTGTCGTTGACTGGTCTTGAAGACCCATGGAGGATCTGGCATTCCCTGCATCCGATGGCAAGTCACTGCGAGCCGTTTGTCTTCTTTTCAGGGGTCGTCACGTCACCCCCTGGACCAACCAATCAGCAACACCAGGTTCACCCCCTCGCTTGTGTTTCAGCAGCTGCCCGGGTCCCCCTATCGAAGACTTCGAAACTTGGATCTGGAGTCGCACCCACCCTCTGCACAGCCTGAACTCCAGAAAGACCGCTGACTGTCATCCTCCGCACCTCCGCCATTGACGCTTATCACGCCGGTGGAGAGAGACGGATGATCTTTTGGTCGGGGAAACTGTACCCCGTGATGCACCGAGGTCATGTTCAGCGTTTGCTTGGTGGTAAGCCGTTGCAGGTTGCTGCCGATCAGATCCTCCATCGGCGCACCGAACTTTTGGTGACGTCCGACGATCCCCGCCGGCTTGGCAGGGGCCCATAAGAAACAAACGGGAGACTCCCTGTCGTAGTTAGTGAGTTCCGAGGCTCCGAGGTTGTGGAAGAGGTTGAAAACCAGGGTGCCCGCCGTTTGTCGTGGTCTGGTTCCTGTGTCAGTTTTCAAGATTGACAGGTTAACACCTTGACGGTCCGTGGCTGAGAACTCATTATCTCCCCAGGGCATCTCTCTGCTCAGATGCTGGCATCACCACTTCTTTCGTATCTCGGTCTGTGATCGGTTGTCCTTGACGTTTGTACATACATATCTTCGCTCTTTTCTGAATCGACCTGAACCGCGGGGCCTAAAGAAGCCGTTCTCTCCTTCATCCAGCTTCCATCTCACGGCTACGATCCCAACAACACACACACCTCAAACCAAACAAGACCAAACCAAAACCAAACACAAAATGTCCCGCCTCATCCTCGTCCTCCTCACCCTCCTCACCCTCGCCCTCGCGGCGCCCCCGCAACCCTGGTACGAAAAATACCAGCAACGCCGGGTGATGGTCCCCCAATCCTACTACGAAGGCCTCTCCCTCCGCCGCCAAAAACCCATCAACCCCAACTCCGTCCGCGACGTCGTCTGCCTCGACACCTCCACGTAAGTCCTCCCCCCAACCATCTCACCCTCCACCACCCACCCCCCAAGAAAGCCCTCTCTCCACACCAGACTAACCCCCGTACCACAGCCGTTTCGTCCTCTACGACGAATACGCCGCCTCCCTCGCCATCTGCGGTTCCATCGCGGGCCCGCTGGCCACACGCTGCGGCGGTAGCCCCGCCGAGACGGTCGGCCGCTCGGGCAAGGCTGTCTTTGAGCTGCAGGCGACGGAGCGCGCCGCGGGAGCCACCATCAATGTGTCCAAGGACCGGTGGGCGCGCTGCGTGGCCGCGGCGCGCGAGGCGTGTCCGCAGGGGAGCTTTGAGGGGGTTTGTGTGGGTGGGGCGACGAAGGGGGATGTGAAGTTTCGGTTGGGGAGTGTTTGAATGTTGAGATTTTGTTGTGTTTTGTTTTGTTTTGTTTTGCTTTGGGGGTGGGGGTGGTTTTCTTTGGTTGTCTTGTTTTTGGGCTGGAGTAAAGGGGTGGTTGGGTTGGGTTGGTTGGCTTGACGGCGTTCGACTGGGTTTTGGGAATCTGTCTTGTCTTGTGATGGCTGGGCAAGTCTGGTTAAGAGGTAGATCCTCTGGGGCATAGATAAACTATGAGAAAGGGGAGGACCAAAGAGTCCTCCGAGATGATCACATCTTGTGCCCATGAGCAGACCAAGAGAGTGCCCATCTTGCCTAGAGTCGAGCAGCCCGACTCGTAGGATGGTGAGGATAGTGGTGCAAAACCGTTGTTTCTGGATTCAAAAACAATAAATGGGTATCAAACTGTATGCCTCAGCAGCGGAACCACCCGCGTTCCCCAATATATCCGCCTCAAACCTCCCACCCTACAGCCCTCCTCTTTACCCACCCCCACCCATCACAACCCATACCGCGAAACGCACTCCTCGCGATGCGCCTCCAGGCACTCCAGAGCACAAACGCGCGTGCCGCACTTCATGCACTTGACGCGGCCCCAGTAGCCGCACACGGCGCAGAAGGCGCGCACGGGGTAGCGGCGCTCCTCGTCGCCCCAGGCGGCGCGCGCCTCGAGGTAGCTCAGCGGCGGCGCCTCCATCAGCGCCCGCAGCTCGTCGTCGGACGGGAACGGCGGCACGTGCGAGACCAGCAGCGGGTCGCCGTCGCCCGGGTGCGCCGCGGGCGGCGGCTTGGCGTACGCCGGGAGGATGAGGCTCTCGCGCGGGTAGGTGGATGGTTGGGGGGTTGTTGGTTCGGGCGCTGAGGTTGGCGTGGGTTCGGTCGGTGCCGTGGCGTCGGTCATCTCGACGTCGGTTTGGTCGTCTTGTTGTTGGTGTTGTTGTTGTTGTGGCTCGGCCTCGGGCTCTGGTTCTGCTTTGGGTGTTTGTCGCGCTTTTTTCCTTTCCTGTTCCTGTTTCTCCTTCGCTGCTGCTCGTTTCGCCGCCGCCGCTGACCGCTTGCTCCCACCGGCGGATGCTGCTGTGGGTACTGGCGAGGCACTCTTCGAGGCGGCCGTTGTGGGTGTGGATGGTTTGGTCAGTGCTGCGTTCATAGCTGCTGCGGCGGCAGGGTTGCTCTCGGCTAGGGCGAGCATCGCTTGGTAGTCATCGAGGTGGTTGGCGAATGTCTTTTGCGACTGGAGGATCTTGCGCACGTTTGGGGTGTGCTTGTTTTGAGCTGCACCATAGTCAGCTTCGGACTTTCACTCGTTGAACTGGACGCGTATGCATACCCCTACTTCCTCCTGGCCGGGGCGGTATCGGAATGTTCGCATCTCTGTGGCTATCGCGGTCGAGGGTTTCGAGATCCTTTCGTATCCTCGTCTCCTCGCGTGCTGAGAGATCGGACAAGCTCAGGGCGGCCTGTTTACGTGCGGCGCGTTTTCGGTTGGCGGGCTGCAATGCAGCGGACAGCGCAGGCCCTGTATCCGGTACGTAGGCCCACCCCGGTGTGTTTTTTGTCGCCGTGCTGGCGACCTCGATGACTCCGAAATTATTCATGTCGATGCTCGAGGTTGGTGGGGCAGAAGTGGAAGTGATAGCGGAATGGTTGGTGCAGGTTCGGGAGATTTTGAGCGAGAACCGAGCTCGGGTCCACAACGCCGGACGAGGACCGGGGGCACCCATGGCAAGCGGGCCGGTGACGTCGAGTTTCAGAACATCCAACAGGCATTTCGAGATGGTGGGATGTGGTGGGAGTCCAATACAAAGAACGAAGTAAAATTACTAGAGTCTCTAGGATTTAGGGAATTCACACATGGAAGGCCGAGTGTTGAGATCTCGATATTGGTCAAGGAAACTACGGACGCAATGTGATGGGCACGCGACACCCTTTTCTGATGCTCCCACATCAACAACATGCTCTCCCAAAAACAGCATATAACTCCCATTAAACCCCATATCCACGCCTATTCCCAAAGATCCCAAGGCCGCCCCATCCCATCCATCACAGTCATAACTCATCGCTTCCTCTCCATCGCCTCCATCTTCTCCTCGAGCGTCGTCAGGTACTTGCTCAACCGCTCAACTGTGTCTTGAAGGGCCTGTCCACCACACCTAGTCAGCTTATGCCACTTAAGACCTGACTGTCAGCCTCGTCACACGGAGCTCCCCGGTTAGCCAGCGCAAGCAGCGCCCGTCAGAGCGTCACCAACACCAGCCAGCCAGCAGAGCCCCCAGCCCACGAAATAAACCAAGATAATTACGCCTCAACCCTCGCCCACCCCCACCCCCCACCTCCTCTATTTGTCTATCATCTCTCTCTTTCTTTTTCTCTTGTCTTTGTCTTTGTCTTTTCCCCAAACCGGAAGTCTGTCTATAAAACGCAACAGCAGCGCCGTGTCGATCGGAAACGCGGGAAGGCAGGTAGGTAGGCAGGCAGGCGGGCGAGCGAGAGGGGCGCGCATAACGAATATCGAAGAATAATAGAAGAAGAAGAAGAAGAGCAGTGCAGCGGGATCATGTCCTCAAATGCAAACACGCACGTAAATGTCCTCGGTCAGCAGCTCATTCGAGGCCTTGTACTCCTGGATGGCGTAGTAGTAGACGCCGCCGGCGGCGAGCGAGCTGCCGAGGAAGAAGCCGAAGAGCCTGTGTTGTCACCAGCACCGTCAGCCCAACCGCTCCTAGGTACCTAAACTTTCATGCCGCCGACAATCCGGGCGATGTGCCCCTCCACCCCACCCCCACCACCACCGCGGGGCAGAAACAAACAAAACAAAGAAAAGCAACGTACCCTCCCCTCAGCGCACCCACAGGCCTCCTAGCAGGCAGCGGCGGCGCAACACCCGCAGCAACGGCATTCAGCCGCGCAGCAGACGTGTTGAAGGCGCGGGCCGTCGGCGCGGCAGTTCTCGACAGGGCGCGGGCGCCGTGGGATAGGATTCGCGAGGCCATGGTATTTCCGGGACGAGGGGTAGCTGTGCTGTGCTGTGCGGTGCTGTGTGTAAAAAAGGAGAGTAGGAGAAAAAAAAAGGACTAAAAACGACGCGGGATGGGTGGTGGGGGGGGGGGGGGCGCAATATAATCCTAAAAATTATTCTTGGGCGAGCGAGGCACAGTTGGTTGGCGCCGGTGGGTGGCATGCGCTCACTCCGGGACGGGCGGGAGTTTAGGCCTGGGCACCTGGGCTACCACCTTGGCAAGGGTGAGTGAGCATGCGACAAACTGACCGTTACGGTCGGAGCCAATCGGGGCCCCGCATTCGCACGTTTGGGCGGGCAGAATTTGTGCCCCTTGCAGATGGTGCAGCAGCAACGGCTGAAGGCAGGCACAAGTAGTTAAAGGGGGTGGCACTCGGTCGGTCACAAAGGGATAACTTGGGACAAGTGGCGATCGTAACAGACTTCATTCATTAGACAGATGCGCGTTTTGGCAAACCCAAACCCAGAATCCCGGGCGTCATTCCGTGTGCCCGTGGTCCATAAAGAAAACCCCAAAAAGCATTTCTAGATTACACATAAAGACATGTTCTCCTTTAGAGCTCGTCGTGATCGGTCTCCTTGGCCTCCTCGGCCTTGGTCTCGGTCTCGCTGGCAGCCTCGGTCTCGGCCGACTCGGCGGCCTCCTCAACCTCCTCCGAGACGCTGGCCTTGTACTTGCCGTTCTCGGCAACGAACTTGATGAGGTCCTCAATGGTGCGGGAGCCCGAGTAGGTGACGGCCTCCTCCTTGGCGCCGGCGGGGTAGAGCTTGATGGTGGGGAAGCCCTGGATCTCGTCGGGCACGTCGTTGGCGGTGGCATCAACCTTGGCGATGACGACCTGGTCCTTGAACTCGCTCTTGCCATACAGGGCAGCGAGCTCCTCGTACTTGGGAGCAAGAGACTTGCAGTGGCCGCACCACGGGGCGTAGAACTCGATCAGGACATCCTTGGTGTCGTCAAGGACAATGTCGTTGTAGTTCTTGGCGACGACAACGGTGACCGGGCCCTCCTGGGTCTCGGGGATGGGCTCAGACTTGACGCTGGGCTCGACCTTGCCGGCGACAAAGTCGTCAACGAAGGCCTTGATGGCCTCGAAGGTGATCTCCTTGTCCTGGTCGAAGGGGAACTTCTGGTTCTTGGCGACCTCCTGGATGGCGAAGGCGGGGAACTTGTCGGTCTTGAGGTTCAGGTTGCCGGCGTGGGCACCGAACGACTTGGCATCAATGGTACCGAAGTTGACAACGCCACGCTGGGCCTCAGCGATGGGCTTGAGCTTCTCGCTGATCTCCTTGCGCTCCTCGGCCGACTCGGCGAAGATGTAGGCAAGGGGGAGGCCAGCCGACATGTAGTCGGAGTAGGTCTCGGGGCCAACCTCACCGATCAGGGGGGTGGCAGCCGTCTTGGCGAACTTCTCGATCTCCTCGGCGTCGAACTTCTCAGAGAAGACCGACTTGCCCTCGTCGAAGTCCTTGTAGAGGACGACAGCGGGAGCGGTGACGCCCTCAGCCTCGGCCAGGGCAGCGTCGGTGCTGACACCGAAGGGGTAGTTGTCGCGGAGCTTCTCAGCGGCCTCGGTGAAGACATCGCTCGACGCCTTGTCGGAGGCGTCAACGTAGGCGACAAGGACAACCTTGTCAGCCTTCTTGAACTCCTCGAGGGTGTCCTTGGTGACCTCAGAGACGGCAGGCAGGGACTGCTTGACCATATAGGAGGTGATGCTGCATGTCTGTTAGCGAGATGGCCATGCTTAGCGGTTGATGGGGCAACGTACGCAGCAGCCTTTCGCTGGCCCTTGTAGGGGGAGACGTTGTCGAGGCCACGGAAGACCTTCAGGGTGGGGTAGCCCTCAACGCCATGTTGTTGGCAGAGGTCGGCCTCTTCTGTGCAGTCGACCTTGACGACCTTGATATCCTTCTCCTTGAGCGTGGTAGCAGCCTCCTCGTACTCGGGCGCGAGCGCCTTGCAGTGGCCGCACCACGGAGCGAAGACTGGTTGGGGAGGTCTGTTAGTACATGGGAGTAGCTGGCGAGAGTGCGATTGGTGGCTTACACTCAGCGAGGACGAGGTCGTTGGCCTTGACGAAGTCGTCGAAGGTGTCCTTCTTCAGCTGGACAACATCCGAGGCCGTGGCAACTGCCGCCGCAGCGAGCAGGCCGAGAGCGAACTTGTGGGCCTTCTGCATTTTGAATTTTCCTGTTCTGTTTACAGCGAGATTGTGAGCCGACTGCGTACTGCGTGTTTGTTTGAGGAAGCAATTGGGGTTCTGGGAACACAGAACAGGCGGTCGGGAATGGGGAAGGAAAGGCGGGCTGGGGAACGTGGCACCAAGGTGAAACTTACTCTGGGCTACTTAAAGGCAGAAAAGGACAGGTAGAGTGGGAGGGAATTGGGGAGGCCAATGGATTAAATTCCTAGCGATACCGGGCGGGTATGCGAATAGGCCTCGAGTTGTTTGGGAGAAAATGAAGTGTAGCGGGATATCCCAAGAAACCAAGGTCGAGAAGTGGTTGAGGCTTCTTGTATCTTGGGGTTGTCAGTGACAAAGCTGCATTCAGGTCGAGTGAACAGGTGTCTTTTCCACCGCTCAGCCTCTCGCCTGCCTTGGCGGGCCAACAACGCTTGCTGAATGGGGCAGAAGGTGGGGTCAATCCCGATCCACCGCCTGGCGGGCGTTTGGAGATTCACCATTACACAGTATGAATTGACGGTTCCCCAACCTCCATGCGGCAGAGGCTGAAGCAGGGCGCCCGAGGTGGTTCGAGATTCACTGCGGATGAAATGGCAGTTTGAAGATGAATTCTCTCTGTGCGTTCTTGGAACATCGTATGGCTAATAATTTCTAAGGGTATTGATCACCTTACCCTACCTACAAAGCGCTCTGCTCTCGATCTCGAAGTCAAAGCAGCCGCTTGCTTTGGTGCCATTCACACCGTGCTGTAGCCCCACCTGCTAAGCAACGCAGCAACCCCACCATGGGGCTGCAGCTGCCGCACTGCATCCGCCAGGCTGGCTCTTCCTGCCACGCCTGCCCCCAGCCTCCAACAAAGCTGAGAGGTTGCCACAAACACCAAATGCTCAGTCAGACCCGATCTCGAGGTGTTCACCGCATTACAAATGCAGGCCAGCTGAAACGCAGCTCTGGCGAATCGTTTGACCGCACATGCGCATGAAAGGCCACATATCCAATTCGGTGCTTCGTATCAACCCCGAGTACATATCTGGCAGCCCATGTGGCCATATCCGTTCCGGTTGTATCAGATACGTCCACAGGAAACGCGGGTATTCGGCCCCGTCCCGCCCCAAGGGGGATGACGGTCCGAGTTTTAGTTTATATCCATGACCCACAGCCACTTATACCAAAGTTGTATCAAAAGAACAGTACCATGGCTGAGGCTCCGTGTCCACAAGACCTGACCTACGGGTTGCGGTGTGAGCCGCTGACGGCCCAGCGAGTTTAGGTAGTGATACCTGTTTCGCTGATGCATTAACGAGTCGGCCAAAAATCCAGCCGAACGTAATAACTACAGTGCTTCGGTCTCCGTTAGCATTTCTAGTCAACACATATTGTATTGACATGGACAGAGGTGGCGCATGCGACAACCATGGTGTTCGAGATATAGATTGTATCCTGTCTGCCGTATCGGCGATGAGGTGAGGTTCAATTGAGGCTTAGGTAGGCACAACATACCACTTAATTATGTTTCTTGTATCGTGCCTTCCTCGGGTGACTACCTTATGCGTGCCATGTCTTCAACTCCGTCTTCACTCCTTCCGCAGAGACAAATGGATACTGGATGTCGCAAGCGCAGTTTTCCCCATCAGATATGACACCGATTTCCAGCTAGGCCAGTGTCAATATCTTTGCCGGCTTGGGTCTGCCGTCACTGCCCGGGTACCGTATCGATGGACCATCCCCAAACAGCACGACGATCCGCCAGCCATGGACCCCTCGACCACAACTGCACAGTCGAAGCCCAACAGCGCTCTCGCCCCCTTCCCTCACTCTCGCGAGCTCAATTCCGACCAGACGGGACCCCGTTTCGTCTAACCTCTCCGGCACCTTTGGAGAGCATGCTCAAGAAGACTACCGAGACGGGAGACATCGGCTTGTTCTCCATCAGCCCAGTCCGTTCTATCAGCGCTTCGCATGTTTCATGGAATCCAAGGTTGGGATGGGATGTACCAACCAGTACCGAACGCTCGTCTGTCAGCAGTGTAGAAGCACCTGGTCTCATTGACGATAGGAGGTCACTCCCATCGTACCGAAACAGCACCTCTGAGATCGTATCCCTGGACGGGTCTGACAGCATTTATTCCCAGCCACAACATCCGACAAGTCGCCAACTCGTACGGGGAGGCAGTGGATTAGGTGACCTACCGTGTATCCCGAACCACCCGGCTCTAGGGTACCAAAGCCGCGGCTGGCTAGGCGGGGTGGCATTAGGATACGGTCAAAGGAGGTCGAGCTTCACATCGCCTGTTAGCATGGACGAGCAAACCGGCCAAATTTCGCCTACCGAGCGTTTCTTCCGGGCTCACCCAACCGGCACTGTGTCCCATGGCTCCTCAGAAGATACCCACGACGGCCACGACGTGCCACCCGTCCCTGGCCCTCCACCTGTCACTCCAACTAGTGCCCTTGAAACTAGTCAAGCGGACGCCTCCGATTAGGAGTTGGAGACTGATCGTCGAAACTCTGACGAGAGCAGCCCTGTGTCTATGCCAGGGGTCGTTTCCCGTATACACTACCAAAAAGGCGCCAATTCAAGCACAGATGAAGGATCACTGGTACAGCTTCAAGATACCAGGCCCGATTCTCATGCCAAACACGCCGGATGTCGAAGACATAGAAGAAACGCTGCTGTTGCCAAGATTCGTCTGTCTGAACTGTTTGAACCGAGCCTACTTAGCTCAGATGTTGTCCCAGGGAGTATAGGCGCGAATACGACAAGCAACGTTGATGAGGTAAAAAACGGGCCAGCAATCAAGCCACAAAACGGGTGGGAAGCCAACTTCGGAATCACCGTTCCCGCAAGCTCGAGACAACCTACTCTCCCCTCTGCCTCGGGGCCGGCTGGGGACGGGGTTCGAAGGAGTTGGGGGTCAGCTGAGGAACCCGAGAACACGAATTCTCGCGAGAGGAGGCTGAAGCTGAAGGTATCGAGGGGTGCCCTTTCCAAAGCCCGGCGACAAACAGGTGGGACATCGGGGGTATCCTTCGACAGCCGTTTAAGCTCGGAATTCGGCCGTGGCGAAACCAACCACGCATCCCTGAAGAACGGCGAGGGGCTCGAGAATGGCACGGCCACCACCACTCCTCCACTGGCAACTCCGTCCAGCCGACGCCGCGGAAAGAATACCAATAAGACCTCACGCACCACACAGAAGCCGGCTACGCCGGGTGAAATCCCGACCTTGTTTCCCTCGCGCAGTCGTGTGAACGGGAAGGCCCTCCGCCGGTTGAAAAAGCGTTTCCCGGAGCTCGAGAGCCAGCTCGCCGAACTCCAGTTACAGATACCAGAGCAGTCAACAGCAGCCGGCGTCTTTGAGGGTGGAAGAGTGGTGGAAGTTGCCGACGCAAATCCCGTACGGAAACGCCGCGGTGGTCGTCTTAGGGGCCGGGTGAAAATGTTGATGAGCAGGGCGAGGGAAGCCATTGCTCGTACCCGCGGCCGATCGAGAGGTTAGAAGTTATTACTGTGCCACGAACGTTCGTTTTACGCCGACAGGTCAAGTGTCACATGGATCCAGACGGTTGACCTGCGTTGGGGGGATGAATATCGCTCGTTTTGTAGATATGGTTAGGTAGCTAATACGATGGGTATATTCTAGAGACATTTCCTGATCTCTCGTTATCGAAAGGTGGGCAGAGTCTATTATGAGGATGAAGGATGGCATACCCAACCACACCACCCCTCAACCACGCCCACCACACCCTCACTACATCCATCAACACCCCCCTCCACACCCTTCAAAACTAAAACACCCCGCCCCCAATAATAAACAACCGCTCCTCCTCCCGCTTCGCCCACTGGATCACCCGGTTCGCCCCCTGCGCCATGGCCGCGCGCGGCACGTTGGGCCCGGCCACGCAGTAGAACTCGAACACGGGCGTGATCCACGCCAGGCTGGCGGCGTCCTCGCCGACGCCGTGCAGCACCTTGAGGTGCGCGTGCTTGGCGTGCATCGACGCGTGCAGCTCGTGGTAGAGCGTCATCAGGCGCCGGCGGGTGAGCATCCTTTCTGGTTCCGGTTCTGGGGTTGATGGCGCTGTTGCTGTTTCTGCTGTCGCTGTTGCGGAGGATGCGGAGGATGTGGACGGTGCGGATGGCGCGGATGGTGCGCTGGGGGTTGGGTTTTGGTTTGGGGTGGGCGGTTCGAGGGCGGACATGCAGAACTGCACGTTGGCGCGCGACTTGTAGAGGAAGTGGGCGATTTGGGCGCCCGGGGCGATGGTTTGGATCTGGAGACGGCGCTCGCGGGCGGCGGACCGGATGAGAGAGAGGTGGCCTGTTTTGGTGAGCTGGGCGGCGAGCTTATCGCGCATCTCTTTGAAGTCGTAAAAGGATTCTTTGTCTGGGGAGATGAGGATCAGGGCGATTTCGTCTTCCTTTTCGATCGTGTTGGCCGTATTGGTCTCGGTCGTGTTGGTGTCGGCCGATGATTCAGGGGTAGGCTGTGCGGTTGCCTCGGCGGGAAAGGCTGAGTCGGGGTTTTCGTCGAAGAAACTGACGTACATGTAGAGATAGCCGCGGTTGTTGAAGGCCGGGAGGCAGAGTGGGATCCAGCTCTCCCCGCCGCCGGATTTGATGCCGCCCGATTCAAAGAGCATGTTGAAGATGAGCTGGAGGTCGCTCGGGTGCAGCGAGTGTTTCCGTGGCCTGATGACGCTCACCAGCTTTCCACCTGCGACGACGAGTCCGTAGAGCAGCTTTTCGCAGCGGCTTTTGAGGAAAATGTTGTTTATGGCGTGACGCTGGGACTTTCGTAACTTCAGACATTCGAGGGCGCCAAGAAGAGTCGAGGGGGAGCCTCGAGTAAAGCTGTCGGCGAGAGACGAGAGGAGCGATTCGGTACCCTCGAGGGGCTTCCTGAGATCCGTCGAGGGGCGATGAACGAATATGTTCTTAAGGGTCGGTAGCGTCAAGGTGGACAATATCTGCATGTACAAGGCTTCGAGCTGGCTTCTGAGCTGAGCATCGCTCTCGCCTAGCCTGCTGATGGCTACGAAATAAAGGGGGCCCTCGATGGCAATGACGAATCGTGCGTTGCCGGCGGTAAAGCCCAGCAAAGGGTTTTTGGCTCCTTCGTAGAATGAGATGATGGTCTGCACCACACCCATGTACGAGTTAACCAAGCCCAGATCGCCGTGGCGGCTATATATGGGCTTTCCAGCAGACGACAGAATCATGTAATGCTTCATCTTGGATTTCCAGATGGTCATCCTGATATCGTCGGTTTTATCGTCCGGGATATCGTCAAATTCCCTCTCGAAACCGGTGAGGCTGCCGGGGGCGCCGAGCTCGATGCTTTCGAACGGCTGGACGGTCTCCGACTGCGACCTTAACATGTTCCAGGCACGGCTCTTCCTATTAAGACCATCCGCGACCAGACTGGCTAGGTCTCCATGCGGGCGCAATGTCGGCGCAAAACTCATGACGCTCATCGAGTCGGCAAGGTCGCCGCCGGCCGTGGCGTCGCGGCTCGGCGTCCCATACCCGCTAGCATGCGGCGTAAAGCTGACGCGAGGTGCGCTCGTGGAAAATGTGCCTCGGGAACCGTCCGGGAACGACACAGTTGAGATGTCGATAGATGACACGGCCGTGGTCGGCTTCGCTTGAGCCGGCGCTACCTGAGCAGGACCGTCGCTCGAAATAATCTGGCGGGGCGGTAAAGGCGGTGGTGATGGAGACGGCGAGGTCTCGGTCACCTTGGGAAGACCGTCATTGTTACTTTCAACTTCCGCTTCCCGGGCCATTGTCGATACACCGCCTCGTGATCCGACGCGCGCATTGTTTGCGGCTACTCAAAGAAATCAAGTCCCCTCTTGTGATCTTTCGAATTCGAAACATGCCATGCCGGCGAGGCGCAGGCGTACGATAAGGAGGAAGGACTGCTTTTCAACGACCCAAGGTGCCGAGGTTGGTGTTGAAGAGAGGCACACGCGAGTGACATCGAAGAACAAATGACGACAGTGGATGCGACAACCCCCAGCCAGCCCCATTGATAAGATAGCGGGAGTGTTGGCTGTCTCAGCCTTGTCGATCCGCTGCTGCAGGGTTGAGCTTGGGGGCTGAAACCAATCACAGGCGCTCAGTTCGGTCCCTTGGCGGTGTCGCATTCATCTGGTGGGGCCTGGAGTGAGGTACTTCGTGCTGCCCCAGACATTGGGACCAATTGCGCAACGTTGTTCCCCAAATCGACAACCTGGAACCTTCAACTTACGCGGACTGTTCTCCGGCCACCTACCGAGTCGCGACATCTCGATACCCGGATCCGAACCGGCAATGACCCCGGCCAACGATCGCATACCGGGAAAACTCCTGTTTAGCCATGGCGCTTGAGCCCGGCCGCCGGTCTGTCTCCCCAGACAGCTCTGGCGGCGACTCGCCCGTGCCACGCCAGTGGAGGAACCAGTTGGGGGCAGGTACGTCTGTCCTTTTCTCATGGCGGTTGACGGTGTTTTACGAGCGGTGGAGTCTGGGGCTGACGATACGGGGTGGTTTGCAGAGGACGCACCTCCCAAAGACAAACATCACCGCAAATATGCGAGCGGCATCGAGAGGGCTCTGTCCCTCTTTGACACGGCACTACAAGAATGGGCCGATTACATATCCTTCTTGAACCGACTGCTTAAGGTGGGCTTCCTTCTTGTGAGCTTCAAGCTTGTCACCCAAGACCCTGGCTGATCATATGTCTGCGACAACAGGCACTGCAAGCTCGGCCGTCATCCGTCTCTACTATCCCCTCCAAGACGACCGTCGCAAAACGATTATCGCAATGTCTGAACCCCTCACTCCCATCCGGCGTCCACCAGAAGGCCCTCGAGGTTTATAATTATATCTTCTCCGTTATTGGCAAAGACGGATTGTCCAGGGACTTGCCCTTGTACTTCCCGGGCCTTGCTACGGTCTTGTCCTTCGCCTCGCTCACCGTCCGCGCCCCCTTTCTCGACCTCCTTGAACGCTACTTCTTGGACCTCGACCCTCGCTCGTTGCGGCCAGCCATGAAATCCGTCGTCCTTGCGCTGCTACCCGGACTAGAGGAGGAGACAAGTGAGGACTTCGATCGCACCCTGAGGCTTGTTGAGCGGTTCAAGGCCGCCATCCGTCCTGCTGCAAGTCATGATATTACGGAAGCTCACTCCTCGGGGGATGACTTTTTCTGGCAGTGCTTCTTCCTAGCTTCCATTACCGGCCATACCCGGAGAACAGGTGCATTAGCCTACCTCCTGCGCTCCCTGCCGCGCCTAGGCCATGCGCTGCAGCCGGACTCGACTAAGGCAACGTCCGATATGGAGACATCTACTAAACTCTCCCAACTCGTTACATCTCCAGAACCTGGACTGCTCATACGTTGCTTTGCCGCTGGTCTCGCCGATGAGCAACTTCTCATTCAGAGAGGTTATCTAGACCTGCTTGTCACCCATCTTCCGTTACACTCAGAAGTCCTCCAAGCCAAAGCCAAAGGCGGCGATCTGGAGCTGCTCCTACGGGCGGCCGCTGGGGTGACAGTGCGCCGAGATATGAGCTTAAACAGGCGGTTGTGGTCCTGGTTACTCGGCCCTGAGCCGCCTGCCTCTGCTGAGCACGATAACGGACCTGAGTCCCCTACCTCCACTTCCACCCATGCCCACGGCTTCTTCTCCTCAAGAACAAACTACTTTGAGGAATTTGGTCTGCAACCGCTTACACGAGCGTTGCTTGCCCTAGTCACTTCGGACACTGGCGGTAATCCCTCCGAGAGGGCAAAACCGTACCGCATTTGCCTGTCGCTGATGGACAGGTGGGAAATTGGAGGGCTGGTTGTGCCGGAGCTCTTCCTCCCCATCGTGGATAGCGTGAGGGAGTACAAGACGAAGGCAGCGAGCAAAGCAGACTTCTCCGAGGTTTTGCGCAGTGCCAGCGTGTTTTTCGACGGCGTTGAGAGTGGGTTGATCTACGGCGAAATACTGGCCCTAATGGTACAGGCCGTCGGCCCCGGCGGTGACCTCTCCGTCACGGAACGTAGAGGGAAGCTCGACCTGATCCAATTCGTACTGACAAATTTCAACGTCAGGGAAGAGGAGATGATCACCATTCACGCCCCTCTTACCGCGCTCTCCATTCTGTGCATGGTCGAAGAAGCTCACGGTCGTGGCAAGCATGGGGATACCTCAACTCCTCTAGATGCTTCCTTGTCTGAGGTAGCCCTGAACATCGCTGGGAGCTTACTCGACCTGGTTCCGGAACGGGCATTCCCAACAGAAACAACGACGGAGTCTACTTTATCAGCCGAGTCAACGACCCTGGCAGCCTCGCCTAGCACAGAGCTGCTCAAGAAGATCAGGACGTTTTATGTGACCGACCAGGGCAGTCTAGAAGCGGCGTCACCCCCCTTTAACTCACAGCACCTAGCTCAGCTTCTCCTACAAAAGGCATGCGATCTCGTCTGCTCGTCCCTGGATCGACGGGAACCCGGGGCAGAGATGGCTGTGAAGACCAAAGTCCTTGTCCTGCTCCTGCCAAAACTTCCGCAGGCGTTGTCATTCGACACTAACAAGCTTCTCTCTGCGCTTCATGACTGCCTCGTAGCCGACGAGCCGATACCGTTCGCCGTATATTCTTCCATTCTCTCACTCTCATCGCACATGTGCTCCGCAAACAGGATAACCGCAATCGAGCTCTCGGACCTTGTCGTGCCACTTGTGCGCCACGCATGGGCGTATCTCTCAGCAGCCGAGCCAAAGTATCATGTCGAGACGACCCGCAGTCTTTGGCTGCTCCAGAGCGCTCTCACTTCTTCGAACCGGGACATCGAGGCCGCCATTTGCGCCCTGATGCTTCAAAACGATACCGCGGGCACGTTCGCTCAGCGCCCCGCGGATCCCGGCAGGAGTTTCTGTGTTCTTTGGACACACACTCTTCAGGATAATCCTCCTGGGCTGGAGCGAAGGGGTTCTAAAACGACGAATGGTGACACCAAGGCGCAAACTCGTCTGGCCGGGATGGACAACTACGAAGTCATGCTGACTCGGCCTCTGTTTCTGATGCTCGACGCCCTCACCGACGAGCGGACGCAGCTCTTCATGACTGTCAAAACTTGGCTCAATAGTCTCATCGGGATGGACAAGTAAGTAGATCGGGACCTCCGTTTTGTACTATGCTGACGGTGGTGGATAGGCTCTTTGCAATTTTCGTCACGAAATTCGCCGAGCTGCCATTCCTTGGGCGAGAAGAGTCCAAGTCGGCTTCGACCCAGTACACAGAGGACGACGACCTTAGTCTAGCCTTGTATTATGTCCGCTCCTTATCTACCGTTTTGCGCTGGGCGCCCGAAGCGGCCTGGGCAGTTCTTGCAAAGAGGTTTGTCCGGTCGGACGCTTACCATCCACCACTCTCAGGAATTAGTGAGCCCTCCCCAGCACGCCTTCCTGGATCACGAAATCTAACAAACCAAGCTGGAACGGACGGCGACGTCGCACTCCAGGAGTTGTTCCTTCGCGTCTGCCTGCAATGCATGGCCTATGATAAGGTTCCTGGCGAAGAAGGATCGGAGGCGAGGGCGACACAGCTTCACCGCGCTGCCCTAACCGCCCTTCATCAGATCCTCCTTAATCCATTTGCCGAACAATTCGCAAAACTCCACCTCGAAAACATTCTGGTCGGAAAACTCCAGCAGTCTCTTAGCGGTCCTGACCCCTACGTGCAAGTCTTGCTTCTGGATGTGGTTTACGCCGCTCTCAAGCTCCGAGAGTTGGTACCCGCGGAGCCACCTACTTCTCCTGCCGGCCACGAAAAGCGTCTAGGACAACTAGAAGCGGCAAGAAGCTCCAGAGCATCTCTAATTGAGAAACACATGGTCATGCAACCGCCGCCCCCAGCGTTACTCAAATGCATTCTAGCCGGGCTCAGCTCGCCAAGCAGTAGGCCTGTCTTGGATAGTTGGGTTGGCTTCCTTACCGAGTGCTTGCCGCTCTACACAGACTCCGTCTTCCAGGTCTTGATCCCCCTTGTGGAGACCCTCTGCCGCCAAATCGGGAACACCTTCAATAGTCTCCAGCGCTTATTCCGAGCTTCGGATCAAACACTGTCGCATGGTGCCGCCGGGCCCGAAACTACGTTGATCTCTCTTCTGAACGGCCTCGAGCAGGTTCTGGCCAGAGGGCACGACAGGCTACTGGCTGAAGAGGCCAGAGTCCAGGTTGTCAAGAGTCCAGACCAGCCTCAAGGCTTTTTCGGAAACATGGTGTCGGGCGTGTTCTCGTCTGACGCGCCGCAAGCGCGGAGCGCCACCGCCAATGACAGGCTTACCGTGCTGCTCGCGTTCCAGGACGCTGTCCGCATGTGCTTCACCATTTGGTCGTGGGGACAGGGACGAGACGCGGCAGGGCAGGACGCCACGTCGGGAGCATCCCTTAACTATACATCGCTGCGCATGCGGAACCGGGCGAGGAGATTGCTAGAGCATCTCTTCGCCGCAGAGACACTCGAGTGTCTGGAGACGGTGATCGGGATCTGGCGAGGGGCGCTGGATAGCGCCGACGTGTCCAAGGCCGCCGAGGTGTTCAACCTGCTCCCGGCGCTGGACGGATCGCGGCCGAAACACACGATCCCCGCCCTATTCAACGCCATCTACAGCCGGACCAACCCGAGCGTGCTAGACCCGTCGAGGAGGTCGACCCTCACGATCGAACTGCAGGACACGGACCTCGTCATCTTCCTAGTGGACTACACCCGGTCTCTGGAGGACGACACCATGGATGAGATATGGCAGGACTGCACGGCGTTCCTCAGGGATATCTTGGGCAACCCGTTCCCGCATCGGCAGACGCTGCCGAGCCTGCTCGAATTTGCGGCTATTCTGGGCGAGAAGGTGGACAATACCAATTTCGGCGAGCAGCGCAAGATGCGCCGGGACTTGGCAGTAGGTTTCAAACATTTGTCGACCGCTTGTTCGGTGTACTAACTTCGGTGCTAGGATTTGTTCCTGCGGCTACTTACAGCCATCTTCACCACTCGTCCAACCAGCTTCGACAGTTCGGGCTCCTCAGGAGCTATCTCCGAGAAACCGTTGAACACAACTCCTCGACAACCACCCGTGAGACTACCAGCAGAGCGAGCCGACGATGTAGTCGGCATCCTCGCCACCATCGTGCCCAACCTTCCCAAGATCCTAGTCGAGAACGACCGCATCCTCACCGCAGCAACGGCCGTCTCGACCAACGTCATCGCCCCGGCCCTCCGCGCCAAGTCCTTCCCCGACACCGTCTCCAAGACCATGCTCGCGCTCCTCCAAGAACTCTCCCGCCTCCCGAACAACCAAAAGTCGTGGAAAAAAGACATCTCCGACGCCTTCAACGACGCGCGCTTCTTCGGCTCCAACCTCGCGCTCGTGCACACGGGGTGGCTGCCCCTCCTCAAGCAATGGACGGTGGCGGACAAGGAGCGCATGCCAGATCTACTATCCCGCCTAACACCGCCGACGACGGCGGGGATCGTGTTCGGGGTGGGCGCGACGTCGGCGCGGCTCGAGGCGGACCGCAAGACACAACTCACCCTCCGGCGCGCGGCCGCGCTGGTTTTGGCGTGCGGGCCCGACGCCTTCGTCGCCGACCTGCCGGCCGTCGCCGAGAAGCTGGCGGAACTGCTGGGCGCGAGCGCGACGTCGTCGCCCTCGTCCACCACCCGCGCCGAGGTCTACATGCTGCTGCGCGCGCTCGTGCTGCGCACCTCGGCCGTGCACCTGGCGCCGCTCTGGCCGGCTGTGAATGCGGAGCTGCATGCCGCTGTGGCTTCCGTCGTCGCGCCTGATCATAGCCCGGCCTCGGACACGTACGGCAATGCCTCGGTCATGCAAGCCTGCAAGCTGCTCGACCTGCTCGTGTGTGTTGCGCCGGACGAGTTCCAGCTGCACGAGTGGCTGTTTGTCACGGACACTGTCGATGCCGTCTACCGCCCGCAGTTTGGCAGCGGCGGGTACCAGCCCGTGGCGTTGGTGGATGAGGTGTGTGAGGAGCTGGGCGCGGTCGGGTCCGGGGCGGGGAGCTCGGGCGAGACGGCGGCGCAAGCGGCGGCGACGGCGGCCTCGTCGTCGTCAACGTCGGGCGGGTTGGCCACGTCCGGGCTGAGGCGGCCGTTGTTGGGCACGGCCGGGGGGATCAGTGATGATGTGGGGTTGGAGAGGAAGGATGAGCTCGTGGCCAAGGTGCTTAGGCCCTTCTTTGGGCAGCTGAGTATCTATGCGTTCGAGTCGACGTATGCGATGGCGCCGGTGGACTGGGAAGGGTGCGTGGCGGGGTTGGTGAAGGACTTATTTGATGAGCGGAGCATTGTAAGGGGTTTGTAGTCGTAGCGCGGCGTGGTGTGGTATGGCATCGCATGTCTAGATGGGGTTTAATATGACGAGAGATAGACAAAAGATCGGTCGGTGACTCCTAGCGGGAGCGGCTGGCTTGGCTCATTCCGCGGGCATGTACGCCACCATGGCCTTGCTCGCGCCCTCCATGCAGTACTGCACCACCTCCACCTTGCCGGCGGCCTCCGGCACCAGCTCGGCGATCTGCCGCAGGTCGCTCGTCCGCGGTAGGAACAACGCGTGCTCCATCGGCCGGCAGGCCCCGTGCAATGTCTCGAGGTTGTACGGCTCCATGGTGCTGAGGTCGAACACGTCCTGGTCGCGGTAGCTCACCCCTCCCCAGGGCGGCGAGGCGAAGATGATGGTGGTCGAAAAATCGACCCGCAGCGACGGGTCCAGCCCCTTCCCCTTACCTTTCCCCTTGCCCTTGACGCTATCCTTGAGACGGGCGAGATAGTCCAGACAGTCGCCGTGGATCCAGGTGATGGCGTCGGCCACGCCGTAGACGGCGGCATTGTGCTGGGCGCAGGCCAGGGTGTCGGCGTCCTTCTCGATGCCGATGACGCGGTCCCACTTCTCGGACAGGGCGAAGGCGATGGTGTTGCCGCCTGCGCCGGCGAACAGGTCGATGATGGTGTCCTTGCGCGGGGTCGAGTGGTTGTGGGAGGGCATATCCTTGGCGACTTTGCTGCGGGGTGGGTTAGTATGGTATGGGGTGTGTGAAAGGGGGAGAAGGGCAGTGTTCCTTACATGGCCACGGGCTCGGGGGTCACGCCGAACCAGGCATCGTCGGTGAGGCGGATGTCGTAGTCGTAGAAGTTGAAGATGGAGTAGCGCTGGTGCCAGTATCTAAGAACGTTAGTAATGTAAAGATATGAGAATAGTTTGAGCGAAGTCACTTTTGAAGCTCCCAAGGCACTTCACTGATGTGATCGTAGTGTTGACATTTCTCGGTGAGAGGCAGCGTGCCTTCAACAGGTCGGAGAGTCATGATGAGATGAGGGTGGGCTGGATTTCGTAGACAAAATAAAATAAACTTGGATCCTATCGCCCTGGCCTCTTTTCATTCCTCTTGATAGAATGATCGAAACGGGTCTTGTTGTGTCTCTCGTTCGATGTTCTGGACAAAAAGTTGAAAATAAGGCTAGGGACGTGCAGCTGCATGCATGTGCCTGCCAAGAAATATCCATGGGAACTCGAGGCTGCTCCAGGGGTCATCCAGCCCCCACAGAGGAGCTCCCCACTGAGGAACCCCCCTTGCGTTAGGTACCCCACATTGTTGGTGACGCCAGATCGGTTCGTGCTGCTTTGGTTGCACATGCGGCGTTCCAACACGTTGCGCCGACAAGAACATCGCAGCAACACCAAACACACGTACCACGAAATACCGAGAGCCGGAACCATGTTCAACGCGCTCAACCGCTTCATATCGCGCCTCGATGGCGAGCCCATGCCGGCGACCAAGGAGAACCATGGAGCTTTCGGGTTCCAGGTTCTGCGCAACACCAACATGGAGCTGGCCATTGAACCTTGGTTCGACTTTGTGGTCGGCATCAACGGGCGCATGATTGTATGAGGACCATGCGATGCTAGTCTTGGTGTTTGGTGTGAAGCGACCACGTAGAACTAACTCCAACACCCCCCAGGACGACTCGGACCCCAACCTGTTCGCCCAGGAAGTGCGCAACTGCGCCGGCAGCTCCGTAATGCTCGGCCTCTGGAGCGCAAAGGTACGAGAAGGGCCCTCCTCTCCCTCGTACATAACAATCCACGGTCTAACAGACGTCACATCCAGGGTCAACGCACACGCGCGCTGCACGTCCCCGTCCCCGCGGACACAGCATCGCTCGGGCTGGCACTGCAATGGACACCTCTCGCGGTAGTGTCCAACATCTGGCACGTGCTGGACGTGCCGGCCAACTCGCCCGCCGACGCGGCCGGCCTGCTGCCCTACAGCGACTACATCCTGGGCACTCCCGAGGGCGTGCTGCACGGCGAGGGCGGGCTGAGCGAGCTGGTGGAGGACCACATCGGGCGGCCGCTGCGGCTGTACGTCTACAACAACGAGTACAACGTCACGCGCGAGGTGACCATCCAGCCGAGCCGCGACTGGGGCGGTGAGGGCGCCCTGGGGTGCGTGCTGGGCTACGGCGCGCTGCACAGGCTGCCGGCGCCGCTGAGCGAGCCGGTCCACGGGCCGGGGGAGACCCTGTTTGATGGGGATTCCTCGGGCCTCGCGGGCCAGGCCGGATTCGTGCCGGCGGCGAGAGTGGGGACGCCAACGGGCTTTGCTCCGGGAACCACTGCCACGCCGCCGCCTCCGTCAACATCGGCCGACTTCCTCGTACCGGCGCAGATGGTGAGCCCGCAAATTCCGCCGGCCGGTGCGCCACCAAGGGGGAAGAAGAAGGAGAGGTCCCATCACGGTGGGCCGAACCTCATGGATGATTACTTCAAAGAGCAAGAGAAGAAGAGCAGGGAGCTGGACAATGTGCCGAGCGGGAGGAACTCGCCGCTCCCGCCGCCGCCTAAAGGAGGACCGCCGAGAGGCGGGCCACCCAGGGTTGGGAGTGTGCCACCGAAGGAGGAAGGGGGCGAGTGACGGCCGCAGAACTAGAAATTCGAATTTCACCCCTTTTCTCTAGCGAAGCCGCTTTTAGAGGTGGCGCCCACCAGAACTCCAGCCAGATCTTTATACAGTTCCAAAATATACCACAGAACGCAAGTAAACAAACAAACCACGTATCCCGTCGTCAAGCTGCCCTCCCGGAATCGGCCTCCCTAGTTGATGAAGTTGACGCAGAAAAAGTGCAGGATCAAACTGCACACGACGTAGTCGGCAAAAGCGCTATTAACAGATCAGCATCTTCTCTCTCACCCGTTGTTTTTCGAGGTAACATACCGCTCGGGCGACACAGCAGGGAAATCCCCCTTGTTCGCCTCCGTCGTCTGGATCCTCAACGAAGCTATCCCCCACAGCATCAGCAACCACTCTCATCCTCCAATCCACAACAATGACTTACCCGTCAGAACAAACTGCCCCACCGTCGCCGAGAACCCGGACAAGAACGCATTGAACGGCTACCACCCAATCAGTTAGCCAAATCCCCTTTCCCACCCCAAGGTTATCAAATCAGCGCCGGTAGTGTAGGAAGACGTACGTAGTTCCCCGCCAGCACGCAGTACGCGAACTGCAGCCCGCCGACCGCCACCAAAAACGCCAGGAAGGCGTCCAGCAGCTTGGTGCGCTGCGGCGTCGTCGCGCTGTAGTGTGCCACGACGTTGTGTGCGATCCGGTCCCACGTCTGCGCGCCCCCGCTTCCGACGGTGCCTGCGGCGTTCGCTTTGAGGGAGGCGGGGGCTGTGGGGATGGTGGTGCTGCTGGTTGTGGTAGTGGTTGTGGTTGATGGTGCGCTGGGGGTGGTTGTTGGGCGAGCTGCTGGGGACGCGGAGCGGGCTGCTGCTGCGGCGGCGGCGGCGGCGGCGGATCTTTGTTTGGGTGCCATTTTCGGGTGGGTTGTTGGTGTGGTTGTTGTCGGAGGGGGTCAATTGGGTGGGTTGTGGGTGGTTCGGTTGGGAAGGTGTGAAGTGGTTGTGGTGGCGGTCGTCGACGGGAGGTGTTGCGGATTTGGTGATGGCAGCTCCCAGTGCTCAATGAAAGCGGCCACGAAGCTTCAATTGACAAGGCTGCAGGTGATCCCTGTCGCTTCAGAAGGTGCACGGGCCATTCTACAGGGGTGGGCACTGGGGAAAGGTGTGAAACCTTTAGCCAATAATTTGAACCTCACATAACACTCCACCAACGTTGAGTTGCGAGACGACGACAAAACCATCGCAATGGTCAACACATTTATGATAGGTATCTATTGAGAAGATATCTACCGTGCCACCCCATGCATACTATCTAGCAGTACCATTTCCAGTTCCCTTACCAGCACCCCTACCCGCACCGTTACCACCAACGCTACCAGTCGTGTTGCTACCAGTTGTGTTGGCGGCAGTTCGGCGCTGCCCGTTTGTCGTGGCCGTGGCAGTGGCCGTGGTTGTGGTCGTGGGCTTGGCCGTGGTTGTAGTTGTGGTCTTTGCCGCCGCCGTGGTCGTGGTCACGGGCCGTGTGGCTTTCGCGGGCTGCTTTGCCTGTGCGCCGTTGGCGTTGGCGTTGGCAGAAGGGGTGGCAACAGGGCGGGCGGGACGGGGAGCTTGCTGCCGATGGGGCATGACAAGGTTCCCGCTGCGGAGGTCGGCCATGGCATCGCGAGTATCCCAGAACTCGGCCCTATCGATCTCTTCACCCGTGGTGACAAGCGGCAGCTTGAACTCTGTCCTGCTGTGTCAGCAACCCAGCCATCATTTTGGCGGCAACCATGACCCTAGGTTCGTCTTCTGGTCTGGGAAACTCACTTTCACGAGGGTGCGTCCCACAGCCGGGCGGCACCATGATCCTCCTCGCCTTCCCCGTCTCTTTCGCTATAAACCACAGCGCCCCGGCCTGGTATCTGCCAAGCTCGTCTTCTGGGTCCATGACATTATGGATTTCCCCCTGAAACATCCGATCCTCCCACGCCTCATCCAGGTCACGGCCGCGGCTTGGGGGAGCCTCCATGCTGAATGGCGCCAAGCTTCCAAAGAAGCAGAACACCAGTCCGCGCGCGATTTCGAGACCGATGGCAAAAGCGAAAGCGTCGTACGCTCTCCTGTGGTGGTCGGTTTTCCCTTGCTTGGCCTTGACCATGGCTTCGATCGCCTTGTGCCGGGGCCGGTTAGTATACAACTCACCAAACAGGTTCTCCCACAAACGGGGTGATCGTGCGGGAACAACGTACAAACTTGTTCAAGCACATGATACCCGACGTATCGGGCCTCCACGACTTCCAGTCCATACGCTGGAACCACATATCGCTCCCGTTGGTCCTAGGGTTGGTGCGGGTCGTGAGGCTGACTCGCACAAAGTCCTTGCTGAGCTGAGCAACAAAGTCGTCGGACCAGGCCTGCAGCCCACTCGACTCGGTACAGGTACGCCGGGAGGGCTCCCGCACGTACTTGAAGACGTCCTCGCCCGTGTAAGGGAGCGTGTATTTGCCTTGGTCGCTCCGCATCAGGCCGAGAGCAACCATGACGCAGGCCGTCACGGCTTCGTGGAGAGGGGTGCCGGGGTTGACGTCCCGGGCTTGGCTACGGTCGGCAGACGGATCGTCGGGCTCCATTCGGAGCCAAATATTCGGCGTTGTTGGACCGCTCCGCGGTCGCGGGTTGCTCCGAACAGCCTGGGGACCCGAGTTGGCCGCGCGGGTGCCCTGGGCACCGGCGCCAGTCGCTTGCGACATCTTGTCCAGTGGGGTGTTGTACGTGGTTTAGTAGGTGGGCTAGAAAACGGAGGGGGGAGAGGGAAGCAGAACTTGTGCCAGCACAGTTCGAATCGGCGGTAGGACACTCAATTAATGTTTCTACGGTTAGCTAACACCATCTTGAGCGTGGGCTCTGTGGGATGGGTATTTATGCTGACCCACCGCAGCACCCGCCGCCCCTGGTTAACATCGTATCATCTAAAGCTGTTGGTCCCATGGAGAGAGAGGACGAAGCCCAAGCCCACATCAGCCCAAGCCTCAAGGTCATATCCAAGATGACGCTTACGAGACTTTAGATGGGCCGCACCTTGGACCAATTGCTCGAGTTTTACAGCCCATCTGGGATAACGGTAAGTAGAGCAGGAATAGCAGTGGGTGGCTACTTGGCCCGGGCCGGTCCCAGGATTCCAAGCCTCGCGCTGCCATGTCGAACATTTCAATTTCGAGTGAGCGGCCGGGCTTTCCCGTCCTGGGCATCCAAACTACAAGGAGAAGATCATATAGTAGGAGCAGCGAAGAATCCCAATGCAGCAAAAACAGCCGCCGGTTAGCAGTCCACGGTCCATGAGTTTGGCGCACACCCGCGAGTACGATTGGTATTTCCAGACGTGAGATGTGAAACGAGAACGGCCTATGCCAATCCCAAGAATCCTTCCGTCCCCCAGCAAGTCAGATACTGCTTGGCTAACCTGGGACCCCCCTTTTCTAAAACATCGAAATTTCCAGGGGCATCGACTACGTGCGGGATGCTCGGGACAGTCTACAAAAGCACCTCTGGCACGGATACCTCGGGGATGACGGAGTATTGTCGATGGCCGTGGTCCGTGAAGCCATTTGGCGGCTGGCGCAGAGGACAGGGGGGTTGTTGATTGATGATTCTGTGCCGCTGGTTTCAACATCCCACTCACTTCGCCGCAGCGCTCAGTCAGGGATTACTTGGAGGGCGCGGGGAGGAAAACCAACAACCAGAGCTGGCTACGTGCCCACTTGGCAATTTAACATGACAGAAATTGATCGTGCTAACTAACTAACTCACTACCGAGTAGACATCCAGATGCCTGTCAAAGTTCACCTCCACCGCCTCCCGCATCACCTACCAACCCCACCGCCATTGGAAAGCAACGGCGCTGCCCTTACTTCTTTCGCACGGGGGTTGCGAGGGCGGTCATCCTCATTTGCCGGCCCAGATGCTCTCCATCTTGGTTTGTTTCGCCACAGGAAAATTGAACTGGCCCTTCAAGGGGAGACGGGTGAAGCCTGCCACGTCGTCATGTCAGCGATCACAGCCCCTACAACCCGCACCCCACGAGGGCTGCTTTGAGATTTTGGGATTCGACAGCTTACAGTGTTTTACAAGCTCCTTAACGCTACTGTCGCTAATCAGCAGCCCGTTCCCCTTCTCGTTGACAACCCACAGCTCGCCTCCCTGGGTGTGGCCCAGCGGGTGGGGTTGCTCTTGAGTGCTCACGACGACGCCCCCGAGCGCAAACCGCTGCCACCGGTCGCCCCAGGGGCTCTGGGCTCGGACTTTGTACCCTCGCTGGTATTCCGGGCTCGTCCTCGTCACGAAGTTGACGAAGCAGGTGACCAGGCTGGCCGCGATGGAAGCCCCCAGGGCGAACAGGAGGGAGTTGTAGGCGTTTTGGTGGTGGGGATGCAGCGGGTCTTCCTTCGTCTCCTTGGCCGCCTTTGAGTGGCTGACCATGGAGCGGACCACGGACTGGGAGATGGTCAAGCTGCCGTTTGTGGACGGGTTGTCGGCTTTGAATCCCTCTGGCTTGATCGCCCCCCATGCGGCATCTGCACTGTACGACGCTGGGACTCCTTGGGTGGGCGAGTAGTTCATCCTGAGGAACTGGGCGTTGAGACGGCTGAGGAAGAAGTTGGCCATGGCTTCCATTTCGTCTTCGGCTTTGTCATCGCCAACGCGGTAGTTGGTGGTATACAAACCCACCCCAACCAGCTCCTCACGACCGCCTTTGGTTTTGAGTAGCGCGAGAGCGAGCTCGATAGCCGCATGGATAGCCGCACGGGCGTCCTGGGGGGCGTCGTGGGGCCACTCGTACTTCCGGCCCGGCTTTGCTGCCGTTTTCTCGCCGGCGTTGCCTTGGGCAGCTCGTTGGGCCCCCGTTGACTGCTGTTGGCGATTGTTCGACGTCGCTTGTTGTCCATTGCCCTGCGTAGGGGCGCTACGAACAGGCACGTTTTTGTTGGGAGCGCTCCCTGTAGCGCGTTGGGTAGGGCGGCTTGCCATTTCTTCCTACTTGTTTCGGTGTAGATTGACTTGGAAGAAGAGGTAGCTATCTAGATAGCGTCGGTAAGTTCGACAAGGGCAATGTTGGGCGAGGAAAAGATGGGTGGAGGAGACTGTGCCAGCACGGTCTGTTTCCTTGGGGGTAAAATAGATGGTGATACTGATTCGGTGTGATGAAGTCCTCGACGGATGCTGTCGAAGTGCTCGAGTGGTTCTGGCCTGTACTTGCCTGGTCAACCGGTGATTTATACTACTTTTCCAACACACTCAATGTTCGTCCACATGCCTGACCGTGCATTTTCCTACCAATACACCACGCCTCTATTCCAGGATTTGGGTCGAGACACCGAGCAACCACACCAGAAACCGGTTATGGGAGTTCCTCCAGATCTGTTTAAGGTGAAAGCGGCACGGGGGGATTCCAAAGTTCCAAAACGAAGCAGAGGCACTGCCAAGTGCGGCACTCTTTCCGACTACCTCTCCCATAACTGGCGGAGAGCAAGAAACGGCCCCCAAACCGCGATAAACCCGGAGGACGCCCGGTCTCTTTCGCGGCCGGTCCTCGAATCCCCGGATCGGGTGAAACCTGCTATATGTGGAACCACCAGCGCGGCCCGGCACATCCTTCTAATTCCTCACGGCACTTGCCCCCATACCAAACCTTGGCTGACCCGTCGCAGCGGCCGCCGAGCAGCGGGAGACAACGGCTCGTCATATCTCTAAAGTATAATTACTATGCCACACAGCACTGGCTCCCCCTTTTCAAGATCCCATCCGCGGGCCCGGCTACCCGGCAACGGCAACTCAGCGGCCCCAGCATGCATGAATGGGTCGTGGGATTCACTCCTCGACGCCAGCTCTGCCGCGCCGCCGCATCCCTCGGCATTCTTAGCCGTCAACGTGCTCAGTCCATTCTAGATGACTGCAATGGGGGAAGTTAACCTAAACATCCGTCAACCTCGTCACAAAACGCGTGGTCACCATGGCGAGGGCAGAAACAAAGCCAGGGCCAGCCCGGTTATCGTTGTCCTGGATCTCTACCTCCCCACCCCTCCCTAACCGTACATGAAATAACACACACCCACCTTCCCCGACTCTGTCCCGCCCAACGTACATACCTAAGAGGGGATGACGAGGCCGAGCTTAGGACGCCGCGACGAACCGGCAGCGGGTGGGGGTCCGGTCTTGTCAGGGGCGCGGGCAGGGGCTCGTCCGGCAGCTGAGGTACCCGTGGTGGAAGACTTGGTGGAAGACTTGGTGGAAGAGGGAGCGGGCTTCCCGCCGCCGGATGGAGAAGGGCGCAGCGCAGGAGGAGCACGCGTAGCAGTCGGGCTGGCAGAGGGCTGCGTAGTAGAGGTGGGTTGGCGAGGCTTGGTAGGGTGCTGCTTGCTACCTGCGGGGTTGGTGGCGGCAAGTTTGCCGGCGGGCTTGATGGGGGTGATGGGGCTTGGAGTATCCGTCTCCCCGCGCTTCCCGCTTCTCTGGGGTGCGGCAGCTTGAACTGTCCTGGCCCCTTCGGCATTGAACCTGGTTCGGCGACGGGTGGTGCTCTCGAGCTTTACCTCTTTCCCACTGCTCTTCAAGATCTGCTGGCGCAGCACCCACATTTGAGTGAAGTCGCGCCTGAGCTTATCAGCTGGACGGCGTAGCCTGTTTGTGGTTAAAGGCGGGCCGAGGTCGTATACGAGTTCTATCCCGATATGTCAGTGACTTACACAATCGGTTCGCCATTCGGAACAGAGGGGTAAGCATACGAGCCCTGCCACGACCGTCAACCTCCTCGAATTTCGTGACTGTCACTTCCTCCGCAGATCCGGAGGATTTGGCTAGCCACACCATCCCAGACTGTTCGTCGCCCAGTGGATGGCGTTTCGCTTCGTAGGTTTTGAGCATGCCGCCCAACACCTTTCTTTCCCACACACTCCCCGAATCGGCCCGGCCATTGTGGAAACGTATTCCTACGATATCCGTCGGCGTGTCCTCGTCCACGTCCACAGCTAAGTAATTCATAAAGCAGTGAACTAGCTCGTGTGCTATGGTGACAGCCACAATGACCAGGAAGTTATCGTAGGCAATGCTGTGATAGTGGGAGCTGTGCTTTTTATCGGCAGCCTTGGCCATACACTCGACCATCTTGGATCATCTCCTATTAGCACGTATCCTTGGAGTCGGGTGAAGGAGTACGTACATAGCGGTTGAGCGATATGGTACCCCCCTGATGGGGCGTCCAAGCCGATCTTTTCTCGTGTCTTTCCCGGTCACGCGAGAGATATGAGCCGTTGTAGGGGTATTCGTTACTCAGATGAATGGAAACGAACCCCCGGCCCAAGGGCCCGAGGAAGTTGTCCACCAAATTCTCCATGGCATCCCCGCTGCAGCCCTCACCGTCCCATTCCAGCAAGGCCGCCGATCCCATCTTGGCCAGACAGTCTCGGCTCAAATCGGAGGTTATGAGGCTCATTGCGTAGAAGACGCTCTCGTCGACCACGGCGTAGAGTGGCTCCCCTTGGTATATCCTCTCCAGGATTGGGCGGCCGCCCCCGAGCTCATCGCTCTCGATCTCAACCCAGAGCGGCAGTTCGCGCTTGCTATTGTGCGGTTCAAATCCCGTTTGTTTGGGCACGCCCTCGCGAGGGTCGTATTTGGAGGAGGGTCGAGAGCGGCTACGGGGTCGAGAGCGGCCAGAGGACCGGGAGTTTCTGTTTCGTGAGGACATGGTATCAATGTAATTACCAAATATTGTTTTCTATAAATTAGGGATGGGGTGGAAAGAAGCGACTGCGCCAGCACAATCTGAAGCGGAATGTTGAAGAATACTTGATGGTTGCGGTGTCTGTGTTGATGTTGCACAAGATGTCGAGAAAAGAAAAGATAGTCGACACCATTCCAGAACTTATACCACCCTATAACCTAGGGCCTCGGCCAGTTCGTACGCCCATTGAACAGACCATCGTCCGGACCATCGTCCGGACCATCGTCCGGACCATCGTCCAGACCATCGTCCAGCCTAACGTCCAGCCTATCGTCTCCCTAAATCGGCCCAGGTGGCGGAAGAAGGCGGTCGATCAAGAACACTTTGAGCTGGCACCGGTCTAGGCCACGTCTCAGACCAGATAGTTGCGACCTTGGACGAGGGAAGCTTGGGCTATCACAGAAGTGGCCCGGCCGATGGGTGATGGGCGGTAGCGGGGGCAGTATCATGGTCTTCTCGTGGCAGTGCGCAGTCGAGAGCTGGCTAGCATGTGGCGGGCTCACAACCGAGACCCATGGGCGTGAAACTGAGCTGGCCAGCCCCAGGCCTAGTGGCCCCCAATACGAAGCATACAATTCTTGTAGGGTCGGTTGGCTATAGGTATCTGTTGGCAACCCGGAGTGTTGCCAGCCACTGTGTTGGTTGGTTTCATTTTCAGCCTCGGTCGGCTCTGCCGCACGCCGGCATTTGACCTTGTCCTATAGACTTCGCCATCAGCACACTGTGTGGGTTAGCTATCTTTGCATGTGGTTCCAGGTAAATCTGCGTATTAGAAAGCCTGGGCCTGACCCTCGTGGTCAACATTCGCAGATGTGGTTCAACTTCGGTCTGATGTTTGTTCCATTTGCGGTGCGACCTTGGCGGGCCAAGCTTTTATGTGTCACAACTTACCGCATTACTGTATTGTGTTACTGATTACGCACTGGAACGGGGTAATCAGTACACGAGTTTTGGAAGGGTTAGGGATGTTGAGCTCAATCCCCAATCACTCTTTCCAAACCCATCTCAATGAGGAAGTATCGCACCCTTCACTGGTCTTCCATCATCAGGTAACCTATCAGCCAGCCATCATGGCGTCGATGCTTGAGGTACCCACCGCCTTATCCAGCCGCAACTTTTGGTCAAACCATCACTAACGCGCGTTTTGTTGTCCTCAGGCTCTCCAACCGCATCCAGAAGACCACCTTCACCTGCGTCTGCATCGTGCGAGGTCTGTCGTGTTGACAAGCCAAGAGTGAGTGCGTCTCAATACCGTCTTGTCTACTCTGCGCATCGAGCTGGGCTGCGGCATGGGAGACGGGCCATGAGTCCGGAGCCGGTCAGGCCCTCACCATCCCGATTTCACAAATGCGTCTCATCTCATCGCATCTCAACCCACGATCATGATCCGATCCTACCATCTCAATTCGCTACACGCAAATCTCACCCCGTCCCATCTCATCACTCGCTTCTAATAGCTTAAACCCACACAACATCACACACAACCCCCCCAAAAGTAACAAAGAAATACTCACCACCCACCACAGACTCGTCGAGATCCGCGCCGCCCAGCGCACCTTCGAGGGCGCGTACATGCGCACGGCGCTATCCCAGTTCTCCTTCGCGCTCGTCGTGCTCAAGATCTTCACGTCCGACTTCTACCCGATCGGCGCCCTGCTGGCCTGCTACGGCGCCGCCGTGCTGCTGGTCGCCGTCTACCGCCGCTACGAGGGCAACCGCCAGTTCTTCGACCGCGAGGAGCCCGAGTCTTCTTCTTCTTCGTCTTCTTCTGACGCGTCGGAGGAGTCTGGGTCGGTGGCGGTGGGGGAGGGTGAGGGTGGGGAGGAAAGGGAAGGGGGTGGGGATAGGGGGAGGGCGAGGGCGAGGGGGAGGAATTGGAATCGGGTGAGGCAGGTGGTGGTCAAGAAGAAGTTTAGGACGAGCGGGAATAGTGTGGGCTTGTTGGTTGGTTTGAGTTTGGTGAGTTATGTTGCGTTGGGGGTGTTATTGTGGGAGTTGGTTGAGTGAGTCCAATCTGTTCATTACCTCCCCCTAGCCCGTCTGAATCCGAGCTATTCTTATCCTCCTCCCGCGGGGAACCTATTTTGATGAGACGCCCAAACGTGCCTATTCATTTCAAAAACAAAATGAAGTGTTTGTCGTCAACCTCAAAATAACTCCAACTCCCAACACCCAACCATACCCCTGATCCTTTCCCCCGCATTCCGCCAGACGGGACCTGCACGCCGGATCTATGTAGTATCCATAATCTGTATAAGCGCCACGAACCCCAAACGCCCAGCCGCCTTGCCGCCGGGATCGCTCCTACCCGGCCTAGAACCGCCGCCGTGACATAGAATCCCGATATACCTATACGCGCACGCTCCCCTTCCACATCCGTCCAAGTCATGAAGTCGGTCCCGAGGACGGGTAAAGTCCCGTAGCTCGTTTCAGCCCACCCAACCCAGCGAGTCGGGTGGCGCACGCCGTGCATGTCCCACACCGTGATACTGCATGCCTGTTGTGTAGTCAGGGTAAGGTAAGCAAGGCTTCCTCCCGTCTGGCTGGCTGTGGCTGGCTGGCTGGCTGGCTGGTTACCCCGTATGTACGTACCACGCGGCACAGCTGACATGCATAGCGGCACCAAGGTACGTATATACATGTATAGACAGGCAGGGGGTTGGGGTGGCCCAGAAGTTTGGTTGAACACGCCCATCCCCCTTCTGCCGTGGGCACGGACATTGGTGTATGCATTGGTTACATGTCAGTCATTTGCACATCGCCCGTGGCGCCCACTGCGCATCGACAAAGTCCGATGTGAGGACGGGAGAGACGAGATATTTTGCGGGGATGCGGGGTTCATCCCGTCTCGCAAGTCTGACTTACATATACACGGGTGGCATGTAGCACCCGGAGGTGGCAAAGACGGCATGTTAAGATGAGTAGTCTGGGGTGCGGCTGGGGGTGGGACACGCCCTTTGCGGAGAAAGAATTCTTTTTATGTTCTGGCCTTCTTGGCGACGAAGTTTTGGTCCCGAAATAACATTGGATGGCCGGTGATCGGGTCCGACACGGATCTCCGGTCCGGAGCGGCCGGCCTCGTTGACGGGTTCCATATCGACCACGTGTTTACCGAGCCGGCGATGACGGAAAGAAGTCGGCGCTGCCTGACCGGAACATAAGCAAGCGTTGCCGTTATGACCGAGCGCACAACTCCCAATACAAAACCACGAACACAATTGCGCAGAGCTTGGACAAGACTGGCAAAGAAGCTTAGACATAATACATTGTTGTGGTGTATACGCAATATATGCCACACCCTTCTCCGCGTTGTCTATGCCGTCGCATGCTGTCCTATCATGAAGTCGATCCAATACCACCCCTCGCGTGCGAGCCCGGTTCAAATCCAAATACAAATAAAATACAGAGGAATACAAAACACGCAAAGCATGATAGAAAGCCAAAAGGTAGCAAAAGAAGAACCGCAAGCCGCCAAATTTCCCCCGGCCGTCTTCGACCACGGCGGGAGGGTTTGACCTCTCGACAAATGATAGAAGCCAGGCAGATGAAATAAACAAGAAAAGGAGACCCGGACAAGAGAAAAAAGGAACGAAACCGAAAAGCCGCCCATGTGATCCGTTTTGCATCCCCCTAGAGCCCCAAGATGACCATCCGTTCTCAATCTATTCCTCACAAGCAGTCCATCATATCTGTCGTAATCGTTTCATCGGTCGCATCCACACGGATGGACTTTCACCGGATTCGGCGACACATAGGTAGGGGCATCTCCACTCGGAGCGTTATACCGATACCGATGTGGCTTGCGGGTATCACGGGGCTCTGCTCCACTAACCCGGATGAATGCCGGTCTCCACCCGTTCGCCGAGCCGAAAAGGTGGATACTCCCGTCCCTCTCCCGTGCCGTGCCGTGCCGTCCATCCCGCCCATCTGGTTTCGTGAAAGCCTCATTGAACCGCCCATGTGTAACCGAGATAGAGATTCTGGATTCCGCTCATGTTGACCCGCGATTGCTGCAGTAAACAACAGGAGGAAAGAGAATAAAGATCGTGGGCGGAAATCAACGGTTGAGAATGGTTGGCGTCTCTCCGGAGCTTCGGTCTTGGCCTTGGGCTCGGAGAATTGAAACGCTGACGGTTTTCGGCCGGCCAAGAAGTATGAAGCCCTGAGATCCCTGGGGTCGCGTTAACGAATAACCTCCCCACATTATAGCGGCAGCTTCCGGAAAACTCGAGAAGTCTTCCGCGGAATATGCCGACTGAGTGGGAGGGAAGCATGTTCGTTTTGGGGTGGGTGCAGCCCAGGACCGAACTTGGCCATAACCGAAGTCTCGAGTTGCCGCGCCATGTGTCGCAAATCCCCCAATCTGACCATTGGGAAACATTGCGCTCAGGCTCGCCTCCCAAATTGGCAAGCTTGCGTCGTGCATGTCTTGACGGATTAGGAAGTCTCATGGGGCGCATCGACAGTTAAAGAGCCCACCATGCTGCAAGGGGCGGTCAAGTGTCCCGCATGGACGCCACTGCATCAAAGAAGCGGTTGTCGCACCACGTCACCGCACCAGTGCGCTACCGTGTAAAAGGCAGCGCAGACCCGTTGACGGCAGATGCATCCTGCAGCCAACAGGACCCGACCACACACGGCTACCGCCCATAATAAACGTTCGAGGAGTGGTGCTGCCCTGACGAGTGCTGATCTCCTGCCTCCCCATACCATCCGCCATAGCCCTCGCCGGGCTTTGAGTACGAGTACGACTGTTGCCACGAAGAATAGCTCGATGGGGGTACGGCGCCCGCTGACAGCGAAACATTTGGGTCTAATGTCGTACCCGGTACCGTCTCGATCCCAGGAATAGTTGTTGCGATAGGCGGGGGGTACATATCGGCTGATACAGAGCTCGACTTGCGATCGTACCCGCGACTTGAATGACTGCTAGGTTGCGACATCGAAGGGTAGTGGGGATGGCCGCTCATGCTCTCGGCACCAAAAGACATCGACCGGGGAGGCGGTGCGGGATATGTCGACCAAGCAATGTCATCCCTTGAGGATGAGTCGGACCCGACCGAGGCCGACCATGCCACTGACGGTGTCGCCGCATGTGGTGTGTAAGGAGAAAATGCTGGGGTGACTGGGGAATCGCCCGGATACGATCTCCAAGTCGCGTTCATGTCGCTCGGCTTGGAGGAGTTGGGACTCGCGTCCGCCGACATCCAATTGGACATCCCATGCTGCCCGAATTCATACGCACGGTTGCTTGAAGCTATGGATTATTAGCCACCAGGACACCACCGCACGGGACTGTTTGGTGACCAAAATTGGGACTTACATTTGGAGTCAGAGGGATGGCTCTCGCTTCCGGACGGCTTCATGGGGGGGGCCATGTTTTGGATGGGCGGCATCGCCAACTGAGGATAGGGCTGCTGCCCGTGAATGTCGGATGGGATTCCAGGTTGCATTGATGGCGAAGAGGAGGCAGAGGTGACCTTTGGGCCAACCGAAGATCGCGATCCCGACTTCTGTCTCGTGTCCACGGGTGGTTGTTGGTCAACGGGATAGAAGCTGCATTCCTTCTTCAGGCGTATGCAGTTTATGCAGCGCCCCTGAACATCGTTTTGCGACGGGACACATCTGATCTTCCGCCGACGGCAGTGGCCTGCGCTATGTGTTAGCTTTGAGACCTCCTAAGGGGGGGATTCATGGGGGTATTACCGCATGCAACAGACGTTCGATGGTATCCCAACTTGTTTCTCCTTCTCTCGGCGGCAGAGTCCTGCCCCGGGGCACCTCCTTGCTGAGGGGGCTGCTGCGAATGTGCCTGCGGTGGCCCGACGACCGGCGTCGATATCGACCGTCTCAATTCGGAACGCTCTCTCGGAATGCTTGAATCCGGGTCCATTCCTGACGGCGCATGGGGCGCTACGGAATAGCTAGGCAAGTAACCGGATGGCGGCATGTCCATGTCGGTGCCGTTCGGAGGCGGCGGGGGATATTGGTATGCCATGATGTCTGTCATGGGCTCCCTTCGTGGTACGGCAGGAGATATAGCGGAGCTTCTCGATGCCCAGGGTTCCAAAGTGGGTTTCGAAGGCGGCTGAGCAACAGCTGCCATGTAAGAATGTTGCTATAGTACGGACGACAGCCGCGGAACAGGAGCAGTCAAAGACGAACGGACTAGGGTATGATGACCGAGATTCGGAGCGAAGGTCGAGCCGAGACGAAGAAGGTGAGCTGCTCTCGTGGTGAGTGATGCGTTTACTAATTCACAGAGCTCCAGACGGCAGATCTAAATGGCAAACGCTAGGGGCCGAAGTGTGGATGTGGCGGAACCGCAATCAGCTTGGTCGCAGTCCCAGATGGCTCACGGGCGGCGGTAGGTTAGATATGGCGCCAACGAGCCCGACGACGACAAAGATAGACGCACTCGAGGCAGGGAGCGAGAGTGGCTGGGCCAATCGAGACGGCGGTCTTGCGGTTTGGAGCAACTGGGGCAAGCAGGATCCAAGGGATATGACTGGCGACTCAATCCAACCTTTTCGGTTCAGGCTGGTACGGTTCGAGACAGGCAACCGCGGCGACAAACGCGGCGATCTGCAAAGGGCCGCACAGCAGCAGGAGCTCGGCCTATATGTGACGCCGACTATGCCCCGTTCGTGCGCTGCGAGGCAGGTGCCGAATGAGGGAGGGTGCGGGTGTTGGTTATTTGAGTGCGCGCCTAAGGTCCGAGGGGATATAAGCGGTTGCTCAACAGCTGAACGGATCCTAGAGCGCAAGCGGATGTTGTGCGAAGAGATTCCTGCAGCGCACGACCGGTCGAACCGAGTGGTGACTTCAATGGAACAGAAGGGTGAAAGCGAGACCAGTAGCCGCGTTGAAGACTCGGCTCACACCCCGAATTTTTGGAACCGATCGAGGAGGTGGTCGTGGGTGGGCAGAACAGGGGGATCCCGCAGGTACTGTTTTTGGAAGTCCCTGTGCAACCTTCCGGGTGATTTGGCTTGGACGTTTGTTCGAGGTGCCGGTGACGGCTTGGAAATCGGAACCGTCGGGGTTGCGAGTCTGCGGGCGCAAAAGCTTGAATAGCTCGGTGGTTGCAGTCTGGCGCTTGTTGTGATGAGATATCACGAATCAAGTTTGCCAGGGGTGATCAATGATCGCTCGTCTTGGAGGGTAGGCGTGGGGTGCCTCGGGGTTGCCAACAATGTTCGGGGGCCACGCAGGGAAGGCACCGTCTCTCCAACCAACGCAATTCGATGAGACGTGGCCGGTTGCTTCGATTGAGCACCTTTGGGGCAAAGACAAAGCAGGTGCGATGAGTCGGCAATGGATGGAGAGCTCCAAGGGGGAGGAGGGGGTCACTTCTATTACCGGGCTGCGGGATAAGCAGCAGGAGTACTGGCCATTCAGCTTTCGAAATTTCAGCCCTTTTCACCTGCAGAGAGGAAGGCAGGTCCGGTTGGCGCGGCGTAAAGGTTGGTAACGAACGGCGTGGCGACGGCCGCGTCGACCACAAAGAGGCTCGAGGCCCCGGTATGCTAGGCTGGAAACGACTGGCTTGTCCACGTACTCGGGAAGACCTTGAGGGTTGGCGAGTCTATGAGATGTGAAATCTTGTTGGTATGCCAGGCAAGAGGCAGGAAGAGTCGGACCGGGCCCCGCGTCTTGCTTTTTGTTGTTGCAGGCCTTTGTTTTTTCCGGTCGTTTTGATGACCTTCTATTTCCTGGCTGGCTGAGAAGGAAACACTTAGCCCAAGAAAGCCCGATCAGCTGTGGCTGGCGGAAGGGTTCTAAGTGCGGCTGGTTTGGGCGGCAATCGAGGCCCAAGTAAAAGAGCTTTCAGTGGTGCCAGGCAAAGCGCTGTCTCGGAGGGTTATTGTGTGGGAGTGGTTTTCGGAAGTTGTCCGGGGGGGTGTGTATGTTGGCGAGGATGGGTAATGAGAGACGAACGGTATATTGGCGGCGCAGAAGGTCGAAGGGAGGAAGTGTGGCGGAACCGGGGCAGTGACAATGGGCGTCAGGTCAATTAAAGGAAGGGCATATATTAAAAGCGGCGGTTTCCTCGACGTCTCTTTATTCCGCGGGCAGGAACAACGGCGGAGACACAATGAGCGCAGCCGGACATGGAAGGTACGGTGCAGCCGGGCAAAGGCCAGAGCAGATAACGGGCAAGAACGTTGGGTCTTCCGAACACAGCACAAACTGGAGAATAAAAGATGAAGAGGACCCGCCACCAGGTTCAATCGGCTTGCGCATCGAGTGCTTCCATGCGAGGCCAGGCCCTGGTGGCTAACATGGAAAAATGGCTGTTACCTTGTCCAGGGGGCATGGGGTTAATTCATCCTTTGATCATTGCTAAAGGCTGAAACACCGTTTCCAGCATTTGGCTCTCCGGAAAGATGTCAGGATCTTCTTCCAGAGCTTCCCCCGGTTGACCCTGGCTGGTCTTGACGATTAACCGATCTGGTAATCAGGGCAGCAGCTTAGGCATGTGCTTTCGCCCATTCACCCTTCCATGCCTGTTATGATGGGATTGGGCTGGTGTGTGTGTGTCCTTACCTGTACCGGCGCGGCCCCCCCATTCTTCCGTCGAGTATCCCAAATAACTTGGCCGCCCCGGCTTGATTTCGGCGCCAACCAGTTGCACAAACAGATGATTTGTAACAGTGGTTGGCCGCTGCCCGATCCCTTCCATGAAGCTTTCTTTGTTGCGCTTCAGGGCCGGGCCCCCAGAGTCGCGAGGGGGTGAGGGTCGCATCCTTGTCCAAGGTAGGCAGTGGTTCATGCGCAAAAGGGTGGTATCCGGCCGGGAACGACCCCCATGAGGGAGATCTGATCGTGGAATCTGAGAAGCGGGCGGGCATGGAAGGCGATCAAGAAGACTGGAATGTCTTCCAGGGTCCAAGCGCATCGCGGACCGCTCCCAAATGAGCCCACATCGCAGGGTCGGATAAGTGCAACATCAATAACCGTTGGGCAATTGTGGGCTGGCAACGATGCCCACCAGTTCGGAAAACATATGCCAGAAATTCCGGTGCGCCGCGCGTTGGGTTCGGGAGGCTGTCTGTGGTGATCTCTGTGAAAATCCCCTGCCGAGGTTTGGGAAGTCTGCCTGCCCTGCTCCGGGTGTTGTTCCCAAGGGTTCAGCCATCCCTGCCCCTGGCTTACCCTCCCTTTCGGGCCAAGCGCGGCCCCAATCCAGCACAGTCACAAGTTCTTTCCCGCCTTCCCGGGAGCTGAATTGAATGTCTTGGAGAGGGCACTGGCTAGCAGCAACCGAGGCCAGATAGATAGAGAGTTCGCCCGTACGGGCATATTCGTAACTACAAGTTAAATTCCCCCTTCGCAGGGTGGAGCGTCTGTTTTTTAGTCCACAAGACAACTACCTATCGCTTCTCATACCAGTTGTCTGATGATGTGGTTCGAAGTGACAAATAATCTGTAATCCGTTGTGTACACTCCTCAAGTTGCCCTTCCCATGTCACAGGCATTAGCCTACACGACAGCGCTTGTTGGATGGAGAAAAAGGACATCGCGCTAACGTAAAAAGACGTGGCGTGGCCGAAAAGCTTCCAGAACAACATGAACGTCCGGGCTAGGCATGGAACGGAGGAATGCCGTTTGAGGCCTGTAATAAGCGCTGTCATGCAGCGATGTGCTACCCACAACAAGGAGCCCCTCGCGGGCTGGACAAACCAGGTTTGCTCTGAGACCACTAGTGCCGGGTACCTTGCATGGAGTCGAACGGGGCGGTTCAGCGGCCGCGCCTCCTTGGAGTTTGGACGGAGAGTTGATCGCAGTCGCATCGAGCGAGAACCGCATCACGGCATTGGCTCGTTTCTCAGCAGTCGCTCCAACAGCCAACCCCTTCATTTCTCCCATCCGTTCCTCCAGCATGCAGTACGACGCATCGCCATGCAGATTCGATATTGGCTATTTGGGATGCAGGGCGTGCTGGACAAGTCAGATATCTCTCAACATGGCCGGCAAGCTGGTAAAATGCCGGCTGGACTATTTGTCGTGCTTTAAACCACTCGAACCCCGCCTGCTGGAGGTTCATCATGCAACATTGGCGAGGCAAAAATACAGGGGGACAACCAGGCTCAGGCTTCCAGAAGGGGGTGCTACCAGATCCCAGGTCTCTACTCGTGAGCGTCAACTGCGAAATCAAGTGAGCATGTTGTCCAACCGTGGGGGAGGGCAATCTCTAAATGCCGGAGTCGGTCTTCCGAAGCTGGTGTCTTGATGAGGTGTCGAGCAGTCCCCACGTGGGGCGTGAACAAGCCCGGCGCAGTGGACCGGCCGGCGGCGGGGCGCATCGAGCGATTGCCACGGAATCCGGAACGGCGTGTTGAGCGTCTCGGGATCCTCAGGACCAGGGTGTTCGGCGGCTTCCAGAAGGAAAAGGCGAGAGGGAATCCAACATGAGACGAACCAGATTCGTTTAGCGCATGAACCTGATTTTCCCTAGGATGTCGGGCTGGCCGAGCAAGCGTCACAGGGTTCCCGTCTTTCACCATCCGCGACCCCGATGCTGTCGAAATTGGGCGATCAAACTCCATGCTCGTGGTCCAAGACATGAAGCCCAAGACAAAAAAAAGGGAAAAAAAAAAAGAGAAAATGGCACCACCCGCAAGTATTCCCTAACGAATCACATTTGGGGATCTCTTGACGCCCGTCACGCGAGAACACGCGTTAATATCGGAGAGACGGCCAATTTGGGGCAGGATCTGAAGGCTGGAGATGGGGACAAGAGAAAGGGTGAGGAGAGAGGCCCGAGTGGGCTGAAGAATAACCCCACAGTGTTCGGAAACAAGGGCCGAGAGCCAAGCAGGCAGGGGCCAACCAGAAAATGACGACATCCATTGGCTTGGGCGACTGACACAGCCCCTAACCCTGGTTCCATGCCTTCCAGTTGACCCCCACCGTCTTCAGTCGCATGCACGCGCCATCAAGCACATGTTCTTGGGAGGCAGGAATGCGACAGGATGTGAGAAGACTAACGGCAAAATCTCACCGTAATTCCGACACAAAACTGAGCGTGCAGAGAAGAACCCACGCGAGTACTATGGGACAACCCTCTGCCAAGCCCGCACACGCGCCAAAACTTTTGCGCCTGAGAGCTCTTCCCACACGTGCTACTGGTGCGCCCCGATTGGCTGCTCGTCGGGTCTCGGATAAATTACGAATTCCAGATTCCGATTCACATGGACGACCCGACCGGAGCTCCATCTCCAGGTCCGTTTGGCATTCAGTTCTCAACAGACCTAACCTGGAAAACAACCAAAAAATCCTATGAGCAGGCGACCTAGGTAGGCTAGCAGGGAATCGTTGCTGATTTCCAACTGCCAGTGCCCTCAGTCTCGATTCCAAACCGTTTATCGCTCACTACCGCCTCCACTTACTTATGCATGTCTTGCAGCGGGCATATTCAACCTGCATCCCCTCCAAATCGATTGGCGCTTCCATTCAACCCCTTGGCATTTCATTCTCGCCATCATCCCCAAAGTATGCCAAGCAAATCCGTGGATCGCAACCCAGGTCCGGCAGACACACAAAAAAAAGGCAGGTGTTCTCGGCTCTCGTTCCTGGGTAAAGCCAAATGGCTGCATCTCATCTGGATCATTGAGCACTGCCCAGGCGTTGCTGGCGGATCTGACAGTGTTGCACCCGGCTCGCTTCCAGGAATTCGCATTCTTGCCAGGAACCACCGTGCCACCTTACCAAGTACAACGGTCCGGTGGAATCGTAACCGCCTTGCAGCCGCGTTATCTGTCCGGTAGTAATATGTGCAGTCTGCTATGCGCGTCCGCAGATGAAGCCGACTAGGCAACCTTCCCTGTCTCGGGCCTCCGGATGAACCTCCTCGCGCCTGTGTGGCAGGCAATGAGAAGACAATACCACCACCGCCCTGGATTGACCCTGTTCGGTGCCCCGGCAATAGTCCATGCGGCCATGTCGAATGGCCATACGAAGTACCCTCTCACCATCCGCCTGCTCGTCAGCTCATCTCTTCATCCTACAATGTCCATCAGTGGGCCGACACGAGAACTGACTCCTCTCTGCAGGTTTGATCTTCGTTTAGCCAGATTACCATCGTGTTGTGAAAGTGTCGTTCTTTTCGTATCTAGTCTGCGCCAGCCCTCCTCAAAGATGTCGTTTGGATACAGAATTCTGGCAAAATCGGTGGTCGGCCCGTTTTGGCCAGGTACTGGATCCTTGGTCAGATTGGCGAGCCGAATTTGAAGATATAGTACGACATACTAAGAAAGACGAGGAGCCACTTAATGTTGACTGTCGGCGGGGGCTATCTGAAGCCAGGAGAGTGAGGGACAAGCCCTGATATTGCACGGAATCTGCCGCCTTAGCCGCGCCGACCAAGGCTAAGCAGAATCTCGAAACTCGTCTGATATTGTTCTTCTCGGCTGTTCGCTGGGTAGAGTTTCGGGATGCCGTGTGGCAACTCGGAGGTTGGTCATATCAACCTGGTTTCGCAAGCACACCTACCTACCGGACAGCCGCCTACCTCAGCATGTCCAGCAGCCCAAATTCGGGGAACGCGGTAGTCCTGCGAAGCGAAACGCCTCTGACGGAATTCCCGCACACACTGATGAATGCGAGTGTCGGCTGTTACATCGCGTCTCTCCATCGCAGCTCTTGGGTTATGGATGGAACGCTACTTGCTTGCAGGCGATACAGTGACCTGGACGCGCAGCCCCCGTCTCCCAAACTACGACATGATTTCCCGGATTCGCCTGTATCGCTCGGCGCCACTCCGGAACCACAGAAGCAGAACCGGGCCGGCTGAGTCCAACCGGGACAACTTCAGCCGACCTTTTTGAGCACCCTCGAAAGGACCATCCTCGAAAGGACCATCCTCGAAAGAACCTGGGCTCTCCTATGCCTCATAGTCATTAGACCGGCGGCATCTTACAAACACCCATCAGGGGCTCTTTGTGTAGACCATAACGACCATCCGCCACACAGCCGGTCATTCCAGATTGGGGGGGGGGACTCTTCCGCCGGCATAAACCAAATCTCGTCCGGCCCGTTTCCTACGCGGACATTCCCGAACCTTGTTAACAACCGATGTCACATTCCAACCGTTAGGGTTTGGCGGCGGAGCAACATGTCACTCGTTCAAGCTTTCCACCTCTTGCGCCTCTAGACTCCACAAGCCACCGTCCTCAGTGTGCCGTGTTTCCTCGATGCCTATTCTACAACAGTGACTAATATCTACGATAAGCCTAATGATACCACCCTAAGAATACCCTATGAAACTTAATCTGAGCCTCATTACACATGATTGTAAGGACGGGCCGGCATTCGCTTTCTCTCGGCAATGCTTTCAACATCCTGAAGAAACTCGAAATTATATTTGCAAGGCCTGGTGGGCGGACTACCAATGTATCATATCATGGCGCTGCTGCGCGCTTCCCCTTAGCGCCAAGTAAGCGTTTCCTAAAGGCCTATGTCCCGGTCATACTGAAACTCCCACCGTCGAGGATCGGAAAGCCTTGAGATGACGTTGCAAACAACTCCTCTGAACGTCCCCACCTAAGTGCTACAGCGATTAGCAAGCAGCCCCATTGGGGTCATGCTCATGCCGCTCAGCAGAAACTGTGCTCCGGCGCTTAAGTTGGTCTGACATGACAGAGCCGTTCCCTTCGCTGCTTGCATAGGCACTATCCGCCCTTGCAACGAAGGTTTCGTGAAGAAAAGACAGGAACCGGTCGACGTCGTGAATAGTACTCATCGCTCCGAGGCTGGCTCGGACCACCCTGTGTCTGAGTGTTAGTGGTGAGACGGTATGTAGGAGAGGTGATGTTTATTTACCCAGTCGGCAACTCGTTAATGAGGCCAATGCCATCGGGACCTATGGTACAAGGTCAGCATCAGAATTGGTATCAAGATAAGGGTGACACCGAGGTAATCCTACCACAGTGATGTCCGGCAGATCGAGCCCGATGCAATTGCCAAGGTTCGTATTGTAGTGCCGTGAACAACCCGCCAGGGCAACAGATCCCTAAACCAACCCGGTTAGCATCTGCTGATGAACTTACCCCTTTTACAAGTAAACAATCCGGGTCGGACTTACCACCAGATCGCACATAGACCCCCTTATCGTTAGCCAGCCTCTCCACCGTGGCATAAGACTCGTATCCCCCATCCGCGCGAAACACATTGAACGCCACCGTAGCGCCCTGCAGCCTAGCATCACCGAACGCCGCTCCCCCATCTCCCCCTTCATAAATCCTGCACAATGGTTGCCCATTACCGTACCGCAGTCCTCTCATCCCCACATACATCCTCCTCATCAACGTAGTCGTATGGATTGAGATGTTTTCCATCGACCCGTATAGCTCGGCGTGGACATTGATCGCTTCCCCGAGTGCCAGGATACCGTGAAATGGCAACGTCCCGTCTTCAAGCCCCTCATGCAGCGCGCCACCATGTTCCTCTCCAGGGGTTGCCACAGCCCCGGCTTCCAATCCTTTCGAGAGGTGCCACGCCCCGCCAACAGTGCTCACAATCGACACGGTCCCGCCGCCGAAGTACTTCCTCAGCGCCAGGATATGCCCCGACTCTTTGCGAACCACCAACCCGCCCAGGTCAGGGAACCCAAAGATCTTGTAGAAAGACACGCACACAAAATCCGGCGCCGCCTCGGGATCCGCAAACACCTCCCCCAGCCCGCTCGTCATCGCCAGCGCAGCTGCGTCCAACAAGCTGTACGTATCCCCCCGCCCGCGGCGCGCCAGCCCACGCACCCTCCGCGCCCAACCCGGCGCCGCCGGCAGCCGCCGCCCCGTCAGGTTAGACTGCCCCGGCCACGCAACCAAGCCCAGGCTCGACGCCCTCCCCATCTCAGCACCAGCACCAGACCCAGACTCGGCGTCCAACCACCGCTCCACCTCCGCATCCCCCCCACCAAAACAGTAATGCCCCCCTCCCCCGGTCAGCTCACGCACCCCCACAAGACTGGTATGCGCCTCCGCATGGTAGCCATACCAAAACCCACCCCCCCAACCACCACCCTTGGCAGCAGCAGCCCCCAACCCGCCCAAATCCCGAAAAGCATCCCCCACCAGCTTGATCCCCGCGGTAGCGTTGGCCACAAACACGAGGTCGAAATACCTCGGGTCGGCGCCGAGGAAGGCGAGGGCGGCGGCGCGGACGGCGTCGACGGCGGCGCCGGAGCGCGCTGCGGGGGTGTTGGCCGAGTGCGGGTTGCCGTACAGGTTCGTGGCCAGCAGGGACGTGGTGCGGTGCAGCGTGGAGAGGGCCGGGATGGTGGCGCCGCTGTGGTCGAGGTAGGTTCCTGTGGTGGGGGGGAAGAAGGGGGGGTTAGTGTGTGTGTGTTAGGGGGGGTTGGTGGTTTGGGGGGGGGGATAGGAGGAGTGGAGAGAAAGGAGGAGGGAAGGGAAAGGGGGGTTGTTGACGGGATAGGGGGTGCGAACGGGACGGACCTTGGTTCATGTGGGGATACTCTTCCTGACGGATGAGCTCGACTGGTTTGTTGTAAGGGGTTGGGAGCTCGGTGGTGTCATTGTTGTTGAGCACTTCGCCGTTGTTGAACACTTCGCAAACGGCCTGGGGCGGGTCAGACGCGGCGTCTAGGTCGCGCCTGGGTGCTTTGGACGACGGGAATACAGGCCGGAGGCCTGGGCTGAGCCGGCGGCGGAGAGAAGTCAGAGATCTGCGGCGCCATGAGATATCTGGTGCTGCCCCTTTTGTGTCGCCGTTCGAGGTAGCCATATGGTGTTCACGTTTCCGCCCCGAGAGGCGAACGAGGATGTTGGATTGAGCCATAGAGAAAACAAGAGTGGTGTTGCTGGGCCCAGTGCATGGATTAGATGCTTAAAACGGAGAGAATCAGGTTCTTATACTTGTGAGTTGACTGTACTGCCATGGTATCGAAGTAGAAGACATGCTCAACGCCACGCCATCTCTATCACCTGGAAATGCGGGCTGGTAGGGTTACGCCTGGCATCAATAATCTAGCCACCTGCGGGATTCTCTCAGCAGCACAACCAACTCACTCATGGGATATTGGACCGGTGTGCCTTGGGATCGTGATGAGCATCATCAACAGCCATTCACCAGGAGGATCCCCCCTCCCGAACAGGCGAGGAGGTCCCCGGCAGCTGATGCCCGGCAAACATTACCTGACATTCCAAACAACCCAACACCATACCGACGCGCCTTGTGCACCCTGAGAGTAGCAGGTGATCGATAGGGAGTGGTGGATGATGCCAAGATGGTGGGTAATCATGGCCCGGGACAAAGAGTCTCAGGCCAGATCCTTCCCCGGGTCCCGGCCCGCCCCTCGATGATTCCCACCACGTCCGCCTACTCCCATGATAGTAGCTGAGATGACGGACATCGGGTCCTTTGAGGAGGTCGCTAACCAGGTAGGTGGGGATGCCCAAAGGGCTCGGAGTGAAACGGATTCCTACCGGTTGCTTATCCCAGGCATTCCGTCGAAGGGGGGTAACAGTTGTCAAAAACGGCCACGGAGCGACAACGTGGAACGCCCACGATCCAGGGTCCCTGTATTTTCGGCTGCTGGCAGAGAGAAACCGGTGACCCGTCAGCGCTTTCTCCCTATCTAGCACTTGTTAGTAGGTTTAAACAGTAAGGGACAAGGTAACGGTTCTGCAGCTCACATGGGTGTTCTGCGGCGCCTCCCGGTGCCCCCGTCTCCGAAGTATGTACAGAGCGAGCCTCTCGAAGCAGATCAAAACGGTGACGCTGGTCAGCTAGGACCTTGGATGGAGGTAGCTTCGAATCTTACTTCATGGCTGACGCTCACATGAGCTGTTGGCTTGATGTCTCACAATCAGGAGCGGCGTGGAGGACGGCCACGCCAGGGTGAGACATTGTTGCGTTTCTCAACAGCGGGGAGTGGCAGATTGGTCGGGTAGCTGCAGGAGCATATTCCAGACAAAGGGGTAATATTAGTCCAGAGCCTCAATCGAGGCCGGTGGTGAGAAGTTTGACCCGTAGGACTGACCGAGCATTGGTCGATGCCGAGAGCCCTACCGAGATATCACCTGCAGCTAACTGTTCCCGTCCCGCCCGACGCGGCTTGGACTGTTCCCGTGGCGAGCGGTGTATGAGCCAGGATAGGAGAATTTCCATACCCGGGTTGCCCTGTGCCTCAACTGATCCCCCTTTGGGGAGGGTTGAGGAGCCGGACGGGTCCCCGAGCACGACGGGGTCGCCGATCCTAAGCGAAGAGATGAAGATGATTTGTTGCGGTTTCCGTTCTCTCCTCTTTTCGGACAAAGGAGGGTAACACCGAGGCTGTCGTTGCAGCTGAGCCGGGCTGCAGAATATGCAAGGCCGTAACAGCTAGCTGATCCCATTGTGCTGGTTGACTTGGGGTCTGTGTCGCCCTGGGCTCACCCGCGGATTATCACCACCTCCTCTCTTACCAAAGGGGGTTTCACTGCAGGCGATAGTCGTACCGATCGAGGTCGCCTTGGCAGCTACTACCAGCTGGCTTGAGTTATCCTCCTGCGTATAAATGGGTCACATTGGCGATCTCATGCCTGATATGGCCCGTCAACCTACGAGGCTTGAATCATTGAGCCCAGGAGGAGGGTGATGCCATCGATGCAAGGCTGTCATCGGATGTTGGCAACAGAAACCTGGGAGGGAAACACTGTTGGGCCGAGGTTGTTAGCAAACATTGAGGTGCTGAAAGAGCTAACAAAGACGGACCCTGGACGTCTCCGACAAGCCGATTAATACACATGTTCGGTATCTCAACCGTGTCCGAACTCTAGATTTCGAGTGAGATGAGAGTCAAACTCGGCTCGGGCAAGGCAAGCCTTCACTTAGGTAACCTAGGTGGGTAATGCGGCACGATCATCGGCCGACGGTGGTGTCTCAACTGCCGTGTCTTCATTTTCCTGACAGCACACTGTCGCTGGATGATAGGATGCGGTGATGATGTTGACATGTTTTGCGCCCAGTATGTCCGCGGAGAGTTACAATATCGTGAGACATTGGTTGGCAAAACTCGGTACCGGGTACGATGAGCGCTCAAGTAAGACTTCAACCGAGGCTGGAACACTGATGATGGCTGTCACCTAACACCCGGGCGGCCCGTTGAGTCGCTCTGAATGGTGCGGGAATCTGAAATCTCCTTGCCGCGGTCTGCGCTTACTTGGATTTTTCCACCTCCCAGAGCTCGTGCGACAACCATGTTGGGAGTTGATGATGCCGTGATTCATTGACCCAAGCTGGGATGGATGGAAGATGGGCGGGGTGGCGGGATGGAGGTTTCTGTTGAAGAACCCACAGAGCTCCCCACCTCATGATCGGCGCTAGGGAAGCCCTCCCCGGCACCTGGAGTGCGGGGGCCACGGCGCTAAACCAGCAGGGCGCCAGGGGCTCGCAGGGCAACAGGGTTCGGATCCATCATGGGGGCAGGTTGGAACGAGGTCGTCCAAACTCCAGCCAGCCTCCAGGTCGTGCCGAAGACCGATCTCTAACTTCAGTTCGTCCTTGCTCGAAGAATTGCATCGGCTCACTCGGGTGAATTTCCAACGAAACAACAGGATTCAACCCTACAAAGAGATTGCGATCCACAAACTCAATGCCGAGCTGCGGGGAACTTGAATGCTGTAGCAGTGAGCACCGCATTAGAAGGGCATTCCATTTCGAGCCATCCATGAACGAGAAACGACCAGACCACGGACCAAGGTCCAAATGGAGCATTGCACACCGGGCCCTTGGCAGACATCACATCACATCACCACTCACCACTTCACCCAATCCATGCGAGGACCATTGGAATCGAAAAGCAGAATCGTTAATCTATTCCGGCTATAGCACCCGGTCCCATTTCGCTCAGCCTATCGTACCTCAGTACCGATGAAGGGAATCCCGCGGAATGGCCCCAAAAAAACTAAGAGCCACCCCAGCCTCTAGAATAATTAACCACTGAATAACAAGCAGTCGTCACGCAATCGCGCATCTATTCCCTCATTAGGTAGGCACTTGGCCGGTCACATCAACGGAACCGTGATCGCCGACCGCACACACTAAACTCCCTGAACGCCATCGCCCTCCGCCCGAAATGAACACCGTCGTCATCGATCGTCACCGTCGCTCGGCAAATCGCCGCTTTAGAGCATCATCGCAAAGGCGGCAGCGGCCACCAGCGCGGTGGCGGCACCGACCTTGAGCCCGGCCGCGCCGGCAGTCTCGATGCTGCTGGTGGGGGGCGGCGGCGGCACGGTGCCGTTGCCAGTGTTGCTGGGGGGCGGGGTGATGATGGCGGAGGGGACCGACGTGGTGGACGGGGCCGAGTTGTCGTCGTCGCCGTCACCGCTGCCGTTGTCGCTGCCATCGTCGCTGCCATCGTCGCTGCCGTCGCCCTCGCCGGGCCCGGGCAGGGTGACCTGCTCAAAGTTGGCGCAGCTGATGCGGGTCTTGTTGGGGTGGTGGAAGACGATGCTGCGGTTGCCGAAGAAGGCGCCGATGCCCTCGAGGGTCGAGGCGTACAGGTCGACGTAGGTCGCCTCGAAGGCGCCCTCCTCGTCGGGGGTGATGGAGCCGTACTTGCCGCTCAGGTCGCCCACCTGGCACGTCGCCGGCGCCTCCTTCTCGCAGGGCGTCGCCTCGCCGCGGATGTACGGGTCCAAGTGCGCCAGCGTCGCCGTGCAGTTGCCGTTCTCCGGCACGGGGTCCACGTGCAGATGGTAGGCTGGGGAAATCCGGCGTGTTAGTGGATGTGCTACCTGGGTAGGTAATCTGACTGGAATTGCAACTTACAGAATGGGCCGCCCGTCTCGGGCAGGTTGCTGAGCTTCAGGGTGAAGCGCACGCCGCCGTCGGGGTTCGCCTCGGCCGTGACATCACCCTTGATGTTGTCGCCGTCCGGGTAGGTGGGCTCGAAGAAGGCAGCCTCCGGCAGGGTCGCCTTGTACACGACGCCAGCGGGGTTGTTGTTCACCTCGGCGGCATCACCAAGCTCCTGTCGTTTGTTAGTTGGTATGTACCATCGCGAGATGGGTGTTGCCAAATGTTAGGGACGTACGCCTGTGTCTTGGGCAGAGACATGGGCGCTGGCCGCAGCCAGCAGCACTGAGAGTTGGGTCGAGACGCGCATTTTGGTATTGCTGTTGCTTCTATTGCTTCTGTTGTTGCTGATGTGGAGGAGCTTGTGTAGTCCTCGTAGGCTTGGAAGGAGAAAGAGCTGGGGGCGGCTGTGTTGTTTGTGTGCTAAACGTGGGCAAGATGTGCGACTGGGTGCTGGTCCGGGGATGGGTGGAGGACGTCCCTTTATAGGTCTGGCTTCGTGGACTAAGCGGCAATTAAGAATAAGGTTTGGATTGGGGGGGTGGGTGACGCTAGCAGCGAGTTACACAGTGTTATGTAAAGTTGTGGAGGGGGGGAGAGCAGGTCGCAGGCCGGAGGGAGGTCGGATGGGTCATGGAAATGCAGGTCACCTCCATATATACTGGGTCGGGATGAGATCTGAGCTGTCCAACGTCAGCGTCCTGGCCGGCCATCCCATCCGGAAGGGGCTTGGCAGATGAGCAGGGGCTCAGGAAGATGCTGCATGACGGCACGAACAACGCAGTAAACAGAGTTTGTGAAGCAGGGAAGCGCGGCTGGTGACGGGACGCAGTCTGCGTGCGCGTACCGTGCCTTGCAGCTGCCGCCAACCCCCAACTTACCCTAAATTCCGAGATTGCTTGAAGATTACTCGCCCATTCCACCTGCAGGCCTGCAATCAACACATGCCGTCGATTGGCCGCCAGGAAGGCCAACTCTGCAACTCCCGCCACAACGGCTCAGCCGTGACCTCCATACACATTATGTATGTACAAGGAGTTATGTCACATCGTCACCACCCATGTTCGAGCACCCATTTCATATGTACAGTGATCAAGTAGGACTGAACGCTTTCCCAGAACACTCGCGGGATACTCGCCTCGAAGGGGATTCCAATAACTTGTGCCTGTCGAGGGGAGATGCTTTCTGATGGTTGCCATCGCGATCGGCAAATTCGGCGGTGACATGGGAGGCACAGCCGAACTGCATTTGGAATCGAGTTGGTTGGGTGGTTGGCCGCTGGTTCAGCAAACAGCCCCCCGCAGCGGCTACCGACCTGCACTGGGCCAACAGGAAGTTTCACCATCACGCTTCGTCGACCCGCAACCCACATCCTCACCTGCTCGCTGCTCAGTATAAGGAGCCAAGAGACAGATGAGTCCGCTGCCAAGTTGAATCCTATGGGTGTCAATGCTGCCCTCTGACGGCAATGTCGCTGCAGGAAATATTCCCTTTGCTGGGGATAACCTGGCAGCGGTTAAAATTTGGGGCTTGGTACCAAGTAAGATTAACGTGAGTTCCTTTTTGGGACGCAAAAGTGACGGGTGCCTCCGTTGGTATTTCTGGATGTCGATCCCCGAAAGAGGGCTTCAGCGGCACAGAAGAAACCAAGCGCAGCTTTCCACGCACAGGGATGCAATTGGCAATGCGCGGGCCAACATGCAGGTAGTCTCGTCGTCACCAACACGTCGTGTCGATGATTCTTTCGCTACATTCTCATGCTGCCCGGGCGTGAGGTTTCGGGAGGATGCTGATTGCTCGCACTTCGCAGACGACTGTGGATGTGGCCAGTGCTCTGAATGCGAGGGTATTAGGCGCTGATGGCCCAGATGGCCGACCAGGGCTGCGCTGGTCGGCGGCTGCCCGCAGAGATCTGTTTCACGCTGATCCTGGGCCAAACATCTGCTTGGCGTTTTCGTTTCCACTTCCAGGTTGCCTCTTGGAGTCCAATCGACTTCTTTGGTGACTGACCGGATACGGCGAGCTGGGTTTTGAGAATGTGGCGCTTGACCGGCCGACGGAACGAAGAAAGAGGCTGATTTTGGCAACGAGGTTGGGCTGCGGAGTGCGCAGTTCGGCCCGGACGGCAGCTCACCATCCCGAAGTCGCCCGGATTACGGCACCACGACCGAGCAGCGCGTGTAACTATCTGGGGTATCAGACAAGTGACCTTGAGACCCAGATAGACCGGGCAGGTTTGAGGGCTGCCCTTCAAGCTGAAATGGGAAAGAAATGCTCAAAAGCCAAGCGTGGAGGAACAGTCGAGGAGACAAATTCGAGACGGCATAAGCGGTTAGGTGTGACTTGAACTTCTGAGGTTTTGAGGTTTTCTTTGCCCACTGGAACAGAGGATCAGGCCTGAGGATCGCCCCCTTTGGCAATATCTCGGTCTGTAACCTGTCCGCGCTGGATTTGAATCAAGCTTGGAGTCGTGAATTTGATTCAGGTTGCAGGAATTGACACTTGGAAGCTGACGATGAACAGCCCGCCATGAGCACGCCAGCTGGCCCCACCTGCATTCTGTGGATCCTACAATGGCTGGGTAACAATTGCTGTCTTGGAATTAAGGCAGAAGTTAAGGCAAAGAATCGTAAACGAGTGGGTCCTGTTGCCTTGGTCTCCGGCGGAAGGCTGAGAAGCCGCAGCACCGAACTCAACAACCAACTGCCCACCAATTGCATCAGCTCGCCGGTGATTCCCGAACGCCCACGACGAGTCGACGCTCGACTTTCTAGAACTGTTGCGCCGTCCATCGAGAACGAGAATACCCGTGCCCCTGTTGAGTGAACCGTTCACCTCAACCGCCCAAGATGAAGCCCGTTGTGAGCGCCATGCAAGCATGGTCTTGGTGAGTGACGTCGCCTCCCAATTGGATCGTTGGCAGTTGGAATTCGCGGTCTTTGCTGATGCCTTGGTACTTTAGCTTTGTTATTTCGGTATTTGCGATCGTTATCCTTTCTGTCCTCGGCCTCCTCTTCCGGGGTAACCATCCCGAACTCGTTGGCGGCGAGGAGGATCCTGTAGACGGGCCGGCAGTTGCAGCCACCGTCTTCACGGCCGTTATCATCTACGCGGTATGTTGCGCCAACCCGGTCCCCAGGCGGCTACCAGAAGTAAAAAATCGAGAATACGTGCGAACGCGCGGCTGACGCTTGTTGTTTCTCTAGGGGTTCCTCGTCTTCTGCGGCTGCCAGGGCCTGCTGCACCTCCGCGAGAACCGGAGAGGCGCGATCGCACTATAGAGGGGCACCATATTGGTTTTGGAAACATGGAACACGGCGTTTAGGGCTTCTGCTTGGATGGGGAGATGATTTTTCTGTGCCCCCTCGGACGGGGGTCATGCTACAATATGCTGTATCCATCAGATCGGGAGTTTGGCGTGGAGAGCGGTTTTAATGGTGCAAGACACCCGATGCATTGCCTTCTCTTATTCACGTCCCTGTGTCCGACATCGTAACTGTCTTTAGGGCAAATTCGACCCGACGGCTTGGAATGAGCATCCGGTCTGATCAGACCTCTCGGCTTTGGTTGGGTTGGGTGGTTTTGCCGAAAACAACCCGCGGCAACCGACAGCAAAGCAACATCTCAATCACAAGGAGAGGTTCCCCGTCACACATGGAACCTGCGGTCGTCTTCCCTTGGGCAGATACCGGGGATGCCTGTCTGCCCGACTTCCTGATTTCCTTGTCGGAGAATGGGGTTGGGCCGACAAAATGAGGGGCCTTGGCGATCACTCAGTTCAGCTCAGCGCTCACCCCCGTCTAGGACTCAAGACTGCGCCTTCCCAACAATTCCAATTCCAATTCACCATCTTTCTTCAGTTTTAGGCATACCAGGCAACCGCGGGACACAAAGTCATAAAATCTATATTTCTCCACAGCTTACCAGCAGACCGCCCATCGATCACGAGATCTCGTGCCCACTTCGCGGGGAGCATACCCGTCATTCTAGGCAGAAGAGCGCTACTAGAACCCGATGTGGACGGAGGGTTGGACGCGATTGCCTCACCGCGCCATCACGCCTAAACCACGTCCGGGTTCTCGACCTCGACGAAATTGAACACCAATAAACGGCTTGGGTGTAAGGTGTGTGTGTGTGTCCCGTGTGACCTTAAGTTCTTTAAAAAGCGAAGTCTCTCTCGTCTTTCACTTCACCCCGTATCTTGACTTCACTCTTCATCACCACCAAAGCACAATTGGACCAAATTAAGTTCAAGTGCCCAATATTTTGTCGAAATTACCACCTTTGGCCCAAACCCTCTTCTCTTTGATTTCCTATCCAACCACCCACTGTCGTCAAGATGGTGTCCGCCGCCCCCCCTACCCTCCCCGTGCCCCTCGCCGGCCTGGTCAAGCATATTGGCGAGCACCCGGACACGTCGATGGTGGAGATGTTGGAACCGTTTCGCAACTATGAGGCCCATCTCCGCCAGGCTTTCGCCCAAGATCCCGACAATGAGCTACTCAAGGATCCCCATGTCAACGTCTTGCCTGTCTTCACCGAAGACACCCACAACATCAAGATCAGAGCCCGCAACCTTGAGGCCGAATCGAGCGAGGAGAAGTCCAAGTACATTATGCCTCTTTCTGCGGGAGTTCGACGCCTGGACAACTCTCCCGCCGTTGTTCAGTCCTTCAAGGAGTTCCAGCGCAACTTCAATGTCTTTTCTGAGTCGTCGGTCGTCGAACTCGACTGGTACGTGGCCGTGCTGCTCTAGCGATGTAGAGGGTGAATTGATGGCTAAAACGATCACACAGGGACAATGTGGTCGCAGCGGGATCCTCCGTTGTTAACACTCTACTCCCTGTTCCGGACGAGTATAACGGCTCCAAGCGTGGCCTCCGCGAGTTCTACCATCAGAAGTTCTCGCCTGCTTCCGATGTTGACCTGTTCTTGTATGGCCTTACCGAAGAGCAGGCCATCGAGAAGATCAAGGCTATCGAGGCCCGCGTCCGCGATGCTCTTCTGACAGAGACCACTGTCGTCAGAACTAAGCATGCCGTCACCATCTGTAAGCCGTTACCGCCTTTGGCTCGGCCATTCCGGGTTGTCTTTGCTCACATGCTCGTCCAGGCAGCCAGTATCCGACTCGTCACATTCAGGTAATCCGACATATCTTTGTTAACTAACCGTATCAGTTGAGCTGTGGCTGACCATGCCCAGATTGTTCTACGAATCTACAAATCCGTCTCCGAAATCCTGACTGGTTTCGACATCGACTGCTCAGGGGCCGCCTACGACGGCAAGCAGGTTTACTGCACCCCCCGCGCTCTGCAGTCGTACATGACCCAGGTCAACCACATCGACCTATCCCGCCGCAGCCCGTCATACGAGAACCGCCTCTCCAAGTACAGTCACAGGGGTTTTGAGGTATACTGGCCCAACTTTGACCGTTCCCGAGTCGATCCAACCATCTTTGAGCGGAGCTTTAAGAGGACTCTCGGGCTCGCAAAACTTCTCGTTCTGGAGCGGCTTCCTACGCCCAGCGCGAGAGATGCTTACCAGGACAAGCGCCGTGAGGAGAGAGGCCGCCCTCGTCTTGACCGCTATTACCGCCGCTTTCGATCCCTTGGCGGCAACATCAAGGAATACCACGAGGATGAGGTGGCTGATTGGTTTAACGAGGAGGAGGTTTCCAACTACCACACTTTCGCAATCCCTTACGGCGAAAAGTTTAACGCCAAGCGGATCGAGAAGCTCTGCTACACCAGGGACCTCTGTAAGCCACTCTTGTGAACGCTTTTACGGGTATTTCGAACTAAACCGGCCTTTTTTAGTGCTCAATGCAGAGTGGAACCAGCCTGATGACAGGGAGGTTTATCTCCATCGCCACCCGGCCTTCGTACGGTTAACCAGGCCCAGAAGCTTGAGGAGTACTCGATGCTAACGTTTTCTAGTTCGGCCGCGTCGAAGACGTGGTCAAAGATTGCTGCGGGTACTGCCCAGTCCCCAAAACAGCCGAAGAAAAGGAGGTCGCGGAAGAGGAAGACAAGGTCTTTGTTTCAGGCAAGGTATCGTTCATGAAGGACGACCCCGGCAGACAGGTACTGGCCCATCTTCACAATTATCTGCCTACATCCCAAACAGTTTTTGTTAACGCGTGAGATAGGAAATCGGCTCCTTCAACCCCCTAACAGATGATGATTGGACCGAGATGGCCTATGTCGGCAACACAGCTCGACTCTGCCAGGCCATCGTGGATGAGGACCTCGATCACGTCGTGGACTGGCTCGCCCAGGAAGGCGCCGACCCCAACACCCGTGACTACACTGGCCGGACTCCGCTGCATCTGGCGGCGATGAGCTCCACGCCCGAGGTTGTTCGAGCACTCGTTAATGCCGGCGCTCGTCTTGTGGCCCGCGTAGCGGACGGCCGAACCGCACTCCATCTCGCAGCAGCCCGTGGTAACGTGGACATCGTCAAGATTCTCTTGGACAAGAGTGCCGCCAACGAAGCCGAGCATGAGGAGAAGCAAGACCAGCGTCGCCGGGATAACAACGCGATGGAGACCGACGACGCGAAAGCTGAGAGCAAGAAGGCTGATGACGCCGACGAGTCCGACGGCGAGCTTATTGACGGGGACGATTCCGACGACGAAGCCCAGAGCATGGCAACAGGATCTTTTGTCAAGGTCGCAAAGAAGGAACCCGAGGCGCTCGACGAAATCGCGCTTCAAGATGCCGAGGAGGAGCCCGACTTCTACGACATCAATGTGGTCGCCTGGGATAGGCCTTGCTCGGCCTTGCACTTTGCAATTGTTGAAGGTCATGTCGAGGTTGTGAGGACCTTGGTTCAGGTATGGAAACCAATCCATCATTCGGGAGGACGCGCGCCAGCTGACCAAATGCAATCAAGGAATACGGCGCCGACGTTCTCATGCCAGTCAAATTTGGAGACCAGTCGAAGACAACCTACGATGCCCTGCTCACCCTGGTTCTCGCGCTTGCCCTCCCTGTGGAAAAGGCAAAGGAGATGACCAAGGTGCTTCTTAGTCTTGGGGCTACTTCAGCCCAAGCGGACAAGAATGGCGCCACTGCTTTCCACCGCTACGTCACAGCAAACGCGGAATCACTCCTCGACACATTATGGGAAGCTGATCCGGTTGGTGCTAACACGGCTATCCATCATATCGCCTTTCCCGGCCCGTCCGACTGCGAGAGCCCGTTGCAGGCCGCTCTCAAGAACGGAAATCTGGGCTTGATCTTGAAGTTGCTCGACCGCGGTGCCGTCACACAGATCGAGTTCGAGGCCTGGTATGTACTCTCGAATTTTTACATCGGTTTCTTTCCTACCCTATCCCCTCCCCCCTCGAGGTTTGTAAATCGGCAGCTAATTCAGGAATGACCAGGCTCAAATCGGCGAAGCAATCCACGGCAATGGAGTACCAACTACACACCTTTGAAGACAACCAGAAACGTTACAAACAGATGGTGCAACAGCCTTTGATCCTCGCATTGCAATCATCCAACCCCGAAGTTGCCATCGACCTCTTAGAGCGCGGCGCAGACCCCAACGTTGTGGAAAACTCAGCGCAGTATTCCATGCTGGCAACTTGGCACTCTCGATTCTCAGGCGGGTCTGCGTTGGACATTGCAAACAACCAAATCAAGGATCTCGATGAATATAAAGAAAACACCGCCGCGAGGACAACTCGTCCCACTATGCGTGAAGGAGCCGATACCTACCTCGAGAAGTTCGAAGAGGGGACATACGAGCACTGGGTCGTATCCAAGGAGATCAGCAGACTGAAGAAGTCGTACGACCGGGACCTCAAGAAGTACGAAAAGAACAAGGTCTTGGACGACCGCGCTTCTGGGTTCAAGGAGAAAAAGGCGGCGATTGCGGAAGCCAAGAAGCGGATGGAGAAGGTCAGGGACGCGTTGCTTGCCAAAGGAGCCAAGACATTCGTGGAAATCTACCCCGAGTTCAAGGACCTCCTGGATACCTCGAGGTATCGAGGCTACTCTCCCGTCAACCAGGACTCCACCGGGCCTTTCAAGTACAACTTTTCCTTTAGGAACGTCATTGACGCGACTGGCGCGAGGAACGTCGCCTACCTCAAGCTGTAAGTCTCTCAAGCCTTATAGGGATATTATGTATGGCTACTGACAGCGCGAAGGTTCAATGCTGCCTTCAAAGGCGACCTCGATACCATCAAGAAGCTGACATTGGCCTCCTGGGACGACGCCAAAGAGGAAGCGCCCCTCAAGATCGCTGTCTACGACCAACAATACAACAACCCATTCTCGCTTGCCTATGCACACGGCCACTACGATGTGGCGAAGGCAGTTCTCGAGATTGCGCAGGCTCAGTACTCCCCGGAAGAGAAACCCAAGACGCGTTACACGATGCAGACTGCCGACGACGAATACTCGGGTGACGACTCGGATGATGCATCTATGCACAGCGATGATTCTGGACCAAAGATACAGAGTCGCATCATCGACGGGCAGTTCACAATCGACAACGTGGGACAGTTGTCGATGAAGGTGAACAGCCGCACCAAGCCGCTACAGATGGTGGGCTGGACATCTCCCTTAAACAGTAGGCGAGACCCGTGACTGAACATGCCTTGCTGGATGGAGCTAACTCGTTCGTGCAGAGGCCATCTCCGAGAACGACATGCCAAAATTGAAGTTTCTCCTTGACCTCTACGAGCACTGGAGCGCCCAAAAGCTCGATTCGGACGATGAGGCTTCCGGCTTCTTCACCTTCCCTGACCACGCGTTTACGCTTGCGGTCGAATTAGGCCGTGTGGAGCTGCTTGGGGAGATCATCAAGCGCACCGGCGCTGGGCTGCCCTTGGAGCATCTGGTGGAAGGCACAGGCGTAGAGCTAAAAGTCAAGCCGCAGTATTACCAGGGGCTGACGGTCTACGGAAAGAAGAGGTACGCTTTACTCCTGGCGTGACGCTTGTTCGCTCGGACCCGAATTGACACCACAATGTAGGGATGACTGGGCTCAAGCTGGCCGGCCCATGCTTCGCAGAGCAGGTGGTACTCGAACCTCGCCCCTTCTGCTTGGTGCTTTTGCAGCTCGGATCGAAACCGTGGAGTGGTTTCTCAGCGACACCCCGTTGAGGCACTATCTTACGTTCGCCAAGTCTAAGGCAGCCCGCGACGACGTGAGGCTGAAGCATCTAGCTCAAGCTCCGGGTGGATTCGATGGCGCCATCTCTAAGTGGCTCGATGACCAGAGTAAGCACCCCCTGGGACGTAAACCACCCCCTAGCGCGCAGAAACTGACAGAATACAGGCGAACTGGTCCTCCACGCTGCCATCTATGCTCCCCCAACTAGGAGAGCCATTGAGTTGGTGACGTATCTTGTCAAGGCCCAGCCGTCTTTGCTGGATGTGAAGGCAGCGAACGGTGCAACGCCGCTTCTCCTCGCGTACCGCTTGGGTCGGCTCGATGTTGCCGGGATTCTAATCGAAGCCGGAGCCGACCAAACCACCAAGGATCAGGCGCGGAATAATCTTCTACATGTCGCCCTGTACGGCGTTCCAGATGCGAAGATATTGAAGCCGATGTTGGATCTCCTCGACCGCAGCACACTCATCCCGATGCTGAAGGAGCGGAACAAGCTCGAACAAGAAGGCCGAACACCCCTGCACCAATACTGCTATGCCACCAAACACTATGTTGGCAAGGCCGCCAACAAGGTGATTCGTATGATCAAAATGTTCATCGATATTTCGCAAGAAGCCACCAACCAAGCTTTCAAGACCCTCGATGGCACTGGAGACACCCCTCTGCACACCTTGCTAGCTACGGACGCGGACCCAGCCATTGTCCGCGCCGTCATCGACTTCGATTCGAGCCTTTTGTGCTGCGAGAACGCCGTTGGTCGCACGCCCGCCGAAGTTGCCCATGACCGTTATCTCTCGATCCACGTCAGAGCACCGGTCCACAACTATTATCGAAGAGACGAGTCACTTTCATCGTTGGTGACCCAGCACCCCCCTACATTCATCAAGGAGAGGGAGTGCGACGAGCCCAAGGAGCACGAGTCGACGACAACCGTCGCCAAGAATTGGCGTTTGTGCGCCGACATCATGGCGCGCAATGGCCAGCCCAAGCGAACGCTGGTCAGCCTCAACTCGGCCAACTTTGTCGCGAAGCGACTCGGCGAACAGAACACGACGAGGGACCGTTACCAGTTCAAGCTGGTGAATACCGATGAGAATGCCGCTGCGGCGTCGAGCAGTTCCCAGGACGGCGACAGCCAGGTTGGCGATGCACCAAGCGCCGAGGTCAACGCCCCTGCCAATGCCACCGCGAAGAAGACCAAGCCCCGGAAGGCGGACGTCGTCTCTGAGAGGTACTACCAAGTCACCAACTCGTGGGCGCGCCCTCGGAAGCAGGAGGAGGAGACCAACGACGACGCGGGCGCCAACAGTGACAGCGATGAGAGCGTGAAGGATAAGGATGAGGACGAGGACGACGACCTGTTCCCGGTCTGCGGCAAGTGCGGCGAGCGCCACTACCGACTTTGGGTCGCTGAAGTGACGACGAACTTGAAGAACGTGCAGAGCTCGGAGGACACTGAGATGTCGTAGTTGACGGAAGCAACGGAGGTGTAGTTGATGATTTTGGGACCGGGCCATCCATGCAGATATCAATGGCGAACTAGAGACGAGCTATGAGCTCTCGCTATGCAGAACTTGCAAGTTAGTTATGACATGACCGGGAGAGAAGGTCGTGAGCAGACTTGAGAGAATCAAATGAAATCTCAGCCACATCTTAATGTTAAACACCTCACTGCGGAAAACGAGGACCAAGAGTGAGTTTTTTGACGGTTGACTCACCCTTTCCTGACTCCACGTTAGACGAGTACACAGCAGATTTCACCATAACAAGCAAGACGCATGCACACACAGTATTTCTCGATCAACAGCTCAATTCCCCTAACTCTTCCCTCGATGCCCCTACCCCATCCGGATAGATCCTGAAAGGTAGTCACGACAAGGTAAGCCTGCTCGCTCTCTCGATCCGAAATCCCATTCTCATCCCCCCCCCCGTTCCCAGTCCCGCTGCCCGTCCCTCGGCTCGAGGATTGACCGACCCGACGGCCGAGCTATTGTACATACAACAAACGACGAAGCCAAACACAGCAACGCCAAGGTAGGTAGGTGAGTATGTATGTACCGATAATAACAATAAACAGCAGCAACGACAGCTAAGGGGTATTTGGCGGGGTATAAGAAGCAAACGCAAGCAATCGAAACACCGCAAGTGAAGCAAAAAAAGAAGAAGAGGAGGGAGGGAGAAAACATTAAAGAAAACGAGAGGGACTCAGTCCCCAAATACCTCGCTGTGATAGTAAAAAAAAAAAAAGACAACGAAAAAAGCCCTGGTGGTATCTCCCCCAGCCCATCCTTCCATCCATCCATCCATGCGTCAGTCAATCCATAAAAAGACCCGCAGCCCGTTCAATCAAAGCCGTTTGTTTGGTTGCTCGCCGGATCGAGACTTCCCAACTGATGATCCGATCGACAAGGAGCTCCGTTTTCCGCCGGGCCTAGGCCAGGACCTGTCCTCGCGCCAGCTACTCTGACGACTACCACCCAGGTACCTACCTCGATAGACAGACCGACCGACAGACAGGCAGACAACTCAACCCAGCTCAGCTCAGCTCAGCTCAGCTCAGCAACCGACGCCGAAACACCAGGTAACCCAAGGCAACCCAAGGCAACCGCCAAGCGACGCCAAACCCCTGAACACACACACACACACACCTCGCGCGCCCGAGCGCCGAAAAAAATGCCCACAATACCACAGGCCTACCTAGGTCGGCCGGGTCAGTCAGACGGAGGGGATACACCCCATCGCCTCAACTCAACACCCTCCTCGAAAACCACCCAGCAAAGAGGCCGCCCTACCCCCTCCACCTGGGCCTCGAGTCCCTAGCCACCGCGCCCCTAGCGGCGGCCGCCGCAGCCGAGGTGCTGGTGCTGCTGGTGCTGCCCTTGCGCATGGCAAAGCGGGCGCCGGCGACGGCCTGCGGGCTCTCGCGGCCGGTGAGACCGCCGCTCCGCGACGCCGACGGCGGTGCCCCCCCCGCCATAGAGGTGCCGGACGTGCGCGGCTGGGGCAGCAGGCTGGCGCGGCGCGAGGACGCGAGCGAGCTGGCGGGTCTGCGAGGGGTGGTTGCGGTGGGTGGGGAGAGGTCGATTGGTTTGGGGGGTTGGAGGGAGGCGCGTCTGTTGGCGAAGGCGGCCGGTGCGGAGGGTTGGGAGGCGAGGCGGGGTCGGTTGAAGGTTTGGTGTTGTTGTTGTTGTTGGGAGTCGGGCCCTGACGCGATGCGGTCGCGGAAGGAGAGGAGGGGCCCGCTTTTGGAGGGGGTGTTCTCGTCGATGGGCGATGTGGATGCCCCGCGGGAGAGCGGGGTGCGGAGGGTTGGGAGTTTGGATGTGGTAGAGGAGGGCGTTAAGCCGGAGCCGGAGCGTACTGGGGTGGGGGATCGCTTGGAATAGGGGCTCGGGGTGGTGAGGCTGAGGGGCTTGAAGTTGTGCCCTGTGCCGACGTCTGATGTGTTGGTGGAGGCGTTCCATTTCGGCCGGTTGGCCAAGGAAGAAGACGGACGCGGCATCCTGTTCGCGGTTGGCGTGGCTGAGCCGTCGCGGGATGGAACCGACAACGTCGACGTCCTGGCGGCTACGGGCTTCCGGGACACTTGGCTCTTTGGAGTGGGTAGCAACGACTGTCTGCGGTTGCCTGGTGTGGAAAAGTGGCCCATAGCGCTCGCGGAACGCGGCGGGGGCGCTTTGAGGTGAGTTGAGCTGCTGAGGCCCATGGAGGACATGATGACGGAAGAGGGGGGCGAGCTCTGAGGCGTCTCGTTGCCGCTCGCGAGAGTCGACATGTCGTTGGACAGCATGCTCGAGACGGAATCCCGCAGTTGCTGGCCCCTCCTGTCGGCGTGCAGCTCCTCGACGGAGGCATCCATATCCGCCATGATCTCTTTCAACTCCTCCCACTTGGCCTGCATCTCGGCGTGCAGACGAAGAATCTCGCCGTTGACGGTCAACCGGTCCTTGACCCCCTTGTCGATGATGGACAACACCCGCTCGATGGCCGGGCCATAGTGTGTCTTCTTGGCCTCGTAACTCTCCAACTTCTTGCTCATGATGGGCTGGTTCGTCAGATGCATGCCGGTGTCGATGGCCTCGCGGAGCCTAGCCACGCTCCTCTCGACCGACTCGTACATCTTTTGGGCCTGCCGTCCGGCGCCGCGGAAGACGAGGACCCAACGATCCTCGCCGAGTTCCTTGCGCAGGGATTCGGCATCCTTCTCGAGCTTCTTGTAAGTAGAATCCAGCTCCGACCTCCGCACTTCAAGCTCCTCGCATGCGGTGGGAAATATGCTGTCAGCTCTGTTTTCGAAAACGGAGAGCCTCATAGGCAGGAAATCCAGCGAGGCCCTAAGAGGCTGCATCCTTGCGAACAGCGCCAGCAGGCTGGAGTCGTCCTGGGAGATGCCGGTCGTGCTGGGCGAGGGCGAGGTAGGGCTGACGGGGAACACGGGCACGCTGAAGCGATTGTTGGCGGTCTGCAACCGCGCGGGAGCCCGGGGCGTGTCCTCCACTATCGTCTCCAAGTCGCCAATGTCCATGGCGGGGTCGCCGGTTGGCACGCCTAGAATCGACTTGTGGCGCCGTTCTTCCATCTCGAAGACTAGCCTGGCGAGGTCGTCCATCTCGTTCTGGATGTCACCGAGCACCATGTTCCATAGCTCTTCCCATTCCATGGCGATCTCGACTTGTGCCTTGACGTTGTGCAGCGTGTTGCGCATCTTGCCCCACTCGGCGAGGATGGCCTCCATCTGGGCAACGGCCCTGCGGAGATCGTCGGCGGCGACGTAGGCAATGTCTTCTCGGCACTGCAAGTCCTCGATGGCGCCGACGTAGACCTTGATCAGCTCCTCGAAGCGGATGATGGCGTTCTCGACCTCCTCGACGCCTTCGCGGCCGCCGGCAGCGGCCCATTCGACGTCGTCATCGCTTTCCAAGCCCCCTATTACTTCCGAAGCCTTGTATATCCAGCCACGGATCTGTTCGGCAGCGCCTATCAAGGCCTTTGTCGCGACCTGGGCGGTCGGGATGGCCGAGACCTTGTTACTCAACGAGTCGGCATCGGGAAGCTGTAGTGACGTCAGCTGGGCAAGCTGGTTCGCGAACGAGGCTCGCGATAACGTGTATATGGACCCCGCCCTCTGGAGGCCGAGGGGGTTGAATGTGATGGAGTCAGGGTTGAAAAAGTCGCGGGCGGTTGGTGTGGTCGGATTTGTGCCGCGTCGTGTTAGTGGTGGCGTATCTTTGGGAAGGGGCGGAGGCGGGATCTCTGGTGTCTGGGGTGCCTGGGATGCCTGTGGTGGCCGAGTATCCCTCGCGATGTGCTCATCCTTTGTCCCCGGCTGGGCCTTGACGCCGTTTCCGTTTGTATGGTCGGGAAGACGGTACTTGTTTGTGTCCATGTCCAGCGGCTCGGACGTGGCAATTTCCGGCAGAAGGTCGGGCTTCGCAACGGGAATGGTAACCTCGGAGACAGGTTCTTCGGGGACAGGCTCCTCGGGTTCCGTCCTCGTTTGCGACCTGTCCGACTTGAGGCTCGACCTCGATGAGATGCGGACGATGCCCTTCCAGGGGCGGCCCCGCCGCTCGACAACGGTATGCGAGGAGCCGGCGATATGCTCCTGGTCGAGTCGCCTGAGAGCTTCTTCTGGGAGACGACCGGGCTCTAAATAAGTCGAGGGCGGCGGAGGACTTGATTTACGTGTCGAACCGAAGCCTAGGGCCTTTAATCGCGCTGCAAGACCCGGCGAGGGTTTCCTTACGCGATGGGCGGGCGTCGAGGTGGGAGAGCTGCTGGCCGAGAGCTGCCGCTGCTGCTGTTGGTGTTGTTGTTGTTGTTGTGGGGGAGAGCTTTTTGGCGGGTCGCCAATGTGGCTGTTGTTAGTGTGGGCTGTGCTTGTGGTGTCTTGGTGTTGTTGTTCTTGTTGCTGATTTTGCTGATCCGAGTCGAAAGCATCGAGATGCGCCAATTCGCTGGGAACGTCAGAGAAGGTTAGCACGACGTCGTCATGGTCATTGCTCGTGTCGAAGTCGGCATTCTGGTTAACTGCTGGTATATCCGTGCCGGAGACAGCATGATCGACAGGATTGTCTTGATCATTGCCACTGCCCGGAGCAGCGGCAGCGGCAGCAGCAGCAAGAGTTGACATTTAGCGGCTCGGACTCTCAGACTGCACCGAGAGCTCGCCGATGGGAGCTGCAGGCCTGCGCTCTGGTGGGATGCCGACTTGCTCAAACAGCAGCCGGTCAGCTTTCAGTGGTCTGGGTTGCTTGCTCTAGCGGGCCGCCTGCCTCCTGTGGGCTTGGTCGCAGAGGGGCCCGGATGGGGCTTTCCCCATAAATTCGGGCAGGGACCTTCCTGGCTGCACGTCCGACTGGCTGCGTGTTTCAGTGGTCTGAGAATGATTGCTGTGCGCTCCAGTCAACGAGTGGCTGTTGGAGGTCCAGACGACATGGTGCAGCGCGGCGGGGGTGGGTTTTGCTGTTGGCGATTGGGGAACAGAATCTCAGAATCTTGCTTGCAGTTCGCAACAGTTTGCAGCAATTGGCGATGCGCACCAAAATCGACAGGCCAGCAGCTTTCCGGCGGGTAGCGAGATGAGGGCCAAGAGGGTAATGAGATTTTTTGCCGATGCGCCGAAGGGTCGAGATGGAAGGAATGACGATTGGGAAGTGATGATGGGCAGGAGACTTTGTGTGATGGGGTTGGGCAGAAATCGCGGGCTGACAAGGGCGGGCTGACGACCCTCGCAACGCCAAACTCTGCGCCGCAGTCCAGCCCTAGCAAGAGTTTCATGTGATCCGAGACAATCTTTAAGTTGGGAAGAAAGTACGAAAGGACGACGTGACGAAGTGAAGCTTCCCGCAAGTCTTACATGACTTGACTGTGATTATTGGTTGAACTGTCTTGATGTCGGCAGCCTGCATGCATGGACCTCCTGGCTCCGGCTTCTGTGCTCCACGGAGTTTCATTCAAATGGCTTCGTCAATTACACTAACGTTAGTTATCACCGACATGGAGTTAATACACTATACATGTCATAACTAGTGTAAACCATTTGGGCAGTGACCATGACCATGGCTGGGCGGCATCGATCTGACCCGATTTCCCGACTTTCTGGTCGCAGCCTGCGTTTCCCATCTGTCGGGTGTATGTGGACAGGGGGGAGGATGCTAAAAAAGACGGGTTTCTGAGCCCGGCGACGGCAGTTGGCCAGCCAAGACAGGGATTATGTGGGAAATATTGGTTCTGGAATTCTCGGTTTTTAGGGAGTGCATCGTGCCATGCAGCTGCGAAGATGGTACGAAGCAAACGTAAACATACGGCCGGACGGAGAAGGGAAGAAAAGGTTTCTGTTGAGTGGGAGAAAAAAAGGGGGGCAACACTCAAAGAAAGAAACCGTTTGGAGGGGAAAGGGGGAAATGCAGGAGAGACAATTGGAAGAACGGTCCTCTCTCTGTTTGGACAGATTGTCGATGTGAGAGTCATGTGAAGATCCCTCCGGGCAGACCAGTTCGCAGAATGGAAGTCAGCCAGCCAGCCACAGGCAGCCCTGTCGAGCTCTGGTTAAATTTAGGCAGCGTGCACGTTCCCGTTCCCGTTCCCGAACCGTTTTCGCAGCATCTCCATCCATGCTCTTCGTGCCGAAAAGCAGTGCCCAACGTTCTGTTCAATGTTCATTCATCCATCCATCCGTTCGGAAGATCACGTTGCGGTCTCATGGCCGAATCTTGCAATACGACGCTCTGTAATGATGGCAGGGGTAGCAGTGTCTCTGACCAATCATTTGTGTTCAGCAAGTGAAGCTCTCGTCAACGCCAACGGAAAGGCACGCGGCCCCATTTCCCTCGGTTCCCTGGCTCTTCGGCTTCTCCCAGTGCAGGAGCACCGAGCCTGGCTCTCCCTGGTTCATCAGTGGTTCTCTCTCCCTGGCCATCCTGAAATGCCACGCGCTGTCCCCGCTCATGAATCGTGAACTTGGTCAGGCCTCCCACGTCTCCCCACGGCTCAGGCTGTCCCAGACAAGCATTCCTCGCCGGCCTCTCCGGATCTGTCGCAGGGTCATCCCACTCCTGGCATTGAGAAGATTAAAAAGATTGGCTTGTGTGAGCTCCACTTCTTCTTCGCCCGCCAAGCCATTGCTTCACGCGTCTGTGATACCCCACAGGCGGGCCATCGCGTCGGCCACCCGGGTGCTTCTGGAACCATTTGCGTAATTGCTGGTCTCCACCCGAACCCCCTGGCCAAGCCCATTCTTCAGCGCATCAACCCCGGGAAAGTGTTCCGATCCCCCTCCCCCGTCTCAGCAATTCTTCCGCCTGAAGCCATCCGATCCGATACCCTTCTCCATACAGATTACCTTCGAGGAAGGTGTGACTTGTTTCCCGCACACCATCTCTCCTTTTGCCTGTCCAAACCTCCACCTCTCCGTGTTTCAAGAGCTCGCACGCCTTCTCGAAAAGACGCAAACCGACTTTCAGCCCAACCAAAGACCCTGTTCCATCCCACCGGAATACCTGGGCCGTTTTGTGTTGCTGTTGCTGCTGCTGCCGCGTCTCGCCTTGGGAGCTCCCGTGTTTACAGTCCCGGGCCGTCATTGTTTACTTCGGTCATCTTCACGACCGTATCAAATCCCGCCTAAACAATCGGAGCGAAAACCATCGACGGAAAAAGGAGAGCAGCTCGAATCCGGCCTCACAATGGCTGCGTCGTCCAACCCCGCAATTTCCCGCAGTGGCTCGCCCGCACCGGACTCTGTCCCTCGGCCAGCTCTCGGAGGCCACTCGGGTGCGTCGCGTTGTCTTTCGACCGGTTCGACCATGTCGCACGGTTCTGCAACTACCGAAGCTTCCCATTATCGAGAATCCTTGGGTAGCGATGGGTCTACCTTTTCCCGCCACTCGTCAGCGAGCTATCGCCTTTCCGACATCAGCGTCAACGGCGATCAGCTACGGCCCCGAGACTCGACTTGCAGCGCACCAGACACACCGAGGGGGAGGAGCCCAAGCAGGCGTCGGGGTTACATGCGCCCGCAGGGCACTGACTTTGCCGCCAGCGCCCGGGCGCGGGAAAGTGTGCTCAGCCTGGGCAGCATCACCCATCTGCAGTATTACTTTGCCCGGACCGGCTTGCTGGACGGCAAGGGGGGGCGATTGGCTCGGAAACGGGGCGACAAGGCGCACACTCTGGACCTGTCGTCGCTCGATCCCAGCGTGTTCCTGTCGCCCAAGTCAAGCAGCGACCACGACTCGAGTTATGCATCCATGGGGAGCAGCCCGGAACTGACGTCGCTTGGCGGGTTCGCCAGCGCGATGGGGCTAGGCGCTGGCCCGATGGTCGAGTCTCCTATCTCAGAGTATCACCCGGATCACCCAGATCCGCAAGACGAAGATTACTTCTCGGACGAATTAGAGATCGACCCGAACATGCCGCCGCCCACAACTAGCACCTACAACCACCGCGAGAAACATGTGCCGAAACCGCCCTCGATCGCCGAGCTGAGGTCCGACCTAACGAAGTCGCTCGACGTCGCCGAGCAGACCCTGCGCGAGTCCAAGAGCGGAAAAGTACCCCCGGGGCTCACCATCCGCATCGAGTCGGCAGATGCTCAGCCCGAAAACCCACGGCGGCCCTCAATCCCATCCGCCGGATGGTACGAGATCCAGGGGATGAACATCCTCGACGTCATGACTCTAGCCATCAGGGCCGCCAAGATCTACTACACCTCGCACGACCGACCCGACCGCCTCGATGCTATCAAGTCGGAGAAGGTTCTGCGCGGCGAGCTGCTGTCGGTCATGGATATTCTCAAGCGCATGGCCACTAGGGGTTTTGCCGGCGGCATGCGAGACGACGAGTTCCGCACCATGGATAGCTGGATCGCTAGTGTACGCGCCATGCTGGTCAACGAGGACGCTATGGAGGCCAAGGAGATCGCCGAGCGGTCGTCGTGGGCCTGGCTCAACCCGGAAGGCTGGGAAGGCCGCGAGTTCGAGCGCGAAGAGGCATTTATGCGGTCCATGCTCAAGGGTCCCGATCCAATCGAGAACATGCCCGTCATACCGGAGTGGAAGCCCATTGACCGGACTCTGCCCTTGGAATCGCAATCCCTCCCGACACCCTTCCTCGCCGCGCTCTCCAACGGCCAGCGCCTGGTCCAACTGCACAACTGCTCAGTCCGCAAATCCCGCCGTCGCTTCGGCGCCATCCCCAACTTCTACGCCAACACCCAGAAGCCATACCGTGGCGCGGATAACCTGCGCTACTGGCTCAAGGCAGCCGAGCTGCGCTGGGAGGTAATGCTCAAGGCCGACCCGCTCGGCCTGCAGTACAACACCGGCCCGGAACTCTGGGTCGATTTCGAGGACGCCGTACTCCAGTGGTGCCGCAAGGTGCGCGAAGAGATCGCCGCCGAGCTGCGGGAGCCGGAGCCGACGTCGCCTGCGTAATAATCACTGCTGCAACCTGCAGGCGGTGCGCAAACAGACAAAGGGGATAGAAAGAGTGTGTGGTTATTTACGACTGGAAAGACGTTATGACTTCTTTTCCTGGCTGCCTTCAGCCGCATGCTCGACCCATTTATTCATTCAGCTTCCGCTTTTTTCGGATGGTCGAGCTATACTTCTCAACTCAACACCCTTTTTAGCCAGCCGCGACTGGCTTTGTTTACAACGCTTCTATTTGCACCATCCGCCCAACGACCCCTGAAATGCGCATTCTGTCAACAAACCAGCCGTCTTCACACCACGCACAGTGGCCCGGATCACGGCACATGAATCAGCAGGGCAGCCATTAGTTACAGTGGATGTTCCTTTCTTCTTTCTCATTTCGTTTCATCCCATTTCATTTCGGACAAACAGACTGCACCGGTTACTCAGTCATGCTCGCATCTCAACCTTAGTCTATTTATTGACCTTCATAACTTACCCTACTTTATTACTTTTTATTGTTTACCTTTTACATATTTGCTCAGACACACCCCGTATATACACTCCACCTCGGTCAGATATACCCCCAGCATAACACCACGGAAAAGGGCGGCGTAATGGGTTTGTTTTTTGGAGGGGGGTAATCGATACACTGCGGCAAGGAAGGGAAGGGAAGGGGAAGGGAAAGGTTCTGGCTACCTAGGAGGATAGGGGAAGGGACGGGGGAGTAGGGAGAGGAAGGCCATGACCATAGGAAAGGGAAAGATAAATTGAACATAGCAGACCATCTGTCAACTCACACTCGAACCTGCCCTTCACCGATCGCAATGTAGTTTGATGAAATATGTATGTCTCTTATATTCCGTATTGCCTCCCAGATTCGGACCTTGCAATTCTAGTTCTAAGAATGCCGACGCCGATGCTGATGCTGATGCTGATGTGCGAAAACCCCGCGCCACGCCGTCCCATGCCATGTTCCTTCATAGTTACCGCTTTGCTTGCCTGCGGGTTCGATTAAAGCAAGGCTGAGTGGAGCGTATGTCCTCGTCGACGGCCATATATACAAGTTCCCATTCATTCATGAAATCCATGATGCTGCCTCTCTCCATGTCTGTACCCCTTCCTCACATTTAGAGCCCGAGTTCTTGTCCCCATTTCATCCACCTCTGCGCTGAGACCATAGAAAAAACGCAGACACAAATGCCAAAAGAGAACTGCTCCAAACTCCGATCTGCCCAGCACAACGCATACGCCCCTTGACCAAACTCCTTTTCATGCTGCTGCCCCTTTTTGCCCTTGCCCCCTTTATTTGTGCCTGGAACGCCATGTGAATGATCGTAAAAGATGAGATGATGTTGCCTGCCCGCTTGCCAATGCAAATCTTGAGAAATCAGATGCTGGGTTTATTAGGCGGAAGATCGGCGGTCCATCGAATCGCAAGGCTCGCCCAGAGGAATCTGAGATCGCGACAACGCGATCGGACCGACGCAGCGATGATCAGATGGCAGAAACTTAGGCCTCGCAAGGATTGTGGGATAGCGAGCCCGCGCAACGTCGGATTCTCGATGAAACCACGGGCGACCATTGGATCGCGATGCCGAAAAAGAAAAAGAAAAAATGAAGGAGTCCAAAGTTAAACCACTCGCCAACAAAGCTCAGTACGGCATATTGGGGATGCCACCGCTGGCGCTGCCGGTCCCTCGCCGCGAGCTGCCCACCGACGCGCTGCCCCGCCCGAGCTGTCGACTAACCGAGCCCCTACGCTTGGCTACGCCGCCCGTCGAGTTGGCCCGAGGGAAGGAGCCGCCGCCGCGCGAAAAACCACCCCGACCGCCCCTGCTACCCCTTCCGCTCCGGCCCCTGGCGGAGCTGCCCCGCTTTCCGCCCCGCCAGCGGGCGTTGGGGGTCCAGGTGCCGTCCTCGTTCTCCTCCGAGGCCCTGGCCACCTTGTCGCTCTTCTTGAGCTCCTCGAAGCGCTTGTGCCACTGTTCGACGGCGGCGGTCCCGGACTGGGGTGGTGACGGCGGCCGGTCGGTACCGTCGGCGAAGTAGCGCGAGGCCTCGAGGTCCTCGTCGTCATCGCGGCCGCCGTCGAGGTCCTCGTCGTACGCCTCCTCCTCCTCGTCGGCTGCCGGCGGGGCGTCATCGCGGCGCGGGAAGCGGGGGCCGCGGGCGCGGCGGCCGGCGTAGTCTTCGTCGTCGCTAATGAGGTCGACGACCTCGCGCTTCTTCTGCCGCTTCGGCGCAATCTCGGCCGCGGAGAAGGAGGTGGCTGTGCCGCCCATCATTTCCTGGTATCGGCGGCGGAACTGCTGGACGAGGGTGGCGAACTTAGCGCCGTATAAGTCCACCTTGGACTTGTCGACCCCGCGGATGGTGTACATCTGGGCGACGGTCGTCGTCCACCGGATGGCCATCTCCCGGTACTGCTGCTCGGTGAAGAGCGCGCGGCGGAGCCCGTGCTTGTTGCGGAGGCTTTCCTCCATCTCGTACGCCCGTTCGACGAACGCCTGGACGATGTCCTGGTGCATGTCGTCCAGGCCGGCCTCGTCCAGGCGGGGGTCGCGCGAGATGGGAGGTCCCAACTCGTCCAGTGTCTGCTGCCGGCCCTGGGGCGGAGGGCGTTGGGGGAAGGGCGGGGGGTCGAAGAAGGCCGCTTCGGCTTCCTCGTCGGAACCCACGAAGTCGTCCCGCTCGTAGCCGTTTGCATGCATCTCGCGGCCCGCGTCGCCTTCATCGCCCTCGTCGCCCGTGTCTACCGCGTCGCCCTCGTCGCCTCCATCCTCCTCATCCGCCGCTGTCGCCAGAACGGATTTGCCCTTCCGCCCTCTCGACAGCCCAGAGACGGGCGACGAGATATTGGTGGACGGCGGGGGTCCCCTCCCCCGTGCGCCGCCAAGGGCCTCCGACGCTGCTTGGCTGGCTTTGGCGCCCCGTCCCTTCTTCTTCGCCGGCGGCTGCACCAAATCCTGCCTCCTCACCTCCAGGCGCAACCGGCGCACCTCCCTGAGGTATTCCTGGGCCAGCGTATCGAGCTACCAAGAAGTTAGCCTGACAAGGTCCGACACCCAGACACCCGAAGCAAAGCCATTCGCCACGATGGGGTTAGTGCCTACCTTGTAGTTGGTAACGGGGATGCCGTTGCTCATGCACGTCTCCTGGTGGTCTTTCAGGGCGCCCTCGGCGTGGAGGGCCATGGCGACCCGCTGCACCTCGTAGTTTTTCATGCCTTTGCAGACTCCAAATCCAGGGATGTCGTGGTGTTTCCCAACATTTTTGCTCGCCGTCACGACCTCGACCAGCTTGCCCAAAGTGATCTTTTTTTGCGACCGGATGGCCGTGATGAGGGCCACAGCACACTCGGTGAAGTCTTCGAGAACGGGTTCCCCGTTCGTCAGTCCGGTAACGCAATTGTCGCACATGTTGCCGCACTCCTCCGCGTCGAAGGCCTCGTCGAAGTAGCGAAGGATTTGGACCCGACGGCATGCATAGGAGCTCTCGCAGTACGACACCATGCGATTGATCATGCTATGTTGCCGCTCCTTCTCCGCGGGCAGCTTGTCCTTATCCTCGTTGACCATCCGTCGCAGGGTGGGGATGTCGCTGTAGGCAAAGTAAAGATAGCAGTCCGAAGGCAGCCCGTCCCGACCCGCACGCCCAGTTTCCTGGTAGTAACCCTCCAGGCTCTTGGGCATATTCTGATGGATGACGAACCGGACATCTGGCTTGTCGATACCCATGCCGAAGGCAATTGTGGCGACGACAACGTGGATTTCCCCCCGCTGCCACCCCTCCTGAACCTCGATCTTGGCCTCGGGGTCCATCTGGGCGTGATAGTAGCGAGCCTTTATGCCGTGCTTGGTCACAAGGGTGGTTGCCGTGCCTTCGGCGGATTTGCGGGACAGGCAGTAGACGATGCCGCATTGCCCACCATACTTGGTAGTGATGAGCTTGCCCATGCCCCCGATGAAACGCGCCTGCTTGGGAATGACTTCGTAGTAGAGATTCGGGCGGTTGAAGCTCTGTGTGAAGACCTCGCAGTTCTCCATGTTAAGGTTGTGCTTGACGTCGGCCATGACGTTCTTAGTAGCCGTAGCCGTCAGCGCCATGGCTGGGACGCCAGGGAAGGCAGCCCGAAACGTCCCCAGGGCCTTGTAGTCGGGTCGGAAATCATGACCCCAATGGCTCACACAATGGGCCTCGTCGATCACAATGCGGGCGAGCTTGCCTTTATCATACAGGGTTTGAACCCCCTTTTGGAAGGTGGGGCTGCTGGTGAGCATCTCGGGCGTGACGTAGAGCAGCTGGACGTGATGCTCTGGGTAGGGCTGGTGGAAAGCACCCAGGATGTGGTTGCGGAGTGCGTTGTTGATAGTTCCGTTGAAAGTTGCAGCGAGGATGTTGAGGCGTGTCAGATGGGCCACCTGATCGTTCATCAGACTAAGCAGCGGGGATACGACAAGCGTGACACCACGAGTCTTGCCCGAGTTGACCATGGCTGGAAGCTGATAGCAAAGAGATTTGCCACCTCCAGTGGGCATCAGAACAAACGCGTCTTTGCCGGCCAGGGTAGCGTTGATGGCCTCGAGCTGGTTGCGGCGAAATCTCGTCATCCGGAACCGATCCTTCAAGACTCGGCGGACATCGGAGGACCAGGGGTATTTCATCTGCTCCGGGTCAATGGACCCCTTGGGTTGTTGAGAAAGCACGGGCTGGGCGGCCGCCCGCTTCCGCGGTGGTGGCAGCACGGCATTCCCCGACGACTCGGACAGTTCGGTACGAGTAGGATATGCGGCCGTGTTGGACATGGATTGTTGTTGTTGCTGCTCGAAGCTATTCGCGGCTGCCACCATTTCCTCCTCGTCACTACAGTCGTCAAACTGATCAGAACCAAACGTCATCATAGTTTTGCCGGGGGTTCTAGCCGGCTTGGTGGGCATCGGCCGCGGCAGGGCAGATTGGGCAGCGGGAAATGTAGTAGAGGTTGGGGCCAGAGTAGAGCCGCCCAAGTCCATCTGACCTCCACTGATGGCATTCCCAAAGTCGTCATCATCGAGTATCTCTATGCAGGTCCGATCGTCTGTGTTGTCTGTGCGAGGGTTGCTGGGCCTGGTCGAGCTGTATGCCTGGGAGAAAGATGGGACGGAGGGCAGGGTGCCCGTGTTCACGAGCGTGGTGCCTGCTGTCTCCTGGGTTCGGCTCTGGGATGGTTGTTGGGTCTGCAGCACAACCTGGGAGTTGTATTCGGGGATGCTGGTATCCCTTTTTGACAACGCTGCCGGGCCGAGCTTGCGAGATGGTTGTGTGGCAAAGACGATAGGGGTGGCGGGCGAGTCCGGGGCCGCGATGGAGTCGTTAGGATCCTTGAGAAAATCCAGGTCGTCAATGCCCACGGCGACTAGTTGGCCGAGAAGTACCGTCTCCTTGGCTTCGATCTCCTCTGACAACATGTCCAGCTGGATTTCGTCCTCCATGGTGTCGATTCCGTCGGCAAATGCATTCCCCAGCTCTACCAACAATCCCTCCCTCTTGTTGCTGAGCTCCATATAGCTTTCGTGTTCGGCTTTGATGGCGTCCAAAGCCTTCCGCTTCTGCACCAGCGCGTTCCGAGCATCCCGCACCCGTGCTCGGTCTTCCCTTGGTGCGTTCTCACGAAGACAGTTGGTGTATGCCTCCTTGTTCTTGCGCAGCTGGTCCTCAAAGAAAATGATCTTGCTGTCCAATACAGATGGGCGTTCAAGGAACAGATGAAACAAGTGTTTATTCCGTCCGATGTTTGAATCACGCGAGCCTTGCGAATTTTGCTTGGGCAGGGTATCTTGGGACGGCATTGCTTCATCGGAGCGAACCTCTTCGATGGGGTCGCTAGGGGGTTCCTCCCCCATGCCGTCCTTCTGAGTACGGGGAGAAGGATCCTCCAACTGGGGCGATACGCTGGGCGGCGTTTCGACCTCCATCTGTTGGTCCTCGTCGGGGGGCTGATGGCTGCTAACCGGGTCAGGGCTGCTTCGGCAGTCATCCACAGTTGATTGATGCATTGACGGTGCAATCAGGTCGTCCTCCGAATCCAGAACAGTGTCACCCCTTGTCTTCGGCTTCTTGTTGCTTTGGGTGGGAGGTGTAGGCCCTACGTCAAAGGATTCGTCGTGGTTGGGACTAGGTGACGAGGGTGTCTTGCGCTTCCGGCTGGATGTGACAAAATCCGGTGATGTCTCGGCCGGCATTGATGGAGGAGAACTCTCAAAGGGGGCGCGAGGCAAAGCCGAGTCCACCGCTTGAATACCACTGCCCGCATCCCAACTCATGCTGCTGGCCGGTTCCATTTCAGTCGTATTGTTATCCTGGGAGGCCAATCTCGTCACGGGCTGCGGGCAGGGACTTTCTGCCACCACAGAGATGGGTTTCGGCCGGTGTTTGGCGACGGACCTCAGAACCGACGAAGGGGGGACAAGGTCGTCGATATCCGGGTATTCATCTTCCTCGTTGGCCGGCCCCTGTTTCCTGACCACACTCGGTGTCTGCGACATGTCGTCCATCCTCAACCTCTTAGCGCGACTGGAGACGGGCTCGGGGCGCTCAGCAAAATCCTCACGCCACAACCTTTTTTCCTCGCCAAATTCCAAGACTGAGCTGGAACCGTCCTGGTTCTCAAAATCTGTTAGGTCGAGGGTGTCCGAAAAAAGGTCATCATCCACGTCAACGAAACCAATCGACTGAGTCGTCGAGCGGGCGTTCCGGGGGTCACCGGTGTCTGGGATCGGGGAAAGCAATGGTTTTCGTGATCGAACCGTATTGGATGGCGATGCATGAGCGAGCGATGCCGAGTACGCGCGTTGCAAAGGGCCAATTGGGGTTGTGCCGGTTGTGGAGGCCGGGGTAGGTAAAAATTGCTGCTTGCAAAGTAAAGTCGGTCGATTGGAAGAATGTTTCGAAGAAAGATGATCCAGTCCCTCTCGCTTCCCGGATGCCTTGTCAGCGTTCCGCAAACCAGCCGAGGGTAGAACGTTGTGCGCGAAGGTGGAAGGGCGTTGCGTGGCGGCTGGAAGAGAAGGGGGAAGAGAATTGGAAGTGGGTGGGGGATTTACAGGCCGACGAGGGGCGGTGGAAAGCGGGGGTCGAAGCGGGTTGGAGGTTGAGATGGAATTTGCAGACTGGTGTTGCGCGGTGGCAGGAAGAGGTCGATGAGAGTCGGAAGTCGAGGTCGAGGACGAATTTGCAGTCTGCCGTGCAGCAGCAGAAAACGCAGGCGCAAAGGGGTTGGAGGTGGGCGTGGCGTTCGTCAGCTCCTGTTGCGCGGCGGGGGGCGGAGGTGAATTAGAGCTGGAAGTGAAGGTCGATTTCACGGACCGCGACGGGGCAGCAGGAAGCGAAGGCAGAAGGGAATTGGAAGTAGAGACGGAATTCGTCAACTCCCGTTTCGCGGTGGTATGTGGAAGTGGACCAGAGTTGGGGGTGAAGGTGGAATTTGCAGACCGCCGCGAGACGGTAGGAAGCGGGGGTGGATGGGAGTGTGAAGTGAGAGCCGAAGAAGTCGAAGTAGAGCTCTTAGTAGGATTCGTCAACGGTCTCAACCCGGTGGTAGACACAGGCGGCGGATGGGAGGTGGAAATGGAGGTCGAGGTAGAGCCCGGAAAGTTGGCGGGATGGGTGGCTCGACTTGGCTGAGAATCCAAGTTGTTGGACGTCGAGGATGGGACGGATGTTGAGACGGAAGGAGGAGCATGGCTGAGCGAGTCTGAGGCGGCGGGCAGTTGGGGCGCCGTGGTTGGTGATCGCTTGATGGTGTTTAGCAGCCAGCCCAGATGCTCCCCCAAATTGTTGCGGGTCATGAGGTCGAATTGAGACAATCGTCCCAGATCCGAGCACTGCACATCCGGAACCTAAGATTCCAGCGGAATCCTAGTTGACGAGGAGACGTCGTTGGTGAGCAGCGTCAGGACGAAGCTGTGTGTTTGGTTTTGTGGGGGACGACGATCTGAGAGAAAGAGCGGGACGCGTCGTTCAAGCACTCGACGCGCCGTCAGGTGTTCTGGTGCCTTCGTGTGGGGTGTGGTTACAGGGGTACGTGGTGCAGGGATCTACCTAGGTGGGGCGGCAGTCTGGACGAGGCACCCCATAGACAAAAAAAGCCGAACTCCAAGTGCAGATGTCGGCAATGGAAACTTCGAGTCCTCAGCTGGAGGAATATAACGAAAGTCATCCTGAAGCCCAGAGGAACTCCATTTGCTCCATTTCCTTTACTTTTACCCTCTTTCTTTCATTTGACTTAGTTTTCTCGATTTCTTTTCATTTGTTCTTTTTGCTTGATTTCTTGCTTTCCTTTCGAGTTCGGCTTTTTTTGGCCAGAGGGTGCGAGGCAAGGACGGGACTGCTACAGGGACGATCGGCAGGAGCCGACAACAACAAATTCGGACATACAGCATCCAATGGGAACAGTCGGCACTGAACCTCAACAATGAATGGCAGATAACATCAATTTTCAGCGTGCGAGGGTAAGGGGCTGGTCTCTCTCCTACATTTCAGAGGATAGTTGTCATAGGCGGAAAAGCGAGCGGTGTCGCGGGAGGGAAGAGAGGAGCAGCAACGTGGAGAGTGTTAACTTCACACTCTACCCCACGACATCCATCCTATGAACTGGTTGACAGGGTAGAGCTGTTCGGACGGGTGAGCTTACCGCCCTCATGTGCCGACTGCAAGACCATCGGACGAAAACGTTGCGGGTGGGCATCCGTGTGCTTGAACATGGCTCACAGACTAAGCTGTACTATCCTTGAGGTGATGTTAACCGATGCGTTGGTGGAAAGAAGTGGGCGGCCTGCTGCGGTTAGTCTGCCAAAAAAAAAAAAAAAAAGGCAGAGGGAACCCGTCCTTCGGGAAACGGATAAGGTGTAATCGGTAACTGGGCATATTCCCGTTGATCAGTGTCGTAACTTGAACTACATCCTGATATCTTGATCCCCCGCGTTATTGCACGCAACTAGGTAAGTATTATCATTGACTCTATATTAATTACTTGACACTCGAGAACTCTTTCTAATATCAGCAAGGGCTGCCCAGCAAAGCCCGTTCCCTAACCGTTTACGGTCTCGAGACCTCCTGCTTTTACCTCCCCTGTGCTGCAGCCTTTTTCCCACCCACCCCCATTCTACCTGGTATCGATGTTTTGCCCAAACGCCACGCTGTCACCCAGCAAAAAGCCAAACAACGCAAGAACAAAGACACTACAACGAAACACCCTCCCCCATCACGCCGAATCCTCAGGGTTCTCCACCTTGGGTTTATCCGCCGGATTAAACAAATACATAACCGTCACCAGCAACTTCCCAGCCCCAGAGACGACCAAGGCAGCCGGCGACCCGACCTTCCTAAAGATGAAAGCACCAGCCAATGTACCCAGCACGAGCGCAGCCAAGAACCCAATCCGCCTATTCCGGCCCCTGTTACTCCGGGCGTACAGCGCCGGATCAATCATGAGATCGACCCACGCCGCGGTCGCCATCGCCGTGGTAATCTCGGTCATGCGCAGGGAGCGGGCCTGAACCACCTGGCTTCCCGCAGCCGTAGCCAGCAGGCCGATCGCCCACAGCGTGGACGGGGCGCGGGCGCCGTCGAGGTCGAGGCGGCCGGTGGTCGGGGAGCGGTTGACGTACTGCAGCGCGGCCGCGGCGAAGACGAGCGCCGTCTGCAGCAGGTTGCACAGCACGAGCCAGCAGCGGCGCCGCGCGCCCACGATGTGGCCCAGCTGGCCCGTCAGCCAGGCGGCCGCGAGGAAGAAGCCCAGCGCGATGCCGATGTTGGCCGTGTAGAACATGTCGCCGTCCGCTTCGGGCAGCACGATGGCGAGGACGAGGAAGACGGTGTTGCCGGTCTGGTTGGAGGCGAAGCAGTGGAAGTCGGGGAAGGAGACGGCGTCTGTTGGTGTGTGGGGGTGGGTGGTTAGTGGGGGGGTGAGGAAGGGTATGGGAGTTGTGGGTTGCCAAAAGGAGTCCTTACCTTGGAGACCGATGCAGAAGGTGAGGATGAGGAGCTCGATCTCGGCGAGGGTGGAGGCGCAGACGTTTTCGTTGAGGTGCCTCCAAGCCCTTGAGCGTGTCGATGGTTGTGTGTTTGGCAACTTGTGGTCCTGGGACTCGAGCACTCCCCCGGTGGAGGGGGAGCTAGGGACTGACTCCTTTTCTTGGGGCATCATCACAGAGAGTGCCTTGATACAAGATGTTGTGTTCGTCGATGTTCAAGGTAATCCCAGGGATGGGGGATTCAACATTGGATTTGTATCAATACTGTCAGGAACCAATCTTGATGTGTCCAGAACGAGAGCTTAAACAATTGTATATGTACTCATGGATGTGATACAAAAGGGGCGGAACCTGGCCTGTGGGACGACAAGAGACGGCAACGCGGAGAAGATATAGTGACAAACTCTGTTTGACTCACGACAATGTAACCAACAGGTGGTCCATTGGGTGTTGTCCTCGACCGAGTTTTCACGATATCGCCCCTGCAGGGCTCTTCCCGCCTTGGCTGACCCGATGGATCCACGCCGACACCCGACCACTCATTCCCCGAGACAGACGGTGTGCCCTGTCGTTTGCAAATATTGATACCTGTCTTTGCGTCACCCATACCTGAGCACCTTGGTGGCAATCCCAACCGGATGGTATCAGTGGTACGGTCAAATAATTTGACAGTTTCGCATGAGTCCCGAGACCACCCGACGCGTTATTAAGTGTTGAACACATCATGTAGCCGCTCCAGGGGCGCCAGTGTGGTGGCAGAAATTGACGGCACGGTGGCGCCAAGACATATACCGAGGCAAGGGGCAAGAAAGCCCCTGAATCCAGGCCTGATTGTTGTCGGTGTCAGGGGGCCCCGTGACATCACTTTCGGTTATGGGACGGGTCGAGACCGGAGGTCTGCCGGCACGGCCGGTAAAAGTGGAGCAGACTGGACCCGCTTTCCGGCAGTCGGGTTTCCGGCCCGTCCTGGTAGCCGGCCCGAGAGTGGGTAACAGAGCCCCCGCCGCCCGGAGTCAGGCATCCGTGGCATCATATTCGAAATGGTGGAATGCCAGCTTTAAATCAGGCATCTTCCCTCCTGTTTTAGCACCTCAGGATCAGCATTGCATCGTTAACACCGGCCGGACCGCACTTGCCTGCCGTTGTGAGGCTTCCGATAGCCGCCGAGGGCCGAGAGCACGAGCCACCAACCCACTGAAAAGTCCCAATATCGTGTTTTTGTTTGTGCTGTTTTCTTCCGACGATTGCCGTCAGAAACGTCGAGACCAATGTGCGCTTCCGCCTCACCGCTAGGTTGTTTCAAGGGTCGGGGAAATTAGCAACGGCACAAACCAGCATGAGAAACGACAGGGCGCTCGTTGTGGATGCCATCGCAGGGCAGGGGTGGCATCGTTTGCTGAGAGGGTGGTAATCATGGAGAAGTTGCACCATTGGAATTGTAGAGACGTGAGAACACCTCCGGACTGGCTGGCGAGAGGTCCAAAAGCAGGTCGTTCGCTGCGGCGGTTGCAGGAGGTGGGATGCAATGTAATGTAAATCAGCCTCCGTTCCCTGAACCGAGCCGCGCGTTCTTGGCGCAACTCCGCGGTATGCACGCTTTCGAGTGCCCAGGATCGCCAATCTGAGATCTGGAACGTCGTCGTCCGAGTTGAAGAAAGGAAAGAGAATTAAAGCAGGCGCGGACTGCAACCATTTTGAAATGGCCGACGGCAAATTGGTAAGAGGCAGTCGCGTCCGGGAATTTGGTGGGGAAAGAGAGCACGTTCTCGGTCCGTGGGGGTTCTTTTCGCGTGAACGGGTGGGTGGGTTCCAGCTCCAGGAAACAAGCATTGCCAAGTCTTGACGATCAACTTCCACCACCAACACCACCTTCTCTCTCGATTTTCTGCAAGTCATCATCGCCATTTCAATCACGGGAATGTCAAATGGCTGTCAGCTCTGGAGATTGGCAGGATGAGGTTGTCTCTGAATTCCTCTGGAGTGCCGCCTACAAGTGCTTATCGGGGGGCCCTATCTTCGGACTGGTCGAGGCCACTGTGGAGGAGCCAGATAACCATCCATCCTGTGGGCCGGGCCAACGGTCACTAAGGCTTGGGTCTAGTCGCCAGAGATAAGGATGCATACCACCTACCATCGTCCATCGCTTCCCACGGCTTCCGACCCGCCATCTCCAGCAGGTCCACGATGCGCTACACGAGGTATCGACGCTGGCGCTATATCGAACACACCCGTTGCTCCAGCTCGGTATTCCCGGGCCTGTTACTAACGGTACCCCAACCAGCCCGGCCAAACCAGTATAGTACAAGAGTCACCGACAACGTGCCGGGAAGATGACAAGCTTAGTCGAGATGTCCATAGGTAAGACCACTTGCTGACTCTGTCGTGAAACAGCAAGTTAGGGTCGACAACGACTTGTCACTTGGTTCCGAGCACCATATCTATAACTATAAGCCTCACGGCTCACCTCGGCCACGGCAATTGCGCATCTCCGAGGTGGCGGGACGCTATCTTCCCGTGGGTTTCCCGCCCGGCCCGCGCATCCCTGCGCTCCTTATCTACGATCAGCAGCAAGAAGCTGGCCTGGAATCGAGTATGGGGCTCTGGCCCCATTGCACAGACAGCCGACATCCTATTGTTGCAGTCTGCATTAGAATAAAACGTCTCCGCGGTCTGACAAGATCGTATTCTCACTGCTCCCATGCCGGTGACACAAAGTCGGAGATAACGAGGTGGGCTGAGAACCGATTTACGCGGCGATGCGTGGTCTGAGCAGGGTCAATATTTTCCTGTAGATACTAGATGGTATGGTTTGTCTATAACAATTGATGAATCTTCTTCAGAATTCATAGCCTGTCCGTTTGCACCAACTCCTGTCTGGCAGTCCGCAACTTTGTTTTGAGCAGAACCGCCATCATGGGCTTCAAGTTGTCGCACCTTTATACCCCTCCAAACGTTAACCCGGTCACCCTCAAAGCCCGATCAATACCCTTCTTCAACCCAGTGGATATCTATGGGCGCGTGTTCTTCTTCTCCTGGTTCGGTTTCATGATAGCCTTTTGGGCCTGGTACACCTTTCCGCCTTTGGTGCGCCGTCTCAACTCCTTAAATTGGTGTTTTTGGGGATCTGACAATCTCGGCAGTTGACCCATACCATCAAATATGATCTTAACCTATCACCGACCGAGGTTGCCAACTCGAACATTGTCTCCTTGTGCGCGACGTAAGTGGTGACCCCCTGATGGTTTTCGTGGGCGTCTCTCACAATCCCAGACTTCTTGTCCGTCTTGTTGCCGGTCCCTTATGCGACCAGTTCGGCCCTCGCAAAGTCTTTGGCGGCCTGCTTCTCGTAGGATCTGTACCCCTTGGCCTAGCCCCACTCGTACACAACGCCGCAGGTCTCTACGCAAGCCGCTTCTTTATCGGCATCCTCGGGGGCTCCTTCGTCCCATGCCAAGTCTGGTCGACAGGCTTTTTCGACAAGAACATCGTGGGAACCGCCAACGCCCTCACCGGCGGCTTCGGCAACGCTGGCGGTGGCATCACTTACTTCATCATGCCGGCGGTCTATGACGGGCTCATCGGGGCCGGGTACGTTCCCGGCCAAGCCTGGCGGCTCACCTTCCTCGTCCCGCTGGCCATGGTCATCACCACGGGCATCGCCCTCATCGTTCTCTGCCCGGACACCCCGACGGGCAAGTGGGCCGACCGTCACCTGCACGCCCAACCCTACCGCGACGCTCAAACGGACCTCTGCAGCCAGGCCGCCTCGCCCGAGTATGACAGTACCACCGACACCGAAAAGGGCACCATCGTGGACGTCCCCGGCCTAATAACCGACCGCCCCAGCACCCCAGACCCGAAGCAGCCCCCCTCCCGGTCACATTCACCCAACCACGACAAATCCCCCACCATCGCCATCTCCTTCCCCATCACCTTCGACCGCGACCTCAACCCCTCCCTCAACCCCCACCACGACTCCCACCATCCCTCCAACACCACAACCCACCCCACAATAACCCCCCCAAACTCCCCAACCCCCGCCACCCTCCTCGCCACAACCCTCACCCCCCAAACCGCCTTCCACGCCCTCACCTACCTCTGCACCTTCGGCGCCGAGCTCGCCCTCAACGGCATCCTCGCCTCCTACTACGCCCAGCGCTTCCCCCACCTCACCCAGACGGCCGCCGCCAACTGGGCGGCGCTCTTCGGGTTCCTCAACCTCCTCGCCCGTCCGCTCGGTGGGGTTGTTAGTGATTTGCTTTATGGGTACTTTGGTTCCGGGGAGGAGGGGGTGGGGTTGTGGTGGAAGAAGGGGTGGGTTGTTGGGTGTGGGGTCGGGGCCGGGGTGGGGTTGGTTGTTGTTGGGGTGGTGGATTCGGGTGGCGGTGGTGGTGGTGGTGGTGGTTCTTCCGGGGGTTGGGGCGGGGAGGGGGTGGTGTTTGGGTTGGTTGGGTTGGTGGCGGTGTTGTTGGAGGCTGGGAATGGAGCGAATTTTAGTTTGCTGCCGCATGTGCATCCGCAGGCGAACGGGGTGGTGGCGGGGCTGACGGGGGCGGCGGGGAATCTGGGGGGGGTGGTGTTCGCGGTGGTGTTTCGGTTTATGGAGGGTGGGACGGGGTACGCGAAGGGGTTCTGGGTTATTGGGGTGGTGCATTTGGTGGTGTTTGCTGCCGTGTGTTGGATCCCGCCCGTGCCGAGAGGACAGGTGGGCGGACGGTGACGGACTTGAACTAGATAGGGTATGTTTACTTTGACTGTGTTGTTTGTTTGGTGATGGGTTATTTCATGGCGATTCGGGTTTGTCATTGCTTGTGGTGGCTTTGGGGGGTTGGGTATGAAACGGAGTTTGGTACATGAAAAGCCACACTGGATGAACATGTGGTTGATGATTTAGACTCTAAGGCAAAACTTGATTTAGTCTATACGCTGGGTAGTATGAATTAATGGATAGTCGACGTAATGCTAGCCCTACGCTGTCGGATTACTCTCGCGGCTACCCTGCAGTTCGCGACGCCTGTCACCGCCCTCGAACGTCTTGCGTTCAAGTTTGTCTGAAGCCTTGGCGATGTGATCCCATATATCCCCAATCCTGTCCTTGACAAAGCTCATGACGAGGACCGGGTCGTAGACGCCTAGCTTATCGATCGCGCCCGCACTCTCCCACTTGTAAGGCGATGGCAAATTCGCAGCTAGAGGGCCCCGTAACTGCTTGTACGTTGCCCAGTACTTCTCAAAATCGTGCTTGGAGGCCGTCTTCTTCGCTCTGTAGACTTTATCGAGGTAGTCGTTGAAGGCGGACATGTGCAGCGCCTCGACTGGGTTGCCGGACCCGTGGAGAACGACGACGCTCGAGGCGAAGGTTATATGACTAAAGCCGAGCTCGTACTAAGGACCCGTGCTAGCTCCGCCACAGTCCTCAGCGGTCTCCCGGAGGCCGCAGGTGTAGCTCGCATAGCGGAGCTGCCTGTCGTTCCAGGACGTCTCCTTGCCCCCGACCCCCAACACGTGGCACGGCCGGATGTACCTACGAGAGGCCTGTTAGTACTGCCTCGGACCGGACAATGCTACGGAGCACACATACCAGCGCAAGCCCACGAAGAAAGCTAGTGCGATGGCATGATCGGACTGGTCCATGGGCGCAAGCGGGACGTGAGTCATCTCGAAGACGTTCTCCACGCCCATCACGACATTCATGGGGTTCAATAGATCGTTGATCAACAGTCCAGAGATGGTCTTGCCGTGGTAGAGCTCGGGGATGGTAATGCAAGAGCCCTCACAAAGTTCGAGGAGTCGGGCAACGCTATGGACATCGCGCGCGTTGATGTCCCGGGGCCTGGGGGGCACATTCTGGCCCGGGTAGCGAGCGTCGGCGGCGCACAGCAGGGGACCAAACCAGGGGCTGGCATGAGGTGAACCTCGAGTGTTAGTTAAACGGCACTGAGATAAGTAAAGAAGTTATTTTTAAACCAACAAGTACGCACCGTAAATAACCGGGTTTGAGGAACGCGTTGTGGCTTTGGTTAAGGATTTCGGGGTTGACATTCTCGCCTACGGTCCTGGGGGTATTGAAGGTGGCCGCTCTAAGCATGTGACCGATAGGCCTAGGTACGTTTGATGTCAGTATCGTTGACTCTCAACTCGAGGAGCGTACGACTGACCGGTCGCCGAGGAATTGTACGAAATCGACAAATCCCTGGCTCTTGCCCTTTTCCGACTCCGGAGCCTGAACAAGCTTGAGGAACTGGGTGATGTCCTCGTGGTCAATCTCAAACCACCGGCCGTCGTCTGTTTCGTGGTAGGCTGCCCAGCAAATCTCCGGTTTGACGCGGAAGGTTGGAAAAAAGAGCACGCGGTGGTGTTGGGGACTCGGCCTCTTCTCGTCAGCCGCAGGCCCGGCAAAGTCGGAGCAGACCTTCTTGTGGACGGGGAGGTCCAATACCAGGCACTTCTTGGAACAGTAACGAGCTTTTTTGCAGCCACCGCAATAACCCCCGCCGGTCTTGTCGCACACGATGCATAGCTTGTCGATATTGCCTTCGCGTTCACATCGCTCAATGTCCTCCCTCACCCTGGCCACCGCTGCGATCTCGTCGTCCTGGCTGACCCGGATATTGGCAGCAAAGTTGGGGTTATGGCGTGCAAGAAGCGCGGTCCTACTTGCGGCTGCCTCGTTCGCTTTCTCCCTAGCCCTCTTTCTGTTTTTCCTCGCTTTGTTTTTCTCTCTCAGCTTTGCTTTCTTGGCCTCGCTCTTGTCCGGTCCCTTGCCCGTTTCCTTGTCCGAACTTTGGTCTACTATCTCTCCCGGTTGGGGTTCGACTGCCTCCAGAGTGCTGTCGGCGACATCCTGTGGGCCGGCCGGAGCAGTGGTTGCGATAGTTTCGAGTTTAGCCTTGGAACTTTCCTCCTTGGTAGGCTTGGAATCTTCAATCTCCTCGTTGTCGCTCTTCGTCGGCGTCCCGGTAGTGATTTGCGTTGGGTCGGATCCGGGAGCGGTGTGACTGAGCCCCTTAAGTGTCATAGTAGCAACACCCAAGTTGATCATGTCCTCTAACTCGCCGAGCTTCGCCATGATCTCTTGCCAAAAAACGCTGGTTTCTGTCGGAGGAACGGCTTGCTGGTCCTCAGAGCCTTCGGGAGCAATTGCAATCGAGATTCTGTCCTTGATCCCTTTGAGCATTGCGGCCGTCGTCTGAAGGAGGTCATCATCTTCCTCATTTTGGGCCTCATCGACCAGTTCTTTATCTAGCTCAACTGGCGCGGGAGGCTCATTGGCCTTGTCCTTGGGCGTCTCCATTATGAAGAAGTCCGACCAAGGGTAAATTTGCGGGATGGGTGAGAGTTGAGCGAGAGGGTGAAGATCGAGATCCGGACAGAGAGAAAGAGAAAACACATCGATAACTCTACGTCAAGAAGGAATCGAGCTCACGGAATCAAGGTAGGATCCTAGACGTCGCTTCCTCAGCCGTTGGTCTTGCAGCTTCCACTATCGCAGTTGTACATGGCAGGTGTCGTGGACAAACATACGGGAACAGGAGTAAATATCCCGGATATACACCGAGAAACTGGACAATACGACGTAAACTAGCCATATTATCGGTATTGAAAGACCGGAATATGAACGTTCAGATGGGGTGTCGACGGGAATATGGGTTGCGTTCAACGCCAGTGAGAACTTGGGAGGTATTCCTGGGCGGTAGATAGCTGCCTTATGTAAACGTAGAATGCGACGAGGGCCATGGGAGTTAGGTAGCCTAATTGCCAATGACATAACATAGAGGGGCGCTGATCTGCTCTTCGCAATTAATCCGTACCTCGAGAGGTGTTGGGAGGGGAAAGGGGCAAGGGGGTGGCGCTGCAAAGTAAACAAAGGAGGCCGTCGTTTGGGACAATGTACCTCTGACCTGCGGGACTATGACATGTGACTTTTTCCCATATATAACCCCAACCCTAACTCTGACCTCGTTGTTTCTAAGCTAAATCAATGAATTCAATTGAATTCAATCAACAACGTAGTGAAAACTGTCGATTCAGGTACCGTTAAATCGCTTAAAAATGCGATAAAATCTAGATATAGTATATCTTGTTTTCTTTTCAGTTATGTGCCTCTGGCGCTCCTCTATCCGTACCCTGCTCGCGCTGCAAGGTCTCCCGGGCGAGACCCTTAGAGTAGGGCTAGGGTCTGGCGAAAAGACTGGCACAACTTGTTCCGGGGCTGTAACTATTGTAAAGAGTACCGAATTTGAATCGAAAAAGTTGTATAGGTTAGATAGGTTAATCGCGATACAATCTTGAAGGAATTGAGCGAGTTTAAATATATAGATGGGTATATTTGTATATGTCAATTTGAATTGAGAAAGGGAGGTACGTACACCAGGGTTGGGGTTATATATGGGATTACGTGTCATAGTCCCGCAGGTCAGAGGTACATAGTCCCAAACGACGGCCTCAACAAAGATGTCTTGGCGCCAGGGCCACATTGTTGCAGATTATGTGTGTGAATTCATATCCACCACTTTTTTAGAAATTAGAAGCAATCAGTCTGGTTATGATTTGATATGCAATTGGATCTATGAGCGAGTTATGCTGGTGGAAATAGAAGAGTCACAGGTCACGGCGTCGTTGGTTGCCAGGCTGATTTGAGCCGAGGCGGTGGCTGTGGCTGGTGTGAGGTTGGCGAACTGAGCGGCATGGTGGGCTGCCCCACATCAGCTTTCCTTATCGATAATGCCTCGTCCTGATTTTCTTGAGCGACGCTGCGCATCCATCGCCCGTCTCGTCGCATTGGAAACTGCCAATAGTCAATCCTCGTCGTGACATTTTCGCAAAGATGCTGCGCCAAATGTGAGACTGCCGCTCTCGACGCTAAAACCAGTGTGCCCAAATTCTAACTTCCAATTCACAGAAAACCCCGGAATGCTCGCTCCAAGCGGGCTCTCGAGAAGCGGGCGCCCAAGGCCGTCGAGAACCCCAAGTCGGCCCTCTTCCTTCGAGGCACTTCTTGCAGCCAGATCGTACGTCGCGATAGACCGTCCTGATATCGACAATGGCTAGTGTGCTAACCATCAAACCTTACAGACTCAAGATGCCCTCGCCGACCTCTATGCGTTGAGGCAGGACAACGCCAAGCGCTTCCAGAAGAAGAATCCCAGTATGCGCCGCTGCTCCAATTGATCCATCAACCCAAGAAACAAGTCGCTGACGATTCCTTTTTACCATAGTTCACCCGTTTGAAGATGCCAGCTCGCTAGCCTTCTTCTCGGAAAAGAACGACTGCAGCCTGCTGCTCTTCGGCAGCAGCAGCAAGAAGCGCCCGCACAGCATCACCTTCACCCGCACCTTCGACTACAAGATCCTCGACATGCTCGAGTTCTACCTCGACGGCGAGACCTTCCGGAGCATAGCCCAGTTCAAGACCGAGAAGGTGCCCGTAGGCACGCGACCCCTGATGGTGTTTGCGGGGACAGCCTTGTACGCCCTCCCCCCCTTTGCCCTCCCTTCCTCCCCACAACCCGCATCGGTCAGTGCACTAACACGCTTTCTTTCCCCTTAGCGAATCCCCCGTCCCCAACGCCTTCACCATGGCCAAGTCCATGCTGACCGACTTCTTCCGCGGCGAAGTCTCGGACAAGATCGACGTCGAAGGGCTGCGGTACTGCGTCGTCGTGACCGCAGACGAGCCCACCGCCGCGGCCGCCACCTCGGACGAAATCGCCTCCAAGCCCGTCCTCCGGCTGCGCGTGTACACGGTGCGGACGCAGCGGTCGGGCCAGCGGCTGCCGCGGGTGGAGCTGGAGGAGCACGGCCCGCGGATGGACTTCCGGCTGGGGCGCACCCAAGAGCCCGACGACGCGCTGCTCAAGGAGGCCATGCGGCGCGCCCGCGCGGGCGAGGAGCGCACCAGGAAGAACGTCTCCACCGACCTCATGGGCGACAAGATCGGCCGCATCCACACCGGCAAGCTCGACCTCAGCGAGCTGCAGACCCGCAAGATGAAGGGGCTCAAGCGCGAGCGGGACCCCCACCTCAACGATGACGAGGAGGGGGGCGGGGCCGATGAGGAGGCGACGGTCGTGGAGGAGGAGCAGCAGCCGAGGCGGAAGAGGAAAGTCGCTGCTTAAATTTAAGTGAGGGGGGTAGTGTGGTGGTGGTGGTGGCGATGGATGTGTCGGTGTGCTTTCTTTTTGCTCCCGGGGGCAGGCAGGCAGGCGTTTCGGGATGGGGCACTGATACAAGCAGGTCGGGGATGGAAAACGGCGTCATTTATTGTTTGTGGTTTTTTATATATGGGTATAATATACCGTATGTACACCTCAACCTCTGCTTGTGTCTGCTGCTCGCGCAGCTGTATCCCCGAACAGCTGCCCCTCCCATCCCCCCAGGGGTCGATGCCCCATCTGGTACTGGGATAATGTTACCGCATATGCTACCTAAATACCCTCGATGGGGTCTCGATCTCTCATTGACTTACGGGGATCCGCCTCGGACCCGAACCAACTTGTTGCTTATGTTCGGGTGCCCGGTGATTGGCCTTGCATCTCAGCCTATCTCTCTGCGTATGTATTACCGCGGCCGTTGTCCGCGTTTGTTCATCTGGGTTTAGCTCTGGCGCTATGCCGAATCTTGCAACCCCTGGCTGAAGGCTGCCGCCTAGGCAGGTAGGCGACGTGATAGGGTTCGGCCAGGGGGTTACAGTAACCGCGCCTCATTTCTCTTTCTCTCATCCCTTTCTCTTCCCGGTCGTCACCCCTGGTTCCCCATAACGGGCACAAACTCCGGTACGCTGGGTATGCTCTGCATGGCACTGCCCATCTGGCTTAGTAGCTCGATATGCCCGACATAACCGCCGTGATGGTCCTGCCCTTCCTCTAGGGCGCGCTCCTCGGCGTACCAATCCGCGCCCCAGATGTCGGCCGGTATTGGCTCCCCGGTGTTGTTCCCGCCGCTAGGATGCTCATACAGGGCGATGCGCATCGCCCACTCGAGGTGCGGCCACCAGGTGCGGTAGGCGTCGGCGCCGAAGAAGTCACTGTTGAAGAGCGAGACGACACCCAGGACCTCACGCCGCGCCATGCCCTGCAGCCACCAGATCGAATCCATCGACTTGAGCAGGGCAAAGAAGCAAGCGAGGATAGCGAGCGCGCGCGGGCGCCGCTCCTCGAGGAGCTCAATGAAGCGCCGGGAGACGGTGGCCGGGAAGGCGAGCGGCGCGCCCTTGTGCGGGATCTTATGCGCCCAGTTGAGAACGGCCACGGCGTGTTGGTACGCTTGCCGCGTGGATGCTATGAGTTCGGCGGCCGCAGAAGGTTTGTTTGGCGGCTGGTAACCGGGGGATGCGGGTGATGTTGGGGAAGGTGCGCCCCCGGCTTGCGGTGTAGCGCGGGGCGTTGTCGAGGAAGCATCGCCCATGGCAGCGAGTTCCTCCTCCATGCCTTCGAGTAAGTGCCCAAAGAAGGTTTTGGGCCCAGCGGTGAAGTCGAGTTGGAGGACAGCTTGCGAGTTGATGACTTGCGTTACTACAGGGCTCGCACGGAGGTATTGCCACGAGGCAGCGGTGATCGCCTTGACCCCTTGAAAGGAGTGGAACCATGAGAAAGGAATGGAATAGCACCCGGACGGCTGATTCCGCTGCCGGTTGGCGCTGGCATCACCGTCGTTTCCCGCGCCGACCATGACCTCATCCTTCATGAACACCCTAGTGGCCGTGGACTGGAACGCGATGAGGGTTGACGTCAGGAATAGGGATTCGGCGTTGTTGTGGTTGATACCCTTTGTTAGGGCGGCGCTATACTCAGCAAGCGAGGCAGCCATGTAGGCATGCGACGCGCGTATTAGCTCCTTGTCGTTCGGCACCATACTGCGCAGGTGGAGCGCAGCAACGGCGAGTATGGCGTCCGCCAGATGCTGGGACCCAGTGAAGGCGAGGTTCGGCACCGTGATCTTCCAAATATCCTCCGTCACCGGCGCGGTAAATGTGAATGTCTTGCATGTCATGGCTGTGTATTGATGCATCAACCTCAGCTCAAGCAGCCGGTGACCCGGCGGCGTGGTTTGGGAGACGGCCTGGGTCGACGGAGCTCGGCATAACGGCGTGGCAACGGCGGAAGCTCCGGGTATGACGGATGCATATCGAGAGATGGGGGATCCGAAGTTCACGGTCGAGGCGGGCGTCGACGGCGACTCCGTAGCAGCAGTGGCTTGGAGCTCGGCCACGATCTCGGGATGCTCAAAGTCACACGGGACACCGTGCTTTACGCAGTTGCCGCATCGCGGATGGACCTCGTCGCACTATTACACAGATGGTCAGTCGGTTGAATCAATCAAACTGCTAGGAAATGCCCCCGTATCAATTCACCTTGATCTTGCGTGACTTGCATCGCCGGCAACCAGACCGGGACTTTTTGTGAGAGCGGCGCGGTGGCATACTACCTGCTCGATCTGCCAACTAACTAGCGGCTGAGGAATCGCGAGTGTTGGGGCTTCTGGAGCGCTAGGTCGGTCCTCTGTGGTCGGTTTCAATTGCTCCTCCTCTGTTACTCTGCGGCCTTCTGTGCCGGCACATGCGGCTCGCCGCTTTCCATACTAAGACACACTGCACAAAAGACCCAATTGTTTGTCACCGATCTCGACGTTGCCGGGAGGAAGGGAGAAGTCGTGGTTGTGAATGGGACGGAATGTCACTGTTGATTGGCGGTCGGTTTCGGGTGGTGACGACGCAACAAGGCGTCGACAGGCGTCCCAGAAGAGGCAGCCAATGGCGGGATGCCCACATCCGGTGGGGTCACCAAAAATGGGCAAGGACATCGTGGGCGTGGCAGGGGTCTGAAATTGGTTTAGCAGCGTGTGAGCGCTTCACATGGTGCAACCGACACAGTCTGGGCGCTGCGAAGGGCTGAACTGCTCTACACTTCCGAAGGGGTTCGTCTGATAATGTTATACAAAAAGCATCGGCAGCCGTTGACTGAAGACCGGGCTGGCGCCTTCCCATCCCGTCTCGTTGTTGTAGAGCGCAGGCTACCTGCCTTTTGAGGAACCGCTCAACGGGGGAAACAGTGACCTTTTTCTCTCGAGCATCGAAGCAATGGCTACCACTTCTAATAGAGGTACTAACCCGACCCTTCGACGAATCACGCATAGGTAGAGGTCTGTATCCAGATATTTCACCACTTCAAGCTTCCTGTCCCGCAAACGACAATGAGCCCCCAGTCGGGTTGTCGCCCGAGAACATTCCCTATTTTTAGGGTCAAGACCGAGTTTGTCAGCCCTTCCACCCCCGCAAAACCCGGTCTCTCGGATCGAACCCTTCTCGAACTCAAACCTTCATTGGTCTCTCAGCCCGTGTTGGTGGCTGGGATGATCTCATCAGCCGAGACCGCATCGGATGCTCGGTGTGTCTGTACATTTGTACATCCACTGTACCTGCGGCTTGTTACGGCTCCCCAGGTTCGGCCACCTCCGTCAACACCCGCCTGCGTGCGACTGCTCTGATGTCCCCGCTGCCTCGGCGAGTTTTGATCTGCTGCGGGCGATAGATGGCTTGCGGACCGGTGTCGCAATGCTCTCCCCTCAGCTTCCTAGATAGGACTTAGCGACGCTCTTCCGAAAAAGACGGTAAGGTGCCAAGTCCGGCGTGATGGAATCTGCCCAGTTGGAATGTATCCAAGTAGGTAATAGTTACCTGCGATTCTGCGCCTGACACACCCGGCGGCACTGTTTTTTCGCAGAACCGACATTTTCGTTGCCGATTTGAAATCCTGATGAGCAATCAGCCAACAGCGCTCGCCATCCGAAGCTTGTCGAACCAGGGGGCAACCAAGCCGGAGTGGACTCGGCATTCTTCAACCGAATCCACAGCGAAGGGGTACGAGAAACATAAAATATTTAATACGCAAGTGCGCGCCGTTGTGGGAGAGCGGAGACAAAGAAAAAAAATCAACGGAGAGAGTGAGAGAGAGAGGCACGTCAACGAACCGCGGGATTGCATTGCACCATCCTCGGGCGAAATCACACAACCCCTCCAAGGCCCTGTAAAATACTTCTGCGCTGCGATCCAACCCCCCCACGTTTCCCACGTTTCCCAGCGCCGCAAAGACGCCTACGATCGAGCAATTGACCAAACAGAGGCGTCGCCGTCACTTGGACCTTGTCGCACACCCGCACCCTTTAACGAATAACCACGCCTGAGCCATGACGGCTCACACCGACCAACCCATCACAACGCCGCCGCGCGCCCCGTCGCCGGTTCATGGCTTCGGCACGCTCGCCGTGCATGCGGGGTCGCCGCACGACCCCGCGACGGGCGCCGTGATCGAGTCGATCTCGCTGTCGACCACGTTTGCCCAGTCGGCCGTCGGCAAGCCCGTGGGCGAGTTCGAGTACAGCCGCAGCAGCAACCCGAACCGTAACAACTTCGAGAACATGGTGGCTGCCCTCGAGCATGCCAAGTATGCCCTCGCTTTCTCCTCCGGCAGCGCTGCGACGACCGTCATCTTGCAGTCACTGGCTGCCGGCTCGCACGTCATTTCCGTCTCGGACGTCTACGGCGGCACGCACCGCTACTTCACCCAGGTCGCCAAGGCCCACGGTGTCAAGGTTACCTTCACGCCCGAGATCGAGGTCGACATCCGCGACCACATTACCGATTCGACCAAGCTGGTGTGGATCGAGACCCCCAGCAACCCGACCCTACGCCTCGTCGACATCCGCGCCGTTGTGACCCAGGCGCACGAGCACGGCATCATGGTGGTGGTGGACAACACCTTCCTGAGCCCCTACATCCAAAACCCACTGGACCACGGCGCCGACATTGTGATGCACAGTGTCACCAAGTACATCAACGGGCACAGCGACGTGGTAATGGGCGTGGCGGCCTTCAACAGCGACGACCTGCACAAGCGGCTATCGTTCCTGCAGAACGCCCTGGGCGCGGTTCCGTCGGCGTTCGACTCGTGGTTGGCGCACCGCGGCGCGAAGACGCTGCACCTGAGGGCGCGCGAAGCCACCACCAACGCCACGGCGGTCGCGCACGCGCTCGAGGCGAGCCCCCACGTCATCGCGGTCAACTACCCGGGGCTCGACTCGCACCCGCACCGGGCCATCGCCAAGAAGCAGCACCGCAACGCCATGGGCGGCGGCATGCTCTCGTTCCGCATCCGCGGCGGGCACGCGGCGGCCGAGCGCTTCTGCCAGCTGACCAAGATCTTCACGCTCGCCGAGTCGCTGGGCGGCGTCGAGTCGCTGTGCGAGGTGCCCAGCAGCATGACCCACGCCGGCATCCCGCGCGACCAGCGCGAGGCCGTTGGTGTCTTCGACGACCTCGTCCGCATGAGCTGCGGCGTCGAGGATGCCGACGATCTCAAGAAGGACGTACTCCAGGCCCTGGAGCGCGCCGTCGCCGAGACTGATGGGGTCAAGAACGGGAACGGCGTTGACGGGACGAACGGGTCTAATGGGTTTTAAGCGATAGAGAAAAGTTATGCAGTGTTTTTCTCCCGTTTTCGTTTTTCTTTTGCTATGGCGGGGTGATGAACCCGCCGGCGATAGACGGCATGGCGCTCCTTTTTCATTTTTGTGTGTCGGGTTGAGATTCCGATTGGAACGGCTTTGCGCACTCAGCATATTTGCATTGTGCATAGATAAGGGGTCCTGTGATGCAGGCCCCCGATGGGAATAGACGACTTCACGGCCAGCTACGAGATCCATAACGATGGCAGATGGGCTAGCAAAGTATATAACTAGCTCGAATCATACCTAAGAATTCTTTGATGAAGGATTTAACTAGAAGAATCATGTCTGAAACGCTCCTCTTCATATAGCGATAGTTCCTATGGATATGCTACCTCGGCCGCGATGGGTTTAATTCTCCCAAAATCCTCCAAGCTCCCCTTCATCAACTCCACGCACCGTAGCTCGCTGCTTACAAGAACCGGAATATAAAAGTACAAAATAGAGGGAGGCAAAGTGCATACGGATAACTCGCAGTTATTTCCAAGCCCGGCAGCACACACACCCGGCCCGGACCTCCCGGGACCTCCGGGGCCACCGAAAACGGCAAGGCGGGCGGCCGGCCGAACACCTCGCCGTTCCCGTCCCCACCTTCCCGATCCGGTAGGAACAGCGGTGCCCTCGGCCGTCTTATCTTCCCCTTGCAGCAAGTCTCCCGTTTTCAGATTGATTAACCCTTCCCTGGCTAGCTCAACGCCAAAAGACATAACTTCCTTGTCCCATCACCCGCCGTGCCGCCCTCGGGCACAATAACTAGCGTAATCTGTATAGATCTGTACATATCACAAAAATGCCTCCTGACGATCCGATCCAGATTTGAGACACGGTCGGGCCGGCTTTCTACTTGTACATAACCAGTGAACACCAGGGTTCCTCCGTCCCCGCCGCTTTCCCCGATCACGCGAGAGGGGTTACCGTCCAAGGCAGGGCTAGCGCTTACAATAGTCCACACAGGCATGGCAAGCCGCATTACACCGAGGACGGGAGATCAACAGTCATGAAAATCCAAAGGCAAATCATCACATCATCATTCCCATTGTGAACAGACACGTGAGGCTGTATGGCACTTCCCAATGGCTGCCGAGCAGCTCTGTTTGTCCACCATCATGCTAGTTACTGTGTAAGCCCGCCGTTCCTCCTTTACTTGTCGTTAGTTAAAATTCCAAAAGGAAAACACCGGTTTCCAATTAAGTGCTGCTCTGCTGCTTGGGTATAACCCCCACAAGAACGAAAACAACAAGGCACGAGCCAGCCAAACCCCGCCTGGGATGTGCCCTCCCCTTCCCTTTTGTGAAGTCGAAAATGAAACCCCAGCCGTGCCAGACAAACAGGTAGAAAAGTAGAAGAAGCCCGGAAACCAATACACAACTCATTAAGTATTGTCATTGCCCAAGGTAGAAAAGTACCGTGAACCATACCCTTCTCCTCTAAGAAGTTCCCCCCAATTTCCCCAAGGCCAACCCCGTGGCCGAAACCGAACCATGCAATCGAACGCCTTGATTTGTGTATGTTTGTGTGCAGAAATGGCAAAAATGGCGGTTATATACGTGTTGGTGATGGTGAATGTAAATATGACCTTTTGTTGGTCGTCCCAATGTGTAAAAATGCAGCCCAGCCAGGAATGAGTAGATCGCTGTAGATGTAGTAGATGCAAATGCGAAAAATATAAAAAGATGTTGTCTCCCGTCCAATCATCCGTGTTGTGTGCGGTGAATCGAAGGGTCGACAAAATGAAACCCGGGTGCAACGGGTGATGGTGGTGGGTTGGTGGTGGTTTGTAGGATTACCTACACCCCTTTTTCAAACGCCTGTTCCAGATTCCCCCAGTCGAAGTTGGTGTGGAATGTATGTAACCCGAATCCGGTAGTAGAAAACACGCCTCTCGCCGCCGGACTAGCCACGCGCGCGCATACCAAGGCCCTCGACACTCAGCGTGGGCACCTCGACGTCACTCAGGCCCAGGATGCCCTCGTCGCGGCGGCGGTCAACAAAGCTGTTGCACTCGCTGACCACCAAACCCCATTCCGCGAGCGCCCGCCCGGCATACACGGCGCCGGAGGAAAACACACCAGTCGGCCGTTCCGCGCGGACCACCGGGAGAGGTACATATCCGGGCCCGCCGCCGCCGCCGAGACCCAGGTCAAGAGACCGGACGCGGTCCAGCTCATAACCCGTGAAACTGGACGTCCGGCCGGGGGACTGGATGTCGGACCGCTCCTCGCCGCGCTTCTCCTCCTCGTCGTCAAACAGGCGAAGGGGCGCGATGTTGACGCTCAACGACAGCCGCTTCTCGGCGTCCCTCGTGAGGGAGCGGGTGCGGAATCCGTCCTCCATCATGCTCAGCGGCCTGGCGTTGCGGGCCTCGCTGATCAGGCCCGTCTGCGGGAGCCCGCTGACCCTCCGCGTCACCGGTGGGAGGCCGGGAGCGATGGGAGGCGGGCTCTCGCTGCGGGCGGTGGGGGCTCCGTGGTTCGCGTCGCCTCCGACCGGACCCCCCGAGCGGATGCTGACGCGGGCCTGTGCGGGCGCGGGCAGCCGCGGTCGGGTGATGACGCGGTCGCGGCTCGGCGGGCACGGCATCGGCGCGCCGTTCGGGCCCGTCTGCCACGTCAGGGTGAAGCGGAAGACGAAGGTCGGAGCGTCGAAAGTCGGGGCGGATCCCGTGGAGGAGTAGGACTCGGAGGAGGGCGTGACGGCGGTCGAGGATCCCTGCTTCGGCGGGGTCGGAGGGCCCAGCGACTGCGGGGAATTCGATTTCCTCCCGCGGCCTGCTAGCCGGGACGCAGCCGTGTCCCGGCGGGCCTGCTCCAACTCTTCCTCCCAGGTACGCTTCGCCGTCTCTGTCGTGGGACTGTCCTGCGCCGTGCCGAACGGAAGCACCTTGCCGAGAAGCGACCATCTCTTCTTGAACGACATGCTGTCCGTCTTACCGTTGCCTGTCGCGCTGTCGTCGTCGCCATGGCTCGTGGCCGGAGCGTAGTAGTCGAACGGGGAGTCCAGGGACGGGAAGGCACTCGAAAACGAATCGAATCCGAGGTGCGGGGGTTGTTGGGGTGGTTGAACCTCGGTCCGGATGATCAAAAACCGCTTGCCCGGTGCAGGATATGTCGGCGCCGTCGACGGGTGCATGCGTCCCTTAGCCTCAGCATCTTGCTTCAGCCAGAGGTAATGCGACCAGACCGTCTTCAGCCGCTGAGACACGACGAGGAAGATTTTTCTGTTTCACCGCTCGTCAGCATGAACGTCTGGTTAAGCAAGAGGGGGGGTTCCTTACACATCAACCTCGTTGGAGCTGCCCGAGTCCCTGCATATCCGCCAGCAGAGCAAGCGCATGTAATAGGCACGAACCATCGGGCACCAGTGGTTGAAGAACTTTGAAAACGTTTCCTCGGACAGCAGCCAGTCCAGGCAGACGGCCTCCTTGCGGGCAGGATCCGCTACGATAGCATCCCAAACTGAGAAGAGGAACGACAGAATGCGGATCTCCGACATGGTGTTGTGACAGTCCATGATCATCTTGCCAACATCAAACCAGAAAGGCCAGTCAATGTAGTTGGCCGTCTTGGTAGGGCTGGGCGGCCCGAAATAATCAGACCGCGCGCTCACCGCGGCCGGAGACGTCGCGAAACTCGTGTTCACCGTAGTTTGGAACGCGTCGATCGCGAGCAGTGTTTCCTCCAGGAAGTCACACAGCATGAAGCAAGACGCATGCTCGAAACGTGGCGTCCGCTTGGTAGCGGCCTTTGCGACTGCGACGAAAGCCTCCGCGAACGTGTGCTTGATCTCCGGAGCCTCGGTAAACGAATCGTCAGCCAGCATGTCCTTGAGCAGGACGACCAGCCGATTCTCATCCATCCCCTTGAGCAGGTTGCTCGGGAGTTGGGGTGCCGTCAGAGAGGCGTCGGCGCCGTGGAGACTGTCAGATAGCGGGGGTCCGAGCAGGGCGTCGAGCGAGGCCTGGCGGTGAATCGTGCTGTCCAGAATGGACAGGAGCTGGGCATGAACCAGCACGAATGCCGGGGCCCGTGCCTTTTCGACCAGCGGGAGGCCCTCCGGCATGAACTCCATGGCAAGACTGTAGAAGTACTTGCAGAAGATGAACACCAGGTCCGTATCCCCGCCGCGCCACCTCGATACCCAGGGGCCGTGCCAGTGGATCTTGGCAAGCAGGAGCGGGAGCTTCGCAGCCACCCGCAGCTTGTCCCCAAGCGACTTGACTGACGACCAGCCTAGCTTGTGCATGTGTGACGGGAACAGAGCCACAATATCGTCGCTCTCGCCGTTGCTTCTCCTCGGCAGATCGAACTCGTCTGCTACCCTGCGCAGCAGGTCCGCCTTCAGGCCCCAAAGCCGGACGAGCACGTCGGAGACGCCCGGGACGAAAAAGAAGGCGTAAGCACACGCCTTGCCGCACCAGTTAACCAGGCTGAGCGGAGCGTGCCGCAGCGACAGCTTCTCGACGACCAGCGCCATCTGGGTGGTGAGGTTGGTGACAAACATGGTGCGGACATTGTGCTCGGCCGATTCGGCAAGGAGCGAATCCGGGTCGGTCGCCACGGTCGACTGGGTTCCCGACCTAGGTCGGACCTTCTCTCGGGTACAGCGCTCGACAAGGGGTTGGAATTGGCTCGTACACGCCCGCCACTCGGGACGCATCATAATCATGGTGGTCGCTTCCAGCAAGATGGGCCGGTCCACGCCGGCCACAGGCTGCAGAACCGGAAAGTGAACGCCGAGAGAGGCAACGCCCTGGCCGAAGCCAGCCGGCAGCCTCGAGTTTGTGCCGATCAGCATCGCGAGGAGGCCATTCCACCACTTGTTCAAGATGGTCGCTCTGCGATCGACGTCTTCGGCCGTCAAGATGGATCGGTTCGAATTCGAAGGGTGGTATTCCGTGCTCCGCAGGAAGGGCACCAGAATAGACCGGACTACGCTCATCCGCCCTGCTGTCGAGCCCTTTCCGGCGAACTTGGAGAATTCGATGTCGAGGGTCCGGTAGGTCGCCCAGAGCGGGTCGCGCGACGTCGGGTGCGGCATCGTTACGGTCGTGTCGACGGTAGATTGCGACGTGTTTTCGGAGGCGCTGCTCGCTGTCGCCGTGTCGGTATCCAATTCGGTGTCAACGGACGGGGATCGCTGGGATGATGTGGCCGAGCTGATGCTGTTGTAAGAAGCATTCTTCGCGACGGTCGGAGAGCCCGGGCGGCTATTCGGAGTCGATGCTGGGGGGGTACTGCACTCGGAGTCGCTCGAGAGTTCGTTCTTCGCGAGGGGCGTTTTGTGGGCAACGGAAGGTGAGCTCCTAGAGAAAACGTTTTGAGGCTTCTGTTTCAACCTTGTCAGATAAAGGCTGGCGCGGCTGAAGGCCCCCCTCTTGGGAGTCGGCGGCGTGGCAGCACCGGCGGTGTCAGCCCCGGTCTGCGTCCCATGTGCCGTCTTTGTACCGGGCGTCTCAACGGAGAAAGAGCGGCCGGTACTTCGCAGCTTCTCGAGCCTGCCAGGTGGGGAGGGAGATCTCGATTTGGAGATCCAAGACCGTTTGGCAAAGTCGGCAAACGACTCGACGGGTCGCGATCTTTCCGCGGGCTTCGCCGCCGTTGTGCTTGCAGGTGGCCCGGCTACATTCTGCTTGGCCAGCCTCTTGGGGCGCTGCTCCTCTGTGATTCGGACGTTCGGTGCCGATTTCGAGCTGGGAAGCCACGAGACGGGCCGGTCGACCATTGATTTGCTCCTGTTGCGAACGTGGCCGTCCACCACCGTCCCGCCGGCAGTCGTCCTGTCCACTGTTGCGTTGTCGTTTCCGTACCCGATCCGGGGCGCCCTATCTATTGCCGTCGCGGGCCGCACGGAGAGGTCCTCGGTGGTGGTGGTGGTGGGGGTGATGGTGGGGGTGATGGTGGTGAAGCTGAAGGTTTTCTCGAACTCGCCCACAAGGTCGAAAGAGGGGATGCCAATGGAAGCCAGGCCTGGGAGCGGCGGCAGGCTCTTGAAACCGGGGGAGCGATCGACCGGGGCGGCATCCAGGCGGGAAGAAGGCGGGGGTTTGGGCAGGGCACGGCCGGCGGAACCACGGGCAGCGAACAAATCCGGCGAAGAGTGCGAAGAGTGCGAAGTCGGGAAAGGCAGTGATGTTCTGGACTCGACAGCCCACGAGGCCACCGCAGCACCTTGACCACTCATCTCATGGCACAACCCGCAATCGAAGCCCAAACGAGGCTCTTGCACAATACCAAGTACAGCTGCCGTCGGTCGTGGTCCGCACTGGTTCGCTGGTTCGTCCGCACTGTCGGCAGCCGGAAGACCAAAGAGAGGCCGGTTGGGCGCACGGCGGCGCAGGTTGGAGCCGCGCGGGCGTCAGCACAGCAGCTCCAGCTCCAGCGCAACGATGACAGGGATGTTGATGTGCTGTTTCGGGTGCTTGGGGTGCTTGGGGTGGGTGAGTTTGCTTGGGTGTGAGCACTGGTTCCTGCCGCTTCAGCCGGGCGGGCGGGAGGATTGACTGTTGGCAGCAATCAGGGAATTTTCCCCTCCGTGACACTGTGACTGCGACGCTGGCTCTCGGGCTGGCTCGCTGGGTTTCTGGTTTCTGGTCCACACACTTCCTCGGGACAATTTTCTGGAACAGATTCCTTCCTTGGCGGGCTAATAATAAAATAAGAATTATGAACGGGTCGATGATGACGCCGATGTGCAGAGCATGAAGAACAAAAGACAGGAAAATCCCTGGTGATCGAGGGGCAAGACTGGTGTGCAGAAAAGAGAACCTGGAACGAAGGGCGAGGGGCCTTGGATCAACGAAAGAAACGTGGGGATGACGGGTTTGGGATCAGGGCGGGCGGGCGTGCAGGCAACACCAAAGTTATGAGAGAGTGAGATATTGAAGCAAGGGTGGATGGATGGAAATCAAGAGAGACCGAATGCCCCCCCTTCCCCCTGTCTGGTCTTGTTCAGCTTTTGATGACTCGCGGCGCGCTCCGGTGGAGATCTTTGGCGGTCGCGCTTCGCACCTTGCTGGCTTGGCAGTTCAACAGCGCGAAGTCGTCGGTGCTTGTGATGGAAATTCTGAACAAGACGACGAGGGCCAGTCCTTTTGGCGCATCGGTGTGCGGCAGTGCGGGCGCTAGCGCGATCCCCTTCCTCGCACGTCCCTTGTGGGCAGTTGACGTCGTCGATCCCAGGGGCGGTTGATTACGGAGAGGCCGTCTGGGGTGTTACAGAGTGACCACCGCCAACCTTGAATGCAGTCCCGAGGGCGAATGGGCGCCATTGGGGGCTCAGAGCCCAAGTGCTGGTTTCTGCAGTTTTTAGTAAACTGGGCAGGTGAGGTGCACGCAGAGCCGGGGTAAGGTATGGACCGAGGGAGCCCTGCTCCCCTGGGGATGCATGCAGAGATGCAGGTTGTGGTTGCTCTGGAGAGAACCGAAAATCCTGGAATCCTGGAATCGGAACGAACACGCGATTTGGGATCGGAATTGGGGGCTCAAGGCGGGGTTACCTTCGGTGGTGGAACAGCGGCCACGCCGGCAACACGGGGCTCAGATAGTGCTCAGATGGAGGGGGCTCCTCGGGCGGTGAGGATGGGTGTTCCTTGCGTTGGAGGATGCGCTAAAAACGCCGGTCGTCAGGGGTTAAAGTTGTCGCAGAAGCAACATGGCGCCCACTTCTCGTTCGCCAGCCTTGAACGTCCACTCGAGTTAACTACTTGTAACGCGAACATCTGCACCACCTCAGGCTGCGCGGGCCGCAGCGCCCCAGAAAAAAAAGTCTCAGAAAGATCCCCAGAACTCCAAAAGGCTTGCCAACCAGTCCCGAAGGTCCAAGAGATCGACTCCCAAACGAGCTAAGGACGGACAGGCAAGGCAAGGACATCCCGCTAGTCGGTCAGCAAACGTGGAGAGAAAAAACACCAGATGAGTTTCCGCGGAAAGACGGCGCTTTCCTTTTCCATCAACGGGGGCCCAATGCCAAGTCAAGATGCTAGTCGAGCTGAGCTCGGGCTGGTGCATCGCGCTCCACCCCTCGTGGCATGGCAGCCCGCAAGGTAAACACAGGAAAAAAAAACGGCTGAGAAGGGATTTTTTTGTGCTCATTGGCGACGTGGCAACCGCACAGCTCTGCGAAGCCGAAGCTGGCTTTTCTCAACGCATGTCGATGAAATTGCGGGGGATGACGCAAAACGTCCAGATCTGTACAAGCAAGCACAGTCGTTGTCGTCAAACAACACAATAAACGCAAACCCGCACTTTGGACGCAGATCAAACACAAAATCAGATCCGACAACACGGGCTCGGGCGCGGCTTCGGATTGCCGGCACGGAAACGGGAATCTTAACCGAGTTCATGCCAGGGATCTTCTCGAAGGGGAATCACAACTCTCTCTCTCGCAGTCCACACTCCTCGGCGCCTATTCCCTAGTTAGCTCAAGTTAACTGCTTAATAGCCACCAAGCGTGGCCAGCGCGCGGCTTCTGAAACGAAACTAGAATTAGCTGGTTCGTTATGGAGTCATGGTGCCCGAGGGGAAATAACCGCACGGCGGGTAACTCATCAACGCGCCAGTGCGTCTTTGATGTGTGCGGGAGGTCGGCGCCACGGGCATTGCAGCGTGGAAAGGAGGTGCGCTCGCCGGGCAGCCTCGCTCGCTCTCTGACGCGAATCGGGCTGCTGCGCGATCTCGGCGATGTGCTGGCAGGCGCCGCATGAAAAACAACGCCAGCAGCCACACCACCGTTGATGGCCTGACGATGGCCTGACATGGGAGCGAGCGTGCGTGTGTACGTATCAGTACAGGTGCTGTGTGCCCTGTCCCCGCGAGTGCTAGCAAGTTGTTCGTCAACTCTGCTCTCTTCCCTTTCCGACCTTCAAGACCGTTAGACTAACTCAACTGGTGCTATCGCCAAAGGCACGGGGACGAACGATTAACGTTACCGGCTAACTAACGCGCGCCGTCCTGCGGCCTCCTCCAATAGGCACCTTCCCGCGCCGTTGTACTAGTCTAAACTTTCTTTCTCTTGACCCGTGTGGAGGAGAGCACCCCATCCAAACCGGCCTCATGGCCGACTGCAGAGTTTCCGCTCGAGCGTGGGGAGGTCCGCCGCCTCTGCACAAAGCTTACGTATGTATACGAAGCGCATGCACCAGCCTCCTCATACGGGGCCTCGGGTCGGGACTCACTGCCGTGTATTACCATCACGGCATCGAGCCGTGTGTGGTGTACACTAACTCGCCTCACCGCCTCCACTCTGCCTGAGTTGGAGTCGAGAAGCGGGAACGTGAGACAAGTGGCGGTGACAACATCGACTCTCCATGTTGGTCGAACCACTGACGGAATGGCCAGAAGAAAAAAGACGAAATAAATATGTTCCGAATGTCTCAGTCGGTCACAACGCCACTTTGGGCTCAGACGTATCTCCGTCCCACGCCACAAATTGTCTGCCCGCCTGGTTACTATGTGCATATAACTCGTAAGCCGCGACGTCATGCCTAACTACTCGGGAAGGGCTTGCGGCATGAATGAATATTTCAAGCGCGTTGGCCGACGTCAAGAGCCGAGAGACGCCCTGTCGTCATTGGAGGTTCGAATGGTGCAAAGCCACCGGGAAGCAAAGCCAGTCCCAGCGCAGGCTCTTTGTTTACTTCCCCTGGATGAGTTCCCAGATCAAAACACCGCGTTCCCTCTTCCGAGGCATCCGTCCACCACTAAAAAGCTCCATGCGCACGAGCTACGCAACCCTAACCATCGTCTCCCTTCTCCCGTGGTGCGTTTCTCGGGTCTGGTGATGTTGGCATCATTAGGCTGTCGATCGCTATCTGCATAACTAGACAGCTGCCGAGACAAAGCATCATGGGATTTTCACTTGTCTCAGCGCATTCTTGCCTAATGACCAATAGGGGAATGCGGCAGTCCGCAACGGGTATTAACTCTTCAGTGACAAGTGGACTCAGTGTTGAGCCCTATTAGTTATGTAACTGCAGGTCATGTCTCTTCCACTCCTCTCGTCAACCCAACTTCTCAACCCTAACCAGAAAATTCGTGACGTCTTTGGCAAACTCTGATTGGCCATTTAAACTCTGATCGAGAATGTCACCACCCCTTGTTGGTTGGTTGGTCAATGAGACTCGGCAACCCACCCGTAAGGCTGAAGATCGCGATAATCCCGGTGCAATAATTACGGTGTATTATGAAGCACTCCAAAAACTCTCCAAAAGAAGAAGAATCCTCAACTGGAGCAAATCCTAGCATTTTCATTGTAAATAGAGGCTAGGTACTCATCCTGTTCCAGGAATTCAAGTTTCTTTTTCCGAAGGGGTCTTCCCTTTTCGATCTCATCAACTTAGAATTCCGGATCCACCGATTCAGGGGTGTAAACAATGGCCTCTATCAACCGCCTTCCTCCTCAATTAGAGGATGTGTATCAAAGCCGAAGACAACGCCTCAGTATACCCTAAACCTACACATAAAGATGTTAAAGGGAGGGCTTTTAAAACTCGTTATGCTGCGTAGCATCCAAATACAGGCCCTCAGTCATCAAGTCCATAGGTTTCCTCGACCGCTTCCTCGGCGTCTGGATCTTCTTAGCTATGCTTGTCGGCACCCTTAGAGAAATTTGTCGACTACGTTGGACCGGATTTTCACAGAGGCACTCTCGTAAATGTTTCGCATCCCATCGGCGTGTCGCTGATCGGACCGTTGTTCACAGTCTTCGTGCTGTTCACGTAAATGTCGCCACGTGCGGTCCCAGCTCGTACAAGGAGCTTACTGTGACGGCTGGGCTGCCAGTTGAGAACCCCAGTTCTATTAGGGTTGGTGTATGCCGTGAGGTGGTTTGCGAAGAGGGAGTTGTGGGACTTGAATATAAGTTGGGCAGGAGGAGGGGTTTACCGTCGATGGTATATCTCCTTAGCTTAATTTATCATCTACTCTATGCTGACAATCAATTAGCTTACTCGGACTTTTCCCGAGCTAGGCAGGGTAACTTGTAGAGGAAGATGCTCTCATAATCATAGCGAGTCTGTTTTTTTATCCGCTAGGTTCCTTCTGGGAACGAGTGAACCGGGAGGAAAGTAAAGGAGGAATCAGGAGAGAAAACCAAAAAGCTCACTACCAAGCTCAACTCGCGGTCGAATGGAGGTTGGTGGCTACGAAAACCCTCTTTTTAGGGTTTTGCGCCGCGAGGGGGAGTCGAACCGGTCCTCTTTCGATTGGTGTCCAACCGGTCCTCCTCCCAATGCCGCTGAGCCAAACCGGTGTTTGACTTCAATTGGGAAGAGGCGGTGACAGTGTGAGTGCGGATCTTGTATATATAGCGCGGGAAGGTGCGTGAAGGGAAGAGTAATGTTCCTGTTTAGTGGCATAGTTGAGTTCAGATGAAAACTTGTCTCCCCCTTCCCTGGTCACTACTGTGGCGGGGGTAAAGATACGTTCTCTCTAGTTAATGGAGTGTCTAAGGACGTGAGGAGCCTGTTGTGAAGATTCGATAGAGGTGGAGGGTATTCGCTGCTGCTATTCGGAGGCTTAGGATACCCTAACAATTATCTTTCACATCTGGCACATACTAGCATAAGAGCAGGTCCTCCAATAGTATAACATTCACTACCTGCGACTACCCCTAAGCTCTCTCCAACCAACAAAACTCTTCTCCTCTAAGAAACCACCCCTCATTATCTCCTAAACCACACCCATCCTCATCCACAACACACCTCTCACCCCCCAACAGTCAACAGTCATAGACCGCGTCCTCCAAGGACACCATGAATCTAGGGCAGCTTAGGCACAGCCACGGGCAGGCCACCGGCGACAGCGCCAACGGAGCTGAGGATACTTTCCAGCAGGTCGGGGACCTCGCCCGCGGCACCACCACCGAGGACGCCACCGACCGTGCCGGTGACGCCGCCGAGGATGCCGCCGAGCAGGTCGTTGAGCAGGTTGCCGATGGGGCCCTTGGTGAGCAGGCCCTCGAGCAGCTTGGAGACGGCGGCGAGGAGCTCGCTGACCAGCGTCAGGGGCTTGGTCTTCTTGGTGGTGGTGCCGCCGCCGACGGCGCCCAGGAGGCCGCCGAGGCCGCCCAGACCCGGCAGCGCCAGCCGGCTGACCCCCATGGCCAGCGTCTGGTCCAGCTCCGCCATCGGGTTGACCAGAGCCTCCATGAGGGCCTCGGGGTCGGCGCCCTGCTCCTCGACGAGTTGGTCTGCAAGGGGAAGGGTCAGATTGGGGTCTGTTTTGTGTTGACTTATGGGGTGAAGGGGGGAATTCTTACCGATGGCGGCAACCTGGTTCTGGACTTGGCTGACCATCTCCTGGAAGGCGTCCATGTCGACGCTGGTGGGCTCCATGTGGTTGGGGCGTTGCATCTGTTCGTGGCCCGCCATCATCATCTCGGGATCGAGCCCCTCTGGGGTGAGCTCAGCGGGGGCAGCGGCCGCGCCCACCTGATGGGGCTGGACCTGTTGGGAGTTCTGGGCCTGCTCAAGGGGGGCCGCGAGAGCGCCGCTGATGAGGCAAACAATGCCGAAAGCTTGGAACTTCATGGTGAAAGAGTGATGTGGTTATGTGGTTGTAAGGGGAGCTATTGATCAGAGAAGACTCGGTGGTAGATGATGATGGCTGTTGAAACCAGGCTTAAACGGAGATGAGATGCTGGTTACTTATACCTGACCTATTTACTACAGACGAAAAATCAGTGAAGACCTCATTATCACCCACCACCGCGTATCCGCCGGGTGTTGCTATGCTTCGGGGCGACTCTCGGCGGTCTTGCCCGTGTAAAATTAAGATGTGCTTTTTCACTTGCAGTTGCATGCCTATGGGCTCAAAACCGCGGTTGACAGATATGAGAGTCCCTCTGCTCACTCCGGAAAACTGTCTCAAGGGCGCCGCGATTCAGGGGCAGCTGGAATGTGAGCCATCACCGCCGTCTCAACCGCAAAGTGGGTCTTACATACCGGAGATGGGGTCACTCCAGCGGCTCAGTCATGGCCAGACGACGTTAACACACATATCAGTTGTGTTTGTGGCTGAGGGGATCGGAAGGGAGAATCGTCTATGGGGGGACGGGGATTCAATGAACAAGCAACGCAAGGGTTCCATGCCGGTTTAAGATATACGATATAAAATCACGGCGCATCCATTCCAATCAATGGCCAGAACGTGCCTCCTCCATGGGCCATCTCGAGCTGGATTTGCCTGGCCAGTTTCCCCATCGGGTGTTCTCGAGCAGTCGGAAATTCTCAGTACAATATCCCTCCCTCGTTATTTCCTGAGCCTCTGCCATCAACGGCGCGCTCAAGTTTCCTTCGGAGCAAGAACTATGCAGCTGAAGCGGAGGTCACGCTCGCCAGGAGTTCCGCCGAGGTTAATGATGCGCTTCAGGCCGAGCTCTAGCCCCCGCGGGCTTAGAACATCCTCGTCTTCTCCAAGCTCGCCTCGGTCTAGTGGTCCACCCCGGCAACCCTCCAGCTCCCAGAGGTGGCCGTTCGCCTTGACATAGGCGATAAAGTGGCCGCCATGTTCCGAGTGTCCACGAGTGGGCTCGGGGGTGTCGCCCATCCCAGCCACAGCCTCGTGGGCCTTCTCAAACCCCTCGCTATCATGGACCAGCTGAGCCCGCTCATCCTTGGCCAAGGGAATGCCATCGTTGCGCAGTTGTTCAAGAGTGCTTCCGGGAAGAATGAACTTGGGAGTGGCGCCGTTGATGGCGCAGTGTAGAAAGCCGTACGAGCCGCAGGCGTCGCCGATGACCTGCTCGAACCAGATAACGGGTTCGTCCCCCTTACCCGCCGCTCCGCCGTCGTAGTATTTGACCGGGTCGCCGAGCGTTGCGTCCTCTGCCTCGCGGTCCTCCTTCCACTGCGGAGTCATCGGGACAATGACGAGCAAGGCGTAGGCCGGACGTGGGATGTGGGCGAGCAGGGCAGGCTCGTCCAGCGAGTAGACATCGTAGAACTTTAGGTCATCGGAGAGTCCCATCTTTTTGGCCAGGGTGTTCATCACCTCTGGATTGTTCTCTGCGTGCGAATGAGTAAGTGCAAGTGGCAGGAGTGGGTTAACTGTTTGGCTCACCCAGCATAACAAAATGTTTTCTCGCCATCTTTCTTTGTGTCGAAGTTTAAGCTTCGATAATGTTTCAGACTGTAAGTGTAGTTCGATACTTGTGATGGGACAGGAATTGGGCGAATCTTTAAGCTCTTGAATGGTTAGGTAGAGAGGGGAGTTGCGACGCGTGTAGGTTGGCTGCCTGGGCAAGTTGGGGGAACAGGGACAACGAAAGGAAAAGCAGCGAACACCACCAGATACTAGTGCAAATTATTTGTTTTCACCCTTCTCCCCTTGCATAATAGCTCCGTTCACATAAAGACGACTTAAACAACGGCTCGCCATGATCACTGTTATCTGCCAACAGCGGACGAGGGAAGCAACCAATAATGGAGATGTTAACTCGAGTTGAACGGAATGGCAGCATTGCAAAGGCCAGGCACGTTTATGTTCCCCACCTTCCTAAATAGGACCTACACGATACAGCAGCCACGGCTGTCAACCTGCCATGGCACGCATGGGCCCGGTGTCATTTTTGGACCATCCATCTCCTACTTGGCGATGCTTGTTGATGCGGAGTATAAGAGGCAGCCATGGGGCCCAGAGCGTTTTCGGATCTGATGCCCCTGGATGGCGGTTCATTTTGTCCGGAAGATCGCCCCCAAGTCAATACTCGATGACGTCACAAACAATCATTGCTTGACATCGCAGTCACGCGACCTCCCTCTCTTCAACTCGATGGATGCCGAAAGAAGAGGGAGAACGGAGATCGGAGCTTAACCGTCATGCCCTCGCTCTGAACCCTCCATCGTCTTATCTCCCTAGAAAGGTCGAGGTGAGCCGAGCAGCCACGCAGCTTCAGATGTTATCCTAAGTTTCAAGAATATGGGTTCTTTCAGCTGTAACAACTCTGACAGTATAGGTACTTTAAGAATCCCAAGTGACCAAGAGCTGATGTAGTTGGTAAGATGGAATGTTAGGATCTCGTCAAAATCGACTTGTAGAAGTGCTGGCCACGATGAACCGACATGACATGCGCCCTCTGTGTCTCCTTACCAAAGGAGAGCTCGATCCCCGCATCCCAGCTGCGTCCAGAAGCACCCTTGCATGGACCACACTGGCATCGAGCGCTCCCATTGGTGAAGTTATCATTATTTACGCCTCTTCGGGCCCAGGTTGAGGCAGAGGAACCCCTCGGATGCTTGCCAGACGCCAACAGTTGTCTAGTGTCGTCCCCAGACGATCGACAATCTGCGCGGAGATCGAGGCCAGAACGGAGGCGGTATTCGTCGGGTCCGGATTTCCAGGGAGCTCAGTGCGGGCGGACCATCCCAGCATCCCTCGTTCTTTGTCCTACATATAACCCCGCTCCTCTCCGCATCTCATCACATCGCTGCCCATCTCCTACCTTTTAACTTGTACTTTCAAAAGCAGTCTACCTCAAGAAAGCAACACCCTCACACCATCAAGAACACCCAACCATCATCTATCAACCAACATGGCCGACAACCTCCCCTCCGGCACCGAGTTCCGCGCGGGACGGTCCGACTCGACCGCATCGGCCAGCTCGACGGGAAGCACGACGGGGTGGGCCAACGTCAAGCAGCAAGCCGCCACGACGACAGCAACGGCACCGACCACCCAGCAAGCAGCAGCAGCAGCAGCAGCGCGCACGCCGGCGTCGCCCTACCGGCGGCCGTCGCACCCGCTGTTCGAGGGCCTGACGGCGCAGAAGCGCAAGGACGACGCGGCGTCGGTGGCGCGCCGGCAGAGCATGAGCGAGCAGCGGCCGGCGACGGGCTTCATCGGGCAGATGTGGAATAAGTACGTTTCTCTGTCTTTCTTCTTCTTTTTCTCACTGTTCTGTTTCATTTGTGGGGTGATGCCCTATATGCATATCTAGATAGTAGTCGCTAACATGGTGTTTTTCTTTTCTAGTTGGGTGTACGGCAAGCAGTAGCTGTGCCTTTGGCCTAGATGTCAACGCCCCAATTGTAGAGGGCAAGGGGCGTTTCGCGCTCCTGAGAAACTACTATCGGACTTGGTTGAAGAGGAATGAGTATTTCGGAATTGTACTGGTTTAATGAGATGGTGTTGGTAGGCTTTGATGCGGGAGCTGAGTTTTAGGAAGAACATATAATGAGCCATCTCTGCTCAGACCATGAAACAACCGAGGTGGTGCGAGGAATTGGGCGGTTGTTGGTTCTGTTGTTATTATATGTTCCTATAGTGCAATGTCAGCAGGCTGTTCGTATCGATTTTTACCCATGTTGGTTTGACGCATCCCATTAGTCTCGCAAAACGTGGCTCCAGATGCCGTGTCTCGACGGCGATGACCGACCTAGAGAGCAGCATTATCAGCCAGCAGGCAACACTCCCATCGACGTGACCCTATACGGGGTGTCGGGTGACTTCTTCCACGGAGATAGGGACTTCAAAATCGGCAAAGAGTCGGTGTAGAGTGGTAGGGCAGACTAGGGGCGTGGCATGCGACGGGACGTGAAGGCGAGGTCGAATGTAGGCGTGTAGGCAGGAGAGGCATCACAGGAAAGGGAGCGGGTGATACGAGCGTGCAAGGACAAGGGCAGGTGCAGAAGTGAAAGTGACTCATTAGAAGGCCGCGGCGTGAATGCTATGACCGGGAAAATACCACTCATGACCTGATCTGGGCAGAGGACTAGAGAAAATACCATGGAGATTTTCTGCTTCCACCCCCCTAAACAACCCCAACGCCATCGAATACCGAAATACGAGAATACCGTGGGACGAATTGGAGTCCGCGGAAAATCGACTAGATACGGTGTTTTTCGCTTTCTATTGTGAAACCTTATTAGCGATGCTGGACTTGAGCCGGGTGGCTGTGGTGCTGTTCTCGGAGCTTACCGAGGCGAGAATAGAGCATATAGAGCGCCATCCGGTTGCATTCCTCTGTGCCAGTGATTGTGACGAGACGCTCGTTGCTGTTGTCCTGTGGTTCATTAATCTTAATCACGCTGCCACTGATCTGACGGATCTCGTTGATCTTCTGGCCGCCCTTTCCGATGATGGCTCCAACCATGTCGTTGGGGATGTAGATCTGCTGGGTAAGGGGGGCACCGGGCACAGCCGCGCCGCCAGGCATGGGTTGCCCATGCGGCCCGGCGGGACCATGAGGGCCGGCGGGACCGGCAGGATGAGGCTGCACGTGGGGACCGGCTGCGTAGCCGGCGGCGGCGGCATGGCCGCCGTAGGGCATGGGGGCAGCAGGGTTGGGGTGAGCCTGATGGGGATGGCCGTACTGCGGCGGGTACGACTGAGGGGGCATGTGGTGGGCTCTGGGGTCAGGGCGGCCACGGTGGTAGTTCTCCCGGTTGCCGAAGTTGCCGCCAGCCGGCTGCGGGTTGTACGGGATCACCTGCATACCGCCCGGAACTGCACCGGCGGGACCGCCGCTGCGAGTCGCGTAGGCGGAGGCGGACGCTCCACCAAAACGCTCGTTGAGCTGCTCCAGGAGGGTGCTGCCGACATAATAGGTGGCAATGTGGACCGCATCAGCCACACCCATAACGACGAGCGAGCGCTCCGTAGACAAGGGGAGGCACGAGTCCGACGCGTTGAGGCGGGCCCCGGACGCCTCTTGAATCTCCTTAATGCGAGCGCCGCCCTTACCAATGATGGAACCAATCAAGATGTGGGGGATCAGCAGACGAAGGGGGTATGTCTTGGAGTGCTGGCTGGAGGGCTCGCCCAGAGGCTCATTATTGAGCGTTCGGATGATCAATCCAAAAGCCTGTGGTTGGGTTAATAGTTTGATACTAGTGGGGAGCTTCCGCGACGTACCTTCGCAACGGCATCGACGATGCCGCTCACCGTGAGGATGCGTTCCACGGCACCCTTCTGGTAATCACTAACGGTGCACTTGGCGCCGGACATTTGTCTAATCTTGGACACATTTTCACCGCCCTTTCCGATAATGGTCGCGGCCTCGGGACTCGAGATCACAGCGCGGACATGGATCCACGCCGTCTCATCATGCGCGCCGGGCGGCGGGCCCGACTGCTGGGTGACGCTGGCAGTGCTGGTGATGGGCTTGGTCTCGGGGGCATCCGGCACGACAGTATCGCCCTGCGCGTCCTTGACCTCGGGCTTCTCCCCATTCGTCTTCGAAGTGCCATTGGCTTCGGAAGCCGGGGCCGGAGCCTCAGCCGGGACAGGAGCCGGAGGAGCAGCGGGAGCGGTATCGCCATTGCTACCGGAAATTGGCTCCTGGACCTCCTCTTCATCTTTGACCATTTTGTCGAGGGCCGGTCGCTTTGCATCAGGCTGATCAGCGACGGAGGGAGAGGAAGTGTCCTCGAGGGGCCGCTTGGCGGAGTGTGTCGGTTGGGGTGAGGCGGACATGTTGAGCTAGATCTGGAAAGTTTTTTCACGTCGCGCGCGGATATGTTTCGTCGGAACACTCGATGTTCTCAATTGGATTATCGTAGTTATCTACACCTTTGGGGGTTTTCGAAGGAAAACGTGCAGGTGTAGTGGTTGGGTCGGGCAGGTGTATGATCGGGGTGGGTCGAGGAAGTGAGAGTTTCGGGCCAAAGAACGGGGTAGTGAGGTCGGAGAGACGAGAACGTTGTGGCTAGAGGCGAGGAGGGGTGACGGAGAAAGTCCAAATCCCGATCGACGTGTTGCTGCGCAGTGTGCAGAGCACCAGTGACGGCGACTTGTCCAAGGAGAGCGCGGCAGGCGAGAGATGGAGGTTGGGTGGGCTGAAAGAAGGAGGGAGGACGAGATGGTGCGTCGGGCGGTGAGTTGTAGAGATAGTGAGGTAGGGTGGATGAATTGAGAGGTAGGAGGGCGCTGAAATGAAGGCAGCTGTGTTCGGGAGCACTCAGGTAACTCAAACCTTTGCCTCGTCAAACCAGCAAACACCACCTAGTTATCCGTTCCAAGCTACCCACTGGTACCGCTGCAACTGTCAACCTGGCTGATGCGTTGATCAGCGATGCGATGCTGCCCGTCGTGCTGCCGGAACGATGGAAGTGCCGAGGTTGCTATTGTTCGGTCGAGGAGATGGCGGATTGGGCGCGGTGGCGAAATGCGCAAATCTGGGTCGCGAGTGCTAACCACCGGAGCCCCGGCGAGAAGATGCGGAAAGTATGGAAAATCGGTTTCCTGTGTTTTTGGGTGCCGCAAAATGAACCGCGTGAAAGGGTTTGATGGGAAAAGACCTCTCGGGGAGGGGGTTATTTAGAAGTCTCGGAAGGAGAGGTGGATGAAACTGGGAGAATCGCAATGGGCCGCAGCTGCAGCCTTGCTCGCTTCAGTGTCCCTTCCAATGGGCACGGACCAGGCAACCAATGAATCTGTTTCCGGGAAGGAGTGGGGCGCATTACAATGCGGCACAGATCGCAGAGGTGGGATTTGGTGGTTGCATTCCACTCCCTTGTTTGGTCCTCAATATCTGGAAAGGCTTCTCAACAGCGTATTGGTGTATCCATCCTCTTCCTGTCCCACGATAATTCCCACTTTTGGCTCTTGTGTTCCTTAAAACCTGGATAGAAACTGAGTGGAAATCGACGAGCTATTCCGCAAATCTGAGAAATTCGCATCTCCTTCCGAATCCGTACCCGTACGAGAGAGGGATACTCGCACGGTCTCGATCCATTACTTCTCCCGTTTGTGCATCATTGTTTTGCCAACCAAAGCCAAACAAGAAATTGCCTTTCCATTACACTCAAGGAAGCGGTGGCCTCCCTACCTAGGTACTATAGAAGTTGTGCGGTATTCTCGTGCCCTTCCAATTGAAAAGGGCCGGGGTCGTTCCTGAGTGCCTATCGAATAATTGCCCCGCCTGGGCCACACAAGATGGAAGACGCTGGAGAGCTTGGGAGTGCTAGCCGCGTGTACGAGGCCCAGTTGGAACGCGCTACTCAGGAGCTCAACAACAGGAAAAAGGAGCTGGAGGATGAATTGAATCAGGTGAGTTTCATGCCCATGTCGGCTTAGCAAGGCTTTGCTAACTTAATCAACAGCTAAGGGCGTCTGCGGCCGGGCCTGGTGCGGAATTTTCAGCAGGAGACTCCTTGGAAATCATGACAAAGGCATACCAGGACATGACTGAGGCAGAACCGCTCCTGCCGCCGCTGGGATCTCCCCTTCCAGCTCTACTGGTCATGCGACGGGCGCATCAGACCATTGCAGAGACCAACGAATACATGGATTCTCAAGGCGCTTCACTAGAGCAGCTCCAACGGAGGATAGAGGCAGAACAGGCCAACTTGCGTGAACAGCAAGCCCTCCGGACTGCGCTTGAAGGCCGCATCCAGTCGTTACGCCAAGGCCTGGAGAGTAGAGAGGAGAAGACGGAAGAGCAAGTCACCAAAGAACGCGTCGCCGAGCTGAAAAAACAAAAGGATCACTGGGACAAGCAGACATCGAGTCTTATGAAACAGCTGGACTGGTTCATTGGCGAACACCTCGGCCCCATGTTGGCAGCAGAGGAGTTGGGCGGCCCCGTCGTCGGGGGGTTGATGGACATCGATCCGGATGACCTAAGCGCTGGGTTTAGTGCTCATGGCAAATTGAAGAAGGCCAAAGACCAGCCGGACCAAGACAAGCGGCAGCGACGGATCGACGACATCTGGGGCCCTCAGGACGAGCAGGGGCAGGCAAGGAGGAGGCGGGAGGGGGATGAAGCAGCAGCGGCAGGCGCAGAGATGCGTGATCTTACCGAGCAACTAATGAATAAGCTCATGGAAGCGGACGGCGACACCTCTGCGGCGTACGTGGAGATAGCGAGGGAATCCGCGGCAGCGAGGTTCCTTGTCCGTTCCAAGGTCGCAGTGTTCCATCCTCGGGATGCGCGGAAGTTGCGGCTTATCGACTTTGGAAGGGATCTGGAGGACTAGAGCCTTCGGGGGGCTGAAAGCGTGGGAACGGCTACGTAACAGCAATATTTTGTTCCGGCATGTTGCGGACAATCAAACGGCATCTGGCGATCCCCCTAACATGGGGAAGCTTGTCTTATGGCGGGAATGTTGACTCGTCGACGTCTGTTCTTCTCCGCCGTCGGGGGTCTACATTCATTATTGTGGATGATAATAGCCAAGTGAAGGAAGTGTTTTTGCACAAACGGAACAAGGGGCTCGACGGCATCTCAAGCAAAGTCTTTGGGTTTGACTCGCCCGCGCGAGAACGCTGGATCACTGTTTGAGTGGTCAGGGGCAGGAAGTATCAGCAATTGGCCAATTATGGTGTTGATCTGGACCCGCTCGCGTGCTCCACACAAGCAACTGACTCGCCAAGCCAAGCAGGTGGGTCAACATGCAGACAATTTACGCGTCGCGTCAGCGCGTCTTCCAGCGCACATTTCTCCCCACCACCCCCGCCTCCGTTTCTGCCCAACAGGAAACCAACCCTTTTTGACTGGAGGAACATTACCCCAATCCCACAACCATGACGACCGGTACTCCCTTCGACCCCATCGTGCCCACCGTCCCAACATCGCCGCCAGCAAAGCGCATCAAGACTGACGGCCCCGCCCTCATAACCAACGAAACCATGGCGTCCCCGGCACTGCTCATCAAGAAGCTCTCAGACAAGGCCCGGCTCCCGACCCGTGGCAGCGCTTTCGCAGCGGGCTACGACCTCTTTGCCGCACGCCCCACCACCATCCCGGCGCGGGGCAAGGCGCTCGTCGACACCGACATCAGCATGTCTCTGCCGGCGGGGACCTGTAAGCAGCCCCCAACCCCCAGCCCCACCACCGCCGTCACCCAGTTAAGCCCACTATGAGGAAACAAACACTGACGGGCAACCCCCCCCTTCTCCCAAAAAAACAGACGGCCGCATCGCCCCCCGATCGGGCCTCGCCGCCAAGCACTTCATCGACACCGGGGCGGGCGTCATCGACGCCGACTACCGCGGGCCCGTCAAGGTGCTGCTGTTCAACCACAATGAGGCTGATTACGCGGTGGAGGAGGGCGACCGGGTCGCGCAGCTCATCATCGAGCGCATCTACACGCCCGAGGTGGTCGAGGTGCAGGAGCTGGAGGAGAGCGTGCGGGGTGCCGGCGGGTTCGGGAGCACGGGGACGAACTAGATAGACTAGGCTGTGGTTGTGTTGTGTTGTGGTGTGTTTTGGTTTGGTATGACATGGTATAACATGATATAGATCGGATAGGCGGGTGGTATGGGTTTACTCTTAGGAGGCTGCTCGCATTGCGCGGTGTTGTAGACACTGACGGATTAGATCAGGGGTCGAAATGATCCAAGTCTAGATGGGGACCCCCTTAAAGGTCCACGGTCTATCGCTCTCTATATTCTGTACAATGCTCGCCTTCATCCACGCCCATCTAAACCAATCCAATCCCAACATCACACCCCGCTTCCCCTCACAACTTCGTCGCGCGCGGAACTCCACCTTCGGAAACCTCAAGCTATCAAGATGCCTCACCAGCCTCAACTCCGCCGCCTTGCTCTTCAACAAATGCATCCTCTTCTTCTCCGCCTCCGCCCCTACCCCCGCCCCTTCACCATCCACAACCACCGCCCCCTCCACCCCCGCTCCCACACGAGCTTTCTCCACCACCCCGTCCATCCCCTCCGCCGTCTTGGTCAACACCTCATGCATGCTCGCAAGCACCTTCTCCGCGGCCCTCGCGAGCGGCAGGTCCAACGCATCAACAGAATCGTCACTCAGCCACGACGCCCGGCCCATCAGCCCCTCCCCCCCACTACCACCACCACCACCACCACCATGGTTATTATGCACCGCCTCGCGCATGCGCACGACCATAAGGGCCGCAAACATATCCCCGGTACCACTAAAGTAGCAGTCGATGGCGGGGAAGACGATCTTGAAGGCGCGGGCGCGGCGGCCGTCGGCGGTCATGGAGGAGCCGACGACCGAGAGGGACGAGACGGGGTGGTCCGGGTGGGGCAGCGACACCGACGTGATGACGATGTGCGGGATGCCGTACCGCTCGTGCATCACCTGCAGCGCGCGCCCGATCGAGGACATGTCCGTTATTGGTACGTCCGAGAGGAGTCTAGGGGGGTGGTGGTGGTGTTAGTTGGGGGCTGTTGGGTCTTCGCTCGGGGAAAAGGGGGAAGGGGGGGGGATGTACTCGGCTTCGAACTGGTTGGGGAGGACTAGGTCGGCGTGGTGGACGAGGCTCTTATACACGGGCACCACATCTGGCGCGACGTAAAGGTTGCCATTGTCGCCCATGACCGGGTCTAGGACCCAAAAGAAGCTGCCCGGCTTGGACTCGGCCTTGCGCTTGAGCTCCTGCGCTATCTGTCCGACTGCTTCGAGCGCCGCGGCGCCGGGTACGTAACCGGACAACATCATGTCGAAGTCGTCGAGGTAGGACTGCTTCAGGCCCTGGTATAGGTCCGCGATTTCTTGCGCCGAGACTCGCGAGCCCGTCCATTGTCGGTATCCGGTATGGTTACCTATGCGCGCTGAGTCAGAATGGGATCGCAGAGTGCGCCGGAGAACACGGAAAGTGTGTAGGAAGGCTAGGGGCCCAAAGAAGAACATACTGAATTGTACGGTATTCAGCGCTGCTACGTCACAGCCAAGCGATTGCAAACTGAAGACGGCGATCTTATTGCCGACATATCTTGGGGGTTTTGTCAGCATGGAGTGACAGACGGGAAGGGGAGATGGGACTGCTTGGCCGGACTCACCCAGAGACGACCTTGAAGACTCAATTAGCACGAGCAACAGCAGACAAGGTCAACCAGTGCGCCCTACATGACTGGCGACCGCCAATACGCGAGTTTCCGGGACCAGAGGCCCTTCACTCATACTTGTGGTTAAGCCGGTTGGCGGGAAGTGAGCAGTGTTGGACGGTCGCTGACGGGAGCAAACTGCGAGAAAAGCCGATTATAGCCACGACGGGACGGCACGAAGGACTCGATTTATGGGGTATCTTGCGGAAAGAAGAAAGGAACGGAAAGTCAAGGTCAATCAAGAGTGAACGGAAAGTAGTCTAGAGTCTCTGTCCGCAGAAATTCCGGGGAGGGCGGGAGTTGGAACACGGATGACTCCAAGAATCCACTTGCGAGTCCGCCCGAACTTCTTCTTGTTCTGAGTCGATGACTGGAAACACCAGCCGGCCGGGATCGTGGGGTCTGCGGGAACTGAGCAATTGGGGGAACGAATGCGTGGAAGGGTCCAGAAAACCGGGCTAACCTTAGCTGTGCTGGGCGGTTGTGTCACGAATTTACCCCGCCAACTCGAACAAGCATTGGGCCCCGCGGTCGCACCAAAATTTCATTGTCAGCCTCCCGATACAAGATGCTGAGACCTCTTTACACCCGACAGTACACTTGGACACAACCAGGAGCTGCAGTGGGCTGGACAGAGTAGATTTAGAGTCTGCAATGGGGTGCAAATAACTTCCTTATTCCCATCAGCGCCCAGATCGCCTTCATGTTACCTGGCCCTCTGGCCACAACCTCCATCAATGCGTCTACGTTTGCCAAAACATCCCTCTGGTGCGGCTACAGGGAGGTACCTATCCATGCAGAATCAATCTTACGTGACCGTCGTATCAGTCCTTAAGTCGTCATCAGGGTGTCGTGCAGCCCTTTTTACTCCTCGTCGCCAATCTTTTGAAAAAGCATGGTTAGCCCTTGATCATTAGAGAAAGATGTAGAATCACATACCTTCGGCGCGAGGTAGAAACGCAGATAACTGCTTCCCGCCAGGGTGTACTCAACCAGCAGGGGCACCTCGTTGGAGAGGCAGATCTTGACCTGGGTGGACAGGGCCGAGGCCTTGCAGAAGTTGACGAGGTACTTGAGGGAGAAGGTGAGCGAGACGGGCTCGCTGAGCTCGATCTCGACCGACTCGTTCGGCTTCTCCACGCTGGAATGTTGCCGCAGGGTGACGGCGCCGTTGCCGATGTCGCCCTGGCACGAGAACTTGACACCGTCCTTGCTAGCATCGATGGTGACTGTGCGGGATCTGTTAGCAGCTGCCTCTTCCTCGGAACAACCTGGGCCTGCATACCAGACTCGGACATGGCTATCAAATCTGTGGTGATGCGCTTGAACTCGGAGGCCGGCATCGCGATGGTGGCCGCGTACTCGGTGTCCGGAATGCCCAGGTGCTCCTGGTCGATGTCCATGAGCTTGAGGTCGTACTCGGAGATCCTGTCGGTCTCGGAGCTCTCGAACACGAGGTTGAGGACGTCGGGCGCATCCTCCGCCTTGAGGGTGAGGATGTCCTCGTTCTGGGCCGCCCGCAGCACCTTGGTGAGGGAGGAAAGGTTGATGCCGAGCGCGATGTTGCGGTCGCAGCGGAATGGCGAGAAACCCTCGGCCTTGAGCATCATGGACACAAGAGCGACATGGCTGTTGTCCATTGCCTGCAGGGCGATACCGCTGTCATTGCAGTCGAAGTTGCAGTCTTGCACCAGGTCCTTGATCGCGTCGACGACCTACAAACGACGTTTGTTAGAGCGCCCAAAACTACAAAATCAAGCTTCAGAGTTAAGATGCGCATACCTTCTTCAGGATGCTCGCCTGCTCCAACCGTGCTTCCAACATGGCTGCGTTTGTCAGTTTCTAAATCTTGGCAGCGCAGCCCAACAGGTGTGGGCGGTGACGGAGTTGTTCTCACTGAATGTGTGTGGGGGGTGTTGTGGGAAAAGTTTGGGGTTGTAGAATTGTCGTTGGAGTTTTAGCGGGCAAAAGCTGGAGAGTACGGGCGGGTTGCGGTGGTTTGGGTTTGTGGCCGTTGGGTTTGTGTGAAGATGTGGGTGGGAGGGAAAGATGGAGTGGGCACGCGAACGCGCTTTGGCGGTCGAAAAGACGCGCCTGGCCTTAAATTGATTACCCCTCCTGGTTAGCTCCGCCAGCTCCAGCTTACCGCCTCCTGTGCAGTGTGTGGGGGGCTGGTTGGCTGCCTGTTGACCCCTGAGAGCTGGGATTCAGGGGCAGGGCACTTTTGAACAACACATCACTACCGCTTCATCGAACGTCACTTCTGCCACAATCACTGTATTGTGACATACAAGGATGCCGCTAAATTCTAATTACAAGCCAATGCAGAATTAGCATATTGATAGATGCATGCTCGCAGCAGTCCCACCCGATGAACGCCAGCCCCAATGATACAGTCAAGCAAGCTCCAGAGACGATGATGCTGGATGCTGAGAGCCAATCCAATTGAAAACAAACCGCCGTCTATACAACCCGCCATGAGATAGACGGGTAGAGAAACATGATGCAAAATGACAAAGGAGAGTTAAGGCCCGTGTTGGTTGGTTTGGTTGTCGTCACTGTCATAATGAAATGCGAGAAGGCGCCGGCATGGTCGCCCGCTTCGGCCGCAGGTTGATGACCGTCTCGAGCTCTCGGAGCATCCCGCGGCTCGCGTCGGCCCTTTCCCTAACGGCTTCTCTCCTCTCCCGATCTTCCTTCATCCTCGCTATCCGCTCGTCCCTGGTCAGGAGACTGCGCGTCCGGGTCGGCAGAGAGACCGCTTCGAACACTTCGGCCTCGTCCGAATCCCCCTTGGGACTGCCAAAAGTCGAGCCCGGTGGTGATTCCCCGGTTAAGGCCTTGAATGCTTCGAGTGCTCCACCCTCCTCGACCGTGGTGAGTCCGCTTAATGAGGTGGCCGGAGAAAGTAGGGTGCTGAGGGAAGACAGGCGCTTTTCGTTGCGGTCAATACCTGACGCGAGGGCGGCTTTCCCTTCCTCCCATGCCTGCGTGAGCATCTTGAGGTCCTGCCCGATAGACTCGTACTGAGCCATCAAATTATTCCCCAACTCCGACACATCTTCCGCCTCATTCAGCGTTCTCTCTGACTCCTCTCGTAAAAGTGCAAGCTTTGCTTGAAGACCTCGGATGCCCATTGACAACGAATTAAGTTTCATAAATTGAGACCGACGCTTCTCTCGGTTCGGGGATAGCGGTGATTTTGAGTCGGAAATGGTGGGGAAGGCTGAGCGCTCAAGTTAGCACTGGTGGGGTGGGTAAACAGCAAGAGCGCAAGGGGTTTCACTTACTCTCTTCTTCACTGAGGAGCTGGCGAACCCTCTCGAAGCTTTGAAATGTGGTTTGGTTAAGAGTCTTTAAGCCCTCCACGGCCGTCGACCATCGCAAGAAGTCGGTGTTGTCGCCTGCTGCTTCAAAGGCGAGGAGGGAGCATAGCAGAAGCTTGCGAATGGTGTAGAAACGGGCCGCCGCAATCTTGAGAGACCGCAGAGACTCAGGGTCGTCGAATTCCTTCTCCGAGAATCCTCGCATCGCGTCCGATATGTCGAAGTCGCTGATGTCGTAGATGTCGTGGTACTTCTCCAGATCCACCTGCTCGGCGAACCCCTTGACCGCCGCACAGACCTGCATGTGGCTCTCGATCATGTCGGACAGCCGTCCCTTCAACGCCTTGCGCAGCCTGCTGCAGCGGCGTGTCTGAGACCGATCCTCCATGCGGCTAATTGGGGGTAGGGGTGCGCTTCTGGATGTGTGTGAGCTGCGTTCTGCAGGAGTCATGATCGACGCAACTTACATCCTGTAGCCCCGAGACACGAGCTCAACCTCCTGAATCAATAATATCGCAGCACTGGACGCGCTGTCAAAGTCCTGAGACCTGGAAACGAAGCTGGTCACCTCGCCCAGCGCTTGGTCTCTCAAATATCGAAGCCATTGTTGTCGGAGATAGGCCTGTGACACCACGGCGACCGCTACTAGAAGCAGCGCCGTGAAGCTCACCCGCTTCTTAGTTAAGTGGGCATAACCTCCGGAATACACCCATCTAGCCACCCATGCAACGACAAGCGCGGCAGCCGCTGTCGCAAACAGTCCAGTTGATGTTACCGCTACAGTCTGGGTGGTTTCTGGCGTGTCCTTTGGTCGGTTATGGTGTGATGGATGGGTTGCTATAGAATGCCCACTTAGCAACTGGGACGCGACAATTGTGTACCGGAACTGCTCGATGAACTTGAGGTTATCGGCGCGATCTATCCTTGACACTACGGCTTTCTGTTGCGCAAGCAGAAAATGGTCAGTTTCAGTCTCGGATCGCACTGCCGCGGGGCATAACTCAATGCAATCATACTGACCGAGTATGAATGGCGCAACGAGCTCAGGCGGTTCATGGGTGGGATGTTCAACGGCAGCGGGTCCGGAAGGTTCGCCCGGAAGCGCTTCTTGACCATCGGCCGCCCTACCGGCGCGAACGATGGACTGGACGGCGGCGACTCATCGTGATTATCCGAGACGGACGGCGTGGCCCAGGCCTGCTGTTCTTCGCCCTCGTCTACCAAGAGGAAAGCGGTTAGTGTCCAGAACATCGACATTTTCGAAAACTGTTGCGATGCGCGCAAAGACGAAGGGAATGGCGGGCTAACCCTTCAGATAATCGGCAAGCGGCGTGTGGTCTTGTATGACGGTCTCCATGAACAATGCTGCTGCTCCTGCTGCTGGTGGGTGGTCACGCGGCGACAGCACCAGTCCCCCATCTGCCCGCCTCGTGCGCACCAGAGACCGTCGTTCGGCGACCGTCCCTGTGACGGCGTTTAACAGCAGTTCGGTACGCGAGACACGAGACCCCGGTTTGGCGCAGGCGAAGCCTCGGGGCGGCGGGGACGACGGGAGGGAATCGAGACACGGTATGTATGTGCTAGCGTTGGAGGTGGCCGTTGCAGTAGCCGCCGTGCATGTTTCTGTTTCGAGGTCGAGATGTGCGCGGCCGGACGAGGATGGAAATGGGACGATGGGGACTGGGCGCTCTCGGCTAGATTAGGTAGTTTGTTCAATTGAACTCCTGGAAGTACCAGCGAATCCACTGTAATGACACCGCAACGCCTGCGGAAAGAGGTCGCTTAGCGTTCATTAAATGTTTGAAGCTCTTGGCCCGAGAATCGAGAATGAACCCCTGTCGCGCGACCCTCGTCATTAAACATTGGGGGGCGAGTCCGGTACGGCGGGACAAACAAAGTACGTATCGAAGTGTATCGTTCCAAGGGTCTTTTTGTTTCTCATGCTCCCCCAACGACGCTATGATCAATTGCCCTTTGTAGCACCGAGTATCAGTGTGCAAACACGCCGTTTCAAAGAGGGTCATGCTATTTCTTGTACCACGGGATTTTGAAAAACTGACAATCACTTTTCAGACGAATTGTGAACCCCTGAAAGAGGGAGGGAATTGCGTTCGCATTAATCTGCAAGGATCTTAACTTTCCAATTTCGGGGTAAGATGGTAACGTTATCCAGAACATTTCACCTGTAATACCGTATTAGCGGTCATTCCGCCCCCCACATACAGCTCCAAGCCATGTGGCTTGTCGATCCCCCAGCAAGCGGAGCCGTTGCATCGCATCGCGGCTCCAGAGCTCGCGGCACGGCCGAGCTTTGAAGAAACGACGACGATTTCCACATTGCTAAACGATACCGCGCTACTCCTCGACACAATTCTCGAACACGAAGACCAGAAATTGTACCATACGCAAACGACAACCCGCTCGAAGAAACAACTACCTAGGTGATACGAACTCGGGGCACACGAAGCAGCACAACAACCACGACACCGCTCCGTCACCGCAACCCACCCACCTACCACAACCATGCCTTCCGAACAAGAACTCCAAATATCCCCCATCGTGCAAGAGTCCCTAGTACACAACTCACGGGTGAGTTGCTCCCTCCCTTCCCCAGCCCGGCCACTCGGCCGGCCGGCCTCTTCCTCCCCAACCCGCAGGAAAAACAAATCTGCAACCGCGACCACCGCCCCGACCTCCTCCACCCAACCACCCACCCACCCACCGTCCCCCAAAAAACCAAGACCCTCAACCCCCCTTGCTAACCCCACCCCCACCTCGCAGACACTCTACAACCTCCAATCCCTAACCGCCTCCCTCTTCGGCGTGTCGGCGGGCATCCTCGGGCTGGAATCGTACTCTGGGTTCGTCTTCTACGTGGCGCTGTCGCTGGTGACGGCGGTGCTGTTCTACGCGCTGCGCGTGGCGCCGACGTCGCTGGCCTCGGGCAAGCCGCCGCTCGACACGAGCCGCTACTTCCGCGGCGCGTACGACTTCTGGGCCGGCGGGCTGATGAACGGCTTCGCGGGGTTCGTGTTGACGTGGACGCTGTTTTATGGGCTGGTGACGGCTTGATGGGGTTGGGGATAAGGGTTGGGGAGGGGGGCTGTAAGAGGGGGGATGTTTGGGGAGGGCGTCATGGCGTTGGGCTTTGGGGGTGGGTGAATTAATTGCGGCTGCGGTTGATGGCATTCATTGTGACGAAGAGAGAGGCAACGATCAATCGGGGGTCTGGGAATAGAAAGACAGACTGGAGATGGAACGCTTGCTGCTGATAGACTATGTAACATGTAACACAATTGTTCTCTCGGCGACCTTCTCGCAGGATATCCCTTGTAGGTGTTTGGCTCGCTTACTTACCTACGATCAAGCCAGCTTGCGCGGAACAATGGCGAGCACCCAGACACAACCTTCGACGACATCTTACGTTCTTACGTCTGCGTAAACAGAAGCTGCCAAACCATATCTGAAGGGCGCCATCTAACCAAATGCAAAATGTTCGTGTCGGACAACCACACCACAACCTTAGGGATACCAGTCTCAACATTATTATTACAACGCAGCAAAAAGCAAAAGCTCACCGGCTCGACCCCTTCAGTTCGAAGGGGCTCAGCCGGCTACGAAACCCATTTGGGGTTTGCAAGAACTCCGGGGCGGCTCGAACTGATGACCTCCCGTTCAGAGATACACCAGCCCGAAGTTCCCGCCCCAGGGCCTTGACCACCCCCATTGACCGTTGCGCCATTCATGGGGGTGGTCGGTGATAATGGGCAAGCCAGAACTCGTATATCAAGGGCTGGCAATACAACTGAATTCTAGGCGAGAGGAAACACTAACAAACATACAGGAAAAAAATAACTACAACCCTCGCTCGCCAGCCTCATTCCACAATCTCAACAACCTTCCCGACAAACCCCTCCAGCCCAGACCTATCCTGCCTCCCACCCTCAAGCACCAGAATCTGCGAACCCAGCTCAACCCATTCCCTCGTCGACAGCAACTCCAACTGCACCTCGACACTCCCATCCGCCGCGGCCGCGGCCGCATCCAGCGCCAGGGCACTCTCGACTTCCAAATCCTCCGCAAGCCCGAACAACCCATCCTCAACATCGTCCGCCACCGTGTTCCCCCCACCACCACCATTCTGCGCATCGACCTTCGACACACGCACGACGCGCGCAGCAGACCGCACACTCGCCACATAAACATTGACCAAGGCGCCCACGGTCAGCGCGCCGACCCCGCCGTTGTCCGCATCAAACGTCGCCGTTAACCCGCTGACAGCCTGCAGCGACAGGCCGGACGCGACCATGTGCTGGCTCGGCACGGCCAGGACCATGCCCTTGCGCAGCCTGGGGGTCTTGGTAGCACCATTAGTGGTGGCGACCGTGACGCCCACGCCGACGCCGACGCCGCCATTCTCCTGACCAGTCGATGCCGCCGCCGGCGGCTGCTGCTCAAACACCATGCCGATGGAGCCGACCTGCCCCGCGGCGAGGGTCTGGACGGGCAGACGCAGGTTGCGGATGCTGACGATGGTGGCGGTGTGCCACTCGCCGCTGGTGGCCGAGGCGGAGACGGCGTTGCGGGAGGCGGCGCGGCTGAGCTCTCCGGAGGACGGGTGAGACGGGGAGAGGTGCGAGGGCGAGAGGCCGTAGCTGTGGGGCAGCACGCCGCGCTCGTCCGGGGTGGCGCCGTGGGAGTCGTCGTCGTCGGGCGGGAAGGGCCCGACGACGATCTTGTCGCCGATGGAGAGGGTGCCGAAGCGGAGGTATCCGGCCACCACGGTGCCGAGGTCGGTTTGTTGGTCTGCGTCGCTGGTGGCGAGGGCGTAGGAGGCGGGGAGGCTGAATTTGTCTTCGATGTGGAAGAGGCAAGCGGGTTGCTCGGGGTTCAGGGCTGCGCCGATGTAATCGAAAGAGGTAGGCGTTTGAGGCGGCGGCAGACCCTGAAGTAGGGCGTGTAGTGTACCGACTCCCCGGCCATCAACGGCGCTGGTCAGGAGGATGGGGACGATGGAAGAGGGGTCTTCTCTCGCCTTCATACTATCTAGCGCGTCCTTGACGGCTGCTTTGTCGAGCTCGGCTACGAGAGTTGGGTCAGAGTCGCCTGCTGATCCCCCTTTGACCATTTTGGGTACACGGCCAGCCCTCTTCAGGCTCGAAAGAATTTTGCTAAGGGTGGTGGACAGACTGGACTTGTTTGCTAGGTCCAGCTTGGTAATGACGACAACCAGGGGGAGGCCAAGCCGCAAACAGAGATCCAGATGGGCGGACGCGAGATCAACGCCCGCACCAGTAGGGCCCAACACATCCAGGGAACTGGATGTGGCGCCCGCAGCTGAAGTAAGCTCAGCACTGTCGGCTGCGATGCAGAGGAGAGTCCAGTGGGGTGCCCAGCCAACGATGCCTCGGAGAATGGTCCGTCGGTAGCGCGGGTGGCCTGCAGAATCGAGCATGTAAAGCAGCCGGCCATCCCTGGTGAAGTCGTGGATATCGATCCAAGACTCGACCCCGCTGTGAGCGTAGTTGATAATCTCATCGTCGCTATAGCCCACGAGCTCCTGCGTGACGGAGGACGTGATGCCAGACGCCACTTCATGGAGGTGTTTGAGGAGACCAAGCCGGCCTTTCCCACGTCCATTGTCTAGAGTTCCGCTCGAGAGAGTGCCCAAAAGAGTAGACTTTCCCGATGTCGTCGGCCCTGTAAGCGTAACACGCAATTGGTTGGTGGTGAGCGGCCCTTGCTTTGGGTCTGGTAAGGCCTCGGCCTGCCGCGCCGCTCCTGGCGATCCCGCGGCGGGCGACTGCGCGTCATCCCTGGGCCGCAAATCCGGCGTGACCAAAGCTTCGGCAACCCATAACTTCGCCTGGTGCGGCACGTCCTCGGATTCCGAGCCTGCGGAACTTTCGGTGCCGCTCGGTTCAACCCATTCGCAATCCCCGACGGCCAACATCCGGAGCACTTCCACATTGCAACCCAAACTGGCGGCCATGATGCGGAGGGTGGTGAGACTCTCGTGCATCTCGTTTTCAGTTAACCCCGCGAGCGTTCCATCGTCCGCCACACCGATCTCGTACAGCGCTCCCCTCGATGCCTCCAGGCCGGGCAACACCTTGCCCACCTTGACTGGCGCATTGAGGGCGCTTTCGTCGGGCAGCTGGGGGATGACTAACCCCGGAGACGCGGCGCCGGCATGGTAGGGACATGATTGCTGCAGCCTCCACAAAAGTTGGGTGGTGAGATGTTCAAGGCGGTCCTGGCGTGTCTGAGTCGATGTGACGGAGGGTCCGGGGCTGACCGGGGCCGGCTTCATCGTCCTAAAATCGGGGTTTGGCCGTGACTGGGTAGACCCGCAGATGCGAGTCGCTGTGCTAACTCGCTCATACTTCCTCCGCGGTCTCAACAGCAAGTGAAGCTTATACTCGGTCGGGCCATCTTGTGGCTCGGGTTCGAGCTTCGTAACCCCATAGTCGGAAAGGAGCCCAAAGCCCACAGGTCCCTTCCGCTCTGGCACTGGGGTCGGCGACTTGCCGGTTTCCCCCGACCGCAACCATGGAGAGGCAACCCGGGGCGGGTCGGGGTCGAAGGTAAAGACCGACATCGAATACTCTCCGGGATGAGGGTTTGATCAGAAAGTTGCGTCGTTCACTTCTCCGCTAATGGCGCTGGGAAGATACGAAGTGTAGGTGATCGATATGTTGATACGTGAGTCAATGGGACAGTAGGAGGACAGATATTGCACAGTCGGTCATTTCAAGGGAGAATCGATGCTGTATTCGGGGTATCATCTTGGGGAGTTTATGGAGCGATCAAGCTCAAAAGGAGGAGACGAAGGGCAAAGACCCGAAGAGAACAAAAAGTTCAAATGCTGTTACAAGAACCAGCACGCTGACTCAGTTGAAAGAAGTCATTGTGAATGATTGTCTTGTCAAATCTAAAGGAGTTTGTTGACGAGGGGAAAGAAGAGGCCGATGACTCCCCAGTTGTGCATAGAATGGAAGGAGGCGATGAAGACAGTGCGCGCTGTCCTCCTGATTGAGGACTGGCCTGAGCGGCCCTCTGACGCATTCAGCAGGAGGCACCCCGATTGGATGTCTGTTAAACTTGAGATGGCCTGATACCTCTGCCATCTGCTGCCCCACTGCCAAACTGAAAGTCGCAGTTTAACGTCAATCTAGCGCCAGCTCTCACGAAGAAAGAAAGTGCCGACAATTGATGGGAACGTTCCAACTCTCTTTTGCGGCAAAGAGGCGAAGCAGGAACAAAGTCTGTTAAGAACATTGCACACCGCATTTCCATCAAGGAAGGGCTGGAACACCATTGCAGCCAACGATGCAAGTCGCATGTTGAACCCACGCCGAACAGCCAAGATGGCGGTGTACCCGCCTGATGACCAGACCCCACCTCCGCCGCAGGACGGCCAAGTCGCATTCAGGGCCGACACGGACGCGACACTCGTACAAAAGTCAGAGGGCCTCGCATACCGGGCTGATACGGACGAGACTCTCGTCGAAAAGCCAGAGTGGCCAGCAGAGCAGGAGAACAAGGGAAAGAAGAGAAAGTGGCCAAGATGGCTATGCTGGCGTTTTACGAGGAAAGCGCCGCAGGAGGCGGACGAGACGAAAAAGGTAAGCGACCTCGCTGCCACATTGACGACTCCTTTGCACCTGGGGATGTTTCTTGATGCAGGACAACCGTCGGGAACGCAGTGGCGAATCGGCGGCGCGTCGTCACCTGCGCCCGTCTGCGCCAGGCCCGCAGCGAGGAGCTGGGGCCAAGGGTCGTCAGCATTGCGAAGCATGGGTGGGCCGCTGCCAGGAGCGTTCCATTTTTACCCGTCGGGTCACAATCTGGAACGGACCCAAGACACTGGCCGTCAGGATGCAGCTGTCTGGGCAGCGTCCACCGCCCAAGTCCCACCCAACCCCACCGGTCTTTCGCATTCAAGACATCTCCAAACGCTTTCGGCCCCTGAACTCTTAACCCTCCGCTTCTTTCGTCCCGTTCCAAGTGTTACTTCCACATTCTGTCCGTTATTGTTCTAACCATATCTAATCCGTTCCAAAGAATCGTTCGCATCGTTCCATCATGGGGAGATTCGGCGCCTTGTTTAAGAAGTCGGAGAAGGAGAAACCGGAGTCGAACCCCTACGCTCAGCAGCAGCAGCAGCCTGGTGCCCAATCTCCCGCCCAGTCCTCCCCCCCTCCGCAGTACGATCAGTATACCCAGTACAACAACTCTCAATACAATGAAAACCAGTACGCCTCGCAGCGTCCTCAAGGCCAACCGTCCGGCTTGCCAGCCGGTCCCCGCCCCGGCGGTCTTGCGGGCAGAGTAGCCCCCGGGCAGTCGTTTGGGAACGACAAGTCCCCCCCTCCACCGCAGTACTCGCCCCAGCCTTCCCAGTATTCTGCCTATGGCGGTGGATCGCCCTCACTTGGCTCCGCGGCAGGGACCCCCGTCCTCCCCTCCAACACCTCGAGCCCGTCGATAGGTACCGGGTTCCCAAGGGAAAAATATGGTGCTTCGGACGGTGTCGGGAAAAAACAGGTTCGAACCTGCGCCATCGCCGTATGGCGATTCTATGGGCCCCCCTCAGCAGCATCAGGGGGGTTACGGGGGGCTGGGAGATACCAGCGGCGGCGGCTTGTTCGACAACTATAAACCTCCGTCGAAGGAGTCGTTCAGCCCGGTTCCGGGGCAGACCGAGGCCCCATATGGTTCTCAAGAACCATATGTCGACAGGAGCCAGATGACAGAGGAAGAGAGGGAGGAGGCCGACGTGCAAGTAGTAAAAGACCAGATCAATGACCTCCGTCGTCAGGATAAAGCTGCAAGTAACCGGATCCTTATGGCGGTAGAGCAGTCCGTTGCAATGTCAGCGAACAATCTCCAGACGGCCCAGGATCAAGGTGACCGCCTTGCCGGTGCGCATAAGAACCTCACGAAGTCAGGTACGTCACCCACGCCGACCTCCCCTGAGCCCCAACTTGTGAAGGTTGCTGACTATTCTATGTCTACAGGAACAAGCGTTGTGATTGCTGGCCAGAACGCCGCCCATCTCGAACGGCTGAATCGCTCTTTCCTCCGTCCCACGGGAGGAAAAGCCCGACTGGCACAAATGGATCACACAATTGACGTTGCTGAGAGACGTGGAGAGGCTCAGATACAGCAAACAAACCAGGAGCTCTACGAGAGCAGAGCCGCACAAGAAGCAGGGCCTCCGCGGTTGCTAGGCTCCAACAAGCCTAAAGTTCGCAGCGACCTCCTCTTTGAAGACTTCGATGGGGAGCAGGAAAAGGACGAAGAGGAAATTGAGGGAAATCTCTGGCAGGCCAGCCAGCTTCTGAAGCAAACCGCTCAAAATAGCGTTGCGCTGAACCGCGAGGTTGACTTCCAGAACAAGATGATCAATCAAATGACTGACCAGGTAAGGAGCCCGCATAATGTGCCAAGAGGTGACCGGCATTTTGCTAATGTACATGTCTAGGCCGATACTGTGCACGACCAACTTAGGAAGGAAAAGAGGAGACTGGATCATATGATCCGGAAGTGATGTTATCACATGGGGCGGCATGTTGGTACTCGAGCGTTTCTGTTTCCATCCCACTGTTAGAACTTTCGGCTTAGCTTGGGTTGGTTTGTTAGAAGTAGTTAAAAGCGTAGTAAACAAGATTAATGTTGTGTTAGATGTACGTTTTTCCAACGGAATGAAGTATCCGAGTGTTCCGTGTCGTTAAGGTGCTTATGGAAACATGTTCGTCAGGGAGGAGGATGCTCTCGGATGGTATGACATTACACGTACAGCGTAATTACTTCTGAACCCAAGCCAAAACACACATGGGCCCCACTTCTCGTTTTTCTCGTTTGACATTCTCTATCATGATTCAACACCAGCATTCACCCATCGACACGCCGCTTTTCCCAGCCGTTTGCCATTAAACGGTGTGCGTGTCCGGTGAACCGAAAATGGCGAAAAAGAGGAAGAACGAGGCCAATCACGACTCGGTCAAAATTGGGGACAAGGTCATCTCCCTTGAAGGTTATCTCACGAAACGACCAAGGCCAGAAACAACACAGTTAGGACTGAATCAAGTTGTTGTCGACCATGATGCAGGCACCCCTGAGGAAACATCAAAGTCTCCCTTCAGCGTAAAGCCGGGGGCCGCTGAGTCCGCCTCAGCATCCAGACCGCCAGCGGGTGACCCACAGTTTTTTGCAGCAAGAAAGGCTCTCCCGCTTTGGACTCGCCAGGACGATATCCGACGGATTTTGCGGCAGAAAGATGTTCTAGTCCTAGTGGGCGAAACTGGTTCGGGCAAAAGTACCCAAGTACCTCAGTTTTTGTACCAGGAAAAGTGGTGTCAGAGGAGGAAAGTGAAGGTCCGGACCGGCGAGGGAGTCCAGGAGGTCAACGTGGGAGGCATGATTGCGATCACGCAGCCGAGACGAGTTGCAGCAACGACTCTTGCCCATCGTGTCTCCCGAGAGGCAGGCACGCCGCTCAATGGGCAAAATGCTGGCGGGAACAGCAAGGGGCCTGTCTCGAAAGGTTTGGTGGGCTATTCAGTTCGGTTCGACCACCGCGTTCCGCCCGGGACCAGGATCAAATATCTGACCGAGGGTATGCTGCTCCAGGAACTCCTTCGCGACCCCCACCTCAGACAGTACAGCGCCATCCTAGTCGATGAAATCCATGAGCGGAGCGTGGATGTCGATATGCTGTCGGGCTTTCTCAAGCAGATCATCTCCGGAGACAAGGCTGGACGTGGCGGGATCCCACTCAAAGTTATCATCATGAGTGCCACGGCCAACGTCGAGAAGATCACCAACTTCTTCTCTAGCACGAAACCCGAGGACTCCAATGCCCCATCTAATCCGGTCCCTGAGCCAAACTCTTCAGTCGAGTATCTCCAGATCGAGGGGCGGCAGTTCCCCGTCGACGTTGTTCACACGCCCAAGCCCGTCCCGGATATCCAGGAGGCGCTCATGAAGACCATATTCAAGCTTCACACGGAAGAAGCGCTGTCGGATAAACATGGCAGGAAAGATATCCTGGCATTCCTGACCGGCCAAGAGGAGATTGAGTCGGCCCAGCGACTCATTGAAGAATACGCCTCAACGCTGGGACCTAAACTACCAAAAGTCAAGGTTTTCCCGCTGTTCGGTCAACTCTCAATGGAGGCACAACACGAGGCCTTCCAGCCGATCAAAGGCGGACAGACGAGGAAGATTGTCCTCGCGACCAACATCGCCGAGACGTCCGTCACCGTCCCTGGCGTGCGATACGTCATTGATTGCGGGAAGTCCAAAGTGAAACAATTCCGGCCGCGGCTCGGCATGGAGTCGCTGCTCGCAAAACCCATATCAAAATCATCCGCCATCCAGAGGACCGGTCGAGCCGGGCGTGAAGGACCCGGCAAGTGTTACAGACTATACACCCAAGAGTCGTACGAGACGTTATACAAGACAGATCTTCCCGAAATCTTACGAACGGATATCCTCAGCGCCATTCTTACCATGAAAGCCAGGGGCATAGATGACGTTTTGTCCTTCCCGCTCATGGACCCTCCCGCGATCGAGTCTGTCGAGAAGGCTCTTTTGCATCTTCACATCCTCGGCGCACTTGCAGACGATGGCTCCATTACGGAAACGGGGCGCAAGATGGTGTCGTTTCCCCTCACACCTCCGTACGCTCGAGTTATTATAGCAGCGGCGGACCCAAAGTACGACTGTTTGCTCGAGGCGATTGATATCATCTCTTGTATCACCTCTGGCGAGGACATCTTTCTCCAGCTACGGACCGAGGAAGCAAAGGAGGAAGTCGAGGAGTACCGGAAGGAGCTTTCCCGACGAGAGGGTGATCTTCTCACGTATCTGACCACGATGCAGCTCTACGCGGCCGAGAACGCCGACCGGATCCAGTGGTGCAAAGACCGCAAGATCAACATCAGAAACATGAAGCAGGCCTTGAACATCCGTAAGCAACTCCGGGGCCTGTGCGTGCGCCAGGGCATGATGGAACAGCCACCACCAGATCCCCAGCCGTTCACACCAATATCGCCAGAACAAGCGGCAGCAATTCTCAAGTGCTTCCTGACGGGGTTTTCGATCAAGACGGCGATTCTGGCACCGGATAACAGCTACGTCACGGCGCATGGCAAACACGTCGTGGCGATACATCCTTCGAGTGTCCTGCATGGTCAGAAGAAGGAAGCCATCATGTTTTTGGAACACGTCTATACACAGAAAAACTATGCGAAGAAGGTCAGCATCATCCAAGCCGTGTGGATAGCCGAGGCTCTTGAGTAAAAGATGGAAAGGCCTATGATCGTGTCCGGGCGCGTAACACACGACGCTACGAACGATCATGAAATAGAAAGACATCACCTGGATCCACACTACCCTGTTTCACTCAGTGTTTCCATTGTAATAGAATGACTGAACCTGCCCCTGAGTACGAAATACCACCGGAATTTACATGTGAATTGGGTGTGGTGTGTTCAAACCGCACTGTGTGGATCCAGTCTGTCAACACCAAGCATTGCACGAACAGGCGCATTTCACGAGTTTACCATCACATCCATCCAAAGATAACAAAACATATTTTGGCACTCTTGGCCACAAACTAAGGACCGACGCGGCAAGGTGAACTCAAAATAGAACATATTAAACCCACTCCTCCATCATGAGACCCACCCTCCGCCTCCTGGCATCCGCAATGCCCTCGACAAATGCCATGTCACCTGGTCCCATGGCTCTTTTACCACCAATCTATCTCTACCGACGTCTATTTCGGGCACACAGGCGGCATCTCCCCTCGGAAATGCGGTTGTTGGGCGACGAGTATATCAAGGCTGAGTTCAGGGCACATCGGGATGTTGAGAACCCGGTCCATCTGGTCAGTTTCGAACCATCCATCTTCACTGAACACATGCCCGAGATACACCAAAAGACACGGTAACTCACCTAGCTCGTAACCGCTTCTAGATTGGATTCCTCACGGAGTGGCAGCTGTATGCACAGAAGATTGAAGGCGACGCGTGGGCTGGGGAGAAGCTTGACCAAGGGAAGATCTCAAAGATGAGTGGTATGAACTTCAGTCATCCAGTTCCTTGCCATGCCCTGAGCCGATGGGTTTCATCCATCACTGACGCTAACTCGTGAGAATAGATGAGCAACTTGGGCAATTGTACGAGCTGATGAGGGCGATACAGAAGCGCGGCACAGAAGGTCAAGGGTCAGATTCATGATGAGGTGTTGGTGTGCGCAGACTTGCTTTCAATGGAATCCGTTGAGCCACCGCGAAGGGAGCCCAGCCCCAAACACCAAGAGCCGGTTCTATACCTCAATCTACAAATTATCATCCATCTCCCTATCCGGGGGTTTGACTAAGTCGTCGAGATCGGCCCAGCTTCTAATACGCCGCCAGCGCGGCTCTCCGTCTCCAACAACCGCTCCTGTTATCATCCGTTTGCAGCCTCCGCCCTCTTTCGTTAATTCCCAGACGCGTATCCATGGTTTTCCGGCCGTCTTCCACTCAGATCCCAGGTCGATCTCGTATTCAAGCACCCAAAGAAGGTCATGCTTCGCCGCGCCGAGCTTTTCTGGCGGCCCATCGTCGCCTTCTCTCTTCACCCCATTCGCGTCCTGACTCACTTCTGCCGGCTCCCACGCGGCCTTTCCTTTTCCTTTGATGCCTGGCAGCGGCTCACCGTCAGTCGATTCCTCGGTTAAGCTGATTTGCGGTCTCAGAGTGGCTTCCTCCTTAACGTCCAGGGCGGTTTCGGGGATGGGAGACAATGTGACGATTTCCTTGTCTTTCCCCTTCCGCCTCCTTTCGGTTTCCGTGTTCTCTGATCCTTCGCTTTCTATAACCGTGTGTAGTATTCTCCCGGTGCTGTCCCCAGGGAGTTGCGGTCCCTCATTTGCGCCTCGTTGCTGTAGGAGCCGATTCTTCTCCAGTTTCTCCTCTGCTTGATACAGCTCCCTCTTGGCTTCTCGATAGGCGGCGGATGCTTTTTTCATGTATTCCTTCTTCGACCTTGGGGCGCCGTCGGCGAAGATCCTGACTACGATCTCGTGGAAAAGCTCTTCCGGCAAGTCCTCCCCTGTTTCGTTCCCCCCGGAACTGAACTCCTCCAAGCGACGCTTGAGCTTCTTGGCCATAGGATGCCCTTCCCAGAACGCGACCCGGACGGCATCGTAAGCCTCTAGCGTGGTGTTCCAATATTCTGATCCCGGCCCCAAGTTTAATGTCTGGGGCACCATGATAGCGGCGAGTGTGTTTAGGCACCTAGCAGTTTGGTAGTGCCATCGTCCATAGGCAGCCCTGGCTACCTCCACCGCTTTCCTGGCGAGCTCTTCGGCCTCCTCGAACAAGCCGCGCTTGGCGGCGCACTCGGCCATCGCGCGCATTAGGTAGAGCGTCTTGCGGTCGCTGGGCCCGTAGAGCAGCGGGGCTCGTTTGAACACTGATTCGTACGTTTCGTAGGCTCCCTCGAGGTCACCGTCCGCAAGGAATGCCGCCGCCAGGCCGATCGGCAACACGAAGGCGTATTCGTGCCCTTGGAACTTCTCGTAAAGATCCGGTGGGAGAGCACTGACGTCCTTGTAGCGCTGGTTCCAGTAGCCCAGATCTGCGCCTCCCGATCGGCGGATGAGCTCGTCTTCCCAGGTCCAGATTTGGAAGTCGTGCTCCCCATCGTCCATCTTAGCTATCCCGATGGCCTGTTCAAGACACTCCCTGCCGGTTTTGAGCCTCCCTGAGTCAAACAACAGGCTTGCCAACTCCGCGTAGACACTGCCCACTTCTAGATCCCACTCCCATAGCGTCTCCCTCTTGGGTTCTGGAGCGGCAGCAGCGTTGACCTCCTCGAGCGTCTGTTCCAGTGTCTTTATTAGCGGCTTGGGTCCGTTATCGCGCTTTCCGGCGGAAATGTGCGTGTCCGGCGCAGCAAGGGCTTGGTCTCCATCGTCCGTGACGCTCTGGTCATTTGACCTCCCTAACAAGAGAAGGCGGGCTACCCTCCGATGCCTAGCTTGCCTCTTCAAATCCTTTTCTGTACGGTTCATTCGCTCCTTGTAATCATCTAGCATGTCGTCTTTGCGAAGGGATAGCATCTCGAGGAGTTCCACATACGCCGCCTCTGCGTCGCCGATGCGGCCCATGTCATGATAGACGTTCCCTAGGAGCGAGAGACCGTAGGTTGCTGTCTGACTGTAGCCGCCGCTGTTGCATTTCCATGCCCGCAACATCCTCTCGAAGTGGTCCACAGCATGCGAGAACTGTTTCTGTTGGTAGTAGTACCACCCCAGCTTGAAATCCAGGAGAGCCTCGTATTTGTAGTGATGGCCGACGGATTCGGTTTCGTGGGCCATGCAGGCGTTGATGTGAGGAGGCAGGAACCGCAGAAATGCTTGGTCCATCCTGTTCCAGCCCGGTTTTATCGACTCAATAAGCACGACTCTGGCAACCTGGGCTAAGCGTTTCTGTGTCTCTTTGGCCATCTTGTCCTGAACCCAGGCTTGAACCATGACGTGCATCGAGACAGTGTTTCCCTTCCGCGACCGCTTGACAAGGGAGAACTGCTGGAGAATTTGTACCCCCAGGTTGAAATGGATATTATTCCATCTCCCGCTGGGGTAGTCACATGCCAGCAGGTAAGTCGCGTCCATGAACGGGTCGCCCGCGAGTCTTGAGAGGGGGTAGACACCATGACTTCCCCAGCTTCGCCGTTCCTCAGCTGAGCGCTCTATCATGCTGATTGGGATTTCCTCGTTGTGGTAGAAACACAGCAGATTCAAGGCAACCAGAGCGTTCCGCGCAGCGGTGCCCATCATGCCTCTCCCCTCGCGTCTCCGAAGGCCCAGGAGCGCGTCATAGGAAAGGTCGAGCGCGGTATACAGACCCGGGCGAGCCGGTGAAGAGCCGTCAGCATTTGGTTTACTAAGTAACTCGGACCTATTCTGCCGGTCGCGGAATCTCTGTAGATACGTGAGAGGCGTGCAATCCCCTTTTCTCAGATATGACCCCATGGCCTCGATAGCGAGGGGCAGACAACCGACCTCGACCACACTAGCCCGCAGCGCTTTCATTTCCTCCTCGTCCTCTCTGAGGTGTTCGTTGCCGGCGATCTTCAGGAGCAACTCGACCCCATCTTTTTCCGAGAACGAGTTGACCTCGCACACGCAATCGGAGGGGAGGTCCGCCAGAAACCCCTGGGACCGGGAAGTGTAGATGATGTTGCCCGTATTTCGGCGTGGAAGAGTCGGCGCCAGGCGGTCCTTGTCGGGGTGGTTGTCGTAGATGATGAGCCACTCAACCGACAACCCTCCTATCCACTTCAACGCGGCATCTTTCATCTCGTCGATGGTTCCGGACGGGATGGTCCTTGTTTGGCTATATTCCTCACAATATTGCTGACAAACGCGAGCGTAGCTCTGATTTACCGACGGTCCGTTTGTTCCATCAATCTGAAAGACGTATTCAAACCTATATGCGAGTTAGAGAGAGTGAACTTATTCATCGACAAGAGTTGACCATACCTTTCCTCAAACTCGTCAGCGGCCTTCAAAGCAATCTGGGTTTTGCCCACTCCACCCATACCATACAAGAGGAACTCCCGTCGGGGTTTGCCTTTGGTATCTCGTAGTGGGAAACAGGTATCCAGCTTGCGCAATATGTCATCCCTCGCCATGAAGAAACGGCTGATGTCACCCAAGGACTGAGCTTCCTGTGTGGTCAAGATCACTTGGTCTTTATCGATGCCGTCTAAATCCCGATTTAGTATTTGATATGGTATGGAGTAAAAGGGGGGGTTCATCTTACCGGCGTGGCCAAGGGTGAGTCCGTGACCGGATGAGTTGCCACCCAATCCGACGGCCGCGTTCAAGATCTGAGCAGCGACAAGAGGCTGGGCCAGGTAGGCTGCTGTCGCGGCCTTGAGAGTATTAATCTGGAGATACTTGTCCAGCCCGACCTTGTCGGCGACATCGGGGACATTGAAGCGGAAGTATGCGTTATGGTGTTCGCCGAGCTTTGCCTGGACTCGGCGGTGGGCATCTTCGCCATCAGTTGCAGTATTCTTCAGTGTCCCGATCAGTTCTTTCCCAAACTTCAGCAGTTGCCCAATGTTCCTCAGACCTGTCGACGCCCTCCCAATCTTGACCACCCTTGTTCCTGTGCCAATGCTGATGAGACAACCAAGCCGCCGACCATTCCCAATCTGAGCCGCAGCTTCCTGGAGGAGGTAAATAACGGGATTGTTGCAGCCTATGGCGGCGTCGATGAATTCCTCCGTGGCGTGTTCCCCGATCTTGACAGCCATCGGCTTAAAATAGACGGAAGCAGCGGTAGTAGCGCGTGCAGCCTCCCAGATCTTGACTTCGAGATCATAGTCAGTACCCGGAGAGCGAAAGGACCGAAGCCGGCGAGGTTCGCCAATCTTTTGCGCGGGCATGACACAGACGAAACACTGCCCCTTGGAATCGTGATCTAAGGACACGTCCAGGAGGTACTCCCCCATGTTGCGCCGCCGGACAAGGTCCTCGACGACCTCCCGGAGAGCAGTGGCCTTGTACTTCTCAGTGGCAGTGGTCCACTTCTTGTTTTTGGAGGAAAAGATCTTTTGGGAACACTGGTCGTATTCTCGTAGAGCCTCCTCAGTCGACATGCGGAGCCTTCCAAGCATGATCGCAATCAAGCTGGAACGATATCAACAACGAATCATAAGCGCAGTTCCCCCGGGGCCTCACTTACCCTCCTGTGCTAGTCCCTCCGATCATATGGAAGTATTCACAGGGCTTGGGAATATTTGCAAGACCGCAAGACTCCTTGATCTGGACCATCATTTCATGCAATATAAGGAGTGAAGCCACTCCTCGTACACCCCCGCCATCTGGTTCTTGTTAGCATAGATCCGACCAAAGACAGCGAAGGGCGCGGGAACCCACCGAGAGAGAGGAGGTTGATTGCTTCTTCATCATTCCTGGCTGGCATTGACGGCGTTTGTATGAAGTCTAAGCATACCCGTAGGATGTCCTTGCGGTTTGTGGTTTCACTGGGAAGAAATGCAACCTTGGTTGGGGCGGAGGGGACGCCAGTTATACATACACATTAACTCCCCCCCTGACTGACCCGACTCATTGGGCTGTTGGGTCACCTCACAGGACGACCCTCCAATAACGAGGCCCCATAACCGCCAAAATTGACCTGCATATTGGCGGTGACACAGGGAACCGAAAGCCTGCCGAATTATCTCCACATCATGCACACATAATCATGCGTGTCCGGCCGCAGAAGCTAGTCACTCGGCACGAAAGTTAGAGCATCCGGCCCGGCTTTTCCAAATCCCAGCCCGAATTAAGGGGTTTAATTGACAAGCTTAATCGCAAGCCCGAACGGCAGCTTCGCGTAACCCAAAACCCTTCAGCTCTTGCAGCTAGACACACAGCTTACCGGAAAAATATAAGGAGGTGAACTTGAAGGTTGGGTAGATAATGCCGGGCTACAAGGAGACCTGGTATCAAAAAAAGCTACACTACTAATATCGGCTGCAGTGCCCCTGACATCCAAAATTTCATCAAATCATCACTCGCCTTGTCATCAATACTGACCACGCCGCCGCCGGGCTCGTCCATAATAATATCCCGAATCCGTCCTTCAAGAGCAAGGTGGTCTGCTGTCCTTGATCCGCTTCTTTTGAACGCCGAGTCCCCGGATCCTATTGCCGTATGCCGCGCTCTCGTCATCTCATTCATGAACCCCAAAGGCTGTCGCAAGGCCTCACCGGAGCTCTCGTTACCATCGCCCCGAGGAGCATTACTGCTAGACGCTTCCAAGCTCCTTCGTTTGCCATTCATTTCAGGAACCTGGGCCAAAGCAGCCCTCCGTGTCTCCTCCACTTCCTTCTCTAGCCGCTTGGTGAGCGAGTTGTGCGGCCCGTAACCTGCCCTCACTCTCTCGAGCATCTCCTCCTTCGTTCTTACTGGGCCGTCACCCACCACAAGCTCCATTCGTTTGATGATGGGATGTTGCTCCCCGAGTCTGCCCTTCTCTCTCTCCAGATGCGCCTTGCTCTGGCGCCAGCTCTCCATCAGAGCAGCCTCCAGGTCGAGTCCTTCCGATGTGGGTTCCACGGATACCTCCACCTTTTTTGAGAACTCCTTCAAATGCTTCTCAAGCATCTGGGTTAGCGAATGGGTCGACCCAAGGCCGGCCCTTGCTTTGTTAATGGCTCCCTGGAGAAGCTCGCGTCCTTCCTCGTCAAATTCCATCTTCTGATTGAAGACGGCAGAAACGAGTGTGGCGTAGGAACGGATCGTCTCCATGTGTAGTTCTCCGTATGTTGATCTAGCTCGGCGAAGGCAGATATTGGCCATGGACACAGCGGTGTCATATTTCCCTCCCGCGATCAGGCATTTGACGATGTACCGAAGAATGTTCAAAATCTTCCTGTCGTAGCCACCGAACCACTTGACCCCGGTGTCGTACAGCTCGAAGAGCTCACGGCACGCGATACGCCAGTCGTCAGGGTCCCTCATCAGAAGCGAGTAGGCTGCCGCAATCATCAAGTCGAAGGACGCTTCTGACTGCCAAAAGCTCGTTGTCGCCTCTTGAGGAGCCCGCAGCACGTCGTCCATGTGGTTTTCCCAAAACTCCCGATCTCCAGCGTGGGTGAGGGTTCGAGCCTTGATCTGGAGTTTCATGAGGTCTGGGTCGTATTTGTCCAGCTGCTGCTCAAGAAATTCCACCGCCCTAAGGAGCATGCGCTTCCCCATGCCATACCTGTCCTGGTCCATGTATACCATTGCCAGCTCCGCATGTACCAAGTTGTCGATTGTGTCGATCATCTCGAGCTCATCCAAATGTTCCGCGCGTCTTAGCCAGGTCCGGTCCAATATGTCATCATTTGACATGTCTGCCTCGGAAGGCCGCTTCGGCTTCTTCTTCTTCTTCTTCTTCTTCGATGGCTGTTCCCGTACAGGCAACGGAACGCTCCAGCGGATGCCATCTGAGGGTGGTTTGGAGAGCTTCCTGGCGAGACTCCTTGCCGCCCACTTCGCGTAAGCCTTCGAAAACCGTCGAACAGCCTCTGGTTCGCCCTCCCTCTCGATCTTGATCACGGCTCTCCTGTACTCAAGTTTCCCAGACAACCACCCAATAGCATCCAGATATACTGACTCGGCCTCTGACAAGTTTCCCATTTCGTGATGCAGCCGTGCTAGAGATACGGTGGCAGTTATCGCAGCCCAGCAATCAGCTCCAACCTCGATATTCCACAGACGGCGGGACTGTGTGAAGCATTCCTTTGCCTCCAGGAAGCGCTTCTGGTTCCTGTAGTACCCCCCAAGTTTGTGCAGTAAGTGGGCACGGTACTGGTCGCGAATCAGGTGAAGCGGCGGGTTGACAGCAAAGCAAACTTCGAAATGGGGGAGCAGGTCGCGGGAGAAATGCAAGTAACCCAATCTTGCGGACGGATCTAATGACTCGAGAAGCAAGACTCTTGCCACTAGGGCCCATCGCAAAGCAATATCCCTATCGATGCGCTTTCGCGCCCACCTATGAACCAAGACGTGCATTGACAACGACTTCTTGTTTGGCGACAGCTTGACGAGGGAGAACTTCCGCAAGATGGTTACTCCCATGGCGAAGTCGCCCGAATCCCAACGGCCGTCCTCCTTGACCCGTACCATTCGGTCCAGATCGTGGTCGTACGGGCTCATGATGTGGCTCAGGGGGAAGTATCGGAGAGCCCCGGCAGCATGGTGCTCTTCTGCCGCGCGCTTCATGAGAAGTGATGGGAATTCTTTGTGGTGGAAGAAGGTGAGCAAGCTCAGCACCTTCAGAGCGAGGTTCGCGGTGAGGCCTGCATTGCTTCTACCTTCCCGGCGTCTGCGGGCAGCGATAGCCTGGTAAGATAGCTCTAGCGCTGCGTGGACTGCTGAGTTTTCAATATCTTCTTCATCGGCTTCGGGATGCGAGTCGGAGAGAATGCGGACCTTTTGAGCGCGGAGCATTTCGAGGTATTCCTGGAGTGGATGTTCACCATCTCGGATATATGCGGCGGCTTGCTCGACCGCTAGCGGGAGGCATTCGAGTTCCCGCACAATGGCCTCAGCTAATGTCCCGTCCTGTGGGTTCTCAGAAGCGGGCGGAAGGCCGGACGCTTTCAAAAGAAGCTCAATGGCATCCGCCTCCTCGAAGGGAGTGACTTCGTACGTGCAATCGACAGGCAAGTCTTGGTTCAAGCTCGTCCGTCGAGACGTGTAGATGATGTTGCCCTTGCCTCTGCCCGGGAGATGACCTTTGCGGTCGTCCAGGTTGCAGTCATCAAAGATCATGAGCCACTCATCCGACAGTCTTTCCATCCAACGCATGGCTTCGGCGCACAGCTCTTCGGTAAGTACACCAGGCCGGCCATGTTGCTTGGCGATGCTGGCATAACTCTGAAGGACGGTGGCTGGGGTAGAGCCATCGACGTAAAAGATGTACTCGAATCTGGCACACTGTTAGACAACACCTCATTTTCCGGAGACAGGGGTTTACGAGCCTGTCTTCAAAAGCCTCTGCAACCTTGAACGCAATCTCGGTTTTGCCAACACCGCCCATTCCATGAAGTAAAAACTCCCGACGAGGGCTGCCTCGGGTGTCTCGGGGGGCAAAAAACGTGTCGAGCTTCTGCAAGATCTCTTGTCTCCCGGTAAAAAAGCTACTTGTCGCTCTCATTGAACGGATTTTCTTGCTAGATAGTAATATTTGATCCTTGTCGAGATCGTCTGTGTCGAACTTAGTTAACAACACTTATCACGCCGGCGGACAGGATTGATATGAAAACAAGGTAAATACATACGGAGATGACCAAGAGTGAGGCCATGCCCAAAATCATCGGTTTGTAACGCCTTCGCAATCTGGCGTACTTGTTTGGCAACTGGTTGACTGGAAAGGTACTCCTCCGCCATCGACTTGAGCTCTGGTATTTTCAGGTAGTGGTGCAGCTTGACTTGCGCAGCCGCGTCAGGGACATTGAAGCGGTAATATGTGCCGGGAGAGGAGAGCAACTGTGACTCGAGCTGTCGATGGGCTTCCTCGGCATCGGTGGCCTGGTTCTTCAGAGTGTTTATGAGGTGGACAAAGTAGACGACTCCCCGAAACTTCAGTATGCTTTCGAAGCCCCCCACAGACCTCTCGAGCTTGACGTCCCGGGTGCCTGTGCCGATGCTGACCACACAGCCGAAGCGTCTCCCGGCCCCAAACTCTTTGACGGCCTCTGGTAAAAGGATACTCACCGGGTTATTGACCCCAATAGCCGCGTCGATATACGTTCGTGCTGATGCGCCCTTGCCCAACCGCTGGGGCTTGAAGAAGGAAGAAGCGGCCGTGGTAGCCCTCGCGGCCTCCCAAATTTTGACATCTTCATCCCAGTTATCCAGGGCGCCTTCGTCTCCGTCGAAGGAGCGAACGATATCGGTCTTCCCAATGTTGTCGGAGGGCATGACGCACACGAACGCCTTCCCTTTTTTAGGGCGCTTGGGGTCTCTCATGGACTCGCCGAGGCCACGTTTCTTGACAAGACCTTGGATAGCTTCCTCAAGGGCAGTGGCCCGAAACTTTTCCGAGATACTCCAGGATTTGTGGTTGTCTTTCGAAAAGATCTTGGCGGCGCAGTTGTCGTATTCGGCCAAGGCCTCCTTGGTCGACATCCGTAGTCTTCCAAGCATTATCGCGATGAGACTTGAATAGGTCAGCCACCGGCTCAGCTCTTCAGTATTCCCCTTCCCACCCATGGGCTTACCCTCCAGTGCTGGTTCCGGCAATCATATGGAAGAATTCGCAAGGTTTAGGCACCTCGGGAAGCTTGTACATTTCCTTGATCTTCCTCATGATCCCATCGAGGATGACCAGCGAAGCAACTCCCCGGACACCGCCGCCATCTGCGTCGGGTCAGTACGGCTACCAGACTAGCAGCGGGTTCTCAACTCACCGAGAGAGAGGAGATTGATGGCTTCATCATCGGTGGACGGTACGGAATGCATCGCTTTCCTCCTGGGTTGAGCAAACAAACACAACCGACACGCTTTGGCTAGGCGTGACGGTCATCTGAGCGAGGCACACCAACAGGAAGGAAAATGGCTAGAATGGCCACATGTTGAGCGTTTGGGTTCAAAAGCTGAGATATGACAACGCGGTCCATGAAGCCTTGCCTGGCCCTGAGAGGCCCTCCAATGGCAGGCGAAATAACAAACGCCAAGATGTCCATTGCAACCAACGGCCATGCAGGCGTCCTTCTCCCCCTGTATTTTGTGTCTGTGTTCCACGGACAGAAAGCCTCACGACTGTGGTGTGGTTGGGTCATAACTCGAACCATTCGATGAGGGTCACCGCTTCACCGCCAGAATGGCGCTCGCCCGGGTCCTGCTTCCACCAACGAAAAGAATGCCGGGAGACCATCTCACACCAATAGAAGCGAGTGAGAGCGCGGGAACTGTCGCCCTGAAACTGTTAGGCGCGCCGAATGAGCAGTCATATCAACCCGAGGTGTACCGAGACTTCTTCACCCCCTCTTTTCGCATCAGGCTGTAATGCGTTCCACTGCTTCGGTATGTACGTTCTGAGAGCTGCCGTTGGCCGCGGTGTGGGTGTGCGTACGGATGTAACTACAGTTCAATACTTGTTTGTTTGTTAGCGCGGCTCCTCTGACAGGGGTCCTAGTTCAAAAATGAAAAACCCCTACCTCGACAGCCCAACAACCGATTAAAATGTAAAGAAATGCAATATTTCGAAGCATTAGTAAAGACCATTTTAATCAAAGCTTTTTTTCTGTTGAAAAAAGCGCCGTTTTGCCGTTGAGTTGGAGATTTTGGCAAGGACCCCGGTCTTGAAGTCACGCGCTAGCGAACAAACAGGTATCAGACTGTACAGTACTGAGAATACAGAGGTTCCATGGGGTGCAGAAAAAAAAATCACCAAGGTAAAGTTTCCCACATTATGGACAATACACTCCTTAATCGCAACAACCATTGCACCCAGTCGATCAGTTCAACGCAGTGAGTTTGATGCAATCACACAAAGGTCAATGAGCAAGAGAGTTTGAGCAAGGGTTCAGGTGAGGGAGAGTGATAGGGATAGGGATAGGGTTCGGGATAGGGATAGGGGCAGGGTTAGGCGTGATAACCCGAACCCTATCCCTATCCCGAACCCGAACCCGAACCCGAACCCTTGACCTATCCCCGACGCGATGCCTTACCCAAACCCTTGCCATCTGTCTGTATCGAGCTGATGACTGCGTTGAACTGACTGCAATCGACTGCTTCAGGTCGCGAGGATTAAACGGACGGTAAAGGACTTCACGGGAGCTTATGACGGCGCGCACTGTCCCCTGTGAAGGTTGGTTGAGTGCCGCCCGGAAACACAGAGGCCCGGCCCCGATATTTCAACCAGCCCGATGAAAGAGGCGCGACAGCAACCGAAGCCTGCCGGAGTAAGAAGGTTGGGGATGTATCACGGTATGCAAGCAGACGTGCTTGGTTGGTCCATGTCTGTCTGAATCTGGGATATCTCTTTCCTCAAATCCCTCATAAAAAGATGTGTAACTCTAATAACCACGCAAAAGCCAGAACCACCACCACCACCTATCCCGTTAACAACACAAGCAAGTAGAAGGAAGTGATGCTCAGACCGACGCAGATAGATCCCAAAGCAGCCTCCCCAACAACAAGAACCAGATCACACCCCCCACAACCAGCCCTAATCTCACATCCCTCACCCCCTTTTCACCAAGCAGGCAGGTAAGGTAACCCCCCCCCCCCCCCGGCTCTCCCCTTTACCTTCCAAACCCCTCCCCATCCAAATACCACGCCGTATCCCCCCGCGGATCCAACTCCTTCGTCGAGAACCCATTCCCCAAATACGCAAACCTATTCCCACCCCCAGCAGCACCACCACCCCCCTCCTCCCTCGACAAGTACACAAACTCCCAATCCTCCCCACGAAACCCCTCCAACATATGGAAAAAATGCACCCGACTACCCGGGTGCAGCGCCGTAACGGGCCCGTCGGCGCGGCCGTTGCGGAACCAGGAGCGCCCGCCGGTGCCGGCCGCGCCCCACGCCGTGCGCGGCATGAAGGCCGAGATGTGCGCAAAGTAGTCGTCGACGGCGCCCTGCGAAGGGGCCAGGGCTTTGATGCCCTCGGTCTGGCACTTGTGGATCGCCCGCGTGATGTACTTGGCGATGTGCTCGCTGAGGGTGAAGACGCTGCCGTGGCCGATGGGGGCGTTGGGGCCGAGGAAGGCTGTGGAGGGGGGGGGGTGAGGTGTTAGTGAGGGAGTTGGGTGACTGATATATTGGGGTGGTTTGTGGTGTGTGGTGTGGGAGGGGGGACATACTAAAGTAGTTTGGTAGGCCGGCGACGGCGCACGACATGTATGCCTTGGGGGTTTCCTTGGCCCATCGGTCTTGGAGGTTGCCGTCGCGGCCGATGATGGGGAAGCGCGGGCGGAAGGAGGTGTTGAACCCTGTGGCGCAGACGATGGCGTCGACTTTGAGGACTTCGCCCGATTCGAGCTCGATGCCTTCCGCCACGAACCTCTTGATCCCGGATCTCCTGAGCTCGACGTTGGGTTTGGTCAGGGCTTGGAGGTAGCTGTGGCCGGGGGTCATTCTCCTTGTCCCGAGCGGGAAGTCGGGTATGAGCGCCTTGCAAAGCTCCTGGTTCCCTCCGAGCATGGCAGTCATGTACTCGGTAACCTTGGCGCGGGCAAAGGCTTGGACGGGGCTCTGTGTGAGAACCTGACGGCCTGTTAGCCATGGACGTCGGCATGACGAGAACATAACTTACCACGGGGAACGCATTGTTCACCTCCACCTCGATCTTCTTTACGAACTCGCGGTAGAACTCGGGGTCAGACTGGAACTTGTCGATCGTCTCTTGGGAAAAGTTCTCCTGAGCGTCCATCTGAATCTTGCTGAGGATCTCCCCTGCCTGTCCCATAACCTTCCACGCTTGTATCCTGGGTGGTAGTACCCAAGTGGGTGTTCTGAAGATGTGGTACAGTTTATCGGCCCCTGGATGCTGTTAGGTCTTGCCAATACCAAGTCTTTCTGGGCGCTTACCTGGTTGGAGTGCGGGCAGCACCTGGATCCCGCTCGAGCCGTTGCCAATGACAGCAATCGTCTTACCCGTGTGGTCAAAGTCCTTCGGCCATTGCGCGGTGTGGATGAGTGTTCCCTGAAAGGCGTCGAGGCCGTCAACCTCGGGCCACTTCCAGTTGCTGTTCCTCACGGTTAGTACGCCAACCACCCATCAGACATAATGACCACCGCTTACTTCAGAATGCCTGTCCCATCCACGAGAAAGGTGGCGTGGTCACCAAACTCCTCTCCCGTCTCCAAGTTCCGAACCGTCAACTCCCACTGCCCGTCCTTTTCGTCCCACTCCGCGCGAACCACCTGGTGCGAGGTCTTGATCGAGTCCCTCATACCCTCCTCGTCGCACACCCGGCAGAGATACTCGCCGATCTCCTCGGCCCCCGAGAAGAAGTTGGTCCAGTCCTTCTTCTGCCGCCACGAGAACTGGTAGCTGTGGCTGGGGACGTCGCACCGGCAGCCGGGGTAGCGGTTCTCGAGCCAGGTGCCGCCCACGTCGGTGTTCTTCTCGTAGACCGTGACTTCGTAGTCGCTGAGGTTGAGCCGCAGGGTCCGGATCAGGTTCAGCCCGCTCGCTCCGGCTCCGATGCCCACGATGCGGATGTGCCGGGTCGAGCCGAGCGGCTGTTCCCGAACCGTGTAAGTGCTGACATTGGTAAGTAAGGGCTCGGATTCCTCTGAGAGGCCATTGGGTTGTGCCATGACTTCGGCGGGCGTCATGGTGGGCTCGGAAGGACAAGAGGATGGAGGAGTTGGGGGTAGTTGCCGAAGCTCGGTTTGGTGAGGGATGGCTTGGTCTTGAACGGAGAGTTTGGGGACCACGACTACTTGATTTATATCCCGGCTCGAGGGGGAGCCGGAGGAATGAGGCCGCTGCATTGATAAAGAAGGCGCAACAGGGCAAAGCCGCAGAAATGGTAATCTTTCCACACCGGGTTCGGACGAACCTGGACTCGAATTCCGCGATTGGCAAGAGCTTGAACGGATTTCCAGAAGTCCTGGCCGGGTTTCCAAGTCTACCAACTGATAAAGGATTCAAAACCAGGACAAACATGGGGAACTCTTTGAAGAAATACTACCTAGTGTCGACCTCCTGCCCTGGTTCAGCCTGATGGAGTGGAGGCCCCGACCAGCTCAAGCACTTATACAGTTGGTCCATTTACGGCGACCGGTACTTTGCCATGGGCTAACCCTCGGATGACACTCGACTAAAAGCCCCTGGAAGTCGGGGTGCTGCTGGATGCACTGCCGGACGGAGGCACGCACACCCATTCCAGCTCTCTTCAGCTGTTGATTGATGAACGGCTTTTTGCTGCCGACCATCCCATCCCGAATTGGGTTCGGAATCCAATTGGCGCTGTTTGCTCGGGAAAATCCGATGCATGTTTTCTCTGTTTCTTTGTGCGGCAGCCCGGTTCAGGTGAGGCAGGGAAGGAAGGTCGGCCGCATGGCTTTGACAGTCGTGTGCTCCAATCGTATTCTGTCCAACCACAGTCGTTTGGAGTTGCATCTGGGAAGGTGACCGAACGGCGAATGAGGTGCCCAGCCGAACGGGTTTGAAGTCCGGGCCTTGGCTGGGATTCCACTTTCCAGGTTCTCTGCCGCCCTCACTGCCCCGCAACGCCTTAAAAAAAAGTTAAACTCCCTCACCCCTGAGGACGCGATCACGAGGAACCGACGACTGCTATCCAATAGTTACATCTGTACATGAATACGGCCGGGCTCAAATTCTCAGCTGGAGAAGAATTTGAAAACAGAGATCTTTTCAGCGGCGAAGCAAAGTGGACTCCCAGTGGCAAACTTTTCCGGCCTCGGTGAACAGCATCTTCACTCGAAAACCAACATCAATTGGCCACGGAAGGATTCGGATCGTCAGGCTTAAGGATTGGGAGAGGGGTGGGACATGGCGTTTTCATTCTCCTTCGCCGGGGACGACATAGAGGAGGACAACCAAGCTCCCGCACCTCCACCACCACCGCCCCCGGGAGGCACCGCGCCAGGCCCGTCACCAGCAACAGCGGGTGCGTTCCCCGTCCAAGGCAAGCCGCTGCTCCCACCGACACAGCATGACCCGGAAGCTTTCCTCTCCAAGCTGCCGTCCAAGATCGCCTTCGGTCTGCTAGACGTCGACCTTGGGGGCGGTCGCGTCCTCCAGCTGCCCCGGCGCGAGCTGTGGGATGTGCGCGTCCAACTGATGGCCGAGGAGAACACCGACAACCCCTCTGAGTCAGAGGCCGCCCTTGGGGAACACGACGTCAAGACGGGCATCTACGAGGGCGGCTTCAAGAGCTGGGAGAGCAGCGTCGACTTGGTCAAGGTGCTCGCCAGCGAGGGGGTCGCCGATCTCTTGACGCAAGAACCTTGCGTCTTGATTGAGGTGCGGCAACGCCTTTCGCATGTTCAAGCATTTCGTGCTGACCCTTCTTGCAGCTGGGCTGCGGCACAGCGTTGCCTTCACTCGCTCTCTTTCAATGGGCGTTGACAGGGAGGAAATCCGAACAGAATCAGCCGCTGGTGCTCACACTTGCAGACTACAACCCGACCGTCCTTTCTCTCGTGACGCTGCCTAACTTGGTTCTCGCCTGGGCGCTGCAGCAAAGGGGGGAGAACGCCGTCGTCAACGAGGCCTTCACTCCAGACGGAGAGTTGGAACTAACGCCAGAAGTACTCGAGGCCTTCAGGCAGTCGCTTTCGTCGAAGCAGATTACCCTCTCGTTTTTCTCGGGCGCTTGGTCTCCCGAGTTTGTTGACCTCCTTTACCTCTCCGGCGTCCCCGCGAACCTGCCCCCCACGACCAAGACACTCCTGCTCGGGTCGGAGACCATTTACTCCCCTTTTGCGCTCGAAAGCTTCGGGAGCACGCTCCTCTCAATTCTTCAGCGTGAGCGCGCCGAGCGTTCAACCGGCGGTGCCAGGGCACTTATCGCCGCGAAGAGGCTCTACTTCGGCGTCGGTGGCTCGCTGGACGACTTCGTCGACAAGATGCGAGGACTTGGAGCCGCCGTCAAGACACTGTCCGAGGAAACCCAGGGCGTTCACCGCGGCGTCGTTGAGTGCCTGCTCTCATGAGTAACTCCTGCTTAGCGCCGTACGAGTGCGCTAGTTGGGAGTGTTTCTCGAGACTAAACACCATCACCGACTTCGGGAGCCTGAGACAGCGCCCCGCCGGCGATTATGATTTCGGCATATAAAATGTGCCGTGACGCCTGCCAATGGAATTTTTTGCGGCAAAGAGATGTTTCAGAACTTCAGCTGCCTGATGGTCCGCGGCGTGAGGCATTCGGATGCAGATCCTGCGTCTCCCCGTTTATCCGCGATTGAAAGCGGTTCTGGAGCGCAGCACCCGCATCCGGCGCCGAAACATACCTATGTTACACGGAGTGTACTTCGTACGTCGCGTGCCTCCTTGGTTGAGAACTGACATGCCGATGCTGGCTGCCGAGTCACCATGGGGGGCATTGTGTGACTTGTAATTTTGTTTCACTGCACAACAACTGACGTGCACCCCAACAATGCCATTGTTACAAACCTGGTATGTTTCGAGCCGCATTTTCCGCGAGACCGAAGGTGTTTCCATCCACCATGGTGGCGAGTAGACGCGCAAGCATCTAGGCGCAGCGCCGGTTAGACCTAAAGCTGTCTCCTCGACGTTGCCGATTTGTCAAGAAACCCATCTCAGAACATGATTTCGTCGAGCATGATACTGGTTGCGCCGTGCGACTTGGAGCAGCTTAGCCATTGTAACGATTTGTAGAGCACCCACCGGCCGATGGGAGCACAATCCTCAACACCCGCGAACTGCATCCTCGTCCATTGGGTGACTGCGGGATCTTGTGCTGCATTGGTGAGTACCTACCCAGCAGTCGCAGCCCCATTAGGTTGCCAGAACAAGTTGATGAGGATCTATATATGATCTAGGCTGCTGCATTTTTATCGGCGCGTTTCCGCCCCCATTGCAACAGACCGAGTGGCTTTGAAGGCGTAACGTCATTGAGCCGGCATCCATCCAAGTCAGCGTCGCTTCATTCGGCACATCCTGGGTCGTCCATCACCTGTTGATATCTCCGAGGAATCTGAACCTTTCAAGTTGTCAATTGAACACTGCATGCAGTCGTCTGCCGTGTGCCTGCGTCTTCGACTTCAAGGATCTCTTTTGGCTTTTGCGGGGATCACGAGCACGACCAATCGGCTACAGGGGTACAATGGAGCGAGACCCTGCATCTGGCGCACAACGAGATGAGGGACCCACAACCTTCGCATTCGATTCCACGGGGTGTTGCAGTCGGCGATCTGTTGATGATGAGATCGGGACAAACAATGCCTGTCCTTACCCTCCGTCCTCAGCAATTGTTCCCGACATCAAATAGCCCCCAATTCGTCGCCCTTTGACAGTGTCGCACAGCATGTTGGCGCAGCCAGCCTTGTACATATCGGCAAGGCCCTTGTGCCAGGCTCATAAATGGATTGGAAAAGTTATCCAGGTGGGTCTGGTGTCGTCAAAGTTGCAATTTCCCACTTGACGCCGCAGGCACTAGTTGGACAAGGAATGGTAGCCGAGAGCCTGCGAACGGCGAGATCGAGGCTGGGGCTTTTTTTGCCGCTCCAAGCCAAGACATGGAGGAGTTTGTTGCCGCACAACCCGTTGGGATTTGTGCCGAGTCGCGCAGAGTCGTGGTGCAACCTTTTCCAATGCCATCTAAGTAGGTTACAATTCTGCGGCCGAATGTCTACCTTCTCTCTGTTAGTCTGTGAGTCAAGAAGTCATGGGAATGTGAATCCAGATGAGGTCACCGCTTGCGTGACGAGTGAAGAAGAGCCGCCGAAATAGGCAAGGCGGTTCTTCGAGTCCTTGCTTTGGACCCCAGTCGTTTCTCCTGTCTGACCCTGGTTGCCCGCCGCGCCGCTTCCCCATTGCGACATGGTCCAGGGTGGGTTCATTATTTCGAAGCCTCCTATTGGCGTGAGGGAAGAAGGGTCACTTCCACCTCCATCGCGTCCTTGGATTATCTCAGTATTTTGCCCCAGTGTGCCGCCGGTTGCCTTCTCCTCGCTCTTCCTCCTTCCTTCCCGTTTTACCACATCTTAAACTTGGCCTCACGCCCGACATCTTTCTGTCGTAATAATACCTAGTATCCCAACTCCCCGACGATCGTTCATCTTCAGTTCTTGCATTCCATTACCGTTCGGCGCAACTCCCGCACTTACAACCCCACCACATTCCAATCAACTCGGTAGGTCGCTCCCGAGCAACCAGGGGTCGCGCGTCTCAAGCATGGCCTCGAGCGCCAACCCCGAGGCACCCGCAATGCGATTTCTCTCCCAACTCGAGTGCATTGGCTGATCGCAAGTTGCACTAATAGCATTCGCTTACTCCAATAATCCATCCCGAAATCAATTCACAATGAAGTTCTCCTTCAGCGCCGTTCTCGCCTTCGCGACCACCGTGTTCGCCGTGAAGTTCACCAACTCTAACTTCGACATTGAGGAGGGTGAACCGTTCACCCTCACGTGGGATGAAGCCCAAGGGCCCGTCACCATCACCGTCGTGCAGGGCCCGAGGGACAACCTGAAGCCGGTCACCGTCATTACCTGTAAGCCAACCCATTGTGTGTTGGATAAAACAGGCCGGGATACTAACATGCCACAGCTACTGGGAGCGACGGCGAGTTTACCTGGACCCCCACGGACCTGCCCTCGGGCCAGTATGCCTTCGAGATTATCGATGACACCATGGTGAAGAACTGGAGCGTTCAGTTCACCTACACCGGCACCGGCTCCGTCACTAGCGTCGAGACGCCCACCTCGACCGCCGAATCCAGCACCAGCACCGAGGTTTCCAGCACGACTAGCAGCAGCAGCGAGACCGAGACTACCGAGTCCTCCACCTCCACCACCGAGACCGAGGCTAGCAGCACCACCAGTAAGCCCCCCTCCCTGAACCCCCTCAATCTACTCATTGGTACCCCCCGCAACGTGATCGCTAACCCATCCCCTTACAGCCTTCACCACCTCCACGACCGAGGACGCCGAGACCACCACCAGCGCGACCACCTCCCCCACCGGCTCCCCGCCGGACCTGAACAACGGCCAGCGCTTCGCGTCGCCCCTGGGCTTCGTCCTGGTCACCGTGGCCGCCCTCGTCTTCTTCAACTAAAGAAGCCAAACTCCCGCGCGCGGAGGTGTTTTCGGCGTTGGTCGGCTTTTGTTGGTGGCCCGGGGGCTGGGTAGGAAAGCGGGGTGTTGAGGGAGGATAATACCCTCTGATTATTCGCGTTCGTCTTCTCGTACATACCTTGTTCTTTTGCCGACGGTGCTGTAATTGCGACTGGCGTGTCGCGGCCGACGCTTGGCTACCGCACGCTCGGTCAGGATCATCTCGGCGTGGGGCTCGGAAGGGTTTTAGTCAGGTTCTGTTGGGGACGGGGACGAGTGGCGCGCATAGGGGCGTGGTTTGGGCACGTGGTTTGGTGGGGGATGGGGGACCGTGGGCCCGGCCGGCCCCTTTGCATCGGTGCGAGTTTCTGGGTTGTTGCTTGTTTCAATGACCGCTTGCTATACCGCCGGCCTCGGTTTGGTGTTTTAGTTAGGGCAGTGTAGACGGCGTGTGCGCGCGCCTGATACCTGCCTGGGAATTAATACTTGACATTGCTGACTCGGTCAAGTGCTGTGTTGTTGGTGGTTGGTGGCTGACTCTGCTCTCCACATGTTCGTCACATTCGAACGCACAGGTTCGTCCCTTGTTTTTGATGGCTTCTCGTTCGTCGGCACCTTGCAGGCTTATAAGTGGGTTCGGATGATCAACACGGCTGCAGCAAACCTGCGTCAGCACGTTCGGGTTTCGCAGCGTGGGTCGGCGGGATCTTGCAGGGCCTTTGTGTGGGGTGCAGGCCGTCCTGTCAATTGATTGCTTTTTCCTTGTCGTCTCTGTAGGGATGATAGGGCGGCCGTCGATCTTGTGTGACGGCGCAACGTGATGTTGAGGAATCGTTGCAGAATGCGGCGGTGGCGGACTTGGCTTGTTGAGGAGGCTGGCTGAGGCTGGCTGAGGTGGGGAGAGGAGAGTAAAGATGGATTTGGCTCGATTTACGTCGTTTGGGTTTGTGAGAAGTCGAAGCATCTGTCCTTATGAACTGATCTGATAATACGGAAATAATGGGATTGTCAGGAGCTGGAGTTGAGACTTTGGTATCTGCCCCCTTGTCTTGTTCCGGGGTACGAAAGAATTGGAACATCTATAAGAGCTAACTTTTGCGCTTGCTAATATGCAATAACTGACATCACATGTATTTGTGACGCTGTCTATCCCAACCATGCACACATGCTTCAATATGATATCCTAGTTTATTAAGGTCCTTCGTCTCTTCGTCCGGTTGTCGAGAAGGTGGTTGTCCCCCGGTTGAGGAATAGCCCCGAGCCGTAGGAAGAGGATCAATAAACGCTCGTCCAGAAGACTCAGGGGATCGCGGCTGGCTTTTGAACCCCTTCCTTACAACACCAATCTCAAGGTCGCATGTCGTGTCGTCTGGCCGCCGGGTTGTAGCCCGTAGGCAGCGTGGCCGCAAACTCGGTCGTGTGTCATGCGTCGTGTATGTCGTACTCAGAGTTTCGCCTTCGCGGGAGCCTCCTCCTCCGACACCAGCACCACCACGGTGCAGATGTCGTCCTCCTTCCCGCCGTGCCACACCTCATGCGGGTAGTACTTCTTCACCTCCTTGGCGAACGGGCCGTCCAGCTTCCTGTTGACGCTGGCGGACTTGGCGGCGCTGACGAGTTGCGTTGCCAACATGCTCTGCAGCGTGGGGTGCGAGCTCGCCGGGGTATCCGCCTCGCCCATCGAGGTGTATGGCCTCAAGTCCGCCGCCACCTGCACGCCCCGCTCCGTGCTCGCCCACGCGCCCGCCTGAGCCATCGTACGGCTGACAATGCGCAGCACGTCTTGGTTAAAGAGGTTGTCCCAAAGGCCGTCGCTCGCGAGCACGAGGACGTCGCCGTGGCGGAGGTGGAGGCGAGTTACCTCGGCATCGCGCGGCTGGTCCATCAGCTGTGCCCCGCCGAACTTGGCCGCCCGCAGGAGCATACTTGGCGGCACCACGCTGAGCTGGTAGGGGGTGTTGAAGGCGTGCGTTTGCGGCTCGCTGCACGCGTGTACCCCGTTGAGCCGCAGCAGAATGAAGCCGCTGTCACCCAGGTTGGCCACCTCGAGGAGGCCCTCGGCCGTGAGCAGCCCGACAATGGCGGTGCTGCCGCCGGCTTTGATCGCCGGGTCGTGGCAGACGGCTTCGTACCCCTTTTGCATCAGCTGCCGCGCCGTCAATGGCTTCCCAGCTCCCTCCGTTGTGGCTGTCGCCGCGACGGCCGAGGACGCCATGTAGTCACAGAACGCGTGGGAAAAATCGGCCGGATCGACCCCACTGTCCATCCACCCGCCCACACCGTCTGCTACGCCGAGCGCGACCTCGCCCGGGACCGCGCCGAGGCGGCTGACGAAGAAGGCATCCTGTCCCGACTCGGGCCTCGAGGCTTTCCCACGGCCGGCTTTCGGTGGCTGCACGCGATTGTAAGGGTTGAACTGGAAAACGTGGGTCGAGGGATCGTAAGAGCGGCCTTTGGCGATGTACGATGCCGCGACGTTGTAGACGAACTTGTTGTGGGTTGGTGAGGGGGCGGACGTGGAATAAGGGGATCGTGTGCCCGTTAATGAGAGCGCGAGTTGGGGAACGTTGGGTTTTGGTTGTCGGAAAGCTCGTATAGCCGTGGCGGTTCTCGTTGGAGCTGAAGTTGCCGATTGTTGGATAGCTGGTCCGGAGCTGAAGGAAGCCGAAACCTTGGTGTTAGCCATAACGCCTATGCGCGACGGCTTCGGTATGGGACGGCATGGAAGCGAGAGCACCCGAGCTACACCAACGGTGCGTGCCATTTCGCGATAGCAACGACTGAAAAGGGTTTTATCCTGCGCGGCCTTTCCGGGCCCGCAAAGAGTGAAGGCTTAAGTGGACAACCTCCTCTTCCAGAGCATCACGGATGTGTTCGGTGGTCGCAATCGCGATAGGGGTTCGGGCGGGAACAGGGCTGTCCAGAACATCGGGTCCGCCGTTGAATCTCAAAGTTTGAATCGTGCGTGTTCGGCTTTGCCCAGCGCCGAAGGTCGCGCCGCGATTGATAAGGGCCAATCCCTCCGTTTGCTGCGTTATTATGTCACCTTGCCGATGGGGACTGCTGTACTTCCCGGTGCTTGCTGCTGGCGAAATTTCGTGCAGATTGTGGAGATCTCACCGCCGTATCCACTGTCGTCCGGTTTGGATCGGCTGGAACGGGCTGGCCCGTGCATGCCATTTTGACCGATTGCCGAGGCGCTATTCCGTTCTCATATTGAGTGCACGGAGGCTGGTAAAGTCGGCGTCTTTTCGATGTTCAATCCCAAAACTGGGAACATTGGAAGGGATTGATGAATGCCCCGACAAGCCAGCTGAATATCCCATCTCCCTGTTGTTAAGAGCTGTTGGAAGGGATTGTCAAGTAAACTTGCAACTTTGCTCCCTAGGTCATTCCGGGGGACGCGCACATCTTGCGTCAACATCGCTCTGTGGTGGAAATGCAAGCCCGCGAAAGCGAGAAAATCATTGGGCGCGTGCTCGGCTGCCGCGCCGACCTCTTCACCCGGGTCCCTGAAACGCCGGGGTCCATGATGAAACCTCGCCGTCGCCTTTCCTGTCCTGGCGCCACTGCTGTCACTGCTGTCCACGCTGTCTCATGAGTCGGATCGTGGCTTGGTTCAACGACAGGGATGACCTGCAACACCCCGTCTTGCGATTCACAGGGCGATGAAGGTGCCACCCCTCGATGATCGACGCGCGGTTGCCCATTGTTCCCGAGAATAAGATGCGACCTCAAACCGGACTTCATCTTGTTTCCGGTCTTGGCATCTTTCCTCTTTGTTCGCTTCTCTTCGTAGTCGTCTCAACTTTTCCCACCAATTCGTTACAGTAGCCAGTCCATTCTGTACCAGTGCCTGCACATTTGGGTTTCTTTTTACGTTTTCCTAGCCTTCCTTGACCGGACAACGTCGTCACCCAATTGATATACATATTTTAACGTCGACGTCCGCACCGTCCGGAGATTCCGGCACCACCCTCGACAGCATGGCCCCGGCGGTCGCCCACCTATTCGCCCGGGATTACGAGAATTGCACATTCGACGAGGAAGGCTATATCGATGAGAATAGCTGCTATGTGCCCTTTTGGAGCACAAGGGTGTGTTTCGAACACTGCAGATTTGGAAAGGATATGGAAAGTTGACTGTGTTGTAGACGGGGACTATCGTGAAGTGGTCGCTCTTCCTCGGCATAATAGTAGCAGCTGGGCTTTACCTTCTGGTTGGCTATGTGCACGCTCAGAAGAGAATAAAGAAGGGCCTGCCACCCCTATCATATCACCGAGTATGTATCGCCCCAAGATTCCGTTTGGTCCGGCAGTACTAATACGGGCCTAGTTCCTTGTCTCCCGCGCAACACTCGCCCGAGTTGACCCTCGCTATCGGCCTGTCCAACCGGGAGCCGTCTACATACCCACTGCCGCTGAGCGGAACTATTACGACATGCAGGCAATGCCCCCGCCTGTATACGATCCTAATGCGCCCCGACCCCCCATGTACGAACCTCCATCCGGCTCGACCAAGATCGAACCCTATCAACAACAGCAGGGTGTCCAACAAAGCCAACAGCCGACTGAGCAGCGCTTTGAGTATGGACCACCACCTGGCTCACCGCCGGTACCCGGTCCGTCACAGGGCACATGCGCACCGCCTCCGGGACCTCCGCCGAGTGCCGTCCGGCCTTAGGGGACGGGTAACACCAATCCTTTCCGAGGCCGAAGGAGGAAGGTTTCATGGGCAAACAGCGTCTCGCAGGGATAGAGGGAGGTGAAGTGCGTAATGGTAATCACCAAGTCAGGAGAAAGGGGCGGCTGGGGGGTTATAAGAAACGGCGTTAGGTTCAGGGCGGCACCCATCTCGGCATTGCTTTGCATTTACAACACAGACGACCTAAAAAATGGTTGAATAATCCTAGAACGGAATGGAATAAAATCAACTCCTCAAGCAATATGTAAATCCTGACCGTAACGCCACGCTAAAAGCAACCAATTCCAAAGTGCGCCGCCGGCACATGCGTGTCGCGCAAGTCATCCGAGCATGAACCAACCCCCTTTCCCAACGCCTCGCTAATCGAGTTCCATGGCATCCGGGTCATCATCCTCTTCCAGCCGCGGCAACGGCTCAGCATCCATCGGCACATCCCCCCCCACCGACGACGGCGACGACAACGACGACCCCGTCATCACCAGCACCGGCACCGGCACCTGCCCATCCACCCCACCCCGCCGCTCGCGCTCAACCCGCTGCCTCTCCCGCGCCCGCTCGCGGGCCTCAATAATCGCCTTGCGGACGCTGTCCCGCTCCTCGGGCACGGAGAGGGAGGTCGGCACGCGGTACAGCACCAGCTGCTTGCCGGCGAGCTCGGCCGCCGCCGCCGCCGCGGCGCCGGGCCGCGGGTCCAGCACGTGGCTCGGGATGCGGCTGTTGCGCAGGTGCTTCTCGATGTCCGGCAGGAAGACCAGCCTGCCCTCGTGGTCGCTGTCCTCGTCGTTGTCGGAGGAGGAGAGCTCGTCGTCGAGGTTGTAGATGTAGACTTTGTGCGCCGTGTTGTCGAGTTGCATCTGGCTGTCGTCGGTGGGGGGGTTCCTGGTGTGGGGTTTCTTCGGATGTGCGGTGGTGGTGGTGGTGGTGCTGCTGGTTGGAGGTTGTGAAGACTGGGAAATGGGGTTCTCGACTGGGACGTAGAGCTTTTGGCCGGATTGTTCTGATGCCGTGTTAACTGGCTGGCGGAGTTGGAGTGGAACGGATGGGGATCCCCGCGATTGGACGGGCCGCAGCATACCGAGGTTTAACAAACTCAGCCGTTTGGAAAGGCGCTCATTGTTCTCCGGGGCCGTTTCGGCCTTGCGTTTGCGCGGGGGGTGTAATGGTAATTGTTGGCTTGAAAAGGGACCTTTGTTGAGGTGCTGGTGTTGGTGGTGGAAGTGGTCGATGCCGACTCCGTCCATCTTCAAGGGGGGGTGGGTTGCAGGGTTCCCTATCGCCAGCAATTCGTTCTTTTTTCCCTTCTCTTTGCCACTCCTCGCCCTTCACTCTTCTGCGCCAATTGCTCCCACTGCCGGGCTGCCAGCTGCAGAGGGCTAAAAACACTATGTATGGTGTCCAATCAACTCGGAATCTGAGGATTGGGTCGAGATAAAGGAGCCGCCGATATCGCGAGGGGAAGAAGGACGTGATGTTGGGTACGTTGCGCTTGGGGAAGAGGTCGTGGTTGAGCCGGTCTAGAAGCTTGGGTGGCACCGGCTGCTATCGGCCGCCTTTTGAGACTTTGAGTCATGGCTCGCGAAGCTTCCACCACAAAACCCGCCCCGCCCCGCAGTCTTGTTCTATAATCGAGAAGTTTCGAGCAGCCACCACCTTCCCAAACCACAACAACACTGTGCGCCATTACTCCGCGTTGATCAGCCCGCACTTCCGGATCGTGTCAGCTTCCAGAAACGGTTATCGGTTTTACTCTCGATCCTCAACGCTGCCGACCATGGCCGAAGTCGAGTGGACAGGGCCCCGCGTCCGCAAGACGTTCCTGGATTATTTTGCAGAGAGGGGCCATTCGATCGGTAAGGCACTCCTATACCAGCAACACCAACACCCCGCCAACAAAAGAAAAACATGCATCTGCTTGCGCGCACGACAGTTCGTGCAGAAACACAGAATGCCCGTCTCTGGAACTTTACCATCCATAGTCCCGACGAGAACATGCATCTTGCCAAAAGCCTACGCCTTCGAACTTGGCTAACCTGACTGCCCCGCAGTGCCCTCGTCCTCGGTCGTCCCTCACAATGACCCCACCTTGCTCTTTACGAATGCGGGCATGAACCAGTTCAAGCCCATCTTCCTTGGGACAATTGGAAAGACTGAGCCACTGGCCCAGATGAAGCGTGCGGTAGACACACAAAAGGTGACTTACACACTCAAACGTGTCTAATTTGGAGGGTTTGGGCTAACTCCGGCAGTGCATCCGTGCAGGTGGTAAACACAATGACCTCGACGATGTCGGCAAGGACAGCTACCACCATGTGAGTGCTGTCACCCCATGGCGGCTTTCGCAGCCTCCCCGGCTAACAGGTGATAGACATTTTTCGAGATGTTGGGGAACTGGTCCTTTGGCGACTACTTCAAGAAGGAGGCAATCCAGTGGTCGTGGGAGCTCCTAACAAAGGTCTACGGCTTGGATCCGAACCGGCTCTACGTCACGTACTTCGAGGGCAACCCTGCCATGAACCTCGAGCCGGATCTCGAGGCTAAGCAGCTATGGCTCGACGTCGGCGTCCCCGAGGACCATATTCTACCTGGCGACATGAAGGACAACTTCTGGGAGATGGGTGACCAAGGGCCATGCGGGCCTTGCAGCGAGGTACACTACGACAAGGTCGGTGGGCGAAACGCTGCGCATCTTGTCAACCAGGATGACCCTCTCGTGGTGGAAGTGTGGAACAACGTTTTCATGCAGTTCGACCGCCAAAAGGACAAGTCACTCATGCCCCTGCCTGCGAAGCACATCGATACCGGCATGGGTTTCGAGCGTCTAGTGTCTGCTCTCCAGAACAAGACGTCCAACTACGCTACCGATATCTTCACCCCGTTGTTCGCGAGGATACAAGAAGTCACTGGCGCTCGGCCATACACGGACAAGTACGGGAAGGATGACGTTGACGGTATCGATACCGCCTACCGTGTCGCCGCCGACCATATCCGCCTGCTCTCCTTCGCCATCGCCGATGGTGCTGCACCCAACAACATCGGACGCGGCTACGTGGTCAGGCGTGTTCTCCGGAGAGGTGTGCGGTATGCGCGGAAGTACTTCCAGGCCGAGATTGGCTCCTTTTTCTCGAGTATTCTACCGGCGCTAGTTGATCAGATGGGCGAGCAATTCCCCGAGCTCAAGAAGAAGCAGGAGGATATTCGGGAGATCCTGGATGAGGAAGAGGTGGCTTTCGCGGTCACGCTGGATCGCGGTGAGAAGCAGTTCGAGAAGTACGCCGCCTTGGCGGTGAAGTCTGGGGAAAATAAGCTCTCAGGTGCGGACGTATGGCGCCTCTACGACACTTTTGGGTTCCCCGAGGATCTCACAAAGTTGATGGCTGAGGAGCGTGGGCTCACCATCGACGAAGCCGAGGTCGAGGTCGCCCGGGAGAAGGCGAGGGAGGCGAGCAAAGCCGTGAAGGAAGCCGTTCAGACTTTCCCCAAGCTCAACGTGCACCAAATTGCCGAGCTGGAGAACACCGTCAATCTTCCCCGGCCAGACTCGGAAGCCAAGTACAAGAAGGGCGACATCAAGGCCAACGTCCAGCTCGTCTTCACTGGCGCCGAGTTCCGCAAGACTAGTAAGGAACTCCCGCCCAAGACACCTCTCGGCTTGTTACTCGACAAGACAAACTTCTATGCCGAGTCCGGTGGTCAGGTTGCGGATACCGGTAGGATTCTTATCGACGGCGTCGCCGAATTTAAGGTTCTGGATGTGCAGGAGTTCGGCGGTTACGTCGTGCACAACGGCTACCTCGAGTACGGTGAGCTCACGGCCGGTGACGAGGTGATCTGCGAGTACGACGAGCTGCGGCGCCAGCCTATCCGGAACAACCACACCGGAACACACGTCCTGAACCATGCGCTGCGGGAGGTGCTCGGCGATGAGGTCAACCAGAAGGGGTCACTGGTTGACCAGGACAAACTGCGCTTCGACTTTAGCCACAAGAGCCAGGTCACCTTGGAGGAGATCAAGAAAATTGAGGCCATGTCAAACGAGGACATTCAGAGGGATCTCAAGACGTACGCCAAGGACGTCGACCTGAGCCTGGCGCGAGAAATTGAGGGTGTCCGCGCCGTCTTCGGCGAGACGTACCCCGACCCCGTACGCGTCGTATCGGTTGGTGTCGACGTCGACGAGCTTCTCAAGACCCCCAAGAACCCCGAGTGGCGCAAGGTCAGCGTTGAGTTCTGCGGCGGCACCCACGTCGAGTCGACGGGCGCCATCAAAGATCTGATCATCGTTGAGGAGAACGGTATCGCCAAGGGCATCCGGCGACTCGTCGCCTACACGGGCGATGGCGCCCATCAGGCGCAGCGCGACGCCAAAACCTTCAGCGAGAAGCTCGACCACATCCAGGCGCTCGAGTTTGGCCCGCAAAAGGCGGCCGACATCAAGGCAGCGGCGGTCGAGCTCGATGCGCTCACCATCTCGGCGCTGACCAAGGAGGAGCTGCGGCAGCGGTTCGCCAAGATCCAGAAGGAGGTCGTCGACGAGCAGAAGAAGCGCCAGAAGGCCGAGAGCAAGACGGCGCTCGACACGGTGCAGGGCCACTTCAAGAAGGACGAGAACAAGGAGGCCAAGTTTTTCGTCGGCCACCTCCCCATCTCGGCCAACTCGAAGGCCATCGCCGATGTCATGACATACTACAAGTCCAAGGACAAGACGCGGACCGTCTACGTGTTTGCGGGCAGCAAGGATGATGCGGTCATGCACGCCGTCTATGTTGGCACGGTAAGTTTCACTATTTTGACACGTACGTTTTACGAAAGAACATTTCAGCTGACATGGGCTCGCAGGAACTCTCCTCCAAGGGTGTCACGGCCGAACAGTGGACGGCCGCCGTCACGGAGGTCATTGGCGGCAAGACGGGTGGCAAGGAGCCCAGCCGACAGGGCGCTGGTGCCGAGCCGGCCAAGCTTGACGAGGCCGTTGCTCGGGCAGAGCAATGGCTTACGGACAAGATGAAGGAGCTCAGCATTTGAGTTGATGGTTATGGGAAAGGGGGTTAATGTGATGGTAATGGATTCGTTGTCATGACTTCAAGCCTACTATGATGTGTCTGGGGGAAGGCGGGATATGCTAGGTTTAGACGGGTGAATGAGTCAAAAGACTGGAACAAGTTTAGTTCCTAAAATCATCAGGGGCATCTGCTAGGTGGTTCGGATGAGCATGTTTGGGACAGGTTCAGGTGCATCTTGCCCGACAATCTGGCGGGCCGGCAAGGGGTTGTATTGTTACAAGAGCGTGGTTGTATGTATGTATGTACAAACCACGGTTGTTTTATACAGTAAACATCACACTAGCATTCTTGTACCAGGTCAGGATCGGATTCTCGCCGCTCTGCGTCTCGGTATCCTCGAGGTACGCCCACCTGCGCATGAACTCCTCATGGGTGAGCACGCGGGTCAGCTTGCCCGTGATGGCCTGGTAGGTGGCCTCGGCGGTGGAAAAGTTGGTGGGGAACATGATGTCGAAGTAGCCCTGATGGACCTGCCGGTGGTGTGTTAGTGCCTCTTTCCCTAGATACTCGAAACGTGAAGCACGAGGGGTTCCTTACCAATGGTGTAGAGACGGGTATGGGCCGTCGCTGGAACCGGGTCTGCACGATCGGGGCGTTCAGCCCCTTGGTCGCGTCCGGCAACGAGTGGAAGTCGCTCGTCAGCAGGCGATGGGCGGGGAAGTACCGCCCCAGCACATCAAAGAACTGCATCAGCCGCGTGGGTATGTACTCGGGCGGGCTGAGGTTGGCCGCCAGCGGCTTCTGCGCCGCGAACCAGCGGCCCATGCGTGTGGATGGGTATGGCACCTTGTACCGCCCCCCTGTGGCCGCGTCCCGGACACGGAGGTAGCGGGCTGCGACTGGATCCAGGTGGGGGGTGTAGAACTCATAGAAGTCGCCGTTCTCGTCGATCATCACCATACCCTGGAGCGGTTTCTGGGTCTCCATGTCGTAGCGGAGGACGTCATGGGCGAAGTTGTCGAAGACTTCGAAAGCGAGGAAGAAGCAGGGCGAGGGGACGGGGTTCGTCCAGTCGAAGATGGACTGGTTGATAATCTCCACCTTGTCCGTGTGGCCCCGCGCGGCAAAGGACTGCATCAGCTGAGAGTTTTGGAGCGTGGCGAGCTGGGTACTGATCTCGATGATCTTGTACTTCGTGCGGTTGTACACGGCGGGGTCGACGTCGCGGATGTGGTCGAGAATGTTGAGCATGAGGGTGCCGCGACCGGCGCCCATCTCGTAGATGATTAGGTCGTGGTAAGGGTAGGTGGTGAGCTTGTAGTTGGCGATGAGGTAGCGAGCGATTGACTCTCCGTAGTAGGGGCGGAAGAGCTCGGTGGGCGTGTACCACAGCTGGCGGGTATCGCTTGGAGACACGGCGTCCAGGGAGTCCTCAAACTCGACATACCGACGAGATAGGATTGAGTGGAAATCAAGTTCATCGTATAACGAAGGGAAGTCGAAGGGTTCGCCGGGGGTGAAGATGACGACTTGCTTCGAGAAGTAGCCGTAATTTGGGTTGTAGAGACTGTCTGGGGACGGCAGAGAGATATGTCAGTGTATTTTCGTCCTAGCTAACCAATTGGCTCTTTTAATCTAATCTCCGCAAACTAACCTTCTATGAAGTCCCGCATCAACATCTTGACTCTGCGCGGCCTCTCCTTGCGCCGGCGTAGGTCCAAGGCAGTTACCATGGGATACTTCTCGAACTCATCCGACATGTCATGTTGAAACACATCAGTCCGCTGTTGCCAGTTGGCTTCTGCCTGTGGAGTCCCTGCACCCGACCCGCCGCGCCCACGGGTCACATAAGAGCGGTGTTGATGGTGTTGTTGGTGTTGTTGGTGTTGTTGCAGGTATCGGAGCTGCTGCTCTTGGAGTCGTCGTCGGCGCACATCTCGGAGTGCTATTGTCAGCGTTGTCAGGTTCCGTCGCGTCTGGCAAGCCGGATGGCGTCGAAACAGTTGTCGGAACAACTGGGTGACTATGGGAGAGTCCATCTTCCCGAGGGGGGTCTCGTTGGCGGGGGACCTCGATGACTCCAGACAAGATTTCCATTGGGAGCTCCATGTCAGCCCGCGTCAATTGAGGGTCGACGTTTTTGAGGTGGCCCGAGCTCCTTAGCTGCAGCACGCGAGCACTTATCACATAATTTCTGAAGCCGCAACAACCATTGCAACCAGGCGATTGCACCCAGTTTAACGCCGTCAATCTGATACAGTTGATTGTAGTCAGTTTAGTCTGTAATAGAGTTCATTGCTGCCAGTCCAATGTGGTCAGTTCAACGCAGGTAGTAAACCCTAACCCTATATGTAACCCTAACCCCATACCTAACCTGAACCCTATCCCAAACCCTAACCCTAGCCCGAGCCCTACCCCTATCCCAAGCCCAAACCCCATTGCTAATTAACCCGTCTATGTATATTGAACTAACTCCGCTAAACTGGCCTCCTTGAAACGGCTGTGATCAACTGGATCGAACTGACTGCGTTGTGCCGGGTGCCGTATCAAATTGGAATTATTAAACGGGGTGGTGGGTATTAACCGGGGTCGCTCTGGTGTGTGCGCGCTTTCAACGGGCCCCTCAAGCCTCCCATGCCTGGGCGGGGTCCGGCCCACAGCTCTGGACAGCCTAGGCCCCCTTCTTGTAGCAAGGTGCTGTGCAGTACAGTCAGGTACCTGTTTGTTCGTTAGCGCGTGACTTGTGGTGGGCCACAACAAGGGTAGCGAAGCCAATCAATTCAATTTCAGGAGATTTGATAAATATACGAAAAGACAAGGAGATACCCAATGTCGCATACAAATTAGCCGCGAAAAGGAGTCGCAATTAGTACCCGGTATATCCCCCCTGGTTGCGAATCACGGCCTGCAGCCTCCTCGGCATCGAATGGACCAGGCGCAGTAGGAATTCGGCCGGTACTGCAGCCTACGCCTCCAGAACTGTAGCCTTGAGGGCCTCCCCGGTTGGCCGTTGAATATATTTGCGTTCAAGCCAACGCTTCATCCAAACCTATACGTGCTCAATGGGGTTGAGATCTGGGCTGTGGGGTGGCTAGGCCACCACTGTGGCCCCGGGGAACCTTTCAGCTATGAACGCCTTGGTGGATTTGGACCCGTGGGTAGGGGTATTATCTTGTTGTAAAGTTCGACCTCTATCTTCCAGCTAAAACTGGTGGAAGAGAGGGAGAATTCGTTGCTGGTAGGAGTTAGAATTGATCTTTCCCCATTTCTTTTCCTAAACTAAGGAGGTTCCTTTGGTATCGCCAGCAAAACAAGCCCAGAACATCCAGCTATTTGCCCGCATTCGAACCTTTGCAAATTCCTAGGGGTCTTCGCCGGGGAGGATAGTCATGTATCGCCGGCCGGTACCCAGCCTAGTGACCTACGTTTCGTCAGACTAGATCTATTTTTCCCACTCCTTTGGAAGAAGGCCGGCCTATTTGAGTGTAAATTCGAGGTGTAGTTGCCGAGATCTAGGCGAAAGAGGTTGTTGAATAGGCTGGAGAACCCTGAAGATACCGTTGTCTTCCATTGCGGATCGAAGGGCCCGGGTATTATAGACCTATAGGGTTGGAAACAGTCGACGAAGCTCCCTCTATGGTAGGAAGCGCTTACTGTGGTGCGGTGTGTTGATAAGGTTGTTGATTATCTGCTTGACCTCCTTGGGTACGACTGGGACCCGGCTATATGCTTCCGAATAGCGGGGGCGAGTAGGGCCGTATGCAGTGTACTGTACCTGCCGGTAGGTGAGGTTCATGGCTTTGGCGATGTCGCTGTAAGTTATTGCTGTATGGTACCGAAGTGTCTTGATAATGATCCTTTCTTTGTAACTTGTGGCTGAGGATTTCGATATGCCTAGCGAGTTGGGGTTGTTGGTAAAGGAAAGTTTGTTGTAGTTAATGTAGGAAGGTGAGGGGGTAGGTGGTGGGTTGAAAGCGTTGTTGTTGTCGGAACTGGTACTCTGACTATCTGGCCATTCGCAGTTATCAACTGTGGCCTGGTTGGAAAGGTCTGGGGGTACTGGTTAGCTGTTGAAATGGGTGGAAGGTTGATTGACTAACCTGGCTGCGTTGGCTGGGCTGTATTGGCCAGAGCCTTCTTCTGGGCTACGCCCTGGTTCCAGCGATAGCGCTATTCCTGGAATGTTATCCGCCGTTCAATTCTGACGAAATCGCTGTTAAAATCTTCTACCTCCTCTACCTCTTCGAAGTGGTCGACTAATTCGGCCTCATCTGGGCCATCTTCGTCGTCGGAATTCAACAGGTCGGCCACTGCAAGTGGTGGGCTGTGGTGGCTATCTGTGGGTTGATTTTCCACTGCAGGTGGTGGGTTGTGGTGGCCATCTGTGGGCTGAATTTTCCAGGGGAGTTGTCTGGGTATGGCGATTGCGGCTGGGTGCGGTTGGTGGCGCGTGCAGGCCACGAAAAAACGCGGGGTAAACGGATGCGGGTAATCTGATTGGCTAAACGCGTTAATATAAGTGGGTACCAGCTAAAATAAGCTAAGGAAAACTCACGGTCTGGTGTAGCCGTTTTGCAGTGCCCTGGGCCGTATCTTGAACTGGCCGGCCGAATGCGGGGTCCTTTATGGGCGACTGGGCTGGGCCTGTTGATCTGGCTGATTTGCGTGCCCTGTTGAAAATCAATAAAAATCAGCGAAAATCAACGAAAATCAACAGAATCAGCCAAACCCTGGCACGTGGGCGATTTTTTCAATTGGTCGAAGGCGCTGCAATCAACTGGGCTAAGCCAGTTTTGTGGTTGCGATGGAAAAGTCTGGAAAAAGTGGTGGAAATGGAAGGATTTGTGCCCTGTAAAGTGGGTTGGAAGAAGAAGGTTGTGGATCAAAAAGTCAGAAAACTGAACAGTTGGTTGGCTGTGGGTAACAGGGCGGCCCTGGAAAAGGTTAGCTATTTACAGTTTAGTGGGTGGGGCGAGTCACGAGCTAACAAACAAACAAGTATTGAACTGTATGTACCACGAAGCTCGCCCAAGCTTGGGTCGAGGTGCATGATGACATCAAAAATTCGAACCCAAGATCGTTTTGGGTTTTACAGGGCATGTCCTCTGGCCCACTGTGTGTGGTTCAAATTTTTATTATTTTCGATATTGGAATTCACTTATGACCACCTACGTACCTCGGTATTCTTCCCATCTGAAATCTCTTGAGTGACTCTCTATTCGTACCTACAAGTTCAACGACGTTGGCAGTGCGCATTAAATCATGAACGTGATATCACAATGTCTCTAAGCGACCACCCTCGAGTCTACGGCACGGCCGCCTTAACAATGGCCTTCGTCGCTGGTATATTCGTGACATTGGGGTTCAAGGATCTCTATCCAGAACTGGAAACGCGGTACGAGCGACAAAAGAAAAGGTCAAGGAGGGGCAGCATCCTCTTCGGACCCGTCAACCTCGAAGATCACGAAGGAGCCTTTGCGGCCAACTACGACCGTGGCAATGGCATCGTGGATGGCATCGAGGGCACCATTGGCAACACACCTCTCATCAAACTCCGCAGCCTCTCAGAAGCGACCGGCTGCACCATCCTCGCCAAAGCCGAGTTCCTCAACGGCGCCGGCGGCAGCCCCAAGGACCGGGTGGCCCTCAACATGATACAGGTCGCCGAGGAACAAGGCCTCCTCTCCCCCGGCCGCGGCGACACCATCTACGAGGGCACCGTCGGCAGCACAGGCATCTCCCTCGCCGTGCTGGCCCGCGCCCGGGGCTACAAAGCCCACATCTGCATGCCCGACGACATGGCCATCGAGAAATCGGACCTGCTGCACCACCTCGGCGCCACAGTCGAGCGAGTGCCCGTCGCACCCATCACCGACCCAGGCCACTTCGTCAACCTCGCCCGGACCCGGGCCAAGGAACACACAGCAGCCTCAGACACACCATCGCGGGGCTTCTTCGCGGACCAGTTCGAATCACTGGCCAACTACACAGCGCACATGAAGACGACGGGGCCCGAGATCCACGCGCAGACCGCCGGGCGGCTGGACGCGTTCGTGGCGGGGGCGGGCACGGGGGGCACGATCGCGGGGGTGGCCAAGCACCTGAAGGAGGAGCGGGGGCTGGGGGAGGAGGTGCGGGTGGTGCTGGCGGACCCGCAGGGCAGCGGCCTGTACAACAAGGTGCGGCACGGGGTCATGTACTCGCCGACGGAGCGCGAGGGCACGCGGCGGCGCACGCAGGTCGACACCATGGTCGAGGGCATCGGCATCAACCGCGTGACCGAGAACTTCGAGGCCGGCCGCGGCCTGGTGGACGACGCCGTCAAGGTCACCGACGAGCAGGCCTGCCGCATGGCCCGCTGGCTGGTCGAGCACGACGGCGTCTTTGTGGGCAGCAGCAGCGCCGTCAACTGCGTGGCCGCCGTGGTGACGGCGCTCAAGATGCCTAGCGACAGCCGGGTCGTGACGATCCTCTGCGATTCCGGGTCGAGGCATCTGAGCAAGTTCTGGAAGCACATCGCGGCGATGGGGCTGGAGGACGAGACGCGGGAGCAGGATGAGGACTTGCTTGCCGTGTTGGGACTCCAAGATCTTCGCAGGTAACGAGGCATGGGAGTGGATATTGGTCAGAGGCAGCTCAGAATCCGGCTGTATATACAATTAGGTTGATACCCAGAGTTGCCCAAGATATCTCACGTTTTGTTCAACAAAACCAATATTTGGGCGGTATTTGTTCTGGTACCGCGGAAATGTGTGTTTATGTACAAACTCCCCTCCTTATCTAACCCCTACCTATGGCAAAGAGAAGAAAGAGTATCCGCTTCCCGAGACCGGGCATCATCCTGCCCCTGCTCCGCTATTGTATAGAGCCACCGCAAAACGTTCTTTCCTTTGACTCCTTGACCACCTGGATATCCCGTTACCTGGCCACGCCTAGTAAGAACCGGACTAGAGTAGAGCGGCATGATTGAGGTGCACGCCTCTACGTTTCCAGGACCGATCCGTCTCAACGGCGACCTGATGGCCCCATCCCGAAACACACTCACATCGAGTCTCATAATGCAAAAACTCCCCCACCGTGACCCCCGAAAAGGCTGAAGTCAGCCGTGAAATGCGCCCAAACCGCAGGACTATTGGAAAGGATATGAAATATTAAAAAAAAGGCTAATAAAAGCCGAGATGACCGTATGGCACCGCGCATCTCCTACGAAAACTGGATTGTCGGGTTAGCACGAGCGGCACAACTCAGCCACCATCAAGGGGGTCAACTCACCTTCCAGCGGTGACCACAAACGGTGCACTCGCAGAACGTCGTCATCGGTTCATCGGCTGATCGGGTTTGGGCCTGGCTGTACGAGACCTTCTTCTGCTTGCACTTGCCACACTGCAGAGAATCGCTGATGGACCTCTGAGCCATGGGCACCTGGGCCTTGAGCATGTTCTCGCGCTCGAGGGCGGCGTCGCGCTCGCGCTGGGCGTCCGAGGCCAGCTCCTCGTCCGTCATGACGACGAACTTGTCGGGCGAGATGTCGCCCCGCAGCACGCGGCGGCCCAGCTCGGCGTTGTCCTTGCGCTTCAGGCTCGTCATGAGGCCGCGGATCTTGTTGCGGTACTCGTTCGTCTCCCCGTACGCGGCGTACGCGGCCGCCTCCACCTCCATGGCGCGCTGCAGCACCTCCTCGATCGACTCGGTCGCGCGGTACGCCAGGCCGTTGTACAGCACTCCGATGCTACCGTCGCGCGCCTTGTTGCCTGTCCGCGCGATGTCCACCTTGTCGAATCGGAAGTGGCGCTTCTCGGGGTCGCCTTCGTACGGGGTGCTGTAGGAGGAGGACGGCGGCGCGGGAGAATCCTTGGGGGTTGGCGACTTGCTCTGCTCCAGCTTGCGCTTCTTCGACTCCTTAGCGGCGTCCACGTTCTTTCGCCATTTCGAGACGATTTCGCTGGCCAGTCGCGCAATCTCCTTATTCGCGTTATGCCGCAGCTTGCCTACTGCGACGCCGGCCTTTGTGGACTAGAGCTCACCACCGTGAGAATCCGTCCCCGAGAAGCCGGAAGGTCGGGCTTGGGCATACTTACACGAAGCTGTTCCTCGGTCGGCGCTTTGGCGTTCTTCAGTTCCTCCAGCAATCCGATCACGACAGACGGAGGCTCGGCGGCGGCGGCGGCCTTATTCAACGTCTTGACCCTCTTGCTCAGCACTTGGTCATCCATTTTGGCTATCGGTTCTGCTGGCTTTCGCGATAATTTCCGTTCCCGGATCCGGAGGTGGCGGTTCAAAGCGAACAGCAGCGAGCAGTTTGCCGATGTCTCGAGGGCCAAATCGCAATACTGGGTGGTCGGATTTGGCGGAATACACTGGACGCGGAGAATGGCCAGACGCGCAAATAAAATGATCGGATATGTGGCGGGTCGGGGGGAGGGGGGTCGGCTTAAAGTTGGAAAGCGCTCGAGAAGTGGACGACGTGGAGAGCAAAGCAGCTTTCCCGAATTGGCGTACAAAAAAGAACCCCGGTTTGGCGACAGGTCTCGCGTGCCCCACCTCTACCAGAGCCTCGTCGCCTTCATCAAAGCTGCTGTGGGGCGGTCTCTTTTTATCCTAGGTTTATCCGGCAAAAACAACGTCGAGACAACCTGGTGGGTAACGACGGAGTACAGTACTCCCAATACCTAACTACCGGGAACCAAGCCTAGAGCTCACTGACTAACATTCTGACAATGGACCTTCCTTCTCATCTCACTTAATCACCATTGAAGGAACTTGAAGCATATGGATATTTGATATTTATGCTTGGACCAAGTGTATTAAAAATTAAAATCATTACTTCGCTAATTATGAATTATTATGAAATTCCAGTTCCAGCTTCCAAGGAAATCACTTCATCACTCTTTTTGTCTTTTCTGACCGACTTCCACTCAATGGCGCAGGCAATAAAGGTAGCCAAGACACCGAGAGGGATTGACAGGGTAAACACCGTCATGAGTGCCTTGTTGTATATCTCCAGCATCAGGGGCAGGTCCTCGGGGGGCACCAGGTTGCGAAAGGAGGCTGCTCCGCTGTTGATGAGTTCCTGGATGTCGAGATTGTCGATCAGGCCCGCGTCTGTGGCCTGAACAAGCTGGTTTTGGAAGACGCTATTTCCCACAAAGAGGAACACGGCGCCGCCGAGAGATTGGGATGCCACCACGGCTGCTGTGGCGATGGCCATGTCCTTCTGGTCGAGCACCGTCTGCACTGCCATGAAGCCCTGCTGTATCGAAATGCCGAACCCAATGCTCGTCACCACTTGGAACCCTGCCCACTGTGCCGTTGTTGAGTCGACCCGCAGCAGAGTCATGAGCCCCAGGCCGACCGTGCCGATGGCACTCCCTAAAATGGCTGGCGGTGTCACGTAGCCGAACTTGGATACAAAGCAGCCGGCCGCCAACGAGAAGACAGCGTTGACCACAAAGTACGGGATCAGACTGATGCCCGACTGCAGGGCACTCATGCCGCCGATTGCCTGGAACCAGACGGGCAAGAAGTACGTCAGGTTGATTAGCGCAGCATAGATCATGAAGGCCATGCCGCAGGACGCCGCCACGCTGCGCTGCGTGAAGATCCTGGGAGGGATCAAGGCCGCCTCACCCTTCCACCGCTGCCACACCATGAAGACTGCGGTAACGGCACCGGCGCCGACGAGAAGACCGACCACCTTGGCGCTGGACCAGGCTATGCCTTGGGTGGTGTATTCGAGGGCTAGGAACAACATCATGGCTGCTCCTAGGAGCAACGCATTACCGCCTACGTCCAAATCCAAGAGCCGCTCGACGAGACCGCGGCCTGCATTGCTGTTTTTCTTCGGGTGGAAAAACAAGAGCATCGCCACGACTGTCGCACCCCCGAGCGGGAGGTTGACGTAGAAACACCATCGCCACGACTGTATTACCGTCAGCGGGACCATCCCTTGCGGTTGAACCAACGACGAGGGGAGACATACCACAAGATCTGTGAAGACGCCGCCGAGGAGTGGCCCTGTGGTAGCGCCGACACCGAACCTGTGCTGTATTAGCCAGCGCGTCGGAAAGGTGAGTAAGGGGTTACGTTACTTACATTGTACCGACGACGGCCATGAAGATGGGGCGCGACCGGAGCGGAATAGCGGCTGCCACAACGACAAAACTACCGGTTAGAATACCTGCACTGCCGAGACCTGCGATTGCTCGCCCGACGATTAGGGTGATGGAGTTCGATGCGACTCCGCAAAGCAACGAGCCGATCTCAAACAGAAACATGGCTGCCAAGTACGCCTTCTTGATCGAGAACAGCATGAAAATGCGCCCAAACAGTGGCTGGAAGGCACACGCTGTAAGCAGATATGCCGAGCCGTACCATCCGATATCCGGGGTCGACTGGAACTCGTGTGTGATGTACGGGATGGCCTAGGTACCCGTCAGCACACCCGAAAGGATCTATCATCTGGGTCACTGCGTCTCTCTTACCGTCGAGATGATGGTCCGGTCAATCGAGACCAAGAACTGAGCGATCATGAGGCCAACCATTAAGCATACCAGAGGGAACCCTGTGACAAAATCATTCTGTTCCACGTCTGGGCCTCCGCCGCCCTCGAAAAGGGTTTCAGATCCTGATGCTGAGGTGGTCTGGTGCAAAGCTGACCCGGCCTGCTCAACGCCATCTCCAGTGCCCAGCTGGTTCGAATCATTAAGAGGAACCCGGGTCAAAGAAGGCTCCAACAGCGGTGGCGGAAGCACCAGCGTCGATGGTGTTGTCGATGACAGCTGTGCCGGTAGCAGTCGTGGTGTTGGCGGCATTTTACCTTGCTGAGACGGGAAGGGATGAATGAATAGACCTAGAAGATATCGGAACCAAGAGAACATGGGGTAGCGCTCAGTAGAAGCTTTGACTTCGTTGTTGGTAGACATCTTGAGAGTAGCAGTAAGAGGACGATGAATATCGAGAAGATGAATACCGACAAACTGTCATGTGAATAATGGGGTGCGTTGGAGCGTTGGACGGCTACCCTCTCCTTATATACCGTTGAATTCATCTCACAATCACTCGCCGCACGGATCTCACGATGATGTGCTACATCTTTACCGTTAGCCTCCCTGACGCAAGCCCGCGTTATCCTGGAGCTCAACAGGTCAATCTATGTTGACTCACAATCCCTCGCCGCACGGATACCACGATGATGTGCTGCATCTTTACCGTTAGACCCCCTGAATCTCTCGACGCACAGATACCACGATGATGTGCTGCATCTTTACCGTTAGAATCCCTGAATCTCTCGACGCACAGATACCACGATGATGTGCTGCATCTTTACCGTTAGGACCCCTGACGCAAGCTTTCGCTATCGCGGAGCTTCATAGGTCAAGCTAGCAACGGGCACGTATCGCCATGCTTCCCGTCCTCACGCCATCGCACGCACGACCTAGGCCATGAGTCACTATCCCAGGGATGCTTACCATCTTGCGTCTTTGCCACCATGGAGAACCAGCAGAATCACAATCAGCAACAGCACGGACTCCCCAGCCTCGGGGTATATAAGGAGGCAGTCCTCCCATTTCTTCCTCCCAGTTCATATTTTTTCCACATACGCATTCCTAATTTCCTCTCTCCAGCATGGTTCAAAATCCCATTCGCACCCCGATCTGGGTGCTTGCCTTCGCCATGGTGGCTGCGTTTTACTACACCAAGATGATGGACATCCCCGTCTACCCGGCATTCATAGTGTCGGCCGCCTACATCGTCGTGCTCTACTGGGTCATCTGGAGAGGATGGCTGTTTCCTGTGTACTTCTCCGAGTTGCGCCATGTCCCGACCGTTGGGGGCTTTCCCCTTTGGGGCCAGCTGATCCCCATCGTCTTCGAGGAGTGCGGTCTGCCCCAGCGCCGCTGGCACAGGCAGCACGGCCCTATCATTCGCTACTATCTCCCGTTCGGCTGCGAGAGACTCTCCGTGGCCGGTGACCTGCACATCCGCCACCTGACTGTTAAGAACCCCTACAACTTCCCCAAGCCCGTCCGGGCCAAGTTGTGGATGGTTCGCATTCTCGGCGAGGGTGTACTCCTCGCCGAAGGCGCCGAGCACGCCTACCAGCGCAAGACGCTCAACCCCGGGTTTTCCATCTCGGCGATCCGCACCTTCACGCCCATCTTCTGGGAGAAGGCTCTCAAGATGTCCGACCTGCAGCACAGCGAGATGAAGGATGCTGGAGAATCATCCATCAAGTTGGAAATCCTGGAGTGGCTCAACCGGTGCACTCTCGACATCATCGGCGAGGCCGGTTTCGGCTACAACATCAACTCGCTCGGGGATCCCACGCTCCCCATCCGCCATGCGTACAAGCTGGTGTTCAACTTCGACCTGGCTTCGCGCGTCCTGCACGGGATCCAAGCCTTCTTCCCCAGCTCGAAGCACATCCCCGCCCAGATGAACCGCGATATGGAGCTGGCCCGCAGCATCATCCTGAACGAGGCGACCAAGATCATCGACGAGAAGCTCTCGGAGGCCGAGCAGACGCCCAACGCTAAGGACGTCCTCGCGCTCATCGCCCAGGAGAACCTGAAGCTCAAGGGCAAGGGCGAGGCCGGCCTGTCCTTCGAGACGATGCGCGACCAGATCATGACCTTCCTCGCGGCCGGCCACGACACCACGGCCACGGGCGCCGCCTGGACGATCCACCTGCTCTCGATCCACCCGGAGATCCAAGACCGGCTGCGCGCCGAGATCCGCTCCTACATGCCGTTCCTCTTCCACCGCCACTGGACGTTCGACCCGGCCGAGCCCCTGACCGACCCGGACCGGCTGCCCTACCTCGACAACGTGTGCCGCGAGTCGCTGCGGTACATCCCGCCGATCCCGATGACGGTGCGGGAGTCGGTGGCGGACGACGTGATCGAGGGGTACAAGGTGCCCGCGCGCACCGTCATCTACATGCTGGCCAACGCCATCAACCGCATGGCCTGGTTCTGGGGCGGCGACGCCAACACCTTCGACCCGGACCGGTGGGACTCGCCCGACGCGACCGCCTGCCCCAACGCCTTCATGACTTTTCTGCAGGGCCCGCGCGGCTGCCTCGGCCGCAAGTTCGCCGAGGTCGAGATGAAGATCCTGCTGTGCGTCCTGCTCAGCCGCTGGGAGTTTACGCGCGACTGCTCCACCCCGGACCCGGAGGACTGGAAGATGTGGCGCCTGGTGCTGCGGCCCAGGGACGGCATCACCGTCGTGGCGAGGCCCCAGTACGACTTCATCGTGTTGCCGGAGGAGCGTGACGGAGATTGCTCGGCGCAGTACCGGGATTGCTCAGAGGGGGGTCGAGATGGCTCGGATGAGGACTGGGATCGCCTGGAGGAGGACGGAGATCTCTCGGAGTCGGACGATGGCTCCTTGGAGGAGGACGATGGCTCCTCGGAGTCGGACGATGGCTCCTGGGATGAGGACTGGAATGAGGAGTCGGAGGAGGACGAGGACGAGGAGATGGTGGGGGTGTACATGTATGCGGGAGTTACTATTGTGATCGAGCAGCGTTTCGGAATGCTTAACTTGGGCGATCGGGAGGAGAGATTGGAGGAGGTTAGGAGGTTGATGGAGGAGTCGATGGTAGAGATCTTGGGTCAGATTACGGGGGCGCTAGATGAGTTGGAGGACGACCCGGTGTGGCAGGGGCATGGGGAGATTGAGATTGTGGTAAGGAACGAGAGTTTCGTGCTTTTCCCAGGGGACGGTGTAAGCCCGCTACTCGTCGGGCCTCCAGAGTAGGGGTTAGGTTCTGAAATTTAGGTTAATAAAGTATTGTGTTCATCATTATGCCTAAGTTTTGTAATTATTCCCCAACTCCTCACCTGAGATATACGTTTATATCTATATGCATGTCTGTATATATGCCTATGCCTGTATTCATACCCATGTCTATCTCTAACTATGTTTATACCTGCATCTATAGTTGCAGTTGAATTGAAAGCAAGTTTACACTCCTATGTTAGCATTCAACCTGGGCACCTGCACCTACATGTACTACCTATACTCTAGCAGCCATTGCTTCACCACCTCGTCTCCAGCGAAACCAGCCTACAACGTGATTGAATTTTAATTTAATAGTCCATCATTACACCAACCCCTTGCCTTTTGCACTGCAGCTAGCCGACGAGGCATCGATACAATTACCCTAAGCGATGAGTTCTGATAGAATGGTAGCACGCTTTTCTAATTATACAGCCCTCAGGGCATCGGTCACCTTTGCTCTATTCATCTCGTTATTTCTTAAAAGGTCTAGGCCCTGGGAGTCCCTTCCTGTGATATCTTTCATTTAATTATTCTAGGGGCTTGAAGCGCCCAGAAGTGTGGGTGATACTGCCAACTGTGTTGGAAGTTTGCTACAACGGTCTGTCACGAGACCCCAGTAAGGGGTCAATTTCATAGTGATCCAATGTATCGCCGGGTGGCACTGGCACAAAACGACGACAGGTCGTAGATTTATTATAATAATTATCAATTACCTACCTAGGTACTCAGTGCACACGGAGTGCCAAAATCGCACCCAAACTTGCTTGGGCTTGTGTCTCGCTCGGCGACAATACACCACCAACATTTTCTAAACCTAAAAAAGAGATAACACTAGGAGGTATTAGGTAGTTTTAAATTAATGTTCGATGGAATAAAATATTTACCATTTTGCTACTTGTGGTGGGTGACTGCATCGCCTCCAAGTTAGTTCTCTAGCGTTCTCATACTAATTACAATTTCCCATAATGATAAAATTACAAAACTGGAAAAAAACATAATGTTGAATACTTGTACACTTTGGCCAAGCATGGACACCATGGCTGATGTTTCGCTCATGGCTTACTACCTACCTAGGTACCTAAGTAAGTAATAATATGTCAATGAAGGACAATGGGAGAACCTGCGTCTTCTGATATTAACCTGATCGCCCTACAGTGTAATCACGCACTCTTCCTTTTTTCCCAAGTAATTGTTTCACTATGTGCAAATGACATATGTAACACGTAAACGAGCGCGGTTTACACGACTATTTATTTGCCTCCCACACCTCATCTCCCATTTAATAGTACCTCTCAGCTGGTGTGCTTCCAATAATTAGAGACCCCTATCATTGGCGTCACTACCTACTAATGTTAGGTATCTCAGGCGAATTCAACTTTTATTCCCATGACCTTGCGGCTAGACGTTTCGGAGTGTAGGTTGTTCCAATTCCAGTTTGGACTGCGTGGTTTTCAAAAGGGGGTTGTCAGTATCTCAGGGGTCATCCATCGTCACACACACACTTACCAGGTAGCTGCCGCTGCTCAAAGCGGGCATCCCGCAGCGTCTCTCTCCCTCTCTCTGGCTTATTAATGATTTTAAACGGCTTGTTGGCTGAAGTCGTTCCCAGGCTCCCCCAAGCCGTGAAGTGACCGCTCTCGAAGGTAAGAGCGGTTGGCTACCAGCTTAGAGGAAAGGCTGAGCTGTGTATCGCTAGCCTACCGGTTCCTCGCTTGAACTGCTCGCCAGAGCAAAGAGGTGGGGATGAGAAGCACAACTTATATAGCTCATCGGGGGAGCCAAACTTTCCCCGCTTGTCGAGAGAGCAGCTTGTTCCCTTCAAGCCCCAAGTTAATACCATCCCAATAGGTAGCGTTTCGACCTCGTATCTACGAATCAAAGATTAAACGGCTCTGTTTCAAAAGTCATGAGTCGTTTTACCTAAATGGATAATGAGCGCTTCAATCAAATAAATGACTACCCAGAGTATGGCTTGCTAGGGGAAGTTGCGTGTTAATGATTCCTTCTCTTAAGCCATTCCTGTAAATTTTCCAAGCTTACCTACTTTTTTCTAAGCCGCAACTCTGCAGCCCACAGAAACCCACCCCCCCCCCCCCCCCCCCCCCCCCCCTCCCTTCAACTTGTCCGGGCAAGTGTTTTTCTTTTTCAATTCACAGGCTTATCATGGAAGCCGGGGTGAATTCGTCCAAGGGATGAGCTCTTCCACGGTTTTCGAGACTTAGAATGCAGTGACATGTTCCATTCCCTACTGTCATTACTATGAATCTTATACCGGAATTAGTCTATAGTCCATCGCCACTCCACACACACACACGCGCGCGCAAGGTGTTCTCCTTTTTCTTTTAAACATTATTAATGTCCCCATCGCTGTGTTGACACTGACACGGGTACCGAAACCGAGAAGGAAACCGAGAACCAAACCTCCAGCGACCCTTTTCCTTCGCCTCCTTCTTCCTCCTCTTCTCCTCCGCCTTCTCCAGCTTGGACAGTTTGAACCTCCTCCCTCCATTCCCGTTGATGATGGTTACGGGGTTGCAGACACTGATACCTTTGCACGTGATGTGAATGCCGCCCGACTCGGTGCTATGTTGCACCGCGAGACCGCCGGCGCCGTCTTCGGCTTCCGTGGCCGTGATACTGACGGTTCCCCCAAACATCTCGTCGTGGTTTATGATTACTGGAGGAGCTTGGCCGCTCGCTGGGTCGATTCCCACTCTGCCGGACCCCAAATTACTAGGCCGTCCGGATCCTCCTCCGTCGAGCAAGTCGGCGTCGGCGCAGGCTGGACAGGCTGGGCTTCGGGCATTGCCGGCAACCGGGACCGCTGGGTTACTGCCTCGGATGATATTTCGGGAGATGGCGGTGCCGATATCTACCCCGGCGGCTCCCACGTCCCTGGCGAAGCCTTGTTGAAGTCCACGGACGACAAATCGATTATCATCTGCATACACTCGGCCACGACCGAGGGCAATACTAGGTATGATGGTATCCACTCTGTTGGCGTACACCGGGCCGCGGGTCTTGCTGGCTGGGGCGGCAAAGACGAGGACGAAATAAAGGACCGCGATGATTGCCCAGAGGGCGGTGGTGCGGCCTCGCATTGTTGCTCGGTTTTATGCTTCTTGCGGGGCGGCTGGCTTTTGTGTGTTGGTCTTCGTGTGTTGAAGATGAGTGAGAAGACTGGCCTTTGGGCGAATCCGAGAGACAACGTTTAGCCATGATAAATCTCGGGAATATTCAGTTCGGGAATGAAAAAATACTGGCAGTGAAGAAAGCCCCTTCCTGTTGGGAGCGAGAGAGACGCCCACATAGGATCCGGAGAAGGCACAATCAGCAGCCAGACGGTCGGACCCCTAGTGGCGACTCCAATATGTGTGTCACATTCTACCGGATCTCGTCACGGCCAGCTCTTTGGGCGTGCGATGGCGTTTCTGGTAGGACTGGGACCCGGCCGGTATCTACCTAGTATCTAGAGGCCCGCCACTATCTCGTGGCGTTTGTCGTCACTAGGTACGTGCTTGTCACGGCTGCTTGCGTGCGGATGCTCCAGTAAGAAGCCACGATATCATAAATGTCAAAGCGTGAAGAATGACCTGATGACGATATGGCATCAACCTAGACTTGTCGGTTGTGACACACATATTGGAGTTGCCACCACTAGTAGCAGGGGGAAGCTGATTGCGCGCCCTCCCAAAAAGTATAAATACCAGCCCTCCCCCCAGATTTTCTCTCCAGATTTGAATTTCCATATCCAACATATTCTCAGCTGGCACCGATTCTCTTGACTCAAACGAGAACATCTTCCCAGCCTCCAGTGACTGTGTTGCAAACATCCATCCATCAGGATCATCCTTTGATATCATATATCATGATGCATTTCTTCAAGATTCTCACCGTCGCCTGTGCCGTCTGGCTTGCTTTTGCCGCTGTTATTCCCAGACACAGCCTCACTAGCACTGTCGACGAGACCATTGATCAGACCATTGTCCTGGCTGAGCCCAACGTCTCTGAGCCTAAGACCATCACCGCCGTCCATGAGACTCAGACCATCACCGTCGTCCCTGAGACTCAGACCACCACTGCTGTCGCTGGGACTCAGACTATCACCGCCGTCCATGAGACTCAGACCATCACCGTCGTCCCTGAGACTCAGACCACCACTGCTGTCCCTGGGACTCAGACTATCACCGCCGTCCATGAGACTCAGACCATCACCGTCGTCCCTGAGACTCAGACCACCACTGCTGTCCCTGGGACTCAGACTATCACCGCCGTCCATGAGACTCAGACCACCACTGCTGTCCCTGGGACTCAGACTATCACCGTCGTCCCTGAGACTCAGACCATCACCGCCGTCCATGAGACTCAGACCATCACCGCCGCGCATGAGACTCAGACCATCACCGTCGTCCCTGAGACTCAGACCATCACCTACACCGTGATAGTATACGAGATGATCACCCCTACTGTGACACCATCCCCCGCCACCGATACAGTATTCTCGACAGTCACCGTGACCGCTGATGCCCTTTCCAAGGACAACCAACCCCTTGTAATTGTGACACAACCCACCGTCACCGAGACAGTATTGGGGAAGATCACCACTTCCGCCTCCTCTGAGGCCGAGAAGCCCCTTACTACTACCGTGACAACGTCCGGGGTGGTCACCATTGCCAAGGACTCTCTGGCCCTTTCCAAGCGTGGGCAGGCTCTCACTATGGCACCACCCACAGCCACTCCCACCCGCCCTGGCAAACAAAACATGCTCGGCACCCAATCTCCCCTAGCCACGATCACATCGCCCCCAAATATTCTCCATGCCCGTGCCCATGACTGGCGTGCCGACAGGGACAAGGCTATCTCGAAAGCTCGCGAGGCCGGCGCACGCGGCCGCAAGCAAGGCGAGGAGGGCCGCCAAAAAGGCCAGGCAGCCGGCCAGGACGCCGCAGGCTCAGCAGTCCGTCGTATGGTTGGGCAGGCTCTCACTATGGCACCACCCACAGCCACTCCCACCCGCCCTGGCAAACAAAACATGCTCGGTACCCAATCTCCCCTAGCCACGATCACGCCGCCCCCCAATCTTCTCCACGCCCGTGCCCGTGACTGGCGTGCCGACCGGGACAAGGCTATCTCCAAAGCTCGCGAGGCCGGCGCACGCGGTCGCAAGCAAGGCGAGGAGGGCCGCCAAAAAGGCCAGGCAGCCGGTCAGGAGGCCGCAGGCTCAGCAGTCCGTCGTATGGTTGGCGAAACAAGCCCTCCCTCCAAGTTGAAGCAAGCTATGGCATACGTGTCATCCAAGCTTTATGGCCTGCCAACCGCCTCGTCGGCAACCCCGTCGTTGACCCCGGCGGCAGCCGCTACTCCTACCCCAGATCCTCATCATGACGACCATCATAGCCATTCTAATGGGCACTCATCCCCGGCGATCGCGGTCAAGCCGTCGACGACTCCTGCCCGGCTTGGGCCGTACGCTACTTCGATCTCAGATCACCACAGCCATGATGACAGTCATCCTGATGACCACAATCACCATGATCACGAGCACTCATCGCCAGTCATTGTTGTTGAGGTGTTGGTGACTCCCACCTCAGTCAACCCGTTGACAACTACCATTACCCCAGCCGACCTGTTAGCTACTGCTACCTCAGTCGCCGCGTCGCCTGCTGCTACCCCAGCCAACCCGGTCGCTCCTGGAACCGCGGAAGAGCCGTCACATTCTCCAGAGGATGATGAGCCAGTTCAGGGCGAGGGACCGGAGGAGGAGGCCAGCAGCGAGACATCCAACTTCGTTCGCTCGGTAGTCAACAGCATTGCTGCCATAGCTATTGCTGGTGGTATTCAAATGTTGTGAAGGGTTTCTGTGCCACTTGGTACCTACCTAAAGCCCGGGTATAGATTGATTATGGGGGGGCGGACTGGTTATGGGGAGCAGATTGATTATGGAGAGCAGATTGATGATGGAGAGCAGATTGATTACCTATGGAGAGCAGATTGATTATGGAGAGCAGATTGATGATCAGGCTGGTTATGGAGGGCAGATTGATGATGGAGAGCAGATTGATTATGGAGAGCAGATTGGTTAATTATGGAGAGCAGATTGGTTATGGAGAGCAGATTGATGATGGAGAACAGATTGATGATGGAGAGCAGATTGATTAATTATGGAGAGCAGATTGATGATGGAGAGCAGATTGGTTATGGAGAGCAGATTGATGATGGAGAACAGATTGATGATGGAGAGCAGATTGATTAATTATGGAGAGCAGATTGATGATGGAGAGCAGATTGGTTATGGAGAGCAGGCTGGTTATAGAGGGCAGATTGATTACCTACCATACCAATAATGATAATACATAATCATACCATCATTGACTACAGTACTAATTACTGCTCCCTGCTTATCATCCCGCCTCTGATCTAGTGTTCATCTTAACCACGATCTAGTATAACAGAAAGTTTTCATGATGATATACAGGATTCCTCGCACAAATAAAAATACACCGTGACGTCGCCGAGACTCCCACCATCATTTCTTGCTAGGAAACGCAAGGTGGTAAGTCTCGAGCTGCTCCTTGGTGATCCGCCCGGGGCTCTTGACGGTAAGGTCTTCGCCCTTCATGGACTTGGGGAAGGCGATAACGTCCCGGACCGAGTCGGTATAGGTAAGCACGGCGACGAGACGGTCAAACCCGAGGGCGAAGCCTGCGTGCGGAGGGCAGCCGGCTCGGAGAGCCTCGAGAAGATGGGAGAACTGAGCCACCCCAGCGTCGGTCATTTTGAGGATCTCCCTCATGATGTACTCCTGCATCTTGGCCACATGGATACGTCGGCTGCCGCCGCCCAGCTCGACGCCGTTGACGACCAGGTCGTAGTGGTCCGCCCTCGCCTTCAAGGGGTCTGTCGCCAGCAGCTCGACGTCTTCGTTCGTTAGCGGCGCGGTGAATGGGTGATGTGTCGCTGAGAAGCCGGCGTCTCCGCCCTGGCCCGGGTCTGTCTCGTTGTCTGGCGTGAACATGGGGAAGTTGTTGACCCAGAGGAATTGGAAACTCAGGTCTCGGGGAAGCAAACCCTTGGAGACGGCTGCCTGGTATACGAGAGACCTGAATGTGCCTAGGGCGGTTGCACCCCCTTGGAATGGCTTGTCTTCGCGGGCTTGGAAAACTAGTACATCGCCGTCTTCGAAGTCGGAGAAGCCGGGCACCCCGCCGCTCTCCAAAGCATCGGCGCCCTCAAAGCCTAGGGGCGAAAGGCCACGGAGTGGTTTTGATGAGTCGACCATGAGTGCGACCGGCGCACCGTCCGGATTCTGGGAGAGGGCCGGGGGGGGCGACTTCATCAATTCGTCAACGAAGCTTGACGTCGGGACTTGATTTCCTTCACTAGGATTGGGACGGAACCTGAATGCTTCCACAACCGGGTTTTCAATGTGAGTGATCATGGATACAAATGATCGCGGTAGAATATGGTCGACACGATTTAGCTAACATTGTTAGCCGGCGCTTGCTTGGGCGAACAGATTTGGGCATACCTCGAACGGGATCCGCAAATCCGGTTTGTCGATGCCAAACCTCGTCATAGCCTCCTCATACGACATACGAGGGAATGGCGGCATCAAGTAACGCGAGCCTGTGCCAGATTCTTCTTGATTTGCTGCCTTCTGGGAGCTTATTAGAACGAGCTTTTTTGAGTCTGGGGGCTGGCGGGCATACTAGACTCTTTCTCGGCGCGAGATACACCTCTTCACCAGTATCCACGACAGAGAAGTTGGAGTTCAGGGAGACAGCCAGGTCTGAAACAATGGACTCAACCGTCCGCATGACATCCTCGCCCGTGGCAAACGACATTTCTAAATCCAGCTGCGCTGAGTTAGCCCACGGCTTTGCGGTTTTAAATATGGAGACGGTACTGCCATGCCTGTGTGAACTCTGGTTGCCTATCTGCTCGCAGATCTTCGTCTCGGAAGCAGCGAGCAAATTGGTAATATCCCCGGATACCGCTGGCCATGAGCATCTGCTTGTATTGCTGGGGGCTTTGTGGCAGAGCATACGCCAAACCCGGGCGCCTGGTTGGGACCAAAAACTCTCTCGCCCCCTCAGGCGTGGACTTGAAGAGAACGGGGGTCTCAACTTCGGTGAAGGCGAGCTCGTTGAGAGATTTCCTCAACTCGAACGCTATTTGCGGGCGAACAAGTAACCGGGTACGTAGGGGGTCGGAAAACCGAATCTGCAGATGCCGAGATGAGGGCGGGAATTGGACGCCCTTGGAGACAATGATATCCTTGGGGAAGACGTTTAGGGGCTGGATGCTCGCCAGATCAAGATCAATACGGAAGACTTGGTCTGGAAAACTGCCAGGTCTTGATGACCCTGTTGGTGATTGTGTCTTGCCATTCACCTTGGGCGTATCCGGAGAGGCGTCCTCGGGTTGTGTGTTGGCGTGGAGCCGGGCAACAGTACCTGTCACGGAGACTGGGCTGTAAAGGGGTATACCCCTGAGGTCTTGGTTAACGGCGTGCGCTGGACTGTCCGGTTCTTGGAAACTGGAAGTGATCTGAACAGCGGGACCATTGTCGATCTGGATGTCTGCAAATGCGAGTTTTGACGATTTTATTCGTTTCCTGGCGAGGAAGCCGTGGACTGTGACAGTCTGTCCCTCCTTGAAATCCTCTGCCCCACACGGTTTCGGGAATTCGTCTTGATGAAGTCAGCAAATAAATAAGCTACCCTGAAAGACAATAAAGGCCATACTGTATCTGGCCCATTCCTCCCGGAGTTGGTGACCGACTGCTGTTCGATCGATGCCCGTAGTTTCAGCAGCCCGAGAATGAGCAGTACTTTGTGTAAAATGTCTCCAAGTTTGTGACCTGTTGATGTAAACAAACCGTGGGCGGAAAGGGCCTCGCAAACATAAACATCTCAAATCCCGTTTCCCGAGGGCCCGAAGTCCCCTCATCGGGACCTGGAGCGACGCCATTATTTTTGAGTTCAACTCAGGTTCGGGATTTGCTCACATCAGGCAAGTCATGTTCACAACTGAAGAATCAGGAAGTCACGATGAGAATGAAGCTTGCCCGATGTCGTCCCCCTGTTCCTCAACATATCCACTTTAACTCGGCCGATGTTTGGCCCGAGCAAAACTCGGAGTGGGTCCGCGGCTCGAGCAGCGACCCTCAAAAATAATTTGCAGCCAGGAAGATTTCGAAACTTTTCTTTTCTTCTTCATCCCTTCCATTCAAAACAAAGTGAGTGCTACCACGCCGGCCAACGCTCCAACATGACGATTTCGTGCTAACAATATCCCAGATGATGAAAGCCCAGGTGTTTCTATGATGAAACTCCCTCCTTTTGGACCTTCCAAACTCTCCCTTCGGGGCTCAAGTGGTTTGGCTGCGATAGAAGGCTGGGAGCATGAAATAAGCGTTCGGCACACCGACCTTGTTACTCATCGGACGCAATAATGGCACTCTGATTAATCGAATGCGAAGGACCTTGCGGACGACCAAGTGGTGTGTTTCGCAAGGGAAACCACCGCGGCGGGGCTCGAAATGGTGTGGGACATTGCCCCCAAGTGGTGGTTGTCACACCCCCGCCTCCCGCCGCGTATTTTTTTTTATTTATAAATACATACTCTTTGATACCTAGAATTTGAGACACGTATTTTGTGTGCTACGGCGACTTGAGGATGTGCCACGTCGGGTAGATGGCGGCCAATTTATGTTGTTATGATGTCCCGTGATGAGTTCGGAACTGCTTTGTTGAAATGCCAGTTGTATCACCAGTTGTATCGGGATGAAGCCGACCGCAGAAACAACATCATCAAGCCACCATAACCATATTTGCTGCCGAGTGCCGCAGTACCTCAGTCCATTTCTCGATACTGCATCTCAGTGTCGGACAAAACAAACAACCTTACGGGCTCACACCTTATGTACAAGTAATACACTGACTGGAGTTTTGTGAGATTGCGTTTCTCCACGGCCCGCCAAGCCGTGTGCCTGCCTCTGCCCGCGGCACTTTCCTTTGACATGGATTTCTCGCCCGACCCCTGTTAGGTTAGGCCTTGGGCAGATTGAGACTCCAGCGCCTTCTGCATTTGGCCCGACCAGAGGACAACCCCCAACAACCTATCAGCTTTCCAGAACTGCGCGCGACTTGGCTCAGCTCGACTGTGTAGCGCAGGCCGAATGCCGCCCGCTGCCCGATCGTGACCTCATTTCACGCCCGTTTCCCATCCGACACACGCGTAGCCGAACCGGATTCCAGATTGTTCAACTCCCTGACCAGAAATCGGTGCCGGGTGCCCTGGGATAATTTGCCCCAGTGTCCGCCACCAAAAGTCGAAGTCAATCGACGAAACCCAAACGCTCCGTAACCCGAGAGCCCGAGAGCCCGAGATTCCGGGCCTGCCAACAACAACCCCGCGTGGCCTTTGGTTACCGACGACTTGGTGGTCATGGCGAGCTCGTTCGAGAAGTCGGTGAAGGGCGCGACCAAAGTGAAGGTATGTCGCTCTGTTTCTTGCTTCGAGGCAGGCTGCTAACCGATCCCGATGTTTCCAGGCCGCGCCCCCCAAGACGAAGTACATCGAGCATATCCTGGTTGCAACCCACGCCGGCGAGGCAGGTGTCGGAGAGGTGTTCAGAGCGCTGCAGTACCGCCTTCGCGATGCGACATGGACCGTGGCCTTCAAGAGTTTGATCACGGTCCACCTGATGATTCGCGAAGGCTCTCCAGATGTGACGCTGGCATACCTCGCTAAGCACAGGAATATGCTGGCCGTGAGCATGTTCTCCGACGGTCAGTGATGGACGCCTATCTCGACATTGGCAGCAGCTGACCCCAATTTGCAGCCCAAACCCAAGGCCGAAACATCCGCCACTATGCGAATTATCTTTCCGAACGATCGCGCTCCTTTCGGGAAACCAAGATTGACTGGGTGCGAGCCAAAGAATCCCGCCTAGAGAAGCTTTCGGTGGACAAGGGTTTGCTGCGCGAGACAGAGGCTGTCCAACATCAGCTCACCGCTCTACTCAAGTGTGATGTGATGGAGAATGAGCCGGAGAATGAAATTACCATTACCGTCTTCAGGCTCTTGGTACTGGACCTTCTGGCCCTCTTCCAGGCCCTGAACCAGGCCTTGATCAACATCCTCGGTGAGTCTCTCCGAAGCAGCTTGCGGCTGTTTCCCGCTGACCGGTTGACAGGCCGTTTCTTCGAATTAACCAAAACGGACGCCGAGAGGGCCATGAACATCTACCGAACGTTTACGAGACAGACGGACTATGTTGTGCAGTACCTTGGCGTCGCCAGGCAATACGAGCATCACACAAGAGTCGAGGTCCCCAAATTAAAGCACGCCCCGGTGAACCTAGGGCGCCAGCTCGAGGACTACTTGAAAGATCCCGACTTCGAAGTCCACAGGAGGCAATACTTGGCCGAACTGGAGGCCAAGAAGTCGAAGGCCGGATCCAAATCGATCAAGTTTGATTTGGCAAAACCCACCTCAAGCGCAAACACAACCGAACGGCTGCCGCCGCCACCTGCCAAAGCACAGCCGGCGAAGGGTCCGGATGGTGACCTAATCGACTTCTTCGAATCCATTGAGCAGAACCAAACACCCATGGTCGTGCAGTCGCAGCCACAGCCGCAGCCGCAGCAGGAGCAGCAACCTCAACCACAAACGCAGATGCAGATGGGCATGTCACCGTGGGGCCCGGCACCATTTCAACCCCAGCAGCTCCCTCAGATTCAAACCGGCTTTGCCCCCCAGCCCACTGGGTTCCCAACCGGTGCTCCGTTCCAGCAGCAGAGCCAACCCACGTTTTCTCCCACCCAGCAAGTTCCCCAGCAAGTTCCTCAGCAAGTTCCTCAGCAGATGCAGCCGGCTTTCACTGGTGCCGGCTTTGGGGGGTTCTCCCCCCAGTCGCAGCCGCAGCCTGGCTTCCAACCAAACTCGCTCTCCCCGATCCCACAGAACTCGCCTGTCAACTTCCAGAACACTACGGCACCCGCCTTCCAGGGTCTCCAGCCTCCACAGCAGACTACCAACCCATTCCGCCAGTCTATGCTCATGAACCAGCAGACAGGCGCGCCTTTCGCGCCCGCGCCGGCACCGGCGAATACCCAGCAGCGCCCCGCCACGAGCCAGTCCACCAACCCGTTTGCCCGCTCATCGCCACAAGCCGCCCAGCCATTCGGGACCCCCGCCTCGAATTCCCCTTTCCAATCTCAGCCTCCCCAGCAGCCACCCGCAACAGCTGCGCCCTTACAGCCACTTCAGACGGGGACCAACCCGTTTGCTAAAAACTTTGGAGCCGCCCAACCCGCCCAAGCCACACAGCAGGAACGGCCCGTCACCGCGGGTGGTATATTGTCCCAGCCCACCGGGAGCACGAACCCGTTCCGGCAGGGTGCCTTTGTCAACCATAGCACCGGGATGGGCTGGCAGCATAATCAGCAGCCGATAGGTGGCGGGCTGGACCAGCTGGATACGATTCAAGTCTTCCCACGACCGGCACAGCAGACTCCTTGGCATCAGTGAAGGGAAGGGGAGGGACAGAGTTCCGTTCCGAAGTGTACTCGGTGACATTCGTTTAGCATCTAGCGTGGCGTTGTTGATAGGTTTGTCTTTTGGTGAGGCTTTTTGTTTTGCAGGCGGGGATCAGGCACCTGTCTTCTTCCGTGTCGATTGGGTCAGAACGTGGAGGACGTATTACAAGTAGTGCTTATTTCTATGTCGCTTCGAAAGCTAGGGTTTTCTTCTGCGTATTGTTCAATATAATTAGCTGGAATCTAGAGCTGGTGGGATAGGGTCAGTATTTTCAAGCACAGTGAGTTAGCTAGATGTGCGTTGTTGTATATTTAATGCTTGGTCTTGACTCGGATGAGGGCTGCTTAACCCGCCAGTATGACCCATCCAGCCTAAGAGTTGCCGCTCCCAGTCTATGTTACTCCTGATTCTACCCGGTATTTACCCCCTTTTCCAGATACCATCCCTGGATCCCATGAAAACGCCCGAACGCTATGCATAAACAGGACAGAATGGCAATCGAAATAACACCCCTCCTCCTTAGTCTACCTCCATCCTGTCACCCACGGCAGCCATCCCCGCGCTGATGGTCGCCACCTCCCCAGCAGACAACCCAATGCCGGCCTCCTTTTCGTCCTCGATAAAGACCCCCAACCCCGCAAACGCTTCAAACATGGCCCTCGTCGTGTACTCGTCAAAGCTATACCCGCCCGTAATGTGCCCTGGGTCGCCCTTGTACTTGTCGATCGCCGGGTGCGTGAGCCCCTCGTGCACCTTGTACCTGCTCGGCACGAAGTCCACCCCTCCAAACGGATCGTACGGCCCCTCGGGCGGAGGCGCCTTCTTCTTCTCCTTGAGCCCGCGGATCGACAGCCGCCCAACATCCGCGGCGGCCGCGGCCGTGTTGACCGCCGCCTCGACCGCCCGGTTCGCGGCCGCATGCCCCCGCCTCTTCAGCTGCACCCTCTGCGCACCACCGCCGGCACCCGTCTGGCCCTGGGCCAGGCTGTCCAGCTCGGCCTCGCGGCTGCGCACGCGCTCGAGCTTCTCCTCCTCGGCCTCGCGCAGGGCCTCGACGCGCCGCTGGCGCGCGGCGTCGCGCTCGGCGGCCAGGCGGCGCCGCGACTGCTCGTCGGCCTCCTTGCCGGCGCGCCGGTTGCGCTCGATGTCGGCCTTGTGCTCGGCCTCCCACTGCTGCAGGGTGGCCTCGGCGGCGCGCCGCTGCGCGTCCCCGCCCGACACCAGGTCGAAGGTCAGGTCCTCCACCATCTGCAGGTAGTTGTTGAAGTCGCGCAGCGTCTCGAAGTCGTCCTCGGCCTGGTTGAAGACGGCCGCGACGCGCCGCCGTATGTCCACCTCCCGCTCCACCGACAGGTCCCCGAAGAAGGCGCTGCGGAATCCCCGCCGCCGTAGGGTACGGTGGCACCTCGCGTAGGGACACTGGTTTGGTCCGTCGTTGAATAGTCGGTTCACGCAGTTCGAGCACATCGAGTGGTAGCACTCTGGGTTGATGAGGAATTCCATGTCTTTGTTGAGGTACCGGATCGTCTTGCACACGGGGCACATATCCTCGGTGCTGATTACCGGGAGCGCGGACGCCGGTTTTCGTGACATCGTGGCGGTGGTGGTTTGGAACGGTTGCGTGAAAAAACAGATGGCCCGTTGGAGGCGGATGCTGTTTATGTACTGGAGTAATAATTGAAAGGATTATTATGTCGGTTGAGGGTGGCTGCTCGTTTTCGAATTTGTAATCCCAACTTTGATCGCGACTCGACCGCGATAGGTGATTTGGAGATGGTGGTTGTCGGCCCAAGGCTGGCTCACTGTGTTTCGCCAAGCATAATTGATCCCTGGCGTTTTATGCAAGGCTGCATGTGGGTGGGGCGATTTGTGCCCTGTAAGCTGCGGGGTGGAGGGGCCGAAAAGAGTGCCCCACCATCCCGGGAGCTCTGCTGAGCTCACCTTCCATGAACTTCTCTCGACTCTTCATTGTGGCAGACGAACCTCTACATCGACGTTGTTTTTAAGTACCACGGGACTCAAAACCGAGTTTTACCATATACAACAAATATGGCTGATAACGGCATGCTGCCTCTCTTCTGTTCCCTTTTTCTAACCTATCTTTCCCACCTTTCTGGACCTTCCTCTCCCTCAACATGAACAGGGGACTAACAACCACACTTCCTTCTAGAACCAACCCCCGCCGAACAGGCTGCCGCCCGCGCGAAAGAGCAAGCCGAGCAGGACGCCCTCCCTTACAAGTGGACCCAAACCATCGGCGATGTCGACATCACCATCACAGTGCCGGGCAACCTCAAGGGGCGCGACCTGGTAGTGGACATCAAGAAGGAGAGCATTTCGGCCGGAATCAAGGGACAAGAACCCATCATCCAAGTCCGTCCCCCTCTTTCCACCCCGGCCCCCTACGCCCCCCCCTCCCCCTCCGCCTCCCCCCCTAAAATCTAACACCCCCAACAACTAACCACCCCACCTTCCAACCAAACAGGGCACCCTCCCGCACGCGATCCGGACCGACGACAGCACCTGGACACTCACAGCCGCGCCCGACAACAACAAGGTGGTGGAGATCCACCTGGACAAGGTCAACAAGATGGAGTGGTGGGCGCACGTGGTGACGGGGGCGCCGCGGATCGACGTGAGCCGGATCGTGCCCGAGAACAGCAGCCTGTCGGACCTGGACGGGGAGACGCGCGGCATGGTGGAGAAGATGATGTTCGACCAGCGGCAGAAGGAGGCGGGCCTGCCGACGAGCGACGAGCAGAAGAAGGCCGACATGCTCAAGAAGTTCCAGGCCCAGCACCCCGAGATGGACTTTAGCAACGCCAAGATTAGTTAGTTAGTTGGGTTGGGGGTTGAATGCGAAATGGGGTTTTATGGTTCTGTTCGTGGGGGTGGGGGTGGTGGCGGCCGGGACTCGATGTGTGATGAGGGCAGACAGAGGAAGTGGAGATTGTTGCGGACTTTGAGGGCACACATGGGAACACGCATGGTTTTATTGCTCCTACTATGTCTACAGCAAGCGGGAATGAATGTGAGGGGTGAAACGAATCGCCAGGACCACGGATATCTCAGGTTGTTGCCAACGGTCGAGGCGTCAGAGAGCCCATCAGTTTCGATCTTGGAATCGCCAGTAGTGTGAATGCAGATGGAGAGCTGCAGACCACCAATTGTCAGACAATCGAGCGTTCCGGTGTTAGTCACCAACTTGGTGGTATTTGGAGCCCTGTTATGCTGGCACAACAGGTGCGAAAGTGTTGGTTGATAGGGATGAAACAGAAGAAAACCTAAGTGGTTGATGGTTCGACACGAGATGGTACAGAGACTGGAACGGTGATATAGCTCGATTTAAATCGACCACCAAACAGCCATTGGCTTCTCAGGCTATTGCAGCTTGGTCAAGCGGGCGGATTTGAACTTGCTCTGCCGCTTGGGTCCGCCCAGTTCCTCGTCGAGAGGGACGAGACCCGACTCATCGTCGACGTTGCCGCCCTGGTTTCGGATCAGCTCGTTCCGCAAACGGCTGTACTCAAGCGCAGCGGCTTTGTACAGAACAGCATCGTCCAAGTCGTCCGGTTCTGTCGGGGTTGCTACGGTAGTCCGCTCAGCAACCGTAGTGGCTAGTGTCTCTTCTGGTGGGGCGGGATCAGCTGGGCGGTCAAGGCTGCCCCCGCCAAAGGTTTTGGGAAGTTGGTGCGGGCCAGGAGGAAGCTTAGCGACGGGCGGGTGTGAGGAAGCCGTGTCGGTAGGCCGCTCCTTCTTGAACCTCGAGACTCGCTTCGGCGGTTCCTCCGGGTCCTTGAGTGTCTCCTCTTGCGCTACCTTCTCTACGATATCGCCAACATGTGCGATTTTGCGCTCGTTGGATCCGGCGCCCGGCACTGGCTGGGACGTTGTGTCGGGAGCAATATCCAACGTGGGCGCGAAGCTGACGCTCTTCTTCCCCTTCGATACGCCTGGCGTGGGTACGGGTGCGGGTGCAGTTGATGGAGCCGACTCGCTAACCACCGCTATCCGCCCTATGCCTTCGTCCAGCTTCTTGGGTTCCGTTCCTGATCCGCCGACTGTAAAGGCAGACTGGCTGCCGAGACGCTTCTCGAGCTCCTGCATGCGCTTCATGTAGTCCGAAGTGACGACTTTCCGCTTGGACCGCCCAAGGTCATCCTCGGCATCGTCGTCTGTCTCTTCCTCCTCTTCGAACTCATCGTCGCTGCCTATCCAGTCCATGTCGTCCTCGTCGCCGGAATAGTCTTCTTCCAACTGGAGCTCGGCCACGACCGGTCCAATCTCCGACATGCCATACTCGAGCATCTCACGGCGCAGTTGGCTCTCCTCTGCCGACTCATTATCCGGGATAACCGCCGACGACAAGTCCACCGCTTCCTGCTCTCTGGCCTTTTGCATGAGCCGTTCGAGATTTTGAGCCGCTTTTAACTGGACGGGATCAACAGCCTCATCACCAGTCTTGGTGTCCTCCGCAAAAGAGACAGACTTCTTGCGAGCGACAGGCTCATCACGGGGAGGGCCTTGCGGGGTGGTGGTCGCAGTTGCTGCAGGGCCAGCGGCAGCTTCTCCCTTTTTCGCCCCGTCCTCTTTTGAACCAATGTCCAACGCCCCCAGAGACTTGGACAGGGCGGCCTCGGTCTCAGCAAGATCCTTCTCTTGAATCCCCGCCTTCTTCAACGCCTCGACGATCTTGGGCTCGGCATCCGCACCGCCCTGCAGCCGGAAGTTGACCACGTTGTCGTCCTCGTCCAGCTCCTCGATGATGTCGGTGAAGGGCAAGCCACTCTCCTCGTCGGTGCCGGCACTGGGATGCGCAACAACGGCGGCCGCGGCAAGCCTGTTCTCCTCGGTTTCGAGCGACTTCGATAAGGTGTTGATGTTTTGTTCGACATAGTCCAGGCGCCGCGACAGCACATTGACGATCTGCTCGGGTGCCCTAAGGTCATGCTTTCCCATGATCTCGTTGATCTCCTTTTTCGTCAGCAGCTGACTGTTAAAGTCACGGCGGATGCGACGGAGCTGCTCGTGGGGAGGCGTGTCGCTGGGCAGCTGCTCGACCTCTTCCTTGAGCGCCGAGTAATCGAGGTACCATTGCTGCCAGAGCGTCAGGGACGCGCGCAGCTGGTTGACTTTGTCCTCGAGCAGCTGCACATGACGGTCGAGGTCGGAGAGGTGGTCGTTTGGTTGGGCCATGGTGGTTGGAACGAGATATTGCTGAAAGAAAGAAAGCGAAAGAAATTTGGGTAAGAACCTGTTAGGCCGAAGGCCTGTGTCAAATGTTCGAGGATTTTCTTACGTAACGAGGACAGTGCGAAAGTGGGCGGGCTGTTGGTCCATGGTAATTCCGAAGTCAGTTACTTGCATCCCATCCAATGCTCAAAAGTTTCATGAGATTATTTCTAGCCCATAAGATTAACGTTAAACGTTATGTTATGTATGATATTACAGTTCAAGAAATTCCCCGCGCTCGCCTCGCTATGCAATGAATGCCCTTCCCTTCCCCGTTGTAGAAACCAAGCTGGCCCATTCCCAAAACAATTAAAGTAAAACCCCGCGAGGAAGCCAACCGGAACGTAAAATAAATAAATAAAAAAAGCCCCGAGTCTAGATTATAGTCCTTTAGATTGGCACTTTTCACGTACTGTAGGTGGGGGACTCTGGTTCGCTGGGTATCAAACGCATGAAACTCCAAACCGGTCCCGACAGCGCGGAACACATGAGTGGCCGCGGCTGGGCCGGGTTCAGAAGGACCGGCCCGGGCCGCAGAGGCCTGGCACACTTTGTTACCAGCCTTGAACCCTCGTTCCGGAGAATTTGAACCGGACGGCAGCAATGGCCGGACCGCCCAGCAGTCCTTAATAACCCGGGCGGGGCCGAATGCGTCTGCCGTCCAAGAACTGCTGGCTCTTGGGTTCGTAATAGGGGTTGTTGGCCGTCTGCTCTCTCTTCCTCTGTTCGAACGCTGCGCGCTCTTCGTCGTCCAGGGCGAAGGCCTTTTTCAGCCACCCGAACGCACTGCGCTTCTTCTTTACCGACTTGCCCGTCTGGTTGGTCATCGTGGTGTCGGTACTCATCATGCTCATCCCCATCCTAGAGGGTGTGGGCCTTGGGGGAGGCGGAAAGTGATGGGGGCCCACGGTCCCAGCGGTGTGCGGTCTCTGTTGAAGCGGCGAGTACGGGCTGGCTTGGACCGGGCGGAAGAACTGCCTTTCAGAATGTGGCGAGGGTATCATCCCTGGGTGAATGAAGGGCGGTGAGAAATCCGCAAGGGGCGAGTTGACAGACGCCATCGAGTTGACTGGTGGGCGTTCCATGTCGGATCCATATGCTGAATCCGGCGCCTGGTAACCTCGCGGGGCTGTCTGCAACGGCCTTTCGGCCGCGTTTGGATGAGGGACTTGTATCGATTCTGGGGGGCTGGTCTTAAGCGAGATGCGTTGCCTAAGGGACGTCCTCTGCGTTGTTACCACCTCAGGGTCCTGTGGGATAGCTAGCTCCGGGGCCTGCGCCGGGTCCGGCCCAGGTCTCGGTCGTGGTTCCGGTCTTTGGCTCAGCCTGGGACCGTGTTTGGGATCCGTCTTGGATCCGATCTCAACGACTCTTAGCCGGTGTACTTGCGGTTTTGATATCACCTGCTCCATCCGTGGTTTGACAGGTTCGAGCGTTAGCTGTGCTGCCGATTCGACCGAAGAAGCCGAAGAATTGACCCTTGACCTTTGGGTTTCTGAGTTTGTCCTGGGCCGCTCATCGACGATGCGGGGAGACTGCTCTTCAACGATGCGGGGAGACTGCTCTTCAACGACGCGGGGAGACTGCTCTTCAACGACGCGGGGAGACTGCTCTTCAACGATGCGGGGAGAGGGCTGTGGTGATGGTGGCTGAGGCGTGTAGGTTCTGGGTTGCAAGAGATAGAAGATGGCTTCCTCCCCCTCTTCGTCGTCTTCCTTAGGCACTTCAAGCTTAGGCAAGTCTGCTAACATCGATGGTCTTTTAGAAAGACGACGCGGATCTCGCGCGGGAGGCAACTGAGGTGGTAGTTCACGAGGCGTTTCAGGGGGTGACTCCTCGGGGGGTGGAGACCTCGAGGTTACCATCAGAAATGACTCCCGCGTGGCTTCGTCTTTGCTCGTCTCGCTCTGCCCGGTTGTGTTATCTCCCATAGGGGCTTCCAGCTCGGCTATCGGCGGCGTCTCGGTGTCAATCGACAGGGCTACCGTTTGTATTGCGCTTAGCCGTAACGAGAGTCGGGGCGGCGAGTTTGGGATTTTCGTAGGCGGGGGAGAAGTTGGAGGGGTCATGATCGACGACGCATCAGACGGCCTAGGGCTGTGCTTGGGAGAGGGAGAGGAGTATGGCTTCACGCTGAACTGCTCAGTCGGTTAGTGGGCGGTTCAACCCCTGGGCAGACTTCTGGGTCGACATACCCTAGTTCTTCGGCTCACTTCGCCCGCCCTTCGCTCCATCTCGGAGACGATATCTGTCAGCCTGACAATCAGCGCGTTTAGTGAGCTTCCTTTGGCTTGGAGGTCCATAAACGCATTGAACCACCCGTCCGTGTTTCCCTTCATGGCGTCAAAAATGTCGATCACATCCGGGCGGTCCCGGCGCCAGCTCCCATGCTGCTGCTCGGCGAGGTAGATGGTAAATTCCCTGGTCGCCGCGAGACCCTCGGCGAGGTCGTGGAGGGTCTGCTTGAGCGCAACCTGAGCGCGAGCTAAAATATGCTCAATCTTCTGGTTCCCGTCGAGAATTTGCATGCGAAAGTTTCGATCCTCCAGCATCCGTTCAAAGACGCCGATGTTGTCCATGGGGAGCTTCAGATGCTTAATCCGGTCCTCCATATCCGTCGTGGCAAGCTCCATATCTTCGAGTGTCGTCTCCAGAAACTCGTCCACCTCGTCGATGTGGCCCTGCAGGATGGAAACGACCAGGATCTGGCTATTGGCCATGCCATGGAGCAACAGGTACACACCAAACGAGATCTGGGCTAAGAGCCTGCAAAGCTCGTGTGTTTTCTGGCCTGGCCGGCCGCGCCACAAGGCCGTCGGGGGCGGATCGGTCCGGCCCTGGTCCAGAAGCTCCTCTCGCCTTGCCTTGGCATCGCCGGTTCGTAGCTTCGGTTTTGCGGCCGCGCCTTGCGTAGCTTCCATCAAGGATTCGGCAAAGGCCTGCTGCATAGACGGGATGGGGTGCTGAGGAGCGGGAGCCGGTTCCGGGTCAACCCGTCTCGGCCGAGTATCGACCTCGAGGCCAGCTCCCGATTCCATGTCGTCTTCCTCCTCAACGTCGGGCAAAAAGACAATAGGCAGCTGCACGTCGTCGAAGCGTGATGACGCATGCTCCGGGAAAGCCATGGCGGAGGTGTTGGGGGGGTTCTCCGAACCAGTATCGAGGGTTCCGGCGGATCGGCTGTGATTCGCCGCAGATCGCGGCGGAGATCGGCAGGAACTTGTTGTACAAGAGGGGCGGCTCGCCGGTGGGCCCTAGGCTCGTGCTTCCCTGCGCGCTCCCGCGGTAAAGGAAGATTCGAACAAAATGCCGGAACGAGTGACAGACGACGGACGGGACGAAAACAAAGCGAATATATATCTAGGCCTGGGGGACGGTGGGATGTCAAGTCGTCAAACGGGGCGCCTGTCACGGATGGGCGCCGGGATGAAACATAATGGTGACGGACGGACCCCAAAGGCTGGCGCTGGACGAAGTAGGGACAGGGCGTAGGAGGCACTGAAAACACCACACCACACCGGCTCTGCGAATTTTTAAGCACGGGATCCCGGCTCTCCGTTTGTTGTTCTTGGGTATCCCGGGCAGGGGGTTTCTGTTTCTTCGTCGAACGCGATGCGAGTTTCGCGAGGCTGAGTTTGAGTCTCCAGCAGTGATGGTAGGGACCTGTATCAGCGGGTCACACCAAGCCGGTTTGAGCGTGTCGCTGTTTCGAGTCGTGGCCGATCCGATGGGGTCGAGTTGTCGAGAAGGGAAAATGGCAACCGGCAGGTGGAGCCCGGAGTGGTCTCGCAAGGTGCTACAGTGAAAGGATCGAGCAACGCTGGCAGCACGACACTCCCGTCGCAGGCTTGTTGTGAAGAGGAGAAGATCGGGATCTCGAGAAGAGGGACCTCCTGGCGGGAGCAGTGACAAAATCAGAGATGTGCTCCACTTGGGACGATTGGGCGGGTTGGCGCTGGCGAGCGGTTCCTGGAAAACCAGGGAAGTGCCCTGCAGACACCCCACAGTGCCCTGCAAATCCACCCTCCATTTGCAGAAATAGCGTTGCGTTGTTGCCAGGGTCTCCAATACTATAGTAGCTGGGTGCCATTCGAGCAAGCCAAAGGGGCTCGTTTCTTCGCGCGAATTGCATGTTTCTGCGGGCCTGGAACTCGTCATTCGAATCTTTAGCCAATCCAGGAGCTGGCCGAGAGACCACCTGCCGATTGCTTGCCCCTCTCCCTCCCGAGAACAGAACCTGGGTATGCACCATCGCCAAGACTTCGTACGGCCGCGGATATTGGGACTCGGGATATGACTTTGCGCATTCCCGTTTTCCGGGCACGCCTCGGCACACCTCTTCCGCCATAGGTCATGTGGAATCTCTTTCGGTACCCAAGGTAGGTTTGTCCAAACGCTAAGCTGCTCGCCACCGCTTTCCCACCCCTCGCTACGTAGTTAGTTGTGCGATGAGACATGAGAGGGCGATCGATGGTGCCAACAGATGGTGTTGGCCACGCAAGAAGGATGTTTTCTGCGGACACCCTGCACGCTGGGGGCGGGTTGGTGAAGATCCAGATGCAGACAGGGCGCGTGCAGACCCTTGCACCAACTCGGGGCCAGAACCGAATGGGTCTCAGAGCTCAGTGTGCGCTGCAAGAAACACACGGTGGAGTTACCGCATTCTGTGATACAGGCTTTTCCCGGAAGCCACCTCATCTCGGGCAACTCCATGATCAGTCAGTCACGTATGTAGTTAGGTAGTTATCTTGTTGGTCGTCTTTTCATCCTTGCATTTGCACCTCAAGACACCTATACCTACCTCTCGGCACCACGGTGGCTTCGCATCGAGTAGATGCAATTCTCTAATCTTCCAGGTTACCTAAACCCCATAACTACACGGAATTACAGATCGATGCCTCTTGGTATTGAAGGATGTCCACCATGTCCTCGCTTATCTCTCCCACCCACTGCACCTGTCCTGTCTCTCACCTCATCGGAGCAAAGAGGATGGCGCTTTTCAACAACGATTGGCCGCCCTGCGCTCCCATCAGCCGCCAGCCTCCAAGAGGCGCCAATATTACAGACCCCGCCTGCCAGTGACCGAGTATTTGGCCGGCGCTGGAGCGAACCAGTACCACGCCGCTGGTAACGGCGACCTGAGGTTGTCGCGTTCGTGGCTCCAAACCACGTTTAAGCTCACGATACGAATAACTCCCTATTCGTGACTTCCATCCGGGTCAAGGTTTGTATTTACAAACACAATGCTGGGTGGACTGAAACAGGTGGAGCTGGTCTCAGGTGAATCGAATCATCAAGCCGAGTGCAACGCGAACGGTGTCGAACTCGATCAGTTCAATGTTGAGCCGAGGGTGCAGCGGCGTTGGCTGCCGAATTAGGCTTCAACCGGCAAGAGGTGGTCGAGGCGCAGGGGAGCCCCGAGGCTCCTTCATAAAAGGGCGCCAAGACCCGGGTCCATCCGCTTCTTTGACTTCTTTGTCGCTTTCGCGTTTTCTTTCATCGGATTTTTGGTCGCTTCGGAAGTTCTTCGATTTCGGCACTTTCTCGCTCTCTCCATACTTGTACATACATACACAGGAGGTCCCCCGCCAGCCCTGCCCGCCAGCCAGGAGTGATCCGCAAAACTGCGATCGGCAAGATGGCTGGACAGGCATTTAAATTTGGAACTGACCTTTGGGACCCAACCCATCGGTTCGAGACTTCGTGGCTGCTCTCGCCCTGGGCGCTCTTCTTCTGTCGAGCTCTTCTCGTAAGCTTCCCTTTCTGCGAGCCGGCGCGGGCTTGTCCAGCCAGATCTACCTACCTAGGTATCCAAATAACTACAGAAAGAACCGTATCCCTAACTCGCGTCTCCTCGCCCTCTGTGCAGTCCCTCTATGCCTTCACCACCCTCGTCTTCGTGCTAGCCTGGCAATGCGCCCACGCCGACACGGGCTGCGCGGCGTCCCAAGCGTCCTTCAGCTTCTTCACCAGCCTGACCTACTGGGGCCTGGGCTTCTACTTCCTCGCGGCGGCCGTGCACACCTTCACGTACGCGCGGACCGGGGTCGCGCTCCTGGACCGGTTCCCGCGGCCGCTGCAGGCGCTGCACTCGGCCTTCTACACGACGGTGGTGGTGTACCCCTTCATCGTGACCATCGTCTACTGGGGCGTGCTGTTCTCGGGCCCCTGGTTCCCCGAGGTGTTCAGCGGCTGGAGCAACGTGTCGCAGCACGCGCTCAACAGCGCCTTCGCCCTCTTCGAGCTCGCCCTCCCGCGCACCGACCCGCCCCCGCCCCTGCACATGCTCTGGCTGATACTGGTCCTCGCCCTCTACCTCGCCCTCGCCTACGTCACCTACGCCGACAAGGGCTTCTACCCCTACAGCTTCCTCGACCCGGAGAAGCAAGGCTCGCTGGTTGCTGCGTACGTCTTTGGTATCGCCGTGGGGTGCATCGTCATCTTTGGTGTCGTTTACGGCCTCATCTGGCTGCGTAGGTTTGTTACCGAGACGAAGCTGGGGAAGCACGGGAAGTTCGCGAGGGAGGGGCATAGCCCGGACGCGGTCGGGGAGATGGAGATGGCTAAGCCGCCGCGCGCGTGAGCGAGCCAGGCTCTCGGTGTCTTTGACTCTCTATTTCCATTTTGATATATCTCGGTAACCGCAAGGCTGGCGTTTTCGATAGTTCTGCATGGATAAGTATTGGTGGTATGTTGTGGGAGGATATACCCTTAGTTGTCTGGTTGGTTTAGGCGCGTCATCTGCCTCATGATGCACATCGTCAAGTAGTTTAAGATAGTAATACGAGGTCCTCATAACACATCAACACTCTCACAAGTGCTTCCGCCAAATCGTGGACACAGCCGTCGTGCCGGAACCGGAGTCGTACTGGGGTGGAGGTAACTCATATGCACCGGCTCGTCATCCATGACCTGCGTGACGCGAAAACCGACGCGGATCAGTGGTATATACATTATATCGACCCCACCATGGCCCCAAACAGCCCTAACACTTCTATCAACATTGCGTAAACGACAGGATGCTCCCTGATCCAATAATCTAAAATATATATACTACAACGCCAGCCGCTCAGCACTTCAGGTTAATCCCCCGCCGCAGTTCCGACTGCCGAATCTCAAACATGACCTGGATGCCCACAAACAGCGCCGAGCATGCCGTGACAAGGAACACAAGGCCTAAACAAACACCATTAGTAAACAGCCCAAACCCCCATGGGTAGGTAAGCAGAAAAAAGAAAAGGACATACCCGAATAATCCCTAAAAATGCCCCTCACAATATTCTCCAACCCATCCAACCCGACCGCAAAGCCCACCAGGTTCGCCGAGATCATCATCAGCACATTGGCGACCCCCCCAACGCAGCACAGCATGCGGTAGGCGGTCGGGCGGCTCTCCCACTTGCGGCGGGGGAACAGGACGCCCGCGGCGATCTCGGGCAGGAAGAAGACGACGATGAGCCAGCCCCAGATGAGCAGGTTGAGCTTGATGTCGTGCCAGAGCGCGACAAAGGTGAACACGACCAGGTAGGTGAGCACGGTGCGGGCGGCGTCGCGGGCGGAGCGGAAGCTGGAGCCGCCGAGGGGGATGTAGATGTAGCGGAGCAGCCAGCGGTAGTAGCTGCGGTGCCAGCCGCGCCAGAAGGACAGGGTGGAGTAGTTGTCGCTGACGCAGCGCAGCATGTTCTCGGGCGGGTCGATGCCGTCGACCAGGCTCCAGAGCCGGAAGAAGCGCCAGGGCAGCAGCAGCTTGAGCCAGATGATGTGCAGGTTGAAGTAGGACAGCAGCGAGATCTGCGCCGGCGTGTACGACGACCAGTCCGGCCGCGACTTGGAGATGGCCCCGACGTAGTCGTAGTGCAGCACCAGCTCCATCGCGAGCAGGACGAGCCCGAAGCGGATCGCGTACTTGAGCGTGCGGGAGGAGGAGATCGTGGCTGGCTGGTAGCGCTGCTGCGAAATGTAGTCGTTGAAGGTGATGATGGGGCCGGTGAGGTAGAGCGGCGCGTAGATGGCGTAGGCGAGGTAGCTGCGGAAACAAAAGTCCTGCGGGGAGGCCGGGGTGGCGATGCGATCTCGCTCCGAGAGGTTGGCGGGGTCAAGTTGTTTCTTCTTGCCGGCGTTAGTGATCGGATAAAGGGATAGGCAGCGGTATGAGGGTAAAAGGAGGGGTTGTACCTCGATAGGGCTGGAGGCCCGCCTGTCTAAGCTCCAGTAGTAGTCGAGGTTGAAGCTGACCAGGCGGAGGACGGTGATGTTAAAGAGGATCTCCCAACGGCGCATGAGCCCGCCGTGACGATCCAACCAAATACCTAGCTCGACTAGCGTAGGGGTATACGTCCCCAGGACCTCGGCCGGCGTCCCCGTCACGAGGAGCGCGATATCGCGGAACTTGTACCCATCGCCCAGCTCGTTGGCAAACAAGATGAAGATGCCAAACACCCACGTCACCGGTGGGATGTACTTCTTGGGCACCGACGTCGCAATCTTGTAGTTGATGGCCAAAATCGTGAGGATCTTGGCAGCCGAGAAGCCGTGCAAAACCACGAGGAAGAAGACGGCAAAGACAGAGTCATACGACGTGCGCTGGCGCAGTCTCGCCTCGGCCGCCTCGGGGACGTTGGCTCTCGCGGCCTTCAGCTCCTGCGGGACGGGATAGATGGCGTTCCAGACCTTGCGCAGCAGCGGGTGGAAGACCAGCAGAAGGGCCATGTACGGCAGGTTTATCCGGAAGGTGTAGTACTGGGCATCCGACACGTCCTATAACCACTGTTCAGCATGCGCCCATGTCTTTCGATCCTTGGGGGAAGAGCTCACGATCTTGCGGCCCGGAATCCAGCCGTCCACAAGTCGGTTCTTAAACCTGTTGTATCTCGGGTCCGATGCTGCCCATTGTCAACACCCCTCTGTCCCCCACTATGCTCGAGAGAGAAGACCTACGCCTCGACACATCATAGGCGACCCAAAACATGTACGGCACCACGATCAGGAAGACCAGGTAGTATAGGTAAAACTCGAGGGACTTCCATTTCGGCGGCTCAACCCGCTTGTCCACGACCTTGTCGTCGTCCTCCCGCTTGTCGGTCGCGACCCTGTACGGCACCGACGACGGCGTTGTGAATCGTGTATCGAGTGTGTCGAGAGCGTAGAGACTGGCGAGAAAAGAGAGCGGGCCGGAGCGGCTGCGGCTGCCGCTGTGGCTACGGGAAGCCATTGTGGGAGAAATGAACGTAAAGAGTCGGGCTGAGCCAGTCTATAACATGCTGGGCCGGGTTCACTGTCGTCGCGGAAATGAAAGAGCGGCGGCGGCGGCGGTTTATGAGCAATCGTGATCCCGGATCCGAAACTCAGTCGACCTCGTTCTCTCCTCTGGTGCCTTCCTCGCTAGCCCTCACTAATCCTCGACGATCAGGACCCGCCGCGATTCTGGGGTCCGGGACACGCAATGTCGGCGGCGCAGCCGGTGGTCTATACGAAGTCGGGGCTGCGGTTCGATAATGAAACTAGACGGTGGTGGTCCGCGGGGGTGACAACGGCACGGGAGGGGGCGCGGGGGCGGGAACGGGAACGGGTCGTGTGTTGGTATATTCTCCGGGTTTTTGTTCCGACTTGTCAACTTCAGGCACAAAATAATCGCGTTGCAGGGTGGTGACTTGCAACTTTGGACTTTCGCGGCCGAGGCGCAGCCGGGCCAGCCAGTCACAGGTGACACAAGCTTTGACACAAGCTTCCCGCCAAGACTTTAACACTGCCCGCGCCCCTGAACCCCTTTTTCAGTGGACCTCGTTCACAACACCATGGGACAAGTCGGTTGTGATTGGCAAAATGAAGTTGAAATACCACCAAGATCATGAGATCGAAGCCCAAATACCACCACGCTAATGTCTAAGCCCAAATATCCAATATATGATGAAACCAAACCCGCTTGCTGTGACCTTCTATCCCCACCCGTCTAGGTATGGATGTTCCCTTTGATCCCGCTCGCTACGCCCCCTGCACCCCGTAACTCTTTACCCGGCTGAAAAAGAAGGGTTTGCTATGGCGCATGGTAAACTCGGCCCAGTCGTCCGTCAGCGGGTTGTAGCTGTAGAAGCCTTTCCATCCGAGCTTGTTGTTCCGCGTGATCTTGCCCGCCGTTCCGAGCTCGAGGTCCATGCGGTAGATGTACTTGCTGACACCCTCGGTTTCGACCGTAACGTCGCCCTCGATATCGGCGGGCAACGCCTCGGGGTTGTCGGACTCCCTCGCCAGCCGCCACCGACCACGCAGCGCCTGGCGCATGACGGCGCTGGGCAGGTTCGAGCCAGCGCCGCCCGCGTGCAGCGCAAGGGCGTCGCGCGTGAGGTGGTGCACGACCTCGGCGGGCTCGGTGGTGCTCAGCAGGCTGATGACGGAGCCGTCGCGGTAGAACCGCAGGTAGCGGTAGTACGTCACGATGTGCACGGGCGTGCCCCAGGTGGACTGGTTGTGGCTGGCCTGGCCGGAGCGCAGGTAGTTGACGGTGCTGATGTAGCAACCGTTGAATCGGATGCGCGGGCGCATCCGGAACATGCGCTGCCACGAGGCCGAGTACACGGAGCGGTAGAAAGCCAACGTGTTGGCCTTGCTCTCCCGCGCTTGCCGGTCCGCGCGCTCGGCGAGGGTGAGGGCCGAGGGAGGGGAAGCGGCGACTGACCCGGATGCGGCTGGGTCGGCCAACGCAAGGGGGGGTGCCTCTCCTTCAGCGGCCTCACGTATGAGGTCGGCATCGGTGAAGGGATCCCAGCACACCCGTTGTTGCCAGTAGTAGTGCATACCCCCAAAACCGAATTCGGTGCCGAGGCAGAGGCGGCGCCAGATGGTGCTTTCGGTGGCGACGAGATAGGCCAGCCGCTTACACACCTGGGCCAACCGCATGAAATCCCCGACATCGAGGACAGCCACGTCCCGGAGGATGAGTACTAGGATTTCCTCCGGGAGCTCGGCAAGCGGGCATGGGGGTGGCGGCATCCCTTCGACCGGGGGTGGCGCCGGGGCGATGGACATCACGGCAAAGCTCGCGATGAGGTCCTTCGTCGACGGGGGCTGTACGACCGCGGCGGAAGCGGCTCCCGTCGTGACGGTCCCGGGGGCAGCATTGGCCGAAGGTGCACGTGCTGGCTTAGGGGGCGGCTTCGGAAAGTGCTTCGCCCGGTACTTTTGGTCGACGCCGTCGTCCAGCTGCATCAGGTCAGTCTTACAATTCGGTTTGAACTAGTGTCCCGGGGCTTCGCAATAGTCACGTACTCTGAAGGCCTTCCGATACAGCTGCAAGCTGTCCCCTAGCTTTCCCACGGTCTCCCTCTCCACGGCCTTCTCGTAGTGTTCGAGGGCGGAAACGGGATCACCCCGTTCCGGACCCTCGGGATGCCCCGTCTGAACGGAAGATGTGGATGGGCCCGCCTCAGCGTGGTCAAACTGCTGCGGCTGGGCATAGCCGTCGTCGTCGCTGTCGTCGTCATTTTGGGCCGAGGGCAACTTTGTCCGTGGTGGCGGGGCAGTTCTGGTTTGAGGAGTTTGATGAGTGGACGGCCCGGCGAGAGACTGTTTCGCTTGCACCTCTGCTTTCCATTGGGTCCGGAAGGACTCGAGGTCCGGATTCGACTCCTGAGGGTTCATGTTGGCGGTGTGTCACGAGTGTGTGAGAGGAGCGGCAATGGAATTTAGCAGAGGTAGTTAACAATGTGCAAAATAAGGTGGCCAAGATTTGCACCGATTGATGATGGGGAATTTATATTGAGAGTCTCGGTCTGGTTATTCCGGAGCCCAAAGCTCACGGTGCGTCATCCGGCGGACAGCGGGATCCGTGCCGATCCGGCGGTCCCCGTGGGGGGCATTTTAAAATGTCCGTGCTGCCCATGTCAGTACCCGACTGGTTCAACTGGACTCACCTCATCTGCAGATGACGCTCACTATCAGGAGAACTCGCTCATTGCCAGTCAAACTGTTAGTTAGTGCCTCGGCACAATGTGGCTAATTGTTCCCGACACTTTTGACACGGCTGCGAATCACGTTCCTTCCTAAACTTACTTTTCCCTTTGGCGACAATTAACACTTTCAAGACCACTCGCTCACCGCCGTTTGGAAGGTGGTAAGCCAATTCATGAGGGAGGCCGAGCCCCCAGACCGCACATGTGCACGCTGTGAAGGTGTTCAAGAGAAGATCCCGGTGTCTCCATCACGGAGAGCACAGCATGCCATTGATTGAAATACCGTGATGAATTGCTGATAGAACCGTAGCATTACGAGTACAATTCAGGACTTGCCAGTGAAACCACTGACCCCCTTTCTTCTACTCACAAATGACCCTTCCCCCCGCTAACAACCTAGGCACCTTGGTGCATGTCCAACATTTTTCCCCCCATCCTGAGTGACCCTAGAAATGCATCGCGTTCTTGACCGACTCCCGCGCACCCAGCTTCTCCAGCCACGCCTTCACGTTGGGGAAGTCGTCCAACCGGTACTCGTTGTTGTCCGGGCCGAGGAACTTCTGGACGCCGGACTGCCACGGGTAGAAGGCAAAGTCGACGTACGACATCTTGTTGCCGACCAGCCACGGCCCGTCGAAGCCTTCCTCGGCGCCGTGCGCCTCCCTCTGCCGCGCGAGCTCGCCCTCCAGCACGGTGGTGACGCGGATGATCTCCTTGACGTAGCGGTCCACCGCGGTCTGCACCTTCTCCGGGTGGTACTTGGTGAACCACACGGCCTGGCCGTAGTAGGGGCCCTGGCCCGAGACCTGGAAGTAGAGCCACTGCTTGGCCAGGTAGGCCTCGGGCGAGCCCGGCTCGAAGCTGAGCTTGCGGTCCGTGTCGTACTTCTCGGTCAGGTACTCGAGGATCGCCCCGGACTCCCAGAGCGTGAGGTTGGTGTTGGGGTCCTGGATCGCCGGCATGCGGCCGTTGGGGTTGATGGCGATGAAGTCGGGTTTCTTGAGCTCGCTGAATTGGATATCCACAATCTCGTGCGGGATGCCCAGCTCGGCAACGATCATGGCGACCTTTGGCGGGTTGGGTCCGCCCTTGCCCCAGACCTTGATGGGCTTGAGATGGCTGAGGGACGACATGATGGCGGAGTTCGTGTTGTGGTTGTTGTTGCTGTTGTTGCTGTGAGGACTAAGGCGGGGATGAGACTTGTTGTTCTGAGGTGACTTGGCTTGATGGTGATGGATGAGCAAGGAGGTGGAATACCGTCCCGCCGTCATCCATATATACCAAGTAGGGACACAAGAAATCTAGGTAGGCATTGAAGCTCCGCTCCATGACGACGTTCAGCTTCATCGCGAAACTTCCATGGCTCCATCACGGGGTATCATTTCCACCTTTGCACCAAAAGTCACCGAGTAGCCTCACATTTCTAAGCATTTGAATATGATTTGCAAGCATGTTTCAAAATAAGAATATTAATTTTGCGGGCTGAGAGGCTTGCTCAAGGACTTTTTTTGGTGTTGACGCGGTGGAATCCCCCCCCGATCAAATTGGCCGCCGGGGAACGATTAGTCGCCGGCTTACAAATCCCGGCACGCTAGTGAGGCGAGTCCAATTGAACCAAGGAGGCATCAAAGGAATAGAGGTGGGGACCAGGTTACGATCTGAGATGGGGTTGAAACATGGTGAACCCGAGAGGCTCCACGATACGCATACGCATAGCCTATCCTCTGAATACGAAGTCCGACAGCGGGTTCCAGTTAAAAAAAAACACAGGTCGCATGCAGTAAATCCTGCCGAAACTCCAGCCCATGGGTTGACAAACTCCCCGAGTGCATCGAGTAATTACCGAGTACGCTCGGGACGTATTGTCAAAATGTGGATATACCTGATTTTGGTGGTGTGTCGGCCTTGTACACACAGCATCTTTCCTTTGGGCTGAAGTTCTCACATCCGGGCCGCCTTTTTGCTGATTCTTATTCGAGTCTCGTATCACAACTTGAACGTGATCCAGGGGGAGCGGGGCGACATGAGGTTCATGTATTCTGTACAGATTACTGTGCTCTCGTTGCCTCGTTGCTAACCTTACACAATACCTGAGGTAGTACGAAATTGTGATATCAAAACCAACATCCGATAAAGCTCAAAAGTTGGTTGAAAGCCACAATGCTGACTTCCTTGCAAGATAAATAAGAATTCTAAGGATGTCATCTTTAGTTCCGTTCGATGCCATGGTGCAATGTATATTTGCATACCGTCGTTAGCTCTTCCCTCCTCTTCTTCTATTTGGGTTTTGAATTCAACTACATAGGACTCCGCCTACCGGTATACAGCATGTATTTTAAAACCTGAACTCGCCGCCTAGGGGCTATTTATCTCCTTTATTGTTCGTAAGGAAGCTATTAACGGTACTATATGATTGATGCCGGTCTGTCGTTGCTGCCGGCACTCCCGACACCGCTTCTACCCCCATGGGCCCGGCCCGTGGTCCACCTCCTTTGATCCCCGCTGATGCCGATATCAACACTAGACCTCTCAATCGCGCCAAACCCGTGCCCATCATACGTGTGCGTGTACGTCGGGGGATGGTCATGTCCATGATTCGGTCCATCATCGATATCGATATTTACCGGCTCCGGCTCCTCCCCTTCCACCTGCCTAATCCCAACCACCGGCTCAGCTTTGTGCTTGTCGTTGTATGGGTAGTCGTACAGCTCATCATGTCTACCCTCCCCGTTGCTACCGTCACGTTCGTGCATGGAACAGGCGTCGACGGTAGAGATGGTGGAGTAGCGTGTGCGGGTGGAGGGGGAGGGCGAGCGGGATTGCGAGTGCGAGTTGGGATCGGAGTCGCGCCGGTGGTTGCATGTGTTGTGGCAACGGGAGGCGTTCTCGAGACATTTGGCGCGTCGTTTGCGAGCGTGGATCCTCTCTGTGAAGGGTAGGTATCATGAATGTGAGTGGATGGAGGACTAGGGAAGGAGGAATACTAGGGAAGGAGGAATAGGGGGAGGCATACCGCTGACGATCTGGAGAAAGGTAAAAACTGTGAGAGACATCAGCAGGACCGGGACGAGCTGGCCAAAAGTGGAAGGGTCGTTTTCCGGGTTGCCGTTGTTGCTTAGTTGGATCCTGCCGCTATATTAGCAACCTAGAAGTCTCATGTTGTCTCACAAACGGGAAAATGCATACCATCCAGACCTATCCACCCACCAGCGTAGGCGAAGGACGTAGACCGCCGCATTTGCCACCGTCCAACCAGAAAGGGCGATTCCCGCCAATAGGTAGAGCCCAAAGATGGCATAAAAGAACCGCTTTATTCGGAAGAGGAACGGAAACACCTTCTTCAACCCCGCAACGAACCTCTTCCTCCTGCCGTTACGGCCCATCCCACGGCGGATGACCCGTCCCAAGCTCACCCCCACGGCAACGAGGTAAAACAGAAACATTATCAGGTAGTTGGTCCACCCGTGGATCTGCCCCGTGAAGAAGGCCGTGGCTGAGCCGGCCTTGACCGCCTTCTTGATCTCCTGATCAAACGTAAAATCCCCAGTCTGAAAGCAGGCGGCCGGCAGCAGCATCGGGCTGTACTGGTCCGTGTGTGACGGTATTTCGGTAGGAAATCCCAATGACCCTGACCCTTGGTTCGATAACAGGACGCCAGTGATGACAAAAACGAGGGTCGTGACTGTAATTCGGAGGACGCCGACGTAGGGGTGCTGCCAGTAGTGCCGGGCGACGGTCACGGCCATTAGATGGGTGGCGCAGGTGACGAGGAGGATGTTGGCTACGATGTTGTAATGGTATGCCGAGATGGAGCAGGCTTTGGCGTAGCGCAGGGTGATGGCGTAGGCGCCGCCGGTGAAGACCTGCTGGTCGCTGCAAGTAACGACGAGGGCCTCGGCGATGCCGGCAATGGAGATTTGCCAGTTCCTCAGGGCCTTCTCTCTGGAACGGGTGAGTCGAGACTCAAGAAAAGTAGAGCCGGGCTGGTAACTTACTCTCTGGTAAGCCGGTTCACAACTCCAAAGATGTTTTTGGCTGACCACCATGCTGAGCTAGCGATGGATAGTAGGAGCGACGCCACGGTAACGCAGAGAAACGCCCCAAGGACACCGGCGCCAGCAATATCGGGGTCCCCAGGGAATTCTCCCATCTCGATACCTCCGAGGGAGACGGCCGTCGTATTGTCCTCTGAGAGAATCACGCTACAGTTGGGAGTGAGCCCTATCCACCGTCAGTCGTATTATTCCTACCCAGAAAGAGGGAGAACAGGAGGCATATACCATAATGCGCCGCACAGTTAGCGCTGGAGACGTAGGCGCCCATGTTTGTCGGTCATGCCAGTGGCTGAGAGTTCCAAGTCACAGGGTCAAGCTGAGGAACCCGGAGTGCTGGGGAACGAACGTCGAACCCAAAAGATGTCCATGAAGGTTAATATCGGTCATCGGCAATCCCAACCGCGGGGAAGGCATCACGTCGGCGCATCAAAATTGACTCGCGACCAGGGCGGCGCCACTGACGACCAGCCGCCGAAGCACCTGCATCTCGCCACCTGCATCTCGCATGTCCATGTGCAACATGATCCAGATTAGATGCGTCAGTTCAGGAACCAACTGCATAACAGCCCCAGCCCACGGCCAATAGCAATGCCGTCGTCGCCGCCTCGAACCAACGAGCCGCACGGCCGCAGCCTGGCGATTGCGGGACCTCAAACGGGGGGGCTGGAGGCCCCTGGAGAGCATCCTGGTTGGGTACATGTACTCAGGCTGTCGATGGTGCGGGAGTCCTTCACCCCGCGAGGCTCTTGCTTGCTCTCCATGTCATCGTCTGTCTGGTGGTCGGGTTGGGTTGCATTGTGATGAGCTCCTGTGTCACAACTGCGGCCCCCTACCGGGCCGGCCCCCCAGCAGCCCACCACAAACTCAGAGCTCCGGAAAAGGAGTGCAACCGCGTGCAACGCTGGGAGAGCAACGGGAATCCAGGGTAGTTAAGAAAAAGAGGGCTGACACACAACCCCCCCGAGCTTGGAGACATTGTGAGCGATAGGCTTTGGGTTTGGGATAGGGATAGGGTTCGGGTTAGGAGTAGGGTTGGGTGTAGGGTTAGGGGAATGTAACCCTTCTCCTATCCCTATCCCTACCCCTAACCCCAACCCTATTCCGAACCCTACCCCTATCCCAAACCCAAAGCCCATTGCTCATTCGCATGTGCGTCGATTTTCCTTCGTTCGGATCCGGTATTGGCCGACCGACAGCCATCTGGTGAGCGGCTCCGAGTGTCCGACGGATTTAAGTTGGTCGTGTTGGGAGGTTTGACAGGTTCGGTTCGTTGCCGAGTGCAAACCTGTGGGGTCATGAATTTCATGGGACGATGCGGGGCCGGATTTGCCAATTTGGCCATTTGAGTGGCGCGTCGTGCGCAGCTGATGTCACCGGAACCGGGGCTTGCCGTTTCCATGTGGTGCAAAATGGACCCAGAACTGCAATGCAAGACTTCAATGGCGCGGCTTTCAAATTACACAGTAATCAATTCCACTCCACGGTGATCCATAAACTGACGCTGTTTGGCTTTTCGTACAACTGTGCTTCTTGCGTTTAAGTGTGCTCGTGTGCCAATTTGCCTATTTTTTTTTCGTTCTTTCTGTTAACTCCCTGAGTGAGTTCCAAGGACGGCAAAGACAGGGGCAGATCCTGGAAAAACACCAGCCGGCTGTTTTACTCGCTTCCTGCGATCAACTGCTTGCGCGCCTGCGCCCATCTGCCAAGGCGGGACCACGAGGGGGCGACTTCTCGGTTCCTAAAATCGGAGGCTCCAACGACAAGCAAACCGCGCCGCAAACACATCGACCAACATTAATCGTATCTGCCTACCATTGACGAACAAAACCGACGCATTGCCACCGACAGGAGGATTGCCGCACCGAGTGTCTTTCGACTTCCAACTTCAACCATTCTCAACATAGACCCAGAAAGAGCGCCGCTCTCGTTCGCCCAGCATGGGGTGGTCCAAATCAACGCGCATCAAGGTGATGCTCGTCCTCGACACCGTCTTCTTCCTGCTCGAGTTAGGCGTCGGTTTTGCCGTGCATTCCCTGGCACTGATGGCAGATGCCTTCCACATGGTAAGATGCCCTTTCCCAAGCCAAACGACGTTTGGCCGTACTGACCTCTTCTCGTAGCTTAATGATATCATTTCCTTGCTTGTTGGCTTGTGGGCAGTATCCGTGGCGAGCAAGGCCACCACGGACAAGTTTTCCTACGGGGTGAGTGTCCTCCCAAGAACCCATGGCCCGGGGTAGCGTTGGAAACTTTTGCTGACGTCGACCGCCACAGTGGCTCCGCGCCGAGATTCTGGGTGCCTTCTTCAACGCCGTATTCCTCATCGCCCTATGTGTATCCATCGTGCTCGAAGCGCTTACCCGATTCATCGACCCGCCAGAGATTGGGAACGCGCAGCTCATCCTGATCGTCGGCTGCCTGGGGCTCGCATCAAACCTGGCTGGATTCGTTATCCTAGGGGGGCATGGGCACTCGCATGGGCCGGGGGAACACGGACACGGCGAGGAGGAACATAGCCATGAACACGGGCACTCGCATGCCCACGGCGCTGACCGCGCTGCCGAAGAGGGACGCGCTGGGACACTAGCCGACCAAGATTTTGCCGACGATGAGGGCGGACCCGACATTTTCCCCGAGGCGGCCGTGGCGAGATACGGGACGCAGGCGACCGAGGGGAACAGCCGTAAAGAACGGCGGGGACAGGGAGCCGCCCGACACGGCCGCCTCACAAGCATCGGCGACATGAGCATCCATCCCGCGAGTTTCAGGCAGGAGATCATTGCTGCCAGCCGCTCGCAGCCAGACGAGGAGTCGAGCGGCGACAGCAACAGCGAAGACGAGACGGCTGTCGTGGAGGGGACGGATCTACGGGAAGACACTCCCCTGCTCAAGAACGGCGGTGTGTCGCAGTCTAGCCGCAGCCCGAAATCACCCTCGAAGCGGGCGCGGCGGGGGTCGGAAATTCATCACTCACACAACCACAACAAGCCGAAGAAATCGGGAAAGAAGCACGGCCACAGCCACGGCGACATGGGCATGAACGCCATGGTGCTGCACGTCCTGGGCGACGCGCTCGGCAACGTCGGGGTCATCATCACGGCCCTCGTCATCTGGCTGACGGAGTGGCCGGGCCGGTACTACGCGGACCCGGCGGTGTCCCTCTTCATCACGCTCATCATCCTGCGGTCCTGCATCCCGCTCACGATCGCGGCGTCCAAGATACTGCTGCAGGCCACGCCCGAGCACATCGACCTCAACGACGTGCGCGAGGACATCCAGGCGCTGCCGGGGGTCATCAGCTGCCACCACGTGCACATCTGGCAGCTGTCCGACACCAAGGTCGTCGCCTCGATGCACATCCAGGTCGCCTTCCCCATCTCGGAGGCCGGCGGCGAGAAGTACATGGAGCTGTCCATGATGGCCCGCAAGTGCCTGCACGCCCACGGCATCCACAGCGCCACCATCCAGCCCGAGTTCTGCCTCGACCGCGCCCACGCCCACGCCCAAGGGTTGGACGCTGCCATGCGCATGGACGGGGCCTCGGCCTCGGCGCCGGCCCTCCCTGTGCAAGGGTCGAGGTGCGGGAGTATTGTGGAGGGCGCGTGTCTGCTAGACTGTGTGGATGACTGTGTCGGTCGCGGCTGCTGCTCGACGAGCAATTCCCGCCCTGAGAGCAGTCACTCTGTCGAGGGGCATGACCACGACCACGAGCATTAGTGGTCGATGGCCTGGGGATATGGGATTTTGTTTCCTATGTATTGTACAAACCTACATCGTTGCATGGCGAGCATCGTGCTGTTTTCTGGTTATGTTGGCTTCTGCTTGCCTTGGGTTATGGCAGCTCAAGATGGGCTTCAGGGGTTATTGGGTAGCTCGGTATCAGTCCGGGGGTCGGCACTGGAGTTTGGGGCATCTGGATCAAAATCGGGTCTTCCACGCCGTGGGTTGGGAACGGCTGTGTACCAACATACATCATTATCGTCACATTTGGGAGCGAATAACAATTAGAAGTTGCCTGTACTGTGTTATATTTGGTGTTCGTTCTCGGCATGACCGGACCGGAGGCGGTGATACATGGACATGGAACCACGAAACCACTCCTCGTTCGGCACGTAGCACAACGGAGTCGGCCTTGGGGACCGAGAACCGAGAAGCGGCGTGATGTTTCGCCTCTTCTGACGGACCAAAACCAAGCAATTGCCACGGGTGATCCCAGTAAAAATAGCAGAGCTCAAAATAGGCCCCCTCAGATATATATATAGCTCCTCCCAAGACACTAACAGCTCGATAGTCTCCAAATATCTTGATCAACAGCCCATTTCCACATTTCTTCCCACCCACAATCCCTTCCATGTGGAGTGAAGTCAGACGCTGACATGGGATCATCCCGCCGTCGGACAAAAACACATCCCCGCTACACAATGAGACAGTGGACGCGAATTGCCGTCCGTTTCTCCCCCTCGCTAATTTTTGCGTCATGGGGTATCTTCCAGTCGCGTACTGCCGCGAGCTTGTCCTGGTCCATTGTGATTCCATCTGCGCCGATGGTGAATCCGCAGAACTGGACCCTGTGCTTTTTCCATTCGCACTTCGTTTCTTTGACCGTCAGGGAGTTTTTCAACAATCGACATCACGGATGAAGACGAAGATTTACGGTGCGACCATGCGTGCAGTGCTAGGATTTCCCATGTCAGAACTACCATTTCACACCCAACAGATTGGCAGACTAGGGTTAGTTACAGACACAATGAAGGATCTTTTATGATTTCCACAAAGCACGCACGCATGGGTTTCCACTGTGATCAACTTCTGGATAGCGGAGCCACCAAAGAGCTCATCAGCTGGAAACCCATGCGTGCGTGCTTTGTGGAAATCATAAAAGATCCTTCATTGTGTCTGTAACTAACCCTAGTCTGCCAATCTGTTGGGTGTGAAATGGTAGTTCTGACATGGGAAATCCTAGCACTGCACGCATGGTCGCACCGTCAATCTTCACTTTGACATTCAGAGCACTGGGCAGAAATCACATTGCGTCAACACCACTTTCTGGCCATCGCAATGCTATGTTTGAGCGCTGCAAATGCCCGAGATGGGACGATGAGATGAGACGAGATGAGGAGATGAGGGGTCAATCCGTCCCAAAGCTCGTCGATGACGAACGGGTGACGGGTCACACAAACACAACAGACCGAAAGAGAGCTCACTCTCCACCCCGCTCTGCTCTTTCGTTACACAAACCAATCAAGAAGCAACCTCCCTTTTCGTCCCACCATCGCAACCAACACCCAAACACAGCTTGGGTGCTTGGCTCTTTGTTGGAAGATCGATCTGACCGGCACACCCTGACACCCTGACTTTCCCATGGTTTGTGTTGAACCCCACTCCCCGCGCCATGTTTCATCCCGGTCCGTGATACAACCGCAACCCACCCGCACCCCAGCAGGCAGCAGTATTTGCTGCGCCGCCATTCGGCCGCTGCCCCGTTCTGCGACTTCTTTCGGGGGAGTGGAGAAGGCGCCACCAACTGACCAACGAACGAACCGACTAATAATTCACGAACAACGAACCGCGCGAGCGTCGTGGGCGACTGCTAACGAGCAGGGTGTGTGGTGCGTGCGGTGCGATGCGCTGTCCCGGCCGGCAAGCTGCAGGATGGAATTGGGGAAGGAAGAAGCGCGCTTGTGCAGACGATACGAATAGATAGTTTGGATTCAATATTCGTACACACAGTAGATGTGGGAGATGTCAATGTCGGCGGGTTAATGGTATGCAGGCCGTCAGCGGCGAGTACTCGGGCGTCTGCGTGCGAGATATATTTCACCCGGCGGCATTTCCCAAAGTGTCCCTTCCCGAAACCGGCAGGTCACTTTCATCAAGCGCAACAGTGAACCGCTGCTGGGCGCCTGGGTTGCGACTTGGGGTCCAAAGCACCAACAGCGCGAACAGAAACCGGTCACAGTACCCCAAACGGGGCCATGGCCACCGGCCTCCGGCACGTCCCCCGAGCCTCCTCAGCATCACTTCAGCAGTTGGAGTGAGAGACACAGCCCACGTTTCCCCGCGGCCGATGTGATGTGATCCGCTAGTTATCTGCGGCAAACTTGGCAGGGTTTTGCTCGCAGGATATGTACACACTTGTACTGTACTGGCTGTAGTGTCTGGATGACCTCCACACTTCGTTGCCCAGAAGAGCTAATAACCCGGGCATGGTCAAGGGTCGTCGAGCTAGAGAGCTTTGCTTACTGTGCTCCTCGACGTGAGCTTGCTTGCTTGCTTTGTCTTTGTCAATTTTTATTATTCCCGTCTGGAATTCTCCTCTCGCGCCAAACGGGATAGTCTTCGCCTCACCTTTGCCCTCATCACCCAGTAGGAGGAGAGAAACGGGCTGCTGGCCGTGCCCGGACTAGGGGCCATTGCGTTATACATGTAGCTGGAACCCACCCGCCACTCTTCTACATCTTCGGCTCCCCCGTCGCGGTGCGCCAACCGACCTACCAGCGGGCATGTGTATCCTCCTCGCGCCAACACCCACCGCCCGCCATGTCCGGACCAGGACCTGGTCCCGGTGACCGCTACTACCGCCCCCAGGATGGCTACCCGACCAGCATCTTCGCGCAGTCGAGCATTGTCCCCGCGAGGAGACCGGTAGGCGGTCCGGCGGCGGCGGCCGCCCCCGTGGACCCGGCGCAAGTCTCGCCGGAGCTCAGCTACCCGCTCCGTTCAACGCGCTCGGGCAGCAGCAGCGCGCGAAGCCGAATGCCGCAGCGCATGGGCACGATCAACAGCGGAGGTAAATTTACCGTGTCGCCGGCAAGCTCGATTCACGAAGACGACGAGGAGGCGTACGGTTACGGCGGGCTGGCCGGGTTATCGCCGTCGCCTCCGCGGGACTACCGAGACGGGGCGCAAACGCATGGGACTGCCGGCTGGGACGACCAGGGCCAGGCCCAGGGGAATGGGGGGGAAGCCCGGCTGTGGCACGGACAGGCACCGTCGCATGTACAGGCACAGGGGGTTCCGCATACGACAGCAGCAGCAGCAGCCGGAACGACCGACGACATCTCCCGCGCCGCCGGCGCGACGGGAATAGCGCCTGCACTCTGGCAAACGAACCCCAACGTGGCCGATATCCCCTACCCGGCGCCGCCGCACTGGCGCGGCAGCCGCGACATGCAGGAGCTCAACGAGGCGCGCGCGCGCGAGGCCGAGTCAGGTCGACGGCCCGTCCGGACCTCCTACGGGCCAGCCCCGGTGCGGACTCCCGCTCCTACTGCCGCCGCCGCTACTATTTCCGACGTACCACCTTCCCTACCCGTCCCAGCCGTTCTGATTCCGGGCCACCCCGTCACCAACACATATACCGAAATCACCCCCGCAGTATCCGCGCCTGTGTCAACACCATGGCAGCAGACTCAACCCCAACAACAAACCCCGACTCACTTAACACCCCTTGGTACTCACCAACCCCCCACTAGCACCGGAACGGCCCGCACCGCCAACCGCGCTCCGGACCCGCAGTCTAGTGGAGACGGCCCGTTCATGCACTACGAGGACATCGACTACTTCGCCCCGGTGCCCGAGTCCGAGCCTAAAGACGAATCGCAAATCGACGTTGGCGTGCCCCACGCTGACACCTTCCCCCCTATCCCCTCAAGTCTGAACGGGCCGAAAGCGAGGCGGTCGTGGGACCGACAACGCAAGCGGCGGAGGAAGAGGAACGAGCCTGTGGATGGCGGTGATGGGGAGGGGGGTGGCCGCCGACGGCCCCAGCGAGGAGAACAGGGGGGGAGAGGGTGTGGCGGGTTCCTGCGGTATTGTGCGCGCTGGCTGCCCGAAATATTGGGCTGTTTGCTGGGGATCGTGTGTCTGGCGGTTATTGTTGCGGTGCTAAACATGTTTGACGGACGGGGTCTGACGGACTGGCCCTTGACGGTCTCGCTTAACACGGTGGTGGCCTTTCTGACGACCATATGTCAGGTTGCGCTGGCCGTCCCCCTGACTGAAGGGCTCTCACAGCTGAAGTGGAACTCGTTCGCTCGGGGCGAAAAGCCGCTCGCAGATTTCCAGACGTTCGATGATGCGCGGCGGGGCCCCGTGAGAAGCGCTATGTTGCTTTACAAGCGGAAGGGAAGGTGTGAATACTCTCGCCCCTCGGGCTGTATGCGTCGCCTTGGTTGTGGCCCCATGTGCTGATCGATTTCTGATAGGGCACTCGGGATGTCTGCGGCTGTGGCACTTGTGACCAGCTTTTTGCTCTCCCCGCTCACGCAGGGCGCCGTCACCTATCCCACTCGAAATTTCGAGGCCGGGAGTGGCACAGCGGCCATTCCCAGGAGCGAATCATACTCCCACCCAACGCCGTATGGTAAGTTGACCCCCGCGTCAATCCCGTGGGAACCGTGGGCGCTGACCTTGTGCCAACCTACCAGAGCACCTCGACACCCGAGAGAAGCAAGCGATCCAGTCAGGCATCTATCATGCAGTCGACGTGGAGGTACCACACCTGCAACCCCTCTGCAGCTCTGGCGACTGCCAATGGCGGAACTTCAGCTCGCTGGCCGTCTGTGGCGCCGTGGCCGACGTGTCCGACAGGCTCACCGTCTCCAGCCAGTCCGGGCCACGAGGTCTGGGTGTGTCGCTGGGAGACGCCAACGATGAGCTCGTTCGCTCTGCTCGCCTCCCCAACGGCCTGTTTCTGGTCGGCGGCACCGCCAGCTGTAACCTGAACATCTCTTGGCCGCATGCCTCGGCAAATACCGACAGTGACACCGAGGGACTGACGGGCCAAGAGAGCTATCTCCCCGCGCGGACAAGTCTCGCCTTCTCAGACCAGGACGGCAGAGTGTCGAGCGCCATCGCAAACTTCTTCCTTGTTTATACCAACCAGACCTCGGACCCTGGGTCGGTTTCGTCAAAGACTGTGTTCCGTGCCGCCGAGGTTCTGCTACACTTCTGTGTCAACACGTACGAGGCGTCGACCTCCCGCGGCGCATCCACGAGCAGGGTAGTACACTCGTCCACGCTCGCCGCAGAAGACGCCTCGGGTAACTCGATCGTCAACGTCCGCCATGTACCGTCCTTGCCCCGGCAAGTGTTCCTGCGCTCCACCAACGCTGACGGCGTGTACTCAGTAAAGAGAGAGGACGTGAGGCTCTTGAACGGCTATATCCTGTCGGTCTTTTCCGGCGTGTATTCCCATTGGTACGGGAAGGCGATCGGGGGCGAGACGGCCACCAGCGAGGCCCTTGGGCTTGCCATGTTCCAGCGCGAGCCGTCTGACGACGACGGGATGCGGTCTGTGGTTAGGAACTTGACCGCCAACGTGGCCGCCAGCTTGACTAACACGCAAGTGGATTTTCTTAGGCTTACGGCCCCCTTGACCCTCTTTCTGTTTGCCCTGTCACGGTTCCTCTTCCCAACTCCTGTTTTGCCCCTTGTTCCATCCCCCTATGCTGGGAACAATGCAACCCGCAGCGGACCCCGCGTAGTGGTTGGCCGGCCCAGCGTCACGTCGACTCCCGAAGGGCGCCGGGCGGTTGAAAGGTACCATGTAGAGACAGGCCCAATGCTAACTTGAGGGTATCTCTAGGATGCGTGCCATGAGTTCAGCCTCGGCGAGTGGCACCGTTTTTGCAACCGAGAGTTACGTTCACATCCAGTGGGCTTGGCTGACGTTCCTAGCCATCCAGGTGGCACTTTCGGTCAGTTTCCTCCTGGGCATCATGGTCCAGACGGCTGTCTGGAATGTAAAGATCCTTAAAGGATCGTCCACAGCGGTGCTGCTAGCCCTTTCTGCCGATGAAAAGGCATACTTGGAGGAACGAGAAAACATGTTCCTTGACAGCGACGAGGGGGGCGAGACGTCTCGCAAGCTGAACACCATTACCTACAGGTTCCGGCCTGGAGAAAGGGGTTGGAGTCTGGAAGCGGACAAGAGGGAGGATGGCTAACCCCGAGGGTAACCCCGACGCCGTTGAGACGAAACTCTAGCTCGTCAATTTGCAGTGGAAACACCACAATCTACCGCGATTTAATGAAGATGACACATATGTTGATCAATAAATGACTTACGACGCGTCGTCAAGCCGGCCGGATCCACTGGAGTCCAGAGTTTACTCCTCTCCTGCGTCCCGAAGCGTCCAGTGTGTTCAAGAATAGAGCCTCGGTGGTTGGCCGTAGAGGAGCCCGGGACTCTGCCTGACGGACCCAATAAGGCCTGGGGACCTTGGGAACCTTCGGTTTGTCGATGCAGGGGTTGCGCGCATGCTGCAACAACTTATCGTGACGTGCGGGAACGAATGACGAGAACGCGGGCCTACATTGTGCCTCAAACCTCACGAGCTTCGTTGGCAATGCCTCTCTCCGACCCAGCCGTCCTGCATAACCTTCCTTGGCCGGTGTGGTTGACCTCGAGCCACCAAGGAAGCGCTTGGGATCAAAAGTGCTGTTTTGGGTCCTCGCTGCCGAGTGTTGTCAGCCATTGGGCATACCAGCCGATTGCGACATGACCGAGGTTGCGTGTTCACCGGGGAGCAGCGGGGTGAGCCTGGGGAAACACAATGTAACGGCGGCTTGACATGTTCTGTTTCTGTGGCTCCATCACGCTTTCCGCGGGCCGCACCGGAGCTTGTCGTGTGTCTGGTTAAGATCGGCTGGAGAGCTATGTCAGCCAGATATTGAAGGGCGAGAGTGATCGGAGTGGGGAGGGCAAGAAGCAATAACGAGAGCCCAGACGTTACACGCCAGGATGATTGGGCCGCTGCGAAGAGAGTCTGGTTGCACAGGTAGCAATGCATTAAAACGAGGAGATGAAGGAGCCACTGAGGGGAGGACGAGTGCGTGGGGAAAGTGCAGTTGAGGCTGCGAGCCAGGTCCCTTCCCCCATCCCATCGTGGTGAGCTCCTTCCACCAACTGGTCATCGTTCCTGCCCGAGGCGGCGAGATATGCGGGACCTCCGATGGTTCGGAGTGTGTCTTCAAATCCACCCCGAAGTCTCTGATAGGGCAAGGAAGAGGGCAGAAGCCGGGATCCCATCTTCTTTTCGACTGCCCCACGATTCGAGGTTCGCGCATGGTGGTGGGGTGAGCTGCGAAATCGCGAACTGCCCGTGCCAGTGTGAGGCTGGCGGCCCTCCTGCAGGGAGTTTGTTTTGGAAGCGGCTACCGAGGAGCGACGTGTCGGTGAACTCTCCCGATGAGTGGCTGCACTTCAGCACAACCCCAAAGCGAGCAGGAACGGACCAATTCGGTCATGCCGAACACGCGGGCAGTTGACGATGGACGTCGAAAAAAGGGGGCTTCAATCCACGCCTCACCTCGGGACAATGGCTTCCCCAGGCCATCCCGCGCGAGACCCCCCCGTGGGCAGCGCAACCTTCCAGGCATGGAGCCTATGCGAGGCGACTCTGGGCTCCTCTCCTCGGGCTGCTCTCCTGTCTGCTCTAAGCCTCGGAGGGATAGACCTGGAAAATTGCCGCCTTTCACCGAGTCGGCGTGCAATCAGATAGCTCAGATTCGGCACGGTGACGAGAAAAACTGTGGCGTTCCATTCCCCCTTGTCGGGCTTGTTGAGGATTCGGGAGCTTCATCAACACGCTGGCACAGACCGAAGACCCCCCGGCTTCCCCGGTGGTGGAAGGCGGCTTGTGGAGCCGGTGACTAGCCTCTCGGAGAGCCAATCGGGTAACAAAATCGCGGTGAGGCTGGCCCGGCCGGCTCGGTATTGGCCCCATGTCACCGTCGCCGATTGGTGCGTGCAAGGTGTGTTCGCGTTACGTAAACCCGTAATCTGCCCTCGAAATCCAGGCTGCGTCACATGACCTCGGTATCCGGGGGTTAGGGTCCATGCTGTGTGCAAGGGATTCAAAGGGAGCGTGGGGGTTCTGAGACAAGGTGTTGGGCGCCCACGGCGGTCCCTGCACGGTAAGTGAGTGTAAAATACCGCGATCAGCACTTGGTGTTGCAGGCTTTCTGTGATGGAGGGCGGCAGGCCAAAGTCAATGCAACGCGCTGGACAGTGACAAACAATTGACGTCGATGCAAAGGAGCGACATGTACCTGCTACAGCATCCAGCGTCGAACCAAAAGCGGATAGGAGATCGAGCCGGGTCTACGGCAGCACGGGGAGAGTGGGAAGGAGGGGGGGTTCGGGAAAGAAGATGCACTCCACTGGGTCGGTCTGCGGTGAGCGATGGCAGGGTCCACGTGGACGCCGTTCTCGTTGGGCACTTCCCAGGGACAAACGGACCTTGGGCTTGCCTGAATTGAGCCTCCAACAAGCGAGAGAGCATACCGCGGGTGAAATTAATTCTGGAAAAGGAAGAAAAAGAAACCGTGCCGGAGTCGGGCCCGGGGTTACAGAAAACGACGGCCGAACCTCACCTATCAATGCCTTGCCGCCCGCACCTGCTGCTCCCGTCTCAGATGGACGTTCTTTCCTCACTTCACCCGCCTGCCGCGCTAATAAGAAGCAAACCCTGACCTCCTGCTTTATTTGGTCGAGGAAGCCATTGGTTCCTTCCAGCGACCTTGTTCAATCCTCAGTTCAACTTTTTGAGTCCTTGTCCTTCATTATTCGACCGGGCTACCTACCTACAGCTAATATCCTGTACCTTGCCCCGTACATGATTTTGGCCGGGCGTCGTGACGGCTGCATTATCAAATTACTGTCTTTGTATCAGCATTGTTTCTGTACTTTCCCGGTCCCCTTTTATCCCCCATCCGCCCGACCTGTCGACGGCTACCCTCGCTCCGCCATCTCAGGTTCCTCCGGACTCGGCCCTTCGGTCAAAATAGCTGCGGAGCAGCTTCCGGCGTGCCACATCGTTGGCTTCGAACCCTCCGTCCCCGTCTAGGCCGTTTGTGTGTGTGGGCTTGCCCAACCGCGCTCTCCGAGACTCCTCACCCCTGGATAATACTTGTCTTGTTGGTTACCTACCAAAGCACCGCTTGCCAGCAGGTCTGGCGTTTCCGGGGGACGCATTCGCCCGGTTGCATCTCGGAGTTGTGGATATCCCGCAGAGTTCACATTGCAACCCCAACAGGTGCAGGCGTGGACCGAGCCGGGACGTTGGGGCATCGAGTTGCTCGCCAAACCCGGCAGACAAGGGAACGGCCAGAACCGACTCTCGACTAAATTAGCCATCGATTATGGGATTTTGCATTCGTTTGAGATTCTGAACAACCGGCAGTCTCAGGATGCATCCGGTTTCCAGCTTGACTGAGGCCTCGCCCAACAACACTGACGATTTGCGCCCTGTGTCACGCTTGCCTGCAAGCCCCGAAACCCACCACCTTGCTTTGAACGCCATCTCCGAGGACCATGTCCTACAACCAGACGGCGCCTCTCCGCCGGTGCGGAAAGACACTAGCTCGTCGATATCGACTGCGGCAACCCTCGTGACCTCGGCGACGCTCGGTACGGAAGAAACACCCGGGACTCCATACAGCAGCGTTGCTTCATCGCCTACCACCTTCGCCGCCCAGGCTGTATTTTCTGCCAGGGACGGGAGTAATGTGACCCAGCAACGCCGTGCAAGTCGGCGTCGGACCGGCCCCCTGACGGCCGTGCAGCGCGAACGCGCCCACCTGATTAGGAAGATGGGTGCTTGCCCTGACTGCCGCCGAAGGAGAGTTGCCGTGAGTTCCCATTCCTAGATCAGTCCTGCCCCGGTCCATCGACTCACAAACCATCCAGTGCCACCCCAACCACCATAATATGACATGGGAGGACGCTGCAAAGAGGTTCAGGTCACATGAGACCTCGTCCCAAGGACTCTCTCCGATAATAGGGCCACAAATAAGTCCTGCGCCGCTGAACACAAGACCGTCGTTCTCCCAGGACTCCCGGGAGATGGACATAGACACCTCGCCGACGCAACAGCACGCCCAGCCGTCGTTGAGCGAGGCACGCATCAGGACCCCTCTTCCGTCTGGCCCGCGGCCCGACAAGCACGTGAACCTGCCACCTCTACCCGGGTTCGATAATTTCAGGGCGGACCTTCAAGGAAGCGCAGATCGAATTCTGGAAAGCCCCTTCCGCAGCCGTTATGCCAACGCCTCGGTTCTGATGGTGCGGTGGCAGGACGACGAGGACGCCGGGGCCCAGAGTGCTCTCAACGATCTGGCCAAGACATTCCACGAAAACTACCACTATACCGTCCACATCAAGACGATTCCGGCATCGACAGAGGACTCCCGGACTCCCTGGTTGTGGTTATCCCAGGCGGTTACAGACTTCATCGCGGATCACAACCAGCGCGACTGTTTAAGAATATTTTACTACAGCGGGTATAGCTATTTAGACGGCGACCGGGAGATGGTTCTCGCAAGGTAGGTACAGTGATCTGATTTGCAACATATCTTTTGTACGTGCGCGGGCTCACTCTTAGGTACCAGCTCTAAACACGCCGACCCTGCCTCGGTCATTCGATGGAACGGCATTCAGTCGTTTTTCGAAAACGCCCGTTCGGACGCTCTACTCCTCATGGATTGCGCGCATTACCCCACGCACACAGCGTCGCGGCGGACAGGCATGCTGGAGTTGATCGCTGCATCCGCCGGAGAGGATCACGTCGAACATCTTGGAAGAAGTGCCTTCACTCGCGCGGTGACAGACCAGCTGCGAAAGAGGGCTGCTCAACCATATAGAGAACCGTTTTCTTCGGCCGAACTCCACGCCAGGCTACTATCGTTGTATCCCGAGATAATACGAGAACAAAACCCGGAGAAGGAGTCTGTTGTGAGGTTCCCCACGCCGCTGAGCATGCAGCTTTCCGGCACGAAAACACTGCCGTCCATACTCCTGGCCCCGCTGCAGCACGGCGAAGTCCCTCGTCCTCCGTCAAGCGGGGCGCAGATTAGCATAACGTTCCGATTGACAGACGATCCGTTTAACATGGATAGCTGGGCTGAATGGCTCCGCATGATGCCCGGAGGTATCACAGAAGCGAGGGTGGATGGCCCCTATCGCGATACGTTTCGATGACAGCAGTGAGCGACCGCCTCGTGCGGCATCACTGCTAGGAATTGGTACAACTAGCACATTGGCGAGTGCCTCGCCGCTAGGTCGACGGACACAGAATGCCTGTAACGTTTCCCCAGACTCCGACGAGTCGTGTTTCCTTTCCCACATGATCTATTTCAGCCTTGCGCAACCTCAGCTCGTATCCTCATTTCGACGACCTTATGACGGCGAAGCTCTTCAATCTAATAGAGCCACTGAAGAGCGAGGCCTCTCTTGGAGTCTGAGCCGCTGTTTTTCCTTGGAAAGGGGAATGGAATGGAGGCGAGTGTGGAGGGAGATTGTATCTGATAAGCCCGCTATGGCCAGAGGCAGAAACAATGCTCTTTGCCCATGCGTTGGAGCGTGGGAAGAAAAGGATGGTTGGTGTGTGATACGAGTAGAGTTTTAAACCATTTCAGCCGTCTTACTGTGATCTCAGTCATCTCCCCTTCTAAACGGTGAACAATACGACAAAAATAAAATCGGAAAGCCTAAATGCAACTCCCCTAATGGTATCATTCTACCCCATGCTCGACCTTACAAGATACTACTACATGCAACAACCAAACCAAAAAAAAAGAAAAGAAAGAGCCCGCCCCTTGAATAGGTATCCACCACTTTACCCCCTCACAAGACAGCCACCGCGGCAACCAAGCCAACCATCAGCGCCCACGCGGACCTCCCCACGTCCACCTTCACACCAGCCGACTCATCATCCGGGTTCCCGTTCCCGATCTTGAAGGTAGGGTCATACTCGGCACCACCCCCACCAGAAGCAATCGCCACATCCGCCCCGGCCGTCGTGCCGTTCCAGCAGTAGCGATCAAAGCACGACGCGCACGCGGCGGGGACGTCGGTGCCGGTGCGCGCCCAGCTGCGGCTCATGACGGCGCACGCCACGCACGCCTGCCACTGCGCGTCCAGCGTGCCGTTGCCCTGCGTCGCCGCGTCGTACCCGTTGCGGATGATGCCGTCGCGCTGCGGGAGCGGGTAGGACGGGGTGAAGGTGGTGACGTTGGACATGGCGGTGTAGGGCGCGTTGGGGACGTAGACGATCAAGGGTGGGGGGGACTGGTTGGAGGAGACGGTGAAGTTGGCGACGTCGCAGCCGAAGAAGGTCGGGCGGCTGTTGAGCCCCTGCGCGAGGAAGGTCTTGTCGTCGGGCACGGAGGGGAAGAGCGTGCCGTTGGCGATGGCGCCGCCCACGCGGTCGAAGCTGGCCCGCATGGCTGTGCCGTTGGGCCACGCGTAGGTCGTGTCGGCGGAGGAGTCGACGGCGAAGATGACGTCGACGGAGCGGAAGGGTTGGATCAGCGGGTGGAGGGGGATGTTTTGCAGGTCCATGCCGCCGTCGACCAGATCGAGTTCCGAGGTCTCGGCGGTTGGGTTGTTGTCTTTGTTCCACCCCAAAAAGGGGTTCGGCACGTACTGCGCGATGTCGTTGCGGTCGGCGTCCAGCCCCTGCAGGAGCGAGGTGCCGGCCTCGATGAGGAAGTCGGGGACGCCTTCGACGCTGGTGATGTTCTGGAGGAGGAAGGCGTTGAAGAGGGAGCTGCTGGTGCCGAAGATGTAGCTGAGCGAGTCGAAGCCGCGCACGCACTTGCCGTCGCGGGGCACGACGCCGTTGGAGAAGTTGGAGGCCAGGTAGCGCATGGGCGCGAAGCCGAAGGTGGTCGGGTCCCAGGAGCCCATCTCGAACGGGTTGAACTCGTACACGGTCGCGTTGAGCGAGATGATCTTCTCGCCGGGGTGCCGGCCGTCGGCGACCAGGATCGGGAAGGGCGCGCGCGCGTTGGAGAACTCGTCGTCGTCGGCGATGCTCGAGAAGGTGTACCCCGGCCCGCCCTCGGGCGCGTCGATCAGCTGCCAGGCCAGCGCCCGGCCCCAGTAGTCGGTGATGGACGTCTCGAACCCGGCGTCGTCCTTGTCGCTCACCTGGCCGGCGACCTTGGCCCAGTACCTGGCGGCGTCGAAGATGCCGGACAAGTCGGGCCCCGTGAAGATGGAGTTGTCGAACCGCCAGATGCTGCTGTCCTCCCTGCCCTGCCGCAGCTTCTCGACGGTGGTGAAGTTGTTGGCATAGATACTGCTGACCAGCCAGCCGCCGCCGGACAGACCAGACAGATACGTGCTGGCCTGGAGGAGACCGCCGATGCCGCCCTTGTCGGTGGAGCCGGGGGTGCGGCTGTCAGCAGCGGAGATGAAACCGGCGCCGTTCATCAGGGCGCGGTAGCCGCCGCCGGAGACGGCGATGCCGATGTTGGGCAGGTCCTTGACGTCCTCGGCGACCCTGTTGATGTAGGCCTCGGCGTCGAAGCCTTCGATGTTGGCCCGCTTCAGGAACTCGATCATGGGATCGACAGTGAGCGGGCGGCGCTTTGCCAGCCAGTCGGTCTCGCTCTTGGAGAGCGTGTTGGCGCGCCGGATCGTGGGCTTTTCCTTCGGGCACTCCACCTGGGCCGGGGCATAACCGTTCGGCGCGTCGGGGCGCGCGCGGGCGCTGATTGCTAGTTCATCGTTCCGCGGTATCCTGATGGGCTCGGCGGATGTGGAAAGGGGGAGGAGAGCGAGCGGGAGAAGGGCGTTGAGATGCATGTTGGTTTATGTTATGTTTTAATGGTTCAACAAAACCCGCATGGGGGTTTGGTTTTGCACCAGCAAGTGAAACTGAAAGAATGGCGATCAAAACAGAGCAAGATCAAAAGTCAAACACCTTTTCAGGTGGATGTGCCGAGGTTTCGGGAAGGGATTGTTTGGTGACGGCTGATCGGACGGCTCGGAGAGAAGACAAGACTTATTAATGAAACAGGACCAGACCAGAATCCAAGAAGGAAGAAGCTCCCGGCAGAAAGGAGGGTAGAGGTGGCCGGTTAGAAACAGCACCGCGGCTGGCTGTAACTATGCAGCCTACAAATGGCGGGCAAAGAAAAGAGGTTGGCGATGGGAGACAAGCCAGGGCCGAGTGCGAATGTATGTAAGACGACGGGGAAGGTCACCGTTTTTCAGACCTGTATGACGGTCGGATGGCGGCGATCACTGGTCGTTCGGATGGCCCGGCCGGGGTTGAATAAGTATGTTTGTACCAAGGTAGTTACATAACGACAGGGAAATTCTGACTGGGCTCCCTCTTCGGTTTGTTTGCTCGTTGGCCGGGCTTACTGGGCTGAGCGAGTGCCAACCAACATGGTCCTTTTTTCCCCCATCTGATGTCTTTTCTGCCACTAAAAACAAGAGGGAGATGTGATGTGATGTGCCGAGTATCCGGCGTTTTCATCCCTCCCTCCCTGTCAGACTGTCTCCCTCCGTCGGGAAGCCGGCTCATTCGTCGGGAGGGATGTCTTCCGTATTTTTCGCTTGATGTCGACAGGGTCCTTGCTGTGTTTCATGCAGGCAGTCAGACACTGCGTAGCACGACCTGTGGAGCCTCCAAGATGGGCCCAAATGTGTTTCCGCGTATCGGCCGTAGCCAAGGTCTTGGGAAGGTCTTGGGAAGGTCTTGGGAAGGTCTTGGGGGCTGACCTGGCAGAAAGGATGGTCTTCTTGGGGTCGGTCTCAAAGACCACAATCCTTACTACACGTACCCATTTCTTTCGGGGGACCGAGAGATGCGGCGTTTCCAATGCGGCGTGATCTGATGAGACAGGAAAACGGGATGAGAAGGGGAATCCACAGAAGATCCGCAGCGAATCCGCGGTTGCGGGTTGGCATTGGCACGCGAATCGCGGCTTGGCAAGACGGAAAGCGAACGGGTAAGATTAGTGTAATTACGAACTGCATGTGTGGGGAAGCAAGGGTCTTTTCCCCCCACCATCCTGAAATGCCCCTCCTCTCCTCACGTCATGTTCAGGGTGTAAGGGTCGAATAAACTACTGTGTAACGGCTATTTGAGTGCGGAATGCATATCTGTTGCTGCAACGTAACCCAGCTGAACCACGAGCTGAAATGCAAGGCGTAAGCTGCCGTCTGGTGTTTTATTCTGTTGTCCGACGTCGGCCACTCATATATCGGCCGAAGGTGGTGAGGAGATTGGTCGGCCTCCTCGTTGCAGGATCTGCGTCAGCTTTCCGTCTCGCGGCCCGTTTCAATTGCCCAGCGATGGGAACGTGGGGGGAGGGACTCGGTGTTTCTTCTTCTGAGTATTGTTCCGAGCGACAATATTTTTCATGTGCTTGGCCGTCAATTTAATCTGTATCCTAGTTAGCAGTCAACATCGTTCCTTTCTCGTTAACCGAACCCAAGATCCAACAACTGGGGTTTCACCGCCATGCTGCTCTGCGATGTTCAGAAGTTGCCCAATGCGGACATCTCGAGTACCATGTACATCACCACCTCCCCTGCAAATGACCCTAGCTGGCCACCCCACATCGGCAACGGAAACAACACCGGCCATGGCAACCGGCCGATCACCGTTCATGCGACCATGAAGTGACCGAACAGGCACAAGGCATCAACGGGGGACACATCTGATTTCTCTTAACCAAGCCGTTTTTATATGACAGGAAACCCAAATCACCAACTCTCCACCCAAAAATCACCGATCCATGTGCGCCAGCCTGATGCTGACCGCCCTCCGGTGGGCCTCGAGCTCCTCGACCTTGGCGAGCTGCATCACCGCCTCGCCCACGTTGCGCAGGCCCTCGGCGGTGAGGTTGGAGCTGGTGATGTGCTTGACAAAGGATGCGAGGTTGACGCCCGAGTACTGCTTGGCATAGCCGTAGGTTGCTAAACACATCGTCAGTACCAAGGAAAATAAAAAAAAATAAAAGAATTGCCAGCGAATAGGTAGGGAGGGAGTTGGGTTCTAGGTTTATTAGAGCCGGCCGGGCACTTACGCAGCGAGTGGTTGACGCCGGCCGAGTAATCGCCCACGCTCTCCGGGGTCCATTCGCCGATGAAGACGCTCCCGGCGTTCATGACCTTGTCCACCACCGACTCGGCGTCCCGGAGCTGGAGGATCAGGTGCTCGGGCGCGTACTTGTTGCTGATCTCCATGGCCTCGTCCACGGTCCTGACCCGCACCGTGAGCGAGTGCGCGATCGAGCCCCGCACGATGTCCACCCGCGGGAGCGCCGTCGCCTGCCGGTGCACCTCGTCCTCGATGGCCGACAGCTGCGCGTCCGTGAGGTCGATGGCGATCAGGATGACCTGGCTGTCGACGCCGTGCTCGGCCTGGGAGAGGAGGTCCGAGGCGACGAAGGCCGGGTTGGCGTCCTTGTCGGCAATCACGAGGACCTCGGAGGGCCCGGCCGGCATGTCGATGCCGACGCCGGCGTTGGTGTCGTTGCTGACGAACATCTTGGCCGCCGTGACGAACTGGTTGCCGGGGCCGAGGATCTTGTCCACCTTGCTGACGCTCTCGGTGCCGTACGCCATGGCCGCGACAGCCTGCGCGCCGCCGGCCAGGACGATCGACTCCGCTCCGACCTTGTGGGCGACGTAGACAATCTCGGGCGTGATGGTGCCGTCGGCCCGGGGCGGCGACGCGAGGACGATCTTCTTGCATCCGGCGACCATGGCCGGCACGCCAAGCATGAGCGCTGTGCTGGGCAGGACTGCGGTGCCGCCGGGGACGTAGAGGCCGACGGCTTCGATGGGCCGCGAGAAGCGGCTGCAGACAACGCCAGGCATGGTCTCAACCTGCAGCGGCTTCTCCTCCTTCTGGGCAGCGTGGAACTTGCGGATGTTCTCATAAGACACGTCGATCGCCTTGATAGTCTCGGCAGGCAGCTGCATGAGCGACTCAGGGAACGGTGCCTTAAGGACTGGCGAGGTTAATGACGTTGCCTTCTCGAACTTATGAGTGTATTCGAGAACCCCCTTGTCACCCTTCTTCCGGACGTCGTCGATAATCGGGGTGATGATCTTCATGATGGTTTCCGGCGACTTTTGTGATGGCCGCTTCAGAGCCTCATCGAGTTGTTCCCTCGAGGCGGTGGCCATGTCGTAGACCTTCATGGTGATCCGTTCAGGGGCGGCCTCCTTGGGAGTCTCTTGAACTGGGACAACTGGGGCCGCGCTCGCTGCTGGCTTGATGCCTTCCTTCTCTGCCCACTTCCCCTTAGCATCGCCTGTCCTACGCTTGACCTTGAAGCTCTTAGCGTCGAGACTCTTCTCGATATCCGCCAGGGTCACGCCGGCGCCCACGGCCTTGGTCAGAGCAAAGTAGATGAGGTCCGCAGCCTCAAAGGCAACATTCTCGGGCGTCTTTGCATCACAGAGCTCCTCAGCCTCCTCCATGATCTTGGCGCGCAGCAGCTTCTCGTCCGAGAACAAGCGGGCGGTGTAGGAGCCCGCTGGCGCCGACTGCTTCCTCGACACAAGGGTGCTCTCCAGCTTGGCAAGGCCCTTCAGATCCCCGAAGCATCCCGACTGTTCCAGGTGACAGAAGCGCCCCTTTTGCCTCACGACAAACTTAAGAGCATCGTTGTCGCAGTCTAAAGATATCCGGACCAGTTCCTGTGTGTCACCAGATGTGGCCCCTTTGTACCACAGGCCGCGCTTGCGGCTCTGGTAGACGCCTGTTTGTGTCTTGAGCGCCTCCCCCACGCTTTCTTCGCTGCTGTACACCAAGCCTAGCGCCGTGTCATGTTCGTCGACAACGACGGTAGGGATCAGGCCGTCTGCGCGGTCCGACTTCCAGGTCGCGGCGAGGATCTTGGGCACGGCGAGCTTTCCGGTTTGCGCTGTGCTGCTCAACTCGGTCGATGGCAGAATCGGAACGGCGTTGCATTGCGCCGCAACCTTGAGGAACTCTTCCAGGTTGGCCCCCGCCAAGGGCTTGATAAAGAGCGGCTGGATCCTCTTTGCCTTGGTCTCCTCGACGAACCGGGGAAGATCGGCTACCGTCTGGTCGAGGCCAGAGACGAGTAGACCGTGCTCTGTGGGAACAGAAGACACAGCCCCGGCGTTGTTGCCGTCCAGAAGGGGGGCAACCCGAGAGCCAAACTCGGCGAAGTCGGGCAGTTGTTCGGGGCGGACGAAGACTTTGCGGGCGCCAGCGTCAAGCAGAGTGATGATGTCGTCGCGGGAGTCAAGGCGTGTCACGTCGAAGAAGGCTTGGAACTCGGTGTTGTGGCGGCCAAGGAATCGCATGACCTTGTCGAGTGTTTGAGGAGTGACCTCGAAGAAGACACAACCAAGACTCGACACTTCCTCGCGATTGAGACCCTCCTTCTCGCCGCCGAGCCCTGGTGGGACATTGACGCCGACGAGGAACGGAAGTGGTAGTATCGTTTCCATGGTCGGATTCGGTTGGGATGGAATGGTCAATTATTCTAGGGTTTCTATTTGTAAATCCCAAGTCTCCATGGCGAGAATAAATAAATAAAGAGTCATCGCAAGTTTCACAGGTTCCCTCCTGTATCGGCACCCACTCTCAAGGTGGGGTTGTCTGCCCCTCCATCGCGCCCTGGATATCCCGCGCTCCAGCGCATTGGGCCGTGATTTTCTTTGGCAAGGATCAAGAAATAAGCACTGGTCAGTGCGTTCGAATTCCATCGCTTGGGGCGCGAGCTGGAAGAAATAACTAACCCCACCTTGTGCACACCACCGTAACTTTTGGAGCGACCTCGTCTGATTCCACCAGTTCCCGCAGTCAGTTCCATGCAGTTAATTGCATCCGGTTCAATGCGGCCATAGGTTAGTTCTATACACATAGATGGGTTAATTCCCAATAGGTTTTGGGTTTGAGTTAGGGTAAGGGCAAAGATGAGGGATAGGAGTAGGGGTAGGGATAGGGATAGGGTTCAACAAAGGGTTAGGGTTGGGCTACCTGCGTTGAGCTGATCACATTTGGCTGGCAGCAATTAACTGCTGACTGTGTTGAACTAACTGTATTGAACTATGCAATTGGCGGGCTGCGATGGTTGTTGCGGTTTGAGAAATACTGTGATCAGTGTTCTTGTTTTTCCATTTCACGCCTTCGCAAGCGGTGGCGGATCAATGCGGCTCCGATCCAGCACCGTGTGGACGTCTCCAGATGGGCTTGGCACAGGCGCTCCGCGTCGGGTGCTTTTGGCAGCAGCAACCGCAGCATTGGAACTCGCGACTTCAAGCTTTCAAACCACATTCACCGGTTAATTCAACGAATAATACTATTACCGTGGTCGCCTTACGGCAATCATAAACCTGTCAATTACCATCCACAGGATCAGACACCTCACCAATTCCAAATCTAACTACTACTTAGTCGCCCGCGTCCACTTCTAGTCCGACCATCGCGATCGCCCGTCACAATTTATCAACCTCGGCCGACCTCCCACCGTATCGCGAGCATCGCTGACTTCTTCCCCCCTCGAACTTCGAAACAACACAATCACCATGTCCGCCACCGGCGCCTCGGCGCCTCAAACCAACGGTGTCCCCCCCTCCTCCGCCGCCTCGAGTTCTCAAACCCTCGCCAACACACAAACACAACAACAACAACCACAACCTTCCCAATCCCAACAAACCCAATCCCAACCCTCAGCAATCGTAACCGCAACCCCGTCACAAAGCCAGCCCCCCCAGCCCCAACCACCCCAACAACAACAACAACACCAACCCACCACCACCCCCGGCCCAGGCCCAGGCCCAGGCCCCATCCCCACATCCAGCACCGCCCCGCGCCCGCGCGACGCGCGCACCATCGAGCTGCTCCTCACCGCCCAAGGCGTAACGGCCTTCGAGCAGCGGGTACCCCTCCTCCTGCTCGACTTCGCGTACCGGCACACCTCGGCGGTGCTCTCGGACGCGCTGCACCTCGCGGCGGACCCCTACACGTCGCAGGCCGGGGCGCGGCCGTCGGCGGCGTCGGGCGCGGCGCCGGTTAATGTTGGTGATGCGGCCGTGAGCGCCAACGCCGTGCAGCTGGCGATTGCGAGTCGGTTGGGGTTTCAGTTCCGTGGGGGCGGTGGGGGTGCTGCTGGTGGTGGTGGTGGTGGCGGTGGTGGTGGTGGTGCGGGTGCGGGCGGGGCGAGTAAGGATTGGATTATGGAGTTGGCGAGGGAGAAGAATAAGATTGGGTTGCCGAGGGTGTCGGGGAATGAGTGGGGGGTGCGGCTGCCTGGGGAGAGGTTTGTGCTGAGTGGTGTGCCGTGGGGTTTGAGGGATGTGTGGGCTGGGCAGGAGGGGGCGGAGGAGGATAGTGGGGAGGAGGAGGAGGAGGAGGATGAGGAGATGCTTGACGGGTCGGCGATGGATGTCGAGAAGGAGGATGTTGGTGGGGAGGGGGTTGAGGGCGGGACGATTGGGGATGTATTTGGGGATCAGGGCTTGGAGGAGGACGAGGAGATGGCTGAGGCGTGAGCTGTCTGCGCCTCGCGAGACTGAGTCTTTATATGGCAAAATCATATGGCGTTAAAAATCAGGAGTGGATGCCATATGAGGTACCATGGGGAGCGCTCTGGCGTTTAGGGGTCCTAGGGATATGAGGAGAGGATAGTCGAGGAGCCTTCACACAACACGTACTTATACCGACTACATTTCAGCGGAAGCCGCCATTGGCATTCGCCATCAAAGCACCATGGCTGCTGCACTCGGAGTACCCAGAAATAGCCATGAATATGCATCTCTAATGCTATGAAGTCAAAACTCCCGCCTTACGCCGCGCTATGCAATATGCGGAAGAAACATCCTCCCAAACAGTCTACGGTCTATGGCCTCATAGAATGCCCACAATAAGCGCCAACTCCGTCTCCAAACTTTGGATGCACCCCCGAAGATACCCCGTCCCACACAACGAATATCCGACTAGTTTACTTCTTATCCATCCTCAAGTTTTTGACACCCGTGATCAACTCAGCGTCAACATCATGCACGCCATCCGCCGACGTGCGGTTACCGACCGGAGTCGGCAGCCGGTCTTCAGCCTCGCCAACCACCTCATCAACCACCTCTTCGTCGCCCTCCTCGTACTCGCCGTCCTCGTCGTCGGCGTACTCATCCTCCATCATGGAGCCCATCATCCGCTCCTCATCATAGATGCTCCCCTCGCCGTAGTCGTCCATCGAGTTCCGCGAGAGATAGCTATCCCCCAGGCCCTCGCCGACCTCCTCATCCTCGTCCTCGACATACTCGTCGTCGTGGACGTCGCCGGCGTCTTCGTCACCCTCGCCCTCAGTGTCACTGCCGGAGAACTCGTCCAGCTCGAGCGGGGTGTCGCGCCAGTAGCGGAAGTCGGTGTACTCCTCGCCGCCGCCCTTGACGAGGGTGCCGACGGGCGGGAAGTAGTGGTCGACGACCTCGCTCATGTTGACGTAGCTGAGCTTCATGCGGTTGAGGCTCAGCAGGTCTAGCGACACCTCGGCGTTGGAGTTGATGGTGAAGATACGGGTGCGCGGCACGTCCACGGTGCGGTATGAGATCTGGTCCGTGAACCGGTTGCCGAAACCGGCGTAGAAGGGCGTCCGGTCCGGGCCGTACAGGCTGCGGATGTCACGCAGCGTGGACATCTTGAAAATGTGCGGCTTGCGCAAGTAGATCTCGCGGCGTAGAGCGGCCATGGTCCGGTCCGGCGACAGGATGGTGGGGCCCCTTGGGAGGCGGAACCCGTCTTGGGTGATCCCAGCGAGGTATGTCCTCGTGCTGTCCGCTTGTCCAACGGACCGACTAGTGAGGTACATGATGTTGTAACCATTGGACACGATGTCGTTATACAGCTTCGCGACACCTGCATGTGTCCAGTCCCGTCCAATCATGTTCAGCACGTGGCCGAGTGCGTCCGACTTGGTAATAGTCCCGTCAATATCCGAGATCACCACCGGGGTTTCGTGTTTCCACAGATACATGTAGGCCTGGCAAGTCGCCCGGTTCACTGTGAAGCTCATCGAGTTCTCCCCCGGCTGCAAGTCGAGGGCCTTCAGCTGGTCACTAGTCAACCGCAGGGTCTTGGCGTAGTTCCTGTTAGGGTCGCCGGCGGCCGGGGTGCCCGGTGAGCTGGGAGGCGTCTGGAGAGTCATCTGACCGAGGTCGGACTCGGCCCTCCTGTGACTCGAGGTAGTCGGGGATGCTGTCGCGTCGCTGCTGTCGCTCTGGTAACCCGGGTCGGACGCAGCGTCAATGGCTAGGCCAGGTGGGCCGCGTAATGACGATTCCATAGCTCTCTGCATCGCAGCACTCTTCGCCTCCTCGCTGCTGTAGATCCACAGGTTCCCACGCTCGTCAACGCCAAAGAGAGCCCCGATATCGTAGTTACCGTCAAGCTCTTCCGATAGGACCTTGCGCGCAAGGATCTCGGCCCGGATAGCGTCCTCGTCGTTGTTCCTGTACCCCGTCATATCCAGCATCAGGTCACCCGTTTCCGTGACGTGGCTCGGGATGTTGACGGCGGCCAGTTCCCTGGAGAGGTTGATGGCGCGCTGTCGAGCCTCGGCCGGGGCCAAGGGTGGCGGGCTGTTGGACCGATCTAGGTACAACGGATCTTCGTCTTCGCTCGAACCTTGGTCGCTGGACAGCTTCCGCCCTGCTCGCGGTAGAATCTCTTCGCTGTGCGGTCGCTGGGGTGAACCGTCGGTGGAGGACGGAACTCCCCTAGAAAGTTCCGGAGAGGTTGATCTCGGCGTGAGAAGCCCTAATTTCCTGTCAGCCAAGGTTCCGCCTGCGCGTCTGAGTGTTTAGCATACCATCTCGCCCGATCGAGTGAAGGACTGTAGGTGGCGGCCGGGTGAAGCTCGCCGAGCGCGCCTTTCCGATAGGGTCGTTGAGATCGAGGGATTCGGGTTCTTGCAGCGGCGGCTGACCGTTTTGCAGAGCTCCTAGTGGGGGGCTAGAGGCGGGCGACACCAATGGCGACGTTTGCAAGCTCTTGGGGATGGTGTCACTAGTTTCGAATACGAAGAAGGCCTCCCCGCCCTCGCCGAGCTTCATCGAGTAGGGCTGCTTGACGCCATTGACCTTGAACTCGACCTTCTTCTCGTACGGGCGCAGTAGCGAGAACTTGCCGAAGCGCACATGGAAAGGAGAACATGACAGGCTGCCGTCCTCCTGTTCAACAACGATCACATCGATGGCCCCGCTAAGGGTGGCCGGGTTGATCGAGTTCCATGCCGTGGAGACCGAATCGCTCAGATTCCTGACGTACTGCATGATGGGCAGGCGATCGATGGGCTAGGGAAATTATTTTTGCTCTTCTGGGGTGTGCAGCGGCCTTGCGGCCAGGAATTGCGAAAGAGTTTTTGTATTTGTTCTGTGTACGAAAAAAAAAGACCGGTTGCACAAGGTGTAAGCCGAGGCTGCGAGCGAGGTATTATGGAGCGCCGCCGAGTCGCCACGACTACGGAGCAGACTTCTGTTTCCGGCACTCGTGGATACGAGGCGCAGTTTTTGGGAGGATGCGATGCGCTGAGGCACGCGAGGAATGTGAATGCGAACGCAGCGACGAGGACGTCTTCGGAGGTTGTCGAGATGGGATGGAAGACGACTAAAACCGGTCGGAAGTCGCAGAGCTGCGCTTAAATCGGCTTTGGGAATCGAGGGGCCGAGGGACGCAGGGAAGGCCCGAAGGAGGGGAATGGATTGGGCAGCCGGGCGTCTCGGTCGCTAATGCAGGCGAAGACGGTTTAAAACGGATGCAGCTTCGAAATCGGACGAACACAAGGGCGCTTTCAACGTCTTCGGTGGACTTCGGCCCAAAAATTAGGGGACCACGTCGCGGATCAGGAACAAGGCCGGCTCTTGAAGGAAGTTCAAGGAACCAGGTGTTGAGCAGCTGAGGACAATCACGAGGGCTCAACAAACGCCGAGAATCCCACCAGTCCACCAACGCTTGGCTGGGCTGACTCTTTGCGTTCGTTACAAGTCCGGTACTTCCGGCCCGCCAATACGACCGCGCTAATTTGCTGAGAGTTCGCTGCTCGGCTTGGTATTTGCAAAGTCTTTTCCCAGCGTCCCCTGAGGATTTGGACCCTTGTCACAAGCCCGGATTCCCCTCGCTGATGTCATGAACGCTCAACCCATCAATGAGTCGGGCAAGATTTTGACGACCAAAGACGTAAGCTGCCTCGCTGCCCAGTGCAGTGGGTGGAAGAGCACGCACGGCGAGAGCCTTGATGCCCGTAGTGCAAAACAAACAAACGCCCGATAATTGCCATGGCGGCTGCGGGCAGTTCCCATTCCAGATGAGGCATTGTGGACCAAAGCAAAAGACTCCGATTGTTCCACAGGACGCGCTCTGGAGCGTTGGCATTGGGGATCAACAGCGGGCAGGCGCATGGCAGCATTGGCCCCGACAAATTGTGGCTGGCTTGGTTGGGGAAACAAGGGTTCAGGGAGCCAGGCGAACGCTTGGGGTGCACATGGAAGCACATGACCGGGCTAGGCGGCGCAAATCCCCGTCGGTCTAGTGGGGGGTTTTTAGGCTGCTGGAGCTTGCCGCCGTGAGGCCGTGGAGGGGAAACAACATGGAATGGGCCTTGGAACCTCTGGTCTGGTCACCTGCCTCATCACCTGCCTCACTTTTTGTATCATGGACCGAGTTTCCCCCGGCCATTCGTCCCAAGGGACGCTTCGACCCGGTCGGCCGCCGTGACGATCAGCGGCTCGTGGCCAGAACACCGGCAATAAGAGAGTGGGAGTTACGACATGGAAGTACGAATATCGTCTTATTGCTGTTTTGAGACATCTGGGACATACAAACAAAGCAGTTGATGAGAGACGGGTTTCTTTTGCTTCGTCTTTTCTCTTACCTCCCCGTTTTTTTCTCCCTTTTCCTTTCTCGCCCTTGAGAGTGAACCTACCTGGAGGAGCGTTCCACCGCGACAACCTCTAAAGCGGAGACTGATAATTTGCTGTGTATGGATAACTTGTGCATGTTGGTTGTTGGTACATACAGCTTACTTGGGAAGGTGAGGTCGATCCTCACGTCTGACAAACTGCCTAGAACGACTCCGCTCTTGAGTGTGGATGGCCTGAGACACAGTGACAAGAAAGGGAATTATTTGAGCCGGACGTTGCACCAACATAATTTGTTAGCAACCTTGAATCGAAGCCTCAAATGCCCGTGTCGCTCAAGCTGGGTGCCTGAGTGAGTCCCGAGCTGGCCATCCTGCCTTGGCTGAGGTTGGATGGATGGAATGGCAGGTGCATTTTACAAAGTCAGGCAGTCAGGCAGTGCAGCGCAGCATGTCAGCATATCCCAAGATTCCATACAGGTGCCAACAGACGTGCCAGGCCGCTGAAACAACGGCACCTCTTTTCACGTCCCGGGCCACACTCTCGGCAGTGATCTCCACCGCAAAGACGCAACTAAGGGCCCGTCTGACCACTGAGCAGCCGGCACCTCATTCGGGGCGTCCATGCCACGATGGAGCCCCGATTGCTTGTCTGGCAATTGCGAACGTCCCCAGTTTTTCACGGCCAATGAAGCATGCCATTGAAGCAGCCGGGCGGGCCAGGGCCAAGCGAATCTCGGCCTGGGAGGGAAGCATTTGGTTTTTTTCCCTTTTCTGATGTTTCTGCGACTCATTCCTACCGACCCCCCACTCCCGTCCCTCCTTCTTGCAGGTTGCGAGACTTGTTCAACACCCGGCCTCGCTGTCCCTCCCGACGACCCCAGCGTCATGTCATGGCTCTCCTGGACGTCGCTGGTGCCCACCCTTCTTATCATCTCCGCCAGTCTCGCCTGGTGGTTCACCGAACCTAAGAACGCCCGCATTAACCTAATCGCTGCCGCTGGCGCCGCCCTCTTCTGCTGGGCTGTCGCTCCCGAGTTGTGTCGCGATCTCTCCTACTCGGTCTACGCCCTGACCGTCGACGCCGTCGCCGCCCTCCGTCTCGAGCTTATCATCCTGAGGAATGCGAAGATGTTGGTAACGGGCGTTGCTGTTGTTTGGTACGTGGGGCTCTGTTGTGTGCTGTGTGCCGTATTGCCTTGTGTGTTTGGCTTTGCCGCACCCGGTGTCGCACCGGCGTCTGGCCGCGCTTCCGCTTCCGCTTCCGATGCGATGGCTGGTTATAGTACGGCCGTAGGCTCACTGTGCATTTCTACAGGCTGGCTCGGAGAGCGTGGCAGACCTTATGGAAGCCGGTCCCCGAGCTGATCAACATCCTCGGCGTCGATGTCCCCGATCCACCCGACGTGTCGCTAGCCGATATCCGAGCCGACGCCGCCACCGTGAACTGGACGCGCGCACCGGCGAACCGGTCCGTACAGAAGTTTCTGATCCAGGTGAACGGCGTGGTTGGTGAGTTGGGACCAACGCATAAAATCCTTCGGCGGCGCAAAAGCTGACCAACTTCAACAGTGGGAGAGGTCGCTGCAAACCAGGAACCCGCCATCGTTGTGAGTGGCCTGAAGCCAGATCATTTCTACAATGTGCGCGTGATTGCCGTCGGCTCCAACAACTTCCAAGCCGGCAGCCGGGTCATCCGGCTGAGGACGTTTGCCCGCGATGGACGACCACAGCTTGGGAATTCGCGACTCCCATCTAATTTTATTCCGGAGGAGCCGCGGGCCTCTACATCCAACGACATGGGCGACGACGCTGGAGGGGGTCGCAGTCCCTTCCCTGCATTGGAGATCCCAACGGTCCAGGAACCGACTATCTCACCTGTCAGGGATATGAATTCTGCGGGTGGTCCAGGGCCACGACGGAATACGGTTACGCGTAAGCATTCGCCATCCACTACGAGCCTCGACCAGCCGATACGGGAAGAAGTCAACGCGGATCCCAAACAAATCCTACCGGTGCTCACAGAAAAATTTGAGAGCATCCGGAAGGAAACGGAAGACGTGTTGGCGTTAATTGCTAGAGAAGAGGGCGATAATAGGCTGTTAATGGGGGAATTGGAAACGGAAAAGCGAGGGAAGCGGAAGGAACAGAAAAAGAAGGAGGAACAGACGGAAAGGCTGAAGAAGGATGTGCACGCAACCGACCGGGCAATGCGTAACGCCATGCAACGCAAAGCGCAGAAGGAGAAGGCCCTCAAAGAGAAGCAAAATGAGCGGACCAAATTCCACGACAACATCGCCAAGTGGGAGAAGGGTGTGGAGGAGCTACACAAGGAGCGAGAGAAGTTTGGCCAGCAGGTGACGGAGCTGGAGGAAGACCGGGACAAGAAGGTCGAACAGTCTCGGGAGGAGAATGGTGATCTACAAGCCGAATGCTCGCGCTTGGAGGCAGAGTTAAAGGAGAGGAGAGATCAGGTGAAGGAGCTAGAAGAGGCTCGGAAAATGCTTCCGGGCGGGGACGAGGATGGTGAATGGCGCGAGAAGATCACCGAGGAGCGGCGAGAGTGGTACAGGACCGGCACGGGTCGGGAATTACAGGAGATTTCCGCAATCGAGGCGAAGCGTGGGCGCGCTTTGGACGAGCAAGTTCGCGCGCTCAGTGTCCAGGTGCAGCACATCCCGCATACCAACTTTGGCGGTCTGTACAGCCATCCCAATGCGTCCGGCATGGAGTTTGATCCCGCAGCGATCACTCACTTAAACCAACGAAGCCGGGCGGGCAATTCGATCTCCAGCGTCTCCGTCCCGGCACAGCTGCCACCATATCCTCAAATCGATCAGGCGATTGCGGCTCCTGCTGGCTTTGCCAGCTCGCGCTCTGCGAACGCCCCGCCCGGCTTCGCCCCGGGACCGTTTATGGACCACTCTGAGCTCAGCCGCTTGGATGAGCTAGGCTTAAGAACTGCCCCGCTCAGTCCATCAGCCACCGCTCTTTTGCCATCCAACCTCATGGCGGATATTGACGACGATGACCCCAGCCCGGTTTCCAGGTTTGGGCCGGACCCCTATTTCCCGCCACAGCGGGCCTCCCCCGAGAACGACCCGCAGTCGCCCGCATCCTCAGGAAGATCGTTCAGCATCTTCACAAGCCCACACGGTTCTTCGAGCAACCTTCCCTTTCCTCCTTTCCAGAACGAGACTTCGGATCGCATGTCGCTCAATGCCGCCGCCACAGCTCCGTCTCCCGTCGCGACAGAACCCCCACCGAACAAGCTGAGCTCTTTCTTCCCTTTCCCACGGTCGAGGCCCGCCAAAGTCTCAGAGTCGGAAGGGCTAGGCGGCCTTCCGTTTGGTAGCCTCAAATCCGGACAGAGCCAGTCGTTCCCGAGACAGGAGGACGACCCGAATAGCCTGATGAACAAGCGACGGAGCTGGGGTGTGTTCAACCGTAACTCGGTGGGCCCCGAGATCACCGAGGGACATGCGACGCATTCCCGCATGTTTTCCAGGAATCTCAATCCCTTTTCTAGCTCGCATCGCGCCCCGGGTGGCTTGTTTCCGGAGAGGGACAAAGGCAGCCCACGCCCCGAGAGCATCGCGTCTGCCGAGCTCCCTCGGCCGTCCACGGATTCCGGCTCGATTTGGGGGCCGCAGCCAGGCGACGCGGCGACATTGGGGAAGCCCAGTCGCCTGTGGTCGCCCGACGCATGGTCTAGGAACCCATCCCGACGTCCATCTCTCCACGGGTCGCCATCGGCCCTGAAGACAACGCTCGCATCGGCGGATGATGAGATTCTCGGCGAGGAGATGCTACCAAACGTCAACGAAGTGGGGGTAATAGGCAGCCGCCCACCGATGCAGTCCAAGATCCCCCGCCTCAACCCCAATGCGCCAGCGTTCAACATCACCGCGTTCTTCAAGTCCAAACCCGACAAGGAAAAGGACAAGGAGAACAAGGAGAAGACCAAGGCCGAGAAGAAGGACAAGTCCAAAGCGAAGGAATCCAAGGAGAAGTGCAAGAACGGTGATGCGTCAGCAACGCCCGAGGTGCCGCAGGTCCCGACTTTCGACTTGGAATCTCCACCGGAGTCACGTATGTCTCGGGATGGGTATTCGGTACACACGCAGACGTCAGTTTCCGAATCGCGGGACTCGCTCTCCCTGGATCAGCCCTTCTCCAACGCGGGTTCGGAGCCCACCAGCGCGGGGCTGTCGAGCAGCTTCAAGGACGATAATGTGGTTCGCAAGCTGTTCCGAAAGGGCAGCTCGAGCAAGTTCAGCATCGCCGGGCGGCTCGGCGGCAAGGAGTCGGGCCTGTTTAAGAAGGGCCCCAGCAGCACGGCCAGCGGCGGCGCCTCGGAAAAGGGGACCTCGATAGAGCGATCCAGCATCGGCGACTTTGAGGACATTGCCGACGAGGCGCTGAACCCGGCCTTCCTTGGGCGCAGTTACGATAGCATCACGAGCAGTCCCAGTCTGGCACCCGCGGTGACCGCCACCAAGAGCAAGGAGATTAAGGCACCCTCGCGCTGGCTGAGCAACTTTGGCAAGAAGGGCAAGAAGGAAAAAGAGAGCTTGGACTTGGACAGATCGCAGGTCTCGGAGCTCGACGGCCTCGCAGAGGAGAGCCACAAGTGAAAGGGGTAGTTAGGGGGTAGTTAATGGATGGCGTTGTAGGGTCTATGCTACAGAGGTACATATGTCAGAGTGTAGAACCTTTGCATAGACCTGCTGCATATAGTGGTACTTAGGTAGCTACTGCTCAATAGACAGCGAGCAGCGTGGGCATAAGAAGTCGTCTTTGGAGTTGTGAGGATGAGAGAGAAGTGTGTGTGTGTCTGAGAGAAACTTCGTCGGACAGTGCGAATTGCAGGCCAAAAGCTCCACAGCTGTTTTCTGCACTGTGTTATTGGTGGGTGTTCTCGAGCTACAGTGGTGTGCAACTGCCAGTCCAAGCATCGACATTGAATTCGTACGCCTCGAACAACACACCACCACCCTTCCTTACCGACGCTCCCGCGGCCCCACCCGGCGATTGAGAACCTCGACGATTTATCTCCCTCGAGACACCACACCGTCCGAACATCGAAACCACAACCCGAACCCGGCGTTCCGGGCAGTGAATGGCCGCCATGGCCGCACAAGGCGGCGATCAGCCTCCTCGCCTGCCCATGCCGTCGCGCAACCCGTTACCGCTGTCGGCATCGCAGGAGGCCCAGGTCCGAGATATATTCTACGACCGAGTACGAAAGATGTGCGCCCCAGAAATCAAGGGTATGCTGTACCCTCTTCCCTTCCTCCCCACATACCCCCCTCTCCGTTTCCCAGACCACCCATCACACGACATACAACCAACCTCCCACCCCCCCCCCCCCCCCCCCCCAACCCGATCCCAACCCCCAAACTCCCCAAACCCCCGCTAACCACACCATACCCACCACCAGCCTTCGCCGAATGCGCCATGAACCACACCCTCACGGCGGGCTTCTCGTGCCGCGACACGCACCGGGTCATGAACGGCTGCATGAAGGCGCACGCGACCCAGGAAGTACACGACGCGGCGCGCGAGGAATGGTTCTCGCTGCGCCAGCAGCGCGCCCGCGACCGCGAGCGCAAGGCCCGCCGCAAGGCCGAGCAGGAGGCCTTCCTGCGCGAGTGGTGGGGCTTGCCGGAGAAGGATCGGGAACTGGCGAGGAAGGAGATGGAGAAGCTCGGGAGGGGGGAGAGGGTGGGCGGGTTTGCGCCACCGAAGAGGGAGGGGGGTGATGCGCGGGGGGGTGCGGAGGGGGGGAGGTGATGTTTATTTATTGGGCGGGGGGGTGGAAGTGATATGAGAGGGTGGAGGTGATATTGGGGGGGTGGAGGAGTGGAGGAGTGGGCTAGATGGGGTGGCCTTGTGGTTAGAGGCTGCAAGAAAAGCATACCCGTGGGGGATGGTCTGGCATCAAGGCAGGTTGATGCCGTATGAGGATTGATTGACCTCTTATCCTATGGTCAGGCATGGGAAGGGTCGGGAGTCGAATGGGGTCAGACTGGCCCCTACAGCGGTCACACACAACTCTGTATATATATATGTATTGAAACGACGAAAGCTGAAAGAACTGGGGTTGGTATTCAAGGGTTTCAAAACGGTCGCCGGGTATACAGGGCGGAAATCTCCCAACAACATTTCTACAACTTCGCCGCCGCTCCCTTTATCTGCGCCTCAACCCCTTCCACCACCGCCTCAGCAACCCCCCATGACAGCTCGTAACCCCTCCCTCCCAACCCGTACGCATGCATCACGAACCCGGCGCCGGGTACAACTTCCCCCTCGATCCTCGGCCCGCCGTTCCTCGTCGGCCGCCTCCCAACGATATCCCTCACCACCGTCAGCTCCTTCTTATCCCCCAGGATCTTGGGGTATGTCTCCACAAACCTCCTCAGCAACTCAGCCCTCACCTCCGCCGAGGGCTTCGTATCCCAATTATTCAACTCCTTCGTCCCGCCAATGATAGTCCCACCCTCAAACCCGCGCGGGACACAGAACGTCCACGTCCCATCCTCATTCTGCCTCGTCACCGTCACATCACAGTCCTCCGCCACCAGGCACGTCTGGCCGCGGGTGATGGTCATGTCAGGATCGGGAACGAGCCCCGTGCCAGACGCATTCACCACCGCCGCCACCACCGGCACCCCCTTTTCCCCATCACCACCACCACCATCAACCGCCAACCCCAACTCACCCGCCGACAGCGCAAACCCCTCCTCCGGCCGTCGCAGCTCCCGCCGCACCACCCGCCCGCCCCGGTTCACGAACCGCCGCAGCAGGAAGGCACAATACACCATCGGATTGACGCACCACGTGTCATACTCACATCCCCACGTCACCCCACCACCTTTACCATCGGAACCAGAACCGCCACCAGGAAACTCAGACCTATCCAACAGCCGAAACCCCGGCAAATCCAGCGCGTTGGGCGCGCTCGGCGTCGAGAGCGCCTCCTGCGCCGGGCCCGGCCGCTCCATGTACTCGACGCCCTTGAGGAAGGTGAGGCCGGCGGTGTGCGGGTGGGTGTGGTACAGCCGCTGCATGTGCGTGTAGGTGGTGCGTGAGAGGGCGTGTTCGCGGGTGAGGTGGGGTGGGAGGGATGGGTGCGGGGGGACCCAGCGGTTGTCTTTTTTTTGTTATGGGCGGGTTAGTATGGGAAGTTGGGGGGTTTTGGGGTGGGGGGGGGGGGGGGGGTTGGAGGGGAAAGGGGGGCGCGTACGGGCTCCGCCCCAGGGGGAGGTGTAGTTGATTTTGGTTAGGGGGTCCATCGTCTCGAAGGGCTCGGGGAAGTCCCGGGCCACGATGGTCACGGCATGGCCGGCTTGTTGGAGGAGGATGGCGCTGCTGAGGCCGATGACGCCGGCTCTTGGGGGTGTTAGTTCTGTTGTGATTTTTCAGGGGGTGAGAGAGGGGGGGTGGTTAACTCACCCGATGACGACTACGTGTTGTGGCATTGTGTAAGTGTTGGTGTTATTTACTTGATAGTTTATAGAGATGGGAGTAGCGTGAGGATGAGACCAAGAACCCTTGAGTCATACTCCAGACGGTTCCGAGGTATTATAAACACTAACGGCAAGGGGCTTGTGAGAGCCTTCCCGTATGCCTCGTATTATAGTCTCTTCATTAGTGCCAAACACCACCCAAAGTAGTCAGACTAGTGCCTGCGATACCACCTAACTGAGATGGAAAGGAGCGGCATCGCCTCCATGCTCCGAGTCCGGCCCGAGGTGTTCTGACTCGGCTCCGCACGACCGGGTGGGTCTGGATCCATTCCCGGCTTACACCGGGGCATCCGGTTTCCGCCGGAAGTGCGGCCGGATCCGATATGTCACGTCCGGCTCAGGGTCCATGCCGAGTCGTGCACTACTGTTAACTCCCCTTATTCCCTAATAATAAAACGGCAACGTTGCTTTCCATTCTAGGAAGGACATTCGTAGCATTGTCTTACCCCGAGCCCCGAACGGAATGCTTATCTGCATCTCGGACTACTTGGATGTCGACTGTCGACACCTACCCCTTGGAACGAGTTTGATCGATACGCGATAATAAGAATAGCATCACTTGATCAGTCCCCGTAGCACGCCGGTCTCCCCTAGAGACACTCGCTAAGAATAGCGGTAGGCTAGAACCTTCAGAGACTCAAGTGAGGGCCACTCCAGAGTAACTGTATACCTTTCGGAGGTCATTTTCATGATTCAGCCATTGTTTGCCTGCCGTTGAGAAACAGCCTCCATCCAATACGCCATTATAAGCCTGGGAGGGACGGGTTGGAAATAGAATAGCACTTCCCGTCCCTCGTGACGGCCACGAAGCAGCCCAAACGGCAGGCCGAGTTGGCGTGAAGCCTCCAACGCGACGCCGTCATAGTATTTTTGGCCCTCCACGAGTCAAAGGTGCAACAACTAGCCAACAACGAACCGGTGAGTCAGCGCCTCCCGCCTTGGCTAACCTGTTGGGCGGACGGGTAGGGAGCGTATTCGTTCCTAGAGTCGACCATGCCATGCCGTTGACGTCCCTTGGCTCGTCTGCTTGGCCTTGACCGGCTGCTGCAAGGTACGAAGTACCAGCCGTGTGGCGTCCCTTTCTTAAGAGTGGGCGTGTGTTAGTGGATAGCCTGAGGCTGAGAAGCATCTGCAAGAACAAATCGAGGTGGATTCCGATACGAGTCTCAGTAACTGTGCCGTTGAGGTAGGACATGGTGTTGTGACACGACAGACACCTGCACTCCAGATCTCCCCGCATAAGAGACGGGAGGTATTCTTGATATTGGGCATGCTACAACAGCCGGGTTCGCCAGTTCCCGAAGCAAGAAAGTGGCTCCTATTCGTTTGAACTGGCAACCATAAAGAGCGTCACACTCTTTGGAATCAGATGGAACGGCCCGACGTTGCAGTGGCTTGTCCCTGCGCCACGAAGAGGTAGTTGAGATGATTCTCGCAGAGAGACACGACTTAGATGAGTTACTCCGGGGAAGGGGGGCCATCCCACACGACTCTCCATTCGAGGATCTCTCTCATCGACCCTCAGCTGCTCCGGAGCCACCACACCGTCCAGCGACCCCGGATATCAACGCGGGGTTGAGCCTTTATCCCGGAGCGGTTGAACAAATAGGAATGAGGATCAAGATATCACTTTGTAGATCTTGTCCAAAGCAGCCATAGCTGCAGAAGGTCAAGTGCTTCATGAAACGGCCACGACGACTTGGTCAAGAGGTTCGCGATACGCTCATGACCCTAGATGCGTCTACGGAAAAGGAAAAGGAGAGCAGAATAATTACGAAAAGCGTGATTTGATCAGCCAGCCTCTGTGACCGGGAGCGTGTGAGGGCGGGATCTGATTGAGCAGCCCTATCAGACTGACCGCCTTCAAAGGTCACGGTAACAGTGGAAGAAGGTTGGCCCACGGACCCAGCCTTGCCACGAATCGCTGCAATCGCAATTGCTGATTCTTCTGCGGAAAGAGGGAACAAGAGGCAGGAAGCGACGAAGAGAGTTGGCGGCGTCAATCTGCAAGGTGATCCGGGCGCTGATTGGAGGATTTGGACAGGGGAGAGCACCAGGGAATCTATTTTCAGCGCCTAATTCGTTCCCCTCCCGCGACTCTCGACCATCCAACCCCGGCCTTCACCCAGTCACAGCGGGACGAGGTCGCTGCTCCCGGCCGCGTTGGGCATGCCCGGCGCTTAAGACTACCGAATCTCACTGCAGTCGGAAAGTCGACCTTCCATAGCGCACTGCATGAGAAAAAAAGGAGGGCCACGATAGGTCGGCTGGCTCCTTCCTCCCCGCTGCGTGCCCGCCGAGAAGTACCCTGAATTTACTGAGAAGCGCACCCACCCACTCTCGGGCAGGCTCACTCACACACACCGCACCCATCCCATGTGTTCCCGCTACCACACCCGCAGATGGGAGGGATACTTGTACACGCGGGACATGGACAGGGGGGCCGGGGTTGACGTGCGGTGCGTGTGCGGGTGCTTGTGCTCCTTGCTCCCTCATACTCCGGGACGAACAGGAAGGAAGATGGCGGGTTGAATAAAACGGATTGGCTCCCATGCGTGTCCGGTTCCGTGGCTTCGGTTCTATCCTTCGTACCGTCACCAAATGTTGTTGGCGTTGACGAGGTGAAACATTGACAATCCCTTATCAACACGCCTCGTTCATATTGCTTCTTTGTCTGGGTCATGATGTTTAGGTAGCAGGCACTACAGGTTTTTTGTCATCGATCGACCTGCCTTCGCCGTTGGCGCGCAGCTTGGAAAAGCAGAAGCGAGGGAGGACGACAGCAGAGCCACGCCATTGGGCTTCAAAAGAGAGCAGAGCTCTCGTCGACGACATGTCCTCACACCCAAACCAACACCCACACCCGGCGGGAGGATTCTCCCTCTTCCCGAACCCGAGCAACGCCCCGAGACCGCCATCGCGATCCCAAAGCAGGCCTCGAGCAGCTTCGCCGCCCCAGGAAGGGCGGGCTGGCTCGATCGAGGCGACACCCCCCCGTACCGGACGGAGGAACTCATCCGCGAGGGAGGGCAGGCAGAGGGCCGCGTCCAACAACCCGTGGCAGCATGCGCTTGATGCCACAAGACAGCCGGCATATGGAGAGAGCGCGGCAGGCCCGTCGACAGTGCCGTTCGTTGTCGAGGATCCCGTCGTTGAGACAACATATTCCCAACCCGTGACGGATGCGCCCCAGCGATGCGAGACGGCCTTCTCCGAGGCCCAGACGCTCGTCCGCAGTTCAAGCCAGAGATCGCGGAGCTCCATTGCCAAACCCCCAATAGCTTACACAACGGCCGGCCCGTCCTCGTCGTCCCAACCAGGGCAATCCGGCGAGCCGGCCGCGATCCGGTCCATGTTCCCCCGGTACAACCCCGAGCTTACCTTGGACCAACAAAACTACTACCCGACCCAAGCAAGTCCGACACACATCCCCCAATCTGCCATTAGCAGACCCCTTTACTCTCCACCAAGCATTGCCCCGGCCCCCGAAGCGTCGTCCAGCATGCCAACAACTACCTACCAAGCTAGCCCTCCGCAAGCAGCCCCCTCTGCCCCTCGCTGGCATCCCGCCATGGGGCAACGACACCACGAGCCCGCCGTGGCCCCGGCCGTCAACACGACCGAGGAACTCCGCGGGCTGTGGAAGGTGACGAACGGGTGGAAGGCCACCTCGTTCGACGGGCGTAACTACTGCCTCAAGATGGCCGCCTCCCCGGACCTGCCCCCGTCATACACCCTCTCCTCCTCCACCGGCCAGCCCTTCTACTGCCTCCGCGTCGACCCGACCTCGTCCTCGGCCCTCGTCACGCTCTCCCGCTACGACCCCAACAAGCCCTTCAAGCCGGCCTCCTCCTCCGCCGCCGCCACCATGGCCATCAGCCCCAGCAGCGGCGCCTCCTCCCCCTCCCCGCGCGTCTCCTCCTCCAGCCGCCACTCCAACCACCCCTTCCCCCCAACCACAGCCCACACCCCGGCCACCACAGCCTCCAAGCACCAAAAAAACTGGCAAGAAGTCCTCTCCACCCACCTCTCCCCCACCAACGAAACCGTCACCACCACCACCACCTCCCCCAACGAAGAAGACGACGACGCCCTCACCACCGGCCTAGTCGCACACCTCTGGCCCGCCGCCGCAGCGCGCCTCGTCGCCGACCGCGCCAACGACCTGACCACGGTCGCGCTCGCGCAGCAGGAATCCGCCCGCCTGGTATGGGACGCGGACTCGGGCAGCCACTTCCTGGCGCACCCGGCCCTCGCCATGCCCTTCCGCGTCGCCGTGGCGCGCCACCCGGCCTACAGCCGCACCGAGTACGCGCTCGAGCACCTCGAGTCGCCGGCGCCGCTGGCGCGCCTGGTGCGCGATGGGACCGGGGCAGGGTGGGTCGAGGTCGATACGGGGATTGCGGGCAAGATTGAGGCGGTGTATTTGGTGGATGTGGTGGTCGCTGCGCTGGTGATCGTGGCGCATCTGGATGGGGGGTTGAATGGGGGTGGGGGTGGGGAGGTGTTTGAGCCGCCGCCGGTGGTGTTTGGTGGGCCGAATGGGAGTGTGTATTCGGCGGCTGGGGTGGGGGTTGGTGCGGGTGAGGGCGGGAGGAGCAGTAGCTGGAGTGAGAGGCGGGGGGTCAGTCGGGCGAGTAAGCGGGAGGAGAAGGAGCGCAAGAAGCAGCTGAAGAAGCAGCAGAAGAAGAAGGGGAAGAAGGGGCCGATGGAGCAGTTTGAGCTGGACTTGGAGAGCCAGAGCAGCGATCTGGGAAAGGGCGCCGAGAAGGATAAGGTGCCGGGGGTGCTGCGGGCGTTGGTGGGGCTTGTGACCATCACGTTCAAGTGCCTTGTGTGGTGTGCTACGGTTGCGTTCAAGACGCTGGTGGCCATCTTGTCGGTGCTGACGAGGTGCTGTGGCCTGGGGAAGCTTTAGTTTTTGGCTGATGTGATGTGGGTGCTGAGAATCGGCGGGAACGATGTGGAACGACAGGAATGACGGAGGAGCAGCGTTTTTTGTTTGGGATATTTTTTGGTTCTTCGTTGGATACCTTTTTCATGGTCATGATAATTCTGGCGTTGGGTATTGCATAATACCCCGAAGGGCGAGGCCAGACTCTCGCCCCGGAGGAAATTTGGTATGACAGACATCTGTAAAAAAGAAACATGGAAAAAGTGACGGTCTCCTGTCCGCTACCTCTTCCTCTCTCGTACTTTGATCTTCCGACCGCTCTTCGTGATCCCGCCCGACGTCGCCGTCTTCGCCATCTTGGCCTTCTGTAGCTCCAGCTCGTACTCGGCGTCTTTCAGCGTCTTTAACTTTTTCTTGGCAGCCTTTAACCTCCGCTCCAGCTTCTCCAGGTTCTGTGCTTTCTTGTCCGCCGCTGCCGCTTTCCGGTCGTCCTCGTCTTCTAGGTCCCGCATCGCTTCGTCTTCGTCTTCTGCTCGTTCCAACGCCTGCTCCCTCTCCTCGGCTCCGTCAAAGAAGACGATCTTTTTCGGCTTCTGCGGCGCCGCCGTCGACGGGCCCATATCATCGTCGCTGTCGTCGTCCTCCTCGTCCACCTCTGCCCCACCGGCTTGAATGAAGCGCTCCTCCAGCTCGCGCACCTCGCGGGCAGCCACGTTGCGCATCGTCCGGACGTAGCCCAGATCCTGGGTCTTGAGCAGGCGGACGGTATCGACGTCCATGGCCTTGTTTCCTCGGTCGCCGTCGACGTTGCCGGTGAAGGACTTGCCCCTCGTGATGGAGGCGCCGGGGCCCTTGCGCGACATCATGCCGAAGTAGAACTCATCCTCGTTGCGGTCGGCCGCTTTTTGCCGCAGCGATTTCAGCACTGCCTTCTTCTTGTTGTAGTCCTTCGCCCGCTTCTGGTAGTCCTTCTTTTTCTCGAGGAGGCCGAGTCGCTCGCGCTCGAGCGGCTGCGCCCGTTCGCGGTGGGATCGCCGCTGGACACTGTCGCGGGTTAGCCTTGTCGCCGCGGTGGGCTTCGCATTGTGGCCGGGCCTTACCTATTGCGTAGAGACGACATTGTGGCGGTGAGTTGGTTTGAAAGGTACGAATTGGGCTGTCTTTGCCTGTTTCGTGATCTTGCTGGTATCCAAATTTTTGAGCCTTCAGCGGTTGCGATAAGCGATAAGGTCTGCTGTTGGAGTCGTGGGCCACCCAGACAGGGGTCCCTGTTTCTGGAGGCTGAGGTTGGAGCTTGGCGATCACCGCCCCACAAAGTTCTCGGCCGATCTTGATGGAATGCTGTGAACATCAAAAGAAACAAGGAATAGAACTCGACATTGCTGATGCGGGTTGCTTCAGATACACTTTGATCCTTAAATTGCAGACGATGCCCAGGAAATCTCGACAACAATATTTAATATCGATGGCGTTTCGAAGACACTTTTGTAGTGGCTCACGCTGTCCTTATTCCGATGTCTTTCATCACGAACATCCCGAACTGGAACCCTGCATTCCCAATATTTCACTGCATTTCTCGGGGACGTTAGCTCAAAGTAGCGCCGGCAGCCGAATTCGCTGGCGTCATCTCCGCCAACGACTCGTTTCTCTCTCCTGGAGTCTCAAACAGGCGAGATTGAGGGCCCGTAATTTACTGCACAGCCCTCCGAAGAATAACCTTAACCCAGTGATCGACGGGTGCTGGTGCCCACGGGAAGCTGGGAACATCAGGGGAAGCTCCCGTTTCGGCACCGCCAAAGCATCCCCCCAGTGCCCCTGAAGCATGTTGTTGGCCCCTAAACAGGTTTGTTGCTCCCGAGTCCCTGCTCAGCCGTGCCCACACACCGCATATGTACCCGTATGTAATCTGTAACTACCCTATGAACGCTTCCACGAAGCAGTTAGTTATCCACGTTTAAGTCTGTTCCCGTCTTGGTTTTTCTTCGTCCCTCCCTTGCTTCTTCAAGCCTATTTTACGTGGCTTTCTACATATGCTGCCGAGTCCTGGCCAGTTACGCATCCTTCTTCATCCTCGAATGGGCAATATTCTAGCAAACGCCTGGGAACCGTGGCCAGCATGAGTTTCCGGAAGTTTACACGCCTAGCCACAGTGGCGGCTGTTTTCCTCACTGCTTACCTCTTGCTAAGCCAAACAGATTTGGTGTACGTCTACCAAGGCCAGGAATGGCGGGCATGGAAGTACACGCCGAGTAGCTTCGACTGGCGGAAGCGACCTCATACACACCCTGTCGACGAGGCTACCATGACGCGGCTACCAGAGGGAAACCCTCGTCAACTGCCTCGGATTCAACACAAGTTCTCAAAGGATGAGCTGAGCAAGTCTCATAACGAGACCCAGAGGGAACGCCGAGAAGCCGTCAGGAACGTCGCCAAAAGGTCATGGAGAGCTTACCGCGATTACGCCTGGGGTCGGGACGAGGTTGCTCCTCAGACCCTAGTCGGACAAGACACCTTTGCCGGGTGGGGGGCAACGCTGGTGGACTCGCTGGACACGCTCTGGATCATGGGCATGAAGAAGGACTTCGGGGACGCCGTCCGGCACGTCGCCACCATCGACTGGAACAACGCGACATCCTGGGACTGCAGCCTCTTCGAGACTAACATCAGGTACCTGGGCGGTCTGCTCTCGGCCTACGACCTGAGCCAGGAGAAGGTCCTGCTTGACAAAGCGATCGAGCTGGGGGACATGCTCCACGCCGCGTTCGACACGCCGAACCATATGCCCGCAAACGCCTTTCATTTCCAAACCGCGAAGGAGGGCAAGTTGGTGGCTAGTGGGCACGAATCCTCTGCCGCGGTTGGGTCCCTATCATTGGAGTTCACCCGGCTCTCTCAGCTAACGGGCGACTCCAAATACTACCACGCTATCGACGGCATCAAGAAGGAGCTCGAGAGGACGCAGGACACGACCAGCCTCCCCGGCATGTGGCCCATCTTCATCAACCTCCAAAACAACTTCTTCACCTCGGGCACCTCCTTCTCCCTCGGCGCCTCCGCCGACTCCGCCTACGAGTACCTCTCCAAGATGCACGCCCTGCTCGGCGGGCTGGACCCAACCTACGAGAAACTGCACACCAAAGCCATGGCCACGGCAGCCAAGCACGTGCTCTTCCGGCCGATGCTGCCGGACCCGGCCCCGGACGTGCTCTTCCCGGGCACGGTGCTCTCCAACGGGCTAATCGCGGAGCTGTCGCCCGAGGTGCAGCACCTGGGCTGCTTCGCGGGCGGCATGTTCGCGCTCGGCGGGCGGCTCTTCGCCGACGAGGCCCACGTCGCCATCGGCGACCGCCTCGCGCGCGGCTGCGCCTGGGCCTACGCCGCCTTCCCCACGGGCGTCATGCCCGAGACCGCCGTGCTGATCCCCTGCCAGCCCACACCCAAAGAAGGCGGCAGAGACGACAAGGCCAAGTCTAACCCTAAACCCAAAGACAACCTCGCCCCCTGCCCCTGGAACGAGACCCGGTGGTCCGCCGCCACGGGCGAGCGGGCGCGGACGCAGCAGCTGCCGCGCGGGGTGGCGGGGCTGAGCAGCACGCAGTACCTGCTGCGCCCCGAGGCGATCGAGAGCGTGTTTGTGCTGTACCGCCTCACGGGCGCGGCCGACCTGCTGGACACGGCGTGGGACATGTTCGAGGCGATCCGCAAGGCGACAAGGACCCGCCTCGCGCACTCGGCGATTGCGGATGTGAGAGCTACGGGCAAGACGGCGAAGCTCGATTTGATGGAGGTGAGTTTTTGTGACTGACTGCCCTGGTATGATATGGTTTGGGGAGTGGGTTGCTGATGGTGTGGTGTGCTTTAGAGCTTTTGGATTGCGGAAACGCTCAAGTACTTTTATCTCATCTTCTCGGAGCCGGAGCTCATTAATTTGGACGACTATGTGTTTAATACGGAGGCGCACCCGTTCAGGTTGCCGAAGCCGGAGGGCGAGAGTCTCGAGTAGGGTAAAAAGCCGGTGGTTATGGATGGCATGGGTTACAAATAGATGGTAGACGGCGCGCTCTCGGGACTTTGAATGTTATTATTTTGCCGCACCCTTACCTACCCTTCGCCCTGAGTCGTGGCTTGTCAAAAAGATGACGATTTCTACCCCTGAATCACATTCCGTTTATATTTCCCCCTTTTATCCCCCCCACTTCGCATTTCCAAACAAAAACGACCCTACCTACTCATCCTCCCCCTCCTCACTCCCCTCCTCCTCCTCTCCCTGCCTAAACACCACCCGCTCACACAACTGCAAGCACTTCCTCACCGGCAAGCCAATCACATTATCCACGCTCCCCTCCACCTTTTCCACCAACACCATCCCCCCCACCCCTTGCAGGGCATACCCGCCCGCCTTATCCGCCCCCTCCCTCGTGCGCACATAGCTCTCAATGACATCATCCGGCAGGCCATCATCAGCCCCCGCAAAAAACACATTCGTCACCTCCACATGCGAGGCAATCTCATACCCCGGGTGCGTGGCATCGGCCTTGGGCGCCAGCACACAGACCGCCGTCAACACACGATGCCGGACGGTATCGCGCAGGTGGGTGAGCATGCGCACGTGGTCGGCCTGCGAGCGCGGCTTCTCGAGGATCTGGCCCGCCCGCGTCGCGATCACCGTGTCGGCGGCGATCACGACCGCGGGCTCCTCCAGAACGCGGGGGTCCGGGACGGGGTTGGGCACGTCTTTTTTCTCTTGGTGCTCGATTGCCTCGGCTTGTCGGGCTAGCGCTGTTTCATAGACGGCGAGGCACTTGCGGCGCGCGGTCGCCGAGACGTATTCCTCGGGCGTGTGGGTTGCTTTGTCGAGGTCTTCGGGCTCGGTGGAGGGGAGGACCTCGAGGTTGGTGAGGCCGACCTGTGCCGGGGGCGGGGGGGTTAGGAGGGTGTGGTTGGATGTGGGGGATTAAATTAAGGTACTGACTTGTGAGAGCAGGGCTTTGCGCCGTGGCGAGGCGCTGGCGAGAATTACACGCTTAGAGCGGAGGTGTGAGAGGATGGGGAGTTCGAGAGGGAAGGGGCCTTTCTTGATCGGAGCGCTCTGGCGGATGGGAATGCCGTGGCTACGGGCGGCCGTGATGTAATCCGGAGGGGGATCGGAGGGGTTGGAGAGATCCATGGCGGTGTATTTGGTTAATGTAAAATGCGAGCGAGTGTAAAAGGTACGAGCTACTCGTTGCAACTGCTTCATTGGGCGGTGACGGAGAAATCGAGGAAGGTCGGGTGGGAGCACTTGTACCTCGATGGAGGTGGGGGCGGGGAGCGAGCCGGGAGCTTGGCAAGGAACAGGCCGTTGGAGACCCACCTTCTCCAAGTTGAGGTACTGCGTCATGTTCGAGACGCGAGAGGTATTCCATGAGCTGTCATCTGACACTGCATGTCGGGCCGGGCACGAGGCGCCGTGCTACAATACATATTTACACATATTACATGTTCAATTTTAAATCAGGCTTGGCCCGGTCATTGGTACCCATTCGCCAACGAGAGCATAAACTCCCTCAGCCTCTCCGGGCTCATGTCCATCCGTTTCAGCTTTTTGAGCTGCTCTGGGTTGTCGCCGGGTTTAGCGAGACTGGTCGCGTTGACGCCGACCGTCTTGTTTTCCACATCCCGCGGACCCACGGCAATTATCAAGCCGTACCCCTTGGTCGTGGCCTCGCGCACCTTCAGGCCCACGCTGCGATCGCTGTCATCAAAGTCGACGGCAAGCCCGGTCGGCGACGTCGCGCCTGTCGTCGGGGACGAGGGTGAAACACCGAGGAGAAGGTTTTGTGTTTCTCGTGCCCAGTTCACCACGGGCTCCGTGCTGTTGACCGTGATGACGATGGCCTGGCGCGGGTTGAGCCAAAATGGCCACTTGCCGTTATAGTGCTCGATCAACAGCGCCATGAGCCGCTCTGCGGAGCCGAGCACAGCTCGGTGAATAAGTACCGGCTGGACAGGCCCATATTCGGCAAGCAATTCCGAGTCCGTTGTAGTCTCGCCTCGTTTCTCAAACTCTGGAGCGGGCGCCGCGTATTCCAGGTTGAACCGCTTGGGGAGCTGAAAGTCGAGCTGGATAGTGGCCGTTTGATGCTCCTTTCCGTCCGAGTCCTTCAGAATGATGTCGATCTTGGGGCCATAGAAAGCACCGTCACCCTCGTTGACGGTGTATTCGTGCTCACTTCCGGTGAGCGCCGTCCTCAACGCATCCTCCGCCTGTGACCACTCGTCCGCAGACCCAATATATTGTTCCGGTCGGGTTGAAAGAACCAGCCGGTATGACCCGAGGCCGAGGACGCCGTATGTAAGGCGGACGAAATCGAGCGTTTTTGCGATTTCTTCCCGAATCTGCGACGGCCGGCAAAAAATGTGCCCGTCGTCCTGGTGGAACCTGCGCACCCGTGTCAAACCGCTCAGGGCTCCTGAGATCTCATTCCGGTGTAGCGGGCTGAAATCGGCGTAGCGGATCGGAAGGTCGCGGTAGCTGCGGGTCTGCGACGCAAAGATGAGGCAGTGGCCCGGGCAGTTCATGGGCTTGAGGCCGTATTCGGCTTCCTCCCCGCCCTCGGTGACTTCGGCACGCGATGGCGAGGTGCTCGTTACGGTGTACATGTCGTCGGAGTAGTTCTCGAGATGGCCCGACTTGGCCCAGAGAGCCTTCTTGTATATGGTCGGCGTGATAACTTCTTGGAAGCCATAGCGAACGTATTGCTGGCGGAGGAAGTCGACGAGGCGATTGAAGATGCGTGCTCCATTGGGAAGCAGGATGGGTGACCCAGGGCTGTAGACAGAAGTCATGAAAAGCTCGTGCTGCAGCCCGAGCTGCCGATGATCGGGCGCGAGCGGTTTTGTGGTCGAGGCATCGGTGCTGTCGCAAGACGAGCAGAAGCGGTACTGGAGTTGTGACGGCGGGGTTGTCCTCGATATCCTCGATATCCTCGATGCCCTCGCTATCCTGGATTGTCTAATTAGGAACTGTGAAGCCCGCCCTGATGCCCGCAGGAAGGGCATCCTGCCGACTGCCGCAGGGGTGTGAGGGGTGTCGTTGTCTGAGATGCGCCGCCGAAGCACATGCGGATCTCGCTCCCGGAAACTTTTCCAGATCAATTCGATCCAATGCAATGCAACAAGCGGAACAAGCTCTCAAACCGTGGCCCATTTCCCCAAGGCGAGACCGTCGGGATACCCCTGCCAGCGCAAGGGGGTCATTGTGCCCCACCACCCCACCTGGCAGTCAGCTCAGCGGTCCAGCTGATCGGGATCATACTCACACGGTGTTCCGCGCTTGGATTGGGTGTTCTTCCACAGTGAAACAAATAAATAGCGACCGCTGATCACCCACCCGAGCCACCCCTCAGCACTCAACCGTAACCCAACATCAACAAAACTGTACTGCATAAAAACATGTCTATCTTTGACGCTCGAGCAAACAATACCCCCTGTCAAAATTGTGAATATCCCTCTGCTGCCTACAGTGACTCATTTGATAGTTTGCAAGGGACTTAAAAGACCAAGCAAGGCAGCGAGGGAGCAAGAAACCCCCCACTTTTGCATCACTCTGGACCTATAAGACGGCGCTGCTGCCTTCGATAACACCTGGATTCCAGGTTCGCCACCGCAGCGACGCGACGCGTGACCTCGCGATTTCTCCCGACTCCTCTCCCTGTCTGTCGCCGAATATCTCAGGTATAACATCGGGCCAGCCACCCGAGTTTTCGTCTTGGGGGGGATTCTCAACCGGACATTGTCCCACCAGTTCCGGGCCGGCACATCCGCAACATCGGCAATCACAACATGGCGAGGACAACACGATCCTCGGTGAAGCGGGAGTTCCCGCCCGAGAGCTCATGGCGCATGGTGGAGGGCGGGGAGAACGACAGCTTCGACACGTCGATACTACACGACGACGACGACTTCATCGGCTCGAGCGGCTCGCAGCCGGTCGGGTCGCAGTCCTTCAGCATCGGCGGGTCGCAGCCGTGGAGCATAGGGGGCTCGCAGGACGACAGCATCGAGAACTTCCTCAGCAAGGCCGAGGACGACGAGCAGGTCCTCCTGAGGTCGCCGTTCCGCCCCTCCGTCCCCAAGGCCGTGCGGGAGAGCTCCCGCGAGAACTTGAGGCAGCGCTCGCCAGAGCCCGAGCCCGAGTTCTACATGCCCAAGGTCGATGTTGCCAGCCCCCGGCGGGCGAGCACCCGGTCATCCACCACCATTAGAGCTTCGGTCCCGCCACCGTCCCCGCCTCGAGTCAGACGCCGCCAAGCAGCGGCTCCAGCGAGTCCTGCCAAGGGGCGGCGTGTGAGGGAGGATGAGAAGACGTCCCGGGGTGAGCGGGCGGCGTTGGGCGAGGGCAGCAGGGCGTCGACATCGCTGTTTACTGCGTTGTTTAATGCTGTGAGCTGGGCGCTCGAGGTGGTAGGGCTCGCGTTGCGCTACGCGAAGAAGCCGCTGGCGATCCTGGTGTCGTTATACATCACATTCGGCGGTGTTATTGTGCTGCAGAACATGGCGAGCAAGTCGATCTACATGTCGCTCTCCCCGATCTGCCGCATCCCAGGGGTGTCGTGGATGGACCTGCCGTTTTGCCCGGAACTCAAACCAGCGGAAGGGGGTAGGAAAGGGGACGGGCAGCCGATCAGGTTCGACGGGCTGATGCACGCCCAGGACAAGTTCCAGCGAGTGGCGGAGATGGCGGCGGACGGCCTGTCGCTGCCCATGGAAATGAAGCGCTCGGAATCCTCGATCCGCGACCTGCGCACCGTGGTCCGCTACAGCTCGCTCATGAGCAAGGAAGAGCTCATTTTGGAGTTCGACGGGTTCATCGACACGGCGCAAACGGTGACGAGCGTCCTGCAGCGGTTCAACACGCGCGTCAGCTCGACCGTCGACTGGGTCATCAGCATCACCCGGTGGACGTCGCGCAACCTCGAGCCGTTCGACAAGAGCAGCAACCGCGACGACCAAAGCGGCGTCGCCGGCCTCATCGGCGCCTGGACCGACTGGCTCCTCTCCCCGTTCCAACCCACCCTCCTGTCGGAGCGGTACCTGCTCGACCGGTACATCGAGCACACGGAGCTGGTGTCGGACAAGGTGGCGCGGCTGATCCTGGAGGCGCGCGAGGTGCTGCACTCGCTCGCGCGGGCGGAGGAGCACCTGGACGCCATCTACAACTTCGTGACGCGCACGCACAAGACGGTGCAGGGCCGCAAGGACGACATCCTCTGGACGCTGTGGACGCTGGTCGGCGCCAACAACCGCCGCCTCTCCAACTACAACAGCCAGCTCGCCCTGCTCAAGCAGGTCGACGGCCAGCGCTCCGGCGCCGTCCGCCTCGTCAACGAGCTCATCGTCGAGCTCGAGAAGATCCAGGCGAGTCTGGGTGACCTGAAGGGCCGCGTCTCTGAGCCCGGCTTGCTGCGGGACCAGGCCGAGATCCCGCTCAGCGTGCACATCGAGACGATCAACAGGGGCGTTGAGAGGCTGGAGGAGGCGCGGGGCAGGATACGGTCGATTGAGGACGAGCGGATCAAAGAGGTTTTGGCGAGGGGGAAGGGGGAGGAGAAGTTGATTGATGCTTAGACTCGGGCTGTTACTGGACATGGGACGGCGTTGGACTAGATACCTACGGCACATGTATCTCTGGGTGTGTTTATTTTGGGTTGGTTATTTGGCAAGGCATCATCTGTACATCTTGTCTATTTTAGGTTGGTCTTGGAGATATTTGGCTGGCGTTGGAGGAAGCATAGGAAACTGAAGCCTAGGTAATTGTAATTACTGGCTTGGAACATGCACTGATCTACTGGTAAGGTCCATGCCTCCCGGGCCCGTACTAGGCCGAGTATTACTGTGTATGGTACTCAATATGGGCCTTCCAGGTTTGTGAACTCAAAGTAGTAGTGCACCGCAAGTCATGAGGACCCGTATCTTATCACTGACCTGACCATCGGTGGATTCATGGTGTCATAACCAACATCGGTCTCGAAGCTTATCAGTAAGGATGCGGGGTATTCGACCGTCGGGACTAGCGGAAGCGCGAAGGGGAAAAAAAATCATTTTTCCTATTCTCAGGGACTACCTACTAGGGACTACCTATCTAGTTTCCCAGGGCGTTCTCGAGAAATGGGTTTATATCTCATCTGATCCCCAGTATCCATCGTACTCATCCAGTTACACAAGCCCAGTTATCGATAGGGCTGTCTTGGCCCTTGAATTGAGCTGCCACGATGCATCTCGTACCGAAGGAGGTTAGTGGGCATTGGCGCTTTACTTTCACGTTCGTCCATTTGCCCGCTCAAGCGCTCTCTCTGTCTCAGGTCCCACGGCAGGTGCAACTGCAACTCCAGATTACACTCTGAGACAAAAGAGACTTGATGCAACTCAGTCCACGATTTGAAGTGTGATTTTAGCTAACGGTATGGAAATTCCACTGAATAGATCGACAAGATCACCATCTCAGAACTGGGCTTCCTTGCTCAGCGGCGACTGGCCCGCGGAGTGCGATTAAATCATGTCGAAGCCACGGTAAGAAACACACTCTCAGGGCCTCACTTGGGACAAGAGAAAAGAGAAGAAGAAGAAAGATGAAAAAAACAAAAATGAAGATGAAAATGAAAAATGAAAAATGAAAAGAAAAAATGAAACAAGACTAACATCATGGACCAGGCCCTCATCGCTTCCAACCTCCAGGAGCTGATCCGCGATGGCAACCACACCGTCGCCGATCTCATGTCACTCGGAAGCACCATGCTGGGACGCCGCCACGTCCTGCCCGAGGTCTGCTCAACGCTGCACGACATCCAAGTCGAGGGCACCTTTCCCGCAGGCACCTTCCTGGTGACGGTGCAGAACCCCATCGCCACCGACGACGGCGACCTCGCGCGCGCCCTCTACGGCAGCTTCATCCCCGTGCCCGAGAACGCCGAGGCGCTGTTCCCCAAGTACGCCGACGAGGAGTACGCCTACGAGAAGCAGCCCGGCGCCGTCGTGGTTGTCAAGGACTCGGTCATCAAGCTCAACGAGGGCAAGAAGCGCATCAAGCTCCAGGTCACGAGCAAGGGCGACCGCCCCATCCAGGTCGGGAGCCACTACCACTTCATCGAGGTCAACCCGTGCCTCGAATTTGACCGCCTACGGTCGTACGGGTACCGCCTGGACCAGGCGTCGGGCAGCTCCATCCGCTTCGAGCCGGGGGACACCAAGACGGTGACGTTGGTGGAGATTGGCGGGCTGAAGGTCATCAGGGGTGGGAACGCGATCGCGTCCGGGCGGGTGGACTTTGGGAGGCTCAAGGAGATTCAGGACAAGCTGGCCGAGGCTGGGTTCGCCCACGTGCCCGACCCGGCGGGGGATATGGCTCTAAGGTCCGACGCCGGTGACATGGTCCATAGGATCGAGGGCGCCACCATCGATAGGAATACGTATGCGACCATGTTTGGGCCCACGACCGGGGACTTGGTGAGGCTGGGGAAGACGGACCTGTGGATCAAGGTCGAGAAGGACTTCACTGTCTACGGGGACGAGTGTAAGTTCGGTGGTGGTAAGACGCTGCGTGACGGTATGGGCGCCGCGACGGGGCGCACGAGCGCCGAGAGCCTGGATCTGGTAGTGACTAACGCGCTCATCGTCGACTGGACCGGTATCTTCAAGGCTGATATCGGTGTCAAGGACGGGTATATTGTGAACATTGGCAAGGCAGGGAATCCCGATGTCATGAGCGGCGTGACGCCCGGTATGATCGTGGGCAGCTGTACCGATGTGATTGCCGGCGAAGGTAAGATCGTCACGGCCGGCGGCATTGATAGTCACATCCACTTCATCTGCCCGCAACAGGCTGACGAGTCTATCGCGTCGGGCGTCACTACCATGGTGGGTGGTGGCACGGGGCCAAGGTGAGGACCGGAACCCCTATCTCCAAATTCAGGGCCAGAGAAGCTGACCACATCCAGTGCCAACACCTCCGCTACCACTTGCACCCCTGGGCCATATTTCATCCGCGAAATCCTCCGCGGCGCCGACAGGCTGCCGGTGAACATCGGCATCACGGCCAAGGGCAACGACAGCGACACCGTTGCCCTCAAGGAGATGGTCAAGGCGGGCGCCTGCGGTCTCAAGCTGCACGAAGACTGGGGCTGCCACCCGGCGGCCATCGACACCTGCCTCACTGTGTGCGACGAGCTCGACGTGCAGTGCATGATCCACACGGACACGCTCAACGAGTCGGGCTACGTCGAGCAGACCCTGAAGGCCGTCGACGGCCGCACTCTCCACGCCTACCACACCGAGGGTGCCGGTGGCGGGCACGCGCCCGACATCATCCGGATCGCCGAGTACCCCAACATCCTGCCCTCGTCCACAAACCCGACCCGCCCCTACACGCGCAACACGCTCGAGGAGCATCTGGACATGTTGATGGTCTGCCACCACCTGACCAAGGACATCCCCGAGGATGTGGCCTTCGCCGAGAGCCGCATCCGCTCCGAGACCATCGCGGCCGAGGACGTGCTGCACGACCTGGGCGCCATCAGCATGATGAGCAGCGACAGCCAGGCCATGGGCCGCTGCGGGGAGGTCATCCTGCGGACGTGGCACACGGCGCACAAGAACAAGGTCCAGCGCGGCCCGCTGCCCGAGGACGAGGGCACGGGGGCCGACAACTTCCGCGTCAAGCGCTACGTCAGCAAGTACACCATCAACCCGGCCATCGCCCAGGGCATGTCGCACATGATCGGGAGCATCGAGAAGAACAAGCTGGCCGACTTTGTCCTGTGGGACCCGGCGTGGTTCGGCACCAAGCCGACGTCCGTCGTCAAGTGCGGCATGATCGCCTACGCGCGGATGGTAAGCTTTTCCCCTCTCCTCCCCAACTCCTCCCCCCTTTAACGAACCCCCCAACACCAAACTCCCCATCCTAACCGCACCCTCCTCCCACCAAAAACAGGGCGACGCCAACGCCTCGATCCCCTCCATCCAGCCCATGATCATGCGGCCCATGTTCGCGCCCTCCATCCCGCAGACGAGCGTGGCCTTCGTGTCGCAGGCGGGCATCGACAGCGGCGTCGTCGGCACCTACGGCCTCAAGAAGCGCATCGTCCCCGTCCGCGGCTGCCGCGGCGTCGGCAAGCGCGACCTCAAGTTCAACGACGCCACCCCGCGCATGTCCGTCGACCCGGAGAGCTATGTTGTCATGGCGGATGGGGTGGTGATGGATTCGGAGCCGATGGGCATGCTGCCGTTGGCGCAGACGGCGTATTTTTATTGAGTGGTTGAAGAGTGGGGGGTTGGTGAGTGGTGAGTGGTTGGTGGAGCAGAGGCGGTGATGGTGATGGTAGTGGTGGTTGCTTGAGTAAGTCGATCGGTTAAGGGGGGGGGCGGTTTGTTGTTGTCGTTGGGGAAGGCGTAGTGTGTGGAGGTCTCTATTTGTAATGTCTGGTTATTCTTCTTTATTCTTTGGTGTATGTGTGTTGTGGAGTATAGCGTTTTCGTAGTAATATATACTTGCTTTGATGCGGTGCTCTTCTTGTGCCTTGTATTAGATATCAGTGACAGGAGGGTGGTGCACTTGTGTAAGCGTTTGGCAGCTCATGGCTGGAGAACCCCGGCGCGACAGTGTCAGACCAGAAAGAATGTGCTGAGATGCGGGTGTTCCCCGGTGGTTGTGCCGGTGCTGGCAGCTGAACCTTCACTAGACACCTGTGCCACGGGTTTCCGGGATGAGGACGGAGGGAGGTGTGTACATGCCTAGGTATGTACCGAGGTAGGTAGGTTTATGGGGAAACAGTGGGCGGCGTTGGGACATCTTCCATAATTCGGGGGTTTGCGAAGGGAATACCTAGGCCTGTAGAATAACCTAAATGCAAAGGTGGTTCCTAAGAGGCACAGGAAGACGGCGGGCCTCCAGGGCTACCTACCCGGGTAGGCAGGCTTGGGCGTTGGAGGAGTCCTTTCGCTTTGAGCCCCTGGTGAGTGCCATTGGGCTCCGCAAAGGTGTCCGATCAGGGTCTTGGTTTCCTGACACCTGGAACCCAGAATTGATTCGGCTTTCCCGCGCGGTGCCCCCTGTGCCCGCTGGGGTTACCTGAAGTAACCAGCTGGAGACACAGGGAGGGCACTGCATCAATCAGCCTCTCGACGCGCAGTGAGATGCGGGGAAACTCGCATCCAGAGTGCCCTGTCCCAATTGTGTGTTGGGTGGTCGTCGGCATTTCACAACGACCAGAGAAACGAGAGAAGATATGTAAAATTCATTGACGCCCCTACAACCCACACCGATGCGACCCATAACTAGTAAAGCGCAAAACTGGAGACCACCATGTACATACATAGTACATACATACCACAATTGGCTTGTGGGGCCGAGATGAGAGCACCTCATCACCTTTCCTCCTCCTTCCTCCCTCCGGCGATCCGTTTCATGAAGGCCTGGAGGCTGGTGCCTCTTGCTCATTGATCCATACACTGACCGTTACACCCAACAGTTGACCCTGAATAGCACGTCTGCGAATGCTGTCGACTTCGCATCCAAAACCAAGTGTACCTTCTGCTGCCTGAACCCACCCTCGGTGTCCCTTGACAAGAGAGGCATCATCAAAGAGAGATTGAAACACCCATTGATCCCAGAGGTATCGTTGAAGAGAGAAAACCGAACCGATATGATAGAAAGAGAGCTAGGACGAGAAGACGAGCCTAGCCGCTCTTGGCCTTCTTACGGCCAGACTTTTTAGGCTCCTCCACCACCTGCTCAGCGGCCTTGGAAGCCCGCTTCCGCTTCTTAACCTCGGGGCTGGCGGGGGTGGCGGCCACCGGCTTGGGCGGCTCGATCTCGGCAGCCGCCGGGGTAGCGGCCGCGGTGCTCTTCCGCTTGCGAGTCGCCGCCTTCTTGGGGGTCTTGGCTACTGGCGCGGCGGGCTCCTCCTCCTCCGGCTCAGACGGAGAAGGCTCCGGGACGGCGTCCCTCTGCAGCTGCTCGGTGACAGCTTCCTGCTCGTTGGCCGGCACCTCCTCGGCCTGCGCGATAGGCGGCATCCCGATGCTAAACTGGTCGGCATAGACGCGAGCATCGTCATCACTCATCTCCTTGGCGCTTGGGTTGCCGTTCTTGTAAGAATGGACGCGCGCGTTGTAGAGACGGAGGTTGTACTGGTAGGCCTGGTTCCAGCCGAGCTTCTCGGCCGGGGTCATGACGGACCACCGGCGCTGGCCCTCGTCCTGAACAGCCCCCTTGGGGACCTGGTCACCAAGATCATTGGCAATGATGGGACGAGCGGTCTGCATGTACAAGAAATAGGGGGTCAAGGGACGCTTGGGCGCGTTGGGGTCGTGGGTACGCTTCTTGCGTTCCTTCTTCTCCTCAACCGGCGGTTGGGGAGGGGCAAAAGCAGGCTGGATCATGGTGTTGAGGGACCCGGCGATGCGGTCCAATTCTGCGCCATTCTCAAGGTTGGTTCCCTCACCAATGAGGAGGTTCGTCTGACGAAGATAATCCTGAGAGAAACTCCTAATCAGGTCCTGGATTGTCTGGAGTCGCTGGTAGACCTGTGAGCGAGTTAGTGGGTAGGCTCAAAGCGGGTATTTTGTAAACAAGGCGAAGCGCGAAAGGGGTCGCAAAGGTATCAAGACCACGATGAGGGATTGCAGCCGATGGGCTACCCGTGACCCGGGTCGTGCACGACTCCGCGCTACACACAGAACAAATGCATGTACACTGCTCTCTCAGGTTCTTGGGTATACCGCGCAGCGGATTATGCGATGCAAACAGTGGGGGGTGGTGGGATGGAGAATGGGAACGCGCGTGATACGCGTTGTTTTGTTTTGGTCCCTATGTTATGACTGGAAGCTAGACTTTGGGGCTTGCTCCAGGCACACAATGGCCGATGAAGACTGTCTCGAGGTTGCGGGGGGGTACCGCGAGATGTCTGAGGGGTAGGCATGCACGGTGTTGTTGCTGCTGAATGGGATGCGGGGATGCGCAAAAAAGCAAATGGCTTACCGAATCTCTGACGCGGATGAACTGGTCAACATCGATAACGGGGGGAGCCTTGAAGTTGTGCGCTGCGGGGGCCACGGCGACGGGGACGCTGGGCGCCGCAACAACGGGAACCACAGGCTCGGGGACGGGCTTGTTCTTGGGCGGGCGAGGCATGGTTGATGCGATGCGATTTCTTAGTGGCGGTTTTGGTGGGTTTTTGATAGCGGGAGGATGGCGCTGAGCTTTGATGCCGTGATGGTGGAGCGGGTAGGGCTTTCAGTGCGTTGCGTACTGCGAAGCTGAGCGCTGTGAAATGCGGCCTGAGTGAAATGAACAGAGAGTTTGGGAGGAAAAATTCCCGCCGAATTTTGGGGGGCGCGGCGGGGTTGCCGAAAATATACGTGGGTCGCTGAGGAGGGGGTGCCAGCGCTGATTTCAGCGAAACAACTGCTGAAAATTGGCAGCCAAAAATTGCGAGCTGGGCATGCCGCCCAATTCGGGCCCAAGAAGCTCCGTTCAGTTGGACTCGCTGAAACCCGCCGAAACCCGCCCGTCCACTCTGCACAACCTTCCATGGACCTTCAACAGGCACCGCTGAAGATTCCATCAATGCTTTTACAGGCGGTGCCCTGGACTGCCCGAAGCCTCAAGGTCACACCTATCTTGAGGGTCTCTTGCTCTACCCGCAGCGGCAGGATTGCTTCGAAAGCGAAAACGCCCCAGCATTCAAATGCAATGCAGATGCAGAACCTCGAGTGCCTCGAACCCAACACGCAGTTACATAGTTACATAACTCCCAGCATAGGTACAATCATGTCAGGCTGGTGCAACAAATTCAACGGCCGGGTGCTGCCAGCGAACGACCACCCCGCTTTCCCTTCTTGCATCTCACCTCCACCCACCCAGGCTCTCACTGCACAACGCATCGCGTCACCGTTTTTTAGCGCAAATCTGTCATCCACTATCAGGCCAACGAGAAGAACACCACGGGCTTCGTCAAGCCCATAGGAGATGATGCCTCATCTACAATAATTTCGACCGTTGGGGTTTCTGCACATTCAAATGCGCTGTTTCGCGTTGTTGAACACAGCACCACAACTCTCCAAGAGGCGTCATGAGGCCACCGCTGAGTTTCGAAGCTACCTACACCAGGTCATTATCATCTCGGGGCGCTGTTGGGACGGTGTTTGCGCGCTGTCCTCGAGCGCTCCAAAGCGGGATCAGCCCGCGGTCACACAAGGACCGGAATCATCCAATGGGCAACGGATCAGCGAACACACGGGCGAGCCGCCAGAGTGGCCGCAGCAGTGGGCTTGCTCCAAGCCGACAGGGGTGACGAGCAGCCCTGATTTGGTTTGGCTGATTTTAGAGAGCCCCCAACGCCGCCCGCCCAGGCTGGGCGTTTTTTTCTCTGCCCGAGTTCCCCAACACCAGCGCTTCCTGAGCCCCCGTTACGAGCGCTCCTTGGGAGGTTCCCCAACCTTCCCCCAACTCTTCCGCAACCCGGAACGGAGCTTCTGTATTCGCAAGCCCTTGGCTTCCCAGCCGCCCACATCCCTCTTCCATGGGGCCATCGATTGCTATCAGCCTGCTGTGAGCTCGGGGGACACTGGGTTTCTCGGAAGGACGAGGCCCAGTTTCGTCACAACTTCGGCCACTCGGCATCACACGGTTGATCAGCGGTGCGTGTGACAACTCAACTCACAGGCCCTTATGAGCTTCCCCGCCACCGCAGTACCCATCACCGCCCGCATCGCCGATTCTCTATTTTCACGCAGCTATCCGGCCCAAGGTAGGGTATCTCGTCTGTAGCCCTCGTTCAGGTCTGGTCGAGAAAACGCCCACTCTGAACGAGATGCTCGATGGGAGGCGGGCATGTAAGTTGGGGCCCCAAAGTAAGGTAGGTACCTCCATTTTCCCCCACTTTGTACTCCGTGAAGGTACCAGGCTAGGTAGGTATCTTGAAGAGTTTGGGCCGAGTAGATGCCAACACCACTTTCTTCGGAGAGAGAAGAAAAAGGAGAATGCGAGTTCGAGATAACGACCTGCTTAAGCACGACTCAACCACCTATCCCAGTTTTGTTTTCAGATGATGACGTTGAGTAAACTGGAAGAAATAGGGCCGAGTTTGGCCCTTTGGAGTGCGACTTGAAGTGTGACATACTTTCCCTCCTTACCCATGACGATACTTGGGTTGGAGTTATGGAGGTACCGGAACGTACAGACATGCATGGAGATCGGTTTGCTTGACAGCGAACGCGTCAGCACCCAGGTCCCTGGGGAGCTGAACCTCAAGCAGGGTTAGGCCCTTCTGGTTGTCCGCAAGGCCGAGGCTGCGCAGCTCGAAGGGGGATGAGTACTATGTAGAGGTGATGTCCTATGGGAATCGATACCTGAACACATGAGATCCGGCGAAACAGAGCTCAGTTGTCATTTCTCATTTTCCCCGCAAACCCTCCATTTCATCGCGACCACGATGTCCCATGTCCAGTTGCTCTGGTTGGAGAATAGGCTGTAGCCCCTCGAACGATGCTTTCCGGGAGTGGAAGACTCTGGGTATTACACGAGCATAAAATAGAAAGAAGCAACTCATCTCGGCCGCCATCAACAGCGGGAGTTACCATCTTTTCTCCCATTTTTTTTGGGTTCTTGTGTGTTTTGACGATGCCCACAAAACGCGTCCGCATTCTTGGCTCCAGTGGGGTCCGGCACCTCGCAAAAGCCGAGCTCCTGCAGGGGTGTTGCCGGTGCCCCGCTTTCGATCACTGCTTCAAACGGGGGTAGGTCATCCAACAGGAACCCCGCTCCGCCAAATCTACCCCTCCTCGAGCCTCCTTAGTGCCCCGCGACGGAGACGACCAAGCAAGCTGAATGGCTGGCTTGGCAAGTTTCCGATCGCTGAAACCTGACTTCCAGGTTGGTCTGGGCGGAATGAGGGGGATGAGGTCGGGCGGCGCATGAAAAAGACGCCCAAAGTAAGAAGGAATCGACTCCTTTTTTCTGGGTTCCATAGAGGCTAGCAGCGATTGATGTTTGCTCGATCGGTATTTCATCTTCACCATCCCCCCCAGTGTAACCAAACGAATTGATTCCTCCTCCCGATTTCTTCCATCTCGAACCCACCTTCGCAAGCTTCCAAATCCCAAACCATCACCATCCGCGGGGGCTTGACAAGGTTCATCTCCCTTCTCTCGACTTGCCCCGCACTCGTATTAATTCTTGTGCCAGCTCTTTGCCAGCTCTTGACCGCGATTCCATCTTCCCATCTTCCTCTTCCCACTACACAACCCGTCACATTGATTGACTAGAAATACGGATACCCTACCCAACTAACCAATCGTCATCATGGCGACCCTCAAACCCTACCCATTTCTACTCGGGTTCATCGTGCTTTTCTGCTTCGTGCGACCCACGCTCGCCTTCGGCGCCGGTAACATCGCTGGAATCTCCAAGATCGAAGGCCAGAACTGTGAGTTATCTCCTTTCCTTTCTCCTCTAGGCTATCGCCTTCCATTACCGAGCTAACACTTTCGTTTGCCAGGGCGTCACGGTGATATCGAGGATGCTCTCCTTAGGATCGCTATGGCCCGCGTGGCTGGCGGCAAGAAGTTCGACAAGCTGATGGTCTCCCGCGTCTACTTTGGCAACTGGCTGCGCGACTACTCGCAGGCTATCGACGTGGGTACAGTCAAGGCTGTCTCGGCCGAGGCCATCCGCCTCCTCCTGTGCATCCTCGGTTTCGTCACTTTCGGTTACGGGAGTGGTGAGTTCCAGGTCACCGCCGAACGTCTGGGCTGCTACCGCCCCGAGGACCACATCGACAACCCCAGGAACTATGCCGACAACCTGGATGCGACCGACTATGACCCCCGTCTGCGCGCACCAGTTGACGAGTCGGTAGAGCTAGCCATCGACGAGGAAACGGGCATGAAGAACTACATTGCGAATGAGAACGCTGGCATCATGACCTCGGCCCTGCATGTCCGCCGTCTGTTTAGCAAGTGCATCGAGCTGGGCCGCTCCTACGGCCAGTCCGGGGACAAGGATGAACTCTACGAAGCCCTGCGCCTCCTGGGAACCGGCCTCCACTGCCTTGAGGGTGTGTACTTGGTGCCAGCCCTCCCTCTACGCGGCGCTGTGGGTGCTGACATGCCGTAGATTACTTTGCCCACAGCAACTACACCGAGCTTGCCCTGATCGAGATGGGCGAGGAAGACATCTTCCCCCACGTTGGCCGCAACACGATGTTGAGGATCCCCGGTGCTCGTCGGGAGGTCTACCCTATCGTTACTGGCACCTTCGGTGGTGTTGACTTCCTTCACTCGGTCACCGGCGAACGTAAGTCTACCCTCTCGAATCCTGTTGGTCACGCAAATTAACAAAGCATAGTCTCCGACAAGATGATCCAAAGCGAGATCGAGGATCTCGAGGGAACCCTACAGCAGAGCACCAAAACCGACACTAGTCTTCTCCGTGACTTGCTCGACAAGATCCCCGATGGCCTGCTCGGTGGCAGCGACAAGTCAAAGCTAGACGACATCCAGCAGGACGCCCAGGCCGCCCAGATGGAGAACGTGGAAGTTTCGCCGCGAGAGCCCGAGGAGTTCACCAACCACATCAGACGAATCTTCAAGCAGATCATGCCCGCCATCGAGTTCCACGACGAACTTCTCAAGAACATCTCCGAGGCTATCTCCAAGGTGCCCGTCCTGCCCAAGATCGTTGAGCAGCTGGAAGAGCAGATGTCCATCTTTGTCTTCCAGATCATTGCGCCGTTCATCGTCCCGGTTATTGACCAGATCAAGAACGAGCTCGCAACTGGTGCCACCGAGATCATCCAGAGTAGTCAGAACGAGCAGCACAACATCTTTGATGACGACGACGCCACCGACCCCACCCACTCGATGCTGTCCAAGGATCACTTCACCAACGTAAGATAGGGTGGGGCATGACCGTTACTGGAGGCAGCCGCGCTAACCAAATCCCCCGTCTAACAGATCCTCAACGAAATCGGCGGCCGCACCGCATCCAAGGTCGTCCAATGGACCGTGCCGCAGCTCATGGAGGCGTGGGATGACGAGGGCGTCGACGTTGACCAGCTGCTCAACAAGATCATCTACGGAGTGCTGCACCACCCGGCGCAGCGCAAGATGGGGCCGGACGGGGCCGACGAGGGCCGCCGGCTCATCTTCGACATGGTGCGCGAGTGGTGGGACGACATGGGCGACCAGCAGCGCGACGAGTACCGCCGCAAGCTGAGCCGCGACGGCGTCGAGCGCGGCGAGAACCACCGCGAGGGCCAGCGCGACTGCGGCCACGGCTGCGGCGGCAAGCTGAAGATGCACAAGAACTTCCGCAACGAGGAGGAGAAGACCATGGAAGACCGCATCGCCGGCGCCGCCGCCGACGCCATCATGGGCGGCGTCAAGCAGGGCCTGTCGGACGCGGTGAGCAACCAGGGAGGCGGCGGCGGGGAGTCGGGCGGCCTGGGCGGCTTCCTCAGCAGCGTGGCCGGCGGCTTCCTCGGCGGCGGGTTCAAGAAGGACGAGACCGAGGCGTACCAGGCCGGCGGCCGCACCGAGGACGGCGGCTACTCGCAGACCACCACCGAGTACGGCCGCTCCGACGACCGCTACGGCCAGGCCCAGTACACCGAGACCCAGTACGGCGACGGCGGCCGCCGCAGCGAGTACCAGCGCTACGAGCAGCGCGAGGACTCCGGCGGCCGCGGTGAGAGCTACGGCTACTCCGAGCGCACCGAGACTCGCTACGGCGGCTCCGGCGGCTATGGCGGCGAGCAGCAGTCGAGCGGCTACGGAGGCAGCACCTACGGCGGCGCCGGTGCTGCCGCTGACTACCTTCGCGGCTCCGAGCAGAGCAGCTACGGCGGCGGTGGCGGTGGCTACGGAAGCCGCGAGCAGGAGAGCGGCGGCTATGGAGGTGGCGGCGGCTATGGAGGTGGCGGCGGCTATGGAGGTGGCGGCGGCTATGGAGGTGGCGGCGGCTATGGAGGTGGCGGCGGCTATGGAGGTGGCGGCGGCTATGGGGGTGGCGGTGGCTACGGAAGTCGCGAACAGGAGAGCGGCGGCTACGGGGGTGGTGGTGGTGACTATGGACGTCGTGACGACGAGAGCAGAGGCTATGGGGGTGGTGGTGACTACGGACGTCGTGAGGACGAGAGCAGAGGCTATGGAGGTGGTGGCGAGTACGGAAGTCGTGAGGACGAGAGCAGGGGCTACGGAGGTGAGTCTCGCCGTCGCCAAGAGAGCGGTGGCTATGGTGGACACAGTCGTCACAAGAAGGATGATTCTGACGATGAGAAGAGCCGTGGTCACGGCGGTCATAGTCGTCGCAAGAAGGATGATTCCGACGACGACAAGCGCCACGGTTATGACAAACACGGTCGTCGCAAGAAGGACGATTCGGACGACGACAAGAAACACGGCTACGGCGGACACAGTCGTCGCAAGAAGGATGATTCAGACGACGACAAGAAACACGGCTACGGCGGACACAGTCGTCATAAGAAGGATGATTCGGATGATGAGAAGAAACACGGCTATGGCGGACACAGTCGTCATAAGAAGGATGATTCGGATGATGAGAAAAAACACAGCTATGGAGGATACGGTCGTCGGAAGAAGGATGACTCGGACGATGAGAAGAGCCATGGTTACGGAGGATACGGTCGTCGGAAGAAGGATGATTCGGACGACGAGGGCGGTGGACGCCGCCGGTGGGGTCACTAAACTCTCCTTGGGTCGGACGTGACTGCTCTGCAGGCCTAGTTGACGGGGTAGAGACGGGAGGCCGTCAAAAGTTACGCGCTCCTTTGATTTGTGGTGTTTTGTTTCCCCCTTTGTTGTTGTATAGGGGTATAAATTTGCTCAGAGACGAAAGCGGTTCGATAGTCGCTCTCTATCCACACACAACACCGATAACCTTTCTGAGCTGCCACTACGACGATGGGTTGCAGTAGAAAAAGAATGACCAGTCGTTCAGGTACCAACTGAGCAATTATTGGCTTGCTTGTGCCCTGGCCGCGGTGACCGCCCATTTGGGCCGGCGGGAACTGGGTCCCAGATATATTAATCTGGGGCAGGGTGCATAACTGCCTTGGTTTATAGTGCTCTCCCCTCTCCACATCTGGCCACCGTTCGGTAGATCTGCCCGGAGTGCGGGGAGCCTAGCAGGGATGCTAGGCAAGATTCAACCGCTTTGGTTATCTTTCCTCTCTCATGGCTCCGCCAAACCTGCTCTTTCGCGGAACGTTGGAGGACGGCGTGTTGCGAGTGGACTGGGTTCTGTAGGATGGAGAGGGAGGTGAGCTGCAAGAGGGGCCTTCCAAGGAGGCCAAGACGGTTGACGACCCGGCGGAAATCTTGCCTTGTACATATGCTCTCCTACACAGCACAGCAGCATCCTTGCCCCAGGAGCGGGAGGTCTCCATATACCCGCGGCTTGTCGGGATGGCTCTCCATCGGAGTGACGCGGATGGCCCTACTTCATTTGGCTATTCCGGAGCGCACTCTACGGTGGGGGATCCCGCTGGTCATCGTCACTAGCTCGGATGCAAACTTCCTGCCGATCTGCTGGGCAGTCGACACTAAGTGGGGAGAGTGGGATGGTATATATCTGGGGAAACCCACCCATGGTGCTGGACCCGGAACTGGCCTGGTCGTCGCTCTTATCGTGATCCAGATTTCTATATCAGGTACTCTCCAGCTACAAATCATGCATCTCTCCGCGACCACCCTCCTCGCCGTCCTCCCGGCCATGGCCATGGCCCAGGCCTCCGGCAGCGGCCAGACCACCCGCTACTGGGACTGCTGCAAGCCGAGCTGCGCCTGGCCGGGCAAGGGTTCCGACACGCCGGTCCAGACGTGCGACAAGTCCGACAACCCGCTCAGCGACGGCGGCGCGACCAAGTCGGGCTGCGAGAGCGGCGGCGGCGCCTTCATGTGCTCCAGCCACAGCCCCTGGGCCGTCGACGACAACCTCGCGTACGGCTGGGCGGCCGTCAACATCGCCGGCAGCTCCGAGTCGCAGTGGTGCTGCGCCTGCTACGAGCTGACCTTCACCAGCGGGCCCGTGTCGGGCAAGAAGATGGTTGTGCAGGCGACCAACACGGGAGGCGACCTGGGGAACAACCACTTCGATATTGCCGTGCGTTGTCCTAGCATTCCCCCCACCCTCCCCCATACCTCGGCCTAGGCGCATACATATTATATCATACCCATTCACTAACACACCACGCACCAGATGCCCGGTGGCGGCGTTGGCCTCTTCAACGGTAAGCCACCCACCTCCCTCCCTAGCCTCCACCCCTCCTCTCAACCAGAACACCACACTAACCCACCACGCCACCACCAGCCTGCACGGAGCAGTACGGCGCGCCGGCAAACGGCTGGGGCGACCGGTACGGCGGCGTGCACTCGCGGGCCGACTGCGACGGCTTCCCGGAGAAGCTCAAGGAGGGCTGCTACTGGCGCTTCGACTGGTACGTACTCGCTGCTCTCCGAAGAAGGGGGAAAAGGACAAAAAGGGACCGGTTGGCTGATGACACTTGTTTTTCTCTCTCTCTCTCTCCAGGTTCCAGGGTGCCGACAACCCGGACATCACCTTCACGCAGGTCACCTGCCCGAGCGAGATCTCGTCCAAGAGCGGCTGCTCCAAGTAAGCGGACCCTTTGGGGTGTTGGGCGCGTTGGCTGTTGCCCGGACTTCTTGGGGGCAGTCAGGGGCCGGCAGGCGAGTGGTTGCGCCTCGGTGGTGGGGGGAGGGGCGGCCGAATGTGAATTTGGAAAGTATATACATGTTGGAGACGCAGAAGGGGTTTGTGTATATACTGCTGCTGCTCATGTCTCAAATCATACACGGCCGCGATTATTGTCTGGCATTATCGTCCCTTCACCGGCGCCTTGGCTGGCGTGTCGTCGTCTTCGTAGGCCGGTTCGGATGTTGGTAGGATGGGAATTTGATATGCGTGGGCCATGAAGAACTCGAGAATAGTGCAGTGACACTATTCAGGTTAAGATCGTATTCTGGGACCTTTGATACGCTCGAGCTGAAAAGCGGTTCTTTTCCACACCCCCCGAATTTCCTCCCGTCTTCCCACTTCTCGAGCTCATCCACCCATGGCCCTCCCTGGTCTCGTTTGTCTTGATATAGAACTCCCCAATAGCCCACCTACAACGCCGTGTTGGTATCAGTAGGCCCCAAACCAAGGAAAATCACCAATTGCAAAATACCACCCCAACCGTGGGATCAAAACCACGTCAACCAGCCGTTGCTCCATTAACATTGCTCGCGTGCGCCAACAGGAACTTACAGCACGTCAGCGTCATCTTACAAGCCTTCGTCCAACCGTCGTCCTGGGCTACACCTAGCCGTATGCTAACTTCCCCTATCTTGTCGCCTTCGATGGGGTAGGGAAGGCTTAGGGGATTACCCTCGGCGGCCGTCTGCGCGTACACATGGGCGCCAAGCTGGCGAACTAGTTCTAGAAACGCCGTCATGGCGTTGTCGAATTTGCGATGCATGAAGGTCAAACCCAGGGGCATGTCACCCGATGAATAGAGATCGAGGACGTGCCGTTTGGGAGGAGGCGGGGGAGCGCTACGGGCCGAAGCGCCGCCTGACCGGCTAGATGATGGGGAGGGCTGGTCGTAGCGTATGATGCGGGATGTTGAGCCCATGGGTTGGAGCTCGTAGCCCTCGAAGCGGAAACCCAGCTTGTCGGCGACGGTGAACAACAAAAGCAGGGCGTGGCCCCACGCGGCGTTGATCTCCGGCCAGTCAACAGGGTTGCTAGAGAGGCGGCCTAGCCGAAGGCCGTTGATAGTAGCGAAAGTGCCGTCATGACTAATCCAGAAAGTGTCGTTGTAGACGTTACTGCGTTGCAACTTTTCCAGTTGGCGCGAGTCATGGTCGAACTTGCTGTTGATGCTGTCCCGCTCATTTTGGAAGTCGGCGAGCCGACTCGCAAAGGAGTTCCGATCCCGCCAAAACGCTTCTTCTTCGGCGTCTAGTTGCTGGCTGACTCCTTCCAGGGCACGGAGTTCGGCGTCGAACGATTCCTTTTCCCGTTCCAGCTGGCGAATCTCCTCGCGTGCCGCGGCCTCCGCCTGTTGGGCTTTCCGAAGAGCCTCCTCCCGAGCCTGTAGCTCGCCATCCGTAGGTTTGCTGGCTTGTATGTCCTTTAGGAACGCAATGAATGCATCTCGCTCCCGTGTCGTGATCTCCAGCTTCTTCTGCAGCTCCTCCAGCAGCACGTCTGTGCAGTCAACGCAGACAGGGTGGTCGATGTCGGAGCGGGCAGAGAGAATCTCGAAGAGTTTGGTGATGCGCTCCATCTCGTACGATTTGTTGGTATCGTCTTCGTCCTCGGGACTGTCTGTGGTGCCCGTGGGCGGCGGAGAGGCATGTTGAAGCTGCTGATTCCTTTGCAAGGCGGGGTTCGGCGGGGCTATTTGGGACTCGGTAAGGAAGATGAATGACATGGCGGAGTTATCGCGTGCATGGCCGTCGCCACGGCCAGCCCCTCCGTGACGCTTGAATACCGGGGGTGGTGCATTTCGGGCCGCTCGGTCGTACGTCGCCTTCCGGGCGCGGTCTTGGGAGTGGAGAGTTCGTGGTGTGGTCAGTTTTTTGGGGGCTTGCTGCGAATGTGTTGCTATAGAGATGATGAGCTTCAACGTCATCATCATAGACATCGGATCGCGCTTCTTCAGAGCTTCTTACCGACGAGGAGATCATATGCTGCTGGATTCAAGTCTTCTAGCGAACCGTCAAGCCGGAGCGGAGTTCGGCATTTTTGACAATACATGGTTGGGAATGCCCATCCCGGAGCCAGCCACCGAGGATTAATGGTATTTGTATGTGATGATGCGTGTGTGAAGTTCACAAGCGGTTTGGCGCTTTTCGAGCCTGGAGCTGGAGCCTGTTGAGGTCAACGTCACTGACGAGGTCCCACAGGTACCATTCACACAGTTCCGGTTCCGCTGGAAGATCCCCTGCAGCTTGCCAAGCCGTGCTGGCAACCCCTGTCGGGCACTGAGGGATGCGGGAATCCCTGCTCACAGTGCCTTGTCCCCGTGTGATCGTCATGTGGCTCCTGACTGGCACCCTCTGGACAAAAAACACCGAACTCGGAAGGGACGGAAGAGATCAAGCAAATGGTGACTCTTGAGCAAGGTTAATTGAAATAAAACAGATCAAATAAAAGAAGAATTAAAATAAGTATATATAGCTTCTTTCGGCTTCCGGATCGCTTTCATGTCGATCCTCCAGTCGAGATTTGATGGATATCTGCTGGCCGGCACCCACCCGACACTGAAGGTCCGGCTATTTTTGTCCATGGGGCGACTGGTCCGAGCGTTGGTAAACTCCCTCCCGCAACCAGGCAACCTGAAAGGCAAAGCAACGCAATCCTCGGCCTGCGACCTGCCAACTTCATCATCCGCCAACGCCGACACACTACACCGAACTACTCCCTCACACGACGCTGCCCACCCCGCGATACAGGATTTCAATAACATCAAATCTTGAAGCAAAATCGAGTCCCCAATTGCGACCCTCCTTACGCAGTACGTGCCTTTGCGATCCGAGCCAACTCCCCCAAAGCGCCAACGGCGGACTGTATTTCCAGCCTCTCCACCGCATCACCTGCGCCTCTTTGCATCGAAGTCCTCAGGCCGTCCCTTGACGACGGATAGTTTTGCGGCCCCAGTCCTCAGACATACCCCGATTTACAACTCAAAATGGCCACCCCGCTCGACACCGACGCCGGCACTGAGCTGTTCAAGCACTATGAGACCGAATACCAGCTGGTCCAAGCGGACCTAGTGCAGAAGCTCGACCAGATTGTGGAGCTGTCGGGGGAGCCGAGGAAGGCGGCGCTGAGTGCCGCTGAGCGGGCGCTGGAAGAGACGGGCGAGCTGGTCGACCAGATGCAGATGGAAAAGCAGAACGTGCCCTCAACACAGCGCGCGTCGATTAACCGGCGGTTGCGCGATTACAAGACAGACGTCGACGGTTACCGGCGGAAGTTGCGGACCCTGGCGGATGATAAGAGTGCCCTGTTCGGTTCTCGGTACACGGATAACCCGGGGTCCTCGTCGGGAGATGCTCACTTTGAGCAGAGGCAGCAGTTGCTCTCGGGTGCGTCTGCCAAGTTTTGTTTTCCAAGCCGACAACGCAAGGCTGACTGATGATGCTATAGGTACGGATCGGTTGGACCGCAGCACACAGCGGCTCAAGGCCAGCCAGGCTCTGGCGAACGAGACGGAGGCCATCGGGGCCAACACACTCACGCAGCTGCAACAGCAGCGCGAGACGATCGACCACACCACCAGGGTCCTCTATGAGAGCGAAGGCTACGTTGATCGCAGCATCAAGAGCCTCAAAGGGATCGCTCGTAGGTATGACGTTCTTGCATTCCCAGGTCCACTTCGAGGCCCCGGCTGACGTGTTTCTAGGATGGCTACAAATCGGGTGATCACCATTGCCATCATCACGGTTCTGGTTCTTCTCATCATTGCGGTTATCTTCAGCAAGTTCAAGTGATTGTTTCATAGCGGGCAGGTGTTTTGTGCATGCCGAATCCAGGCGATTGGGTGATTCGGGCTAGAAGGAGTTTTCGGTGTTCTTGTATGGCGGCGGCTTCGGTGCTATGAGACTGGGCAACTGGGAATCGGGAGGGTTCAAGTCGAGTTTCAACGCCGCGGGCAGCCGTCTCAATACCCACATTAATAATGTACAAAGTGAACGAATTCCTGACATGAGTAACGAACCGCATGCTGCATGGCCAAACTTTGAACATCACGGATTCTTGCATGCACGAGGCAATCCGATTACATTCCATTCCGTCGCTTGCAGGCCTGTGAAGTCACCGCCCCACCTATTCCAACCACTGTGCGCGGAATTACCCCAAACACACTGTAGCAACCATCGATAATGAATAATATCCCAGCTCCCGAGTCCTCACGCGACGAACAACTTCACATATTCAACATTCCATAAAACCTAGCGCAACCGACCCGGCCCTCCCCGGCCATGCGCGCATCATGGAACCCCCAACCAAGCGCCCACGATTCGGCCCCGCGCCCTTCGAGCACCACAACCCCAACGACCCCAGCGACCCCAACTACGAAGACCCGGAAGCCGACGAGCTGAACGAGCGCCCCGAGGCAGTCAATGCCCGCCGCGACCCGGCCGCCCGCCTCGAGCGCTCGCGCGCCTTTGCCGCCTTCAAGCTCAAGTCCGCCTTTGAGCGCATCTTTGAGAAGTACGAGAGGGACTTCACAGGGGTTGGCGACGAGATCGATTTGAGGACGGGCGAGATTGTGGTTGATAATGGACATGTTCATTCGCTGAAGGATGCGGAGTTGGGAGGGGCCGAAGAGGAAGAGGAGGAGGGGCATGGGGTGGATAGCGGTGGTGATGGGGTGTCGGAAGCTGGGTCGTTGAATGAGGAGGAAAAGATGGTGAGGGGCACCAGGGTCGAGAATAGGCGGCTCAGCCGGGTTGGGGGCGATGCGCTGTCTTCGATGCCTTCCCAGGTCGGCGCGCCGCCTTTTCTTGCGGGTGGATGGGCTGCGCCGAGCCCGGTGGGAGGGCCGCCGCTTGGGTTCTCGGGGATGGCGTACCCGGGTCAGATGCCGTTCGGGCTGCCGATGCAGTATGGCACGCCGATTTCGATGCCGACCACGGATCCGACCTGGAGTACGCCCGAGTTGCCGTCGCCGTTTGTCAGGAACGCTCTGGCTTCGGGAGACGTTACCGGTTCGGCTAGACAAAAGACAGCACGGCTATCGCTGAGCGCTGCTCGCGAGCAGGATGCCGGGGACGAAGACGACGTCTTCCTGGATGTGTCTGCCCGTGTGGGGGCCAAGGAGCAGGCCGGGGGACTTGCAATAAAGCAGAAGGTTCTTTTGGCCCGTCCTCCGCCAGAGAAGATTCCGGCTAAGAGGAGGGGCAGGCCACCGGGAACGGGGCGCAAGAACGCTGAGAAGGCCAACGGGCTAGGAAAACACCAACAACCTGCGAAGTCACCGGCTGAGAGGAGAAAGGTTCAAAGGAACCGCTTGGAGAGTGATGCAACCACCGAACCAACGCGTGCCTCAAAAAGAACCTTAGCCCCGAACCCTGCATTCGCTGCCCAGGTTGAGAACCATGGGGCTGTCGCCACACCACCAGCACCACCGAAAACTATCGAGCCCGATGTGTCGGGCACGCCTGCTCCTAACGGGGCAACAAACCAGGGCACCAAAAAGGATTCAGCGAACCCGAGCGAGCTAGTGACGCCCTCACCAAGCCCGCCGGTAGCCGGTCCAGAAACAAACTTGGACCCTAGTGTATACATCAACCTTTCCGACGGCGAAGAGAAACTCGCCCTGAAACCACGGGATCAGATTTTCCGGGTTGAGATCACCACAACGAAGCGTTTTGACGCCCACTCGTTTCGAATACTTAGCCCTGAACCGAGTGAGGCAGATCCACCAAGTCATCACGAGCCTGTTCAGGATGAATCGAATCTCCAAGTAACCCCGACGGATTCTGGGCCGCAGGATACGTGTCCTCCCGAACGCGAGAACAAGGCTCAAACAACATCAGCAGAAGCTTTCTCAAGAAACTTTGTCGATCCGGCGTATGCCTTTTCAGACGATGACGAGCCCGCGTTGCCGAAAGGGAAACCGCAACGCAAGCAAGGTAAACCTAAGCCCACCAAAACGACCAATTTTGAGCATGGCGTATTGCGCGAGATTTCCCAGAACGTCGGCTCAGGGGCGGTGACTCCTGCCGGGAAGCCTACTACGGATGAATTCATTCAGGCAGTGGGCTCGACGGCTGCCGTACGGGCTCAGTCGCCCACTCGGAGTCTCAGTTTAGACAATGCCGTGGATCATGATGGAGGTGGCCTGTTGGATTCGCCAAAAGAAAGCGACGTACCGCGCCGCCCTGTCTTGATAACAGAGATTCCTGAAAAGGCTGGCAACGAAAAGTCTTCTCCATCTGAGGGAACATATCAACGGCGGATGACTAGGCGGAAGTCGATGCTTGAGGCAAACCCTGATTTGGTCATTGAGCCAAATTCCGGGAAACTACCTACGAACCCAGAGTTGAACGCTACCCCTGAGATAACCAAGGCGGTCCCACTTTCAACAGACAGGAAGAGGCGTTTGAGTAAGACTCAGTTGCAGAAGACGCCAGCCAGGGCACTTCATCGGTCAGTCATTCATGGAAGAAGTTCCTTGAAACCACCGATGAGGCAAGAAATTCCCGAGACTTCACCAAGCGCCCAGCCGGCCGTCAGCCCGCCAACAGCAGACGGCCCCGCGCATATATTAGAGGTACTCGATTCGGACCCGCCGTTCTCCTCAGAGGAGCAAATGCACGCCCTCTCGGACCGGTTCACCAGAGCCCCGTCCCCAACCCTGACCGACCCGTCCTCCAAACCCCAACCATCCCCGGCCCTCCCCAAACCACCACAGCCGCCACCGGCCCCCCAGACGCCAATCAAAGCCCCAAATCGCCGCCGCTCCAAATCCCGCCCCCCAACATCATCCACAACAACAACAGCAGCAGCAGCAGCAACAACAAAGCCAACAACCACGACCAAGAAGCGGAAAAGCACCGGCGTCCTCTCCCTCCTCCCCACCACTACCACCGCCTCCGACGAAGAAGAGGACGAGCTCTCGATCCTCAGCCCCGCCAAACCCGGCACCACAACACGCGCCACGCCCGCCGGCCACCACGTCCGACTGGGGCTGCTAGCCCCGGGGCTTACCAAGTCGGCGTCAGCATTGAGGCTGAAGAGCGCCGTCCTCGCTGGCTCGCTGAATACTAATACACCGACTGGCCGGGGGCGGCGGAGGAAGTCGGCGGCGGCGCCTTGGACGCCCTCCTCTTCCACTGCTGCGAGGTTGTTGTTGGAGTCGGAGCTGGTGCAGACGCCGGGGGGGACGATGCGGCGGTGTGGGGAGGGTGGGTTTAGGTGCGAGAGGGAGTTCTGTTTTAGTTGTTTGTGAGCCTGGGGAGGATGGATGGGTTTGAAGATGGATTGGTTGGGGCATTTGCTAAGCAAGGAGCATGCTCACGGGTAGCTGTTTGGCAGGCTCGGCTCCTGTGGTACCATATAAATGGGACGGTTTGGGGAATTCGAAGTGAGGAGCATGCGGAGGAATGGAATCGTTAGCCGCTGTCTCGTTTTAGTGTACTGGGTGGCCATACCCGTAACCCCCCGACGTGGACTCGAGCAACGATGGAAAGATGAAGTAGAACGATATATAGTAAGACCAGCAAACGCGAAACGCCGCTTTACCATTATGCGGTAGTTCACAACTTGCACCCTTCCCGCTTTTGGAACGGGACAACAAACGATAAGTATGCATATGGCCCGGCCCATTCAAGCCACCATCAACCACCAACCTGCATCCCCTGAACCCATCCATCATCCATACCAGGTCGTAACCAAGGTAACCAAACGTACTCCACCATCCTTCCATCCATCTTCTGAATAATCGCCCACGCCCACCCGCCCTCCTGCAATTCAATTCCATCACAGTAACGACTAAACTCCCAAACTACAAACCCCCGATTAACTCCCTTCCCTCACCCATCAACGGCAGAACCAATGTCGCTTGTTACGCCCGTGCGACAACGCGTGGGGGTATACGGGGGGTGATCAAAGACTCGGCGTAGTGATTTTCTTGTTTTGAGACACCGCGGATAGTCAACTCCCATAAAAACCTCGCCTCTAGGACGGGACAATGGCTAGCTTTCGGAACGAAGGGTTTTAATGTCCGGCCCATACAAACGGTCTAGGATTTTGCGTTGATTTGCAAACCTAGGGCAACGTAACGCGATATGCACATCTGGCACAAAGTTTCCCTCTCACGGGCTCAAGATTGCGTGCCACTGGCCAGGTACTGCTGAAGTGTTTCCGGGTCGCGGATGGGGGCGAAGTAGGGGTGGGCCATGGCCTCTTTTGCGGTGAGGCGTTCCTGCACGTCATGTCACTGGTCAGTTGCAAAAACCAAAACAAGATGGGTCCGTGAAAACTAGTCTGACACATACCGCGTGATCGTAACGCAGCAGCTTGTCCAAGAAGTCGATCGCCTCATTGCTGACGAAGCGCTGGTTCTCGGAGTTCACAAAGCTGTGCCAAGGCTTCTTCTGAAACCGGCCGAGAATGTCGTCGTATTGGGCGTCGAGCTCTATCTCGTACTTGTCCAGGTAGTCGAACAGATCGTCGGTACCGAGCACCTTGGCGATTTTGACGAGCTGGTCGGCGTTGCTGTTTCCGTGGAAGAAGGGCTCCTTGCGGAAGATCATAGATGCGAACATGGCGCCGAGACTCCACATGTCCAGACTGTAGTCGTACTCCTGGAAGTCGACGAGCAACTCCGGCCCCTTGAAGTAGCGCGACGCGACGCGGACATTGTACTCGGTACCCGGGTGGTAGAACTCGGCCAGACCCCAATCGATGAGGCGCAACTAGGGGGGATGTTAGCAGGGCACGGCATGCGCCACGTGGCATGCAGGAAGGAGGGTAAGGGGGGCCGTGCCTTCTTGTTCTCATGATCGATCATAACGTTATGAGGCTTCACGTCGCGGTGCATGATCCCCTTGCTGTGGCAGTAGTCGAGGGCCTTGAGAAGCTCAAAGATGTAGTAGCGGACATCGATGTCGATGAATTTCGGGTACAGGGTGCGGAAGTCGGTGTTGTTGACATATTCGAAGATGAGCGAGGGCGTCTTGCTCTGTGAATCCCGGACAACGTCGAGCAGGGCGACGATGTTGGGCCCGCCGGCCAGGTTCTGCAGGATTTTGATCTCGCGCTTGATCTTCTTCTTCTTGACGGGCTTGAGGACCTTGACGACGCATTTCTGGTAGTTGACGACGTTGATGCCCTCGAAGACTTCGGAGTATTTGCCGCGGCCTATGTGGGAGAGGGAGAGCGGTCAGCGGCACGCGTTCGGGGTAGAAAACAAGGGCAATGCAACGCACCAATCTTCCTCACGACCTCGTAGTTTTCCAAGACTCCCCAGCCTGCGACAAGTTAGCGATGCGACACCTCGGCGAAGGGTGGGCGGGCGGTTGCAAGCGGCGCGACAGAACCGGCAGCAATCTCGAACAAGGAACGAGGGACGAGGATAATGGGAGGAAGCCTGACCGATGTTGACACTGTCGTAGTCCCAGTAACTACGCGGCATGTTTTGGTTGACATCGGCGTAGACTCGAGCCATGTTTGCGACGATGGCGCTTGGGTGCGCGCGACCTGCTGGGAACGAGTCGAGGTTGCAGGTTGGTGGTGTCGTGGGTAAGAGGCGCAGGCTGGTTAGCAAAGCCAGTGAGGGGCACACGGGCAGCATCTTTTTCGAGAGGAGCACCAGCCGCGCTCGTTATGCGCTTCCAGCCGCTTTCAGGTTCTGGACCAGGATGCCCCAAGCGCCCTGGTGTTACTCATTGATAAGAGCCCTATCTTGTCTAATCTGTAACCCCCGGCCCCGCAGTTCCTGCCTCAGGCGTGGCAGGCTGCCCTGGCAGGCCGTGCCTTGCCGGCGACTGCCAGCTCTGAACAGAAGCAGGTATTTCGTAAATGCAGCCGCTTCCTTCCCACCATTAGGTGGAACCCAATCTGGTTGAATTTTGTGAACCAGCTCCATGTTACTGGACCTAGGGTACAGGCAGTAATTCACCAGTGCAAACAATAGTGGCCGCTCTGTCACTTGATTCTATACTTGTACATACATGCATACTACATAACTAGCAGGATCATATGTCTCGCCATAATTACCACCCAACTATGATGCGTGCCCGAACAGGACACACAAGCCCAAATCATTGGTGCCTTGCCTCACCTCAATCATTGCGGTGAGGAGTATACCCACCCCTGTCCATGACAGCGTCGCACCGGAATCAGTCCATTATGTGATGGGTTAATTAGGTAATTGGGTACTACAAGTACCGAGGTGCGTCGCGGGTTCAGAACTCGTTATGGCCGTGTTTGTCTCTCCTCACCGCTCACCGAACCAACTTCCCCGTGGTTGAAAATGCCTTCCTCAAGATCTCGCCGTGCTCCGTCTACTGCCGTTAACGATGGCTCCTCTGGTTCTCGGTCTAGAAACCACCGCAGCTCCAGCCATCGACCCCCGCGACCGCCTAGTACACGTCATTCGCTGCGGTCTCAGTTCGCCACGACTCGTCAGGAATACGAGTTTGGTTTTGACGATGCGTCATCCATCGCGGAACAGTCGATCCAAGCCTCTGAAGCCGTTCAGGGCAATGAAGCCGACAACCACAACCCCGCTTTCTCTCGCGGCAGAGTCCTCGGTCGAGATTGCTATGAGCTGTTGTGCTTGCCAAGGGGCCCGTCTCTGTCTCCTGATCAGGTCCAGGAGGCAGCATACCGTCTCGCCCAGGTTTTGGCAGTCGACAAGCAGCCGCAACGTTTGCAGGTCCCGGCAGCTTTCCAACTAGGTTTGGTGAAAGCAGCTGTTGAGACCTTGATTGACCCTTCTCGAAGGCTGGGCTATGATCTCTCGAGGGCCGGCAAACCCGACTCGGACTCTGACGAGGAGGATATCTACGAAAATGACCCGGACTCAGGAAGCAACGGGAGCTATGAAGTCGGTGTTCAAGAGCAGTACCTCCTCCTCAGCCAACGGGAGTCTCGAGCGGGCACCGACCTCAGTCTTCGGTTGGACGCTACATCGTTAGTTGCTTCTCGAGGGGAACTCCTGCGGCATGGTGTAGGACCAGAAGTCATGGACTTCTCCCTGCAAAAGACGGCCACCACCGGCGTGCCGGCCCTACGAAGGCCTATCGAGAGCGCTGCTGTGTTTATCCGGAATTTGGGAATTAGAAAATCTCCCAAGGCCAAGGCAGCATCTCGTCTTCGTCTCACAGACCCGACCGTGACTGTCACTGCGTCGGCACATGGGTTGTTGGGTGAGCCATTCAAGCTTGCACCGCTCCTCGTCGACCGTTACCAGCCACCGGGTCCCTCGACCTCGATACACGGGAAGAGGCGCGTGGAGCAGCTGCTGGCGTCCCGGTTCCTCCCGTTTCTGAGCCTAAACTTCCGCCAGGAGCTCTTCTGGCAGACCGAGCCTGTCCCTGTCGCCCTGCCGAAGCTTGTTATCGAACAGGAGCTGGAATTCCTCCCTCACCCTTCCACGACGACCCGGATAGGCCAGTCTATCAATCTCTTCGGCAGCGCTAACCCGCTCAACGTCGAGATCTCAGCCCAGAAGGCGCTTGCCCGCAAAAGCGAGCCGCTCCCGAACGTGGGGCTCGCTGTCCATCAACGGGTCGGCCCCGGCACGGCCTTCCTCGTGGCCAACGGAGGCGACTGGAACCTGCGGACATCCAAAGAATGCCGACAGCTGTTCAAGTTCTCCAAGCAGCGCTCACGCGGTCTCACGCCCGTGCTCGACGCTTTCAGCAACCCACCAACCGTCGAAATCGGGTATGCTTTCGGGAGGCGCGACCTGGGCATGCGGTCCGGCCAAACCCTCACCAAGCCCACCACAAGGGGTCTCTCCCGCCTCGACGGCGACGTCGACGAGCAGACGCTCAGCTCGTGGTCCGTCTCCACGGGCCTGAGCCCAGGCACAGCAGCGACCTACCTCCGCTACGGCCGCGACCTCTTCACCTCCCCAAGCCCACAGCAGCGCCACCGCACAACCAACACCGGCGGCTTCCGCGCCGAAGCCGAGGTGGCCGCCACCACGCAGCACGACTTCAGCGTCGCCTTCCGCGCGCTCAAGCACGTCGGGCGCTTCACCAAGGCCGGGCTGGAGGTCGGCCTGTCCCCCACCAACCTGCACGTCGCCCTCTACTGGTCGCGCCTCGGCCAGCGCGTCAGCCTGCCCTTCCTCGCCGCCGCCACCACCGCCCCACACACCACCCTCACCCCGCCCCTCAACCACCTCCTCCTCACCACCCTCCTCCTCCCGCTCACCGCCTTCTCCGCCTGGGAGGCCTACGCCCACCTGCAGCGCGCGCGGCGCGCCACCGAGGCCGTGAGGGCGCGCCGCGAGCGGCAGCTGGCCGCCTACGTGGCCGCGCGCAGGGCGGAGGCCGACGAGCTGACGGTGGCGCTGGCGGCCGGGGTCGGGCCGCGGCAGGCGGCGGCGCGGAAGCGTGGGGGTTTGGTCGTGCTCAGCGCCAAGTTTGGCGTGCGCGGGGCGCCGCCGGACGAGGTTGCCGATGTGACGATTGCGGTCGCGGCGCTGGTGCGGGTCGAGGGGGAGGGTATTGGTGGTGGGGAGGATAGTGATAGTGAGGAGGATGATGAGGATGAGTTGGTTATTCCGCGCGGGGTGAGGAAGGGCCGGTTGATGGGGTTTTGGGATCCGGCGCCGGGGAAGGAGAAGGTGTTGAGGGTGGTGTATCTGTGGGAGGGGAAGGAGAAGGTGGCGGAGGTGAGCGGGCGGGAGGAGTTGAGGCTGCCTTAGCTGCAGTGAGGGGCGGGTTGGATTGGATTTGGGGGCCAAGTGACCATGCGAGACTCGTGATGATGATGATGATGCCGATGATGCAATACACGATTGATGGGTGGACGCGGTTGGAAATGAGGTCAGACCTGCAGGCACAGACAGTCTTGAGAATATAACGCTGATGGTTTTAACACTTGTTGATTGCGCCCGGGATGCCGGCACGCCGAAAACAGAATCCATGTACAGTTCTGGCGCACATGTCCGACTATATGTAAAATCCGCGCTTAATCTACAAGTGTCCTCATGTCATCGAACCCTCTGTCCATTGGTTGGGAGAGAGCGAGGTGGGCTGGGAGATTTCGACTCCGACTCCAATGTCATTTTCGCGAGGCAGGTTGCCAGCGTCTTTCCCTGCATTAGTTGCTCGGCCTTGGTCTCGAGTCCGATCGAGTACACGGGCCAGGCGGTGTGGACCGTTTGTTTCAGGGGCCCAAATATTAGCTGGTCCGACTCTATGTCGACGAACTGCTTGAGCAGGTCAACATCTTCCGGCCGCATCAGGCCTACCTGGAGGCGCAGGACCGCCGCAGCGACAAAGTGCACCCGGCTCTGGTCGTGTATTCCTTTGGTAAGGAGTAGCATTGTCGATCGGCGGGCTTCGAGGAAGGATGAGCCCGCGCTCGTCTCAATCGCGTTCATGGTGATGTGGTTTAGGAAACCGAGGAAATGAAGGAGGAAGCTGTCGGTGGCCTCGAATCCGTGGCGTAGGTAGTAGAGACGCACGACCGTCTCGAAATGGTTTACGGCCTCGTTGTAGATGTCACGCGGGGTGTGCGCCAACGGCATTTCAGGGCTTCCGGTATAATCCAGAATGGGCGTGACGAGGTCGATAAGCATGTGGTTGTAGTACATGTGCAGCTTCAGTTGGTGTGGTAGTACGATTTTCTTGGGTGTGAGAGGCTCCGGAAGGTTGTGCTGCCATGCCCTAAGCCGGTAGTAGAACCGAAAAATCTGGTCGACCGAGAGCTTGGTGGACGGGCCCTGGCGCGAGAAGGTGAGCGTCGAGACCTCGTTCATGATGGTCCAGAACTCGGAAAGGGCCTTGAAGAGGTACCCGTGGTAAGTCGGTAAGCGGGACTGGCTCAAGGGGTACCTCACCCAGAGCTCGCCATACCACTGCGGGCGTTCCGATGGGTCGGGAAGAGGTGTTTCGGGAGGTTTACTAATCGGGGGTGGCTTCAGGTAATGGTAGCTGCCGAGACTGCAATCACCGTTAGTCCGCATCTCGGAACCCTTCCACGGGAGGTTTTGCAACGTACTTTTGCCAGCAGAACAACCCCCACGCAGTGTATGTCCTCGCACACTGCATCTCAGGGCTGTGGCGCTCTAGTGGGGGCCCTAGGAGTTGGATTTCGTCGGCCATCTCTATAGCGTTTAGCGTGAAACGCCAGCCGATCTTGTCAGAGGCGTTGAGGTTGTAAATGAGGGTCAAGAGCAGCGCAGCTTGTATTGTGGTAAGTCTGGTCTGCTCCCATTCCCTGTCTCTGTGCTCCCAGGTTGGGTCCGTGGGGTCCCTGAATGGCCTTTCCACCGACGACTCAAGCTCAAAAAGCCGCTTGGCTTCGGCCAGAAATTGGTATCCGATGTTTTTGGGATTCCAAAACTCTGCGCGTCCCTGCAGGCCGCGGTGGCAGAACTTGGGAGAGTTAGTCAGAGCACACACTTGGAAACGGCAGAAACTCACGCATCCCATGCACAATAGAGCATTGACCAAAAGCGGGGTGCAGAATCGTGGGTTCTCAGTGCCCATATCCTCCAGGAAATGGTCCTTGTGAAAGAAAGTAAACCAGTCGTAGTCGAAGAGAAAGTAGTCGTGCAGGATCTTCCGTAGCAAGTCATCATCGCTGCTAACGGTGGTCCACTTCGACGGCTTTACCGAGTCCAGCCAGGGATGGACAACGGTCGCAGATGAGTAGGGCTTATGGTACGGATCCAGTTGGCCAGCACCGTAGACGGAGTCGGCGCCGTTTGCCGCATTGGTCAAGAGGCGTTGCTGCGGCCGTTGGTAGCCTGTTTGATGAGATGGATTCGAACACTGGCGGAGGGCATATTCATAGACGTCCGAGTCCAGGTATGGGTTGTCCATGTTTCGGAGGAACGGGGGCATATCGGGAAGGTAGGGAAACTCGTAGCGAAACCGGGCCTCCGGGACCAGGGCAAGCTGGACGAGCATGTCACCGTAGTTGACATGACGGAGGATGGTACCAGCATCGCTGCCGCTGCGAATCCGCCGGAATACCTCCTTGGCTTCCTGCTCGGATCTCGCCTGCAACACGTCATAAACCTGCTCGAATGCCGATTTCTGGCTCTGCAGCTCATTGAATTTGCGTTTGAGTGCTTGGGTATGTGTTTCGGCGGCATTGGTGTCGAACTCGCAGGCGGTGCCCCGGTCACGGCAGATGGAGCATGCTGGCCGCTCGCCGTCGCACTGTCGGTGAGGTGGTGGTTAATGAATGGCCGGAATACAACGTACCGGGTACAGTGTGTCGATATATCCCGGTCTCGATGATTCAAGGTAGATGTCATACCTTGGATTTGCGTTTCCTACACGCGCCGCACGCGGCTGTGGTTGCTTGGCCCCTCTTCCGCCGAGCCGGAATCACAGGCGAGGCGGTGCCATTACTTGAAGTGGCGGTCGGGGAAGTGCGGGATACCGATTGTTCGCGGGACCCGTTGGTTTCAATGGCCGTAGCATTCGCAGGTAAGAGACGCCGTAACGGCCCGCCGGGTTGCTGCTGTCTGTCGAGAGGCGAGGCCGATTCAGATCGTGACGGCATCATGGTGGGAGCGGTCGCGGGGCAGAGCTCCATGGAGCGTGTGCTGTTGTTATTGCTGCCGCCGCTGCTGCTGCTGCTATGGCGGCTCGATCGACGGGAAACCTGATGGAAGACAATTCGTGCGAGGGCGAGCAAAAGATGTGTAAAGGACCGGCGTTGGCTGTTGTAGGCAACTGAAGGAACAGGATCTTAATAAAAGCACCATTGTTCGCCGACCGCACCTCTCCCGGCGCTCGAAGGAAGTTGAAGTAGTAGCCTTGGCTACCACCACCCAAAAAGTCACCTTCCCATTCGGCAACGAATCACAACCGGAATTCTCTCCGCTTCGCTCTTCATTCGCTGCTCGCAACCCACGCCGAAGCTGCCGGATGCTGTGGACCGGAGTGCAGAGGGAAGGGCCCCTGTTCGGCACAGTTCTTAGTGGGTCTATCGGCAACTTTCTGGTAAATTCTGCCGGATCCTGAAGGCGGTGGGTCGGGCCGGACAAGTCAAACACCGTTGTCTCCGCCCAGGCATTTGGAGCCATGTGGGGATGGGCAGCTTCAATTCCGCTCTTAGCGTTCGACATAAAAGTGGATGGGCACGATAGCTAGAACCGGTGGATAAAGCGACACAGGAGGTGCACATCCATCATCCCTGGGTGGAATTAGTACTGTGTAACCACGTAACTTGAAGCCTTGAGAGCCTGGGAGCGCAACCGTGCATCTGCACTGGACACTGGACGGTAGTTGTTGTAGTACCTGATGTAGGTAATATCTTTAATGAGGATCCCAAGCAAACGGGACTCGCTCTCAGGGGACGGGGAGCCGGAGAAGGAAGCAACTCGCTTCTCGATTGCCAGCCAATAACACCCCTTGTAATCCGTCGCCGGGAGATGGGCGGACCTTGCAGCTGCAGCCACTGCTTGTTGCTCCAAATTTTCCCCAGAGCCAGTAGGCAGGGTTTTCCGCCGTTTTCGGCGCAGAGATGAACGTCGGGTGAAGTTGCAGCGGGGTTATTCCGTCGGGTTGCTTTTGATGGCGGGGCTACTCCGTTTGTTTTATGAATGTGGTCGGTGACTCAAACCTGCGATACTGGCAATCGACAAGTGCTTGACTTGGGCATTGAATCACCTACTGTAACTGGAAAGAATAATATTCCAACCCTTTCACAACACAACTAACCAACCCCCCATACTTCTTCATTCCACCACCATGGCTCCCACCGTGCTTCATCTCCGGAGCGAGACCAAGCCCCTCGAGCACAGATCGGCCCTGACACCGACAACAACTGCCGCTCTGATCAAGGCCGGCTATGTCGTCAACGTTGAGCGCTCGCCTGTCAGGATATTTGATGATGCCGAGTTTGAAGCTGCCGGTGCTACCCTGGTGCCCGAGTACAGCTGGGTTGATGCCCCCAAGGAGCACATCATCGTCGGTCTGAAGGAGCTGGAGGAGAAGGAATGTCAGTAGCAACCCTGCAATATACCATGCCATCCATGTCTATATGACTGTTTTGCTGACACCTTCTGGATAGTCCCCCTCAAGCATGTGCATGTTCAGTTTGCCCACTGCTGTAAGATGTCATGATCACCCCACTCAAAAAATATCCAGCTTCTAATACCGATTGGAATCTAGACAAGCAGCAGGGTGGTTGGGAGACGGTACTGGCTAGATTCCCCAGGGGCGGCGGTACTCTGCTTGACCTGGAATTTTTGGTCGATGAGAATGGTCGCCGCGTTGCCGTTAGTTTTCACTCCCAAACCCCCTCCCAAACCAACACTAACTCGAGCCTTAGGCCTTCGGCTTCCACGCTGGTTTCGCTGGTGCTGCCCTTGCCATTGAAGTATGGGCATGGCAGTTGAACCACAGCGAGCCTTTCCCGGGGGTTGAAAGCTATCCCAACGAGGATGCGTTGGTGTCCAACGTTAAGAAGGCGCTCGCTTCGGGCGTGGAGAAGTCAGGACGGTTGCCTCGTGTCATTGTCATCGGTGCCCTCGGCCGCTGCGGGTCAGGGGCCGTTGACGCTCTGCGCAAGGTCGGCGTCCCTGAAGAGAACATCCTCAAGTGGGACATGGCCGAGACCGCACCCGGCGGCCCGTTCAGTACGTCCACCTTGGTTGTTGTGCTGGCTATTTGCCTTATGCTTTTTGCTAACGCGCTGCTCAGAGGAGATTACCGACAGCGACATCTTCGTGAACTGTATATATCTGGCCAAAAAAATCCCCAATTTCAGTGAGCACTCCTTTACCAAATCAACCCCCCAAGCCCACCACTTGTCCGCAAACTCACACCACCCAGCCGACTTCAACTCGCTCCAAGCCCCGGACCGCAAGCTCTCCGTCGTCTGCGACGTTTCAGCCGTATGCCCAACCATCCATCTCGCATCCTCTCCCAGTCCATTCACACTAACACAACCCTCCCAGGACACCACCTCCCCCTTCAACCCCGTCCCCATCTACACCGTCGCCACGACCTTCGACAAGCCGACGGTCCCCGTCGACGGCCTGCAGAGCGGCCCGCCGCTGTCGGTCATCTCGATCGACCACCTGCCGTCGCTGCTGCCGCGCGAGGCGTCCGAGGCTTTCAGCCGTACGTGTTTTCCACCCCCTTTGCCAGTGTCTCCCGAATGGGCTGGGAAAATACCAAGAGTGCTGACGCTGACTGACTTTGCAGACGACCTTCTCCCGTCGCTCCTCGCCCTCAACGACTGGCAAAACACGCCCGTTTGGGCCAGGGCTGACAAGCTGTTCAAGGACAAGGTCGCGACCCTGCCAGCCAGCGCGCTGGAGAAGTGAGCAGCACCAAAAGAACCAGCACAGCTGTCTTAAACTGTCTTTTAGAATAGACGGTGATAAAATCGGAGTCTTGGTTGTGCAATAGACAAGAGGTTATGACAAGACAAGTTGCCTGCCTCCTTGCTGTGCTCTGACGACGTCATGAGTTCCGTTGTTTTCATTAACATTGGTCCACAATATAAGGAACATGGGTATCAATGATTTTATTGTTGGCAGAGCAGTCGCATTCCCGTATATTTAGCATGTGCTAGAAAGACGTGTACCCGAAGGCAGGTTGATCCTCCATTTTGCAGGAGGATCGCGACCCAATGACCCCACCGATTCCCATCCAACTCCGTAACATCACAGTAGCCATCCCATGTCATTTCATTTTTCCATTCCGTTTACGTTCATCGCGCATACTAGACCGGGCCATGTCACCTAAGCGTAGAGCTTCTTCTCGTACGACTCCATGTTCACGCCACCCTCCAGCTGCGCGCTGGCGGTGCGGATCTCGAATCTTACGGTGCCGTTGGCCACGCACTCGTGGAGCTCCTTAAGGCTAGTCATGCCACAGTCCTGCATGGAGTGCTTGAGACCGGCAGCAAGGTACGGAACGAACTTGGAAATTGATCTGTAGCAGGTCAGCATGCCGCACAAGTTTGTTGGTTTCAGATTGGAAGCTTACCCTCTGTGTGCCACGGAGCCGGAGACACCCTGGGCAACCAGGACGCTGTCGCCTTCCGAGAAATAACGAGCAGTGCCAGCATTGCTCTTCTGGCTGTCCTTGGCGCCGGCACCAGCCTTCTTGTCCTGCATGGCGTCGATGCTGCCCATGCCACGGTAGGCTTTGACGAGCTTACCCTCCCGGGACACGAATGAGGTACCGGGAGACTCGGTGGTGCCAGCCAGGAGACCGCCCATCATGACGGTCGAGGCGCCCAGGGCAAGGCCCTTGACAACGTGGCCAACGTTTTGAATGCCACCATCGGCAATGCAAGGCACGCCAAACTTGGCGGCAAAGGAGCTCACGCTGTGGACAGCGGTGGCCTGGGGACGGCCAACGGCCATAACTTCCTGGGTGATGCAGGCACTACCGCTACCCATGCCAATGCGGAGACCATCGACACCGGCAGCAATCAGAGAAGCAGCCTGCTCCCGAGTCACAACGTTACCGCCGATGACTTCGATGTCAGGAAACTCTTTCTTGACCCATTTGATCATCTCGATCTGGTACATGCTGTTGCCCTGGCTACTGTCGAGGATAACGATGTCCAAGCCAGCATCAACCAGCTTCGCCAGACGAATCTTATCCTCGGGCCGGGTGCCGATGGCAGCAGCGCAGATGAGCTGCTTGGAATCGGCCGTCTTTGAGGCGAGAGGGAAGTCAAGGTTCTTGGTCAAATCGGAGCGAGAGATCATCGAGACGAGGTTTCCTTCTTGGTCAACAATTGGGAGCTTTCCCTTCTTGGACTCGGCAAGGATCTTGTTGGCTTCGATCAAGTTAACGCCAGCCGGGGCCGTGATGAGGTCGGTGACCATGACATTGGACACTGGCTTGCTTAGATCGTCCTCGAACTGAATGTCACGGTTCGTGACAATACCCAGGAGCTTGGATCCCAGCTTGCCGGATTCTATGAGTTCAACCGTTAGCGTACGGCCGATAAGGACACGCAGAATGTGAAATATTCATGTGGTTGAGTAGCCATCATAATTTTCAGTGATACAGTCCCCATGACACATAGGTCGATACGGTGGAACGAAAGTTATAATAAAGGTTTGTAATCATGGCAAGAGAAGGGGTGGGGAGGCAAAATCAAACTGACCTGTGACCGGGAAACCACCAAATCCCCACTTCTCCTTCAAAGAGATGGCCTCACCCACCGTCGTCTCCCGCTTGATGACGACGGGATCCAGGATGAAGCCGTTCTCATAACGCTTGACCTTTCGCACCATGTCGGCTTGCGCCTCGGGAGCGCAGTTGTGATGGATCACACCGAGACCACCCTGGAGCGCCATGTGGATCGCCATGTCATGCTCGGTGACCGTGTCCATGGGCGAGGAGACCAATGGCGTCTTCAGGGTGATCTTCTTGGTGATTGGCGAATCAAGCGCGACGGAAGAGGCAGGGAAGCCAATGTAGCCGGGGAGAACCAAGAAGTCATTGTATGTCAAACCACCCTGGAGCTTAGAGTCCATGAGGTCATCCACACTGAGGCCATCTCGGTGCTCGTAGTCCTGGAGGAGCTCAACAGCCTTCCGGAAGTCGAGGACACCCTCACTGGCGCTGGGACCGTTTGTCGCCGGCATTTCTGCGCAACAACAAATGATCAAATGGCAATTGAGCCGGTGAATGAAGTTGTGAAGAAAGGGTGGTCGGCGGGGGATACAGCGACGAGTTCTTTGGCTGAATCGACCGACTGTTCCCCCCCAAAAGAAAGGAAAAAGAAGAATTTTGGAGTTCCGCCTCGAAATTTTTTTATGCCGTTCCATCGAGGTCCGACTGCGGGGCATCAGCGGGCGGTGAGGCTGGCTTTCATGCCGCTGGCCCCGCTCTCGAGTCCTTCGCCGGGCTTTCGTAGGGCCGGAGGGCCGTGACCAAGATGGGATGGACGGCAAGCCCCGGGATCAAGTGGGGCCCGTCATGTGGGCTGAAGCAACAGCGGGGCTGTTTTGTGGTTGCTGGGGAATCGCTTCTGCATGTAAACAAGACGAGCGGGCTCCTATCCGATGCCAACCACTAAACTGCCGGCCCACCCTGGTCACCTCCCACCACTTGTTGCGACCCAATGCTGCTAACAACTTGGGCAGAATGAGGCCATTGCCGTGCGTTCTTGATTACTTGCATTCTTGCAACACTTTTTTGTGATATTTTGCTTCCTTTTGCGCTGCGCGCTGGCGTTTGCAGGGTGTAAGACGAGACATTTTGCACGCGCCGACCTATCCCTCCCTTCCGGGTCCTTGCCCTGCCACCATCGGATTGTTGTTTTATTGGGTTCGGCTTCCGGTTTCTCTCTGTGACGACTGCCTAGAAACCACGATCCCCCCGCCTGCAAGTTGCGCTTCAACCTCGACGACAAAACACGGCGCAACAATTCGTCATCTAAATGTTTCCGTCGCCGGCAGCGCAGCCGTGTGATTATATCCTGCGCGCACCAAAATAAAAATGTCTTCGTCCCACAGGCCTCACCCGCTGCGGCAGGCCCAAACCGCCGACTATGCCGTCTTCCGACGTACGTAGAACCGGCCTTGTTCCCTCCCTTCCCCTCCCTCACCCAAACCAATTACTGACATCCCAGGGCAGAGCCTTCAACAGCATCTTCATCGGCATCCTCAGGTTATTCCAACGCCTCATCCGGAACCTACGAGTTCGGTCGATCCTCCATTTCATCCGCGTCATCCAGCACCTACTCCAACCATGGGCACAAGCGCGGCCAAAGTGAAGTCACCCGCCGACCTCCCCCACTTCATTCTTCGCAAAGCCACCCCTCGACACCGATGTCAGAAAACATCTACCATGCCGCCCGGCAATCCCTCCGGCCGCTGCCTCAAGTGCCACGCCCGACGACACCAGACCGCGCTCCTGCCCGCCATGACCGCGGCCACAGTGTTGACATCGGGAAGTTGTCGATTGTTGACCATGGTTCGACATCACCAACCTCCCCAACTCCGCCTACGCCACCCCACCGATCACCTACGGCTCGTCCGACCTCGATGCTCTTGACGCGCTCCGACTCGCCACCTACCGCTCGCCCAACCTCGATGCTCTTAACCCGTTCCGACACGCTCCGTCGGGGCAGCGACCCCCCCTCTTCCGCCGGCTCTCCTTCACGCCCACACGGCCCCTCTTTCTACGCCAGACCTTGAGAGATTGGGCCGCTCCTCAACGAACCAGTTGCGCACCTTGTCAAGGCTGGCGCAATCCAGTTCTGCTGATGAGTTTGCTATCACTTCCCCAGCGCAGGAGGTCGTCGGTCTCAAGGGGCGGCGGAGGCTTCAAAGGGCTGACAAGGCCGGGAACAGTCGCCCAGCGCAACGGACAGGTGGCTATGGTTGGGAAGGTAGGAACTGGATGGATAAGCAGCGCCAGTTTCTCCAAGCGTACGAGTATCTTTGCCACATCGGTGAGGCCAAAGAGTGGATTGAGGACGTTATTCAGCGCGCGATCCCGCCCATCGTTGAGCTAGAAGAGGCGCTGAGGGACGGTGTCACTCTTGCCGAGGTGGTCGAATCACTGAATCCTCAGCGCCGTTTCAAGATCTTCCACCATCCTCGGCTTCAATATCGACATTCGGACAATATCGCCATATTCTTCCGTTATTTGGATGAAGTCGAACTCCCGGACCTATTTCGATTCGAGCTTATTGACTTGTACGAGAAGAAGAACATCCCGAAGGTCATCCACTGCATCCATGCGTTGAGTTGGCTGCTCTACCGGAAAGGCATAGTAAGCTTCCGGATCGGCAACCTCGTTGGGCAGCTGGAATTCGAACACCATGAACTGGAGGCTATGCAGAAGGGTCTTGATAAGCTCGGAGCCAGCATGCCCAGCTTCGGCAACATGGGAGCCGACTTCGGCGTTGAAGAACCACCGGAGCCTGAAGAAACCGAGGAGGAGAGAATCGACAGAGAGCTGGCCGAGAATGAAGCTGCGGTGGCCGACTTACAGGCCCAAATCCGCGGCGCCGTTCTTCGGATACAACTCGGCGAGGTAATGCAAAACCTCTGGGATTCTGAGGATTGGCTGGTCGACCTCCAGGCGCGCATCAGGGGCGACTTCACCCGCCAAATTATGGACTATCGGCTCCAAATGAAGCGTTTCGCCACCAGACTTCAAAGCGCCGCCCGCGGTTTCCTCGTCCGCAGTCGCCAGGCAGGAACAGAGCAGGTGTGGAAAAGTGTTGAAGGGGACATCCTGAAGCTCCAGAGCCTGGTGCGGGCAAGCAAAGCCCGCAATGAAGTACGGGATCAACATTCTGAGTTGGCCGTTGCCGCAGGCCCCATCCGGGACATTCAAGCAACCCTCCGGGGCTTCTTGCTTCGGAAGGAGATGGTGGCCCAGGAGCAGGAGGTGAAGCACACAACCGCCCCCGTTGCTGGGCTTCAAGCCGCCGTCCGCGGACGCCTTCTCAGGCAGAAGCTGGAAGTGGAACAGATGGAACTGCAGTCACAGACCGGCGTCATCGCCAGTCTGCAGGCCGCTGCCAGGGCCGCATTAACCAGGGGTCAAATCGCTTCGGAACGTGAAGCCCTTGAAGACTTGACACCGATGTGGGAGACGTTGCAAGCCGCCGGCCGTGGACACCTCGCAAGGCGCGACGTTGACGGGGTCAACGCGGAATTGCAACAACACTCTCCCACTCTCGGCCTCCTCCAATCGCACAGCAGAGCAGCTGCGGTGCGCAGGGAGATATCCGAGGTGCTCGAGGGTCTGGGCGATGCCGAGGACGAAATTTTGGTTCTGCAATCCACCATCAGGGGTATGCTGGAACGGAACCGGGTGTCCGACCTTCTCGAAGCCTTGGACCAGGAAGAAGATTCGGTTACTCAACTGCAGTCCAATATCCGCGGCGTTCTATGCCGGCAGCAGAACAACATCTTGCTTGATGAACTTGAAGAAACCGACGAAGAAGTTTCCGCCTTACAGTCTCTCGCGAGGGCTATGCTTCTTCGAGACAACGTCGCCAGGGTCCTAGACGAGCTTGAGGAAAACGAAGAATCCGTCGGAGAGATTCAGTCCGCTGCCAAGGCCTTCATAGTTCGGGCAAAATTCGAGGAGAAGAAGCGGCATTACGACGAAAACATGCAAAAGGTGGTGAAAATTCAGAGCTTCGTTCGTGCGAAGCTTCAGGGTGAGGCTTACAAGAGCCTTACCTCTGGCAAAAACCCGCCGGTCAACGCTGTCAAGAACTTCGTGCATCTCCTCAACGACAGTGATTTTGACTTTAACGAGGAGGTCGAGTTCGAGCGGATGCGCAAAACGGTGGTCCAACAGGTCCGGCAGAACGAGATGCTGGAACAATACATCGACCAATTGGACATCAAGATTGCTCTTCTCGTGAAGAACAAGATCACCCTCGACGAGGTCGTCAGGCACCAGAGCAACTTTGGTGGACATGCCAGCAACATCCTCGCCAACAGTTCCATGGCCAGTGTCAACCAATTCGATCTTAAGGCGTTGAACAAGGGTTCCAGGAAGAAGCTCGAATCCTACCAGCAGCTCTTTTTCGCCCTCCAGACGCAACCCCAATACCTGGCCAGGCTCTTCAAGCGTCTGCGCGAGCAGGGGACTGCCGAGAAGGAGTGCAAGCGGGTCGAGCACCTTATGATGGGCCTCTTCGGCTACGCGCAGAAGCGACGAGAAGAATACTATCTTTTGAAGCTCATCGGGCGGTCCATCCGGGAGGAAGTCGATGCTTGCAAGACCCTCCAAGACTATCTCCGAGGCAACTTCTTCTGGTCTAGGTTGCTCCACAACTACACGAGATCTCCACGGGACAGGAAATATCTGAGGGATCTGCTCGGGCCTCTGATCAGGGACAATATCATCGAAGACCCTGAGCTCGACCTAGAGAGTGACCCCATGCAGATTTACCGGTCGGCCATCAATAACGAGGAGCTGAGGACCGGTCGGCCCAGCAGCCGCCCACTAGATATCCCCCGTGAGCTCGCCATCAAGGACCCGGAAACGAAGGCACTATTTATCGATCATCTGCGCGACCTCCGGGAGATCTGCGACCAGTTCCTCGCCGCGCTCGAAGATTTGCTTCCGCGCATGCCCTACGGTCTGCGGTTCTTGTGCCGGCAAGCTTTTGAGGCTCTCTGCCAGCGGTTCCAGCGGGAGCCTCAGGATCGACTACTGCAAATCATCACCAACTGGCTGTGGAAGTTCTACCTCCAGCCGGCCGTGACCACACCTGAGAACGTCGGCGTGATGGACAAACAGCTGAGCCCGCTCCAAAAGCGCAACCTGGGGGAAGTCGCCAAAGTCCTCGGCCAGATCACATCCGGCAGGCAATTTGGGGGTGACAACATCTACCTTCAACCTCTCAATGCTTTCGTCGCAGACGCCATTGAACGCCTGGCCGAGCTGACACAGAACCTCATCACTGTGCCCGACGCCGAAAGCACTTTCGACATCGACGAGTTCAACGACCTGTATGCCAAGAACAAACCCACTTTGTACATCAAGTTGACCGACATCTTTGCCGTCCACAACCTCATCGCCGCTGAGCTACAGCATTTGAGCCCTAGTAGGGATGACATGCTACGCGAAATCATGCAGGATCTCGGTAGCGCAAAGCACAACGAGAGCGAGATGACTGCGGCAGGTTCGGCAGATATCCAGATGTTCTTGACCCCCAAGCTACACGATGTCGAAGACCCAGATGCCAACATCAAGACACTCTTCATGGAGACGAAGCGATGCATTCTGTACATTATTCGTGTGCAGACTGGCGCAAACCTCCTGGAGATCATGGTCAAGCCCATCTCGGCCGAGGATGATCACAAGTGGGCGATGCTGCTACGCGATGACTTCTCTGGTGGCTCGAACACGCGGGGCGCTTACTCGGACGCTAACATGGTCGATGTGACCCGTATGTCCTACTACGACCTAAAGAGGATAGCCCTGGAGAACATCTTGCGGCTCGAGCAGATGGGCCGCATCTCGCGCCACAATCACTACCAGGATGTGCTCAACGCCATCGCCGTCGATATCCGAACCAAGAGCCGGCGTAGGGTGCAGCGACAGCGGGAACTCGAGGGCGTCCGCCTGACGCTAGGCAACCTACACGACAAGGCCAAGTATCTCGAGCAGCAGCGAAGGAGCTACGACGACTACATCGAGCAGGCGATGGCCACGCTCCAAAACAAGAAAGGGTAAGCAGTCCAAAATACAGGTATCACTCTAGCAAAAAAGAACACGAACAGCTAACCTCTCCCCACTCCAGCAAAAAACGCTTCCTCCTCCCCTTCACGAAACAGTACAACCACCAACGCGAGCTCGAGCGGTCGGGCCGCGTGCCCAAGTTCGGCTCGTACAAGTACAGCGCGCGGGCGCTGTCGGACAAAGGCGTCGTCGTGTCGTGGCAGGGCATCCCCGAGCGCGACTGGGGCCAGATCAACCTGACCATCTCGTGCGACGAGGTCGGCGTCTTCAGCATCGAGGGCAGCCGCGGCCACATCCAGATGCCCGGCGCCAGCGCGCTCGTGCCCATCGAGGACCTGCTCCAGGCCCAGTTCGAGGCCCACCAGTTTATGAACCTGTTCGAGGGCGGCCTGAAGCTGAATGTCAACCTGCTGTTGCACTTGCTGTATAAGAAGTTCTATCGGACGCAGTAAGCGGGCCGAGGGGGGGTTTGGGGGGTTTGTTCTAGCGGGGACAGAAAGAGGAGGAGGAGGCAATTCTTTCGTGTTGTCGGGGTTAGATAGATTTTCTCTTTTCTTCTTCGTTTTGAGTTCTTCTCTGATGGATGGATGGCAAGTCTGTCTGCTGAGGGAGGGTTTGGGGCGGTGGATTTCTTTCGCTTCTTGGTTTGTTTTGTGGCAGATCAAGAGAAATAGTAACAAGAGCGAGGCGCGAGGGTATGGTAGGGGCTTGGGTCTGTTTTTGCTGTGCGAGGTTGGCGGGTCTGTTGGCGGGTGGAGGAATGGGCGGGGATGAGAGATGATGGGTGGATGATGGAGGACAGGTGATGGGTGGGTGGGAGGCGGCAACTGGGTTGGGAGGTATGGGTGGGTGGATGGCAGGATGGGTGGACGGACTGTTTGTGTGTTTGGGAGTGAGAAGGAAGGGTGGTGCGTCGGATATTCACAGTGTTATTTAGCCATGGGAACGAGTGAATGATACCTTTTAGTTTCTATTCGTAATACTGGGCGTTACGAGATCAAGGTCCCTTGCGAATGTGTTTCCACGTCGTGTGTTAGTTATTGAGCCCCTTTTCCCCCGAGATAACTCGCTACATTGGCTCTCCTTCATTAGCCTGGTGGCTTCAAACCAAAGCCAGGACTCGTTCCAGAACTACTAGTGTCTTGATATTGCAGCTATAGAAGACAGGCAGTTTCGTTTTTATACTTTTATTACCATCCTTCAAATCGTAAATGACCTATACAGCTAAGTTTTCCCAACCCAACGCCTAGCCCGAACCTTTACTCCGCTCATGCAAAGATACACCCATAATTACCGCCACATCAACACACATCCCCTCTCATGTGGCTCGTCAAACGTCACGACAGTCATCATGCCTCATACCACCCCCCTCGTCACATCCACATCCACAACCCCATCCCCGACTCATCTCGACACATTACCCACCGTTCCATACCCTCTCCCTCTCCCGCTGACCCTCTTCTTCACCACCCCCTCCCCCTCCGAATCCGACACCGCAATATCCCCATCCTCATCCTCATCCTCTTCAGTATCGGAAATCATTCCCCTCCCCCTCCCCCTCAACAAACTCTCCCGCTCCCTTCCTCTCCCTTCATCATCATCCTCCTCATCATCTTCCTCCGCACCAGCACCCAAACTCCTTGTCGGCCCATCCCCATCCACAATAAACCACGGCGGTATCGCGCCCACCATCGCAATGGCAGCGAGCATCCACCACGGCGCAATGGCATACCCTTCCTTGACACCCCAGCTGAAGACGGCGCCGGCGGCAGCGGGGCCGATGGCGCGGCCGAGGCCGCTGAAGGTGGTGGCGAAGCCGTTGAGGGTGCCGAGGATGCGGAGCGACGAGGCGCTGTTGGTGAGCAGGATGGTGGTGCAGGGGAAGCCGATGATGACGACGAAGCCCTTGGCCAGCATGATGGTGAGGAAGACGACGTAGCGGGTGGTGGTGTCCTGGATGAGGGCGGTGTAGGGGGTGAGGAGGTAGATTAGGGGGAAGACCAGGGCTGGTGGGTGTGTTAGTTGACGGTGATCTTTTTTTTGGATAGGGAAGGAAGGGGGGGGTTGGGGAACATACTCGCTGTCCGGTAGCAGTTTAGCACGCCGAAGCGGGCGCACAGGGTCGGGAAGAGGAGGAACTGCACGACACCGCAGGCGATGCCGTAGACGGTGTAGATGGTGCCAATCTTGTCGGAGCTGAGACCGAAGCCGCCGTTGAACTTGAAAGGGAGGTGGGTGTTGGTCTCGTCGGGGATCACGCGCGGATAGTTGAGGAAGACTGGGAGCACCTGATCGTAGGCGACGGCGTGGAGAGCCAAGAAGGTGTACGACAGGAGGTTAATGCTCGTCTGGGCGGTGAAGATCTCCCGGTTGGAGACGGGCTCATCCTTGACGGCGCTTTGTTCGGAGCCGGACATGACCGACTCGGCTAGCAGGGGCGCTGATGCCTCGTCGTCGACAAAGGACAACCTTCTCCTCTTAGCCTTCGTTTTTGGCGGCTTGAAAGAACGGGTTAGTTTCTCGCCCAAGACTAGGCCCCAGTCGCGCTTGTGGCGTTTACTATGGTGTGTTTCCTAGATGATGTCAGCTTTGTTTACATAGCCCCTGACTTTCTAGACTGACCTTGAGGAACATCAAGCCGGTCATGAAGGAGATAAAGAACACGAAGCAGGCCATCAGGTTCGGCAAAACGAAAGGATAGCGCTTGAAGTACTCTATGTTACCAAAGAGGGCGGGGTACTGCTCGGCAGGGCGGGCGAAGAAGCCGCCAAAGGCAGGGCCAAAGACGGAACCAATACTCCACACGAGAGGCATAAGGGAGAATGCTTTGGGCTGGAGTGACTTTTCTGGCACCATCTCTGCTACCATGGTTCTAATAATACCAACTGGGGCGTGTCAGTGGGGGTCGTCCGCAAGAGTAAGGTCGATTAGAGATAAACATACCATTGCCATTACCGCCTCCCATGATGGCACGGATGGTGATGGCCATTGGGAGGCTGGTCGACATGCCCCAAATCAGAAAGCACACCATAGTACTAGCAAGACCGGAGAGAATGATGGGCTTGCGGCCGAACTTATCGGAGGCTCTCCCCCAAGCGACAGCAGTACAACTCTGAGCTACGGAGAAGATAGCTCCCGTGAAGCCCGCCCATCTCGCAACATCGTTCTTTTCGACGCCAAAGCTGGCTATCATCTCTGGGAGATAGGGGAAGACGGAAGTCAAGGCCAGGGGTTCGGCAAACCTAGCAACGGCTGTATTGAATCGAGGTTAGCTGTGGTGACACGAAATGGGGACGGTACCCGGGGCCAAAGTGGATGTTCTTGGCATATTAGGCCATAAATAAAGTGAAAGCATCGCCGAGCTCCGCGTCCGAGATTAGTGGTGTCGTTTATTGGCCGGGATAGGTGGGCGGGCGTGGCGATGTCTTGACAACGGGAACGAGTAGAACAACAAAATTCACATTGAGACGAATAGGTATATGGGCTTACCTAGGATTGCCAGCTGCTGGGCTGGCAGCTTCGGCCCCTTTTTCGGTTGATTGGTCATGATGATGCACGCATGGACCAAGACAGGAGTGTGTTACAGGGTGTGTCTCTCTCTCGATGTTGTTTCGTCAGTCAGTCTCGAATGGATCTGAGAAATCTGAGACTGGCGCGCCTTAGGGTTGGTTACAGAACGATGACTCGTGTCTCAGCAAAACAAAACAAACTTTATTTTGAGTACCTATCCGTAGAGTACGGGGTACAGCCAACTAAAAGCAGTGATGGCGATAAAATGGAGAGAGTGTGGCAAGAAGAGTCTGTCGGAAATAGCGGAGCAAAGGGTTACTTTGTATGGGAAAAACACAGTCATGGGCGCGGCAAAGTCTGACCGAAAGGCTGACAAAAACAAAGGTCGAGGCCATCATCCATGCTGTGCAGCAAAATCATGGAAGGCGCCACCGACGCTCGGAAACTTGATTGGCTTACCTTCGGCATAGTGGGGCAGCTGTCGGATACGGGGCCCGGTCGATAGCTAGGCCGAGATCAGAAGTCGGCAGCCAAGTCGGAGCGGCTTCGGACGCGAAGGTTCGGCAATGGCCCGGGGATGTGAGAGCCAAGAGAAGTCGGGCTTTCTTCTTTGGGTTCCCGGATGGGCGAGTCATCCTCCACATCGAATAGGTTGACGGCTACTATACTGTACTACAGGATATAATATTAGAGGCCTCTAATATCAACAGCCTGCCAATAGAAGTGGTCGGCTACCTAACACAATTGGAAAGACCATTGGGTCAACAGCAGGAAGCGGCGCAAAAAGAGTTTCAAGGCCGTGTTGGGCCTGGTCCGGCTGCGGAGCGCCCAGCCAAGGTTGCCACCCTCAAACAAGCCCCACTTGCCCTTTCGGTATTGAGTTGACAACTTGGGGAGGGGAAAGGCGCGATCCTACCGGCTACCTACTTGACAGGCGGTGCAGACGAGGAGTCAGAGGATACTACCATGCATGTCCTGTGCAACCAGTCTGGAACCCCGGGGATGGCGGGATATGGTATTCTGTCGTGGGATTTGGGGCAGTTCATGCAGCTCGGCGGCATGGTCGGTTAGCCGCGGGAAGTACCCCAGGTTCCCCGGCTGTACGGTCATAGGTCAAATGTCCTGGTGTTCTCGTTAGCGCCTGCGGTGAGATTTCTCGATGCCGAGAGCTGCAGGAGGACTGAAGTCGTAATGATCGGGCGTGTTTGGGGTTGAGGAAAGATGTACAAATCAGGTCGTGGGAGAATTACAGATTACTGATTTTGGTACTTCCGAATGGATGGACCTGAGGCACTGATCCCTAAGCCCGAAACGGCAACTGTTCAATCAACTCCCAGGCCACACGGCAGCTCCCGCAGTTGCGTCAGCACCACCCCACTACCAAACTGACTACTCGGCCACCGCAACACACTCCCAACCACCACCGACCTGCAACCAAGAACACCTCGTCCGACCACACTCCCAACCACCGCCGTAACCCCAGAAAGAACTGAACGAGTAAAAAAAAGAGCATGCTTAGTTCACCAATTTCGAAAAGCAATTGATGTGAGATTGCGAAGCTGAGATTGGCGTGTGTCTCGTTGTGAGTGGCGCAATCCATTCGGTAGGTAAGGTACCTAGTTAATTCGTTCACTTGCTTGTTTGAAATCATCAACACAACACAACACTTCATTTCCTGGTCTGAAATCTGCATTATTGTGTAGTTTGAGGGTGATGATAAAGGTCATGATTCGGCTGACAGTAACAAGTCAGAGCTGTAACAGCCAGCCATGTCTTCAGAGTACACGCCGCTCCTCACCAAGGTCCGGGTAGCCCAGCCTCGGCCCCGGTACCCCCATGCCGTGTTGCGCCGCTTCTGCACCGTCGCTCTGGCATCCGTCTTGATATGGTTCTTCATCGCCGTGGCCGCGTCCATGACGTTTCTGGACGACGACCCCCACGACGACCCTAGTGACGGGTGGTCATGGCCCGGCTGCGGCAAGCGGAAGGTGGACTACGATCAGCTGCAGCGCATCCTCCTTGATACCCCTACCAGCAAACACGCCGAGGAATGGAGCAGGTACTACACTTCCGGGCCTCATATCGCCGGTAAGAACTACTCCCAGGCGCTCTGGACCAAGAACAAGTGGGAAGAGTTCGGCATCAAGGCCGACATCGTGTCTTACGACGTGTACCTCAACTACCCGGTCGACCATCGCCTGGCTCTCCTAGAGAAGAAGAAGCACGACGACGACACTTCGGCTTGGAAGGTGTCATACGAGGCCTCCCTTACCGAGGACGTTATCGAGGATGATCCGACAAGCAGTCTGCCCGACCGGATTCCCACCTTCCATGGCTACTCTGCCTCCGGCAACGTCACCGGGTCCGTCGTTTATGTCAACTACGGCACTTACCAGGACTTTGCGGACTTGGTGAAGGCCAATGTCACGCTCAAGGACAAAGTGGCTATCGCCCGCTATGGCGGTATATTCAGGGGTCTGAAGGTCAAACGCGCCCAAGAACTCGGCATGGTCGGCGTCGTCCTATATACTGACCCCGGCGACGACGGAGACGTTACCGAGGAGAAGGGAGAGAAAGTCTACCCTGACGGGCCCGCTCGCCAGCCCAGCAGCGTGCAACGGGGGAGCACCCAATTTCTCAGCTTTGCCCCAGGCGACCCGTAAACCTCGCTCCACTCCTCCCTGGTGGCTAGGGGCCGTTTACTGACGACGCCAATAGGACAACCCCGGGATACCCCTCTAAGCCGGACGCCCCCCGCCAACCGGTGGACACGGCCATTCCGAGCATCCCCTCTATCCCCATCTCGTACAAAGACGCGCTTCCCATTCTAAAGGCCCTCAACGGCCACGGCCCAAAGGCCGATGACTTCAACCAGTACTGGACCCGTAACATGGGGCTGGGGTACAAGGGCGTGCATTATAACATCGGGCCCACCCCCGACCATGTCGTGGTCAACCTATACAACAAGCAGGACTATGTCACGACCCCTCTGTGGAATGTCATCGGCGTCATCAACGGCACCATTCCGGACGAAGTCATTAGTAGGTAACCCTCCGCTATCTACAACTGATGCAGCATGCTAACCCCACCGTTCCCAGTCGTTGGCAACCATCGCGATGCTTGGATCGCTGGAGGAGCTGGTGACCCCAACAGCGGGTCTGCCGTCATGAACGAGATGATACGCTCCTTCGGGGAAGCGCTTCGTCAAGGCTGGAAACCTCTCCGTACCATTGTCTTCGGAAGTTGGGACGGCGAGGAGTACGGACTCATTGGATCCACCGAATGGGTCGAGGAGTACCTGCCCTGGCTCAACCACGCGAACGTAGCCTACATTGTATGCCCTACCCCATGCCACTAACCATCCCCCGTCCCCGCTGCCTTGCTAACCGCAGCAGAACATCGACGCCGGGGTCCGGGGCACCGAGCTGCGGACAGCAGCAGCTCCCTTGCTTGATCACATCATCCACGCTGCCACCGCCGCGGTCCCGTCCCCGAACCAGACCATCCCAGGCCAGACCGTCCACGACCTATGGGACAAGCGCATCAAGACCATGGGCAGCGGCAGCGATTTCACCGCCTTCCAGGACTTTGCCGGCGTCCCATCCATCGACATCGGTTTCAACTCGGGCCCCGGCGCAGCCGTGTACCACTACCACAGCAACTACGACAGCTTCCACTGGATGGAGAAGTACGGCGACCCGGGCTTCGTCTACCACCGCACCATGGCGCAGGTCCTCGGCCTAATCACCGCCCAGCTGGCCGACCTCCCAATCATCTCCTTCCGCGCCGCCGACTACGCCCGCGCTCTTGACCGCTACGTGAAGCAGGTCGAGGACAAGCTCGACGCCGCCCTCGCGCCCCCATCCGCATCCACGATCGAAGCATCCTCCCTGATCGACGACGACACCTATTTCGAGCTTCGTGGCAGCACCCGCAACACCTCTACCGCCACCCTCTCCTCAGCCTCAGCCTCCTCAGCCTCCGCCGAAACCTTCAAGACCACCCTGCGCCGCCTGCACCACGCCGTCGACAAGCTGGCCGTGCCCGCCGCGCAGCTCGACAAGCGCGCCGACGAGCTGGCCGAGGAACTGAAGCGCGACATCCCCTGGTGGAAGTGGCCCGCCAAGCTGCGTCTGGGGTGGCAGGTCCGCAAGGTCAACACCAAGTACAAGTTCATGGAGCGCGCGTTCCTGTTCGAGGAGGGCCTGGATGGCAGGCCGTGGTTCAAGCATGTGGTTTTTGCGCCCGGGTTGTGGACTGGTTATGCTGGTGGTAAGTGCTCCTCCCTTTAACTGCCTTGTTTTGTTGTTGTTTGCTTGCTTCTTGGGGGGTTTGGTGCTGACGGGGGTTGGTGGTGATAGCTGTGTTCCCGGGGTTGGTGGAGAGTATTGATGATGAGGATTGGGTGAATGCGGAGAGGTGGGTGGATATCATTGAGAGTCGGTTGAAGAATGCTGCGCGGCGGTTGTAAGCAGTGCAGTCACTTGGAGATTTCAAGAGTCGGGTAGGGGTCTGAGGGGTGTCACTTTGTTTGGGGTAGAGGGTTAGATTGCTGGAAATGTTGCCCTGGGTATGTACCAGACAACTTATGAGCTGTACATACATGAACGAATATTGTTGATGAATCACCGAGGTGTTGTTTGTTTCCATTCCCCCCTTTTTTTACTTGACTATACAACAATGGGGCATCCAAGATGAAGCGACCTCGTTATAGAGGTACACATATTCTCATTTCTTGCGTACAACCCTCAAAACACCTAGCTAACCATCGCTGCTTGATTAAACACCCCGGGTATCCATCCCTCGCAAAATCACAAAACCGCAATTAAACAAACATCCCTATTCAACCCAACCGAACCCCATACACCTACCCACCCCGTGACTACAATCACCCCGCGCATCCAGTTCACCACGAAACCAACCCCCCCCCACCCTCCCCTCACCCTCAGTATTACCATTCACCCCCCCATCATTACCATCACCACCCCCATTCACCACCCCCCATTCACCACCCCCCATTCACCACCCCCCATTCACCACCCCCCATTCACCACCACCATCACCACTACCCCCTATCCACGCCCAACCTGACTCCCAACCTGACTCCCAACCTCACTCCCCCCCAACTCCCCCGTCGGCGGCACCAAATTCTCCACCCCCAGTTCTCCCGCAAGCAGGCCCCCAGTCTGCTGCGACGGTGGGGCTTGATGCGGCTGGCCCGCTGGCGGAGAAGAGGGTTTGTTCTCCTCCGTTGGCTGGGGCGTTTGCTGCGACTGCTGGGGCTGCTGTGGCTGCTGTTGGTGTTGTTGGTGCTGAGGCTGTTGGTGTTGAGGCTGTTGGTGTTGAGGCTGCTGGTGTGGCTGGGGCTGGGACTGTTGTTGCTGCTGTTGCTGCTGGGGATACGGGGGCGGGTAATGCTGCTGCTGCTGCTGTTGCGGTGGCATCTGCATCTGCATCGGCATCGGCATCGGCATCGGCTGGCCCTGCTGCATGTGGTGCATGTTTGCCGGCACGGCGGCGTAGCCCGGGGCCGGCATCTGCATCTGCGGGTAGAACTGCGGCTGGCCCTGGAGGTGGGCGGGCACGGGCTGCTGCGGGTATGGCAGCTGCTGGTGTTGCAGGGGTATCTGCTGCCCGTACACGGGGTTGCCCGCCTTGTCGATGCCCAAGAAGACGACGGGGCCGCCCGCGTTGGGCTGGTGCGGTCCTGGGGGCATGCAGTGCAGGCCGGCGGCGCGGTGCCGGTGCAGGCAGACGGAGTGGATTGCGAGGGAGATTATGTAGAGGAGGCTGGTGGGGGGTTGGTTAGTTCCAGTCTTGGGGAGGGGGGGGGGACGGAAACGTACAACTCGATACCGCCCATCGCAGCGGCACCCACCTGCGTCCCGAGCCAGGTGGCCTCGGCCCCAGAGAGTGCATCGAGGTATGTTACCCAGGGCGTGACGCGGGACGCTAGCAGGGCGAAGGAGCAGAGCCACATGAGGAGGAGGAAGATGTCGAGGCCGAGGATGGCCCAGTAGTTATAGGCGGCGGGTGCGCCGAGTTCGGCGACCAAGTGGTAGATGGAGGATAACATGGTCATCAGGGCCTGGGTAGTGGTGGTGAGTTTTCATGGTGTGGGCTGGGTGCATGAACGTTTGATACTTACCACTGTCAAGATGAATTGGTTCCCGTCAAACGAGAGATAGGAGATGGCTTGGGCTATTAGTCGAGTCTCTGTTAAGTGAAGTCCGTAGACAACGTACCGTATGCTGCCAGACCGAGGATTATCAGGGCTAGGACGAGCTGCACAATCCTGATGGCAATGAAGCCCCTGGGGTAGATGGGGATATGCTCCCGCCCTAGGGGTCTGGTTGGAGATGGGGTGTTGTCCATGATCGCCGGTGCACTGTGGCTTCTGAGACAAAGAATGGCCTTCAAAACCACCGAGGTGAGGTGAAGAGGAAGAAAGAAGCGAAGGACACGGAAAACAACCAGGATCACGGTCGCCTAACGGTGAAGGAGAAGAAGCGCCAGAGCCCAAGCCTTGCGCTACCATGGGCCCTGGCAACCTTTTCAACAATGCCAGTCCATGTCATCAAACACGGCATGATCCCGCTGCACCTGCGTTACCTCTGGGCGCGCGGGGGCCAAGCCACTCACTCAGTCTTCTACGCAGTAAGATTAGCGCGGTTTGGGGCACCTGCCGAGCTGCATGGTGCCTTGACTTGGGCTAGGGGGGAAGAAGTGCGGCTGAAAAATGCCGGGTTTCGATTGGAAGAGAGACCATGGGATGAGGGGAAACTGGCTGTGCCTCGAAGTGCTATTGATTCCAGACCATCATTTATTGATGGAACGTCCTTCGGATCAGTGCGGCTCGAAGGTGCTTGCTGGGACGGGTGCGTCGAGCGATCGTTTGTTTGTTGGAGCTGTTTCGAGGCTTCGATGCCTGACCTTCGTAAAACGAAGGGAGCTCCCATATCACCCAAACCACCAGGACAAGGGAGGGGGAATGCAGCAGGAAAACAACTGGGATATAAACCATTTCGAGTTAATTCATCAATACGAAGTACTCGGCCTCCTCTGCCCTATATGCCAAGGCGAAAACATTAACAAACATGTGGTGAAGTGTCGACCACATCCATCCATCCACCCATATAGATTTATCGGGCCCTTTCGTCACTATCATTGCCTCCTGCGTCATCTGCGAGCCCGATTTGTACATAATCAAGATGCAAAGGGCTCGCTCGCTCTGCCTATCCCCTTTATATATAACACCGCCACCCGATACTCGCCCGAAGAAGTCATGTAAGCAAAGTATGGCAACCCTCTCCGAATGAAAACGCCGCTGGGATGAATCTCGAAGATAAAACCGGGGCAATGGGTAACAAATGGTGATAAAAAGTGAAAGATGGACAGCAAGAACCATTGAGAAACGAAGAGAACAAAACCAGTGGCCATGATGGGTATCCGAACAAAGCCTAAGCAAAGAAAAATTGCAATTCCCCCCTCCGACACCAGCCAACCCACCTGGTTGGTGTCTGCAACTCAAGTATCAAAAACCGGAAGAGTCAACCTCTTATGCAAAGTCATCAGCGCCGCCATCGAAGACGAGGCGGTCGACGTTTTGCACGAGCTCCTTGGTCTCGCGCGCAATCTCAAAGGCGATGGGCGGCAGGGTCTGCGTCCACATGTGCCACTCGCGGCTCGTGCTGTCGCTGCCGCTGGCTGCAAGATCGAGCCCGCGGCTGCCGGCCTCCATGAGACGCTCGCGGCACGCCACCAACCGCTTGACCAGCTCGGGGCCGTCGGGACCGGGCCCGGCCGCCGCCTGCGTCTCCGCCGTCACCTGCCCGACCACGTCCGTGATGACGCTGATCTCCTCCGTGACCTGGTTGATATCGGCGTCGTCGCGGACCATCTGGACGAGGTTCTGGATCGTCTGGACGAGGACGGCTGTTTGGTCTTCGAGGTAGATCTTGAGATCCTCGACCCGTCTGTCGGGCTGCCGGGCGTTGTTGTAGAGGCCGTTCCCGTTCCCATTGGCGTTGGGGGCGATGGGTAGGGCCTTTTCTAGCCCCCCGTATCCGCTTTGGCTACCGTTGGCGGCGGCCCCGTTGCGGCCCATTGGGCCCTTTGCGAACGACTCGCGCGGCGAGCTGACTGGGCTGTAGGCGGATGAGTCGGCGCTCGCCCGGCTCCTGGGGCCGAGACCCTGGAACGGCGGGGGCGGCGGCAGCGAGGCTTGGACCGACGTGATGCTTGATACCTTGCTCTGCCCGTTGCTTTGCGGGGAGAAGAAACCAGTCGAGTCCACAGGGGTCACCGTTCCGTCGTCGTCTTCTTCCAACTCATCTCCCGGAGTGGTACGAATCTTGGCTGCGCGAAGCAGCTCAACGACGGCCGCGACTAGGTGGGATGCCGCTGCATCAAGCACCGATACCGGGGAGATGCCAGCCGAGCTCGCGAAATTCTTGGAGGCTGTGATCATGTTGTTGGCCGTAGACGACACCCGGGATTTGGGCTTTTGATACTGCATGGCCGCCTCTCCGGGTTGCGCCGAGGTGTCGATGTCCTTGGTGATTCGCCGAACACTGACCACAACCGCCTTCATGGCGTCGATCACGCGTTCCGGGTCCGCCCGAGCTTGCCGGAGAAGATCGTCGATGGCGAGCTGGAATCTCGTGACGTGGATATCCTTAACTAACCCGGCGTCGTCCACAAAACCCTTCTCGCGGACGTATTTGGACGCGTCCTGGTCGGCCGTGAGTCCAGCAGAGGAGCCGCGCATGTCGCGCAGCTGCGTTTTGGTGCGCGCATAGCGGTTCTGCCACTCTCGTACCTCATTCTCGAGCGACTCTATCGTCTTCTCCATCTCGGATTGCCTGTCCCAGGTGGCGCCACTCTGCTGGGAGATGGTCCTCATCTCTCGGAGGAACTCCTGCGCCTCCCGCCGCACTTCCTCAGTCACCTGTTCCTGCTCTTCTAGCGCCATGCGCAGCGCTTTGTTTTCTCGCTCCAGCTCGGCGTCGGCCGTTCCACTTGGTACCGAACTGCTGGCGTTTTTGGCCTGATCGAGCTCGTCCCTCAGCTCCTGGGTTTCGCTCGCATGCTCACCCCGGAGCCTATCGATCTCCCGCTGCAGGGAGTCGTTCAGCTCCTGTGCTTCGGCGAGCCTGTCCTCTAGATTCGTGCGGGTACTATCCCACTCATTTTTTGCCGAGTCCGCCGCTGCCGCTTTCGAGCGCTCGCCATCCAACGCGCCGTTTAGTTCATCATCCTTTCGCTTCAATGTGTCCTCCATGCCGTCAAGCTTCTCCCGCAGGTCTCTGATCTGCTGCTCGTATTCTTCGACGAGCTTCTTGTCGGACTGCATATTCTAGGTTAGGGATATAGGCTCAGCGGCACGAGAAGGGAAAAACAAACCTCGGATGGCCCTACGCTGCGCTGAAACCCATATGGTGCGTTGGGGTCTGGACTCGTGGGGCTGATAGCATCATCGTCCTCCTCTACCATCGTGCTCTTGTTGGGAACGATTGTATTGCTCTGGAACTGTTTCGGCATCGGTCTCCCGTAGTCGCCATTCGGTACGCCCGGTGATGGTGGAATCGGGAAGCCGGCCTGCAGAGGCGTCGGCAACCCGCGCCCGCTCCGCACTGAGCTGGCTTCGGAGGGGCGTCTCCGGCTCTGGTTCCTCGGGGGATACCCGTTCATTCCATTCACAGGTGTTTGCGAGCGGCTCTGCGGTCCTCCACGGACCGACATCGGGCTTCCTACGCGAGGAACATCCGGGCCGGCGAATCGCGGGAACCTCCGCTCCAGCTCGCAAAAGACGTCGGTGGCCAGGTCACGGAACCGCGGGGGACCAAGGGAGGAGAGCTTTTGACGTGCTTGGTTTCGTTTGGGGTGGAAATTTTCCTCGGGCAAGAGGTAATCGGGAGGCCCAGAGCCGGGTGGAGCACCTGGGGGGACTCGACTTGCGAGTTCGCGCCGCTTCAGCTCGTCGTAGACGTCAGTGCTGAGTTCGAGGAACTGGACGCTAGTAAGGCGTTGCAGCTTGTCGCGAGCCTTGTTCGGTGGGGGTTTCGGGTTGCCATCGCGTGATGTTGCCGAGAGGAAGCGCTTGAGAGAGATGTAATGCTCCGACAGCATCAACTCCTGGTTTTCCGATTGACTCTGGCTTCTCCCGCTCTCGCTCCTTGCGTATAGGTTGGTCCCGGCGCTCGATCGGCCGACGGAAGCGGGCGGCGACGGGCCGCCGACGCTCCTCGGCCCTGGCGGGAAATTGTTCATCGGCTTGACTGGTCCGGCGGAGTCGGGCGGTGTGCTGAGTTGACCTCGATTATTTTGGTATGGAAGCCCGTCTTTATCGTTGACTGGATATGACCATTCGCTACCGCCTACAGAGACAGGTGACAGTGGTGCATTGCGGCCATTCATGGTATTCGGGTGTTGTTCGTCGGGGGCGTTGGCCGTCGCAAGCGGGCGCCAGAGAGAGTAACCAGCGGGTACACACGATTTCGTGGCGCTGAAGGGCGGAAATTGGCGTTGCTGAGTGGCGGCTAGGGCGCACGCAACGACAGAGAATTATTACAAAGGAATAAACCGGACGACAAGGCGGCGGGGAACGGTGGTCGAAAGTTGTCGCAGCATGAAACGCCTCGACTCTGGCCAACGAAGGGTCGTCAGGAGCGGCGAGCGTGCAGGCCTGCTAGAAAGAAGGCTGAAGTGGCACGGCCCGACCACTCGGAACAGCACACAAAGATATACAAGATCTGGCCCGATATGAGGCGGCCCGGTCTGTTGGACCTGCTATTGTATGTTGGGGATCGTGTGCTCGTAGCTGGGGGCACAGGGATGGCCGTCGTGAAAGGCCGTTTCGTCGTCTGGTCTCGTCTAGTGCCGTTTCGTCCTTACTCGGCTGCCACGAAGCTGCAAATGAGTGGCGGAAAAGAAGAAAAGAATGGAAGTTGAGCACGAGTCAGAAGAGCAAAGCAAGAGCAAAAAAAAAAAAAGAGCCGTTTGCGAAGCACAAGCAAACAACGACCGCGTCCTTTTAGGCAGCGTGTAATTACAGATGACCACCGACGAACTCTGTGTGCGGGTCGTGGGAATCACCGAGACGTGGGATTTGGGGGTGCAAAAAGTCACGAAAAGGGCAATGAATCGCCCAAGTCGCCCCTGATGATGACCCCAGCAAGCCGCAGCCGGGTGGCGATTGGTTTGACAGTGGGCTGCTGGGGATTGGTGCTGGGGGTGCAATTTCCTTGTCAAGGTAGTCGCGCGCTACGGCAGGAACAGCTCGGCGAAAGGAGGCGGGAAGACGGAGACAGGGATGGGCGGGGGATCGACCCTGCAAGTCAAGCCGACCGATGTTGTCGGTCGGCTCGGCTTTTCGCATCGACACAAAGCATGCCGAGCTGAGTTGAGACTGTCTTTGGCCGCCCTAGGAAAGGGAATCCGGGGGATCCTCGATGAAGAACAAAGGGATGTTTTGTATTTGGGGACAATCTTGGCCGAGTTCCGTGAAACACGCCTTCCCCGAGACACTCACTGGCTCCCTCCCTCGATAACTACCCGAAGCCTCTTTCTTCTTTGGGCCTTCTTTCAACTCTCTTTTCCCGTCTATGGCCGACATCTTTGACCACCTAGGTAAGGTACCTACCTACTACAGACCTGCCTTAGTTAGGTACGACCTAGGTAGTTGCTGTGTAGGCGGGTTACCATCTCCATGGCAACACATACCTGAGCTCCCTCCCTACCTTGTGATTCGGTAACTCCGCGTGAAAGAAAGGAGAGGTAGGTTGTGAGTTATCCAACAACACAGTTCGGCAATGCAGTCAGCCAATCTCTAGCTGGCGATACCGTTGATTCGGCTCTCTCCGTCACACAAGGGCGACGCAGGAACAAGAGCTGTCAAGTCCTGCCCGCATTGGCTCCCGGACCCTTCTCCGCATATCCCCCAGACTTCGGTGTTTGATAGCCCGGGTGACGGGTAAAGTCACGACTTCCCGCTGTTGCCACTATGCTTCCACAGGTCAAGCTTTTGCAGGATTGAAACCAAGTAGTCTGTCATTTTGTTTCGTTGCGAGTCAGCGAGGAACCTCTCCGGGAGAGGAAGGCCTCCCATGCCACCCCTGTCGCTCTCAGAGCAGCAAACCGGGGCCTCCGAGACTCCACACAGAGATGCTGGGAGGCTGGATATTACAAGTAATTAGCTGGCACAAGGCTGGGAGCGAAGTGATCATCACCGAAAGTTCCCTTTTCCTGTGGTGATAGCGGGGCGGCGGCCCCGTGACTGCTTGTCATATTCGTAACTATCGTAGCAAAACTCATGACATGATGATGCCTGGTATCTCTCGAGCCTGTCCTGACGCCCAATTCCGTACTCCCGGCCATCCGACCGCCAAACGCCTCAGTGTATGAAATAAATAAGTAGAGACACTCAAAACCAAGACAAAGTCCACGTAGAAGGCAGACTGGGCCACCTCTCCTGCCACTCGCCCAAAACCTCGGGCACCCGTTCGTCAAAGCTCGCGCGACTAGCAGCGCCCCCGGCATCGAAAACGGCGGCTCCCACCTTGTCGCGCTCCTCCATCGCGGCCCTGTTCAGAGAATCGGCGAGGTCAACCATGGCGCCACCGCCAATCGAGGCGTCCTGGTGGTTGTCCTTGATATCGATGTTGATGACGTGGACAGGCCGGTTTAGGGGAGAGCCACGGTTGAGGAGGTCATCGACCACAGCGTCCCAACAACGTTCCTCGCAGGTTATGACGATGTCGGGCACGCCAGCCTCCATGCCTATGCTTCCTTGGTCCTTCTCGTGCTTGACCCTCGGCATCCCGACTTGCCAGTCCTGCCACCGCTCGGGACCCCACTTGATCACGCGGTTCCTCCCCAGCATGTTCAGCAGACCGTTCGCCCGGTACAGACGGGGGTCCTTGGCCTCGAGTTCCCGGTAGATGCTATCGTACGAGGTCTCATTGAACTTGTAGACGTTGGGTTGCGTGATAGTGGGCCCTGGCAGCCGCACCAGAGACCCGGTCCCGAACGAGATTACGGGGTAGTTGGCCTGGGCGAGGCGGAGATGCCCTTCCATTGATCTAAGCTATGTCAGCTTGTTGGTGGACGGTGTGTAGCGAATCGCGGGCCTTCTTACCGGTTCTGGTTGCTCGCGCAGACTGTGCAGAACTTCAATTTGAACCCTGACGCATCTTCCTGCTGGCCGTTTGGGGCCGTGGCCGCAGAGCCCGCAGTCCCGTTTGTGGTCTCCATGGTGGAATCGTGAGGAGAAAAGCGGACTCCTACTCGACGGCTCTCGTCTCTTCACCTAAGATTGCACCCGCGCTTACTCTGTGGGCGGGGTTAGCTATGATATCGACGAAGAGGATTCCGTAGATATTTCCGCAACAGGCATGCACGATCAGAAAAAAAGCGTAATTATAAAACTTGTCATCACCGCCTGCGAGGCAGGACTACAGACAGCTCCAATAAGGCTCATCACAAACAAAGAGGGGTCGGGACAATCGGGGGTAGTGTGTTCGCTTACCTGCGGGGGAAGGCACCAGAGCGGCAATGCTATGTTCTCATCATGGGTAATGATAATGAACGCATGCACGATGTGTGGCCCAAACGCGATATGGACTGACGGAAATTGGAGAAGCTTCGAGATGCACCCGACTTTGGGTTGGTTTGATGGCAGGTCGAAGAAGGCTTGTGAAATGTTTTTCCGCAACTCGGTCCGACCTTGGCAGATGGAACTGGAGGTCACCTTGCCCAATCAGGAAGATACTGCCAGTGTCGACCGCCTCGAGGTTGCAGAACTCCACATGAACCCTCTCTGGGCGTTGCGTTTGCGATCCTTCGGGAAGACGGCAAAGGCGCAAGCTCGAGAGTGTTGACTCGGCCCCCAATGTCCATGGGGCTCAGGGGGATAAAATGGTCTCATATAAAAAACGCCTGCCTAGGTAGCTTGGGCTGAAAACAGGACTCTCGCCATGTCCTCGAGTGTGACCCCTTTTCATCGTCCTCAATTAGCGCATTCAACGGAACCACACAGCAACGATGAGGCCTTCACTCTGGGCAACCGCCGCTCTATTGCTCGCGGCAAGTGAGTGTACCGAAGTCCTCGAAATCGATATCGTCCACCCGCGCAACGCAACATACATAGCCGCTGAGGTCTTCCCCATCGCTTTCAGAATGCAGAACTTCATATGGCTTTCGGATGCGGACCTAGATGGCTTGAGCATTTTTTGGGGCATCATGCCATACGGTAATGATGGCCACACCCCGGGAGGCATTCATTATGATTCGGGAACGATCCGGGCCGCAAATGACAGCAGCATCCTCGTCGCCACCACCAACGTCACTGAATGGATCGGAAGGTCACAGCGCAACGACAGATACATGCTCCAGTGGTCCTTGTCGCACGACTCCTGTGGAAAGAAACGCCGCCTGACTAGAGGGAACTTGATGTTCGATATCGCGACCGAGCAGGAGGCGATAACGTACGAGCCGGGCGAGCTCCACATGGTTATGGATGTCCCCGCGTGCCCCGAATTTGCAGTGGCCATCGAATATGGAATAGATGCGACGGAATCACAATGCCTTTTCGGGAAGGTGGTTGAGAATACGGAAGGCAACCCGTGCCTCAGAGAGCTCAACCGTAATGTATATAGCAGCATTCTGAGCCACGCATCCAGCTTGGCCGCTCCGACTTCGACCACATCGGCGACATCAACGAGCAGCAGCGCCGGGGTTGGGCCGGCACGTACGGTCCAAACGGCGCTGGCGGCGGCTTGCCTTCTCGGTGGTCTGGCCTTGTAAGGAATTAATGCAGCATTGGCCAAAGTGTTGCATGGCAGGAGGGGAGAAGCAGGAGAGGAGGGAGAGGTGATGGTTGATATCAGGAAATGGACCGTGGAATGTGTGCACATATCGTGTGCTATGTACATAGTTATGTGACTACTGTGTACCTCATGTATTATGGATGTACGGGGGTGGGAATAATGTATATACCCGAAGTATGCACATACTCATGGCTCGGCGCCCAAGCTCCAAATCTTGGCCTCGAACACCAAGCTTTGACTTCATTGGACCTCCCACCACAGAACCAGTGTTTCAGATGTCACTAACCCATGCTTGTCTGGCCGCCTGCCCAACTGCGCCCCAACATCGCAGACCCCACAAGCCTTGGTCGAGTGCAACGCTCATGAGCGCAGAAGCAGATTCTGCAGGCCGAGATGTCACTCCTGGCGGAGCAGGGCTTCATTTTGGCAGTTGGCAGCTGTCGAGGGCGTCCATGTTGCAGTCACTCGAGAGAATCTCGCCTCGAGAAACCGGATAGGGACAGTGGGCACCAACGAGGACTTCGCACAGGCATTTGTTCTAAAAATAGTTTGTAAGTTGAAGTTTATTGGTGGTGACAATGGGGGTTGAGTTGGACGGTTGGTGACAGACAGACAGCAAGCAGGTACTTTTGTCTAACCTAGCATGCCGGCGACATCTCCAGAGTGAGGCCATATTTCGTTTCGTCTGATTCCCAAGGGAGGGTGGTGGAAGGCGGATCCAGGGAGTTGTGTCGGAACAAATACAGGTTACTTCCCTGTCGCTCATCACCCATCCCTCTCGCTCGGAGCCGCGCGAGACCTGAACCTCAAGGTACTGTGTAAGGACGCCCGGCCATCTCTCCCTTGTGTCTCGGTTGTCACACAGTCCCCAGTGAGCCAGTGCATTCGCCAATCAGAGATGCATCAAAACACAATGCAGTTGGGATGGTGATGATGCGTCTTTGCGTGTGGACAGCTGGGGGCGAGCCCCAACCTGGCAGCCTGGGCTGAGGGAGGAGACCTGCCCTTCCTGTTATGTACCAAGTAGTCAGTTAGTTAGTTAGTGCCAGGCGCCTCGAGCGTGAGGGCTGGCTGCGAGAAATGGATGGAGAGGTGAGGTGAGGTGGACCTTGCGAAGTTGGCCACCAGTGACCCGGCGGTTCCATGCTGGGCGGGGTCTTGCAGGTCTGCTAGAGCGCGCTTAGCTGCCCGCCCGGCCTTTGCTTGCCAGCCGCCCACCCTTTCGGCCTTTGTGCTCTCTCACAGCGCTCAGCTTCTCCACTCTTCAACCCCTGACCGGGCGGGCAGTTTTCATTCATTGACTTTCTCGTCTTCAACTTCTACTTTTTCCCTACCCGGCTCTCCCGACGACCTCCCTTCCAATTGTGCTCGCTCCGTCCCGGTGGCCGGACGCGCTGGTCCTGAGTGCAAATTACAGCGGCGAACTAGCCCGCCGCTTCAGGGCAAGAGACCGCCGGCCCGTTCTAATAATACAATCCCGACCGCCGGGAACGACACTGGAAATTGTGGAGAGACTGCCCTGCAATTGTTCCTTTCCTCTCCTGGACTGGCGCTGTCTGAGCGCAAAATCGGGCAGTCGGACGAAACACGCACCCACGCATCCACGTTTCCTGGCAACACAGACGGGCACAAGAGCGATCGATTTTTACCAAGCACCACCTGTCAAACTTATTAGGTCCCCACCGCAACTGTGCGACATCGATACCGACCGGTCTTGGAACGAGCTCGAACAAGGCCCTGGCGCCGAAAAAAGAAGGGACTGCACGGTTTGACAAGCCCAACAAGACGAGGGCCCCTCGAGTTTCCATTCCCCCCTTGTTCCCTCCCAACCCTCGGTTCCCGACTTGCAGTGGGTGGCAGCGCCGGCGTTGCTGGGGGTCCCACCGACACAATCCCCCCCAAGCGCCCCGAAACCGAGCGAGCCAGGGCGAGGCGCAAACCCCACACTCTCAGCAATCCCATAATCCTATTGATTCTTCTTCGCCGTTACTCGCCTTCCCCGAACCATGACGGCGGTCATGTCGCCCGGCTCGTCTCCTGCGACTTCGCCGCCCGCCATCTCATCTCCTGCTCCAAACGCGGCGCATCCCGCTCTTCCCCCGCTCATTACCTCGCCGCCCGCTCGCAGGAGCAACCTGCCGCGCCCTATGTCGCACGTCTCTAGGAACCGCTTGTCGCAGTACTCGACGGCGAGCTCCATCCCCTCGAGGTCGCGCCCTGCCTCGCACATCTTTCCGATTTACCCGTCGAGCCTGCCCTACACACTCGTGCGAGACTTTGCTTACCCGGCGTCACATCCCATGCACTATGGGCCCCCGCCGGAACCCTCACGACCCCCGTCGGGCATGTTCGCCCTAGGGAGCGAGCAACAACGCCTGTCTGATTTGCCGGCGTGGGATACCGGGACGAATTGGGACAGTCACTCGTGGAGCCGCGCCTTTGCCAACCGGCCCGCCGACTTGCCCGCGATCCACTTTGGCGACGGTCCGCCGTGGAGCGAGGACGAGGACCTGCAGAGCCCCGTCGTTAGCTCAAGACATAAGAAGCACAAGAGCGCGTCGGGCGGCACATATACAAAGAGCCGGGTCAGCCGCGACGCCCATGCCGAACCACAGAGTTTTGATGGCGACCGGGGATATTACGTCGGCACCAGCAACGACGGCAGTGAGCGGTACTATGTGAACCAAGGCAACGAGGCCAACGGGCCTGGCGGCGAGTACGTCACATACCCCCCGGACGAAGCCCGCCACGGCGGCAACGCATATCAGTTAGCGAGCCACCAGCCCCGGCAGTTTGGCGAAGCCGGTGACTTCGGTTCGGACGATTCGAGCGCGTGCTCGTCTCCCACCTTCCGCAACGTGGACGAGTCTCGCTACTCGAGAGACTACCAGTTCACAATTACGTCGCCAGACGAAGAGATGCACGGGAAAGCCGTTGCGCTTTTCGACTTCGAGCGGGAGAACGAGAGTGAGCTGCCGCTGGTAGAAGGCCAGATCATCTGGGTGTCCTACCGATACGGTCAAGGCTGGTTGGTAGCTGAAGACCCCAAGACGCAAGAAAGTGGCCTTGTGCCCGAAGAATACGTGCGCCTGCTGCGCGACATCGAAGGTGGCTTGAACAGCCTGGCTGGCAACCTAATCACTGGCGACGCCAGCCCCGCCAGCCCAAGCAACGACGTCGGCACGCCCACACAGGCCGAACACTTGCCCGCTCAGCAGCAGAAGCAGCAGCAGCAGCAACAGCAACAGCAACAGCAACAGCAGCAGCAGCAGATGCCTCACTCGCCGGCCATAACCACGGCGAGCGGGTCGTCAACGGCAACAAACAACACAGCATCGTCGACTAGTAATACCGCAACAACCAATGGCTACCACCAGCCTGTCCTCTCTACCTTTTCCACATCGAGCAAGGACCTCGATCCCTACCCGCAGCATCTGCTTGGCACCCAGGCCGGCCAGCCCCCACCGCAGGTCGTCCATTATCATGGGCAAAGAGGCGGCAGCCAAGCCAACACCCCGACACTGGCCATCCATCAAGGGTTCGGATCCAGGCGGGCCAGCCAGGACACGACGTCTACCACGGCCGCAGGCGGTGCAAAAAAGGGCGATGCGGCAGTCAGTGGCTTGGAGACACTCCCCGATGCGAAGCTGGAGAGGTCGGGGTCCGGGGCCGGGTTGCCGAAGAAGAGGGAGTCCAGGTGATACGTCTGGAGGAAGCAGCAGGGGGGAAAGAGAGGGGAGTAAGGCCTCGAAGAGGAGAAACAACAAGGGGAGGCATGTTCAACGGAGCATACTTATCGGAGGCTGCATACCAGGGGAAACGGGTTGGGGAGCTGCTCAACTTTCACGGGTTCGGGGGCTTGGGGGGGCTGGGGTGTTGGGATTTTTGTACCAATACGGCTTCAAGCAGGGTCGAGCGATGGCAAAAACCAGCGCGTCCGTTTCTTCTTGTGGCTTGATGTTTTATGATTATGATGGGAGGAATATATCTCGGCGTTGCCTTTGGCTACTCTTCTGGCCCCTTGCTTTGATATGAGTGATGGTCTTTCTTCCCTTGGACCACGTGCCTTTTATGCCGTTTAACCAGCGTCTTTCGGCCGATGAGATCCGAGAAAACCTGACCTCTACTGGGTGGTTTATTCGTAGAGGGAGGTAGAAATGGTCCTCACTGGAGTCCGGTGAACGTAAGAATGTACGAGTACCTCGAGGGTTGCACGGGCAGAAACCGCCTCGGGGAGTCGGATCGTCTCATTGAACCCCTGAAACACACCCGCCCACCCAGTAACGTCGCCAAGGGGAACGCCGCTTCAGTGGGTGGAATGACGTAAACCGCCCGAACTTGGCAAGGCACCCCCCGAAGCTCACTGGGCAATCGCAAACGGCGGGGGGAGCTCGAGCAAGATCGGAGAAACGAACAAGCTCCGGTCAGGTCCCGCCGCTCCCGGCTGTTTACAAATCCCACCATCGTATCGCAACCCCTCCAGCCCAGCCCGGGTTGTCTCACATTCTCTCTCTCCCATTGACGAGCGGCCACTCGTTCCGCACCCAATTCCGAACCAATTGCCGACATCATGAGTTTGTTTGTCGCCAGCCGATCTGCCTTCCGGGCCGCCGCGCCCCTCAAGCGGGTAGGGATTCCTCGTGCCCCTCCATCCACCTATTTTCTACACATTTATTCGCAGCTGTGCAGCCGCGCAGTTGTGTAGTTGTGCCATTCTGAAACTCTGCAGTTCTGCGCCTTTTCTATATCGTACTAATTGACCCTACAGCAGTTCCAGGTTCGCCGCTATGCCACCGAGCCCCCCTCCGCCGACCCCAAGAAGGGCAACAACACGCTGCTCTACGGTGCGATCGCTACCGCTGTCGCCGGTGCCGGCTACTACTTCCTCAGCGGCACCCCCGCCGCCAAGAAGGCCGAGGAGAAGGTGAAGGATGCCTCGAGCGCCGCCACCGAGAAGCTCTCGACCGGCGAGGTCAAGCAGGCGCTCACGGGCGGCGACCAGGGCTGGGTCAGCCTCAAGCTCGAGGAGGTCGAGGTGGTCAACCACAACTCGAAGCGGCTCCGCTTCCGGCTGCCCGAGGACGACATGGTGTCGGGCGTGCACGTTACCAGCGCCATCCTGACCAAGTTCAAGCCGGCCGACGCCGAGAAGCCCGTGATCCGGCCGTACACGCCGACCAACGACGAGGACGCGCGCGGCTACCTGGACCTGCTGGTCAAGAAGTACCCCAGCGGGCCCATGAGCACGCACCTGCACGACCTGGCCCCCGGCCAGCGGCTGGACGTCAAGGGCCCGCTGCCCAAGTACCCGTGGACGGCCAACAAGCACGAGCACATCGCGCTGGTGGCGGGCGGCACGGGCATCACGCCCATGTTCCAGCTGTGCCGGGCCATCTTCAACAACCCGGACGACAAGACCAAGGTGACGCTCGTCTTCGGCAACGTGCGCGAGGACGACATCCTGCTCAAGAAGGAGCTGGCCGCGCTCGAGAACACCAACCCGCGCCGCTTCCGCGCCTTCTACGTGCTCGACGACCCGCCCCAGCACTGGACCGGCGCCAAGGGCTTCATCACCAAGGACCTGCTCAAGACCGTCCTGCCCGAGCCCAAGGACGACAACATCAAGGTCTTCGTGTGCGGGCCCCCCGGCATGATGAACTCCATCTCCGGCAACAAGAAGAGCCCCAAGGACCAGGGCGAGCTCACGGGCATCCTGAAGGAGCTAGGTTACAGCCCGGAGCAGGTCTACAAGTTTTAGATGATGCGGTCTTGCCGTCTATTGCGTCTTTTTTAGCCTTGCCTTGCCTTGCCTTGCTTTGTATTGAGCGGCAGCATGTAAAATAGAACATGGATTCCGACTGCTTATGAAAGATTTGATGTCCGCTGAGAACCAACCCGCTTCAACCACACTACCCACTCTCCTTGATAAGTCGGCACTCGTTGGGTCAACCGCCGAGCAGTCCTAAACACACGTTGAGGTCATCTTCATCCGTCAAGGCATATAGACCTACATTCGGCCTAATCGCGTGGAGGGACTTCCAACCAGGCACGAGGAACTCGTCGAAGTCGTCTCATTATCACCAGTTAGAGCGAGGTGCTTAGCATTCATGTCAGGTCATAGGCAATCACGATGAGAACTGTCCACAAAAGACCAATGGATTGCCTCCAGTCCAGACCAGGACACCATTAATAACGCCTCCGCCATCGCAAAAAGCCTCCAACAAAACTCAAAAGTCCGACATGGCCTGCTTCTCCACCAACCCATTCATTTGCCTCCCAAAACGCCATTCTCCGTGTCCATGCACCAGCAATGCTCTCACCACACTCCGAAACCCATGCCACCCATATGCCTCACCAGGCCACTTCTTCAGCGCCATTTTATGACGGAGGGACCTCATTTCATGATTGTTATCCCTTTTTTTTCTCCGTGACCGGGCCGTGCCGGGTCATGTCATCTTCTCCATCGTCACTTCATGACAGCTCTTCTTGTCCATCTCGAACACAAGCGCTCTCCATTCAAAGAGGCCGTCACTTTATGACACGTTCTCATTGTCACTTTATGACGTCCCACTACTTTTCTGAAGTCCGTATAGGACACTTCTCCATTTGTATGAAAAGCCTGAGAAAGAAAGTTAGACGGCGTTCCAACCAGCAAAGGCAAACAGCGAGAGAGGTGACATATGTCTCAGAGAGAAGATTGACTCGACATGTTCCGGCTTCTTCGAGACGTGGTACAAGAACCCCCATGGGGAGAGGAGCCGCACCACGCCTCGGCCAGAGTTCCGGCTAAGGATGACGATAACGAAAGATCTCATCATGGTGGGTGTGTTAAAACGGGAAGAGGAGGAGTGGCAACTTACACTTTGGCTTTTTGTTTTGGTGCGTGGATGGTTTTTGGGTTGGGTTATAGTGGACAGGCGCGGCGCGATCCAGCGAAGGACCGGTGAGGAGGAGGGTTGGGTTTTGGATGTTTCGAGGTTTGTCATGTTTGATGTGTCCCCTCCGTCCTTAGTCGTCGTAAGAGATGCGACGTCGCTGGATCGCGCTGGCGTTGACCGGCTCGTTGTTTTCTTCGCCGTAGTCGAGAGTTGCCAGGCCCTTGTCCACCACGTCCCATGTTCGCTTGCGCAGATCAATCGGTTCTACCCCGTTGTTCGTCTTGTTTTTCTTAGACTTGCCGCGCTTCCGCTTTTTGGATTGCTTTGCGGTGGCGGACGGCGCCGACGAGACCTCGCCATCTTCAGACATGCCGTGCGCCGCATCTTCCTCGGGTTTCATGGTTGTGGTTTTTCCCGATTTGGAAGATGTCTTTGCGCGACGCAGAGCCTCGATTTCTGAATGTCTAAAGATGGCGATCTGCTCGTCGGTGAGGGTTCGTTTGACGCCGTCGGGGTAGTAACCGAGCCCATCCTCCTCCTCTCCATAGTATTCTTCGTAGTATTCCTCGTCATCCGCCGCATTGTATGTGGTTTCTTCTGCTGGCGGATGATCTGGTCGGAGGAAGTGGGCTTGGAAGTGATCTGTCGCGAGCTCGGAGAAATGCGCTTCGTGGAATGCAGTCATCTCAGCCTGCAAAAAATGGGTCAGTCGCCGTAATTTAAATCAGGTACTCGTTAAAAATCTTACCTGGCTGATTTGAGGCACTTTGAGTGACGTGCCCGCCATTTTGGCGTGAGCGACGCGACCGCGCCCGGTTCGGTGATGGTTGACCGAGATTTTGATGGTCGGTGGCCAGGGGGGATTGATTTCCGGGGTCGGTCACGTGCCCGGAGTTGCGATGATGCTTCCCAAAGCTCGTTCAGAAAAGTGTCCTTTTTTTGTCTTTTCTTTGTAATGGTTTTTTGGTGTGGGGTGTTTTTTGTGTGTTTTTGGGGTGGCGGTTTGTTGTTCTTGCTTTGGTCGCGATGGAAGAAGAAGCGACCTCTCCGCCGGTGCTGCGCAGGTCGGGTCGAGGAAGGAATGGTGGTTAGTAGCTTTCTGGCAGCCAGGGAATTTGTGCTAGGCTTAGGTTCATCGATTTGGTAAGAGCATTGGTTTTGTGGTGTTGCTCAGAACCCGAGCCCGGCGCCTCAGCTGATGAGCCCGCCAGAAAGTTGCCCAGTTCGCCGCCAGCCGTGACTTGTTGACCACTGACCGTGCGCGCCGGAAGATGTGTGGTTGTAAATGACGCCCCTGAGTCTTGAGGATGTGCCCCGAGGTAGGGAAAGTGAGATTTTCTGCCTTGTCCAACCACCAATGTTTTTTGTGGTTGGAGGCTAGGTTTGGCTCAGGAGCGCAAGCGCACTCTGGAAGGCGCGGACAACCTCTGAGACTTATGGTTGTGAGTCAAATGCCGAATGCTCGCGGAATGGGGTGTACTCACGGTGCTTCTTCTTCTGCGACAGACTCTGCTCAGCGATCTTGACGTATCGCTCCCTGGTCTGGAGTCTCTTTATCCCGCGCTCAGTGTCATTGACCGAGGCAGCAGAGGCCCAAACATTGAAGAACTATAATACTGTCAGCAAAAGTCCACCGGGAAGATTCCAAGACTTGGGCTTGACTTACCTTGACGAGTTCCTCAAATTCTTGCAAGAGTTCCTGCTCCTGGCGATCGGTGTCGGCAAGCGCTTCTTCGTAGCGAGCCTCGAACTCGTCCCAGTCAAAGGGTGCCAGATGTCCAGGTGTGCTCGGAGATCTCTCGGCGGGGTCTTTGTGGCCGTTTAAACGATCTCTGGACAGGCGCGGCTCTGGGGTTTTGACCTGCGGGCGACTGCCTTGAGGTCTGGAAAATGCATCTGTCATGATGCCGGGTAACACAGGTTTCGAAGGACTGTTTCTGTTGGTCTCCGCCTGTGGGACGGGAAGAATGGGTGACTCGGGTGTCTTCGCCGGCGACTCGTGGCCGGGCGTGTGCGAGGATGATTGAGAGTAAGGTGACGCGCTTGCCATGAGAGGCGATTGGATGTTTTGTGTTTGGGTGTTTGTTTGTTTGGTTTTGGCGAAGACACTTGCCGACTCGAGATGCTTTCCCTAAATTCTTCCGAGTCCAAGAGGAGTGAGTGAGTGAGTTCCTTTTATGCCCGACAAGGACAGAGATGCGGTGCTCTTTCCCAGCTTGAGGTGAGAGCAAAAGGTGCGGGGGGTGGAGAGTCAATGAAAGGTTCCGTTTGGTCAATCTGTGGAGTCGCCTGCAGCAGCGTCGGGTATGCGTGTTGAGGCCAATTTTTGGTCGGCTCGACACACACCTGTGATTTTACACAGGTTTTCGACAAGTCCATTCGCAAATGGAAAGTGCTGTATGCAGGTTACTCCCAGAAAGTCCTCCAGGTCCCTCAAATTTCGTCCTTTGACCCCGCTCCCATGCCTCAAAGATTGGCTGGAAAGATGCCCGAGAGGTTGATGCCCGAGGGGAATCCCGCGACCGCTGTGCCGGCTGATTGGTGTGCCTGCGACTCTGCAACACCAAAATTCTGGTGATGAGTTGTCAACGGTTTTGACAGGAGAGCGGCGCGAATGAGAAGCGCGAACGGGATCGTGGGGATGATCGACCGAGGTGCCGTGAGCAGGGGAAATTGATTGGTGGTTTGTGGTCAGCGGGTCCGGGGGAAAGAAGGTCCCAGGCTGCAGCGCGATAGTGAGGTCAGATAGCGCGGCGGGCCTTGCACGGGCTGTGGTTCCTCCTTCAACTTGTGAGACTTTGGGAGCAGGTGACGAGAGATTTTGAAGTCACCCGAGATCTCCCAGCTTCCACTTTTTTTTTCTGGGTTGTTGCAGAAACCGTTTCTGTTTTGTTCTCAGAAACCGAAGATAGATTTCGTCTCATGATCGGGACCGCGCCGCCACGCGATCCGTAAAGTGCAAGGCCGCCCGCTGTTGCCGCCACAACACAGCGCCAATTGAACATATAAAGGCTTTTTGCCTGCCCACTGCCCGCTGCTTTCTTGCCCACTTTCCTCAAACGCCCAGAAATCGACAAAGCTGTCATCATGGATTGCAGCATTTGTCACCGCCCGCACCATGCGAAGAATCTGCCGTTTCTTTGTGCCGTCGACGCAAGGAACCGCTTGTATGAGGGCCGGGCCGAGTACGCCCAAGCGCTGATGGATAATGAAGATGCTGAGCGCCGGGTCGAAGCCGCTTTGTCGAGCCAAGCGGACAGGTTGAGAGCTGAGGAGGCTGCTGCCCGCGACCGGACGAGCCAGATCATTGCGCAGGCCGATCGGTTGAAGAGTGAGATTGACGCTGCGCAGAAGGAGATTGCTGCGAAGAAGGATGCAATCGCTAGGAAGAAGTCGGACCTGGCGTCGGTCTCGGCAGGTACTTCGGCAAGGCGGAACAGACAGCTGGAGGAGGCCGAGCGATCTGCCCAGAGGTTGAGGTATAAATGGAATCGCTGTGCCGACAGTATGGCCGACATCAGGGGCTTTCTGTGCGAAGGGTCCGCCAGGCTGTATGGCCTTCGTCAGGTCAAGAAGGGCAGCGTCAAGCGGTATGAGATTGGTGGAGTCGAGATTTTTGATCTCCATGCCATGAATAGTGAGTTTTCTTTTCACCCGCTTGATGGCCGCCGCTGCCGGAAGATATGTGTGTTTTGTTTGACTTGTTTGACCCTTGACTGACGATGCTGGCAGGTTTGTCGCCCGAGGTGATTTCGACTTCCCTCGCGCACATTGCCCATATCCTGGTGCTGGCTGCCCGTTATTTGGGAGTTCGGCTGCCGGCAGAGATCACGCCGCCCCATGCCGACTACCCGCGGCCAACCATCTTCTCGCTTGCGTCATCGTACAAGCACGGAGAGGTGGCTTTCCCCGGGTCGCTAGCGTCGCAGATTCCGTCCGTGAGAGGAGATGGTGCCGAGCAGGAGCATGTTCCGCGGCCTCGTCCGTTGTTTCTCGACAAGTCGCTTCCCACGCTGGCCAAGGAAGATCCCTCCGCATACAAGTTATTCTTGGAGGGTGTGTCTCTACTGGCATACGACATCGCCTGGGCGTGCTGCTCGCAGGGCGTTTCGTTCGGCGACAAGGACTCGTATGAGGATGTGTGTAACATGGGCCAGAATCTCTGGCGTCTCCTCATTGGCGACCAACTGCACCGTCGATCTGTTGAGCCGCCTTTCCGCTCCTCGCTCACCCCGCCGACCGGAAGTCCCAGAGATGAGGATCGTGGCGAGATGGCCAACCCAAAGTCGACCATTGGTCGCTGGTCGCACGGGACGCTGTATAGCTTTCTTGGGGGAGCCGAGGGTACCGAATTCGTCCGGAACTTCAAGATCATGCCGCCCCTTAAACTGGCAGATCGGTTGAAGAAGCGTTTGTCGAGCGAAGCCCCGATGCTGGAATGGGAGAAGATCGAGGGTGACGAGCTCGATGAAGGTTTCGATGATGGCGTGCTGGTGCGTGGTCATGGAAGTGGCGGATCTGCTGCTGCTGGGCGCGGCGACCTCGGCGCTGCGAGCATCATGACGGTGCGGACCGTCGGGTCGAACGGCGGCGTTTCCGACAGCGCGAAGGGAACCAGTGGCTGGACGAGGTTGAAGAGCCGGTGAACAACATAGACTAGATAATGGTTGCGGAGATAAGAAAAAAACCGAGCCCCCTTTCTAGCCCACCATCCCTAACCTATACCCTATCCTAGAAAGAGCTGATAGTGCCCACGGTCTTAATATATGTGCCCCGGTCCCCGTACTATCTACTATCGTCGAGCCCTTCTCTACCTCGTTTTAAGGACGCGCTGTGCCTCCACAGCGGCCTCTTGCTCCGCATCGAGAAGGCTCTACTACTCCTCACTGACATCGTCGCCCCGGACTACATTGTCCTCGGGATCCTCCCCGACCTTCGCCGTCCACTTCGCCCTCTTGGCGGTGCGCCTCATGTCCATAGCAGCCTCCCCTGCGGCTTCGACGGGACGCGACCGAAGGTCGAAGAGCTCCTCTTCGGGGCGGTCTTCACAGAGAGCCGCTTCCCCCTTCTCGGGCTCTTCACTGGGGCCAGCAGGCGGTTTGACGGCAGCCTGTGCTGCTGCTGCGGCCTTCTCCTTCGCCTCGAATTCCGCGGTGGCCTTCTGCCTCCTCTCTTCCTGCTGCCGGAACTCAAGCCGTAGCTGTTCTCGCCTGGCGGCAAGCCGCCAGGCCCTGTCCTCGGCGCACTCGAGGAGCCACTCCTCCTCGAGAGGCCCGAGTTCCGCAGCGATTTCCGGATCCAGCTCCGCTTCGAGCTCGTCCCCCGACCCCTCCGCCTCTTGCGACGTCTCGGGGGTGTCGAGTTCCGCAGCGAGTTCCGGCTCCAGCTCCGTTTCGAGCTCGCCTCCAGACCCCTCCGCCGCTTGCGACATCTCGGGGATGTCGACAAGGTCCGGACGGTCGTCGGCCGACTCCTCTACCGCTTGCGGCGTCTCGACGACGACGGCCTGGGTCTCTCGGGGCACCTCCGCTTGCGGCGTCTCGACGACAACGGCCTGGGTCGCTGGGGGCGCCTCCGCCGCTTGCGGCATCTCGACGACGACGGGCTGGGGCGCCTCCGGCACAGCCAGGCCCAGCTGCGCGGCTCTCGCCCTCTCGCTATGGGCAGGGAGGATCGTGTGCGCGCCTGAGGTGGCCGGCTCGGGTGCGGGCTCGGCCTCTGGCTCCGGCGCCGGTATGGCCGCGCTGAAGAAATGGACCTCCTCCTCCGCTGGTGCGGGCTCGGCATTTGTCACCTCGGTCGGGAGCGCGTTTGGCTCCGTCGTCAACGGCGTGTCCATCCTGAAGTCGAACACGGACACCGGCAAGGCGGGCTCCGGGGTCGTCTGATGGACCGTCGGTCCGATGGTGGTGGGCGGACCCGCCTGGCCGACGGCAGCTGGTGTGCGGTCGGCGTGGGCGGGCTGGTTCGTGGTGGTGGCGGCGGTAGCGGTGGTGGTGGTGAGGGGGGGGATGTACGGCATAGTGAGGCCTTTCCAGATCGTATAGCCGAGGTTGCGCTCAGCTGCGTCCTTGGTGTATATGTCGACCTCTCCGTCGTCGTCAGAGAACAGGGAGTCGTTGTCAGCAACCCCATCCTCACCAGAGAACAGGGAGTCGTTGTCAGAAACCGCATCGTAGCGGAGGTTCCGCATATCCTCCTCATTCAGAGACGTGTCCGACTCGTCAGAATCGGTCATATCGGCGTTGGGATCTTGATCGTTGGGATCTTGAGCGTCGGGGTCTTGGGTGTGGTTTTGGGCGTTGGGGCCGGAATCGTCGACGGGCCCATACAACAAGCTGTCCTCCTCCGGAGGTGCGGTCTTCATATCAGCGTAGTATGCGTCAAGCGGCGAACTATCTGCCGCGTTCACCTCCTCGGCGTATATTCTCGCGATCGCAGCATCGTTGAGGGCCTGCTGCTCCGCCTCCGCCTCCGCCCTCTCAGTAAGCCTGGCTGTCGCGTCCTCTAGCTCTCTAAGGAAGGCCGGATCTCGAAGCCACTCATACTGTTGGTGGGCTTGTTCGAGATGCGCCGGTTGCTCCAGCGAGGCCTGCTCTTGGCCATCATACTGAAGCAAGCCTTGACTCAGTTCCGCCGTTATGGCCTGTGTCATCTCAACCTCGACGCTGCGCTGGGCTTCCGCCTGCATAAAATCAGCGGCCTGGATGGCGGCGAGTTCCCCATGCTCGGTCATATCCTCGTCAACCTGCTCAACGATCTGCTGGGGCTGGTCGATGAGCATCTGGCTGTAGTCGCAGCGCGGGCCGATGTAGCAGTCTTCGAACTCGTACTCAGATTCGGCCGAGTCATTAGAGATGCTCATGTCGGCGAAGTTTCCGACAACCTCGGTCATCTCCGGTTCATAAGCGGGTGTGACGGGCCCGGCTGTCTCCGGTTCATAGGCGCGGGTTGGGTCGGTCATCACCTGATCCTCCTCTCCATACGAGGCCTCGGCCATGGGCGGACATTCGTGCCTTTCGACGGACAGCCACGATTTCTCAAACTCCTCCGGATCGCCTGTGGGTGGCTGTTCGCCAACCCCCTCCCCCTGCTCCCCCAGAGGGGCCAGATCGGCGAAGATATCGTTTCCCATCATCAAATCCTCGTTATACGAGGTCTCGATATCCGACTTGGTGAGCGGCTCGACGTCCATGGGTTCCTTCTCCTCTAACGAGGTCTCGGTTGCCCATCGGGCCGGCGTATAATGGGCGACGTAGGCCGTCGCTTGCTCCTCGGATGAGGCCGTCGGCTCCGGCACTTCGGTCGCCGTCGCATATTCCGCGTCCATCCGCTCGAAAAAAGCTTCAGGCGCGTCCGCGACTTGGTAATCCGCCTTCTCCATCCACTCCAAAGGAGTCTCAAGTTCCTGGGCGGCGATACCATCGGCCTTCACCGTCCACTCCGAAGGAATCTCGGGTTCCTCGGTCAATTCACCAGCCTTCACCGTCCCCTCCAGAGGAGGCTCGGGTTCCTCGGCGGTCTCATCAACCTTCACCGTCGAGTCCCAAGGAATCTCGGGTTCCTGGGCCATGTCCTCAACCTTCACCATCCCCTCCAAAAGAGGCTCAGGTTCCTCAGCGAGGATCTCATCGGCCTTCACCATCCCCTCCAATGAAGGCTCGGGTTCCTCAGCGATGCAGTCAGCTTCCACCTTGGCCTCACCCTGCTCCAACTTAGGGATCGGCTCTTCAGCAGCGAGCAGTGACTCTTGGGCGGCGGCGACCGTCACCGGCTCGGCGAGCACGACGGGTTCGACCTCCGGTTCCTGGGCCACCGCCTCGACAACTGCTTCAACCCTCCCCCTCCCCTCCTCCAAAGAAGGCTCGGGATCCTCGGGGAGCTCGGACGCGGGCTCTTCCGGCGCCGCAGTCACGTCGGCCACAACAACAACCACAGCCACAGCCACATCCGCAGTCTCCTCGCCCCGCCCCTCCAGAGAAGGCTTGGGGTCGTCGACCGTGGTGATAATAGTAGTAGTGGTGGTGGTGGTGCTGCTGGTGGCGGCGGGAATAATAACGTTGGCCTCCACTCCCAACGGCCCAGCCAGACGCATCTCCTCCTCCGCGCGAGCGGACTCGACAGCGGCCCGGCGGGCGGCGACAACAGCGCTCGCGGCCTCCCACGCGGCCCTCAGCCGGCTCTCCTCCGCTAGTGCGGACTCGAGCGCGGCCTCGGCGGTGATGTCGCACAAGTTGTGGCTCTTGCGGGCGGCGGCCTTCCTCTCGCGGGAGATGCCGCGGTGGTTAAACCGAGCGCGGAGGTGTCTGGCGCGCGCGCCGGCCCGCTCGTGGAGCGGGCCGACGGCGGCCTTCCTCCGGGCCCACTCGGCGTTCTTGCGCTCGGCCTCGGCGCGGTCGTCGGCCTGCTGCCGCAGGAGCGTCTGGGTCCGCTGTGTCCTCTAGACATCGGCGGAGGCCAGGAGCTCCCGGGCGTGGCGGACGGCCTTGGTCTCCCTGCTCTCGGGAAGGGGGGTGGCGGCGGCGGATCGGAGGGTCTCGTCGGGGGTCGGCGAGGGAGAGGGGGGCGGCAGGAGAGCGAGGGTGACAGGGCGGCGCGGGGTGGAGGGAGGCGTGAGGGTGGTAATGGCGGCCGGGCCGGGGGAGGGGGCGGCATCGGCGGCGATTATAAGGGCCGTGTCAGGGGAGTCGACTATGGCGATGGTGGTGGAGGTGGTGGAGGTGGTGGCGGCGGCGGCAGGGGCGGCGGCGGTATCCTCCTTCCGGATCCACGACTCTGGTCGGCGAGTTACGATTCTGCCGACATTCGCAATCTCTGCCTGTCTGGCAGAGTGTTTGCGAATGAAGGCAGCACGCTCACTGGCAGCCTGGTCGTTGATCGCCTGGATCTGATGCGACCTGAGCTCCAACTGGTGCTCCAAGTCGGTGATGCCGACTTGGTTCTTCGCCATGGCCGTTTCGATGCCACCGATGGTTTGGTCAGCCCAGTAGACGCTCAGGTCGATCCGGTGACGCAGACGGAACCAGAGACCAAGAGAAGGGACCGGTCCGGTTTCAGGGACCGCGATTGCGACCCGACCAGTGAACTCAGTCGGCCTGAGGTTCTCATACTTGCCAGCCAGCCATTGATGAGCATCGCTCCAGGCATTGGCGGCGTTCCGATAACCGCGGGCGACATCCTCGTTCAGCTTGGCAAGTCTTTTCATCTGCGCGCCACACTGAAGCTCCCGCGACTCGCGAGTGCGGCGCCGATCGCTCCGTTTCTCCACGTCGACACAGAACCAGTCCACGAAGTCTCCAAGTCGGTCGATCGCCCAGTTCTTCCACTGCAAATACTCTCTGCGGATGGCCGGGATGAAAGGACGGACGACGAGGAGCAAGAGAGGGATGACGATACGACTGAGCATCCAAGAAAGGATGCCAGCGACAGTGGTGGACCCGAGGACGTTGATGAATCCCCAGGCGGTGCTAATGACCTGGTCGCGAGCCAGAATGGCCCGACGAGCGGCTCCTGCAGATAAACACGCCAGGATCCGATTGATCCGGGCGGTAATCACGGGGAGGCAACCCCAAAAGAAGACGGAGAGTTGGTAGAGGGCATAGACTGCGTAACATGTTAGCCATTCCGATCGCGTTTTTGCTCAAAGGAGATCAGGAGGTCTGATTGCTCGATGAGTTCACAACAATCAAAAATGGCTTACTGGACATGGCGATGCGGACGTAGTCCGCGATGGACCGCTGCTCAAAGATGAGCTCGCCCATCACCTCGAAGATGTTGGTGTCCTCCCCGCACATCTCGGTGCCGAGGACGACGAAGAAGATGCCCGCGAGGGCGACGAGAGCGGGTGTCGAAAGCATTTCTATTAACCAAGGGGCCATCAGGTTAGCCAGGCTGTTTTTGCTTGCCCGCCTCGCGCAATGGACCGACCGACCGACTCGTGGACTGGTCGAGCGACCAATGTGCCAAAAGTCGGCGGTTTCTCGACGCGAAAAGTCGAGGAGATAAACACATACTGGTTGAAAGTCGAGGGAAGGCAAGGGAAAACGATCTTTCTTTGGCAAAATGACGCTTGAGCTGGCGATGTTGCTGTGGGAAAATAGTTTGGACTTTCGTTTGGATGTTTTGGACTGAGAAAAGAAAGAGGAAATTTTGGAAGGGAAGAGGGAGAGGGAAAGGGAATTTATAGCTGTGGGCGAGGACGAGAATTCTGAGCATTCACTTCGGATGACAATAATAAAGCCCCCCTCTTTCCTACTGCTTTTCACACTTATTCACAGTGTTCACTGTGTGGCATGGTGGAAAGTCACTGGGGCAACAAACAAGATGTGAATCTCCATCCGAACGCGCCGAGGCTGAACAGTCAAACAAAGCTCTGGAGGAGACCTTTTCTGACCTCATCAGAAACATTGGACGCGACAAGGTGGGCTCTGGGTTCTTGGACTCGAGACTCACTGGTGGGGGGTCAGATGTGACAAACGAATCAGATATTCAAGGTAGAAATTTAGTTCACTAACTTGTGAGGCAACTATTGCTTGCTATGAAACAAAGACATAACTCAAGGCAACCGTGTGATTATTTAAGATCCTCAGAGTCAATGTGGACTAGAAGGAAACTTGGAGTTTGGCAAGCAGCTGTTGATTGTGTGAGACACGGGCACAAGGTAACTAAAAGAAGCACCTGTTTACTAGCAGTATGTCAATTATCCAAGTAGAAATAACACTGCAACTCCGTATTGAGAATCTGCTAAGTTTGCTAAAGTTTGATCGTTACTAGTATTGCAGAAACTGTTCGGCTTCGAAGGATAGCATTGTCATCGAGGTCTTTTGAACGCAAAAAGCTCGCCGGATCCGACGTGTTCCTTCCAACGCGCCCAATCTTGAAGTTTTGTTTTGAACAAGTGCCATATTTTATTTTGTGAATCGCAAAGTAGGGCATCCCAAGTCTCGTATATGCTAGCTAGCAGCTGCGATTAAACATTCGGCCAGGGCAGCACGATTCGCGTTACCAGAAACGAAAATGAAAGAAATACAACAACACAAGGGACTATTATCTCTGTATCGTATTATAGGCATCATTTATCGCTGGGTCCTCTCTTGCTACCTAGGTAGCTAACTCGCATTATTTGTGACCAACTCGAGATTCAGGGGCAAAAGCTTGGCATCAACATTTGGTATTCTTGTAATTGTTCGAGCCTGAACAATAATGAACAATACAAATAAGCAGCAGATGCCCTTGACAGGTAGGGAGTAATATTCTTCGAAGAAGCTCAATCCTAGTCTCACAGAAAGGTACCTACCTACGGCGGGTGATGGTGATATTTGGGAGCCTTAAAGGCTGGTAAAATGTGCCAACATTGGCTAGGAACATCGTGAGACGCGCGTTTGATAAATATCTGATGACCGGAGTGACGGTTGTCTGACTCTGAATATTATCTTCATTTTTATGGAAAATGAAAGTGGTTGTCAGTTTTCCTCTTCGCCGCCGACAAGAGTTGTCATGATGACCTGACGTTAAATATCGTTGCGCGGGGCAACGCGGAGCCGCAACACCAGGCAACGGCGGAGAAGGGGAAGCATCATGATGCGTAAAATGGAACCCCGCCTCAAGGGAGCGGTCAGAACTCTAAAGATATAGAAGACGCACGTATATATTTCCATAATCATGATATAAATCCATTCGTAACAGGGTATTATCGCATTTCAACCTGGGCTTCCCGCGCCGTCGCACCCAACCCATGCCAACCAACCATGCCAACCCAGTCAATAAAACACCAAGCAAGACCGTCCCCTCCCAACAAACCCAGACAGCTCCATTTCACTGCCTCTGCTTCCCCTTCGCCAACAACTTCTGATACAGCTCCAAAACCGCCTCATCCCACCCCATCTCCCCACCCTCCTTCTCCTTCCCCCCCTCACCCTCACCCTCACCCTTCTCACCACCACCCCCAACCCTCCCAATCCTCCCCGCCAAAAACTCCGTCATCTTCCCCACATTAAACGGCTCCCCATACACCACCCGCACCTCCGGCACAGCCACCACCTCCACCCCGGCCCCACCACCACCACCACCACCACCACCATCCCCGCCGCGCGCGCTCAGCGTGAGCACGACCTCGACGCGCGTCTGTAGCGGCGCGACCAGGACCGACGCCGTGACAGCCACCGCTGATGAGGTCTCCGACAATGGCGTGCCATCCGCTGTGCTGGTAGCAGGAACGACGGCGGCGGTGGTTGGGAAGGAGAGGTTCAGCCGGCGGATGTGCTCCGTCACGGCGCCGGCTTGCTGCCAGGTGGTGCTGACTGTGCGGAGGAGGCGGCTGGGGGAGGTGGGGGGGTTGGTTTGGAGGTGTTCGCGCAGGTGGCGCAGGAAGAATTCTTTTTCGGGGGGGCATTGTGCGGGGGAGTCGGCGATGTAGTGTAGGTGGATGGGTTGTTGTGGCTGCTTCTTTTGGGGCTGCTGGAGGGAGGCGAGGTCGAAGATGAGCTCGATCTCGCGCTTGTAGCGCATCGTGAGGGTGGTGCCGGCGATGGAAGAGAGGGCCCACCCGTGCTGCTTCTCGATCGCGTCCGTTTGGGCTGCGTGCTGTTAGCGTGGGCTTTTCATGGAGGGCCCGATGTGTGGTCGCTAGCTTACCTTTGTGCTTGCTGATCTCCTCCGATGACCACCCTCGGCACTCCTCACGGATCTTGTCGGCCTCTCTAATCTCTTCTAGATACTGCTGTTTTTGTTGCGTGAGTGCCTCGAAGCCCTGGACAGACTCGTCGAGTTCTCGCCGGAGCTCTGCGAGTTTTCTTGTCTTTTCCTCAATGCTCTTATCTACCGACGCGAGCTCGCTTCGTGCATCCTCAAGGTCCTGCGGGTCGCAGTCCGCAAGCTCCTGTGCCACGGCCTCGAGGTCCCCGTGTTCCAGCTCCAGTGCCTCAAAGCGTTTGACCATATCAGGCAAGATCGACGCTATAAGTTCCTGTTGCTTCGACAGCAGCTTATCGTCGTTGTCCATGCCCTCTGCCGTTTTCAGCAACCCCTCCTTCAGGCCGTCCTGCAGCTTCATACGCCACTCGTACCACATCGCCTTGCTGAGCAGTCTCGCGTGGGTCTTGACGTTCTTGAATTGGTTGTCCATCAAGACCTTGAACTCAGGCGACGCCGTCATGTACTCTCGGAAGAGCGGCGGGTTCTCTTCGAAGGTCTCGGTCTCGATCTCGTGAACGATGCGGCGGCCTTCAGAGATATATTTCTTCAACTCGCGGCAAGACTATGTAGAGTTAGTATCCCGTCACTAAGCATTAAGAAGGGACTGTTCCTTACGTGCTGATACAATTCTAGCATGGGCACGGTGCACGCGCCCGCAACGACGCATCTCTCAAGAGACAAGTCATCTTTCGTATCCGCAGCGGTACTTTCCCTCGACGAGCCCGGAGCCACCGTATGCCTCCGCTTGGTCGTGGTCAACTCCATGAAACGGATACTGGTCATGTTGAGGAAGTCTTGCAAGTGAATACGTTCCCCATCCTCGTCTTGCTGCATTTCGCCTCCATCCATTGGGGTAATGTGATCGAAATCAACTGTGGTCGTCGCCTGGTTGTCACCAGCACCCCTAAATCGGTCTTGGTCTCTGGGTGTTGTCGCTCTCTGTGGAGAGCTTGCCACGGTCGGCGTGGCATTGCCGGTATCCGGGAGCCCCGACGGCCTGATGCTGGATCGTGTTTTTCTGCCGGTTGTAGTCTCGGCCTTTGATGGCGGTGACTGTAGCCTGATGTTTTTGACCGGACTGCCCTGATGCCCCTTGAGGCGCTTCACACCGTCCGTTTCCTCCCAATCCTCATCATCTTCGAGCTCGGCTGGCCGCTTGCCCAAGAGGCCCCGGGCACTGCCTACGTGGAGGCTCTTCCGCCCTCGGAGCGGGTTCTTCTTGGGACTAAGTCCTTGAATCATCTCCATCAGGTTGAGGGTTCCTTCGCGATCATCCTGAGAGCTATTGAACTCCCTCCTGCTGTCTTCCTTCTCTTGTTCATCCTGCTGCTCCCTATCGATTTCAGCTTCCAGCTCTCGCGGATCCGCAAAGGCCACGTTTCGCCGAGGGTTTGCAGGCTGGCTAGGCACAAAATCGTGGGCTGCTTCCCCGATGGACTCTCTGCGGTCGAAGATCTCCGCAACTCGTGGCGATCCTAGGCCAGGCCGGTCAGCACCGACTCCTGACAGCCGCCGACCCTGCGGTGTGAGAACGACATTAGGTGTGCTGACCCCGGTACTGGGGTCTTGATGAAAAAGCTTCAATTTGGCGGGCGAGCGCGGCGTAGCCTTGGCCGGAGACGAGAGATTGCGCATAGGTGAACTGGACTTGCTGCCAAATACCGAGGGCGGTGTCTTTGCGGGGCTTCGCCGTGCCTGTGGTGTGGTCCTCTTGGGCGATGGGGTGCGCCGCATCGGGGAGCTGCTAGGTTGTACCGGTGGCTTTGCGACCGGCGAGGCTGCGGGTGAGATTGCGCGGGGTGGGCTGCGACGAAGTCCCCTCCCTTGAAATGGCGAACGCACAGGGCTGGTATTCTCCTCCGCAACGTAAGTAGCTGGGCGTTTTGGGGATTGTGAGCGTTCAGCGGTTGATGTGATGGAGAGATGAGGCTCGTCAGCTTCCTGCTCCATAATCTTCCTGGCGGCGGTACGCGCTTCTGGTGTGGATGCCGACTTGATGATACCTCCCACAGCCATTGTCATATCCATCCCCATGGTTTGATCTCCGTCCCCGTCCTCCGCCTCGACGGGCAGAATCCGACCCACACCCACTGTCACATCCATCATGGCCCCGTCCTCATCATCATCCTCTGCAGCTATTGTCCGCCGCCGGCTGTTCTGCCTTCCGCCCGGTAGAAGACCACCCACAGCGGTCGTGAACTCCATAGACATGTCTTCATTAACTTCGGTGTCGTCACGACTCCCGTCAGATACTCTGCTCTGTTGAATCCCACCGACCGCCGTTGTAAAGTCCATGGTCTGCTCGTCGGCCTCATTGTGCTCCGGCTGAACATCGGGGTTGACGGATTTGCGGCGCAAGAACGCCTTGGCTTTGGAAAGGATTCCACCGAGGGCCGTTGTGACGTCCATAGATAGATCCTCGTTGATTTCATCGCCCCTGTCGGGAGACGGAAGTTGGGGGTATAGAATTCCACCCGCCGCGCTAGTCATGTCCATATCCATCTCCATCTCCATATCCGAGCCCTGGTCGCTAGCACCGCCGTCAGGGGGGTGGCTCGATTGCACGTTGCTTTGGTTGATGCTCTCCTGCGACGGGTTCTTTCTGCCCCACCCCGCAAAGCCCGCGATGACTTCCTCGTCTTCGTCGATGCTCTGAGTGACAGCCCGCCGAGCAGCGAGCCGAAGATTCTCATCCAGACTTCCAGACGTGTCACCACCAAAAGCGGACCTGGGCGAAGCCGTCGATGCCGACGTCATCTCTTCTGCGTCGACCGTCATGATGGTCCCATCCTCGTCGCTGGAGCCTTCCATTTCTACTGCTTGAATTTCGGCGTGCTCAAAGTCGGAATCGTAAACTGTAGAGGCAATGGTATCGTCGGATCCATATGTAGATGACGCCGCAGAGCTCCGCCGACGGTTCCGTTGATGAAGGTCTCTCTGGTTGGCTGGGGATTCGTCGGCATGATCTTCCTCTATATCATCCGGCGGTGTAGATGGCGGGTCCGAATCGGGGTGTTGTTGCTGTTGCTGCTGCTGCTGTTGCGCGGGGGGTTGTCCGGCGGCCGAAGATGCTCGGCGCGTGGCGTCGGTAGAGGTGGTGGAATCTTGCATTTCCTCAAGATCGTGGAAAGTATGTAATGTTGCCTCTGCCGCAAATGACACCCGGCGGTTGGCGAGCGACTTCCTCCTTGCTTCTCTCCTGTCCTTTGTCTCTTTTTCAAGCTGGGCACGCTCCCGCTCCTCCCGTTCCCTCGCCGCAGCCTGCTGCTCCTCCTCGGTCCGCAAGGCAACCTTAGTCCCCCCGGCATCGTTCCCGGCATCGTTGCTTCCTGACGCTTGCTTCGGCTTGAAGGATGGAATATCGGGGATCAATGGTACGGTGGGTTTCAGAATGGATCGTGGCGTTGCGACAGCTAGGGACTACCGAGGGTTAGCAATCGACTTCAATCGCAACCGGTGTCAAGGGACAGAATAAAACTCACAGCTCTGCGATTGCCGTTGCCCATCTTAAGGGGATCGAGCCCGCCGGGTCCCATGCTTTTGCTCCGAGATTTCTTCCTAGTGCCGCCCGTGGCGCTGCCCACATCGAGTGTCGCATTTTCCTTGTCGAGTGTCCTCCTCGTTGATGGGCCGCCTCCGATGGACTTTCGAGTTCGACGCGTTGCCGGAAGCGTAGCTTCGCCTTGTGGCGCCATCTTCACTCCCTTGATCTCCCGCGCGTTTTATGTGTGTTGCGGTGGACGGGAATCCGTAGAGGTGCTGGGCCGTTTTGAGACGCGACGCGAACCCTGAAAGCTCGCGACGGGTCGTTTTACGGCAGAGGGGCAACTTGTTGACGGTCCGGCAACCCTTGATTGGCCAACACGGCGAACGTCAACAGAAGGTGTGCATCTGCCCCACTCGGTCACCAGGCGAAAGAGCTGTCTGCCAAAACCGCTGTGTGAAAGTGGGGCTCAAAGAAGGAGTCAGTGGCAGTCTCGAAAAGTCGTTCAAGCGTCCGTGCACTCGGGCACGTGAAAGGATGGCCCGAGCTTTCTGCACAATCGTAGCCCAGCAGTGTGCAACACCCACAAAATTCAATAGGCAAAAATTCCGAGAATTTCGACAACCGCCCCTCGACACCAGTACATCTTGGTCCACGCCCAACCGACAAGATGGCTACCGAACTGACCGTCCAGAGCGAGCGCGCTTTCCAGAAGCAGCCGCATAGTGAGTTTTCCTCGAAATGGCTGCATTCGAGTGCAGCGAAGAAATGGCGATTTGGCGGGCACTGACGACGGCAACCCTACAGTCTTCCTCAACAGCAAGACCAAGGTCAAGTCTGCCCGGCCGGGCAAGGGCGGTCGGAGATGGTACAAGGACGTTGGTCTGGGTTTCCGGACCCCTACTACTGCCATTGAGGGCCAGTACATCGGTACGTAACGAAACACGCGCTCCCGGCCGATCGACTCGCTCCGATTCCACGCGACGACAATAACGCTTCGCCGACGAGAGAGGAATTGGCGAAAAGAGGAGGCTATTTTGGAGTAAAAAACAGAGGTTGACTGGTGTTTTCTCTGCAGACAAGAAGTGCCCCTTCACCGGCATGGTTTCCATCCGCGGCCGTATCCTGACCGGCACCGTTGTCTCGACCAAGATGCACCGCACCATCATCATCCGCCGCGAATACCTCCACTACATCCCCAAGTACAACCGGTACGAGAAGCGCCACAAGAACCTCGCCGCGCACGTGTCGCCGGCTTTCCGTGTCGAGGAGGGTGACCAGGTTACCGTTGGCCAGTGCCGGCCTCTGAGCAAGACTGTACGTGCTCGATATTCCTGTATCAATGGGCGGTCTCCTCGAGATGCAGCCCGGACCCGGCACAACAGAAACTGACTAGCTGAAACAGGTGCGGTTCAACGTTCTCCGCGTGCTTCCCCGGACCGGCAAGGCGGTCAAGAAGTTCAGCAAGTTCTAGAGGGTTGGCGGGTCTTTCCATTGGGCATTTCTGGCGTGGTTTTGCTTTGAGGGACTTGAACTTATCAGAAACGGGACGGCTAGGCAGGAAAAATAACTGCTCCGGAGGACATGATCATGTGCCATAGAGGCAGGTCTTTCTGAATGAAATCCGCCAAGTGAACTTAACAGGCGCTATGATACCCCCGCAAGGGCGATGTACTGTAGAACAGTTTCCGGGAGCTCGCAAATGACGAGCCCAGATGAGATTCACAGTCCTAAATCAACCACCACCAGTCAAGCCATCCGCTTGAGTCTTGTCAGTGCTCCTTCATGTGCATGAGGCGACATCCAACCCTTTTCCCCTGATCCTTTGAGCGAAGCAAGGGCTCTGTGGTCGTAAATAGCAAACAACAAACCCGACCAATGCGGATGCTTTCGATGGGAGCTTGTCACTCATAAAAGAGACAGCAGTCGGAAATTGACAGGCATAACTCAAGTTGAGACATACGGCCAATACAACAGCCACTCGAACGATGCCGCCCCGTTAATCTTGCAACCAGAACTAAACACCCAGATCAGGGAGAGAGAGAGGTGTAGTTGTATTTACAATTTTCGGATGTTCAACGACATTACTACACTCCAGTAACCAAATAACACGGCACCGAAGTCAAGCCAAGTCACCTCCATTTTCAATGACCGAGTCGATAACCATAGGAACATACACACACACGCAAACATACCGACTCACCGACTCAATTCTCAAACCCAAATCAACGGATACAAAATCAAAACGCAAATAAAATTTATCACGCCCCTTACTAAACCCACGCGCCATAATAGAGAGGTAGCAAGCAGCCCAAGACCAGACCACAAACCACAAACCACAAACCAACCACCCAAACAATATCACATAAACACACCTAAAAACCAGCACCACTTCTCCCTTCCCCTCAACCCCGATCTACCACAAAGGCCCCCAACCGGGAGGTAAATACCCCTACAACCCCTCCCCAGCCGGCGTGTCGCCGTCCGTGTTCCCCGCGTGCTCGACGCCGTGGAAGGCGTCCCCGAACGCCGAGTCCTCCAGGTCCAGGCCCAGCTCGTCGCCGCTGGGCGGGTCATAGTTGGCCAGCGCGTCGCCGGCCGTGTCGAGGTCGCCCAGCGAGCTGAAGTCGTTGTTGTCCGCGTCCAGACCGGTGGTGGTGGCGGTGCCGCCGGGTGTGGCGGCTGCTGAGACGGGCTTGCTCTCCTCCGCCGTGGCGGTGGTGGTGGTGGTGGCGGCAACGGTAGTGGTCGGTTGGGTTGTGGCGGCAGTGGCTGCTGCTGCTGGGGGGATGGCGTCGTCTTTGGGGACGACGACCCAGTCGCCGCTTTCGGTGCCTTGGTCGGGGGCGGTGGCAGCGTCTTTGGGAGGTTCCGCATCGGCCATTTGGATGTCTTGTTGTGGCGCTGGGGGCTGGGAGACGGGTGCAGGTGCAGGGGAAGGGGAGGGGACATGGAGGTTGGACGGGGTGGCCGCGCTGGAGGGGATGGCGGATAGGTGGGGTTGCGGGGTTGGGAAGTTGTTTAGGGGGGTTGAGGTGGACGAGAAGCCGGTGTGCATATCCAAGAGCCCGGCCGCCGTGCCGCCCATGTCGATGTCCGAGTCGCTGATCAGGACTCCGGACCCGGCTTGGGATGGCTGCCGGGACATGGCGCTCGCGGGGTTAACGCCTGCTGGCGCTTGGGGCTGCGGTTGCAAAAGTTCCGGTTCGGGTGCCGGCTGCTGATAACCGCCGTCCTGAACGCGGTGAACGTCGTTGACGACAACGGCCCGCTTGCTCACGAGCTCCTCGACACGAGCAACGATCTCATCGAGCGACTTGGACGCCCCCTGGTTCCACTGGCTGCCAGCTTCATCGCCATCCTCGAGCCGCCCCTCAAGCCGCCAGATCTCGGCCCCGGTGCCTTCGATGGCACTGCGTAGGTCTTGTTCCGCATGCTTGATTGCGGCGTTGCCTTTGAACTTTGCCATTACCGCCGCGTGTTGCGCTCTGAGTTGCTCATTCTCGGCCGCGATAGCCTCATTTCGCGTCTGGACCCGCTTGCGGAACTCGGCCGCGAGACCTTCTCCGAGGTGGCCGGTATATGGCTTCTTGGGGCCCGCAGAAGACGCATCGCCCCCTTGAGCCTCAAATATCCCCTCGGTGAGTGAAGCAAGCTCGCCTTTCCGTCCCAGGCCAAGATCCGCCGCCTCGATCTGGCCGATGCGATACGGGGAGGACAGTATCTCCTCCATCCACTCGTGGTTTTGTTGATACCGAGTCATGCTCAGCTCGCGCGGGCTCAGATGATCGAACATGTCGCCGCGGGAGATGTCTTCCTCGTCATCAAACGCAGTTTCGTTGCTCTGGTACCCTGCACCCATCATCTGGGCCTGGTGACCCGCGGGAGCATGCCCGCCCCTCCTCTTGGGTGTAGGGCCAATGGCTGGACCCGCATGCGGAGGGTAGGCCATAGCTTGCGGGACGTGGCGTTGCGGCATCGGTGGTGCATACATTGACTGGCCTCGCTGAGGGAAGGGAATCTGTGGCCAGTTGACCCGGTCGGACAGCATAAATTCCTTGCGTACAATCTGTCCCATCTGGAACAGATGTTGGCGGAAGCTGAGAATCGGTTGCATCGGAGGCGGAATGCCAATCGCGTTGGCAGGCATTCGGTCAGGCTTCTCGGCCGGCCCATAGTGGACGATCCAGAGGTTGGGGTCGACCTGGGGCACGTTGGGAATCGGCACCTGGGGAGGGCAAAGCCGGAAGCGCCGCCTTGAGTGCACCGTATACTGCTCACCCATGCGGTAGCCAGCCCTCTGGAAGTAAATCTCGAGTCCCTATTTCATCCAGTTAGCTAGCACACCTAGAGCCCAAGGGGCAGCGTCCCAGCCGAAGGAGGGTTGCCCTTACCAAGCCATTGCCTGCGCTCTGTTGGTAGGAAACTTCGGGTCCAGCCCACACATATCCGTCGCTGGCAAATTCATTGCCCCGGCGAGCAGTCGGCTGCCAGGTAAGGAAGATGGACCCGTCGGCCGGGCATTCGAGGTATGTCCAGTAGAAGGGCGCGGTGTCCCGAGCGATCTTTGGCGCTTGCAGAAGCCATTTCGTTACTTCGGGCAAGTCGACCCTCGGCATCGATGCATATCGAAATGTCGACAAAAGATGCACATGCGGGAGCTGTGGTGCGAGGAGTTAGCGTCTTCACGACGAGGGGTGTGGGTGGGTTGGCGGCCCATCACCACTGCGCAAACATACCAAGTCCCCATGGACGTTCTGGCTTGGATCACCAGCCATTGTCGATCCCGGCAATGATGGTTTGGCTCAATGAAATTCTTTAGGATGGTGGTAGAGCTATTTTATGTGGGACCCAGGTCGGCGAAATAGTGTTTTGGTCTGAAGCAGAATCCTAACTTGGTGGTGTAATGAATGGATTGGGGTCTTGTCGCGGGACCCAAGCTTGGAGTTTGCGCTGGAGTCGCGCTTTTCGCGAATTGACCTGCGCTGCAGCGCTTCCAGGACACCTGCAAAATTGCCAAGCCCGAGCCACAAATGTCCGTTGTCAGGTCACGTGGTTTCCATGATCATTGTGAGCCGAAGATGTGGGACCTCCTGGCTCGCCGAGAACCTCTGGGGCTCGGAACACTCAACAACCGGGGAACATGGTGTTATCATCAAGATTTGGATTGAGTTTTGGGCATTCATTGATAGTATTTTCTATCTCCGTTTTACTTTACGTTCATTTCGTAAGCTGTCAACCCAGAAGGCATTTCCATCATTAAACAGCAAAAACAACAACAACCCTTCCTATGATTTGATTTAAGCCTGGTATGTCGACGCCGCAACATTGCCTCCACGGCCGGTCCAGTTGACGTGGATGTCCTTGCCCTCCTGGTACTTGGCGTTTGCCGCCTCCGGCTTGATGCGGAAAGTGTGGGCACCGAAGTAGTCACGCTGCGCCTGCAGCAGGTTGGCGGGCAGGTCCTTGGTGCGGTAGCCGTCGAACCACGACAGGGCCGTGGAGAAGGCCGGGGACGGGATACCGAGCAGGGCAGTCTTGGCAACGACGTCTCTCCAGCCGGGCTGCGCCTTGTGGATGGCCTTGTTAAAGAAGTCGTCGAAGAGGAGGTTCTCGAGGTCGGGGTTCTTGCGGTACGCCGCCGTGATGTCCTTCAGGAAGACGGAGCGGATGATGCACCCACCGCGCCACATGAGGGCGATCGACGGCTTGTTGAGCGTCCAGCCGTACTCGCGGGCAGCCTCCTGCATGAGCATGAAGCCTTGGGCGTACGAGATGATCTTGGAGGCATAGAGGGCCTGCTCGAGGTCGTCGAGGAACTGCTCCTTGTTGCCCTCGAAGGTGCTGACGCGGCCAACAAACTCGAGCTTGCTCGAGGCCTTGACACGCTCCTCCTTGATGCCAGACAGGCAGCGGGCCAGGACAGCCTCGGCGATAAGAGTCACGGGCATGCCAAGGTCCAGCGCGTTGACGGCGGTCCACTTGCCGGTACCCTTCTGGCCAGCCTTGTCCAGGATCTTCTCGACGAGCGGGGTGCCATCGTCATCGTTGTAGTACAGGATATCCCGGGTGATCTCGATCAGGAAGGAGTCAAGAACGCCCGTGTTCCACTTGGTGAAAACGTCACCGATCTCCTTGCTGCTCATGCCGAGGCCACGCTTCATGATGTCGTACGCCTGTGGAACATTGGTCAGTCTCGCGCTCCGCTAACAGGGGAGGCAAGGGCAGCACATACCTCGCAGATGAGCTGCATGTCACCGTACTCGATACCGTTGTGCACCATCTTGACGTAGTGGCCAGCACCCTCGTCACCGACCCAGTCGCAGCAGTCCTCGCCGTCGCTCTTCGCGGCGATGCTCTGGAAGATGCCCTTGATGTGGGGCCAGGCATCCTCGTGGCCACCAGGCATGAGAGAGGGGCCGTAGCGGGCACCCTCCTCGCCGCCGGAAACACCGGAACCGACGAAGCGGAGGCCCTTGGAAGCGAGGTACTTTGTCCTCCGGTTGGAGTCGGGGAAGTGTGAGTTGCCGCCGTCAATGATGATGTCGCCAGCCTCGAGGAGGGGCAGGAGAGTCTCGATCCAGTCGTCGACGGGCTTGCCGGCCTGGACGAGGAGCATGACGCGACGGGGCCTCTTCAGCTTGGAGACGAACTCCTCGACCGAGTGGGCGCCGACAATGGACTTGCCCTTGGCCTCGTTGGCAAGGAAGACGTCGACCTTGGACACGGTGCGGTTGAAAGCGCAGACGGTGTAGCCATGGTCGGCCATGTTCATGATGAGGTTCTGGCCCCTGCGCGCAGTCGTCAGCCTCCTGCCGGCAGCACCGGAGCTTCGGGGGAAGGGTTTGGGGGCGGCAACTTACATGACGGCCAGGCCGATGAGGCCGATATCAGCGCTGGCACCATCGTTAGCATTTTCCTGAGAGTGCAGCGACAAAGTGCCAGCTTTCAGAGCTCCGCCAACGTTAATGTTCGCTAGGCGGGCGCTGGAGGGAACTCAGTAGGTGGTAGAAAGAAAGCTGCCGTCCCCGCCGCGGGGCAGTCAACATCCGACGCGGCGCACCGCAAAGCAAAAGCAATGCGGGCTTCCAGCTGCGGCCGCAAATGGGTAATGCGCGAGTTGTTCGGAAAATGACTCCGAAGGCTGGGTGTTGGAGGGGCAGTGGCGGGGAGGTGGGGTAATTGGGACTTACACTGCGCCAGACATTGTGAAGGTTGTTTGCTTTGATGTCTTCGATATGTCGTTGACTGAAAGCGTGGTAACTGTGAGCTTCTCTGCTTGCGCAAGCTCGGAGGGGTTGGAAAGTGTGGTGTTGGAAGGGAAAGTCCTCAGCCAAGATGTCAATGGGGGGGAGATGGAAGGAGGAAGAAATGGAGCCGTGGGGTGGGAAAGTGCATGACGAAACTTTTAAAAGGAAGCGAGCTTCGATGTCGGAGGGGTCAATCGCGGGACTTCCAGCTAAGGTGACAGCCACTGAAGGCCACCTCTCTCACACCCTGCGGGTAATTACCTGACCGCGGGGGCTTACTCATTCATGACCTTGCCTCGTCTTCCTTTCCACCACCGGGGGCAGTTACGAAACACTCAAGCTGCCCCCTCGGGGCTTTGTTCGAATGCATCATCCAGTTCTTGGCCGACGCCCCCGACAGCCTTCTATTGTGCCTTGAGCTAGATCTTTCACGGGCCTGGACCTCCTTCAGCAGCTGTACCATCCAAGGAACGGTTACGGACCACCTCCTAACTTGACAATGAAGCCAGAGGTAACGATAACACAGGGTATCCCGGAACGGGAAGAGCTGTTGTTTTGACAGCAGGATCCGATCGGGTTGTCTGGAGCTCCGGCTTTGACGCGCAGAGCTACCTTTGCTATCCTGCTTGGTTGCTTGGTCGGATACACAGCACAATTGGCATGACTGAGCCTTTGTAAGGTTGCTCCGGAGGTAACAGGCAGGCACATAATGGCGTTATTTTTGCCCTCGTCAGACACAGAGTGCGTCGAATTGAGCATCCGTTGGTTTCGGACCCCGACGCCGCGCGCCAGGGAACACGGCACAGGCAAGCGGGTCACTCAGGGGACTCTGTTTGTTTCCAACTCCGAAAAGCCGCCATGCCAACTTCGGCAGCTTACAAAACAACAGCGTCTCCCATGTCGATTGTTGACAGTGCATTGCCGCCAGTCCCGAGAAGGAGCATTGAAGCGTTCCTCGGCGCAGTGTCATAGATTGGCACCGAGATATCGGCCCTTCCAACCGCGAGTCTCCGCGGATCGATCGGAGTTACACTGGCGGATGTGCGCCTCGGACATCAAGAGCGCGGGTTCTTGGGAGATGTTGCCCCCCACTGTCCGGACTCTGGCGGCGCTTGATAACCCCACCAAAGAGGGATTGCAGCGATGCAGTTGCTGACCCAAATTCCCGCACTTGAGCCATTGTGTTTGGAGCTAATGATTTCAGGCTCTTTTGGGTCGGCCAATGGGAGAATCCTTGGGCATGGTAGGGGTGAGGCGAGGAATTCTCTGCCTCCGATTGTCGTCCGTTTCCGATTCCGCTGTCTGGAAATGTTGAGCCAAGCGGCGCAAAACACCAACATGGGAGGGCGAGGAGGGGTCCAGTTGCCCCTCCATTGGGTGGAGGTTGGGGGCACACGAGGGAACATCCCACTCTGCATGAACGCGCTTGTTATCGTCACTTTGTGGACGGCTAAAAGAACAGGGTGCGAGGCCTCAAATAAAAAGTCACCGATTGACCTGTATGCACGGACCACAAACCCTTCCAAAACCCGTTCCTGCCCACGCCACATCTTTCAAGTTCCGAGTGTAAAAGTTCAGCCACTCGGCGCACCCTTGTGGCCCGGGGCCGCTGACACCGCAATTTCTCGGCGGCCAGCAACCTCCAAGCGCGTCGCCACAATCTTCTTTGCCTATCGCATCGAGTCGAGTCCCCTTCGCAGCTTTTTCGTGAGCCAGCCACAGCCAACTCGCCAACCCGATCGAAAGGTTGTAGGAGCAAAATCGCCGCCGGACTGGGCTCACAGGTACGTCACAATTACCGCGCATATATTGCTGCAGAATACATTTCCCCCGTCGGGCGCAAGAAATTCATCATGTCGTACCCGGGTCCTCCAGGTCATCCATCGCTCCCTCCGCGCCCGCCCGCCAGCAAACTCTCGGGGTTCAAGCCCGCTTTCACCCCAGCACAGGTAGCCCCTCCAGCCGTTTCGGGCTCGGGCTACACAGCACCGACGCCGTCATACCCCGGCTACGGGCCGGCCACGACATCCGCCAGCTATGGCGCACCTCCGTCTGCATCACCCTACGTGGGTAACCCTTCAGCTCCCGCCCTAGGCGCCGGCCGTGGGGGCTACGGCCAGACGGGAACATACAACTATGCGCCAGCACAAAACTACTCGCAACAGCCGCCGTCCTACTATAGCGCCCCAGCGGCCACCGGCAGCTACTCGACGCCGCCTCAAATCCGAAACCCGTTTCCGGCGCCGGACAGCGGGGCCACAGACTTCGACCCGGAGATGGCGGCGCAAATAGCCCAGTGGCAGAGCGCGTACATGCCCAAGGACCCCAACGACCCGGCCAGCAAACCCGCCGCCGCCAACGGGCGGGCGGGCACCGGCGCCCCGGGCGCCGCACAGGGCAGCACGGCAGAAGCGATCGACAGCACGGCGGCGAGCGGCGACCCCAACGAGAAGCAGAAAACGGTGTACCGCGAGGGCGGCGGCAAGAAGTGGCAGGACGACTCGCTGCTGGAGTGGGACCCGGCGCACCTGCGGCTGTTCGTGGGCAACCTGGCGGGCGAGACGACGGACGACTCGCTGATCAAGGCGTTCGCGCGGTGGAAGAGCGTGCAGAAGGCGAAGGTGGTGCGCGACAAGCGCACGACCAAGAGTAAAGGGTTCGGCTTCGTCAGCTTCAGCGACCCGGAGGACTTCTTCCAGGCCGCCAAGGAGATGAACGGCAAGTACATCCAGAGCCACCCCGTCGTCGTGCGCAAGGCCAAGACGGAGATCAAGCCGGCCATGGTGAAGGAGGATCGGAGGGGGAAGAAGAACCAGAGGAAGGGCGGTGGCGGGAATAAGAGCGGTAGTGGCATGGGGGCTGGGGCCGCGGATGGTGCTGGTGCATACGAGCCGCATCTTGGGCCGATGGGAGGGAGTGGCATCACCAAACCTGGGCAGAAAACGAAGGGAGGGCTGAAGCTGCTTGGCTAGATGGGTTCGTTGGGCGTTTATTTCCGTCTTCGAGCCGCCCGTCATTGCGGGATGGTAAAACTATAATAGACCAGCTTCTCCTAACCAATCTCAGATACCGGAACCCTCAGACTGGTATACTGTGTGAGAAAAGTGTGATATATCAGCGAGCCGAGCAAACAAGGGATGTTCTATAATGCATCGCCTGCTAGTCCAAACAGCTTAATGTGCCTGTCCCCAAGCCTTCTGCGTTCCTCCAACCTTTCGAAATACACCAAATCGAAAGCCAAAAAAATACGCAGGTTATGTGGGTATCATGATACTATGCCACTTTGAATCACGAGAAATGTATAATGCACGTTCAATCCCGACCTGTCCTCCCATCCCCTGACACGCGCCCAGCCTCGGGCGCCGTCGTCAGTTCCACCCCCGGCCCGGCAACGACATCCCCGTCAGCGGTGAACAGCACCGCGTCGGCATCCACACTCCGCCTCAGCAAACCCGCGTCCTCCTGGTCATCGTCCCTATCACTCCCACTGCCGCTGCCGCTCGGCGACATGTCGTCGTCCTCGGTAGCCAGGTGACCGCGGCGCACGTCGGTCTGCGCCTCGTTGCGCATTTTGTTGATCTTGATCCAATTGTACGCCGCAATGGCGGCGATCGTGACGACCAGGCCGATAATGTTGACGGCAGTCATGGTATCGCCAAAGACAATGGCGGCGGCCGAGATGGTAACGGCCTCCTTGAAGATGCCCGCGATGGAGAGGGTCACGACCGAGGTGCGCTGGAGCAGGGCGAACTCGGAGGCGGTCATCAAGAAGGCGATGACACCCGGGAAGAGGATGATCAGCGGGGCGACGAGCAGGCCATTCTTCTCGGCGATGGTCTCCAGGCCGGCGAGCAGCTCGCGGGGCCCCTCGACGGGGATGGCGATGCAGACGAGGGTGAGGAACATGACGGGGGCGAGGAAGAAGATGCTGGAGAAGGGGTTCGACGTGGCCGGGTTGCGGAGCAGCAGGATCTGGGTTAGGGCCCAGCGGAAGCCCGAGAAGAAGGCCGCCGCGATGACGAGCACGAAGCCGCCTAGCTTAAATTCGACCTCGCCTGCCACCATCATCACGACGCCCATGGTCATGGTGGCAATAATGCCTACGAGCTTCCAGGTCGGAGATTCGAGGCGGAAGAGGAAGGCGAAGATCAGGACGAAGGCCAGGGAGGAGGATTTACACATGGCTAAAGGGTGGGTATTAGACGGGTGGAGTGGCATGGGGGTTTGGCGTCAGCTCGACTTACTATAAAAGGTGAGGGTGATGAACTGGAGCGAAGTGTTTCCCAGGCCAATATCAAGACCGGTCGCCACGCCGCAGGGCCCAATTCTTGTGAGGTAGAACATCTTCGTCATGATGGGCCGTTCTGCTTCATGTCTTGACTGGCCCAGATCGGACCTGTAGCTGTTCTTCGGTCGTAGTGAAGGAAAAATAAACAATATCAACGACGCTAATGAAAACTGCACGAGGAAATGCACGGCGGTTGTGAACATAGGAAAACGAAAGTCGAGTTTGTCGGGTGAAAACATCCATTTGTTGTACTGAGCAACAGTTAGCAAGTCGGAGCGACATAAAACCATAACGGAGGGGGCATCTTATCCATACCAAGGATATCAATAAAGAGAAGAAGTACCAGAGCCCGATCAGAACGCCATTGATCAACAAGCTCTTGGCGACGCTGCGGTCTGCCTCGTGCTTCTCCTCCGGGGAGATGTCGTCACTGACTACCCGCTGATCGAGCAACTGGTTTCTCCTCTTCTTCCGCTTCTTCCTCCGCTTGTCTTTCCCCGTCAGGCCTGCCTCCTCATCATCGTGGAGGTCTTCGTCGGTAAAGCCACCCTCGTCGGTGTCGTCGAGCCGTGGAGTCTCCCCATCGCTGCTCTCTTCGACAATCTTGTCCTCGGGGTCCCCGCTGGCGGGTGTCCGGATTGGCTGAGACCTCGCTCCTGGAGAACGATGGCGACTATTTGAGGCATTGGCGGGATTAATCAGACTGCTTCGCCGGCGACGGTGGCCGGCTGGCGTAACGGCATCCATCTCGATGTCGTCGGGGCCCAGACCCGCGGTTGGGGATTGTGGATTTAGACCCGTCCGGGGGGGTTCGGGAACCGGTACAGCGGATACTCTGGGATCCTCCGCTCCGCTGGTGACTGCTGTCGCGTGTCCCAACGTTGAGGGCGCTGACGGGTGAGGAACGGCGTCTAAGGTGGCCGAAGAGCTCGAATTGACTTCTGCAATGGCAGTCGGCGGAGGAGGATCGGAGGACGAAATGTTCGATGAGAAAGGAACTGGCATTGTTTGGGCAAAAGATGAGGCCTCATCGTGGTCCAATTGTACAAGCGTGGGGAGGCGCCCTTCGGCAAGGTCAAGCCGGAGAATGCTTGCATGCCAGATGGGCAGATGAGCAGTGGAGTTGCCGAGCACGAAACGCGACGGGGATTGGCTTTGAAGGGCCCAGATGACCGGGATCCCGGTTGAGTCGAGACCTCGAGGGGCGTTGAACAGCCGTAGACAGCTGTTGGCTGCTGCAGTGGCACACCGCCAAGGTGCCCAGCCAAGACCACTTACATAACATTTCTAGCAGCAGATCGGAGAGTGAGCTGGCTAACTTGGCTTCCTGCCGCCTGCCACCTACCTCCGAATCTCCGGTTCAAGAAATTCACAGTTTCTCTCAAACCATGGCTTCCATTCTTTGGGCTTGGGTTCCAGGACGGTCGTATCCGCGAGCCTTAATTCTGAAAATGTGTTTCAGGTGAACGGAATGGCTCACTATATTTTTAACCGGGCCGGGGAGAAAAGACCCAGGTGCCAATTCTTCCGAACTGAAACGGGCGTCCATGTCGTAAAATTTGGAGCTTGAAATCGGGTAAAGAAGGGAGGACAACAGGTTTGTCTTGGGGAAAACCTGACCGCCTTTTACAAGAAATTCGACAACAGGTTACCTACTGTGTAGTACCTAATCTGGAGTTCCTTCACAACAAGTAACCTCGGGCCTTGTCAGCTTAGACGACAAACCTGTCGATTTACACAACTCTTTTGCTGGGACCTGTTCCCTCCACGGTCTCGAGATGGTCGAGCCAATGCCCGACCAGATTATTCTTTCTCTTGGGGCCAGGAACGATAGAGAGCGGACGATACGACCCGATCGAGCCTTACACGTGCTCGTGGAGACGTGCCTCAACTCTCACCAGCGTTGGCCTATCATTAGCGACTGACCTGAACTGGATGTTGCCACTGCCGCTCACAGCTGCATGGCCCACCGGGATTACTCAGGTCGAAGCTGCGTCATGGCTGATCGATTCAAGTTCCTCCACTTACACAAACTTCACGTAATCGATACTCATCACCGGCTTCTGCATGAACTTCCGCGCTTCAACATGTGCAGCACAAGACAGCATGCAACTACACAGTAAGGTGCTGACTCAGGTACCACAGCTTCAGCATAACTCTACTGCCTGCACAAGTACACCCCCCCGCATGACTCCAAGAGTCTAGATCCAGTTCCTTCCAAGTAGAGATGGCAAAGCTGGTGCTGGCGAGCTGCTTCGAGAATGCGAATGCGGGGTGATGCGGCTTGAACCGTAATGGGTGGTGCCCCTTTCTCTACCCCGCAAGTCGTGGGTGGGATAGTCGGGGATGGTGAATGCATCTCCAGGTTCCAAGTTGCTATAAGTCATCGCTAGGGTCCTCTTGGTCGTGTGCTGTGCTAGTACTAGTAGTCCCCGCCGGAAATCAAGAAATCAAGGTTGAGGAAGGAAGCTTGGAACTGGTGGTCCCTGATCATCCCTCCTCCCTTTGTTGGCGTCATTATCTCATTGGCTATACCAACATCCAATCCGGTCTTCCCTTCAGCTCGAGTTCATCTCAACACACACTACAAACCGAACGCAGCCTTTAGCTTGGGCTATCTCATACCTCACTTCGGAAGACATTCTTATAACATTTGTCTGTCTCTCACAATGGCTGCCCCTTGTGCGGCTCAGAACGAGAGCCAGATGCGGAAGTCGGGTGCTGGCTACCTCCCCATCGAGAATTATGGCCTGATTGGCAACATGAGGACCTGTGCTCTGGTTGGCATGGATGGTAGCGTTGATTTCATGTGTTGGTGAGTGCATTGTGCTCGTCGAGACGGTTTCGTGATTCCCATCCGAGCCTTCCGATAAACATGTTCTGTCTATGCCGAGTTACTCACACCCTTCAGGCCCGAGTTCGACTCGCCCTCGGTTTTCTGCCGTCTTCTGGACAAGGACAAGGGAGGTTACTTTAGTATCCATCCGGCTACCCATCTGAGCTGCACTACCAAGCAGCAGTATCTCCCGTCATCAAACATCCTACAGACCCGCTACATCCACGAGGACGGAGTCGTTGACCTCGTCGACTTCTTCCCCCGCCCAAAAAATGCAAAGGTCATCTCCAAGGGCCCCAAGCAGGGCGCCTACCGCGAGATGACCAGTGTTCAGGAGGAGCTCAAGCAGTGGCTAGTTCGCCGTGTCGAGTGTATCCGCGGCCGTCTCCAACTGGGTCAGTACGGCGAGTGGTTACAGAGGATGGACCTTCAGGCTGACAAATTCCCCCCTGACGGGTAGATGTCGAGATATTCCCTGCCTTTGACTATGCTGCAGAACCGCACACCACCACCGTGCTCCAGGAGGAAGGTGTCCCGCACAGCCGTCATAGCAAGACGGCAACCTTCCACAGCAAGGGTGTCAAGCTCCAACTCGATGTCAGCATAGACCGTGGCGAGGACAATGATAGCAGTTGGCCCATCGTCCGCTTCAAGAAGGTTTCGAAACCCGGCATGCTAGGCGAGGGCGTGGTCGCCAGCATCGATATCTGCGAGGGCCAGGCCGTGTCTTTCGTCATCCGGAATGATGTTGAGGACCACATCACCGAGAACATCACCAGCGCCGTGCTTGACACGCAACAGCACGACACCCAGACGTACTGGTACAACTGGATTTCCCAGAGCAAGTATAAGGGCCGCTGGCGCGAGGTCGTGGCGCGGAGTCTCATGATCTTGAAGCTCATGACCTACGAGCCGACGGGAGCCATCATCGCCTCCCCGACCTTCTCCATCCCCGAGGACATTGGAGGCGTCCGGTGAGACAAACCACCTTTTCCTAGATCCCTCCCCCCCATACTGTTCTAACGGACACACTGACCCCCAGATCAAGCAATTGGGACTACCGGTTCTCGTGGGTCCGTGACTCCAGCTTCACCATTTACATCCTGCTGCGTCTAGGCTTCACCGAGGAGGCCGACGCCTACATGGAGTTCATCAGCGAGCGCTTCCTCAAGTCACGCGTGTCCGACGGCGGGCTACCCATCATGTTCACGATCCGGGGCGACACCGACATCCCCGAGCGCGAGCTGACGCACCTGGACGGGTACCGGGGTAGCAAGCCGGTGCGGATCGGCAACGGCGCGGCCTTCCACCAGCAGTTCGACATCTACGGGGAGCTCATGGACGCGATCTACTTGTACAATAAGTACGGCAAGCCGATACACTGGGACCTGTGGTGCACGGTGCGCGAGATGCTCGACTTCGTGCTCACCATCATGAACCAGCCCGACATGTCCATCTGGGAGGTGCGCAACAACAAGCAGAACTTCACCTACTCCAAGGTCATGCTTTGGGTGGCCTTCGACCGCGGCCTGCGCCTGTCGGACAAGCGCAACTTCCCGTGCCCCAACCGCGCCAAGTGGCTGGCCGCCCGCGACGGCCTGTACGAGGAGATCATGGAGAAGGGGTACAACAAGGAGATGAAGTGCTTCGTCCAGAGCTACGAGAGCCAGACCATGCTGGACTCATCCATCCTCATCGCCCCGCTGGTCTTCTTCATCGCCCCCAACGACCCCCGCTTCCTCAACACCATGGACCGCATCATGCTGCCCCCTGACAAGGGCGGTCTGACCAGCACCGGCTTGGTGTACCGGTACAACACGGAGCTGTCGGAGGATGGTGAGTTATCCTTGACACCCTACCCGCCGTTGAAAAATATGAAAGCCAGCTAACATCCCCTCTCCCCATCAAGGCGTAGGCGGCCGCGAGGGTGCTTTCAGCATGTGCACGTTTTGGCTGGTGGAGGCCATGACCCGGGCGTCGGTGTACGAGCCGAAGTATCTGGTGCGGGCTATCAATTTGTTTGAGAACATGCTCAGCTTCTCGAATCACCTGATGATGTTTTCCGAGGAGATATCCCGCAGCGGCGAACAACTGGGGAACACGCCACAGGCTTTTAGCCACCTTGCTCTGATCAGCGCGGCTTTCAACCTTGATCGCGTATCGGAGTTCAAGAGATAAGGGGGATGTAGGCAGGTGCTTTTTTTTTTTTTTTTTTTTTTTTTGGGTTGTGTAGGGGTGCAGCGAGAACTGCTCTTGGATGACTCCATGCCGGTTGCCGTGTTTCAATAATATACTGCTGCATAGGTATGATAGTATCACTGTTGGTCTGCCCTAACACGGGGTATGTGTATTCCTGTCCCCGTGGGCTCACCGCCGGCGTTCAAGCCAAAGGGAGGTATTCTACGTAAGAATGAATATTCTGTATTAGCATCCAGTTCCAAACGCCATCGCTATGCTGCTTCGGTTTCCTATTTACTCTCCTCCCATCTTGTCACAACGCGGCCCTTCATTATCCCCATGCCTCCGTTGCTACAATGCCCTAACACACGTTGCCTATGAATCCGTTTGTCTCATGACAGATCCATCTCATCCGCAATGCTGCGATCGCCGAGCGAGCTCAGGCCCGAACTAGGCGGCCGTGAGTCTTCCCTGTCGCCATTCACGGAATGATCGCCATTCAATTCGCCGAAGTGATTCTGCAGGACCGGCGGCTCAGGCGTTTTCTGCCCCGCGATCCGCCTCCGCTCCTCCCAGACGAAAATACTCGGGCACTCGCCCCCTTCGACTAGGACGTCACCATGCTCGATGCTCCTGCCGAGTAGCGTGCCCAAGTATTTCGAGTCGTCGTCATTCTTGCTGTGTTTCTTTTTCAGGGCTGCTCTGCCGTCAGTACCTCAACCCGCCCACGCCGCCCAAAGGGAGAACTCACCATCCAAATAATCCCCCGCCTCATCCACCCCATCCAGCGCGATCCTCGTAATCTCCCTGTTGAGCGACCCCATCGCCCACGCGATAAAATTCTCCACGCCACGCACATCCTCCTCGCCCAGGTACTCCTGCTCCTCGGGGAGCCGCTCGGGCAGGAGGGCGCCGGCCCGCTGCAGCGCCATGCGCACGTCGACGATAGTCGGCGCCGGTATCACGGGGTTCACCGTCGCCGCTGCTCCCCCGCTACCGCTACCGCTACCGCCAACCCCAACACCAACACCAACACCAACCCCACCGGTGCCTCCGCCGTCGTTATCAGCGGTGCTACTACGCCTGCTGCTGCCGCCGCCGCCGATCCCGTTCTCGGTCCCGTGCGGCCGCGCCAGGAGCGCCGGCAGCGGGAGCTCGTCGTTGTTGTGGGCCGCGTAGACGGCCGTCAGCTGGCACAGGTGCAGGAAGTAGCGGGCGGCGAGGTCGGTGACGGAGTCGATGACCGAGGTCTTGGCGCTGTGGTAGCCCGTCGCGCGCAGGATCTGGAGGACGGCCGGGCGGAGGAGCGCGTGGAAGAGCGGTGGTGGTGGTGTCATTTTTTCTTTTTTTTTTGAGGTGAGGGGGGGTGTTGGTCGGTCGGTGATGTGATGGTTCTCGTGTGGTCTTGGGTGAGTTGGAGTTGAGAATGAGAAAAGGGTTGTCGTCGATGTCCGGATTAGATGACAGAGGTTCCTGCGGAGAAGTCGTGGGATGATTTCTGCTGGCCTAAGATGAGATACGAATGAAAACCTCGAAGCTGCTGTTCTCTCTTTCTCACTGGCAGGTTGCTCATGCAATAGAGGAATTGTTCATGACCGGCTCATCAACAATTTGTCCCTCCGAATCTCCCTCCCTCCGCCTGCGAAGCAGGGTTGTCTTGTTTCACCACTGTAAACAACCCGCTAATTAGGGTCAAAATATGTCACAACATCTGTCGAGGTGCGTGGTTGCCAGTTCCTCGAGGTATCTTGGTGGACGGCGTGTTGGATTTCAATTGTGCCCAGGTGCATCAGTAAAGTGGGTTTTCTGGCGCGTTGAACACGGGAGCGTGTGGGGCGGCCGTGGTGCCAAGATATCAACCAAGCCGCGGGCGCCTTCTGCGTTTTCTCTTGTCTTCCTGCCTTCTCCCTCTCGAACAATAGCAGGTCAATAGCACGCACGGGCATTGAGGAGAAACTGTAGGAAAAAGGGGAGTAGCTTAATACTGCAGACAAGGTGAGTTCCTCCGCATGGAGCAAACAGGCTGTAAACTACCGAGGTATATAATCAGCTTCTCCCTCCCTTCCCAAAGCTTTTTCGCACCTCAGCTGTGGTGACTCTTGCTTAAAGAACGAAGTCCCGTCTCGGACCCCACCACCTTCATCCTTGTCCCGCACCCCACACCCTGGGGTTCCACAGTCCACTTCAATCATTGCCAAGAACCCAGGCCACTCAACAGAGCCAGGGTTTATCAATCAAGTCGGCGCATCGCGTCGCATCTTCAGGTTCCGGAGATCAGCCATTCACCAACTGGCCAACCGCCGGCCATCACAAACCTCGAATCACGACCTCAACAGAACTACACGACGGCAACCGCGAGTCTTTTTCTTATCTTTGACCGTTCGTAGCCGCCAGCCACATCCTTTTCCCGGGGAGCAATCGACGTGCCAGCTTCTGTCGCCGAAGCCTCCCAATCTCGTACTTGAGCCTTCCCGCGACGTTTATCACGACGACCCCGTTTCCAGGTTTACACGGCAATCCTTTCGTCTTTCTCAGCACAGTCAGTCAGGATGGAGACGACACAGAAGCCGCCGGGGCCAAAGAAGCTGCCCAGCCTGAAAATTACCAACCGCGCAACTCCCGCTGGCGGTGGTGCCATGATCACTCCCAATACCTCGTTCCAGCAGTCCACGTCACCCACTCCCCCAACACCGTCCCAAGGGCCGTCAAAGATTCGCCTTGTTACGAAATCACAACCGTCAACGCCGGCCGAATCCCGCCCCCCGAGCCTCTCGTCACGCCCTACAGCAAACGGCTTGGACACAATATCCGCTGTACCGAAGATCACACAAACGAAAACGGGCAGAATCAGCAAGCCATCCGCAAAGAAGCGAACGAGAGAAGTGAGTGACGATGACGAGGACCGCCCTCTTCGTAACGGTACCACTCCACACCAGTCAAAGAAGACAAAAATCACTCTCAAGCCGACCACACCTGGCCTCGTGAGGCAACCGACGCTGAAGGTCAAACCTGTCGGCCGGATCCCACAAAAGCCTCTCGGCGAGGGCTACGATTCGGAGGCGGAGGATCGCGAGGTCGACCCGGTCATCGAAGAGCAATTCCTGTTCCGCATGCTGCCCGGAGAGCCCAGCGAGTACCTGCGAACAGCGATCCAAAACAAACAGATTGGTCTTCCCAAGTCACAAGGAGGTGCGGATTTCCAGGTTAAATGGCTGGATGACGAAGGCCGTCGCGCCGTGGTCACCGTCAAGGGTCAGCTGTACGCCGCCATTCTTCTGGATCTGCCCAGCATCACTGAGGGCATGAAGACCTGGGACAAGAAGGCAATGGTCAAGTCGTCGGACATCTGCCAGATGCTGATGGCTTTCGCTCAAGTCCAAAGTGAGGAGGAGGCCAAGACGGCACCCCTACCCAAAGCCGTCGAGCATGGTCACAGGTGGCCCCACGGCATCACGCCACCGATGCACGATGCGAGAAACCGTCGGTTCCGCAAGCGGCTTAGCAAGCTGGAAATCAAGAATAAGGAGGCTGAGGTCGATAGGCTGCTCGCGTCTGATCGTGAGGCTCTGACAGTCCGGACCGAGTGGATCGACAATAACAAAGACGGCACTGGGAACGAGGAGGAAGAGGAGGAGTACGAAGAGGACGCCGAGGGCGAGGCAGACGACTACTTCGGCGATGGCACCATGGGCCAACTGCCCGAAGAGGAGGAAGAATTCGAGGTCGATGACGCCGCTCTCGAAGCCGAGTTCCTAGAGGCCGTCGAGACACCACTCGTCGAGACCCCCGGGCTAGGAGTCGATGCCGCTACGCCCGGTACCATCGCCGCCCCCACGCCTGCCCCGCAGGCTGAGGAAGAGGCGGGCGACGCCGAGGAGGAGGAATCGGACGAGGAAGATGAGGAAGACGGGGACGAGGACGAGGACGAGGATGACGGCGATGAGGACGAGGCGGCGGCGGCGACGCGGAACGTGATTGCCAACCTCAAGAAACAACTTAAAATGTACGAAGTCCAGCTGGCGGCCTCGGTGCAACCCATCATGAGGAAGCGACTCGAGGGGAACATCAGGAACGTCAAGGCGGAGATTCTGCTCAAAAAGTCGTCTATTGGCGAGACGGAGGAAGATTAGGGTTTTCGAGAAACCTGGGCCTGCGCTTTGCAGGAGGGGTTATCACTAGGTTGCTTTTAAACCCAGCGATGCAATGTAGCCATGGCCATGCGAGCAGTAGGTTAACCGCCCATGGATTGGCACCTTATGAACTTAAAAAAATACAATAATGACGACCGAAGTCGATGCAATGGTGTACTTGTGCCAAAAGATTACATACAATACACAATGTTTGTACACATCTGGACGCCTTCGCCCACCCGTCCGGGTGTCCCAATAACTCTATCCCATCCCCAGCACCCGCCATATGCTCCCCCATCCAACACCTCGGCAGCCACCCGCCCACCACCCGGCGGCAGCCCCTCCCACCCCAACACCAACAACAACAACCACAGCGATTTACATAGCCTTGAGGTAGTTGCTCTCCTTGATGCCCGCGCGCCGCTCCTTGCGCATCGCCCGGCGCAGCTCCTCCCGCTTGTCCACCGCCTCCACCGCCTGGCCCAGGTTCCCGGCCTCCGCCGCCGGCAGGTTGATCGTCTGCTTCTGCAGCGGCACCTTGGGCGCCAGCGCCTCCAGGTCGCCCGACGCCAGCAGCCGCGCCTCCTGCACCCGCTTCCGCTTGAGCGCTATGCGGCGCTGCTTTTTGGACTTGGCTGGGGGTGGTGGTGTGAAGGGTTAGTGGGGGTGGGTTGGGTTGAGTGGGTTGAGTTGGGGGAGGGGAAGAAAGGGAGATGGAGGGAGTGGGAAAAGAGATAGAGGGAGGGAGGGGCAGAGGCAAAGACGTACAGAATTCATCCCCCGCATCCGTGTCGGCCTCGGCATCGGCCTTCTTCTGCACCTCGAGACAGTCCCACAGCCACGCCGGGTAGGCGTCGTCGGCGAGCGCGACGGGGTCGCTCTTGCCCTTGATGTAGTTCAGGCCCGCGAGCACCGTGCCCTCGGCGCAGGAGGAGCGCGATGCAGCGCCAGCCTCGCCGCCGGCCGGTGTGAGGGGCGTCAGGTCTGGCGTCGATTCGGCTGCTGCTGCTGCTGCTGCTGGCGCTGCGGGTGCGGCCGCGGCTGGTGATGGGGTGGCATTGCGCGTGCGGATGGTTGTCGTGAAGGTGCGTGCCGCTATTGTTCGTGTGAAGGGTTGCGGCGTTATTTGCCGGGTTGTGAAACCTGCGGCTCGTCGGAGACACGTTCGGCAAATCATGGTTATGTGGGTGTGGTGTTGAATCGGCTTGTTGCGAGTTGCGAAGTGGGTGGGTGAGGGATGGAATTGGAGCTAAACTAAAATTTCTATGGAGATCGAGATGGGCCAGGTGCGCATTTTCGATATCAAACATCGAGACAGCCCACCGCAAACCAACCATCGAAAAAAAAAAACAGCCGAAATACTTACACTCAGGAGTAGTATTGTTAGTACAAGTTTCTTGGTGTTTTATGCGTTTCAATTGCCTGTATGTACAATCAATTGAATCCCTAATGTTGGGATTCTGAACTGGCTAGGTCCAAACTTCCCCATGGCCTTCCACTAGCCCACGCAGCCCCAGGACGCATTTCCCCTCCATGAACCTGCGTCCAGTCCAAAACACTCATTCACGCACCCCAGCAGCGTGATTGTTTATTGCTGCGGCGCACCATCCTTCGAGAAGGAGTTCTGCTGCTCGAAAAGGTAGCCCTTGACCTTGGCAGTCCCGAGCAGTTGGAGGTATCGTTCTGCACTTCGGTTAGCATCCTCCTCTCCTGCTATTCTACCATTGGAAACCTGGCTGTTGCGTGTGGTATTTTTGCGAGACTGCCAACTGCACGCATCCCATATCCATATCCTCTGTCCCACCAAGCCTCTCTCTTCCGTCGGGGGATGCATCGACTGACCTCTCAGCCGACCGCACTTCTCCAGGTGGTTGACACCTTCCCGGTAGTAGCACTTGCTCAGCTCCTCCCGGACCAGCCGTCCCATCATGACTTGCACCCATTGCTCGCGAATGATGGCATCCTGGGCCTGCTTGAGACGCTTCGTATCGTCGTAGTCGACACCGTCGAATGTGGGGGGGACCTGGGGCTTCTTGGCCAGGAAGGCCTCGGATTCGGGAGTCGGCATAATGACGTGTTGTTGGCTGCACCGAGCGTTCTCAAGTGAGCGCAGGCCGTGTGATGGAGTGAGTGCTGAGCGGGACGTCGGTTCGGCCGCTTCAATGAAGCTGTGATGCGCACCTTCCCTGCGTTTCGCCGACAGCCAATGGCAAGCTAGCGGAGTTTGTGCCCGGATTCTCAGGCAGTGTAGCAGTCTTGGCATGTGACCCGCCATCCGCCCCGCCAAAATTTTCAGCGATAACCTTATCTACCTCCAGCCACTCCTTCCCCAAGTTTTTTCTGTTTTTTTTTCTTCCCTCGAGTTCTCCTTCCTCACCTTTCTTCACACAATTGTCCCTTTGGAAAACTTTTCAATCTATTTTCCATCAATCACATCAAATTCACAATGGGCAAGACAAAGGACACCAAGGCCGTCAAGGCCAAGGCTGCCCCCGCGAAGGCTGCCGCGCCTGTCAAGGCCGTTGCCGCGAAGGTCGAGAAGTCCAAGGGCGCCGCCAAGAAGGTCGTCAGCAAGAAGTCCAAGAAGGTCGAGTCTGAGTCGGAGAGCGATTCCGAGAGCGAGTCGGACTCTGAGGCTAGCGACAGCAGCTCCGAGGAGGAAGCCGACTCCGAGTCGGACGTTGAGATGGCCGATGCCCCCAAGGCCGCCGCCACTAACGGCAAGGCCAAGGCTGCTAAGGCCAGCTCTGATTCCGACTCTTCCGACTCTGACTCTGACTCTGAGGAGGAGTCTGAGGAGGCGGAGGAGGAGAAGCCTGCTCCCAAGGCTGCCAAGGCGAACGGCAAGGCTAAGAAGGTCGAGTCTGAGTCTGAGGACTCGGATGAGGTGAGTTTTATTTAAATCCGCGGCGCACCATCCTAGTTACTGACGTTTACTTCCTAGTCTGAGGACGATGACGAGGATGAGGATGACTCCAGCGACTCTGACTCTGACGATTCCGACTCCGAGGAGGAGTCCGCCGAGGAGAAGCCCGTTGCCGAGAAGCCCTCGAAGAAGAGGAAGGCCGAGGAGGAGCCCGAGGCCGCTGATGCCTCCGCCAAGAAGACCAAGTCCGATGGCGAGGATTCCGAGAAGAGCTCCACCCTTTGGGTTGGCAACCTCGGCTGGGGTGTTGATGACAACGCCCTGTACGAGGAGTTCCAGAGCATCGACGGCATCGTCAGCGCTCGCGTCGTCAGCGACAAGGAGACTGGCCGCTCGCGTGGCTTCGGGTACGTCGACTTCAACAGCGCCGAGGCTGCCGAGAAGGCCTACAATGAGAAGACCGGCGCCTTCCTCCAGGGCCGTGACCTCCGCCTTGACTTCGCTTCCAAGCCCAGTGGCGATTCCGCGCCCAATGCTCGTGCTGCCGACCGTGCTCGCAAGCACGGTGATGTCATCAGCCCCCCGAGCGACACCCTCTTCGTTGGCAACCTGCCCTTCAGCGCCGACGAGAACTCTGTCTCGAACTACTTCAACGAGGTCGCTCAGGTCCAGAGCCTCCGCATCCCCACCGACCAGTGAGTAACCATACCCTACACGCTCGATCTTGCAGACTGTTAACCATTCACTTAGGGAGTCTGGCCGCCCCAAGGGCTTCGCCTATGTGACTTTCTCCTCGATCGATGATGCCAAGAATGTGTTTGAGTCTCTCAACGGCGGTGACCTGGATGGCAGGCCCGTCCGTCTGGACTATGCCAAGCCCCGTGACAACAACGGCGGCGGCGGCGGTGGCTTTGGTGGCGGCCGTGGTGGCCGTGGTGGTCGTGGCGGTGGCCGCGGCGGTTTTGGTGGCCGTGGCGGCGGTGGTGGTTTCGGCGGCGGCCGTGGCGGTGGTCGCGGTGGTGGTCGCGGCGGGTTCGGCGGTGGCCGCGGTGGTGGCGGTGGCTTCCAGGGCAAGCGCACGACTTTTTAAGTCAGATGATACAGCCGCACATGAGGGACACAACGAGGGTTTTGCACAGTACCATTCGAGGGCTTGTGGGTTGTCGGCTTTTGAACTCTAACTCCCGTGCCGGGAGCCGTGGGCTTTGAGAGAGAGATACACCTGAGGGCTTGACCTTGACTCGTGGGCTGCTTTGCTCTTTGGCAGCTCCTTGACGCATCGGCGCAAAGCCATGCTGGTGGGCTTGCTGGCCTTCGCCTCCTTGGCGGTCAGATAATGATGGGTTTACTGCATTCGTGGGCTCGTTGGCTCGTTGGCTCGTTGGCTCGTGGGTTCTGTGGCATATCTGGCACCGCGGGATGGCAAAAGGTTCTTTGGAACCGGCTCCCATCCTGGCACCTGTCCGCTTCCCGAGGGTTCTGAGGGCATCGAGGGCTTTTCCCCGTGGGTCATAAAAAGTTCGGGTTGATTTTTTTGTTTGTACGGTACGGTCACGGCGGTTATCATCTTTCTATTTTCCTCGAGCAACTCTACGACCAAGGCCAACTCCGGTCTCGACGGGTAGACGGGCGATTTTACACGGCTTGCTTAATCTCATGCCTAGTAAGTATCCCACCCATATATACCCTGATGCCCTTGCTCCGCAACAGTGTCGATACCCAGTTAGCGTCGATGTACGATTCATAATACATAGTCGGGACGTCCACCATGCCTAACAATCCTTGATGTCTCTCGTGCACGTGGTACCGAATAAGCCAGTCCGTCATGGAAGGGACCTTGGGTAAACAAAGACTACGATGGTGGTATTGTTGTTACTAGACGATCTGAAACTACCAGTCCCATGAACCAAGAAACGCAAAAACGCCCCCAAGGAAGGCGGAATCATGGCCGACCAGGACAAAAGAAACTGTTGCTCAGTCGCCAACAAATGCGGGCGATAAATATCAGCAAAGGCTCCCTATATCGTCGCCATCCTGATCGTTGCAACATATCTCGCAACCAACGCATTTCCCGTGCAACGCCTTCTCCCTTCCCAATGTCATTCATATCCCATACATCGTCGATAACTCGCCACTTGCCCCCCTTCCAGATCCCCGTTTCAGGATACTAGGAACAAGGGGAAGAATATATATATTGGATGTGAAAAGCGGTCGTCCCCGTCCCGCCTCAAGCAGCAACGCTCTTCCCCACCCCACCCCAACGAATCCGCCGCAGCGTGCCCGACCCCGCGCTACCAGCACCGGCCCTAACCAGCTCGCCGCCGCACCCGGCCGCCGCCGACGAGGCGTTCGCAGCGCCGGCGCCGGCGAACGAAGAGGAAGCGGCGGCGATGCTGCTGCCGCCCTCCTGCCGGCCGACCTCGCGGCCGATGACGTACCCGGCGCCGAAGCCGACGACCGACACCAGCACGACCACGCCGGCGCTGACGACCCAGGTGAGGAGCGTCGGGCTGACGCTGAAGAAGGGCGCCGCGTCGGCGGCGGCGTCGTCGCCGTTGAGCAGGGTGGCGGAGGTGCGCTTCTTCTTGGCCGCGCGCGCGGGCCGGCCTTGTGTCGCGGATGATAGCGCGCGCTTGGACTCGCGCTGCTGTTGTTCACGGCCGGAGTTGGAGGACGGCGCGCTGGGTGCGGAGGAGTTGGATGCGGTCCGGGCGGTCTTGGCTCCGGCACCGTTGGCGGGGGTTGCTGATTGTGGAGCCGGCGGGCTGTTAGTGGCCATGAGCTCTGATTCTGGCACTAGGCGGAGCTCCATAGGTTGGGAGCTCGGTACGACGCCGGCTCCTGCGTTGGGGGCGGCCCGCTGTTCGCCGTTCTTAGGTAGGCCGCGGGCTGCGGCGGCGCAGGAGAGGAGGGTGGTTAGCGAAGCACGTAGCGCGGCGTCGTTGTCGGCTTGATAGGAGGGGGACGTGTAGTTTGATGGGCCCCGGTGAGTGCGGGTGTGTGGGCGGTTGTGCATCGAGGGGCGGGAGTGAGAGGGGTGGTGGTGTCCCGCTGAACCGGTGGAGTGGCGGTGGGCTAGGTGTGAAGGGGGATGTGAAAAGGCATTTGGCTGGGGCGTGAATACGGGGCCGTTAGACGGGCGGCCAAGGGCCGTCGCATTCTCGTCACCGTCGCTGTCCGAGTCCATGTCCACTACGGCAGATGCCCTCACGGCGGTTTGATGACGGGGTAGACCCGCGGACGGGTGCATCGCTTCTGTTGAGCTAGTCATAACTCGGTCCTCTTCGCTCTCCGTCTCATCGTATTCCTCTTGACTGCTCGTTGCGCCGCCCTGAGTCGCGGGGTGGCCGACGATAAAAGAAGCAGGCATCTGATGCTGTTGTTGCGGCCGTCTCCGCCTTGGTGGATACGTGGTCCCGCCGACCCTGAGTCCTGTTGTTACGATCTCGTCTCCGATAGACGATAAGGACGACGACGACGGTTGCGAGGTGACTTCGACCCAGGACTCTGTATTTCCAGCCATCAGTTCCTGGTAAAACGTCGATGCAGCGGCACTCAACTGACCATCATTCCGATGCTGGGGCGATGGCGCGCCTGTCCGCGCTGTGGTCTCGGCGGTGTTGCTGACATTGCGCTGCCCTGCCCGCCGTGGGCGCTGAGTATCCGAGGGCGCCATCGTAGGCGAGCAGTCACTCTATAGGATATCGAAATAGAAAACGGCAATCGAGTAGATAGATGTATGTTTGATTGGGTGGCCTCTTCTCTCGCGAAAGGTGCGAGGTCGCTCGTCTCCCCGTTGGCCCCGTGAGCCCCGCCCCCAAGAGTGGAGTCGTTATCGTTCTTGGGACGGTGAGGTTCGCGATGCGGATGGTCGACCGGAACGTCGCTGTAGACGAGCCGGTTCGCAGGTGCTTTTGTGTGTGAAAAGCGACAATCGAGTTATCGAGTATCCTGCAACTCAGGTCGCCCTTCCGCACCACAGAACTCGAGGGAGTCGAGGGCTGAAGAGGCTTTGTTGTCTTTGCTGGTTTGTTGAGCCTTGGCAGGCGTTCGCAAGTGCCAGATAAGGCGTGAGAAGCGGGCGGAGCCCGAGCGTGACCCATCGTTCTGAAAGTGGAGTGAGTGGGACGGGTCACCCTGACGCAGTTTCACCTTCTCATTGGCCAGCGAGAAGCTTGTCGCTTCGCTTGTTGCCCAGCTGCTTCAAGGGCGACCGAGTATGACGTTACGCAAGCAGGCCAGACAACTCGACTGGACGCCACATCGTAATTGAGTGTAGTGAGTGGCTCAAATCATGATGTCCGCCGCAAGGCGAGATACCCAGTTGGGTCTGAAGATTCGGGGACGTTCAGCTTAACTTCGTCGCCGTTGTATGGAAAAATACCTACGCAGTACATTTTTGGTAGGGGCCGGAACCTCACCTCTGTGGATTAAGAGCAATTATGACACACAGGTTAATGTTTGCCTGTTGGTTATCAGTTGCCAGATCTAAACAAACAATGACCCTGAGGCGGACTTAATGTCCCATACCATAGGTACCTAGGCATATATGGTACATTGAGCTGAAGATTTGAGTATTATAAGCCCTCAGAAATCTCGTTGCGAAGCAAAACGATGTGTTGGAATTCATACAGCTTGTGTAACTCAACAACTAGACTCAAGTTTATATTCGATGTCGCGGTATCGGCCTCACTCTTCTTTTCCCCTTTTCTCACGTCCTCGACTCCCACTTTTTGGAGATAAATAAGAAGCACAGAGACGAGTCCAAACCCCAAAGCTCTTTAGTTTTGAACACCAAAATTCCAAAAAAGAAAAACCCCCAAAAAAGCTCGGCACTCTGAATCATAGGCTTGCACGAACATCTGGGACCCAGACATCATTTCTGAAAACAACACCATGGTCCGACTACTCAGGTGCCTGGAGGGTATATTGTCAGGCTCCATGATGGTAATAAGCCTAACACATCCTATAACTAACTCAGCATGTACACAGTCTGCGCTTAGAGTTTTCTCTCAAATGTCACACTCCATCGAATGCTATTGCCAAATAACGCAAGGCAGTCCCAAGGCTATCATATCAGACCCAGTTGAATCAGTTGCGAGGCGACATTAACCCTAAAAGCCGGGCACACATCTTTCGGCTCCTCGGTGAATGGAAACCGCAGGGCTCAGAGCCTTGGGTATGCAAAGGGCGAAAGGTCAATACATACTTTGACAAACTTGCGATGATACTAAGTTGATGCTTGGGTTGAGAATGGACGCAGTCCGGTTCTTCTCTATGGAATACAGTAACACCCTTGGGATTTCGGGCTATTCGCTTGCGCACATCAGTTCTCCGGTGTTAATGGGAGAGTTCAGGTGACGATCGTATGGCCCGTGCACTACCACCCACTAACACCTTGGGTTTCCGGAAGCTGCAGCCGCGCCCAAACGCACCAACCACCAATACAAACGTCCACTCATACCACACATACCTGCCCGGTAACTTGATCTTCCCCGGAACGCCCATCCCGCCCTCGAAGGATACCCGGGAGAAACATGCCCAACTTGCACAATTCAGATATGCAGGATTAAGTCAGATCGGGGCAAACCTTCCGGTTGTAGGCCTCATCCGGGACCCCGCGCCGACCCCCTCCGATTCGACCGACCGCTCGAGTTCACGGGATTCGGTCTTTTTTGTTTTTTTACTCTTTCTTATTACTATTTATCGGCGGCAATCCAGGCAAGCGAGACAAAGCGGATGAGCATGTTTGCCTCCCAAAATAAGCCCGATGGGCGAGCTGGGAATAGCGCCTGCTCGCGTGGCTACACGGAAGTGACAGAACCGTGCATTGTGTTACCTATCCAAGGCGTCGGGAACGCAGACAACCACGACCGCGTTCATTACGGGCCAGCGCCGCCCGATATCTAGAGGGTCTCTGATGGCTTGCACTGGCCATTACGAACCGCGCGAGCGATGCGCAGGTGACGTGGCAGTTCATTGCCGAAACTATGCTGCCGGGGAGCTCGTCCCGAACATGAGGGAGCGGGCGCGGGGGACGTGCCGCTGGGTAGCAGTCCGTCATTCGGCTAAGGACCATGATTGGCGATCGGTCATTCCGCCGGTCATCAGTGTCACCACCCCAGGAAGAGCTCCTGGTGGGGAGGAAGCAGTGGCCCTGGCCAACCAGCACCGGGCACTTGCTGGAGAGCCTCAATGAAGCACGGGGTCTAGCAAGTTTCCCGGTCTTTCGTCGCCAGTGCCGCAATTTGTCGCGTGGAAATTGGCGGCCGTGCCTCGGTGTGAGAGTGAGCACCAGGTGCACGCCGTCAGATCTCGCGATACTTCGCGTCGCCCTGGCTAGTGATGTCGGCCTCAAGAGCAGCACTGCCACTACCACCGGTGCGGTCATAGGTCTAGACTTCACAAGACTCGGGGCGGAGGGTTGGCGGGGCTCTTGCCGCATACATGCCGGGCAAAATTCCATATCCGCAATTAGGAAATTGTATTTTGGAGTTTGGTTGCTATAAGTGGCCAGGGGGACAAGCACACGTCTGTTATATTCCGGCGCCCACCAGCGCCGTGTTCTCCAGGTCCTTCAAACAATGTCTTCGACCTTGCTTTCCTCCAGGGATAACAGGCATAGCATTGCCTAACATGAGTGCTTCTTCCAACACCGCTGAGTATTCCGGCACGGTTGCAAGGCCCGGGTAAGCGACCGTCCACCAACCAGGTTGCCCACGCTAACTGACTTCCGAGGACCAAAGCTGGCAGAGGTAACGCTCACATCACCCCAAAGCCCACGGCATGTTGGCCTTCTAGGACAACACACGAATCCTCCGCGAGCGCCAAGCATTCCAGGAAATCTCCAAACGAGCAGCCCATACCGCCCTAGCCGACCGCAGCTGCAGTGGTGGCAGAGAGGGATGGTGGAAGAGAAGAGGGGGTGCGCCCCGCGCTCTCGAGTTCGCGGGGATGGCAAAATCCCCGAATCTATGCGGCTCTGCCCACTATCCCGCCGTCTTATCCTATCCAGATGAAGTTCCGGCTCGTCACCGTCTGCAACCCCCGGGCAGCTGTCGCCAACCCAAGGCGTGCCGGCCTACCAATGAGACCGCCCCTCATCATGCACACCCACGGCCTGTGGGTGCCGGCAACTCTCAACTGGGCACTCGATCTGTCCATGTGGACGGTTGCCGACAGGCCGGTCTGGCATCAACCCCGCTTGGGTTGTGACCTCTCTTGACGTCTTAGTATCCCAGATGGGGTTATATAAGGACCTGGGGATTTCGGGATCGGGACCGTTGGATCTTCCTCAACCCAACGCCTGCGAGTCTCAGCGAGCACCCTTCCAACCTCCCACTGTTCGTCGCCTCTGCTCGTCTTTGAACAGCCCACTCGAACATACACGAGAACTACTCGTCTATCGGCGCCTAACATCCCCGGGGCATCAAAATGTCAGATGAGGAGAGGGACCCATTTTACAAGAAGCCTCCTCCTCCTCCACCGCCGCCGCCGCCCAGTGGGGATTCAAACGGTTCGTAACCACAAAAGACACAACTGGGCAGACATACCTCTTCTAGTGAGCGCTCTGGAACCGTTGCTGAGCTTCCGAGGTTGTGGTCGCGCGACCCATCGCCGGCCCCAAGTGCGCTTAGGCTAACCTCGCGACTCTATGGCAGGTGGAGAAAGCAGCGAAGAGCAGCAACCTCAACCCCCCGACTCTCCCTGTTCAGAACAAACACAATGACGTCGATCAAGAAACCGCTGTGACGGAGAGCAAGGACGTTTGTTATTTTGGCGATGAGAGGCAACCCTGGCGGACGCAACCGGAACACCCAGCACTTTCGTACCTATTTCACTGAGATTGACTTTTTGTGTCTCTTGTTTTCCTCTCCTCTCGTACAAACAAGAGCAAAACACATACGCAGCCACCTGCGACAGGTGGTTATGAGTTACGATCTTATTATACCCAGATACCGTTTTCCGTATCATCGACGGGGCTCTTTTCCCTCTTACGTTCGTTCGGTTTCTCTTCCGGGTAGCTGTCGCTACACACAACCGGTAACGTTTTGTGAGGAACATATATTGAGTGAGCGACTTTAGTTAGTTACGAGCATTGTCCTGTTTACTCTGGACGGACCCAAGAATGCCAACCAGGTCTGATCAGAGATTCTGTCGCCGTACAACCGCGTTGCTCCCGCTTGCAGTTTGTGTTTGACCCTTTCGCCCCCTTCCCTGTCTGGACATACCGTCGCAGATATAAAGAGGAAAAGTGCGCAATGTGGACGGAGGGAGGCGTGTTGTGTAACATATCGTTGAATGTTATTCCTATTTCTCTCTCTATGTAAAAAGACACCCCCACCCACTAAACTTATCAACAGCAGCCGTTTGCGCCCCATCAAGGCTTCCTCCACTGGTAGACCAGCTAGCTATAACCACACACAGGTATGAGGCCAGCTATGACCCCGGCTATAACCCCAGCTATAACCCCAACCTACACGAGTCGCGCCAGCAACCCGCCCACATCAAACCTCACCACCAATACCAATCCCCATCACCAACCCATACCACACCCACCCACCTTCCTCTTACAACCCCCAACAAAAAGAGCAGCTCTAAAAAGCGCTCAAATCCAACGGCACACTACTCCCCCTACCAGCGCGATACTTGCGCGGCCCCCCCGCAAAATTCCTCGGCTTGGGGAAATTCTCCTCGCCATGGAAGCGCCACCGCGAGTCCTGCACCACATACCGTTCGCCGCCACCACCACCACCACCACCACCACCACCACCGCCGCCGCCGGACGAGGTAGAGAGGCCTGGCGACGGCGACGGGCCGCGACCCGGGCTGGGTGTCTTGGAGCCGCCGCCGTTGGGGGCGAGCGTGAAGTTGCTGGGGTCCAGCATGGAGAGCATGGATGCCCGCCCCGACGCGCTCGAGGCGGAGTGGGAGAGGGATGGGGGAGGGGGCGCTGGTGCAGCTGAGGGTGGTGGTGGAGGGGCTGGCGCCGGAGGTGGGGAGATTGGAGGCGCTGAGCGCGATGGCCCGTTTGGCGGGGGAGGGGGCGGAGGTGGGGGTGCGGCTCCTGGAGGTGGTCCGACGCTGGACGCAGCGCGTATGGCTGCTTGTGCGGCGATGCTCTGAGATATGTTACTTGTTGACGCGGACGGCGGAGGTGGTGGTGGTTGTGAGCGCGCCGGGGCTGGCGGTGGTCGCGAAGCAGCAGCCGGGGGTGGAGGGGGAGGAGCTGGCGGTGGTGAGAATGCGGACGGTGACGGGGTCGGGGGTGCGAAAGATGGCGGGGGCGGAGGCGCAGCGGATGGAACGGTTGAGGAGGGCTTCCTAGAGCCTGGAGGGGGCGGCGGTGGTTTCTTGCCGATCGGAGGCGGACGGCCCTTTTTCGGCAGGCTCGGCGCACTGTTCGTATTGGGGAAGGATGGCCTGCCGGGCACCGGCGGGGCGGCGGCGGCGGGTGGTCTCGGAGGGGCTCGCGGAGGTGCCTCGGATTCTGACAAGTACGAGGCGTCTCGGTTTGCTGTAGGAAAGTTAGATATGTAACAACGATAGGTCTACGGGCGGCGTCTTACCCCCCGTCGCAACACCCCCGCCTGTTTTGCGTAGCTTCGGCATTCCACCCGTAAACAAACCGGCAAGTTGCGGGGGTCCATCCATGCTTGATGCTGCGGGTTGTGCTCTGTCGCTTTGATCGCTATTGCTTCTCGCCCGGGCTCCGGGGACAGGAGGGGCGAGGCCTCCCGGTGTTTTCGGTAGCCCCGGAATGGGGGGTGCGCCGAGCGCGGACGGGCCCGGACCGCCGCCTGACGAGGACTTGCTTACTACGGGCGCGGAACGGTCATTTGTGACGGTCTTTTTCAGCGCTCGCCCCTTGTGGATGTCTGCGAGAAGCGCCCCCTGTGAGTGCGTTAGTGTAGTTCTCGCGTGACTTGACTAAAACCCAACGGACCCTCGCCGGCGCCGCGGCGGCAGCTGGTGGTGGTGGCGGAGGCGGTGGCGGTGGCCCGCCAAACCCCGGGGGCGGCGGAGGCGGTGGTGGAGGAGGAGGCATCGCGGGTTACTTCGGGGTCGGTCGGTGTCGATATAGAAGGTTGACTCGGTGGGGTGGTCCTTGATTAACTCGTCGATGGGAAAGGAGAGGATATCAAGCTAAGCTTGAATATACCGACGTGAATAACGGGAGTACAAGTCGACAAGTCGGCGGCAGTCGTCGAGGCGGGAAAAGGGAGCGAGCAAGGTCAGGCACTCGCAGCGTGAAGGTGGGTGTTGAGAAAGTTGAGAGTTCCAGGTTGCTTTGGGGTGCCCTTGCGCCTGCGTCACTTCCATCCTGGTTGGGCTGTGGGCCTGTGGCTTCGTCAACCTGCAGTGCTTCAAGTGGGGGAAGATTTCCCTTGGCGCCAAGTTGGAATGCATCGCTGGGTTAATCACCTCTTTATTAGGGATTTCTTGAATGCAATAATCAGGTTTAGGCAGGGAACGACAAGTGGGTTTTCGGCTCAATTGAGGCCCTGGACCCTGGTTAATGCAACGATCTGCACCATCGCCTTGAGTTTATGAGCTCTCTTTCAACATCACCGCGAGCCTCACCTCTCTAGGTTTTTGTTAACCTTTCTATCTCGACCCGTTCATGCGCTCAATTTGAGCGCCCAACCATTTACTTGATCGTTATCAGTGCGACCTCAAGTCTGCAGTGGTTTTGGACTTGTGGTGAGGTCGATCGGCCGAATTGGGCTGGTACCAAGTGATCGAGTTTAATTCTCGATTTTGCGAGGGAAGCGAGGGCTTTTTTTTTTCTTTTTCTCCCGAGAGCCATGCTACGTCGGCCATATTCGCCCGGGTCCGGGCTGCGCCTTTGCCAGGGCGGCTGCGGGTTGGTTTCCGGGCTCCAACGGATACAGCCCGCGAATCGGCCTTCGGCGGTGCTGCAACTCGGCCGACGCTCCGCCAATGTGTCTCGGGCAGCCTTGATCCGGTCGTCCACAGCCCGCTCTTTCGCAACCTCGCAGCCATCCTTGAAGGCTAAGCGGGCGCAGGAACCCCAGACTCCAGATGCCTCAAAACCCCGGTTTGGCAGGACAGCCACGGCAACCCACCAACTGCCCGGGGTAGATCCGGCAGCAGCCGTTTCTACCGTGCGTCATATCCTTACGACTTTCCTCGGCCCCGGTGGCATCCCGTCCGAAGAATTTACCCTCGCGGCGCTGCGATCGCTCGCACAGATTGAGGTTAGGACGGTGCCAGATGCCGGAGAACGGCGCTCCGAGGATGCCGCCGCCGAAACCCGCAGACCAGCGTCGCAACTCCTGGGACTGGATGACATGGCACCGAAAGCCGGTGAGGTCGCACGGCCACAAAGGAGCTCCTCACAGCGGTCACAGGACGCGGTGGACCAGATCTCGGATGCGGCATACACGATTGTTACTCACAAAACAGTGGTCATCACGCGGGCAATCCTCGCCGAGTACGTCCAACTTGAAGCCCGCCTTGGCAGGTCCTCGAACTTGCCGCAGGTCCTCGAACTCTACGCGAGCAAGCCCAAGCCTAAGCTGGTCTCGAACACCATCAAGTACGTGGAGCGCAACCCGAGCAAGGCCGAAAGCGCAGTCGACGCTGCTGTCGCCGAAATGGCCTTGGATGCCGCAATCGAGACCAAAGACCTAGGAGCTGCCGTTGGCATTTTGGAAAACACCTACGCATCCAAGGCGTTTCTGCGGTCGAAACTCATTAAGAAAGCACTCATCCCCGGATTGGCGGTCACTGGTACCCCGGTCGGCATCTACTACGCCGCTACTCAGTTGGCACACCTGCAGCACGCTCTCGAACCCAAGATCGCGACGGGATTTGCCTTTGCCGGCGCCCTTTGTTATGTGGGGTTCACCGCGACCATCGGTGCGGTGGCCCACTTCACGGCGAACGACCAAATGAAGCGGGTGACGTGGGCACTAGGCACCCCGCTGCGCCATCGGTGGCTCTATGAGGAGGAGCGGGCCGCCCTCGACAAGATCGCCTGCTCGTTTGGCTTCTCGGAGGAGCACCGTTATGGCGAAGAGGAGGGGGAGGAGTTCCTGTGGCTCCGAGAATATATATTGAGGAGGTCCATGATCCTCGATGCGGTGGATCTCATGCCGGGCATGAACTAGGGAACGGGCCAGTTGGGCGCTGTGACGGGGACAGAATGACGGCAGCGGATGACGGTGATGAGAGGAAGGCGGTGCGTGTCGTGGGACACCAACGGCTTGGCACCTTGCACCCACAGGCCGTTGCGGAAACTCCGATCGTCGCCTTTCCGACCTGGGCCACTCTTGGCTCAACAACTTCCTTACCGCCGCCGCGAGTGATCGGCCGTGGCGCTCGCTCTGCCGCAGCCGCCGTCGCCGCCAAGCAGTGTGGAGCAAAATGTCAATCTCTGTACCCTGTGCATACCAAACCGCCGAGACGGGCCTCGAGACCATTCAAATCGATGACTGTGCAAGGCTCACTCCTGCGGCCTTCCATGCTTCGTGCGTACAGATTTCAGTCACGACACTGGCCTCCCCTCCGCCCTCGATCCCCCTCCACATCACACCCCTCCCCCCCTGGAGAGGGCGTTGGCGTATGGACTTGGTATGAACCCCTGCCAACACCATGCTCGGGAGTTCTCAACACCTTGCCGTCCACGACGCCAGCGCCAGCAGTGGTCGGGGTACCGGGGTGTTCGGATGCGGAATCTCTGCACCAGTGAGATGTGGGCACTCTGCCGATGCAGATATCCCAACCGCACGTCCTTTCGCTTTCTCGACCCGTCCCACAGTTGGGATGTCTCGATGATATAAACCCCAGACGATCCCATCTCCCGGGCCCCCTGGGACCCATGGTGATTGTTCAAGACATGGACCCGACGCCACCGGGAATTTTATGCTAGTCTTTGTGAGCGACTAGCCTCAAGAACGCCCATACTGCCCTTCTTCTTGGACATCGTCTTCTTCTCTTTCCCATCTTGCTCCTCATCTCCATTCTCGTCCCACGTTCTTTTCTTTTCCTTTCCCGCCAGGCTAGCATGGCCGGCGGTTTCAACCCCGTCGACCCGGAACGGTGTGCCCACTATGCCGGCTTCGCTTCCCATCTAGACCGGAAGACATTTGACTTCATCTACTGGTTCCTTTTTGTCCTAGTCATATTTATGCTATTCCTGTCGTCATGGAAATACAGCGGGTTCGTCTCTCCCCGCCACTGCGCTCTCTTGACCCCTTCTTATCGCCCTGTAGTATCGGGACTAACATGTCTCTGCCCACTCTTCTAGTGACCTCGAAAAGATCCGGGTCCTGGGCCTAGAGCCGGGCTCCCGCGAGTATAGGAACAAGATGAAGAAGTGCATGCTCATCTGCAGCATCTACGCCGTGGTGTCCGTCGTGGGTGTCATCATGGAGGTGTACGCCCTCATGGCCTTGCAGTTCTGCGACGGCGAGGACCTCATGTCACTCTATTGGTCGACTTGGACCATGATGCAGGTCGGGTCCGTCATTGCCATTTTGGGCATCTTGCTCGCCAACTTCAACAGTTTGCGGGGGAGCAAAAACCCGTAAGTTGCCTACCACTTCAACGCACCGCGCTGCGCTCTCCTCCCCCTATTCGCATCAACATGCGCTCGGCCGTCCGCTAGCTGCAGATTTTTCTTTGGTTCCGAAACGGGAAATTGTTTGCTGACACGTTCTATTTTTTTTTCTTCCCCTAGACCCTGGGCATTGGCACTCGGCACACCCATCCTGGTCGTCGCAGGCATCGGCCACGCCGTCCACGGGGCCGTGCACAAGCGCGTCAAGCGAGCGCGGTCCAGGAGCCGCGGTAGGCGGCGAGGCGTGTCCGCATCAGACAGCACCCGGGAGATGAACGGCTTGCCCATGAGCAGAGAGTAGGTTTCAATTTCCCTACCCAATCCCGGAGGGAGAAGGAAACACGGGCGCAAGCTAACCGACCAAACAGAATCACACTCCGCGCGGACGAGAGCGAGAGGGAGGATGCCGAGATCCCAGCTAAATTCGTCGGCCTCACCGCCGACGGCGCGCCCATCATCCGCTTTGCCGAAGACCCGGGCAAGATCGGGCCGGAGCACGGCACCGTCATCAGCCGCAGCGACGGGCATGTCATCATCGCTTTCAAGAAGGCCATGAAGGTTATCCACGATAACGACGACGACAACAACAACAACAACATCAGTAACGACTCTCGCGGCGGCGGCAACGGGGTTGGCAGTAGCGCTAGCAGTAGCCGCAGCGGTGGTGGCAACGGCAACGGTGAGCCGCTGAGGAGCGTCACGCCCGGTTCCCGGTCGCCTGTCGTGCGGATTGCTTCGCCGCCGCCCAGGATGAGCCCGGGGAAGTGGGAGGATTCGGCTGTGTGACGTGGGGCTGAGAGAAGATTTGATTTGCTTCTATTGCATGGTTCTTTTTTCCTTTTTTTCTTCTTTTTCTCTCGGCATTGCGCATCCCTGGTTTGGGTCATGGTCTCGGGGTCTCCTGTCATTCGTTTCGAAACAAGCGGGCATTTGGGAAATCTTGGGTTATGATCTGGGTTTTGGCTTCGCGCAGGCTCGGTTTGAAAGGCTTTTCTTTTGGCCTTTTGGTTTCAGGGGTTTAGGAGCGACGGCTGTCGTCTATCCTGGCTGGGAATGGGCTACAAAAACGGAGCGGGTTGGGTATTGCATCTGTTAGAGAGGCCGGTTTGGGCTTCATCGGCGGGCAGCATCGTTTTCTTCGTCCTCTTCTTGCTTGGCGGTCGTCTCACTTCGAGCTTCGTATCTTGCTCCATATCATTCTTCTACTACTGCAAGTAGTATGACATTTACAAACTCAGACTTTTTTTCGTACAACATCCGTCCAACCAGCTTACATCACATCAGCATGCGTCGGCGACACAGAACCTGAGCGGACAATTTCCTCGCATGACTTGGGTCAGGGTCCTGCCGTGGACTGTTACAACGACCGCAGTGTTTGACAGGCCCCTTGAGGGGCGAAATGTGGGCTGGATTGTTCGGTTTGTTTGGGAACCTCGCAAAGGACCATGGTAAAACGACGCCCCCCCTTGCGCGACGCTGTCTCACATTCTGTACCCATGCGGTGTTCCTTCTGTTTTGGGGGAAACGGCAGCGATACACAACAGGGGCCATGCTCTCGACGTCGAACAGTAATACCCATTGCGGATGATCAGCAAAGAGCCTCCCGCCACCACGTCCGACTAATATAGCGCCGTTGTTTGGGCAGGTTTACGCGACAGCTCAGGGGACACGGCAGGATGGGGAGAGACACCCAGCGGCTGAGGGACTGTAACCTGTCTGACTGACACCTGCAGAATCCGGCGACTCCGGTCGGAGGGTGAGCATGTTTGTCCAGGTCTGGGCAATATCCTGAAAGAGTTTTGAATTTGCAGCCGTGGTGTATGTGCAGTCCAGAGATAGGCTCGCTGCATCTCGGAGGTCGCATTCCCGTGTCGAGCGCGTAGATCTGTGAGATCTCGGGTTAGCCTCCCAAGACCCGGCGCCGGGATCCGATTCGCTAGTGATAACAAGAAATCTTGGACTGCAGCAAGCCAACGACGTCAGGCAGGGGTCTGTCATCCCCGGGTGGCCCGGCCGGGTGGGTTTGGTCTGTGATCTGTTATGACGATGACCGGGCTCGACGGGCAGTGTTTGCTTGTTAATGCGAAATCCTTGCCTCAGGGAGGCGACATGGGATTGTCAGAAACACGAGGTGGGCATGGACCAGTCAGGCGGTCAGGTCAGCACGTGGAGGAGGCCGTGGCTCTGGGTCGCTGATCGCCCCAGTGTCTCGACCGTTCTGACCCGGGGGGCTGATCAGGGGCCCTTGACGAGGCTCGGCTGCCTAACTGGAACATGGGGAAGGAGGGTGACGACGACATCTCTCGCGGTGATACAACATAAGTGTACATAGACTGAGTCAGACAAATGAGTAACAGGAAATGGGCACGAGAGAACCGGCAAGTTGGACGGGGCTGGGCTGAGACACACCGGAAGGGTTGTGACGAACCAACAAGAGAGTGTTGTGGCCGTTGATCCAAAGCCAAGAATGGCACCCAACGCGGCCCGGCAAGGGGGTACCGTACGCGCCAGTAAAAATGCAGAAAGCGCCTTTAAGCTATGGTGCATATCGGCATTTGCCTTGTGCCCAAATGTTTGATGCATTCCTTCCCGGGCCGCCCCAATCATTTTCGGCCTTGTTTTTTCCAGCTCGTCCCGGCCGTTCGGCCCCCACCACCCACTCACCCACACCCCTTATCAGATCCCACAGCCTCTGATAGCCGCAAGCACAATCGGAGATGCTTCGCTCCTTGGAGTGACATCCCAAGCATTGGCGTGGGTAGCTCAAGCTTCAGCTTTCCGTGAGCCGCTCCTTGGCGAGTCTGTGTGTGAACAACAAGGTCTCACTCCCCCTCCTTTCGGCCCCCTTTCCCCCTGTTCAGGCCCTTCCGGCTCGGCCAATTTGGAGGATTTCACCCGTGAGACGGTCGTCGCTGCGAAGAACCGGCCAAGAGCTGCCGTCTGCCTTGGCGAGTGACACCTCGAGCTTGGTGCCCAAAATCTTAAAGGTCGACTTGGCAGGATCGATGGGACCGTAAAGCGGCACCTGCGCCTTGTACCGCTTTGGTACGGGGGCGTCCGTCGTGGGCAAGTCCAGCACCAGCGCCTGTTCCTCGAAATCCACCTTGGCTGCCTCTTTGTCGATCTTTTTGAGGAAGAATGACGCGATCACCGCAGTCGGGGTTTGGTAGAAGTCATGCCTGTGATAAAGCGAAAGGATATGAGCACATGGACGGTTGGGCCGCAGTTCTACTGGCGGTCAAGCCCCGATTTCCCCCGTCATCGGGGTGTTTTCCAAACACAGCCAGCCTTGGCTGTTCCTTGGCCGTGGACACACATTCGTCCAGCGGCAGCGAAGTGCACATCGAGGAAACGCGGGGCGTGCTCACCTGACCGTCTCAAGGAGTTCTTCACCACCGGAACCCGCCGGGCCCTTGCCGGCGGCGTTTTTGGATCCGCTTCCGACGAACAAGTGCCGATTCTTTGTTTTGCAGCCCTCGATTTTCATAAACTGGTCGAACTCCAGGACGCGACGCTTGCAGCAGACGTAGCCCTTGCTCCCTTCGTGGAAGATGGGAACGCCGGGGTGGTGTACACATGTCTCCCCTTCCCTGCTGGATCCCTTTTTGTAGGTGGCACCGCAGCCCTTGCGTCTGCACAGACGCCCATCGGGAATCTCGGCGGTTTCGTCGTCATCCTCGGACTCCGGAGGCGGGGGCGGAGGTGTGGGTACGTGCTGAGGTGCGGCAACGGGCGCACGGGGCGGGGGCGGGGGTAGGTTCGAGGCCGCGAGGAGGGCCGGGTCCGCTTCCCTCTTCTCAACCTTGGGTGGCAGGTCGGTGGTGCTGTGCTTCCCCTCGGTGCAGGGTTCAATGGTCATGAATTCCTCAAAAGTAAGGACGCGCGGCTTGCAGCACTTCCATCCTGGGCCGGCGAAGCCGTGGTTAGCTTGGCAGCGACAGGCAGGCGACGGAAAACGCGGTCGCGGTTTGTAAGAAGGGATTGCACCGGGCAGCTGCAGCCTGACGCTCGAGATTGGTTGGGCTGCGAGAACGAGGAAGGCGTACCTTTCTGGCCCTCGTGGAAAACCGGGGGGCCGGGATGGTAGCGGCAGACCTCCTCCGGGTCAGTGTACTCCTTGCCGCAACCTTGATGAACACATTTCTGCGCCATTGTGCTTCTCTGTTGGACCTGCCGAAGCTGACGTGTGGTGGAATTGTTAGACTAGACGGTGGATATCCCGTGAATCCCGATGTTATCTCTATCGTGCTTACTGTTTCAACCGGGAAAAGGTTGGAACGAGGGAAGGCGGTTGAAAAAACAACAACCCGGAAGTAAAGAGATTGATTGCAGAAGCTGTCTCGGAAGATGATGGAAGCTTCCTCCTCCAAATGGAAGCTGGCGGCTTGCTGGGCTGAGAAGGTGGGGGCGGGGAAGGGGGAGCCAGGGAAACGCGCCAGGGGTGCCGCATGCCCTCCCGAACTGCGCTAACCTACTGTGGTAAGGTAACCTTTACACAGTACAGGTGATTTCCGTCACAAGCGCGCCGATATTGTTCATCAATTCCTCCGTACGACATACTTGTAACAACACCAAACATCAGCCACTGTTTCCATTGTTCAACGTAGCAATTGCCGTCATGCATATCACAGGCAGACTTTTTCAGTCCTGCAGGATCACCTTTTTTACCCGCACGGGTTGCGGCCTATGCACCCAAGCGAGATCGGTCCTGTCTGATGTTTGGGATCAACGGCCCTTTGCTTTCAAAGAGATCGACATTATCAAGCCAGAAGCCAAGAGCTGGCGGGATCTGTACGATTTTGATGTCCCAGTGGTGAGCCTTTTCTGCCGAGGAAACGTCTTTACGCTCTCTTCTCCTCCCCCGCAGGTAGGTACTTAGCTAATTCCCTCGTGTGTTTAGATCCATATCAGCAACGCCCAGTCACCTGAGGAAGACCCAAAACTGTCCTCTAGAGCTGCAAAGTTAATGCATCGATTTACCGTTGAGGAGGTCATGGCCAAAATGGATACTGTTGAGAAGTGACGGTGCCATCCTGCAACTAAACTTGTACCCTACTCCCCGGGCCTCTTTGGAACGCTACTGCTCCTTACTCGCAACGAACGTCAAGGGTAGAAGCCGGCCAATGGAGACAATGGAGGCCTCGGGAGGTTTCCGCACTACCTCATCCCACCGAGGTCCTTTATTTTCTCAACAACATGTGCCGAATCTACCGTGTATGTGGGGAGAGACGCCGGTCAACCATCATCCCTCGAGGATAGCTACACGCCCCAATATCAACAACTCTTGGCTCACTTCCCCTCGCCCCGAGCGATGGCGAGCGAGTTAGCCAATGCGCCGGCTAGGGCAAGGTAGTCGGCTGCGACAGTGACCATGTGAAACCCCATATCCGCATACTGTTTCGCCTCTGTCCAACAATGTTAGCTAACATATTCCGAATCAGGGGCATGGGCGCCACGACTGGCACCTGGGACAGGGCATGACGAGGACGGGTTCGACCTACGTTCTCCGGAACCGCAGTAAATACCGCACTTCTTGCCAGCCGCCACGGTGGCTTTGAAGATCCTCGCGACAGCTTCGTGGAGCTCTGGGTCCATCTTGCTGCCCAAGATTGGATGGCCGATACTGTTGCCAAGGTCGAAGGGTCCAACGAACACGACGTCAACAAGCGGCGCTATCTCTTCCACCGCCTCTAGCGCCTCCCGAGTTTCGATCTGCACCATTGTCAAGAGGCTGTCATTCGCCTGCTGCAGATACTCTGTCGGGCTCAAACCAGACCCGAAGGTCTGAATTGCCAACGGGGAGCCAAATCCTCGCTGTCCCTGCGGCGGAAATTTGGCCGCAGCAACCAGATTCTTGACCTCTTCGACGGTCCGAATGAGAGGAACCAGGATCTGAGTTTTGGTTAGCCAAAGCCGTCTTCAAACGTGGGCTGTGAGGGTCGTTCTACCCCGTGTGCTCCGGTATCCAGTGCGCCTACAGCCATGTCAACGCCTTCGTGCACAGTCACAAGTTCACGTCGAATGCCTACGCTTCACCATCCATGGCTGGGTGTCTGGCAGGCGAACAATAGGGGAAACTCCCTCCGCCGCGATGGCAGGGACCGCGTCGTGCATCGCGCCATCTGCGGGAGTGTCATTATCCCGGTCTGCCCACGGAGGGAGACGGGAGTTGATTGCATACCATCAATATTGCCGTGTTCGCAGTCGACTATCACCCAGTCCACCCCTGACCTTGCAAGAAGCCTCGACATGTTGGCCCCGGGCAGCACCTGCCAGAAGCCCCAAGCGGGGCGCTTGCCTTCATCGAAGACCTGCTTTAGCCGGTTGGATCTCAACATCTTGGGGCTCGCGTCCATGGTGGATACTAAATGATAGGGGCGATGGACGGGAGGGTGAAATGGCTTTGGAAAGCACTGGGGATGAGAGGAGAAGATGGGTTTCTGTGACGTCTTGCGCCTAATATAACAAGACGGTGTTCGGATCATTCGGATTCATGCGATGCCAGCAAAGTCATCCCGGTCTTCTCAGCACTAAGGCACCCAACGTTCAACAGGCCGTTACTCAGCAGCATCATCCCAAAAACGCACTTCGTTCCTCGCATAAGGGTAGTAATCCCCCACTTTCCTACTGTGTAGTCAGCAATAGGCCATGCCGGTGGGTTGGGCATCGCGGGGTAGCTGCGGCCCGCTCTCGGGCTCTGGTCCGATGAAGGTCGGGTCCCAAGGAGAGGTTAAACAGGACATTTCTTGCTTCACCACGTAGTAGACTATTCTCCAACGTTATGTTTTTATCATCAACTAGAAAAATACCCAAAAAACAACCAGACAATGGTTTTAAACCCTGAGAATGTTGACTCCGGCTTACAAGCTGATTGAGTTGATGATCCTTCCCGCTTTAAGATTGCCTCTCACTGGAGGAATACGCACTCCTTTCGTCCTCCGCGATCTCCGGGTTAGGGGTTGGAGGAACGGCCCCGGTATTGTAATAAATACTGTTTCACCCATACGGTCGAAGAGCGGGTGCTCTCGATAGAGCGATAAGGCGACAAGGGTCCCTGCATCAAGGAAGCTTCACAGCTGCACCGAGAAGACGGAATTCGAGACGACAAGACGACACCAACAAACGGCGCCACTGTATACACTCGCTTACGACCGACAAGCAAAAGCTGCAGTGACCTCGCCATACATGGCCAGCAAGCCGACCGCGGCATAGAAATCCCCGACCCTCCTTCCCCAATACCAGCCCGAGCTCGACCAACCACCGCCATGTCGCTAAACAGCTATATCGAGAGTAAGAAAACCCCCCTCCAGCGTCACTCCCTCCCGGCCATAACCCCTAGGTGCTCGTGCTAACCGATCCCACTCCCTTTCAGAGAAAGTGTGCATCATCACCACCGACGGCCGCAACCTCGTCGGCACCCTCGCCGCGCACGACTACACCACCAACCTCGTAATATACCCCCCCCCCCCCCCACCCTCTTCCAACCTTCCAACGTCCCCCTTCCAACCCCCACGCCCAAACCCAAACACCCCCGATCCAAGCCACCCCACGATGGACTAACAACCCAACCCACCCCAGGTCCTCAAGAACACGATCGAGCGGGTGATCCGCGGGGCCGACGACGGCGAGCCCTCGGCCGAGGTGCCCCTGGGGCTGTACATTGTGCGCGGGGAGAACGTGTGCCTAGTGGGCCTAGTGGACGAGGCGCTCGACGCGAGCATCAACTGGACCGAGGTCAAAGGCGCGGCGATCGGGACGACGAAACACTAGGGCCTGCTGGGGCTGGTTGGTTGGTTACTGCTCGCTGGGCAAGCAAGGCTCGGTCGGGCGGGCGGGTGTTGGTATGGGATGGGTTTGGGATGGATCTGGGATACAGGGCGGCTGCGGCTAGCTGGAGGGCGGGCCGGGAGGGGTTATGGGAGTAGACGGTGGTACGGTGGGGGAAAGAGATGGGAGGTTGCGCTTTCAGTTCTCGCAATTGGCGTTTGGGGTTTGCGTGGGTGCCTTCCAAGGGTATGCCTCTCCCACAACTCGGCTTTTACTCCCCCCAGAACGAGTTAATTGCTGACACTCGAGGGAAGCCGGCTCCGGTTAAGATACCCAAAATGAATCAAATCCAAACCTATGGGATCCAGGTGGTCTGGTCTATTTGCTATCTACGCGAAAATCTTCTCCAGCAGAATGTTCGCAAAGGTGTCCAGGCTGGGCGACCCCACCACCCTGTTGATTCTGTTACCCTTACGCAAACTCAGCCAGCCATCGGTGTCGCCGGGGATTTCGTCCAGCGTGACGGCGTCCATGGGATCTGCCGGGTGCGTCTCCACCGTGCTGTCCAGCTCGGCAGGCTTTGCCAGGCCACGCTTGTCGATGACGTGCATGCCTCTGGTCCATTGACCAGAAGTCTCGATGCGGATGTCCTCAAGCTTGGGTACCGTCTTCCACCCGGGGTGGTCACGCGTCAGCATGTACCAGATGCACAGGGGGTCGTGCAGCGATAGGCCCGCGTCATGGCCCATGCCGAGCATCGAGTCGATCTTATTGAAAGTGCCGTTCATGAAGGTCTCGGTCCACTGCGCCAGCGGACTGCTAGAGTCCATGAGCGGCTGGACCTTGGCGTTGAAACCCCGTTTCTTGAGCTCGTGCGGCGTGGTGATGTCGAGCGGGAAGAGAGTTAGCTTCAGCTGACGGGACAGCTTCGCGGGGTACGGGGGGAGGAAAGATTTGCCGTGAATCACGGGTGGCATGGTGGCCGAGGGCACGAGCGAGGTCAAGGCGAAGACGCGTGCGGCTGCCACTGCGTCGGCCATGCAGTTGAACTCGGCGCACGGGGTGACGTTGCCTTCAACTTCCACGGCGCCTCCCATCACCACGAGCTCCTTTACCCGGAGGAAAGTCTCAGGGTCCTCGGAAGCCGCCAGGGCAACGTTGGTTAGCGGCCCAATGGCGATGATGGTGATGGTGTCTTCGGGCTCCTCCTTCAAAAGCCGGAGTATTTCCTTATGAGCGAGGGTCTTGCTCGGGGTAAAGAACCTCGAGTACGAGGGCGGCTCGACAGAGCTGCTGGGTTCAGTGGGAGCATCCTCAAATAGGGTACGCCAGGTGTCTGCCGGGGACAGATGAGGGTGCTGTGCCAGTTAGAATGGGTCCGAGAGCAGGAGGGATTTGTATCCTTACCGCATCGTGGACGCCGTGCAACCCGTCAGCACCATCTGTAGTTCGTCAGTTTCTTTGTCAGGCTACCCCGGGGTCATAGATGAGCGGGTTCTTACGGAAGTGGTCGGCTACAAGCTGCTCATCTTCGAGGGCATGTTCAGCGCCGACAGCGACGATGGGCTTGTAAGCACCCAATGCGCCGTATGTAGGCTTGCCCGTGGACTCCCGCCAGGCCATTTCCTTCTCGAGCACGTGGAACAAGGCCACAACATTGCGGAGGCATCTGCAGCATATCCTCGTGAGACAACATTCAGGGGTTGTGTATGCACAAAATGGCTAGTAACACGGCGTCGTACCTCTGTATCGGCACATTGCCGTATGTGACAGAGATCATGGCAACCTCGAGCTCCTCTGGTGAGGCGCTGAGGGCCAGCAGCAAGGCCATGACATCATCGACGCCTAGGTTTGTGTCAGTTCCAGGCACAAACTGTGTACAAACAAGTTGAAATTGGACGAACCTGGATCGGTATCGATAATAACTCGGTGTTTGGGCGCCATGGTTGCTGAAGACTGGAGTGCGGGGCCGGCCGAGGAGGGGCACAACGAGGTCTCGAGGGGAGCGAGGAGAGCGGGAACTTGCAGGAAACACGGTTTACCAACGGTGTCTCACAGAATTTATAGAAGTTGTGAAACCACGACTTTGCCCTCGATTTTTAGCAGCTGATTCCCCTCCGTGACTCCTTGTTTTTCTCTCAGTTCTGTCAACTTGAACTTGAAGTTGAAGGAGAGAGTGACAAAACTCGGAAACAACTCAAAACTCTCCAGCCTACAGATCTGTACAACCAATCCTGTGACACAAAGTTCCACATCCCACCTTCCCCATTGGCATTTCCCCATTGGCATTCGCCGTTCTCCGACGCCCTTGGCCCTGACTGGAGCCTGACACAGGCACGGTGGATCTCGTGCCCATCGTCACTCCCTGTTGTTGTTTTCAATCCCCAGCAACTCGGCACCTGAAATAGACTCAATGTACTTGGTAGTGTACTATACTTCTTGATCTGTGCTCGGTCTCCACGGTGATAAGCACTTGGAGGAAATATTGACCCGTTAAACTCATAAAGCCCGTAATCTCACCGCCCCGTGACTAACTATACTCGGTATGCAAGACACCGCCTGCCAGTTACTTCCATTTTGGCGAATTTAAACTGTTCAGTCAAAATGACTGCCGTGGTGTGGCCGTGCAACAGTCACATTGGCTAGGTACTTTCCAAGTACCAAACCTGCATCCTCCTCAAGAACAATACCATTTCTTTGGAGGCCAGCCCGCAGCCGTCTGCTGCATCCGTGACGCACGGTAAGTTGCACAGGACACGCCAGATCACGTGAGTTCATGCTGCCAAGTATCGCTTAACTTGCCGCACCTGCAACAAGCCCCTAGTCGGCAACTTTTCCGTGAGATTAGCTGGGCCTTGTTAACGAATTGGGAACGCCAGAAGAGGAACCGACCTTCTGAACACCTTTCACCTGCAAGCATTGGCTCGTTCGCGATCCTCAACTTTGTTATCTTCACATCACACAACCCCTTTTCCCGTTCAATCCATCTGTCCCAGCACACTGGAGCTGCAACGCATCCTTCTAGCCTTTTATTGATCTGCCGACAGGCCGACATCTTCAGAATTCCCCAAACAGCCACAAATCCAAGCTGGGAACCTCATCCGGACGTTGTGTCACCTGCAAGTTAATTATAAAGGAGACACCGATCTGCCATTTCCCCGACACCCCGCATTGAGCTTTCGCTCACGATCCGATCTTCAATCTCCATCGACCGCGTCACGCTGTCATCATCCGTGGTTCTGTCGAGCATTCGACCTCCGAAAATCGGTCGCGATTTCGCCGGCCCCTAGCCCTCACCGACTTCTTCGTCTCCACCCATTGACCATGGGCGCCTCATTGTCGACTTTGGTCGGTTGGACCGTGGTCATCGGATGCGTGTACATTGTCGCCTTTGGGATCCCCGGGCAAAAGAAGGCTCGCGATGCTGTTCGTGGTGCCTCACAGCAGCGCCAGCGCCTAGAAGAGAAGCCAAACAACCACAACCGCAAAGAGCCAAAAGAGAAGGCCAAGCGCCAGAGAGGAGAGGCCTACACCAAGGATGCTGAAGACACAAACAAGACATCACAAGTAAAGGCACGGGCACCCAAGCCATCGGCGCCCGTCCAGCCAGTCGATGACAGCTCCGACGATGGTGTCGACAACCGCGAGTTCGCCCGCCAGTTGGCCAACGTTAAGCAGGGCACCAGCCTCAACGCGCCCAGGAAGAGCGACGAGAAGCGGCACAAGTCGGTGAAGCAGTCTCGTGCCCAGATCATCGATGACAAGGCCCACCAGACCAAAGTCTCGGCCCCGTCCTCCACCGCCGGCGTGGATGCCGACGACGACGAGTCTCTGACTCCCTCGCCCGAGATCAAGGCCGCCGATGCCAGTGGCGTCAGCGATATGCTGGAGCCCAAGGCTGCCGGCCCCTCGGTTCTCCGTCTCACCGACACCGAGAAGGCAAAGCCTAAGAAGGAGAAGAAGGCCAAGGAGCCCGAGAAGACCGAAACCAAGAAGCAGCGCCAGAATCGCCTGAAGGCCGAGGCTGCAAAGGCCCTCCGTGAGGAGTCTGAGAAGCAGAGAAAGGTCGACTTGGAGGCCCAGAGACGCCAGGCTCGCATCGCTGAGGGCCGGCCCGCTCAGGACGGCTCCGTCTCCATGGCTCAGCAGTCCGTCTGGACCGACAGCGGTGCCAACGGCAGCTCCAGCAGCAATGCTACCAACGGCGGCCATCTCCCCGTACAGCCCCTGGACACGTTCGATACCAGCAGCTACACCGACGTTTCGGCCCCTAAGAGCGAGACCCCCAAGAGCGCGACCCCGGCCAAGAACAACCTGTCCGATAGCTGGATCTCCACCATGCCCTCCGAGGAAGAGCAGATGGAGATGCTCCGCGACGAAGAGGCCTGGAACACGGTGTCGACCAAGAAGACCAACAAGAAGAAGAAGGAGGCCGCGGCCGCCGAGAGCCCGATCGACTCGGAGCCCACCGTCGTTCAGCCGCCCCAGCCCGTCGCCAAGGCCGCGACTGCGAGCAACGGCACCAGCGCTGCTCCCAAGCAGCCCACCAAGGTGTACTCGCAGCAGTCGGCCTTTGCTGCTCTGAGCACGGCAGAGCCCGAAGGCGAGGAGGAGAACGAGTGGGACGTCTAACCGCTCGACTCAGCACAAGCTGCAGCTGCAGGATCCACTGCCGCTTGTACCCACCGCCGGTTTGCATCTACTTTGCCGGGAACCCCATCTAAACATCCTTCTTGATCATATATTGCAGACCGGGCTTTCTTTGATGGGCAGGGCAAGGAGTTTGTGTATGTACATTACCAACCGGAAAATGCCTCGGGAGTCAAGCCTTTTGAGATTTTCTTTTTTTCTTTCCTTTTTCGTCATGTATGTCTTTGTCGACTTCTCTTTTGCCTTCGTCATTGGGTGGTTACATTTCCGGGGCGATTACCCCCGTGAGCAAAAACGAAGGCTTGGATGGGAGAAACGAGTTGCAGGACGGAGGCGGTGTAAGCGTGGAGGAAGAGAGGAGGTAATCGCCTTCTTTGAGGGTACTAACGAGTCAAGAGTTGAGCTGGCCGCACGGAATATGAGGATCCATCTCGCTTGCTTCTTCGCCTCCTTCTCATGGAGAGTTCACCGAGTGATCTGCGAGCAGAATCTCGAGCTTTGAGTATGATGCCATTCCTTGATTGTGCTCGTGACTTTGAACAAAGGACCTCGACTTCGCCGTTTCAAGCCGGGCCACCCCCGAGCAACATGAAGATCGACCAGGTCGAAACGTGGCAGCAGGGGGTGATTCGTCCCTCAACTTCTCTGTGCCGTCCGCCAAGGCCGTCCAAACACTTGCAGGCGGGGAAGTCACCAGGAGGCGGGCACGATGTAACTTGCGTTTCGCTCCATTCGACGAGCTGCTTCTGCCTAATTTGATGCCTCGCTGTAAATACATACATCAGTGGAGGCGTCTCGAGGCCGTGCAAATCCCATGGCATGGGAGAATGGGCATCCAGTGCAACAGAGCCTGATGACGCGGTCAAACCGAGGAGGTGGTGCCTGACTACGAATAGCTGGTGCGGTGTCATGATCATGGCTTGCGCAAGCCCCAAGTACATGTCATGGTACATGTACATACCAGATCAGGCAAGAGACTGCAGCGGGCAGGCACAGACATCGACGAGTAACGGCGGGTTTCTGGAACATTTGGGCACCTTGTTGGTTTTCTGCTCGCCGGCAAAGGCCGCCCTGTTCCTGAACCTAAACCCAGGGCGGATTCTGGGTGTGTGGGCGGTTGATCTGATGGGCCAATGCAGTGGTCGGGCGTTGAAACCAGCCAGCCAGTCAACCACGATTTCGAGGGCACCTGTCGTTATCGTCGCCAGCGTTATTTTCCTGTCCTGGCGGTACGTTATCCCACGTGTCATCAAACGTAAAAACCCGAGAGGGATTTTTACATGCCGGTCACACACGATTGCCTCATGACTGTTCAAGTCCCGTCTCTAAGAAACGATGAGTGAATCAGGGGCTCCAGTTTCCCCAACCACAAGACAAATTGTCGCAACCGGGACGTCGGACCTGCAGTCACATTGTCGCTTAAACGTGGACCTCGAGTTGCGAGTCGGCCTTCCCAAAATGGGAAACAGTCTGGGGCACTTTCGTACGGTACGGTACGGTAGTATACCTCTCCTGCGTAACGAGTGGGACAAGACAAACCCGATCCTTCCATCATCATCTCCTTTGCCTTGCTTGGGGCCTCCCTGTTCGGTATTCTCCCAAGCGCTTCCAGACACCTTACAAGGAGTCGGATGAAGGAAACGGTCTCTGCTTCGCTGTGCATCGTCGTTGCGAATCGTCGAACCGTGGGGCTGAGCGAGGGATCGGACGAAGGAGCGCCCACTCCCGTCATCAACCGACTTGTGCCGCGCCTCTTTTCCCGCGAATGCGGGCAAGGTGCCTGCTGGCTGCCCCTGGCTGTTTTATTAGCGCCAGCCAGTGGGTGTTCCCTGCCCCTGGATTCCAACGGGGCGTCGGTCTCGTGTATCAAAATTACACAACCCAAATCTCCCCCCACGGGCCACCTACTACGGAAGACGATAGCCGCCAATGGGACATAACCCAGATTAGGCAGGTATTGCAGGGGGGGTCAGGTAGGCAGACCCCCCAGCGTTGCGATTGTAACAAATTTGGCCAATCAGAACCTCGACCCCCATTTTATCAATCCTTCTAACCACCAGTTTTCCAGCTCTCTCCACAATAGGACCAAATGTATATGGAACTGGGTTAGGTATAATCGCAGGGCCCTGTATTGGGTGCAATTGCAAGGCACTGCACCGCGTGCAATCGCAGGGCACTGCACCGGGTGCAATTGCAGGGCACTGCATTTGGTGGGTACAATTGCAAGGCACTGCATTTGGTGGGTGCAATTCCATGCAGGGCACTACATTTGGTGGGTGCAATTGCAGGGCACTGCATTTGGTGGGTACAATTGCAGGGCACTACATTTGGTGGGTGCAATTACAGGGCACTGCATTTGGTGGGTGCAATTACAAGGCACTGCACCGCGTGCAATCGCAGGGCACTGCACCGGGTGCAATTGCAGGGCACTGCATTTGGTAGGTGCAATTGCAGGGCACTGCATTTGGTGGGTGCAATTACAAGGCACTGCAATTACAAGGCACTGCAATTACAAGGCACTGCACCGAGTGCAATTGCAGGGTACTGCGTTGGGTGCGCCTCGGTACCGAAGCACTATCAGAAAGTTAAAAATCGGGTAAGAGGTCGAGCTCGATAACGATATAGCCGGTATCCCAATACGGTATATATGCATATCATGTGATAATTATGTCGTAAATCGCTAAATGTTAACCTGTTGTGTGGGGTGTACCTGGAATTAGTGGTGTAATTCTAAATGCTGCAAAAGCTGGGTAAGCTGGTTATGTCCCATTGGCGGCTATCGTCTTCCGTACACCTACGCCAGCTGCATGGTTTCCGTTTGATTGACTTGTTCGAATTCCCACACACAGCCGCCTTCGTGCTGCTGCGTTTCAACTTCGACTTTGACCCTCGTTTTCTGGATTCCCCTTACCTTTTCCATTCATTCCAACGAACAGACGGGCACGCGACAGCCTCCCCATTTCTGTTGCCGTTCTTTCCGTCCTGATTTCCATTCAAGTTACTGCAGTTACTCCAATTACTCTAACGATTCTTGTTTTCCTTCCTTTTGAACAGACGGATGCTGGGACCTCCCTGTCGTTTCGCATCCACCATCCTCCCCGGTTTCGAACTTGTACCTCGATTACGCATACTAGCGGCACCACACCTTCTCGAGTTGTTTGCTCGTCTGCATGTGTGTGGCGTGTTGAGGGGTCGAGGCATTTAGAGTCGAGTTCTTGGGTAACTTCCCTTCTCAGCAGCCGAGAGAGTGCCGAGCACCATCCCTCGCTTCCCCGCCCCTACGGAAGGATCCAGTCCGCCATTGCCCTTCACTTGGCTCCCTGGGACGGACTGCTGCCGAATATTCGACCATACCGATCGTTTGCTACCGACTTTTGTGCCCCGTGGTGTCCTACTATGACCGTCGCTTCGGTGGTGTGTACTCTGACAAGCCACCCCACGTTCGTTTGAGTTGTGTTCAAAAAGAGAGATTGTCAAAGGACTGTTTTCGGGACGAGATTCACCCTATGCGGTCGACATAGACAGCAAATAACTCCAGAGCGCACTGTTGTTACTCGACAAGTACGGGATGCTGGCAACGAGAGCCGACAATGTCGTACCTAGCCGCCGCCCAGTCCGCCCTCTTCTACATACTCGCCTGCACACCATGCAACCAACTCCACACCGAACATAGGACGCGGCAGCAGGCCAGGAGGGAGAGGGAGATGAAGGAGCGCATCGTGTCGGAACAACCCCACCTGTACCGGCACCCGGACCCTTTCGACACGAATCCCTACTGGGACGAGGAGATTCGCATGGGGCCTAGCTTGCCTAAGAAGAGGAAGGGGAGCGATGCGATAAGCAAGAGCCTCAGCCAGCGGCGACTGACAGCGGCAAGCCGAGATGGCCGCCCGAGCATTGGCACCGGGAGTAGCGCTGTGATCAGCATGTCGGAGATGGGGTCAATCGCTAGTCCGAGACCGTCCCTCGGCCCAGCTGACTTGCCCAGTGCCGGGAGCGCCCCGACGGTAGTACCAGAGGAGTACCCGGCAAGCCCAACACTCAGCAAGACGGTATCGATATCAACGAGCGCCGACTGGAACTACAAACGGTATCAGAGAGAGGATGAGGAACTGTGGGGCCACGAGCCCACATGGTCCGGACACAAACTCATGGACGCCATCAAACACGCCAGCACCTCGGCCGGCCGCTACATGGAGTCAAAGCTCGGATTGGAGAAGCCGATCACAGACGAGGACCGGCACAACTTCTACTCGACGCCCAGGAATCCGCCCGTAAACGAATACCACCCACCCGTCGTCAGCAGCAAGCCCGCTCACAGGGACGCCCTCCGATGGATGCTCCAACCACCACCCCCGGCAAAGGTTATGGAGGGCAAGGTACCCGTCACGAGGAGCGCGAGCATGGTGAGCGCGGCGTCCAGGAGAACGGTATCGACCCGGGACGCAGGTTCGCTCGGGAGGTTAGTGGGCGAGAGGGCCGTCGAGGCCAGGATTCGGAGGGGAGAGACGCCGCTAGATGATGAGCTGCGGTCCAACCCATCCTTAAAGAAAACAAGGTCCCGCGTGTCATCAGCAAGGAGGACCAGGAGTCGGCGCACAGCGAGGACGAGCTGCTCCTCGTCAGACTCGGAGGACGACTGGGAGCAGGCGAGCCGCAGGAGGCGGCGGACCAGCCACCGTGCCCCCCAGGTGGACTCGGATACCGAAGACGAGGGGGTGTACGTGTCGAGGAGTCCCGAATCGATCAGCAACACCTCGCTGCCGAGCCACGCCGCCCAGAAGCCAAGGCTGCCTACCATTCTAAGTTCGGGATTCGACGACAGGGGCTCCTCGGGGATCGATAACAACGGACCAGCGCACCCTTTGCGCACAACCACCAACCTTATCCCGAAGTCGGAGTTGGCCAAACCGATGGCTCAGCCGACCATTTCTATCAACGCCAACATGGCGATACCAGCCTAAGCCGCTCGCTAGGACCTTCTTTTCCCGTTTTCTTTTTCTCTCGATCACAGTCCCCTCGTACCTCTTTTCTTGTCACAGCATGGGCCTGGCGTAACATGTTGATATGGGGATCGCATTGTTGGGACCGGGCTCGGTCTCTTGGTTGGGCAAGGCGTTCGGAACCGGCAGCATGCACAAAATGGGGGGCTTTTTCTCGCACAATACAGCATGATATTTCCTCTGTCTTTTACCAGTTGGTTTTCTTGTCACTCGTCGCCATCCGCGCGGGTAGCATAATCTTACACAACCCTGGAGGCATCGCGTTTTACCACCCTGCCATCACCATCACTACCAATGAATCAGATTGTTCTCGTGGTTTCTGCGGCCGTAGCTGGGTATTTATGTGAAGGCTGTTATCTTATGCTGCTCCCGAGGGAACCCATTCCATCATATTAAAACAAGCAAAGCAATCCACCAGCCGCCGTCCAACCCCCTTAGAAAAATATGACCACCTCCCGCAAAACCCTCTTCAGAGATGCAACCCCCCCTCGCCCTCATCCTCATCCTCCCCTCCCAAACTCCTCAACTGCTCCTCCATCCGCCTTCTCAACTCCTCATCCGTAAGCGACCCGCCCCGTCCCTGTGACGCTTGCCCAGCAGACCCCGAGTCCATGTGCACCACCCCGCCCCGGATAACCCCCGTCTGAAACGTCCCATCCCTCCACGGATCCCGCCCCTCCTCACCCGCCGCATCGGCACCGGCACCTGCACCCGTCCCCGTCCCATTCACACCATTCACACCATTCACACCATTCACCCCATTCACCCCATTCACCCCATTCACCAACCCCCCGCTCCCCTCCCCTGAACCCTCCCCCTCCCCCTCTAATTTAGGTGGCTGCTGTAAAAGGCGCTCCGCCTCCCGCTCCTCGGCGCTCTGGAACTCGGCCCACCCCAGCCCGCGCCGCTCGACCTCGGCCCGCACGAGCGCGATGCGTGCCTGCATGCGCTCGATCACGGCCTCGTTCTCGCGGATGGCGTCGACGCAGTCGGGGTCGGGTTCCCCTGTTCCTTGTGTTTGGGTTTGGGTTTGGGTTTGTGCGGTGGTTTGTGTGGTGGTGGCGCCGGCGGTAGTGGCGCTGGTGGTAGTGGTGGCGGTGGCGGTGCCTTCGGCGAAGGGCCGCAGTTGCTCGTTGGAGTAGTCGAGGTGGGCGATGCTGTTGCGCAGTTCGAGGACTTTGAGGTGGAGGGTGGAGAGGGGGAGCTCGGGGAGGGCGGCGGCGAAGCGGGTGGGGGATATTGGGAGGGCGTCGGCGGACATTGTTTTGGTTGTGTTTGGTTTGGTTTGTTGGAGGTTGGTGGGTTGGTTGGTTGGGAAGTTGGAGGTCGTTGGGATTGCTGAATCGAGGTCTGTGTTTGCCTTTGTTGGTGTTGACAACGGTTAGGATCTGGGATATGTTGGGTGAGCGTGGTTAGGTAGTTGGTTGTCGGCTATGATGACGTCTGTTCGGTTGCCTGTGCTCAGAGTTGCCGCAACGAAGTGGTTGATGGAGAGAAGTGTTGGTTTCCTGTCGACGCAAGCTCGAGAGCTGCCTGTTAATGTTGGAAGCTCCCCTCCCTGCAGTCCTGCCGCTGCCCCGCTGTGGGGCCAATTGCTTGCGCCAAGGCAAACCCCCAATGGCCCTCCGGCTGGGTCCAGTTCCCGGCCAGCTGGAATTTTCCCCGACACCCGTCCGCCGACAGCGACCTACCTCCACCTCTTCGATATCGATTCCTCGGCCGGTCGACGGCGATCTCTCCAGCAGACATCTACCACAGTACCTTAGTGGATGGACGGTTAGGTGAACCGGCGCAACTGTGGGCGCCAGATTTCGACAATGAGCAGCTGCAGCCTGGGCGTCAATGCCTTCCGGTCCAGCGTCCAGGCCGCCGCGCACCACTTGACGAGGCCGTATTCCCGGTTGCTGCCGGTCGCTCCCTTTTCGAGTCGCTGCTTTTCGTCCTGGCCGTCTCCTCAGAAACAACAACAACAACGACAGCCGCAGCGAGCAGGACATGGCCGCAACGCAGTCACGGGGTCCGCCCTCCTGAAAGCCGCCCGGCCGGTGTTGCCGCAATGGGTCGGCATCCGGACAATACTCGGGGGCGGCCAGACGGTCATCACCCACTATGTCGACCTGCCGCCGGAATATGAAGATCGGGACGGACTGCCGTTTGCCAAGCATGACTTGACAGCAAGTGAGGTGGTTGCCATTTTCGGGCCGCTCATGAGCACCACGGGAGGCAACGAGCTCCTGCGGATCCTCCATGGCCGGCGCGTCGCCGGGACGCTCGATGACCCGGCGCTCCGTGTCAATACGATCGTGTATCCGAAGGAGCAGCAGCACATCGCCCTCGCCTATCTGCGTGAGAAGGTGCCCGTGGACGAGATCGCCAACGCGGGTCTCCGGGCCGAGGACGAGCTAGCGGCTCTAGAGAAGGGCGGCACCGCGGCGGAAAAGGAGAAAACAGACGATAATCTAGGGTATGCGACCAAGCTGAAGCTCTACGGGGAGCGAGAAGTCTTGCGGAAGAAAACGAGCGTTTACGGGCGGAGCGCACTCGATGCGATTCGTGAGAGCAACGAGGCAAAACGAAAAGCGGAACGCGAGAAGCGAGAGGAGGAAGAGCGGAAGAAGAAGGAAGAAGAGGAGCGACAGGGCAAGGCCGGGCCGCTGCAGGTTGCTGGCGAGCAGACGCGACAGCTGAGCCCCAAGATGCAAGAGTACATGGCCAAGGGTCAATCCAACCTCACGGAGCCGCCTAAGATGAAGATGTGGCAGCGGCTTCTGCCGTCGACCACCTTGGTGCTCGCTCTGATCGGGCTTTGTGTGGCGTACGCCGAGTTCTACCAGCCGGCCAAGCGGGCAGACAGGTGGTTTCCGGATATCCCACCGGCGGCGGTCACGGTGGGCACGCTGATAGCGCTCAACCTGGCGGGCTGGGTGTTGTGGAAGCTCCCGCCAATCTGGGGGCTCCTGAACCAGTACTTTATTGTCGTTGTTGCCACACCGCGGGCGGCGACTATGGTGAGCGCCATGTTCTCGCACCAGTCATTAGGCCATCTCCTGCAGAATATGGTTATCCTATGGTTCTTGGGCGTGCGCTTCCACGACGAGGTCGGGAGAGGCACGTTCCTGGCAACGTATTTTGCGTCCGGAGCGCTGGGTGCCTTTGGGACGCTGAGCTGGGCGGTGCTGACGAACCGGCTGACGATTACGTCCTTGGGGGCATCGGGGGCGATCTATGGGGTCGGTGCGGCATATCTCTGGCTGCACCGGTTTGATGCCTTCAGGATCTTTGGCCTCCCGCCGCCGCCAAGAGATGGCGTCGAGGGGCTCACGCTTCTGGCCTTCGCGGCGGCGCTCAACATCGGCGCCGCCTTCACCGCAAAACGCTTTACCATCGATATCACGGGCCATCTCGTGGGGATGATCGCTGGTATACTTGGCGGTCACTTGATCGAAAGGAAAAGGGCGGCGAAGAAGGGAATAGCCGTCGCAACCAGGATACCGGTCGCTACCAAGTGATGGATGCCTGAAAGGAGAACCAGGCCACCTTGACGAGACGGCAAGTGGGGATTAACATAGTGCCGCCGTTGTTGTATATCGAAAATATCATGTACAAAGTATATACACCGCTATCAGACAAAGCCTTGCGTTTCAGTTCCCGAGGCCACTTCGAGGCCATCCCGAGGTCACTGCTCGGTGTGGTGAACAAAGGGGGTCTTTGTTGACCTCGGGCTGCTCTCGTCGTGCGGAGCAACCAGTTAACTCCCGTAACCACCGAGCTCACTCCGAACTGTGCCCAGATCAATAAAACCAGAAGGGCCCACGTTTCAGCTGCACTCGGCGGTGCTGTGCCGAAATCCGATCTTGGCGTCGAACGTTATTCCCGGAGTCGGCTGGGAAACGAATGGCAGCGATTGGCGCGCTGATCTTGGGTCCACTGCCAATGAACATGGGACAGAGAAGGGTGCGGCGCGGTGACGCAAGAGCTGGGCACTTGCACCAACCACCAGAGCTTGGGCCCTGCGATCTTCCCGAAATCCGCAGGGATGCTCGCGGCGGCCTCCAGCGAACAATGGGGAATGAAAGAATCTGCAAACAGAAATGAGTGACGGGAGTGATGAAGAGAGGCAGAGAGGGAGAGAAGGGAGATGAATTTGCTGGGTTGGCAGGTTGGCAGGTTGGCATTGCCGCGAACGGAAAGAAGAGAGACACACACAAAACAATCCAAGCCAACGATCCAAGACACCCCAAGACAACAGCCTTGGGTGTGGTGTGTCTTGGCGCTGTGCCGCCCAGTTCCAAGCTTACAGGTAGGGTAGTATACTACCACAGTACCTAGGTAATCATCTGATGTTGGCATCCTCAACCTCTTCTTCACATTCTTCACCTTCTTCACCTCCCTTCTCCCTTACTCCCCAATCCCAATTGGCCCAAGTCAACCCCCCGCGCCCGCCCCGCGACAAGCCCAGCGCAACCGGCGACAATGGCCTCGCAATACCCTCAAAACCCCCTCCCCCCGCCGCCGCGCGACATGGACAACCACCATTACTACGACAACGACGAGGACGGCAGCAACAATGCCCCGCCACCCCTCCCCCCCAAGGACACCCCCCCGCCCATGGCCATGGCCTCCTCGCCCAACCCGTACGCCTCCTCCAGCCGCTGGCGCCACGCCGAGTCGTCGGCCTACGCGCGCTACGAGAAGGAGAACCGCCAGCAGTACCAGCAGCAGTACCAACCCCACCCGCACCACCACCCGGTCGCGCGCGACGCCGACTCGCGCGGCGCCGGCGTCTCCGACCTCGCCAGCTTCCTCAACAAGTCGCGCCTCGACCCGAGCGAGACCCGCGATGACACCGCCGGCCGCCCCATCACCCCGCGCTTCAAGCCTGTTGTTGCTGGCGCGTCCGAGGCGAGGGTTGCTCTGGGTGGTGCTGATGCTGATGCTGATGACCGAGAGGGGGTGGCTCGTCCCGAGCAGCGGGGGCCGCCGCCGGATGGTAAGGAGATTGTGTGTGGGCCGCTGTTGAATTATCGGCGGATGGAGGGGGGGCGGTGGGTGGGGAGCGCGTTGGTGGTGACGGCGGGTGGTGGGAAGACGCAGCCGATCGTGCCGACGGCGAATTTGTGGAGGGCGGATGGTGGTGGTCGTGGTGGTGGTGGTGGCCGTGAGGGTGGGGTGGCTGTGATTGAGGGTGTCTGTCTCTGCTCGGACTCGAGGAGTACCTTTTGGCGGTTTGATCTGGTGGTTGAGATGGACGAGGTCGAGACTAAGTGGGAGTATGAGCTGCCCGGTCTGCGGTTTGCGAGCGGCACCAAGCCGCGCGTGAATAACTTCTTCGTCCCAGCCATTCAGGAGTCCATGAGGATCATGTTCCACTCGTGCAACGGCTTCAGCGTCGGCACCGACGAGGCTGCTTGGAGCGGCCTGGCGCTGTGGAACGATGTCCTGCGCAAACACGAGGAGAGGCCCTTCCACGTCATGTAAGGCGCCTGTTTGGGGTAGACGGGGTATTGATTGGTGCTAACGAACGGTTACAGGATTGGCGGCGGCGACCAGATCTACAACGACGGCATCCGTGTTTCCGGCCCGCTGCACGACTGGTCTAACATCAGCAACCCCAAGAAGCGGAAGCACCATCCGTTCCCGGAGAGTCTCCGCCAGGAATGCGACGACTACTATCTGAAGAACTACATCCGCTGGTACTCGACCGAACCTTTCGCCGGTGCCAACGGCCAGATCGCCCAGTTGAACATCTGGGACGACCACGATGTATGTCGCTCTTTTACTATTTGGGGCGTGGGAAAAATACTGACCGTATAGATCATCGATGGATTCGGCTCGTATGTCAACGAGTTCATGAAGTGCGACGTCTTCAGGGGCATTGGCGGCACCGCCCACAAGTACTACATGCTGTTCCAGCACCACCTGCCGCCGCCTGCCTCCACCTACACCTCGGGTAAGCATCCTGGGAAATCTTGAGGTGGCTCTTCTAACGCATCGCAGATGCTGTCTCGGCTACCGCGGTCGAGGAGGGACAAGGAATCGACCCCAACCAGCTCATGGAGTCATACGTCCACCCGCCGCTCTCGGAGCCCAACTACATTTATGGTCCAAAGGCCGGGGTAAGTCGTGGCAATGAAACCAATCGAGACTGACAGCTAACAAGACATAGCCGTATGTTGCGGAGCATTCCCACAACATGTTCACCCAGCTGGGTGCCAGAATTGCCTTTTTAGGTATCGACGCCCGCACCGAGGTAGGACACCCCGAGCCGCCGCTCACGCAGTTTCATCTAACCGAGAGTAGCGTACGAGACATCAGGTCAACTACCCCGAGACGTACGACGCCATCTTCACCCGCCTGAAGAGGGAACTCTCGGCCGCTGCGAGCTCCGGGCGCCCGTTCAAGCACTTGATCCTCCTGCTGGGCATTCCCATCGCATACCCGCGCCTCACCTGGCTCGAGAACATCTTTGCGAGCCCCGTCATGGGCCCCATCAAGTTCCTGAACCGCCGCGTGGGCATCGGCGGCAGCTTCTTCAACAGCTTCGACGGCAGCGTGGATCTCCTGGATGACCTCGACGACCACTACACGGCGCGCACCCACAAGAAGGAGCGCAACTGGCTGGTAGAGAAGCTGCAGGGCATCTGCGCCGAGTTCTCGATCCGCATCACCATCCTGGGCGGCGACGTGCATCTGGCCGCCCTGGGGCGCTTCTACTCGAACCCGCGCCTCAACATCCCCGCCGAGGAGGACTACCGCTACATCGTCAACGTCGTCTCCTCGGCCATCGTCAACAAGCCCCCGCCGGCCGCCGTGGCCAACCTCCTCGCGCGCCGCAACAAGATCCACCACCTCAACCACGACACCTCGGAAACCCTGCTCAAGCTCTTCGACAAGGACCCGGGCAACAGCCAAAAGACGGCCGCCCACAACAAAGTCACCATGCCCTCGCGCAACTTCGCCATGATCACCGAGAACTCGCCCTTCAACCCGGCCACCCCGCCCAACGGCACCGGCAACGGCGACGTCGCCACCCACCACCCAGCAGCCGCAGGCATCGCCGCCCCCGCACCACCCGGCACCTCCTCCTCCAGCGCCAACTCCTCCGCCACCCCCTCCCACCAACACCACGCCAAGCACAAAGACGAGCGCCTCCCCTTACACGCAGGCGAAGCCGGCTGCGGCACAACCCACAAGGCCGCCACATCCCGCGGCGCGGGCGCCCATGGACGGGGCTCCGACGGCGGCCTCGACGTGTGCATCTGCGTCGAGATGGACCAGCACGACGCGACCGGCCAGACCCAGGGCTATGGTCTGACGGTGCCGGCCCTGCACTACAAGGGTCCCCGGCCGCCGAGCCTGGAATTGTTGCCGCCGCGGAGTGCGGGGAGGAGTGAGGTGGGGAGTCGGGGGAGTGAGGCGAGGTAGTTGGTTGTTGTATTTGTGTTTTCTGATGGGGGGAGGGTGGGGGGGTGGTGTTTGTGGGAGAGGGGTGGACGATGTGGGATGACGAGCTAGCCCGGAAGGGGATGATGTTGGATATGCTGGGGGTGATGAGTGATGTTGGATGAGTGTTGAGAGTGTGAGTGTGGGAGAACAACTGCAAGGTTGGTTCGTCGAGCAAGAGTAATGTAATCAGGATACCAAGATTTCCTTTTGTACTTGTTGGAATTTTGTATTCGTCTTCTGGCTAGTTCGTGGATAGAATCTGCCTCCCGAAAGGGAGCCCGAAAAATTGAGGGATTACTGGAGATGAGCCCGAACTCAAACTTGAGGTGTAATGAAGTGTCATGCCATGATGTCGAATAGAACTGTTTACCTCCTCAAAAATGAAAGAGCGCGTACTCGACTGTAGCTCACTCATCGAAACGAGCATATGAGCAGACAGAGAAACCTGCATGAGCTCGAACCGTTCCACTACCCTTCGCCACCATGAGATATATGCCTCAGCATAAACGACGATCACAGCGCAGGCGGCAATAACGCTTTCAAAAAGTCTCATATGATGATGAACACTCTAAAGTCCCTTGTTTCTAAGTCTCCCTCGGCCCAAAACACCCTGTCCCGAGGCCGGCTCTACAAACCTATTCCCCGTCTAACTGGGTAAATACAACTCATCCCTATGCTCCCCGACCCCTTTCACCGCATTATCAACCACCCATCAACATACTTTTAAATAGCTCACCCCGAGCCCGGAAAGTCTACAACTCTTCCTCTGCCGGCCTCCCTCACAGCAGGGGAAAGATACACCCGCCAGCATCCCAATGCGCCATGCCGTACCACCGGTCTAGCTATACAGCGACGAGCCGATGTTGGGGAGGAAGCCGACTTCAATCCACGCATGCATGCATGCACCCCTCCCGGGACGACATCGTGTTTCCGTCGTCTCCCTCGGATGGCGCACGCGCGAAACCCAGGATGGCATGGGATCGACTCATCCCACGCGCCCCGAGCCATGTGCCCAGCCGCGGCCGCAGCCGCGCCGCACAGCCCTGGGTACATCACATCCAACGAGACTTCCCCACGGGACACGTGGGAGGCGGGACAGGGGTTGGGACGGGTAAAACTTGGGGGGTGGTGGGTGCTAAGGCAAGGCTATGCATGCTTCCTTGGCCCCCCCTAACTTGACATGTGCCTGCCAGCTCGCTGGGGCTCAGACCAAGGAAGCCACTTCTGCTTGGGGTTGGGTGGGTGGGGGAGGGGTTGTTGCTTGGTTTCACCCACCCCGTGTCCCATACCCCCAGGTATTGCAAAATGCCTACCCCCCGCGATGCGTTGACAATGTGCTTCTCAAGCGACACAGATCGCCGTCTAACACGGCCCGACGACGACTGGTCTCTCAGCTGCTGAGCAGGTCCCTCACGCTCATACCGCGCGGCGCGGTCGCCGTGCTGCTGCTGGTGCGGCGGTCCATCTGGTTCAGCATGAGCAGGGCGGCGGTGGCCTCCTGGTCCAGGTCCCGCTGGGGCGGCAGGGCCGGGCTGGTCAGGGCGGAGCCGTAGGCCGAGTGGGGGGCGGCGGGGTGCTGCGGGCCGAAGAAGGGCGAGGTGGTGGTCGACGTGCTGTAGCCGTGCAGGCGGTAGTCGGACGAGACGGATGAGTACGAGTTGTGCCGGCTGGGGTCCTGCGGCCGCAGGGCCGGGGAGATGGACGGTGCCTGGGATCGGCCGGCGATCGGGGTGAAGCTCGGCGAGGGCGCGCTGGAGGAACTGGTCATCTCTACGTCGGGCGAGCACGGTTCCGTGGCGCCGCCATAGCCGTGACCGTGGTTATATGTGTCGGCCATGGAGGGGGATGGCAGGCTTGACTGGGGCGGCCGGGGTTCGGGGTCCAGCATGGCTTCTGATCCACATTGCGCCTTGAGCTTGGTGACGCAGTCTTCGAGGTACCTGACGTACTCGATCGAGGCCTGGACTTGCGTGTCAGTGGAAACCGTAACACCGGAGTGGCACTATACGAACCTGCAGGATAGCCAGCTTATGCATCTCTCCAGTACACGCTGGGATCAAGCCCTTGAGGACGGCAAACTCCTCGTTCATCTTCGACCTCCGCCGGCGCTCGATGAGGCTGTGGGCAGTCTTCCTCGCGATCTTCCTCCCGGCTGCGCTCGTAGCCGAGGGTTGTTTCCTTTTTGAACCGGCCGCTTGAGTGGTCGAACTCGTCCCGGCATTGCTCTTGGATGCTGTCTTGGAAGTCGACGCGGGGGTCTCGGGGGCGGGCTCCTCGCGCGGCTTCATCTGGATAATCTTGCGAGAGCGGGTAGGAGGCGGTGGGAGCGCGAACTGGTCCTTGGGCGGGTTGGCAGCGGAGGACCGCCTGCGCGACTTGACTGTTTCGCTGGCCTGAGTAGGGTAGAAAGTTGCCGAAGTGTTCGGGGCGTTTGCTCCGGCCTCGCTCGCCACGGCGGGTGGCGGCAGCTCAAAGGCTAGCTGCAGGGAGGCCATCTTGGAACCGTCCTGGCCCTTGATGTCCGTTGACGACGCTGGGGTCGGGAGAAATGTGTTGCGAGGCATTGTGGAGGTCAAGAACGAAGTCCGAGAGTGGAATAATCACCAAGGCTCAAGGGAAGCCAGGGCCGGAAGGATGGCGCGTGCCCAGCTTTTGACGAGCGGCAGTTACAAGTAGAGCAGCCGAGCTTGGCAGTGGGATCAGAAACTCAAACGTGAGAGATGGCTGAGCTGTGTGACGATCTCGGATGACAGAATGTGCGCCTCAGTCTTGGAGCGAGATGGGGAGTGACGAAGTCGGGGAGAAGAATAAAGAGGGAGACATGGCTTCGGTTGCTCGGCGAAGCAGGCGGCCCACGGAAGAGAGTGGGATGGCAGAAAGTTTGAGACATTGCAACCGACACACGCCAGCCCGTCCGCACGCTTCTCAGCCTGAGGTCACAACCGAGAAGGGAAGACGACGGGGGAGGGGCGGTGCCTGGGGAAAGGGATGATGGGCGGTCGCGTGCTCAGCTCCCTTGTTTAAGGCACGAGGTGCAATCCCGAGTGCTGATTGGTTGAGGAACCGGGAGCTGTCGGTGAGGTGGGTGTCCGATACAGAAAAAGAAGGGGGGAACACGGGGGAGGGACATCTCTGTTGAGCTTATTCTCCAGACTCGGTCCGTTTTCTGTATCCCGCCGCTTACACATTCGCGCCCTTGTGTCATTCGAGCTCTTTTCGTCCCGCCAAAGCTCCCGGGGGCGACACCCAAACCCGCTGCAGCATGGGAGCATCTTCTTGTCCAACAGTCTCGAGGCTCGGCGACACGCCCCCTCGGAACCTTGCGGGTTTGTCGATCATCACGACACCCTGTCCAATGCTTTCAACACGCGTCGGCCTTGGCCCCGATTTCCCGGAGCGTCTCCCGATTGAGGCAATTGGATGGGCGCTGTCAAGTGCTCGCGTGTCAAGAGAAAAATGTTGGATTCGAAATAGCCCGGAAATTCTAGACCACCTTAACTCCGGAATGCCTCGCTCATCGCCCCCCTCCGGCGCAGAATGTCCAGCGCAAGCTGATACATGCCATTTCCACCCTAGTTAAGTCGTGTTCATCATGACCGCAACAGGTATCCCGAGGTGAAGGTGAAGGTGAAGGTGAAGGTGAAGGGGAAGGGGCCTTGTTCGGCCCATTAAACCTCGTTACTGGGGTACTCCACCTGCGTGGTTGCGTTAAACTCTTCCTTAATGCTCCTCATGCTGACGAACCGCCCCAGGATTGCAATGCTGCCGGCCTTGTCGTTGGTCCCGCTAGCCCGGCTCCCGCCGAATGGCTGCTGACCCACCACGGCGCCGGTGCTCTTGCAGTTGATGTAGAAGTTGCCTGCCGCGTTGCGGAGTTTCTCCTCCGCGAAGCGCACCGCGGCACGGTCCGCCGCGAACACGGACCCGGTCAAGCCGTACTCGCTGGCCGTGTCGACCAACTCGCACGCCTGCGCAAAGGCGCCGACGGGGTCCTTGCTATCGTCATAGACGTAGACGGTCAGGACGGGCCCGAACAGCTCCGTCGAGAAGAGCTTGTGGTCCGGCGTCTTGGCCTGGTAAATGGTCGGCTGCACGAAGTAGCCCTTCGATTTATCATAGGTGCCGCCCGTGAGCAGCTCGAGATCCTTGTCGTTCTTCGCATCGTCAATGACCCCCGAGAGCTTCTTGAAGGAGGCCTCGTGGATGACGGGGCCGACGAAGTTCTTGTGGTCCCACGGGTTGCCGACGGCCAGCTTCTGGGTCTCCTCGACCATGCGCGTCTTGAACTGCGGCCACACCGAAGCAGGCACGTAGACACGCGAGGTGGCGCTGCACTTCTGGCCCTGGTACTCGAAGGCACCACGGACCGTCTGAATGGCAGCATTGTCTAGGTCAGCGGACGAGTGGATCAGGTGGAAGTTCTTGCCGCCGGTCTCGCCGACAATGCGCGGGTACGACTGGTAGCGGCCTTCGGCGACACCAGCACCGATCTGGCCGTACAACTTGCGGAACACGGCGGTGCTGCCGGTATAGTGCAGCGCGGCGAACTTCTTGTGTGCCAACACCTCCTTGGTCACCTCCTCCGGGTTACCTGGCACGAACTGGACAACGTTCCGCGGCAAGCCGGCCTCGAGGAGGATGTTGTACAATAGCCAGTTGCTAGCGATGGCAGAATCGCTCGGCTTCCAGACCACGACGTTGCCCATCAGCGCCGGGAGACCGGGCAAGTTGCCAGCAATGGCTGTGAAGTTGAAGGGGCTGACCGCATAGACGAAGCCCTCGAGCGGTCTATACTCGACCCGGTTCCATACACCCGGCGAGTTGTGCGCAGGCTGCTGGGCATAAAGTTCCTCGGCGTACTGCACGTTGAAGCGGAGGAAGTCGCAGAGCTCGGCGGCGGCATCGATCTCGGCCTGCCAGGCGTTCTTGCCTTGGCCGAGCATTGTCGCGGCCATGATGTCGTAGCGGTACTTTGTGCTGATCAGGTCGGCGGCCTTGAGGAAGATGGCGGCGCGGTCTACGAACGGCAGCGACTCCCAGTCGGCCTTCGCATCCAGTGCAGAGTCGATAGCGGTCCTGACATGCTGCGGTGATGCTTGAGAGTATGTGGCGACAGTCGTTTGGTGGTCGGACGGGTTGGCCTGCCTGCCCGTCGAAGTCGTCTTGATCTGTGGCGCGAAAGGAGTTAGCGGGGCGATCAAGACATAACGGAGCACGAAACAGGGTCTTACCTCTTTCCCACCGACAACGAGCGGCACCTCTAGGGTGCCCCTCTTCTGTAAGGTCTCGACGGCCAAAGTCAAGCCCGCTCTCTGCGCTGAGTCTTTGGCATAGTGTTGCTGCCCAACGTGTCAATATCTCTGCACGCATACACGCATCACAACACGGGGTGCTCGGGCAAAGACTCACGTTTGGCTCGTTGGCCACCTTGGGGATCTTGAAGGCTGCGATGGTCGACATTCTCGTGGTGCTTGGAAGCTTAGGCGTGTGTTGTAACCTGGGTTTGCTGGCAGAGAATGCAGCTCTTGTGATGCCAGAAGGCAGTGACAAAACTCGAAGTTGCCTCGATGCCATGTTCGCTGCTTCCGAGATCTAGATCGGTCGTGTGACGGGATGCGAACACCAACTTCAGTGCGGGACGGTTTAAACCGGCAAGGAAAAGACGTAATGTGTTTTCCCAGATTATATGTGATTGCAGCCACCACGGATGTGTTCGCAGGTTTCGTCGAATCGCAACTGCCCGAATTCTCTACCCCTCATCCGATGTGTTGTGCACCGCATGAGACCGCCCTCTTGAGGAAAGAGAGGCACGCCTGTTGGATCGCTTTGCTACGGCTTTACACACCAAGCTCGAGCCATCACTGGCGTCATGAGGGGCGGCGGGTCATCCATTGGCCAATGATCGTTCTTGCCGTGGGCAAAGCGATTCCCGATAAGGTCCCGGCAGTCTTATCGAAGCCGGTGTCTGGAGAAATCGGCGGGCGGAAGAGCCGAGACCGGGGTGTTGACATGCCGAGCGACTCGAGGACGCCGTTCGATTCAGGGTCACGAGGTTCTATCTGGTATTCTCGGGCGAAAGAAATATTGGTTTAGGACATCCGTAGCTCCGACATCGCTTTAGGTTCGGAGAAAAGAGGAGGCGCTTTCGGCAAAAGTTTAGTTAATCTCTTGACCAGGAAAGAGTTCCCCAACTTTGGAGCTGCTTCCATGTGTAAGTGGTGGGCCGGGTACAGTAGCACCCCACACTTTGGCGGACTCGGAGTCAACACCAGACAGTCAACCGCTTCTCGCTTTTATTTCCTGTAATCGGGTGATTGAATGATTGAATATATTGATATCAAAATGAATACAGTGAGCAGTTCGGTACTGATACAAATTCTGTGGAAAGCTCAAATCTTCGATATTTCAACCAGAACCCATCCATCCCATCTAGGGCTCTCCCTTTCCCTCTCTACCCTCATTAGCTGGCTAGCTGTCAGTACCACTCCTTGCTCTTGGAGAGTCTTATCCGTAGAGAGTCATGACATGACCATCAGAGAGTAAGAATTGTGTGATTAGTAGATACAATAGCGAGATTGATGACACGAAGAGGCTCCCAAGGGCTGTCTGACTTGCCAACCCGTGCTTTCACCCCGTAGACGACCACACTATTGTGTCACAAGAACCTCATCTATACATAGTATGTAACGCCCTCCCGGACGGCCCGGTGCTCCCAAGCACAACTCTGAATAATGTTTGCACTGAAATAACTCGGTAGCGGCATCCCGGTGACACACACTATCAACGCCGCAGAGCAGCAGAAAACCCATCAGCTCACTACATACCATTTCGCGCCACCTGGGCCCGAGTCGTGCATGAATAACGTGGGCCAACCGTTACACGGCCACGGCTCGAAAGGGTGCCGATGCATATATGCGGGCGCCGTGAGACGATTTTCTACTTCCATTTAATGCTGCATCTTAGGGGCACAGGGAACAGACGAAGTCTGGAAAACCACTCATCGACAATGGGCCGCCACCGCTGCGATATGATCGGATCATCCGGCGCCCTGAAGAATAATCCGGGGTGTTTATCTTTAAATCAGAGAAGGTAAAATAAATGCCAGAATAAAGGTAACGGGGCAGCGACCTTTTTCTGCCCTTTCGCCAGAGGCATCCTGTCAAGTTACTCGAGTTGATACTCCGTGACTTGAAAAACAAGACTTCGGCACATCGTTTCCTCACCTAAACTTGGAAACGGCCTGTGGTGTACACGCTGACATAGCCTCCGCCAACGATGCGACGAGAAGGCAGTTGGGAGCAAGAGATGTTACACAGCCCAGGTTCAAGCCCAATGGCCCCCCTAGAGCAAGAACTCATGCTGCGCGCTGAGAGATGCAGGTTCCCATTGCACACCATCGGTGCAGCGATGGGCGTCGGGGCGGCACAGCACGAGTACGCCATGTATGTACCCCTTCGGGGCAGCTGGTGTGGTCGCACCTCATGGGCAACGATCCACAGGTCGCCATGAAGCTGCGCCTCTCCTTGGGTTGCTGTGAGCGTCAGCACCACGGCCCAACACAGGCTCGGTTCGAATGCTATGCAGAACGCCTCGATCTTGCAGCACCATGGCCGTCATGTGATCTACCGCGTGAAGGACCTGTCGTGATCCTCTCATGCCTCCTCCCGCCTGCCCGGCATAATCGACTGGAATTGCTTTGACGGGCGGTAGCTGAGTAGTTGGATCAGATTCACAACTCCCGAGAACGTACCGCACTCTACCCGAGACTGTGTCAGCATGTTAGCAGCTTCCTGTTTCCGATTATGGAGCTCGTTATGCTCCCAGACCCAAGCAATGTTTTAGGAGCGTGTTTTGGCATCTGCCGAAGAAACCGCGATGGTGGAGGGTGTCCGGCGGATTTGGGGTGGTCAGCAACGAGGTCTGTGAACCGGTCTCTTGACTCTTTGGCTTGATGATGCGACAGGTTCCAGGAATCTGGTTGAGGCAAATGCCGTGGCCTCGAATTCGCATGAACCAGTTGTTGGAGATCGCAGGGCTGAGTGGAGAGGTCGGCCCCAAGCCGTCTCGAATAAACGAGCCGCGGCGAGATGGACCAACGAGATTGAATCCCAGATCCAGAACATGGATGTGATCCAAAACAACATGAAGCGGCCATGGCGATGAGGCGTCTCCAGTCCTAGGATTTTCCGTGCAGAACTGTCAAGCATCCCTTCATCGCCTCCACCGAGCCCGCCTGTTAGTCGGCCCCGACACCCAACTCCCCTTTCGGGCTGCATCCGACAACGAGGTGGTCAACCTCCATCTTGTGCCCGAGTTTCAGCTCTACCCGTAGTCCCGACGAATCAAATGCCTCGAGACCAGCTCCGAAGCATGTTCCGGACTCGGCATGGCGACCAACCCCGCATGTCGAGCCAGTTGCGGGACGGAGGTGCCTGGATCCAAAAAGGTGTAATGCAAGGTGTGAGCCTTATCCGGGGCTGAACAGATGTCTTGCATCTGATGTAGCTGATTGGTTTGGGAGCTCGATCTGTCGGCCCTCACATTCCTGGCCACGTCACGGAGGAACTCCTGCGGCCCTGCGGGGTGGCCCCTCTTTCGAAGTTTCGACCATCGCTGGGGCATGAATGGCTAGGGAAGGGGCGGCCCGCCGATGTTCACCGTGATCCGTGAACCTAGCAGGAGAGAGAGGGGGGGGGGGGGGATCAAGAAAGATTGTAGGGCCGCCCACTCATCCACTCGAAGCGACTGGAATGGGAGTATCGGGTTGAGGGGAGCTTTGGAAGTTACTGCCCCCATGTCGTGCCTTTTCGCAGAATCCCGCAAGCGCCCAGGATTTGATTTGCAGCGCTCCATCGATATCATGCCGGACGGAACGAGCGGGGTGAGATATGAGTGCGAGTTCCGCGATTGCGGGGTGGTTACCATCGCATAATTCCGCTCAAGACACGCTTGTGAGGTTTGCCTTGTATTTTTTGCGCGCCAACAACAGCGAATCCCATCAAGCCACTCGGGAGACGGGACGCCAAAAGACGGGAGCGGAAACAGGCCTCGCCCGACAAACCTCCGATCTTTCACAGCTTAGAATAGGTCCCGAAAGGTTGAATCGGAACCATGATCGAAACCATGATTTGGGATGCTCTGCCGCATTCGCAGATCTTCGAGAGTAAGGCCGAGGGACCGTGCTAGATTGTGCAGGACGGCAGCCAGCGCTTCCATTCCATCTGCGGGCACGGCCTGATGACAAAAACCGAGTAGCATTCCGACTGGTGTCGCCTGCCGCCCCGGCGGCTGCTAAGCGCAGGGACGCCTCTTGCTTCGTGACGGGAAGGTCGCGCTGCAGCGCACGGTCTGCTTCTAAATCGGCAGGCGGGACAGAGAAATGAGGATCCTGTAGGTTCCTTATTATTCCAGACGCATCGCGGCTGCAGCGGAAGAGAGAGTTTCCGCTCTGAGCAGCAGGAAAAAATACCAAGTCCGATCACGACAAGCGGGTTTGTTCTGGTTCAGATTCTTCTGGTGCGACAATAACCCTCCACAAGAGCGGTCTTCTGACATCAAGAGCCCTGTCAGAACGGTGAATACGAAGGCGTTGGTTGGCTGCCACTTTGGGGGCATGCAGGAACCATCTCCAAAAGAGAATTGGACGAAGTTGAGGTGCCATCGGATTTTTGTTAGCGTGTCGTCTCAAGCGAAGCGGTTCCTGGCAGGCTCGGCAGGCTCACAGGGTTCTGGGCACCCACCTGTTTCTGGAAAGGCGATCCCCCGCTTCGGCGCGCACAGACCACGTATCTGATCCACTGCTCCCCGGTAATTACGGGAATTTACTGGGATCTCAAAGTTTCAGGAACAGGAAACAACGAACCACCACTCCACTTCACGCGTCTTTTCGATGGCAGGCACGCAAGAGAGGCGGGGGCAAGACAGGGCCTTCACCGCTTCCTGACCGCCGCTCCCGACGAGAAAAATTCCTGAGAAAAGCCCGAGACACGACACACACCACGAGGCAAGTTTTGTCGCAGACTCGGGATCTTTGATAGGGTGACAAATCCTCGAGACCCGCTGATCTCGCGGACTCGAAATCGAATCCGTCGAGTCTCTCTCGGATCTCGGGCGGAGGGGCACACAAGCCCCGGGCACCTCGCCGAGAACCTCACTCTGGAGAGAGGGTTGTTTGTGCTCGCACGAGATGACATTACGACTGCAGCTTCTTCCGACCTTTCCGAGCGGCTTCCTCGCCCCATTCATCAATTCTGCCATTCTGCCATCTCTCGGTCTGCCCAATGCGCAAGCGCAGGTCAATCCATGTGCACGCCATGTGTGCTGGTGAATGTCACCATTCCCCAATCCCCCCCCTTTCCCACGGTCGATCGTACCAAGTATTTTGGACTGTGCGTGGATTGTACCAACGTACCGCCCCTGTCCCTGAACTGAACTTGACGGGGGTCTGTCGCCGAGACCGTTGATTGCCCTGTTTGGCTGGCCCAGCCACCAACGCACCCACCACATCTGCAAGCACTTCCTGCAACACACGCCAATCCCCAGCGATAAGGCCCGGGTTACTCAAGACAGCGGCGTTTCAGAAACCTGCGCGGCAGTACGCGGATCGCTTTCCTGGACAATTCCAGTGGTGATTGTGTGCCTCTCGGAAGTCGTCCGTTGGTAACGACCGCCGCCAACACACCGCACCCAGGGCTCAGCCATTTTCACGCCAATTCAAGCCCGTCACAGCCATCACAACCGACCATCACAGCCATCCCAGCCCATCATCGCCCTTGCTGCACGCCTCTTTCCCAATGCACGTCGTTCCCACTAGCGTGCGTGGAGCCCGCACACTGACACACCACCGTGGCACCGAAAGTGGTCCCCAGCCCCAGCCTGGGCGGCCATGGTGCAGTCCGCGTGTGTGTGGGCAACTGGGCATGGGGGGTAGTGAGTTGCTTGGTAAAAAAGAGAGGGGATGGGGGGCTTCGCCAACCAAACCAGTCCAGTGTGGGTGTGGACTGCGGACTGTGGAGTGGGCTCGAGCACACGGGGTATATCTGCCGACTCACCCAGCTTTCCACGTCCAGGATACTTTTTATGATGGCTCGGCAGGCCACCCTCCCTCCTCCTCACCGTGCCGTGGTGACCCCCATCCTTATCTCTAATAAGGGCATCTGGATATAGACGCGGGAGCTTCCCTCTCCGTCTACTTCTTGTCCCTCGTTCCCGCTCGAGGTCCCTCCGACTCGAACCAAGGCCTCTGTGCCCCGGACCGATGCCCGTTCAGCTTCTCGAGCTGTTGGGTCTCTCAGTCTGAGTTGCCTCGACCACGTTTGTCTCCCATTTCCATTCTTGACAATTGCCTCTCTTCACCTTCCACCTTGCTTCCCGGCGTGCGAAAGAGGCATACCCGAGCTTGGATTTGCCCAATGGCTAGCTAGCATCGGGCATGCTGTCTTCCCTCGACCCCTCATCCCGCCTCCTCCAAGACCACTCACTGTCTATCCCGGGAATGTATGCACCATGACCGGGCCAATGCTGCTGGCGCTGCTTTGCACGGCAGTATTTGGATGGCTGGTTGAGGCGTTGCCAGTGGTGATTCGTGGTCTGGACCAGCACTCGGAAGTTCGAGCTGGGCTTTTGATCGAGCCCCGGCAATGGAAGGGCCCACCACCGTGGTTGATCTCGAGCATCGAAGCGGCGACAACGAGACTAATTCTTTCGGTCCCAGGAGCAACAGGACCGCCCTCGCCCACTTTCTCCGGGCCTCCGGCTAGCGCTGTACCGCTATCCACGGGCCTACCCACTACCCCTCCAGATGCTGGTAACTCGCTGCCTTCGAGCACGGTAGACCGGCAACTGTCTGGAGAAGGCCCGATGACCGATACTATGCCCACAGACACCACCAACTTCGAAACCGCAACCCCGTCCGCGACTGATATTTCTGTGCCTTCGAATGAGGGCGACTCTGGAATCGGGAGTCACAGGACGCTCGTCATCAGCCTGAGCACCATCCTCTCAGCGGTGGGGTTAGCGTTGATACTAGGGGGGTTATTCCTGTGGCGGAGAAGGCGGCAACGCCGGCTGCCTTTCCTCTCACGTGGCGTCTCACCCATCGATGACGACGAGATCGAGAGATGGAAATCGCCCAGAGATGAAAAGGAGACCAGGTTCCCGGCTGGCGATACCGACGTTGAGGCCGACGCGGCCTTCAACAAGGAGACGGGTGCTCCGTCGCACGCGAAGCACCCGTCGACAAGCTCTGTGAAGAAGCCGCCGAGCGTGATCGTCTACAACAGACCGCACGATGCGCAAGGGACCCGTCAGTCAACCGATGCCGAGTCCCGCCGCTCCTTCGCCCAGAACCACCCCGCCTACAGCGGCAAGACAAGTTTCGACAAAACCCTCCCGCAGACCCCTATTCAAGCCCGAGCACCCAACGCCCGCGCGGGACTGACGGACGAGTCCGTCCCCGGCGACGAGCCCTTTATTTTCTGCCCGAAACGCACCTCTTCCCGACGCCTTTCCAAGCTTCCGCCCAATTCGGCCATGGGCCGGAGGGCTCAGCATGCGAGAGCTCGCAGCTCGCGTAGCAGCACCCGCAGTTTCGGCGAGTACTACTACGCCTCAGGCGGCGGGTCACGCACCGGGTCCGACCTGGAGCTCTCGCCCCGGTATTCCCATGATCATGCACAGCATAGCAGGGAGCACTCGAGGAGCCACAGCGGGCCCCGGGGCAGTCACTCGAGAGTGTACTCGTCGTCCTCCATCCCGCCGAGGCTATCCTTTGGAGACGAGGCGTTGTTCGGGGGGCTGTCCCCGGCCCGCCCGAGGTTCCCTGGCGAGGGCGAGATTGGGAGGGCTATTGGCTAAGGGGGCCGCACAACACACATTTTGTTATGACCGATCATGTAAGGCTCTCTGTGCCTTTGCACATGGCCACACACTCTTCACCAGGCTGGGGGACTGATCCCGCTGGCGCCTGTTTTTCTTGGCACATCACTTTTCTTCCTCCCTGGATGCTGACTCCAGCGGAGCGGCTCGAGGGGTGAGTGAGCAAATTGCTCACTAGGGGCTCGAGGCCTTTTTTCTTTTTCTTTTCAGATGGCTGGATCAGTGTTATGAGTGACGAAGGTGATGGATATACCCCGACTAGCGCTTGAGGAAGGAGAACTTGGTTCTCGATGGCCTGGACGGCCAATCTACTTGGACGGATGAATAGCTACCTATCTGTTACTGGCAGAACGATACACACTGATGATGCTTTTGAAAGCACATCAGATGAAAGAAATGGGACAAACTTCATCAGCCTTACTGAGACATGCGTCTCCCGTCTTGTTGCCACTCTCCGCATCATCACAAGTTGTACATGTTACCTATGTATAGATACCGAGATGGTCAACCAAATATGGAATCCGATGCGCCCCGATCCAGAAACGCCGTCCCATTGTGATGAGACATTTTAGCTTGCATACAGACAGCTCTTCCTCGTCAAATGGGAGGCCTTCCTGCTCCGGAACCTGAAACGGTGGGCTTCCAAGGCCGAGCGGGGGGCAGATGCGGATCTGGGATCGGGCTGAGGATTGCCAGCAGCTTTTCCATGCTTGGATTTAGAAGGGCACTTCAAGTGAAGAAAAGGGAAAAGGGCCGGAGCATCTCGATAGTTCAGAAATAAGAAAGGATATAACCAAAGCGGAATAACTGGTGTCTGTCGAGTGATGAGATGTGCCCCTATTCATGGTCAAATCGCCCCTGGATTGAACCCTAACCCGATGCAATATAGCTTCCGCACAAAAGAAATCAATCAAGAGATGGGCCGCCACAACGAAGGGCATTTATGATCTTACACTCGGGGCCAATTGCCTGTCAAATAGCGCAATGGGCTTATTTTTGAGAGATGGGAGAAAACATAGAGGTTGTGGGGAGTTTGAAGAAGAGAGAAAAGTGACCAATATTCGTAACTCGTCGAAATGAAGCTATGACCCCCTAACTAAACCCATTTACGCGTCGATTTACAGCGCGACGCGCCACAATTTTGACTTCCTTCCCCACAACTGACCGCTACCCTGCGACCTGCGACCTGACCTGCGAGTCGCAAGTGACGAACATCACGCCAAACTCGTACTCACGAGCAATTGACCACCTCGAACCCGTGTCATAATTCCTCGCCCCTCGAGAATCACCGAGTCAACAGCGACATTATCTTCGATATAATCCCCCCCCCTATCCCGCCGAGATCCAAGCCATCGCCATGCCCTCACGTAAGAGCGATGCTCGTCGGAGCGACGTGTCTGTGGCAAGGTTTGTGCTCGCCGACGAAGATAGTGCCATGACTACAGAGTCCCCCGCCCCGGAACCAGCAGCACCAGCGGCATCAGCAATAGCAGAACCCTCGGTGTCCGGCTCAACGCCTGGCCCGCAACAGCCTGGCGATAAGAAGGACAAGGACAAGGAAAGGGAAAGGGAACGGGAGAGGGAGAGGGATACGTTAACAATCGAGGTGCGCACGGCGGTTTCAGAGTTTCAACACGGACCAAGGCTAATCAACTGGACACGGCCGTAGGACCTAACGCTGCCCAAGTCCATCATCACCCGGTTGGCAAAGGGCGTGCTACCGCCCAACACACAGATACAAGCCAATGCCATACTAGCGCTAACCAAGAGCGCGACGGTGTTTATTAGCCACCTAGCCAACGCGTACGTCTCTGTTACCCTATCCCAAATTTCGGGGAGAAAGAGAGAGAGGGGTATCTAACAGGAACCAACCGCAGCGCAAACGATTTCACAGTCGGCTCCAACAAGAAAACAATCAACCCCGCCGACGTCTTCAAAGCCCTAGACGAGATCGAATACGGCTTCATGCGCGAACGGCTCGAGGCTGAGTTTGCTAGTATGCCCCGCCCTCCCTCCCACTACAAATCACCACCACCACCCCCCACCCCCAACTAATACAAAAAAAAAAAAAAAACAGAATTCAACGAAGTCCAAACCTCCAAACGCTCCACCTACCGCAAAAAAGTCGCCGCCGCCAAAAAAGCCGGCGGCCCCAGCAGCGGCGACCCCGCCGACCAGTCCATGACAACCGACGCCGGCGGCAGCGGCGGCGCAGCCGACGTCTCCATGATGAGCACGGGCTCGACCACACTCGGCGGCGACGGCGGAAACGACGGCGACGAGACCGAGACCGAGGTCGACCGCAGCGTGCTGTCGCAGCGCGATGTCGCTCCGGGCGCGGGCGCGGGCTCCGGATCCGGCTCCGGTGGGGAGGTGCGCGCGGCGAAGAAGGCGAGGCTCGATTCGAGTGTTGTTGGTGGGGGTGTGGGTGGGGCGCGGATGGAGGTGGATGGGGAGGAGGAGGTGTCGGATGCGGAGACCGTGCCGGAGGAGGAGGAGCAGGAGGAAGAGGAGGATGAGGAAGAGGAGGAGGAAGAAGAGGATGAAGAGGAGGACGATGAGGACGATGAGGATGGGGAGGGTGCGGAGGGGAGGGGGGATGAGTTGGAGGAGCGGGCGAAGAGGGTGGAGGAGGACGAGGCGCTGGATGATGATAGTGATTAGGCGGGGGGTGTTGGGCGCGCCGGGGCAGGGCAGGTCGGGTCGGGTCTACGGGGTGGGAGGAACATGTTGGAAAACGCGCGGTTGTAGGGACGGAGTTGCTCGCTTGCGCCTGTCCGTCTGTACTGTTTAGTTGGGCAGTGGGCGGGGACTTGCGCTTTGCCGGTGGCAGGTTACGCTACGGGACTGGACGGAATAAAATGATAATCATTCGAGTATCAGTTTTGTCCTCGTGCGGTAACGCTGCAGGTGGTCCCGTTTTGTTTTCTACGGCGGGGGTATATAAAACCGTCGCTTTCTAGACTCACACTCCGCCATCGAAGTGTTCGTGTTCCTCGATTCCAGGTGCATAACAACAACAAAAACAAAACAGTCGCCCATCACCTATCACCCATCGTCCGAGGCGAGACATCGGCGAAATGTCGGCCATTCCGTGGCCTACCACGTTGGAGTTCTGCGGTCCAGGCTTTCGTACAGTTGCATTGTCGAAACCGTGTTGGGCAGCCCGGTGACTTCATCTTTCGAGTCAAGTGACTTAGACCAAGTCCACCGGTCTCGTCTAGCAGGGATACGGCATCTCGAAAACCATCACGGGGACGCCGAGGGTTGCGATGCTAGAAAACCGGATCGTTGATCAAGATCGGAGCGGTCAAGTTCCACAGAAAACTGAAAATAAAAAAATAAACAATAAAAAGAAATGACAGACGGTCGGGCGGCCGCTGCGATGCTATGGACGGATGTCCTCGAGTCACATGCTGTACTTGTTTGCTCCAGCTACGCCGGCGTGGGAGCAAACATCGGGCCTCCGTGCAAGTTACTGCCCAATAGAAGGGACAGATGCGTTGCTCTCAAACATACCACCTTCGGTCTGAACAGGGAACGCTAGTTAAAAGGAATGCGTATATTATCCAATGTGCTCTGCTCGCCCACGTGTTACCGCCCAAAATCGCCATCCAAGTTACGAGTGATCAATATTCCCGCCCGGCCCAAACACGTCCCAGCCACCCATTTCCATGCAGAACACGACAAGAGAGACAGATGTGAACGAAACCGAAGACGAGAGGACTAAACCGAACCCAACCCCGAACCGAGCCAATCCACCATGGTCACATATCCAAAACCGGAACTCGACCCCTCACATAGCGATGTAAGTTTGTCCAAACACAGCAACGCGCACAAAAACACGCCTCGAATGTAGACGGCGTGAACGGCAGACAGAACACGGGTATGGGATGATGACGAAATCTCCAGCAATGCTCCCTCGGGTGGGTAGCACAAAAACAGAAGCCCCAGCTCAGGTTCGAATGCGTTTAGAAGAACCAAGAGGTGGGTAAAAGTAAATAAGTTGTAAACAACACGCAACGAAGAGAAAGTTAATGGCTCGACCAAACACAAAACGGTTAAGACGGGCGGCGGTACAATTTCAGCACAAGAGAAAAACCCCATCATGTGTGCCTCCCAAGTCTCCCCAGCATCAGCCAGCCGACACGTAACCAACCCTCCATGACAAGCGTAATGACAATAAATGATGTACTTAAAAAAGGTTGGAAGAGGGATGGATGGATGGTGGCGATAAGAATGGCGGATATAGAAAGACGAAAAGTGTGTTGAGTCCGAACCTGCCACCTCCCTCCAGACAAGCCCAGGTTCGCCGGCGCCGGGGGTCGAATATGGCGTTAGATAATCCAAAATCGTCAACCAGACAGTCGTAAACCGTGTTGTTTGGCGTCGGGTCCGTCATGGGTATCGTGAAGAGTCGGCGACGGGCGGGGCGCCGAAAAGGTAGGAATACCGAAACTAAGAAATAAAGAAAAAAGAGCGAGGTATCATAGAAAACAGAACTGGTGAAATATGCCCTCGCCAGACTCCTCTATCCCCCGGACTGATACCCTCACCTGCCCGGCCCGAATGCTGCAAGCCGACTGCACCCTTCCTTGAAAAGCAATTTGCCTTCCCGTCCAGTAACGCATGATGCCTGAACCAGTCAAAAAAGTTGGGGAGAACCCCGCCTGCCAGAAGAGAAACTGCCCTGGGTATCAACAACCGTCCAGCGCGCATCGTTACCTAACCAGCCAGTCACCCATCTCGCGGCGGACCGAGTCAACAGTATATGGGCCCTAGCGCTGTCTTTTCAGGACGACGCTCACTGAGGCTGATTAGCCCACCACTGCCCCGGCGCCTGCTGCTGCGACCAGGCCTGGGTGACGGCCGGCGCCTGCGGGCTCTGCTGCATATACTGTCGCGGGGTCTGGTCCGCCGAATACATCCCTTGCGCCGGCGCGCCTCCGTACCCCTGGCCCATGCCCGGCATTCCCGGGTATGACATGCCGCCACCCGGCTGCACCGGGCCCGAGCTGCTCGAGTGTCGCAGTTGCGGAGCGGGCGACTGCTGCGGGTGAGGAGAGGGCTGAGACTGGGTCGTGTAGGCAGGGTAGCCGTGCTGGGGCGTTTGGGGCGTGGGGGGCCACATCTGGGGCTGCGAGTAGCTGTAGTTTTGCGAGGTCTGCGGCAGGGTGCCGGCGGAGCCCGAAGGCGGGTATGCCGGTCTCGACGTGCTCTGGGCTGGGTCGTGGGCGATACCTCTCAGTGTGTTCTGGCCGACCGGGTTCTGTGCGTGGATGGGCTGCGAGTAGGGGGCGGCCGACATCATCAAGGGGCTCTGGTTGGGAACGATGCTGGGCTGCTGCAGGTTACTGGTGCTGCTGTGGGATGCTGGGCCGGCGCGGGTGGTCGGCACGGTGGCGTCGGTTGAGGTGACGGGCTGGCTCAGCGTCGTTGGAGGGGGCTGCTCGTGCGGTCTCCGCCAAATGCTCTGCATGTAATCACTGCGCATATCCCGCTGCTGGTTGACAGACCGGTTGAACTCGGCCGCGTGATGGGCCTGGGCATGCAATTCCGAAATGGGAGACGGCTGGATCCGGTCCTGGTAAGGTGGCCCGGTGATCTCCTGCCGTGGGCCCGTCTTCAAGATGCTGGAATAGTCCCGGCTCCGTGTATCGCTGTAGTCTGGTCCTAGTGTTATCACAGGCATTCTGGTCGAGCTTCCTGGCGGTCCTCCAAGCATACCTGGTTGAACGAGTTGCGGTTGGGGTCCACCGCCGAATTGGCCCGGGTTGGTACTGTAGACGATCTCGCCATGGGGCGCTCCAAGGATCGACGTGCTGTGGTTCGCCTCGGCCTCGCGCGCCTTGGAGGCGCCCGGCCGCTTCTCACCTGCCGGGTCGGCCTCTGTGAAGCCTTGCTTGCGCGCCTTGGTTTCCCAATAGTCGTCGCGGACCCTCCTCCCATTCACAATGACGCGGCTCCCGAATTGGCGGAACATGCTCCTCGCCGTCACGATGGCGATCTGGCGTGACCGGTAGGAGAAAGGGAGAATTTCCTGGTTCACCAAATCATCCTTCTCGACCTGACTCGCAATGATCTTGAACAACGACCTGTTCTTGTTGAAGAGCAGATACGAGTCCCGGTATCCGAGGACGCGCGCGCATTCGGTGGCGAGCATAAACAGCTTATCTCCGCGGTTCGGGACGAGGAAGGTCCGGCAACGGTATTCGCGATTCCCGGTGAGCTGGCCGTTGGGCATCACCTTCTTCTCTCCGGCCTCGTCGATCTCCCGCGGCAGGTACTCGTCCCCGCCGGGACCGAGCTGGTCCGTCGTGTGGTCGCGTACGGTCGGGAGCGCCTTCAGCGTGGACTTTGTCGGGGTCGACTTGGGGGGCGACGCTTGAGGCGGTGCGTAGGTGGGCGTCTGGGCCGGCAAGGGCGCATTTTGGCTCTGGGGTGTTTGCGGTGGGAGTGTCTGGGGGGTAGGCGGGAGGGGCGGGAGAGCTGCCGGGACGGCGGTCTCGGGGACGCCCCCGGATGTTCGGGACTTCATCGGTCTGCCTCTTTTCCTCGGTTTGTCACCACCTAAAAGCGCGCACGGCTTCGTCAGCCTGTGATCGCGGGTCATACGCGCGGGGGTCGCACGGCCAGTGGGGTGCGACGCAGGAACGGCCGATTCAGTTGAAGGGAGCTTCAGCGACACAGAGACGAACACAACGAACACAACATACCGTCATCACCAGCCGAACCTAGCGGCCCTGCTTCCCCGAAGTCGTCGGGGGAACGGCTCCGCTTGACGCCTCGCGAGGGAGGATCGATCAGGTCTGCGCCGGACTGAGGTTAGCATTGCGCGTCGAGCGGCGGGCGGGGCAAAGAGCCCAGGTGAAGGACGCGCGCAGGCCCCATCGGGGAACGATGCGACGACATGATGGGCAACAAAGAGATGAACAGGCGCATTAGGTCGAAGCCTCGATGATGTGATGGAAGAACCGAGATGATGCTCGATGGCCCGGCGCCTCAAGCAACGCGAACGAGAAGAAAAGAATCCTGGATGGTGCACATTCGCGAATCGCGGGACCACAGGAGCTCGGAGGCTGCGAATACGCGCACAGCTCTCGCATGCTCGGCGCAACAAGGGAGGGGGGGGGGATAAAACAGCAGTATCAAAAGGAACAGTTCCAGTGACGCACCTGTGTTGAGCGCGGCTGGATTGATTGTAGCACTATCGGCGCCGTTGGGCTGTGCAGCGTACATCGGTGCCGTCGACGTCGACCACACGTCGATGGGTCTGCGACACGACGTGTCTTGATATAGTTGGGCTGGCTTTTGCTTGGGGTGTGGAGGGAGGGGCGACACCAGCCAAAAAGCAAAGGTCGTCAGAGCTTCTTCCTTCCTTGGTTCTCAAAACGTCCCCGTGTGGAATGCCAGTGGAATGCACGGGCGCGCGCGCTGCTGGGTGGTGCAGACCAGGAATGCTCGTGCATGTGGTTGGTGCAAATCCACGGGCTGCTGCTCCAGGGAGTCGGGTGTCGGGTGTCGAATGGAAGGGTAAAAGTTATAAAAAAAGGCAGGGACGCGGGAGGCAGGCAGGGTGCGTGCTTTTCCTCTTGATTTGTCGCCTCCTCCTTTTACTCATCGACTTCCCTGCTGGGGAGCTCAGGTTTTGAAAAGCACTTTCGCGTCGGCTTCGGGTCTTTGCCACGGGCGGCGTGTACAGAGGAAGGTTCCAGGGTGCCATGGGCTCCTGTCAGGTTCAAAAAGTGCTGCGAAGAAACTGGACGGCTGCAGGACACACGCGGGGACCGGGCTAGTCCCGTTCAGGCAATGGCTTGGCGCCTGTCCTGTTACGGCAAGGCAGAGCGGGGCACCCTTGCATTCATCTGTTGACGGCTGCCGCGGTGTTATCATCATTAACACGAGCTGCGGCAGCACCAATTCGGACGACAAAAACGCTCACTCTACCGATACCTGTCAGCCCGAGGCCGACTGGTTCACGGCCAGATGTTTGTGATATGTTTGATCCAAGCGAGAGTCGGAATGTCGAGGGCATAAAAGATACCATCCAAATCCGTCAAGCAAGTTGTGATCGAAACTCGAGGGATCTTAGTCAGTTAGGTAACTAACGCTACTACACAATAATAGTATGTACTTGTACATAACTACCTCCACTACCTCACCTTCAGTGTCTGAGTTGTCATCCGAATTCTCAGTCGTCACCACGTCCCCACGACACTGCCTTGTCCAATATCAAGATGCGGCGCGTGCTCCTAGCGCCCTCTCCCTCGGACCGCCATGTGGATCCCTTGCCGGGGAATCCGCCCTTCCTGCGCAAAGAGGGGTCGTGTTGGAAGGGGCGGGACGGCTTCCTTCTCTCTCCCGTTTTGGGAACCGGTTTCCTTGGGTTGGGACAGCGGGTAAGCTGGGGGCATGGGTGCTCGCCCGCGCCCGCGACTCGAGATGAACGGTTGATCACTCCCTCCTTCTCATCAGATGAACTATCAGCAGCTCTTCAGAAGGATGCTTGGTATTTAACACCGAGATATGACGTTAGGCACAAGCATCCCCCGAGGTTGCTCTTGAGCCTGCGAGAGAGCGCGAATCGTTGGCTTCATTCGCCGAGTCGTGAGAACACGGCGGGGGTAGACGGAGAACGCGACAGGGGCAGTCAAAATTCAAGACCATGGAATGGAGCCTTGTACGACCGACCCGGACGTATCCCGTCTGTGCCGAGGTACCCCCGCGTCAGGACAAGGTGCCGCCGGATCAAGACGATGACTGGTTTGGAAGCGGGTGTGACTAATATGAAGGTTCAGTCTCTCGAGACTTTTAACTTCGGACCCGAATGACGAAGACTCGGCAAGAGGAAGAAGAGAGGGAGCAACAGTTTCAAGACGCTAAATGATGCGCCGCAGGGAGCCCGCAGACACGGGACTTGGTCGAAGGAAGGGGTCTCCATGGTACGAAGTCGTCGGTATGAATACAGGATGCGGGTGCCGTGGCAAACGATCAAATCATGCTGCAGATCGGATCCGGTGAGCAAGGGACTCCGTTTGCTTGCTTGCTGACGGCGTCCCCGCCATCCGAAAGCTGTCAGAGGACTGGACGACCAGTCTTCTCGGCTTCGTTAGTCGGCGGTGCTGTCACCTGAACTGTCAGGTGCGAGCTCCCGACAGCGCCAAATATGACAAGAGTCCAGAGAGGGTGTCATCTCAGATTTCCCAGCTGCTCGGGCAATGGCCATCCCTTTCGCGACGTTCCCGATAACGAACCGCCGGTCGGCTTAAGCCGAAGAACACCACCCCAAAAACCCCGCAGCGGCTGTGCAGGTAGGCGGCCTTGAGATTACCCCGGCGGGCGTTTGTCGGCCGGCCGTCTGCAGGCCGGGAAGGGATGTTTGTATGTATGTAGGTACCTACATATGTACAGACAGATGGGTTGCTGTAAGGCTGGCGGGCAAAAGGTCGTCTAATCGGGAATTTTTGCTGGCTTCTGGAATTGAAGCGGAATGAACCAAACGAGACAACTTTAGGTGGGCTTGACTCGCGCTCTCGGTAAATCTTTCAGTCAGCCTGGGTATTGGAATCCAATCAGTTACACTGTCACGGTGTTCAGTCGCTGGAACCTGGAAAAGGAAAGCACTTCTGAAGACACAGCGAGCTGAACATGGGTCGGCGCCTGGACCGCATCCAATCAGATCACCCGATAGCCAGAAACCCCCTTGCTTCCAGGTATTTTCCGATAGGAATACCCCTCCTGCCCCTCCACGACACGGACTCGCAAAGGATCTGGAATCTGGGACACTTTTCCTTTTTCTTTTTTTCTTTTTGCTCTTGCTCAACCCTGAGTTTCTTGGATAAAATCTGGTTATCTGTTTATTCCCGACGACCCGAGGCAGAAGACAGCGCGGCTTTTCCACACGCGCGGAGTCGAGAAATCGGCTTACTTTGAGTCATGCGCAGGTCTTGTCGCACCGCATGCCGTTCGAGATGAGGTCAGCCTGCAGCCGGACCCGACAGGTCAAAAATCACTATCTGATTCCTGTCACATGAAAGATCACGGTCGAAGGAGCCGGATTGCGAGCTGTATGTCTCAGTATCTCCACATCGAACCCCACGAATTCGGCAACCGTTACGAAGTCTGGTCAACTGCGTCGGCCCTTCGCCTTCTTCCGCGGGAGACGGAAGCGATATCAAGCTGCGGTTGCACGCATCTTGATGTGGACTTGCAGGTGGACAGGGAGGCAGGCTCGATTCCCGCTCGCCATCCAGGCCCGCGGCGGTTCGTCAGCTGCCAATATTGTCTTGCTCATGCGGGTTTGATTGGCCGGCTGCCCGGCGATCCGGAGCGCGGATGACGCCACGGCTGAAACTGCGCGATTCCTCGCTTTGGGGTCAGCGGCGGGAGACGCGGTCAACGAGAGTGACGACGACCCGGGTCTCCCGAGGCGACGAACACAGTAAATTGACCGAGCAAACCACGTTGAAATGGCAGGCTTACTCTCGGCTCGGTCCCAACTCGCCGGCCTTGACGAGTCAGAGCTTGTGAGATATTTCTCGTGTTCGGACCGCCTTTCCAGGTGAGAAAGGCTGGCCCACTGAGCCACCCTTGGGGAAAACGCGGGGTTCTGGTGGCCGCGCGATGAAGACGCGCAAGGCAACGCGACGGGACCAGCCACAGAGTCTTTGCGAAATGAGGGCGAATCAGACTCACCGGAGGATGGTCACCTTGGCATGCCATGATGCGAGGGCTTCCTCTTTCCGAAATTCGACATCAGACCCCGCGTTTGGTCTAAAGTTGCGGTTACTTCAACCATGTCGGCCATGTTACCACACACAGGCACAATCAACCTTCTCATGACTTCTGAGAATCTCAAACTGAATCAACAGTCTTGACAGAACGCAACGTCGCGCCATGTGACGCGGAAAGAGCACGCCTAGCGCGTGTCGATTCTTTCCAACCTTGAGAAATCTGGGGAGAACATGGATGGAGAACAAGATGGTGTGCTCGGCGGGCATGCAGCAGGGGGCGGAAAGGCTCCAGAGCTTGGCCATGAGGTGGGAGGGGTGACAGGTGGGGCGCAAGTCAAGACTAGACCGGGGTGGAAGCGAGTGACCGGGTGGAACTTGGCGCTCAATTTTTGTAAAATATGATTGGCCGTTTAACTGCAGCTGCGCTGACACACGGGCCACTTTTATGCAAATCATGAAAATGCTCCCCCGGTCACTTCGATCGAACCACACCCTTTCCTCTCTTCCGTTGGACTGCGGGGGAGAGACAAGTCTCACAGCCCCCGGAAGTGTCGAGACATCCCCCCCGTTTCCAGAATCCATCCGGTCTGCAGACTCTCTTGCCGTTGTCGATTCGCTCGCCAATAGACTGTGGTTTTCGAAAAGTCAAGAATCGAGATTTGTGGCATCGAAGCATCGGATCGAGAAAATTGGCGCCATCGAACACCACCACGCACACACCCACCCACCGCTGCAGAGCACGCAGCCTTCCATCCCACCTGCCCTGACCCGGTGGCCCGCTGCAAGTAGGTTGTTCTTCCGTCCACGGAAAGGGGTGGGCCATTTTATCGGCATCAGATTGGCGGCGTGCGTTCCACCTTCTCCACGATTTGCCCGTCCGAGAGGTCGCTGAACCTGCACCCGCTCCCCCCCTCCTCCTTGCTTTTGCATCTGTCACTCGAGCACCTGGCGGCGGCCCCTTCCCGCTCCTGCAGCAGGTGGAGGTGGCCCGGCCGGGAGGTCGCTTCGCCCGTGGCCTGGCCGTGGGTTCGTGGAATCGACGTTCCCCACCGAGGTACTCACCCATCCCTCGCCGTGCCGCATTCGCGGGCTCATGTAAGTCATCCGCTGGTCGACACCATCTCACTTTCGAGCAGTCGTCCCGAGGGTGCCATCTGCCGAACGGCTTGTTTCTTCCTTGGGCCAAAGATGTACCGAAAGCCGCGGTCAAGGGGACCACACCGTGGCGGCCATGGAACACACATCCTCGCCCATGGCCAGGTCCATGGATCGGCGCTCCCACACCCGCCCACTCCCGTGCCACCCAATCTCCGCGGTACTGTGTACACCAACCAGCCTTACCGCAGTCTCTTGTTTCCCAACCCTGCCCGAGCCCAGAACCAAGGCTGGGTCTTTCCAGGAAACGATGTTGGGACTGGAGACCCAACAGGCGCTAAGATGCAACATCCATCACGCGCACGGGATGGCCTCCACCTTGCATCATCCATCTTGATATCGGGATGTCGGTGATCGGCCTCGAAGATCTGGAGAAGGCAGAAGCAAGCGGGGCAACGGGTAGCATTTGCTGTGCCGCAAACGAGGACAGGCACAAAAACCCGAGAGAAAATACCGGGTGCAATGTCACGGAGATACCACCACTATCACACTGGCACGTTACTGCCCGGTGCTTGTGGAAGACAGAAACTCGGCCTGCGGTAGACCCACACCAGACGTGCAGGCCCGATGCGCGAGCCAACCTGCCGATGCAGCTGCACCTGCAAGGCCTCGTCTCACGTCTGAAGCAGCAAGACAAGACGGGAAAGCGGGTCTCCCACGGAGTGCAACTGGACGTCGCACAAGCGTCCTCGAATGGGCGAAACGGGACCCTCGCAGGTCGTGCCTTGATTGTGCATGGTTCGCTTGTTGCTAGCTTCGCTCTGAAAGCAGTTTAAAGACATCAGGAGCACGGCGCAGTTGCTGAGAGCAGAACCCAACTCCGTTGTTTTCCGCCCGCGGCCCGGGGGGGGGGGGGGATTTTACACGACTCGGGGCTGTTCTGGGGACGAGTGACAATCAAATTCGAGGTTACACATTCCACCCAACAAGACAGCCATGTATTAGCATGGCTCTCCTATCATACCCACAAGCGAACCTGCTATTTTGGGATTAACAGATTAAGCGCAAGAATGACATCGCGAGCCTGACGGTTCCGACAGGCTGACATGAGCTTCCACGGCCCACCTCGACCCAAGATTCAACTGCAGAAGCGAGCATGGGATGGCAATCTGGCAAAATCGGCCGGATGAATCTGGTGCAGATCACTTGATGCAGCATGTGCAATCAGTCACTATTCAGATATCAACTCCAAAGCATCACTTGTGAGAGGTGACCAACAGCTGGCTTCCACCCGGAGGTGGGGGGTTGCTTCTAAACTTGCGCTCTTTACTTTATTCGAAGCATTTGCGGAGGCGGGTGACGGCGAGCTCATGATGACGGGCCCGGGTTCGGATCATGCCGACTGACGGTTGGTGTTGCGTTGGGGGGCATCGGCAGTAGATTATCAGCGTCCACATGCGAGGAGAAGGAAGAGCCAACTTATGGGGCGACTATGGGAAAGTGACATGGAAGCTTCGATAAGGAATAAAATCACTTCTTTAACATTCCTTGCTTCGTATATACTTTACGTATTAAATGGTTGAGCTACCTAGGTACTAGGGACTTAAACGTGTAAGTACTGCGTAGTTGTGTCTTGAAGGCTGGCGGCCTCAAGAATTGTACATACTTGTAAGCGCCCGAGGTTATCGTGTGGCATGCTGGGTATTGGCATAACGTTGCATGGTTTGTGCAAATCGTAGGGAGACGCACAGATGGCTTGCCTAGCCCCGACGTGCCTGAGCAAGTTGGTGGGCACACCTCACAAAGCTTGACCCCCCTCTTCAGAGCTTCAACGAGGTGGATGGCGGGGTGCTTTCTTATCGATAAGAGGTCGTTTGGGCTGGCCTCCTGGCTTAGCGCTGCACTGACAGTGATTCGTCCACTACGCGACGCCCGCGTTTTCCTGCTCTGGTAATCAATCGCCGACCTCGAATAAAAAAGCAGCCAGAATCGGGAGACTTTTACCACTTCACAGGGTCAAAGTTGCGATACGGCCTTACATTGCAAAGAATCATAAAAAATGGCGAGTCTCAAGAGATCGGTCGATTCTGACCCGTTCGCGGCCAACATCTCGAGCAAAGTGTATGTGAGATCGACAAAGAGCGGCAAAGTTCAGAAGATTGTTCGCGAGGTCTACCTTCGCCAAGATATACCCTGCTCGTCAAGACTCTGCACAAGTTGCCTCGATACTGCCCCTAGAGATGCCGCAGGGCGACGTGAGTAACAAACCCCCCGTATCCCTTGGGACACGCGAGACCTCCTACCCGGGGATGGACCGCTAACCCTCATCCCTAGCAACCCCGTTCGTCCTCTCCGAGGCACCCGCCGGCACCAGTGTCTTCCGCCAGGGCCACTACCTGGTGCCGGACACCAATGCCTTCCTCACTGCTATGGATCTCTTCGAGCAAAGCTCGGCTTTCTACGATGTCATCGTGCTACAGATTGTTCTCGAGGAGCTCCGCAACCGCTCGCTGCCGCTCTACAACCGCCTCATCAGCTTAACCAAGAGCGAAGAGAAGCGCTTCTACGTTTTCTTCAACGAGTTCCGTCTCGAGACTCATATCGCCCGCCAGGAGGGCGAGTCCGTCAACGACCGCAACGACCGTGCGGTCCGGAAGGCCGTGGCCTGGTATGGTCAACATCTGGCCCGGACGAAGGCAAAGCAAGTGCCTGCGGTGGTTATGCTGAGTAACGATCGGGATAACCTCCGCAAGGCCAAGCAGGAAAGCATCCCTGCGTGCTCACTGGCCGAATACGTCAAACAGCTCAAGGACGCTGACACGCTCCTGGACATGATCCCGGAGGACCAGGACCAGGAGGTGGTCAAGGAGAAGCGTCCCGGCGAGCCCTTCTATCCGGAGTATTTTACCATGTCCAAGATGATGACCGGCGTGAAGAGCGGGCTGCTCCACCAGGGTATCTTCAACGTTTCACCATACAACTACCTGGAGGGCTCTATCCGGGTCCCGGCATTCCCGAAGCCGCTCCTCATCCTGGGGAGGGAAAATATCAACCGTGCCATCGACGGCGACGTGGTTGTCGTGGAGGTGCTGCCCAAGGACCAGTGGAAGGAGCCTTCCACTCAGGTGATCGAAGAGGACGCCATCACCAAGGATGAGAATGCAGACGCCGAGGAAACGGGTGACATCGTCTCAGAGAAGGAGCGGAAAGCCCTGCAGGAGGAGGTGAAGCGGACACACAACAAAACGACCGAAGGTCACGCGCAGCCTACCGCGAAGGTGGTCGGCGTGGTGAAGCGGAATTGGCGCCAATACGTTGGACATATCGATCAGTCATCCGTCAGTCAGTCGGCGCAACAAGGGCGGAAGCAGGACACCGTTTTTGTCATCCCAATGGACAAGAAGATCCCGAGGATCCGTCTACGCACGCGCCAAGTGGCCGAGCTGGTGGGAAAACGTATTCTTATCACTATTGATGCGTGGGATCGCGGCTCCCGGCACCCTACGGGCCATTTCGTTCGGTCCCTGGGCGAGGTTGAAACCAAGGCGGCCGAGACAGAAGCGCTACTTCTAGAGTACGACGTCCAGTACCGACCGTTTCCCAAGACCGTCCTTGATTGCTTGCCGAAAGAGGGCCATGACTGGAAGGTGCCCGAGAGCCTAGAGGATCCGGGGTGGAAAGATAGGGAGGATCTTCGAGGGCTCCTCATCTGCAGTATCGACCCTGTCGGCTGCCAGGATATTGACGATGCCCTCCATTCTCGGCCGCTCCCGAACGGTAATACTGAGGTTGGAGTCCACATCGCCGATGTCTCGCATTTCGTCAAGCCGAACAACGCCATGGATGCCGAGGCAAGCATCCGCGGCACCACCGTGTACATGGTGGACAAGCGTATCGACATGCTTCCGATGCTTCTGGGTACCGATCTGTGCTCTCTGAAGCCCTATGTCGAGCGCTACGCCTTCTCCATCCTCTGGGAGCTATCGCCTGAAGCCGACATTGTCAACGTAAGATTCACAAAGTCGGTCATCAAGTCTCGCGAGGCATTCAGCTACGAGCAGGCGCAGCTCAGGGTCGACGACAACTCGCAGCAGGACGAGCTCACCACGAGTATCCGGACCCTGCTCGCCCTGTCCAAGAAGCTGAAACAGAAGCGCCTCGACGCCGGCGCGCTAAGTCTGTCCTCGCCCGAGGTGAAGGTGCAGATGGAGTCAGAAACCTCAGACCCGATCGACGTCAAGACTAAGGTGCTCCTCGACACCATGTCCCTCGTCGAAGAGTTCATGCTCCTCGCCAACGTCAGCGTGGCCCGCAGGATATACGAGGCCTTCCCGCAGACGGCCATCCTCCGCCGCCACGGCGCGCCGCCCAAAACCAACTTCGACGAGCTCGCCAACCAGCTCCGGGTCAAGCGCGGCCTGGACCTGAGCGTCGAGTCGTCGCGCGCCCTCGCCGACAGCCTCGACGCGTGCGTCGACCCCAAGGAGCCCTTCTTCAACACGCTCGTCCGCATCATGGCGACGCGCTGCATGATGGCGGCCGAGTACTTTTGCTCCGGCACGCAGGCATACCCCGAATTCCGCCACTACGGCCTGGCCAGCGAGATCTACACGCACTTCACGTCACCCATCCGGCGGTACGCCGACCTGATGGCGCACCGCCAACTCGCCGCGGCCATCGGCTACGAGGCCATCCACCCGACCACCCGCAGCCGCGGGCGGCTCGAGGCCGTGTGCAAGAACATCAACGTGCGGCACCGCAACGCGCAGCTGGCCGGGCGCGCCAGCATCGCCTACTACGTCGGCCAAGCCTTGCGCTCCCTGAAAGCCACGACGACCGAGGAGGACGGGTTCGTGCTCAAGATCTTCAGCAACGGCCTCGTCGTGCTCGTGCCCCGCTTCGGCATCGAGGGCCTCATCCGCCTGCGCGACCTCGCCGACCCGGAGCCCGCCGCCGAGTTCGACGCCGAGTCCTACACCCTCCGCACGTCGGGCAGTCGCGACCTGGCCGTTGAGCTGTTCCAGAAGGTGCGCGTCCGCGTTGCGGATCAGAAGGATGAGGCGACTGGTAAGCGGGGGGTGAAGATGGAGTTGGTGAGTGTTTACTGAGCGGGGTTGAAGGAGTGGAGGGCTTCTGTTGTTGCTGCTGCTGCTGCTGCTACTACTGCCTAGGGTTATGGGTGCTGTGGGTTTGTGGATGTTGTGGAACGTCCCTCTATTTATGCGAGATGTGATGAGAATAAAAGAGAATGGTTGGGTTCACAGGGGCCGCAATACACCAGCAATGTTCCCAAAGAAGCTAAATCGCATTATCATGCTAAACATGTGTCCCCCCATCTACGATATCTCCCCCTTATTTTCGACGCCGCAACGCCCCACCCCTGAAAAGACCAGCTATAGTAGTACTCGTAAAGACAGGATAACAGGTATTTATTGCATCTCGACTTCCTTCCCCTCCTCCGCCTCATCCCCCGCCTCGTCATCCCCCCACAGCCCCTCCAGCTTGAACTCCTCGGCCCACTGGGTAACGATAACCTTCTGGTCGGCCATGACCTCCTCGTCGGCGATCTTGACGACGCCGTCCTTGCCGGCGGCGCCGACGACGGGGGGCTCGGTCCAGCCCTGGATGCGGCCGTCGCGCCAGTCGGTGACGACGGTCATGGCGGCGGCGGCGACGTTGGGCACGCCGCCGCGGCCGAGGCGGCCGCGCTTGCGGGCGACCTGCACCAGGAAGTCGGTCGTGGCGTCGCCGCTCTCCGGGTTCAGCAGCAGCGGCGGCAGGTCGTACACCTGCGTCATGCGCTCCATCAGCGCCGGCGCCGCCGACAGCCGCTTGAGCAGCAGCGTGACGGCCGGCACGGCGTCGTTGATCTGCTTGGGCGGGATGGCGTTGAGCAGCACCAGGTGGGCGTGCGCCTCGGTGGCGTTCTTGGGCACGAACGTCGAGACGGAGCCGGAAGAGGAAGGGTTGGTGGAGGGGAATACGATGCCGGGCGAGTCGAGCAATGTCAGCCGGTTGTCGATCTTGACGGAGCGGATCGAGGTGGTGACGCCGGCCTCGGCACCGGCGGGGCAGGCTGCGCGCTGGTTGCGGGAGCTGCCGCCGAGGCGCGAGAGGAGGGCGTTGATCACGCTGGACTTGCCGACGTTGGGGTAGCCGATGACGCCGACGGAGATGGCGCGCTTGAGGTTACGGGACGCGGCGTAGGACTTGAGCGCGCGGAAGAGGGCGGCGCTGGTGCTCTGGACGGTGATGTCGCGGTGGTTGAAGGTGTGGGCGTTGGGCGCCGGGTTGGAGGCGCGGAGCGGGAGGGTGGGGAAGAAGCGGCGCAGGTGGGCGAGCCAGGCGCGCAGAACGGGGGGCGGAATCAGGTCGACCTTGTTGAGGACAAGGATGAGCCGCTTGCCGCCACCGGCAGCCGCCATGACCGCCCGCTCGACGTCGCGCGACCGCGTGCCCTCGGGATCGCGTGCGTCCAGAACGTAGAGAACAACATCGGCCTGCTCGACGACCTGCTTGAAGACCTTGTCGTAAGCCTTGCGCGACGACGCGCCGCCCTGTACCTCGATGGCACCAGCCTCGTCATCCTCGCTGTCGTCGTCCTCATCATCGTCCATCTCGTCACCGCTCTCCAGTTCCTTGTCGTACTTCTCGGCAGCCTTCTTCGCGCTCGCGATAAGAGCAGCTAGCGGGTTGGACTCATCGATGTCGCTGTCGTCCTCGTCCTCATCCATGACATCATCCATGTCCTCCCCAAACTCCTCGTCCATGCCATCCTCATCCATTTGCTCATCGCCTTCCTCACTCTTGCCGGCCTCGGTCGACTTGGCCGCCTTGGCCGCCTCGCGACGGCGCTGCTGCTCCTCTTTCCTCCGGATGCGGTCCTCCTCGATCTGGTGCAACAGCTTCTCCTTGTAGGGGAACAGATTCGGAATACCGGGGTCCTTCTTCAACTTGCTCCGCCATTCCGGGTTCTTCTTGGCGAGCTTTCTCGCCTTGCGCTGCTTCGCGGCCGACGCCTTCTCGATCTTGTGCCGGAGGCGAGTGGGCACCCGCTTGGACTTGGGCTCTGGGAGGAATTGTTAGCGAGTAGAAATGGGAATTCGGTTGGCAATCATTGACTGACTCTTGGGTTTGGTTATTGATCCGGCCATTATTGAGAATTTGCTATATCCTCTTTCTATGTGCCAGGTTCTGACGCTCGCGTTGCTTGGCTACTGCGAGTCAAAAAATTACTGTGGTTGCAGCAACTGGAAAAGTTTCTGCCAATGTTTACCGCCTCGATAACACTGCTTATCGTTTAAGCACCCCACACTGCCCCTCGGCCATTGTGGGCTTTCCTTCCTGCTTGGCTTCCCCCACCGCTGCATTTCAACACACCGCTCGCCAACCACTGATTCAAGCCAACTGCCCCACGGGCTCATCAGATGGAAGCCCACTCTTGAGAAGAACGGGCCGATTGGATGGGTCCCGACATCCAACGTGACGAGAAAAGGGCGTTACTCAGCATGTCTCGAAAATGAGAAGGGTTAGGGTAAATAAGGCAAGGCGGAGTTGCCCAATCTGTCAGAGGCAAGAATTGACCGTCTCTTCAGGGACATTCCGACAAGATCCGCTAGGCCTAAACGACGGTGCGGCGTGAGATCCAAACCCGAGTCTTGGTTTTAGATTCTCTCTCTCTCTTTTCCTCGTTCAATAAATCTATTTCAATATCACAAATATTCAGATCAAGGAGATCTAGTTTATATCCATACCGTGACCCAACCTAAACTCTCAAGCCGTTATTACACTTAATACTCAACCTAATATCTCGCCCTCGTGGAAACTCCCTCACCGTAACTCATCACGCGGAGACCTCGAAACGGAAACGCTAGACAAGATGGGTAGCACAGAACCGGCAGTCCTTTCCTACTCGGCGCCGCCAGAGGAGGTCACCTTCGACGGTCTGTTGTTCGACATGGACGGCACCATCATCGACTCAACGGACGCCGTCGTCAAGCACTGGGAGACGTGAGTTGTCAGCCCTCGGTTATGTCCGGTTCATGATCGCTAACCAGGCTGGGGACTAAAAGTATCGGCAAGGAAATAGGGGTTGACCCTAAGGTCATTCTGGAGTGAGTAGTTGCATCCCGGCATTTTCAGCACATGGCACTGACCCCGCCACTAGGACTTCCCATGGACGGAGGACTATAGACACCATCCGGCTTCTAGCCCCGGAAAAGGCCACCTGGGATTGTGAGTTGTCCCATCTCTTGGAGACGTGGTAGCAGTACCTGTCTCTATGTTTCGAGAAGAGTGCCTCGGGAAGAGTGCCCAAGGAGAGTGCCCTGAGAAAATGGGGGGGAGCACCGCTGTCCCCAGATTCTTCCGACGAAAGAAAAGGTTCCCAGACAGCTGACAAGCCATCCACACACACAGACGTCCGCCAAACAGAGGGCCTCCTCCCCAAGCTCTACGGCGACGATGCCATCGAGATCCCGGGCGCGCGGTCCCTCCTAGAAGGGCTCATCGCCCAGTCCGCCCCCTGGACCATCGTCACATCAGGGTCACTCCCGCTCGTCACCGGGGTAAGCAACACCCAACAACCCCACCCACCCCCCATTTTACTGTTTGTTAGAACCCCCCAAAACAAAACAAAACACTAACCACCCCCACCACAAGTGGCTCGACGTCCTCCGCCTCCCGACCCCAGCACACCTCGTAACAGCCGAGTCCGTCGCCAACGGCAAGCCCGACCCGGCATGCTATCAGCTCGGACGGGAGCGTCTCGGGGTCAGCAGCGGGGACGGGGAACACCACCAGGTGCTCGTGCTGGAGGACAGCCCCGCGGGGATCCGCGCGGGCAAGGCCGCCGGGTGCCGCGTGCTCGCCGTCGTCACCAGCCACACGGCCGAGCAGGTGCTGGCCGCGGAGCCCGACTGGGTCGTGCGCGACCTGGCCTCGGTCAGGCTGGTGCGAGTTGAGGAGGGGGGACAGGGCGGGCAGGGCGGGCGCGTGACGCTGGAGATTCGCGATGCGTTGGTGGTGGGCGGGCGGTGAGTGGTTGGGGTGGGTGGGAGCTGGTATGTGGGACTGGGGGGGGGGGGGGGGGGGTGGTTGAGAATGGGGGGGCTGTTGTTGGAAGGGAGGAGGAGAGGTCGGCACTCAGTGACTCGCTATTCGGAGTCGGACGGGAAATGTCAGGAGACCGTCCCCGTCCGCGCCACGGAGCGAGCGGCTCAATCCTTCTCCCGAGGAGTTGCGACCCAGGAGAGATGATGTAGGGTACATAGATTCCGCCGGAGGTGATCTACAAAGCCGTTGGTGACCACGAGACCAGTCTCAGGGCCGTTGTGTTCACCCCCAACTACTGCGCTGTAGGGCGGTGGCGGCCAGCCCCTAAAGTGACTTGCTGGGCCGACTAGGTGTGACTGACGTCGGTGGGAATACCACATCCACCGTTCGCCGTTCGCTGGTTATCCGTCCCCATTCCGGTCCCAAGGCCACCCTCCCTCAGCCCAGTTCAGTTCCCCAATGTCTCGGTTCCGTCCCACACCAACGCCGCTCACGCGCTTCGCTCTCCCCCGAGCCGTTGTTCATGTCTTGTCCTCCCCACGGCTGCATGGAGTGCGCGCCAGCCGTGTGTTTTTTCTTTTCTTTTTTCAGCCGGCAAAGTTCCAACGCACGCAAGACGGAATCCGGCTCCGACTTCAGGACCCATCCCCCCATGAGCAGACGGCGGTGATCGGCGGCCGGGGGGAGCGGGATGGTGTTGCGTGCCGGGTTGCGCGTCACCTGGGTTTGGCGGTCCGGTTGACCCACTCCGGTTCGCATGCAACCCCCCCCTCCCACCTCCCATCCTCCATGCAGCTGGACGGGTCGAGGCGAGTCGTCATGCGCGAGGCGTGTGTTGCCCTGTTGCCATGCTGCTCGCCAGGCTTCGGCAGTTCAGTCTTTGGGTACGAACAGGGCCGGTGGGAGGAGTTCTCTTCCCTTTCCCCGCACAGCACAGCCTTCCAAAAAGTCCTACCGGAGTTCTAGAACTCAGGATTGCTTGCTTTCCCTTGTCACTTGAACCCGGACGTCCAGTTTCTGGCAGGGTATTGTTTGAAACACGGAGGAATTTCGTGGAAGAGTCGAGGTCGGCTTACCATCCTGCCTCCGTCTCAGCAAGCACACGCAAAGGCGGGGGAAACGGGCTCTTCCGCGAGGGGCCTTGCCTTTTCCAGTTACCACGGCTGAGTTGTGACGGAGAAGGGAGAGTGGCAAGGATTTCACCTCGTGGGAGACCGCTCAGGTGAGGCTGGGCTGGCCCGGGGCTGGCCCTCAGACGGGCCCGTTTCGGATACGATCAGCTTGGACGGTCCAGCCCGCCCCAGCCTGAGGCCTGGAGTTCGTTATTTCCTTGGATCTGTGTCGTGTGCCGGAAAAAGCGCCCACGTCCGTTTCTGAGCGGCGCCGTGATGAACAACCAGAGATGAAGGGCGGCGCGAAGGAGGGAGTATCCGTGATCGCCTCCAGACTCGCACAACCGTGATGCCGGATAGGGAAGTGAATGCACAAGCACCGCAGTTCATGTTGTACTTTGTCCAACGTATGAGTTACTGGCCCGGCGCACCGCATCGGACGAGGAAATTAAGAATCGGCCGGGTGCATGGCGGCTCCGGCGACCCGAGACGCGTTCTGCGAGATGGCACTCGTTCGGGGCGGGTCCTCTGAACCAGCAACAGGAGGGCTGGTCGAAAGCGCTTCGTTTGTCTGAGAGATGACGGGCGCTTGCAGGCATGCGTCAGGAACCGCAAATTGGTCGGCGATTTGCGTAACGCCAGCGTCAGCTGGGTTGATAAACAATCCCGTTCCTGCAGATCCGACTCCCGTCGAGACACAGACAACTCCAGCCCGAGGTTGTGTCACCCACGCCTCCTGTTCTCCTGTCGACCTTCGACACTGATCAGCGTGCCTGTACCGAGATCCTATAACGGCTCTGATGTTTCTTGTCTCTCGGTGTCTGTCCTACGCAGTAGACTCCCGATTCTACATCGCCGCGAGAGCCGCGGCTGGCAGCCACAATTCAGCCCCGCGGTTGGGGGGATTGAGAGAATATCTGAAGCGAGATTGGCGCGCATGAGAACCTCTTCTTAGCCACCATTGGTTCGCAACTCCCATGCTGTGTCAAGGAGGTTCGTCCGGGCGGCTGTTGCAAATTCCTCTTTTGTTAAAAAGAACACTTCTCAGATGCATTGATATCGTGACTGAATATGGGCACTCCTTGCTCTGAAGTAATGAGGTTGGCCTTCGATGAGGCTTAAAACCAAGGAATTAATATAAAATGACAAGATTAATTGCTCCCCCGCGCCATGATACCTCTCTCCCCCATCGGTTTGCATTCCGGGTCCGACGACGTCCCCGAGGGTCATCTGAGGGGAAAACTTGGCGTTACCGCCTGGGGAGAACCAGCGTTTGGTAGGAGAAGTATCCCAATCGAAGGGAATCTCACTCCGCGTTTTGCATCGTTGCTTGTTGCTGTGCCTGCGTGGTTGTCTGTGCATAGCATATCGACGCGACCGCCCGCAAAGGGTCCTACAGAGAGCACCGGTCGAAGAAAGATCTGTGCGGATTCGCTGCAGGGATCTCTGGCGTGTCGGTACCCCTTGAGAAGGAAGTACCCCGAGGTACCTCTCTCCCACGCTGCGGATACGCGGCACACGGCGCTGCAAGGCGAACAGGGATCTGGGGAACAAGGCCCCCCTCCGTCAACACGTGGCCGGCGGGACCAGAACGGAAGAGTAATCTCTTTCCCCTCGCCCACCTCCACTGCAGAACGATGAGACCCACGCAGGTAAATCTGCTGAGAGCGCGCCAAGACGACTTGTTTGTCACAAAGCGATACACCAATCGCCGTAGGCTATAATGTGAAGGAAGAGATGGAACGTCAATGAGAAGGCACCGGGCTGCGAGCTGATTGCCAGCCTGTTGGTCCCCGTGGTAAGGTTGCACTCGGGACATGCTGGTCAGCTCCCGGCTCACCATGCATCAGGGCTTGACGCCCGGTCTTGAGGTCGACAAACCACGGCTCAAGGGCCAAGCCCTCCTGCATCTGCCCACCGGTGTCGGTGCAGCGGCGGGGTGGGAACTTCCTGTGGGTGTTGCCTTTGACTCCACGAGCCCTGTTAGAAACTGTTTGACGACAACGTCTCGTTGGTCTCAACCCTGTTTTGCACTGCCTTGCCACCGAGGAGAGGTCAACCGAGCGTGTCGACATTTGGCGGGGGCGAAAAACCCGGCCTTGCTTGTATCAAAATCTGGGCATCGTATGCCACCCAATGAGCGCGGCTCCCCACGCAAGCGAGTGCTGGTGGGATCGAGGCAAGTCTGATTGAAAACCCGCGTGAAGCTCGTCGCCCATCTAGAACCCCAGGCAGCTCTCGAAACTCGACTCCAGGTGTGTCGAGGAACGCTCCGGGACCGAGCATGCTCGCGTGGCTGCAGCATCCTTGGCATGCGGGCTGGGTTAGCTGCGAAGCCGGGAGCCAGTGGGAAAGCGAGGGTTCGTTGATACAGCCGTTCCGTCGAGTTGGGTCGCCCTAGCCGAGCGACTTGTCCGCCGTGCAGCGAGAGGCAGCTGGGCTTCCTCACCAAACAACGAAAGTGATGATCTCACAGGTCTGCTGTGTAATATAAGGTTTGGAAGATCGGCGTGATCGACCGCTGCTGAGCGGCGTTGAGACGATCAGCGGGCGGGAAATCTCTGGCGGGCGAGCCAGGCCTGTCAGGCTGACCCACTCGCTCACCCCGGTCAACCACAGCCAGCTGGATCTCGCCGTCGACGACGAGAATGCGAAGCTGGCCACTTCGTACGAGAACACGAGAGAAGAACGATGTGATGGCTAACTGCGTAGCAGGTGGTTGGTCCGAGTCTGATTGGGGCACTTGGCGCCCGCTTTCTAACGTCCTGAATTCGGTCCCTAGCGGTCAGCGACAGGTGACAACAGGGAGAGGAAGGCGCTCTGGCCCAGATGTGTCGCCATGCACCAATCGAGAGAGAAGTTCCGTACGCTGGTTGCTGCCATGCCGAACCCGCAAAGCTGGAACAGCCGCACTCGAGCGAGCCAAGAGACGGCCTTCTCCCGCCCCCCCGGGGCGTTCCAATGCTTCAGCACCGGCATCGCAACCTCCCACGGCCTGGTGCGGGTTGGCTGGTGCTCCAGTGAGCCCAGCAGTTGCGTCCTGCAGATGGTCGAGCCTCTGTGCTGGCACTGCGATTCCGTGCCTCTGCCGTGCTGGTCCCGCCTCCCAATCACCCGCGTCTTCCGGGGGGCGGATTCGACCCCTGCACATCAAAAGGGGGGCGGTCCATAAATAGCAACGCGGGGCATGCGGGCGCTGTGTCACTCTGCGGGCTTGTCCCGTGATATTTTGATATGTTACCACAAGCAGAGCTTCCAGCGGAGAGAGCGCATTGCAATCTCTCAAGTGTCTCGGTGAGGTGAGACGGCCCGAGGCCAGCAAGATTGGCAACTCGAGCGGGGCATTTGGCTTTGAAAGGCCACACAGTCTTTCCCGGGTTTCGACTCCGCAACAGGAAGGAAGCCCATCGTTTGGTGATTGTGGATGGAGACAACGATTCTCTTGAAATTGGAGTCTGGTTGGAACGATGAGGAACGCTCGGGGAAGCAAACCACAAGGGTAGGGCGAGGCCAAACCCTGGCTGCGCGAATCAGGCGCCCTGTTAAGCGAGAGTGGCCCACAGCCAGGAACGTCAAGAAGAAAACCAGGGACCACGCCAGTCGGGAAAAAGTTGCGGGCGATGCGTCCGGACTCGGCTGGGGCCGACCCCACGATGGTTTTCGGCCAGGAAATGAGCCAAGACAGGGTCGTTTCTCAAGGGCGATTGCAGCTTTGAACGTGCACTGTAGTTAGCGAGTTCCACACAAGCAAGACGGATAGACCTGGCAGACAACGTGCAGTGAGGTTAGTTAATAATGAATCTTTCCATCAAGGTGTTTCGGCATCGTTCTCGCGCGCGATGCTTGATGAACCTGGTCGGCGCGATGGTTTGGCTCCGGCGGAGCGGACCCTTCGAAGCACCTCCAGAGGATGTCGTAGGAAGCGCCCGTACTCGCAGGAAAACGTGCCCCGGGCCATTGCGGAGGTTGCCAGTCGGGTGTCTGCCGGAGATGCGGTTCGATTGTCGCCCGAGACACGGGCTGCGATGGACCGGCACGGCCAAGATGTTCTCGTGGGGCCCTGTTGCTGATCCGGCAAGAGTGCTCCCGGCCGAGAAGGCGGTGTGCTGACTGACGGGCAGGCGGTGTTGTTGTCACGGTTGAAACCTCCATACCTGGGGAGGAGTCATGAGGGGACAGTGCGCATGCTCCATGGGACGGTTTTGTTTCTTCTGAGAGAGAAGCCATTGGTGGCAACAGGCAGGATGGGAGGTGGCCGGTGCGTGCCCAAGCGGGTGCCCCTCTGAGGTTTTGGAACGAATCTCCCAATGCGGTTGACCTGCGTGTGAGTCTGCCAGGGGGGACCGGCGGCAAGGGCCATGGGGGCTTGGACCACTCCCAGGAGAAGGAAAGCGCTAACTGTGCGGGCACAGTGGATACGGATGGCGGCCTGTGAGATGAGCCCTCACCGTGGCCCCTGTCCCCATCGACTGGCACACCGCCCGGCAGGACCAAAAGTCTCCGGACAGGTCAACGTACCTCCACAACGGTCGCGAGGCTTCAACTCCTGCAGATTTTCTAATAGTCCAATCCGACGGCTCCTTACCCTGCGAACATGTTGCAAAGCTGCAGGTTTTATTTTTGCCCTTTTGCGTCATTTTAAATCGTTCATGGAGTGCCCGTCTCCCGACCCGGTGAGCGGGCCTGGGCCCAGGGCACAGTGTTTGCCGGCGTCGGGAACCCTTTCCGTCGACTCCATCTCCGATTCATTAATAAAATCCTTGAGATTCGAGAAGACGGGGAGTTCCTCTCCACTGCGGCCTTTGGGTTACGAAGCATGAGGTACGGTGGCACCGGTGGCACCGGGCCCGCTGTTGGATCTTGTGCCATGCAGGCGCGCTGCATCATCTCCGCTCCGTGCCCCTGGTCTGATGTCAAGGCGGGGACGGGAGCTCGGTAGGGCGGGCGGAGCAGAGAGAATGGTGGGATTCAGAGCAGCCCACGGTGTCGACGACTACGCCGCGTCTCTCATTTTCTTGAGGGACGATGCGAGAACACATCGCACACAGCTCACTAACTTGGCTAAGTCGGCTTGCCCTTAGTCGCTCTCTTACCTAGGTAGCTATCATTGATAGGTGGTGATTACTACCTTTATACCGATTTTCAATCTTTACACAGTAACTACCTACATAGGTCACTCAGGTGCTGCCATGGTTTTCGCTGGCACAACCTCCTCGGCGACAGGCGCATCGCACCCTTGGAGCTGCTAGGCGATGGAGGTTGCTCCGCTTGCAGCTCAGCTGGTCCCGCCCCCAGCCCTCGCAACTGGCGCGTACCCAGAGGTACATCTGACGTTGCTTCGGTTCCTTCCCCTTTCTCGCCCCCCTGTGCTTGGCACCTGACGACCCTTGTCGGGGATCGTTCGCCCACTGTGCGTTCTTGTGGGAACACACCACTAACACCCTTGCCCTGGAGACACGCCGCGCCCGCGGCACCGTGCTGTGTCGGTAATGGGATCGCGGCTGCACCGCACCGGGCAGAAAGTTGTGCAGGAGGTCGGGTGCGGAAGGCGCGACCCCCCCCCCCCCCCCCTTCCCTGTCCTGCACAACAGTCCTCTCCACACCACCCACCTGCTGTTTCCCCCTGTCCCCCGTCCTCTCCTGCCGTGACTGGAGACCTCACCAACGCAGAAACAAACGGGAAAGACCTTGTCAGCTCTTGCCGACGTCTCGCCCTCTGCCGCCGTCAACCACCCACCTACCACCCACCACCCACCTCCCACCACTCCCTCCCCGCCCCGTCACAGTCAAACCACCACACGCTCTTTTTTGGCCGCCCCCCCTCCCCCCGCCCTCCTCGTCAGGGCTCGTCGTTCTCTCTTAAACTGGTTTAACTCCCGGCAGGTGTCCATCCCATCCTCTTCTTGGCTTGGATCTCCTGATGCGGACCCACACTTTCTTTTGAGTTGCCATCTCCATAACAAGACTCGCTCGCGTCCTATCATCGGCGACTGCCGTCTCCTCATCCCACCGAACCCCCAGTCACTCCTTTGGCGCACGTCAACGACGCGAGGTTTCCGTCTTCCAAGGGCTTGGTGGAGAAAAAACTGTCTCGTCTCTCTCCCATCTCCTATCACCGCTACCCAAGATAGTCACGGCGGTGTCTGTCTGTTTCTAGCAGCACCCGTTCAAGCTCGCTACCAGGCGGCCAACGGAGTGCCCTTACGACAGGGCGGCTCCAACACCAGCCACAGCTACGATGGACATGGACTACATGGACCCTTTCCGCCGCCGCTATGCCGGCCTGACCATGCAACCCTTCACCGGCCACCAACAAGCCCATCCGCAGGGCGCGCAGTATCCGTACTGGAACCCGCTAATGGCGTACTACCAACAGCAGCATCGGGCGGCAGCGTTGATGGGCCAGGGTAACATGCATCTCTCAAAGCCCGCGGAACCAAAACCGAGACTGGCGAAGGACGAGGTGGAACTGTTGGAACGCGAGTTCTCAAAGAACCAGAAGCCGAGTAGCAGCACCAAGCGGGAACTAGCCGAGCAGATGGGGGTCGAGGTGCCGAGGATAAATGTATGTCGCGCGAGAGGCTCTCTTCGAGTCATGCGCCTTTTGCTGACGCGTCGTGACAGAACTGGTTCCAAAACCGCCGAGCCAAGGAGAAGCAGATCAAGAAGACGGCCGAGTTCGAGGCGCAGCAGGCGAGGGAACGAGCGGCTTCCGAGGCCGAGTCCACCGGAGATCAGGATCAAGAATCTGCCGGCGAGTTCTACCGCGACGGCAACCGGGACGGGGACCAATCCGGAACCTTGTCCACCGCCACATTCGGACGGGATGATGACACGGCTCACAGCGATTATGTCCAGCTCAAGACCGAACCCATCGATCCGATTGCGCTGTCTTCTGTACCTGCAGCTCCACCTTGCGAGAGCCCTGCCGGCTCCGACAGCGATGACTTCGTCCACATCAAATATGAACCCCCCGCCCATCAAGCCCAGGGGATGATGAACCTGGCAAACCGGTCGGCCATGGTCACTTCATTCGATGAGGCACAGGGACAACATGGATACCAACCAACCACAACTACCTTCCCTTTTCGGCTTACAGACACAGCCGCTGTTGACGGGATATCTCGCCCCGGTTTCGATGCACTGGTCCCTCAAAACGATATGATAATCAGCGATGGAGGTGCATTCAGTCCGTTTGCTGACCATGACTACTTTGCAACCCCCTCGGTCTCCCAGTTCCCTTCCGAAATGGTATCCTCAAGCGCGCCAATTAATGCAGACAACCCGCTCCTAAGACACCAGGTATCAATGGAGAGTCTCGCGCAATCCGAAGTTGTGTCGCCGGCCGCGATGTCCGCCTCATCGCCGTCGATGATGTCGGACCTGCGATTTAAATCTCCGCCTCCCCCCGCCGATATAGCGGGCCGCAGGAAGAGCAGGCGGCCGGCACCGCTCGGCCTGTCATCGCTGAGGGGCGGACCAGGACCCAAGACGGGTATTGAAATGCCGAGACGAGCGGACACGGTGAGCCCCATGAGACGAGTTTCTTCAGCAACAGGTAGCCTCCGCGGCCGTGTTCAAAAGGCGTTCATGGGACAAGGCGGTCCTCGGTCGCCCTTCCCCATGGATCGCAACAGAGAGGCGCTTCTTCAGAGCCTGCCAGAGGCGCAAGCTCCAACCATGCCATCGATAAATAATACCATGTCTCCGATGAGTCCCGAGAGGATCCTCAGCTCGGGAATGGGGGATTGCGCCGTGGGCCCGCAAGCTTCGGATGATGAACAAGGCTACCCATTCGGTTCTTTGGGGGCCCTGGGCGGGGTTCCCCTTTACAACAACGCCGAGCCCACCGTCAATTCGCCCCCGGGGACGCCGGGTTTGCACATGGGTTTCCAGGAAGGCTACTTTCCGACTTCGGTCGAACCATCGTGGAATTATGTTCCGCAGGACGAACCATTGCCGACACCAAGTCTTTGTAGCCATGGCGGATCTGAACTCGAGTTCTCGATGGCGCCCCAACTTCCGGGCTATGTGGCAAGCCAACCGGTGACGCCCTCGTTCCCGCCCACAATGGGTCCCGCGTATGCTGGTTTCTTTGGCACGAGCGTCGGGCAAACCGAGTATCACTTCCCGGAGTCGTACCCGACCGAGACCTCGGCCCGGTCATCGCCCGTCGTGCCTCCGAGGTCAAAGCAGTTTCAGTTTGCCCAGAACGTCACTCCCCAGGACTTCAACACGGACAAGTCATGAATATGTCTCCCAACCAAAGGCTCCCTTGAAACTCTCAGACCTCCTCGCCCGTGTACTTCCCCCTAACCATGGGAAGCTGCAGTGTACCAACATCATTCTGATTTCCCCCTTTTCTTTTTGCATCTGTCCCAAGCGTGCTAGGATTGCCGGATACGGACCAATTTGTTTGAGTTTTGGCCCTTGGCTTGAAACACCAGGAAGTCACTCGTTTCTTTTTTTTGTTTGGATATTTCTTCTCTAAAATCTGTGACTTGGGAGGCATCTTATTTTGGGCTTGTATACGTGGCTACGGTTTCACGAAAAGGCGCATCAGCAACACACCACTGACAAACGCAAGACGAAGACCACTTTCCTTAATTGTAACGATAAACGGGCACAAAGTTGGGATTTCAAGGGGCACTTCTACAAACGGAGGAAGGACGGGTTCTCACCGAATGGCTTTCAGGTATACCCTCTGTAAAGGATGGGAAACAACCGGGCAAGAGATGAAGCGGGGAGCACCCCTTGCACTGGGGCCAAACCGATCCTCGAGTTTCTGTCCCCCCCCTTCTCTGGCCCGCGGTTATCCGACTTCGGCGGGATGGTTTAATGGGCGTCATCAGCGGCGGGTAGGGCAGGGGACACCAAGATCAGTCTCTCGGACTACGGCATAGAGAGGGGTGGGAAATGGCAAACGGCGATCTGGCACGGGTTCGGTCTGAGTTTATTCATTCCCTTTTGGCTTTGGTTCCTGACTGGGCTGTGAGGGTTGGATATATGGACCCGGCCCAAGGAAGGGAACAAGGGGAGACAATATCTCGGGACACTGTGTTATATAGTATAGTATAAGTGATACCGCCATTTAGGCGCCAACAGAGTGCAATTGTGGCTCGGAACCTGTTATCCAAGTCGACGTGTTTTCGATCGCCCAGTGTTTAGTTATTCGCACAATCCCAGCCTTTCATGGGCTTGTCTCGCGCGACGGTAGCGTGCCCATCTCGAATAAACAGTATGGTGTATGGTGAATCAGAGGAGCGAAGTTAGGTTGAAGTTCCGGGCGATTCGGGTGTGTATAAGACGGGGTGATATAAGAGGGGGCGTGTTTTGGACTTGGGGGATCGGCGGTTGGGGTTGCTTCAGCACCGGCTCGTCCCGCTGCGTCCACGTTTCATCCCTTCCCCCTCCTCCATACACTAAAATCCGTGGCGCCCCGTTCAATCAATTAATAAATAAACTCCGTTCCGATCCCATGGGGTCGGTTCGGTTCGGTCGGTTATGGTTGACGCCATCGGGCCCGGGCGTTGCCGGGTAAAATGGGGTGGGTGATGGCTAATATGTACTTGTTCGTATCTCTGCCGATAGTAGGTTAGTAGGTATCGACTTTGCCCGATGGCGCGATTTGGCTGCAGCGCTTGCTTCAATCTTCAATCTATCTGGGTATATAGGGGCTGTTACAGAAACGCGTAGCCCGGGAATGGATAGATCATCGCCAGATAGGATGTCAGTGAATAGTTGGCCAATGTGACACGAAGTGTCTAGTGCCTAGTTATTACTTATTGTCCACCCTTTTTGGTGAGTTCGCTCGACGAAACTCCCCAGTCGCTCATGGTAATAATAAATAGGATAATATATTGGAGCAACCTTGCCCGAAAATCCGGCACCTCCGTCCTGACCCCTCGACAAGTTGATGAAAAAAGGGACGTAAATAGGTAGATATGGAGTAGTAGACACGTGTATCGTCATTACACACCTTAGACATGAATCCGAACATGACTAGTCAAGACATTAACAGGGTACTACATGTAGTAGTCGAGCCGTACCTGACGGGGAGGAGAGAGGGAGAGAGACGGAGAGACAGGGAATGGGAGAAGCTCTTCCCAGAGATGAAACGAGGAACGTGAGTTAAGTGATAGTAGTGTGGCACCAAGCCGGGACCAAAACAAAGAGAAACCGCTAAACACCCAAGCCCACCACGCCAACCGACAACCTGATCCCGTTACTTCCCCACCAAGTTGAAGCCTAAACCTGACCTAGCCCGACCCGACCCGACCTGACCGTTCCAACCCAGTATTTACATAGTTTCAGAAACTATCGCCTGCAAAAGTAGCCCGCATGGATGACGTGAGCGTGCTCGGCGTGTTCTGCAGCGACCCGCTGGTGTCGCTGTTCGGCGTGGAGGGTTCGACGACGCGATTCCTAATCGTCATGATCCACTCGTGCTGCAGTAGCTCGACGGCCGTGCCGCGTTTGTTGGCGTCCCGCATGAAGCAGCGCCCGAGGAAGTCGATGCCCTCCGGGCTGAGCTGGTCCGCCGAGGGCAGCTGTGGCGGGTTGCCCTGCGCGATATTGTACATGATGGCCCACTCGTTGTCGAGATTGGCCCACGGCCGCCGGCCCGTCGCCATCTCGAGGATGACGCAGCCCAGCGACCAGATATCGACGGCGCCAAAGTGGCCCACGTTCTCGCCCTTTATGACCTCGGGAGACATGTACATGGGCGTGCCCGTCATCGACTTGTTGGGCTTGGTGGTGGTGATTTCTTGTACCAGTGTGCGACCCTGCCGGGCGATGAGTTTCGCCGCGCCGAAGTCGACGTACTTGATGATGCCGTTGTGATCGAGGAGGATGTCTAGAAACTCACGTCAGCATACCGGCTCGCCACCTTCAACCCCCCCCCAAAAATGGAAACGTATGGCTTACTCTCTGGTTTAATGTCGCGGTGGGCAATATGCAGCTCGTGCAGGTAGGCCAGGCCTTCGAGCAGCTGCAACGCATAAACCATAATAACCTGCTCGTCCTCGATACGGCCGTGCTCCAACAGGTTGGCGAGCGAGCCGCCGGAACAGAACTCCATAAACATGTAGACGCGGTCTCGATGGACTTCGATGCCATAATATGACACGACGTTCGGATGGTCTACCGTCTCCAAGACGCGCATCTCCTCCCTAATCTGGCCTGCGATGCTAGGGATCTGCTTGGGGTCCTGCAGGCGGATCTCCTTCACAGCCATCAGCTGGCCCGTGTCGAGGTTCATGGCGGCGTAGACGGTGCCGAATGTGCCGCCGCCGACAAAGTGGCCTTGCTGCCACCTCATGGTGAAGTTGGTGGCCGTGGATGAGAGCCAGGCGAGCGAACGATCGACCTCGTTGGAAATCTCCAGCACACGGCCCATAGCTGACCGCTCCGAGAGAATTTGCCTCCTGAGATCGTCGATCTTGGCTAGCTCCTCGAGACGATGCTCCTCGACGTACTTGGCAGCGGTCGCGTCGTCTGCGCCCTGTCCCTTGTTGAGCCGTTTGAGTTGGTTCATGAGGGCCTCCGTCCGCGCCTTCTCGGCTTGTGCCGCAATACTGGACCTGGCGCCCATGATATCGAAGTGTGAGATCAGGAGCGCCATGCATCCGGCCACCTTCGCCCGCAATTTGGCGTACTCATCGTCGCCGAGCGCCAGGATATGTTTGCCCCTGGTCATCCCCATGGCGAATTCGAGGGCTTGCACAGTCCAGCGGAACGTCTTGCGGTCGGAGGAGATGCAGTCGTCGCAGATGAAGCTCACCCAGTCGAGCGCAAGTTTGGTGAGTTTCATGTTGTTCATGGACCGCCGGTTGTTGTCCATGTACAGCAGCGAGCGCTGACCGAACTCGGTGGCGAAGATGAAGCATGTTTGAATCAGTTCCTGGCAGTTGAGGCCCCGCGTTTGGCGGCGGATGGTCTCGACACTGTCCATGAAGGCGTTTGATAACTTGAAGGCGACCTTTCGGATCTCCATGAGCCGGATGTTCACTTTTTGGAGACTCGACCTCTGCTCGACAACGAGGTCAATGTGCATGTCTATGCTGTCGAGGAACGATTTCCTAGCACTCATCAGCGGTGCCTGGGAGCCGCCGGCGATGAGCCTCATGTGTCCGAGTTTGATGTCCAGCGGTTCATCCCGCACCGATAGGTGGAGCTTTGCTCCAAACCAGGTAGGTGGTGCTTCGGCCCTGATGATGAGAAGGTAGGGATCAGAGGGGTCCTCGGTGACCGTCTCGTAAGAAAAGGTGCTCATCAAAAGCTGGATGTCGGCGCTGCGGCCGTGTAGGCTGGGCGAGGCAATGATGATGATGTTCTCATGCTCGGGGCTCCCGGTGCAGACCTGGAAATGGCCGGACTCTATGAGGCGGTCGAAGAGCTCCTGGACCCTCTCGGGGCCAAAGGCAATAGTGAAGTCGCAGGCGTTTTCGTAGTTGTCGCTGAGCATCCTCGAGAATCTCTGCAGCATACGTTGCCGCACGCGGACGGAATCCAGGATCTGTTTGTAACGTTTTGTCATCTCCGAGACGCCCTCCTTGGGCCTCCTCTGGAGCTCCTTCTCGAAAGTCTGATTCAGCCGGCCAAGGGCCTTGTAGGTGAGGGAGCTGAACTGCTCGGCAACTTCGACATCTCCGTGGGTTAGGTGACTTCCAATCTCGTTACCGAACCCCCACTCCTGAAATAGCAACTCCGCTTCTTTGAAGGTATTCTTGTTACCACTCAACTTCCAGTTTAGCATCTTGAAGTAGTACTTGAGGGCATCCAAAATGACGCGGTCGAAATCCTCGTCAATACACGGCGGTAGGTCCCAGCCGGGTTCCGGCTGAGAGATGGCCATGTATTCGGATTTGATCTTGATTGCTAGCTTTAGCAGGACCTGGAATTGAGAGATCATCTGGTCCTGCATCATGGTATTTTGCTGCGCCGACTCCTTCATCTTCTTGGCGTAGGCTAATCGCACTTTGATGATCTCCTCGATGAGACGGGATGGGAAGCTGATCAAGGTGAGCAGCTCCTCAATGTAGGGTGGTAGATGGCGTTTTTGGAACGCTTCGGCGTTCACGATCAAGGTGTCCTTGGCTTTGGTTATGACCATGGAGATGCTGTCCAACATGCTCTTCTTGCTGAGGTGCTTGCCGTCGCCGCCGTCATCCGCATGCAGGGACTTCAGGCCCTCTTCCTTCATCAGCCTGTCTAGAAAGGAGGTTTCGTCGCCGAGACGGCCGGAGGTTTCCCGGGATCGCTGGAAATCTAGGTCGTCGTTGCCCACCCATTTCTTCAGGATAGAGAGTTCGATACTGATCATCTCGTTGACGTTATGCCATGAGATGATGGCATCGCAAGTTTCCTGATACGCCATGTACATTGCGGGCTTGAGGGCCGCAACTAACCCGGTGTCGGACGGGTAAAGGGCTTCAATCTTTTCGATTTTGCCGATGGCGTCGCGGACTTGCTCAACCGGAGGCTTTCCGGCCTCGCTCTCGCCGGCAATGGAGAAGTTGATGACATCGCTTACGGAGCGGTCGAGCGAGGCTCGGGCCTCCTCTAGCATGCGCCGCTGGACCGGCAAGTGCCTTCCACAGACCCGGGCGCGAATCCCCAGCCAAAGCTCGGCCTTGTGTGCGCTCTTACCGAAATCCTCGTCAGCGGACCCGATGAGGCGCTTCTTTTCCTGTCGGACAACATCGCCAGTGAGGACCGACTCCAGCATTCCGTGCCATTCTAGTCTCTCGCGGCTGCCGGAATCCTGCAGATCCTCCTCGGTGATCTGGCTCTCCTCGTTATTGACGAACATAATGTGTGAGTCGTCATATGTATCGAACGGGCCCTCGGACGAGGGGGTCTCGCCTTCGGAGTCGGAGTCGTACTGCTCCACTGAGCCATATGTGTCGAAGTAGTCATTGTTGTGATCTTGCTGGCGCAGCCTCCGCACATATTCTCGTTCTTGGGCGCGGAACGTCGAGGTCCCTATCGGGCGCGGCCTCGAAGCGTCCTTGATGTGAAGCCCGCCGTTGTTGTTGAAGGAAGAAGTGCCAGGCTGGTTAGGCCGCCGCTGCGTGTAGGGTTGGTAGGTGTTGGAAGGGGTCCTGGCAGGCCCGGTGGGGCGTTGCGGCCGCGACGCCGTCCCGTTGGTGTACGAGCCAGACTCGGCGGTGCTGCGCTGGCGGGAGCTCGCACCATTCGCTAAGGTGCCGGACGGGTGCGGCTGCACGCCGGCGGGATGGCCCGCCTCAACGTATCGGCCGTGTGTCCCAAGGTCATCTTGTTGGTCGATCAGACGGGGGCTCAAGTGGATATCCCCGTTCCCCGGTGCCATTGCATTCTCCGAGTCGGACATGACTGCTGATGGGCGGGTACTGCTCTTGGGCTTGTCTGGCCGGGCATGTCCGTCGTCGTCGGGTGCCGAGAAGCGCACGGTGCGGGGGGACGGTTCGCTCGCCATTCCTCGACCGGGAGACTACCTGCGAGTAGTATAGCCGCCGTCGAGGAATTTCAAGGCGGGGCGGCCGGCGCAAGTACGGATGGGGATGGGTGGAGCTCCCGAGGATGGAGAGTCGGGAAACCGGTATTGATGATGGGCCGGGGTCAGTGTTGTTGGGTTGGCCGTAGGTTGTGGTGGATGTGCACGATGATGTGCCGGCGAAACACTGCGAGGAAAATCACCCGCTGCTCTGGAAAACCGAGCTACATTTATTGCCGGATCGATATAACTCGGCCATGGGCGTCAATAAAAAGGGGGTTCGGTAAGGTGGTGGCAATCGTACAATTGACTCGGGATTGAATTTCGTCTGATCTGGTTGTTTCGACTCGAGGGACCACCTCAGAGCTGCCAGTCTTCCAGTTTGCCAGTGTCCTGGAGAGAGTGGTCGAACCGGAAGTACAGTGGCGAAGAAGGCTTGTCGGAGCTCCATGGTTGATGGATACAGCAGAAATGCATCCGATTGGCTAGGCCTGCTGTTATCTTCAGTGTGAGTGGCTTTCTCCTCGCAGCTCGAGCGGGGCCATGTGGTTAGTTAAGTGTGGGAACATAATCTCATACTGTGCTTATCTGCAATTTTTGGGGTGAATGGTCCGTTCAAATTGGCGATGCGGACGGAACGGCGGCCTTGGCTCGAGAGTGCATGCAAGACCCCAAATGGAGCTCTCGAAAGCATTGACAAAAGTGTCGATCGTCTTGTGGAACCCGTTCATCAGCTGCAACACATCGAAATGCTGGGATTTGATCGTGCCAATGAAACACATTGTCGGATGGAAATGACGAATTTTCTACTGAGTGGGATGATGAAATTCATTTCCATCTTTTTTTTTTTGGACAACAAAATACGAATATTTCCTCATAAAAGGCTGAGAGTGGTGCTTTCTCAATAAAAAGTTGCGCCACACGTCAAATCGATTCCATGGAACTGATGTTGCATTCATTGTCGCCTCAGTTGTGGCAGTGCAGCCAAAAAATGAGCATGCAGCACTGGCATGCCAAAGTGTCAAAGCAGTTGATGATGGTCTGTGCGTGATCGCGTTAATGATTCCCGCGACGCGTGACGCCAGAAGTTGGCTTGCATCCCGCACGCGCTTGAATAATTGACATGCCCACACTGGACTGTTACTTATCCTTGGCGACCATTTGCACCCCCCCAAACCATTGATTGACTTACCAATTGTTTACAATGTATTATTGATGGCCATAAGTGTTTTTATTGCGGTATGTCCTCCACAATAGGACAAAGTGCGAATATGTCACGTCCTGGGAGCAGACTCGACAATCGGTTCGACAGCAGATTCGAGACTAGACCGTCGAGCAGACCCTCTAGCAGGGCATCCGTCAGGCCATCCTCAGTCGCCGGCATTCATACCTCGGCGTACGATGCAGAGTTCAACCGCACCCGTCCCCAGAGCCGCCAGAGCCTGCCCGGTCCAGGCCCGGCAAGTCCCAGCTCCGGCAAGCGGAAGAGAACCCACCCAGCTCCAACCGCCGACGATGGTCTCCTGAAGGGGTCAATTGTTCTCAAGGTATGTCGAGTCTGGTCGTCAAATCGTCCCGGAATACCCTAGTCTCTAGAGTCAAGCAAGGGGGACTCACAGTTTGCTAGCCACATCCCTCGAGCCTTTCAGCAAAGCCGCGCATTCTACATCCCCTAATGCTTCTACCTCGCGAGGCCCTACCACTGTCAGCCCTCGACCTCTCTCAACCCCATGGCGACTTCCCCGCGAGTCGCCTTTTCGAATCCAAAATCAAGATCCTCGATCTCGAGGGTCGCCTAGGGTCCAATGTCCTTCTCGCCCGCTCAGAGACAACCCGCAGGGCATATGCCGTCGAACGCGAGAACAATGGACTATACGTGTTGTGCAAGTTGGGATCATGGGTGGATATCGAAATGCTCAGTCAGAGCGCCACAGTTGTGTGTAAGGAGCGGATGAGGAGCCGCAAGGCCGTCAAGCAGGAGCAGGCCGCCGAGACCCCGCTGATTACGCCTTCGATGTACAGCGATAGCAAGAGGAGGAGACTGGCCATCGAAGAGATACAGTCCTTGGTTCGGAAGCGTTCGATATCGGTTATCGAGAAGGAACCGCCAAAGCCACTCCCAACGCCAACGGCAACCGAGGAGAGCCCGGCATCATCAGGAGCGGGCGACATCCAGGTGGCAAACTTGGTGATGGGACATGATGAACCTACCATTGTGCCTGGGCCATCCGTATCCAGCAGGCCAGATACTCCCGCACCAGCCACAGAACCCGTTATCGACGACCCCCTTGTCCAGCCCGATGCCGAGGACATCTTTCTCAATATCAGAGCTCAGTATATGGAAGCCCTGTATCATTCAAAGGTATTGTGTTTCTCTGCGTGTCCTTCACTGCATGTACTAACGAAAACAGGGTTCGCTAGCGTACTTTGCCAAAGGCCCTCTTTCTAAGGCGAGGGCGGCGTTCCATTTGGACTGGGATTCCAACCTTAACATGAACGACCTGGTAGAGTTCTTAAAGAGTCTCATTATGACCACCGTCGTGATCGACAAGAAGTATCGCGAAACAATTCCTGAGATCGTAGCCAAGATGAAAACGGTCACCCAGGAGTCGGAAAACGGCGCCTCAAAACCCAGGAAGAAAAAGGCGAAAAAACCAAAGTTGGGTAAGGACGGGCTGTACCCCGGAGAGATCAACCATGTTCGGCGGTGGTGGACCTCACATCAACCGGACTCAAGCGGTGATGACGCGAATGCCTTGAGTCCCACGGAACATAAATACCACGTATCTTGTTTGCGAAGGAGGGAAACGCAGCTGCAGATAATCTTGGTATTGGAGATCTTGGCCCTCGAGCCTGTGGCGTTGGCGAAGGGCGCCGAATGCCAACTCCCGGGGATGGAATCCCAAGTCGCCTCCCGGGAGGAAAGCCAGGAACCATCAGCCAAAAAAAGGAACAGACACAACCTGCCGGTGCTCCTCGAAGTGCACGCAGATCGCCTCTGCATCTGGCAGTCTACCACGTTGGACGAGGTCAAGGCGGTCGCCGAATCGCAAATTCCTGCCGAGGGCCATGAGGGTGAACAACCCGAGAGGGCCAATTCTGACCCCCTCAGGGACTTTTGTGTGGATATTATTGTGCCATTGTAAGCCGTCCGAGATCCCACTAGCATTTACGTATATTCTAACCCACATCAACAGTTTTTCAGCCCGCCTTCCAGGTCACTGCGACTCTCTCAACCGCAAGCTAGGGGGCCCTGTCGCTCAGTCCCCCGTCAGAGCAAAGGTGCCTAGTTCGGCAGTCAAGCCGAAGCCCGGCGCCCCGATGAAACGGCCGACGGCGAAACGGGACAAGGACAGGACACTCGAGCGTGCCCTCTCGGTTGAGCGGAGCAGACGCAGCGTCTCACGAGGGCCCGCCGCAACAATTGCTCTACTGCGGTCTGCCACACAAACAGTGATACCAGGATTGAAGCGAGAGGCGACCGATTCATCATTGATGGGGATGGTTCCGAGGGCGGAATCCGGTTTGGTCAAGGAGCGGCCATCGCACATGTTCTCCAGGAGCGTAAGTTTGGGCGGGGTGGACCTCAAGGCACAGAAGAAGGCCCAAGTAGACGCCGAACTCAAGGACGCCATATCGGCACTCAAGAAGCCGAACCGGACCCTGGCGGCCAAGGACATTGTCGAAGCAGCCGAGAAGCGGACATCGGCTGGGCAGCTCAAAAGTAGGTTTCCCAACCCCTACAACTGTCAAACGGACACTGACCCTACTACCTCTGCAGGAATGAGAAAACCAACCCGTCCCGCCGGTGTACAGGTGAAAGCCACGCCAGCCAACAACCGCTTCAAGGACGCCCTCGCAGCCAGCAAGACGCAGTCCCAACTGTCACCGTTCCTCGACGCAGCCCCCTCCAGCGCCTCGGTCGTTCCCGCATCGACCCTCCCACGCAAGTTCGCCAACCGGCTCACCGCCCCCGCCCTGCCGGCCGATCGCATCCAAACGACACCGGTGCGACCCACCCACCCGTCCGTCCCTGCCACGGGGCTCCGGCCCGTTCAGGAAACGCCCGGCCCCGGCATCCTCCCTTCCTCGCCCATCATGGCCCGGAAGGCCGCGCCGGCGCCCCCGCCCAAGTTCGCGCTCGCCCAGCCCCGCTCCAAACACCTACCGGTCCCCGCGGGCCGCTCCGGTGTGGGGGAGGTGCCCTCCTCGCCTGGTCTGGGCACGCTCTTTGAGACGCCGGTCATGCCGCGGTCTGCGAGGGGCGGGTTGGAGGTCGTGGATGACACGCCCATCAAGTCGAGGCTTCCGCTTGGGTTGGCCGGGGATGGTGGGAACAGGGTTGGGGGGAGTAGAACGGGCGAGGTGGGGAAGGGGTTTGGTGATAGCGGAGGGAGTGATGGTGCTGCTGCAGACGCGGCAGGGGCGAAGGAGAATGGGGACGGGGGTGGTGCAACTGGCAGCGTGGCGAGCATTTACCAGCGGCTTGGCTGGGATACGACCGATCTGGATGACATTGATGATTTGTTATGACTGGATAGATAGATTTGGCTTGGGTTCCATTGGCGGGCGTTGGGGCTCATAAACGCGCAGCGATCTTCTGAGCATCTAACTCGGTGTTGGGGGGGTTGTTGGGATACATACAGGATCGCTGGAATTATACCGGGAAGAGCATAGCTGGCGGCGGCGGCATGGGAGCAATGTGGGCTAGAACTACCGAGGCAGGAGCAGGAAGCATCTTTTTCCATTAGCCCTATCTAGCATGGACAGGTATACAACAATAAGAAAAAGATTATCAAACAAGTTAGTTATCCAGACCTCCCCGTTTCATGACATCACCAACCCCCTTTCACTCCCCATTCACCAAGATACCCCCCTACCTGTCTACATGTCACCCCCCCTCAACAACAACCAACGGCAGCTCCCGCACATCAGCATGCTCCTGACTCCCCAAATCCACCACCCTCACCGCCTCCAGCCCCACGACGCCCGCCCGGAGGGCCAGAAACCGCAGCTCGGCTACAGCACAAGCGTTGGGCGCCAGAGGTCCGACCCTGATGTCAGCAGACAGGCACACGAGCTCGGCGGCATCCACGACGCTGTTGCGCTGCATGGCATGCACGACGGTCTCGTCCAGCACGGCGTCGGCGATGAGGGGGTCGCGCTTGGAGCCGGGCCCGCCCGCGGTGGAGGGCGGGCGGATGACGCGCAGGTCGTTGCGGCGGCGGCGCGGGACGGGCACGAGCATGAGCTTGCGCGAGGCGGCGGCGGCGGCGTGGCGGGCGAGGGCCGAGGGGGGCGCGGACGGCGGCGGCGGCATGTCCGGCTTGCTGCGGTTGACGACGAAGACGGTCCATACGAACTCCTCGCCGAGGCGCACGGGCTGGGAGGGGCCCGTGAAGGTCATGGTGATGCCGAAGTCGGGGAGGGCGGTCTCGAGCGGCCGCGCGGTGGCGGCTTCGAGGGAGGGCAGGGCGTCGGGCCGGATGACGGAGGGGGAGACGAGCGGCTGGGAGTCGACGCCGCCGCTGATGGAGAGCTGGCTGGGTCGGTGGGCGCGTTGGATGGCGGTGGGTTTGGGCTGGCCGAAGCCTGGGTTGACGGGAGGGGTGAAGTCGAGGGCGGTGGCCCAGGTCATGACTAGGCGGGGTGTGCAGGGGTTTGGTTCATTGTCCGGGCGGACGAGGACGATGACTTCGATGGTGATGATGAGTTCGCGGGCGAGGTTCTTGCTGACAATATCGCGTTGCTGGGGAGCGAGCTTGTAGAGAAAGGTGAGGTGGTCGTAGGCGACGCAGCTGAGGGGGAGGGTCATGCCGTCTTGGTTGTTGAGGTCTTCAACCGTGCCCTCCGTGACACCGAGAGTGAGTTTGTCCAGGGCAACCTCGCAGTCGAAATAGGGGGTGAAATCGACCTCGAGCAGAGCGATCAGTGAGGTGCTCACGGGCGTGGTGTTAGGCCTCGAAAAGCGGACTCGAGTGTGGAGGACTGGGTAGATCCTGAGCTTGAGGTTTTGTAACCCGCTTATACGGTGAAGGGCGTCCTTCGGTTTGGTAAGGGGTGCTACTTTGGACACCCTCTGGGCAGACAGCCGAGGTGTGGTGCCACCCAGATATGGGTCGTTCGCAAACGACTCGAGCACATTCATTCCCGACGGCATACAGCTCGGCATGTATCCCTCATCTAGCGCGCCAAGTTGACCAGCATCCGCGGTGTTCATCTTGAGATTCGCGGCCCCTGAAAACACAACAGACGGCAGCTGTAGTCGCATCCTGGGACGGTTCAGGAACACTGGGAGCTTCCAGACGGCATAGGCATGTCTTTGGCTTTCCTCTTCCTGCAATTCTTCCGTCACCACAACCGCCTGCTCCACATCCTCAACCGCGCCATTGTATATTGATTCGGAGGCGGGGCTGGCCCCATCCCGGTCCGTGATGGCGCCGTTTACGATGTGGGTATCGAGGGTAATGACGAGGCGGCGCAGGTGGGAGCGGAGAGTCTGGTCGTCAGAGTAGGGCGCACGGAGAATAAAGTACACATCGACGGTCTCATCTGCAGTTCTCGCATGAGCAAAGGGCGACACTCGAGCAGGAGCAGTTTGCGAACCTCGTACCAAAGAACAGCTGGTCGCGTTGCTCGATGCTGGAGATGTTGTTCTCTATTGAACTGCCGTCTTGCCGGAGAGCCTCCTCGGGATCGAATTTGGTTGTCGAGGGGATGATGTATGTGAGGTACGACTGTTCGAGGAAGGCGTCTGCCACGTCGGGCACATCGACCGTGTCGCCAACATCAACTCCAACACTAACGCTATCGTCAACACCATCGCCGTTGGGTTCTTCTGAGGACGCCATGGTGTGTGTGCGGTGCGATGGTGGCGCTCCCTGTTTGTTTTGTTGACTGCTGTTGTTGGTTGAATTACCTAAAATTCCATATGAAGAAATCTAGAAAGACATGCCGACCGGCGGACTTGTTCCGTTGTTGTTCTGAAATCGTGGAGAGAGACGATCTTTAAAAGCCATCAATGCAGGTAACCGTCGCCTCGAGTTGCCAAGTACTCTCGAATTGAAGGCAGTTCCCGGTGCCTGCATGCGACCCGCTCTCACCTCCCCGCAACGACCCCTGCGAATGAAGCACTGCGCAGGCCCATCAGCCCGAGCAGCGTGGCAGCTCAGCGCCCAGACCTTGGCATAGAGTGCACAGGTCCGATTGTGATCTGTGCCGAAAGAACATTTCGAGCTCTTCAACAATTTCCTCAGCGAAGATCGCCTTTCATCCTTCGTCATCTCCATCAAAGCGCGTGACTCGGCGCATCCGGAAACCCGCAACCCGACACTACCCCAGGCCCGACGCGCCGACCGAGTCCTCCGTGACATCGAAACCTTCAGATCCGCAACGCGACGCATCTTGCGAACAGAATGAACGCGTCCTTTGCGCCACCAGGCGCTGCCTGGCAAGAACATCGCACTCCCGATGGCCGTGTCTACTATTATAACCCTCTGACGAAGGTCACGCAATGGACCAAGCCAGAGGATCTTATGTCTCCAGCAGAGGTATGGCTCGCGGAACCTCCGAGGGATCTCTTCATGCATGCTGACTGTCCGTGAACCAGCGCGCGCTCGCAAACCAGCCATGGAAAGAGTACACCGCCGAGGGTGGTCGCAAGTACTGGTACAATACCGAGTCGAAGCAGAGCTCGTGGGAAATGCCCGACGTGTACAAGCGAGCCTTGGCCGGCGGCGAGGCAACACCAACCACACCAGCGTGAGCATTCGGCAGACTCCAACAACCCGTGCTTGGACTTGTTGCTGACTATCTAGTACTCCTGCCACCCCGATCACAGGTCAGGGCGCTGGCCATCATGGGGGATTCGGAGGTGCCGACCACTACCGCGATCATCGTGAACCTATTGGTGAATCACGCCAGCTGACCTTCGGCAACAACATCCAGGCCCAGGCCTTCGTTCCTGCCACCAGCGATCCCGAGTATGCGACTGCCGAAGAAGCTGAGGCCGCTTTCGTCAAGCTTCTGCGCCGCAGCGCCGTCCAGCCCGACTGGACGTGGGAGCAGACAATTCGAGCCACCGTCAGAGACCCGCAGTTTCGCGCCATCAAAGACCCGAGGGATAGAAAGGCTGCTTTCGAGAAGTACTGCCACGATGTTGTTGTGCAAGATAAAGAGCGTGCAAAGGAGAGGCTGACAAAGCTGCGTGCCGATTTCGCGACCATGCTGCGAAGCCATCCCGAGATCAAGCACTACACCCGCTGGAAGACAGCCCGCCCCATGATCGAAGGCGAGACCATCTTCCGTTCTACCAACGATGAGAACGAGCGGCGCCAGCTCTTTGAAGACTACATCATTGATCTCAAGAAGGCGCACAAGGAGCAGCAAGTTACCATGCGCAAGAGTGCCATGGATGGCTTGATTGAGCTGCTGCCCAATCTGAACCTGGAGCCTTACACGCGTTGGTCCGAGGCCCAGGGTGCCATTGAGAACACTGCCCCTTTCCAAAATGATGAGAAGTACAAATCCCTCACCAAGTACGACGTCTTGACCGTTTTCCAGAACCACGTCAAGGCGTTAGAGCGCAAGTTCAACGATTCGTTACAGGAAGACAAGAACAAAAGGCTTCGCCGGGACCGCAAGGCCCGAGACAACTTCATCGCCCTTCTTTCCGAGCTGAAAAAGGATGGCAAAATCAAAGCCGGGACCAAGTGGAACGAAGTCCATCCCCTGATCGAATCCGAGGAGCGCTATCTCGCCATGGCTGGCCACCCTGGCTCCACAGCCATGGAGCTATTCTGGGACGTGGTTGAAGAAGAGGAGCGCGCTTTGAGGAGTATCAGGAACGACGTCCTCGACGCTATTGATGTAAGCTACCACCCTCCCTCTGCCTTTGAGAGGCCGCTTAAGCTCACAACCACTAGGACAAACGCTTTGAGATCACCCCAAAAACTACGTTTCAAGAGTTTGAGTCAGTCCTCAAGGGTGATCACCGCACAGCTAACATTGAACGCGATTCCATGGAGCTTATTTTTGAGCGGGTGAGTTGCAATGCCTCCGACCATCTGCACCAAGAAGACGTCGCTAATCTGATGCGCGTCAATAGATACAAAAGCGGACCAAACGCTCCGATGAGGACAGGCAGTCCGACCGCCAGCAACGCCGCGCCTTGGAGGACCTCCGCTCACACATGAAGCGGATGGAACCGCCGATCGGTGTCAATGACACTTATGAGCAAGTTCGGAGCCGGCTAGCCCACGTTCCCGCCTTCCAAGCTGTAGGCTCCGACGAGGCCCGGCGGGGCGCCTTCGAGAAACACATCCGCCGCCTCAAGGAGAAGGAAGACGAGACGGAGAAGGAGCGCCGCCGCCGTGACCGCCCAGACGGCTATCGTGACAGAGGTGAGCGATCTCATCGCAGCAGTGCCCGTTCTGTGAGGAGCCGCAGCCCGGCAGAGCAGAATACGTATGAGGCTGAACGCCGCCACGCTGTCGCCGAGCGCGAACGTAACTACCGCAAGACCAGCGCGGCCGACGTCCTGCTCTCGGACCGCCGGTCCCCCGCCCGCCGGTCCCCCTCGGTGCGCGACGCGCGCGAACGAGACCGTGATCGGGATCGCGACCGCGACCATGACCGTGAACGCGACCGTGACCGTGACCGCGACAGAGAGCGCGACCGGCGCGACTACCGCGATCGCGACCATCGCGACCGCGACCGGGAGCGTGACCGAGACCGAGACCGCGAGAGGGGGGACCGCGAACGTGACCGTGACCGTGACCACCGCGACCACCGCGATCACCGGGACTACGACCGGCGCCCGCGCGCCGACGAGGCCAACCACTACGACCGCGAGCGCCGCACCCGCGAGGAGGACCGCGAGCGCCTCTACCGCCGCCGCGTCCTCGACCGCGACGTCGACGAGCTGCCCTACGGCGACGAGCGGCCCAGCTCCTCCTACTCGCGCACGCGGCCCCGCCCGTCCGAGGAGGACGACCACGACCGCCGCGACGGCGCCAGGCACGCCGCCAAGCGCGTTAAGCTCGAGGGCGCCGGCAGCGAGCGTGCCGTCAGCGGTGGTTCTGGTGCTGGTGCTGGTGGCGCCGCCGCCGCCGCCGACCGTCCCCCGAGTCGGAGCCAGCGGACCCCGCTGCATACCAAGGAGGCGAAGGAGCCGACGCCGAGTGTCCGGGCCGGGAGCGAGGAGGGCGAGATCGAGGAGGATTAGAGCACCATCTCTGACTGCACGATCATCGCGGCCTCTGCAGAGAAGAGAGAGTGGGTTGAGGCGAGAAGGAGGAAAACGAAAAATTTAGTATCCGGGATCCGGCGCGAGGGAGGGGACGCCGAGGAGGTTAGCGGCAAGAGAGGGGGTGGTGGCCCAGCGCCAAAGCTCAACAGTACGTTGCCCACATCAGCACTCTCTTCACCTAACCACGTCAGGTCGTCCCATCAGTCAGTCAGTACGAGTACATTGTAATTCACCCAAGTAAAAAGCGACGGTGCTCCCTTAGATAGGAAGTTGCCTGCCGCAGCTACCTATGTAGGAATGAAAGTTTGGAATTGAGTAGCTTGTATTGGATTCATAGAAGACGATGCCCCCTATCACATCCTCGACAGGACATTTTGTGAATGGGTGTTGGTGTATGCATGTACAACTCCGCAAGCCCGACATTACATCATTTCATCTCGAGACGACAATGTAAGCTATCGCAAGTGTATTGGCTTCTCAGCTCTTGCCTTTCATGGCTCGACTATCTCAGGCGCTACATTTCACCTTGACCCCGCGCAGATTATGCGCTCAGGTCTGGCGGCAGTCATCCGACTTGATCCGTTGCCCCTCAATCTACCGAGGAGTGCTGGCCCCCAGTCTCTCCTCTTTATAACCAACGAGGGGACAGCTCAGTCTTGTTTTGAAACTAGTTCTCAGTAGGACCAGGCAACAGGGGATCGGCTACCGCCGCCGATGTTAGATGTCCGGATCGTCGTCCTCGGACAGGCCGCCCTCTTCCGATGCACCGTCGAGATGGCCCCGGGCGCCGCCGGGCCGACTCTTACAGCTGTCGCCTTTTTGAACGCCTAAAACGCCGGAATCAGATGCATCGTCGCGGGGGGGGCGGCGGTCGTGGTTGTTATGGGTATCCTTGGGAATGCCCTTTTCAAGAGCTCTTTTCGGGGTCTTCCAGGAAGAACTGTAAAAACGGGTTAGTGGAAATCCAAAACGATGCAAGCCAGCCCAAAGGACTTACGTAGTTGCCGCTGAGCTTCTGCTCCTGGTCGAGTTGCGAGTTGGCCTTGTTGATACGGGGCCGGAAGTTGGTCGGGTCACGGCGGAAGGTGACGTCCAGGTTCTTCAAGAAGGTGTTGCAACCGGTGAGCAGCGACTCAGGCTTGTTGGCATGTGCGTTGATACCCGGCTGGCCATCAAAGACGATGACACGGTCGGCGAGATAGGTAGCCATGATGAAATCGTGCTCGACGATGAAGGCCGTCTTCTTGGCGTGCATGATAAATCGCTTGATGACACGGCTGGCGACGATACGCTGTTCGGAATCGAGATCTAGACACATGTGAGCATGATCGTGGAAATACGGGTACCGAAGACGGAGGTAACTAACACGCAGAGGGCTCATCGATGAGGTAGATGTCGGCCGGCATACCGAGGGCCAGGACAATGGCCACCTACCGGACGTTAGCAAGGAGCCAGATTATCATGAAAAAGGGGGGGGGGGGGGGGGGGACATACTCGCTGAAGTTCACCACCAGACAGATTCTTCACTTCTTGGTCGATAAAGTCATCAAGCTTGAGAGGCTTGACGACATCAGTCTGGAACTGAGGAGACAGGAATGCGGCCTTGATCTTCTTGAAGAACAACTGCCGAACAGTACCCTCGAACTTGGGGGTGATGGTCTGTGGCTTCATGCTAATCTTCATCTCGGGGACCTTCTGAGCTCCGTCGGGTTTGAGAGCACCAGCCAGAAGGCGGCAGAAAGTAGTCTTTGCGAAAATTAGTCGCCGGAAGCGTGAAAAAGCCTTTGCCCAGTAAACTCACCTTGCCAGTCCCGTTCTCGCCCATCATGACAATGATTTCCGAGTCGGAAAAGTCGCCGGATTCGACGCTCAGCTTGAAGTTGCCCATTGTCTTCTCCATAGCCGGGTAGCGGAAAGCCCGCGATTTCTCAATCATGAACTCCTCGGTGCCTTCTGCGATACGGAAGGTCAAGCTTTCCTCGCGGAAGCGCAAGTTCTCGGTTGGAATATGACCATCCAAGAAGATGTTGATGCCTTCGCGGACGGAGTAAGGAAGGGTAACAACACCGTAGACTGCGGGCTTGCCGTAAAGGACGCAGACGTAATCTGAGAGGTAATCCAACACGGACAAATCGTGCTCGACGACAATGACGTAGTCGTCAGGGCGCAGGAGGGACCGGATGATGCGGGCAGCGCTCAATCTCTGCTTGACATCAAGGTACGACGACGGCTCATCGAACATGTACCTGCCGCTTGTTAACCGAGTTCAGTGAATAAGCGGAAGAATGAACACTTACACGTCGGCTTTCTGCACGCAAACAGTACCGATGGCGAAACGCTGGAGCTCACCACCAGAAAGCAGTGTAACGTCACGGTCATAAATGTGGCGTAGCTCTGTCTTGTGTTAGCCGACAAAACCTAGCTTGCTCGGAAAAGGGGCAAATGTACCCAGGGTGTCGAGAACCTCATCGAGGTTGCCCAGCGAGAGACGGCTTTCAAGCAATGTCTTGACACTCTTGTCGGCGCCGCGGATAGCTCTGGGAATCTGGTCGACGTACTGCGGCTTAACGACAGCCTTGAGGTCATCCTCAAGCAGCTTGGTGAAGTAGTCTATTCGTTCGGTAAGCAATTGGCGGCCCTAACCCGGCGCAGTATAACTTACTCTGCAGCTCGGAGCCACGGAAATGCTTGATCACATCCTCCCAGTCAGGCGGGTTGTCGAATCTGCCCAAGTTGGGCTTGAGCTTGCCGCTGAGGATCTTGAGAGCGGTACTCTTGCCGATACCGTTGGTTCCCACGAGACCGAGGACGTTGCCGGGCCTCGGCATGGGCAGACGGTGAAGCTTGAAGCTGTTGGCGGAATAACGATGGGTAATCTGGCTCTCGAGGTTCGTGGGCAGGTTGATAATAGTGATAGCGCCGAACGGGCAGCGTTTCGGGCAGATACCGCAACCAATACACAGCTGTTCCGATATGAAGGCGATGCGCGATTCGGGGGTCACCTGGGGGCAAACGGTTAGGCCTCGGTGTCTTACGAACGGAAACTGTTCGTTTTGAACATACCTCAATCTACAAAGCATGTTAGCTACCGTATATCAGCCGGCAAAGAAGGGGGAAACAAACACAGAGCTTGCCTGACCGGACCACCGGACAGGACTTCTTGCACTCTTGACGACATTTCTAATTCCTGTCAGTACCACCACCCTGATACGGCCTTCCACCATGCTAGGCATACACACATACCTTCGGTTTGCACTATTCACCACCATCGTCAGCCTAGTTCAATATTCTGCTTCGTGGTACGGGCGATAGAGGGAGGGTTCGAAGTTCGAAGGTCTGTCGTACCTTGTCTGTGCTGACGATAGCGATACTATTCCAACACTGTCAGCGCATGTCCCGGCGCAAAGATGTGGCCTGTTCTTTTCTTCTTTTTTTTTTGTCCCAATTATTTCGGCGACAGGGACACATACCGAGTAAGTTTGTCGGCCATGATGCTGGTTCTCGTTCGTTATGCGGGGCACAGCTGCCTGCTCTTGAACCAAGGTTGGTTTTTGGCGTTGAGGATTTGGACGGTAGGTCGTGACAAGGAATAGCACGGTCCCCCTCAAGCAGTGCACGGTACTCGGTGCGTGAGATAATGCGGGTTGGAAACAGAGTGGACGTGAGACGTCGAAATCTGGCTGCCAAAAAGGAGGGGCACTTGCATCGGTGGGTCGAAATCTTGTCCCACGAAAAGAGCTGCACTGCTGTTGGGTCTCGGCTTGGGTGCTTGGTTGTGGGGTGAGGGGCAGGGCAAAAGTCGAGGACCCGCACAATGCCACAAAGGCGACCGGGTGCGGACGCAGCGCGTCTGCTGCCGCGCCCCACCTGGCGCTACGGGCCGGCCTTTGCGGCGATACGGTCGAGTTACAGAGCCAACCGGATACTTGTGTAACCAAAAACCGACAATTCCGCGCCAAGCTTTGCTTGAGTCTTGCCCTTGATGATCCGTCGCTTTGCTATAAGAGAGATGGTACCAGTACTCTTCAAGCAGGTAGAACTAGTTAGATAATATTCAGCGATATTCACGGTCAACATGTCGGACATGTATCCTCATTACCTCCCCTCTCTCAGCGAGCGCGATGCTATCGCCGACGCCTTGTACCGGACCACCATCGGCTGTGACCACAACGACACTGAGCTCTTCAACTCGGCGTGGGCCGGGGAAGACGTATCCTTTGAAATCCACAACGACAACAAGATAGTGATGTCTGGTCTCTCCGATATCCGCAAGAACCTCTTCGAGCTAGTTGGTCCCATGGATACCACACACAACACTACCACGGTTCGTGTGAACTTGAAGGACGGCGCCGACATTGCCACTCTCACTGCGGTTTCGACCGCGCAGCACTGTCCTCCTGGCATGGGCAGGGATCCGACTGGCCCCAAGTACACTACCGGCGGGGAGTACTCGGTCGACCTCATCAAGGATGATTCGGGTGTATGGAGGATCAAGAAGCTGGTGTTGCGTATTGTCTGGACGCAGGGAGATCCTTCAGTGATACAGCCCAAGTCGGAGGCTGCATCCAAATAAGTGGTGCATCATTGGTGGATTGGAACCCCCGGGTCCGTCAGCCCGAATGCGCCGCGGTTGATAGGTCAACAGCTTCAGGCCAACGCGACCAGGAGGTTCCCTCGAGGTTCACTCCGGGATTCAAAGCAACGCTCTAACCTCAAATGTGGACCAGAAGTAAATGTTTGATATTTACCTCCTAGAAAAGGAACCAAAAACTGTCAAAATATAAATGCCTCGGCTTTAAGATTTATTTAGGTTTGCTTTATACTCGAGTGTTGCGGCTGAGACAACGACCGGTTAACTACCTACCTATTTGCATGCGGTGAACTTGAATTGCTAAAAATGCTGAAAAAACTCCGAGCACGAAGTGTGAACAATGATTAGTTATTGTTAGAGCTGTGCTCTCGAAAGCTGGGTGATTTTTACTCTGCCGCAGAGTACTTATGGTTCCAGAAACTAAGTAAAGGATTGAGATAAGATGACGAACTGTTGATGTTAGGAGTCCAAGCGTGGTGTGTCAGCTCGTTGGTTAACAAACGGCAGAAGTGTGATACACTGGCAGCCATGATCACGCGGAATCATCAATGCAAGCTCTTTATGAACCTAATGCTCGTTTCTTTCTTCTCTACACGGCAAGGCTGGCTTTCCTTTACGCATCCCTACCTTCAGATATCTTAACTTTCAGGAAGCAACCTCGTGCCGGTTTTGTGGTGTGCAGCGCTGACCGGGCGGCGCGAGAGGTTCCTCCGCCACATTGGCCGCAAGAAAAGAGCCCATACCAACATAAGTACCGAACTAGGTAATCTGCAGTGTAGTATCTGAAATTTACGGGCATTTCTGACTCAAAGTGAAAAGGTCTCGAGTAATAGAAAACCCTCCTTTACTGTTCTCCAACACTTTTACTAACAAAGAGCCCGAACAGACAAAACTACAGATTAGTTAGCTGAGTGTTCAGGCACCTTTAGACAGGCAGCTTTGTGAGGTTGCCCAGCCTCAGAAACGCTTCTCGTTGCAGCTGAAAGGCTTGGCTCGACCAGCAAGCCAGCTGTCAGCCTCACCGAGAAAGCTGTTGGAGCCAATCCGCGCCTCTTAAGTGGGGTCTTTAACAGGCCTAGCACAGGCCACCCGCGCCTGGCTCCGATTCACCATTTTCCATTCTTTCTCCTCCGACCGACCACCACTGCGAATTTCCGCTACACCATCATCACTAAACCGCACTGGGGTCTCCAGCTCTCTCCAACCCCACCACAACCTCAATCACGGTAGACTTTGAACGAGTCGGACCTAGAGTCTGCTGCCTGGAGGTGTTGTTGATTACCTGTAAGTCTTGCACTCGATGTTCCTTGCACCCTCAACCACGTCGTGACCCGCCGCGTCTTGTCCATCGAAATCCGCCATCGATCCTGGCACACGCCCATCAAGAATACCCCCTTGCTGCCTCCTGGCGACGTCGGACACTCGAATTTCGATGGAAACCGATGCCCGCGATGTCCCCGATGCCATCCAGCTAGTCCGTTCCGCGCCCAAGGCCGCTAAAGGCCGCAATCGCTCTCCGCCATCACTCACAGCCTCGTCTTCATCACTTACACGCGCCGGATGCGACAAGCATCATTGAATCGTGTCCGTGGCTTGTGTTCTACTGTCGTTTGTCGATTATGGATCGCCGGAGCGGGCTCTACCCAGAGCCCCCGATTGAGGCCCCCCAACTGTGCGAGAATTCTTGCTGACATCGTCGTCTTGCAGCAGGCAGCTCAAGCTCCGAAGATCGTCATGTCAACATCACCAGAACCCGGTCCGGTGAACGGGCACGCCTCCCCTTCAGCGGACGAATATAGCACACACCTAGCCGACACCGCCCGAAGTGAAAGCGACTTGTCGGATACACAGCCCGCCGAGGTTGACGCCGAATCCCCGGATTCGGACGATGCTGCCGGCTCGGCGGACGAGGGCCAAGCATTCACTCCCGAGGAGCAAGACGAGCAGTCCGGCTCTAGCGATAATGATGGCCCCGGTGATGGAGATTTCGATACCGCGGGCAGCCCGGCATCGGTACAGAGCAACGATGTTTCTGATCAGGCCGAGTCTGATCAGGCCGAGTCGGCTTCGGCACGCGCCGCCGCCAAACGGAAAGCCGGCCAAACAATAGAAGACGATTACATGCGGGAGAATCCAGAGTTGTATGGCTTGAGGCGCAGTGTATGATGATGCCCTCCCACCGCCGTTGTCCTCGGCAGCTAACAACCCGCTAAAATAGTCACGTCCTTCACAACGTCGCAAAGTTGTGAGTGTTGCTCAAAGTAAGGCGGTCGCGAACCCCGTGCTAACGATGATAAATAGGTTGATTCGGAAGACGAAGAGGAAGGCTCCGATTCCGATGTCACTCCTGCACCACGAAAAGCGGCGAATAAACGCCGCCGTCTTGACCGCTCCCTGCCTGGTATGTCGGACCATCAATCCAAACATGCCCCGCCTCACCGACTATAGCTAACATTCTTGGCGTAACAGCTTCTAAGCGAGGCACGCCGGCCCGCCAGGCCTCTGCGGACGATTCAGACTCCGACACATACGGCGGCGCGAAAGCCCGCATGTTCCGGAAAAAGGCTCGGCGACAGCAAGAGTTGCAACCGTTTGCCGAGAAGCGGTGGTCTAACCGCCGTGCCGCTCAGGTCTCGGCCGGCGCTTACCAAGAAAGCGACGTGGATGACAACGAGGGAGAGGATGAGGCTACACCCGGCTATTGGGCCGTAGACGTGGAGGACAACTCGCCATACATCGAGAAGATTCTCCGCCATCGCCCCAAGGAAGGCATCGAGCTCACACCCGACGCTACTCGGCACGACTTCGAATTCTACATCAAATGGCAGGGCAAGTCTCATCTCCACAACACCTGGGAGAGCACCGAGACCGTCGCCGGATTCCGCGGCTTCCGCCGCCTCGAGAACTATTATAAAAAGATGGTAGAATACGAGCTCGATCTGAAGTTCGGAGGTGACGAGATTAGTCCCGAGCAGCGCGAGCAATGGTCGTTGGACAGAGAGCGCGAAGAAGAAGCCTTGGAAGACTTCACCAAGATCGAACGCATCGTCGCCGTCCGCGACGGAGAGGATGACCTCGAGTATCTCGTCAAGTGGAAAGGTCTTCAGTATGATGACTGCACATGGGAAGATGCCACCATGATTAGTAGCCATGCCCAAGACAAGATTGACCAGTTCTTGGATCGGTCGTCGCGCTCCTGGCAATCGGATCGGAAACAGGCGAACCTCGATACCCGCTCGAGGATGACCAAACTGGAGCAACAGCCATCTTATGTTACCAATGGCGAACTCCGCGAGTTCCAGCTGAAGGGGCTCAACTTCCTTGCGCTCAACTGGACACGCGGAAACAACGTCATCCTTGCCGACGAGATGGGGCTCGGCAAGACAGTCCAGACCGTCTCATTCCTCAGCTGGCTCCGCAATGATCGTGGTCAAGAGGGACCTTTCCTTGTTGTCGCACCTCTCAGTGTCATCCCAGCGTGGTGCGATACCTTCAACCACTGGGCTCCGGATATTAACTACGTTGTCTATCTCGGACCCGAGGCCGCCCGCGCCAACATCCGACAGCACGAGCTCTTTGTGGATGGTAACCCCAAGAAGACCAAGTTTAATGTTCTGGTTACCTCGTACGACTATATTCTTGCCGATGCCGAGAACCTGAAGGGTATCAAGTGGCAGGTTCTCGCCGTCGATGAAGCCCATCGCCTGAAGAATCGCGAGTCGCAGTTGTACCACAAGCTCAACGGCTTCGGCGTCCCTTGTAGGGTCCTCATCACCGGCACCCCAATTCAGAACAACCTTGCGGAGTTGTCCGCCCTCCTGGATTTTCTCAACCCCGGAAAGGTTTTGATTGACGAGGAGCTGGAGTTGCTCTCGACTGCCGATAACAAGGAGGTCGCCGACGAACAACAGAGCGAGGCCAAGCGCAAGAAGACCCAGGAGAAGCTCCGGGAGCTGCATACGTCCATTGCACCTTTCATCTTGCGCCGGACCAAGGAGACAGTCGAGTCGGACCTACCGCCCAAAACCGAAAAGATCATTCGTGTCGAACTCTCCGACGTCCAGTTAGAGTACTACAAGAACATCCTCACTCGGAACTATTCTGCCCTCCGTGATGCGAGCAACGGTCACAAACAATCCTTGCTCAATATCATGATGGAGCTGAAGAAGGTCAGCAACCACCCGTACATGTTCCAGGGCGCCGAAGAGCGGGTGCTTGCTGGGAGCTCTCGTCGGGAAGACCAGATCAAGGGCCTCATCACGAGCAGCGGCAAGATGATGCTCCTGGACCAGCTTCTTGCCAAGCTAAGGAAGGACGGCCACCGCGTCCTGATCTTCAGCCAGATGGTTAAGATGCTCGACATCTTGGGCGACTATCTTCGAGTACGCGGTTATCAGTTCCAACGACTGGACGGCACGATCCCCGCCGGGCCTCGCCGCATGGCCATTAACCATTTCAACGCCGACGAGAGTGAAGACTTTTGCTTCTTACTGTCGACGAGGGCTGGTGGCCTGGGTATCAACCTGATGACCGCTGACACCGTCATCATCTACGATTCTGACTGGAACCCCCAGGCCGATTTGCAGGCAATGGCACGAGCGCATCGGATCGGGCAGAAAAGGCCTGTCAACGTCTATCGGCTGGTTGCTAAGCAAACCATCGAGGAAGAAGTTGTTAATCGTGCGCGCAACAAGCTTTTCCTCGAGTACCTCACGATCCAAGCCGGCGTCACGGACGAGGGCAAGGCCTTCCGTGAGCAGTTCAAGGAGAAGGGTGTGAATATCGACGAGGCAAAGACGGCCGAGGATATCTCCATGATTCTCAAGATGCGTTCTCAGAACCTATTCGAGCAATCCGGCAACCAGGAGAAGCTCGAGCAGCTCGACATCGATGCGATACTCGAAAATGCTGAGGTCACAAAGACGGATGTTGACGATAAAATCAATCTCAGCAGTGGCGGTATCGACTGGGACAACTGGATGCAAGTTACTGATGTCAAAGTTGACGACTTGGCTCTTGACTGGGACCAGATCATCCCTGCCGAAGAGCTTGCTGCCATCAAGGCAGGAGAGGAGAAAAAGAAGCATGACGAGTACCTCGCCAAGGCCATGGAAGAGAACGCCCCTCGCAAGGCTGCGCTCAAAGGCTCTAAGAAGAGTATCGAAACAGACCGGGCTGAGCGTCTCGCGAAGAAAAGACAACGCGAGAAGCAGGAGCTGGATGAGCTCGAGGAGCAACGGGCGTTGCTCTCGGACCCACGCCGTCCCCTCAATGAGAAAGAGACGCGCAATCTCATCCGCGCCTTCTTCCGTTACGGCTTCTTTGACGACCGCGAGGAGGAAATCGTTCACGATGCTCGTCTGAGCGATCGGGACCACGACTTCCTCAAGTCGATTATTGAGGATCTTTCCGCTCTGAGCAAACAAGCTGTGGATTCTAATGCCGAGAAACTGCGCGAGGAGGAGGAGAAGGCAGGAAAACCTCTGGCAAAAAAGGACAAGAAAGCCGTTTTGGTCGATTTCGGGGAGGTTCGCAAAGTCAACGCCGAAACCGTCGTCGAACGGCCACCTCAGCTCAAACTCTTGCGCCGCGTGCTTGAAGAACACGGCGACGCCATGACGTTCAGACTTCCAGATGCCAGCAAGTCGGCCCAGTACTCATGCGAATGGGGGGCGCGCGAAGACGGCATGCTCCTTTTGGGTATCGACAAGTATGGCTTTGGCGCCTGGACCCAGATCAGAGATGATCCTGAGCTCCAGATGCACGAAAAGTTCTTCCTGGAAGAGCACCGAGTGGACAAGAAAGAGGAACGCCGCAAGACCGACGATAGGGGCATTCAATCTCCAGGTGCTGTTCATCTTGTCCGGCGATCGGAGTATCTCCTGTCTGTCCTCATGGCCAAATACTCGAACGATGCGAACGCAAAGAAAGCGGTCGAAAATCATCACCGCAGCAAGAAGCTTTTGACGAACGGGGTTCGTCGCGGCGAGGGCAGCTCTGTCTCTGCCTCCCCGGCTCCGCCCATGTCCAAGAAGCCGAGCCAACACCGTGATCGCGATCACAACCGGTCTTACAGTAACGCCAACGACCGCGGCACGCCACGGCCGGACAAGCGGAAGTACAACGATGACTACGATGACCGCAACTCTAAGCATCGGAGGGTCGAAGCCGACAACAGGCACGAGAAGAAGACCAAGGAGAAGGAGAAGCCGAAGATGGACCCGGAGACGATGGAGAGATACAAGCGCGAGAGACAAAAGGCGGTTGAGCGATTCCAGGAGCTTGCAAGGCTGCGCGATGACGAGATTGACAACTCGGATAACACGCAACTTGTCTGGTCCGTCCTCCGACCTCTCAAGCCAAACATGGAGCGCATCATGTACTCTAAGGAGCGGTTCCCGGCTGCGAAGGAACGGGCCAAGATCCTGGGGGAGGAGATCCGTGCGTTTGGAAGTTTCCTGAAGGGCCTGCGGGCAGATGGGACCGACCTTGACAGTCTGGAACCCCAGTTCTGGTAAGTAACGCCGCGCCTGGCCGGCTATCGAATCCTTGTCAACAAAATGCTAACATGTTTACAGGGAGTTCTTGTCCTCGATTTGGCCCATCGGCGACGTGAAGGTCTCCGGCAAGCGGCTCCAGAAGATGTTTGGCGATCTCCTAGAAAAGGACAAGACGAAGCGGGAGGAAGACCGGGTCAACGAGGTCAGGCGCGCGAGGAACCCGGACCTAGAGGATGGCGAGATCGCGAGTGACCGCGAGGACCGCCGTGCTCGAGACCCCTACCGCGACGACCGGCGCGAGGAGCGGCGCGAGGAAAGGCGCGATGACAGGCGGGACGACCGCCGGGAGGAGCCCAAGCGCCGCAACTACTATGAGGACGGCGACCGTCTCAACTTCCAACGACACCGCCGCTCGGAAAATAGGAACGTCCCTGTCCGGAACTCGTTGTGGCAGAGCCGGAGCCCGCCAGCCCGACATAGCCCTTACTAGGGGCTGCTGAGCTTTGAAGGCGTTTGATTTCCTTTGCCGGAGCGCGACGGCATTTATCATTTTCCCAATTCGCGTTGGCCTCCCTTTTCCCCTTTATATTATACACACACATCATGCATGGGCTTGGCGCAACGGAGCTGAAAGAAAGAGGGCGACAGGGCGGTGACTTACTTGTCTTTTTTTTCTTGTTGATTTGATGTCCCTTAACTTTTGCGAATAAAGTACATACCCGGGAGTTTGCATCAGTCATGGCGGGCGATGGGGAGATGGGAGAGCCATGGCATTCCTCCCATTTGGGACTCTGGGTTTGGGGCTTGAGCAGCGGTGATGTTTATTGAATTCCTTTGCGTGCGGGATGTGATGGGCGGCGGCGCGGCACGGAGAAAAGAAAAAGGGAACCATGTGCATTATATTAGCGTTGCTTGGGATCTGTCTATACTATCACTTCCTGTTTAGCGTACGACTGGGGGGTGTTTATTAGAACAAAATGACCGTCGTCGGTGCTTCTTCTGTCTGCTTTTGCCTCGGGGTTGCTTTGGTCAGTGGCGGTGGTCAGGTGTTTTCTCCCTTCCTGTCAGAGAAGCCATTCAGTCATGTTCTAGTCGAGCATGCTACTTAGTTATATACTACAACGATGGAAATAGGCAACACATGGCTATCGTGTAGAGCAGTGTCTGCTGGATCCTGTCAAGAATAATAATACATGCGATTATACGAAGTATGTCTGGATCGTTTTATCTAGTTAGCTGTCTTAGAGTCACCAGAGACAGAAGGGGACATTTTCAAAAGCAAGTTTATCCAGCCCTAACTAAAGGGTTGTTCGAATCTATATTCTCGAGCATAGGAGCCTCGACGGAGGGTTATCCGCTCCGCCCAGTTGCAATTACCCCGGCTTCTAAACCGGGTCTGGTATCGCCGACGAGGCATACCATATGTTTTAAAACCAGAACCACCCACTTCTCCTCTAGGGTGATGGTGTGCTCTAAAACCCGCCCGACTATTCGGCAACATCCCGGCCGATCAAATGGAATCGAACCACCACAAACGGCTTCTTTCAGCCGACTTGCTATGCTCCTTTCCGAGCCGAGGAGCCCAGCCGAGCAAAGAACCCTCCTCCCATGGGACCCATCACCAGTAAAGCCATCGTAATTATGCCCTCCAATTCACCAGTGACTCCATCCAGTTGCTGTACCACAGCAAACAAAGCAACACCACCGCCCCCCCCCCCCCCCCCCCCCCCCCCCCTTCCCCAAAAACCCATTTCCCTCACCAAAACACCCCACCCCGCTCACACGGCACAGCACCCCGTAGCCAGCTAATCGATGAGATGGCTCATGCTCCTCGGCTTCGAGGTAGGCGAGATGGTGCCCAGGGACGCGGGGTTGGTCTCGTCGGCGGGCGTGGTCGGGGGGCTGCTCGACATGTTCTCCTCCCCGCTCCCGGGCTTCTCCGCTCCGGCCCGGCGAACCGCACCGCCCTTATCGGTGTTCGGGGGACCGGTGAGAACGGTGAGCGGGGCGGATTTGATGACCTTGTTCTTGGGACGCAACGAAGGGAGGCTGAGGAAGTCGGCTGGCAGGTCGATGGGGGAGGACAGATCTGACGAGTCCGGGTCTGAGGTAGGTCGTTTTTGAGGGGTTTTGACGTCTTTGAGCGGTACTGCCGCGGCGACCTTGGTGGCACGGAAGGTTTGGTCGAGCCTGTTTTTCGGTCTTGTCGCTTCCTTCTTGGGTTGACGGGGCTTCCGCTTGGGGGCAGCAGATTTTGGTTGAGTGCTCGTCGAAACGCCCCCTTTGCCGAACGGGAGGGTGCCCTGCTTCGATTTCCCCTTGGTCACCGGCTTGACAGTGGGGAGAGGGCTGCGAACGCGTGGGCTCGCGCTCGGGGTGGGCATGCCGCCGTGCTCGAGGAGTTTGGATTTTCGGTCTGCAGGTGTCTGCGCCTCTTGTGAGGAGACAATGCCATCATCATCCGCTCTTCTCAGCCTCTTGCGCTCGAGAAGAACGTCGATCCTATCGCGATTCAGGCCGTCGGTGCACCGCTTCTCCTTCGCCTCGTCACCGGTGACCATGTAGCTCTCGCGGTCTCCAATATCCTGCTGATCCCAGCGTGGCAGATTGACGAGCTCTGCGATATCGTCGCACTTCCCGCGTACGACGAGATCCCAGCAGTCCTTGAAATCGACGCCTTGCGGCTCTGGGTCGAGATTGACCCAGGCTGTGATTCCATCCCTTCTACTCCTTGTCAACTGACACATCTCCTTGACGAGCCTCCGTACCCCAGGAATCTTCAAACTCGTGCCGACCACAATAACGGCGTCGGGAACCCTCCGCAGGTCGGCCTTGGACACATTTCCGATGGCTTCCTCATCCGGATTGTACTCGTTGTATAGCACGATCCTCGGGCGCAACTTTCCGATTCCATGGCTCCGCTTCCCAGCAAACGCAGTCCGCACCTCGTCCTGCTCCTTGCACTTCTCGCACAGTGGAGGCTCGGGGCCCTCGAACAAGGATGCATTGAACCGTTCCAGGTGGGCACATTTTGTGCACACCATGTTCTCTAGTCCACCGTGGAGCTGGATGGTTGTCGGCCAGGGCGCCTTGGTGTTGAGAGGAACTGTGGTCGCCAAGGGCGGCATTTGGGTGTCGAGGGTATCGATGTTCTGGCTATACATACGCATAAGTCTGCCCTCGGAGGCGATGGACGCTAGCATGTGGTGAAATGGTGTTGGCTTCGCGTCGGACGTCATTTGAGCCAGCTCGCGAACCATGGTGTGGAACGACTCGGTTGACGAATCGTGTTTATACACTGACGCATCGAAGAGATGTTTTCCGGACGCCTTGAGTTTGTGCTGCCCGCGGAGAGTCGCAAACAAGCCTGTCGAGGAGCGAAAATCGGGAACTGCAATTGGTGTTAGCGTACACGCCGGTGGGTCATTCTGGGGGGACGAGGAGGGTAATGGAGAGGAAACGTACTCCCTGCGGATACGGAAATGCCGGCACCTGCAATGACGACAATCTTCTTCTTCTTTTGTAGAGCCACCATGAGCCTCCGAAGATTCCCATCGTCCTCCTCGCCGCAATTCTCCAGATCGATGTAGGCCGTGGTGCGTGGCTTCACAGGGGCGGCAATCCGGCGTCGTTTACTCGGCGGCGGGCCATCTGTCCGCACCTGAATTTCCATGTCGGGGGCCTTTATAGGTGACGTGCTTCCAGATGTGGCAGTGGAAGAGGGTGAAGGGTACCGTTTAGAAGTATCGATCGGGCTGGGTGGAGAGGGCGAGTTCGAAAGAACAGAGAGCGGCGAAGAGAGAGGGGAGGAAGGAGGTCGCTGCTGCTGTGGAGATTCCATGACTGCAATTTTGGTCCTTTCGTAGGCGCAGGCGCCGTCGAGAACCCTTCAATTGCGCGACTAGTTGGAAAGCCGGCCGTGCGGGGTGGAAACGAGGCCTGACGGAAAGAAAAGAATGGAGAGTGCGGTGTTATATCATGGCTGTTGCGAACGCGCGTGTTTTTGACTGCAATGCTGCGTAGCCTTTCTCGTTCGTTTGCTCAGTTCTCTTGTGATCGCGTAGGAACAATACCAGTCTATTGGTGGTTCCGTCGTATTGTTGGTTCGTTTTGAAGGGTTGGCGTGTGAATGGGGTGAAGAAGGCGAGAAGGCGGTGGTTGAAGGAAGTTGTGTTGCGCAATCGTTAAGGTTACAGATTATCCTCACGGCTGGGCATTGTTGCGGGTTGGCCTTCCATCTTTGTCCGGGATTGTTGGCAAACCAAACCAAAGGGGCACGGGAGGATTCTGGAATGCATGCCAGCGATTGGCAGCAGAGCCCGTCCCCACCAGTCCACGACCCCTAAACTAACGCGACACAGCTGGCAATCATATGGATGGCCTTCATTCATCCGCCACTAGTTATCACTGTACCTTAGGCTTTGAAGCGCACTTGTGTGTAGACACGCACATCCGTTTGCCATATATACATTTTCCATCAGGCGCCCATTTGATTTTTATAAGGTACATATTACATATTATCTAGGTAGGTAGAACCACCGAGGCGAACCTGAAGCTGCTGGTTCGGTACATACCGAGCTACCACTTCCAAGTTACAACCCGAGACGGAAATGGGCAAAGATGATGGAGCCTACTAGCAATGCCTTTTATCTTATTTCTCTCTCCTTCTAGGGGATGTTTGACACTTTGTCAATTGAGGGTGTGACACCCCTTCTTGACCATGGCGACTCCATAAACCTAAATAAAGGATGTCCTGCCGCAGCGACGAACGCCGCTTCAGAACCGAAACAATATGACGTGCCCTCGAGGGGCGCCAGGGGCCCAGCCCGACATGGAGGAAGGGATGGGGCTCGACCCACTGCAACGCGTTGCCCGGGAACGGATCTTGGCGTGGGGCCGTGTGCGATTCTTTACCAAGCCGGGCACCTAGCCACATGTGTCTGAGCTTTGGTTGTGGCTTGTGCCTGGGCGAGGGAGCACGTTCCCAATCAGGCGGTTTCGCGAGGACCCTTCCAGACGGCTGCACTCCCATTCAGAGCGCCCGGTAATAAGCAGCCCTCATGATTGCATGCGCCCGGCTTCCATTGAAGTTGTGACTTCACATTCTCATCTACCACGGGCTACCTATAAAGTGCAAAATTTGATAACTCGCTCATCATTCAACGTTGCCAGATAGATATATCATGAGCGACTCTCACTTCCCATTTAAATTGGGGGCACAGAGAACATTCCTTCTTTGCAACAACGACGCTGCATGACGGTGACGCCGGAACAGCAGACACCAAAAACACCATCGAAAACACCATCAACACATATCATCAACACACATCATCATCTCATATTATCCGGTTTTTTATTATTCTATTTCGGGGCCAATATTCCATCCCATTTACTAATATATTATTGGACATCTTGCACGACCAGCCATATTAATAAATACACCAATCTCATACCCGTATGAGCAACCACGATATGGCCCTCCTCTTAGAGGGCGACTCCATGACCGTTGATGGAGCCATGCAGGGGCTAGAGGGAATGGAAGGCATGCAGGGGATTCAGGGCATGGAGGGAATGGAGGGCATGGAGGGAATGGAGGGAATGGAGGGGATGGAGGGCATGGGGAGTATGGGTAGTGCCATGGCGCTGGACGAGGTTGACTTGTTTGGGGATCCCGTCATGGATGATGCCCTCGCCGGCCTACCATCTCGCCCCTTACCGAGCAAGAACCTGCTGCAGCGTATTGACGAGCTGCGTACCCGTGGCTGTTGTCAAGGAATTGCCTGGTCACGGCAGGGCACTATTGCTACCATCGCCAAGGACGCCATGTCCATCGACCTTCGCTTCATCCGCAGCCATCCCAAGACCACCGAATGGGGCCTCAGCGAGCCAAGTTCATGGTCGCCCCCCTCGCCCGTCGCTTCGCCTCCCGTTCCAAACCCTCCTACCCCCACCTCGTTGGCCTCGTCCAGCGCTCCCTTCGTCCACCTTGCCTGGAGTCCCACCATGAGTCCCGACCTCGCCGTCGTCGACGCCCTCGGCCGTCTCACCATCCTGAGCTTCTCCATCGCCAACAACCAGCCTTACCCGGCCCGCCGTTGGGAAACCGATGCTGCTGATGACCTCCACGCCATTGTTGGCTGCTACTGGCTGCCCCAGGGGATGGCTCCTGGCAAACAAGTAGGTCGATTTCAGCCTGCTCTCTATCAATAATACCCTTCTGACCCCCTCTTGAATAGTTTCACCTCATCCATGGTCCGGCTACGAAAAGCCAGTCAGAGTACAGATATGAACATCAGTTCTTCCCGGCTTCTAGGCCCTGGCACCCGAACTCGTCCAAGAGTGCCTTCCTATGCGTCACAACGAATGGCGCCCTCAAACTCTTCTTCACACAAAATAACGGCCGGCCAGAAGAAACGGCGCTTGAACTCGAGAGCGTGACCTCTTCTGACGATCTAATTACACATGCCTCCTTGTGTTCTGACCAGAGTAATGCCGCCGCCTTTCCCGACCCCTTCCCCGTCTGCCTATCGTGCCGTTGGCTAATACTTACCCCTAGATAGTCTGTTGGTCGCCCTCGCAACCTCTTCAAAACAGCTGAGGATCGTGAGGGTTGGCATCCAGTGGGGCCTGCCTCAAGTCGACAAACAGGTGCCGCCTCAGAGCCTGCCCCTGAGGCCGTCTCTTCGAGAAAGTCATGTGGCCGTAACCAGCTGGGTTCAGCATGGGTCAAGTGAATCCGCCCCAGACGCCTCCGTACCTCAGCTCTCGCATATCGAAATTCTCCCTTCTGCCCACACAGCTCAGTCGCAGCCCATGCACCCCCCGGTCGTCTTGACAGTGCGATCATACGTCCCACAGGATGCCTCTCCCTATCAGCAAGAGAGTCAGAGCATCATCGACCGCTGGGAGGTCGTTAGCGACCAACCCCAGGCCCTTCATCCTGCGTTTGAGCAGTTAGGGTCGAGAAACGGCACAACATCAGCGCCTCCCGTACGTATCGCGCAATTCGAGATCGCAAACCCGACTAACTAACTTGTGTCCTAGGCCTTGACGCGCTTGCGGAAACTCGAGCCAATAATATTGCCCAAAGTAGTCGTGACCGTCACCACAACACAGTTTGGCAGAGTACTCTGTTTCGCCTTCAGTGACGGCACCGTCCAGTACAGGAATCGCTTCACGATGGATGAGATCTACAACGAGCCCAACACCGACAGCATCATGCACCCCCTCCAGGTCGGATTTCACTTCGCCAATGACACCCCATGTGAGCATCCCCATATCAGGCTACCTACCACACTCTCTCCCTTACTGATGCCCCATCAGGTCTACAGGTGGCCTTCTCGCCCACCAACTGCTCCTTCGTTCAGATCGGCGAGGACTCGGCTATCAAATGGAATAGACTACATCATCCGATGGAGGACTCGGACATGGAATCCAAGAACGGTAAGTGATTGTCTGGTGGTTCTGCATCACCATCTCAATGAAGACTAAGTCTTGCTTGCTTTAGTCGACCAAAAGACGGTCCGAGTCGCCTTAACCGTCGCCTTATCAGCTACTGCCGTAAACCAGGCTGCATGTGATGATGTTTTAGCAATAGCCCGGCCGTTTGCACAATTCCCAGACTTCGCATCCGCATGGGTCAAAGAGACGGTCAACATGTTGAAAATCGCCGTCGACTACTCGGAAACCGCCCATCACGAACAGCTTGTCAAGAACACTCACCTACAACATTGCCTCGGCGTAATTAATCATCTCGGCTTTCACGGCGACTTCAAGCCGCGTTCGCATGGTGGTAAATTTGCCATGCTTGCGCTGAGCGTGAAGAATGCCTTCCACATCATCACGGTCGCCAACAACTCGCCAATGGGCATGAAGGAGAAGCTAGTCCCCCTCGATGACCCGGATGTGGTGGACGCGGTAACAGGATGCACGGCATGGGGCATCTCGCTGCTCTCCTGGCTCTCGGACTCCCTCTTCCAGCTCCTCGACGACCCAGAGATCACAGCCATGCTGAGCGGCCCGAAACGCTTTCCCGAATTAGCCAAATACCTCGAGTCCAAGAACGACGTTGCCGTGCAGCTGGTCCTATGCTCCTCCACGCGGGGCTTCTTGTTAGCTCTTTGCCGCCGCCTGCAGCACATCGAGACGGTAAGCAACCGCGCCGCCCAGTACTACGAAACCCGCTTCCAGCAGCAGGACCCGGCCGGCGGCGGCGGCGCCCCAGCTCGCCCCCACCCAGCACTCTCCCAAGCATACCAGCGGATGGAGCGCACCGTCTCGTCGGCCCTCGTCAAAGTATCGGAATTCGAGCGCCTCCTGAGCGATCTCGGCAGCGACATCCAGACCGCCTACCACAAGTCCTTCTCGGGCCTCATCGCCGCCAAGGTGAAGCCCCAGCCCGCCAACATGACGGAACAGCAGCAGCAACAACACAACGAGCAGTTCATCAAGAAGGCCCAGACCCACTGCTGCTCGGCCAAAACCCGCCGCCCAGCTTCCGCGAGGTCCTGCTCAAGCTCTTCACCGCCACCCTCCCGGCCTTCCGCGCCCAGACCGACCCGGCCAAGCTCTACTTTGCCGACTACGCCCTGCTCGAGCTCGACGACCGCCCCACCTCCCTAGCCGTGCGCAAAGCCCAGCACAAGTACGTCGACGTCTTCAAGCGCACCGAGCTGATCGCCAAGCCACGCGCCGCGGCGGGGGCGGCGGCAGGGGCGACGGCAGGGGCGAAGGGTACGGCGGCGGCGGCGGCGGCGGACGGTCGCGAGATGGCCAAGCGCATGGCGGGCGCCGGCAACGGCAACGGCAACGGGGATGAAGCGAGAGGGGTTGTGCCACCTGGTGGTGGCGGGCCTAACGGGGACAACGGGATGGCGAGCTACCGGACCGCCATCTTTGGCACGTGGACCGGCATCGGGAACAGCAACGGCCCGCAGTGGCGCCGCTGCGTGCGCTGCGCGGCGGTGGTGGGGGACCTGTTCACGGGCAAGCCCGGCTATCACTTTGTGCTGTCGCAGCAGAGGAAGTGCGTCTGTGGCGGGAGCTGGGGGACGGTGCCGCGGGGTACTTGAGGAGGTCAAAGAGAAAAGGGGGGTGCGTCAGGTTTTTGAGTGGAAGGTATGCATGGTTGCATTTCCGAGGATCTAAAGAGGTGGGAGTCGAATTGGAAAAGGGGCTGGAAATGTGGAGGCGCATGAAGCAGGGAGGGTTTGAAGCAGGCTACTATCACCATGAGCAAGAGCGAGTGGGTTAAGTAGAAGATATCATTCAGCATCAATTGCAGCATGGAGCACTATTTCACTGTTTTCATACCCCAATATACACACATCCTACCTTTACTAACCACTCACTCCCTTTCACCTTCCCACAAATACTCCTGCTCGATGCCCGGAATCAACGGCCTCAAAGCCATACCGTAATCCCCCCCATTCGGCATCCGCAGCAGCGTGTGAATATGGAACTTGGCCGGCTCCTTGTTCGTCAAGAACACGCCCGAGTGGTGATCAAACTCGACAATAACCACGGGGCTCTGAATGCGATAATAAAACGCGTCATCCTCCCCATACCCCCCAATCCAACAGAAATACGTCTCCCCAAACCACCGCTCCACCTCCCCCATCCGAATCTCCCGCGCCCTCTCGGGCAAATACAGCAAATACTCCCTCAAAATCCCCCTCACCAACTCCTTCTCCCCCTCCTCCATCTCCCCGACCACCACCCCCTCATACGGCACCACCCGATTATCGCGATACGCACCGCACAAATGCCTCTGATCATCATGATTCCACCTCCCCCTCGGCATCGCCCCGTCCCTCAGCCCAGCATACACCCGCGCCCTCCGCGCCACCCCCCCCCCCCACCCCCATCATCATCACCATCCCTCGCCACAAGCGCCTGCATCAGCCTCAACCCCAACCGCTCCTCCTCCTGCAGGATCCGCGTCCCCGCATGCGCCGCGGCGGGGTCATCCACCACGTTGGGCTCCGCCCCGGTAAACCACGGCGCGATCACGACCTGGGTCTGGTGCAGGAACACGTTCAGACACAGGTGGTGGCCGTAGAACGAGAACCCCCAGGGCTGCGTGGCCGAGGGCGTGCCGAAGAGCGCCAGGTTGTAGGAGTGCTCGTTGAGCACGCGCGGGGCGCGCACGAGCGTGCCCAGGAAGCCGTTGATGCGCATGGCGGCGAGCGCTTTGGCGTACCCTTCGGGGGAGAGGGTGGCGCTGAGGAGGGCGAGGGCGGCGGTGCGGGTGGGGGCGGGGAGGGTGTCGAGGCGGAGGCCTTTGGGGGAGAGCAGGAATTCGGGGTTGGACCAGGTGCGCCATTCGGGCGAGTCGATGTGGTGGGTTAGGAGGGCGTGTTGGGATGGGGTGAGGTGGGAGAGGAGGGTGTTGGCGGCTGAGACGATGGCGGTTATGGGCATGCCCTCGTCTTGGAGGCGGAAGAGGTCCGGGCGGACGCGGCCTGCGGGGGGTTGGGGTGAGTGAGTGGTGGCTTGAATGTGAATGGGTATCTTCTCACCATCGTTGGTGATCCCCTTGAAGGGCTCCTGATACAGCTTCTGCCAGTGCAGATACAAGCCGTGGAGCCACGGTGGCACGCCGCCCTCTTTGAATGCCTTTGCGTACTCATGAGCATCTTGCGTCTGCATGGTAGTGAATCGGGGGGTGGTGAGGTCCGGGAGGTACTGGCGGTAAGCAGCATCGCCGCTGTGTTGCTCTTCTGAGGCCATCTTGATTTGGAATATAGCCCACTGTTGAGATGACTTGGTAATGTGAGGTTGAGAGACAATGGGTACACAGCAACAAAAGGGTTATATTGGGATCATTGTTACATGCTTAAGATGACATTCAACATCTCTCCACCGAGTCCACTCAGAACGTGATCGGTTCCTGGCAACGGCCCATCCGGAGGTTGAATTACAGCCCTGCCGCCGGGCTATGGAGGCAAAACTATGACCCGGGTCGGGCAATCCCTCGCCCTTGGTACGGACGTTACAGTGTAGAGAGCGGGGGTGGGGGGTGCTTTTGTGGTGGAGTTGCCCCTCCCCCGCTTTCCGACATCCCTTATCCGATACATGTAATGCCCCCCTACCGTCCCCTGAGCAACTGAATGGATCGTTGAAACAAAAGAAAAAGGTGAAACGGGCCACATGCTCAGCATTTATGGATTCAAAGGTAGTATCATCCTCGCTAAAAGGGGAGTGAAGGTGGGAAGGGGATAGAGAGCGAATACCTAGCGAGAGGAAAGTGGACTGGAAGGAAGGAGCCTGGGGGAAGCTTCGGCGAGGAGTAAATATCGAAGTTTATTGTGACCCGAATCAGTGTGGGGGTCCGAAACCCTTCCACATTTTCAACAACCCGGAAGGGCCATCACTCCAACAAGCAACATGGACCCCAAGAACAACCCCCCGGCCGGCGGCCGCTTCGGCAGCGTACACATCATCGAACCCAGCTTGGAGCACACCCACACTGCCATCATGCTCCACGGCCGGGGAAGCGACGGCCCGGAATTCGCTGAAGAACTTGCCGAGACAATGGCGCCTGGTCAGAAGCCCCTCATGGACAGGTTCCCAAGCTGGCGATGGGTGTTTCCGTCGTCTCAAGAGCTGTGGAGCACTGCATTCGAGGAGATGTTGCCGGCCTGGTTCGAGGCCCATTCGCTCACGGACACGTCGGCGAGGGCGGACCTTCAAATGGGAGGCATCAGGCAGTCGGTAGCTTACATTCAGTCGATCCTAGACCAGGAAGCCGCAAGGCTCGGCGGGGAAACTGAGAAGGTGGTTATCATGGGCATCAGCCAAGGGGGCGCCATCGGCATGTGGACGATGCTGTGTCAAGGATACCTCGGCAAGCTGCCGGGGGCATTCGTCGGAGCTAGCACTTGGCTACCCTTTGCAGCCAACATCCAGATGCTTTTGTGTGAGGATGATGGCAATGGAGCAGATAAAGGGTCCTCGAACATTGACCCGTCGGATGCCTTTGTCGCGGACATGTTGTCGACGTGGAATCATTCCGCCTTGTCTCCCGGTGCCGATAGATCACTCACTCCCATGCCCATCTTTCTCGGCCACGGTGTCGACGATGCGGTTGTCGACGTTGAGCTCGGAAGACAGGCCCGAGAGGTACTTATCAACGTGGGATTCCAAACGGAGTGGAAAGAATATTCGGGCGCAGAGCTGGAGGGCCATTGGCTCAAGCCACCAGAGCAGATTGACGACATTGCCTCCTTTTTGATGAAGGCTACGACAACCTACCTAATTCGGCATTAAGAAACTGAAATAGCCTCAAGATTTAGAGGTTCGCAGGCAACAACTCCGCGGGAACTACATCGCCGTCTTGCAAAATTCGAGAGGGCCCTGGAACAAGGCAGGTATCTGCCCACTCACTCGGGTCCAGGTAAGGCACATCGTGCCTTCCTTACTTGGGAAGTCTCAACCACCCTTCGAGATTTAGGAGACCTACCTACCTACAAGGTACCTATTTAGGCACTAAGGCACGTAAGCATTTGCCTGGGAAAGGGAGTTCGATCAATCCAAAACTTCCTCCCCTCACCTCTGTGCTTGCCTCAAAAACCACTCCATACGTACCCCAAGTAGAGCTCTCCTTCCCAAACGCAAATGGATACATTTGAGGCGAGCAAACCCGATCGGTTGCACCAGTCGTTAAGTGGTGCGTGGGCCAGCTTCCTCGGCGCCCAACACTGCAGTCGCGAGGTTGACAGCCTCAAGAAGGCCCTGGATGGACATGTTCAGCAGACAAACCTCTCCATCACGTCCTTGCAACGAGACACTGCGACAAAACACGACCTCCTCGCCGCTTCCGTAACTGAGGTCAAGTCCAAGATTGAGCAACACGCCGTCGAGATCAGAAACATAGGCACTCTACGCACCGACTTCTCAACTTTCCAATACGAGGTTGGGCAGGGCAGGGAAAATGTGGCAAGGAAGATCACAGACCTGTTCGATAAAGCCGTGGCTCAGCAGGAGTCACTGGACGGGCTGCGATCTACCACATCTCATGACATCACAGCCATCCAGCAGCAGTACCGTTCGGCACTTGAGAAAGTTGAGTCTCTTGAACAGGAGTTGAGGCAGGCACGAGCAAAGACGTTGGCATCCGAACACAAACTCGCCGCGCTCGAAAACCAAATTACAGCAATAACGCAAACCCAGCAGCAACTCTCCGAGGACAATGTCAACCTTCCGGGCCAGATTCACTCCCATGGGGAGAACCTGATGAGGCTACTGGATAAGCAAGATCTCGAACCCATACAGAACTCAGCATCACCCTCGGGTCGAACAAATGACCCGCTCGCCCAGACACCCGCAGCCCCCTGTGCGAGCCTTCCGTATAAGCAAACCCCAACCCCAATCGTACACCGGGACCAACACGACACGAGTGAAGATGACCATCCGCCTGCACGCACTAAAAGAAGAAGGCTTGAAGATCCCCTTGAACAACAAACCAAACCCCCTCTTCCGACCCACGCTCCTAGACAAGACATCCGCTCCCTCTACCTTGTCTTCCGAGACAAATACAAGACCGACCCGCCAAAGTCCGATACTGTTTTCATATGGCAGTTTATTAGCAGTATCGAGGACCCGGCAATGTCCAAGCATATCCAAGAGTCACTAGCCACGGTCCTCCCCGAACATGTCACGCCAAGCAGAGATATGAGGCGCAAAAGTCCGCTGAAGCATGTCGACATATCCAAGGGCCTGACGTGGAGAAAGTTTCGGGAGGCATTAGTGAAGATTCCGGGGCCTTCTTAATGGTACTGAAGGCATGAAGGGACGGATTAAGGAGCAGAGATATGAGGCGCAAAAGTCCGCTGAAGCATGTCGACATATCCAAGGGCCTGACGTGGAGAAAGTTTCGGGAGGCATTAGTGAAGATTCCGGGGCCTTCTTAATGGTACTGAAGGCATGAAGGGACGGATTAAGGGCTTGGTGTGTGGACGAGGCTGCTTATTTGCTGGATCCCTCCACGGACGGACTGCCAGATCCTGGGTATGCTACCGAATTTGCTCAGACCATAGCAACTGTATTGTGTTTTCCAAAGACAATAACCTCTCCTCTGCGACGTCTCTACCTCTGACTACTGGCCTAAATTATTCCCATAGCTTTGTCGGCACTCTAGACTTATGGACACACAGATGGTCCCGCGGCCTTTATTTACTTTACCCCTTAATTTGTGAGCCAGTTCCAGGCCCCTCGTAGTCGAGATTACGGTGGGATACCGGGACGAATTCGTTTTAGTCCTCTTGCAGAGGCCAAGGACGGACATGAAATGGTGTTAGAGAAAACCTCGGCTTCAAGACTGTTGTCGCTACGCCGACACAGATTCATCGTCTGCGTGGGCTCGACCGCAAGACCAAGGCGTCAACCTTCTTGAACCTCTAGCATTCGGTTCCAGCACAATAACGCCACCATGGTAGTTGTAATTGATGGGAATTTCCTTCACACTTGACGCGATGTATGCGGATCCTGCTCCCAAATCTATTAGCACCCCACTACGAAACTCAACATACTACTCTGTTAACTTGAGTAGCTGTACAACAGCCTCATGCCCATTCTCCGCGGCCAGTGACAGTGCCGTACGGCCCTCATCATCCTCCTTATTGATATCAACTTTGCCCGTATCAAGTAGTAGCTGCACAATATCCTCCTGCCCTTTCTTTGCGGCCAGCGACAGCGGTGTCAAGCCGTCGCCAGCCTCCACGTTAACATCGACCTCGGCAGTGCCAAGTAGTAGCCGCACAATGGCCTCTTGTGAACTACCTATAGCTAACGACAGTGCTGTATCGCCGTCGTTATTCTTCACGTTGACTTCGACCTTGCCAGTGTCAAGAAGTCGCTGAATAATAGCCTCGCCTCCCTCAGGCTTGTATAACGCTCCCTTCAAAACAACCAACAATAGTGGTGTAAAGCCCTCGCTATTCCTCACATTGACATCGACTTGGCCAGTCTCAAGTAACAGCTGTATAATAGCCATATTCCAAAACGCCATAACTACTAAAAATGGTGTCCAACCCCTGTTATCCTTCACATCGATATCGACTTTTCCAGTAGCGAGTAACTGCTGTACAACAGCCTCGTTATTTCCGCGAACGGCTAGCCATAATGGTGTCTCGCCCATGCCGTTCTTCACATTGACGTCCACTTTTTCAGTGTCGAGTAATTGCCGTACAATCCCTACATCGCCGCCCCGAGCAGCGTACGATAGCGGTGTCCCGCCATCGTTGCTTTTCGCGTTGACATCGACTTTGCCAGTACCGAGGAGCAGCCGAACAACGGTCCCGTGTTTGTTAAAAACAGCCAACAACAGCGGCGTATAACCATCCCCGTTTTTTGCGTCGAGATATACCCCTGCTTGGTTTCCTGTTTGCAGGATGGCCGTCAATAACCCAACGAGCCCATGCCTCGACGCGACGTGTACCAAATTGGTCATTCCGGATGGTACGTAATGGTTTCTATGCCATGATATAACGTAAACACGCTCCCATGACTCCACGAGAGCGTTTGATGGCCAAGCGAACAAGGCTAGAAGGTCGTTTTGAGGGATACCTCCAGCATCGCTTTGTTTCGAATGTACCAACCACGATCGTGTAGCGTAACGCAAGAAGGGAAAATCATCGATGAGCTGCCTTGTTACCTGACCGATCTCCTCCATCGCCAGGTAGCGTAGGCAAATCTTGAAGAACCGAAGGTGTGCTCGAATTGCCGCCTCGGTCAACGTTTTACCGCCGCCCAAAGTTGAGAAGTCTTTCTCAAAAAAGAAGTCTTTGACGGACTGGTGGATGAACTGAACAACTTGGGTGTGGGTAACTTCGACAAGGCCGCGGCTGAGCGTCTGGGCTTGCCTTTTCATCCGAGCACCATCGGCGACGTAGTCTTCTGCACTCTGGCATGCCTGTAGTGACGTGTATGGGCAATCAGCCTCGATGACCATTGCCCATCGCAGTTCGTCGAGACTTAGGGGCCGGGTGGCAAAGCAAACCCATTGGATCAGCTTTTTGGAACGGGCATCCATGTCTCGAACAAGTTGTCGGTAGAGTGCGTCGAGGTCAGGAGGGGTAGCGGAGATGGCTTTTTCCATCCTAAGTGGTCCGGCGCCGTCGCGTTCAAGGTCCAGAATCCGCTCCACCACCAGACGTGCCCACATGAAGACCCCCGAAGCACGCGCCGTAATCAGATCGGGGATATTGGATGATGCTCCCGTACGGAACGCGGCAAGCTTGTCATCCACAAAGGCCGAGATGTCCTTTTCGTTTTCATGCTCGGTGCATATTTCGAATCTGCTCTCGTCCGCATCCAGGATTGGGTAGTGACGGCAAGAAAAGCAGATATGGAACTGCTGGAGATCCTCAGACTGGGTTGCAAGACTCTCCAGCAAGGCATTGAAGGCCCCAACAAGTCGGACCGCATTGTCTTTGCCGCACTCGTCCAAGGCGTCGATAAACAACCAGATCGGGCGCGTCCTCAAGACCTTCGGAAGAGACGCCTGGAGGAATGGCCGCAGTTCCCCCTCATGCCAGCGCCAGTCGGCACCCGGACTGCCATTATTCTTGCACTTGGACTCAAACACGCCGACGAGATCCTGAAGTGCGTCAGGGGCCTGCCCAAGGATTTGATGAAGCAGAGACCGGATGAGGCCAAGAGGGGTCTTTTGAAGTTCATCGCCGCGGCCATGAAAGAAGAATGAGAGGACAAGGGCGCCGTCTCCGGAATTGTGATTGCTGAGCGCGTATTTTAGCAGTGTAGACTTCCCGGAGCCCGGCTTTCCTTTGATCCAGAGCAGGCCTTGATCGCAAGCGGTCCAGGTAGTGTACTTCTCATGTCGAAGTAACCACTCGCATGTTCCCGCGGTAGCGTTGTCGATATCGTGAGACCGGTCCTGCATTTGCGGGAAGGCTAGCGACTGGAGGCAATTTTGAGAAGACTTGGACAAGGGCGAGGGTTGAACTTAAGAGCGGATTAGCCAGGTGTATTCTCTCAGAAGCTATCTGCTAAATCTGCTTACCAACAGGCTCAAGTTGTGATTTCCACCTGGTCAGTACACCAAGCAGACTTTTAAACCCGTTTTCTTCTGCAGAGGCGAACCTCACCATATCTCTATGGTTGGCGTGGATACTGAAGGAATCATACCCTTCGAGGGCAGCCGATCCGTCGGACACGACTTTGCCGACAACAGGCAGAGGTAATTCCTCGCGGGCGCAAATGACCTCGAAAGGTCTGCCCCCTTCTCGCAATCCTCGTATCATTGACCAGAAATCGTCCTGAACGGAATCCAGGAGCTCGTTGTCTGTCTGGAGGACCCCCAGAATGGGCTTGTTGACGGACTTGACAAGGCCGAGAGCCGATGCCGGTATCTTAGCCCAATCTGCCATCCACGACCCTCTGTGAGGGGTGCCCATGAATATGATGCCTTTGGTGTACTTGAAGATGTCGCAGAGATAGGCATCCGGGTTATTCCGCGAGAGAAGAATGGCTTTTTTGCAGACGAGGCCGCCGAGGCTATGGGCCACGAAGATGAGAGGACGAGACGACGAGTCGTTGAGGTTTCGGTTTGTTGTCAGATCGTGCAGAAGGTTCTTTGCATGGTGAGGGAGCCGGTTAGACCCTGCGACTCCCTTCCGCACAACATATGCGTCGTAGCCGTACGTGAGTATGCGGCTGTTACTGAGCTTCGGCGGCAGGAGGGTCTCCGGCCAGGACGCGGAGTGCCCATGAGCGGTCCATGTGCTCTCCCGGTCTCCGGTTAGACCGTGAACAAAGCAGATATCGACAACGGCGTCGGGGCAGTCGTGCAGGACCTTCACTCCGTCCGGAAAAGAGGGTATCCGCGGGCTCCCCGGCGGATCACTGACTACGTCGGCGTGTTGAGAATTGGGTGGGGTTTCAATTCGCCTCGTGGATCTGGGCCTACCCAGCAGGCACCGGAGGCACCCGGGCATCGTCTCGAACGTGCTATTGATTCGAACTAGATGGCAATCCCTTTACCGGTATGGGTGGATTACCACGGTCCCCGACGGCCCACAGCTGAATCCGTCCGTGTTCGAAATAGAGAGGGCCGGCGGGTGAGACCGGGCGGAGCACAAAGTCGACACGACCCAGAGCAGAAGGATGCCCGGCAACACAGTTACCAGCCACTCGTCCGGATACCCCGAGGGTTGGGCTGCAACATGACGGCCGCGGCGTGCCCTTGTCACAGAATGAGCTGCAGCTTGACGAATTACGTCGAACCATATGTAGATTCCCCCACAACTCGGCGGGGTAGGTAAACGGTACATATGGTCTCGCGTGTTCTGAGTTCATCGCACAGAGAACCGTTTTGTTCCTTTTACTTGCCTTTCGGAGACACGGCCTTGCTCAATGGGCTGAGCGGGCTGCAGATCGAGCCAGCCACGTCACGCAACATGGTGTCAGTGGGTCAAGAATGATAGGAAGAAGGAAGAGAACCAGAGCCTTGCGATGGCCTCAAGGCGGCCCGGGGGGGGGGGGGGGGGGGGGGGGGGGCAACACAGGGGCGGTCAAGGGGAGAGGGGTGGACTTAAAAAAGAAAGAGAAGATAGTGATGGGGGGAAATGTCGGGCGGGGGATGATGGAAAAGAGCGAGTTAAGTGGGTCAAGAATGATAGGAAGAAGGAAGAGAACCAGAGCCTTGCGATGGCCTCAAGGCGGCCCGGGGGGGGGGGGGGGGGGGGGGGGGGGGCAACACAGGGGCGGTCAAGGGGAGAGGGGTGGACTTAAAAAAGAAAGAGAAGATAGTGATGGGGGGAAATGTCGGGCGGGGGATGATGGAAAAGAGCGAGTTAACTTGACCAAAAAGGGTTAGGGTTATAATGTGGCCTGGATAACGAAGCGTGTTTCAACTTGAGCCAAAGAGGAAACTTGCCAATTTCACCCATGCGCAACCTAAAGTTCCATAATAAATCTGAAGAATTCAAGTTGCCGCTGGGATATTCATAAAAGAGCTGCTACGAACATACGCCGCCAGACCGACCATCAAAACCCCCAACGCCTTGCGCCGAGCCCACGGCTCCTTTTCATTACCCGCTTCTTGAGACCATGCTCTAACCAGAGAAAGAGAAAAGAAAGCCAAACCAGACCAAGCCAAACCAACCTCACGCTTCCTACAAAACCCCCTATCCCAAACCCAAAGACACCCATCCTCATCAACCCGACCACTTCCTCGCCCCAACTCCACCCCTCCTCCCAACCCCAACTCCAACGCCACCTCTCCTCCCACCCCCAACCCCAACCGCAACACCACCAGCACCATCACCACCAACACCCCCCACTCCAACCCCAACTCCCACCCCAACACCAACCCCATCATCCCCATCACCACCCCCCTCCTGAAACACCCTCACCCCCCTAACCAACCAAAAAGCCTGCGCAAACACCTCCGGATTCCCCCCCACAAACTCCTCACACGTCGGCGCCAGCGCGGCACACGCGCTATCGGTATCCCACACACGCCCGGCCCAGTCGCCGCAGAAGGTGGTGTCGAAGACCAGGTTGTGGTCGGCGAAGTGGTCGGCGAGGGGGCAGCCGGCGAAGACGGCTAGGGGGGTGCCGAAGGTGGAGGGGTCTGGGGAGGAGGATGATGATGATGATGAGGAGTTTGTGTTGGGGTTGGGGTTTGGTTGTTGCTGTTGTGGTGAGGAAGAGGGGAGGGCGAGGGCGGCGGCGGTGGGGCTGCCGCGCGGGAAGAACCACACTTTGATGGCGGCGTCGGTCCACTCGAGCGCGTAGATGCCGCCGCCGGCCGCGTTGAAGCCCGCGCCGTAGTTGTCGGCCGCGCCCGTGCTCTGCGAGCAGCCCGCGTTGCCCTCGCAGTCGGTCGAGACCAGCTTGGTGCCCGCGAGCGAGCCCGCGTTGGTCACGGCGCACCCGGGCCCCGTGTGCAGTGTTACGGCGTTGGACCGCTGGCTGTTGACTCCCTCGATGATGTCGATCTCCCCCGAGTTGGGCCAGTTGGGGCCGAACATCCAGAAGGCAGGCCAGATGCCGCACGAGCTGGACCCGGCCGCCCCCGCGGGCATGTGTGCGATGTCGGCGATGAATAGGCCCTTGGTGTAGGCCTTCTTGGACGTGACCCGGACCGAGGGGCGGCCTGTCGTGGTGGTGTTGGTGTAGTCGACGCCGAGGTAGACACCGCCGTCGGCGTAGCCCGCGAGGCCATCTCGGCTCGCCGTGGCCGAGTCGACGTACTTGACGAACCCGTGCGTGGGGTCCGGCGCGGTGAAGAAGTCGAACTCGCTGAAGAAGTTGCTCGCGTCGAAGGTGTCGACTATGTTGTAGGAGGCTGCCCAGACCGAGCTTGCCGTGAGCGCCAGGCTAGCGAAGCCCAATGTTGGTCGAACCATTTTCCTTTTCGGGTATATCGATTATCTCCTTCTTGTGCTCTTCAAAGCACCCCTTGCTGAGAGACCTGCTCCCTGAAATTGAAAGACGTAATGAGCGGGTGAAAATCGGTTGCCTGCCCCTGGCAGATGTGTGAGAGAGACCACAAATAGTGACCGTATTCCAAGAGAGCCGCCGTCGATACAAGAAGCTAGTGGTGTTACGAGCGTGCAAACCAAAATAGTATGGGCTTTGAGCTCCAAGAACACAACACACCGTTGAACTAGTGTGTTGTATATGGCTCGAGCTATTGTTGATAACAAGTAAACAATAGCAACGGCAGCCAGATGTCAATAGCTAGCGTCGGCTTGAATAGTCGACTCGGGAAGTTTAGGACGGAATGGGGAAAATAAATAAACGAGATAAAATGCTACAGCCGCATAAGGAGAGACGACTGTAACCAAGACCGAGAACGGAATAAACGACAACGAGGAATGTGCATGACAAGCAAACACTGAACGAAGCAGGAATACGTTCATGAAATACGCGAGGACCGCTACAACAGACTTCTGCAAGCGGATTCGGGCCCAGGCCCGAGAAGCGCTCGTTCCCTTGCCCAGGGGCCGCTAAGTGGAAGCCATTCGCCTTGAGACATGATTCGGGCGGTGGACTGGTTCTTCAGGTGGCAACGGAAACAGCTTGGGAGCGTGGACGTCCAGAGGGTCTAGCTTAGATCTGTGGGGAAAGCATGGGAGGTCCATGTCGGAAAAGGGAAACGAAACACTGGTGGCTGCCGAATGAATGGCGGTATGGAGTTGGCGAGATGTGGTTGATGACGGGAACGGTCAGGATCGCAAGTTCAGATTCCGTCAGGAACAGTTGCCATCCCGGGTTTGTGGGCGTTGACACGGGATTCGCCTCCGAAAAAGGAAACTTTGTTTCAAACCCGGCACCCAAACTGCAGGCAAGCAAACGCCATCCAGTCCGCATGCCATGGTTCTGACTTTCGAGACAGCTCTGCAACCAAGAAGCAGCTCCTCCAGGCGACGGCTTCTTCAACGTTGTTGCAGTTGGGAGAAGCGAAAGCCAATCGACTGGTTCCGGCGCGCAGGACATTGGGTCTTGGCAGTCGGACCCACGACTGAACCATGCTGCGTGGGGGGACCGCTGGCGTTGATCGCGCCTATGATGTGGTCTGTGCTTCCATGGCTGACAGCATGTGAGCATCCATCAAGGTTGATTTTGTGCTCGTTCAATATTGGATATAATACTTGGATTCGTTCGGTAACCATTTAAAATGCACATTGTTTTTCACTCGAGCATCAACCCCGGCCATCTGTTTAAACCGACTGTCTGTGACACTTCGTCTTGATGTTCCTCGAGCTCAACTCGTAGAATCAAGTCTACGCAACGGTGGTGTTGAACTGTGTGACTGACTGACCAACATAGACTCGTACCAAATCTTGCAAAATAGCTCATACATTGCTGTCATTCCGATGGGCACCCAGACTCGATCTGTGAACACAGAAGGACCCGTCTGTGCTCCCTCATACCCGACTTGACGAGATTCACCGACTCCCAACCAAGTGCTCAATGAGTTCCCCCTCGTGCCCGTCCCCAAAAGAGGGCGTTGACTACTAATAGGAACAGATAATACTCCACACAATGCACCTCTTAAAGTCTAATAATCCACCCTATCCCCGCCACTCCAAAACCGCTTGAGCAAATATGAACATGAGAAAAGAAAAGAAAAACGTATTTCGTTTGACCATCGGCTTCCGATTCCTGCTCGGGTCGTACGTAGGTGCTGGGTGCTACCGGAGGCAGCTTCTCTGGTGTAACGGTGAGCGCGGCCAATATCCCCACAAGTACACCTCAACGGTGAGGATGAGGTTGAAGCCACAATAAAAGGCCAAGTCGGCGCTGAGAGTGGTGGTTTACCCTCAGTAACGGCTGGCGTCCTAAAGCTTCACCTTCTGTCCCGTAATCTTGAACCAGAGGACGGCCACCAAGTCCTCCTTGAACAGCTCCCACGGGTTGCGGTTTAGGTAGTAGCTGAGCTCCCGGAAGTTGTACATTTCTCCCCAGCAGTCCCGTCCCCACTCGCAGCCGGCCATGTTGACGAGGAAGTCCCGGTCCTTTTGATCGTAGTGGATCCGCGTGTCGTTTCCGTTGTCAGAGCAAGCCCCGGTGGGGAAGCTGTTAATCATGCGCTGCGGAAGGAAGGCAGTGTGCTTCCGGACCCACGGCTGCGAGATGTACAGCTGTTCCAGCGCGTCTTGCTCCTTGTGCGCCCACTCCATGTGTTTCTGCTCGTAGGCCACCGGGTCCCACCAGACGTCTAGCAGTCGGTCGGCCCACGCGCTTCGGCGGACAAAGAAGGAGCCCAGGTTAAAGCCGGAGCAATCCTGCGACAGCATGAGGTTGACCGAACCGGACTTCCCGTCGCCTATTGGGCTTTGCGACTCGGCATCGAGGTAGGGGTCGGTAAAGGGGTGTGAGATGTTGAGGGGGTTGTATTCGTTGATGTCTCGGTAGACATGTTTCTCAATGTTGTTGAAGATGTGGTCCTGGAGGGAGTAGGAGGGCTCCATGACAAACGTGTTGAGGTCGAGCCACCAAAACCTAAAGGGGGGTGTTAGATAGATTGGCACGGGAAGGTGCAACAAGTCGGCAACGTACCACTCTGCCTTTGGGTATTTCCTCATGGCTGTGCGGACGAAATCGACCTTCTCCCAGCTCTCCCGCCATTCGTGAGCATACCGCTTCTTGGTGCTCATATCGACGATCTCGAGCTCGTACCCCCAACGAGCAGCGTATTTCTTCTTGTTCCGCACCGAGTCTCGTTCGATCGCCCATTCTCGCGCACCCTTCCAGTCCATCACACCGCCCCCGACATTAGCCCCAAGTATTATGACGTACTTTTGGCCGCCTCCAAACCAGGTTGATCTCCGCCAATGGTATACCAATGCTATATTGTGTTAGCCTGCCGCTGGTTGGTATCCGGTGGGGTGTAGCGGCGACTCACGACTGTTGTAGAATATGATGATGGAGAGTACGAACATGAGCAAGATCAGCAGTCTGATTTTCATCTTTCTGCCCATGCGAGCCATGATCCCTCTAACCCGCCCTAGTAGGGGCACGTTGTGAACCGACCACCTGCCCCGCCCCGGCTTGTCCTTATCGGCATAGTATGTATTCGAACCGAAGCGCGGCAAGCTGCTCGAGATACGACGCATGTGTCGGCCGAAAAAGCTCTGGTTCTTGGTCGAAAAGGCAGGGTACCCAGGGCCGCTGCCCTTCTTTAACCTGGATGATTCCCACATGGCTGGTGTGCCGCTCGATCCCGGGTATGCTCTCGTCGGACTCGATCGGCCGCTCGCGATGTTGAGACCCGGACTTGCCCAGCCGCCGCCGGGGACTGGGGACGGACTACGTGACAGAGACATTGGAGTATTTGGGGTGCCTGGATTACCGAATACGAAAAAATGTTCGTGTCAGTCCGGACAAGCGTACCAACCACACCCTGCTAGCCATGCAAGTACCCGAGGGTACAAAAGAATACGGACCCGGCCGAGGAGAGTGGAGAGACACGTACCAGGAATGGGTGAGAGGGGACCCAGAGGCCGATGGGGTTGAACCCCCAGGTATTGGCAATCACCCAATTGGAGGGTGGACGGGGGTGTCGTGGCCGACGACCTTCTCCGGTGCTGGCTTCGCACCGGACGGTCGCTGAACGACGTCGTCGTACCGCCGAAGCTGAAGAACGCCAGATTGCAGGTATTGGCTCCCTTCTGGCTTCAACGCCACAGGGGAGGGGGAGGCTGGACGGCGGGCGCTGGAACCGATTACCGGGCTATTGATCTCAGCCGGAGTGGATGCTGCCGTGCCGAGGACGGAATGCAAGAGAAAGACAGGTTCGGTTCACCGGGCCTGCGGCCTGCTTTCGTGGCCGGTTCGTGCCGCGTCACCGATAACGGGAGTGGGTCAATGAAAAAGAGTAGGTGGTCGGTATTTTTCAGATCAACGGCGTTCTTGACACTTGGATCATCTCCACTTTGCGGTTCGGTACAGTAGGTGGTGCAGATAGGACGGACGGACAAAGAGGAGTTAGAAATTTGTGTAGCACGAGGTTAACCATAGATCGAAAGGGACAAGGAGGTAGGTGGAAAAAGTTGAGCATAGAATAATCTCCGACGTATCAACTTCTTGATTGGAACCAAACTCGACATTTTTCCGCCAAGACTTTGTAAATCCCTTGATTTCCAGGTTTGGTTTGACAAGGTTCTCACCATTCGAGTTTAGCAGTGCATTCCCGCTTGCCGAATACCACCTTGCCAGGTGGGGGAAGTGAGAAAACGGAGTCCAGAACTTCCATCCAGTCTGGCCACCTTTCAATATTTCATCCATAGTAATTAACTATGTATCGAGACGATGTATGACTTTGCTCGGAAGAGTGGGTTTTTCGAACCGTCCCCCCGACTCTGCGACGCGTGCTCGCGCGTACATCCGGGGGCGGGCCCAAGCACGGCATCCCGCGCACTTATTTAAAAGCTGCCAGTGGAGGACACAGGAGTGAGCGGTGCAGCAACCCGTGCTGGTTAGCCTCTTCCTACGAAGGAGATAGGCCCAAAATCTGTCACCGAATCAACACAGAAACCTGTCGCCCAATGCTCCCCCACAGTCGTCACTGCATATCCTCACTGGACCTAATCTCATCGCAAATTTGCTGACAGCTTGTGCCTCCTGGGCACCCCTGAATGCTACATGGGCTCGCACTTTCTTGCGTTGTCGCTACAACTCCATACTCAGATTCCGACTTGTTACAGTTTTCCATCATGAGAAAGACGCTTCATGGAAGCAGGGCCTTTAGTTAGACTACCGATTTCTCTGTCTTACTTAAAAGCGAACAACATGTTCCTAAACAAGGGGTGTTAGAACCCTTTTTACAACACTCTAAACCTGCACAATGTTTAGGGATGTGTAATCTGCCTTGTTAAGGAAAAGGAGGGGGTAGGAGCTTCGCTGACGTCCGAAAGTTGGGAGACTAAAAATCGGGTCAGTGTTTCAAACCTCCGTTCGTCTGGTGAGAGGGGATTCCCACTCCAGATGTTGAGATTTGAAGAGGCTTGGCAGTATCCTTGGCAAGATCTGGAAGGCTTGGCGATCTTGGTTTTGTGCGTGAACAATCACCACTCCCCTGGCAGAGAACAACCAACAAGTGGGACTCTTGCAACATACTTGTACTACTGTGTAAATGTCAACACACATCAGCTGATGCGATCCATATAGTACAGCACGGAAAACAATTCTCATCTTATCTCTACTCCTGCAATCTAGTACAGAGCGGCCTTCTCTCCTCTCTCCATCTTGCCGAGGGTGCCGCGCCCACCGTCGTGTGGTCCCAACGCATAGTGGTCGCGAGGCACAATGCCGGGTCAATGTAGGTTTAATGTATTCTTCACGGCCGGCGAGGGGCTTTGGAAGAATGCATTCCCATGGGAGCAAACCCGTCTCTGCAAGCGCCAGACACGCTCGCTTCAAGCCGCCGGCGGTTCGGAGCCGCTGGAGTGGGTCTTCTGTAGGACCGAGCCGGCCGGGAAACACTTGGCATCCGGGGTGCTGAGTGGATCGACCTTGATTTCTCAAAACCCACGACCCAGCTTCCCAAATCTAGCAGATGATGGTAAAATGGGCTTTCTTCAAGTCTCCTGTTACCTTGAGCTGGTGCGTATATGAGGCTCCGCCCAACCTTTGACTGAAAAGAAGTTAGCAAAAAATGAAGCGTGGCGGCGTGTTTGGGTTTCAAGCAAGCGAGAGGTCAAACCCAGGCTCCCCGGGTGACGATTGGCCGGCCGCTGATTTGCGCAATCCGCGACAAGGAGCCAATCACGATGAGGAACAAAACTCCGGGCGGTTCGCGGCGGCCAATCCGTCAACACCAAACGACCACAAAGCGCTTGTTCCACACAAAGAGCCCCGCACCATCAAACGAGGGGCGTTCTCGCTGTCCACAGAGAGCGCGCTGCTTGACGACGAGCCCTGCGATCGGGGACAAGGGCAGACGCAGAGTTGGAACCGGCTAAGCACTTCCCGCGCAACGATTGGTGACGGCGGCTGTCAAACCCTTGAAGCCAGGCCATGGAAACATGCGAGTGTCATGTTGGGCTGGCGGCGGAAGGGAGGCCGCAGAAGTGATGGATGCAAGGTACGGGTAGGGGAATCTAGGAAGCGAGAGACCATGCCACGCGACACGCTGGCAGCCTCCCTCGCTGGTAGGTAGTCATGTCATGCCTTGTGCCTCGTTGAACTTTTTGAAACCTTCTCTTGTTTATCCCGTCACCTCGCCATTGTTCTCCCCTTCCACGCTCATTCATCTCTTATTGTTGTAGCCCATTTGGGCCTGTTCGTTTCTTGCCACGCACCAAAGGCAGCGCCTTAGTCTGGCATCCGCCTCTTTCTCTCTCCCATTCTTTAATCGTAACCAAGGCATTCTAATCCTCGTTTGGGACTCGGGCACGTGTCAGAGGCCATTGTTTGAAGAGTCATACCTCCTACTCACACTCTCACTCTTGGATATCATGAACACCTGATCACCGACACGCATCTACAACAACTTTCAATAATCAAGAACAAACATCACAACAATCCTACTGACAAACAACGTTCCGAGAACGAAAATCGAAAACAAGATGAGCGACCCACAGGCGCTTCAACCAGGCTCTGGAAGCCGGATGTCTTCCAGGACCAAGGATGACTGGGAAGACTGGGAAGACGACGAGGTGCTGACGCCCATGACGACGAGAGATGGCCCTCTACTTGACGCGGCACCTGGGAGGGCAGGAGGTGCGAGGGGAGAGGCGGCAGGGCACCCAGAACGACGACCATCTCGGCGGGTTTCTGGCGTAACTGCCCGGCCGTCGATGAAAGGGTTGGGGAGGTTCACCTCCCGCCGAAGACAAAAAGCCCAGAATGTGAAAGCTGGTATCACTCTAGTCACCGACATGACCAAGTTCCAGAAGCAAAAACAACAGCACATCGCCCACCATATGAAACCGACCCACGATAACCGAGAAAGCCGAACCGGCAAGTTCGTTGACGCCGCTGCTCTGAAAGCTCTCGAGGGCGCCCCATCTGACGATTCTATCGGCACCTTTGCCTGGCTGACACGGCGACCAACCAAGGGCAAGAGGATCGAGAGGCTGGTCGCCGAGTCCTCTCCGCAGGCCGATTTATCGCCCGGAGCCAGGCCCATCATGATCGGTTTTGAGATGCCCTCCGACTCGGATGTGGTCATCAGCCCGCAGACCGCCGTCGTCGAGACCCCGATCGAGTTCCCCCTGGTTTTCAAGCCGACCAACGTCACGTCCCCAAGCCAGCCCGTTTCCGCCTGGTCTCCCGATACCGAGGACGGCGCCTCTCCAAGGATGGTGGAGCGAGGGTTCGTACCCGCAGTTCCGTCGATCCCAAGCCATTACCGGGCTGCCGATGTCTCGCCTATCACGGCGAGTGACCATGGGGACGCCTTCTCAGCGGCTGGCGAGAGGAGGAACTTCCGAGACACAGCCACCACGCCGATTTATGTCAGCGATAACGACGATGACATGGCCACACCAGTTACACTGTTTGAAGAAGATGGAAGTCCAGCAACCACACAAAGAAAATCGCTGAGGTTCAAAGGCCGGCCACGGTCAGGAACGGGTGGGAGCGCACGATCCAAAGGCTGGTGGGACCAGGTGACCTCCCCCTTCGGACCGCCAACACCCCGAAGCCCGGCTTCAATCCAAACCAAGCCTGATGAGGGGCAATCGTGGTGGAATGACCTGGATAAGAAAAAGGCTTTCTCCCCCGCCACGCCCATGTCAGAGGCTGGATCCTCGAGCGGGTCACGGAACATTCCCAGAACTCATCACCATCAACCCCCAGAGATCATTATTGAAGACATGTCGTCCTCGATCCCTTCATCCTCCAGGACGGCCGCGGCGCCTCCACAGCGGCAACCCGAGCGGCAACCCGAACCCGAGAAGCGACGCGAAATGGTTGAGGAGGTACAGACACCCGGCGAGCAGCCGCCCCCATACTCGCCACCATCAAGAAACAATAATGCCCGTTACCGTGCAGTTTTCCCTCCTGGGCATCCGCTCAACTCCCTCTATCCGCCTTCTCCCGGTCCAGTCCCGCCCGGCCTGTCACAAACCATGACATCCCAGGGCGCGATCGACCTCTCAGACGTCCCGTTGACACCGCCCCCCACCGATCAGAGGCTGCCCGACAGGCCTCTGGGGTCCTTTGTGCCCGGCGATCATTTTATTGACGTTTCCGGGCGTGGCCCGAGACAAAAGGCAGAGCGGCAGCGGCGTCGGCACGAGAAGGAGGATGCGGTCGCCTTCCAGGCGGGCAGGATGTGGCATGGCCGTGGCTGCTTCCCTTGCTGTGGCTGCTTCGGCAGGCCCGGCCGCGAGGGGAGGAAGCGAAGACGGTGGTGCTTGGGCATCTGCATCGCAATCCTGTTGCTGACGGCGCTGGGAGTCACCCTCGGCATACTCCTGACGCGGCAAACCGCCCCCGAGGAAATCATTCCCTCGCGGTTCCTCAACCTCACCAATTTCCCGCCGATTCCCACGGGCATCTCGACCGTGATCGGCCCCGAATCCGACTCGACGACGGCGTGTGTCCAGCCGCCAACGCTCTGGACCTGCGCCCTCCCTAAGGAGCAAGCCGACTCTGTGGCGCCGTTCGACGCCAGCCAGCCCAGCTTCGTCATCCAGATCCAGTTCGACAACAACACCCGGCAGCTATGGAACGTCCAAGGGGACCCTCCCCGCCCTACCCCCACCGACCGGGGCGAATCGTTGCCGCTACCGCAGCCAATCGAGACAACGACAGCGGCGACAGCCACCCCGACCACGAGCCCGCGTGCCGTCCCAGTCACGGGGTTCACCTCGCTCGTCCGCCACCTCCTACGGAAGCGCGACGACTCGGGATCCAGCCTCGCACTGCGATCAGAGCCACCACCGCCCAGCTTCCAAGAGATCTTCTTCCTCGGCAACACCACCGACGGAGTCGTCTCAGACGACAAAGCCGGCGAGCCAACGCCCTTCTACATCAGCATGCTGCGCAGCACCAACGACACCGTCGGCCCCAACACCCTCACCCGGCGCGCCGACGACGACGACAACGACAACAACAACGGCATCAACTTCAACCCCCAAACCAACATCACCGCCGGCCAAGCCCTCATCAACGCCTCCGACATCGCGCCGCCACCCGCCCTCGACCGCGACGGCACCGGCGCCCCGGCCGTACTCCTCGCCTTCCCCACGCAGCAACCGCTGCGCCTGTACGACCGCGGCCTGCCGACGGAGCGCTACGGCTTCTACAGCTACTTCAACAAGACGACCTACGTCAAGTCGGCGGCGGCGCTGGGCGACGACGGCGACGACGACGAGACCCCCGTGCCCGCCGACCTCAACGGCGGCGCGCTCAAGACGGAAGCCAAGTTCCTCGTCACCTGGCTGTCGGTGCGCTACAAGGTGGAGATCTGGACGCGCATGGCGAATACCACCAGGCTGGTTGGGGATAGGGGCGTGAGCGGCAGCAATAGCACCCAGCCGGGGTCGTTTCCGTATCCGGTGACCGTCACGATGGACACGCATGGTGGTGAGCGCGGGCGGAAGTTTGCGTTTCTGAGGGGGGTGGATGACCGCCAAAGGATTATCTTGGATGATGCGCTCTTTGTGCTGAACCGGATGAATACGACGGGGGATCTGATCAATGCGGCGGGGGGGTTTAATCCGAGTTTTGGGGGGATGGATGGCGGGACGGGGGGGTGCAAGTGCGAGTATAGGAATTGGGTGGGCGTGAATGGGGGGAGGGAATAGAGGGAGGGGATAGGGATGGATATGGGAAGGGTTAGAGATACCTTCTTCGGTTTTGGGTTAATCCGGATTTTATTTGGTTTGCATCGTGCAACATGCGGAGGGCGTCATCGGGAGGCAGGAGGATATGGTAAACTAAACTATGGGGCGCACCGCGGGAAAACATATTGCATAGGCATCAAGCAGGCGTTGAGCTTTATAAACCAACTGTTTTAAAACCATTATGAAGAATCAGCGCGCACTGGTGGTGATATGATAAATCTAATTCTTGTTGTGTTGGTGATGTTTGGCTTGTGGTTGTGGGAGGAGGGGAGTTTTTGGCAGCTGCTGTCGTCTGTCAAGGTTGGCCAACACTTGGCAAAAATGGATTTATCGCCAAAGAACCTTGATGGCTTGAGTTTGAGATATTGAATGAGACTAGAATATCGACCTTATCGATCAAGAATCCCACCGCATTGCCGGCTAGACTCGGCAAGACGTACCAAAGAATGAGACGTAGGCGGTAAACAGAACCACAATCACAATGAGGTTTGCGTCTGCCTGCTTGCGGCAAGCAGAGCTTTCATGGGCCACGGTTCGTGCCAACCGGAAAGCGATACATACAAGGGTTAGGAACAATGAAGAGAGAGGTGTGGTGACACTCGCCATCGAGACATCATGCGATGACACTTGCGTCGCCGTCCTCCAAAAGTCGGGCGACGCCGCCAAGGTATTGTTCAACAGCAAGGCCACATCCGATCACCGGAAATTCGGCGGCATCAAGCCTGACGAGGCCGTCCAGGGACACTCGGCCAACCTGCCTAGACTCCTGCAGGCCGCCATACAACAGCTGCCCATCGACCACCCCAAGCCCGACTTCGTCAGCGTCACCCGCGGGCCCGGCATCACCTCCGCCCTGTCCGTCGGCCTGACCATGGCCAAGGGCCTAGCCCTGGTATGGGAACGGCCACTAGTCGCCGTGCACCACATGCAGGCCCACGCCCTGACGCCGCGCTTGGTCGAGGCGCTCGCGAACTCCAAGCGGCCACCGCCGGAGGACTCGGCGCCGCGAGACGCACAGCCGGCCTTCCCCTTCCTAAGCCTGCTCGTGTCGGGCGGGCACACCCAACTCCTCCTCACCCGGTCCGCCGTCTCGCACGCCACGCTGGCCGAGGCCGCCAACGTCGCCATCGGCGACATGCTCGACAAGTGCGCGCGCGCCATCCTCCCCGCCCACATCCTCGCCAACACCCCCGACGTCATGTACGCCGCGGAGCTGGAGCGCTTCGCCTTCCCCAAGCAGCCGCCGCAGCAGCAACCGCAGCAACCACAGACCCACCCACCACCACCACCACCACCAACACCCAACAACGCACCACCCCCACCACCCCCCAACCTAGACCCCGACCTAAACCCAGACCAAACCCTCTACACCTACCACCCCCCAACCCGCCGACGCGACGAGATCCAACCCTACACCTCCCCAACCCACGGCTGGACGCTGACCCCGCCACTCCACGAGAGCCGCGCAATGGCCTTCGACTTCTCGGGCCTGGGCGGCCAGGTGCAAGCCATCGTGCAGCGGAACCCGGGCATGGACGAGGCGCAGCGCGTGGAGCTGGCGCGGGAGACGATGCGTGTGGCGTTTGAACATCTGGCGAGTCGGGTTGTTTTTGTGTTGGATGGGATGCGGGCGGGTGTGGAGGGTGGGGTTGGGAAGGGGGAGAAGAAGGCAGTGCTGCCGGTCAAGACGCTGGTGGTGTCGGGCGGGGTGGCGTCGAACCGGTTTTTGATGTACGTGCTGCAGCGGGTGCTGGAGGTGCGCGGGTATGGGCGGGATGTGGTGGGGATCGTGCGGCCGCCCCGCGAGTTGTGCACTGATAATGCTGTTATGGTGGCGTGGGCCGGTATGGAGATGTGGGAGGCCGGCTGGCAGAGCGACCTGTCGGTGCTGCCGCAGCGGCGGTGGCCGATGGATGATGGCTATGAGGGCATCGAGGACCCGGAGGCGGAGCGGGTGGAGAGGTATAGGTGGGTAAAGGCACGGAAGGAAGAGATTGAGCTGTGCGAACAGAGAGAAAAGGAGGAAAGGGAAAGACAAAAGGGAGAGGGAGGGCCGGGGGAGGGGGGTAGAGGGACGAGAGGAGGGAGAGAGGCAAATAGGAAGAGTACGGAGTGAGCTGGAAGTACAAAGGGAACGGGGGGAACCAAGGGAACTGGGAGCGCGAATGCGCGCAGCAGAAAGCCACGTATCCAAAAAGCACGGCATTCTCGGGGTGGATGGCTGGCAGCGGCGGTCTCGGGATAAGGAGATACTGTGGCTGGCGGAGGGGGCGAAAGCGAACGAGAGAGCGAGGCAGAAAGCGATCGAGGTAGAGATGCGAAAGGCGGAACTGAGGGAGAGAAAGTTGGGGAGGGAAATGCCTTCTAAGGATCACGAGGAATGAGGGCAAGAGATGCAAAAAAGGAGAGACCCGGCTGAGACTGCGGCCCCGAACGAACAAGCAGCCAAGTTGAGGGACGACCGCAATACCCAAAAGCGGAGGATCCGGGGGATTGGGCACTTGCCCTTGTATATTAAGATACCTACCTCTGTACCAGTCTTGTACGATCATGTTGACATGATATTTAATAACGAGGGGTCAGGTCGGATACTCGACCGGTTCGGCACACATCGATCGCACTTGACTACTGGAGCTTGTATGTACCTTGGAAGACGTGCTCATTGCTCTTGTTCTACATTTACAAGCCGTGCCCGTCTCATCAATCCAGTCCCCAGTCCCATTTATTGACGCCATGATGTTCGTAAAATACCAAGTCCGATGCCACAAAGGGCGGCTCCTCGCTCACCGGACCTCCAACCCCTCTTTGATGCCGCCGATTTATTCGGTAAAGTTGCTCGTGACGTTGCTAAACTCGCCCTTGTCCAGCTTGGTCTTCCAGAACACCGGGTTGGTGTCGGTGAAGCCGTGCTTCTCCCAGCCCGACTCCTTGACGTGATACAGGTTGATGAACCCACCGGAGTAGGCGTCACGGTGGGTGGCGGCCAGGATGCTGCGGCTGCCCAGCTCGAGGGCCTCCTCCGTCGTCAGGTCCCACCGGTACTCGGAGTCCAGCACGCCGTACGCGAACGTCTGGCCGGACCCGACGCAGAACAGGTCGCCGGCCAGGCGGGTGCCGTCCGAGTCGATGTAGTAGAGCGCCGCGCCCTCCTCCTTGGTGACGCCCGCGCACATGGTCCCCATGGACAGGCCCATGCCCTTGTACTGGTACACCAGGTTCGCCAGGATCTTGCTCGCGGCCGCGACGCTGATGCGGCGCTTGTGGCGCAGCTCGTGCAGCCGGCACTGCATGCCGAGCCAGGCGAGCCAGTACTGGCAGTCGGCGGCGCCGCCCGCCATGGTGCCGAGCAGGTCCGAGTTGATCTCGATGACCTTCTTCACCGTCTGCGAGGCGATCCAGTTGCCGGCCGTGGCGCGCGAGTCGGTCGCCACGATGATGCCCCCCTGGAAGCGGAAGGCGAGCGTCGTTGTGCCGTGGGCGATCTTGATCGGGCATGAGGGGTTCGAGCGGTCGTCTGTCGCGGCCCGCAACCAGGCCGAGGGCTAGGATTGCAATACCAGCGTCAGCAAAAAGCCGGTAGAGGAATGAATGAAGATAGAGCTAGGCTAGGGGTCTCCTACATGTGCGACCGGAGGCATGGCGAACTTGAGACTGGGCACCGTGTCGTTGAGGTCTTGCTGCTCCTGCTCCGAGAAGACCTCATTCTGATGGTATGCCGGCCGGCTGTACCGCGCCACAAGTGTATCCATTTTGCCTTTTGTTTGCGGTTGGTTATGCGGGTATCGAAAAGCGATGGGGCGTCCAAGGTTGTATTTCGTGGGATGTGGTCGTCGAAAGAGGGCGGGGCTGCGTTGGACGGCGATGGGTGGGCGGACTTTGGCTTGAAGTTGGAGTTAGCGGGCAGGTTGGAGAGCTCAAGGCAGCTCCCAATGCACGCGTTCCCAGCAGCCTTGGGGCCCGAGCTTCTTGAGCCCCTCATGCCACCACATCCCCATGCCTATCAGGCTTGGCACTGAGTGGCACTCAACTGTCAGTCCGGATCAGGCAATTTGGGGCGAATACACACAACGCAGTAAACAAGAGATAAAATTGAACGATTTGGGTCCTTATCCCGAGGTGACCTTTCCCAAAAAAAATGTTGGATCTCAAGCAGTAAATGAAAACCAAACGCCAACTCCAGAAGGCGACCTCCCTGATTACCTAGATAGAGGTGGTTTTGATGGTCGGTCTTCCGGTGGTAAGTACCGAGGTCGGTGGCTTCCATCTTGCAGCTCCCGAAGCATGGTATTGTGATAGATTCTTCCCTATTTCCTTTTTTGTTCGCCATGGCTCCAACGGAAAATCAATCCCGGCCGCTTGGACTACTAATACTACAGCGGCCAGACAGCCCGTTCTTTGCCGTTATCGAGGCCATCGCCTCAATGACAAAAACCAACCCCAAATCAAGGTAACCGGTGGGTATTGCTTTAGCCTTGGACCCCCCATAAAATAAATCAAACCGTCCAAGTGAACCCCATGGCGGCGTGCTCGAGAATAGCAGCCAGAACCCGGAATAACAAAACCCGGTACCTGTAAAAGCAGACCCTGCTCAAACACCCCGAACGATGCATGTTTTCCCGTCGTGATAAACCGCGCAACTGGGCCTCGGGCTGCACCTGCAAATAGCGATACGGGACGGCCTCGTCGAGCCAAGGGTGGCGGCGACGGTGCCGCCCCGTGTCGCAGCCTCGAGGACCAGAACGCCCAACGCCTTTTTCGCCTTTTATTAATCGTACAAGCCTTGAGAACTCCTCGAATTGCGCCGAAGTCGATTGGTATTGAAAGCAGCCCCCCCCTGGAAAAAAACAACTTTGGTTAACAACACGCGGTCTCGCCACAATCACTTTTTCCACCCCACATTCCAGATGACGTGGGCAATGTCCCGGGCCGTATTTACCGTGTTAATGATTCGACCGATCATGCCATCGTCCGGCGGGGGGCCGGACACCGGCGCCTCGGTTGGCATGAACATCCCGGATGGAGTCCTATGCATGCCAGTTGGCTCGGGCGTGAGGCTGGTTGTGGATACCGACCGGCGCAAACCGGAGATGCCCTCGTTGTATTGGAGAGCCGAAAATGTGCCAGGCCGAATGTTGATCTTCTCTACGTTTTCGTCATCTTCATCGTCATCGTCCTCGTCATCTTCGTCGCCTGCGAAGAAGAGCTTTCCTGACTTTTTGGCCGGGCGTAGGGTTTCTTGAGATGACGAAGGCGACAATATTGGGCTCCTCAGACCGCCGCTAGCGCTATGCTTCAGGGCCGTATCTGTCGGACCGGGAGTATCCTCTCGATACTTCAGCGTGGTCGAAGGGAGCATGGCGATCGTTTTGCTCTCACAACCGTGGTTGTGGCTCTTCGTTTTCCGCAGTATCGGCCGCTTTTTCCTCGACCGTGTCCGCTTCATCATGATGGCTTCGTCAGAGTCGCTGTCGTCCCGATAGCGGCCCATATCGAGGTCATCATCCTCGTCGTCGCCTTTTACGTCGACCGCGATGCACTGGGAAACCCGCTCGTTGAAGTGGATGTGCTTCCTCCCTCCGTTCGGAGAAGCGACCCCGGAAGACCTTGTGGAGGGGAACAAGCCAGTGCCGTCGTGGCTCAACCCGCGCGACGAGAAAGGGAAGGTGATGTAGTCGGTGTTGGCCCGCTCGATGCCCGGGCGCCTGCCTATCCTCTTGATCCCCCCCTTCTGCTGGGCCTGCACCGCTGCGGCTGCCTGCTTCACGAGAGACGAAGTCGAAAGGGACCTCTGGAGCATGATTTCCGACATGCTTCTCTTCTTCAAGATGGGTTTCTTGTTGATGAATGAGTTCGACTTGGACAGCCTGGCGCTAGTAGAGTTGGTAGATGTGCGGTTCATCGTAGATGTGCCTGTCTGTAACGGTCCATAAAGCCATGTTACGTCATAGTCCTTGAGCCTAGGCAATGTTAACAGATCCACCCTGGGAAAGAAACAGAAAGATATCTGCATACCAATTCAGAGTCTCGGCCGAGACCGTGTCCAGGTTGTTTTTGGCTTTCATCCATGTCCTCCAAGACGCGTTTTCCAACCGTGCGGAATTGTTGTAATCGCCTCTCCTTGACACGATCAGCTTCCACGACGACCAGATATCCTCCTCGCGCCAGTCATGCGACAAATAGTCGACATGCCGGGAAGGCTGTGCCCGTACTGCGATGTCGTCCTCGGCTCTCTCGAGGCAGTCTGGGCTACCGGGTCTCGATGTCGCAGCGGATTCATTGTATCCTTCAATCGAAAAGCCGTCCGAGTCGCCGATCCGCGGACTCGACGGAGGTTCCTGGTTCCCTAGCCTGCCAAAGTAGCCCCCGTCATTGCCTTGTTGAAGAAAGACTTCGTCCGGCGTCGCAGATGGCTCGTCGCAGTCCGAGGCTAAAGAGAAGTTTGTGGCTGGCGTTGACGAGTCGGATAAGTACGCGGATTCGATAATCGTGGTCTGCGGGGACGACGGCGCCGAGGAAAGTGTTGACGCTGGCGAGGGTTGGGGATACGGATCGCCAAGTCGAGAAGTTGACGCTGAAGTGTGGAAACCCGAACGCCTCGTCCCAAATTTTGGTTGTGAATGGGAGCGGCGCAAAGACGGCGAGAAATAACTGTCGTCTTCTGTCGGGAGAACCACGGCCATTCTGGGAAAAGAAACCCCGGCGATCAATGGACGACTTGTCCAGATCACCTTTCAATCCTTCTCCAAAAGGACCCGAGGGAATCCGTCATAAGTGGTGGCGGAACGCTACCCTAGGTTCGATAGCGGGAGGCGATGCGCTGCGCCTGGGATGGGAGGACAATGCCGCCCTATTCTTTCAATCCTCTTTTAATGGGCGAGATAGCCGTTCGTTGGCTGGTGGAGCGTCCGTGACGGACAAAGGCGGTCGTCGGGACAAGGTGGCTTGTCCAGTTTCTTTAGTGTTGGGTTGAAGTCGTGTTCGACAAGATCGATCTTCAAGGCGAGCTACAGAGAATTATGATTAGAGCTGAAGCGAACAGGGCGCATGAAACGCGGATGGCCCGCGGGGGACAGGGAAAAAGAGGGGCAGCGCAGAAGCAACGGAAAGGGTGGCAGAATAGTCCAGGAAATAACGAGGTAGGATATATCTTCACTGTGCATCTCGCAGCAGCGATGTTCAGGAAGGGGGGGATCACGCAAGGGCCGGTGTGCGGGTAAGTACCCCGGCTCTTCAGAGTCTAGGCATCTCGTGCAGCTCAAGCGGGACGAGAGTTGCTCATGCCCACGGGGAGCTTCCAAGTCCTCGGCTCCCGTTGGCTAATGTGCCAAAACGTGGGATGCGTGCCGCAGAGGGGCGTTGATGGCCAAACGGGGGCGTGGATTTGGGGGTCCAGATGGGGGTTGCGTAGGCGCCAACACCTTTATCAACCAGGTGACGGGAAGAGAGCGTGTGATACTTTGGCGGGCGTATGGCAAACGGCGGATTGGCATGATCTGCCACGCCCAGAACGCCCACCAAACTCTGTGGAGTGCAGCGAAGCGAGAAGGCGACACGAATGCCTTCATTCGCTCAACCCAACCGGGAGTCGTCCCGTGACGAAGCCATTCAATTGGGTTATGTTTGATGAAAGGGAACGCAAGGCTGACAGGGTGAAAGGCAACGTGACCGACAACGCAGAAGGGCAAAGGCGAGGGAGTGGATGATGAACGTGACGGGCAGTAATTCGAATTTGACTTACAGTCGTAGGGTTGTTGATAGCTCCAACGAATAAGGCAGTTCTGGGCTAGCATCGACACGATGCACTCCGAAACTAGGCAGGGAGATAACGTAGGTTATTGGAAAGAGAATCCTTGCTGATGATTTCGCGTTCTCGGGGAGGAAAAAGAGAGAGTTTCGGTGCTCGTTGACGCCCAGGAGGGGAACTGGAGAGAGTTGTGTGATGCTCGAGCCATCGTCTGCTGGCCGTAAAAAGAACCAGAGAGGTGCCCCGAGAGCCTGGAAGCCTGGGTAGGGTAACGACTGCCCGTGGGCATGGACTGCTGCAGCTCGGTTGCGTGCGATGATGGACAGGGAGCGAGCAGAAACCGGGAAAAGGGCGTTCGTAAAAAGTTTGGGGCACGAAGACCTGTGCGGCTCCCCGGTGCCGAGAATTTGCAGGTGATTCAAGGCCTGAAGGGGCGTTCCAGGCCAGAGGTCACAGGTCGAGTGCCGGGGTCTGGAGCGGAGGTGGGGAGGCAAGAATGAAGCGGAAGAAATGTGTACAGATGATGCTACCAAAAGAACTGGCTCACCACCCGTTAAAATGTTAGTGTCTCTGGTCCGACATTTTTGGCTATGGGGTGGCGTTTTCCCATGGATGAATGGACTGCCAGGCCGAGGTGAGGCGCTCCACACTGAGCGTGTGACCCGTTCTGGCCACTGTCATTGCTTGGCTGGCGCCTCTTCGGTTGTTTGACAAGCCTTGCATCCATGGATCTGGCAAGTGCGAACATGGGAGCAAGAACGTTTCCAGCCAGCACAACCCGGAAAGCATGGATTTCATGGCGGGGAATTTCCCCATGATCCCGACCCAAATCAGTCGCTGCACCCCGAGCGCCGTGAGCAACTTGGCCTGCCCGTCTGCAACAAACACGGGTAAACGGCCGAAACATGGTGCCTTCCTTGGCTGCGCCCTTCTGGAATGATCCAATTCCGTGCCCACTTTCGAGCGATGCCAACGACAATGTTTTGTTTGCTCAGTGCAAATGGGAATTCCTCACCCTCTGCCTCCCCATCCAACTTGGCTATGCATAACTACCTAGGTACAGGGTAGTCTACTTGTGGAATGGGAAGGACTGCAGAACATCGGACGTCTCGGCCTTCGATCTCAAGGCACCGCGGCCAGAGCGATGCGTTTCGTCCGTTCGCAACCCACCTGCGGCTCTCTCACAGGCCCCGAATCCGTCAGGTTTCTGTTCCTCGCGAAATGATTTGCCAGAAGCTCAACATCCGGAAAGACGCATCCCTGTCCCTCTCCACCCCTTGACATCCGACATTGCAGCAAAAAAGGTCTTCTTCCCACACAGGCTTCATCCGAAGGAGGCAGGGCAAAGGCATGGAAGAGGTTTTTTCCGACCTCCTCTCAAGAATTCTCGCACAGTGCCCCAGCAAAACGACAGTTAACCAGGTCGCTGGCGGATGATTCGACATTGCGTGATTGCCCGGCTTGATCCTCAACTCCCAGTTTGCCCATGTCCGTTACGGAGGAATGGCCTCAAAATCTCCAAATTAGAAAGCTTCATGACGAAGACTCGTTTCGAATACCACACATGATCAGCCTCTAGCCATCTATCCTCCACCTGCCTTGGGGAAATAAAACAACGGCCTCGGCATCGTTCCACTCCCGGGGAGAGCAAGTATGATACTGACTAGGCGTCCCTATTTCTCCCGACTGTCTTCAGTTCCCCTAGTCTTTCTTATCGGCGGGGCAGGCACTCGGTGGTTTGCCCGACCATGGTCATACGAAGGACTTCGCACACAAATGCGTCCGGTTGGTTGGTGCGATCGTCAAGGAGTCTTGGGTGGGCCGTTTCCGGTCGTCGAAAACCAAAGCACCTACCGCCGACACAGTACTCCCCGGTGCACCTCACTCATACATTACCGGTGAGCGAGTCCCCCACCGACTGCCCGAGCGAGGTTGCTTTTCCTCCGTATCACCCAGCCCCGGAATCTCGGCAGCAAAAGCGGGTCGGCTGGATCTGGCACCGCGGGCAATGGGCTCCCCAGAGACGTTCCAGATCGATCTTGTTGACTTGCCGATGTCACTGCAGCACAAGAAGCGCCGATCTTCAGCCTACTGTGGAGCTTTGCTTGTGTCTCGGCCTTGGTTGACCCTTCTGCTGGTGGCGATAATCTCTTGTCAAAGTCGGCGTGCTGCAATGTCGATAATGGCACCATCCAAAAGCACCCTTTCCTAGGATCTGACGACTGTGTGTCTCGAGTGTGTCTATACTATGCGGCTGTGCATTGTATGTACAATGTATGTACATATCCTGGACGCAAAGGCTTGTTTACTCCCTGTGCGCCCGAGCAAATGTGGACACAACGGCAGCAAATCACCAGGGAGGAACACCACACGCTGATGCAAGTGAGAGCATGGCATGTATGTGCCCAGTTTCGCCCGCATAACGCCGTTGTCCCGCGGCTGCAGGTCAAGGTACCCGCCTCTTAGCTCAGGTGAGAGTCTTCTTGTCACGGCCAAGGGCCATTGTCCTTGGAATTCGTGCCTTGATAAAGTTGGACATCACCGTCTCCCTTGATTGTGATGTCTCTGGACCCCCCGTTGACCCTCGCATTCCTGTTAACTACGTGATCTTTCAGTCAAACGTCTGATAGCGGACACGCCGTTGTTTGCCCTAGCAACGTCAACACATGTACCCGACAACCCGACACCCAGATCGCCAAAAGAGCCATCATAGTTTTGCTATCGTCATAAGCCTTTAGCTGCCAATTACGACAATCAATGAGAGCGTCGCAAAACCAAGTTCAAGAGCAATCCTCCCTGTAGGTTGACTAGAGCGCTGACCGAGGGTGCATCGCCCCTCCTTCGGACCGAAGCGCAACTTACCGGTGAGCGGTACCATAGGTTGAAGCAATACACCCATAGCACGGTGCTCATATCAACCCCAACCTTCACCTCCCCCACCTCTGCAATGCCCTTTGTGTTACCCATCCTCGAGGTCGACCAGGTCTAGAGCCTGCTGTGCTGTCTCGGCACTGGCTGGTGATAGCCAGGGGTTTTCCGACCGCATCCACATTGATAACGAAATGGCACAGAGTGTGAGAGAGGATATCTCTACGCGCAAACTCATATCTCGACGATCGGGACCTCCATGTTGCATCTCGACATGGATCGGATAGGCAGAGGCTGCCAGCCGTGCCCGCATCCGACGGCCCCTCCCCCCATTCACTGATAGCTGAACCTTCAGGAACCCCATGCAGTGTGTGGCTCAGAAATCCCCGATGGAAACGAACGGCACCTTAGAGTGCGCCAAGTCGTGTCACACCATCGGCCTTGTGGACGATGTCAGATGCAGCTTTCATATCCCCGTCGCGGATTGAATATCCTTAAACGAACGCGACCACCCCATGTATGATATGGCAACCCCTGCCGTGGCGGGCTGCCCATCCACGCGCTGGAGCTGGGAACTCGACCGTTGTGACACATACATACACATATGCAAGCCATGCAGCAGGTGGGCAACCTCGATGCCATGCGGGCTGTGACTGGCTCTCGGTGCTTTCATCCTGAGCCTGTTGCTCGTCATAGACTCCAATCCACGGCCATAATCAGGGAATGCAACAGGCCATTGCAGAGCCAATTGACTTCTCACGGCCGTCTCCATGCTATCTAAGTGGCTGTCTGATGCATACACGAACGACGAACTCGAGCGACCGGGCCAGGACCCGGATACCACGCCCCCATTCCCTGCCGCCATCTGATAAACGACCACCAGTCACAAAAGAGCAACGGACATCGCCATCACCACCAAGCCAACCAACCAACCCGCATCCCAAGCACGCCGTACACAGTACCCTAACCCCTCGCGGCAAACGCAACCTCCCTCGGCAGCCGGAAACTGGCACAGTACATGCTCTTCGCGGGCGCCACGTCCCGCACGCGGTGCACGTAGACCAGCCCTTCCTCCTCGCCCGCCCTCGCGACCCCCCTCCGCCGCCACCGCCGCCACCGCCGCCGCTGCCGCGCCCGTCGTACTAGTAGTAGTAGCAGCAGCAGCACTAGCAGCACCAGCAGCTGGCCGGACGGCGAAGCCCAGCTCGCGCGAGATGCGCGCGCAGATGTCCAGCGCGGGCGTCTCGTCTGTGGCCTTGACGGAGAAGCCGTGGACGTGGATCATGGGGAGGGGCGGGAGCTGCGCGGTGGATGTGGATGAGGGGGCGGAGTCGGTGGTGGTGGTGGTGGTGGTGGTGGTGGTGGTGGTGGTGGTGGAAGAAGAGGGCGCGGCGAAGAGGGCCTCGCGCCCCGCGTACACGCCGCGGTAGCTCGACAGGAACTCGATGGCGGTCGCGGGCAGGTTCATGACGAAGTGGGAGATGGTGGGCGGGATGGGGACGCGTTCTTCTTGCGTGGCTGGGCGGGTGCGGGGGCGGGGTTGGGAGGGGGTTGAAGGGTCGGACGGGGTTGACGGGTCAGAGGGGGTTGGGGTGGCGCTTTTAGGCGTTGTTGTTGTTGGTGCTGTTGAGGATGGTTGTGGTTTTGCCTTGACGGTGAGCACGGCGCATTCGCCTTTTTGGTGCGCCTCGAGGACGGAGTCCGCGGCTTGGTGGATGAAGGCCCGGCCGTCTTCGCAGAAGGGGCGCACGAAGGGTGATACCTGGTGGCTGTTGTGAGTTGTTGAAAGTGAGGTGAGTAGGGGGGGGTAGTGGGAAGCGGGTTGGTTTGGCTAACCTTGTTTTTCTTAATGGCGGCCTCGAGACACTTGACGCTCTCGGGGTTCTTGTCGTTGGCCCAGACAAAGACGCGCTTCTTGCCAGCGGGTACGGCAAAGGGCCCGATGCCGGCCATCACGTCGCAAACAACCTCGCCCGGTCGGAACATGTTGATGAGCCGGCGATGCTCCGACTCGAGCTTGCTGTTCCAGTAGACCTTGGAGTAATCGAACTCAAAGATACAGTCGCTCTCGCTAACCTGCACGTTCAAGTCGTCAGGGCCGGCTAGGACTTCGTACTGGAACGTCCTGAACTCGGACTCGGACCCAACATTGTCGACCTTGTTGATGACGGTCTTGATTTGCGGGTTCTTGTCGAGAATAATCTCGGCTACTATGTGCTTGTATGGGATGTAGTTATCTCGCAGGTTGAGATGAGCTAGGCTCGTTAGTGGCCGTCGTCGTGGTGCAGCGAGGGGGGGGCGACAACTTACCAACATGACCAGCGATATTAAAGCCTGAAGGAACCTCGTCGTGGAGTTCTTCCGGCAAGATCGAAGTCATTACATCTCCTAGGGGCCGGTTGAGTCAGAGCACAGAGTGAGGGTGGGGTTAGTTTGTGTTCGTTCTTACGATAAGTCCAGTAATTGTAGTCGAGCTGAAGCTCATAGGGGAGAACAGTCAGGTCCTGTTTCTCGACGCCATCTTTGAGTACCGGACCCCAAGTTTCGGGGGCTGTAAAAACGAGAAAAGTCAGCACTCATGCTCACAGTCCTAAGTATTCGACGAAATATCCAACCTTCTGCCCTGACACTGGGATTCAGAAGCAGACACTTCCGCCCCTGCTTGGCCAGTTCCTTGTCCGGATGGGAACAGATGGGAGATATCCTGTCGGCATATAGGATTTCCTTGCCGGTCTCAAACGGCTTCCGGTATTTTGAGATGAGTTTGTTGTCCTTCAGAGCGGCGGCGGCGATGGCGATGGGTTTGTTAAAGAGGGCGCGATTGAGAGCCGCGGTGCCTGAGCGGACAATAGGGCACCGGAAAACGACCATATCCCCTTCCACCTCGTAGTTCTTCCCCGGCTCACTCATGGTTGTTTAATGTGAGTCCACGATCGTGTTCTATGACTGAGACGGGTTCTTGTTACTCACCTATCAAATTAGGCGAATCGAACTTGCAGATGGGGTTACGAAGAGCGCAGAGTTGAACGAGACCCGCCGAAAAGATAAACTAGCCAATCAAATGCGAGTGTTCTCCAAGTTCAGATGAACAAGTCCGAGTCTCCTATTGTTGTCATGCCCCTGCCGTCCCATCTCGTCGTATCAACGTAGGTGTTGTTCACACATTGCCGTGTGTTGAAGCCATAGTACCCCGTGCTGTCACCCCCGAGGCCTTGCAACAGCCTGATTATACGAGTGAAAGTGAGTTCGTGGAAGAGGAATCGTGTAAAATCAAGACACCGATGTATTGATAAAGAAACTGGCAACCCCCTTTGGTCTATAGGATGTGTAGGGGGATGCCGCTTGTATCGACAGAAAACGCCTCAAAATTTCAACTTGCTCTAGAATCCCTAACACCCACACCTCACATGCTCAAAATTATCTCCCCTTCCGCATTTGCGCCTCAGCAAAATTGCGCAGCCCCTTATAAAACACCTGGTACCCGACGCCCTGGTTGTCCCTGACGTGGAAGATCTCGGTGAGGCGGATCTGCCACGGCGGGTAACCGGCGAGCTCGACGTGGGGGCTGAAGAGGATGAGCAGGTCGGGCTCCGACATGACGCTCTCGGTCAGCTCGGCGTCGACCAGCTCCGGGGTGATGTCGGCCGGGTTGAGCTTCTTACGCTGCGACATCTCGGCCAGCGTCTTGGTCAGGTCCACCATCGAATCCCGCCCGTCCTCGGCCGAGATGAGCACGATCGAGATGTGCTTCCTCGGCTCCTCGTCCTCGTCGCTGCTGCTGCCGCTGCCGTGGTGGTCTCTCCCGTCGAAGAGGGCGTCCGACTCGAGAGGGGGGATATGCGGCGCGCCGAGGCTCACCGTGGGGTGGTTGGGCCCAAAGTAGGCGTGCATCTCTTGAGAGATGGCCTGGTGAGTGTCTTTGAGGTAGCCCTTGAGAATGCCTGTCTAGTGGTTAGCTGCGCGTCCTTGGGCTGTTTTCTTTCCCTCACGTACCCGTCTTCTCGTATATCGACAGCTGGGGAATGCCGGCGCTAGCGCACCATGCCGCAACATTGGTCACCTCGTTGATCAGCTTTTCCAGCCCTGCACCGCTCCGTCGCTGGTCCTCCAATGTCAGGATAACACTCAGGTGCTTCGGTAGCCGGCGGAGCCCCTTGACGTCGCGCCGTATCAGCTCGGGGGTGCGGTGGTGGTGGTAGTAGACCAAGTGTATCCGGTTCGCGACCGCATGGTAAGCCTGTCGGATGCGGATGTAGAGCGAGAAGAAAACGTGGATCAATGTGAAGACGAGGACATGGTATTGGCGTCGCAGGAAGCGTCGGACGCCGAGCCTGGCCTTTTGTTCGTTTTGTGTCTTCGAGGTGCCCTTTTCCGTTCGTGATCGAGACCTAGAACGCGACGGTGGTGAAGGGAGGTAGGGCTGTCATCCATTCAGTATTAGAAGAATTCGGGATCTGCGCTCTGGCTTCGAGGGCGTGTGTCTGCACGTACCCGGATCAGCCGTAGCCGTTCCTCAGGCGTCATGAGCTTATGGCCTAGACGTTCATCGCGCCGGTAGGCCTCGAGCTCTGAGGCGAAGGGCATACTATCGGCCTGGTGCTGGGTGTAATGGCTTATGCGAGTTGTCTGGAGCTACGTTGTTGCGTCGGATGTTTCTTCGTTTCGCGAGATTGAAGGTTGGTATTCGGTTGGAGGTCGACCACCAGCAACAAAAGCGGAAGTTGAAAGTGGGAAAAAAAAGATGACAATGGTCTGATCCTCACAATTCAATAATTGAGACAACTTGGAAGTGCAGTGCTCGGCATTGCAAGAGCTGGCTCCTTCATCGCCGCGTCACTGGGAGGCAGTGAACAGGCAAGCTGTGAACAATGTCGTATTACAGGCTCCTGCCATCCCTGTTGTCATCTGCTGGTGCTGACTCGAGGCGTATTTACCGTATCAAACTCCAGCAGCCAAGCCTAAAAATTCAGGGAATGACGGCATCCATGTGGCTCGATTTCTCGAGATGGATGGCACTGAGCTCCCCCACTGGAATCGACCACTAACATCCCCGCGACTTGTCTGACCCCTGCCCGCCGCTCATAGCAGCACGGCACCGAGTCCCCGCCAGCCATCACGAAATAGCATTTCCAGTATCCCCCAACCGTCCGAGGTTCGCCATCCCGATTCGGCATCCGAAAACTACACGCGAACGAGGGCCGATCCCCATGCACGCCCGAGAGAGGTGACGACAACAGGTGTGGCCATGGAACGCGACGGGTCCAGCGCTTCGAGGCCCCTCTTCCCCCAGGGACCCAGTTTCACCCTCGACGACTTCTCCAACAAGGACTTCATCGTCGGCGATTTTGTTGACTCGCTCGCCGAGGCTGCTATCCCCGTGAGCCGCCGTTCCGGTCCGGCGCATCATGCCTTTGATCCAAAACCGTTGATTAGGGGATTCGAGAGTGAGGCCCCGCGTTCTCTATCTGCGTGCCAACTACGCTGTCTCCGGTTTGGGCCTTGTGACATCTAACATTCCTGTCCGCAGACGCCCTGGGGCGGTTAAGTGCACTCTCGGAGGAGCTTCAGGAAAAAGAGTCGGAACTTCTCTCGCAAGTTCGCCGTGCCGAGATTCAACATGACCAGACTCTCGAGACCCTGGGTCGCAAGCTCGATCAGTCCATGGATCAATTCGAAGCCCTCGATTTAACCCTCAATAATCCGGGCACGACCGCCAATGGGAACAGCCGCGCAGATGGTGGAGGGAATATTGCCGTCCAAATCGGCGAGAAACTCGAGGAGCTCGACAGGAAACGGAGGAAAGCGCAGGACGCCAACTTCCTGATCCAGTGCTGGATGGAGGTGATGGAGACGGGCCAGCTGACGTCGCTCGAGGAAATACAGCGCCAGGGGGGCGCCGAGAACAAGGTGCGATGCGCCGTCATTGCACGCCAGTTGATGCGCATCAGCCAGCGTCTCGACCTAGCATCATGGGGCCAGTCGACCAACGGGTTTCGGGGTAATGGGGTGACCAACGGTGTCACGGGTACGAACCGGCGCCACAACACGAGGGAAGCTCTCGAGAAGTTCTCGGAGCTGTTGGAGCAGGATCTGCTCAAGCAGTTCAACAACAGCTACCGCCGCCAGAACTTTGACGATATGATGGAGTGCGCAAGGGTGCTCCACGACTTCAACGGTGGCGCCAGTGTCATCGCTGCCTTTGTCAACCAGCACCAGTTCTTCATCGACCGAGACCAGCTCATCACAGATGAGGTCACTACCGATGGGGAGACGTGGGATCAGCTTGCCGACCCCGACTCGGACCCGCCAGGGGTCGAGCCCAGCCTGCAATCGCTCGTCGACGAAGTCAAGATTGTCATGCAGGAAGAGTCCTTCATCATTAAGAGGGCATTTCCATACTACGAAACCGTCCTGATAAAATTCATACAGCGCGTCTTCCAGCAATCCATCCAGCAGAGGTTGGAAATGGTCCTAGACAAGGCGACCACCATCTCGAGCCTGGCGTTCCTCCGCTCGTTACATTCATCGCGCGCATACATTAGCGCCCTGGTCGAGGACCTCAAAACCCACGGCCTGACCGAACACCCCGAGCCCTGTTCGGCACAAATATCCCAGACACTGGACCAGCAGTTGGAAGAGTTGTTCGTCCCGTATCTGATCGGCAACTCGTACATTGACCGCGAGCGGCGGAGCCTGGAAGAAATGTACAACTCGCTGCTCTTCAAGTTTACCATCTACCACTCAAGACGAAAGAAGACACCGACCGGGTTCATGGCTGCCATCGCCCAGCAAGGCACGCAGCTTATTGCGTCGGCGAAGGACGCCTACATGGAACGGTTGGACTCGTCGGATCTCACACCCACCCAGAAGCGGATCATGCTTCGGGTCGCCGGCGTGCAAGACAACAGCAGCAACAAGAACGACATCGAGGTGTCGGAACAGGACGGTATCCTCAGTGTCGCCTACGCTAAGCGCATGATCGGCTGGCTAGCCGAGAGCGTTCGCCGCACCCTCGAGATGGGCTCGGCTAGCGAGACGCCCAAGGACGTCAACGTCCTCCTTAACCTACTCCTCACAACAATGGGCCAGGTTTATGTCGAAACCGCCCTCGACGCGGCCCTCGACCAGGCCACATCCCAAGAAAACTCGAAATCCGAACCCGACCTCTCCTACCTACCCAACCTCCGCCCGGCCGTCACCATCACCAACCTCATGTCCCGCTTCATCACCACCGTCCTGATCCGCCTCGCCGAGGCCAACACCACGGTTCGCCGCAGCATGGAAGCCCAGTCCAAGATGGCCATCGAGGCCACCGAGCGCAAAGCCAACGCCGTCATCAAGTCCACCCTAGACGTCGCCCTCAACTGGACCACCAAGCTCCTCGCACAACAGAAAAAGCCCGACTTCCGCCCCAAAGACAACGACCTCGAAGGGGTAGTCGAGGCCCTGCAAACGCCGACCTGCCAGGCCATCACCACCTTCCTGGCCTCCAAAGTCGCGGCCGCCGCCCGCCAGGCCGTCGACGGCCACAACCTGGAGCTGTTCTCGTCCGAGCTCGCCCTCGCCGTGCACCGCCTGCTGTTCGAGCACTTCAAGAAGTTCCAGGTCAACGCCACCGGCGGCCTCATGGTCACCAAGGACATCGCCAAGTATGTGTCGACTGTCAAGGACTGGCCCCTCACCAAGGAGGTCGAGCTCGGCCTCGAGCTGCTCACCGAGGTCGGCTACCTGTTCATCATCGGGCCCGAGGCCCTCAAGGAGCGCTCCCGCAACCTGGCTGCCGGCTCCGCGGGTGCGGGTGGCGGGAAGCGGCTGGGGAAGGCCGACTTTAAGGCGTTTGTGCAAAAGCGGGAGGACTCGTCGAGTGCGGGTGTGCAGGGTGTTTTGGCGGGGTTGTAAATATGAAAAAAAGGGGTGGGAGGTCACGGTGGGGAGGGAGGGAGGCAGGGCTGTTGTTCAAAACGGCTTTTCTTGTTTATGGGCTGGGTGGGTTGCAGCTATGTATGTAGTGCTGCCTATCGTGTGGTGGTTACCTGTTGGGTTGCTTGTTGAATGATACCAGTGTGCTTCGTTGGCCGCATGTTGCTCTTGGCCGCGGATTCGAGAGTGTTGGTCTAGTGAACGTCAGATCTGGTATTCATTACTCCGTGTATGCGATATATTTTACACCTCTTTCTAATCGTACAGGGACTGGTAGCCCCAGTTTTGGTTTCGTTTCCATCGTACATGGACAGTACAGCTTATCTTCGTCCGAGGCTGGGGACCCGAGGAAGCCTCAGGCGTGGTGGGAGCATCCCAATCACGCTTTCTTAACCCTTTGCTGTCCACTCCCGTTCTATCCGCATACATGCCCCTCTAGATCTTCTTCAAAAGCCTCACATAAATCTTGTTCGCATGCACATTCACATTCGCCAGCTCCACCTCGAACACATCGCCGGTTTTCACATCGCCGACCCTCGCGACGCCCTTCATATCCGCCAGCTCAACGAGAGCCAGCTGGTCGAACCAGTCGATCCGCCCCTTGAGGGAGCGCCCGGCGGTGACATCCGAGACGGTGAAGCGGAACGACTTGGGCAGCGGCGGCGACCCGGCCGAGGTGTCTCCGAAGCGCCACGCGCGCACCAGCGCCTGCAGGATCCACTGGCTGTTGCCGTCGACGTTGTCGATCAGCTTGCCGTGGCGCTCGCGGATGCGCAGGCGCGGGAGCACGGTGTCGTCGAGCTGCTTCTTGGAGAAGGGGAGGAAGGCGAGGGGTTCCTTCTTTGATGTCTTGCCGTCGGCCGAGGGAGCGGCGGCCTCGTTGCCGATGTTGCCGGCCACAAACTTTCTGACGGCGAGAGACTGGTCGCGGCGATGCTCTTCCAGGATAGCGGCCTCGATCTGCCAGTGCACGAGCAGATCGGGATAGCGGCGGAGCGGGGATGTTACTTTGGTGTACAGGTCCAGGCCCATGGACAGGTTGGAAGCCGGGGTGGTTGAGATGTCGTAGCCACCCACGAGGCTGCGTAGCGTGTGCCAGTCTTCGGCCGGCGGGTTCTTGCCAGCCGCCAGCTGGGGGTGGAAAACATCGCGGTTGAACGCCCGCAGCGCGTCCGAGTTCTGGCCGGCAAGCAGTTGCAGGCGGTAGGGGATGGGGATTTCCCGCTCGTAGCACCACCGAGCGCCAACTTCACCAGCCAGCTGCATCAAACTGCTGACAAGGGAGTTGCCTTGGCCACCGTATACGACACGAATGTACGGGTCACCGCTGTAGAATGCCGAATTGCCGTTGGTTGCCCCCGGCGTAACCCCATCTAGGGAGACCACAGCCTTTGGTTTAGGTAGGAAGGCGGGGGTGGCTCCATTGTCCAGGCGAACGCGCTGAATAGCCCCGGCTAGCTTTGATAGCGTCTTGAGTTCACTTGTTTGCCCTCTTGATAAACCCCCAGGGGTGGTCATCCTTCTCACCGGCGAAGCATCCTCAACCGGGCGAGTCCCGACTTCGAGAACATCAGGTCGCAAAGCTGACGGGTCAGCGTCGCCCACAACTGAGGACACGTCCTCGGGGGTGATGTAGACGACATCTCGCAAAATCCCGGGTGTTATCTTGCTATCGAGTAGACGGCCGCTCTCGTCGACTCGAGCGCTGAAGGTGAGGGTAGGTTGGTTGGGGCCTAGGGAAAAGGTATCTCGGACGTCGTCGCGGTCAAGCATGCGTTGGTAGAAGCCGGCCAAATAGCTAGTTTGCGCTTTCAAGGCCCCTTGCTTGGCGATTTCGTGGTCGGGGGAGATGCGGGAGGCCGGGTCAGCGACGTGGATGTGGATCCAATACTCCCCGTTGCCCAAGGCTTCGAGCGAGATTCCGTCGTCGACGTCGAGTGTGTCGGCCGCGTCTATGCAGTAAACCGTCGAGCGAGCGAAATCCTGCCGAAGCTCGGCAAGCCGGTCTGGGCCAAGCTCAGCAACCGCGGCTTCAGATGCCGTGTGCGGCAGAAGACCGATGTGCCGGTCGAGCTTTTGCTCCGGGAGGCGCAGAGCATGGCGGGCGCTGACGTCCCAGGGTGGAATCCAACCTATCTCCTGCAAGAAGGTCCAGCCGGTAGTACTGTCGAGCATGGCATCGTCATAGCGGCCGACGGCTCGCAAGACAGAGGCCCCGATCCAATGGTAACGCGAGCCAGAACGCAACCCGTCCGTTGCCGCCCAATGCTCCATGAATTTGAGGATGGCGAGACTAGTTTCGGTCCAGACAGGGACCTCCAGCGTAGAAGGCGCGGAACCGCGTTGCTCCGACGGCCCTATCATACCATACGGCGACCACTTACGGTCTTTGCGAACCTGGTCGATCATGTCGCGAGCCTGCTTCAGAAAAGCAGTGAACTTGGCTGGAGTCGGTGCAGAACGGCCCTTGTCGGACCCGCTCTGGCCACCAATATATTCGTAATAACCACGGACAAGTTGCTCGATTCGGGTGACGTTTTGCTGGACTTCGGCCGAGTGGAAGGCAAACATGTAGGATTCGCCGTGGCGGGCTCCTCGGTCGAGAGGGCGGAAAGCGACGTCGCCGGCATCGAGGACGGAATAGACGGCGTACAAAGCCTCGGGGGGAAAGGCCCCCTTGTTCCGCTTGAGGCTGAGAGGAAGCAGCGCGTCGGCAATCTCCCTTAGGCTGAGCAGCCTCTCCTCCTTCCCGAGTTGCTTATCGGCGAGACTCAGTCTCTCGACATAGGTCTGGTGGATGTTGCGCGAAGCAACCTGGAATTTGTGCATCTTGCGAATCAGCGAGGCAGCAAGGTCGCGGGAGGGGCCGATGTCCTGGAGAGCGTTGAGCTCAATGCTAGAGGGCGACAGCGAAGGAATGGCCTCCACAACGGCGTGTAGCTCGGCGGGGTCATCGATGAAGTTCTTGACGACGAAACCGGTGCGGAGGGATCGGCTTGTGAACCACTTGCCATTATTGGCGTAGAAGTGGTGGTAGCCTTCAAAAACACCTAAGCAGATAGCTAGAAGGCGGATCTTCCACGATTCCGAGCTGACTTCGACAAGATCCCCAGCCTGAAGCACGGGGCCGCTCTGGCTCAGGTCGACCATGTCGGCGGCATCGAAGTGCGCCCTTGTGGCCTCGTCATCCATTGTGGCGACATCTAGGCTAAACCCAACCTCGCCCCGGGCCTTGGTGAATATGTTGCCGACTCTGCCATCGGTGGGTTCATCGGAGGGAATGGCCGCGGGGCGACCCGGGTTTTGGGCCTCCCATATCCTAAGCTGCTCCCGGATGTTGCTCTGCTCGGAAGATGAACGGAGGGTGCGGGCCCTGTTTGCCCAGTCTAATGTCAAATCGGCAGGGGGATCAGAAGCCGTCTCAGACACCGTTGCGGAAGCCGGAGATTCGGTAGACACGGATCGGGACTGCGACCGGTCGGGGTGGGCAAGGTGGGGGAGATATCGGTGTCGAAGCAACACCGGTGCTCCTCGGGCGGGCGTTGTCGATGCCAATGCCGAAAACGCTGCGGTCGCCGATGGAGTTCGCCGTGGAAGTAGTGCCCTCTCTGCTGGTCTCAGAGAGAGACACCTCCAGCAGACATAGTTCTGGCTGCTGCGTCGCATCATCTTCACTCTCGGCACCTGGGTAGGTAGGTCCCTTGGGGTTAGGTATGCAAAAACGGCGGACCACCATGGACGGAATACGCCGCTAACCAATGGCGCTGAAAATTTCTCGGTGTGCGCGTTGCAGTTCCAGCTCCCCCACTAAAACGCGCCCTCAGGTGATTCGACACGTTGGGCTCTTGGCGGGCATCTCGCAGCCCTAACCCTTGCCTGCACATTCCATACACAGTCTTCCCCGGAGTGCCCAACACTGAAAGCCACGGAACGTGCCAGCCTGCCAAGTTCACTCGCAGTCATTTCTGCCGGGCTCGATCTGAGCCTTGCTGGGCCTGGACCGCACTCCCCGGCTCGACCATCGTATCCAAAAAGGGGTTCGATTCTCGTCAATGATCTGCGCCGTCTCGATCCGTCTCTCGATCTGTGCATTGACTGACGCCAGGAGATGCAACCGTCTTTCTGGATGATGATCAGCGTTTTAGCGTTGTGAATGCAAAGACGGGCATTTCAGTGCCGACATTTCGCGGTGAAGATTGCGCTCCAGGAGTCCACTTCTCTCGAGTCTTCTTCAGCACGAGACCGGGGGTGCGTGGTCTGGGAGTCTGGGTCTGGCGGCTGGCGAGTCTGGCTCTCTGGGTCGTCAAACGTTGCACGGTTCCTTGCATGGATGCCCAGGTGGTTCCTGAATTTGGGCCCACAGCCAACTCAGCTGCAGGTACGAGGTCCCCACACCTCTCTCGTCCATTTCCCGACTGCGTTTCCGACTTTGGTTGCATCTCCGGTTGCCGTTGGCCGGGATTGCTGCTTGGCCTGTTCAGGCAAAGCTGGTTGGGATAAGATTGGAGGCATTGGCAACAGCAAACAAACACGACGTCTTTGTTTCCTGGGCAGCGGAACGGTAAATGAAACCCCTCTCTCAATCTGTAGGCTGGGAAGATTCGAGAGAAACGGGTGTGGTGGTGGTTCTGTACCAACTGGTGACAATTTAACGTTAGCTAATATCGCTTATTTCATTTCCCTCACCGGCGCCGCAGCCACTCACCGCGCACGCTTTTCTTGCCGGTTCCGACCACCTGCGCTTAGTGTCGAATCGGGGGCTTGGACTTGGACAGTGTGCGAGGGAAGCTGTTGTCGCGGCCTCACTCTCCCTTCTGTCAGAATTGCAACCTCCTTTTTAATCATGGCTGCCCTCCATTCCCAATTTGCCAACAATGTGCCACATCAGATGAACCAACAATCTTGGGATAGCGCTAACTAACGCAAGCTTGACGGATCCCAGGTCCTCGGGGATGCAGCTATGCCGGGGACCAGGCACACTGCAGGAGTTAGCGCCCAAGTTGAAGAAAATAAAAACGGTACTTCGTAACAACAATGGATCCATGCCCGAGTCGTGTTGATCGGTGAAGACAGGAGGGTGTTTTGCACAGGCCGCGAGAGGAATCCGCCCTAGCCGTCCCCCCCTTCGGTGGTTTCCAGGCGTGAGGCGACAACGTTTTCTCGGCGAAGTGACCCTGCTAATGAGGGACCCACATCCGAGTTCAGGGGGTCCCACCACTCGCCAACCCGAGCACACCGCCAGCGTTGGAGCTGGTCTGCAGCTTGATTCGGCAGACCCCGGCATCCTCAGGGCGCAATCCCCAGTGCGCCAAGGAGCAGGCCCCGGCGACTGCATTCGTACTAATTACCGCCCTCTCTCCCGTTTCCACCGATTTGTTTCTTTGCTTCCCCCCTTTCCCCCGGATTGTCAATGGTGATATAGTCGCGCTCGAGAGCATCAATTCGTGCTTTCGTCGTTCGTTACTTTCCATTCCACACCACCGCTTCACTCCTTTAGCGGGCATTCGTTACCCAGGACGCCAGGACAACAACAAAAACAAAGAAAACCCGACTTTATTTCTAATCGGTGCATTCGGAATTCAAGATGAAGGCAACTGTTGTGGCCGCTGCTGCGGCGATCCTCGCCGGTGGCGCCAGCGCCAGCCGTGCCCATGGCCACCGCCACGCGCACGCTCTGTTCGAGAAGAGGGGCGAGGCCGCCGACGAGGTCTGCACTCCGGGCTGCAGCACCATCTACTCCACCATCACCGGTGAAATCACCCGTATGTGTTGCCCCGTAGGCGAAGCGGAAGAAGAGAAAGACGCGCAAGGATAGACAGATGTGCTAACACAACCATGCAGTCCTCCCTCCCGCCCCCACGAGCACCTCGGTCGCACCCGAGCCCACCACGACCGGCCCCATCACGGTGCCCACGCCGATCCCCCAGACCTGCCCGACCCCGGGTACCTACACCTTCCCCGCGACGACCATCGTGGTGACGGAGACCACCACCGTCTGCGGCGGCACTCCCACCGAGGTCCCTAGCGGCACCCACACCCTCGGTGGTGTGACCACTGTCGTCGAGACCGCCACCACGGTTGTCTGCCCTGTGGCCACGACCGAGACCCAGGATGGCGTTGTCACCAGCGTCATCAAGACCACCACCTTCGTCTGCCCCTCGGCCGGCACCTACACGATCGCCCCGATCACAACCGTCGTGCCCACCGCCACCACGGTTGTCGTTCCCGTCGTGGAGACCTACTGCCCGGGCACCTACACCGCCCCTGCCGTTGTCACCACCGTCACCGAGACCAACGTGGTTGTCTACTGCCCGTTCACCTCGGAGAACCCCGAGCCCACCCTCCCCCCTGCTCCCACCTCCACCCCCGAGGAGCCCAAGCCCGAGCCCCCGGTTGAGACTGAGACTCCCACCCCGTCTCCGTCTCCCTCCCCGTCCCCTATCCCGGGCCCTGGCCTCGGTAGCAGCGGTAAGCTGTGGGCCATGACCTACACTCCGTTCGCTGAGACCGCCGACGGTGGCTGCAAGAGCGCCGAACAGGTCATGGAGGATGTTGGCAAGATCGCCACCGCTGGCTTCACCACCCTCCGTGTCTACTCGACCGACTGCGACACCCTCCCCAACGTTGGTGCCGCCGCTCGTGCCCACGGTCTCCGCCTCATCGTCGGCCTTTTCGTCGGCCAGGTTGGCTGCGACAACGGCAACCCGTCGATCAATGAGCAGATCGAAGCCCTCAAGGAGTGGAAGGAGTGGGATCTCGTCGACCTTTGCGTCGTCGGTAACGAGGCCCTGTTCAACGGCTTCTGCTCCGTCTCCGAGCTTACCAGCCTGATTGGTCGCACCAAGTCGGAGCTCGCCAAGGTCGGCTACAACGGCCCCTTCACCACCACCGATGTTGTTTCCGCCTGGACTGACAACGACGTCTCGTCCATCTGCGAGGCCATTGACGTCGTCGCCACCAACGCCCACGCCTACTTCAACTCGGCCACCGACCCCTCCGACGCCGGCAAGTTCGTCGCTGGCCAGCTGTCCATCGTCGAGAAGGTCTGCGGCAAGCCCGGCTACGTGATGGAGACCGGCTGGCCCTCGGCCGGTAAGTGCAACGGCATCGCCTGCGCCGGCGAGGCCGAGCAGCGCGCCGCCATCGAGTCCATTGAGCGCGAGCTTGGCAACAAGGTCGTCTTCTTCTCCTTCCGCGACGATGCCTGGAAGCAGCCCGGTGACTGCAACTGCGAGCAGCACTGGGGGTGCGCTAGCGTCTGGGGTCTCTAAGTTTCTTAACTTGATCGTGGTCCGCGGGTTTCTCCCATCCGCGGCCAGCTCGTCTGCCTCAATCTTCTGAATATATAAAAACATGTTCAGCTGCCAGCTACCCTCGTCCCTGATCTAAGCGTGTATATATCCTACCATATCCCCTATTGTTGGACTGCAAGCGAACATATACATCCTTACCGGGCGAGAGCAATGACAAAAGGCTGCAGTTGGCACCCACAGACGCTCAGGGCAGTGTGATGGTGTCTTGTCTGGCAGAAGAGTTTATGATGTCGGCTATGATTGATTTGACCGGGTTTCATTGCGTTTCCCATTCATAATGTTGTAATTTATTAAACCTAGTGTTCACGTTTCGATCAATTGTCGGGAACAAGTCCCCTTCGTCCATAAAACACTGCTGGCTCGCTCTGTGCCCAACCACCAACCTTGCAATGGAAGTTCTCCCCAACCACACCCTCTGCCTCCCACCCTTCACTAACTATCCCGTTGTTCGTCCTTCGAACGCAAATCACGCCCCGGCAGCATCGGTCAAACCAAGTTTTCCATGTCGGCCCGCCAACTCACTGCTCACATGTCTGTGTGACAGTGACACGAAACACCAAGCTGACAGACACTCAAGACCCGTCAGTTCTAAAAGGGTCCCCACGTGGTCGTGCAACACAGTACCCGTCCATCTCTCGTACGACGCATCACGAACACGAACGACCCACGGATTTGTCGAGGGGGTTGGACAGCGGATCGGGCCCCTCTTTCTTCCCTTGCTTCCAGAACCGCGGGAGACCTGGCGGGCAGGTCAGGGGTTGGGATGTGTACATTGCCCCCTATTTTACGTGGTGGTTTGTCTGGGGAGGGTTTGAGGTAATGGGAGTTGAAATCACTCAGTGTTCGAGATGAAAAACCTAAGACTAATCAACATGTCTCATGCTGTCTTATTCCCCTTTCTGTGTTGGGGGGGATGAGAGATTGCCGTTTTGTAGCTTGGGAGTGACAGACCCGGAGTAGTGACTCGGCGAGAAGGCCGTTCGTCACACAAAAAGCCGGCGCCCGAGTCGGTGTCACAACTCCCATGGCTTCCATAACCAACCCATTTCATCTTGTGGTACCACATAACCGACACTGACACGCGACTTATGCAGGAACTCAAATCATTGCCCGAAAAGCCGGGCCGCCGCCGTGTTGAAAGAGGAGCTGTCCTAAACTCTGTAGAATACAAGCCCATACCAAGAAACGACGCCGAAATCGAAGCGAGGTAAAAACAGAGGCAGATTCGTATACAGTGCCCCAACGTAAATGTTGTGATATATATATCCCCCACGTACTCAATCATAAACGTAAACGTAAAGTCTCCAAGAGTCGACCCGCGAGTCCTCATATCCAAACTCCACTCATTTGGGGCGTAAACGTGGCCGTTCATCGTTGCCCCAACTCCAGACCCCTCAGAAACGCCTTAGTAACGAATGTTGAATCCCCTGCGTTTCTGGGGTGGCCTGTAACCAGCCCGACGCGGCCATCGAACCCCATAACCCCTGGTATCTGCCGTCCCATGTCGACCATAAAGAAGAAGCGTTGGGCTAGCTGATAAAACCCAACAACAAAGGCTCCGCCAAACCTCCTCTTGTATCCAAAAAGGCAGTAGCCCTGGGTTGTATATATATGTGATATCGTTTACCATGACCTCTCTGTCATCCCTCCGTCGTCATGAGCCGTATGGTCTCAAGCCAGACTTCGTTGCGATCGTTGCTCGGCCAAACACGTTCCGATCAATACCCGCATCGTCCGGGATCGAAGCACCCTAGGTAGGGCCAGCTTCGACTTTTTTGGCACGCAGCGTTTGGCTGCTTGGCCGCTTCACCGCACCAAGTGTTCGAACCGGCTGCCGGCTTGCCCTCGAGATGGTTCACTCGCGTCACAAAGACCACCCCCCTCAGAACGGGTCCATGTCCGCATGAGCAGCGGCGCGCCGCCGGCTCCTGCTCACGTGCCTCTCCTTGGTGAACATGGACCGCGGCCAGTCATCAGTGACGGGCTCAGCCTCCGAATTCCACGTGAAATCGCCCCCTTGGCCGCCGCACCGCTCCAGCTGCAGGACCCCTCCGCGGGCGCGGTCGCAGCACAGCACCATGAGGTCCTGGCCGCCGTTCTCGAACGAGATGCCGCCGAGCTCGCCGAAGACGTCGACCGTCTGCTTGGAGCGGAAGGTCTGGGCGTCGATGACGTTGACGAAGTCGGCCTCCTCGGCGGCCACGAGGACCCGCTTCCCGCTGCCGATGGGCGAGAAGCGCAGGCTGCGCGCGCCGGCCATCTCGCTGCGTATGGTGCACACCGGCGCCGCGTTGCCCGCGCTGTCGGTGAACCGCCGGGCGTCCCATATCTTGACCGTCTTGTCCTGGAACGCCGTGGCGATGGTCCACCCATCGTCGGCCCAGTCGCAGGCGAAGCCGTAGTCGCGGTGGCCGGATAACCTTTGCAAAACGTCCGGTTGGCCGTCTGGGCGTGATGACTCGGCGGCCGTGATGATCACGTCGAGGCTGTCCCCCACCATGACGCGGAGCCGTCCGTCGGGCGACAGGGCGGCACAGTTGGGCGCGAAGTCGTGCGTCTCTTCCGACACCCAGGTCTCGGTGGTAAGATCCAAGACACGGAAGCAGTTATCGTTGGATGCAAAATCGGCTCGCGGAGCCGAGGAGATCCGGGCTTGGTGGACGGCCACATGGTTCGTGATGCCGCTGATGCTGCTGGTGATGACGCCCTCGTGGCAAGGGGTATTTTCTGGTTCACACGAGTCTAGATAGCGAAGCATGTATTCACCACTAAACCCACCTGCGACTAAAACGCCGTGACCAGCGGCCAGGGTCGATATCTGGGAAGCAGGGGCGTCGCTGAGTTCCATGATGGCGCGGCCGTGGCCGGACATGGGATTGAACTGCTGGACGGTGCCGAGGGCGGGATAGAAGACGCGCGAACGCGAGGTGCTTGCGAAGACGTTGCGCAGTTGGAAGTGCGACAAGTGAATGTTCCGCTTGATGTCCATGCGCCGAAACCGGAAGAAGCTCTCGCTACGTGGGAGAGCAGCGTCTGGGAGGTTCGGCTGTGACACGAATGAGTCTCTTCCTCTGTAAAGTTAAACAACTAAAATAGCCCGTTGTACTCACCGTCCACCTATCCGAGCCTGGTATGTTCACGTAGTTGCTGTATGTTAGTAACCGGCGCTCTCGGGCATCCCTTCTTGTGACACCGATATCCTCCCAATCAACCCCCTGGAAATCGCACAGATCCCCCTCGAGATCGTCATACTCGATCGATTCATCCTCGGAGGACTGGAGCAAGTTGACTCTGGCGGGCCAGGGACAGCTCCCCCGAGCCATGCCTTGAAGGATCCGGCTCTGACGTGCCCAGTGGTGAAGAAACTCGGCCAGGCCGTCGTTTGACGGACCGATGGTGGCAGGGTTTGGGTTCGAAAAGGAGAGTGCGTGTGCCCAGGTGGCCTCGGGTGTAAGTTGTTCCCAGCTAACGAATGGCGCCGTGCTCACGAAGGTTGCGGCCTGGGTATGGGCCTCCAGTGCTGCCGCTTGCGCGTCGGCGGCCATATTTGAATCGGGAATGATATCAAATTCTGGATCAAATCCTAGATCATCGCCACTGTTCGCAATCCATGGGTACCCAGCCTCGATATCCACCTCTGCGGGATCATTCATATCCACGTCGTCGGCGAGGAGCTGGGTGGCCATATGGTCCACCAATGGTGCGCCAGCGTCATCGGACATTACCCTCGTCGTCCGAGAGGTAGGTACCCGGGTCTTGGTAGTAGAGAGATTCGTGAGCGAGGGAATGTTGATGGTGGATTGGGCAGTGATGGTGGTCCGGGTTGTAGAAGCTCTCTTCGTCCTCTTCGTCGTCGGCGTCGTCGGCGTCGTCATTATCGTCCTCTTCCTGCTCCTCCTCTTCATCCTCCTGCTCATCGTCCAGTCTGTCGATTTGATCCTGACCCTCGTCGTCGGCGTCGTCGAGGGTATAAACCATCACCTCGTTTCCATCACCGCCATTGTCCTCGTGAGCGGGAGTTGCCTGTGTAGAAGCGGCCAGGGATGCGTTGGTGAGGGGCCCGAGTCTGCGGGACACGTCGTGCGGGGAGGAACCCACAGGTAGAGGTGCCATGATCGGCATGATGGATGGCTAGTGAGAAATAAGTGTTATGATGCGGTGAGATGGGCGGCGGCCGGCCCTCGGGGCTGCATCGGCTCGACGGCGTGTGTTCTTGCTTCACTCTCACTCTCACCCTCCCACGCGTCTGTTCGGTTTTGTGTCTCAGAGACAGTTCGCTCTTCTTTTTTTTTTCTTTTTTTGGTTGATCGGCAAGATGCCCTGGGCGGGTCCAGGTGCAGTCGGTAAGGGCTAGTGAGTTGGGCAGTGAGGCCCGACCTGGAGACAGTTGAGGGGCGAGCGGTCCAAGATGTCCGCCTCACCAGTGACGGCGAGTCCAAGCCCACCAGTCCACTCGCAATGTGTGGGGGTGGTCTCAGTTCAATGTACCCTGGTTAAGTTGTCGATTTGCCGAGTTCCGCTTGGAGATGAAGTCGGACCCGGTTTGTCATTTGCAGACGGCAAAAACCGCCCTCCCAATTACCTAGGTAGTTGAATGCTGGAGTGTGTTTTTGAAAATACTTTGTATCAAGGAGAGGAAGCAGGGGCAATGAATGCCGCCCTGACTCGGGATGAGCTCAGGTTCAATCTGACCTGCGCTCTCTTTCGCCCCAAATTCGGTTCAAGTGACAAGTCGACGGCGAATCATCTCACGGCTGCGGGGGTGGGGGGTTCAGCGCGGTGCCAGTGTGGATGCATGGCGGGAGTCTGCAATTGCACTGTACCAAAGAGGAAGGAAAGGGAAGGCGGGATACAAAGGATTTCTCGCGAGCCTTCCAGGTTCTTTTGAAGTGCCACCGAAAATCCCCCCCAATTGCTGCCGTTCCATCCTTCCTCGAGTCATTAGGTCAAACTTGAACACTGGTAATGGACTACCTAGGTTGGACTTGAACCGACTCGAGCTCACTCAACATTCTTCCCCCTGCGTACACAGTAAACACATCCCCAGACATTCCTCGTCAGAACCGTCCTTCCACTAGTTAGGCCCGAGCCACCACCTCCCATCCCGCCCGACTCGGCTTGGGTCGAGTCTCTCGAGGCACAAGCTGCATGCGGGGTGCCGATTCGGGGGTTCAGGCCAGACACAGTGGGTGGTCAGTGGTGTGGGTGAATGCGGAAACTGGAGCCAGAAACACCCTTGGCGCCACACCCTGCATCCAACCTCCCCCCAAACTCGTCGCCCTGCATCCGTGGCCTTGGACACAGACACGGCTTCACCCCCCCCTTCTTCCTTTCCCCGGCAACCGCACTTTGCGACGAACGTGAGATTGGAACACATGATCCCTCAGGTGCTGCTCGTGTGGACGACCATGACTGGGCCGGGACGATACGTCTCCGAATTCAGACCCCGTTGGTTGTTCTCGTGGCAGTAAGCAGTGCGCGTGGATGGGTTGTCTTGTCCCGTTGCCGTAAATTCTGTCTGGCTGTACTGTGTATGTCATGTCTTGCCGGCCCTTCTGCCGTCTCATCCTGATGACGCCTTCGTCTCAGTCCGATGTAATCCGTCACAAAACGACTTTGGGCCTGCCTGCGTGCAGCAAGCTTCGTGGCGAGCTGCATCCTCCCCCTTTCCCACGTTGGCCAAGCCCTCAGGTGGCTGCTTGGGGGCTTGCTCTCCGCTCTCACCGGCTGTCGTAGGGGACCGATTAGGAAATAGTTAGGTGCTCGTCTGGGATTGTGATGGTGGCGCCCTGGCAAGGATTCGTGGCGTCTCGGGCTTTGCTCTCACTCGCGGCTTTCACGGCCCGAGGAGCTGAAGAGCGCCCGGGCGAGCACTCCCTTGGCTCGGGAAACAAATATCAGGCGCGAGTCGGGATAATTGCTGAGAACGGGATGGAATAGGGGTTACACTGATACACAACCGGACCCTGCAGACGCCCGCCCTGTACATTAACGTAGTTATGGGTCTATGTATGTATTTCGTACATGACTGAAAAGCCTTGTGCCTTACGCCGTCGTTCCCAAATGGAGGACACGGTAGTATCGTGAGGGCTGACTTGCAGCTCCCCCACAAGTGCCGGTCCCATCACATTGAGGAGTGGCTTGCGAGTGAGTGTGCGAGCCCCGGCCGAGCGCTTGCTTCCCCGGGAGGTTACGAGAGCGAAAAACATGTACATACGAATGCAAAGTCCGTCGATCTTCCAAGGGGTGGTACATACTTTGCAGCGACACATCGGTTGACCCAGAATCAGGTGTCTCGGGCCGTCAGTATCCTACGTCTAATTCCATCTGCGGCAGAATAGTTTAACGTCTTGCAGGTGGTTCACACTCAAAACCGGCAACACGGGCTAAGTTCCTACATCTCTCCAGAACGTCATTCGCCCACGTACATACCACAAACTTTCTATGAAACGTTTGGTCTTTGACCCCTTTCGCCCAGCTGTATCGAGAGCCACGGCACACACATCTGAGAAAAACTTTGACCAATCCAAATTATTAACAGCGTACTACGGCCTTCGCGCAATTATATACAACGTCAACGCTTATCATAAACCAAGGCGTCCGGAAGAGCCAAACGTGCGCCATCAGGATGCTCCTGAATTTCTCCGATTCTCAGAGATCATGGCCAAGTTATAAAAAAAAAAAAAAGCACAAGCGGGCTCGAGGCAGAACGAAGAAAGAGGGAAGACAGGCGAGCGCCCCAAGTTTAAAGGAAGAAAAGAAGGCTCTCCAAGCACGCTACCCCAAGCTCACTGATCCGAATAGTAACCGTCGTACGGTCCATGGCTCACCGGTTGGCTCCCGCCACCGACGATGTTCTCGGTGGAGCCCCAGTAGCTGTTGTTGCGGATCCTGCGGTCACGCTCGAACTCGGCCCACCGCTTCATGGTGATCTTGCTGCTGTCGAACTCGCCCTCGTATTCGATGCCCGCCTTCTTGGTCTTTTCGCCCGCCGTCTTTCTGGTGTCGCCCCACGAGAAGTCATCGAACTTCCAGAACGAATACGTCGGCAGTACAAAGTTCCAGACGGGCAATGAGAGCAAATAGATGAACATCCACACGACGTAGGACCAGCTGTGCGCTGTCACGACGATGAGGACCGCTGGCAGGCCCAAAATAAGACCGAGCAGAATGAGGGGGATGATCTGCGGAGGTTGATTGACGATAGAAATGATAACTGGAAACCACGAATTAGCTTCGGTATTAATGGGATTGGGGCTGGGACCTGGCTTCGCCAAAACTTACCAACATAAAATGTGAACGCAATGGCGGCAGGCAAGACAAGGGTACCGATAAGCTCGATAAAGACGATGAACTGCATGCTGAAGCAGAATGTGCCGCACAGGTCCCTGACTAGGACAAGCTCCATCAGGTTGTGGATGGTCGAGTTGATCCAGCGACGGCGTTGTGAGAGCAGCACCATAAACGTGTCCGGCACCGTCGTCTTGCACACAGCCTGCGGCACAAAGACCTGCTTGCGCTTGGGGAAAGTCCGGAGCATCAGAGTCGACAGGTACCGATCCTCACCGAGCAGGAGAAGGTTCTTCTTGTGCAGCGTATCAACCACGTTTTCCGAGTAGTGTTCAACCACATCCGGGTTTGCCAGGATCGGGACCCAGTAGTTCTGAGCGCCCTTGGGCGCCTTGATGCGGTACATGCAGAAGCATCCGGGAAGGCAGGTGACACCACCAAAGACCGATTCGAAAGACTTGGCGAGGTGGTGAGAGATGAAGTACTCGAAGACCTGGATGGCCGAGACCCAGCTGGCCCGCTTGTTCGCGATCTTTGTCTCGCCACACAATCCCATGATCTCCGGGTCTTTGACCATGGCAGAAATCATGTGCGTCAGACTGTCGGGGAAAACGTTCGTGTCGGCGTCCACCATGAGCACGATCTCGTAGAAGTCGGGTGAGATGCCCGTGACCTTCCATAGTCCGTTAAACATCTCGTACTCGAGCTCCGTCATCCGCTCGTCGAACATGACCTTCTGGAGGAAAGACATCAGAATGATCTGGCTGTCACGCTTGCCGCGGTTTCCGGGCTTCGACTTGGTCGCTTCGTCTGGAGTACCGCACTTCACAACCACCATCATGGGAACCCGCTGCTGCTTTTCAAGGGGAATGGCCGACTTGGCGCCGTAGTCGTAGAAGCCAGAGTAGATCTTGGCCATGTTGTGCCGCTTCGAGCCGCTAGCGACGGCGACGTACGAGAATGCTTCGACCTGCTCAGGGGGGGTGCTGTGATCCTTCACCATGCTCAAAACAATGTCCGGGGTCGAAGATGTTTCTCCCTCGCCCTTGATGATGCCGTCGCAGATGACCAGAATCGCCTTATGGCTGTTGGGGTAGTCCGTCATGGCGATGGAATCCAGAGTTGTCCGGATGCCCAGCTCACCTTCCGAGTAGGCAGTCACCAAGCAGATCGCATGGGCCAGGGGATAGCCGAACGGCACCCAGTCTGAGGGGGGCTGGGGAACCACGGCCTCGTGAATAAAACCGGCAGGTCCAGGTCCATCGGTAGGGCTGTTGCTTGTGGCGTACGGGTCTGATTTGAGGAAGCTCGACCGGCTGTCGTTACCTTGCCGATACATCAAGTTGGGGTTGAGGAGCTGACCGGCCGCGTTCTGGCTTGCCATGGTGGTGGGAACCCCCGACCTCCGATTACCACGCTCGTTACCGTAAACAGCAGAGAACCGGGATGTTGTGGGGAGGAAGGTGCTGCTGCGCTTGCTCTGCCGATCGGAGCCGTTGACGCTGCTTCCAAGGTCGCCGGGCATGCGGGGCGGGGCTCGGTAGATGTCCTCGGACCAGTCCTCAATCTGCCTGTTGCGCTTTCGCAGGTCCGCTGTCTGCGAGGTCTTGGACGCAGCATAGGTCTTGCTGATAAACCATTGGAAGACGATGGCGAGCACGAACCTTGCGACCACAACGGACAGAATCAAGACGAGTGAAAGGTAGAGAACGACCTTGGACGCGATGCACCCAACAGTGTCCGTGTCAACCGACCCCACCTTGAGGATCTCCTCGAAGCACTCGGCATACTGCTTGTCACTGGAGGACTGAAAAGCGCGTGTGATGTCGCGGCCCCGGATGGCCTGGTTTGCTGCCGAGTCGGTGTCTCTCAGCTCCTTGAAGCGCGCGGGGTAGGTGACTTGCGAATCGTCGAACCAATGCAACAGGTCCAAATCGAGGACATTGCCAGAATAAACAACGAGGTTGCGGGAGCTGTTCTTGATGTCGTCCCAGGTGAAGTAGACATCGGCAGCACCGCTAAGTTCTAGGTAGAACGTGTCTCGGGCCCGGGCACTCGTGTGGCAGGCATAACCGGGGTAGTACGGGATCGTCATGTTGGGCCGCGTAGAACCGTCCTGGTGGAAGGTTGTGCAAGGGAAGTACCATGCCAAACCGCCGCTCCCGTCGGTCGGGACATCTGAATCCGGCGCTGCTGAGATGAGCCCCTTGCACTTGCCGTTGACGTTCTGGAACAAGAAGCTTCCGTCTTTCCCGCCGTGCTTTTCGGGCAAGTCGTAGAGCACGTTGGAGGCGTTGCCGTCCGCACGGAGGGGGATCCCTTCCGCTACGGGATGGCCGGATCCTTCGAAGTTGTAGGCAGATCCGTGGAAGATCATGTAACCCGAGCCGACCTCGTTCACCCGCAGTCGCAATGGGGGCGAGCCACAGACGACTTGAGTAAAGCCGAAGGTGAGAAAGCCCACAACGCCCATGATGAACAAGATAATGCTGATGAGACCCATCTTCTCCCTCCATGCTCTCTGCTGGGCCTTGGCGGGTAACCCAAAGCACTTGAGGATGAAACCGGGGCACCAGAACGTTATTATCGAGCAGTAGATGTTCCAGAGACTCGGTGGCCGCAACTGTTCGGCCTGCTGCCGCTGACGCTTCGACTCCTTCGTGATTTTGCCGTGTTTCGCCGCGCTCGACGCCCTCCGCCTCGCCCGGCTTGGCTTCTCCGTCTCAACACTGCGGTGCTTTTTTGAACGGACCCTCCTCGGCGACGGAGTGGCGTCTGTAAGAACCTCGTCGTTCCTCGAGCCGGAATTAGAATTAGATAAGTCGGTTGTCCCTTCCAGGTCCTCCGCAATGGGGTCATTGCCCGTCGAGGACGGCAATATGTTCATATTCGCCGCATGCTTCCGGTAGTGATAGTTTGGGTGGTCTTTCCCTATCCTATTCCGCTCCGGCCTGACGAGGCTCCTCTTGCGCTGGAAGGGCGAGTCCGGCGCGTGCGCGTGGGGTGATGTTGGCGACAGGGGGGTTCTCTCTATTTCCGGATTAGGAGACGTAATTGTCTCGGCGAAGGAGGATGCTGATGGCCCACGTTGATGGAGTGGCTGCCCGCCGCCGACGGGGACATAGCCGCCGGCCTCGACATCGGCGGGACGCTGCTGGCGTCGCGATTGTGACTGTCGGTAGCTATGGCGTTCTTCGTACGAGGGCGTCGCGCCCGGTCTCTGAGGAAGCGACATGATCCTGGTAATCGTCCCGTGTTAGCGATCGCGATCAGGGTCAGGAAGTTCGCGGCCTGGCGCGGCCGGGCAGGGACTTCACCCAATGCGATCGGGGTCTCCGCCAACGGTCGCCTCGGAAACACGACCTTGGGACGAAGGGGAAAACGCGATGTTGTTGTGGAAGCAAAGCGGCAAGCCCAATCACCTCATCGGGAAACTGAGAACAAAAAGTGCTGGCACCGCTGGCATCAAGAAAAGTAGAAATCAACCTACTGTGTACGGCGCTTGTTTTGGAAAGCAACCAGGAACTGGATGAAATCGGACGAATTTTGGAGTGGATGAGCCCTCCTCCAAGGCTGTTGCCCAGGTGCTGGTGTTGCTGCAGCAGGTTGGCGGGGAGGATTCAGGGCAGGTCTCTCAGGAGACGGGCGGAGCGAGACTGGGGCCACTCAGAGAGAGGTGGGCGCGGACGGGAGTGCTGACTGCCAAAAAAAAAATAGCGCGGCGCTTGCTCCTGGCCACAGCCAAGGAAGGCACACTCAATCAAGTGTTCCGTGTCGGCCAGGCTACGATGATTCCGAGACCCGCGCAAGTTGCATCGGCGGTGCAGCGGCGCAGGTGGTTCCTGCTTGATAACAATGAGAAGACGCAGGTCGACGGCAATGGATTGAACGTTTTGAAGAAACCGAGCTGCTCCGGTTATATCAGGGCGGCACGGAATTTAGCAGCGGTTTCAAGGGCAACGGCAATCGAAAGACGATCGATCCCCCCTGGGTCGCTTCCCGCTTCCCGCTTCCTGCTGCACAAATCAAAAAACAGGGCCTGGCGTTTCCGGGATGAACCAGGGCAACTCCAGAACGGAGGTGGCAGCCAACGAGCGGCAAAGCAGTCAAGAGTCAAAAGAATGAAGTGCGGCAGAGCCAAACGAGGGACAAAAGTAGCAGAGATTCAGCACTGGGCGAGCCACAGTCGCGTCGCTCGAGGAAGAAGATTGATGAGATGAACTTCGTTAGTTACTGTGTAGTTAGTTTGTTAGTGAGTTGGCCCTTCGGGATCCAGGGATCTGGACGCCCTCAGATTCAGGGGTGACCATGCACCGTGCGTTCACTCTTGGAGGTTGTTTTCCTTACTGTGATCGGCTTCCTGCCTTGGCATTTGATGGGGCTCTTCAGGGAAGACTTGGGGTTAGGGTTACACGTGGAAACGAAAAATGGAGGGACACGCTACGTGGACTGGGCTGTGTAATGCTCCTCTCCTCTTCAAAACAAAGCCTTTTTTACCCAATTACTGGCAGTCCTTCAGCAAGCGCATACGAGATGGTCCCTTCCATCCGGCGGGGATTTCTTTGCGCGGCTGCCGTATTCCGAGCGACAATATTCGGGTTTGGAACATTCTCTGACCGCCAGCGCTTGGTCGTGTCCAAATTCCTCCTTTTCTGTTAAGTTCCTCGTATCGGCAGCTCTCAGTTTGATTGCGACGAGAGCAATGCCAAGGCCCTGGCGGCTGGGTGGTCGCCACATTCGATTTCGATGCACATTTTTGTCCCCACCTCCCGCCGAACCATGCAACCCTCCCCCGGGCTATTTTCTCATCGCAAACACCAGTGACATCAGCCAGCGTGCCAGTGCGTGCCAGCTTCCTGGACCCCGGCTCGAGCCCGGCTCACTGCCAACGTTGCTGCATTTGCTAGAACGCCACGCGCTTTTTGATATGCGTAAACCCGATCCCGACAGATCGGGTTCTGCGATTTAGGCGAACAAGCTGCACATTGATTGATTGTGCTGCTCAGCTTTTCGGCGCAATCCGCTCGGCTTCGCTCGCTCAAGTGGGCAGGCTCGCGAGGGATTGGAATTTGCTGCCGCGGGGTAAAACCGAAGGCGCTCTGATTTCATGCATCCGAGCCTCCTGTATCATCTCGTGTTCACCGGGACTGCTGCTCTATTTTCCCGCGAGACACGAGCTTCATCCAGACTTCTCGACCAACGCAGCCATGGGCTTGGCCGAACCACAAATGGCGGCGCCCGAAACAGCGGAACCCGTTGTGTAGGTGGTAACGCGGCGATCCCAACGCATCGTTACTCTGAATTGCACTGGTAAGCCGTGTAAGCCTACCTACCACGACATCGGAGAGACGCACGATGTGTGACCAACTCAGACAATGCCCGCCCGGCTATCCCGATCTACAAGTCGCCGTGGCAAAGTGGTTCCCCAATGTTCACGTCGAGCTTTCGGGACGTTCGGCAGAGGATTGAGGCTTAGTTGGGCGTTGAACTGCATCTCGCCGCTCGGGAATATTGGCTTCCTAAAAAGCAAGGGGCACGGCGCTGTCAGATGTATCATCAGCCTACCAACAACGGGCAACGCCGCCCTCGCAATCGTCCCATGGGTGTTCTCGACGCCACGCCCTTTCTCGGGGCTCGGCACGAGCATCTCATCAGCAGGGTTGATGAATGAATGAGACATGCCGTTTTGTTAGCACACGTAACTGGCAAGTTCGGAGACGTATCCCAGAGTTACACAATAACTAGTTAGTTATGGGGTCGGGACAAGCCGCGGCGTAGTCTAGGACGATCATCCTCAATCTCATTCTAACGAATTTGCTGCGTAGAGGCTGCGAACTCTGCGGCCCGGTCAAGTTGGTATGGCGGGAGCGAAAGATGATGTTCAATAATAGTGGGCTAGGTTGATGTGGTCGGCGCTGGCGTACTGCTACAGGAGACAGCAGAGGCGTAGATCCTCGACAGGTGCGCCCTCGCCGCGCCATATGTTGGAGATCCAGCCTTGTCCGGTCGCACACAACAGGCGGTGTCCGAATAACGAGCAGGACGCATGCGGTCTTGGAGAGTCAAGAGAAGGAAAAATTGAGACACGGGTGTCAAAATCTTCATCGGACGAGCTAGTCGTCTTCCCCTTGTTGGAGACAAGCCACAACATTCCTCCTCCCGAAACCCGCAAACGTGGGTCCGGTGACGAGTCCGGACTAAGCGGACGATCTGCGGGGCTGCGAGGGGAGACAACAAGCTGGACCTGATTCGGGATGAAGTCATCGCAGAGCCCAATTGGCAGCACCCTGGATCGCAGGGCTGGACCCTTTAGTCTGGAATACTCTGCACAGGTCTGTATCCTGCATTGTTCGACGCAGGCCGTTTCCCCTCCTCAGACAGCTTCATTCGCCAACGTTGCCGGATTCGTGTCCGGCGGGAGAGGCTTGGTGCTTGCTGCTGCTGGGCTGAAACTGGCCAACCATTGCCCCAGACGGTGCCACGACATGGTCCGCCCTGTGAGCGGCTTGCGTTGAAAGTGTAGTTAGTGGCGTTTTGTTGCACTAATAAGAGTTCCAACTGAGGTGATGGCCGCAAAAAGGGTCCAAAAGAAGAGAATGGCGAAGCAAGTCTAAATTGGCCGTTGAGGTGCCCGAGAGCCCACGTAGCGCGAACTCAAAGATTCGAAAGCCTCGACCGGCAGTTCGCTGTCGAAACGCAGTGTAAATTGTTGTGCACTTCCCACTTCCAGCTGTGGGGTTAGTCTGGCGCGAGACCGAGATCTCTGAAAACATCAACCCCCACAATTTCAGAATGCATGCGAGATACCTGGTGCGGCTGAAGGGTGGGAGGAGCCGGGCATCCGAGTCGAGAGGTATCTCTCACGCCTTCGTATGAGGTATGTCCAACATCCCATTGCTATTCACACTCCATCTGACTGACGCGGCCCTTCCACTGTGCCGTGAGGTTACCAGAGACCGGGAGCAGGTAACGAATTACACAATACCAGTAGTTACACACGAGGCTGATCTGGATCGGATGGGTGTGAAACATGGAAACGCTCGTTTCACCGCCCAACCAAATGCAGCAAAGAGAGCAATCCAGGCGGGTAAAAAGCCCACATTTTTGGCCGAGTGAATGCTCGCCCCGTTTTGGGCGCTGAGCGCAGCCCTCCTTCGAATTGCGCGATGCATGCTGTCCGTGCAAGCCAGCTGAGCTACCTAGCTGGGTATGCATGCGGCGTCTCCGGAAGGGAGCGGAATGTGTCGGTCGTTGAGTTCAAACCTGAACGATTTGAGGTAACGAGAACGTGACGGAGAGATGTCTGGATGAGACGGAAGTTTACCCAAGCTACTACCTAGGCACCTCCAATGTGTAACGTTTGCATCGGAAAAACGGCCAACACCTGGAACTTCCAGGGAGGAGGGCATGTGGAGGGGCAGCGTTCGGCATTGGAAGGATGGAAAATCCCAGGTGCTCGAGTGGAGAGAGAAGCGATTCTTTGGCCGCTCCCAAGACGGCCCCCCGTGGTGCCTTCCAGCCTCTCGTTTCCAACCAGGCCCCGTTTTTAGTGCTGTCACCATCAGCAGGGTTTTCAGCAGCGCGCGCTAGCTTGCATGTTCGGGGGGGATATTCACACCGTCTGTCCGTTCTGCAGCAGGACCGCCCACCAACAGCCCACAGCTGCCGTCTTCTTTCGCCGATCCACCACAGTGCTGGAATCGGTCAGCCGTCTCCTCCTCTCCCACGACTCGTAACGACTGGGCTGTGTCGCTCTCGTTCAGCACACCCCCCGACTTAATTCCCTCCCCAGCATCTCAACCCGACACTCGCTGAGTCTTTTTTCTTTTTCTTCTTTTCTTGATCGTCGCTGTCACCGTCCTCTCGCTGCCACCTTCGTTGCCGCCATTCGCTAGGTAGTACTGCACGAACCGCGCCTGCCGGTCATCTCCTGCAACCGTTCGCGGCTTCCCTGCGATCTCGCCCTGCCAGGTTTCGTGGAGGCATCGCAAGTCGAAGATCCAAAACCGGACTTCGCCCTTTTCGGAAGAAGCACCCAGCAACCCGGCCGGCCTTTCACAAATGCATGCGCGAGAGGGGGTACAAACAACCGCAGTATTCGTAACCCCAGCGTGAAACTCCTCCCCCCTCCCCACCTACCTCAGGGACCAAACCCAGTCAAGCCCCCCAAGTGTTGGAAAGTCTTAAACAAGCATCCACTACCTCGCTCATCCCGGGTCCCGGACACCGCCGTCGCCAGAACCCGGCGCATCCTCAGCTCTCTCAGGCGACGCCACTCACTTGACCGCCCGCAATGGCGGCCGTTGGCTCTCCACCGCCCTCTGCACCTACCTCGCCCAGCAGTCCCCGCCGGAAACCTGTTCCCACTCACCATGGCTTGTCACCCGCCGAGCGTTACGACTGGGGGGAGAACGTGAAACCTCTGCCCGGTGTTCCTGTGTCCGACTCGCCGAGGTTACGACAGTCTCCTGTATCACCAGTCAAGGTGAATTTCCAGTCCAACGACTGGGCTCGGCCATCCACCGGGAATATCGAGACGCACCTCCCACGCGGCCAACCCGTTCCGGCCCCGGCCCTCGACCGTGCTCTTCCCAAGACGCCCGACGCTCCCACGCCCCCGCCGCACACGCCCTTATACCAGCCCGCGACCGGGTATATGCATAGCTCCGTCCCAGATGCCTTGGGGTTGCGGCCTGCCTCTAGTGGCACCCAAAAACCTGTTGCGCCACAGTCCACCAACGACTTGAGCTCCCACGTCAGCAAGCTCAGCATGGGTGACCAATCTGGGGGGAAAGGAGAGAACCGCAACAGCAGAGAGTCGGATGCCACGGGCGGCAGCACCTCACGGCAGCAGTCAGCCGAGTCGTCGGCCACGACGAGTGCGAGTTCGGTCTCTGGAATTCTCGATGTCTCGGACAACCAAGACAACTCGGCAGACGCCTCCGCCGAAAGCTCCGTCATCGACGACCCCGCTCTCCGGCCCGAACCTGTGCCCCAGCTACAATATCACCATTCCGCCTTCCTGCCGCGCCCTGCCAGCGTGGCGGTGGTGCAAGACCCGAGAGCCCAGTCAAACCCGAACCTGGTCGAGGGCGCCGCCAGTATCAACCGCCACCTAACGCCGACCACCAACTTCAACAGGAGGAGCTCGCTACCGCGGCCGCAGTCGGCCTATTCGGTGTATTCCGACTTTGGACCGCGTGGGCGTTCCCCTGGCTTTTTGGGCGGCTCACAGATTCGGGCGCCTTCTGCGCACTCGAGAAAGTCCCCCGAGACGCGGCCGTCTTCGTTCGCAGAATTGCTCAACGTGCCCTACCCGCAGCCGGCTCCGGCACCCATCACGTTCGACAATTCGCAGCTGCGGTCCGCCGTGGGCAACAATGCGTCCCTGCTCAGCGCCGAGAAGACGCTGGAAATGTACCGGCAAAACGTGAAGAAGACGAACGACTTCTCCATATTGTACTCCTTCGCCGTTTTCCTCATCGCAACCGCACAGGAACAAGGGTTGGACCTCCAAGCTACCAAGAGGACGAAGAGCCCGAAGCCCACGTCTGGAGAAGCTCCCCCGTCGTCTTCGAACGATCTGGTACGGGAAGCTCGTGCCATTTTGCAGAAGCTGGCCAACAATGGCTATCCCTTTGCGCAATACTACCTTGCCGACGGGTACGCCTCGGGATTGTTTAGTAAAGGAAAGGAGGACTACAACTCGGCGTTTCCGCTCTTTGTCCTCGCTGCCAAGCACGGCCACGCTGAGTCTGGGTACCGTACCGCGCTGTGTTACGAATTCGCCTGGGGGTGCCGCAAAGACCCTACCAAGGCCGTGCAGTTCCTTCGCACTGCGGCGTCCAAAAGGCATCCTGGCGCCATGACGAGGCTGGGAAAGGCATGCTTGTCTGGCGATCTCGGAGAGAAGCGGTACCGGGAAGGTATCAAGTGGCTGAAGCTGGCCTCTGAGGCGGCCGACACCATTTATAACGCTGCCCCCTACCATCTCGGGTCCCTGTACGAAACCGGATATGGCGACGACGTCTTCCTAGACGAGAACTACGCCGCCGAGCTGTTCACTCAGGCCGCAGACCTGGGTCATCCTGAGGCGAACTACAGGATGGGTGACGCGTACGAGCACGGCAAGCTCAACTGCCCGAGGGACCCGGCTCTAAGCGTACATTTCTACACGGGTGCTGCGGAGCGCGGTCATGCCGCGGCCATGATGGGTCTCTGCGCGTGGTATATGGTTGGTGCGGAACCTGTTTTGGACAAGGACGAAGAGGAAGCTTACGAGTGGGCACGGAGGTCCGCCGAGTTGGGTAAGTTCCGTCGGCTTCGCGCGCAGCTGCAGAAATGGGATGCTAACCAAACGCTTTTATTCTCAGGCTACGTCAAAGCGCAGTACGCTGTTGGGTACTTCACCGAGATGGGCATCGGATGCCGGCGGGATATCCTCGAAGCCAATGTCTGGTACGTCAAAGCCGCCGATGCGGGCGACGATCGCGCAAAGCAGCGTCTTGCCGCCATCCGCGCCGCCATCAGCGGAGGGACACCAATGGACGTCGCGCCGCCTCGGAATGCCAAGGTCAGGAAGAGCGGCGGAGAGAATGACTCCAAGGAGTGCATTGTAATGTGAGGGGGTTCGTGTGGTGGGAAAAAAAATGCTGAGGATACAATTCCGATATTCGACATGGCAAGAGCCGGCGGGTTGGACTTTGGGTAATGGTTTAATACGACATCGTCAACGCGCTCTTCGCGGCCCAGCTGAACCGTGGGGGCTTGGTTCCTCATGGACGAGGATGATCGATGGTCATGGACGGTAATTTTGTTTCTATTTTCCATTCTCTCCCGCTCGAGGCGAGCTTTTGGATACCTCGGCGGCGCCGACTGTACTGTCATGACTCGATTTCCCAAAACAAAAAGGCCAGGGTTGAGGTCAGCCATGCCCAGAAACCAGCCTCCTGCAGCCCAGCGTTGGCCAGGGGCTCGCCATCAGATTTTCTTCTTTTATTTTCTTTCTTTTTTTTCCCTTTCTCAATACACTCGGGCAAATACATCTGCATGGGCACATCGAGGGGTAGAAATGAGCATGCGAAGAAGGACGGGAGCGGGCTTTGGCCTCCTGTTTTCCTCTACATCCTGGCACACTCCTTTTTCGTGCTTTGGCGTTGGACTGTGGTATTTATGATTTGAGTTATTCAATATGCCTACTTAGTTAGGGCGAGGCGAGAGGAAGAATGGACGAGACCTGTACATATGGAGAGAAAATTATAATTATGGTGTTCTTGCGTCACACTCTATCGCCTGGCCAGCCAGCCATTTCCTGTTAGGGCATGACCTTCTGATCAGCGGGCGCGGGTTAAAAGGACAGCAGCTTCTAGGATTATAATACAGCGAAGCAAAAGTATATACAAGTCTTTGTGAGCGAAATAGAGCCGAGAAGTTGCCAGAAGCAGGGAAATAAAACCGTCGCAATGACACCTAATGCTTGCCCGATAGAATAACACTAGCCAGAAAGATTGGCCGCTCCAACGCCGCGCTCATCGCTTCTAATCCCGAGTACCCATCATCCAACCCAACCCTTCTCATATCTATCACCCAACCATCTTCTCTCCAACTCCTACCTCCCACATAGCCCACCCCCCCCTCGTATCTATCAAACCAACCGTCTCCCCTCTACCACCCACCACCCACCACATAACACAACCCACCCCCTTTCATCCCCCTCCCCCCCTTTTTTTCTTCTTTCCCTCCCCCTTCACAAACCCCTCAACTTCCCCGTCGACCACGCCGCCACCAGCGAGCTCAGCGCGCCCAGGAACATGCACACGGCGATGGCGTTGGGGCCCGAGGGATCGCTCTGCGCCTCGGCCGAGTGGGCCTCGGCCGCCAGCTCGGGGCTCTTGCCGGGCTCGAGCAGGGCGAAGACGGCGCCGGTCATGACGGTGCTGAGGAACTGCGGGATCGTCACGTAGATGTTGAGGATGCCGAAGTAGATGCCGCTCAGCTCGCCCGTCGAGCTGTGTGTTGCAGGAGCGGTGGGGGCTGTGGTGGTGGTGGGGGTGGTGGGGCCGGCTTCGAGGGTGCTGCCGTCTGCTGTGGTGCCGTGCTCGAGGCGGAGCATCTCGATGTTGCTGGTGGTGGTGTCGTTGGAGCGGCGGCGGGGGAGGGTGGTTGTGGTGGGGTTGGCGTCGGAAGCGCCGCTGAGCTTGTTGACTTCGACGCCGAGGAACGTGACGGGTGCCCATTGCGAGACGCACCAGGGGATGCCGCAAAAGGCGACGATGATGGTGGCGAAGCGGAAGGAGGTGGCGAACGGGGTGAAGAACATGGCGAGCGAGAACAGTATGTTGCTGGCGATCCAGGCGGTCAGCAAGTCTGGTTTGACCTTGTTGAATGTCTCGATCAAGGGGGCGAGGCTGGCGGGCGGGCGGTGCGTGAAGGTTTCGTCTTCTGGAGCCTGGATCAGTGCGGGGAGAATCCAGGCGCTGAGGAAGGAGACGGTCGAGTACACGGTCAGCGCCATGCTCCCGATACGGCCCATGTCGCCTAGAGCATCTTTCGAGTCCCTGGCGTTGGGCGAGACATCATAACGGAAGTATGTCTCGCCGACCCAAGTGCTGCTGTAGATGATGAATGGGAACCAGCCGATCCAAGACCAAAACACAGCGTTACAAATGCCCCTGATACGAGGGGGGAGGGTCAAGACGGTGGAATAGATCTGCCGGACGACCTTGAAGCGACCCTGGGCCCGCCGAGGGTCGTGCCGTACCGAAACTAGAATGCGCTCCGAGACAGCCCAGCAAGTGATGCCCGAGGTGAGCAGCATGCCCAGGGCAGCGATGACGGTCAGCTGTTTGAATTGGGTGTCCCCGAGCCTCGGACCGAAGATCTGTACGAGGTCCAAGGCCCCCATGGCATAACCGATGACGTGCCCCAACGAGTTCATGCGGCTGGCTGGAAGCGGTGTCAGCATCAAGAAACCGGCGAAGGGGCGGCGAGAAGAGCTTACACCAGGCAGCTCCCGTCTGCTGCTTATGGATGGGCAAGGTGTCTACGAGCAGACTCCTCGCGCATGACATAACTGAGAGCTCAATGTCAGTGGCACGACAGAGCTAGGGCGGGGACAGATGCAAACTCACCTGCGTTGAGAGAGAAATCAACAACATAAAGCGATAGGACAGCCATCATAATGGTCAATAGCCTAGCCGTCTCGGGGTCTGGGATAAAGGACGCAACAAGCTCCTTCGTGAAGCCCAGGGCCAACAGGCTGAGGGCAACGATGACAGAGCCGACAGCAATGATAGGCCGTCTCCTACCCCATTTTGAGGTCGACTCATCCGCAACGACCCCTATTATGGGTTGTACGATCAAGCCCGATAGGGGACCGGCAACCCAAACCAACGACGTCTGCCCCTTCGACAGGCCCAGTGACAGGAGATATGGTGTGCAGTCTGTGCATGCAGTGTTAGCTTAACGTCCACATCTAGGTTGAGTGTGGGTAATGGGTGGGCACCGTACATGTCATCTCAACACCCCAGGTGAAGCTACAGTCAACAAGTCAGCAATTACATGCTTCATGTCAATGTAGTGCACATGCACGGACGTAATACCGATGGAGATGCAGGTCAACAGCATCATGCGCATCGTCTCGGAGCTGCCCTCCACCCTCGGTTGCCCTGCCCATGTCGACATCTTCAAGAGGTCGTTGTCGTCGTCGTCGCCGTCGTCGGACTGACTAGTGTAGGCGCTGCCACCGTGACAAAAATTGCTATCGCGGTCCGAATCGTTTGAGTCCCGACCATAAAGGCTCCCGATATCGTCGAGGGGTGGTTTCTCAGCGTTTTGGGACTGGGTCTCCGGCGCTTCGCTCGTTAAACGGCTGGGCGTCTCGTGTACGCGACTACTGCTCGGCGCGAAGAGGCTCGAAGCTCGTGTTGTCGAATGCGATCTGACCGCTATATCGTCTGCCATGAGGACTGCGTGTCAGCACAACCACCAGTCTTGCCTCGACAGCTCGTTAATGGCCCAATGTTGCGTGGCGCCAGTGGACGATTAAAGAGTACAAATAACGAAGGAGGGCTTGCTCACCATATCAAGACATCGGGAGTAGCACCTGCTCAGACAAAATCATCGTACAGAATTGGGGCACACGAGCACACGAGCACAATGGCGGATAACTGGTATGGCTTTCTGTGACAGGCCACTTGCTGATTGCGATGTGCGATTTGCTAGTTAGACACGGATCGAAGTCAGCTGTGCGACGGCGGGTGGTTGAATCGATATGTACATGTACAACGAGCGACGAAAAGCAAGACCAAAAACGACGGGAAGCGAGTGGAAGGATATGCGACAGAACAGAACAGGACAGGACAGATGGGCTGAGTGATTCCGGAACACGCACAAGCTGTTATCTATCTTTTTGGTGGGCCATTGCATCAACGCCGCGGTGCCAAGCCAGCCTGAAGGTCCAGAGCTGCGCGGCAGGCCCACTGCGAATAGGGGGCCGCTGTGACACCCAGGCACGCCAGGCGCTGGGAAGAGATGGGGCAATCCCGTAGTTATAAACAAGGGGCTTGGCTGCTGCTCTGTTTGACACACATTGAGCTGTCGGTCAGAATCTCCAGGGGGGAGACTTGGGAGCCTCAGCCGAGTTTCGTAATTGGAAATCCTCTCCCTCGGTAGGTCGTCCTTAGATAGATGGTAACTCCCGTCTCCTTCATCACTGACTGCCCTGTGAGTTCGTCCCACGAAGTTGCGGCCCGGCCCGTTATTCGATTTGAACATCCAATGCAAGGAAGCACTGATCGATAAGCGGCAGGGCAGTTGAAGGCAAGGTAATCTGTACTGTGTATGTGCGTCCGCTTTCGTCTGCCTCGTAAATAATCTGTACCTGGTTGACAGGCGGTCGCGGGCGTTTCGGCATGGTAATACGAATACCTAACAACCAGGGTACTCTGTCTCTTGCGCGGAAATGCGGGTCTGAGTAACGACCGGGACCTTGCACAGGAACAGGAACACGGAACGACGCGAGATGCGGGTTACCCCACCATGGTTGACGCGGGGCACCATTGACAGCACTCCGATCTAGGAACGTGGGCCATCCAAAAAATCGACCCCTCTGACTCGACAGCTCGAACCCCAAGGTAGTGCGACCCGCGATACCTCCTACTACCTCCCTCGTACCTAGACAATAAACTGCCATATCACGCAATTGGACCACCTGGAATAGCCGCTAAGCTACAAAGAAGTACGAAGGTGAAGCGCTAATCCACTCCTTCTGATCGCAAACCAGCTACCCCTCTATTACCACACAACCCCGGCCTCCTCCCGCGTCTAATGCGACTCTTATACCTGCCTCTAGACAGTTGTACTGACAAGATCCGACTTAGGAGTTCCTCGTCCTGCAACCTGCTTGCGCCATATTCGCGCCATCACACCCTAGCTTAAATTAACAACTCCTTCGTTCCGTCTCCCCTAAACCACGAATTATGGATCTGGTCAACCAGTTAGTTAACCCCCCATATACCCAGATACCCATATATCTCTCCCGCCCTCTCCTCCGCTGCCCCCCATGCCGTCCCTTCCCCCCTCTCCCTTCTCTCCCGGCAGCTCAAACTACCCGCTGTCATGGCTCAAGAGCTGATGCCCCTCGGAAGCCTAGAAGGCCGACTGCTCTTTGCAGTCCCCAAGAGTGTGTTCCGCCCACAATGACTCCCTCGTTGGAGCTCACCCTCTGGAACCCCCAAATACTGACCCCCAACCTCAAGAGGGTCGCCTTCTCCAAGCGGCCTTGAACATCCTCGAAGGCGCCGATATCCAGTTCAGGCGTGAGAACCGCCTCGACATCGCCCTCGTCAAGAACCTGCCCATCGCTCTCATCTTCCTCCCCGCGGCTGACATCCCCACCTTCGTCGGCGAGGGCCGCGTCGACCTAGGAATCACCGGCTACGACCAGGTCCAGGAGCACGATGCCGGCACCCGGGCGCTCGCGCGCGCGCGCCGCATGAGCAACGAGTGGGACCCCAGCCGGGCCGCCGGCAAGCCCCAGGGCTGCGAGACCGTACTGGACCTCGGCTTCGGGTCCTGCCGCCTGCAGGTCCAGGTTCCCGCCAAGGGCTCGTACGTCGAGGGCAAGGACCTGATCGGGAAGAACATCGGCACCAGCTTCGTGCACCTCGCGCGCGAGTACTTTGCGCGCCTCGAGCTCGAGAAGGAGGGCATCACCGACCCGGCCGCCGCCGAGGGGAGGAAGCTCCGCACCAAGATCATCGAGCTCAGCGGGAGCGTCGAGGCCGCCTGCGCGTTGGGTGTCGCAGACGGTATCGTCGACTTGGTTGGTGAGTGCTTATCAAGCTTTCTCTCCCTCACGCACACACACACACACTCTCCCAACCCCTTCTCCCACCCCTTTCATCCGAACTCAAGGTCACCCTCCCAACAACCTCAAACCATACTAACCCCCCCCTCCTCCCCCAGAGTCCGGCGAAACCATGAAAGCCGCCGGGCTCAAGGCAATCGACACCGTGGTCGAAACCTCCGCCATCCTAATCAAGTCCAAAGCGCCCAGCAACCCAGAGCTCGTCGAGCTGATCGCGTCGCGGATCCGGGGCGTCATCACGGCGCAGCGGTTCGTGCTGTGCCAGTACAACGTGCCGCGGGCCAAGCTGGCCGAGGCGACGGCGGTGACTCCCGGCAAGCGGGCCGCGACGGTCACGGCGCTCGACGAGGAGGGCTGGGTCGCCGTCAGCGCCATGGTCGAGACCAAGCGCATCGCCCCCGTCATGGACGAGCTCGTAAAGGTCGGGGCGGAGGATATCCTGGTGTTGGATATTCACAATACTAGGAGTAGCTGAGTGGGTGTGGGTGTGCATGGGGGTGGTTAGAAGAGATGTTGGATAGAGAAAAAAGTGACTGTGTCGAGTCAATGGCCTGCTAGGACGCCCATTCATTCCACGATACGAGTGAAGTGAGTTGACGAGTCAACCATGGCGAAGGGCAGGCAAGTGAGCAACTAAGTTTAGTTATGTCCCGCTCTAGTAAGGAGGCAGAAGGCAGTGGGCGAATATTGTCCTCCCATCTCATCCCCGCGTCTAACCACCACCACCTCATCTTCCCACATCAAACACACCAAGTACGTGATAAGATTCAGTGTACAGTTTCAGCCAGTCTTGTTTGTGTATGCAAACCCCTCACTCGATAGTAGGGGTATCAACCAAAACCACACAGCGTGCGCTTCCCCATCCATCCCCAGGCAGCCCAAAACGCCATCCCCACAAGCCAGAAAAAGCCAACCCAAGGAAAAGTCAAGTGAGAGAGAAAAGTACGAGAAGGAAAAGGGCCAATAATTGCCATGTATCAAAGGCACATCTCGCTCACCAGCCACTCACTTCCTCTCCAACCCACGTCCATCCATCTCCCACCCAGGGGTAGGAGTAGTAATCAAGCCAGCCAGACAGACAGCACCAAAACCCGGTCGATTAGGTCAAGTAAATACACAGAAAAAACAACAACAAGAAGACACAAAGAGAAGTCTCGCGCCTCCCCTTCCGCCGCCACGAAAAAATTAATAAATGGGCCGGCCCTCCTCCCACTTCCGATGGACCGGCCGATCCTCCACCTCGCCCTTGACGTCCGGGCCCCACGAGACACGGACGCCCTTATTACGGCGGCGGGAGGCCGAGCCATCACCGGCGCCGCTACCAAGGCCACCGAGGCGGCTGGGCCCGATCCACTCCCAGGCCCTGCCGACCTCGCCGTTGCGGCCCTCGCGCTGCCCCGTGCGGACGTTGCTGTTCTGCTCGACGACGGCGCGCACGCGCTGCCAGAGGCGCTCGCGGTCGGCGAGGCGGTGCAGCGCGCGGAGCACGTCGTCGCGCAGGTTCGGCAGGAAGAGGAAGGCGTCGTCGTCGCCCGTCTCGAAGGCGACCTCCTTCTGGCTCGCGAGCCGGTCGAGCACCTCGTTCACCAACGCGGGGATCTGCGCCGCCAGGGCGCGGTTGTGAATGAAACGGCGGCGGCCGTAGATGACGGACAGGATCAGGAAGATCACTCCACCAATGCTGAGTCGATGTCGAGCCACTCCGAGCTTGACCGACCGCCGGAGCGCGCAGGAGTACGAAAGGCTAGCGAGAGAGGTGGACGATAGTTTGGTGCTTGGAAAACTGGAGGCACCTCCGGTTCTATGGGTCCGGCGACGGGTCTGGTTAGTCCCTTGGTCAGAAACTGATGTGTGACAGAAAACAAGGTGCAAAAGTGAGGGGCTAGGTCTGGGCAGGAAAGCAATGATGAGGAGAATGGGAAAACTTACGCTGGGGCCTCGGGTTCCTCCTGCTTGACCTCAACTTCCTCTCTGGACTTGACTTCGCCAATGGCAGCGCTCCACAGTTCGTCGAATTCATCGGCGGCCATTCTCTTGCTGCGCTTCTTGTTGAGGATCTCTTTCAGCTCTTTCTCTTCCATGGCGGGGGGTCTCTAGAGGCTCACCCTCGGGCTCGAGGGACTCGCCACACTCGTATTTGGCCCTCCGGTCACGCAGCTCCTCGACGGCCTTGTCGGCGACAGCCTGGACGCGCCGGACTTTCTCACCGTCGGGTTCGCACGTAGGCGGCAGGGGGACGAGACCGCCCAGAGAAAGCGGGTGGGGCTTCAGGATGAAGTCAGGTTCGCAGCGAGCCGTGAAGTCCTCGTAGCAGTACGCATGCGGGGGGCAGGGTTCGCACTGCGGCTCGAGAGCGCCGGTAAGGTAATCGGGAACCGGGAAATTTTGGATATCCCCAAGGTCGTACTTGGCGCCCAATTCGACAGCCCACTCCGGAAGTTGAATGCTTGCTGGGATGAGCTGGGTCGGCGGCCGGCCGAGCCCGCAATATCCCACTGCCATCTTCTCCTGCCTGTACCAGGCCCCATATGCAATGAGGAGAGTTGTCACAAGAACCCAAAACGGGGTCGACAGACTCGAGCCGCGCTTAGCAGGTTGAGGTGCTTGTCGGGCAACAGCCACCTCGGGGTGTGCGGCCTCTTCCTGGGTAAGCGCCAATTGCTCATCCGGAGTAAACTCCTCATCAGGCTCAAGATCGGGCTCCATATCAGGCGTTCTTGCTCTTGCGCCCCGCCCGAGCGGAATCTCGATATCCCGAGAGACGGCAGAAGGCTCCATTTCGTCAACGAAGGCATAGCCGTCCGTCCTCCTGCGAGCAGTAGAGGGCGTTTGCCGAAGCAGCGAATCCAATCCGGCTGTCTTGCGGCGGTTGGTGGGAGTTTTCAGGGGAGAAATTGGCGAGTTGGTGCCGCTCTGGAACGGGTTGTCGCTGCTGAAGACGCTAGCGGTCTGGGGTGTCTGTTTGAAAAAGACCTCTTCTTCCTCCGGCGGCTCGAGCTTCGGGATTGGGGTCATGCGCCGGTCGCGTCTAACCGACCGAGGCGGTTCGGCGTCGGGGCCTGTATCGGTGTCGGACGCGGGCTGCAATTGAGCGCTCGTGGACCGTGATTGCCTCTTGCGGGGGCTCTCTCGAAGCGGCGCGGGTGTTACGGGAGCGTGGTCGGGCTCCTCGGACTCGCGCTTCACCCTGGTCACCTTCCTGGGCGACCGCGACCGCCTCGTGGAGGGCGGCGGCGGCGGCATCGCCTCGTCATTGAACTCGGTGCTTGTCGTGCTCCGCGAGTCGGCATCCACGATGCCTCTGCTCGTGCGCTTCGCCCGGGCGCGGGTGGCTAGGATCTGCTTCGACTGTGGCTGGACATGGTCGTTGAAGAGATCGATAAGCTGGGGCTTCTTGGCCTGGGACGGATACTGGATGTTGTGGGTGACGAGAATGGAGCGCAGACGCGGGACGGTCAGCGACCACGGGTCGAACTCCGGTTGCAGGTAATCGGCGCTCTCTGAATCCGACATGGTGGCGATGACTGAGGATCGCGCGACAGAAAATAAAGATGGGGAATCGCAGCCTCAGACACGACTGATGTGGTCTCAAGAGATGACGGACCAGGCCGGGTGCGACGAGACCTTCCCAGGTGGGTTCAGGTGGGAGCGGCCGGTTTGAGTGACGTATCTAGACGCGTGCAGCTGCAGGATGCACAAGCTGCCGTGGGTCGCCTCGGTTCTGCAATGAGACGTGGCAGCGCGCAAGATGGCAAATCGATAAGGAGATGCAGAATGGGAGGGGGAGGAGATGGGGGGAAAAAGTTTGGTGTTGATTGTTGCTGAAGTGGGTAAGCGCAAGCCGACAAAACAAATCTGGCAGAAACAAGGTGACGAAAGCGGGACTGTGTTGGTTGGCCGGGTGGCAACAGGGTGAGTGAGGTTGCCAAGCCACTGTGGCGTTGGTCAAACGGCAGCTTTACCAGCCACACTTCTCTTGCCCAATGCCGATAACCTTCCCGGCTTTTCGAGAGTTCTGACGTAGGCAGTGTACACTACCTACCAGGTAGCGACACTACTTGTACCTAGGGACCTAGGTAACGAATAGGAAGATCCCAATGTGATCTCCAATGAGTGGGAGCAAACTGAGAGCAACGTATCCGTCCATATTGTTGCCACCGCCCAGAAGCTTGACAACTAGGCTTCCCAGGCTTCTGGCGCTCCTGAACGGTAAATCCGCTTCGAACATTATCAAGAGTCACGAAACATCCGCCAGGACGTGGCTAGTAGAGTACTCCAACATGATTTTCTATTTCCGTCCCCTGGGTATCTCCGGCTCGTTCGTCTCCTCGTATATGTCTTCTCATGCCAACACTATCCCACAGTCAGTCCTCCACAGTTGAGTGTTCAGGTGCTCCAGGCGTCCAGGATGGCTCGAGGTAAATTCCCTGCCCAACTCAGTAACACCAATGTGTGTCCGCCCTCGCGGGTCTTAAACAAGGGAAGGGAAAAAAAAAAGAAGCCTATTATATCCCCCCTAAAACGCCATCCATCTGTACTTTTCCGTTTCCCACACACCGCCACCCCACCCACCTCATACCCGCCCGCCAGTCCCAGCCATATCCATACGAAACTTACACACTCTCCTCCCGTCGCCAACCCTCAGACCACCACCTCACGCACCACCACCTCATGCACCACCACCTCACGCCCCAGCAGCCTTCCCCTCCCCCTTCCGTTCCAGCCTCTTCTCGGCGTCCTCCGCCCGGCGATTCGCCTCGACAACCTCCTGCTGCAGCTGCTTGATATACTCGATAGCCATCTCGACGGTGCTAGCCTTGCTATTAGGCGCAGACCCACCACCGCCCCCCTTATCCTTGTCCTTCTTCGTGTCGCTCCCTTCGCCCTCGCTGTCCTTGGGCGGGCGGGGCAGCAGGGTGGCGATCTCCAGCAGCGCCGAGTTGATCCTGTTGCGGCGGCCCTGCTCGGCGATCTTGTGCGAGGTGCGCTTCGAGGTGAGGTTCGTCGAGAGCTCGCTCGGGTACGAGACGCCCGGGAGGGTGTTGCCCTCGAGGATGCGCTGGTAGTTTGATTTTGTGGCGAGGAGGTGCGAGGCGGCCTCTTCGACGTCCGGCCCGCCCGGGAGGAGGGGTTTGATGCCGGGCGAGATCTTCGGCCGGAGAGCGGGTGAGACTGGGATCGAGCTGACGCTCCCGCGCTTCTTGCTCCCTCGCGGGAGAAGCTGGGGTGTCTTTCTGGCGCCGAATCCAGACCCGGCCAGCAGCTGGGGGCTTTGGGTCGCGGATGAGGTGCCGGATGGTTTCATGAGGGAGGGCGAAGCGAGAGGTGCTAAAGAAGGCGTTTTGGAGGAAGCCCTATCTTGGGAGGACTGTGTCGGTGTCGGGCCACTACTGGGTGTTGAGGTCTTATTCAAGAAGTTGGCCGACTCCGGGAGCTCAAAGGTTTCGATTTGGTCGGTATCGACCGCCTCTTGGCTATCAGCCCTCGCACCCGCGCTGCCGTTACTTGGTGAGCTGAGCTTCATCAGCGACGCGGGGGTCGCAGGGGACGCGATGCCTGGTCGTGAAGGTTGCAGGGTGCTGGGAACCGCACTGGCCTGCGGAGCAATATACGGGGATGGTTTCGCGGATCGCGATTTGGGTATGGGAGGTGGAGGCATATCGACAGGGGTTGTGTCGTTCAGAGCTTCGGGTGAGACAGAGTCCTCGGAATCGGTTACTCCCGTGGTAGACGAGGAAGAAGTTTGCATCATAGGTGTGGGCAGCAACTGGGGATCTTGGTTGCGTTCAACGCTTTCAGCAAGCTCCGTCAGCACCTGAGCGTTCAAGCTAGGAGTCGTCGTAGTCCTCCTGCGCAAAGGTTTCGAGATTGGTGATTGCTTGATGCCGCCTTTGGCTCTTGCCTTGGCCGCATTTTTTCGCATTTTCTTGGCCAGATCACCAGGGGTCGTATTTGACATGGCCGGTACGGCCGACGACGGGTCCAGCTCCATATCGACGGGAGAACTCGTGCTCACGACGCTGTGTAACTGATCAAACATGGCAAGGGGGTCGGTCTGGGCATGTAGAGCTGGTGATGTCAAGGGACTGAAATAGGCACTTGATGCCGCAAACTGTGAATCGACTGAGAAATGAGTGTCGAGCGGCGTCACCGCCGGTGAGACCAGTGGGGTAAATGACATCTAGCGGGAGATCAGCGAACCCGGGTCTCGGATCAAGACGACAAATTTTCAACCTACGTCTGCCTGGTCCTTTAGCCTCTGAAACCGGTACTCGATGGCTTGTTGCTGTTGTTGCTGTTGTTGCTGTTGTTGCTGTTGTTGCTGTTGTTGCTGTTGTTGTTGTTGTTGGGGTTGTTGTTGTTGTGACTGTTGCTGCTCCGGTCCGCTAGTCGGAGGGTAGTAGTGGTTGGACCCTGGTTGGAGCTCCAGGCTCTGGGGTGTCGGAGGAACCATGCGGTTCTGCTGCTGGCGGGTGAAGAATGCAGCCTGCTGTTCCTCCATGTGCCGCTGCTGGTGCCGCATCTTCTGCTGCTGGAGGAATTGTATCTGCGCCTCGATCGTGTCAACGATGGCTTCGTTCGGAGTAGGGGGCGGCATCATGGTGGCGGGTACGCTCTGATAGGAAGCAGCGCTTGTGATGGGCGGCATGTGGTGCTGCATCGCGGGCACCGCCGGTGACAGGAGAATTGGTGCGTCGGTGCCGCTCATGGGCATGTCCATCTGCTCCCGGGGGTGCTGCTGTAGCATCTGGGGACCGCCCGAGGGCTGAAAGTCCTGGAAGTTGTAGTTGATGCCGTCGGCCAGGTTGCCCATGCCATTCATATCCAAATACTGCTGAAAATCATCCTCGGGAGCAGGGTGGACCGAATGGTCGGCGACGGCCCAACTTGACGAGTCCATGATATGATGATGACCCTAGGGTCGGTCGAAAAGCCGAGTTTCACGTTGTGCGTGCTACACGGCCTTGAAAAAAGACCGAGTTCAGGAAGATGTGAACTCGTCAATTTTCTCTATCGCACGAGGCGGATTGCGCGATCGGTCGTCCACGTAATTCGGCGGTAGGGCGGTCCTGCGGAGAGCCGGTCTCTTTCGTTCGTTCGGAACACGGGCCGGATGTCTCATCTGCGACCCGCTGGTGCTTATCCGATAGTTAGATGCGCCGGGGTGGAAGCCGGTCTTGTCGAGCGCCGAGGAGGCGAGAATCGGTCGAAAAATGGCCGGGGAAAGGGAGAGAGAATCGTCGGGGAGGTCGTGAGGATAGTGAAAGCCTCGATGTGACTGCTGTTGCCCGGAGTTGGGTGGCTTTCCCAGAGTCGAGACCCTGAGACTGGGGAGTGGGCGGGAGGTGGGGGGACGACAGGTTGAAATGGAAAGAAGGCCCGTCTATGGCCAATGCTCGGTTGTGCCCCACGGCCATGTGTGCTAATTGCGCTCCCTTCATGCCCCGCTCCTTCGCCCCGCAACCCTCCAGCTCGCCCAACAGAGGCTTCAGGTGGACGGGCCAGGCTCTCCAGGCCTCGGCGTTTTGTCTCCAGTCTGTTCCAAGGTTACATCAGCTGCCAAAACCAATGTGAGGCTCCGAACACCGGTCGGGATGGAAGAAAACTTTGTCACTTCCATGGAATATCCTCGGCACCCGACGGAAGAGAGTTGAACTCGGTCAAGGGGGGGGTGCAAAACAGAAAACGGGAGAGAGACGGGACCTAGGTACCTACTGTGTAGTGTAGAGCCCGACGAGAATGTGTGTGATCCTTGGTAACTCCGAGGCCACCACTCCCCTGGATATCTGGTGACACACTCGAGACACATGGTCATTGCGCAAAAGGCAAAAACTGGTACGACGCAGGACCCGGGGGTTCCAATGACGTTCGTGATCTTCCATCTTCAATCTGCGCGGGTCTGAGTCTTGGACGGGATGCGTGGGGAGGGCGGCGAGGGCAGGGTCTTGGCAGCTAGGTGCACCGCCAGAAATGTCCTGCAGGTGTCCCGAGCACAGGCCAAGGGGCCGTCCCGAAGCGCCGGGATTTTTTCTTTCCATTTGCTTGGCCCAAAGCCTTCTATCGAAGCATCGACTTGTGGGTGTCGAAACAAAATGCAAAGGCAACCCGATCTAATGCCGGCGTTGTCTCGACCGGCCTGCGTCCAGCGACGAAGGTACTGGGGGAAGGCGCTGTGCCGCTGCCGTGGAGATGCAACCTACGGATGCGAGATGGGCGGGCTGCAGCTGCTGCTTCGGCTGCGCATGTGACCCACTTGCCTGTGGTGGCTTGATTGACAGATCAAAACCCCACGAAAGGTGGGGGGCAGGTCTCAGTTTTCCTCAAGCCTGCCGTGCCGTGCCTGCACCCTTCGAAACACTGATGGGAGACGGATGAAGGGCTAACCAAAAATACTCATTTACGTCGATCTGGCAGCTGACTGGCGAGACCGACAAGACTATTCAGAGCTGGAACACCCTGTAATTATCACGAGACATCCCGCTCTCGGCACCGAAAGCCAGAACGGGCTTTTTATGTGTGTATGTATGGTATGGTGCGCCGCAGGCTTCGACCATGTGGCAAGGTGCCGTCTCATTTTGGTGACCGACGGGACATCCTCCCAAGAAGAAAATGACTTGACCCCCAGTGGCGTGAGGCCGCAACCATTACATACACTAGGGCGTGGCTTGATGATCTTCCTTCGGTCGACGATTTTTCAAGATGGCGTCGCGTGGTGACCGCGTGGCAATCTTGGAGGGAAGTCTTACTTTTCCATCCCGGATTCTGCCGGACCTCGCCCGAGTTTTGTTGCCGGGTTTGACCGGTGATGCAACGCGTCCGAAACCCGCCTAAACTATTTGTTGTACGATGTTACCCGGTTCCGCAACGGAGCAAGGGAGGGGCTGGCTGGTTGGGGTGTGGTTGGGTCTGCAGCATGAACTTCCCCTACCGATCGCGATTCACAGACCCGAAAACTGGTCTCACGGAAAAACTCAGGCCGAAAGTGGTATTCGGTAATAGTCGACGGATCAAGTATTTACTGCCTGTTTTCATAGTAGGTAGGTACCTAGGGAAACAGCTGAGTTTCTAGATACAATTGCACGGCCGGTAGGTCCAACCACCAGAAAGTCGTCCACAGTACAGGCCCCGGGCCTTGCTTGTTCATAGCGTGCGCTCGGCAGCAGTTGGTTCTCTCTCCCACCCACCCCCTCTCTCAACCTCTCACCACAGCGAGACAATTATCCAGTGCCAATCAACAGAAAACAGACGGAAAAGCAGATATGTACGGTAGGTAGTGCACAAGGTATTGCCGAGGAGGCCAACAGCAAGGATGCGCCGGTCCCAGATTTGTCGAAATAAAAAGAAATCTGGTTGAGACAAAGATGGAAAAAAGGGGGGTTTTTATGACCGACCCCGGGCCGCCAGTTGGAAATGCCAATAATTGACAGGAAAACGGAAAGGCGCGCCAGAATGTACAGGATATAGTACCACATGAGAAGAGAAACGAAAATATGGTATATGAACCAGTCCGGAAAACGTGAAAAAAAAAGAGAAAAAAGAAATCGGTTCGGGATGTTCCCGGTAGGTGTCGAGTATCCCCGACGGAGACCGACGACGGTGGTTTTTGGTTGTAGTGAGCGGGAGTCTAACGTTGATGAACGCCGGGTTCGGATATTCAAGGAGATAGCACGCTGAAAGATAGTACTCCAGAGAGGGAACGTTGCTTTCATCCGGGGTATAACGCGGTCCACGCAAAATCCCCAAGGTTGGCCGCCCTCATGAGGGAGGGGGTATCATCATCAGGGAGGTCGTGATGGCCGCGTAGCGCAAAGCGTTATCGCAGACAACGACGTCCCCGAGCGGGTGAGAGGCTGGACGCAGACATGGTGGTGGAGTGGCTCCGCTTAGTTGCCACCCAGATTAAGCCAGCTCATGTCGTCGCGCACAGGCTGTTGGTTGCGGCGCGGCGGTGCCTGCGACGGGGGCTTCAGGCCTTGTGAAGCGGGGGCGAGGGGGGTTCCATAGACGCCGGTGGACGAGTCGTTGAGCGAGCGATCCGCTCCCCACGGTTTTTCGGCGGCGGCGGCGTCCCAGGCGTCTTGGACGGACTCTGGGATGCCGCTCGAGTATGCCGAGGCTGACATGTCGCTCACCCCGCTGATCGGGCGCTGCGTCTCGATCCGGCCGCTCATGCCCTGGTTCAGCTTGTCGTTGTACACGGCGATGGTCGGGCTGTGGGCATTGACACGGCTGAAGGACATCCGCGGTTCCGCAGAGGCGGGGAATAGGGGCGGCACCGTCGCGCTGTCCTGGGTCATGCGGTGCGGGTTGCTATAGTTGGAGCTCCGGTCCGAGGCGAGGGTGGTCCGCCGCGAGTTGAGAGCGGCAACGTTACTAGGATTAATGTTGTTGTTGTTGCCGTTGTTATTGTTGTTGGGGTTGCCGTTGCCGTTGCCGAAACCCAAAAGGTTCAAAGCCGAACCGCCGGACCAGTACCTGTTCCACCCAGAGCTGCGCCGTGTGTTCCCCCCTTGCTTATCGGCCCCTGCCGTCAAGGTTCGGGGCTTCGCATCAACCGTGCTGGCTGCGAACGCGACACCCTTCTCATCCCTAGTCTGCTGTTGAGCGGGTGGCGGCGGCCGAATTGCTGCGGCGACCGGGGTAGGCTGCGTCATCGGCTTGCTGATGGTGTTCTTGAAGGCCTTGAAGGTGCTGTCGGACGAGTCGCGTCTGCTCTCGTTGCTCGACTTGCGGCCGGCGCCGGCCGGAGCCGACTTCTCGCCAGTGCGGCCCATCAGGATGGCCATTGACGAGAAGGAGCTCTGGGAGCCCTGTTGCTGGTGGCCGCGGAAGGCTGGCGGCGGACTCTGGCCGAAAGCAAGGCTCTCTTTGTCAAACGCGCCACCGTCCTTCTCGCTCGGTGACGGCCCGATCGACCGGCTCACATGGCCGGCCTCCATATGCCCCTGCCTCTTTCGCCGCCTGATGCACATATACACAAGGGCCAACAGCAATGCGGCACCGAAAATACTTCCCAGAACGGCGCCGAGGATGGTGTTTAATTGCGGATCGGATCCATCAGGAACTGCCGCTACGGCAGCATCTGTGGGCGCTTGGGTGGCGGTAGTTGGGTTCGCCACGCTGGCTGTGACGGAGGTAGTGGAGGGTACGGATGTTGATGTTGAACTTAGCCTTGTTGATGTCCCCGTAGCGGATGACGTCGACGAGGAGCGGGTTGAGGATTCGGTCGAAAGAAGCCGAGCCTGGGAAAGCTTGGAGTCGGCGTCCTCCCAGCTGTTATCTCTGGCGTTGAACATGCACAGAACATCGTCATCGGCGCTCCCGCCGGCAATGACAACCATGCCGTTTGACCCCTGAGCGAGAGCGAAGTTGTTCCTAGTGACCTTCGGGGCCAAGGTCGAGTTGTACGCTGGCCAGTTGTTCAGCGTCAGGGGCTCACCGGCCCTCTTCTCCATACTGCTCGGCCCATGCTCCGTCCTTCTCGACAACCGCCTGCGAACCGGCGCGGCCTGTGGAACTGGCACACCGGGCCCCTTGAAAAGAACCGTTCGCCTCACTGCGTTTGGCGACGCGGACATGTCGAAAGTGAGGAGGTTCTTTGACCCATCGTCGCCCGTCATCAACACCGCCTTGATAGCAGACGTATCCTTTGCCAGTGGCGCCGCGAGCGATGCTCCCGAGTCAACCCATTTCTTGTCGGCCGCGTTGAACAGCATGACCTGTGCGTTCCATGTACTCCCGCCGACCAGACCCGCCTCGCTGGGAGACCAGGACAACAAGATCGGGTTGACTGATGGTGGCCCACTGGTGTCGTAGGAACGGACGTTGTGTGGCGCGGACGCGCCAATTGTGAAAGTCGATGTCGACGGTGCGTTGGACCCATCCTGGTTGCCCGCGTAGACGAGGATCGAGTCGGTGCTGTTGAGGTAGACGGCGCTGTGCCCTACTCGCTGATGTGTCACCTTATCCAGCAACTTTACCGACTCCCATTGCCCCGTCGCGTATGTGAACTTCTGCAACCCATGGTACTTGTCCGATCCGCCAGTACCTCCGACCACGAAGAAAGCCGACGTCGACGCTGTCCCTGTTGTTGAGCCGACGCAAGCAGCCCCCGTCACCTTCTCGCCCTGTGGCAGTACCTTCCACTTGGCCCCCGGCTTAAGCTGTAGGGATTGGAAGGCATCGGCCGAATATGTGTAAAGTGTGTTGTCGAATATGACCGAACATGCGTTATTCAACGCCGTTTTTGGTTGAGGGAGCGGCATCGTGGCGAGATCTCGGCCTATGCGGGCGAGACGACCAACCTAGGCAATCGGTGCCTTCAACGGAGAGGGGGTAAACCTCAGTGATGGTTCCTCGTCAGCAAAACATATCGAGCTTGCGTGTCCGGGGGAGAATGTAGTGCGTTCGTGTTGCGCGGTCGACGGCCGGCGGGTGGCAAGAACTTCGTATGCAAGACAGTGGACCAATGTTCCCAGGAGGGAGGTCCAGAGGAAGAATCTCGCGGAAACCAGATGCGCGGGAAAAAAACGGCCAGACGTCGATCTGGGATCTCGAGGGCCGGCCTGTTGGTGTGAGGGAGAATATGATCGACGGAACAAAACCCTGGGTTGTTTCCGAGGAACAAACGGCGAGGAAACGAAGGTTTGTTGTTCTGAGGAGCCCCGTGTCGCAGGATGGAGAGGGGGTTACGTGGAATTGGGGCCTCTGCCGCGAAAGGTTTGATGGGACGCACACGATGCTACTGCGGCCCCTGGCGCTGATGGTCCACGGTGTGTCAAGTCCGGGGGGGGCAGTGCGAACAGCTTCTTCTTCCTCTTCTTCTTGCGGCAGCGAGTGAGAGAAGCAGACAAAACGACGACGTTCACGAAGAGTGCTGGTAACGTTAAACTGCAAACTGTGCCGGACGAGTTTCGGATGCCGACCGAGGGTCAATTGCCAACTTCGTGAAGCTGAGCACGGTGATCCGACAGACACCACCACCACACCAAGGGAGACGAGAGAGGGACACCCACGGCAGCCAGCGACCGAGACATCGGACGGGCAGGCGGCAAGGGGACGACGGGAAATGAGCCAAAACGGGGCCTCGCGAACCTGGTGACAGGGAGAGGGAATCGGGGGCCTGGTCGAATCAGGGGAGGGAACGGGGGCGGACAAGGGGTTCCCTGGGCGCTCATTTGAAGCTCGTCATGCGAGAAACGTCCCAGCCCCATCCAGCTGCGGTGCCACATGGGGGAACGCCGAGGGAGAGGGACATGCCATTTAGCGAGCTGGCTGATCTCGAGGGGAGAAAAGGGGCGCTGGTGCAAGAACGCGAATCCGAATCAACACCGGCCTCGGCATGTCCAGGGACATCGGTGCTGGGGGCCGTTTTTTTCTTCTTCTCCTCCATGTTGATGAGATTTGATTACCCAACCGGAGAAGAGCCATTCATCGCGAGGTCAGGGTCAACGAAGGGGGGGGGAAGAAGAATAAAAAAAGAAGAAGAAAAAAGAATGAGAAGCCGAGTTGCCGTTTCGATACTACCCTCATCCCATCTCCGTTCCAATTGTCGGATTGAGGGGCTCAAAGGTCAACTTCCATCCTCGCACCAATTCAGCTCTTCACTCAGCTGTAAATTGAAGACCCTCCTCTAAACTCAGAATTAATAAAAGTCAGCTGGTGGTGATACACAGCACAACACAGCCACTGCAACCAACAGTGTGTCGCTCCGAGGTTCATGTCACACAGCCATGCTGAGTGTGTTCGAGCGACACCAAAAAGTCCCAAGCAGTGGATTGCTTCTGTCGAATGAGGGGCCCTGTCTCTGCTGTCCTGTCCTTTTCCTGAAACGCTCGAACCCCAGAGAGGGAACCGAGTCTAACCAGGAAGGGAAAAAGCGCCTGCACCTCCACCCGAATGGCGGGGCAGGGATGCTCTCCACTTCCCGCCCGGCCGTTTTTCACCACGAGGAAGGGGTGGAATGGTGGAATGGGCGAGTTCCAAAGTTCACAGCAAAACATGCAATTTTACCCGAAGTGCCAGGTGAGCGATGATGTCAGTCCTTCAGGAACCACAAACGGAGTCCCGCGCGGCTCTGCGGACGCCATCATCCTCACTGTTGCTGGTGATTGGCTCCAACAAGACTTCAACATCACAGTCACATGGCGTGTGAACTCCGAATACCACGAATCAATGAAAAGGTGCGGGCGCGTAATGAATACAACAAATTTAACCCAGCCGCACACTCTTCCGATACTTGACGAGGGCCGCACCCGCCATGTCCGATCGACGACGTTGAATTGCGAGCTATGCTGTGCAAACTGCCATTGTTGGCCAGGGTCCTTCCCTCCCATCTGCTGTTTACCCCTTTCATCTCATGATGAACTCGAGGCGCCCATCGTCGGTAACCAGGGGCGAGACGACGGAAGGTTCCCTCGAAACGGGAAATTCCATGAGCAACTCCCGACCTCGGCCACCCGAACCACGAGGCCGCTGGGATATTGTAACTATTGGGATAAAAAGTTGTATACTACACTACAAGTAAGACATGAGAATTGCGACACAGTCCTGGTATGCCACCAACGTCACCCGTTGCAAGCCACAGCACGGTAACTTCCGTGATCTACTTGTACATGTAATCTGTACCCGCAACAGCATCCGGCCTGCTCGTCAACACGTCAACCTCAGATATGCAAATCCAGGGGGCTCGTCTAATGGCCAACCCGTAACACCCACAGATTACTTCAAGATGCCCAGATACCCATTCACGCTTCAGTTCGCAGAGGATGGTGACTCAAGAAGCTGTAAAGTGTTGAATCAGGGTATCACGCTGAATGACATGTCCGCCCGTCTAAGTATAATCCGTTCCATGCCCACAAACGCCTTCCAGTAAAACAAATGAGAGGGGAGCGTTTTCCAAACAGCCCATGCCGAACCATACCCAAGAAAGCAGAATGGCCTGCTTTGGAATCCCAACTCCCTGAAACCCAAGTTCAAATGCTTCCGGCCTCTGCCCCCAGCCGCTGCCAAAAAGAAAAAGAAAAAGAGAAGAGGGATGTTTTCATACTCTCATCTCATCACGACACTGCTGAGGAATAAAGCCCGACAGACAACACGCAAGACTCCCCACCCCTATCACAACCGCCGTCAAGGGTCGAATTCAAAACCAATCGCTTCCGATTCTATGATTCGCTGTTCCGATCTCGATTTCGCTCGCTAATACATCGTGCATTCGCTCTCTTCCTAGAAACATTGTCAGTTAAGTCACTCACAAGTAATACAGAGAGAAAACACTTACCCTCATATCTCCATATCCATATCCATCCGCTTCACAAATTATGCAGCTGATACAAAAGCCTCCGGTGGCAAATCCGCCCTCTTCTCTTGAAATGACCTCAGTGCCAGGTCGAAGTTCCAGTCCGCTTCCCCGGCCAAGCACAGCCGAGAATACTCGGGCGTCATGCCCGTTTGCCGACACAATTCCTCAATCATCTGGGCACGCACGGTATCATCCAGTACGGGGGGTTGTGCCGCAACGGGGACTGTTGGGACAGGCGCCGCGTTGGGCGCCACGTTGGGCGCCACGGTGGGAGCCTGGACGGCCGCGGCCGGTGCTTGTTGCGGTACCCAGGCTTGCAGTGCGAGTTCATCACTAATGACCCGGTATGGGTGCGGCGCACCAGGTTTGCTCGGCCCAAGGATAAAGGAACGAGAAAACTGGCGGGTACCGGGGAGCTGCCGAGTCGGGTCGACTTCTTCAAATCGACTGTAGACGGTGATCGCCAGGCCCATAGCCAAGCCTTGTCCAGACGGGTCGGCCAAGCTTGGGAAGGTATGGCAATCGACCTGCCACTCATCGGCCAAATCCAGGCTGGGATGCCTTGTTGCAGGAAGCTGGGCCCAGAGTTCCGCGATCAAGTTGCTTCCGTTGAACAGCCGCTGCTGTATAGGCGAGCCCCGGACGCCAATTGTTTCCAGATTCCTGGAGAAGTTGTCATAGCCGCTTGACGCGGGCTCCGCTTTGGTGTGAAGCGAGAAGGCAGAGTCTTCGTCGTAGAACTGCCTGGCGAGAGAAATTCGGTCGTGGTCATATGTGACAAAGAAACCACTAAGGAATGTGCTCGCCACGTTGTTCCCGCCGTCCCGCAGGTTAGATGGCAGACGGGGAAGCGGTGTAGGGAACCACGACTTGAAGGCCTCCGCAGCCTCTTCTGGGGTTCTAACCCGGCGTCCGTCCAACACCTGCAGGCTTGGGAACCATTCGATCATTTGGGTCGCGTAGGTTGGCAAATTGGCGACGGGATTGCCGGCGGCATGGAGCTCCTCCAGGCGGCGGAATTCATGACGCCACTTGGAAATTTTCGACATATCCTGGAGCTGGTTACCGCTAAGGTCGAGACGGCGCAGATGAGGGAGGGTATAGGCCAGTGCGAAAACCTCGTAGACGTCGTGGATGTCGTTGTTAGCGATAGTAACCGCCTGGATGCCTGCCTCCTTCTCGGCAGGATTGTCGTAATGTGTAGCCGTGAGACGCATCAGCGCCTTGAACGACTTCTCCGCTAGCGCCTTGGATTCGAAAGCGCCCATGCTGAAGAGGGTTTGATCGGCCCCTAGTGCCGATAGGTCCAAGAGCTTCTGTTCTACGTTGTAGCGAGAACTCAGAACCGCCAGCAACTTCTCTTTCGTTTCTGACGGGTTTGGCTCGGGGCCGTCGGTCGATCGGCCGTTTTGCCCGGGAATCGGATCGCTGGTCTCTTCGATGGTTAACGGGGCGCCGGCGTACGTGAAACCGTTCAGGTGTAGCAAATTGGGCGCGTCGGCTTGATTGACTTTGAGCCACACATGGTCCCCTCGAATGACTCCCTGAGAAATGTTAGCATGTGCATAGAAAGGAAAGTCTATAGGAAGGACCGGAGGCAACGTACTCTACCGAGTATGATGGGCCGCTCTTTAGAAGCTTTTCGTTCAAGGAACTCGAGAAGCGAGCGAAGACCACCGTCCGAATTCCCGGCCGCTTTACTATCTTTGAGGCCATGGATCTTCAGGGTGACTTTATTGTACTGGGCTTTCCCGCCACGAGTCGTGCCATCTTGTTCCGACACGTAATTGCGTACATTCTGAGCGAGCCGGGCTGACACCCGGCCGCCTCTTCCACCTCGGGAGCCTCGATTTCCACGGGTAGAATGGGCTGAGGGGCCGGTTGGCGGGTTCGCTGCACTTGAAGTATCCATGGAAACATCGCCATCACGGTCGGTTCGAGAGGTACCCCGACGCTTTCCTATGCCGCCACCTCGTGTGCCCCGCGGATTTTGGCGATTGCCGCGGCTCGCACGAGGGCCGGTGGGAGGTGCCATTGATTGTGGTTGACTTAATTTGCACGATTGTTAAAGCTAGTGAGGAGGTACGTGTGCGGTGGTAGAATGCAAAGGTGGTCGAGTTTGTGGGAAGAAGGAAAGAGAGTGCGGGACGCGAAGCTCGAAAGAAAGAGTGCCTTCAACTCTGCATACAAGGTTCTATGTCTGGTGCCCGGACCCACCCCGCCAGGTCCACTGGCTGGGCGTCCGTACGGCAAAGGTCCCGGACCCGAGCGTTGGGCTGACCTTCTGCAAGGCGTAACCCCCCTTGATGAATCCCTCACGACGAGCCGCACACGTCAGGCGAAGAAATCTCCTGTGTGCAGAGCGCGTACCTTAAAAAATGGGGTGCCCAGGCGGCCCAAAAATGCAATGAGAACCTTGCATCATTTTTGGATGTTTATATGGAGAGCCAATGGAAGAGCTCTTCCGGCCCTGACGATTGCAAGAACGGACCCTTGCAGGTTGCTTTATCGAACCTGATCTCATTGTTCGGCGAGCTGCCGAATGCGGGCTGATGTCTTCGAATTATTCCATTGTACACTACTACCCAAGTACATCTGTACCTGTAGTACCATACTTGGTACAATGATCATTACCTTTCATTGTCTTTATCCCCACCTGGTTGTTGAGTGGTTTGCTCGAACCAGTGGATGGGTTGATCCAGGTCACTCAAACCAATCACGTGCATTGGCGCAATTACGCGTCTCTTCCGTCGCGTCCTCTTACCTTCAGCCGAATTAATGTAGTTATTTGGACTTTCTGAAGAGTTGCTTTTCGTGACTCCTTGGGCCCCTCGCCACGCCACTTGGGTTGCCATTTTAATCCCCTCAACACAAGGAAACACGACCAGGGCTGCGCAGTTTAGGCAGGTCATTGTCTAATGCCGCGTGCCGTTTTACATTTACACTTTTGGGCGTGACAGCCTAAAACGAGGTTATTGAGAGATGGGAGCAATGGACGACGATGAGTTCGATGATGAGTTCGACGACATCCCCGATGAGGATATGATTCTGGCCCTCACTCAAGCTACCGATTCTGCTGCAGCCTCTTCGAATGTGGTAGCCAACCATTCACGCGGTTTCGGCAATGGCACTTTTCATTCCAGGCCATCGACACAGTTCTCCAACTCTGTTAGAGCCCCGGTCCAGCTCCCGCCCTCTCGCCAACATCCCATATCCCGAGCTCCAAGCTCATTCAGCAGGAATCCAGTTGTGGGGAACGCCGGGAATGGGTCTCTCGATACCTCCCCTTCAGACGCCTTTGATAGTTCGCCCAAGAGACCCAACCGCGCTCCCATTGTCAGCCCCCGCCCGCTCCGACCGTCAGCCCAGACTCAAGCCCAGATTCAAGCCCAGAACCTGCGCCAGACTACTTTATGGGGAACCACCATCCGGGAAGACCGTTTGACGGGATCGCAGGCCACTAACAGTCGCCCGTACCGTGCTGATCTCCCGCCGGAAGCCCCGACGCACCACGAACTTCACCATGAAGAACTACCAACCTGGGTGTATCCCTTGAATCTCGGCCCCATTCGAGACTACCAGTTTAGCATCGTCAAGAATGGCCTCTTCCACAACACGCTGGTGGCCCTCCCCACCGGTCTAGGCAAGACCTTTATCGCTGCCACCGTCATGCTCAACTACTACCGCTGGACCAAGCGCGCAAAAATCGTCTTCGTAGCGCCCACAAAACCCCTCGCATCTCAGCAGGTCCAGGCCTGTCTCAATATCGCCGGTATCCCTCGGTCAGAGGCAACACTTCTCACAGGCGAGACTCCTCCGGTCCTACGGCAGGGCGAATGGGAGAACAAACGGCTGTTCTTCATGACCCCGCAAACCCTGATGAACGACCTCTCCAAAGGATATGCCGATCCCAAATCCATCGTCCTTCTTGTTGTCGACGAGGCTCACCGCGCGACCGGGGACTACGCCTACGTCAAGGTCGTCGAGTTCATAAGGCGCTTTTCGAAAAGCATCCGGATCCTTGCGCTAACCGCCACTCCGGGGTCAACGGTGGAGGGTGTGCAAGACATCATCGACAACCTTGGTATCTCCCACGTGGAAATCAGGACCGAGGAGTCGATCGACATCCGTCAATACGTTCATTCACGGAACATCGACACGGTGACCTTCGATCCCTCTGACGAGATGCACGAGGTGCGGGAATTGTTTTCCAAGGCCCTCAAGCCCCTAGTGGATAAGCTGAGCTCGCAGAACATCTACTACGGCAGGGATCCCATGAGCTTGACAACCTTCGGTCTGCTCAAGTCCAGGCAAGAATGGTTGGCCGGGCCTGGCGGACACGTGAACCAGGGGATAAAATTCATGATGATGGCCGTGTTCAGCATCTTGCAGAGCCTGGCCCACTTGATCAAGTTGCTCAACTTCCACGGCATCAAGCCCTTCTACAATGGCCTCGCTGAATTTCGGTCGAGCGAGGAGAGCAAACCGGGACAGGGCTCAAAACTCAAGAAACAGCTCCTGGCCGACGAAAGCTTCCAGAAGATGATGACCGTGATCGAACGCTGGATGAGGATGGACGAGTTCAACGGGCACCCAAAGCTGACATATCTCTGCGAGACCCTCGTCAACCACTTTATCGACGCGGGCGAGAATTCCAACACGAGAGCCATTGTCTTCAGCGAGTACCGTGACAGTGCCGAGGAGATCGTTCGCCTCCTCAACAGCCAACCGCTCATTCGCGCTACCGTATTCGTGGGACAGGCCGATTCGAAAAGGAGCGAGGGCATGAAGCAAAAGCAGCAGATCGAGACGATCGAAAAATTCAAGAATGGCGGTTTCAATGTCCTCGTGGCTACCTCGATCGGCGAAGAAGGGCTCGATATTGGCCAAGTCGACCTGATCGTTTGCTACGACGCCTCGGCCTCACCGATACGCATGTTGCAGCGGATGGGGCGCACAGGCAGAAAACGTGCAGGGAACATCGTGTTGCTGCTGATGAAAGGCAAGGAGGAAGAGAAATTCCTAGAAGCGAAGGACAACTATCAGAAAATGCAGCAGCTCATCTGCGACGGCGACGGCTTTACTTTTCGCCACGATCTCTCAACGAGAATTGTGCCTCGGGATATCAGGCCCGAAGTTGACAAACGGCTTGTCGACATCCCCATCGAGAACTCCCAGAACACTTCCCTTCCTGAGCCCAAAAAGACCGCGGCTGGCCTGAGGAAGAAGCCCGCCAAAAAGAAGTTCAATATGCCTGATGGCGTAGAGACCGGCTTTACGAAAGCCTCGTTCTTCGGCCGGCCCGTGGAACGGGCTGGTAATACACCCAAACCGCCTGCCGAAACCGACTTCTTGGTCAAAGTGCCTAAGCTTGAGAAGGTTCTATTGAGCAAATCACAAACAGAACGCTTCGAGAGACTATACAAATCCCTCCCGAAGACCCCATTTGACAAGGTGCAAGAACTCGGATTCGACGACATCAACCTCGGAGCCCACCCGGCTGCCCAGCGAGTGCTACGCCGTACCGTCAACCTGAAACACGGTCAGTACACAAAAAAATGCGTGAAGTTGTTTAGGGCTCTAGGGGAATCCCAGGATCCCTTGGAAAGGTTTACCCGTCCATACGGCACGACAGATACAACGTCATGGGAACAACTGCCAGTCCCGCCGTTTGCAGGCGAGGCTCTAAGCCAGCCCGTCAAAACAGGGCCCAAGACCAGCAGCTCGGTGTCCAACAGACAGCGTGTAGACAGGAGGTTGCCAGCAGCTCGAAAGACAGATAGCAAACCTACTAGGAAACGTAAATCCGAGTCGATTTACCTTAGCGAGTGTGAGGAAGCGGAAGAGGACGAAGATGAAGCGGAAGAAACTGCAGTCGAAGAAACCACGCCACGAGGACACCGTGGCCGTGGCCATGGTCGGGGCGCGGCCAAACAGGGAGGGTTCAAGCGGGTCGGTGATCATATCGAAGACTTTGGGGACGATTGCATGCGAACAAGTGACATGGAGGAGACGGATGGCTCCGACAGCGGCGCCGACCTCGACGATTTCATCGTCGGAGACGACGTGTTCTCATCTAGCAACCAGCAGAAGTCAATCGGCCCTGCCACACCCAGCTCATCCCAACTCAGCTTGCGACACCGACGCACAGGGCAGGTTGCGGCGGAGGACAAACCGTTTTACGAACCGCCCGAGTTCGGTTCAACCCAGGACTCGGACGACGAGATGCCCGATCTGGCCGAGCTCGTTGCTAAAAGCGCGAGAAAGCCGGTCGGGCCATCCAAGCCGAGAGTGACCTACCTGGAGGACGAGGACAGCGAGGATGATCTGCCCCAGCTGTCTCCGCGCAGGCCACAGGCGAAGAGGAGGCGGCAGGTGCTTCCTGAGAGCGACGATGATGATACACCTTAGCAATGGCGTTTGTCGCTGGCTTGGACGACTTTAACGCAGGGCTATGGAGTTGTGGGTGGATGGATGGATAGTCGTGGTTGAGGTGATGATACCCAAATAATGCTATTACGAGAGTCCGGTCTATGGTGTTTTGATTGCTTGTATACGGCCACGAGTAGTAGGAGTATTGGCCTAGCTGGTATAACATGCAGCAGATGAAGCTTGCAGATGTCAACAAGATCACATCATGGTATGTCATGTCTAAGCAACTGATCATTTTACTTGGCGCTGCTTTTACCTCGCTTGTATCATTGCAAAACCGAACCCTTTCTAGCCTCCAATCTCCCAACGGAACGGAACACAATTACTGACTTACTTGGATACCCTAGAAAACTATAACCCCCTCTTTACAAGCTCACTCTCCCCCTTTCTCTCCCCCTCCCCTTCCCACAACCCCCCTTTTCCTTATTTTCCCCTCAACCCCCTAAAAATCACTCCCACTCACTCCCACTCACTCCCACTCACTCCCAACCCCCCCTTTCCACCCCCCATCCCCCTCCCCTTTTCCTCCCTTCCCCCCCTCCCCACCACCAAACAACCCCCGCCCCTCCCACAACCACCCCTCCACCAACCGCTGCGTATACGACTCCGCCGCGAACGCCCCCTCCGCCCCCGTCCAGTCGATCGCGTCGGCCAGCGACGCCAGCGCCGCGTCCGACTTGGGGAACCCGCGCCGTATCCGTTGCCACCGGAACAGCAGGGCGGCGAGCAGTTCTTCCGGGGTGAGCGAGTCGGGGCCTGAGGTTGGTAAGAGGAGGTGCGTTTTGATGGCGGTTAGGAGGGCGGCTGCTTCGGGGGTGGTGTAGTGGTACCGTTTGCGGTGGTGGTGGGGGTTGTGGTTGGGTTTGGGGGGGTTGTTGGGTTTGGGGGAGGAAGGGTAGGTGTGGTGGTGGGTCAGGAGGCTGTCGGTTGGGCTTGGGGGCCTCGGTTGGTTTGGTTGGTTTGGCGGGCTCGGTGGGCTTATTGGGAGGGGTGGGAGTCGGGAGATGGGCCCGGCTGCGAGGCGTGGGGTTGGGGGGGCGCTGGAGTGGCGGGTTGGGATGGTGATGGGGATGGGGGCAGGGCGGTGGGTGACTACCGTTGCCGTGGCGCGTCTTGCTGCGGTCGCGAACTTGAGAAGGGGGCTTGGTTGACCGTTCGAGTACGCGTCCTCACTGACATCGTCTGCCTCTTTGGCTGGCTGCGGGCTGGAAAAGGGACCTGTGTAGGACTTCCACGTGTGAGGACTGGTACGCGTTGTGGGTGGTGAGCTCCGAAGGCCGTCATATACGAGGTAGTGATCCGGGGTTGTCATCGCGATGCCAATAGCGCCGGGGCTTGGTTTAAGAGTCTCGCTAGTAGCACTCGTCCTCCTCGTTGATGCCTTGGTAACAATCTGGTCTATCTCGTGCTGCACCAGAATCTGAAATGAACGTCTCTTAACGGCCAGCGACAAGCTTGCCTTACCGTCGCCTGTTGCCCGTCGACGTGGCGTCTTCAAAGCCAGCAACATTCGTTGTTGTATCTTTTGGCTCCGTTCTCTTAACCAAGAGAGAAATTCCGCTCGGCTCTGTGATGAGCTAGCGTTCTTCTGCTGTTTCACGGGTGCTGCCCGGGATGGTGACTGCTGGGCCAACTTCAGAGCCTTGATTTTCACGCCAGGGAGCTTGTTGATAACCCAGATATTGCCCCTGATGTAAGCCCAAGTTTCCTCGTAGAAGTGAGGGAGGGGGGCGCAAAGGGGGCGAGCCGAAGAAAAGTTGACACCTTCAAATTTCGTAGCCTCTGGCTGGCCTATCACCGTGGCATCGTCAGTGTCGTCACTAGATGCCCAGCATCTCAGTTGACAAAGAACCGGATGCATCTCGCTGGTAAATCCGAGCTGTAGGTGGTTATTACTCTCAAGAACAGCTTCAAGCAGAACCGAAGGAGAAGCAGGCGTCATCGACACAAGGCAGTCTCAATGCTTAATTATAAATCTAGGCTATCTCAAACCAAATCCAACTCGGAAGTGATTGTTCGGGCTTGGGGCAGCGGCCGGGCGTGAACCAACAGCGGACCGACCTGCTTTAATACCATCACCGTGCCCCCTTTCATGTCTTTGACTGTGCAGAATAACAATTACAGATTGATGTTGACAAAGGACTTAGTTGTCTTAGCGAGAAACAACCATCATACCCCTTGTTGGCCAAGTCAAACAACAGCTGAATTACCAGATCCTGTGTTTAGAAAGCTTGATGGGAAATGTTGCAGAACTCGAAGCTAGAAATCAGGAGATCTGGATCGGTTCATGAAGTTTGCCAGCTCACGAGCTGCTTGTCTATTGCTACTACACCAGGGGTAGAGCTACTAGTCCTAGCGTTAGGCCAACGTTACCGGGACCATTGTTGAAGACCCTTTGGGCAATACCATTGTCTCTTATCCTCCGACTGCTTTGCGGAGGACTCGCCCCTTAGCCCGCCAATTCGATTGGGGCCCGCATGCTTTCATGTTTGTCTTCGAGATTAGGAGCGAGGTACATACCATGGCCTAGACGGTTTGAGCTATATTCGAGGAGCTCAACCAAACACATGGAATGTCAATAAAGAAGGGAGGGTTTCCCGCCTCCCATACCATCATTCGACGCTGATTACTAGCACCCTAAAGCACTGCAATGTAACTACGTAGGTATTTCATCGGGGGCAAATGACGGCGGATCACCGGAATCGGGAGATGTGCCTTCAACTCTTGCAGTTACCCCATGCCGAATGGAGGAAACGGGTCGGTAACAAAAAGGGTACATGATGAATTATCCCCGAGGAACACCACTGCCCTCGCTGGGGCATTATTGGAAGCTGGTTAACAGATTGATGGCTGACCGGGCACAACCGGCAAGGTCACCGAGGCCCTGCGAATGCAGAATCCTACTTGCTGGACTCGATGGCATACGAGTTGGGGTACATGACATACGATGATCAAGAGACACGATGGAGGGATACCACCCGCCTGTATCACCATCGTCAGAGAGTACGAGATACCGGGATCATCGGAATCTCCGTGATATCATCTAGAGCATCACTTTCGAAGCCCGTTCTTGTTGCCTTACCAACTCCGCTTCTTAGCTCAGCGCCATTTCGGACCGACACCGAGGCAAAGGAAAATGGCGTCGGTGAGATGATGTGCCGTGGCGGGCACGCGTGTCGCGGGAATTACGGTTATCGGTGGAAAGACAACGCCCAGAAAACACGAAACCAACGAAGGAGCCGGTGAAAGAATTCAGGTGCCTGGGGAGGGGGGAGGGGAGGGGGGAGGGGAAGAGGGAGGGAGGGAAGCATTGGAACAGCAGGCCGCGCACTTGTGCCGCGCACCGTTGCGTTCCTCTCCCAGGCACTGACATTCGAATTGAGGCTCCCTAATTCTCTGTAATCCCATTCGCGGGAGCGAAGTAGCGACTCCTCGTAGGGCTGAGGTGCGTTTCCTCCCCCTCCTTTTGGGTTGACGCACGAGATCATCGGTGTACACAGTACGACGTGGTCTTTGTCGGCTGTTTTCTCGGTTGATATTGAGGAAGTCAGATTGGGGACCGGTCGCTTGGCAAAAAGCATGGGGTGAATTTCTTGATGGATGAGTGGTTCGAAGCGAAGAGCTTCTCCTGCATGAAGGCGGGCTTGGGCGTAATTTGTTGCGCGATGAGCAGTTTTGGAGCAGAAGAAAGGACCTCCCAAATTCATCACCGGCCGCCTCCGTGCCCAAAGCCAGGTGGCGACTCTGCGAGCCAGCCCTACGAGAGCGGGGAGCGGGAGCTGCAGGGACACAAGGGCACCACTGATCAGATTTGGGCCAATCTCGAGGCTTATCGCGTGTGTTGACTCCAACTCCACAAACGGGCGGTTGCTGCATGATCGCCAATCTGTGGGGATTGTTGCCCTCCAAGCCACAACAATCGCCGTCCTCATCTCGAAAATGGCTGGCTCGTTGGCATGCAGTCCATACAAACATTGCAGATAACTGCATGTCTGCTTTGTTTCGTGCAGCCGTCCCTTTGGTTGCGTTGACCAAAGACGGGAGAGGGATGGGGACAACCCAAGCCCGTTTCTTTCCGCTTCTCTCGGTGACTTCTAGGACTCTGGTGAGGTGGTTGGGGTCTGCATCAGAGTCGCTTCAGGTTGTTGGGGCAATTGTCCTGTCCCGACTCCTCACTGGTCTGACTCCTGGTCCGAGCCACAACATTGCGGCTGCTGCATTTTTGGGTTTTGCCCGTCTGGAAAAGGTGAGGGCACCGCCCTTGCCTGAGTCCCGGATGACCGATCTCACCGTGGGACATGGAAGCGGTGCGCTCTCGGCCCCTTTCCCGTTCTCACCACCAGCATCCATGGAACAAACGGTCGCGGGGGTGGGGACCGCTTGGGCACTCGCTGCGTTCCATGATGCGTCAGCGACTCGGAGCATGGGCATGCTCGGGCCATGGAGCGGTGGAACAAAGGGGAGGAGCTCTGAATCGCCCCTTGCTGCCAGTAATTCCACCCCACGACCAACGCTAACAAGAAAATGATGGGCTGGAAGGAATCCAGAAGTCATGGCCCGCTTGTCGATCGCGAAACACTCGTGACTGTGTATGCATGGACGAAGCATTGTTGTTGCAATGGAGAGTGGCTGCAGCAGAGGAAGCAGCTTCGCCACACGTCCATACAATGTCCGCCGTTCCCGCCCCCGAGCTACGGTTGCAGGTTGAGGCCATGGTGGGGGCCGTCATCTCAATGGGCCTTGATGGTCCTCCCAGGTCACATCGCAACCGAGCACAAGGTCCCGGCCTCAGCCGGATAGCGCCAACGCCGCCCCGAGTTGCGGCGCGGCGGGCAGGTCGGATGGGTTGACGTGTCTGTTTGTCTTGACTCGAGCTTGAGCAGATCGTCGACATCACAGCATTCGTCATTCCCCCGCGCGGCTCTTCTTGTTCCGTCGCATTTGAAAGTTGAAATCTGTCTGCCTCCAGAGAAGACCTTGCGTTTGCATCGATCGTGCACCAGTGGACGACTGTGGACGATGCTGGAAGCCCGGCAGGGCCAAGCAGCTGGTCCCGGTACCTCGACCAAAGCTGGGGATGAAGGTGGGGGATACACGGACTCTGCTAGCTCAGGACTTCGGAAAACACCAGAATTCCACTCGGTAACTCGAATTGATGCAGGTGCATAGGGTCCTTCATTAACAGTTTGGAGGACCGCAGCCGGCCGAGACATCAGGTCCAGGGACTTTGCAGCCCACAAACGCTATCAATAGCGCGATTGGGAGCACGATTGGAAGGATTCACCCCTGGCCAATGGCGGGCCAGTAATCCAACGCTGCGCCTGCCAAAGGACCCACTTCTGACTGGGAACCCCGGTTGCCCGAGCAGGCAGCAGCGTCCGACAAGCCCACCGCATTTCTCATCATCTCTCTGGCGCCCGGTCGCGAGAACCTCCTTCCTCCGAGTCTTTCATCACGCTTGTCCCGTGTTTTTCCTCCTCCTTCGCACCTGAGGCCATCCAAATCGACCTCTTGCAGGAAACACCGCGCTCAGACCACGGTCGAGGCTCCGCAACTCTTTTTTCCCTGCCCCATTGTTATAGGACTTGTGTGTCCCCTTCGACACCAATCTTCCTCACCATCACGACGGTTCATCTCGGTGCCCTGAGCTGTATCCCGACCATTATTAATAGGACATCTTGCCGCCTGGTCCTGATTCCACCGCGTTTCGGGGTCCCTGGCGTTCGTCGGCTTGTCCTTCATCAAGCCTGGTAAGTCGAGTTCCCATTCTCTTTCGTCAGGACTCGTCCCTGGGCACGATTTCCCGGTCCTGCCCGCTGCCGTTGCGACCCTCGTGGGTTGCTCGAAAGAATCCTACTTTCGGTGTCGCAGGCCGACTGTGACTCACGCTTTCAGCTCCGCTCGACCAGACAATGAACACATGGAGAGCTGACCTGAGAGACTGGACACAGTGTTCCGCACACCGATTGTCACAGAGCCTTGTGCGTTCCCCGCGCATACCGACAACCATGTCTTCCAATCCACGCAGAACGCCGGTGACTCGTTCCGGCTCGAGGGGCCTGAGCATTAAGACCAATGTGGTCCTCAAGAAGGGTGCCACCTTCCACTCCCCAACTACCCCGCTGGAGTCTCCCGAGCCCGTCTTTACGCCGCCTTCGCTGCCTCGCCGGTCGCACACCAACCTGGACGATGTCATCGATGCTCATCGTCGTCGCGTTGCTCTGACCCTCGGCGACATCGACAAGACACTTGCCGGCCTTCGCAAGGACGACGCTCCCCTCTCGCCTGGCCGCAAGACTTTGCGAGACGAGACACTCCCGCTCCCGCGAGGCGTGCTTGACCACACCCTTGACTCGGTCATGGCCAAGGAGCAGCCGGCCGAGCGCCGGATGCTCCGGCCTCGCACCCGTCGCTCTTCCCGTTTCCATGAGTCGGATAGCGGCCTGGGAACTTCGATTGCTTCGACTAGGGAGAAGGAGGCTGCCGCTAGGAAGGATAAGGTGGGCCGGACAACTGCGGTTACCCGATCGGCTGCAGCCCGCTCGGCCACCGCCGCGAGCGCCGCCGGTCTCAGCTCCCGCGCCACGAGCCGCATCTGCGAGTATACTCTCAAGCCCCTCCTCGGCAAAGCCGGCTTCAAGGATTTCCACCCGCTCCTTCTTGAGTGCCCGCGGAAGATCCAGGAGAGGCAGATTGTTTGCCTCAGGGATCTTGAGAAGACGTTGCTTCTCGTTGCTCCAGTAAGTGAGCTCTTGGCTGACCAAACTGTGCGGGGAGATACTTACCGCCTCTTGTTAAAGGAGAGGACCAAGGACTCGGAACTCTACCTCGACTTCTGCCTCACCACCATCCGGTGCATCCAGGCCACTGTTGAATACCTCAGCGACCGGGAGCAGACTCGCCCGCGAGACGTCCCGTACACAAGCGGGTATTTCGTCGACCTCGTCGACCAAATACGCAACTACGCCCAGCAACTTGCTGACGCTAAGGAGAAGGAGAACCAGGACGAGATGGATGTGGACCCGTACGGCTCTCCTTTCCCGTTCGATCCGGCCAGCCTTGCTAACATATCTTTCAGCACTGATGAGATTAAGCTCCACGGAGGCATCCACATCAATGGACGGCCCGCTGAGCTCGTCCGCGTCAAGAGGAACGGCAAGATGATCTCCATGGCTACTGGCGAGCCGATTGACAAGATCGACGAGGAAGCCGATGGCACGGTACGCTTCAAGCGCTCCGCTAGCCAGGAGCTCGAGGATGAAGAGGAGATCATGCGCTCCATGGCTAGGCGCAAGAAGAACGCCAGCCCTGAGGAGCTTGCGCCCAAGAAATGCCGCGAGCCCGGCTGCAACAAAGAGTTCAAACGCCCATGCGATCTGACCAAGCACGAGAAGACGCATTCGCGCCCTTGGAAATGCCCGGTCCCCACTTGCAAGTACCACGAATACGGATGGCCGACCGAAAAGGAGATGGACCGCCACAACAACGACAAGCACTCCTCCAGCCCGCCCATGTACGAGTGCCTTTTCAAGCCGTGCCCGTACAAGTCCAAGCGCGAGTCCAACTGCAAGCAGCACATGGAGAAGGCTCACGGCTGGGTCTATGTCCGCACCAAGACCAACGGCAAGAAGGAGTCGAGCGTCAACGGCAACTCGGCCCACCCCACGCCTCAGCTCCAGAACATCCCCACCCCATCCAGCGAGCACAGCATGGGAGTCGCTACTCCCCCGGATACCTGGGGCCCGATTTACGGGGGCAGCAACCTCGATTTCCCTGCTTACATGCCCAGCGAGACCGACTTCGGCATGATTCCCCAGGAGCTGTCGCTTGATTACTCGCCCGTTGACAACCCGACCCCGTCGACGGATTCTGGGATGGACCACAGCTCGGCCTACCAAGAAATCGGAACGGACTTCTCTCTGTATGACGACATCTACAATGCCCGCGTGCAGCTGCCCACTCCTCCCCCACTTCTCACCAACGCCTACCCCAAGGACGTGGCTCAGCAGTTCCTGTCATACACTGCAGCAGACCTCTGCCAGCCCCAACCTGCGCAGCTTTCGCCGATTGGCCAAGGCAACACCATGCTCTACACCCCCAACTCGCTCGCTGAAGTGGACGAGGGCTTTGATGAGCGCGGCGAGTTTGCCGCCATTGCCAACGCAGTCAACGGCGGCGACTTCATCCTGTTCCCGCACGGTGGAGTCTCGAAGCCCATGTTCAACGAGTCCCTTTTTGCGAACACCGATCTTCCGGGCATGACTGCGAACCACGGTCAGCCGTCATCCCAGGATCTGCTGAACGCCTTCAACGTTGACTGGCCTCCACATGACCTCAACGCCTACTACCCCCAGTACTAAGCTGAGTTGGGCTGAGAATACATGTTCACTCGGCAGGAGTCAGAACTGCATATGAATTCAGTCGTTCTCATTTCCGGTGCAGAGACTACAGATTTGTGATGATTAATGAAGCAAGTGGGTGTTTGGTAGCGATTTGGAGAGATGGTGTGGCCGGGCCGTCTTTATGTGTATCTCGATTGTTGATTTCGTGTGTTTTTATTGCTTCCAGCTTTACGTATCTAGCGGTTTCCGATGGGCGGATCGAAGGGTTTTGGTTGGATTGTTTCCAGAAACGAGCTGGGAGACGTGTAATCTGGTCTCGAGTGTTAGGTAGATTCCTCTCAACCATGATGGCCATTCATACATTCAAGTCTCTCCCTCCCTCCCAACTTTGTGATTTTTTGCCATTTTCCTCCCACGGGTTCTTCGTTTCTCTGTTCGGCGGGAGGTCGCTGGAGACGGAGCGGACACTCTTGTCGGAGGAACGCGGCCCGTGCGCGGCTGTGGGGTTGGAAGCTCAGGTCCTGCTTTTTCAGCAAAAGCGGGTTCCCGCGGCATCCTCGAACTTTTCATCGTTTCCCTCTCCATCAAAAGGCGACAGCGATCCGACGTGTCCGCAGTCCACACGGGGCCGGTAGCGGGCTGCCAGCTCCCAGGCGACTCATTCTGATTGAGGGCACTGATGTTTAATTGCCTTCAATCAACCAACGAATGAAGCCGTCTGTGTTTTTGTACTGAGCTACCCGGCAGCACCTCCGGCCCCTTGACCTCCCTACGGTATGTCCGCCCACCAGTCCTCTGTCGTCACCCGTCCTCCTTCCATCCCATCACCCCCTCTCCTTCCCCCTTGCCGGCTATCCGGCCAGCAACATACACACACAAACACGCAGACACGCAAACACACACAAAAGAAAAACAAAGCCCACTCCATGATGATCTTCGCAACGCCGGTTGCAACCCTTTATCACTTTATTAGGAAGAGCCGTCTGAACCTCCCGGCTGGCCGGCCGTCTTCCCTCTTTCTCTTTCCTTCCCTTGCCCGCTTTCTCTTTCGGGGGGAAAACGTCTGCACCGTCATGTGCTGGCGGGGTTGAGGGCTGGAGGGCGGGGAGAGGTGGGCGGTTTTGGACGGTGGGGTTGGTGGTGCTTAAAACCTGGGTTTCTGAAGGGCTTTGTTTTTTCTTTACCTTTTTTGGTATTGGTTGTTTGGGTTTGTTGAGGCGAGTTGCTGACTTGGCTTCAAAGTGTCTGTTCTAGGTTTGATACCACGAGACGAACGGATCGGGTTATTGGCGAAGTCGAGGGCGGAGAATAAGGTAGGTCTTGCGTCCGGTATGGGAGTGTCGGTCTTGTGTGAAGGGAGTTGCGGGGGATTAAGGTATTCCGCTCGAGTAGCTCCCCAGACTGGTACGATTGGAATGATAGGACTGTTTAGAGGACAGCATGGCCTACAATACAAGCAAATAAACAATCATACAGATTACATCAGTACCTAGACTCGACGAGAGTGCTCTGATCTCATTGTCTATCGTGGATGTATCATTTTGTGGCCGGAGGGTTCCCGTAACTCTCTTGACTCGCTACCCAGGACGCTTTTAAAACAAGACTAGGTGGTTACAACTTGTGGTATTTTTCACCCATCTCTCGAAATCTTACACTGGTCTTCGTTGCTACAAAATACCCAGGCTCATCCCATATCAAGTCGCGCTGTCCTATTTCGCGAAGTGCAGGTCATAGCCCAGCCACTTCCTCCTCAAAACTTGGTCGACCGACAAACCGGGGAAGCCGTAGGTCAGCGGCAGGAAGAAGTACCAGCTGGCGGCGACAACGATAAGGATGACAATAGTGGCGATCCACGAAGGCAGCATGCTCTGGCCGGCGAACCGCTCGCGCGCGGTGAGATGGTGCTTGCGCGCGCCAGTGCTCTTGCCGGCCTTGGCGGCCTGGTAAGCCACCTCGTGCTCGACAGAGTCCTGGCTGAAGACAAACTCGACTATGGCACCCGTGACGAGGGCCGAGGCTAGGTGGGCGGGGAGGTAGTGGTGCAGGAATAGCTGGCGGCCCATGACATAGAAGGGGAAGTAGTGGGTGGCCCAGGCGAGGAAGAAGAAGCCGGTTGAGTTGTACAAGCGGGAACGAGAGCCTGGGCAAAGTTAGTCAACTGTTAACTCGAAGGGCGGCGTTTCTTCTTTGACTTACGGTGATCCAGGGCGTCAATGCCGCGGCGCAGCGAGAACTGATCCGCGAGGACAATGCCGGCATAGATAGCCAACACGCTGCTGGCAATCCACCAACCAATGGGGTTGCCGAGGAAGTAGATCTGCTGGCGGGTGTCGTTCTGGGTCCAGAAGCTGACACCGCGGAGCAGGAAGGGCCACTGGAAGGGCAGCGATGCGTAGGGGTGGCTGGCGGTCAACTGGTTGTTGTGCCAGAACATGGATCGCTGCAGCTCAAACCATTTTCGCAGGAAGGGGAGAGATTTGACCTTCTTCTCCACCTTCTCGCGGCGCTTGTCATCATCCGGAATGGATGGAATGTCATCAACGAGCCAGACGTTAGAGCTCGGAGCAATCTGCTTGTTTCCGTTGATCTCCTGTTGCTTGTGTCCCCACTCAGGGAGCGGCTTGGTGTGAGTCCACATGGCCACTTTGCTGGGGTTGTGGATGAGCTTGAAGTGGCTGGAAACGCTCTTGAACTCTTGGTTGGGTTTGCCGTGCTCAATGCGAATCTCAAACAGAGTGTCGGCGGCACGGTCACCGTAGGCGTCTGCGATCGAGATGGTGGTGAACTCCTGGTTGGTGGGGTAGTACGGAGAGGCGACGTCGTGGGAGAGCAGAATGGTGTCGGTCACCAGGTGGCGAAGCCTGACGAGGTCGTGGTTCTTGACATGGCGGCCCAACTTTTGGTCATCGGCACCAGCGGGGAGAACCTGCCAGTGGTTGTTGGTGTCGTTGAAAGGATAACCCGTCACTTGTTGGCCCTGGCTAGAGACACGGCCGTCGTCATACCTCAGGGGGTAGCGATCCGCGTGGCTGTGGAGGTACGCCTTGGTTTCCTTGTGCTTGAGGGTGATGGTGTCGTAGAAGTCAATGGTGATGGAGTTTTGGAGCATAACATTGTTGCTGAGCGTCTCCTGGAATTCGGGGGTCATGAAATCATCGCCAGGGCCGGAGCGTGTGAGGATGGAGAAGTGGACCTGGAACCAGAAAAGGTAGAAGAGGAAGGGCATGATGATCAAGCCAAAGGCACGGGCAGCGAAATGCTTGCCAAAGTCCGGCAGGCTCAGAGCACCGCCAGGTCTCCTGATATCCAGCAAGTCCCAGAGGTCGATGACGACAGCAGAGCCGATGGTGATGAAGGCGAACAGACCGACGTATTTGGTAGAGATGTCGCACGACAGGGCGAAGCCGGTCAGGATCAGCCACTTCCACCACTTTCTCGAGAACGCTTCGTGGCGCAGCTTGTAGAACTTGATGTAGCAGAGCAAGCTGCAGGCCATGGCGAAGACGAGGGTGGCATCGAGCAGGATCAGGCGCGTCTGGCCAATGTGGGCGTTGTCGAGGAGGACCAGGCCAGCGGCAACAATGCAAGCCGGGAGGCTGTAGCCGGACTCCCACATGATCAGGTATGTGACGGAGACGGTCAGGGCGCCGAGAATGGCGGGCAGAGAGCGGAAGGCGACATAAGGGACCTTATTCACAATGTAGGAGTCGCCGATGTTCTCGAAGTGGAAGTGGCCATCGTAGCCTACGAGCCAGCCCATAAAAGCGAAGAGGAGCTTGCCAAACGGAGGGTGGACATCGAAGAAGTAGGTTTTCTCGAGATAGTACGAGGCGAACTAAGACAGGCAAACGTCAGCCGGCGTGGCAATGGGGCAGTTAAGGAGGAGGGCGTACCTTGCCGAAGTGGACTTCATCGAAGACAACCTCATTGGGATGGCTAATGCCCCAGAACCGGGTGACGAAGGCCAATGCTGTAATGATAATAAAGACGGCCGTGAAGTCGCGCTGGGTGCCTGTGGAGGACTTGGCGGTGGCTGCTTTTACGAGCTTGTCAAGCTCGACGTCCGAAGAGACTCCATCCTTGGTTTTCTTAGTCGAGGCGCCGACGTTCCGCTGGCGCAGAGTGGCTTGAGGCGTCGAGGTCGATGCCATGGCGGGTGGACTATGAGGAAAGAGACATGTCAGTCTCCTTGTTTCCAGAGCTGCAGGCAAGCAAACACTTCAAGGTCCTGGGGGCGCCAACTCGAAAGCAACAACAACACCCTTCTTCTTCTGCCTCGGAACAAAGCGCAACAGGCCACGATGAACATACCTCGCCAATCACACGCGACTGGAAACCCAATCGGTATATCAATAAGAAACCCGCCCGGAAATGGAAAGTAGATACGAAAGAAAGATTAAAGACAGTCGAGAAGATGAAGAATGGATGGGGCAAGGATGCGCGGGGAGAACACGAAGAGTTGGGGATGGTATATTAATAAATTGCACCGGCCCCCTTTAAGCCTCCTGATGGCAGGGCTGACTGATTGATGGATGGAACGGTTCAGCTTTGGCCGCTCCACCAGAACTCGCGATTTTTCTGGACACCTGTCGCAACCTGGCGGGCCTTGACCTGAATTGAGACCCCGGTCCGCCAAGGCCGATGGTGGTCCAAGCTCCCCCGAGCTGCCCCTCAAGCCCCTTTTTAGTGACATTCATGACATGCAACCATGCAACCCCCTGTGGAGGAAGTCCATTGCTCCTCAAGGTACAAGCACATTACCGGGCCCGGCCCGGGCTGCGGGGTTTGGCCCGCCTCTAACCCCTCCTTGCCGTGGTCCGAAGAACGGAGCGGGACGGAGACCTAAGCAAGCCTGAGCCCAATACCGCGTCGTGGAGTGATTGCCCCGCCATTGACTTCTTGCTGATATGTTTTCCGTTTCCCCAAGACGAGCTTTCCCAATCCTCCTCCGAGCAGTTTCGAGTAAAACACCACAACTTCCCATCCGACCCAGATCGCACCCTTTGCACACCATGTCTGCCACTCCCGTCTTCAGCAAGAACGCAGCTCCGCGTAGGTTTCCGTCACCGGCTCCCCTATCACGGCGACACCCAGAATGCTAACCTGGCCTAATACATGTAGCTGCCGGCCCTTACGTATGTTCCTCGACACCCTTCTGGTGTTAATATTGAGTCCAGACTCTGACCGACCCCCAGTCCCAGGCCATCAAGACCCCCACTACCATCTACTGTTCGGGCCAGATCCCTTGCGATGTCGAGGGCAACCTGATCGAGGGCACCATCCAGGAGAAGACGGCCGCCTGCATTGGCAACCTCAAGGCTGTCCTCGAGGAGGCCGGCTCGTCCATCGAGAAGGTGGTCAAGGTCAATGCCTTCCTGACGGACATGGCCAACTTCGCTGTGAGCAACACCCTGTTTTGAGCCCTTAATAACACGCGGGCGGTTGACCAAAGTTTTCTGCAGGCCATGAACGAGGAGTACGCCAAGTGGTTCGTCCACAAGCCCGCCCGGAGCTGCGTCGCCGTGAAGCAGCTGCCCAAGGGTGTTGACGTTGAGATTGAGTGCATCGCACTTCCTTGAAGGGGGCGCTACTTGTTTCTAAAAGCCATAGAACGAGCGGTGGATTAAAAAAAAAAACTTCATTGATATTCCTAAAACCGTTGATAACCTTCTTGGTGTTTTTGGGATCGACAGTTGGTGGGGCTACCAAACGGCAGTGATGACGGAATCCACCTTTGAAGCCCCTCCTCCTGTTCGGAACGCCTCAACGGCCACGTCCAAGACAAAGATCAGCATAATTCTTTAAGACACCAATGGCCGATTGGCTCGCCGGTCGGCCTGGCTGCTAAGCCCTTGTGCTCAGCGCAAAGCCTCCAAATGCCTTCATTAAGCATTGATATTGTTTGTTGGAGACGGCAAGGATCACGTTACATTCACGCCTTCATTGGCTTATCTCGGGAAGCACAGCCAAGCTCAGCCGTTGACACCAGCCGCGTCACTCATCATTTGGGCTGATGCGCTGGTCTTCCTGCGCCCAACAGCGCTCTGAATACTTAAACTTGCCAGCTACATGGCGGGCGATGAGCTTGCTCTCTGCTCGCCCGTCCCGCTTCAATTCCTAGATATTGATTCACACGGAACACGTCCCTAAACCATGTCGGCGCCGCCCGTTCCCGTGAGCGCCAACCGGGGAGATGCCCCGCGGCCCCGAGAGCCATCCACGCTTTACAAGGCATGCACTTTCTCTTTCACGACAGCATCTTCAGTCTCCACATCCCGCCTCCCAAAACAACTTTCACCCACTCACTCACTCACTCACTCACCCACTCACTGACTTACCCACTCACTTACTCACCCACTCACTTACCCACTTACTCACCCACTTACTCACCCACCCACTCACCCACCCACTCACTCACTCACCCACCCACTCACCCACACCCAACCAAGCAACAAAAGCCCCGAAACTAACACCCCCCCCCCCCCCACAGCTAATAATGACCCCCCTCCTCTTCACCACCTTCCTCATCTCCCTCGCCCTCGTCGACCTGCGCCACTCGGCCCACCGCGCCCACTACCACGCCACCAACGCCGACGAGCAGCCGAGCCGCCTGCCCCCCTGGCTGCACCGCATCGTCTACCGCTACCGGCCCTACCGCTACGACGCCGCTACTGATGGTGCTGCTGCTACTGCTGGGAGGCCTGCCAGTCCGGGTAGTCCGGGTAGTCCGGGTAGTCCGGGGAGTTCGGGGGGTTTGGGGAGTCCGGGGAGTCCGGGGAGTTCGGGGGGTTCTGGAAAGGATGGGGAGGGGTATTATCATAGTAAGCAGCGGGAGCTGATGCGGATGGAGGCGGAGGAGGCGTTTGAGATGCGTGGGGTGGTGGTGGTGGTGTTGGGGCTGGTGAGCGTGGCGGTGGGGTGGGCGGTTTGGAGGGTGGTTTGGTGGGGGGTGGGGGTTGTTGGGGGGGTTGTTTTTTGAGGGTGAGGTCGCTGAGGTGGTGAGGGTGTGGGAGTGATTTACTGGCGTTGGGCTGTGGGGATAGGGGTGTGGTTAAGGAGGGTTCGAAAATAATGGACTGGGGGCTATGTTGTGTCTGGTGCTAATGGCTTGGAGATCGATTTGGGGTAGAGATTGTTGATGGTAGTATATTGGACATCCTACTTGAGCTCATCCTCTCGGCGCCAAACATAACTCAACTCCATGGTCCCGTTCCCGAACCCCTCGAACCAGACTTCACCAGCCTCCTTAAAACCCTCCCTCTCATACAACCTCCTGGCAGTAGTTAGACAACGCTGCGTCACCAACCGACACTCACGAAACCCAGTCTCCCTGACAAACTGCATGGCTGCCGCGAAAAGCTGCTTTCCCACCCCCAACCCCCTGGTTGACTCGTCCACGATAAAGGCCCGCACCCTCGCTACCCCCTCTTCCCCAGAGGACTCGCCGTCTATGTACACCACCCCAACCATGCGCTCCAGGGCAGGCGTCCCTGGATCCTGACCCGGCGTCGTCATGACAGCCGACCACACCTGGTTCATCGGCCTCTCCAGCCGATCCAGCAAATCCCCCAGGCCGGTGGATAGCACAGATTCAAACTTACGGCCCCATCCCTCCCTCGGGTAGTAGAAATCCAAGTGCATCTCGAGCGTGCGGGCGAGGATGCCCGGGCGGTAGCCGGCCACGATGGAGACCGTTGGGGGCATAGGCGGCTCCGGGGTCGTTGCTGGTGTGATGGCCGGGTTGATATCGGCGTGGCTAGACCTCGATTGTTCTAACGCAACTGCGTAGGCTTGGAAAGCTGCCGTGATATTTGCGCCTGCTCCGGGAGGCGCCGCAGTAAGCGCTTTGGTGACCTGTTCTTTGGCATGGGCGTTGATCTCGGCGAGGGCGCTCACGCCAGCCGTCGTGAGGGTGTAAGTTTCTCCATATCCGGCGGTAACTTGCCCCGCCTGGCTGGTTGGATTCAGTTCCCGCCTCACAATGCCGCCTGAGATCAACTCGGCTAGGGTCTGGGAGAGCTGGGCTGGTGGGACCTTGAGCTCAGTGCAGAGGTCGGGAAAGGAACGGCGTCCATAGTCGCCCACCTCGATCATGCAGTGGACGGCAGCCGGTGAGAGCGGAAAGGGGATGGGTGTTGGTCGAAGGAAACCCCATTCCCGAACCAGCTTTCGTGATGCCTCACGAAGAGAGAGGATTGAGTCATCATCGAGGGGCTGGGGTCCCAGTGATGGTGCGGGGAAGGACGAGATGGAGGTGGCCATGATTTGGTAGTATAGTCGGTTGTCAAAACTCTTTGGGCTGTGTAAGCGTGAGAAGAAGTACTCGTGTTACCTTTTCCGGTTGGAGGCGTTAACCTTCCCTCTTCCCTCTCGTTTAGAAGGTTAGTGAACTTTTACTTTCCCTAGTTATCAGATTGTCAACGAACGACGGTTGCATCCGATTTCGGGAACATCTTGGCAGCGCCCTTGCAATGATCAGTTGACCTATGCTCGTATGTGTGGTGCTTGGAGTCTCTGATCCTGGGGCTTTTATTTTCTCTGGTTTCTGGCCTCGGGTCTCGTTTTCAAGCCTACTACTTGTTACTTGTTTGCGCTTGAATGTTTGGGTTATCAAGTCAAGGCAGCAGGTTCATCCGGTGGTTGATTTGGACCCTCACGTTCAACTGGGTGACTGGGAAGGAACAACCCATGCAAAAACCGTCTGCTGGTTGCTTTTTAAACCTCGCCCGCCTTTTCGGCCAACACAACCCATCATCACATACTATTTACGACTTTTCTAACACCAATACCGAAAGGACATGGCGGTGCCAACGCGAAGGCTTACACCGGAGAGTTTATCACTCGAGTGGCATAATCGGTTAGCGAGCATGTTTGAACTTGCGTTGCATGACAGGTATCTCAAGGCCACGACTCATGAAGCCAACAGCAGCACACTTCTTGCCGGATGTGCCGAAAGACTCAAATCGGTCGGTCTCGTCATCGATAAAAGTTCCAGGGAGCAATGGTTCGGCCGACCCACGAGGACGGCCCGTTCATTGGGCGAGCGCACGGAGCCGGAGTTCCAAGAATTGCTCCGTGTCCTGCTTCGCAGATGCAACACCGACGTCTTGGGGGCGACCGGGATGGCTAATTAGCAGTGCAAGCCCCCGAGCTCCGAGCTCGAGTGGGTCTTGAGGCACCTCAGCTCCATCGACCATGTTGAAGGAACCGCGCAAGCGATTCATCAGTCGCCTAAGCTGCAACTTAAATTCTCATAACTAGAACATTCCTCGGATGAATTAAGCCCGTGTGTCCTCTCCGTTGGTTCTTCTTTCAGAGTCTCGGAGGCTTTTGCTGCGAAGAACCCATGATTCGACGTGGGATCAGCTGCCGTTCACAGAGCGTCAACGTCAGGTTCACTCTTATATAACTTGGACCCCAACTCTTTTTGTTTTCCGTCCTCGGTTTTTACACCTCAGAGACCCATCTACGTACCTGCCCATCATGGCCCCATACCGCTTCATGTTAGCCGCCGCTCTCGGTGGCGCCTATCTCCTCTCTTCCGGTCGGATTCCCCAATGGCCGGTACCCGGCTTTCTAACTGCCTTCGCGGCCCTCTTGGGTACCCAGGTGCTGGCGTGGGCTGTTTGGGTGGTCCTACTCTACCCGAAGCTCTTTTCACCTCTGCGTGGGCTTCCTGGTCCCAGCGGGGATTCGTGGTTCATGGGCCAGTGGAAAACGATCGTGGCACTCCCCACGGGGCAACCCATGAGGAACTGGTATGTGTGGACGATCTGCCCATCCCGTTGAACGTAGAGTTATCTCCTTGCGGGCCTACTTGCTGACCACCCATTCAGGATCAACTCAATCCCGAACGAGGGCATTATCCGGTATCTAGGCCCATTCAACCAAGAGAGACTCTTTATCACAACCCCTAAGGCTCTCGCCGAGGTGCTCGTCACCAAGAATTACGAATTTATCAAGCCAGAAACGATGCGCTATTCCATCGGCCGCATCCTGGGTATTGGCATCCTCCTTGCCGAAGGCGATGAACATAAGTTGCAGAGGAAAAACCTGCTCCCGGCCTTTGCCTTCCGCCACATCAAGGACCTGTACCCGGTCTTCTGGGCCAAGTCACGCGAGGGCGTGCAAGCCATAACCGAGGCCATCCTCGAGGACGCTGCCCAACGGGGCGACGCCGAGAGAAACACGGCCGTGATTGAAGCGGGTAGCTGGGCCTCACGCATCACGCTCGACATCATCGGTGTCGCCGGCCTCGGGCGTGACTTTGACGCCATCAAAAACCCAAACAACCGGCTGACGCAAGCCTACGCCCGCATCTTCAAGCCTAGCCGCCAGGCACGCTTCCTCCAACTACTCAGCATGATGTTTTCTCCCAGAGTCGCTGCTTGGTTGCCGGTCAAGCGCAACGAAGACATCGGGACATCAGCCCGCTTGATCCGAGCCGAGTGCGCCGAGCTGATCCAGGCGAAGAAGCAGAAACTAGCGCAGAAGGACGCGTCCGACCCGGACATCCTCTCGGTGGCCCTGGAATCCGGCGGCTTCACCGACGAGAACCTCGTCGACCAGCTCATGACGTTCCTCGCCGCCGGGCACGAGACGACCGCCTCAGCCATGACCTGGGCCGTCTACCTCCTCGCGCGGCACCCCGAAGTCCAAACCCGGCTGCGCGCCGAGATCCGCGAGCACCTCCCAGCCCTCTCCGACGACAACAACTCCTCGACCGTGTCCAGCATGGACATCGACCGCATGCCCTACCTCAACGCCGTCTGCAGCGAGATCCTGCGCTACTACAGCCCCGCGCCCCTGACGCTCCGCAAGGCGGCCTGCGACACGTCCATCCAGGGCCAGTTCGTGCCCAAGGGCACCCAGGTCATGCTCGTGCCGTGGGCCGTCAACAAGTCGGAGGCCCTGTGGGGCGCCGACGCCGGCGTCTTCAACCCGGATCGCTGGCTGGCGGCGGCCAGTGGTGGTGCCACGAGTAATTATGCTTACATGACCTTCTTGCATGGCCCGCGTAGCTGTATCGGCATGTCGTTTGCTAAGGGGGAGTTTGCGTGTCTGCTGGCGACGTGGGTGGGGCGGTTTGAGATGGAGTTGCATAATAAGGAGGAGGCGGACGAGTCCAAGATTGAGATCAAGGGTGCTGTGACGGCGAGGCCGGCGAAGGGGATGTATGTCAAGACGACGGTGGTTGAGGGGTGGTGAGGGAGGGGTGGGTTGGCTATCTGGCTATGGCTTCTGGGTATTTGGGGGCTATTTTCTCTTGGAATACCCTTTTGTTGTTGTACTATCTCATTGGTGAGGATCTTGGAGTTTAGAGGCTCTCTGTATTATTACCAGCAACCAAGGAGGGCAGTGCTCGCTCGTTTTTTCTTAAAGTTTACAGTCCGGTTTGAAAGCGAGATCTTGTTCCCCGGGTTCGACCTGGGGTAGCAAACCCAGCAACAGCAAACAATTTGCTCTGTACAGTGGAGGCCCTCAACTGAGGCAAGGGGAAAGCGACTCTGGGACTATCGACGCCCCCTCGGCGGCCGACCGTCCCGTTCGCTTTGACAGTCTCGTCTCTGCGGAACAAGAGGCCCTTCTGAGGGCGGGAAGGGAGAGACCTGGTGCAGCTCGGTATCGGCGGCCGGGTGGTTATCGTCGCCCTCGCCTGCATCCATCTATGTAGGCCGGGATAGGCTGGGGCACTCAAGCGCATGCATGCGTGTCTCTGAAATCCGCCGAGCCAATCGACAATCTTGCCGAGAGATGCGCAGACAGGGAATCAATCCGAGCAACGAAGGGAGTTAACTCCGGTAACAGTGCCCTACCTGCAGTTCCTCTCTCTCAGACCCCTCCAGAAACGTGAAACATCCGTGCCCCCACCATCTTATGGAGCTGCCCTTCCCGCCCGCCGTGCCGTGGCTGAAGGCAGGTCCAGGGCGGGATGGCGGGCGGGGGCTTGGTTCATGCAAGGCATCACGGGCCATGTTTCAGTTGCGCTCGGTCTTTGTAAGGGTATTAATCTGTATTGGTTCCGATATCACTGGTGACTTGCATTGTCGCCCTTGCGTTTCCAAGCTGACGTTTTGACGTTTTCGATGCAGGGTGCAGAGTGCTGCGGGATGCATCTCATCTCTGCTTCGCATTGTTTTCTGCAGCTACCTAACCTAAACGTATCTCTCCAGATAGATACTGTGCAGTATCGGACAGTAAATGCAAGCGGATCTGAATCAAGTTGGCTACCTGATGAATGCGGCGGCACAGGTGGGGTGCTGTCAGCAAACTTGCTCCACCGAGTCCACCACCCCGGGCAGCTTGTTTCTAAACCGAGAGATTGTTTGCTCGCGCTCACCTCACCTCACCTTGCTTTGCCGCAACCGCCTCTCCGCTTGGCGAGGGTGCCGCCGCACGCGGCAAATCTGCCGAGTTTCACCCTTCCTTCCCGCCCTCTGTTCCTGGATTTGTGGGGGGGGGGGGCCGATCGAGGGCTGCCTGTTCCTGTCGACCCATCGAGCCATCCCTGGGGACATGGAGAGGGAGAGGGGGTTGGGTGAGTGGCACAGCACAGACAGGTCGAACTGGGGACGCTACGGAGATAGGTGGGTGAGGAGTGCAGGGTGGGTTGGGTGAGAGGGTCAACACCGGAGTTAGGTGGTAAATCGTCTAAAATTTACATCGTGAAGTCATGTAACTAGCAAAACTAGCTGTCTGTGTGCCCGTCTGTTCGTGGGTAATACTGGTACCATGGCAGATATCCCCGAATCCAAACTCCTCGTCCATCATCTCTCAATATCCCATCCCAGCCCAGCCCATCCCAACCCAAAACCAAACAACGCCAGCCCCTCTCCTGTAGTTAAACAACCCAAAGACAAGGAAGGTAAATATTAGTAGTACACATACAATAACACACACACACACACCCCCAGCCCTTAAAAAGAGGTCGAGGGAAAAAAAAGAATCACCGCCACGTCCCATGTATCCGCCCCCTCCTCAGCCCGCCCCTCTTGAGCCCAACATCCCCATTCAGCATGAGGCTCTTCCAGCGGCGGCCGAGGCAGCCGCGGTCCTTGCCCAGCGAGCGCGCGCAGTCCTGCCAGTCCGACTTGGTCAGCTTGAGCTTCTCCAGCACCAGCTCCACCAGCATCCGGTCCTCCTCCGTGCTCCAGGCGGATCCGTCCGCTTCGACTACCACGTCCGTCCCGGGTGTTGTTGTTGTTGTTGTTGTTGTGTCGGCTGAGTTGGGGTCGTCATTGGAGGAGGAGAAGGTGGAGGAGAAGGAGGAGTGCAGGCTGTGGTAGTCGCCGCGCTCCAGGCCGAGGGGAATCACCTCGGGTGCGATGCGCGCGCGTTTGGGGGTGTGCGGGGGCGAGTCTGCCTGGGCGTCGTCCTCTTCTTGTTGTTCTTGTTGTTCTTGGTGTTGTTGGTGTTGTTGTACGTCGTATTCCACGTCGCTGTCATCCTCGTTGTACCGGCCGAGCTCGTCGTCGACGGCGCGGCGGCGCTTGTTGGGGCCCCGCGGCGCCTGCTGCGCGACCGACGCCGTGCGCTTGACGATGCGCTTCCTCGCCGGCCCGTGGTCGCCCGCCGGCGCCGCGCTATCCGTCTTGCGCGAACGTAGGCGCAGCTTGAGTGGTGATGGCGCATGCGCTAAGGGGGGCGTGGGCAGTTGCGCGTGCGACGAGGTCGGTGGTGTGATGGGCTCTTGGGCGATGGGAGATGGCGCTGCGGGGTTGGTGAGGAGGGATTGCAGAGAGCGACATGTTGAGAAGATGTTGCCGACGGCTGTTTGTGTTGAGACCTGGGGAGGGCTGGCGGGCGGCGAGCTAAAGAGCGCGGCCTGGAGGCGCGTCAAGGGGGGCCTCTGCGACGAGTCGCACGGAAGTGCCGACGGCATCAACATTGTCGCGCGTTTGATCTCTCCGTTTGTTGGTCGTGGTATGGGGGTCGTAGTGTCCACAGCGTGGTTGCTAAGTGCGGGAAACAGCGGTATAAGACACAGAGCGCTCTTTAGTTATTGGCCAAAAGGCGCGCGATCCTGAGGAAACTGGTGGTTTGCGACGGGGTCGAGAATGCGCCGCTGGCTCCAAATATGTTGGAATCGTGGGTGGTGCCAGATGTAGAAGCGCGCTCTTCGGACGTCGGATAACAGTTTCAAAGGAGGGATCTGTTAGAGGACAGAGTATGTGTGCAGTTGCGGGTTGTTCGTTGCAAGAGGCTGGAGGTGTGGACGCAGGCCGGAAGAAGGTGAAGAGGGAATCCGTTGACGGGGGACCGGGAGAGACCAAAAGGAATAATGCGCCTCATAAGAGCAGGTCTGGCCAAGCGGCAGTCGATTACAGGGAAGAGATGCGCAGAAAGTGGACCGCGTGACGGGATGAACAGGGCTTCCAGGTGGTGCGCAGGGCGGTCTGGCCAATGGCGATCGGCCTGTGCGATGCGGGTGCCCCTCCTGGACTCCCTCCGCAGCTCTCGCTCATGCAAGCACTTAACGGAGAGCGACGAAAATGGGGACGCCTTTCCCACTCACACAAAGCCCCCGGAGAGGCAGAAAAGTATAAACCTAGGCACAGACAAGGGACAAAAGGGAGCCTGTTTCAGCTTTTTCTTCTCCCTTCAGGGTCGGTTTTTCGGAGCAGGCGGATCAACCCTGTGTCGGCGCAATGCGGGACCTTTGCTTCTTAGCAAGGTAACGCTGTGTTCTCTCTGCTTCCCTTCAAGAGCAATGGATGGCGGCAGTGGCAGCCGGAGATACACAGTAGCTACAGATCTGTACAAAGTATCCTGTACCGAGTGTACTTCGGCTCGCCCGGACGGCTGGTTATATCCCAGCTTCTATGGGGTGGTCAGCCTGGTTTGCCGTCCGTCCTTGCATCAGCCTCCACACTTGTAACGGTCGAAGGCCTTCTGTCCTGCCTTTCCGAGAGCACCTTTTTTGGTCGCCGGTTTGCTCGGGTTGGGCATAACCAAGGTCCATTGTTGTGACCTGGACAAGGGCGTGCGGGAGCAGGACACCGGCGGGTCAGATCGCCAGGTCCCAAGTCAGGAACAGAACAACCCGTGGCTGGATCAACCGGGGTGTGGGCTGTTCTCCCTCTCCGAACCCCTGACTTGTACAAAGTACAGATTAGGGAAAGGCCAGACCCGACGATGACGAGTTTGGACAGAAAGAAAAGAAAAAGCCTTTTCCTTAGCTCCGGTTGAGGCAAATTCACCAATCTTCAAATGTGCCGGTGAACAAAAAACTGGCTCTCGGCCACCAAGGGAAAGCATGGTGAAATTCTAGCTCTAGGTGTGAAAGGATGGCTCTCTCTCTCAGGTGATTATGGCCATGAGATGGTGTGGCTCTTCCTCTCCGAATTTCCGGGTTTTGGAGGGCACCATCAACCCCTCCAGCTCTCAATCGGTTTGCGGACGGGAGGGGCGGGTGGGCAAAGAGACGCGTCACGTCGCGAGAGACACGCGACGCGGACGCGACTCACTGTGGATCCAATTTAAGCTCGTCGTCCAATCCCTGCCCGCTGGTGGGTGGCATGGGACAATGATTGGAGGCGGCCCACAACGGTTTTTCTGGGCCCTGCAGCGGCCATGCTCACAACGCTTTGGTCACTTTCTGCCAAAGCTCGGATTTCTTAGACCCTAACCCTAGGTCTGGTTTATCGAGACGGCCTCTCGGCGAGAACTTGTGCACACCGACCTCGCGCTTCTCAAATTTGCCCAAGTCCGCAACGTCATATTTTCAGTCATTCTAGCTTACGTTTAATCGAACGGTATATATAACATTAGGCAGAATGTATAGAAGGGGTTGGGTTCAATATCGGCTGCTTTCTCCGGCCTTTGGGATATCTCTTTATGCCAACGGAGCGAGGGAGAAAGCCTAAGTTCAATGGTGACGAGAAGATGGCAACTCGACGACATTCAAGGGTCCGTTAGTTATACACCAGTGGACTCGGAAGCGCTTCCTCGGCTCAGGACTTCTGAGGATAAGCTCTTGTCTCTTACTCTCTGAAATGTCTCTCCAATGACTCCAGTCAGGAACTCCCCAATCGCTGCTTGGGAGTCATGGTGATTACCCAAGTTGGTCATCCTGTCGCAAACTTCCAGGCTGCCAAGAGTTACGGAGTCGATATTGTCGTCTATCTTTTCCTACCACAGGGGGAGCGACCACGTATTGTCGCAGAGGGAGGATACCGGATAACTCCCCATAATCCAATCGAGTTCGAGTATAATCAAGCTAAAGCTGCTGATCAACGCCGTGTCTCAACTCGCTCGGTTTACTCAGCTCGGTCGATGTTAATGCGAGACCCTCCATCGGGTTCCCTACTATGTATTCAGTGTTCTCTCCGGGTATATACGGATATATCTGCATCTTTCTCGTTTGAATTCAGATATTCACCACACCGCATTCAACAGAGATCACAACATCCTTCCACACATCACGCCAAACATCATGCAATTCTCAGCCACCGTTCTCCTGCTTCTCGGCAACGCCGTCCTCGGCCTCGCTATGCCCGCTCCGGCTAACAATGCTGTCGAGGGCCGGGAAAGGGAGTGCAGGAAGGCTCGCATGAAGTGCGACTTGATATCCAAGCACTGCTGCCCTCCTACTATGTGTAGCTTCGAGACCGGCTCTTGCGACAAAGTTGCGGACTGATCGTGGGTAACTTGGAAATCGCTTGCTTCTGGGGGTGTAATAACTGATTTCCTCCTAGATCTACGTACCTACCGAGGGGAGGAGTTCAAGTGTTTGACATGGACGCGCCGGGTGTATTCGCCGCGGCAGATTACAACTTTGGCACCGCCTGGCTGTTGAATCGGGGTATTCTATCTGCCTTGTAGGGACTTGTTTGTTGTTGGAAACTATAGGTAGTTAGGTATTTGACGGGGATGGTTGGCGATTCGTGTTGCTGTGTACATGAGTTTGCTGTGCCTTATCCGTTGCCGGCTCGTCCTCACAGGCTCGTCCTCGCAGCAAGCACTATGGAGAGAGAGCCGTGACTCACTCATGTCCTTGTTCGTGTTGAGATGGAGTGATTGTAAGTCTGCAAGGTGGCGACCACAAACACAAATCCTGTTCTTTCCCCCAAACAAAGAAACCGTCTGAACTCAGGGTTCATCAGGGTGATTAGGTGATTATTGGCTGTACCCCCCTGAGGCACCAGCTAAGGGGGTTCATAGCAGAAAGTAGGCAGACAGGTAGGTAAGCGGAACATGGGACAAGTAGCTCAAACAACCTAGAGACAGCACCCGTCGTCAATCCCTTTTCTAGCACCCCCGTAGACTCCAGTTGTATGCCAGGGTTGGGCGTGGACCACTCAGAGTGTGGTGGCTGTTCTGGTAATGGTGTCACAGCAGCGCGGACTGCTTTGTGGTCCTCAGGGTCGCCAGTCTGAACGGACGAGTGATCAGGTGTGGTTGGCGCTTTATTCACCCGCCTCCGTCCCAAGTGCTCTCCCTCGTTCACTCTGTTTTTCCCGCTCCTCCCGTCATGAGGGCAAGCTGGTAGCACATCGGTTGAGATGGCAGCCCTTCCCTCCTGCCCTACTTAAGCCGCACTGCTCTTCCCTCTTCCCTCTTCCTTTTCAAATCTTCCCACACCAATGTCCCACTGAGAACTCACTCTTCATCCACCTGCCCCGCGTACCCGCGCAATATCACAAACCTCTCAGCTTGCTACACTCCTTACTTTGCTTCCCATAGCCTGCTTCTGCTTCTAGTGGCATCATCTTCTTACTTCCACCATGGACCAGGACCACAACGGCCGCCATCCTCTGGCAAACGCCAAACCCTCCTCCTCTTCCAAAGACAACAACAACAACAACAACAACAACGACGACGACAACCATTCGCCCTCGGAGCCCAGGAATGAGAACGCATATGTTGACGCTCCGGAAGACACGGTGCCCCAAGAACCTCCGTCACTTGACTCGCTCTCCAAGGAGCCCAACCGCGACCACCGCAAATGGTATCCCAAGTACGGTCGGGTCCAGAAGTGCGACTGGTGCAACGCCCGGTCTCGGGGTACCCTCCATGTTTGCACCATCTGCGCCATCCGCATGTGTGAGGACTGTGCACGCGACCGCCGCTGGCACCCCAACCGCAACCACTTCATCGATGCCGATGCCTTGGACTGGGTCATGAAGAAGGTGGCGAGAGCACCCAGGCAGCCCAGGCAGTCTAAGCCACCCAACAAGAAGGTCCCGGCCAAGCGTGCCGCTTCGGCCAGCCCGGACAAGGAGCCCAAGACTCCTCCTCCCGCCCCTCGTCGCCGCAAGTTAGTGGAAACCGATTACAACACCCCTGACGACGAGGATGAGGACGATGAGGATGACGAGGATGGCGAGGATGACGACTCAGCCGGCCATGGCAACAACAAACCCGCCAACGCCGGCCCCGGACAGTCTCACTTTCCTCCGCCCGCCAATCCTCGCGGTGACTCCGGCCCCCGTCCTCCTCCTCCGGTGCCCAGCTACTATGACCACAACCAAGCTGCTCTTCGCTATCATCAGGCTCCGATACATGGCGGATACACTCCGTATGGGAGAATCGAGCCGCATATGCATGGCTACTATGGCCCTCCGGTTCCAGCTCCGACCGCCCCTCCTATGGCCGGTCCCAGCACTCGCCAGGATGGTCGCCGGCAGCTACCAGCTACTAAACCCAAGCTGAACAATAGCGAGCAGTCTCGCCGGGCTTCCGGCAGCCGCCTTGACGACTATGGCAATGACGGTAACGGGGGTGGGGACGATGACTTGGAGTCTCGGCAAGATGAAGACGGCAATGAGGTTGCCGAGGAGAAGGGGCATGCCGACAATGCCAACGACTCGCACCGCCGCCACAGCGCTCGTTCCACTGGGGGTTCCCACGCCCGCACCCTCTCCCAAGTCAGCACCGACCGTGGCGGCACTTCCCCTCAGGCCAGTGCTGCACAGGGCACTCGCACTTTGGCTGAGCGACCGGCCATGACACCGCAGGACCGTGAGCATGACCGCCTTGTTGTCGACATCTACAACTGGCTGTACGGGGACAGGCCCCCCCTGGACCCCAACCGCGTCCGCACCCGGATCCCCGACCAGTGGCAACCACCCCGGCAGGCGTTAGTTCCGCAGTATCACCCTGAACCGACCCCGTATGGCCATGGCCAGTACCCTGCCCCCTACGGCCACCCTCACCAGCACATGTATCCGCCGGCCCCCCAAGGCTACCCGCCGTACCCCCTTCACCAGCCCTACCTAGAGGTAAGTCACCCCCCCTTTCCAATCTCCACCCCTTAACCCCCCCAAACTAACCCAAACCAACAGTACCCTCCATACCCCCCTTACGCCCCTTACCCTCCCCACCCAGCAGCAGCAGCAGCCCCCCACAACCACAACAACAACCCCAACACCGCCTACCCCCCCACTCACCCATCCCACAACAACAACAACAACAACAACAACAACAACACCCACCCAGCAGCAGCGGCCCACCCAGCAGCAGCGCACCAAGCAGCACCAGCGCCCTACCACCCGGCCTACCTCCAAGACCTCGCCTTCGCCCAGCACCAGCACGAGCACGACCGCTCCACCCTCGAGCAGCTCGCCCGCGCCTGGGCCCACAACACTATCCTGCTGCGCCTGGTCGCGCGCAACCATCGCGTGTATGCCATACAGATGCTGTGGGAGGTGTTTGCCCTGCGGAGGCGGGTGGAGAGGGAGATGTCGCTCATGGAGGTTGGGGGGAGGAGGAGGAGTGGGGATGGTGGTGGTTCTTATGGGGATGGTGCTGGTGGTTCTTGTGGGGGTGGTGATGGTGATGGTGCGGGTGCGGGTGGGGAGGGGGAGGGTGATGGGGGTGAAGGCGTGGATGCCTTCCCGCAGACGGTGCGGTGGTTTGTGGGGGAGCGGGATAGCCAGTTCCGGATGGAGTACGAGACTACGCGGGCGCAGCGCGAGGCGAGGGCGCAGGTGCTGGATCGTGGCGGCCATGACCGGGCCCAGGCTGGGGTAGTGAGGGGTGCTGTTCACCACCTTGGCGAGGGGGGTGCTGTTCATCACCATGGTGAAGCGCGTGCTGGCAGTGCTGGCAGTGAGGGTGCTGCTGCTGCCAGCGGTGGTGCCGCCAGCAGTGCTGGTTCTGATCGCGCCGTTGTGGATGATGACGACACCGAGAGCGAGGAGGTTGAGGAGAAGGAGTAATCACTCGCTCACTCACTCACCCGGCTCCATAGGTCATTCATTTTCATGGATGGCCTTGTCACCCACTCTCAGCTGGACCTGCCCGACATGTCCATCACACAGCCTGGCTTCAGTTGCTTGACCGTCCTCAATGTCAGGCATTTCCTCGAGTTGAAGCGGGTATGTACCATGCGAGAGAGGGGCATCAGCTCAACCTTTCCCCTGCTGTCCTCTGGCATGCAGTTCTGTACCGGTACTGTTTTGGTTTTTATCACGCCTTGTTTTCCCCGAGCTCTGGGCTTTTCAGCCATCTTATTTTTAGCCAGGGGGCGCACTAAGGTTCGTCCTTCTGGCGTTCCGTCGATTAATACTTTTCTTACCTCTCGACCCGCCGGTTATTCTCGATGGTCTTCAGCGTTTGCCTTGTGGGGAGGATGGGGGATTGGGAGGAACAACAAGATGACGTTTGATGGCGGGGGACAATTGACATTCGTCATGTTGCTGCTTTCTAGGCCTTATATCTATCCGACAGGCTGGGTAGTATCTGACGGCAGCCGTCTTCAAACAGGATATACTGTACATAGATCTGTCGGGAATCATATAAACCCACACTCTACCACTGCGAAACTTAGTGATATGCCCAAGCAGCCTCACGTGTAGCACCAGAGATCCGACTAGCTCTTCCCTAATGTATTTGAAAATCATCGTATTATTCTTGAACCTATATAACCCCGCTCCCCTAGCCCAGCCATTATGCGCTACGCTGCGTGTATCCTACAGGAATATGCCGTACAAAAAGCCATGCAACCACACACCACTCCAGCTCTGTCTATGCCACAACGCCAGCCATGGTAAGCCTCAAGCCATCTACACCCCATCTACACCCCATCATAGCCCCCTACTCCGGCTTCCCCGCACTACCGCCCTGCACGAGATCCACCAACCCATCCCTCTCCCCGCCCAGGACCATATCCAGCAGCTTCTCCTTCTCCGCACTCTTCTGCACCAACTCCCAGAACGCCCCCGTGCCATCAACCTCATCATCCTCACCATCCCGACTCTGCAGGGTGCTCGCATCAGCCTCCTCCCGCTCCACATCACCATCCTGCACACCCTTGGCCGCCTTCTCCGCCGCCCGTCTCATACCAGCCAACAGAAGCTCCCTGGGCGTGCCCATCTCGGCGACGCGGCCCTTCTCCAGCACCAGCACGCGGTCAAAGTCGGCGACCGTGGACAGGCGGTGGGCGATAACCAGCACCGTGCACCCGGCGGCGGCAAACTCCTTGCGCAGGGACTCCTGGATGTTGCTGTCGGTGCCGCGGTCGACCGCGCTCGTGGCCTCGTCCAGCACGACGATCTTGGGCCGCTTGAGCAGGGCGCGGGCGAGGCAGACGAGCTGGCGCTGGCCCTGGGAGAGGTTGGCGCCGCCGGTGCTGACGGGCGTGGAGAGGTTGGTGAAGATGTTGGAGTTGGTGTTGTTGTTGTTGTTGTCTTGGGCGGGCTGCGTCTCTGGCTGGGGATCGATCAGGGTGGGTTCGGGCTCGAACGCTGTCGATGCTTGCGTCGTAGTCTCGGAGTCTACGGCCGGTAGGACGGCTGATGTTGAGACGCTTGCAGCAGCAGCAGTATCGGCAGGCGCATCTGCGATAGCTGGGCTCTCGTTGTCCTCGTCCGCCTCGATCAGGTGCACACGCTTCAGCGATTCAATCAGTTCGTGGTCGTCTAGGGTGCTCTCCATATCGAGGTTCGAGCGCAGTGTGCCCCTGTGATGGTTGAGTTAGCCAGGATTACTTATTCCCGTGACAGGATAATCAGCGAGGATAGCCTTACGAGAAGAGAAACGGATCTTGCGGGATAATGGCAAGACGACTCCGCAACTGAGACAACTTCAGGGTCGAGATATCGATGTTGTCCACATGGACCGAACCCTCGACAGGGTCAAGTAGACGAAAGAAAACCGCAGCAAGTGTCGACTTCCCCGCACCCGTCCGCCCAACAATGCCGATTCGCTCACCAGCGCCGACGGTAAAGTTGAGATTCTTCAGGACCGGCGGGAGATCGTCAGCGTAGCGGATTGTCAAGTTTTCAACCTCGATCTTCCCTTCGGCGGGCCACGCGGCGGGGGCATCCTTCCCGCCCTCGGGCTCGGTCTCGATCTCGGCATATTCCAGCACCCGCTCGCAGGCGTTGAATCCCAGCTCCACCGAGGTCATGGACTGGAGAAGGGACGTCAAGGCACTGGTGTATCGCAAGGCAAAGGCCAAGCTGAAGCCAGCCAAGGCGGCGTCGACACGGCTGAAGGCGACGGCGTTGGCGACAACGCTGACGAACAGGGCGCCGAGCACGCCCATCCGGAAAGCCATCCAGCGGGTGGACAACTCCAGCATCCAGGTCGCCTTCGAGCTGTTGTCGATGAGACCGTACATGCGGTCCATGTAGTACTTGGTACGGTCGAACGCGCGAATGGTGGAAAGGCCCGAGAGGACAGAGCTGAACTGGTCGTAGATCGGCGAGTGCGAAACTGAATTGATCCGCTTCACCTCCCGAGCAGTCGTGATGTACTCACGCGCAACTCGCACATACAGGACGAAGAGGAGGATGCCGAAGAATATGACGTACGCCGACACCGACAGACTATGGTCATCAGTTAGCACATGTGAGTATTCACTCCGGGGCTTCTGTAAATGAGACATACCTGGTGGCGATAATGACAACTAGAAACAAGATGTTCCGGATGAAGGTGAACGTCTGGCTGGAGAGACGCCTGTCAACCACGAACGTGTCGGAGGTGAAGCGGTTGAGGATGCGCCCGGCCGGAACCGTGTCGATCCAGCGTAGTGGCGCTCTGAGAATAGCATGCGTCATGCGCTGGAAGAGGACCTTGGATGCGGTCAAACCGACAAAAAAGAAGATAATGACCCTGACGATCTGGGTTAGGAGCATAGCAAATTCGATGACGATGTAGGCGCCCAGCCCTAATGGTGAAGTTAGCAGTCGATCAAAACGAGCGTACGGGGACAGCCGGGATAAACGTACAGAAGAAGATACCGCGCTCGGTCCTCGAGGCCTTCTGCGAGACAAAGTCGCCGGTGTAGTGCAAGGAGGTGACGATTTGCGAGGTTAGCGACTTGAGAGGGACCGCCTCAGACGCTGCCTGCTGTGAAAGCTCCTTCAGACTCCAATTCCGGGCAACGGTCAAGAAGTGGCCGAAGAGGAGGATGGAGACGCCGATAAACCAAGGGAGCACACCGCCGCTCGCTTTATAATAAGCCTTGTACACATCCCACTTGACGCGACCAGTTTCCCTCTGTTCCTCCGTCTTCTTGGACTTCTTCGGCTCGGCTGAAGCGGGGTGGCGGCTGTGGCCGTTCTCGCCGCTATGGGCATCTTCGGGTGATGCGGACGGAGCCCCCTGCTCCGGTTCCCCGGGCACGGCATATTCCACATCGGAGGGTGAAAGAGACTCGGCTGACTCGACCTCGCCGCTGCGGAGGCGGACCAGATAGCTCGCGTGAGGCAGTACCAGCTCAGCGTGGTGCGTGGCTAGAATTCGAGTCCTTCCCCGAGCAAGCCCGCCGGTGAGCGCTTCGTCGACGATCAGCTTACCGACGTGAGCGTCTACCGCGCTGAGGACATCGTCGAGCACGAGAATGCCGGCACGGGAATAGAGAGCCCGAGCGAGGGCAACACGCCATCGCTGACCGCCCGAGAGAGTGACGCCCTTAGGGCCAACTTCCGTCTCGTCGCCGTCCACCAGAAGCTCAATGTCTTTCTCGAGAGCGCAGGCTGTGAGAACCTTGCGATAACGACCTTCAACGAAAGGAAGACCGAAGGTTACGTTCTCCCTGACAGTACCACCCTCCACCCAAGGTGTCTGGGAGACAAAGGCGGTTAGCTGGGGGACCACCCAGTCCTCTTCGGAGATATATTCCGCGCTGTCGTCGAACTTGGGCACAGGCGGAAGGCGAACTGCCCCTGACAAGAGCTTGACCTCTCCGAGGAGGGCTGCGAGCAAGAGGCTCTTGCCCGAGCCCGTCTTCCCCGAAATAACGCTGAGCTTGCCGATGGGGAAATCGAGGGTGGCGTCTTTAAGGATCGAGTGGGCTTCCCGCTGTTCTTCTGCTCCCCCTTCGGGGATGTCGGTATCCTCGACCCTCGGCCATGCCACGGTGGCATTGTCGAAGGCGATCATCTCTCCCGGCTCCGACACGGGTGCCTTGTCTGACTGCTTGAAATACTTCTCCAGCCTCACGGCGCTGGTCCACGCCTCAAGCAGATACATTTGCAGGAGCGGCAGCAGAGAAATGGCCTCGTCGAGTTGGTCAAATAGACCGAGCGATGTGAAGATGATGGAAGCCCGGATGTGTGTGCCGTTCTGCCAGACGTAGATGCAGAAAGTGACGCTCGCCAACAGCAGCGGACCAAGGTTGACCATGAAGACCACCAGGCACTGCCAGAGGGCAACCTTCCAATACTGTCTGAGCTCCTCGTTGCGAGAGGCCAAGATCTTGCTCTCCCAATGTTGCTCAAGAGCCGAGTACCTGATCTGGCGCATGCCTTGCAAGGCTTCCGTTAATAGATGGGCCTTGCCGTCGCGGTACTTCATCAAGCCGAAGTGCAAGGCTGTGTACCTCCTCGACAGCATTGAGCTCAGCGGCACCATCAGGGAGCCGGCACCCAACCCGCATATGACGGGCAACCAACCCATCAAACTGACGGCAAAGCCTCCAGCGAGGATAAGCTTGAACACCGCCATTGGGAAATTATTGTTGTAGGTGCAGAAGATGGTAACACGGCCGCTAGAGGATGTCAGAAGCGGAAACAATCGGGCCATGGCTCGCCCTCGCACCTGGGATCATACCTGTCAAGCTTCATGTGGTTGATCACGGATTGTCGGGTTTCTGGCTCCTTGCTCTTCTTCGCTTTGCCGGGACGGGCCGCACTGTCCCCGTTGGCATCTCCAGCGCTGCCTCGACTGCCAGGATCGCTGCCCTTATCCACGTTCTGACCCGGAGGGGCGGTCTCATACAGCTTGAGGGCCTTGGAGAAAACCAGGGACTGCAGCAGCGAGCTTACTGGGATTTCAAGGCGGCTGGCAGTGATCCACTTGAGCCAATTGTTGACCCCGACTTGGATAAGCTGGCTAAGGAGCAGGCCAAAGACCCAGAAGAACACAGTAGGATCTGCAGCCGTGTGCTGCTGACTCCGCTCAATCTTGGACAGGAAGTTGTACAGGACGACCTGCGGGAACAGAGAGAGGCAGGCGATGACCAGGGTCAAGAACCACTGCAGCGCGAGTTCACCAGCATGGGCTTTGATGAGCCGTTTCCAGAGCGGGCCCGCAGTGCCCTTGCCGAGAAACTTGGACTCGAGATACCTTGATCGGGTGACATAGTCGAGGTTGGGGATATCTTGAACTTGCATTTGCCGCTCCCTGGAAACATTGAAGATGTTCCGATTCCAAGAGTAGGTGAACTTGGACAGCAATGAAAGAGTATGCTGTTGATCCACGAGCCCGGCCTTATCGAATATGTCGGGACGGCGTGAGAAGCCTGCAAAGCCGCATGCAGTAACCACAGCCGCGGCCAGTTGGAGCAGGTAAAGAAGTCCTGACACCCGCATGGCCGTGTCTTCCTCTGCGCCAGAGAGAGATGCAAGTGCTTCATAACCGTGGCGAAGAGCGGTTGTGACGGCAACCAAGAGCGATGACAAGACACCAAAGATGGCGATCCGGAACTTTGCTTGGTATTTGTGTCTAGAAGGAAGGAAAGCACACTGCAAGCAGAGAAAGACCTATGAAGAATTCAGTTTCATCGTTCACAATCCGGGATAATCGGGGTACCTTACCCAGCACACTGGCTCTGTCCAGGCGGTTAACTCAGAAAGCACATTGGTGTGCTCGGCGCCTTTCAACACCATGACCCTTGTCGCGATGGATGCTCCCATGCCAATGAGAGCCCCGAGCCAAGTCGCGACTTTGGGTCGCGTGTCGGAGAAGGCCCTAATCGAGTTTTCGGTGGCGATACCATCGCGATCTTGATAGACGTCTTCATCTCCACTCAGTTGAACATAACCCTCTACAAAACGCGCACTCGTCCTGCAGACATAAACAAGTGCCGGAATGGTGAGTAGGGCTACCACAACCACGGCGGTGAGACCGACAGCCCGATCTAAAAGGTCGGGGTCCAACATGTCGGGCGACTTCGTGTTCATTAACAAACTTGTCTTGGCTGTGGTTGTGGAGATGAATTACGACCCCTTCACCAGGGTCTTGGTTGCGGTGATGGTGGCTTCAATAACGATTTGTGGTGCATCGCAATGGTTTATCATCCGAGCGGTTGAAGTACAACTTGAGGCTAAAGAAAGCTGAGAGAAGTGAAATGCCAAACCAAAAAAAAAAAAAAAGTCGGTCGAAAGAACTGAGGCTATCAAGGTGCGAATTACAGTGCGAGGCTTAGGCAGCCAGGGATTTAGTGTTATTCACGACTCGGAAGAAAAGATACACAGGCAAGAGAGTGTATTACGTCGGGCATCATGTACTATGGGTAAGGGCCTTGTTCTTTGTCTGGATTGGAAGGCATGTACCCCCACTAACCATTTGGATGGTCCAGAAGCCTGGGCGGCAACGCCTTCTCCCTTTGTTCCGGCATTGTGGACTCTGACTCGCATTGTGTAAGTGCAGGCTGCAACAGTTCCCGCCTATCTCGCCCACACCGTGTCCATTTAACACGCCAAGCGCCTAGACACCGTGCATTTCCAGACTAAGAAAAGGCGCTAGGAAAGAACTGCCGGGCACCTTCTGCTATTTTCGGTCTCTTCATGCATTTTCGCCCAGCAGCTCACACGACCAGCTCGGGGCCTTAAATACCTAACATACCAACTAACCAACCACTACTATGTTTCACAGTTCGCCTTCACCGACTCATCCCATCCTAACCATTAACAATGCTGCCACCGTTACAGTGAATTGTTTGGCCGCTGATGGACGAGCTGTCCAACGAGGCTAAGAAAACAACACATGTTGCGATTTCGCTTGGTTCTGGATCACTCGTGTCAGCTGGTCATCAGGTCTGCTACGTGGCTTAGTCGAGCATCAGATTCGAATAACATACGGGAGGGCCGGCCCATGGGGCTGGTGAACTGCTTTTGTGCCTCGTCTGACATTGTCGACGGGATCAGCGGGGTCCAGACCGGGCCAGGTGCAACAGCGTTGACCCGGATGCCCTTGCCGACCTGCTGGTTGCTCAGGCCTCGAGTAAAGGATACGATGGCACCCTTGGTGGACGTGTAGTCGAGGAGGTCAGGGCGGCCGACGTATGCGTTGATGCTGGCATTGTTGATGATGGTGCTGCCTCGCTTCATGTGCGGCAGCGCATACTTGGCTAGGAAGAAATAGGGATGGATGTTGGTGTTGAAGGTATGCAACCACTGGTCCCTGTTCCTCGTGTCAGTACATGTACGCTCTCATCCTGAATCTGCTGTTTATTACGGAGACGTACTCAGAAAGATCCTTGATATCATCCACCACCATCTGATAGGCCGCGTTGTTGAACAAAATATCCAGCGGGCCGTTGAAAACCTTAACTGCCTCGTCAATCACTCTCTTGCAGTTTTTCTGATCTCTCAGGTCGGTGGCCAGCAGATGGCATTGTTGCCCGTATTGCTCAACCCGCTTCTTGGTCTCTCGTGCATCCTCTTCTTCCTCGGGGAGATAGGCGATGAGGGAGTCGGCGCCCTCCATGGCAAACAAAATGGCCGTTGCACGCCCAATTCCCGAGTCACCCCCTGTGATGATGGCTTTCTTGCCCTTCAGCTTCTCGGCTGGCCTGTATTTCTGGCTCTTGCCATCTTCGGTCGGGATCTCGTCAAACAGTGGTTGTGGGTTGGGCATTTTGCTTTCCAAGCCTGGGAAACTCTGGCTAGACACCGGGATTTCGTGGCCTATTCCTATCAGTATGTTCCTCACCAGTTGATGTGCGCGTAGGAAGCCATGTGATTGCTTACCACTCTCGAACTGCGGCTTGGACGTCATCTTGGTGGTTTTTTTGCGATAATTTTGGAATGATGAATTGGAGATTGGTTCAATATTCTCGAACTCCAGGACAGCGGGTTACTTTAAAATTCCCCGTCCCAGTCAATACTGTGGGAGCGATGACATCGCCGTTGCTTGTCGTGGAACGACTCCACAAAATATGCGTGTAAGTCAATGACGACATGGGACGCAACTCAGCTTCCCAAGCCAGGCCTTGGCTCCCATCATGAACTGGCCGGCTTTGAGCAACTAAGCTTTAACAGACAAATTGACAATGTGGTTATACTTCAATGATTAGTGAACATCTTGAGCTCGGTAATGTCCGTGTATAAACAAATGTTGTATTGACGAGAGAAATCGGTTCATCACCAGCCTTGAAAACTAGTTAGTAACAAGCTGCAATTAGTTCAATGCAATGTAAATATCAACTTAAATTATCGCGATATTAAACTTAGGGATTACTTTGTAATGTAGCACCCTTGGGTGTTTTAACACATATTACCATACGAGAACGCAGCATCAGCATATTTACTGGCCGACCAGAGCAACTCAGATCGTCGGATAAACATAAACAATGGGTAACAGGGGATCTCCACAAACCCGACAAAAATCATGAACCCCTTTTCTCGCATTGCCTAGGCAAATTGTTGCGCTGTTCGCCGACCTCAGGGATTATCGTAGTCCAACGTCTTGTTGCCCAGATGGCCAAAGCAGCCCGCACTTCCATTATCATCGTAGAGGGTTGTGTCTGTGTTCTCCTATTAGTACGACTCGGCCAACTTAATGAGCTGCCAAAGGGGGCCGTTACTAAGGTCAAGGGAAGAGTTAAAGAAGTGTCTATTCAGGTCCTGGCAGGAACAGGTGAGAATGATTGTCTCCTTGGGTTTCGCACTGGTGGAGCAGTCGGTACAGCTCGTCGAGTAGTTTCCACTAAGAGAAGAGGAAGTTAGCATTAACAGAGGCAGTTGATTTACCCCCAGAGAGTTACAGCCTTACTTGTCATAGGGGACCAACTGGCTACCGTTGTTGCCAACGCAAAGGTCAAGATCAATCCTGTTGTAGGTCTCGGTTAGCACTAGGTAAGCAAAAGGAGGTAAAGAAACAGAAAGGATATATACCAGGTGTAGTTGTAACCAAACACAGAGGTCATGTTGTTGCGGCAGAATGCGCCCAGCCAGTGGTCACCAGTTAGGTTAGCACCAACGAATGCACAATAACCGACGAAGCTTTGGGTCTGGGGCGGGTTATCGGAAGCCGCCCAGCCCGCGGCAAGTACCATGAGGCCGGCGGGAAGGATGATTTGGGCAAGGGGCCGCATTTTGTTGATAGGAGGAGCAAGAAGCAGTTAAATTTAGCTTCTTGGTTGCCGCTTTGCGTTTCGGTTGGAGCAGGTGTAAGGCGAGCGTTGCGAGTAGGTTACTTGGGCAAGGTAGAAAGAACCTTAGACAGCTAAAGAGAGCTTTAGGAACCTGAAGAGATTATCCTTAGATTCTGGATTCGAAGTTAAACCTGGCGTGGCGGAAACGGTGGTTGACCACCCAGCCTCGATGTATATTTGACAAGGAAGGAGCGAACGAAGTTGGAAGGTGGTGGTTAAATCGAGGCAAGAAACGGCCAGAACGCACTTCCGCAAACTTGAGAATCTGCCTGAGATTCCGAACCGTGGGACTTGTCTGAAAATGAGGACGCCTGATATAGATCGAAAACTGGGCTCTTTCCAAGATGTAATGTAACAAGGATAACAAGGCGGTTTGCGGCCTGGTCTCGACAACTCTGGTACCCCGGATTCTCTGGATAGGTAAAGAGAAACTGCTATCTATCGAGTACCTTTCACTCTCCTCCTATAATCACCAGATTTCCACTGTCGTCATAGCCAACACGGCCCTCGTCTACAGCCCTCCGCAATTCCTCACGCAGAGGCTCTCTCTCGCCCGTCAATGGATCCCATTCCCAACCCTCTCGCATCCTACCACGAGATTAGCGCGCCTGAACATACCTCGGGAAACACTTACTTGATGCTAGATCCACCCGTCTAAGAGCCATGTCCGGACTGACGTGACCATAGGTACCTAGCCACCGCAACAAAGGGATAGACATGCAAGTGATACGTACCACATCCACCGCAGACACGCCCTCAACTCCTTGTCCCGGGGCAGAACACGCATCCACTCAGGTTGGAACTCAGGCGCGCTCCCCTTCCCCGTCCAATGGCTCGCCCGGCCCAGCAACACATCCCTACAAAAGATGCGCCACGAATCCAACGCATACGGCCCCTGCGTCAGATGCCCGATCTCCCAAGCGCTCCCGACCCCCCTGGCTCGCGCATCCGCCACAGCATCCACAACCTCTCCTCCAACCTCACCACCACCACCACCACCACCACCACCACCACCACCACCATCCTCCGGCCCAAACTCCTCCCCCACCCTCACACCCCGCCCATCCCCCACCCGCGGGTAATTCCTCACCCCATACCGCACCCCCCTCCGCGGCGGCCTCTCCAGCCACCCCCTCGCATATTTCTGCACCGCCGCGCAGCGCACCACCGCCAACCCCAGCGGACGGATCAAAGCAACAATCTCCGGGGCCGCCGCCTCCGCGGCGAGCGCCTCGGGCGTGGGGAAGCGCGCCATGAGCTCGCGGAACACGGGGATGGCGGCCTTGCCGGCGGTGCGGATGAGGAAGGTGATGGCGACGAGCAGGCGGAAGGGGTCGTCTGCGAGCTCTTCCTGGATCAGGCCGAAGTGGGTGGCGGAAAGGGGTGGGATGGGCAGGCTGGAGACGGTGCCGCGTGGTGGGCGGGGCTTCTTTTTTGCGGTTGATGGCGGGGTGGGTTCGGGTTTGGGGGGTTTGGTTTGGGGAGGTGGTGGTGGTGTGCTGAAGAAGGGGGACCTGGATCCGCCTGTGGCTTTGACGGCTCGCTCGGCTCTGGTTGCTTTCTTGGTTTCGGGTGTTAGGTAGGTTGGTTTGTTGGGTGAAACTGGTTGTTCTAGGCCTCGATCTTCGGTGGCGGTCTTCGGCGGGCTTTCGTTTATCGTAATGGAGGCATTCGTGTCGTCCGGCGAGGCGCGCTGGGGTTTGGGCACTGCGGCGCCATCTAGGCCTCCGTCAACCGCCTTGGATGGTGTCCCGGTGGTGACAGGAGGATTTTCACCTTCCCCTCCGGCCCGGATACTAAGCGGATGGGTATACTGGTGCCATTGCCTCCGCCTGGCCCTGTCGCCGGCGCCATCATCATCCTCCCCCCAAAAATGCGAGACACCTTTCCCGAGCACCTTCTTCTTCTTCGGCACAGCCGCTTTGCGTCTCCCACTTATTTCCCCCTCCTCCCCATCCCTATGCTTCGGCCCAACCCCCTCATCAACCCCCCCAGAGCCCCCCTCAAGCACCGCCTCCAGAAACGGCACCAAACTTGTCTCACTCCCCTCCTCGGCATCAGGCCGCCTCCCGCGCAAGATGGTGGCGCACTCAAACAGCATATCCCAGTCCTCGGCTCCCCGCATGAGACTGAGCTCATGCAGCTGCTCCAGCTCGGCCTGCGGCGCCTGGCCCGAGGCGATGAGCGAACTAAGATATTGCCTGGTTTCTTCGTCGCAAATGTCGAAGCCGTAGAGGAGATCATCAGCCAGCACCTCCTGGCTTGTTGGGTTTGGGCTTGTCATTTTGGGATCGTGTTATTCATGTGTGACTGGTCGACCGAGTTGATCCATGCGAGTGGGTTGTGGGAGTCGGTCATGTCTAACGGGTTGATGGGATCAAAAATTGGGAAATCTGATTAAGTGTTGGATGGAGAAGGGGTAGCAAACGGCTGGGATGATTGATTACAAAACGGTACGTACATGGGGCGGAATTTCGTGCTTGGAAAACCCAATCGACGGGCGAGCTGGCTCTTCAGTGAGCACATCGGCCGAGGTGTTCCAAATAATCACAATCAAAAACCGGAGGGGAAGCGATGTTGAACAGTAAGGAAATGTCTAGATTGAGACCGACATTGATTTACACTCAAGCCCCGATCTACCCGCCCCGCTTCCCTTTCATCACTCCAGAGGTTTCTCGTCCTCCCACTTTTCATCTACGCCGTAGAGAGAAACCTGGGCGGCCTAGCAGTATATGGTACATACAAAAGAGGTCGAGCTGTGTAGTGTCCCGGCTCGGCCTGTTGCTTAGCGGCGAGGGGCGATGTCGTTCGTCTTGGGCGGGTCGTAGACGATCTTTCTCGACTTGAGCCACGCCCACTTGTACCTCTTGACCCAGACGCTCATCGCAAACAGAACCGTCGTGACAGCCAGAACCTTCATTCCCATGCGCTTCCGGTCGTCCATCTCGGGCTCGGCGGCCCAGTTGAGGAACTCGGTGACGTCCTTGGCCATTTGCGAGGTCGTAGCGGGAGTGCCATCCTCGTAGTCGACAATGCCATCGTACAGGACACGGGCCATGGCGATACCGGTGCCGGGGAAGTAAGGGTTGAAGTTCAGGCCGGCACCCACCTGGGCGCCAGCAGGAGGCTCATCGGGGTAACCAGTGAGGAGGCTGAAGACGTAGTCGCAGCCACCGTGGCGGGCCTTGATGATCAAGCTGAGATCGGGGGGGAGGGCACCGTTGTTGGCGAAGCGGGCGGCCTCGTCGTTCGGGTAAGGGGCCGGAAGGTAATCGGACAGCTTGCCGGGGCGCTTCTCGATCTCGCCCTGGTCGTTGGGCTCGGCATCGTACTCGTTCTCCTCGGCGAGAACCTTGGCCTCGTCGACGGTCAGGACGCTGCCGACAAGAGTGCGGTACGGGACTCTGCTGAGAGAGTGGCACGAGGCGCAGACTTCCCGGTAGACCTGGAAGCCTCTCCGGAGACTGCAGGGTTTCCCTTGTGAGCCATGCCTCCATAGATCAGTGGTGGGACGAAGGAACGCTTACGCCTGGTGGTCAAAGGTTTTGAACCACTGCTCGTGAACCCAGGGGTACTTGGTCGGATGTAGACTAGTTCGACAGTAAGTTCCGTGCTATTTCGTTTTCTCCAGGCCCCCCTCGACAGCGTGGTTGGCCGAATATGCCGCAGTGCGGGCAGACGGGCCTCGGTCCACGGCGAGGGTTGACCCAGTCTCGACGGATCACTCACCCTTCCTCGGCCGGCGCGGTGGCATCAGCAGTAGGCCCATAGAGATGGTAGTACCAGGCGATCGAGCCGGCGGCGAGAGTGGTAGCGGCGGCGGCAGCGATGTTCAACCGAAGCGGCGATTCGGTAGCGGATCCGGAGCTCGAGGAAGACGCGGCGCGCTAGGTAGAGATGGGCATTAGCTTGCGAAAGGGGATGGAGAGTATTTCCGAGGCGAACTCAATAAACGGGGCGGGGTTGCGGGCGCAATTGGGCGGGCGGGTGTTGTCGTGGGTGCGGCCGTGCGATGGGGACGATCGAAACCAACCGAGACGTACCTTGGAAATGTGCACGGCGCCATTTCGCAGGCCGGCAAAGGCGCGCGTCGAGCGCAGGCAGGACCTCGCCAGCATGGTCGGCACACCTTGCAGAGCTTAGAGGGGTGTCGTGGGTCGGATTGACAAGGCAATTCGCTGCCACCGTCGGTGATATGGGTAGCAGGCGCAAGCTGGGTGAAGGTCGACAGGTCAGGTTTCTTCAAATTCGGGATTCTTAGGAACGCTCGCTCTCTCATTGGCCGGGCCAATCAAGCTCTGCGCCCACCACCCACGGCCGATAATTTATCCGCCCAGCTCTGTCCATACCCCCGAGCTCCAGCTTCAACTGCTCCTGCCAAAAGATTAGGTATTTGCACTTTCCGGTTCGAAATGTTGGCCGCAGAGATTTCACTCCATTTCCTTGATCACAGAGAGTTTCTTGTTTCCGAGTTCGACTGAATCATAAATATTCAACTGCCACCTGGTTGCAAAATGTCGGTATCACTCCGAATGGGAACAAGAAACCACGTTTTGTCAACCCCAGCTGTCCGCAAACGCCCTTCTTAGAAAATAACACGTTTATACAGTTCCCCAACTATCCCACGGCGCAAGATGCAGTTTAAGTGCTGCCGTTTTGGCCTAGCAACTCTCTTCGCCTCTTCACAGCATTGGCCAGAAGATCCAGGGTCTGGATGGTGTCCTCCCACCCGATGCAGGCATCGGTGATACTGACGCCGTATTTGAGGCCTTCCTTGCCCTCCTTGGGGACCTTTTGGTTACCTACACGCATGTTAGAACGATACTTGGATGGCAAGCGGAGGCGACTCACCCTCGTTGATGTGGCTCTCGATCATGACACCCATAATAGCGTCCTCGCCCTTCTCAATCTGTTCAGCCAACGTGGCTGCAACCTTGGGCTGGTTCTTGTGGTTCTTCAGCGAGTTGCCGTGGCTGCAGTCCACCATAAGCCGCTGCCGCACTCCGGCCTTTTGCAGGGCAGCCTTAGCCTCCGCGATGCTTTCGGCGTCGTAGTTGGTGCCCCGGGTACCACCACGCAGAATCACGAAACAGTCCTCATTGCCAACGGTGCCAACGATGGCGGCTACACCAGGTTTGGTAACGGACAAGAAGTGATGGGGGTGCCTGACCGCCCCGATGGCGTCAACGGCGACGGTGAGGCTCCCGTCGGTGCCGTTCTTGAAGCCGACGGGGAAACTCAGCCCGCTGGCTAGCTCGCGGTGAAGCTGGCTCTCGGTTGTCCTGGCGCCGACGGCACCGACGCTGAGCAGATCGGCCAAGAACTGGGGGCTGATTGTGTCCAGCATCTCGCTGGCGATGGGCATACCCCGAGAGGTGAGGTCGACGAACAGCTGTCTGCTGAGGCGCAATCCCTTGTTGATGTTGAAGCTGTTGTCAATATCCGGGTCGTTGATCAAGCCTTTCCACCCCACCGTCGTGCGCGGCTTCTCGAGGTAGGAACGCATGACAATTAGTAGCTCGTCCTTGTGCTTCGCCTTCTCCTTCAACAGCATGTCGCAATACTCGAGCGCAGCTTTGGGGTCGTGGATAGAACAAGGCCCAATGACCACCAATAGCCTCTGCTTCCCGTCGGTCCCATTGACAACCGCAGCGGCCTCCTCGCGACTTTCGAGAACGGTCTTCTTCGACTCGGGCGTCTGGGCGATCTCGTGCTGGAGCAGCCCGGGCGGCGTTAGGGGGTTGTAGCCGCGGACTGGTCCATATCGTTAGTGCCCAGTGAGCTTGTAGGAGTTTCCAAGTGATCGCATACTCCTCCAGTCTTCGCTCTCTGCCTTGTTTCCGACATTCTTGTTCTCAAGATAGAACGACTATGGTGTTGTGAGTCAAATGTCTAGAGGAACGCACAACTTGATTTGACCATGGCGGGGTTCACTCACAGACATGATGGTGGCTTTTTCTTCTTCACTTTTTGTCGGAGCAATTACGACCCAATTGGTAAATTCAAAATTCAAAATCTTGTCAGGAAGCAGCTTTAAGGATCGGAAAGCTGGAACAGGAATTGGGTTGTTGGCCGATGGCGGACAATATTTGTTTTACAGCTTGCTTCTTCAAGATTTTGAGGGGCAATCCATGAGGGGATGACTCAATGTGGGGTCAAATTTGGTTGCTGAAAGAAACCGCCCTGCAACTCACACGGCCGCGAGCTACCTGTTAAATCGCATGGAAAGTTTTAAAACACCCGTCTCCAAGTGCGTTTTAATAAAGCAACCTGTGCCATTGGTTGTAGACCAAAACGGGTTTGAATAGAGTTCTGAAGAGGCACATTCGTCACTTGGACTGTGGTTGGTATTTTTGCTACCGGCCATTGTCCCAGAGACCAGTACCTGGGGTACTTTACGAACTTCGGTATGTACCTTACATAGGTAGGCAGGGCAGTTACTGACGTGGTTCAACACTGCTCCTCTTTTTCCCCATCAGCTTTTTCAGTCAGAGATACCTAGGTATTGGTACGAAATGCTCAGTGCTGCGCGGCAAACCGCCTCCAAGCTCCACGATGGCATGTGATTGACAATGAAAACTGAAACAGAGCAAACTCAACAACACCCGACCCATGACGGCCCAGATCGTTGCGGAGAGCTGTCCTGGCTTGGCACTTGAAACAAAACGGAGCCCGAGATGCCAAGACTTCGCCGGCGCAGGACATGCAGGAGCCCGCCCCATTTCCCGTGAAGAAGCTCTCCCGATTTGGCGACAGGCCAAGAGACGGAAATGTGGACACCCCGTTTTCGCGACTTCCCGATAATTCAAGACCCGTTCATGGTCTGGGAATCGAACGCCAACAGCCGACTCGAAGAGAAGGCAATCTTGGTCAAACGATCAACATGGCTGAGGCTAGCAACGACGAAGATGTGAAGTCGAGTAAACGAAGCCATGCCGACTTCACCGGCGACGATGGCTCCGGTATGTCGCTTCTCTCTCTCTCCTCTCCTTTCTTCCCACGCTTCCCCAAGAGCCGCGAACGAGACATCTCGGACACTCACTAACACAATCGCCATGTAGACAGCTCTTCAGACGACGATATGGGCCCCCAGCTGCCCTCGGCGGCTCCCAAGAAAAAGCGGCGCGTTCTTCCCTACGAAAAGCTGTACATCTCAGCCCTACCCAAGTCGACTCGTTACTCTAAATCTCTGATGCACAAGGAGCAGTTGGCCTTCCTCACCATGACGCCGATCACCGAGTTCCTCATAACAACATCCGTCGATGGCGTCGTCAAATTCTGGAAAAAGGATGCCGAGGGCATCGAGTTCGTCAAGGAGTTCAAGGCGCATCAGGGCGAGGTCCGCTCTGTGTCTTGCAGCCAGGATGGCCGGAGCTTTGCGACGGCTGGCGTGGACAAGACGGTCAAGCTGTTTGATGTGGTCACTTTCGATCTCCTTGCCGTCCTCCAACTCGATTTTGCGCCACGCTGCGTCTGCTGGGTTCACAAAAAAGGGTCATCTCTGCCGCTCCTGGCCGTCTCCGACAGCGAAGCCAAGCCGAGCATCCGCATTTACGACGGGAGAGGCGAGAGCCAGGAGTCAATTTACACCATCGCTGGCCTGCACCGGAGTCCCGTCTCCCTGATGGCGTTCAACGACTGCTACGACTGTGTGATCTCGGTGGACGAGGGTGGCATGGTTGAATACTGGCAACCGGGAGGGCTCTATGAGAAACCCGAAACGGTCTTCAAGTACAAGAGCTCAACCAACTTGTTCGAGTTCAAGAAGGCAAAGTCTGTACCGGTATCGCTCACCCTGTCTGCCGACGGGAGCCGATTCGCGACCATGTCCTTGCCTGATCGAAAGATACGCATCTTCGACTTCGCCTCGGCCCAGCTCCAGCGCACCTACGACGAGTCACTCCAGGTTATGGAAGAAATGCAGCAGGCTGGGACCGCTTTGCAGAAGCTAGATGCCGTGGAATTTGGGCGCCGGCTTGCTCAGGAGCGCGAGCTCGAGTCGCCAGAGCTCCGCGACAAGTTCAACGTCATTTTTGACGAATCGGGGCATTTCATCTTGTACGGGTCCTACCTCGGGGTGAAAGTGCTCAACACGTTCACAAACCAAGTAGTCAAGGTCTACGGCCGGGAAGAAGGGTTTCGGCCGCTGGCGTTGGCACTGTACCAGGGCCAGCCGCAAAAGAAGGGCGTAACAACCGTTGCCATGGCAGCGTCAAGCAACCCCCTACTGCAAGCGTCAGAGAGCAGGGACCCAATATTGATCGCGACGGGCGTGGGGAAGGTTCGCTTCTACATGTTTACCGACGAGGAGGAGTTTTCGAAATCGACGAGAGACGTCCAGAACGAGAAACCTACAGTTCTCGGACAAAAGAAGGTCGAGGAGAAGAAGAAGGCCGAGACGGGGACAGCGGCCATCATACACACCACTTACGGCGACATCCACATCCGACTGTTCCCCGACGCCGCGCCGAAGACGGTTGAGAATTTTGTGACGCATTCTCGGCGCGGGTATTACAACAGCACCATATTCCACCGGGTTATCCGAAAGTTCATGATCCAATGCGGAGACCCTCTGGGTGATGGCACAGGGGGCGAGAGTATCTGGGGGACAGAGTTTGAAGACGAATTCAGCAGCTTGAGGCACGACAAGCCATACACCGTCAGCATGGCCAATGCTGGGCCCAACACGAACGGAAGCCAGTTTTTTATCACAACCGAGAAAACGGTATGTTCAGTGCTCGCTCTTGATACCTTTGGCACATACTAACGGGACTTAGCCCTGGCTTGACAACAAACACACCATTTTCGGTCGTGCGGTGCAGGGCTTGGATGTTATCCACAAGATCGAGAACGTCAAGACGTACAAGGAGAAACCGATAGAGGACATCAAAATCCTCAGCATCGATATTGCGTGAGAGGCGAGACACAACCCGATGCGTCTTGTAACCTCACGCGGAAGCCGGGCTGCAAAGCAAGCCTTTCTAGTTCATACGGGACACGGAGCACGGGTAATTGAACGTTATCATGCGTCAACCCGATTCCGGGCTTGTAGTATTCCGTGACCCAAACACACATATATGTACATGTACATCAAGACAGACGAACAATGTCTCCATCAGAGGGATGACTTGACGTCGCCACCGTAATTTATCTTTCTCAAAATGCTCCGGTTCAGCTCCGTCACATTCTGCACACCGGCCAGCCCCATGGACTGGTCTATATCAGCCAAAAGACCTGCCAGAACATGCCGAGCGCCCTCACTCCCAGCAACCCCCAAACCATATATCACCGGCCGCCCAACCAACACTGCCTTCGCACCCAACGCGAGCGCCTTCAACACATCCGCCCCCGTCCTCACCCCCGAATCGTAGAGCACCGTCAACCGGCCCCCAACAGCATCCACAATCTCCGGCAGCATCTCCAACGCCGGCACCGCCCCATCCAACTGCCTGCCCCCATGGTTCGACACCACGATCCCATCCACCCCGGCCCGCACCGCCATCTCCGCGTCCCCCACGCTCAGCACCCCCTTCAGCACAATCGGCCCGCTGCCCCACAGCCGCCGCAGCGTCGCCAGGTCCTCCCACCGGTGCGCATGGCCCGAGAACGCCTCGGCCAGCCACGCCCGGCTCGCCGCCACCACGTTATCCTCGACGGTGTCACCGTCGCTCTGCGCGGCGAACATGCGCCGGAAGACGGGGTCGCTGAACCCCAGCGCGTTGCCCTCGCCGCGCACGGGGGGGAGGTACCCCGCGTCCAGGTCCAGCGGCCGCCACGCCATGGTGAAGGTGTCGAGGGTCACGACTAGGGTGGTGCAGCCGGCCGCGCGGGCGCGCGTGAGGAGGGAGGCGGTGAGGGTGTCGGAGAGCGGCCAGTAGAGCTGGAACCAGCGCGGTGCGGAGGTGGTTGTGGTGGGTGGTGAGGGGGAGGTGGGTGATGGGGGGGTGGGTGAAGGGGAGGTGGGTGAGAGGGAGAGGTCGGCGGCGGCGGCGACGTCTTCGAGGGGCGTGGTGGCGGCGGTGCTGTAGATGAAGGGGACGTTGAGCGAGGCGCAGGCTGTGGCTACGCCTTTTTCGCCGTCGGGGTGGTAGGCGCCTTGCACGCCGATGGGGGCCATGAGGAGGGGGGTGTCTTGGGGGGAGGTTAGTATAGAGGGACTGGGTGGGCTGAGTTTGGTGGGTTGTTGTTGGTGCTCACCGTATTTCTTGCCGAACAGCTCAACGCTGAGGTCGCGTGGCAGGGTTGGCCGTAGCATGCGCGGGATCAGCTTCCACTGGCGAAAGGCCAGCCGGTTGGCATGCATAGTCGCCTGCTCGCCGGCGCCACCAAAGACATAGTTGAAGGCTTCGGGGGTCATGGCCTCTCTGGCCGCCTGTTCTAGCTTGTTTGGGTCCGTCGTGACAATGGGTTTCTGGCCGGCAATGATTGCCTGGGCATACAGATCGAACTGATACTGCCCGTACGGCGGCTTCTCATTGCCATCTCTATCATTCTTATCCTGCGGTTCGGACATGTTTCGAAGCTTTTGAGCTCATATGTGTGTGTACTCTAGGGGTGCGGTGTGGGAGGGACCTCGTCCCCTGCTTGCTTTGTTGGAGCTGCATCTTATATCCCTGAACTTCCCCGCATTCAATGCTTGGATAAACCACCGAGCGTGTTTCCAGAAACTTGTACCTCGGTGATTATCGTGTGGGGCAAGAGCGTACTTTGTGTGTTCGAACTGTTGGCACAGAGAGATCACGCGCCCGCCAATGCCCAAACGGAAGTTATTATCAACACTACCATGAGCGCCTATAACTAACAAGGGATATATCCATCTTTCTGATCCTCTCACCATTTCCCCGTCTCTGAGTTTGTGGTGTCGGAAAAACAGCCTGCAACGCCAAAACCTCTTTCCTTTCCTGACAATAACCCATCATCTACAGGGAGGAACGCCTCTGAAGTATGTCCGAGTGGGCTGGGTGTTGCTCCCTTTCCCGCAAGCCATTTGGCAGGCATGTGGATTCCACTCAATGATTTGCAGATCCCTAAGCCGGCCGTTGCCTTCGTCCATATATCGGCATTTGTAATACGTCTTACCTCCGAGAGGGCAAAGCTCAACTAGGCGCCCCCTCACCTTGACCAACGCTCACCAATTATCTATCCAGCCAGGTTTACAACCCGTAGTTCAGGCGCCGTGACCATCTATGGCTTGATGGACCACAGTTCTCGTGACCTGGAGGGGGTTGTTAGCCGGGTGTCCTCGACAACTGCATTGCGAACACTTACCACCCCATTTCCCTAATCTTCTTGGAGTTTGTTTGCGATCCCTTCTTGTCACTCGTCCATATCGCCAGCGCCTTGCTGCACGACGCAAAAGCCTCGACGAGCTCCTTCATTCTGCCGGATTTCAGGAACTCCCGGGCCACATCTGAATCCTTCTCGGCAATCACAGCCGCGAGCTCCATGCACTCCAAGAGATTGTCCCGGGAGAGAGATGTACCCGCAAAGTGCAGGCAGCTGATGTAAGCCAGCACCGTCTCGGGGATGTAGGCGTCGCGAAGCTCCTGAAAGTCTTTGTCCACTACATCCACGCCGTCAGTCTGCGGTATCTTGGGGAGTGAAGCGAGCATCTTACCTTCATTTGACACCAACAACCAACCCTTCAAGACCGGCTGCATGCACGCCTTGGCTGACCGAACCTCTTGGCTCGTATGCTGCCACATCTCGCGTGTCGAATTGTTTTCCCTGTTGTGAGCCTCGTCAGTAAACAGTACGGAGTCGTATCGGGTGAGATGAGAATCATACTCTCTGGTGAGCCCAGCCAATGACGACAGCGTCTCCATCGCATCCAGGGCGCGGACGAGACACTCGAGCTCCCACATATTTCGCACGAGGTTGATGAGCTTTTCCTTGCTCATTTGGCATGTCTCGAGGAACTCGTCTGTGAAGTCACCATTGGCAAACTCCTGGAACCAACCGGGGCCGGAATCCTCGCTCGAGTCCCGCACTGGGATGGGGGACTTCGTCTTCACAATGTCTCGCCCAGACACCCGGTCACTGAAAGAGCGCGCGGCGCGTAACCTTGTCCGTTCTATAACCAGTCAGTGCACGAGTACGGAGAGGAGAGGTTCCAGAAGCGGGGACAACGTACTGAGCAGATACTTGTAGATCCGGATAGTGTAGGTGCACGTCTCCACGAACTGGCCCGGAACCAGGATGAGCCACTCCATGGCGCGAATGATCAGCTCGTCTTCATCATCAACAAACTCGGCGTCCTCGCCAAAGAAATCAGGTTTCACAAGTCGGCCGTACTTCAGCGTCGCCGGACCGGGTTCGAGTATTTTGAATCGCCCCTTCGCTTCGCAGCGCAGAGACTGGTCCTGGACGTCTTCCAGATAGATCGAAGGCTGACGCTTCGCGAACTCGGCCAGATCGAGTCCCAGCTTCCTCATTATGGTGAGCTGGTGTACCCGAACGTCATTGTCGATGATGTGCATGAGATTTCTGCTCAACGTCTCATGCAACCGGGTGCCGCACAATTTGGAGGCGTATAGAGGGATCATTTCCTCCAAACTGGCAAGCCGGAGATAGCTGATGTATGCTGCAATAATGTTCTCTTGTGCTTGATGGCGACTCTGCAGCGCACCGCCTTCCTCAGCGAAACCGGCGAGACGGTCAAGAGCGGAGATGACGATGAGAACGTGGGCTAGGATCCGGAGGCCGTCGTGATCCGCCAAGTCAAAGAACTTGTCTTGATTGAAGCTTTCCACCAGAGGGGAAGTCACCTTGGGAATCAGCTTCGAAGTCTGCCTCTCGTTCGCGTGTCTAGACAACACAAGACCTTGGTAGAATAAGTGCCGGTCCAAGTCGTGGGAGACAATAGCCCCTTGTAGCGCCTTTCCAGCGCGCAGAGCTTCTCTCCTGGTTCTTGTGTCCGTCTCCAAGGAAGCGATGAGACGTCTGCTAACCGTCATCGGGTCGCTGTGGTGCAGAACGGCGTTGAAGGAAGGAAATTGCTGCGCGGCTTTGCTGGCAGCCTCCCCGCCATGCTTGGCAAGGTACAGATCGAATTGTGTCCTGAGAAGCGCGTTGTAATGTGCGAAGAGAAGATCATCCCAGGATTTGCACACCTTGTCCACGCTGGCGATATCGCCCGCCAATAACCCATAGACTGCTCTGTCGTACTCTCCTGTCCCGCCGTCTCTGGAAGCGGCAAAGCACATGCGCCTCCACAAGACCAACGAGCTTGGCTCAAACTCGGGTTGCTCCTCATCGTCTGGATTGGAAAGCGGCAGAGGTGCAATCGACGCGGCCCTCCATAGCTCTGTCCTCTCGGCGCACCACTCCCTGATCTCGGACATGGAGCAGCCCCGGCGAAGCATCTCGAAGCATCCGAGCCAGATCGCGCGCTCGAAGAACTCGTCCTGCGACTCCAGTTTACGGGCCTGGCGGGTGACAGCGTCTGGATCCAGTTGGGTGATTAGGGTATTGGAGCCAAGATGTGATTGAGCGGCAGCGGCGTCGTGGTGGTCCAACACGCCCTGATAACCGTTGACGCTCTTTTGCAGCTTGATCTTGTGACGGGTATGGAGCCAGCCGTGCGCCAGTATGTCACCCCTCTCGGCATTTTGTTGGAGCTCGCTCACCACCTCGTCGATTGGCGGCCCGTAGCTCGCACTACTTTGAAGCCATTCCAGGACAATCTTTCGCTCTCGCGCAACCGAATCAGAGACCATGAATTCGTCCCACCACTGCCTACGACTCCTAGTCGAGACGTCGTCGGGATTCCCTAGTTGCGATGCGGTCTGGTCACCATATCGTAGAGGGAGAATGCGCCGCAGGAGATCCCATGTTTGCGCCTCCTCTTCTACGCGGCGCACATCTTCGGCGGAGACGGCATCGTTACTATCGTCGACCTCATCCATGTCCATGTCGGCCGAACCAGCCCTCTGCCAGCTTCCTCCCCGCGTGGATCGTCCCCGGGGTTCGCGCTCACGTAACCGATCGGCCCTCTTGCGCGTGTATGTGTAGTAAGTGTCGACAAGCTTGATAACCTGGGTGAGTCTCTCTGCTGGCGAGCCTGTCAAGTCGGTGTTGTAACGGTCGAGCTGGGCGGCGAAATAGTCGACTTCCTCCCCTACCCGAATGGTGCTCTCCTGGTACGTTGTCTCGAGATCCGCCATTTCATCGTTCGCCGGCTCTGTAGCGTGTGTTAGCGACCCGCGGGGCGTCCATAATGGCGGCTCGTAGCGATGACCGACCTTGACCCTGGCTTTGTGAGCTAGTCCGAGAGCTCTCAGAGGCCGGGTAGCCCTAAATGAAACGTCAGTAATCATTGATAGAGTATGCACAACTAGAAATACGTGACTTACAAATGCCGGCGCCATGTCGATGGAGCCAATGGCGCTTGATGCAAAAGTTTGGAGAGAGGGAGGATGTTGTATCGACGGTTGCCCTGAGCGTCGAGAAGGAGATGAGGTAGAGCTTCGCAATTGGGCGCTTGTTTATCGCATCCTGCAGTGTCGATTTCGGTATGTATGGTTGCCAGTTGGTGGGAGTTGTCGCTGATTTTCGGAGTTTTGCTTGCGGCCAGTGTCAACAAAGCCACCAGCGGTATTACTTTAGGTGCGAAGTACGGATTAGGACTGTTCTTGCTGTCACGCTGTCAAGCAACGCGATCGCGCCGATACGGCTCGAAAAATCGCCAGTGGCTGAGTGGCTGGCAAACCGCAGCTCCCCTGTCCAAAGCACGGGCCACGGAACCAATCAGTGTGGGGCACCCATGCCCCACCAGCAGGTTAGAAAAGTCGTCGAGGAGCCAAAATTTTTGATCTTTTTCCTTTTTCTTCTTCATAATGTCATATGGCGTTCATATTAGAGTCTCGGAACAAGCCTTTCATTGCTTGTTCAGGTCCACGCGGCCTCTTGCGCGCTCAATGATAGCCTAGAGGAATTCTGCACCCTCCTTTCCAGTTACCTGACGCCTCTCGGGGTTATTAGGGTGGACGTATTTGGATGAGTGATACATTTATTTCCCTTCCATTACTGGGCGCCTTTCCTCTGCTCCATCTTCAGCCGCAACAAGTTCGGCTTTGGGCAGCTCGCGGTTATCGCGCTGTCGCCGTTCTTCTCATAGAACGCCTGGCAGCACTCGTAGAGAGCATCGACGAGCTTAGCGCACTTGGCCTCGTTGTACCCGTTTTTCGTCAGGCAGTCTTGAAATGTCAGTAAGCACGCGCGCCAACTCGACAACAGGACTCAAGAAGGGATACCTTGGATCGCACACTGCGGGAACAGGTCGTTTGTGTCAGCATCCATCACGCATAACCGGGGCAAGCGGACGAACCGCTCGTGGATGGCATGGAGGATTGCTCCGAAGATCTTGATCAAGCCCCTGCATGGAAGTGTTATTCTCGGGGTGTTTTATAAAAATGTTGGGCTGATGGCGTCCGCCACTGACCATTGCGGCAAGTGAAGCTGGTGGTGATATGTACTGGACTGGTGTTTTCGTTTTCGTGGCTCGTTGTTTGGTTCTCTCGGGTCCCAGGACCAGACAACCGCGGTGGAATGCGCCAGGTTGCGTTCCTTGGAGCCGGGCACGATGATGTCAGGGGACCCTGGCTCCTCTTGATTTACCGCGTGCTGCATGCCTTTCTTTGCATTACTACCATGGGCTGGTGCTCCAGCGCAATCCCCAAATATCCGGTGGTTGGAGGCGCTTCACAGGATGCAAGCACTGCCAGTTGACTAGGTAGTTTTGTAGAAACCGACGAGAGGATCACATTGCCGAATATCACCCACGTATCGGATGGGCAGACCATCCCCGTCCTTCATGGAAGACTGGGTGGGCAAATCGGGGGAGAGGAACCTTAAACGGAGGTAGTCATATCGCTGTCAGCAAGTTTTGAAGACCAAACTTCCCTATCTCCAACTTGAGCTTTCTTCGGGGCTCCGTAGGTAGCAGTAACCCGTGTAACTGGTGAAACCCAAGCTGAGGTCGTTGGTGCAGGTGCCAGTTTGGTTCGCTGCAGCTCAAAGGGCTTTGCTCTCCAGGAGCCTGGAACTTTCGTTCAACCCCACCACACGACCCAGGCACCTCCCCGCCACCGTCATCCCACCTTCAACGACCGGCCGACGTCAGGCAGATTCCTCCTAAGGCTGAACAACCGACAAGCAGAGCCGAACAGCAGCAGCTCGCTTCCAAATAATATCCCCAAAACAAACACAAGCCAATTAATTCTCAGCGATTTCGCGCACAGTGGTTGCTGGGGTGAGTTCTCGTCTCGCAATTTGCACCCGATTAGCAGCCTCTTGCCCCAGACTCCCTCCTTCCCTTTCGCACATACAACCAACCAACCACCCAACCATTCCCACCCAACAACAACTTCTTCCTCAGAATTAACAAACCCCCCTCGCGACTCGCAGAAACACCTCACCCACCCTCAACCACACCAATCTCTCTCCCCGAAACAACACAACAAAACACACCCCACTACACTCCACGATGGCCGACAACGCCGAGAACGGCAGCCCCCCACCGCCCGGGCCCGAGATGGGCGGCAGCGGCGGCGGCGGCGGCGCGGCAGGCGCAGCAGCGAACGAGCACCTGAATATCAAGGTCACCGACAACAACAACGAGGTCTTCTTCAAGATCAAGCGCAGCACCAAGCTGGAGAAGCTCATGACGGCGTTCTGCGAGCGGCAGGGCAAGACGCCGGCGTCGGTGCGCTTCCTCTTCGAGGGCCAGCGCGTGCAGCCGGCGGATACCCCCGATACGGTGAGTTTTTTTTTCTTTTTCTTTTCTGTTTCTCGGCCTGGTGGGGTTTGGGGGGGTTGTAGAGGGGAGGGGAGGGGTGCTGGGGTGGGAGGGGTTGATTAGGCTACGCGCAAAAACACAAAAGAGAGAGTTTGTTCGCTGACGTATGGTCTGGGGGTTTTAGCTGGAGATGCAAGACGGCGACACCCTGGAAGTCCACCAAGAGCAAGTCGGTGGCTGCTGAGCGCGTTGGGTCGATCGAGGCGGGAAGGTGGGGGAGAGAGGGGGCCGGGTTACTCGGCGATACTGCACCCTCGGCTTTGGGATGGCGAACGGGAATATCGGAGTTTTGCAACTTTACGCCCATCTAGGTGGGCGGGGGCGGGGGGATACCAACGGGAGACGAAGATGCTCATGATGCATGGGGATCTTGTGTCGCTGGATTCCTGCTTGGGGTTGGCGCATCTTGGGGCGCAGTCATCTGGCACATTAGGGAATCACCATTCGCCCTACAGCGCTCATCTACCATTTCGCGATGTTGTTGACGGTGACTTCGGTAGGCTTGCGTCCGATCCAACTGGCTCACTACGCGCGCGCGATGCATAAAGAGGGGGTCTGTTCCCAGCCATCACGTACATACCATGACGCAGCGAGGCGAGATGCAGCCGTGTAGTTATGTCTGAAAACGCCAGGCAAATGATTTCCTACGATGCACCTACAAACCCAGACCTACAAGAAATTGCAAACAAACTCCGGATCTGGCCGACAAACTGGTAAGACATGGCCCCGAAACTACATCAAAATCAACGCCCACGCTTTGCATTCCATGAACAACATGACGCTCCTCACGCCTTCAACTCCCTCTCCATGCAGTGCGTGCACAGGACCACGGTCTCGCCCGGCGCGCCGCGGCCCTCCATGGGGAAGATCTGGCCGTCATCGAAGGCGCCGTTGCAGGTGGCGCAGCGGAAGCACTCGTCGTGCCACTCGCCGCCGAGGGCGCGGACGTACTGGCCGATGACGGCGGTCCGGCACTTGCGGCACTTGGGGGCGCGGCGCTCGGTGCGCTTCGTCTGGCAGGACACGCACCACGCGTAGCCGTCCTTTTCGATGTGCGTCATGCCCTTCTCGAACGGGTCGCCGCACTCGGCGCAGAAGAAGTGGCCAAAGTGCCAGTGGGCGCCCAGCGCCACCACGTGCTGGCCCATGATGGGCGTCTTGCAGTGCTTGCAGCGCGGCGCGAACAGCTCGTGCCAGTCGAGGTGGCAGAAGAAGCGGAGGCGGTCGTCGCCGTCCTCGGCCATGGTCTGGCCGGGCTCCTCGGGGAGCATCTCACCCGCGGCGCGGCGGGCGATGCGTTCGAGGCGTGCCTCGCGGTGGTTATCCGGCTCCGGAGAGATCTCGAGCGCCTCGAGGGAGGTGCCGCAGGTGTAGCAGGTGAAGCACCGCGGGTGGAACCGCTCCGACGTGCCGGCAAGGGACACGAAACGGCCCTCGATAAAGTCACCGCACTCGTGGCAGCGAGCGGTAGCGCGGCTACCGGCCGGCTTCGAAGCGGAAGACCAGTGTCCGTGGGGTCGCGCCGCTTGCCGGACACGAGGCGCCCCAGGTTGCGGTGTGGGGAGCGGACGACGAGAGGCCCCGCCGGTGTTGGCGCTGCTATCGTCGGGCGTTACGATTACAGGTATGCTAGGACCGTCGTCCGCTCCATCGGGCTCAACCACAATAGTAGGAGGGGCCGACGAGGAAGAATCGCCGACCGAAATCACGGGGATAGAAGGCCCATCGACTTTAATAGAGGGCGGAGGGGGTTGTGGGCGGCGTGTAGGCGAAGACGACGCGGCCGGCGAGGCCGCAGAGCCGTCCGTAACAGAGATAGAAGGGATCGCTTGGGTTTGTTGCTGCGGCTGCTGTTTGCGGAGCCCGCCCGGGACGAGGGACGATGGGTGCTTGGCACCCCCCCGCCCGAAAGTCGACTCTTCTGACTTTCCGTCAGTAGCCTCCCCTTGGGGCTTCCAATTTCTTTCAAAGCTTACGATAGGTCTACCGGGTCTATCGCTGACTGCAGAGGGCGTAGGAAGCTTGGGGCTGCGGTCTTTCAGCTTCATGCTCGTTGCCTCCTTGATGTCGTCGCTGCGGATCTCCATGCCGTGCTTACGAGGCACGTCTTCGCGCGGGGCAGGCGGCGTGGCGGCGCGGGAATTGGTTGTGTAAAGAGGATTTCGAGACTGGCTTGGGGGGTTTCGGTGTATCTCGTACTTGGAGACTACCTTCTCGGGTGAGGGAGGGGCAGGCCCAGTTTTCAACCCAGCAGCACCCCTACGGGTGAACTGGAGACGGTTGAGGGGTTCCTTTGGTTTTGGTTTCAGGGGGTTAACAACATCGTCTGACACAGAAGCTCGGGGCCCGTCAGAAGTCTCGTTGTCCGGTTCTTCCCAAATCTGGTCGCCGGAGAAAGGTCTTTGCGCCTCGTTGCTCATCTTCCTCTTCTGTCTGCTTCTGGAGCGCCCTCCTGGAACAGAAGAAGGCTCGGCCGGGATATCGCCATACGATTTGTGATTACTATCCGACGCCGCGGCGGGTTGTGTCGCATCACCGCTTGGTCCCATGTTGGACGCCGGGCGAGATGAGGAAAACGACGGACGACCCAAAACCGGCCCGGGGCTGTCCACCTCGGTTGAGCTACCAGATAGCGAGCCTGAGAGGCGACCCCGAGCAAGACCAGTTGGCGTGACGTCAGTGCCATACCTACCGACACTAGCGGTGCGGGCATGTGCGTAACTGTTCTTGCGCAAGTGTGGTCGGTATTGGTAGGGCGCTCCCGGCTGCGGCATCTTTTCCGGATTCTGGTGCTGCCATACCAGTTCGGCGGCTTCGTCGAGAGCTGCACCATAGATCCGCTTGTCGTCATCGCTCTCCGCCGCGCCCTCCTTTTCCTCCTGGGGCGATTCTTTGAGGTCCATATCTTCCATGGCTCGGCGTAGCGAGAAAGCCTCCTCTTTCTCCATCCACCTCTGTCCACGCTCGATGTAGGTTGCGCTGGGAACGATTTCCGACGGCTTCAGTGGTTGCACAGGGCGGTCCGGATAATAGTCCTTTCCGCGGGCCTTGCTCGAGTATGACGAAACGCTGGGAACGATGGAAGGGCGGCTTGCGGAGGCCAGGACACTCACAGTGTCTGACTGTGTCCGCTGGTGCTGCGGAGGCAAAGTCGATGCGGAGGGTGAAGGAGCATCGATGGAAGGCCGGGTAGTAGTAGTAGTAGTAGACGAGCCAAGAGCGTCATATTTGGAGGCCGGGGGAGGACGGGCACCTGCTGGCCTGTTGACACGGTTGGTGCGAAGACCTGCGAGATAGGCAGCTGCAGTATATGTCAGCAATTGGTCGAGTCGTGAATCGCCGGCTCCTCTCGGGGTGTGTTGATCGTTCCGTACCGAACTGTTCGTTTGACATGTAGGAAGGTGACGGCGGCGTCACCTTCCTTGTGGAGTTTCGCTCCTTGGAGCTGCCGCGTGCAAACATGGCCCCTTAGACCTTGGGTAGGTAGGTAGGTAAATTAGGTAGGCAAGTTTATTGTATCTGCAGCGATAGGTGGTTTTGGGGAAGAGGGGGTTGATTGCAATCGGAGGCCGGAGCTAAAACGGTGCGAGAATGGCTGGGCCTAGCAGCCAGGCTCGACCGCAAGCAATTTATGGGATGCCCTGCAATGTTGTTTATCTGTGAGGGTCAGTGGTCATACGACGTTGCTAGGCAGGTCGAGGAGCACAACAAGCACGGTGAACGGAACGAAGAAAGTAGGTGAGTCAAGAGGCAGTTGATCCGCTGAGGTGCGAGACAAGCCGACAGCTGCATTTCCTGGTTTGCCAGCTGCGATTGGACCACGCCAGCGAGACAAACATGGGTGGGTTCCCACAGCGACCAGCCGGAGCCACCCGTGCACGACCGTGCAGCGCCAGGGCGGGACTCGGAAGCGCCTCCATGCAGCTTCAGCTCAGCGAGGTCCGCCTGCCACGGGTCCGTTTCCAAACAACTTCCATGTCCATGACAAGCAGGCCAGCGCAGAGCCCAGACCGGTTCCCGTGGAGCTTTCTCACCACGAGGAGGCAGGGATGGAGGGATGCAATGCATGTCTTGAACACTGACAAGGGGCTATTTTCTCCAAATCCCAATATCTCGGTTCACCAACTCCATCGCCCCCCACATCGCAATTGGAGGCAAGGCTTGCAACTTAACTCGGGAACTGCCTGAGCACGCTGAGGTAGGTGGGAGGGTGGGTTGGAACTTCCATGTGCACAGCTCGGCACCCGCAGTGACCCGCCACCGCATGCCGGTTCTTCTTTCCCCGCACTCGGCAACACCCATTGGCCCACTTCACAGTCTTGCACCTGAAAATCCGTTTCAATCGAAGGGCGTCTGGGCGTTTGCTTCTCATCCGCAGTTATTCCCGAGTCCGGGCCGGTCCCGGTTCTCAAAGAACCTTACATCAATCATGACCATCTCCAACTTCTCTCGGACCAATGTCAGCCGAAATGGCAAGGCAGTTAAGAACTCATGATACTACAAGGTTAACTAACGCATGAATAGGTAGCTCTATAACCATTCGTTTCTTCTTGGTTCCTCCCCGTCTTATAAACTCTTTGTCTGTACGAAGTACTTGTACATGGGTTCAACAAGGGACATTCGATGCCGAGCATTCATCAATCTTCGAGAATAGGGGCCGAGGATGGACCCTAGTCAGAGCGGCGTTTGGGGTGGATGCGACTTGCATCGGCGGCTCCCGCTAAACCGAACTCGAGGCACATTGGAGGTCTGCCGGGGTGGGGAGAAGGAGGGTGTTGGCTCCGTCGGAACCGCGAGAGCCCTGCAAAAAAATATACCCCGGACTTACACTGTTCTCTTCGGCCGAGTGTAAACTATTAAGCATTGTTTCTGCGGCCCTTTTACGTTGCGTGTTGGATCGTGTTCGTCCCCGGATTTGCCCCCTCCGTGTTGTGCATTTTGTCATCACTGCTTTAGGAACGAGACTTCAAATGTGCCTGCAAAGCAAGTTCCGTTCCTGGTCTTGATTTTTATACCAGCTTCGGAACTTCCATCCATCCAAACGAGGGACATCCAAACGAGGGGCCCCGATGGCTCTGCGCACACCATCCCCTGAACCGGCCCAGCCCGGGTCGATGAAGCCGAAAGAAAACATCCCTAATCCTCTCTCTGGTGAGAAAAGCACAGGATCGGATGACAGCCCGGTCGAAACTGACTCGCCTGAAGAGGCCGAGTTTAAGGAAGGGGGTTATGGCTGGTTAGACACGGACAAGCGACCCCCTCTATGTGTGTGCCTATGCTAATGTTGTTAACAGGGTGGTTGTCTTCTCAGTCCTGCTCGTTAATGCCCATACTTGGGGTCTGAATTCTTCATATGCCGTCTTCCTCGCGTATTACTTACGGTCTGGCACCATCGACGGTTCATCCCCGCTGGGTTTCGCCTTTGTAGGCGGGCTGTCCATCTCTATCTGTACGTTGCCCCCTTTCCGTTGTCTAAAAGAGACTTTCTGACAGGTACTCGGGCAGCCTTGTTGGTGTCCCCGGTAGCTACCTGGTGCATTGGCCGGTTTGGAACCGCCACAACCTTACGAATTGGCGTTGTACTCGAGGCGTAAGTGTTCCATATTTCACACCCTCAGTGCTACGGCATGCTGACGCTGGGTTGTCTCCTCTCACCAGCATATCCTTTATTGGTGCTTCGTTCTCCACCCATATATGGCACCTCCTCCTCAGCCAGGGCGTGTGCTTTGGCCTGGGGTTGGGTTTCTGCTTCACATCCACGGTCGGTGTCGTCCCACAATGGTTCACCAAACGACGCTCGTTCGCGAACTCTGTAGCCACCTGCGGCTCTGGCTTTGGCGGGCTCACATACGCCCTGGGCACGAATGCCATGATCTCCAACCTCGGTCTGGCTTGGGCGTTTCGTATCTTGGCCATTTTGGCCTTTGTGGTGAACGGCGCATGCAGCTTGGTCCTGCGTGACAGGAATAAGGCGGTCGGTGCCGTTCACATAGCCTTCCACAAGGACCTCTTCAAGCGCCTAGAGTTCTGGCTGTTTGTCGGCTGGGGATTCTTCAGCCTCTTAGGCTATGTCATCGTTGTTTTCTCCATCACCGACTATGCCCAGTCGGTGGGCTTTACTGCAAGCCAGGGATCACTCGCCGCATCCATCTTCAACTGTAAGCCCCATCCTCCTTACCACGAACCATCCCATGTATCCCATGCTAATTACTGTCCGCAATATGTCAGTGTCCCAAGGCATTGGAAGACCCGTTATTGGCCTGGTTAGTGACCGGTTCGGGAGGATCAATGTTGCCGGTATCGGGACTCTGATTGCCGGCATTACCGCCTTTTTCCTGTGGATCTTTGCTGGGAGCCATTTCCCGGGGCTCATCGTGTATGTGCTCTTTGGTGGCTTCGCAGGCGTCATATGGCCCTGCGTTGCCCCCGTTGGAGCTGAAGTTGTCGGTTTGCAGCTATTGCCTTCTGGTGCGTATTGACTTCACCCCCAACTGCTACACCTCTGAGGAACTAACCGGGAGTCCCAGCGTTGTCAATTTATTGGCTTGTTCTAGTTCTACCCGCAACATTGTACGTTACCAATACATCCACCCTTGCTCTCCCAAAGCCAGGCTTGCTAACATCCAATAACAGTGCCGAAGTAATTGCTCTCAGCCTCAAGACCTCAGGCGTTGGCGCCTACCTCAACGTTCAAATCTTTACCGGGTCCATGTATATTGCCTCGTTTGCCTTTGGTAATGCACCCCCTACCCCTACCCCTACCCAGAAACTTCTTTCCTAACAATATCGCCAGTGTGGTTATTGAGAAGCTGGAAAATACAACAGTTGGAACTGTTGGGGCCGGACGAGAAGCAGCAAACGGACGGCAACCAAACCCCTGGCGCTAACGGGGAGGGTTCGAGCGAGCCACGGCACTCTGGGTTACGTGCGTATTTGCATGGCATGACCGTAGTCAAACGGGTTTAGAATCGGATCTAGATAGGCGGGCTTCGCACCGTTCATTATTTTCCACTACACACAAGTCACGAACGATTGCGCTACTTTGGGTGCCCCTAATGATGGGGACCCCGGGATATTCACGGCCTACGTCTCAGAAGCACAAACAATGAGCATTTGTAAAGGTGATAATATACGCGTGTTCGACGAGTTCGGGCGATATGTCACCCACACGGCTGTCATCAGAGTGGTGACCGGGATTATCTGGACAGTTCAATAGCCTTAGCCGCCGCGGCCTCGAAATCGTCGAATGCATAGAGCGGCAAGCCACTTTCAGCAATGAGCTTCTGGCCTTCCTCCTCATTTGTACCCCTGATGCGTACTACAACGGGGGTACTGGGTGACAACTCCTTAAAGGCCATGATGATGCCCCTGGCAATCATATCACCGAGAGTCAGCCCGCCAAAGATATTGACAAAAATCACTCGGACTCTCGGGTCCCGCAGGATGATCTCGAAGCTCTGCTTCACCGTCTCCGACGTCGCCTTGCCCCCCGTGTCGAGGAAGTTGGCGGCATGCCCCCGGAGCGCATCAACAGTGTTCATAGCCAACCCCGCGCCGTTGACGAGGGTGCCGACGGCCCCGGGACCCTCGAGCTTGATGTACACGATGCCGTTCTTCTCAGCTTCGACCTCAGCCGGATCCTCTGCGGCGACATTCCGCAGTTGTTGCAACTCGGCTTGTCGACCGCAGCTGCGGTAAGCAGCATCGTCGAAGCCGAAGCGTGCATTGACAACGGTGAGCTCCCCTAAGCGTTCCACTATAGATGTGGATAGGAAGAATGCCTCCTTGTCGTAGAAAATGGCTGTCAAAACCTTGAGAAGATGGCGGAGAGATTTCACGGCGCTTTCGCTTGAACTCAACTGCAAATGCCTCGCAACTTGCTCAATGATGACCGTGTCGTGGTCGTTGCCATAATCGATGGGATACCGTTCCACGGATCCACTTAGTTTGGCCTCCTCAGCGCTCGGCGAAGCAATTATACACGGAGACCGTGTCGCACGTTCGATACCCAGGGCCAAAAGCTTTCGAGTACCGGGCTCCGATGAACCCACCGTAGCACAGTTAATTCCGCCGGCCTCCCGGAGGAGATCCATGCATTGGCCCTCGGAGATATAAAGGTGTCTCCGTTGCTGTCGGTTCAAGAGCGGCCTCTGTTGCTCTCTATGTTGGGGTCTGTGGGCAACAGTGTGAAATTGGCGGCGCTGAGTCCCCCCGAGAGATCGAATGCCAACTTCTTCTCTCAGCCCCAGCTCGAGGGTCACGGTTCTGGCTCCCAACCTTGCCTTCAGCGCCTCACCGAACTCTGCTGGGTGGCCGACTATGGTCGCGCCTGCAGATTCAAGCGCTGCTATCTTGGCCTTTGCGTCCGGTTCCCCGGCAGTGGTGAAGGCGCCGGCGTGGCCCATGATCCGGCCGGTCGCCTCGGTGATACCCGCAACCAAGGCAACCACAGGTCTGAAAGAAATGTCAGTCTCACTGAAACTGCGACTAAGCTGTGCCTGAACTCACTTTGGTGATTTGGCCCGAGAACGGTACTCGCGTATCCTACCAAACCTTCGTCAGACACGTCATCACGGACGAGCGGATACAGATACAACACATACCAGTCAGCGGCGTCAAACTCACCGCGGCCCCCAATTTCACCAATCAAGGCGATGCCATCTGTCTCTGAGTCATGTTCAAGAACAGACAGTGCCTCTTGGAGATTGGTCCCGGGGACGATATCGCCGCCCACGCCGATGCATAAGCTCTGCCCAAGGCCTGCCCTCGTGGTCGAGGCCACTGCTTCGTAACTCAGCGTTCCGGATTTGGCAACAATACCTATTCGTCCGGGCGTAAAGCACGGCAGCGGTTGGAAACCTACGGCAAGATTAGCACCTACGGGCCAGACTATTAGTCTTGGACGGCAAACCTATCCGACACCTGCCAACCGCAGAGATGATACCAGGCGAGTTGGGCCCAACAAGGCGAGACTTGGATTGCGATTTTAGCACGGAGTGGACCTTGAACTGTTAGAATAGATTATTAAAATACAATTTATATCGGCCACGATGGCCTTGCTTACTCGGAGCATGTCATGCAAGGGGATGTGCTCCGCTACAGCTACGATGAGTGGAACTTCGGCTTCTATAGCCTCTTCAATGGCGGCTGCGGCTTGGTGGGCTGCCACATAGATGGCCGTAGCATCTGGCTTTAGCTGTTCCACCGCCTGTCCATGACAACATTAGCTCTTGGCCGGTTTCCGGGGAAAGAGTAAGAGGGCGGCTGCGCAGACCGATCGGACCGTAGGAAGCACCGGAAGGCCGAGATGCTCCGCAGTACGGCCAGGCGTCACGCCCCCAACAATACGGGTGCCCCAGGCAATGGAGTCTTTGGCATTTACTGTCGCCTTAACCCAGAGTCAGCAGCTGCTCGGAATCACCAGGGAGCAGATGGACCCCGGACCAGCTTTCCAGTAAATCCCTGGAAGATCACACGTGTGTGGTTTCCAATTCGAAGATTTGAAAGCGTATCGGAATAGCTATCAAGTCGGGATGTCGTCCACAGGGACCGGCAACGGCAACGGCCAGATGGCGAGCCCGACGTCCTGAGTCGCACCCTGGATCCATATCGACGCAGGCGGGAACCCTGATGCATTTCGGACGCGTATGACACTCGGGCGTTGTTGGGCCAGCTGGCTGAGGAGGGGAGAGAGTTTGAATGTGGATGAGCGCCTTTGCTGCCCGAGAAGCCGAGCCGAGAGCCAGTCTACTTGCCTGGCGTGGCTGGCTGCTGAGCCCAGACCGACTCGATCCTTGGGTACCTATTCGTACTTGGGAGACATGTGGTGCTCGACCCCACATCGTTAACACCAACACCCCAGAGCTGCAAGTGGGGTGTCCCGCCAAATCACCAACGGAGCTCTCCTTTGACCCCTGCCTCGCTGCCAGCACTTTGCTTTGCTGGTGCTTCTTGGCTTTTTGCCTTGAAGCCCAAATTCTTGAAGTCGTCCCGGGCCATCAAGTTGCTAAACACCTAGCAGTTAGTTTACCTGAAGCCACAAGAATAATAAAACGTGTATAAAATCCGGAAAACGCACTGGTCCATCCGGCAACCTAGGTAAGATTTGGCGAGCATCCGGCACTCGTCGTCGTTCATCCCCTTCACCTTTTTCATGCAGCTCAGGTAGGACATCATTACATGCTTGCACTCTCCTAAATCGAAATGAGTAAGCTGCCATCTCACGGAAGGTCATCGCACTTACCGTCATGGTCTAGCGGAAAGCTTCCTCTCTGCGGCCTTGAACGAAAGGGTATTGTCAACAAGGGACGGCAATCGTCTATTCGCTCGAGATTCGGGAACTTACGGGATGGGCCGTGTTGAGGGCAACGGGCCTGGGCTCCCGAAGGTGCTCATACTGTATGTACTGTTCTTGCCCGATGTTCTGAAGGATCAATTCGGACTTTTAAAACCTTCTTCGTACTGTCGCAATTCCGGGTTGAGTGCTGCTGTCCTGGTGTGCCTGCCTGGCGAGAGAGACGAAAAAGAAATCTAGATCACCTGACCCGAGATCGACTTTGGTGAGGTCGAACGATTGCCCAAACCCAACTGAGGTCGTCGAAAACTCGTGAAATGTACAGAAACAAAGATAAACACCGTTTCCGGGTTAGGCGAACAGAAACGGAGTGAGGGGGCAAATAGCGTTCAATTGTTGATGTTTTGAATGTTGAGTTGCCCTTTCCGGGTCCGGCAGCTTTTCGTGAAATGCATGAATACCTGGGCTGATCGAGGTCCCCACAGTGTGAACATTCCATCTCAAGCCTTAGGCCGCAAGATGTGCCAACCAGGGGGCCGAGTGAGTCGACCATGGTGGGGCTGCCTCTGACGCGCGCTCTGCTATGCATTGAGCCCTGAAATTGATCGATGCAGGCTTGAGTGGCCAGGCCGTCTGTGCTTCAAACTTTCCAGCGAATCCATACCCGGTTCAGCTACTCCGCCGGGAGATTTGAGTTTTGTCGAGCTTCGGCTTCCATTATTGAAAACCACAAGATCGACGGACGGGATCGTTCCGCTTGCTTTCACTTCCCTCGTCAGAAAGCCACGACCAGGCGTCGGCTACCCGATTTTCTTCACCTTCTTCCCTCTCGGCCGGACCTCCTCCACTTCTGCGCCGCCTCGCCGCCTACTTGAGCTCGACATACCCTTTTATCGGCGCATACTTATACCAGACACAGGTCATTGCCCAACCCGCAACCGCTGCCATGGCTGCGCTCGGCGACGACTTGCTGGGGACCGTCAACAAGTTGCAGGACCTTGTCTTCAACACTATTGGCAATGACTCCCTAGATCTCCCACAGATTGTATGCACCACCCCCCGCCACCACCACCCCGTCCGACCCCGCGCCACATATTTTAGCTTGGGCTTTCTGACAGTATTTGCGTTCTACAGGTTGTTGTTGGGTCCCAGTCCGCGGGCAAGTCGTCTGTTCTCGAGAACATTGTCGGCCGGGATTTCCTCCCCCGTGGCAGCGGCATTGTCACTCGACGGCCCCTCATCCTACAGCTTATCAATGTGCCCGACGACGACGGTGGAGATGACCCGAATGCCCGCTACCGGAGCCCGACTCAGGCCGCCCCTAACGAGTGGGCTGAATTTCACCACATCCCCAACCGCCGGTTCAATGACTTTGGCGATGTCAAGCGGGAGATCGAGAACGAGACCTCGAGGGTGGCGGGGAACAACAAGGGCATCAATCGCCAGGCCATCAACCTGAAGATATTTTCCCCAAACGTCTTGAACCTGACCCTTGTTGACTTGCCGGGTCTCACAAAGGTCAGTCCCAGAGTGTTGTTTGGTACTTGATGGTGGTCTAACCAGCGCCCCGCAGGTGCCCATTGGAGACCAACCGACGGACATCGAAAAGCAGACACGCAACCTAATCTCCGAGTACATTGCGAAACCTAATAGCATTGTCCTGGCTGTCTCACCCGCAAATGTCGACATCGTCAACTCGGAGGCTCTGAAGCTTGCCCGGCACGTCGATCCTCTGGGACGGAGGACGATCGGTGTGCTGACCAAGGTCGACTTGATGGATCACGGCACCAACGCTCTTGACATCCTATCCGGGCGCGTCTACCCTCTGAAACTAGGTTGGATCGGCGTGGTGAACCGGTCGCAGCAAGATATCCAAGGCAACAAACCCATGGAAGATGCGTTGAAGTCCGAGTCCGACTTCTTCAGACATCACCCGGCTTATAGGAACATCGCGACCCGTTGTGGCACGCGCTTCCTCGCCAAGACGCTCAACACCACCCTAATGGCTCACATTCGAGACCGTCTTCCCGATATCAAGGCCCGCTTAAATACCCTCATGGGGCAAACCCAACAGGAGCTTGCCAGCTACGGAGACATGCATTTTAGCGGGAAGGAGCATCGCGGCTCACTTATCCTGCAACTCATGACCCGTTTTGCGACATCCTTCATATCCTCCATTGATGGCACTTCAACGGAAATCTCGACAAAAGAACTCTGCGGAGGCGCCCGCATCTATTACATCTTCAACTCCGTCTTTGGGAGCTCGCTGGAATCGATCGACCCTACTTCGAACCTCTCTGTCCTCGACATCCGGACGGCCATCCGCAACTCGACAGGCCCGCGCCCGAGTCTGTTTGTCCCTGAGATGGCTTTTGAATTGCTTGTTAAGCCCCAGATTAAGCTCCTCGAGGTCCCGAGTCAACGGTGCGTTGAGCTAGTGTATGAAGAGCTCATCAAGATCTGCCATACCTGCGGCTCCACCGAACTCTCGCGGTTTCCTAGGATGCAGGCCAAGCTCATCGAGGTCGTCTCGGACCTCCTTAGGGAGCGGCTCGGCCCCGCGTCTGGCTACGTCGAGTCGCTCATATCCATTCAGCGTGCGTACATCAATACCAACCATCCCAACTTCCTCGGCGCTGCTGCTGCTATGAGTCACGTCGTGACCAATAAGCAAGAGCGGGAGAGGAAGCGCCTGATACAAGAGGAACGGGAACGGCGAGAGCGGAGGCGGATGAAGGAGCTTGGCGCCAATGGCGTCGACACTCCCGCCGAGGAGGAAGATGAGAATGCCGTAACGGAGAGGGGCGATAACGTCGCGGTACGGAAAGCGCCCGGAAAGGCCTCACGCAGCGACTCGCCAGCCGTTCGGGATCGGTCTACCAGCGGCATCGCTGCTGCCCTCAACGGGGTCCGATCCGCGTCCCCCTCTCCGTTCAACGGGCAGGGTGTGGGCGGCGCTAAGGACTCGTTCCTGAACTACTTCTTCGGTAAGGACGGCGCCATCGTGCCAGGCGCTCCGCCGCCGAATTCAAATATCGGCCGCCACGTGACCCACTCCATCGAGCCGAGCTTCAGCCAAAGTATGAGGCGACAGGACGAGAAAGCTTTGCGGTCTCCGCCGCCAGCGCCCATCCGGGTGGACGATGCCCTTGATTTCACAGGAGGGTCCAAGGGAACGGACCTTGTAAGTTCAATTCTCGTGCAGTGTCTTCCACTTTTCGTGTCTAGTCAAAGCTAACCAACCACCCAGGTTAACAACGGCGACCCGGCCATGACCGACCGCGAGGCTATGGAGACAGAGTTGATCCGAGCGCTGATTAGCTCCTACTTCAACATTGTCCGTGAGAGCATTGCCGATCAAGTGCCCAAGGCAATCATGCACCTTTTGGTCAACCACTGCAAGGACGTTGTCCAGAACCGGCTCGTGAGCGAGTTGTACAGGGAGACCCTCTTCGAGGAGCTTCTTTACGAGGATGATGCGGTGAAGAAGGACCGTGAGAAGTGCGAGAAGCTGCTCGAGACGTACCGAGAGGCCGCCAAGATCATCGGCGAGGTTGTATAGATAGCCCCAGCTTGTTGATATTAAGAACAGTGGACTGATTTCGGGGGTTCTCGGTGTTGCTGTACCGTACACGAGTCTAGCTAGCCCTGGGCCTGGGCGAAGGATGGCCATATATGTTGTTGGTGTTTGGGCGCTGGGTTTTGGACCTCTCTCTTAGTCGGAGCGGGCCTTCGCGGCCGCTGAGGAGGCTAGTCTTGTATAACATCAGAAGTCATAGCCGGGCAGGGATGGAGGAACAGCTGCGCCTGAGGACCGCCATGTCATGGGCCTCGACAGGAGCAGCCACGGCTTTGTTGCCGTTACTCCCTCGATCTAAGCTGTAAATACATAAGGACCACAATCTTCCCCTCAATAGTTGCGTTATTAGACACGGTTTATCTCCTAGATCGGACCTCGCATTCATCGTAATTTAAAGAGATCTCAATTTAAAACCACCGGTTGTATTCGTTGGGTTGTGGGATTTGGCGTTCACGTTGGGGGTTATGGATCTTGCCTCGACCGCTGTGTTTTTAGTGCGTCAGTTCCTGGGGCGGTAATGATCAGCACTAAACGAGGTCTCCCTTCCTCCACTACACAGCTTACCTAATACCGCACTTGCCCCCCGGGCCAGCTCCAGGTTGCTTGAAAGTCATTCTTTCCCTAAACTCCATCACTGGGTTTTCTCACTGACCGATGTCAGCTATTTGTTGTTCTTTGTGACGCGTCCTCGCCCATCTCCGCCTTCGTCCTAAATTCTACACTGCACGCTATTTGGTGCGCAATTGCTTGACTGACCGGCCACACCAGGGTGCCACCTCACGACTCGTCCTGCGTTTATTCCGGACCGCGACTTTCAAAAGTCCTCAGCTTTTGGTCCAGCGGCGCACTGGGGGTGTTCCACTTCCCACAACACCAGCACAGCAAGCTGATCGGATTTTTCTTCCTTCATTGACACTGGGCCTAGCTGCCAGTCAAGTTTTCTATTGGCTCCTATACCCACAGATAGGAGGTTCTTGGAGACAACGGTCACATCCCTAGCCGTTGTCCATCGATTCCTACTTCCCTTTTCTTGACAAGTGTTATACCCGCTTCATTCCTGTAACACTGCCACCATTTTGTTCGATACACTGGTGCGGTGTTTTCTTTTCTGTTTTTTTTTTTTTCTTTTCCTACTCTTTCATTCCCACCGGCCGTACCTTCCCGCCTCATGCCCCAAGACGCGCATCCGAGCGGCGCGGACAATGACCAGACACCAGCGACCGTTCTTGCGATGGGTCGGGTAAAGGGCGGCGGCGGAGTGGGCTTCGGCCGGGACATGGCGAATGATGCACACGTCGGCGGATCTAGCGCGACTGACGGCCCGTTTGTGGTCGGGAAAAAGCGCAAGTCGCCCGACCGTGATGTTGGGTCTGGCCTCGCCGAGGCGACAAGTCGTTGGCCAGGTCGTGACCCCAAGAAGATCAAGCTACCGGGCGACCACGCAAATCTGGGGGCCCTATCAGTCTCAACGCCAGGAAACCTCCCGGGTCCAGACTGGTCTCTTTTACCTCGGGAGGTATGGCACTATGTTCTTACCTACTGTCCGCCCAAGTCGTTGGGAAAGTTGCTGGCTGTCAACAAGCGGTTCAATGTCTACCTTGATCCCGCCTCGCCGGTTCACGCAGACCTTCCTTCTGTGACCCACGGCGCACTCAGGCCCATGGAACCCAATGCCATCTGGCAAGCTTCGCGGCGGCTCTTCTGGCCACAGATGCCTGCGCCTCTACGGTCCAGCCCTGAGCTTGATATGTGGCGGCTTGCATGCTCTCCTAGGTGCCAAGCCTGCGGTAGGGTTAACGCCCGGGGCCAGACTGCTCAGAATCCCCTCCATCCTGGCCCGGGCACTGATGGTGTGGCTGTCATTTGGGCCTTTGGCAGTCGAATGTGCTCGGCTTGTCTTTTGAAGAGCTCTGACAAGGTTTGTAAACTACTCGGAACGGTGAAGAAGTGATGGTGCTTGCCAGTGTCTAACTAACCTTGGGTAGGAGGTCGACCTGCAAATATCGCCGTCTATCCCCTCTGCCATCATCCCCGCACTTCCCTTCGTCTTCCTCACGCAAGATCGCGATGTTTTTACGGCTACTATGCTCGAAGCAAATCAGATACCCGCGGATCTGGAAGTTACCAAACTCTTCTCAAAGTCGGACGTCCAAGCTCTCCAGGAGGAGTTCCTCCAGGTCAAAGATATGGGTCAAGGAACTGTGAGCGAATGGCTTAAGGGCCTTCCCGGCCGGGGTAGCGACATCCAGCACGACGCATCAAAATGGGAGAAATGGGAATCATCTGGCGGTCTTGCGAAGATGTGCTCACTCCTCCACCCGGGATATGAAGCACAGGCTCCGATGACCCAAAAGCCATCGACAAACACAATCCCTACCACATTGGCCTCCCAGGGGCGCCAGGAACGGACTGCCGAGCAAGCTGCGGAGCTGAAGGCGGCTAGAAAGGCGGAAATTGAGCGACGGTCTTTGCTGTTGGATCCGCCGCTGAGCGCTGAGGTCCTTGGCCGCATCCCTGCTTTTCAGGCCGCTACGCACATCGTTGCGCGGCTGGATGACGAGGCTTGGGAGCGGCTCAAACCACGACTGTTAGCACAGCGAGCTGACGCAGAAAAGACATTACAGAGTGAGCCCAAATCCGAGCCCACGGACGGGCAACCGAACCTCGACACAACCACTCTAGCCACGGATAAGGAGGCTCGCGACCGTGTTGACAAGCATTGGGAGGTGGCGCAGGCCCCCCTGCGCGTGAGAATTGCCAACTACGCAGACGAAGTCATCCGGGACAGCTGGGGCAAAGGCAAAAAAGTCACAAGAGAGAGCTGCTCACGATTTGCAGTCGACTCACTCATTTACGTTCGGGCGAGATTCTACGCCGAAGTCGCTAAGGATGCCGCTACTGCAAAGGCAGCTGGCAAATCGCCTCCCTTGGACCCTCCAGAGGGTCCTTTCACCCAGAAGTTAACATTGGAAAACATGAAGTGGATCTTTGACTCGAAGTTCAAGCCGCACACTGAGCCGTTACGCAAGGAGCTCTTCTATTGCAATGGTTGCGAGGGGAACTACAAGTCGTTCGGCTTCGAGGGCGTCATCCAGCATTACGCAGCGAAACACACGAGCACCCTCAGCCGAGGGAGCATTGTTGTTCACTGGAGGGCCGAATGGCCGGAGCACCCGCCCTTCAGCGCAACAGCCCGATCCGCCAAATCCTCCTCTCACCCTCGCGCCCCGGGTGGCTTTACCGTCAACGGAGGTGCACCTTTACCCCCCAACTACTCTTATCAAACACCGGGAACCGTGCCCGCTCCCCTGGGTCCCGGTTATCCATACGGATACACTCCACCAACGTATAGTGGTCATTATCAACCGCCTCCACTGCCGCAACCCACTGCTGCTGCTCCGTTTGTGCCGGCGGCTAGCTATGAGCAACAACCGCCCTATGTGGCCCCAGCTGCCGCTTACCCCGCTTATCCTCCCCCCGGCCTTCCCTATACTGGCCCAGCCGTTGAACCACCACCAAACCATGCGCCTCCTCGCATCGGGCACTACGATTATCAGTATGGACCGTACCAGGCGAATGGCATTCAACACACCTCAGCCCAGCCCTCGACCTACCCAGGTCTCGGTCAGACCCAGGTAGACGACATTGCGCGGAACTCCCGCGAGGTGTGGCGGGTCTTAAGTGATATCCGAGATCTCCCCGGCAACGTGAAGGTTTCGGTGACAATCCACCATCTAGTTAAGAGGTTCCAGTCTCGGTTTTACGAAACGCCGCCGCTATCGATGTTCATAGACGGCTTGTCCAATAACAAAGAGATGCGTCCTGTTCGCAACGTCAACGGGCTCGTTTGCAAGGCCTGTCACTTGGGACTCGGCAACGCTGTTTCGGTGGAGCAAGATAGGAAGAACTTCTCACTACCACAGCTCGCGAACCATTTTCAGTCCAGGCACATCGAGCCGATGCAGAGCTTACAGGCGGCCGCCGAACCTTTGGATTGGGTTACCGACATGGTTTTGGTTCCCAATCTTGCCCTCCTCCCAAGCATCGCTTCGTCGGCTAACGAGCCTCAGAAAGCGCTGCTCTCGGCCGCATTTCCGACTGCGTTTGAGCCGCCGCCGCCCCCCGCCACCGACCAGCTCCAGTCACAAAGCGGTCAAGGCGGACAGATTTCCAATGAGGCACATCCCACTAGCACAGCGGATGCTTGGAGAGGACCATTAGCAACCGGAAGCCACTTGGGTCGCTCTACTGCCATGGATCCTGTAAAAGCTAGCCTCTTCTCCGGCTATCGCACCCCGGGCGAGTCATCCCACAGCACGATTCCGACAACTCTTTTAGAGAACGAGCATCGAGTAGCACACAATGCTGGTGACCGGTACTCGCCGCACGGATCACGACTTGGCTGGGGACAAGGTGGATTGCATAACGACGAAAAGGTGGCGAACGAAAAGAGAGAAGGGAGGGATTCTCAAAACGGGGATGATTCCGGCGACGAGGATTTCGGAAAACATTTCAAAAATTTCAAAAACGGCCAGGAGAAAAAGGCGCGCAACAAGAAGAAAAAGCTCGAGGAGAAAAGGGCACGCAGGGAGAAAAGACTGGCTGCATGGAAAGAGAAAAGAGCTCACGGGGAGCAGAAATCCCGTGAGGGGAAAGGGGTTCGCGAGGAAGCAGATGTGCGCACCATGCGCGCCACAACCCGGGCCGCAACCCAGTTGGCGCAGTCGTCCTTCGGCGTACTTGAAGGGGTTAAGACGGGAGCTGCACCTCAAAGCCAGGCCCCAGCACAGCAAAATGCTCAGGCGTCACAGCAGATTGGGGAGAGCTCCTCGAATAAGGAGCAAGAACCCGGATCGTATTTCGATCAGAGGCCGATACCTCAGTCCCAAGGCCAACAAGCGACATCAAACCCTACATTGTACGCGAACAATGGCCCCTCGGAAGTCCCCCCAGCCTTCCGGACTAGCCGAGGAACGCATGACCAGCATGGTGATAGGGAGGCCTGGGCACGACATTTCCTCCCAGCTGACGAGCGACAAGCCGATCCTGTGTATTACTCCAGACCAGCACCAGTGGAGAGTCCACGGGACGCCTATGGGCCCCAGCGGATACAGGCCGGCTACCCCGGCCCATTGCCGGGCTATGCCCAAGAAGAACGCCTCGGCCCACCGGCCCCTCGGACTGAAGGCGGCATTCACGGGACATCGCTTCCAGAAGCAGACTACCGCCGGTATCGCGACGATGTGCACATGGCTCCACGACCGCCGGTCGAGGCATATGAGATTGTACACGTCATCGACGAGCACGGGGAATACTATATCCGTCGGCCAGCGCGGCGCGAGCCGGATTCGCGGTATCTGTATGAAGAGCGGAGGATCCGCCACGATGCTGGCCCCTACCCTACCCGCGAGCATTTGTACGATCATGTTTCCCGGCCAGGTTTGGTCCCAGAGGGGTACCGCGGGAGCGTGGCTTCAGACAGCCGGCCAGGTAACCGACGGGCTGACCCGGGCTACCATGAGGAGTATGACCCCCGGTTTCCGGCTGCCTGAAAAAGTCTCAGTCGTGCGTGTGATGGCAACTTTTTCGCCACTCGCTGTTTCGGGGCGAAAGCAGTTACTGTGTAGTTATTTGTTCAGGGGAAGATTCTCAACCCCGTGTATTTATTCTGTTGACCACAAATACCCTTGTAGCCAAGTGATCCTCCAAACTGGGGGCACAAGATAGTTAATATCTCGGGTGTGTTTTTGACGTCAGCGCAGTGCAGCGCGAGGCACTCATGGCTCCCCACCGGTTACTTTGCTACGTCTCACCCCCAGCTTGGGGTAGTTATTTGTTTCCTTTCATCTCAAAAAGCAAAATGGTCGAGGTCCAAATAAGCATTCTTGGCTCTCGGCGCCCGTGCCACTCCCGCAGCTCCGCCGCTCCCCGGATCTTTTGGTTTCCCCCACAGAAGAGAACAAACGAAAGATGGGTTGGTGATGGGCCGCGTGGGGGATGGGCCTGGCTGAGGGCAGCACTTGTGACAACTTGGCGCAAGGGTGCGACGATCATCCAATCCTCTGGTGTTCAAATGCCCTTTTTGGGCGCGCAACCGCCGCAAAGTGACCCTGTATCCGACCATGTCAACCCGCCGAATGGCCAACCCCCAGACGACCCCAACCGCTGCGAGAAACAGGGGCAGCCAATCAATCGCAGACCTCTCATGAAACAGACAACAGCTCAGGGGTAACGGTAAGCTGATATTCAACCCCACCACACGTCCGAGCCAATCCGCGCCTTGGCATCGCTTTGCTTCAAAACTGGCCATGTGGGTTTGGACGCGGTGAGAGGGAGGGAGGACGGCCGTTGATGGAGCCATTGCCACTCCGTCAGGGGGTTCGTCTGTTCCCAGGCAGCCGTTGAATTTGTGTATATATTATAACTATGGCCATGTCGTCGTCAGATGTTTAGTCCCCGTGCCACAGACAGTCTCCCATTCTTTGTACTCTCTCTTTCCTTCAACCGCGCTCACAGAGTCACACGTTGGTTGATCCAGCACACTCGCGCCAGTCATTCCTTGATCAAACACTTATATATACATACAACGCCGAGTTGACCTTTGCAACATCTTCCTCCTTCCTTTCCAAGCACTCACCACAACCAATACTACCCCCCCCCACCAAACAAGTCAACATGCGCGCCCAACACCTCTCCACCCTCCTCTTCACCACCCTCGCGGCCGCCTCCCCGCTCGCAGTCCGCCAAGCCGCCACGGCCACTGCAATGGCTCCCGGCGCCGGCGCCACACCCGGGTCTGGCAGCGGCGGATCCGGCGGCGGATCCGGCGGCGGTGGTGGCGGCGGATCCAAGGTCGACGCGGCGGCCATCATGGCCGTCATGCCGCAGTCGAGCTCGTGCGACGGCGCCGACTTCCCCGACGAGTGCCGCACCGCGGAGCAGGCGGCGCCCTTCATCTCCAAGGCGTGCGCGGATTTGAGTGATGGGGAGTGCGCGGCCACGGTGGCGCTGATGGGATTGGAGAGTGTGGATATGCGGTTTAAGCATAATGTTAGCCCGGGGAGGCCGGGGCAGGGGACGGCGAATATGATGATGGCGGATGTGAGTATCCTTCCTTTTACTGAGTTATGGGTTGTGGCTAATGGTTGTTTTGTAGTTCACCAAGGAGTATGCCACGGAGCTGTTTGGCGCCGAGAAGGTCACGGGCAAGTCGCCTGACGAGATCCTGGCTATGCTCATGCCGGACGAGTACAACTTTGGCTCGGCCGCCTGGTTCTTGATGACCAAGTGCGCTGATGTGCGTGAGACGCTCAAGGCTGGCACCGATGAGGGCTGGTCCGCGTATAACGAGTGCATTGGTGTCGATGGCACGCTGCCGGACCGCATGAAGTACTGGACTGCGGCGAAGGAGGCATTTGGGCTTTAGGGTTGGGTTGAGCTTTACTTTGGGCTCAGGTTGGGGCTTAGGTTTGGGTTTGGGTGGTTTGGTTCATTTGCATGCATGGTAGAGGGTGCGTCGTTCGTTCAGTTCCCTTCGTTTTCTTCTGGTTTTAGACGCTTTGCATTCCATATCTTCCCGTTCTAGACATCAGTTGCATTCCATTTCTTGTGTGCAAAAATAAACGATGTATGATGGACGGGATGTTGCTATGCCTCGCTCCTCGTTACATCCATAAAGTTCCGTGTAAGCATCAGGACCAGCACCCGCCCTTAAACTTGTCAGCTTCGAGTGCCGGCCGTTAAAGTTGAGCAAGCGCGGTCCGGGTCGGGACCTCTCCTCGATAATCGAGAACCGTGTTGCTGTTTTCCCGCTCTTGGGCGACGAAACATTGCCAATCCTGCCATGTGCACCAGTATTAGTTTTATACCTGCCCAGAGCGGGAGGAGGGTGTGTTAGTTGTCACTTACATGTTGACCGCGTCAGCTCGTCGCAGACACCGCTATCAGAGAGACGGGCCTTAGGGTACAGGACGACTGGGAGACCATCGGCAAGGGTTATGGCGAGACCGCCTCCCGAGTCCGTGGTGTACGTGGTGCAGCCCATGACATCAACAAGCGCCTGGTCGGCCTCGAAGCCGGTCGCAGACGAAGGAAGGGTGACCTCGGCAGAAGCGGAGGCCCCGACGTTGGTGAATACGCCCACCACCTGGGCGCCGGGCTGTCCCTTGCGCATGGCGATGGTGTGGCTGTCCGAGTGGATGGGGTGGGCCTTGTACGAGAGATAGCCGTCGTCTTGGGCGATGGCTTGGTTCCGGATCTGGTTGAGTTTGGCAATCCAAGTGTACAACTCGGAGGTCTCCGAATAACCGGAGGACCAGAGTGCTTCCCGATTATGAGGTGTACCCGAGCCGGCGTAGTGTTGTTCTTGGCCTTGGTAGACGATTGGGATACCTGTCCACGGGCGGTTAGACTATATCATGTCCACGGAGAGAGCGGAAACGGGAACGTTACCGTCTTTGAGCATCGTAAACGCGATGGCCTACGTCGATGAGTAACACCCTCTACGTCAGCATTTAAAAAATAGATCTCGCCATGTAACTGCACTCACATTCTTTACTAGTGCCTGCCCAGGAAGTGTCCGGTTAGCATTGCTGAGTACACAAATTCAGAGTGACTTCGGCATAAAACTCACCTTGTCCTGCGTGAAAGAAGGGAACCGCTCGATGTCGTGGTTCTCCAAAAAGGAGCCATACAAACTGAGATCCTGAGCCACGCCACGCAGTGTGTCGAGGCCGGAAACAAGCTCGCTGATGCTTCCGCTAGGTGATTGGAATGCATTGAGCACCCAGTAGTAACTAGACCAAGGAATCAGAACCTTACACCAACAATGTGATGAGGAGCGCCCCCTCTCCCTTACCTAGCATAATCCGTCACGCCATCAAAGTATTGCTGGTAAGGCGCCACGTACAGCGGGTCGCCGTGGAAGACTTCGCCTAGAAGATACACACCCGCTGCATCCGAGAAGCCCGACCAGAAGGACGTCTCGACGTGTTTTGCGCTATCGACTCGCAGGCCGTCACTGTCCGCCGAGGGTGTGAGACTCGGAGGATATCTCACCAAGAGATAGGTTGACTTACATGCTGTACTTGGAAACCATCTCCGCCACCCACTCGTTCCAGATACTTCGCACAGAATCGCTGTAACAGTGACGCTTAGTTACCAACGGGTTGGGATATGGCTTTCCTAGGAGACGCTCTTACTCTTCAGTGCGCAAGTCCGGGAGACTGAGATCCAGTTAGTCTAGAGAAACAGATAGGGGATGCAAAGACCTGAGTTTAACGCAACCTACCTGACAACGTCACTGCCTTGCCAACACCTAGAACTGTGTCAGCCATACGAAATTTACCCGCCTTGCCAAGCGATGTGTACGCACACCTCGACCGAGGTCTGACTATCGTAGTCAATGGAGCAAGAGGTGTGGAAATACGAGGCCTGCGATCACCACGAATCAGTCAATAACCCACACCCACACCCACAGACCCAAGTAGCAACAGGTCAAAACATACCGATGAGAAGGGGTTAAACTGGCTATAGTCGACGCAAGTCCCGCAGCCCATGTACGCCATGTGGTTGGTCACGATATCGACCATGAGATACTAGGTGGCAGAACCACACATCAGCACACAACCAAGAACAGCCAGCACGGTACATCCAGGACTCACCATGCCCCGAGCATGCAGCTCCGCCGACAGCTCAACCAAATCAGCCTCTTCCCCAAACGCCGCGTTCAGCGCCCAGATATCCTGCGCCCAATACCCATGATACGACGAGCTACACCCAACCACCCACCAGTCAGTCAGACAGTCAGTCAGCCAAGAACCCCCCCAAAACACTACCTCCCTAGGTAGCTACTTAGGTACTCACCCATCCCTCGAATTCCCCTCCACCTGCCTCACCACCGGCGAGATCCACACCGCCGTAAACCCCATCCCCTGGATATAATCCAACTTGGCAATCAGCCCCCGCCAGGTGCCGCCGCAATAGACCTGCTCGGCCGGGTCACACGGCGCCGTGGTGGAGAGGTCGGTGCGGGCGAAGCGGTCCGTCACGACCTGGTAGACGGACTGGGAGCGCCATTCGGCGGCGGACAGGGCCGAGGCGGTGGGGATGGCCCAGAGGGCGAAGGCTGCTGCTAGGGAGGGTAGACGCATCGCGGTTGGAGTGGGGGCTTGTTTGGCGTCGTGAATGTGGTGAGGGACGGGGTGGTGGCCTACTTGAGGGACTGCGCTTGAGAGCGTGCCCTTCATATAGTGAACATCATCATGAGGTGCCAATGTTCATCGAGTGCAGGCGTGTCGGAGCCTCCGCCACCCCAGAGTATCGAGACGGACACATCGACGGCTATGAGGTAGGTAGACAAGGCAGGATTAGCAAACGTGCAGCTCTCTACTCGAGTCGGGCCGTCCAGATACAACCCTAGTGCTTTCACATGCTAGGTGTTAGCGAGCAAGGGCCGGTGTTACAATGTGTGCCTACGGGTAACTTCCGAAACAGGCAATGTCACTCCGTGAACCGCGCCGGCAATCACCCCGCTCCCCGCAATCGTCGAACGCTCCGGGGAACCAAGTGCCGTCCGGGGCCCCGCAGAAGCGCACTGGGTGGTATAGAAGGGCCGAATGCACCCGCGAGATCTTCAGGGCAGCCGCTTTGGGAGGGCAGCCTCCTGGCGCGCGTTCCGAACATCATGATTGACGTGGTGCAGAGAGCTGTTGCCCCATAATTACAATGAGGACGGGGCTACGTAGAAGGAATCCGCTGCGGAGGTGAGTGAGAAGGGGTTGTTTGAGTATTTTGATATACACGCCGGGGACGAACCACATCCCAAATCGGAGGTTACCCAGGTCCTTCCCGGCCCCTCCTGCGGCCTCTCTACCCTTCCCTCCAGGCTGATACCAAGTCCCCTATCATACCACCTCCAACCTTTCAGCTTGGCCCCGTCGGATCCATGTTATAGGGGAACGGAACCCCATCGTGCGGCCTCTGTTGCTGCGACTGTTCCGAACCGCCAGGGAAGAACTGCAAAGACTCGCCGCCCCAGTTTGCAGTTTGGGTAAAGTTTTCAAACGATTCCTAGAGACAACTGGTTAGCAGGGAACGGGAAACGGACGCAAGCCAGGGCATAATGGTATAGACGAGCACTCACCCAGTCGAAGTTGTTGTCTGAAAAGTCCAGGGTACTGCTCGCCATGTTATCGAACATGCTCAGCGGTGACTGCACGCTGTCGAAACCCATCATGGGGTTGGAGAAATCCGGTGCTGTAGCACTCCCCATCCCCGTGCTTGTACCCGACCCGGTCCCGGGACTCACGCCTGAAATCCCTACGTCTAGGCCCAGGCTGGGGGCGCCGAAACTCATGCCCATGGAGGGCTGGACGCTATTGAAGACCGCCGAGGGCCCTGACATCGCCGGACCTGAAGGCATGCCTCGCCCGACAGCCTCCAGATGTTCTGGCCGCAAACCTGCCGAGTCTCCGGATCCACGAGGCCCCGAAGCACGCGACGTCCCCGGCGAACTTGTCGGCCCGTCCGCCCCCCCGAGGCTCTTGATCTTGATCAACATGATCTCGAGGATGTTAGAGGCCTTGAGCGCCTCGATCGAGACGTCGGACAGTCCCTTCCATATGTCCCTTGTCCGCTCGAGGCTGCTGATCATCTCCTGGCGCTGCTCTCTTGTCCAGAAATCCGAGCCTTGGGCGTTGTGCTGCCCCGCCGGATCCCGGCTCGCGTTGTCGAAATGCAGATCCGCAACGACCAGCATGGCGGGGAGGAGGAAGTCCTTGGTTGTGACCGATGTGAAGAACCATTTGATCGAATGCAATAGCCCGTTGGGTTGCGACTCCCTATGCAGGGTCGCCAGGTGCCGTAGCGTCTCCAAGGACGCCTCGATGGCGGTGCGCCGCGAGTGGGCATACCTGGGGTTGTGTCTCGCTCGCGGTATGTATTTCCTATGAAGCACGCACATGATCTTGAGGTAGAGAATATCCAGGTGGAATCGGGCCATGACCGACGTCAGCGGATCGGAGGCATCGAGCGGCTGCATCCTCAAGTGAGGAGGGAGCTCAGCCCGGATGTCTCGCAGCTTCGCATCAAACCGGAGGATATCGTCGTAATGCACCTGGTCCTTTACCCGGCCTGTGGCCTGTATGATGATACCGAGATGATTGCACAGCTTGACTTTGGACACCATGTAGCTTACCGGTGTCGCCTCGGTGTTGGGTCTGGAGGGCGGCAACACTTTTGAGTCTGGTCCGAACTCCTCATCGTAGATGTTGTGGGGCAACTCGGTGTCACAGTCGTGTTCCGAGATCATGCTCGGCAGGGATAGATGGTGCGAAAAGAAGATGTCCATCATCCTCACGAAGGCCCAGGTCCTGCGTCTCATTTCCTAAAATCCAGACGACGTCCGCAGTGAGAAACAATGTTCGTACGAAGGGTCAGGGGTTCACAGAACAAGGGGGTAACGTACCGCCTCAAACGGGGTGAGCGTTGGGAACCACTTGCCGTCCCGGTGGTAGCCCATCCTCAGAGCGACCCTCACTACCGCGGATACAATGATCCATATGCCCAAATCGGCGTCCCAACGAGTGGCATACTCGCAGAAGCTATATAGCATCATGGCCTCGACAGTGAATTGCGCCGGTCTCGTATAGTCGCCGACATTTAAGCACTGCACCGTTCTCAACCGGTACTCATGCGCCAACTCGAGCACCCTACCCTTCCACTCGGGCGGTTCGTCTCCGACCTTGTGGTAGCTCGTCAGTGCCAGACACATGACAGCATACAACAAGGCCAGCCACATGATGGGCGTCTTAGACGGGTCCCGCCAGTGGTCTCGAAGCTGCTGCTGGAACGACGGGGCGTGCAGAATGTTGGCCGCGTTATCCATGGAATTGAAGTACCTCGCGCACAATGCGAGCACCGTCGACTTGGGCGGCAACTCTGCCCGAAGCTCGATCTCGGTCGCAGGAGCAACACCCATGAGTAGAGACGGCGGTTGACTGGCCTGCGCGGGCTTCGCTAGCCGGATTTTCTCATAGCTTGTCTCCAGGTCTTTCTTGTGGCTCGCAAAGTAGTTCTTGACCTCGGCAATATCGCTCAAGATGGTGTGCCAATGCTCCTCCCCAAGATACACATGTTTCGACCGAACCGGATCCATCTTCAGGACTCCGAGGGACTTGGCGAGCCCCTCGTCAATGTCGCTTTCGTCATCATCCTGCATCGCGCCGTCGTCGTCGTGCCCCCCGGGTTTGGCCGGTAGCGAGCTGCTGTCTCCTGCAGAAGGCGAGGCATTGGAAGCAGCGCCGCCGCCGGAAGAGATGGAGGAACCGCCAGGTAATGAGGGCGCTTCGATGTTGGCCCCGCCGTGCATCAAGGATAATACGAGACCCTCTAACCTGTCGATGCGGTTTTGCATATCATCCGGAGTGGGCTCCCCCTGGCTCTGGTTCTTCCTGCGGGAGACGGGCGCGGCGTAGGAGCAGGAGAGAGTGCCTGCCCCTTCCCGCTTGGTGCAGTTGCTACATGGGTGAGATCTATCGCATTTCCTACAACGCGGGTTAGTGACATGACGAGAGGCGTCGGCGCCGTCGATCGAGATGGTTACCTACAACCTGGGCACTCGTTAGCTGGCTATACGGCAACGAACGGCATGGGAAATAACATGCATGAAAACCGCTCACTTTCTTGTTCGACAGGGGTAACAGCTGAGAGGTACTCGGTTTCTCTTACGGACGACCCGAAACTGCGGTTCAGGTGACCGGCCGGTCGACGACGTGTTCGCTGAAGGCGGTGTGGGCGTCATGCTGGGCACGCGAGGGACCAACGGCGAGTTTGGCGGATGGGATCACCCCTGAGGACCACGGCTTCCGCTCGATAGCACAATGCCTCTTCGTAGAGTGCAGCCCCTGAGCTTGACGCTCCCTTCCAGAAGCCTCTCCCTTGCAAGTTTTCACTCGGGTCCGCTCGAGCTTCGCAAATAAACCTTGGAGATCACCGACTCCTATCGATACATACAATATCCCACTCCGCTCGCTCGCTCAGGCGACTGCCAACACGAAACTGGGTGAGAACTCGGTAGCAGGTCGTACACGGCCCGAGAAACTCGGAGATATAATCTCGTTGAAGCGTGATTGGAACCGAGTGAGCACCCCGCGATGAACCCGGTCGGTTCGATTAATAACCCGACAAGCTGAGAATCGGTAAAATGTCTAGAGAGAGACGAAGCGAGGTGAAATTTGTTTTCGAATTGCTGCGGTATTGGGCAGAAACGGTAAATTGACTGAGGCGTGCAATTGGGATGAGGAAGTGTAGCGGCTAATGCAGTGAGAAATATGAAAACGTAAATTAATGCGCTAAGGTCGGGGGATCGCTTAAGTATGATGGTTCAACACCAGATTTGACGTCGTGAATGATGATGATGGTGATGGAAGCCTGCTGCCCACGGTGAGATGATGCTTGGTGGGGCGTCACCCGCATTGAGCCTTGGCGGGGCTGGTTGGATGTTGCCGGGCGTTGATGCAAGCGGAAGAAGAGCAGATCTCCGGTAACTCACTGGTAGGTACTGTACCGAGTTACTACTGCTGCAATAACTAACGCTTACGTCTTCCGGGGCGGAGCAGCCGAGTTCAATGTATGAAGAGATCGGAGAGTTAAAGGAAGAGATTGCCGAAAACACTTAGACGTGCCAAACAGGCGGGTAACAGTTTTGGGCATTAAAAGAGCAAGAGAGCAGGAATTGATCACGGAATTCTACCAAGTGCGGTCAACCTGCGGCACGGTACTTCAACATTCGTCAGTGCTCTCCATCGTGCCTGGGTATGTCCATGCAAAGGGGTTGGAAGCATGGGTGCCACGAGGTTTGCTGCCGACGATGCGCCGAATCGTCGACGGCTTGGAGGAGAAGCACATGGAGGAACTGCGCTGCTTATTCAGCGCTCAAGCTTATCCCAATAAAGTGATATGAGTCATGCGGTGTGTGCCTCTGTCCCGCTCCGCTGCGGGGATACCATGGCTTTCATTGTCAGTGCCAGAAAATATCAATCCTCCCCAACCGCGAACCGTCTGGGTGACCTGATAGGCTCGGTCGCACAACGCTGCCCAGAGCCTTGGGAGGGTTGCGCAACGTGCTGATCGCTCCGAGAGATGGGAGTTCTGACGCGCGCTAGATAGAACCACCACAGAGCACTCTTCTCATCCACCTCGCGGGGTGTGTGGGCTGGCATTTCGGCCAAAATGTTTCTTCAAGGCTCCACGGCCGTGGCATCGCCGTTCGCCTTGACGCTGTACGGCTTCAGAAAGTCGGCGTTACCCTCTAGTTCCTCCTTGACCTGCCCGGATGTCAGCATACGTACGCGCAAGGCTCAAGCGCTCGGATCGAGAAGGACGCACGATATCAAGCCCGCCGACAAGTTCGCCATCCACCCACAGCTGTGGGAAGGTCGGCCAGTCAGCAAACTCTTTCAACCCTTGCCGCACCTCATCGTCGGCCAAGATATTAAAGAAGCCGTATTTGACGGCGTTGTCGCGCAGAATCCCCACCAGTTGTCGCGAAAAGCCGCACTTGGGCTCGCTCGGTGTCCCCTTCATGAAGAGCATCACGGGCGCCGCCTTGACTAGATCACCGAGGCGCCTAAAGAGTTCTTGTTTCTTCTTTTCTGGGTCTTCCTCCGTCGAAACCTCGGCTTCGTTGTTCCCGGGTGCCGCCGCGGGACCATTGGTGGCCGTGGCTGCTGTCCTATAACTACCCGCGTGTTTCTCAATGGCCTCTCGCACCTTGACCGCACTGCTCCCGCTGACGGTTTCGAGCACATCTCCATTCTGGACGAGGACGAGAAACGGGACGGCTGTCACGTTGTAGGCCTCGCTAATGTCTGACAACTCCTCGGCATTGATCTTCACCCAAGAGGTCGACGGCGGGGTGATGACGGGGTATTCGCTGGCCAGTGTTGAAAGCACGGTCGCCATTTGCGCACACGGCGCCGCCCATGGTGCATAAAATGAGATGATCAAGAGCGTGAACGACGGCAACGACGATATGTGACTCTCGAACGCCGCCTCGCTGGTGATCTCCTCGATCTTCGACATGGCGAGAGCTTGGTGACAAAACTGGATCGGAGTGGGTTGACGGAAGCAGCAGCGAAAGTGCGTTGGGTTTTCGGTCTAAGGGACTTCACGTTGGCGCTGATGGGACCGTAGAGCCGAGATGCTGGGTTTGGGGGGTTGCGGTGATTGTCTTGACTAATTTCTGCCTTTCTTGACAATTTTTGTTCGGTCGTTCGAGCTTCGACGACAAACGCCACTCGCCGGCACCCCGCCGTCCACTTTCTCCCAGCCGATTACGGATCCATTAAATCGGCGACCCCGCATGCTCCGGACTCTGTGCCATGATTGGTCTAACGTATCGTTGCGCCATTCAGCGGCTTCACCCACGCAATCCGTCACAAGCAAATGCAAAGATAAACCAGGTAGGTGCCACGCACCTCTACGGGCAGCGAGGTGCGCAGACTTGAGGCAGCCCACTGGGGGTGTTTGGGGCCTCTGCCTCCCTTCAAGCTCCGGACCTTGAGTAGCGCGCCGAATCAAGTTCGGTTTAACTAGCGGCCGCGCGGCTCGGAAGACGAGGCGAACTTCGCAGGGGCGGGCTGTTTCTTCGGTGCCTCCATCCCTCCCCTCGCTCGGCGATGCATGGAAACACCGACCGGATTTGACCGAGCCAATTGCCAATAACGAACATACCAAGTAACTCGCAGCCGGACAAGTCAACCACCCCCCGATCGCCCACTTTTTATTTTCCTCACCCCTCCAATTGCCTCCCCCGACCTGTCCAAAATCAGAATTACCAGCAGCCAAGCTCTTGGCGCCCCAACATCATCTCACTTCCCCGATCTACACAGGACACCCGCCCATACCGTGACACTAGTAGTACCGACATCCATACCGACCTACCTTAGACTGCAGGAATCGACCCTCTTAAGAGTTGACTGATTGGCAATGTCAGCCCAGGAGTATTACCAGCAAGGCCCGGCGCAGGGCTACAGCAACCCGCCGCCGCCGCAGGGCTACGGCCCCCCAGCGCCGGGGCCCTACCCGCAGCAGTATCCCCAGCAACCTCAACCTGTAAGTGGTTTCCTTCCAACTGAGTCGACGGTCCGCTGCCCTCCCAGCCCTACTAATGTCAACTTATTATGGTAGGCGTATCCCGGCCCGGCACCCCCTCAAAGTTACTACCCTCCGCAGGGTCCTATGCAATATCAGCATCAGCAGCCGAATAAGCCCCAGAAGAGTGGCGGTGGGGGAGGCTGCCTCAAGGGTTGCTTAGCGGCGTTATGTTGTTGTTTTATCTGCGAGGAGGGCTGTGAGTGTTGCGCCGAGTGTTGCGAGTGTTGTACGGAGTGCTTTTAAGGTGCCAGCGGCAGGCGTTCCGTTCGATGATTGAAGGGGTTTCTGCGTCCTGCGAGAGTTGGGTGGTGCGCGGGGGGGAGGGGGGTTGTACGAACTCAACGGTTATGCAACGATGATGCCGCATGATGTTCGTCTGGCGTAACCAAGGAGTATCAGTTATTCAATTTATTTTAACAATAATCCTGTCTAGCTGCCCCGACTACCTTCCATTACCAGGCATCACCGCAGAACTTTTTCAGTGGCGATTGTTTGATGTCGTGGTTGGGATCGTAGGTAGGTAGTTATACTGTACTGACCGCTTCAGCGCTGCATGGAATCCTCGCGTCCTGTGAGATGAAAGCTGCCGCGTCAGGGCGCCAAGATCTGCCAAGACCCTGGGAGCTCCTCCTGCACAGCCCACAGCCTCTTCGACGTCCGCCGGAGAGCTCCCTCCCCACTCCCGCTCGGTTCTTGGTTATCCTCCGTCGCAGAGCGCCCAAGTCCACCACCGAACCCGAGTCCACATTCTTGTTTTCTCTCTCGAACCTCATACTTATCCTACAGAGAAGCGATCGATCCCGGATCGCGCGAAACAATGGCGTCGCTCAACCTATCAACGAACGGCCCCTCGATCAAGAGCAGCTACCAAGGCGTCATCAATGGCCCCGCCCTCTCGTCGACGTCTCCGACTGCAGCGCGGTGGGCACTTTTCACAGTGCAAGCGCCCCTATTGAACGCCTTTCAGAATTCGGGTGCGAAGGAGAGTGTCTTGAAGGTTGAGACTACTGGCGGTAAGTGCCCCCCGGCTCCACCCCCCTCCTCCGTGACCGTTGCACGAAGCTGCCATTATCTACCTCGTGCGTGTTTGCGTCAGGCTAACACGGTTGCCTATGCAGACGGCGAGCTCGCCGATCTCGTCGAGGATTTCAGCGAAGGCCGCATCCAGTTCGCCTTTGTCCGAGTCAAGGACCCGAATTCCGGCCTTCCCAAGAATGTCCTGATCGCCTGGTGTGGCGGGGGCGTCCCCGAACGCACCAAGGGGTACTTTACAAGCCATGTTTCCGCCGTCTCCAAGGTTCTGCATGGCTACCATGTTCAGATCACAGCACGCTCCGATGCCGACGTCGTCCCCGAAGATATTGTGCAAAAGGTGGCGGATGCGTCGGGAGCCAAATACTCGGCAGGGACATCCACACAGGCCCCTGCGGCACCGCCTCCGGTTGCCAAGAAACCCGTGTTCACCCCAACAACATCTGGGTCTGGGGGTTCCTTCAACCCGCTCGTCGCTGCTCGTACCCGGAAACAAGGGAATGCCGATGACGATGGCTGGGGCGAGGACGCACCCCCGGTTACACGCACTCAGGTTGAGAAGGTCGAGTCAGCCTACAAGCCGACAAAGGTGGATATCGCAAGCCTGAGGAAGAACAATGACGATTCTCGATTCAACGGATCCTCGAACCAAGATAACCGGCCGAGTGATGTCATCGGAGGTGGTTATCAGCCAGTGGGCAAGATTGATATCGCTTCGCTCAGGGCACAGGCAAAGCAGGACGATCGCCCTTCCGTGGTGAAGGGTGCATACGAACCCGTCGGCAAGGTTGATATTGCCGCCATTCGAGCAAAGGCGCAGCGTCCGGCCGAGCCGCAAGAGGAGTCGGCACCCGCACCGAAGAGCCTTGCTGAGCGAAGTGCCGCTTTTACGCCATCGGAACGCCTTACCGAACTGCCGAAGCCCAAGGTCGCGAAGAAATTTGGCGGTACACCTTTCACGGGCACCAAGGCTCCGACGCCTGGGGGCCTGGGTTTCGGCGCGCCGGCAACGCCCGCCCCGCCACCTGTTGGCGCCGCCAGCCGGACGTTTGCCGATCAAGGCGGCAAGACCCCAGCTCAGCTATGGGCCGAGAAGAAAGCGAAGCAGGGCGGCGGGGCCACCGGTTCCCCGTCTCCGTCTGCGACGGCACCGATCACGGCCCAAAAGAGCGGCAGCGAGTGGAAGAGCGGTTATGCAGGCAAGAGTTGGGCACCGGTCCATACTAGCAACTATGGCCGAGGCGGCGTGGAGAAGCAAGATACGGGAGAAGGCGAGCAGTTCGAGCAGGAGGCGGAACAGCCCGCCACGACGGGTGGTGGTATTTCTGCACTGCGCGACAGGTTCAAGGACGCGGCACCCATGGGCACCGCAACCAGGTCGGCCCCAGACGCCGCCGCTTACGACGAGGAGGAGCCAGCCGCGCCGCCCCCGCCAATGGGAAGCCGGCCTCCTCCTGGCGGCTTCGCTCTCCCCGGCCTACCGTCCCGGCCTGCGGCTGAGAACCAGGACGAGGAAGAGGAAGAGCGGGCGCCGCCCTCTGTCCCGTCCCGGAACTACGAGGAACGCGAACCGTCGCCTGTGCGGGTCGCGATGCCGGTCCCCCGCAGCTCTGCGCCCGAGATTGAGCCCGCGGCCGAAAGCCTCCCTGCTCGGCCCGTTCCCGTTCCTCAAGAGGTGCCCAAGGAAGAGCAGCTTCCGGCTGAGCGTGAGAGCCACAACCCTCGAACTGCCGCTGTTGCCGTCGCTGCCGCCGCCGGCGTCGCTGGCGGGGCCATTGCTGGCGGGGCTATAGCCGCCCACGCAGCAGATAGCGGATCGGCGCCAGAAGCCGAGGCGGCTGGTGGCAAGAGGGCCCTCATCCAGTACGATTACGAGAAGGCCGAGGATAACGAGATTGAGCTTCGGGAGGGTGAGTATGTGACCAACATCGAGATGGTGGACGATGATTGGTGGATGGGCACCAACGTCCAGGGGGAGAGCGGCCTGTTCCCCAGCAACTACGTCGAACTGGTTGATGAAGATGAGGCGGCCGCGGCCCCGCAACCGCCTGCGCCTGCGCCTGCTCCCGCACCTGCTCCAGTAGCACAACACGAGGAACCCCAACCCGCGGCAGCCGGGCCCACGGCAACGGCAAACTTTGATTACGAAGCTGCAGAAGACAACGGTATGTATTCTCCTAGCCTAGCAACCGCAGGCCCCAGTCTCCCACCGAATACGTGCTGACACAGTCGACCGCAGAGCTGAGCTTTCCCGAAGGAGCCACGATCACAGATCTGGATTTCCCAGACGAGGACTGGTGGTTTGGCCATTACAATGGGGCGTCTGGTCTCTTCCCCGCCAACTATGTCCAGCTTGACTCATAAACTGGATGAGCGTCCACTTTCACGGGGTTTGGTGATCGTTATCCGGAGCAGCAAGTAGTTTAGCTTAGAGCAGTTTTCTTTTGGCAGGTGTCCTAAAACGAAAGGCTGGAAAAAGACACTGCTTTTCTCTACTGTCCATTACCTCTTGCGGAGTCAGTGTTACGCCGGTGTCACCATGAGTTAAGGCTGTCTATTTCATGGTGATGAACTTGTAAACAACACCACGAACCTGGGCAATAAATGTATCAGTAAACTTGGTTGATCTGGCCGAAGAGCGTTTAGAATTAGCGATAGATTTAGATTTGAATGATACCTCGCATCAAGTACTCTTGTTGCTGGCTCACACGTGTGTGTTAGAAGACGAGAAACGCGCGGCAAGTAAAGCTGGGTGGGGCTGGTTGTGTGTTCTCCCCACTTCAACTCATCAGCCAAGTCGATCCATCTTCATCCAACATCCTCCGCAAAACATCCCAAGTTCCAACTAATACAATTACGCCGCTCTTTTGCTAATCAAGAGAATCCCGACTTTATAAACGAGAGAATATCCATACGTACAGCAAGCAAGAGGCCACAATGTACGCGCACACCCCGCCTGCGCCACCCCCCAAACCGCCCGGGACTCATGATGTAAGCCGCATGAGCACACCCGCCGGCGGGCCAGCACCACCACCCCCACCACTCCCGGAGGCCATCACGGCCGGCCTCATCGCCGCCGGCACACCCGGCTCCGGGGCGGAATACCACAACCCCCAGGACATGGAAACGGCCGACCCCGGCGACCAATGGCTGCCCAAGTTCCTCGAAGACAAATCGTATGTAGCAACCCTACCACCCACCCCCTTTCACACATCCCCTCTCTCGACTAACCAACCCAACCCCCCCCAACAGCAAAAACGACCTCGCCCTCATCCTCTCCAACCCCACCCTCCTAACCTCCCTAACCCACGCCCCGCAAACCATGCACCCCTCCCTGCAACGCTCCCACACCGCCCTCACCACCACCCTCACCCAAAACATGTCCCTGGCCTCCCACCTCCTCGACCTCGAATCCCACCTCGCCCACCAGCGCGCGAGCGCCCAGGCCCAGCTGCTCGCCACGCACGCGCTGGAGCGCCAGTGGCGCGCCCGCCAGGCCGACATGGACCATGCCCTGGCGCGGTTCGCGCCGGCGAGTCTGTACCAGCGGTTGGCTGGGGGGGTGGCGGAGCAGGAGGGGGTTTGTGGGGCGTTGGAGGAGAGTTTTTTGGATGGTGAGAGTGGTGGTTGGGGCGGGGGTGGGGGGGATGGGAATGGGGATGGGGGGGTTTTGGCGACGGAGAGGGAGGTGGCGGAGTGGGTGAGGCGGTATAGGGAGGCGAAGAAGTTGTTTTACTTGAGGCAGGAGAGGCGGGAGAGGTGGGATGAGGGGCGGGTTGGGGGGTGGCGGTGATGGGGGGTCGGTGATGGTTATTCTGGGGAGTTCGGGCTGGGTGGGGGCGAGGGACTGCGATGGATGGACTGTTTTGGGGGGGTGATGCGGTAGTGTTTATGCTGGGTGGGTAGGATGTTCATGTTCGGTGGGCGGGGGCAACAACTGAGGCATGGCTTCACTGTACAGAGGATGATTATACCTGTGTGAATCTCAATGGTTCCCGATTACATGATATGATGACCACCGGTTGTATATCGACGAGGAATCAACCCACGTTTTTCGGCCCCTCCCCCCGTAGAGGGTACCGCACCCATCTCATGCTCTCCATCAGCTAAGCCGCCCCCTAAACCCCAAAATTATCTTCATCGTAGCCGACTCGCGCGGCACCTTTGTTCTAAGGAATATGTGGGTGGGTCCCAGCGGCCGGTGGCAGCCCCTGGTAACCACGGGTATACATTATCCGCCTCTATAGGATACTAAACGGGCTCCGCTTCATCTCCGGGCTGCGCGGACTCATGGGGAGGGCGAATAAGTCCTCCTCCGTTGCGTCATCCCCTCCTCCAACCTTGCCCGCGGCGGCGGCGGCGGTTGGTGCTGTTCCGCTCCCTACAATAGCATCTAGAGAAGCGACGCCGCCGCCGCTTGAGCCTGGCATTGTTGAAACGCTGGTAGCCGACGGAGCGACTGACGTGATCAGAGGCTGCACTCGTGGCGCCTCGGCGCTCTTCGCCGCTATTGGGGCAGTCAGTGACAGGCTCGCGCTGTCTCTCTCCACCTCACATGGTCTCACTCCCACCCCCCACCCCCCCCAAAAAGCTGGTGCAACGAGAGGATAAGGAGATGCCTCCAGGGCGGGGCGCGCAAACATACCTTGACTAGCAGCGGCTAGTTCTGCTGGGCTGGTCGCAAGCTTCAAGCCCCTAAGCTTCTCCCCTAGCCTTCCGCCCAACGGACTCCTCGGGCTTGCCGGGCCGGCCGAGCTCTGCGGGATATGAAGTCTTGTCGGCTGGGGCAGTCCCGGGTCGGGCGCGAGCCCGAAGTGGTCGACGATCCACTGCCGCTCTTGCATGGCCATCTCGAGCCCCACGCTCTCGCCGTTGGCCTTCATCTCGGCCGTGATCTCGGCTTGCAGCTCGGCCAGGCGCCGCTTTGCCCATATCGTGTGGAGCACGCCGCGCCGGCCGGCGTCCTGTTTACTCGTCAACTCGGCGGGGAAGATGGCGGGCATCGGTCTGGTCCTCAGGATGTCGCAGGGGTTGTCGTTGGCTCCGCGGCTCCCGCCCCGGCGTGTGATGTCGATAAGCGCCGGGACGGGAGAGCCGGGAGGAAGGAGAAAGTAGACGCGGTGTATGTTGCCCTCGGCTTCGGGGCCGGCATCCCAGACCGGAAGAACCTCCCCCTTGCCTTCCCATGATACCTCCCAGTCGCCGTTCCCTTTCCCTGTCCCAGAAGCGTCCCCATTTCCCGGCCCTGATTCATCCCATTCGACCATGAGGATCTTGGTGCCCTCATTGCGCTTATCGGCCTCAAACTCGAAGCGCGAGCGGGCGATGCTCGAGGATGGTGATGTTGGCGTCTCGATAACGTCTAAAGGCTCGGACGGCTCGGGCCCAGACGACTGCTTGCCCGGGATTGCCATGGTTTGCTGGGACGAGGGTTGATAGACCCCGATTACTGGGGTCACAGCGGCAGTAAAGGGGGGAGGGGCTCAAGTGGTGAGGCGTCGGGGATGGTCCAGCCGTGTCCGCACTGGGTTGGTCGTGTGCGCGTACAGTGGTGGTGTCGAGGCGGCGGCTATGAGTCAGTACTAGAGAATGCGACGCGGTAGCTAAACTGCCCTGTCGTTGCCCTTGCCCGTTCGATGTTACCGATACGCGTGGTGAGGTCACGACGCAAGCAAAGCCCGAGGGTTCGGTCGGTTGAAACGCAGCCGAGCGGGCAGAGCGCCGAACCAGCTGGTGGTCGCGCCGAGGGGAGGAGCAAAGCCACCTAGGCACGCAGCCTTGTAGTTAGCCCGTCGCAGGCAAGGCAATGCGCGCTGCGAGGGTGGGAGTCGCCGAGGAAGTGGACGCCCGGGTGCAGGCTAATATGAAACACAGGCCTGTCCCGCTGCGAGGGACATTGAGATCCCGGTATGTACTTTGACCGGGGAAAGGACCGGCCCGGGAACAACAGACTGTGAGAGAGCAGTGTTTAGATGGTTTAGAAGGGACGATTATTGAGATGCGCGTTCTGACAATTAAGGGCGCATCCCCATGGCAGGGTGGTTGGATACTTCGTACTTCGTACTTGGTTAAGGTGGCACGGTGGTGATGAGAGTGAACTTGGAGGAGTATGGAACGATGGAGAGGAAGAGCAGAGCAGCAGTCAAACAACCCCGCGATGATCGCTCATTCTTCCAGGTTCTTTTTGCCCACAACCGCGGGGACCCCCTGGGCGCGGCGACTGCTGAGAACCGAGTATTGCCATCCCCGGGAGGGTGGACCAGCCCGGAAACCACGCGGTTTGACGCCTGTGACTGGCGCGTGGGGAGTCGGGGACAAAGCTTACGACGGGCGGTATGAACAATGCGAGAGAGGGGAGCGAGGGCACCTGGCCATGCACCGATTGGGACCCCTCGAATTCGGTTCCATGTCTTGGCTGCCGACGTCGCCTGCGCCCCGACTCGATCGGCGGCTTTGAATGCAACATAGCGAACCTGCCATCTCCGGCCAGACTGATGAAGGGGGAGATTCGATACGCATGCATGCCTACATAGTATTCGTATATCGTTGTGATGGATCCCTGCATGTGTCGGTACTGTGTATGTCCTGGAAGTCGGGCTATCGCTTCAATCTCAGCTGGTTTTCTTTTCTCTTGTGAAAGAGGGATAGTGGGGGAAACCCCAAGCAGCGAGGGGCGTTCCGCATGAACGCCTTCGATATTGCCAAAAATAGGTTTTTGTGAGCGAAAGCGGGAGCTTGGCACTGGGCGTTTCGGCATCTCTCGGTTTGGATATAATTAGGTTTGTGAAATCCCCAAGCAGTTGATGTCGATGGCTTTGGAATGCTTGCCTGGCAGCACAGCACGTGTTTCGAGAGGATCGGTTCAAAATAATTCGTTTATACATAGAAAGCGTACGAATACGATATTCGGTACTCTTGGGCTCAAACACCTACCTAGCTACTGTGGTTACATCATACCATGTCTGTTATCAACGCTTGCGCAGTTCTTGCCGAGAGAAGCACGGTATGGTAGGTATTTATGTCGTCAGCCCGGTTGAATCTCACGCGAACCTGCGAAGAGCCTCCGTCTGGAAAGCCTGGCGGATTTCCTCCCGACCTGGTTGTGTTGAGCGTTCACCTTCGTCCCGGTTTATTCCATCTTGGCCCATTGGTTGCTGTTCTTTCCGGGCGGCCATCTCAGCGGGGCTTCGGTCTTGCGATGGTGTAAGGCTTCATTGCCCGGGTTATTTCCCGAGACTGCCCGACAGGAACCGCAACGATTGAATATGACCTGGATCGGGCTAGTTGACTCGAGAAGACTCACTCAGTAAGGACCAGACAGGTACAAACTTGGTTGTTTGTATGTTATCGTGCGGGTGACGGCGTATCTTCTGGGCGGACCGGCGAGAGCACCAAGAACGGTTGACACATCCTGATAACTCCCACATATGATCAGACCGCTTCAGGCATGTTTGTTTCGCCCTGCGTCTCACGGGCCCTCCATGCCGAGCCGCTCCGAGAACGGCACGGGGATCCGCACACGGCGATGCATCGGGAGGAGAGGAGTCGGCAAGAGTGCTGCGGGGGTCCGACCCGAGAAGGGGGCGGTTCTCGAACACTCCACGACCGAGTGACGGCCGAGCCCGTGATCTCGGGACCCGGCGGCGGCAGTGCCTGGATCTCCACGGCGTGCCTCACAAACTGGTAGTCGGGCCCGCCTAATCACCGAAGCAAGGTCCCCAAAACGGCCTGAAGGGAAGAAAGAACGGCCGGAGAAGGGCCGCAAGAAGCCCGATTCCCAGCACGCGGCTAAATTGCAGCACTGGGGAAAACGGTCCCGCCATGAAGGACCTCCTATGAGCGGCCCGAGGTGTGCGAGGCACACAAGGATGGGATGAAGGCTTGCGCCCCTGTGTTTTGGTTCGAGAACGTCAGCGAAGGATTTCGTTCTTTTGACCGAAAACATCTCCAAGTTATAAATGCTTCCCCCTTTCCCTGGTACAGTGAGAAATGACCAGCGGCGAATCCGTGTCGCTATTTTAGAATTGGGCTACCCAGCGCGCAACCCCTCCCTCCGTGGAAGGAACGGGACTACACTATCGTGTGTCCTGGGTTAATATACCAACTGCCGAGAAGAGCCAACCTTTCTCCTCACGAGTAGGGCCCAGTCCCGGCTCGGTTGCGTTTCCTGTCGCTTGATCCCGCCATTCAGAGAGATAACGTGACCCGAGGGCACCCGCAGAGCAAGGCGTGAAGTCTCAGTCTCACCAAGCGCCATGAGACAGAGAAGGAAAGATCGGCAGCCACGCACTCAGAAGAATGCTGGTTGCGCTGATTGCACTCGCACTGGCTGTCCGTTGGAATGCTGGGGAAGGACCAAAAAAAAGAAGAGGGGGTTTGAGATGGAAATAACTGAGCGGTTTGAATCTGAATCAAGTGGATGGGATGAACATGCTTTGGAGTGGCCTTGCGCTCTTCGCTATCAGGAAGGTGACGGTGACGCCGAGGTGAAGGGCTGCTGCTTTTTGTCGCCATGTAAAACTGATACCGTCCAATCGCTCACGACATTGAGCTCGAAGCTGGTGTTAGGCGTCGGCGTCGTGTGTTAGGCATCGGCGGCTCTCTTCCACTGCTGTGTCACCCCACGGAAGGGACCGCCGTCGTGGTGTGGAAAACGGATCTTCCCCTGCTGGAGGTTGGACGGTGAAATGCACCCAACGCTCGGTGATTTTAGCCTCCTTCCATTGGCTACGGCTAAATTACGACGTGCCCACGAATCTGCAGCCAAGACAACTGGCACGGGGTTGTGCGACTCGGGGACGATACATGCTGTTAAGAGCACCTGCTGTTTCTGGTACTGACCACGCGGACTCAGCACGGCCGAAGAAAGCCCGATCTATCTTTCCCCAACAATCGTCTCGTACCCCCGATATGCTCGGCAGCCCGCACTCTCCCCCGGCCGGGAAACAAGCACTGAACAGGCCCGATTGGGACACGCTCAATGAAACGCGAGCAGTCGCTCAGGGTCCTGAGAGACATTCCCCGTCTGGAGTACGCACGAGCCAGCGATAGCAGGGTACCGGGTGTCTTCCGCAATTACCCCACAGATCTGAGGTACTCCGCTCGCAGGCCGTGGCCCGTGTTGCCGTACTCGCTCCAGGTGTGTGCTCCCATTTCGCCTGGGCTGTGGCCCAGCTCCAGTGTCTCTCCACTATTACGCCGGCCAAACCGCCGTGGCCCATCCATGATGGACCATCCCGTTCAGTCGCCCGTCGCCTTTCGAGTTCAGTTGATGAGAGAAGAGAAGTGCCAAACCTTCACCACCCACGTTCCCTGAACCTGTCCCATTGTGGCTCTCCAGCGTGCTTCTGGAGTCGTTCACCAATCTCTCCTGGTGCACCACTGGCTGGCTTTGAGGGGGGGTCATTTTCAAGGTTTCCGTTCAATTCGGCCCTTGCCGCGGCGTGTCCACTCTCGCCTCTCCCTCCTCGTGTGCTCCCTGTCCGCACCCCCCACCCTTCCAAAACAGGGCCAGCGATCAGTCCTCCGTTTGGAACCGTCTTGGTTTCCTGTCACTGCCGACTCCTCGACAGGTTCCTTCTTCCAACATCGTGCATTCGCAGCCTCGACCGATTCCAAAGGCGCCGCTCCTGTGATTCTCGAATCCGTGCCTCGACGGCGCCGCCCCCGATTGGATTTTCCTTTTCTCGACAGCAACCACCTTCCACCCTCGTTCGTTCAATCACCATCCCCGTTCTCGAAACCCGCCCGCGCACGAATTGCGAGACCCGTTCGTCGTCCCACACCCACCCCAGTCGCTCGTTGACGCCGCGCCCTTTTCTCGACGAGAATTCCATCGTTGCGACGATAGAAGATATTCGCGCGCCCGTCTCTCGCTTCTGTTCCCTTTCCCGCTAGCCCCTTGCGAAACTGCCGGCTCGGTCAGGTCGGCAACCCGAGCGCCGGTTGCCTCAGCTTCCGATCTCGACGCGATCGCCGTCTTGCCCAGCTAGCTTCCCGGATCTGCTCCGGCCGACGTTCCCCGCAAAGACAGATGCTCCCACCATGATCGAGCTGCGATTATCCTCTGCTGCGAATAGTTCCACCCAGTCATTCTCGGCAACCCATTTTCGGTAGGATAGGGCGAGACTCGTTGCGCACACTTGCATGCGCATCACAGCCCGTTGAGGTGCTCATCTTGTCTCTGGCTCACCGGCTATCCTGCCGGTTCGTAGCCAGCAAACATGGAGCCTCTACACATGACTGAGTTCGGGTCCGACCGGTACCTGGAGAAGTTCCACCAGTCGCAGGCCAATCCCGCCTCTCCAACAGCTCCCGCCGCCGCGCTCTCTCAATCACCGTTCATACTACCCGTCCGGGGTTCAGTTCCGTCCGAGGCAGAGGCGGCACCAATCAAACCTGGCAACCAAAAACGTTCCGAGAAGAGAGGGTTTGGGTTTTTCAGGGCCAAGTTTCACGGCAAGACTCCCGCGGCGGCCACCGCGAGCAGCACTGAGCATCAGGAGCAACGGCCCTCGTCGGTACAGTCGACGGCTTCCCGGAAAAGGTGAGTCGAAAAAGCCGCCGGAGATGCTCGCGCGCCCGCTCTGACTGACGTTATTTGTAGCACTCCTTTCGACCAACTCTTTATTGCCCTTCCGAGCGAACTACAAATCGAGATCATTGCATCGCTCCCGCTCTCGGACGTGTTGAATTTCCGGCTGGCATCCAGATCCCTCCACGCTCTTGTGTCGCTAAACGAGGCGCCCATCACCCGCTATCACCTCGACCACCATGTGCCCGCATACGCCAAGCGCCTCTACCCGGTTCTCGAGGGCGAGCCCCTGAACTTCCATTACCTATGCGGCATCTGGCATCGGCTACACGTCGCTGCGAAGCTGTCGTATCTAATATGCGAATGGGTGTCGAAAGAGATGTTCCTCAGAAACACCGAGGATAAGAAGCGGGAATTCGCACCCCAGCGGGAACGAATGCGACGGCGCCTAATACCCATGGTTTTCACCGTTTTCCATTTCTTCGAGACGTACCGGAAACTGCACCTCAAATACATTGCCGAGCACGGTTACGGACTACACCAGAGCCCCTACACCGTTAACCCCATCGAGACCGAAATCCTCAACATGTACGACGACCGGACGCTTTATCAGGTCCACGAAATCTTTCCCTTGATAATGTCATCTTTCGACAGACGCCTTCGACCGCCTTCTTATGTTGGTCGGGTGGAGCGATCCTTGAGGGGTTATCTCAGAGACAAACCTCCTGAGGAGGTACATGTCGCTGTTCTCTGTCTTGGTGGCCTCCGGGAGGTGGAAAAGATTTGGGAGGTTAAAACGTACAACGCGCGGCGCGCCGCCGTCGATACTTGGTATGCGTCTGTCGCCAAGGAACCTACCGAGCCGCCGGAAGGGAAAAAGCGCCGAGGGATGCTGGGTCTAAAGCGCAAAAAGTCGTCGCTCACCTTGACCAAGACCAACTCCAACGACGCTGCACCGTCATCTCGGAGTTCGGTCGCCGAAGGCAAGCAGCCAGAGAGTTTGGTGTTCTGCACCAGCCTAGCAGCCGGCATGCCTATGGGTTCCTTGGCCAAGGATCAATCCAAGCTACTTCTATCCGATCTACCCAGGCTCCGACAGATTTGGACAGAAACCGCCGAGGCAATGATCCTAGACCGCGGGATCGTCCAACGAGCAAGCGACATCCGCCGGAATGCTCAAATATTTACCAACTTGATCAGCGAGAACATCGCCGAGGACCAGGACCAATGGCTTTACGGCACCACCGTATCCGAGTCGGTACGACCGAACCTCGACGCGATCGAGGAGGAGCCTATGGGATCCTGATCTCGTCACACCACCTCCAACCTTTCTTCACACTTTTATTCACCCCTTATTGGGTTGGGCAGCACGTTTCAGGGTCGTGTCCCACCCACCCCTTTTTCCATCGACCCAATCGTCGACCACCATCTTCACCGAACTCCCGGCCTGTCACGAAGATATGACAGCCGACCAGCAAATCGAACCCCTCTTTACTATGTCAGAGTTTGAATATTTCTCGGGAAACAAAAGGCATTTACAGGCGTTACGGCTTTCCTTCGTTATTTGTTGTTTTTTTCCGACATGTGCGGGTTATCTTGGGCCAGACAGCAGCATGGCGAACCAGGTGTATTGGGTACCGTTTCCATTTTCCTTCGTTGTATTCTGTCAGTCAGGCCACCCGACAGCGGGGGTGTACGCCTTTGTCTCGGTCGTGTTTCGCAGCGAATGTATTCATAGGTCCCAGATGCCTATCGTTCTTTTTTTTTTGTTTAGTCATACACTGGGCAGCAGCGTTGACGCATGGAACTCTTGGGGGGGGAGGAGAGTCATTCGTGATACCCGGCCTGGGGTCAATGGAGCGACTAAAGAAGAATGGAGTAGTGGGGAGATCCATGATAAAGAGTAGCATCTGAATCGACTGGTTTCCTTACACCTTGGTTCGAAGCTGTAGTCGTTGTTGTCATCTAGCATGAGTCTCGCAACCTCGGAATATGCTGGCAAGATCGCCCGAGATGGTGCCGTTGTTGATCGCCTCATCCAGTGGTTTTATTTACCCCTTAACCGCCCTCACTGATCGTCCCGTAAACAAAGCTGCTGAACGCAAACATAGTGACACATGCCCGCTTCGCTCCACGCAGTACCGCTAAATGATTCATAACATGACCCCAACCGACTACATTTCCCCTGACCGCCAGGCTCCCGTCTAAACGAAAGACCACCGCGGGGCAGAAAGAAGTTAAAAACCAAAGGCAGACCGTAATTCGGGGAATGGATAAAAAACAAATATAACCCCCCGCAATGCCTAATCCCCAAGCCCCAAGCCCCAACTTTCCTAAGGTAGCTTTTTTCTTTAAATGACTGAGATTAGAAGATGTCCGACCCTGTCACAACCACAACAACTCTCATCGCCGCCCGACCCCATAATAACGCTCATTACTCCCCAAGCTCGAGGCATCAAACGTGGCGAGGCCGTTAGTGGCGAAGGCAGCAGCGCCCGTGTTAGTGGGCGCCCGCACGCTGCCGGCGTTGATGCCGTAGCCGGCACTGCCCAGCGCCATGGTCCCCTGCTGCCCGGCCGTCTCCAGGTGGCTGGCGTCAAACAGGCCCCAGTCGGCCGCCGCGTTCCCCCCGAAGGCCTGTACATTCGCCAAGCTCTGCATGCTCTGGGATGTTGGCTGGCTTGTGCTGGCCGAACGTTGCTGGAGGCTGGCGTCGCCTGAAGCGAATGACGGGGAGTGTTGTGGTAGGCCGTGCGTATTGGCAGGACGGAACGAGGTGGTGGTGGACTGGCTGCTTCGTTGATTATACGAGGGGTTGCTCAAAGCCGTGGCTGAACTACGGTAACCGCTATCGGGGGCACTGAAATCGTTGCTCGCCGGTGCGCTGAACTGCGACGGCTGGTGAGCGGTATATGAAGCTGTGCCTGTTGCAGAAGTGGTCGCCAGCTGCTGCTGATAGCGTGGTTGCGAGACTAGATTTTGTTGGCCGCCTGAATATTGCTGCTGGTTATTCGTATATGGCTGCTGGTTTGTGCCATACTGCTGTTGCGACGTGCTCCCCGAATACTGTTGAGCCGAGGAAACCTGGGTACTTCGAGGATGTTGTTGTTGCTGTTGTTGCTGCCCCCCTGAGAATTGATGTTGTTGCTGCTGCTGCTGCGGTTGTTGCTGTGCATGGTCCGCTTGTGCAGAGATGTAATTATGTTGCTGCTGCTGCTGCTGCTGCTGCTGCTTCTGCTGAAATTGGGAACTTGAAGCGCGGTATTGATTATAATTTTGAGACGTCCTCGCTTGTTGTTGTTGTTGTGTGATGGATGGGCTACCGCTAGTTTGCGGTTTGGGCGGTTGCGGTTGCGGATTTGGAGACCGACCCTGACTGGCAGAATCAGAGCGCGGATGCTGCTGGTGCTGGGGTTGCGAGTATTTCCGTGGATGTTGTTGTGGCAACCGGTTGACCATTACTGGCGCCGAGTTCGTAGCGCCTTGCGAGGCCAGCGCCTGCGACTCGGTCTCGGGTTGTTGGTCGAACTGAGCAAGCTGTGCCTCGAAGTTCTCTATTGTTGGAGACTGCGCTGCAAACCGAGCTTGATGGGGCGGGAGCAGTGATGGCACGGGGTGCTCTATCGCTGCAGCAGCAACCAATCCTGGCTCGGGCTCAAGGGCTACGACCGCCCGGGGAGCCGGGCCGGGCTGAGCGCTTGAACTCTCGGAGAGGGCAGTTTCTCTGGCCCCCTCGTTCCCCTTCCTCGCTGATGGCCGAGCTTCCTTGCCCTTTCGCTGCCGTTTGGGCGACGGTTCGGGCACGGCTGTCGGAAACGGTGGCCCTGGGTTGTTCGAAGCGGTCGGTAACGCTTGATTGTTCACGTTCGGTGAGGGAGCTGGACCATTCCCACTGTCTTTCACAGTGGGCCGGGGCATATCGGCATTTCCGTCCCCTTTCCTTTTCCGCTTCTGGCCTGGGTTTCTCGCCGGCTTGCTTTGGGCTGGGGTTGCAGTGGGAGGCGTGGGGAGCGTCGAAGTCTGAGCCTGCGGAAACTGGGTAGTCTGCGGCGCCCGATAATCCGGTGCTTGAATTTGCGCGGCGGGTATAGAATTGGTTGATTCGATACCAGTGCCCTGTTGCGGCCCTGGTGCTGACGAAGCCTGGTTGTTCTGCCCTTGGCCATGCTGCTTTGGCCCTGTGCCCTTCGCTCGCCCATTCTTCTTTTTCGTAGGCGCCGGCAATATCGAGTTCACTGCTGTGAAGGATTGTGGTTCCGTTGGACCTGGCGTCAACTGTGGTGGTGTTTGATTCACCTGGGGTGCCCGAAAAGCTTGCGAGGAAATTTCAGGACCCCGAGGGGGCTGGGTGTCCGCCTGAGATGTTCTGTCGGGGGGTTGCGTGGAGGTGACGGCTGAGTCTTTAGGTCGGTTCTTTGAGCCCTTTGGGCGGCCCCTTTTCCTTGTGCCGGGGGTGCTAGTGGTTGGCACGCCGCTGCCGGTGGGCGCCTCTGGCAATGCTGTTCGAGCGGCGCTGGGCGCTTGGTTGGGTGTTATAGGCGCCGCGTTTGGGTGGGAAGCCCCGAGCTGTGGCTGCGGGCTCGCGGCTTGCGCGAGGAGCATCACATTGGTATCGACATCATCGGCATCTTCGGCGCCACTATCGTCAACGTCTACCCAACTTTCGTCGGGGATACCAGACGAGTGGCCTCGGTCGGTGGGCTTATTAGGCCCCTTTTTGACACCCTTGTCTTTCCGTGCCTTGGTGGCTTTGCTGCCTTTCGGCCGGCCTCGCTTGCGCTTCAACGGCTGAGGATGGTCAAGCTGTTGGGTGGCGTCCAACGGCTGCTGCACCGAATTCCCGCCCAGCCGGGGGAATATTTCTGAAACCCAACCAACGAAAAGGCTGCCCGGCCCATTTGCCTCTGCGCTCTCTGGGAAGCCGCCGGCGGCGGGTGGTGGCGCTCCAGGGATACCTCCAAAGAAAGCTAGTGCTTTGCATATTTGGTCCACGACGAGCACGGGATGCAAGCTCCGTAACAGAGTTAGCAGGCGTGCCTGTTCCGATTTGGTCTCCTCGGGGCCCAGGGGCGCGTGGCGTTGAGACGGAACCGGGGCGAGTGTCGGTGCCGCCGTGGGAATGAAGGGTTTGGCGATAGCCTCCTCCGGAAGATGCACGAACCGGCGTCTTCGTAGCGAGACATAGCCGTTCTCGAAGGCACGCTTAGCGGCTAGCTCGGTACTCTCGCTGGTTCGTTTTGCTTCGGCATCGCGATCCGTGGCCTCTGCCCTTCCCGAAACCTCGATTTGCATGACACCAAAGTTACCCTTGGAGCCGTCGGTTTTGCCCTTGAGTTTGCTCGGCACGGGGTTACGGATCCGGCCATCTCGGTGGGCGCCGTTTAACGCATCTTGCGGATTCGGCTCGGCGGAGGGGGCGATGGTGGCGCCGACAGTGAGGCCCGCGGCCGCCGATGTCGAAATGCCGCTCGGAGCAGGGACGGCCGCCTGCCCGGGTAGTGAAGAAACAGGCGGCATCGGTGTCGGCCTCAAGACGGCTGTCGAGCGGTTTGCTGTAGAGGGTACTGTTTGACGGTGCCGGGGTTAGCGATTAGTGACAAAGCCCGAGAGGAAATGGGCGTCGTATATCGCGGCTTACTTGGCGGTGTTGCCATTGAACATGCCCGGCGCGTCGTCGCCGGTAATGCTGGCGGGGTACGAGGCCGTTCGAAGGACCCCAGGTCGTGGGCTGATTGCTGCGTCGCGGCAGGCTTGTAATCATGGTGCAAATCCCATGTTCGATGGGCGTCGACAGCAAGTTTCGCAGAGCGCTGAAGTGCCGACAACGAGACACTCGATGGACAAAAACGGAGAAAACAGATGTCGCGCCCGACTCCACTTGCCAAAGCGGCGTGAACGCCGGGGAAGGGAAGGGATGTTTGGACCACGGGAAGGATTTCTCGACCGCGGCGACAAGTAATAAGCAACCGGCTCGCCGCAGCTAGAATTCTTATTGATGTCGGTGCCTTTACCACCGAAAACTGTGTCTTGTCTTGGAGCAACCTACCTCACCGGGGCGAAAAGGTGGAGGTCCCGTGCAACAAATCCGCAGCTCGGTCGCTCACAAGGAAGGCACGGCGGGGAGAGGAGGCGGTGACACGGGCAAGTCGTGAGCGAAATTGGACCAGCAGTCTCGAGTTAAGTCGTCGAGGAAAAAACAACACGAATCTCGATTTTGCAGCAGGGAAGTAACTAAGTAACTAGAGTAGGTATTATCGTATTATCGTTGGGCCATGCTGCTGGAACTACGCGGTATGGTTATCGTGGGTCGAGATCAGCCAGTCGGGTTGGGCAGGTGTTGGCGCATGTTGGCGCATGTTGGCGCTGGATTGTCAGAGAGTTGCGGCGAGGTATGTACTCGGCTCGCTGAGGGAGGACAGGTACCGGCCATTACAAGTCCGGAGAAGCTGAAGAGCGCAATACAAAGCCGGCCAGGGGGGTAATGTACGTTACATACCAGATTCGCCAATTTCGGTACGGTATATACGTCGTGTACACATCTGTACTGTGTGTAATTACATCCTACCCCAGCTCGCTTCCTTGATTGAAGCTCTTGCCCCACCCGTGCCTTGTCGCATCTCAACACCACCAACAGCTAACTCCCGGTTTCCCCTTGCCATCACAGTCTTACACAGCTCGTTGCCCGCCATCTTTTGTCGTTTCGAGCCGCCTCGGAGGTTATTCCCAGTGGTGACGCCGTCTCCATCTTGCGCTCCGACCGCGAGTAACGCATCCCACCACCAACAACATAGCCCACCAAGACAGCAACCCCTCCTACCCTCCCGTCTGACACCGCGCCACCAACAACTTGTCGCTGATTGTAGGACGAACGGAGCTGTACTGACAGCATCTCTGCCGACTGTAAACGACCTATCCCGCGCGCACGAAACACTGAGCAACCCCGACCCAGAGGCCCACCGCGAGAACCAACCATGCAGCCGACGCAATACCTTCTTGTTTCCCTGCCGCTCAGAATATTCGATGATGATCCCCTAGCGGCGTTGACCGCTACTGTCGGGCGAGACAATGGCGAGACCGTACCGTTTTCGATACCCTCGTTCAAGATCGGCACCCTCGATGCTCTAGTGCAGCACGCAGATGACCTCGCGAAGCTCAATGCCTCGTGCGAAGCCGCGGTCGCCAAGGTGGCGGATTCGCTCAAGGGGATTCTAGACGGTGACGAAGAGAAGACTGCGGAACAGAAAATGGTCAACGACAGTGAGCATTGTGTTCCCAGAAGCCGGTCATCCGGTCTCCGATCATGTCTGACAGCTGTCTGCAGAGCCCACGGATCATTATCTGCGCAACTTCCAATGGGATAAAGTCAGATACCGGGCCGACCGACCCTTGGGGGAGCTAATTGGGAACTTACAAAAGGAGCTGCAAAACATCGACAATGATGTCAAGGCCAAGTTCAACCAGTACAGCGGGATCAAGTCCACACTGGCGGCGTTGCAGAGGAAGCAGACGTAAGCTCGCCGGTAACCCTTTTCTTTGGCTAGAAGCGCTAACGCTATATGCAACAGTGGAAACCTGGCGACCAAATCACTGACGCCCATCGTCAAGCCGAGCCTACTCGTACAGGACTCGGAGTACCTAGAGACCCATCTTATCGTGGTACCGACAAACGCGCGCAAAGACTTCCTCCGCAGTTACGAGACCCTCGCTCCCATGGTGGTGCCACGGTCGTCGATCCAGGTGGCCCAGGACGACGAATTCACGCTCTTTGCGGTAACAACCTTCAAGAAGACCAGCGCCGAGTTTCTACAAAAGTGCCGGGAGCAGAAATGGACGCCCCGGCAGTACAAGTATGTCGAAGGGGGCAAGGAAGAGGAGCAGCGTGAGCTCGACCGCATCGCGCGGGAGGAGAAGAAGGTCTGGGGTGAAGCTCTAAGGCTCGGCCGGACGGGCTGGAGCGAGACCGCCATGATCTTGGCCCACGTTATGACGCTACGAGTGTTTGTCGAGACGGTCCTCAGATACGGCTTGCCGCTCGAGTTTGTTTGCGCGCTCGTCAAGGTAGGAACCCGTGCCACATCCAATCCATCATGCTCCATAACGTTGCTGACTCCGGTGACAGACGACCCCGAAACAGGCAAGGAAGGTGAAGACGGCGCTGGACTCGGCCTACTCGTACCTCGGCGGAAATGCGCTGGGCAGGGACAAGCGGGGACGGGTCACCAAGGACGACGCGTCGCTGACGTCAGAGATGGCCGCTGTCGGGCTGGGCGCCGCCGAGGGCAGCGAGTACACGGCCTATGTGTATTACGAAATTGAGTTTCCATAAACTGCCTGCTTGACGCATGTGGCAGCGCAGTCGGGACGGGTAACGGCGGAGCAATAGAATGTGTGGCTTGAGCCATTTAATGACAGGGTGTTGTTCAAGATCCGTTTTTGCCGGTCCAGGCCGGATTTGGGTGTGAGAAGACAGCAAAATGCCGCTATTTCTTTCACTGCCAACCCGCGATATATGGTCTACATATCTCCAGCGCCGTGGGAGATTCAAGCCCAAACCAGACCCCCCTCCCCCAATCATCATCTCGTCTCCCGCGTCTCGCTAATCAGCCCCTTCTCAGCCAAATAATCCACAATCTTGCGCACGCACTCCTCCACGCTGAGCTGGTCGGTGCGGATCGTGATCTCGGGCGCCTCGGGCGCCTCGTAGGGCGCCGAGATGCCCGTGAAGTCCTTGATCTCACCGGCGCGGGCCTTCTTGTAGAGCCCCTTGGGGTCCCGCTTCTCGGCCTCTTCCAGGGACACGTCCACAAACACCTCGATGAAGGGCAGCGCGTCGTCGCCGGCCTGGGACCCGCTCGCGTGCAGGTCCCGCGCGATCTGTCGGTCGGCGCGGTAGGGGGAGATGAAGGAGGTCAGGGCGATGGTGGAGGAGTCGGCGAAGAGCTTGGCGACCTGTTTGTTTTGTGGGTGAGTATGGTAGATAAGGCTAGAGGGGGGAGAAGGGGATTTCGAGGAGGGGGACATACCTCGGCGATGCGGCGGATGTTCTCGTTGCGGTCCTTTTCCGAGAAGCCCAGGTCCTTGTTCAGCCCGAAGCGCACGTTGTCGCCGTCGAGGCGGTAGGCGGCCACGCCGATGTGGAGCAGGTGCTGCTCGAGGGCGGTTGCGACGGTCGACTTGCCCGAGGCCGACAGGCCCGTGAACCACACGGTGAAGCCGCGCTGGCCGCGCAGCTGGTTCCGCTCGTGCCGGGTGAGCGACGGGTGCCAGGTGATGTTGCTGTGTCTCTGTTTAGCGGTGGTTTTCTTTTTCACAATTGGCATTCCTGGCGAGGCACGCGGACCCCCCAGCATGTAAGAACTGGAAAAGGGACTTACGTGGCCATGGTATATGTTAAGCCGCTGGTAACCCCTCGAGTTGAGATATATATTCCCCTCTGGTCCGATCCGGCAAAGGAGTGAAGCAAGACTCGTAACTGACGACGAAATAAAGTATCCTCGACGGTGGATCAAGGAGGGGGTTAATGGTTAAATTTGATCAGAATACACTTAAAAGAAAGTTACAGATGTATGGGCACAGCGGCTTATAATGACAGACGGTAGTAAACAGTGGGGCAAGACCGGTTCTTGTCTCAAGTCCGAGTCCCGTTGCTGCCGCCGTTCCCCTGGATGAGTGATGCGAACTCGTCCTACCCTCCGGTCCGGCGCGGGGCACCACGCGAGGGGACCCCACCAACCCGCGCTGCAGCAAATGGCGTCATTTTAGTACGAAACTGATGACCCCACCGTCGGGACGTCGCTCTTGTTCAGGTCGCAGCTGGCGGGGGGTCGTGGAGACTTGGCGGGCGGTCCTCGGCTAAACTTCGCGGAGGGTCCAAAAATCTGGACCCCCCGCCAAACTGCGAAAGTTTCCATTGTGCACTGACAATTTTAGTTACAAGTAATTAAGTGAAATATAGACTTATCTCTAGATACATATGCTTAACATATGTAAATAAAAAAAATATATTCTAAGTAACTTTAGAGTTTTTTTAATATAATATTAACCCTAATTCTAATTCTAATTTAATTCTAACCTCTAAGCCTAATTCTAACCTATCTTAACCCTAACTCTAACTTTTATATAATCTTTACATATGCTAAGCATATGTAAATAAATATAATATATTAACCCTAATCCTAACCCTAATCCTAACCCTAATCCTAACCTCTAACCCTAATTCTAACCTTTTATATTAACTCTAATTCTAACTTTTATATTTAATTATATTTAAAATATAGCATATGCTTAGCATATGCTGTAATTATTTCATTTAATTACCTGTAATTAAAATTGTCAATGTGCAATGAAAAATGTAACACTCTAGCGGGGGGTCCAGATTTTTGGACCCTCCGCGAAGTTTAGCCGAGGACCGCCCGCCAAGTATTCAGGACCCCCCGCCATGTGTATACTCGCTCTTGTTTCCTCCGGGTTGTTTCCTCCCTCCGCTTACGAGCGTACCTTGCCTCCATTGGATCATTTGGATGCAGGACAGCGCACGGTACGCAGCAACACCAAGGCATTACTCATCTCGCAACAATCGTATGTTCGTCTAATCTCTCATCTCTTCTTGTCTATTCCCCAATTGGTATCCACTTCCCGCATTGCTTCCAATGGGGAGTTGGTTGGGGTAAAATCGAGGTGACCCGAGATCACCACGAATTCTAGTTCTAGTTCTAGTTCTAGCTCTAGTTCTAGCTCACCGGGTAGACCTTAGCCATTAACTGCGAGTGCGTCTCGGTTAGCAAAAACATTCGGGGTAAGGGGGAGGGATTCCGGTATGCATACTGATGCCTGTTTGGGCGAGATGTAGAGCGCGCTGGCCGTCGCCAAAATGGTCGGTTCTTGGCCCTCTTCGGTCGGCAACGTTTCGATATGGCCGTCAACCCAAGCCTTTCTGCCCTCCACCTTGACGGTAGTAGCCCGGAGCACCAGGTACTGATCCGCCATGGCGGGCGCCTTGTAGTTGATCTCCAGCTTTGCAGTCATGCCCACATTGTAGGGCAGGACGGGGAAGCAGCACCTGGCCAAGCCCTCGTCCAGCATGGTGGCTAAGAACCCTCCGTGGATAATGCCCATGTGGCCGCACAGATCCGTCCCGACGTGCGTGATCTGCACGTATGTCTTGCCCTCCCGTTCTGTCCAGCTGAATGGCGGAATGGCTATCTTACCGGGCCCGGCAAGGGTGCCGCCCGTCAGGTTGTGCTTGCGCCATGCCGGTGGTATTTTCATATGCGGGCGGGACTCTGTGAGGTCTGGATTCGTTCGCAGGGATGCGGCAAGCGGGTGCGAGTTGATGAAGTCCTCCTTGGCCTTCGCATCGTCATCCTGAGGCGCGAAGGATTGGAGGGTATCGGCATCGCTCGGTGGGGACAGGATTGCGCCCACTGACTCGTACGCTGGGGCGACGGCCATGATGAAGCCCAGTGTGGTGAAGAGCGCAATACGGCTGGCGGTGGAAGCTGCTCGGCGGAAGAAGGGGGTTTCCTTGACGGCCTGCGAGCCAGCGTTCGGTTCTAGGAGGCGGGCGCAAGCCAAAAAAAGTCAGTCAGTTACCTCGGCACATGGGGAACAGCGAGTATTACCAGTAGCGGTTGCGATGAAACGAGTGAGGGGCGCCTGGATATGGCGGGACGGTGTCGCCGGTCGCAGAGCACAGGTAGAGCGCCGTACGGCCAGGAACAGCCGGGAAGACATTCTCTAGACTGGGGCAAGAAAAAGGCCGAAGCTCGGCTTCTTATACGGCAAGATGCCGGCTTTCGCGGGTCGGTCGCGTCGCAATCCCGTCAACGCCGGCAACTCAAAAGGCGGACCCACTCCTTTTCCCGGACACGCGGAAAGTGGAATCCGCCGATTTCAGGGACCTGTCCACATGCGACCCTTGCTTGGTACTTCGTATCGTATCGATGGCGGAACGTCCCGTCTTTCAACAATGAGCGCTGGTTTAGGAATCACTCGTTCACGGTTTCCAAGAAAAAAAAAAAAGAAACCCAAAAGAAATAAAAGAAATCGAGACATCCTCATTGCCATGTGATATATGTGCTGCATCATTATTAAAAGCTGGGCCTTGCCCTGCCGTTGGCATTCAATAAGTATTTCTAGCAAAGGAATGACCTACTGTGTAGGTAGTTATATCTACCTAGATACATACATAATAGATCGACCACTAACTACGTCACGCAAACCATTGCCATGTGCTCTGTGAACATGGAATGCCATGCTTCCCCGCCACACACCTCCTTAGGTAGGCACTGACGCAATTGAATCTGTATTTGGTCCGTATGTTCCTCGTAGTCAACCCCTCATCAGACTACTCCTAGGTTTCGTCACAGACCATACACGGGATTATCCCCTGGCCAGCGCAAGCAAGTAAACACCAAATCGAATAAGTCAAGCAACATCTCAGCCTCATTATGGTAAGGAGGTCAAACAGCAAAAACATACACCCTCAATGATAACATCCTCCAGGCGACAGCAGAGACAGTCAACCTCAGCGACCCGCACGAACCCGACGAGGAATCCCTTCGCGTCTACCACCAGATCGAGCACGAGCTCAAAAGGTCCCTGGTGCGTCTCCGCCGGAGCTACCAGAGTAAGTCAAGCCATCCCACCCGCCCACTCCCACCCCATCACCACTCACCCCATCCATCATCCACCCAAAACCCCAAACCAACCAACCCCCCCTCCCTTCAACAGAGCACGAACGCGAGTACTTCGCCGCGGCCGAGCACCTCGACGACGCGCACCTGACAGGCTTCGGCGCCGACGACCTGTACCGGGTCCGGACGGGCGCCTCGGCCTACGGGCGGCACGTGTTCGGCAAGGTGCGCATCCCGGCCCTGCCCGACGAGGGGCGCGCCTACATCCACTTCCGGGCGTTCACCGCGGGTCCGGAGGACCAGGCGGCGTTGCATAGTATTCGTGCGTTGATCCCATCCCGTGGCTTTTGTGGGTTTGTGTTGTTGTTGTTGTTGTTGTTGTTGTTGGGGTTGGGCTGACAGGTGGTGGTGGTGGGTTTTAGATACGGAGGATGTGAAGGGGTTGGATGGGGGGCATACGTTCCGGGCGGTTTTCTTGAGGGATGATGAGTTGAAGTGGTTTGATACTTAGGGGAGGTAGGGGCTGTCTTGGTCATGGATAGCCGAATGGGCGACGATGCTTTGATATATAAGACCCCGCTACTTGATGGGTCCTTTAACCATCTAGATCATCTTCTCCAGCCAGCATTTCCGCGTAGTCCTCGGCCGATGCGAATGTAGGCAGGCTCTTCATCTCCTTCCGGTTGAGCCTACCCTTGCGGCCTGGCCTAGAAGGCTCAACCGCGGCTTCTTCTTCCTCCACCTCGTCCCCAGACCCAGCTTCCTCTTCCTCGCTCGCGCCGGCTTCGTCGCTCATGTCGGAATCGTCAAAGATGCCCTCGAACCCATCTTCGCCCTCCGAGTCTGACATCTTGTCCTCAGCGTCAAGACCATCGACATCCATGTCGTTGTCCGAGTAATCGTATTCCGCCAGGTCCACGTCGGATTCCTCTTCGCCCTCCGCACCCTCGATGTCCGGCCGAGAGTTGACAAGCGCATCCCAAATCTCCTCTTCTCCCTCGCCTTCCTCGTCCGACACAGCCTGGCCGTCCGCCGCCTTCTTGATGCGGGAAGCCTCCCTCGGCTTGTTGACGCGGGCAAAGTACTCGTGGAAGAACACGTCTTCGGCAGAAACCTGGTCGAGTTTGAGATTCCAGAAGGACGAAGAGTTGACGACCGGTTGCTGTCTGGCGTTGGCTTTGCTTGATGCCACAATGTGCGACGCGCCGCCAGAAGCGAGAATCGGCTGCATGATCGAACCCCCGCGCTTGGATTCCTCTGCCTTGGGGTTGCGGTAGACAAACTTATCGAGGAAGTGCATCAGGGTGTGGTTGGCCAGGTCTGGCCGAGGCAGCGCCTTTTGTCGAGTGATTAAGTTGTCGGCAAACACGCTTACCGAAGGATGGAAGTGGTGAAGGAAGGGTATCTGTACTCGATTAGTCAACAAGATTCGCATACCCCTCGGCCGAACTTAATCACGTACCAATTCCCAGAGGCAACTCCGATGCGCGTTGCTGTGCTCGGGATTCCGCTTTCGGCCGTCATACACCGCCGTGCTCTGAGTGCCCGATTCAGGGGGTGCCTGTGAGGCAGCCTCCACCTCTGGAGTGTCCTCTCGAACGTCGTGGTAAACCTCTTCGCCGTCGTCTTCGTTATCTTCTGGTTCATCCAACAGGGTGTGCAGGTCGGGGAACGTTGTCCGCAATTCGAAGATGAGAAATAGGATGCCGCACGCAAATGACGGCTGGTGCAGGCTCAGCACCTGGATCAGCCTCTTCACAAACGCCTTGACCCGACGGACGTCGACGTCATTCTTCAGGGCCCGGAACAGAAGGTTGAGATACAGCGCGTGTTTTGACGATGTGACGAGTCTGGGGTCCAGGAGTGACTCGTACAGGGTCCGGTAAAACCTGTCGACGGCGAGCTGCTTTGAAGTAGCGAGCTGCTGGATGAGCATCAACGCTTGCACGCTGGTGTTGAAATTAGACGAATGCGTGATCCTGAACAGCGTGTCAAGGTGCTTCTCCAACGTCGAATCCTCGGCAGTAGCGAAAGGGATCGCACGGTTGACACCGGTCAACAGAGATGAGACAAGCTTCTGCGCCGTTTCCTGCTCATTCACCGGAGCTGCCGGACTAGACGCCCCCTTTTTCTTCGACTTTTTCCGGGGGCGGCCCTTTGTTTTGTCCCCCTCGTGGGCCTCGATGTCACCCAAGGACCCGGTCTTCAAGAGAGAGAGGAACATCTCAAAGTAGATGCGCAGGAGCGTGTCGGCAACGGCCGGTTCCTTGGTGTTCAGGATTGTTTGGTTGAGGGTGTTGACGGCGGTATATTTCGTGCGTAAGCTCTGCCCGGGCTTCAGCAAAAGCTCCTGTTCCACGGTGCTAATGACAATCGCCTTCATCCCTGGGTGGATGTTGAGGAGTTGTAGGATGAGATACGAGGCCCGTGAAGCAATTTTCCGTTCCCGATCGCCGAGCTTGTTCACCAGAAGCCGCAGCAAGTTGGCCTCTTGTTCTGGCTTGTTCTTGAGTAAGCCGAATACGAAATCAAGTGCTCGCGACCTCGAGTACTCGATTTCGTCGGCGCACCAGTTCTCCAACAGCTGAATGATACGGAAGTAGGCACCTTTAAGCCAGTCCTCGTACGCCCACATCATCAGGTGCGGGGCCGTCAACTTTCCTGGAAGTTTGTATCCTTCTGTCCAAGGCGGACCGGGTTTCTCGTTGACAGCCCCAATTAACGCAGGTTGGGCGTTGAAAGAATGGAGACGGCGGTCACTGGGAAGCACCGTCCCGTTCCCCAACAAGTCGACGAGGGCCCCCAGAGCGGCAATTGCTTGACCACGGCTTCTTTTTCCCGCCAAAGTGACCAAGCTCTCAAATCCCTTTCGGTTGTGGAGGGGTGACTCCTGGATTGAAAGGGTTAAGGCAGAGACCTTATCCGACAGGGTTCCGGACGACATGATGGTGGACATAAACTTTTGCGTCGAGCTGGATGCTCGCTTCGCGTGATAACTGGAGGAGTCTTCCTCCAACAACTTCTCCGCGTATGCCTTCAGGTTCGAAATGGAAGCCGGATGTGGTTTGCTATCGCTTGGCCCACCCGAAGACAGGCCGTCGAGAGAGAGACCATGCCAATCAGAGCGAGGTTCGAATATCTGGGCCACGTTAGCTGCGATCCGCGGTTCTAACAATGTTAGACACTGCGAGACTGCTTACTCACCAACTTCCCGGACTGCTTCCCTTGCCGGACTTCTTGCGGCTGCGCTACGGGTTTGCTGATCTCCTTCTCCACGACCTCCTCCTCACTCTCGCTGCTGGCCTCCTCCTCCGCGGCATCTGACTCTTCAGAAGCTTCTGATTCTTCATCCGTCGCCGGGTCCTCAGTTTCCTGGAACTTGCTGAAGCCAAGGCTGGATGCAAATTGGGCAAGCTCATCTCTCAGCGACCTGTCGACAACCGGTTCCGACGAAACCTTAGGGCGAGGGGCTTCGCCGCCTTCATCGCCAGAATCAACATTGGCGACTAGCTCCAGGTCGTCTTCATTCCCTCCTAACGCCAAAATCTCGTCCAGAAGGGCATTTGTCTGCTTGTTTTTCTTCCCACTACCGAGATCCCCCTGTGGCTTGGAATCGGAAGGACGGGTTTGGCGCTTCTTGGGTTCGTGCCCCTCGTCGGCTTCGCGCTGTCTCTTTCGCTTCGGCGGGCGCTCCTTCTCGGAATCGGCGAGGGACTTGTCGATTTGGCTTGTCAGCTGAGCAAGTGCCGTCTTGTCGAAGCTCGGCTTTTCAACCTTCTTCTTGTCTTTTGTCCGTTTTGCACCCATTGCGACGGCTGTTGTTGCTGGTTGCTTGCCGAAAATGTCAAACGAGCAAAGAAAAAAAAAGAAAAAAAGTCGAGAACCCTGCAGGTGGGGGACCCACAGCGACCTGCAGCATTCAACTCAAATTCGGCCCCACCGTAGCCAAAAAAAAGCCCGGGCCGATCGAGAAACAACTCCTCATTCACATTCGGGAGTCTCCATGTTTCTGACTTATACATTGGCCTCTTAGCAATACCTATTAAGAGCGTTCATGAGTCGGGAGTGGAGCAGCGTCACTTGAGGCTTGAGGGATGATTCCGCCAGCAGTGGCCCGCCTCTCGAGGGTGTGGTTCCCAAGCGGTGGAATCGCCGTCTCGGGGGTTGAAGATGCTCACGCAAAGCTGATCCGCGCCGGCTTCTTGCGTCAATCAAATGCTGGCATGTTCCATATGCTACCCTTAGGGCACCGGGTACAAGACAAGGTAGAGCGACTTGTTGCTGGCCACATGGAGGAGCTGCTGGGTAAGTCCTGAGCGCATTGCATCCAATGATGCGCCGTAGCACCCCTCGGCTTACACGTTCCTCATGCCATGGGTGACAGCTGCGTCTAGGGTCTCGTTGTCCTCCATATCGGCAGAATCATTGTGGGAAAAGAGTGGCCGCTTGGACAGCGTTGCGTCCGAGGTTCGTGTCCACGCCCACATACTTGTCATGCTATTGTATTATAGACCAAATGATGCTGAGTCTAGTTGATTTTCATAGCTCTTTCGTTTCTCTGACCGCAGGGACGTACCTTACTTGCTCGCCCCCACGCACGAGGAGGAGATTACCTCGCTCACGGCCCGGTCGGTGAAGTCATACAAGGAACTCCCGCTTCGGCTGTACCAGATCACGCGCAAGTATCGTGATGAGTTCCGTCCGCGTCACGGCCTCCTCCGTGGGCGAGAGTTTATCATGAAGGACTTGTACACCTTCGACAGCAGTATCGATTCGGCCCTCGAGACGTATAACGATGTGCGTTCCGTCTACAGCCGAATCTTTTCCGATATGAAACTGCCCGTTCTATCCGCCAATGCTAGCTCTGGTGATATGGGAGGCGACCTCAGCCACGAATATCACCTTCCCATGCCGTTAGGGGAGGATCGGGTCATCAGTTGCAACAGTTGTAACTATGTGGTCAACGAGGAGGTAGCCAACACGGCCATATCCGAGGAGGCCGCCGTTGATAGCCCCTTCGAAATCTGGCGGGGCATCACCAAGGATCGGACGAAGCTGGTCAACGTTTGGTACCCCAAGTGGACCCGGCCACGGGACGGCGGAGAACTGCGCGAGTACACCGATCAAGACATCAACCTATCCGAGGTGAAATCCATCGTGCCCGACCTCGACACAGCGGTAGAGGATGCCCTCCCCTTCTGGTCAACCGCCATCGCCGCCGAGACAAGAACGGCGACGGAGATAATCAACGTCGTCGACGGCCGTCTCCCATCTTCACTAGCGGGCAGTCTCAGCGGACCTACACCGAACCCTTCCAGCTGGCCCTCGGGATTGAGCCCCCCGGCAACCCCACTACGCACCTCCGCTCTTCATACAACAAGTGACGGCAGCGGCGTCCTCAACCTCCTGCGCATCCGCACCGGCGACAAGTGCACCCAATGCTCATCGGGCCACCTCAAGGTGGAGCGGGCCATGGAACTCGGCCACACCTTCTTCCTCGGCACAAGATACTCAAAACCCTTGGGCGCCATGGCCACCATCCCGCCCGCGACACAACCGTCGCCCTTCCAGATGGGATGCTACGGCATCGGCATCTCCCGCATCATGGGGGCGGCTGCGGAACTCCTGGCCGACAAGACGGGTCTGAACTGGCCCGCCGCGATCGCGCCGTACTCGTGCGTCGTTATCCCCGGAAAGGACGCCGACGACAGTGATGCCATGCAAGTCTGCCACCAGATCAACAGCATATCGGGGCCTGAGGGGCGGGTCGTTGACGTTGTTCTCGACGACCGGTCGAAATCGTTGCCGTGGAAGTTGTCCGATGCCGACCTCATCGGTTTTCCGGTCATTGTTTTGCTTGGGAGGGAGTGGCGCGAAGCGAAGCGGGTTGAGGTGCAGTGTCGCAGGTTGGGGGTGAAGCAGTCAGTCGAGATCGCCGACTTGCCGGGCGTGGTGGGAAAGCTACATGCGTCTCTGTAAAGAACCAGCGGAACAGCGGAGACACTTTTCCCGGTTAGGTATCTATGATGGCGCCGATATGCTAAGATGTATTATATTGTATGGTTCATCGTGTGTCACTAGAGGAGTGGGCGCGGCTGAACTACTCAAATGTCTCAAAGCCCTGCTAGACAAGAAGCCCTCCTTTGCAACCTACCAATCGTAAGTAAGACTTAAAGACAACGTTCTAAATACTGATTCTTAGCAGACGTTACTTATGGCTGGTTCTCATTTCCAACCGGCGTATAATGAATACACAAGCTGCGGGGCTCTATGCCGTTGCCGGCGCCTTATTTCCCTACCCTAAAGGACAATATCTTTCCAAGGTTAGTAATAATTTTGAGTACCATGCCGCGAATTTTGAAACTCACATCGTTTTTGCCTACCGACACTATTTGGTCGTCGGCAACCCGTGTTCCACCAACCCCCTCGATGTACGCGATAGGCGCATCCCCCATGATCTTCCTCGCCACATCTGCCACCGTCGAATTCTTCTTTACTAGGACGCAATCCCTAAACGCCTGCTTTGACTCGCCAGACCCGGACCCGAATGTCGCGGTATTCCTGACCGGATACACCGGTACCAACCCCAGTATCTCGGCCGCCTTGGACAATACTTGGACCACCCCTGTGGACCCAAACCTGTAGAGCACCATATCTTTGAGGTTCTCTATCCTGTTACGGTTCTTTTCATCCAGCTCTTTCAGCCCTCCGCCGTCGGGGTCGCCGTCTGCTATTAAGTCTTCCCTCGTGTCGACGAACTCGCTGCCCTCTGTGTATTTAATATACCCTTGCTTAGCCAGCTTTCGGAGGAAGATTTCTGACACAGCCGAGCAGAGCACAATCGTGTTGGGGTCTTGCATCTTTGCGATCTTGGCGATATTCTTGTCCGCGTCGGGGTGGTCGATCTTGTTGAGCGCGATGACTGTCGGGAACTTTTCGTCGGTAAACGCGTTGACTACACGGTCGATGGTCTCGTCTGAGGTTGGGCGTTGTTTGTTAGTACATACACCCCTTCTCAAAGGCTGGCGAGGAACGCACCGCTCCATTCCTCCAACGCCTCCTTCAGCCCCAGCTTATCCAGCGTGCGCGCCACCACCGACGACGTACTCCCATACCCGCTGAACTGGTTCTGCAGCGTCTCCACGGCCGTCGCCTTGACAGCGATATGGCGCCTCTTGATGGACCCCCACTTCTCCATCAAGTTCCCCCTGATCCACGCGACGATCTCGCTGCGCAGCCAGGCGATGTCAACACTCGGGTCGTAGCCGCGCGTGTTCTTGCCCTCGGCGTCGGTGGTGCCGGACACGTCGACGACGTGGATCAGCGCGTCGGCGTGCCGCAGGTCGTCCAGGAACTTGTTGCCCAGCCCCTTGCCCTGGTGCGCCCCGGGCACCAGGCCCGCCACGTCGAGCAGCTCGATCGGCACGCTGCGCCGCCCGCCCACGCACGCCCCGTAGTTGGGCCGGCACCGCTCCGACACGCCGTGCCGCGCGCACGCGCAGTCGATCTGGAGGTAGCCGATCGCGCGTTGCGGGTCGATGGTGGTGAACCTGCGGCGGGAAGAGAGGGTGAGGGGTTAGCGATGGGAAGTATGAGGGGGGCGGGTGGTGGTGGCGGATATGCCGGGGAGGGTGTTGGTCGTAACGTAACGTACGGGAAGTTTCCTGCTCAGGGGCCCGTATCAGCAACCTGGAGGCCCTCGGTATAGACCGCGCTTCAGGGACACGCAGGAGATGGCTTTGGTTTCTACCCACCGACTTTGGAAGTGGCATCTGTGAGCGAGTTGAGCGTGCTCGACTTGCCCGCGCTGGGCTTGCCAACTAGGCCAATTAAAGGATCGCGAGGCATCTTGATGAGATTCTATTTGGAACGACTTCGGGAGTTCAGGTCGAAAGACCACTGCGTCCGGAAAGATGCGCGATGATCGCAACCGTTCAGTTCGAAAATATGTGCCCCGCTTCTGATAAGAGACTCAGAAGTGGACGATAAGCCCACTCAGTATGGAGGGGCAAGTCAAGCTCCCCTGCAACGAGGCCTCGAATCTCAACAATGAACTCGAAGAGCCAAGTCCTAGAATAATTTCACTCTCTCGAAAGCCACTGCGTTTCGTGTATGTTATTGGCCTTGCAAGATGTAATCTTCGCAAGTTTGCGGGCTGGACTGTTTGTTTTGTTATCCTACCTGCAGCATTAGTACTGTGAGGTCAGTGGCGCATATTCGTCTCGAATGCATGGATGCAGTCTCCATCTGTACATCGCAAATACCAAGCTACCTAAGAGAGGTGCCGACGTACTCAATTTGAACAGCCTCTGGTATCCCAATTATACAACTACCTAGATCCCTATGCATCGGCCAACGCTACCAATTCAAAGCCTCCCGGCTTGGGGACGCCTCAACGGCGTCTCATTTCACAACATCAACGTCATCAATACCGAGGGCAAGGGATATGGCGTCGTTAGTAACGAAGACCTAAAAGTTACGGATGAGACAACCGATGCCTTGCACTTGCTCACCGTGCCACACGACCTTGTGTTGAATGCCGCGGCTGTGGAGGAATACGCGAAAGAGGACAAGAACTTCAGACAGCTCCTCGATGTCATCGGCCATCGTGTAACAGAACCCCCCCCTTTTAGATTCATGTCCTACGGATGAACTATAACTAACGAGCTTACAGTCTACACGTGCCGACGTGTTGCTGTTCCTCCTCGTCCAAGTTGTACTCGCTTCCCGACCTAGCCACACCGATGTGGGGTTATCAAACCCTTGGACCGAGTACCTCCAGTTTCTACCAGAGACGGTCCTAGTGCCTACATTATGGACTGAGGATGAGAGGCTTCTGCTTCGAGGCACATCTCTCGAAGCAGCTGTCGACGCCAAGATATCAGCCCTCGACGCCGAGTTTGAGCAAGTTAGGGAGAAGTCGTCCGACATTATCGCTTGGAACGACCTCCTCTGGGCAGAGGGTGTCCCGGTCTCGTTTACCGACTGGATCCGCCTCGACGCACTGTACCGCTCCCGATGCTTGGAGCTGCCGAGATCCGGCGAGTCCATGGTCCCCTGCATCGACATGATCAACCACTCGGCGACTCCTTCTGCCTACTACGACGAGAACCCCAAGGACGAGGTGATCCTTGCCCTGCGCCCAGGAGTCAGCATCTCGAAAGACGATGAAATCACCATCAGTTACGGCGACAGCAAGTCCGCCGCAGAAATGCTCTTCAGCTACGGTTTCATCGACCCCGTGTCGTCAGCCGACAGCCTGGTGTTGCTCCTACACCCATTCCCCGACGACCCGCTCGCCAAAGCGAAGCTTGTCGCCTTCGGGGGGCCGCCCAAAATCCACGTGGCGCGGCGGGTGGGAGAGGAAGGAGGAGGCGGCAGCAGCAGCACCACCAACACCAACAAGAACGGCCCCGTCGGGTGGACGAGCCCGTTCGCGTACCTGATGTGCGTCAACGAGGAGGACGGGCTGGAGTTCCGCGTGCTGCAGCAGACCGACGGCGCCCAGCAGCTGCGCGTGTTCTGGCGGGAGGAGGACGTCACGGATCGGACGGGCGACTTCGAGACGCTAGTCCGGAACCACCCGCTTGCTGCCGTGCTGAGGCTGCGGGTCGTCACAGTCGTTCAGGGGGCTCTGCAGGCGCAACTGGAGCGGTTGAGCGCGGTCCCCGATCCGGGTGATGCTCCCCTGCAGCAGAGGGAGGATTGTGTCAAGACCGCCGCGGTCCTGCGCGAGATCGAGATGAATATTCTCGAAGGCGCGATCGAAGGCCTCGAGGACGAGGTAAGCCCCACAGAAACACCCCCTTGTTTGGTTGCAGAACACCACGAGGATCTGCATGAGACACCATACAGATCGGGTTTAGGGCACTAACGAGGGTTGTGCTGCAGAAAACCACGCTGCTGGCTGACGAAAACGTGGTGGCTTATCTCGGACTGACGGAAGCTGCCGAATCGGGCCTGGCGGGCGACGAGGCGTCCAATGAGCCCGACGACTTCAGTTGATGGTTGCCAGCAGGTGAGACAAGTCTGCGCTGCTTCGATTTCGCCTCCCGAACATCGTCATACCGCTCTGGGGCGAGGTGGGTTCATGCCAATGGCGCACCGTGAGGAAATGGATGGAAAACGGAATTTGTAACTTCGTATTCAGGAGTCGGTGTGGTTTCAAGGGCCCTTTCAAGGTGAAGAAGGCCAAAACCCGTTCGTTCACAGCCCCAATACATCTGTTACTATTCGTAGAAGCACGGTTATTAGTTTTTGTCGAATACCTGTTGTTCTCTGAAGCCTAGTCGTAGTCATCATATGAACGGGGTTTCACTCGAGCATGAGATGCCATGATCAATGGTAGTGCTTGTGTTTCTCGAGAAATTGCAAACAATATCCATTGCCCGCGATTGATGAGATGCGATCCATTTTGCCGGAGCTCACTTCTCGAAGTGGGTTGGTCACCTCCTGCTCCACTCCGCCGCTTTTCCAAGAATGCGGGGAAGTTGGGGTTTCCCGAACCGGAGCCTGAAGACCCTGACACGCTGAGTCGATGCTCATGCACCCCAGAGCTGTGAGTTTCTGTTGTTGATGGGAAAAGTCGGGGGCAGAGGGTCAAGCAGCCAACCGCGTGGGTTCATCATGCAGGTGAAAAGAGACTCGCGGTATCAATGGAGTCGTAAACACTCCTGACCGCTCCTCCGGGGTCGCCACTCAGTTATTGACTGGGATGTTATGCTCGGCACTGGGGTCATGACGGAAACTTGGTGGCCGCCGCGCAGGGTGGGGTTTGGTTTGGTTTCAACGTCAGATGAGGGTACATACAAGTAGTTGTTCGTACTTGGTACTTTTTAGGCCATGGAGCATGGATAAGGTATGCTCAGATTTATTGCTTCTCGAGATGAATACGCGCGGCCAGCAAGAAAAACGGCTATCCACACTCCAGAGGCGCCGTTCGTGAGGTCGTTGCACGGCGGGCTGCGCTGACTCCGGCTTTTGGCTTCGGGTCGACCTCGTTGTTCATGTTGTAACTGTGCTCAGTGTAGGCGACCTCTCCTGTACAGCAACATCGCCAAGTCTCTCCGGCATACCCTCTTCCCAATTCCTGGATACGAGTCGTCAATCGTCGTGGCGTACCATGGATTGGGCGCCTCTTGCTCAACTTTCAATTCTGGGCTGACGGAAAGCGTGCCATGGACGCTCGGTTCCATGATGCAATCGTTTTCAGCTCTTTTTCGACCGCCGGCGCATGGTCTATGAGTCTACGTAGAAACGGTGTTTTGGTGTCAAGACAGAAGGCGGGGCGACCTCACCATGTATGTACATCAAGGTATGTACATACCGTGTGAAGGCACACTTTCTGGTCCGCGAAATTAGAAAATCATACTAGTTGCGCAAATGTTCACCAGCGTTGCCACGGTGCTAGGTTAGAAGATAGTAGTAGGAGGCAGACGTAGAACGGGCGGTCGATACGAGTATTTTACTGTGTATTTCCCTCTCGTCTTGAATTTTCGCGTTCGCCGACGGTCAGACAAAACGGAAGCAGAGGGGTCTCGCGAGACCCCTGCTCTCCCCAGATTCCCCTGCCACGACTCGATGCGGAAGCCGGGCTTGACAGGGTTGGCAATTCACCATTTTGACCAATTGACGATGGCCGCCCCCACAACAACCAAGACTTCCAGGTGACCCCTGCCTCCGTTGCCAATCTTCCTCCACATCTTCGCTGCAGGCTCCGCGTGGGCCGGGCGTTCATGGTGGAAGAGCCTGCCACTGCATTGAGGTTTGTCATTCGTTTTTCCCTCATTCCCTGCAGGTGCTTTGCCATCCTTTAAAACCCACCGGCCCCGCCCTCCAAGTCACTCATCTTCACGTTGTTGGGATTTATTTCTGTTTCCCGAAATTGATAATTCGTCCACCGGTGTAGCGTTGCTATCAGTTTGTTCATGGTCAACTCTTCCGTTCCGATTATTTTAGGGTGTTCGCACCACTGAGGCTGGTTGCTGAATTCTCATCACTTCGGCATCGGCTTTACATTCACAGAGTACACGACGCCACACAACCAGGTTCCTTCTATTCCACCTGCGTATTCAATCGTCATCCCAAACGCCACTGTGCGAATGCAACAAACGTGAAGGAGAAACGGCGATAAAAACACCGCCAAAATGCCGGGAATTCTGCCCATGAAAGTCATCAAGGTGGGCACCAGCTCGCAAAGTCGTATTGCCCAGGCTTGCGACAGGTGCCGCAGCAAGAAGATCCGTTGCGATGGCATCCGCCCTACTTGCTCACAATGCGCCAATGTCGGGTTCGAGTGTCGCACCAGCGACAAACTCAGTCGCCGAGCCTTTCCGCGGGGCTACACCGAATCGTTGGAGGAACGCGTGCGGGCTCTGGAGGCCGAGGTCCGGGAATTCAAGGACTTGCTGGATGAGAAGGACGAGAAGATCGATATGCTATCGAGGATGCACGGCAATCGGCGGGCGCAGAGCGAGCAATGCCAGAGCCAACCGGCTACCGACGTAAAAAAGGATTCCGGGCCACCGGTGAAGGAGGACACGTTCCGAGTGCAAGCCTCGCCGCTGTTGTTGGGTGTTGAGAACTCGGATTCTTACTTTATGGGCGCTTCTAGCGGCCGCGGATTCATCGGTTTGTCTGGCCTTTTGCTGTGCTCACCCAGGGGAAACCGCTAACCAACCGTGCTCAGAATCCCTCAAGCGAAAGATGCAGGAGAGCGGCAAATCTTGCTCCGACTTCAACCCGGAGGCTTTCCTCCATATCCAGGGGTGCTACGCCCTCACATCAAAGCCCATCAGCCAGACGATGAGGATACCGCCGCGGTTGTTCTCAGATCGATGCGTCAATGTCTACTTCCAGGAGTGGGCGGCTCTGTTCCCCGTTCTTCACAAGCCTACCTTCCTTCGCGTCTACGAGGAATTTGTTGCGGACCCGGAGAAGATCAAGAACAACCATAAGCTAGCGCAACTCTACTTGGTCTTTGGCATCGCGGCCCTGTCTGGCGAGGAGCCCGATCTCGACCAGATCGCCGCTTGCGAACAACAATGGCAAAGGGCGTTGGAGGCAGTCCTCATGGACAACACTATGATGACGCTGCAATGTCTGTTGCTTGCGCTTGTCTACTGCACCATCAGGGCCGACTATAAGAGGCTGCAGCATTACAAGGGTATCGCCGTTGGCCTATCGCTCCGACTCGGTCTGCACCAGAGTCAGAAGCGGTTCTCTTTCGGTGTGCTCACCATTGAGACCCGGAAAAAGGTCTTCTGGACCCTCTACACTCTTGATTGCTTCTCTGCTGCCATCCTGGGCCTGCCCAAGCTTCTGAAAGAGGAAGACGTCCACACCGAGTTCCCTTCGGATACCGACGACGAGTACGTGACCGAAAAGGGGTTCCAGCCGAGCCTTCCGGGCGAGGCGACTCGGCTATCAAACGCCCTGGCTCTGTTCAGAGGAGCCCAGGTCCTGGGCAAGGTTTTAGAGAAAATTTATCCCTCTGCCACCTCTCACGAACTCTCGCTCCAGCAACTGTCTGCCCTTGGGGCGGAGCTCGATGACTGGTATGAGAAGCTGCCCGCCCACCTCAAACTCACCTTCAAGCAAGACAAGCCGTCGACCGACATTACGGGTAGCCGGTCACCAATCCTGGTAAGTAGCAAACTATTCTGGTTTAGGACCCCACACCACTAACAGAGTGCCAGGCTCTTGCGTACTACTACACTCGTACTCTGATTTACCGGCCTGCTGTCGCATCTAGCCTCGGTCCGAAGGCTGCCTCTGCGCATATTGCGGTTAGCGAATCCAGCAAGCACATCATTCAGATCATCCAACTCCTAGAAGAAAGAAGCATGTCGTTCTCTTTCTGCCTCAACAAGGCGGACACGCTTGTTCTCTGCGGCATGGTTCTATTGTACCAAACTTTGGACCTCAAGCAGGACAGCAAGATGATGAAAGACAACGAGAAGCTCGTGAACGACGTGATCAAGGCCGCCGACAAGGCAAAGGCGCCTGGTTGTTACGATTTCAAGCGAATTGCAGGAATGCTGGTTGCCGTCGACGAGCCGACACCGCAATCGCTACCCACGCCCCCCAGACATAGCCCGGATGCCCGTCTTGCGGCTCCTGCGACACAACGAACTGCGGCCAACACCGGCCACAAGACGCAGATGGGATTCGGGCGCCATATCGCTGCCAGCATGAGCGAGACTGATCTCCTACTACAGCAAGAGAAACTCCGCAGGATGACGATGCCGCAGCTTCAGCACCCACGAGGGGATCAACTAACCCCGCGTTCAAGAGGATCTTTCGACAGCCCGCGGCCGAACGTACCCCTCTCCCAACGCGACCACCGGCTATCGCTCACCCAGGCCCACGCCGCACAATCAGCAATGCTCCGCCTGTCAACCTCGCCAAACCCAAAACACCAAACCATAGACTACCTCCACCTCGATTCCCACTCCCAGCCGCCCTCCCCCGCGCAGGCCCGCGGCAACCCCCACCTCTCATCAACCCAAGCGCAGCAGGCCCAGCGCTACTCGCAACTGCAAAAAGGAGACAACGTCTCGACCGCCGAGTGGGAGGCCCTGCTCGGCTCCATCGACAGCGGGCAGCTCAACCTGTACGACGCCATCTACGGCGGGCCCGGCCTGGTGCAGGCGGGGACGCCCACCTCGGCGACGACCAACCATACCGCCGCCACGTGGTCGCCCGATCCCTGGGACCTGTCGGGGTTCAACCTCAGCGAGTTTGGGCCTGGCGCGGGCGCGGACTCGTCGCACAGCGTCGTCAGCTTGAGCGAGGACGGGCTGAGCTCGAGTGATGACTTGGTGAGCGTGGAGAGTGCGATGGATTTCAGGGGCGGGATGATACCGGTTACGACGGCGGATGGGTTTGTGCTGGATGGGTATGGGCTTTGAGATGGGGGGGTTGGCTGGTTTGGGATTTACGACAATGGTTGTTTGGTTTATCATGGGGGATCTAGGTCTGGATGGGGTGGGATGTTCGATGCTATGCTATGGTTGGTTGCGGCAACCTGGGGTTCTCGTTTTGCGATATCTGCTGCTATGTCTGCTGCTGGCGTCTGAGGGATGGTTGTTACCTAGGTATACCTACTCGTTGGGGTACGGCGTGGGGGGTGATGATGTTGGTTCTTGGGATGTTTGGAAAGGTTTGTGCACTGGGGTCTCTTAACAGGCCGGTGCTTGGTCTTTGGTACTTGGTCTTTGGTACTTGGTTCTTGGTACTTGGTCTCTGGGATGGATTTTACTTGGATATCAACAACGATTTCCTGTTTAACCCTTGGGTGCCCATGCCTCTCCGTGAAGGAGGGCTTTCTTTCACTCGCAACTCGAAACGAGGGCCTCGTGACCAGACATCGTGATCAGTATTGGACCCGCCTGCTTTTGTTGGGGCTCGGTGGATCGATCACCGAAGTCGGGAGCACATTCCTGCGTTCTCCACAGAGCTGAACCCCACTAGTTAACTGACGCCCGCCGCTTCCGTGGGGACTGACTCGAGTGGATCAACTGCTTCCGTTTCTGTGGGCATCTCGCCGGAGGGTTTGCGTGCCGCCTGATTGGGTCAGGGATGGGTTGTAACAAGAGTTCCATACGAAGTCGCTCCTCATCGATTCGCACAAAGTTGTGATGGGCGGTGGTGTTTCGAATCGCTCGAGTCAACACAGTAGTCTAGTTTGTCAACTGCCGGATCACGCATGTCTGTTTGTCAACTACCGGGTGGCTGATCGGGACTATCAGGGGCTTCTGCGGGGAGTTGTGATGGTCGGGATAGTCAGGGGCGAACAAAGCATCCCCCCGACAGTCGACTTGACTCGCAGAAACAATATGGAACGAACCGGACGAGGGTTCCTGCCTCGCTCGTCAGGGTTCCGGGGTGGGCGGGAGAGTGGCGATGGGATGGTTGACGGCGACAGGGGGATCATGCATGAGTGTGTGTCCCCTTCCGTTCGGAAGGAGGACATCGTTCTCCGGGGGTGAGCTTCCGTCCGCGCAACCCCCAGGGGTACTTGCACCTTGCAGACTGTACCTTTTTTATCCCCCAGGCGTGCGGGCGAGAGCCGTGTGCGACGCTGTGAGGTGCGGGTGGTGGTTTAGGCTAAACTGACCGGAGAGTTGGGCATGGTTTGCCTTGGAGCCGGGAATGTGTTTCGTTTCTGGTTTTGTTCTCTGTATGGAGTCCTTCACACGAATATTCAAGAGAAAGAGAGACTGGCGACAGCTGATGTCTGGTGGCACAATGCCCCATCCCCTGACCCATCAGGATCCGAATGCGGGAACCGGCAGGCCGGGGTTAGTGGGGCTTGGGCCGTGGCCTATCTCCGTTGCCGGGTTTGGAATGTGCCCGGGACCCGAACGCCACGACAAAGGGTGACGAGGCCGGAGAGAAACGGGCCATTGCTGCTGGCCTCTTACATATAACCTCGATCTGTGTAGGTGCAGGGTGGATACGCCCATAGTCACTCGTTTCGTCCCAAGTTCGACGTAAATATTGAAGCTGTCCACTCATGTCGCCCGAAGAGATGCCCCTCCTCCAAGACGGGGTGCTGCAGGCCGGCGCCTCAGGTATGTCCCGATATGCTGCCCCACTCCGGGCACTGCCCGTACCGTACCGGGCCGGGTACCAAATGGACGCTGACCCCCGTTGCCGTGTCCGATAGCCCCCGCCGAGCTCGGCTCTAAACCGCCATCACGGCTGCCACAAAACATCGGGCACCGGGGCTACAAGGCAGCCTTCCCAGAGAATTCCATGGCCGCATTCCACGGCGCCATAGCAGCCGGCGCACACGCGCTCGAGACGGACCTACACTTATCCCGCGACGGCGTGGTCGTACTGTCCCATGTGAGCAGCAGAACACTCAACGGCCCTCCTCCGTTTAGCCCGAATGATGATGCACCCTCACCCTCACCGAGTGAGTGAGTGAGTGAGTGAGTGCCGTGTGAGACAAGGGCGGCTGACGACAGCAACCCCTTTTCTCCCTAGGACGCGAGCCTCAAGCGCTGCTTCGGCATCGACACCAAGATCGCCGACTGCGACTGGTCGTACCTGCGCACGCTGCAGACGCTGCAGGAGCCCCGTCAGGGCATGCCGCGGCTGTCCGACCTGCTCGAGTGGCTGGCCCAACCGGAGCTGGCTCCGGTCTGGGTGCTGCTGGACATCAAGACCGACGACGACCCGGACCTGCTGCTGCCCGCCATCGCGCGGACCGTCGCCTCCGTCCCGTCGGGAGAGGGCGCGAAGGGCTGGGAAGAAAGGATCGTTGTCGGGTGTTGGAATGTATGGCCCCCTTTTTTTTCTTTTCACTCTACCCCCCCCTATTCCCCTACCTATCCCCTTGCCAACCCCCCAACTAACACCCCCTCCCCCCCCAAACCAGGAAAACTACATCCACCACGCCCGGCAGCACCTCCCCCACCACCCCCTCGCCTACATCGGCTTCTCGCTGCTCTACGCCCGACGCTTCCTCTCCGACGCCCACCCGGACGTGCACTTCAACCTGTTCCAGCCGAGCCTGGTCGGGCCCTTGGGGGCGCGGTTCCGGCGGGCGGCGCGCGAGCGCGGCCGCAAGCTGTTCGTGTGGACGGTCAACGAGGAGGGGTGGATGGAGTGGGCGGTGCGCAAGGGCGTCGACGGCGTCATCACCGACGAGGTTGGCCGGATGAGTGAGGTTTTGGATCGGTCTGGCTGTGACGGCGGCAGCGGCGGTGGTGGTGGTGGTGCCCCTAGTGATCGGGGGATCGGGTGGCCGCGTGCCGTGCGGTTGTATGCCGGGGCCGTGGTCTGGCAGACCCTGGCGCTGGTGGTTTCGTTGCTGCTGTGGCGCCGGTTGAATACCAGGGGGGCGAGGAGGAAGCCTGGTGGTGTGACGGTTGGCGGGAAGAGGTGATTGGCTTCGTGTGGGTGTTTGTCGGTGGGGATGTGCACTTCACTATGGGTGAGCGGGTGGTTGATGCCACCCTCCGTTCGAGGGTGTCGGCATCGGTTGGATGGCAGCCTGGAATCGGATTAGAGCCTCGCGGGTACCACCACACCACATGCATAATATTCTGCGGGGTCTAGGTAGACACGGTGATATCCGTGTTTTGTGTAATGCAGCTTCGGCGAGAATTCCATTTTGATATGCCGGCGGGCGGCCAGAAACCGACCTACGGCCACTCGATCTTTGACACGGTGCTACCCGACCTGCCTTTTATATGACGGGTGAGCTAGCGCTGTCACACAGAGAACTAGGCAGTATCGCTACGGCACTCAACACAAGGCCCAGGTGCCCTCCTGTCCGCGATGATGTATAAGACGACGCGGGGAATCCGCAAGTCGGAACGGACGACCCTTCCTCGCCATGCTCCAAGTTGCTGAAAGCGCGCCGAACACGCAAAAACGCCCGCCGTCGATGCCTCGCTCCGTCCATTTTATCTTTCCCGAGGCGAGGAAGAGGGCGAGTCGGCACCCTTCCGCCTGTGTTGTCAAAGACGTCCACCTCGGCGCGAGAGATGGCTGCGGCCGGGTCGCCGCCAAAGGTCGGGAGAGCCTCGAACCCGTCTGTGCCGACCACCTCTGCAGATACAAACGCTCCAATGGGCATCGGTGCAAAAGAACGCCACTAAGCCTCGCTCATGGCGACGCTGACCCTATTGCGGGCTGGCTCCCCAACACGGCGCAGTCGGTATACTGCGAACGTCACGAGGGGCACAGCTGCGTCGGGTTCATTCATGGCACCACACGGTGCTCCGAGACGAAGATGCAAGGAAGGGAGTACTGCTCGGCCCATGCGGCCACGCTGTGCAAGTGGAAGACGAACGATGGCTCGCTGTGTGCCGCGGAAGCCGGCAGAGGCTCAGGATATTGCACGACCCATTGCTGGTGCGAACCATCCGCTCCCAAGTCTGTCACGGGGGAAACCGGGTGAGCTAACTCAACATCTCCACGGGTATCAGCGAAATTGCAACCGAACAAGGCCACCGGTGCCCCAAGCCTCGATCCCACTCGGCCATATTCTGCAAAGGCCATCGGTGCGTCTGGAGGAACGGTGAAGGCAGGCAATGCCCCAACACCTCCTATCCCAATACCGGTGGAGTTTGTGCCCCTCACACTTGCGAGAAAGACAACTGCGGCAACGGAGCCCTGAACGACGTCGACCGTTGCTCGGAGCATGTCTGCGCGTTCCAACCCCCCCACCAGCCGAGCGACTTCCCCGTTTGCTTTGGCGAGCCGATTCAGGGGCAGCCTTTTTGTGAATCCCATGACCGCTATGTTCGACTGTATGAGCGGGCCATGCTGAATGTTTTCTCTTGAATACACACAGTAATCCGTATGGTAGCTAGGTAGTTATGGCAAGGTGACTGGTCATATTTCCCTGTGGTTGTGTTTCGGACGATGGCGTTGGAGAGGGAATATTACCGCAGATCGGAATACCGTTTTCATCCATGATAGAAGGATGATCCCGTGTCGGGCACCGAAATGTGCTGCAATGTCATATTTTGAAAAATTATGTTTGTTCGACGAGGAAATTGATGAAAGATGTGGAAGGAAGGAGGCATGTTGTTGTCGGATCTCTCCACGCAGTTCGGACCAATTTCCGACCCGTCGACGTCTTTGCCCCATCAACCCCGGAGGGAAACCCCATGCTTATCGCCCCGTCTCAGGGCTTAATGGCGTTATCTCCGCGCTGACGTGGGCAACGCAGCGCCTGGACTCAGCCCTCAGCAGCAAACGGAGGCGCTGAACATCGGGGGCTCGGGATCGCAACGCTCCGCCGATGAACGCCTCATCATAACTTTTAATATTAATACACAAATCAACCCGAGAATGCAGAATATTTTCGTGTTTTGACAATTTTGACCATTTTCACCATTCACACGATTCAAACGGCGAATTCTAGCATTCTTAACTATGGCAGAATACTCAGGCGGGAACCCTGAAGCCGATCACCTCGTCGTGCTCGTGCATGGGGTACGTCGGCCGTCGCATCGCATGCCTCCTCTGTCCAGCTACTAATGTCGCATCATGGGAACTCTAGCTATGGGGGAATCCCAACCACATGGCGTCCGTCGCCAAAGCCTTACGAGCACAATACCCACCGGAACAGGTTTACATCCTCCTCGCGAAACGCAACAGCGGGTCCTTCACCTACGATGGCATCGAACTCGGCGGCGAGCGCGTGTGTCTCGAGATTGAGGAGGAGCTGGAAGCGATCAAGAGCAAAGGCGGCAACATCACAAAGATCAGCATCGTGGGGTATTCACTAGGAGGGCTTGTCGCGCGGTACGCCATCGGGCTGCTGTTCGCGCGGGGCGTCCTAGACAAGCTCGAGTGCATGAACTTCACGGCGTTCGCCAGCCCCTTCCTCGGCGTACGGACACCGCTGCGCGGGTGGGCCAACCAGGTGTGGAACGTGCTGGGCGCGCGCACGCTCTGCATGTCGGGCCGGCAGCTCTTCGGCATCGACAAGTTCCGCGACACGGGCAAGCCGCTGATCTCGGTCCTCGCCGACCCCAACTCCATCTTCATGTCCGGCCTCGCCAAGTTCCGCCGCCACACCCTCTACACCAACATCACCAACGACCGCAGCGCCGTCTACTACACCACGGGCATCGCCAAGACCGACCCCTACACGGACCTCTCCCAGGTCACGGTGCGCTACCTGCCCGGGTGGGAGGACGTGATCCTGGACCCGGCCGACCCGGTCTCGGGGGTCGCCCCGCCGCCGGCGGACCCGGAGACGGCCAAGGCGAGCGTGGAGAAGTGGGCGAAGCGGGTGCCGTTCATCGCGGCGCTGGCGCTGTTCATCCCGCTCGGCGTGGTGGCCTTCCTGATCAACTCGGCGATCCAGACGGTGCGGTCGTCGCGCCGGGTGCGCCTGCACGAGCGCGGCCTGGCCGGCATCAAAGTGCAGGACTTCCGCGTCAACCTGTGGATCAAGGAGTTTCGCGAGGCGGTCGAGGACGCCTATGAGAATCTGAGTAGCTCGCAGAACCAGGCGTATCTCGTTGAGGATGGGGATGACGGGTCGTCGGCTGCCTCTGCGGGTGAGGAAGAGGGGGATGCTGATGGGGAGGGTGCGGACGCGTCGGGGGCGAGGAAGATGCTCGCCTTGGAGCGCAAGCGGTCGCGCACCCAGGAGGGCGGGTTCCCCACGCTGGCGCTGGCGGGGTATCAGTTTGCGGCCATCGAGGCGCTGGATAAGCTGGGGTGGAGGAAGTATCCGGTGTGGATCCACAAGCATCGCCATAGTCATGCGGCCATCATTGTGAGGATGGAGAAGGAGGGGTTTGAGGAGGGCGGGGTGGTGCTGCGGCATTGGGTGACGGCGGAGTTCTTGGTTTGAGTTGTGCCCGGTTTAGAGTCAGCGGGTTCGTCAATACTTTGTTTGTAATGGGTTGTTGGGTTGGGTTTATGGGTCAGCGGGTTGGCGTTGGTGGTGTCTTGTTAGCGCGGAGGCATTGGTGAGAAGAGGCTTGGGAGTTAAGACGTGGACAGTAGGTAGATACCATGATTATACCAGTAGACAAACCTTCGGGCTCCTGAGGGTTGCACTTCCCATGCCAGCAGAGGTTCTCATCTACTCCGCCGAAGTTAAGCAAAGGAGGGGAATGTGCTCGTAGGGGTGGGGTTATGTGAAGACAGCGTGATTCAGTCTAGTGTGCTAGATAGCTACAATTTGAGGCCCTCGTCTTCTCTCTATTTAACCACTCCGTATAAAACACCTTCGACGTCTTTCAAAGAGCCTTGGGATCCGGGATCTCAACTGTGGTGTCCATCAAGGTGCTCGCTCACTCCAGAATGCACTGGCCAGTGATATGGCCCGTAATCTTAAGCTTTCCTCATTTGGGCTAGCGCCGGTACCGACCGACCCGACAGAGTGGGCAAGGGGTCTCGATAAAATGAACGGGGCAAAAGTAGCAAAAGCAGCAACCCTCGAGAACCATCCTACGAGCCACTCAGAGGGGAAAAAAGAAGAAAAAGGAAAATAGAAACACTTGCTCAGCTTTACCTCGAGAAGTGCGATTAATACACGGCAGTCACATGCTCAGGATCATGCGGCCCTCACGCGTCGCCAAAGAAACGTCCAAGTACTTCGACAGCAACTCCACGACTGTCCTTCCCCGCCGCTCGACTCGGTCCACCCTCGCACGGTTCGCATACACCGGCGCAAACGGTAGTAACAGCAATGATGACCCGGAGGTGAAACTGGGCTCCGACATTGAAGATGCCGTCAAGGCGACAACTCCGCGCAAGCGAAAGCGCACCGAGACAGTAACCCAATCGACTCCTCGACGAGCTCCAGTGAGGGCGACAAGAGCTGAAATCAAGACCGAAATCAAGACCGAGATCGAGACTGGAATCAAAACCAAAGTCAAGACTGAGATCAAGTCAGAAGAACCCAGCTCCGATGACGAGCCAGAAACCAAACCGAAACCCCGCGGCCGGGTACGCAAGCCCGCACGGAAAACAACCGACGCGACCACGGGCGCCGTCACCGTGACACCTCCCTCCGACTGGGAAGAGATCTACGACCTCGTCAAAGAGATGCGTCTCACAGGTCCCGCGGCCAACGCAGCGGTCGACACAATGGGGTGCGAGCGACTCGCCCAGCCCAACGCCAGCGCGCGCGACCGGCGCTTCCAGACGCTCGTGGCCCTGATGCTGTCAAGCCAAACCAAGGACACGGTCAACGCCGCGGCGATGGCCCGCCTCCAGAACGAGCTGCCGCCGCACACCCCGGGCGCTCCTCCCGGCCTGAACCTGGAGAACATACTGGCCGTCGACCCGGCCGTGCTGAACGAGCTGATCGGGAAAGTCGGCTTCCACAACAACAAGACCAAGTACGCCGCCCCCCCCATAACCCAACTACCACCCCCCCCCCCCCTCCCCTCCTCACCCCCACCCAAAAACCACACCCAACTAACCCCCCACAAACAGATACCTAAAATCCACCGCCACCCTCCTCCAGTCCGCCTTCAACTCCGACATCCCGCCCACCATCGCCGGCCTGACCTCCCTGCCCGGCGTCGGGCCCAAGATGGCGCACCTCTGCATGAGCGCGACACACGGGTGGAACCGCGTCGAGGGGATCGGCGTCGACGTGCACGTGCACCGCATCACCAACCTGTGGGGGTGGCAGTCCCCGGCCTCGCGCACGCCCGAGGACACGCGCCGCGCGCTCGAGGCGTGGCTGCCGCGCGAGCGGTGGAAGGAGATTAACTGGCTGTTGGTGGGGCTGGGGCAGTCGGTTTGTTTGCCGGTGGGGAGGCGGTGTGGGGATTGTGAGGTTGGGTTGAAGGGCTTGTGTCGGAGTGCGGAGAGGGGGAAGGTGGCGGAGGGGAGGAGGCGGAGGGAGGTGGAAGTGAAAGAGGAGGTGAAGGATGAGGAGATGGAAGTGGAGGTGGAAATAGAGGGAGGGGAGGTGAAGAGAGAGACAAAGGGGGAGGTTAAGGAGGAGGAGATTGATATGGCTGAGGAGGTGGTGGGGGAGGAGGTGAGGAGAGAGGTAAAGGAAGAGGTCAAGGAGGAGGAGATCGAAATGGTTGAGGTGGTGGTAAGGGGAGGGGTAAAGGAAGAGGTCAAGGAGGAGGAGATGGAGAAGGTGGACGATGAGGATGTGAAGGGAGAGACGAAAGAAGAGGTGGAGGAGGAGATCAAGGAGGAGGCTGTAAAGGTTGAGGGTGAGCGCTTGCTGGGGGCAAAAAAAGAAAAGATTGAGGAGAAGACAGCGGTAGAAGTGAAGAAAGAAGAGGGTGAGGCGGCTGTTAATGAGGCTGTTGATGAAACGCGCTTGGGAAGCCCACGGGTGAAGGAGGAGGAGTTATGAGATGGCTATTCAGCCGGTCAAGCTGGCATGAAGTGGCGGCTCAGGAACCTGCGCCACAGCGTAGCATATGGGGTTCGGCCCATCGCTCCTTGACTCCAGGGCCATGTAGGATATGATGAGGAGGCAAACATTGGCTTTAGCATAGCGTTCCCAAGAGAACATGCTTAAAGCCAACTAGAGTTCTTTGGGGCATCGGGCGTTGAGGGTAGATCTGAGTCTCGCCTCTATACTCGGGACAATCAACGAATTCCCATACTTAGACCTGCTTCGTTGGGGGTTGTAGAATTATTTTTCTCTTCTACCTTTCTCCTTAGTTATTTCCTATCTTGTTTCTTCGCCTTTCCTTCTATTTTCAGAATTCCTTCCAATTGGACCCTGAACAACAACAAGCTTGGATCAAACTGCCGTCTCTCCCCATCCCTCGTCCCCTCCCCGTTCCATCCCGCATCTCACTCATCTCATCTCCGCTTCCGCACCCCACATGGCCAGGTCCCCGTAATGTCCCCGGCCATCCGTCATTCTTGGCGTGCATCGAGTCATCACAGCTGACGATATCGGAGGCTGCACCAGCAACCGTTCGTCATCAGGGAAGCCAGAAAACACCATCACGGCCAACAATCACGAGTTACGAATCAATGATGAAATAGCGGCTAGATTTTGGTCTGTCGGACTGGCTGAATCATATCAGCAAATCCAACCCTAGAATAGGCTGGTGCAACATCCATGAAGCAGGTGTCCTTTCTGACATCCTATCTCGCCACTTGCGCTTAGATCATGCTATGTAGCGAGGGCAATGCATCAAAATCCCATCCATCTCCCCGAACGCCATGCCAAAATACAGTAATACATGAAGACCCCCCAGCCTGTACGCCGGGCAACCTCGTGTTGCCCCCGTTGATGTTGGAGGGCGTGAATCAAATGGTGCGGGGTGAGCAACCGCTTCCGCCAGCACCCTCGGTCGCACGCTCCTCTCGAATACGAGGTCTCGCGACTTAATCTCGCTGCATCGCCGTCGGTCCGGTTTTCGTTACTGGTGCGTGTGTAAACCGTCGTCGGCGCCCGTCGTCGCGAGTAGGTAGGCTCGTTGATCAATCGGTCGGTTGATCGGTCGTCGAATGACGTCTTATGCGGTCTTGATGACCTGCGTCCGCTCCTTGTTGAGCTGCATCGCGTTCTGCTCGAACGCTTCCCTCTTGCACTTCGAAAGGAGGTCAGCCAGCGTGTCCTCGGGGAGGACTTCGGACAGGCCGACGAGCCACCACTGCGACGGCGCTGGGTAACAACTTACGTCTTCGAGGTTTTGGCACTTGTGATCCTCCAGCAGGCGGTGGTTCTTGCAGAAAGAGCCCTCGCAGAAGGTGCAGTCACCCACGATCCGCTGGGCGGCCGACTTGCAGTCCTCAAACGAACACTTGACCTTGGCCATATTGGCGTGTTGTGAATGAGATCCGAGTGGTTTCGGTGGTTGTCGGATTGATGCGACAGGTGGAGACCCCGGCCGGTAGTTGGTAGGCAGGTGCAGGAGTACGTTTGCAGTCTCGGAGCGGTGTTGTCGTTGTCGTCGTCAAGAAGATTGAGGGAGTCGGTAGGTGGGAAAGGTGCAAAGCGAAGCGGCGACAAGCTCGGGGCGCTGGCGAGACTATAAAGGGGAGGGCAGCCGGGAGGGATGGATGCCCTGGGACAACAAGGCACTCACGTGGCGGCCGGACCCTGGGAAGCGGTGGCCACCAACTGACGAGAATGGAAGCTAGCCGGACGGGCGAACTGGAAAGAGGTGGAAGCCCTTGGACAGCTGGCCCCGGTGAGGCGGCCAAGGGGCGAAGGTACAGAGGTACATACATACAAACAAGGTTTAGCCCAACCCAACCCACCAATGTCCACCGCCGGACAAAACTGGCTTTGTGATCGGGGGTTGCGTGGCGGTGGATGTTCGCAAAATCACCGCTTTTGCCCTGACTGCAATTGCTGACTCATTAAGCACGGGCCAATACTCGACCGAAGTTCTGCCGGTCCAAAACCCAGTCGTCCAGCACTTGACCCACATTGTCCGGGCATGAATACCTCTCGGTTGACGCGGTGTCCAGAAGACTTGTGACGAATCAGTCGGTGAATCAGGCTTTTTTCTAAAGGGTTCAACGGAGGTAACGGCCGGATGCTAGCACAGTAGGTTCGGGGAGGCCAAAGGCTCGTTTATGCTGCTGTCGCCCAAGCTGAGCCAACTCATGTTTATTGCGTACCTATTGTACAAGGCTCATTCGCCCGGCTTCACCATCGTCCCAGCATCCCGCTCGATGGGAGGATCCTTCTTTCGCGCAACTACCCACATAAACTCAGCCCCAAAGTCTGGATCACCCTCCTCCAATTGTCCATCGCCTGCCTGCAACACTTCGACTTGCAGTAAGTCGAATCCGATTTCTCTCAGCAGTGCTTGATTCCCGTCTATATCATAGCTACTCCAGAACATTCCATATCCCAAGAATTCCCCATGGATTTCTTCCTCGTCGACGGTTGCGAGATTGAAGACAAAGACTCCTTTAGGCTTTAGCCAACCATGGATTTTGGTGAGCATATCCTTGAGCTTTGACCGTGGAAGGTGGAACAGTGTGTAGAAACTGACTGCCCCATCGAAGGTTTCAGGCTCGAAGGTGAGTGCTGTCATGTCGCCAGCAAGCAGCTGAGCATCTGGGAAGCGGGCCTTGGCGATTTCTATTTGCTTAGTCGAGATGTCATTTGCGACTACTTGTGCGCCTTGGTCGAGAAGCAGTTGTAAGACGGGAACGCCAGGGCCACAACCAAGGTCTAGAATCGAAGGCGAAGGTTGAAGCTCCTCGAGAAGCTTCTTGGTGTATCTTTCTCGCGGTGATTTATGGCCCTCGACCCACTGCAGATACCATTCTGACATGTGGTCGTAGGCGTATTCGACAATGCCTTCAGGTGCGTCAGACATTTTGTGACGGACCGCAGTAGGTATGCGGAGAACGTGGATTAGAGATTTGTGTGGGGCTCGTGATAGCTGAGTCTGAGAGTGTATTGTGTAGGTTGTCTTGCAATGCAGGAAGAAGAACTATCTTGGGAAGGTGGCAGGTACCTACTGTGTAGGCAGGTAGCCACGAGTGTTGGGAGGTCATGTGGGGTAGGGAATGTGGGCGGTTGCCCGTCACGCGAGGTGGGCCGTGCCCACCTCACACAATTTGTTCTGAAAGTTTCAGAACCTACCTAGGTAGTATTTGTGAAATACGGTGTTTGTGTCCAGGAACATTCGGAATAAGTATTACAGTAGGTAAGTAAGAATTACTTGGTAGAGCGATTGAGCGAGGAAGAGAACCGAAATTTCGGTGGATACGAGTAATCATGTTACGTTCGATTATGCTTATCCGTACTGTAAGCCAATCCCCTTTTCGACTTGGATTTGCAGGTATGGAACCGTATTATCATTAATAACGCATGAGGCTCATTATCATGATGAATATTTCATGAATGTTTCTGGGATTCACTTGGGCATCTCTGTAATTTTCTGCTGTTGACCCTGCATGATAAGCACTTCCCTTAGCCTTCGTAGGTCACGGTAGGTGTCCGCGCTCTTGATGCTCTTATCATTGGTACACGGTATTGAATCATTGATCCATCTCTATGCTATTTTGGTCGGCAAAAGCACGAGCACCTTCAATTGTCATGGCGGTAGCGCTGGCCCAGTTCCTTACCCTACTTGTGTGTGTGCCTCATGCTTCGTCAAGACTACTTGGCTCATCTTTCGGGCTGCCAATCTTTGACATCTTCAATGTTACCGCTCCGGTCACTTTTGATTATATTGTTGTTGGAGCCGGAACGGCCGGTATCCCAGTGGCAGTTCGTCTTGCTGAGGCAGGCAGTACCGTCGCTTTGATAGAAGCCGGCTCTCTTCACTACTTGGGCAATGGCAATTTCAGCCAAGTGCCATTGTACGCTTCCGCCTTTCAGCACACGTACGCGGGCTCCCTGATAAATCCGATAGTCGACTGGAACTTGACCACGACCCCGCAAGCCGGTTTACATCGACTCTACCCACAGGGAAAGGCGGTTGGGGGAACGTCCACTAGGAGCCACCAAGCCTTCACATTCGCCCCCAAGAGCAGCTACCAGGAGTGGGCGGATGCCGTAGACGACCAATCCTACAGCTGGAACAACTTTCATCCTCACCTGATCAAGCCCATCAACTTCACCGCCCCATCGTCACACCGCTTCCCAAACAGCACGGCACGGTTTCCGCCGCACTGGAGAGGCCATACCTCGGGCCCGCTGCAACTCACATTCGGCAACTATGCCTGGCCATGGGCGTCTTGGGTCAAGAAGGCCCTCACTGGACTAGGTTTTGAAGAAAATTCGGATGGCTTCGTCGGCGGTTCGCTTCATGGCGTCGGCTATCAGCTTTCAACCCTTGATGCCACTTCTTTCACAAAGGAGACGTCAGACAGCAGCTACCTCAACGGATTGGGCATAAACAACCAAAACCTCGTTGTTTACGCCAACGCCCTGGTGACTCGAATTCTCTTCGACGCTTCCAAGACTGCGAGCGGTGTCGAATTCGACTATGGCGGTCTTCAACTCAAGATGGCTTGTAGGAAAGAGGTCATTGTGTCCGCCGGTGCTTTTCGCTCCCCGCAGCTCCTCATGCTATCCGGAATTGGCCCCAGAGCAATTCTTGAGCAACATGGAATCCGCGTCGTCTCCGACCTTGCCGGAGTGGGCCAGAATCTTGGTGACCAAGTATGCGCTGGAATCAGCAGGCGGGTCAGCATCCCAACCACCGCGGAGCTCCAATGGAATGCAGAGGCAGCCGTACAAGCTCTGAGGGATTATGGATCGAGCCCACCTCGGGGGCCATATACCACATACGCGGGTGACTTGCTTGCCTTCGAGAAGTTGCCCCAGATATACCGGCGGAAGCTGCCAACATCCATACGCAACTCGCTCGATCTACTCGATGCCGATAGACCCGAGTTGGAGTTCGTAGCCTTCTCAGCGTACGGCGGCCCTCAGCCGGGCTTTCTTGGAAGCCCGGATGGGCACAACTGGGCAACTTTAGCAGTCGCGCTTTCTTCCCCGTTCTCCCGTGGCAACGTTACTATCACGTCAGCCAGAGCGCAGGACAATCCCCTGGTCAACCCAGCTTGGATGAACGATCCCCGCGATGCCCAAATGGCTCTCCAAGGTTTCCGACGCCTACAGGACATCTTGAGCAGCACGCTTCTTCAACCTGTGTTGGTCGGTCACGAATCTTTTCCGCCTGCCTCTGTATTAAAGACGGATGCTCAGGTCCTGGAATTTGTGAAGACATACGCCAACCCGCTCTTTCAGGCTTCGGGCACGGCGAAGATGGGTCGGAAAGACGATCCGATGGCCGTAATCGACTCCAAAGCTCGCGTATTTGGCATCAACAACGTTCGCGTCGTCGATGCATCCTCTTTGCCGGTGCTTTTACCGGGCCACATCCAGGGAACGATTTGTAAGTATCAGACTGCCGCGACGAGAAGTAGGCATTGAAAAGGCATCACTAACGAGAGTCTGGGGTAGATGGACTGGCAGAGAAGATTGCGGACGACATCATTCACACGGACAAGAAGACCGCAAGACCGAGGCCATATTCTACTACTGATGTCATCCCTGAGCAGGTGCCGATGGGAAGGCATGATTGATAGGACACTTGATATGTTAATCATAGGTAGGTACTTATACAGGCGCTCAACCACTCGGTTAGGGGCCTCAAACCGACGAGCTTTTGGGGCCACCTGGGATTACATGTATGTTCCTACACCCTACATAATCGGCCTTCTGCGTCTTCCTGCCAGTACATATCCGCGCCCACCGATGTATGCTGCCAGAGGGTGAAATTTCCGTCGTACTTCTCCTTCACCCGAAGAAGCCTTTCATAGTTGTTGCCATAGTAATCCAACTTCCAGTCAGGGTTGTCGTATGTCGCTTCGTTGATGTAAGAGCCACTTCCCGGAGTCAAAGCTTTCACCCAGTCCTGCCACGTATTGACCTTTGCCTGGATGAATTGCAGATCCTGGATGCTCGTGTTGACGGCAAACGAGACGGCAGCGCTAGAAGACAAGAGAGCGTCTCGCCACGCTGGGAGCACTGCGTTGCTGTCGGGCTCGACGCCAACGTTGGCGTGTGATACGTTGTTGCTCGTGCCGCCGACAGCGATCATGCCAGGCACTGTATCGTCTTCGAGAATGCGCCGGTAAACATCCAGTAAGGCTGTCAAGTTGTCTTGGACAACCCTGGCTGGTACCAGCCGGCTTCCGATTGTGTTGTTGGAAGGGAAAGATGAATCGGCGCGGCTGGGGGGAACGAGCGTGTCGTATAGCTCCACGAAGGATGGTTTTACTATGGTCTTCCTCGCGACAAAGGCCATGTCGAGCTCTTGTGCGGCTTGGTAGAAGTCTCGAAGGATGGCGTCCATATCCGACGCTGTGCCCCCCGGCAAGGTTGCCGCGGTGAGCCTGAAGAGCCCACTACTGAAGATCCACGATGCCGACAAGCCCGGTATAAGATTGAACCGTGGACTTAGCCGGTACCATGCCTGAATTGCCGACCAGAACGACGTGGTGTTTGTACTCGTAAACACAAAAGTTGCGCCCGCGATCTGGCCGTCCGGGTGTGCCTTGACGGTCTGACTGAGAACAACGGCATAGTTGCCTGAGCCACCACCACTCAATGCCCAGTACAAGTCGGCGTTGGTTGATGGCGAAGCAATTAAATGTCTGAGGTCGGTGGTGACGACTTCGAACTTCAGCGTGTTGTCCGCAGCCAATCCATAGAGAGAAGAGAGTTGGCCGTAACCACCATTCTGGGAAAACCCTCCTGCGATTCCTACACTGGGGCATAGGCCGCCTGCCACCCGCAGACCATGCTTTGCTATAATGCTAGCCACCTCATGCGCGAGCATACCAGCCCCAATCTTGACGGCGGGCCCCGAGTATTTGGAACTTGTGTAGTTCATGTTGACCGAGACGTCTCGCAGGTTATGTGTCCACAGTGCCAACGAACCCTTTCCGGTGGAACGTCCAAGGTAATCGTGGCCCGTATTCTTGACCGACAGACGGATGTTATTTTGGCGTGCGAATTCGATGCCCGCAATGACGGTTGCTGCGTCGGTTATATTGATCGCATACGAGGAAACGTTGTCGAGGGTGCACGCCCGCGTGTGGCCGGCAGAAGACAAGAAAGGATTGCACGAATTGTTCAGCCAGAACGGCGACATGACTGCGACTGGATCATCGTAGCTAGAGCCGTAGTGAGTACATACCCTAGCTAAGCACCTCAGGCAGAGTACCTATTATGTAGTAGGTGTTCATGTACTTACTACAGGCTATTGCTGCCCCAGCCGTCTCGAACCTGGGCGCACTTTGCAGCATCTTCAAACGACGGATAGCAGGACTGAGCCAACGGCTCTCCCCGCATAAGCTTGCCACCGACTGTGTTGTTCAGACGGTCCCAATCCGCCCTTGTAGGCCACCCCGCGTCGGTGGGGAGGTAGCGGCAAGATGCATTGTGCGGTCGAGAGTGCGGTCGCGAGGGAAGTGCGAAGGCGGGTGAGAGCACTCCTAGGGCTAGTGCAAGGATAGTGCAATAATTGACCATATCTGCTTTGGTTGAGAAGAGGTGCAAGCGAATTGGACGGAAAGGACAGTCCTTCGTAAAGGGAAACAACTCGGATCGTATTTGATGCTATCAGGTAATAAAATAAAGTGGTTTACAATCCTGTCTGACAGCATTGACGCCTATTACGAGCTCCTTTCGTTCTCGGACACAATGATAATAATACCTACGTATAATACCAGGCTGTATACGGTAGGTCCGGAGGTAATCACCCCAGCGATTATCATTACACCCGGCTCTTCCGTCCGATTACGCCGCATCTTGCAGTTTAGGTATTTCCCATACACGACCCATTTTGACTAAAATGCATGTTGCGATATGTTTATCAAGCAAATATAACGTAGGTTTCCACCTCCAGACATGTCCTTGCGGCCAATGCGCCTAATTAACGCGCGCCATTCCGCCGGATTGACCACCTACACAACAGCAGCATCAGCATTCATCATGTCTACGCCACCCCTGCCCCTCATGCTCCTCTGCAACGCATGCCAGCACATGCTTGTTATATTGGTCCTTGGATTTACCGCGGCAAACTCCATGCTGCGTCCGGCTTTGCTTCCTTTGCTCCTTCTTCTTACTCTCTATACCCTTCCTCTCAACGGCGCAATCCCGCACCCTGTTGTCCATGGACTTGTCAATTTCAACACAGTCGGCGTTTTATTCCAGTATCTGGACTGTGCCTGCATTAGCCGGTGGTCGTACTCGGCCGGTGGGCCGACATCGGGTGCAGGAGGACATCGCAATCTAAGATCGGAGCCCAAGCATGACGCCAGCAAGAGCAGTAACGGCGCAGAGGATGTGTTGGGGCGATTGCGATTCGGTACTTCGCTTGTCACGACTTGGCGAGGCGCGGGGACTGCCTGGGAGGTCAAAGACACTCCACGGTTCGGGCGAGTACCGAGCCGGGCACGCTTTCTGGTCGAGTCTGCGCTGTATTTGGCATTCGAACTGCTCGTTCTCGATCTCTTGAGCCTAGCAAAGGGAGGGACACTGGAAGAGAATGCGGTGTCCTTCTCGTGGGACAGGGTTAGGTTGCTGTCACGATTGCCCGAAGTGTCCAGAGACGAGGTCATTTGCAGGCTGAAGGCCTTGTTGGAGTTCTGGGTGGGAACGTACTACGCCATACGAGCGATGCACCACATTCTGGCTATCGTGGGCGTAGTCACTGGCCTCAAAGACGTCCATCGCTGGCCGCCTCTCTTCGGGCCAATCAGCCAAACCTATACAATGCGTCGGTTCTGGGGGTGAGTCGTCCTCTGTTGAGTCCGTGCCGATTGGCACCAAAGCGTGCATACCTACCTATTAAGGTACCTTACTGATTCGACAATGTTGGCAATAGTGTATTCTGGCACCAAACTTTGCGCCAGAAGAGTGGCAGCGCAGCCTACTACACTACCTACTCGATCCTTGGACTGAGGAAGGGAGGAACAGTGACACGTCATGTTCACCTCTTCCTGACATTCATTGTGTCTGCAATCATACATCTTCTCGCCGAAGAGTATCCCTGGGGCATTGCCTGGGATCGCAGCGGCACAGCGCGCTTCTTTGTGACCCAGGCTTTCGGTATTCTGTTGGAGGACCTTGTGCAGTCCAACCTTGGCCCGCGCGAGCCGCGCTGGTGGACCAAGGCTGTAGGATGGGTCTGGGTTGCTCTCTTCATATTCTGGTCTTCGCCATCGCACTTCTATCCTCGACTCCAGGTCCTGGACCGTAGTAACGGGGGTGTTCCTCCCGTCAGCGTTCTGCGGCCGTTGATCGACCACTTGTCGGCACGCTCGGTGGCATAACCCCAAATCAGAGGTCCAATATATGTCCTTTTCGCTTTGGCTTATATATTATATATTGCCTACATCAATATAACTCCCACCACGAGACAATTCGTTTCGTCCAGGAGCAACAGATGCCTGCCGTACCCGAGTCCGTGGAACTCAATAGCACCCAACTCCCTCCAGGATACCTCGGCACTGCAACTCCGCCTGATGACCTCGGTACCTAGTATGTACAGACAAAACAAACAATAATAACGTTACAACAGATGTGGCATGGCCAATGGCAGTGTTAAAAACCGAGACTTGATATTGTTCTATTGTCTCTGCTTCGCTCTCGTGTACCTTCATTACCCTAGTTGCCTCAGCACCGAATCCACCTGATCGAACTTTGTCGTCTTCTTCACAATTCCATCCATCGCTCCAAATGGAAGCCAAGCGGCCAACTTGGCCAAGATGACATAGTGCCCTCTGAAGATAAGAGGCGGCGGCCGCGTGTTGTTCAATAAGTCCCCTGTCACAGCTCTCGCCCACTCTGCGGGTCGCATGCCTGAGCCCTTGAAGTTGTCTTGCCTCAGAATCGGTTCGAGCAGGTCTTTGGCAGGTTGGTAACATGAGCCCGCAGGCAAGATTGAATGATCGGCTCTTGTCACTGTCCTCGTGTAGTTGTTGTTGATGAGGTTGGTCGGTCCGACGGTCCCAGTCTTCAGATCGACGACTTGGACCTCGAAGCTTTCGACTTCCATGCGCAGAATGGCAGAGTACATGGCTAGAGCGGATTTCGAGGCCGCGTACGCCGCCCCGCCGGGGACAGGGAGTACGGAAGCAATCGACGTGTGGTTGACGATCATGCCCTTCGACTTGATGAGCAGTGGCAGGAACGCCTGGCACATGCGCACCGTACCCCAAAGATTGGTGTCGAACAGCTTTTTGGCCTCTTCAACGGACACGTCTGCTGCTGTCATTGTCAACATGACGGCTGCGTTGTTGACCAAGATGTCAAGGCTCGGCAGCTTGCTGGCACAGCTTGCTATGGATGACGGTGATGTGACATCCAGCTCTAGTGTGTCGATCCCCGATGCCGCGAGGTTCTTCATTTTGGAAACGTCCCTGGCTGTGGCGTAGACGTGAAGACCGGCGTTATGAAAAGCTGTTGCAAGTGCGGCGCCGAGACCGCCATCGGAGCAACCTGTGATCAGGACGCTCTTGGGGCCGCCTTCATGGCCCCGTTCAGAGGATGCGAATTGTCCCATTGGGTCACAAGCAAAAAGAACCTTAGGTAGTTGGCGGAACGATTGATGCTCTCCTTTGGAAGCATTGAGCGCCGTGAACATGGAAACGCTATCGCGATAATGATAGATTTCCATCGAGCCCCTCACTGCATGTGCTGACATGCTTACCTGGTAAATACCTGTAGGGACCTCCCTTTGGGTGCCGATTATGTGCGTTTTATCCGCTTATTTGCACAGATGATGATTACCTCTGCGCCGCTTATTCCCGTGACGATCGCAACCCGCTACATGTCACGGTACGCTTCTCTACAAACATGAACGCAGGGACGCAAAAGAGAGGAACTATCAGCAGTCCTGAGGGCACCGACATACGTTCAGGACGGGATGTTGAAAGTTACCTAGGTACCTTACTTACCTTACCTTACCTGTCTCTCCTTCGTTCAAACCCACCATGTCTTCATCTACGGCCCGTCGCACAGTCAAGTGCAAAACAATCGACGGAATTGCACTGGAAGCATGGCTCTGGGAGGTTGCAGGCCCAGCGCCCGCCATTATCATGACGCACGGCGTAAGTTCTCCCGCTGGGGGGACATAGGGGGGAATGACGCGTTTGCACAGCAAGGCTGACCATGGGTATTCCGCAGCTTAATTGCGTTAAAGAATGGAGTCTTGATGAGACAGCTGAGGGCTTCCATAAAGCAGGCTACAACGTCCTCCTGTACGATCCAAGAGGCATTGGAGGTAGCGAGGGCGTCCCCAGAAACCAGCCGGATCCGTGGCAGTACGCCGAGGATATTTCAGGTTCGTCGTTTCCACCATGGTCGCATTCCCTTTGGCTACGTGTAGCACCTGAGCTGGGTTAACGAGGGTCCATGTAGATGTCGTCAGCTACGTTATAACATTACCGACTGTCGACCCCCATAAGATCCTACTCTGGGGTATCTCCTTTGGCGCTAGTGTGACGGCATGCGCTGGCGCCGTTGATCCTCGCGTGACAGCCATCCTGATGGTCGCACCGATTTTCAAGTTTATTCGACCGGACAAGCGGAAGAAACTGTTTACACAGCTGATGAAGGACCGTCGGTCTCAGTTGAGCGGTAACGAGCCCTTATACCTACCTCCTTACGACAGCAATGGGGAAAATCCAGCAGGCTACGGCGGCTCCGGAGGACCATGTGCCAAGGAGGCGTACACGTTGATGGAACTCGGTGCCCAGCGCTATGGATACCGTAACCGCATCACCCTTCAGACATTCCACAAACTGGCACTCTTCCGTCCCCAGGACTTCTTGCAAGAGATGCTAAACAACACGCCGGTCATGATGGTCGTGCCAGAGAACGACACAATGTCTTTACCAGTGGATCAGGTCGCAGCGTTTGACTGTTTCAAGTGTCCGAAACGACTACGCATGGCCAGTAATAAAGGCCACATGGATATCCTATCAGGAGAGGGATCCACGGAGAACCTGTCTGCCATGATAGAGTTCTTCAACTCGGTTTCAAGGGAGGATCTTGTATAACTAGCCCCTCCAAATAGCGTCGCTACTACAATTTCCATCTCGCTGCAGTGGGCGCAGCACGTACGGCCATTGGCGTGGATTAGGATGCCGTCTGATTTCTGTTATCGCAACATGAACAGACGAGGGCGATCTCTCATGTTGAAGGGAAAGAGGCATCCTCATTTTGACCGTTTGCTGAGTAGTGGAGGCCAATTTCTATACCATGAATAAAAAATAATCTTTGCTCTCTACCTACGTACTTCCATTTCGACCAAGCAGTCAAGTCGCTGTTCTGACGCCAACTGGAAGTGACGTGGTGTATTGAAACGTAACAACAAGGGAGAGGATGCCAATCGCTAAACACAGAGGAAATAATGTATGTACCATGCTTGACCATTGCTGACTACCTACTCTAAATCTGTCCTTGACCATGCCACCGCTGCCTATCTAGGTAGGTAACAATCACTGTGTGAGATCATTGCGATGGCCTCGACATTCATCAAGTCAACCAAGCCAGAAGCCATCTCTTTAGCTTACCCACGGCCCTCTCGTCAACCACGCTGAGTTTATATCCCCAAGTACTGTGGGGAAACCTTGGCTTGGAATGCATGCAAGGCCTCGATGCGGTCGCGGGTCCCCAAAAGAGAGGCATACGCAGCGGTTTCGGCTTCTTCATTGGGCACGGCGAGAGCGCTCAGGGCAGCGCGGATGGCGACAGGACCTCCGGCGCTGATATCATGGGCCAACGACAAGGCAGTCGCAAGAGTAAGCCTTCTGACGGCGGAGAGATCCGGATCCGGACGGACCAATTTGCCAGAGAAGACAAGCCGGTTGCACAGGCCCATTTGCGCTGCTTCCACAGCCGACACCTGACGACCGGTGAGGACCATGTCAAGAGCGTGCGACGGGCCGACAATCCGGGAAAGCCTGTATGTGCCGCCAGCGCCGGGGATGATGGCAAGCTTGGTCTCGGGCAAGCCGACGACGGCGTTGGAGGAAAACACTCGGAGATGGCAGCACAGGGCCAGTTCCAAGCCGCCGCCGAGCGCCAGGCCCGATACGCACGCGATAGACGGGACAGGCAGCGCCGCGAGCTTGGAAAAGACGCGCCGGAGGTCCGCCAGGAAGTGCCGCGTCTCGTCGTGCGTCATGCTGTTCCGCTCTTTGAGGTCCGCTCCAGCGCAAAAGACCTTGTCGTGTGTGCTGGCGATGATGACGGCTCTCACTTCGCTCCGGCTTGCCCTGGCGTAGACCGAGTCAAGCTCCTGGTCCAACTCGAGCAATAGCTGCCTTGAGATGGCGTTCATCGACTTTGGACGGTTCAATTCGATGACGGATATTTGCCCAACATGCGCTGCGTCGACGCTGCGAGAGAGGATGGTGCGACAAGGCCGAGCGGATTCTTCCAGTTCTGTTGCTACCGTTGTCACACCATTTGTCCGACCATTTGTCCGAGCGACACAGCGGCCATGAATGGAGTCACTGGAGACGTTAGGCACATGCATTCGCTGAGCATGTGCGTTTGTGGTGTCATCGTCATCCGAATGAACACGGCGCGCTGGGAGTCATAAGGACCTATCCACCACCTCCGATTTGTTCTGCTTACCGATATAGCGAGTCCACAAGGGGTCGGTTTCGAGGCATCTGAGAGTCTCGATTGTTTCTGTGATGGTGAATTCGCAAGAGCCGTCTGGGCACTTTGGCATCACAATCACTGCTCCCACTATCGTGCCTCGTTCCGGGTGGCGGAACGCCTTGACACGGCCATCCCCAAACGCCGGTCCAAAGTCCATGTCGTAGATGTTGAACTTGAAGTGGCTCGTATATACGATGGCAGATGAGCCCAGATCCTCTTGGAAGCTCAGGCGAGTGTGGCTTTCCAGTCGGATCCTCTCCATCAGAGCAACGAGATCGCGGATTCGGTCGGCCGTCACCGCCTTCACGTCGGCACGTAGAAGGCTTGCAGCAGTGCGGAGGCCGGCCTGGGGAGACCTGAGCGCGTCAAACGGCATGTCGGTCCGCATGATGTAAAATGCGTTTCCAAAGTATGGCTTGGGCAGTCCAAGGAGCTTCCGGCAGTCGACCGGCTGACCAAACTTGGCGACAGCGTCGGCAGAGAGAGCTCCCGCTCCGTGCCTCGCGACCAAGATACTTCGCCAGATTAGCGCAGCAAGCGCATCGCCAGTCGAGATCCAATCGTCGCCGTGACGCGGGAATTCAGGAGACGCGGCCTTTTTCAGGTCCACCAGCGCCTCGCGACTGATGCGAAATGTTCTGCAGGCGTGCTCGACCCCTTTTATATTGCCGTGGGCAAATGGAGACGTAGTGAAGGCAGGATGGTTCTCTATGGCTCCAATTCTGCCCCCGCCCGAGACCAAAGCGGTCCTGTCCGAGACGTAAGTCTCTTTCGCCGTCTCCAAGGGAAGCCCGAGTTGGCCTGCCTGGGCTTTGCGAAAGTGATCTGCAAAGATCTTGAGGCACTCAGTCACTCCGCTGCCATCGATCACCGTGTGCAGAATCTGAATGACGAGGATGACGCCACCCTGAATGAGGTTGACACGGAACCGGCAGACGTCGACGGGTTCCTGCTGGATGTAGATGACCTGTGGTAAAGAACACAGCTGGTCGGCGTCGAAAAGCTTCTGATCAAAGTTTGACTTGGCAAGGTCGGCGTACGAGATTTGATCAGAAAGGTCTTTGACGTCGAGATATGCGTGTCCATTTGGTGATATATTCCGCAGCCAGGGCCGATCGCCTTCTTCCTCCGAGTTGGGTACCACAGACCCTGCGAGAAAGGGAACCCGCTGCACGGTATGGTGCAGCGCAATGTGAAGCTGCTCCACAATCTGCTCCCTGTTTGCGTTTTCTGCCGTGGCGAAGCATAGCATTCGCTTCGAGTGTGTTGGTGGGTAAGTCCGATCCCAATACGACAGTTTGAGGTCGAAAGGAGGACCCGAGATGGCGATGGATTTGTCCATTGTCGTCATTGTTGCTGCGCAGAAACCACTGCAGGCCTTGATCTCAAGTGGTCTTCTATAATCATGTGAGTTAAACGGGTCTGGGTCACATCCCTCGATACAGGGTGTGTCTTACTCGCAGTAGTGTTGACCTTGAACGTGCTTTCACCTCCCCTGCGGAGGATGAGTAGGAGGTAGATACATGTAGCTCGCAGGCTGCTGGCAGGACTGAGGCAAGATTATTGTTTACTTCTGCCATGCCATCTTACCGGTTGTATTGGGAATACTTAAATCTTTGATTGACAGCATTGTCACCTAAGCCATACCATCGACCGTCACAAAAGTTGCAAATCATTCCGTCTTGCGATGACCGAAGATACGTTGCATGCTTATAGCTGATTGGGACATAATCTGATAATCATACACCCAGCCGTAAGCTGGCCGGTAATGTCGGCTTACACCCAACTCCCGCCTCGGGGGCCATGCACAAAATCAACGCTGAACGTGACCTGGAATGCCTCGTAAATGTAGACAAGACAAATCTGTATTGCTAAGGCGACAATAGCGGGTTCTACGACGACTCCCATCATACCAAACTCTGCCACGCAGTACCAGCCAGACAGGTATGAGGTGCACGATGGAGGAAGAACCCCTGCTATCATCGACTTCACAGGATACCCGCGGCGCAGAGGGCATCGTTCAGGACGACGACCTTCATACTGCCCCGTACTCCGATTTAGAACAACCCCCAAGTCGGAGCCGGGAAGTGCCTCAAGGTGACAGCGGAGCAGGAAAAGATGACACCACAGATACTAGTGTGTTATTGGTCGTCGCGGCCTTGACCTTGACCTCCTTTTTGGTTATGCTGGACATGTCTATTCTTCCGACCGTGGGTAAACGAGCTGCTCAACAGACGGGGTATGATCGTCGCGCTAAAGAACAAGTTAGGCCATTCCGCAAATCACGACAGAGTTCCATTCCCTGAGAGACATCGGCTGGTTCGGTAGTGCATACCTATTGGCAAGGTCAGTGTGTCTTTACTGCAGTGGTGAGCCGAGGCGAGATATCTAACAGGGAGCCCCAGTTCCGTAATGCAACCATTGACGGGGAAGCTATATCTAGGCTTCGGCCTAAAGGCAAGTCAACAGGACTTGGTTAGCCCGGGGAATGCACTGTATTGTCCTAACATATAGCAAAGTATACCTTCCTCGCCTTCCTCGGAGCGTTCGAGCTGGGCTCCTTGTTGTGCGGTGTGGCACCGAGCTCGAAATTCTTCATTTTTGCGCGAGCCGCGGCGGGCTTCGGGGCGTCTGGTCTGCTGAACGGAGCGCTCAACACCATCGCTGCTATTGCTCCAATGCATAAACGCCCAGGTACGTAGGGTCGAACGCATTGCTGCGAAGGACGGAGAAGCTAAGCATCGATCCAGCACTCATCGGTTTCATGATGTTAAGTACGTCTCTACTTGTGAAGGTACAGACCTTGATTCACCCTCCCCGCTGACACCCATTGAATCAGTCAGCCAACTCGGAATGGTGGGCGGACCGTTGATCGGTGGCTTCATCACGCAGTATGCAGGCTGGCGATGGTGTAAGTCACCGTGTCTCTCTAGTTGCTCGACAGAGGTTGACTAAGTTGCGTTAGGCTTCTACATCAATTTGCCAATCGGCGCCGTCTCAGCCATTATCCTTTCCGCCCTTACCATACCGGACGGCTTCGTTCGGACTACAGCAAAGAGCACCACCAAGTTGTCGGTCTTTCTGGGCCTTGATCCAGTTGGATTCGCCCTGTTCGCCGCCTTCACAGTCACGCTCTTCATGGCTCTTCAGTGGGGTGGCGGTGTCTATGAGTGGTCAAATCCTGTCATCCTTGGACTACTGTGCGCCTCGGTCGGACTGTTTGCTTTCTTCTCCGTGTGGGAGAAGTTCGTGGGCGAGAATGCCATGTTCCCATATTCCATGCTACGCAAACGGGTCGTATGGGCGTCCTGCTTGACCATGTTTCTTTTACAGGGTTGCGCACTTGTCTACCTGTACTACCTGCCGATTTACTTTCAGGTGGTGAAAGGCGCATCCCCGTTTGCAAGCGGTCTTTATAATTCTCCAGGTATCGGGAGTCAGATGCTCTTGGCTGCAATATCTGGTGTTTTGGGTAAGTTCTTCTCAAAGCGTGAGCCTGTGCGGTCATTGCTGAATCCGTATAGTTGGGAAGATGGGCTATTATCTCCCGTGGGTTCTTGTGAGCGGGATTCTCGGTCTCGTTGGGTCGGGCTTGATATCGACGTTTACGCCTGATACCGGCCCCGCCGCCTGGATTGGCTACCAGATCATTGCTGGAGTTGGGCGAGGGTGTGGTACAACGATGGTAAGTGACTCGATACTCCTAGGTACCCAGTCTACCTGATTGCCCGACTCTGACACTTTTCTTTTATGCCAGCCCATGGTGGCGACGCAGAGGATTCTCTCGCCCGAACAAATCCCACTGGGCATGTCACTAGTAGCGTTCTGTCAATCGTTCGGCGGTTCCGTGTTCCTCACATTCGCTCAAGTCATCTTCAGCCACAGTCTTGAAGACGGTTTGAGGAGATTTGCACCCACAGTCGATATGCAAACGCTGATCGACGCTGGGGCCGCTGGCCTACGAAAAGTCGTGCCGCCTCAGGAACTGCCTGGCGTCATAGAAGCTTACAACTTGAGTTTCACAAGAGAGTTCTATCTTGCAGCGTTCGCTTACACGGCAGTCTTTTTCTCTGCTTGGGGAATGGGGTGGCACAGCCTCAAGAAATAGGAAGATGACCTTGGCTGAGCGGACAAGAAAACGGGAAAAAATACAATGCTATTAGACAAACAGAATGGCAAGGCTGGCGGGCGATGATGTACATACATCAAGGTACCATCCCTGGAGGGGTTTGTGAATAATGATAACGTTAGTCGGGCTCTCAGTGGGAGTTTGTGTATCCACCGTGGTATCCCAGAACAAGACTGCTCGGCAGACAATTATTCGAACTTTTCAACTATAAAGGCATATTAAAGAGGAGGGCTCTCCAGACTGTGCCCCTTCGCGACCCCCCCCACCCACACATACCTAAGGTACATGTAGGTACCTGGTAACTACCTAACCTCAACCTTAAACGCCATCCTTCCCCCCCCACACTTTATTTAGTCGAGAGAGCCCAATCTTAGTTTCCCTGATGAGTGTTTAACAGATCTAGGCGAACTTGAAAAGGAGGATCACAAGATAGATAATTGAACACAGCCTGGCGTCTCCGGGGACTACGATTACTACCACCGCATTGCGGGAAATCGTATCAAGTAGGTATGTTTGCACTGACTGGTATCGGTAGTTGAGGGCACCATAGAATTGTGATGTAAGCTGCAGACCTAGGTACCTCCTTACCTTTTACCAGCCGAGGGGGAGTGGCCCTTTGCCCAGATCTGACTGGCCACAATAAGCAACCACGAGTTCGTAATACATCATCAGTTGATAAGAAAAAGACTCGCCGGGAGGCTTACGGCCCATCCGTGCTTGCTTTACATCTGCACTCCTTGGCAGACTCTCACAATCCACCCACGATCGGCGGCGGGTTGCTGCCCGAGCGCTCAATATTACAACTGTCAACCGTGTTCAGATAATCATATTATTACTATTTGCACCATGTCAGCGTCAACCGGCCGCATCCTACAGTCGACCGCGGGGCCGTAGACTGGTGGCCGACTCACTACCCGCGTTGAAAAGACTCATTACACTACTTGTGCCCTTGAATTGATGGCAGGTCCTTCCTTGACACTGATGTATGCACTACTCCATCAACACTGAACACACTGTACGTTGAGTTTATATTCTACCTACCTAGACAACATGGCCGAACCAGCATACGGCAACCGGGAGCCTATCGCCATTGTAGGCTTTGCATGCCGCCTCCCGGGTGGCAACTACTCGCCACACAAGTTCTGGGAGTTTTTGAAACAAGGCGAGATCGCATACAACAAGGTTCCCGAGTCAAGATTCAACCATGCCGCCCATTACGACGGGTCGCTGAAGCCAAGGACCATGCGCCAACCGGGCGGCATGTTTCTCAAGGATATTGACCTGGCCGACTTTGATGCCACCTTCTTTGAGCTGCCGGCAGCCGAGGCTACGGCTATGGATCCTGCGCAGAGGCAGATGCTCGAGGTGGTCTACGAAGGCTTGGAGAATGCTGGCATCCCCCTTGATAAAATCAACGGCCAGTCTGTTGGCTGCTATGTCGGAAACTATGCCTCAGATTATGCAGATATGGGTGCTCGAGACCCGGAAGACCGAGCACCTGGACACGGCCTGGGAATTGCACGCACCATCCTGGCCAACCGTATAAGCCACTTCCTCAACATTCACGGACCCAGCGTCACACTTGACACAGCCTGCTCTAGCAGCCTGGTCGGCCTGGATCTCGCCTGTCAAGCTCTGCGGATGGGATCAATTAACATGGGCATCGTGGCCGCCGCCAATGTTTACATGAGCCCCGAGCACCTGATTGATGCCGGCGGAATCGGCGGGGCGCACTCGCCTACGGCTCTATGCCATACCTTTGATGCCGCTGCTGACGGCTACGTCAAGGCCGAGGCGGTCAACACAGCCATTGTCAAGAGACTTTCGGATGCCATTCGCGATCGGGACCCTATCCGTGGCGTGATTCTCGGTACAGCTTCGAACCATAACGGACGGACGATGGGCATTGCCAGCCCCAGCGCAGATGCTCAAGCGATGGCCATTCGAGCTGCCTACGCGAATGCTGGTATCACCGACTTCAACAAGACGGCCTTTTTTGAGTTCCATGGGACAGCAACGCAAGCAGGGGACGCCGCAGAGAGTCAGGGCGTTGCGTCTGTCTTCTCGGCGACCCGACCTACCGAAAATCCCTTGATCATAGGATCCGTCAAGAGCAACGTTGGCCACTCTGAGCCGGCTGCTGGCTTGACAGGTCTCATCAAGGCCGTGCTGGCCATTGAGAACGGCATGATTCCCGGCAATCCCACATTCATAAACCCCAGCCCCAAAAGTGAGTTGACACGACTGGTATTTGATTGCTGTGGAGAGGGACCCTGCTCACACGTATTCTATAGTTGACTTCGCTGGGAGCAAGATGAGGGCTACACGCACATCAATCCCATGGCCCACAGAGAATCTACGGAGAGCGTCTGTCAACTCTTTCGGCATCGGCGGCTCCAATGCCCATATCATAGTCGAGGCTGCCAAGGCAGAAGACCGCTTAAACCATGTATCTTCATATTGCGATACAGACGGGGGCTTCATGCTGGACGACGACGACAACGACGACGACGACAACGACGACGACGATAGGGCGACTCAGATGTATACTCTCGTCCTGTCTGCAAACGACAGCGCCAGCCTCAGCGCCAACATTCGGGCATTTTGCGCTCATCTACTCAACCCCAACGTGAAGGTCGACCTCGCGGATCTGGCATATACCCTCTCCGAGCGTCGTTCGCCATTGTTCCACCGAGCCTTTGTATCCACGCGGACCACAGATCTACACGAGAATCATTTCACCATGGCGAAGAAGAGCCCCAAGGCACCGAAAGTTGGCTTTCTGTTCACCGGCCAAGGAGCCCAATGGCCTCGAATGGGCAAGGCTCTCGTAGATGCTGTTCCATGGGTTCGTAACACGCTGGAAGACTTGGACAGGGTTCTTCAATCGCTACCCAATCCACCAGAGTGGTCTCTCGTCTCCGAGCTGACGGAGCCTCGCTCTGCCGAACATGTGCGCCAACCCGACATGGCGCAACCACTTGTCGCTGCGCTTCAGCTGTGTCTTGTGGATGTGCTGAGATCCTGGGGGATCAAACCGAGCTCCGTCCTGGGCCATTCATCCGGCGAAGGCGCCGCAGCCTATGCCGCCGGTTGGATGTCACGCAGCGATTGCATAAAGTGTGCCTTTTACCGTGGCCAAGCGGCCAAAAACATCAGCGATCAGATGGAGCGAGATGTCGGCATGCTTGCTGTTGGTATCAGCGCTGAGGTCGCGGCGCCATTCCTAGAGAAGCACCGCGGCGATGCATTTATTGCGTGCTACAACAGCCCCAGCAGTCTCACGCTCTCGGGCAGACTCTCTGCGCTCAACTCTATCAATGAGGAGGTCAAGGCTGCGGGCCACTTTGCAAGGGCTTTGTTGGTCGACATGGCGTACCACACCCCATTCATGGCCGCTGCAGCTGACGGTTACCAGAAGCTCCTCGACGGCGATGAGCAATTTGGGCGCCAAGATGGCTCTCAGTCTGGCATAGCCATGTTCTCCTCGGTGTCCGGCTTGAGGAACGAGACAACAACGGGATCGACGTACTGGAAAACCAACATGACCTCCCCTGTCCGGTTTGATGCCGCACTCGGGGAGATGATCAAGCAGGACTCCCCAGACATCCTGATCGAAATTGGGCCTTCTGGTGCTCTGGCAGGCCCTGTTTCGCAACTTTTGAAGTCCCTGCCCAATGCAAGCCACGTGTCATACTGCACTGCTTGGAGTCGTGGCGCCAACGCCAGCAAGTCGTTGTTCGACGTTGCCGGCCACCTCTTTGCCACCGGCGGCAACGTTGACCTTGCGGTCGTCAACCGGTACAGTGACACTACTGTACGAACCATCGTGGACCTGCCAAACTACTCGTGGAATCATAGCGTCAAATATTGGCACGAGAGCGCCGCCAGTAAGGACTGGCGATTCAGGAAATTTCCTGTCCACGATCTCCTGGGCAGCAAAGTACTCAGTACCCCTTGGCACACTCCGGTCTGGCGCAATCGACTCAACGCTAGCAACGTACCGTGGATCATGCAGCACAAGATGGGAGGCGATGCCATTATGCCCGCGGCCGGTTACTTGACCATAGCCGTAGAGGCTCTCTTCCAGAAGCTCCGTGCACTAGACCCCGAGGAGTATCCGGCGAGCCCCAACGAGCTCGCCTATTGCTTCCGCAATGTGCGCTTCCAGCGAGCCATGGTGGTTGAGGACAACAGAGACGTCCGCATGATGCTCACGCTGAACAAAGTCCCCGGCAGCGATGACTGGCACGAGTTCCGCATTTCGTCGAGCTCCGAGGCCGCTGTCACTGTGGAACATTGCTTCGGCCTGATCCGGACCCAAGACGTCGTCAACGACGTTTCTCAAAACCTCGCGCCCCCCAAGTCCGCCGTACCAGTCGAGCGCTGGTACAAGGCTACTCGCGATATCGGCATGGGCTTCGGGCCCGTCTTCAAGCGAATGCTCCAGGTCGAATCGACCAATGGCGTACGTGCGTGCCGTGTGCTCCTGACAATGGAGCCGCCAGCGTCGGCGCATTCGCCTCAGTCTTACTACCCGGTTCATCCAGCGGCGTTGGATGGCTGCTTTCAAACGCCAATCCCGGCCAATATGGAAGGAGATATTGTCAATGTCCGAGATGTCATGATCCCGACGATTGTTGACGAGGTCATTATCAATAAGGTCCCGACTCACGTCAGTCATGCTATTGCGGATGCCTCCTCGGTATACTCGGGACGAGGCCGGCCAGAACAGGATAAAAGCTGGGTCGCCAGTAGTTCCATCTTCGACTCCCAGAGCGGCGCCTTGATGGTCCGCATCACAGGTCTCCATTACATAAAGCTGGACGTGCCTCCCTCTCCGGATCCTCACACGTTTGACCAGATCACCTGGGCTCCGGATGTCTCGCTCCTGACGCAGGCCCAGATGTTACATATTGACCCTGCGACATCAGGCGATCGGCTCAACAGAGTCATCGACCTCGTTGCGTACAAGAGGCCTGCCTTGAGAGTGCTGGAGGTCAATCTCGACGAGGACGATACGTCGTGCATGTGGTTTGATTCCGGCGATGCGGCATACAGACAAGCTTACGCCCACTACCACTTCGGTGCATCAAGCAGCAAACCTTTAGCAAGCGTCTCGGCCAAGCATGAAGGGAAGGAAAACAGTGCCTTCTCCCTCATCCGCCCCGACGAACAGGCTCTCGGCATGCAATATCCAGAGTCTTACGACCTGGCCTTGATCAAGCTTTCCAAGACATCCGCAGCCGAGGATATCCTGCGCAATGTTCTCCCCCTCTTGTCATCCGATGCCTGCACACTTGTAGTGCGTGCAAGCGAAGAGAACAAGGCAATGGCAGAGCAGGCTGCAAACACAGACGAACCCGAAGGATCCGAGCATGTCACCAGCACCGAAACCTCGCAAACGGCGTCGGCGGGTACACCTTCAGGATCTTCTGGGTCAGATGACGGAAGGGTTTCCAGTTCCGTCGATTCAGCCGCTTCCGCTTCTAGCTATGAACTTCTCAAGCTTAACAACGCTGCTGCGGCTCCCATTGAGCTCGGCGACATCACTGAAGACGGACGATCGGCCTATCTCGTAACACCGATCGGGTCGCAACAGGGCAAATCCGCCAGCCCGCGAAAAGTTGTGGTCCCTTGTCTGAGCGATGGCGGCAATTCGGCTCTGACGACCTCGCTTCGATCCAGCCTCGAGTCAGCAGGATGGCTCGTGGAGGAGCGTACAGCTCCATTCCAAGGGCTCGGAGAAGGTGAGATGGCCCTGGTGTTGGATGAATTGACAAGGCCCTTGCTCCGATATGCCAATGAAAATCAGTGGAATGCCATCAAGGCGCTGGTCAGCTCCGGCAAGCCGCTGCTCTGGGTTACCAAGGGAGCGCAGTCCTCCGCCACCGATCCAGATCACGCCCTGGTTTATGGTTTGTTCCGGGTAGCTCGCCGAGAAGACCAGGCCGCCAACCTCACCATCCTCGATGTACAGTCCAGCACGGGCCGCGGAATGGAGTTCGCCGTGGACAACGTGCTCCGATTGATGAGCCAAGGTACACTCACGGAAAGCGAGATCATGGAGCGCGAAGGCATCCTGCACATTCAGAGAGTCATCCCCGATGTGCCAGTCAACGAGTTCAAACGTGCAGAGACCGAAGGATTGCCGGTCGTTCCGAAGCCATTCCACGCCAATACGGTGCAGGTCCAGCTCAGAGCTGAGCGGCTGGGAACACTCGAGGGCTTGACCTGGTGCGAGACGGAAGCAGAAGAGCCTGCCATCCTGGAAGACCATATTGAAGTCGAAATTATGGCTGTCGGTGTCAACTTTAAAGACGTTGCCGTTACGATGGGCATCGTTCCGGACAACGAATATAGCCTTGGTTACGAGTGTGCTGGTGTTGTCCGGCGACTCGGGCCAGCGGTGAAGAAGTTTCACGTCGGCGATCGAGTGTGCATGCTGAAGCAGGGCAGCCACGCAAACCGGATCAGAGTTCACGTTGACCGCTGCCACATCATCCCCGACACGATGAGTTACGAGGATGCCGCGACCATTCCATGTGTGTATCTGACATCTCTCTACGCTTTGTATCACTTGGCAGGCTTGCAAGAGGGCCAGTCTGTCCTGATACACTCGGCAACTGGAGGCATCGGCATCGCATGTATCGAGCTCGCTCGGCACAAAAAGGCCGAGGTAAGTCCAAGCTACATCCAAAACTGATGAGTCCGGGCAATTAACGCGTGCCGCCAATCTCAGATCTACGTGACCGTCGGCACCGAGGAGAAGCGCCAGTTCTTGGAACGGGAATACGGTATCCCAAGGAGCCGTATGTTCTCTTCTCGAAATACGAAATTCGCAAGCGAAATCATGCAGGAAACCAACGGCCGCGGTGTCGATGCCATTGTTAACTCTCTGATTGGAGAACTGCTTGATACTTCTTGGAGAATCCTGGCCGATGGAGGTGTAATGGTCGAGATCGGCAAGAGAGATATTGTGAGCCGAAATACTCTGGCCATGGAACCCTTCGATAGGAACTGCTCCTTCCGGGCCGTTGACCTCTCCTACACCAAGCACTTTAACGAGCCGATAGTAGCAAGGTTGGCCTCTCGCTATCGCATCCTGGGAAAGCCATCGCTAACGCAAGCTGTATAGACTCCTGACTGAACTCTTCATTCTGATCAACGCAGGCCACATCAGACCGATCCACCCGGTCACCACTTACGGCTTTGAAGATGTGCCCGCAGCCCTGGCCTACATTCGGACCGGACGTCATATCGGCAAGATCGTGATAACGAATAAGAACGACACCGAAGTCATCGTGCCCACACGGCCAGCCGTCGGCAAGCTGAAGCTGTCGCCGGATGTCTCATATCTCATTGTGGGCGGTCTGAAGGGCCTCTGCAGCACGTTAGCTGTGCACATGGCGCAGCATGGCGCTCGACACATCGTCGTTAGCAATCGCAGCGGTATCAGCGATGAGGCATCGGCCAAGATCGTGCGAGACTGCATGTCATATGGGTGCCGGGTGACGGAGGCCAAGGGGGACGTTGGAAACATGGAGTTTGTGAGAGGCTTGGTGCAGAATACCTTCCCAAGGCTTGGTGGAATTGTCCAAGGAGCCATGGCGCTGAATGTAAGTTTCAAGCACATCTGGCAGTGGGCCTGGTTTGCGTATATCGACTTCTAACACCCTGTGCGCAGGATACAAGCTACGAGTCCATGACCAAGGACCAGTACCGGAACACCATCTATGCCAAGGTCGAGGGCACCTGGAACTTGCACAATGCAACCCAAGAGCTGCTGAAGCAACCTCTGGACTTCTTCACCATGCTCTCAAGCACGTCGGGCGTTGCAGGTCGAGTGGGCCAGGCCAATTATGCAGCCGCCAACACATTTCTCGATGCCTTCGCCCACTGGCGGCAACGCCAGGGCCTGTGTGCCAACTCGGTCGACCTCGGCCTGATCGAAGACGTTGGCTACGTAGCCGAAGACGAGACGGGTCTGGACGCCAAGATCAACAGAGCCCACTGGATCCCCATCAACGAAGGGCTGTTGCGCCGCATCTTCGCCTACTCCGTTCTGCAGCAAGACGCACACGCTCCGCTCAACAAGGAGAGCCGCGCTCAGCTGGTGACGGGGATTGCGTATCCCTACCCGCAAGATGGATCCGACACTTCGCTCAACCCCCGGTTTAGCCATTTGTGGTCCTTCCGCGGTGCTGGCCGCGAAGCGGGCGCCGACGGGAGCAGCGGCGGCGACGACATCGACCAAGGGATTCGCACTCTCCAGTCGCTGCACAAGTCGGGCGCGGACGCGGCCACCCTGACCAAAGCGTGCACCCAAGTCATTTGCTTGCAGTTTTCGCGCATCTTGCGTCTCGGCGATGCCGTGGAGCTGGAGCCGGGCAAGTCGCCCATGTCATACGGGCTCGATTCGCTGTCGGGCGTGGAGCTGCGGAACTGGGTACGGAATAAGCTCGATGTTACGCTGAGCACTCTGGACATTGTCAACGCTGCGTCTATCCTGGCTCTGGTGGAGAAGATTGTGTCAAAATTGTTGGAGTAGTGCGCTCAATATGGCCTACATGATTTGGTGTTCTGGGCGTTGGAGACACTGGAATGCCATGAGATATGATAGCTTTACCATGAATACCTAGGTTTGCATTTACTAGTATGCTCCCACCTCTTTTAGATTTGCAAATATCTTGCGATTCTGGTACATACATCTTATGCTGGCCTGAAGCGGTGGGACAATGTCTAACTGCTGTGACCGCAGCGAACGTCCCAACAGACACATGCAAGCCATCCGCTCAGGGGCCAAGATTAAGGTATGGACGTGATCTAACATAGGTACTGGTGGAAGCAGTGGCTGACCCGCAGTGCTTCCAACGCAGTGAAGCCCCGTGGTTCCCGACCGCAGTAGTTTACATGGGAAGTTTTCATGCAGTAAAAATACAAGCAAGCAAAGCTTAGGTAGGCACTTTCTTACTACAACCTATTCTGTTGGCTGCTCCACAAAGGTATGTCCTTCTGCTTGTAAACAGCATCTGACAGGCGATGGGCTGCTCTCCCAAGAAGCAGAACGGAGCTAGAAATTAAAAAGTGACCAACTAACTAACGTATATGCATTCTAAGCCAGCGCCGCCCCTTTTCATCTCTCCACCGCTTTATGAAATGATCAATGAATTACAGTTCGATTTCCGCACTTCTCCGGCGATAGCTCAGGCGACACAAGGGGCTCAGTAGATTACCGACCCCAAAATGGATAAAGGTCTGGTTGTCTGGGACATCAGGCAACTTCCAGTCGTAGTTCAACAACAAGAAGGAGAGTGCAATCTTCAACTCGTTGCTCGCGAAGAAGCGCCCTGGACACCCGTGATCCCCATAGCCAAATCCCAGGTGCTCGGGAGTCATCGACGTGTGTTGCCAAGTATTGGACTTTCCGGCTTCGGATCGCAAGTTCAGAAAACGATAAGCATCAAGCTTGTCCGGCTCCGGGTACAGTTCTGGGTCGTCGAAGCGCCCTGCAATCCAGATGCGAGATCCCTTGGGCAGTACCGTGCCGTCCGAGAGTTTCACATCTGCGTACAGGTACCGGTTGACCGAAGCTGCAGAAGCCGGGTGCAGGCGCTGGGACTCCTTGAGGAAACTGTCCATCAATCTCATCCTATGCAGGGTCGTGCGTGTCCACCCCTGATCTTTCAGCTCTCGCACAATCTCCTCCCGCAGAGGCTGGAAAAGCGATGGGTGTTGGCACAGGTCGACGAGAGCCTCTGCGAGAGCCTCGGTCGTTGTGTGAATGCCAACAACGCTCATGCCTAGTTGGCCTGCCGCATAGTCGATGTCGCTCGCCTGCGCTTGAGCCACCATCCAACCGATCAAATCTGCCACCTTCTCGGGCTTCTCTCCCGCCGCAAGCGCCTTCCGCACCTCCGCCTTGCGCGTTTCGATGAGTGGCTTTAATATCCGACGTGCGGCGTGAGCTTGGCTGCGAAGCCGCTTATACAATGGGTTGAACCAAAACGATAGCAGTCGCCGTAGGCTGGGGCCCTCGCGCATTGCCATGGATGCTTGGAACAGATTGACAGTATGGCTCTGTGCGATCTCGAGCCATTCCGAATCGCGACAGAGCTTGGGGCCAAGAAAGACCCTCGAGGAAAGGCGAGAGACGAAGGAACCTATCCGTGACTTGATGGGGATGGTCTGCCACTCCTTATCCTGGCCGAAAAGTTCCGGAGTCGCCAGCCTCGTTTCATCGACCAAAGAGTCCGTCACAGCTCCCATGGACTGGGTGAGGTTGATGCGGACTGCGTCGACCACGACTCGCTCATGCTTGCTAAGGAACGTCATGCCGTCGAATCCAGGCCAGCCCGCAAAATTATCCCGAGTTTGGGTTTGGATCAAGTTTGCCATGTCATTTTTTCGGAACTCCTCCGTGAAGCGATTTGGTAGCATGATCTGGGGGAGGTGCCTGTCAGTATCTAGGTGTCCTGCACTCACAGTCTATTCTCGTACGCTCCCGGATGATGTTTTCTTACCTTTGGACCTGTGCCAGTCATGACTTGAAAGGCACCCTTATGTTCTGTCAGGCCCTTTACCATGACCCTGTGGCCGTGCTTCATCCATGCTTCTTTCGGGCTTAGGCCCTCCTCTTCGAGACCGACAAGGGGGAAGCCTTTCAAAGGTCGTTCTGCGTCTGACTGCTTCTTCAGATGAAAGGCGACGGCGATTATCATAGCAGCCACCACGAATGGCAGATAGGCTACGGTAACGCGATAGAGCGCTTGGTATGCTGTTTGACGCGACATGGCGGGCGGCGAAAGCTCAATTGCCAGCACAGTGGACTGTGGACTTGACGACTAAAGCACGATTTGGGGTACATCTTGTATCATCTTGACATGCTTACCTAGGTAAGGTATGTAGGGGGGTACCTAACCTGATCCGTAAGCCACTCCATGTCCCCCACGCATAATAATATCTGTAATGTAAGCCCCCGCATCCTCGGGGACGAGGTACATACATCGTATGTAAGCTACGTGTTATTGTCATGAATGTAAGCTACATGTAACCTTGTCGAAACGTACAGGTAGAACGACGGCCGTGATTTCAGCTTCTCATTTCGTTTACCATTATGAAGGAAGGCCTCTACGGCTTACATATGTAGATGTTGACATGAAGGGGATCTTGGCGCACATGGCGAAATGCATTCACCCTCCTTCCGAGGTAATCACCAAGCTCGAGTCTGCTCGACACGGATGGGCATTCTCTCTCAAAATATGCCCATCTTTCTATTCTCAGAATTCGGGTCAGAAGTGCAACCTCGGAACAGTCTCAAGTTTGCAGCCTCGTACGACCTTTCGATCAACATTCTCCACAAACTGGAAACCGTCCATACATTCGACCAGTCCGGATTATCATGGCACGGCCTGTAAATGTTGGTATCCGGGCCATTGAGCTCTACTTTCCTGCCCAGGTCCGTACCCAGACATGAAACAACCAACACCGGTGGAGCAAGGTTCGTTGCTGATGTTCCGTGACGCAGTGCGTCGACCAGGAAGAGCTCGAGAGGTACGATGGCTTCAGCAAAGGCAAATACACCATTGGCTTGGGACAAACGAGAATGAGTTTCTGTGACGACAGAGAAGGTATGCTATGCTACCTACATGTAGTTGGCGGGGAATTGCTCCCAAATTTGAGACTCGGACGCTGAGATTACAGTCAAGACATCAACTCAATCGCCCTCACTGCCGTGTCAGGGCTCCTCCGCAAGTACAAGATCGATCCACGATCCATCGGCCGACTTGAAGTGGGCACGGAATCCATGGTCGACAAGTCCAAGTCGGTCAAGTCTGTCCTCATGCAGCTTTTTGAACACTGCAACACGAACATCGAAGGCGTGGATACCGTCAACGCTTGCTACGGCGGAACGAACGCGCTCTTCAACGCTGTCAATTGGGTAGAGTCCCGCGCCTGGGACGGCAGAGACGCCATCGTTGTCGCGGGGGATATTGCACTGTACGCAGAGGGCAACGCAAGGCCAACCGGCGGTGCGGGCTGTGTGGCCATGCTAGTAGGCCCTGACGCGCCCCTGGCTCTCGAGCCCGGTATGCGAGGTTCCTATGTTCGCCATGCGTACGACTTCTACAAGCCCAACTTTTCGGTCGAGTATCCCTACGTCGACGGCCACTTGTCATTGAACTGCTACACGGAAGCGCTCGATGCGTGCTATAAAGCTTATCTGGAGCGTTCCAAGACGGCAAGTTCAGGCGACGACGCAGTTGGAGAGGGTGTCAAGACAGGTGGTGTCAAGACAGGTGGTGTCAAGACAGGTGGTGTCAAGACAGGTGGTGTCAATGGCCACCAGATTCGCCAGAGTTTGCCTGCCGACGAGTTCGACTATATGTGTTTCCACGCCCCGACCTGCAAATTAGTGGCCAAGTCATACGCTCGCTTGTTCTACAACGACTTCTTGTCTCATGCGGACAACAAGCTCTTCCAGGCCATTCCTGCAGAGCTCGGATCCATGCGTTATGCGTCTAGTCTCAGCGACAAGACAATTGAAAAGACCTTCATGGCCCTGTCGCAGGAACGCTTCAAGCATCGGGTGGATCCGTCGAGGCATGTCTCGACCGAGTGTGGCAACATGTACTGTGGGAGTCTCTACGCGGGCCTGTGCAGTCTGTTGGCCCTTGTCCCGAGCCATCAGCTAGAGGGCAAGCGCGTTGGCATGTTTAGCTATGGCAGCGGGCTTGCCAGTACCATGTTCAGCTTGCGGGTAGTAGGGAGCACCGAGGACATGCGGAACAAGCTCGACTTGCATAAGAGACTGAGCGCGAGGCGAGTTGTGTCTCCTTCCGTATACGACCAAGTAAGTTTGAACCCAAACATCTGCATGGAAACGCCAGGTACTTATGTCGCTTGTCTAGACATGCCGCCTTCGAGCATTTGCTCACCAGCAAAGCCCTTACCAGCCCATTGGGAGCGTAGCTGGTCTCTCCAAGGGCACATATTACCTCACTCACGTTGACAAGAAGTTCAGGAGGACTTATAGGGTCAAAGAATAGTTGCGCGCTACTTTTGGCCCATTAGCGACTTCATATTTGCCACGATTGATGTCTTTTAGACATGGGTAATTTGCTTGTCTGTTGATTAGGTACCTAGGTAGGTAGGTAGGTACCTAGGTATTTATCAGCAGACGTCTTGAAAACTCAGAGTATACACTATCACACTGCAATATGGTCATGGATGTATATCGCAGCTAGCAAAAGATGGTGTGTCTAAGGTCTGAATGGTGAAGTGATTGTCATTGTGCGCGCTGACTGTACATGTAAGCGTGTTCCATGGTAAGCATATCCGGCCGGGGAAGATAAACGGCCTATAATGCTTACCGCATCCATGAACACTCACTCAACGTGCGAGTTGCCTGCACCCCGCGCAGTCTCCCTTTGATAACTTGAAGGCTGCCCCGAGAGCTTTCATTGTATATCCGCCCGAGTTATCGTGTGGATCGATACAATGGCGATGCCGTGGCCCTCTTCTGCCACTCAAGAGGTCATGTTTCAACAACACAGCTTACTGGACTTTATTCAACTGTCCGGTGCAGCGGCACTTGTATATTGGTTATTCCTGGCTCTCTATCGCGGTAAGCGTTGAAAAGTTCTCCACTAGAAGAGGAGTTTGGAATTTCGTGATCTTGGTGTATTAACCTAAACCTTTCGCAGCATATCTATCTCCGCTCTCTCGAATCCCAGGACCCAAACTCGCTGGTAGGCCCATACCCGACTCCACCAGCACTAGGATGGATGCTGAATTGTGACCCTGTCCTAGCAATAACGTACTGGTACGAGACGTACTATGAAGTTTACAAGGGCGGGCAGTACTTTCGCATGATCGATAGGATGCATGCCAAGTATGGTCAGGACTTTCCACCGCGAGAGGAGAGGGGAGATGGGTTGCCATCTGCTTACACAAGGCCATAGGCCCGATCGTGCGCATCACTCCGAATGAGGTGCATTTTGAAGATCCGAACTTCAACGATGTGCTTTTTCCGAGCCTGGGCAAGAGAAAGATCGACAGGCCTGGGTATGCTGCAGCGAGGGCTGGAAGTAAGTTTCAAGTACCAATACTTGTAGGTGGGTTCCTTTCAGTTTGCAGTTGCTAATGAGCTGTACCGTCTTTGCCAGCCCCTGGGTCTATCGTTGCCACTGCAGAGCATCATGTCCATCGACGACGTCGAAATGCTCTGAACTCCTTCTTCTCGGGTGCGAGCGTTCGCCGGTTGGAGCCCATCATCCAAGAGTACATGGACAAGATGCTCGTTCGGATGCAAAAGTCCGGCACGCAATCCGAAGTGGTCGAACTACATCACATGTTCAAAGCGTGCGCGAGCGACATCATTACCCTTTATGCCTTTGGCGATTCCTTCTCTTTTATGGATCAGCCTGACTATGGACAACCGTACTTCCGAGCAGGAGAGGCGTTCAACAGCATGACGCACCTCTTTGGCGCTTTTCCATGGCTTCTCACCATCGCGACCTCGGTGCCTGGATGGCTCTTCAAGTATCTCAACCCAGACATGACCGAGTTTGTGGACCGCAGAGAGGTAACGGGCTACCATGTTTTGTTACCTTGATTCTGTTGCTGACATTGCACATATAGTGGTGGATAGAGAAAGTCAGGGAGATTAGAAATTCCAACAATCCGGAGCGGGCAAAGAACACCATTTTTGGAGGCATACTGGATAGCTCTCTGCCGGTGGAAGATAAGACTGACGAGAGGTTGGCAAACGAGGCGCAATTGATTGTGTTCGCCGGCGAAGGCACAACTGGTGAGAATCCTACCGATCGGGTTGCCTCTGAGCAGAGTGCTAATCCTGTACCCAAAGCGCACACGCTCACGTCGGCAATCTTTCATCTATTGGAAAAGCCGGAGATTTTACAAAAGGTCAAGGACGAGCTTGCCGCGGTGGTGAGTGATGGTCGTCCAGTTCCAACGTTTCAACAGCTCGATAAACTTCGGTACATGGATGCGGTCATCACCGAAACCATCCGCTTACATCCTGGCGCAATGCACCGCCAAGTACGCGTCTGTCCCGATGACGCAATCGTATATGCGGACAGGGCACGAGGGGTCGAGTATGTCGTCCCACCGGGGACAGTTTACGGTATATCGCCTCTGACAAGCCATATGAACGGGAGCGTGTTCCAAGATCCGTACGAGTTTGTCCCTGAGCGGTGGATCGATAATCCTGAAATATCAAAAGCCTTTATGGGCTTCTCTCGAGGAACGAGGGGCTGCGTAGGGTAAGCAACTTCCCATCTCTCGAGCCAAAAGAGGTACATTAACGCAAGTCACTGACCATGGGCTTGGACTCCTAGAATAACACTGGCTCGGCGTGAGCTATCGGCTGCTTTGGCCACGATATTTATGAAGTATGATGTGTACAGGGGACAACAGGGCCCAACTCTGGAGCTTTACGATACAATCCGTGCAAGGGACATTGATGCAGCCAGTGACTACATCACACCGTTGCCGATGAAGGGAAGCATGGGACTGCGCGTAAGGATCCGCGACTAAACTGTCACTTGGCCCAGCATGCGGGAGGGATAAATAAGAATATGACGGTTCGGTCTTTTTAGGACGTAGCATAGGTACCTAGGTAGCGTTTACCGCGAGTCACAAAAGCCTAATAAATCCGGACTCGGCGCAACTGACATCTCACTAGCCGAGTTCTCTCTTGGAGAGACCTCATGTTGTTGAAAACTTCTGTGGCCCCTATGGGTTTTGTAAGAACACTGCATACGGCTATCCACCACATACACTTCGCGACATCTTTGCTCAGCCACTAACCCGTGGTTTACACCGTTCCATGAGCGGCCTTGAATTGCGCTTTGCCTGCACATATATGTCGCTGCTCTAACTACAACGTGAAGACCCTTTCCCTGCCAAGTCAAGGAACCCAAGCCAGCGTTCAGAGCTGTCTTGACTCGAAGGATCTAGGTGAGGCTTGTCTTGAGCTGATCCCGGCTGGCTTAGCTAGTGTTTCTCAATTAGGTACTAGGGGCTCTTGACAGTCCAATTTCTCCAGAACGCTACATCCCCCGCTGAGACGCTCGACCGCTTCTGCCACCATGTCTTTGATAATTTCAGCCGCAGATTGTCCCCCTTTGTTAATTAGGCCAGATGCCATACCCATGGGTCTGGTATTGAGGAACGAAGGAGGTTAGCAATACCGCAAGATCTGGGTGCCAGATATTGGGCATATACCTCATCGCGGACTGCTTCGCTACGTCTTCAGGGAGACCGCCAACGTCGCGAAACGCCTCGACCTCGTGGTCCATAGGTATAATACCAGTCGACAGCAGCTTCTGGAGCTCATTCTTACGATCATGTTCCCAGTTTCGGATGTAGCCGGTAGCCGCCGCGCGCAGTGGTCGTCCCGTCCAAATGGTCGAGACAATGGTACTATCGAAACCTGCCTCGACAATCCTGATGTCCAGAGTCAACGCAGATGACGAAGGAGAAGTAATGGGTTTGACCTACAGGCGCTTCGATTCTTCAAGAGCGCTTGACTCTTTGGCAGTGACGAACCTCGTACCTATCCAGACGGCAGAAGCTCCATACATAAAGGATGCAGCAATTCCCCGGCCGTCGCAAATGCCTCCGCCAGCAACGAGCTGTACTGGCTGCCCCGTCAAGGGCGATTTGTACTTTTTCACCAGATCAGCGCAAGCGGGCAACAGGACACTGCAAATATGTTATCAGTGTTGTGTGCATTCAACAACAATGCCATCAGGACCCGGCTTCCTGGATGTTGTACCGTTCGAAAGAAAGATGAAAGGCATGACGGACGCACCTGGTTGGTATCTCGCCGATATGGCCACCGGCTTCTGATCCCTGGGCACATATGATGTCGGCACCAGCGGCACATGCTTTAGCGACGTGCTTCGGGTGGCCAACCAAATTCATGTAAAAGATGCCATTGGCATGCAGCTTGTCAACGACATCTTTGGGCGCAACGCCAACAGCCGAAACAAATAGCCTGGCGCCGCTGCCAATAACGATATCAATGAGCTCGTCAAGCTTGCCTTTAGTGTAGTCCCACTGCGAGCTGTTAGAGACTATAGCGCCTTTCACCGAATCCTTTAGGGACCTCTGACGTTTGTCTTTCGCGCTGATCCGCCGACTTGGGGCAAGAGAAGGTTCACGCCGAATGGAAGTGTCGGGTCTTTCAGTCGAGTCTGCCGAATATGACATGTCAGAAAGGACATGCGGTCCATCATGACGGGCTCCGATTCAGCTCGGGTATGGGAGTGGACTGAGCCTGCTTTACCGTTACTTCTTGAATGGTTGTTCTGAGTTCATCTGGCGTGAAGTAAAGTCCGCCGATGACACCCAGCCCCCCTATTACCAGCTTAGTGACGCGGCCAAGGGCGGTAGCAACTAACATTTGGGGTTTTATAATTGACCTCACCAGCGTTGCTCACAGCAGCCACAAGCTCTGGGCCGCCGGCAATGTACATTCCGGCCGAGATTATCGGATGCTTCATGCCGAGCAATCGAGTCAAAGGCGTTGGCAACGACATGTTCGAAGGGTGTGTCAAGTTTTGTGTCTATAAAAAGTGAATAAAGCACAAGAGACGACGACTGGAGACGTGTTGATAGTAGGCAGAGGAGGGAGACTACGTGCCGAAGAGGTGTTTGAAACTAGGGGAGGCCGAACAATATGATCGAGCCGTCATTTTACACACCTCTCGTTCTGAACCGTTCGATGTGTGGACTGTACGGATGTATGGTAACGTATTTCATAAGCGCACGACCCAAATCAACTCGCGAACCAAGTAAGCCAGCGACCCATGTAAGCGAACGACCCATATGGTAAGCAAGCGAGTGACCCAGAGAAGCAAACGACCTGCGATAAAACTTGTAACTACATGTACAGTCTTTTGCCGTCAGCGTCTAATGGGGAAATATCAAGACAACGTTGTTTCGTCTTGGAACTCCCATTCCAAGGCATCCCATTCCAAGTACTTCCCTTTTCGGAACAGGGGGCATCCATGGCGCAGCTGTCCATGATGCTCGAGTACGCGCGCCAGCATTCGCCAATCCCAATCTCGGCGCTCTTCATCTCGGTCATCACCATAGCTTGTTTATTTCGCTTGTATTTACTAGCTCTTCCCAAACCAATCCCAGGGATTCCCTACAACAAAGACTCGGCCAACAAACTCTTCGGCGACGGCCAAGCGTATTTGGAGCATTTTAAACATGGAGGAACCTTCGCCACGTACTGCCAATCGGTAGCCAAATCATTAGACGCACCGCTCATACAAATCTTCATCAAACCTTTCAAACAACCGCTCCTTGTCCTTGCAGACTTCCGAGAAACCCAGGCGTTGATGCGTCGCAACGACTTTGACCGCTCTGACGACATGGCCGATATGATTTTGGGCTTGATGCCCGAACACCATATGGCCATGAAGACCAATGCGGCTTGGAAAGCTCAACGTCTTCTCATCAAAGACCTCATGCTTCCCTCGTGGTTGCACAGCGTTGCGGCTCCCGAGATATATCAGCATGCCCTCTCCCTGGTTGAGTTGTGGGGCCTTGAATCAAGACTGGCCGACGGAAGGGCCTTCGAGGCATCAGAAAGTCTCCGTCGAATGACAATGGATGCTGTGATGTCTTTCTGCTTCGGGAACAGGTTCCGGGATACCGCGACCCGTCCTGATATCGAAGCGTTGAAGTCGAAAAGCCTGGACATGATCATGCCGGACGACCCGGAAGAGCCCGTCATGTTTCCCCATACGACACTCAGCCCTGTGCTCAATGCGCTCGACACCCTATTCTCACTCATCGCCGAGATTCAAGGGAGCCCGAAGCCGAGCTGGACCTGGTCTTATATCTTGCAAAAGCCACGTAATGCCCGTGCACTCCGGCTGAGAGACGCATACATCTTGGCCGAGATCAAATATGCAGTCGAGCAACTGAAGGAGAGCAGAAGCGACGACACGGCCAAGTCGGCAGTCCAGTATATGGTCCTGCGTGAGAAGAGCCTTGCCGAGAAGGAGGGCCGGGAGCCTCAATACCTATCCAAAGTCATGATGGACGAAGTACGTACCTAAGCACTGGATATTGCCTGGCCTGCGTTCGGGACTGACCGCTTGTGGCAGGTGTGCGGCTTTGTATTCGCCGGAACTGATACAACCAGCACGGCCATGTCATGGGGTGTCAAGCTCCTGACTGACAACCCTCGAGTAGCAGCGCGTCTACGGACAGCGTTGCGAGAGTCGTTCGCGGATGCAGTCGTGGATGGCCGAAACCCAACGGTCGAAGAGATTGTTGGGACCCATGTGCCCTATCTTGAAGCCACTCTTGAAGAGATCCATCGCTGCGGCGGTACGACGCCGATTGTTGATCGCCAAGCCACTGTCGACACAGAGCTGCTCGGTCATCGCATCCCTAAAAAGACAAACGTTGCATGCCTGACGATGGGACCAAGCATGATGGAGCCCGGTTTCGATATCGACGAGGCGCGTCGTCATGAGAGCATTCGTGGCATGCAAGGAGAAAAATGGAAACAGTGGGATGTGAATGATATGGCTTTGTTCAAACCTGAACGCTGGATCAAGGACAACAGGTTCGATCCCGGAGCCGGACCGCAACTGGCTTTTGGTCTGGGTGTCCGAGCATGCTTTGGAAAAAGGCTGGCGTATCTGAACATGAGGATCTTGTTTGCGCTGCTCGTGTGGAACTTTGAGCTGTTGCCCTGTCCGAAGAGATTGTCGGATTACAGCTCCAAGTTAGTGGCGACAAACAGGCCGAACACATGCTATGTATGCTTACAGGAGATTGGGTCCAGTACCTAGTTGAATGGGAAGTCTGGTCTTGATAATTTCTATATTAAGAGGTACACATCAAGAATTGCCGTTGCCGATATACAATTGCTGGTGACGACCCGCAAGTTACATGTACGAGCTGGGCAAGGACGTTGTCCTCTATTAGCGCCGAGTTTTTTCCATCCAGGGGAGGCGCCGGCCTACAACCGTCACTAATCCTAATTTCCAAGGGGGGTGCAGGAAAGGAGGGGAAGCTGGTTTCAGCAAGAAAAGGGTAACCGGAAATCCGAGAGGCTGGATTTGGGAGCTCAAGGGATACTGAGAAGTGAGAGCATGTTCCTCCAGACCCATTGATCGGCGCCAACACAAGTAATATACCAAGGCAGTCAGCTACCGCACAGCAACCCCCTTGGGTGCCGTCCCTTAGCTACAAACTCTTTGCAAATCCAACAATTTCCCGCATACCAGCACTATGCAGCTCGGAAATGGCCCGTCTAAATAACACCATGCTTCCATGCGTCACTCCTAGGTTGACGCTTCCAACAGCGTCCACCCCTGCTGAACACAGCTTTCGATAATACGCAATCCCCTCGTCCCTCAGCGGATCGAGCTCGTCAACCCTGATGATGTGCGGCGGCAAGCCTCGACACATCTCCACAGTCGCATAGTATGGAAAAGCTATCGGATGGGTCCGGTCCTGGATATTTGGTGCATAATAGCTTTGCATGGCGCCCGCACCTGCGGTATCGAACATGTATCCATCGTTTGCAAGCCGGCTCGGAAATTCTCTCGCTATTCTTTCAGCAGGCCAGCCGTACACGTTGCAGACATTTGGCGAGTAGGCATAGACGCCATCGATGTCCTTGATCCAGCCCTCCTGGTTTGCTTTCAGCGCCGTTGCGAGACAAAGATTCGCGCCACCGCTCTCACCCTCCAGGGTGATCTTGCCGATGCCGAGCTCGTCCTTGTGTGACGCGATGTACCTGACAGCTGCTGCACAATCGTTCAACCCTGCCGGGAAGGGATTGTATTCGGTTTCCGACCAGGCATTTCTGAAATCAATGGCGATGGACACTACACCTTGTTGGGCGAGGTCGGTAAGCCAGCGAACATTGCCAGGTCGCAACGTATCAAGAGTCGTCATGCCTCCGCCATGTACTGCCACCGAAGTCAGCTTTTGAGCCTCTTTTTTTTCTTTCTTTTTATTCTTATCGAAATGGTTGCAAGCAGTACTACTCACTGTAGACAACACACGGCAGAACCTGGTCCTCGGTCCCAGACTTCCGAAACACATACAACTTGACATGATTCCCGTCTACCCCCTGCGCGACGTGTGTTTTACGGTCGACTGGTGGTTCGTTAACGTCCTTTGCCAAGTAGTTTGGTATCGCGGCGAAGCCTTCTGAAAAACCGTAGTGCTGGGCTCTCATTTCCTTGGTCAGTTGCTCCAAGGGCGAGTTCTCGTCGGCGATGCCAATCGGCAGGTTGTTCTCCCATCCTTGTGTCGCCAGGGCCTTTACCAACTTGGGATTGAAACGTGGATCCGTCGCAGGAGAGAGTGTTGCATCTCCAATTCGGCCCTCGGGCTGGAATGAGTATGGACCTGGCATCCTGCTGTCTGAAGTTGAAGGGTTGACCTTTCCGTGGCCTGGATGGCTTCGTGTTACATTGCGAGGAAAAGCAAAAGGGTGGAAAGTCCATGCCAGCCAAAATGGGTCGCCAACTTGTTGTTACCTTACCACGTATTCTGGCGGGCACTTGCAGGAAGCACGAGTCTTACGCGCTTACATGTTCTAGTAATATTACGTGCACTCCTAGCCTAATTGTTCGCCAGTTTCCGTTTTGGTTCCGACATAATCTCTGTCCTGCCAGGTATTGGCCCCCCAATGTAGGTAATAATCGGCGGTTTGACAAATAATCTACATACCGAGGTACATACCTACCTAGGTAGTTAAGCTAACAGCCATAACAGCCTGTCGATGCGGACGTTCTGCTTACGCTGTGATAACGACGTAGTATTAATATGAAACTTACTACATTTGACCTCGCTTACTCTAATTGCTATGACCATCGTCATGCTTGTAATGCACCGCATCCAGTACATGTGTCTACGATTTGTCAAGCAGCGGTTCGCCAACTTTCCTTTCGAGGGTCCAACCAACTTGCATTGTCGTTACTGTAGCTACTACGATCATCTGATTCTTCGAAACGTCACATTCATCATGTCTTTAGATGCATACGCTGTCTTGGATGCTTTCTCCGATATCAAAAACCGCACCGATCAGTTCATTGTTGCGAACAATTTCGACAGCTACTCCGCTGAGTTCCTTCCGAGATCCGAGGAGATCGCGGTTGCAATCTTTTGCAATGCCCTCGAGGAGCTGGGTTGCGCAATTCGTTCGGCAGCACCCGGAACGAAGCTTGAACGTGTCCAGCCCGTGGCAGAGCACAATAAACTGGTGGAGCATATATATCGCATCTTGGAGAGTAAAGCGGGCTTGATCGTAGACGACGGCAATCTCCTGACTCGCACTTCGAAACCTTGTCCTGACGGCGACGTTGGTTCCCAGTTGGAGGGCCTACTGCGCGACAGACCTGCCCAGGATGCCGAGATCAAGCTCATGCAAGCGGTCGGGCAGAGCTACGGCAAATGCCTCTCCGGCGAGGTCAATCCCGTGGAGTTGCTCTTTGAATCCCCGGAAAATCGTTCGCTCTTGGACAAGCTCTATGCTACTTCAGACGCGACAAGCAGCCTTCTGCGGCCGTTGGAAGCTTTTATCCAAGAGGTGGTCAGCGGCTGGTCAGTGCGAGGCCAGCCTTTGCGAATCCTTGAAATAGGAGCCGGGACAGGCGGAACAACCTCAGTACTATTACCGGCTTTGGCTCGTCTGGGCGTTTCCACGGTATACACCATGACCGACATCAGTTCGAGCTTGGTGGCGCAGGCGTCCTTGACTTTCAAGGGGTACCCATTCGTCGAGTTCCAGGTCCTCGATATTGAGAAGGCACCGCCACGGGCACTGCAAAGCAGCCAACACGTCGTCCTGGGCTCCAACGTCATCCATGCGACGGCAGACGTCCCGTCTTCGTTAAAGAACATCCACAAGATTCTGCGTCCAGATGGGTTTCTTATCTTCCACGAGTTAACAACGCAAATGTCATGGGCTGACGTGGTTTTCGGTCTGTTTGAGGGCTGGTGGCGATTCAATGACGGCCGACAGCACGCTTTGCAATCACCACAGGCTTGGGCAAAGATGTTGGAAGCGGCTGGATACGGTCACACGGACTGGACCGACGGATCCCGCCCGGAAGCAAAGCTGCAAAGTCTGATCCTGGGCATGGCTACTGACCCGGAGTAGATTCTTGTTTATGCAGATCACAGACGGAGATGAGGTACACCGTGTGAGGTAGAACAAGAATTGAGCGAAGCCATAAGATGGGATTGGTTAATGGGAACTGCTTTGAACTTGCTGCGTCGCGGCCAGCTCGCTGCCTCGTCCTGTCACTCAGTGAATACCCCAGGTGGTGATGTGTTCACCGTATAAGGGGAGTACGAACCGCTGACAAGATCACACCCTAAAAACTACGGAATACAGATTGCGGTGAAGTCAATGGTTGGCTAGATTTAGGCAGGGAGGGTCTGATGCCAGTCACACAGTGAGCATACGCGAATAAAAAGCACAACAAAGGCCTCTGTTCTAGTTGGGTAATAAACTAGATCTTCATCTAAGCACAAGAACCCTAGCGGCGCACGCAATACACTGATTTGGCGCTTCTCTTCTCTCCTATTCTCCAAGCATTATTTCAGCTCCGTACGTACAGACCCTCTCTCTTGGAATCATTGCATATCATTTCTTGTATTTCAATCTCCGCCTCCCACGCCACCAGATTCCTCGACCGAGCCACCCCAACTTGGCCAGAAGTCTATTCGGTCTATCAGTATACATGACATGGATAAGGCGGTGATTGCTTGCCAGCTCAACCATTTAGCTTTGGTAAGAGCGAGAAATGGCTCCTGGGGTATTCTATTCCCACATCCCAAGTTTCTCAGGGCAGCAGAATGGAAGCGCCGCCCGAGGGTGCAATCATCAATTGGCGACGACAGCGAGTTACCAAAACAGCGAGAAGGACAGTGAGAAACAAGCACTGCAAGGGAACAAGCGAACCGAGATTCATACTCGAGCGTGGACAAGGAAGGATTATCATGCCTGGCTGATGTTACAGTGAGACGCTGCCTCAGGGGACGGGGCCGCAAGAAGCTACCTGAATTGACTAAAGACAACAAGTATGAGGAGCCAAAGGAGAGAGGACCAATGTAAATTCCCCAGGGGTGTTGTAATCATGTTGCTGAGTGCCCTGTGCCGAGCACATCGGCGATCCCCTGCAAACAAACAATCGGCCGTCGAGCAAGATGTCCTTTCTCGGCTTGGACGGACTGTTGCTAGAGGCGGAGATCTGAGGCAGAAAACCTAATCACTGGCTTACATCCGACGTAAGCATAAATAGGTAGGTAGGTACCTAGGTATCCGGACGTGCTTACAACTGTACAATATTAAAAAGTGGCATTTTACACTTCTTTAAATGGCAACCGGAGCATGGTACCTATCTATTAACAAGGAATTTTAATATTGATACCATCCTTCTCCTCCCTTCGTTCCTCCTTACTACCTACCGGACACGCGTCGCCTTTCCGATGCTGCGCAAAACACGTACGGGGACGTGGTTGCCCGCGTGGGTGCCAGAATCCACTTGGATCTTGTCCTTTCTCCTCATCGTTTGCTCGTTTGTGCAATCGTGTGTATGTCGCCCACCAGTTTCGCCATGTGTGATAAGATAGGACGAGGAATGGGGTTAACACGATCAACAGACGGTGGGCTATGATACTGCATTGCTCAACGCTCTCAACATCTTGCCTGCATACAAAGATTACTTTCGATTGAATGCAGCAACGACGGGCCTGAACACTGCTTCCATCTTCATTGGCGGCATTCTTGGACCTACGTTCTCGGGCGTAGCAGCGGACAGGCTCGGGAGAAGACCAGCCATGTTCTGGAGCAGCCTTATAGCCATTGTCGGTGCTGTGATGCAAACGGCCGCGCAGAATATCGCCATGTTCGTCGTTGGTCGCATCATTATCGGACTCGGGGCTTCTGCTTCCGGAATTGCTGGAGGCGTCTACCTCTCCGAAACCTTTCACAGTCGGTTCCGAGCATGGGGTGTGGGCTCCCTCAACGACTTTTATTGGATTGGCGCAATCATGGCGGCCGGGATTACTCTCGGAACGAGTACTTGGACCTCTTCTTGGGCGTGGCGAGCGCCGTCGCTCATCCAAGGCATCTTCTCTCTGCTTTGCATTCTCATCTTGCCGTTCGTTCCGGAAAGCCCGCGTTGGCTTCAGTACCAGGGCCACTCGGACGAGGCCCGCCTCGCTGTGGCACAAACCAATGCCGATAGCGATGTATCCGATCCGGTTGTGGCCACCATCTACAAAGAGATTTTGGAATCCCTGAACTTGGAAAAGGGACGCCAGAGACCCGTCGTGGAGATTTTCAAGGACCCGGTTGTGCGGAGGAGGTTCCTGATCGGAACTTCTGTAGGGCCACTGTCCACCGTGGTTGGGAATCTCATCGCTCTTTTTTACCTGGGGCCAGAGCTGAACAGTGCTGGAATCACCGACAGTCGCACCCAGCTACACGTCAACGTTGTTCTGAACGCTTGGTGTCTGGTTTGTTGCCTGTTCGGCACATTCCTGGTATCTTCTTGGGGTCGCCGTCCAACAGTTATCGCTGGCCAGAGCTTGCTTACCGCCTGCCTTTTTATCATTGGAGGTCTATCGAAGGTATATGCTGAAAATGGCCTGAATGGTACCTCCAACAGCGTTATATATGGCAACGTCGCGGTCATTTTCTTGTTCCAGGGTTTCTACTCCCTGGCCTGGACACCCGTCACCTACCTCTATCCGACTGAGGTCATGAATTACAGTATACGAGCCAACGGCCTAGCTTTCTCTTCATTGATGCTGAGTAGCCTGACGTAGGTGTGTCATTCTTTAGTGTCCGATGCACCGTGCTAACCTATTGAACAGATTATTGCTGGTATTTATCATGCCAATCGCTTTGGAGAGCATTGGTTGGAGGATGTACATTGTCAACGGAAGCTGGGACATCATTGTACTTCTCATTGTGGTAAGTCGAGTCACTTCCCTTTCTATCGTAATTATTGACAATGCCGCAGATACTTTTCTGGGTTGAGACGAAAGGTAAAACGCTCGAAGAAATCGATGCCATATTTGACGGAGGAGGGCAATACTTGAATTCTTCGGATATTGAAGAAATCTGCCGCGGAGAGAAGACTATCAGTACGGTCGAAGTAAAGAAATAGCTTGGATGGGACAATAAGGAAAGTTCGATGGCAAGTTTATTTGGCAGTATCTGAGAAAAGGGGCAATGCCGAAGACGTGAACGGCGCGTTGCTGATCGCATGGGGCCGTCCTTATTCGGCCACAGTTCACAGTTGCAGAATAGAGGACGCTTCCAGAGATCATTAGATACACCGCTCGACTAGGCTGTAGGGAGTGGTCTATTTAGCGCGCTTGTATACATGTCTGCATTCCTTATCCAATGTCTAGCTATCCACCTCCCAAGCACTGATAGCCTGTTGCAAGCAACTAGTTACCCCCCGAAACGGCCCGTCCCAACGGCTCGCATCCGAGTGCCTGTTCCCCTTCGTTGTAAGCTCCCTCAAGTTACTAGTTACTTATTTATACTTATGCCATTTTGTTACAAATCCCCAGATTCTGGAAATACGCCGCAATCTTACAGACATGGCCTATCGATCATGTATACCTAATCATGTCCTGTCAAGTTACTCGTGTAGAGGAAGGGTAGCTTCCTTAGCAATTAATACGCCTTGTTAGCCTTAGCTGCATCTGTAATAATTGCTAGCGTATTATACATTGTTGTGAACCGTTTAGTCTCACCGAAGCACTGCCCTTTTAGAGGGTAGGGTCGATACATTCGTATATAGTAGCGAAAGCATGGAGACGGGCGGTCTCGCTCTCTCCTGCCAATACAACTAACCAAGTCTTGGAGATCTTGACTTGTAGGTATCAGCAGACATTACGGAGGCCGCAACCACAACCGAGATAGGTGGAAACCGGACGTATTTTTCAGGCGATGAAGGAACTGCAACCGAAAGAAAACAAGACGCACGCGATGATTGAAACTGCTTGAGGTTGACAATCCCGGACTGACAAATAGAGCTATGCACAAAACTCGTGCCTTATGTGCCCAGACACGCGCGACTAGGTAGTCTATGCCCAAAATGCCAACAACGCTATCTTCTTCGTCATCTCGGGGAACCTTACCCCAATCCCTCGGGACTTAAGGAATCACTACCCACTATTTGCCAACATCTTGGTCGGTGCTCCTACGTCAGCTCCGGCTTCCAGCAGCATCTCGACGGCCGCGTCCCACCCGAGGTTTATGGCGATGTGCAATGGTGTCCTTCCTTCGATATCATAAGTGTTGATGATCTCGACGTTTTGCTCGCAGTGCTTGATTAGGACCCTTAAGAGGCGATCTTGGCGTTTCAATACGGTCCAGTGGAGAGGAGATCGTTGGTAGTTGTCCACGATTTGCATCTGAGCGCCATGCGATAGTAGTATACCCACCATGTCATCTTGCTCCTCGATAATGGCATGGATTAGAGGCGTCAGGCCCTCATTATCTTTGGCGTTGCAATCGGCCCCATGCTGTAGAAGCAGTTGAACAATCTTCCGGGAGCCTTTTAGCACGGCCATGTGAAGAGGGGTCTTGGACTCGATAGAGCTGCTAGTCAGCTCGACAGGCGGGTTTCCTGGGGGTGCCTTGAAACCGCTACATTCGAAGTAGTCGATAACGTTCTCCCTTGGCTCCGGGACTGTCGTTCCAAGGGCGGCTTGCATGTCTGGTAGGCTGAAATCTTCCAAATCACCAAAGTTGATTGTGTCGTCCATGGAAACCAAGTTCGGGACTTGGGAAATCGAAAGATTGGTTTCCGCGCCTGCCGCTATCTCTGTGGAGCCAGACAAGCTCGGCGAAACTGGCCCGTCACCATGAACTCGACTTCTTCTTCTGTTTCGCTGCGGCGGCTGATCTGTGGAGGGAGGCTGTCGGTCCGCTTCTCGCATGCGATGTCGCTCTGATCATTGCCACCAGTCAATGTGTACCAAGTAAATTGTATCTCGGAGCAATAACACACCTCGAAATTTACGCTGTGCTATGCGGTTCTGCTCCCGCCGGCGTTCGGTAACTGGACTGTTGGTATCTCGAGAAGACATGGCTTACTGTGAAGAAGCTATCAAGTCAGCCAGAGCGGGGATAAAGGCACGAGAAGAAGCCCGGGGCCCGGGGGATGCTGGGTTCATCCAAAAGCGCGAACTTTTTGAGGGTGGAGGGGAGGCTGGACCACGATGTGCGAAAATTCAACGTCTTACAACCTCTGTGACACCTACACCCCTAAATACCTGCCATAACCTCACGGTCCTCACCTTTGCTCGGGGCGGTGTGCTTCAACTGGCGACTGTTACGAGCACACTGAGCTTGAAGAAGAAAGGAAGAAAAGGGAGATTCCAGAGCCATTCAGCCCTCGTGCTCTGATCAGGGCCTCCCGTCCCACAGTGAAATTGACCGTCTACATGTAGTCTGCCAGTGCTCGTGCCCGCAGAGGCGGAATGTTCCCGACAAGCCCACTCCCCGTTGCCAACAGCTGCAGACTGCAGTGTTGCGGCTCAGACTTGTCAATTGACCAATAAGGCTTCATGTCAGACAAGTCCCGCATGGGCATGATTTGGCCCCCACGGTCTGAGCTACCGACGGCCGGGACGAAGCGAGCACATAGGGAAAGGAACGGCAAGAACATAAGCGGCGAAACATGTCATCACTCCTCCTCTCCAAGCGGGCCAAACAGAATGCCGAATGAAGCAAGTTCTAGGTAGTATACGAATTACGCTAGGTAGATGCACTCGTGGCGCTTCAGAGGAAATCCTGGATGATTGGGCCCGCTGTGCCTCGCGTTGTGGAAGAGCTACATAGTAAGACGCGATTATGGAGTAAAGTTGTATCGAACGGCGCAATTGGGCCTGAGGATTCAATAGCCGCTGCGTGGTCTTTGTGGCTCGGCAGCAAGGTACTTGTATAGACAGCGGGCTCAGGTTGTTCCCAGTGCCCCACGTGGGTAATCTACATAGAGGCTGATAGAGCCCATGGACATTTTCCCGTATCACTCGCCATCCGAGTTCATGAACCCCGAATCATGGCCGAGCACCCGGTGGCCACCAACCCCCCAAACGAAGTTGATCCCATTTGTCTCAGCGTCTATGTCATATATGGGGCACGATGACAGAGGACACTGCACGTATAGGCCGCTCGAGGCCAATGTTCCGTGCAATGCAACCCCGAAGATGTAGGTGAGCATACGTGTACGCACGTACATAATACGAATACCCAGTGCGCCAACCAAAAGTTCTGTCACCCCTCCACTTCTTCCTTTGAGGGGTGAGATTTCAGGGTCTTCCCTGCACGTACTTGTACTACCAGGTTCCGTGCATCACATCCTTCCGTGCCGATCCCAGCCATGCAGCGAATGCTCAATGCCGTCAAGTTTGGGAGGGATCTAAGGCTATGGAGCCGCTGTACAACCGGGAAGTCGGACCGACAGAATAATATAGATGGTCAGAAACCAAGGCATTCTGTGTTGGTAATATGATGGCGCGCTGGGTTCCATTGCTGTTAGCAATGTCGTTATCATGCCTCTCGGGAGTGTTGCTGTAGCATTGTGTCTCACCTGCAGTCGAGCTTCTCACCAACGACAGATACACTACCTGAGATGGAGATGAACATGGTGTTGAGCGGGGGACTCACACCTATCGGAGAGGATCCTGCCTACCGGGACCCACCGTAGCAGTGCGTCACGGCGCATAGTATGTCTGGAACCGGCTAAAGCCAAGGAAGGGGCTCAGTGGCCCTCGGCTAGCCCTGTGAAACGTGAGACGCAGGCCATCAATGCGGGGGTGAAACTGTTCCCATATACTCGAATACCGATAACCAGGACGGCAATTATAGAGAAACCAGACGGATACCCAAGTAGGAAGGTTGTAACAAGCTCAACTCCTCTCGCTTTTATTTATAGGAGGTCGGTATACACCCTCAACAAGTTTAAACCATATAAGCTCTCTGAAACACCTATAAGGTTTGTTCGCTCGATGTTGAGATATTCCAGCCTTGCCAAGTAACAGACGTTCGATAAAGCCGATGCTTGACGTCGGGAGATGGACGGGAAAAGGCTTATCTCCCCACGCCAAGTTTGTGCCGCGATCTTGGCCGACGTACGGAAGACGATAGCCGCCACAGTAACATAACCCAGATTAGGCAGGTATTGCGGGGGGGGCAGCGAGCGCAAAATAGGCAGACCCCCCAGCGTTGCAATTGTAATATACCGAGTGTAATTGCAAGGTACTGTACCGAGTGCAATTGTAAGGCACTGCACCGAGTGCAATTGCAAGGCACTGCATTTGGTGGGTGCAATTGTAGGGCACTGCATTTGGTGGGTGCAATTGCAGGGCACTGCACCGAGTGCAATTGCAGGGCACTGCGTTGGGTACGCCTCGGTACTGAAGCACTATCAGAAAGTTAAAAATCGGGCTGGAGGTTGAGCTTAATAACGATATAGCCGGTATCCCAATATAGTATATATGCATGTCATGTGATAATTATGTTGTAAATCGCTAAATGTTAACCTGTTGTGTGGGGTGTACCTGGAATTAGTGGTGTAATTCTAAATGCTGCAAAAGCTCGGTACCTAAGCTAGTTATGTTACTGTGGCGGCTATCGTCTTCCGTACGACGCCTTCCGACGCCCCGTTGGTGAAACTTGTGGCTACAAAAGGCGATATTAGATACACACCATAGCGAAGGTCGGAAAACGGAACGGAAAAGGGACTTAGGCAGTGGCGAAAACTGAGTGTAAACGTGTTCTGTTCTCTCCCGTTTCAATCATCAGAAAACGTCCTCACACGTAACCTGGACTGTGCTGAGTCAGCAACTCAACCCAGAATGAAAGTGAAAATCTCGTCCCAGATTCACGTTCTCGGCCTCCCCACAATAGCGACATCTTTTTGTCTTCGTTGTTGTTCAAAGGGGGCGGTTTCTTGTCCTCAGAGCGACCAGTTTTGGACCTTTTTAAGCAGACAAGGAAGACTTATATGCACAATTGACCTGCAACGTGGGACAACGATCTCCAAAGCTGCATATCGAGCCTGCCGCAGGGGATATTCGCGCCAGTGCCCCCGGCGCTCGCTGGTTAAGTGGACAGGACGCAATTTACTAACCAAATCCGGTCAAACCACCCGCTCGATTAAGACACCAAGGTGATCCAGATCTGGTCTTGGACTAGTGGTCTCCGATGCATGAGCACGCAACTATTGAATAGCCATTGGCCACGCACCACCTCCGGGATAAGACTGGCAGACATGGCAAACCAAGATTTTCGCATTTCTCCGCCAGAGCCCTTGCTTCCCTTCCCTTCTCTCCCTCGGTCCTCCTGTGTAACCTCTGACCCAGTCCCGAGCCAGCCAAGACTATCATGAGCATCGTCAGACTTGCATGAAAGCCCCAAACCACCCAAAGCGCATGCGTGCAATGCCCGAACCCTCCTTCAAGAGTGTTCAGGGTGTAGTGTACATACAACCTCCCTGCAATGTATTCGAGCCCAAGCCCCAAAACAGCCCATGCCATCGTCATCGCGCCATCAGCTGCGCCGGCATTCCCGTGTCCGCCTGGTCGCTGCCACCGGACCTGACCGCCCACCACGGCCGCGTGGTGGGCGGTCACACCGGTCTCTCCACCGGACTTTCTCTCAACAAGGAGGCGGCGGATCAGCCACTGCCCATCGGCTCGGATATTGCGAACGCCCACTGCCGGGGGGGGGGGGGGGGGGGATCCCTCCTCAAAGTCCTTCAGCCGGCTTTCGAGGCCGGGACTAGGTGTCCGTCACCGACCAAGGAGGATGCCGCGCTTCAACAGCCCCCGACTTCATCCGGACATCGAGGACCAACTACGGGCGGTGCTTGCTGAAGAAGGCCGGAAATGCACACATATGTTGAACGAGTCCGAGACTTAACTATCTCGCGCACAGAGATGCAGGTCTTACCTCAGCGGTCAGCACACAACAACCTACAACAGGCGAAACAAAACATGCTGCGTCTACCAAGTAGTTGATTCGTACTCGTCCGGTTTAGAAACCATCAACCAACCGTAGTCCGAACCAGGAACCCTTTACCAAGTTAACGCGCGAGGGGAGGCAAACGCCTCGTTCCGGACCTTGGCCGGAGTTTTTCAAAGTCCAATGCTGTGGCTAATAACATCGTCATTGGGAGGTCATGGAGGTAAGCGATGGCGGGCTGGGCAGACACCGACTCATGCAAGAAACCACCAGTCCGGGTTCGTCCAAATTACAAATTGACAAAGATGGCGACACTTTGCCCCTCGGCGTCAGATCATGACTCCAGGGGAATCTAGACTACGATCACTTCACACACTAGACCAAGGAGATCGATCAAAACCTAATACAACCAAGGCACAGCCTCTAGGCGAGGCGAAATCACAGCACGGCTCAGCTCATCGAGATGCGGTTCGCTATTGTACTCTCAAACATACAGCCCACTCGACCCCCTTGCCACACCCAAACCCTAGCTAGTCCTGCATGTTCAGGACGGCGCGGATGCAGTCGCCTTGCTTCATGACCTCAAAGGCGTCGTTGATCTCGGGCAGCGTCTTGCGGTGGGTGATGAACTCGTCGACCTTGAGCCGGCCCTCGAGGTAGTCGGTGACCAGGTCCGGCAGCTGGCTGCGGCCCTTGACGCCGCCGAACGCGCTGCCCTTCCAGACGCGGCCGGTGACGAGTTGGAATGCTAGATAAGTCGGTTAGCCATGGTACTCTTGGAACCAACATCACAATAGGTGAAAAGACGAAAGAAAGAAAAAGAACCTACGCCTCGTCGCGATCTCCTGGCCCGCGGCGGCAACGCCAATGATGATGCTCTCGCCCCAGCCCTTGTGGCAGGCCTCGAGCGCGGCCCGCATGACGCTGACATTACCAGTGCAGTCAAACGTGTAGTCGCACCCGCCGTCCGTCATCTCGACCAGGCGGTCGACCACGCTCTTGCCGTCGGGCAGCTGGGTCGGGTTGACAAAGTCGGTGGCGCCGAAGCGGCGCGACCACTCCTCCTTGGCCGGGTTGACGTCGACGACGATGATCTTGCCGGCCTTTTGCGCGACGGCGCCCTGCACGACGCTCAAACCCACGCAGCCCGCGCCGAACACGGCCACGTTGCTGCCCTCCTCGACCCGCGCCGTGATGCGCGCCGCCCCGTACCCGGTCGTGATGCCGCACCCGAGCAGGCAGGTCCGGTCCATGGGCGCGTCCTGCTGCACCGCCACCACCGAGATGTCCGCCACCACCGTGTACTGGCTGAAGGTCGACGTGCCCATGAAGTGGAGAAGGTCCTGCCCGCGCGCCCGGAACCGGCTCGTGCCGTCCGGCATCACCCCCTTGCCCTGCGTCGCCCGGATCTTGCCGCAGAGGTTGGTCTTGTTGGACTTGCAGAACTTGCACTCCTTGCACTCGGGTGTGCTTTGTTAAGGGAAGGGGGGGTTAGCAGCCGGCGCTAGAAGAAGGAGGCTAGGTGTGGTGGTGCCAGCATACTAGAGAGCCACGACGTGGTCGCCGGGCTTGACGTTGGTCACGCCCTCGCCGACCGACTCGACGGTACCTGCGCCCTCGTGTCCGAGGACCACGGGGAAGGCGCCCTCGGGGTCCTTGCCAGAGAGCGTGTAGGCATCTACGGCGGTGGGATTATGTTAGTAACCTGGTAGTACACGACAGTACACACACACCCCGGTAGGTAGATGGACAGACTGGCCATCAAGGTGTCGAGGCGGGGGCTGTTATTGGAGGGGCGGGCCGTTACCTGTGTGGCACACGCCAGTGTACTGGATCTTGATGCGAACCTCGTGGGCCCGCGGCGCCAATACCTCGACATCCTCGTAGCTGAGCTCCTGTCCGGGGCCCCAGGCGATAGCCGCCTTGCAGGTGATGGTCTGCGGGTGGGAGAGGTTAGCGAAATCCACAGGCAGTTCACTGGCAGCTCACTGGCAAGAGCTGTTTGCTGCGGGGTAACTGTTCGCTCTTGAACAATCGTTAAAACTCACCTGTCCTACTGTTGAAGCCATCGTGATGTAATGTGTTTGGTTTTGGGATGGGTGAATTGATTGACAGCAGAACCAGTCACTCGGTTCAGCTCAAGGTTAGCAACACAACGAAGCGCCCTTTTTGTCCGTTCCAACAAAACAAGAAAGGCCGAACTCCCTCTTCGCCTTCGGGAACAATTTGACCCCGCCCTCGAAGGTGGGGTTCTCAGAGGGGTCAAGATTGCCGACCCGCCTGCACCCACCACTGCCTGTTCGCCTTTTGCCCTTCGGCATCCCGGCGGCTGCTTCGGTGATTTTACGGCATCCCGCCCGCCAAGTGCTTGTTTCCTACCCTTCGCCTGCCTGCGGCTCGGCAGTTCATCGAGCCTTCAAGTCCTTGGGTGGAGTGGGGTTTTTGGTAAGGCAGCTGGGCAGTCACTCCCTTGCTCTCGAGGGAGGTTGTCCCGTAAGCGAGAAGCATTATTGCGTATCTCGGTGTTGTAAGTACCTGCCCGAGGCTTAGTTAATCCACTTTTCTGAATTGGAAGGCACCGGAAGTCAGTTTAACGTGCCGAATCACAAGTGGGTTACCAGAGAGGCACAGAGGCAACTCTCTCTAGTTTAGAAAGTATATGAGCGCTTGTGTTTACTTTCCCCATGGTGATTCCAGGTGGATGCGCTATATCCAATGCTGAAGGAGCATCATGTCCTAAATGCGCTTGGTTTCACATCACGGTGAGCAACTCGATCAAAGTGTACACAACCAATGGCTTACGGGATTGCCCAAGGTAGTAAGTATGACGTGGGAGTTGTCTATTCATAATACCTTGATTTAGATGTAGCCTCTAGTGTTTGTTGGGCTGTGTCCGCCCCAACCCCTTTCAACAATACTTGCCGTATCTAATGGCGTAAGACGGAGAGAGAGAGTCATCCGCGATGGTGCAAAAGTGGGGGGATTAGCAACTTTGTGATTTGTTAATCCAACTCTCTCTTGACTCACTCAACTCTTCATACAACTTCACAACACCAACACCAACACCAATAACAACACATACCCAACACAACACCCAATACAAACCACCCCCAAGATGGCCCCCCTCCCTCCTCCCTCACCGCTCCCCGAGTTCGTTTACAAGATCACCCCATCCGCCCCACCAAACCCGATCCCCGAGCAATACCCGCTCTCGGACCTTGACCGGAAAGACGGTTTTGTGCACTTGAGCACCTCGTGGCAGGCATGTTTACAGGCCCCTATTCCCACATTTTACCTCGCTTGCTCCACCGTGCTGTATAAAAATAGAATAGAATACTAACACGCTGGACCCTTCAAACAGCTACCCATCACATCAGACCTCTTCTTCAAAGACTTCGCCTCCTTTTACGTCCTCAAGCTGCGTCTAGCCAATTTTGATGCGTCCAGCGTCAAGTGGGACGAAGTGGACGGGACGAACGGGTGCCCCCATCTGTATGGCAACTTTGGGACCCAAGACGTCGTGGCGGTGAAGGAGTTCCGCCGCGGGGAAGGGCAGTCGTGGAAGGAGGTTTTCGCAGCGGAGACGGGTTGGTTGGAGTAGATAGATGATTCTCAGCAGCAGTCGACATATGAGGGTGGAATATTGATGTTGGTTTCTGACCACCAAACCCTCCACGGTAAAGCTAGGTGATTCCATTGTGTATTACACAAACCGTACATTTAGTTCCTAATCTAAGGTAACCCAAACAAACCAAACACCAAAGCCTCTCCTTCGTTATTTTCCACCCGGCAATTACCCCACAGTCCACAGGCCGTCACACCACCTCCCCATCTACCAAACCATCTCATCCGCCTCGGCCACCCACAGCCCCGCCAGGTCCTTGGCCAAGCCCAGCCTCAACCTCTTCATGACATCCCGCCCCCGAGTCTTGGTCGTGACCTCAGCCCGCCAGTCCCACCCCCTCTTGACCGCGACCTTCCCCAGCGCGCCGCCGCCGGTCAGCGACCGCTGCAGCTGGCTCGCGACCAGCGAGCTGCCCGCCAGCATAGCATTCCCTCCCGGCCCACCACCACCAGCACCACCACCACCACCGGTCTTCTTGAGCAGATCAGCCGGCGTCGAGCCCTTCAAGCCGCCGGGGGCCGACGCCAGCACGAGCTGCAGGAACTCGTCGGAGGCGTGGTAGACGCGGTCGCCGACGGCCTGGAGGTCCTCGATGGCCTTGAGGACGACGTCGATCTGGTCGAGGGAGATGGCCGGGGCGGCGGCGAGGTGGCCGTGGTGGATGCTGGTGTCGTCCGGGTCCGAGACGAAGACGAGGGCCTCGCCGAGCAGGGCGAGCAAGAAGTCCTCGCTGACGATGCCGTCGCGCGTCTGGTCGAACAGCCCGCCGCGGATGTTGTCGTCCGAGCTGGCGATGACGCTGACGAGGGCCGTCGCGGCTTGCTGGCGCCGCGCGTGCGCCGTCGCGTGCGGGAGGGCGTGTTCGTTGTCGCGGATGTCGTAGAACTGCCGCAGGGACGCGTAGCCGCTGAGCATCTTGCCCAGGAGCTCCGCCGCCTCCATGTCCTGGTTGGCGCACTGCTCGAGCGTGTTCTGGCGGTCGGTGAGCAGCTTGTGGAGGTAGTCGTCGAGGTCGTTGGCGGGCGGGAATGCCGTGGACTGGATCAGGGAGTAGGAGATGAGCAGGTTCATGACCTCGCGGACCTTGTTCGGGCGGTGCGCGAGGGCGTAGTACCACATGGCCTCGCCGTAGCGGTGTGACTCCCGGGCGAGGATATCTCCATAAGCCTTGAAAAGGTCAGTCAGTAAGAGCTTTGAAGTCTGGCGTGCTGCAGCACTTACCTCCGTCGTATCCTCGGCAAATTCAATCATGCCGAGTTCGTTCAACAGCAGCCACAACCGGTCCACCGTGGCATTCGAGTCCACGTGCAGCGCTTCAACCAGGTGTTCCACCACGTCCCTCACCATTTCCTCTGACCGCTCGGGCGAGTCCATCCGGCCGAGGACGCTAATCGACAGCTCCCAGCCTTCCCTCGAGACACCCAACCTGTCCTTCACCGTAGACAGCCCGTCGTAGTCGGCTAGTGCTTGGGCATACTGCACTAGGGTGCTGTCCTTGATGCCGTCAATCTCATCCGGCGCGCCGGGATCCATGCCAAGGACCTCCAGATCGTCCATGTCTAGATCTTCGAGCCCAAACGCCCCTGAAGGTTGGTGGGGAGGGAGCCATTTTCCAAGCGACGCAATCTCAGCCACCGCGGCGGCAACGGGGAGCGACCAGCCACGGAGCAGGCCAATGACACCCTTGATATTATCCTCAAAAACACAGGCCATGCCAATCTCGACCGCATTTTGGGAGTTGAAGTGGAAATCGGATTCCACGGCCGAATGGAACGTGTGCGCAAGCCTATCGAGATAGCTATCCGTGTCCGCCGCGGGTGTCGAAGCGAGGACCAGAGCCTGTGACCGCGACAGTGACTGGGACATGGAGAAAGGCTTGTCCGTGTGCGACTTGCGCTCGTCCCACCAGCCGAATAAACTGACGGTAGCCTCTAGCCAATCCTGTGCCGCCTCGAGAATGGCGCCCTGCTGGCCGAGGACGATGTCGAACACGATATTTAGGTTCTCGTAAATCTCCCACGGCACCTGGCTCTCGGCCCGTCTAGCCAGGCCGGCCATTGACTGCCTGCCTCTAGCCGACGCAGCAGAGGTCGAAAAGGTCGACTCGCCGAATGTGCTGTCCTTGCCCTCCGCAAACCGCCTCAGATGCTCAAGCGAGCCCTGGGCGCGCACGCGGAACAAGGTCCAGTCACTACTCCAGATCTCCCAGTTGCCGTCGTAACCTGGGCAGCTCTCGAGCACGGCGATCGTCTCGTCAGCCGCGCGCTGCACGTTCTCGAGCGCGCGGTCGACATAGGCGTACTCGCCGCGCTGGCCGCGCCGGACGTGACCCCAACCGGCCTGGTAGAGCAGCCGCGCCGCGTCGCTCACTTTGCCGCGAAGCAGCGTAATGAAGACGGCCTGCCAGAACAGCGAGTGGCACGCCGGGCTGGGCCGGTGCCGGAGGATCTCCTCGACCTGGTTGCCGTACATGTCGTGGTTCTCGTTCAGCCAGCGGAACAGCGTCTCGGGAAGCGGTTCCGCCCGCGCTAGGCCGGCCTCCTCGTATCGGGTGTGGTGAATCTGCAGCGCCAGGTTGGCGAGGTAGTTGGCCTTCTCGAATGGGGAGGCGTGCGGACCGGGCCCTATCTCGGCGGCATGGTCCTCCGTCGGGCGCGGGAGCTTATCCACATGGCCCTTCCAGAGCGCCGCCACCCTGGCCGACACCGTCGCCAGCGTATCATCCATCTTATCCTCGTCCTCCGCCTCGCCCACGCCTTCGTCGTAAAGCATCGCGAGCAGATTCTCCGTCCCCAGAATGACCTGCGGGGTCTCGGTAACCTGCGCGGTCCCCATCTGCTGATAAACATCCTTGGCGAGCGCAGCATAGTGATACTCGTTCCTCCTCACCGCGCCGCCGGCCTGGAACGACGACGCGCGGAAGATATCCTCCGCCTCGCGGCGCACCCTCTCAGTCGCAGCAGGCGTAGCCATCATCAACAGATCCGACTCGTCCCCAATCGCAGCGGGCAGGCCCGTCCCCGTCCCTGCAGTCGAGGGCAAATCCAGCCACATATCGCTCTCGCCCTCCTCATCATCGTCATCATCAAACGGCACCCCAAACGTCTTACTCGCAGGCGCAACACCACCACCACCACCACCACCACCACCACCAGCCGTCCTCCCACCCCGCCCAGGACTATCCTCATCATCCACCGCCACCGCCCGACTCAGCCGCGACGGCTGCCGCGCATGGCCCGGGCCGCGGATGATCGACCTCCCCAGCGGCGCACTCCGCTTCTGCTGCGCCGCCGTCCCCGAGAACAGATTCTTCTTCCCATCCCCTCCTCCCACCCCCATAAACCCGCCCGCCGAATCAAACCCCCCGCCAATCCCCGTAAACAACCCCCCACGACTGCTCCCACCACCACCACCACCACCACCACCACCTCCACCACCTCCTCCAAAGAACCCGCCTCCTCCTCCTCCTCCCCCCAAGCCCCCACCAGTAAACAACCCCTGCGGCGCCGCCGCCTCCTTCCCACCACCACCACCGGCCGTAAACAACCCCCTCACCGGCTGCTCCTTCCCACCACCCCGCGCAGTCGACATGCCGCGAAGGATCGAACTACCGAGATAGCTCGCGGACGGCGCGCCAGCAGGCGTGAAGCTAGCAGTCGACGAGTTGTGGGGATCGTCGTCGTAGTCGTGGTCGTCTTGGTGGCCCGTGGCGGGCGGGGGCGGGCCGGAGGGCGTGGTGGAGCGGTTGCTCGCGTTTGTGTAGAGGGGGTCGGCAACGGCCGGTTTGGAGGAGGAGGGTTTGGTGCGGTAGCGGTCGGGGGTGGATGGGGGTTGGAAGGGGGCTGGGTCGGGGTCGAAGGTGCTTGTGGAGGGGAGGTGGAAGTTGAAGGGGGTGGACATTTTTGTTGGGGGTTTGTTAGGTTGTGTGTGGTCGCGCGGAATCGGTGATTTGGTTGTGTGGTGTGTTGTTTTGTCGAGGAAGGGCGGGTTGCGCGCAGGATCGATCGACAATCGGTAAAAGTAGCTGTCAGTTTGCGAGAAGTGGCCGAATCACATATCGGCCGTGACCTATAGGGCGACCGTTCGTGATGATGGTCGGTGGATCGCGATTACCAGCGCGCAATGTTGTTGCGAGTTTTGGTTGTGGCTTTCGCTTGGCGATGGACAAAGCTCCAAAACTGAGTGAGAGAGCTTTGGCAGCTGGGGGTTGCACAGACGCGACTTTTTTGGCGGTTGTCGGCGCGCCTCGGCAAGTTCCGTTCTAATCCGGACAACAGCGCCCGTGTATCAGGACATACAAATTATTACAAAGTCACAAATACATCGTTCCAGCAGGACAAGTGGATATGCTCGCTCTGAATTCCATATTGATTTCACTTCCGAAACAATTCAATCGCTGGAACGCTATGACTGGGCTCAACTCATACACCACCTCCCCCAACTCTTCACCGTATAATATCATAGTACATACACATCACAAAATACACAGCAGAAAAGAAACAGAAAAGCGGGATAAGATGCATCTGGCTGGAGCAGGCCAAGTGATGAATTAGCTACCCATCGAAGGAACCGCAAGGTATCAGGAGAGGGCTAACCGCACCACCCGATCCCGTTCGTGCTTCTGAGATACATCGCACATTATATATGGGGTACTGGGGGGATGAAGAACAAAGGAAAGCAACGTCGGCCACCGTGTGGTCGAGGGGGTATTTCAGGCAAAGCATGCGCCAACGCGAAAGGAAATAGGGGCGGCCTTCGTCGGTGCACGAGCACCTCGGCCGACCCGGCTTAGCCGTTCAACCAAGCGCCCACCTAGGCGCTCTGCGGCAGCAGCGACGTGTCCTTCTCCGTCCCGAGTCCGAATCCTCTTGCCCCGGCGCTCTCGGGGTGTTGCAGCCCAAACTTCTCGAGCCCGGCGACCGCGCTGTCAAGCTCGCTGTAAATGCCGAGACCGTTGCTGTCGGGACCGGTGGCGGCTGTGCTCTCGTTGTTCTCATCAGCGCCCTCCTCGAGGTTCATCAGCGCCGGGGGCCGGTGGCGCATCTGCCGGGCCTTTGCTAGTGAAATGGTGTTCTGTTGGTACGTAGTCGTGATGGGCTGCGTGTCGTCGCGGTCGATCGTGGCCTTCATCAGAGCCGCCATCCACAGCCGGCCTTGTTTAATGTTCGGTACCGCGAAGTAGTGGACCGTGGGTTTCGTAAAGTTGACTGCGCGAGAGAGACCGGCGCGAGGGGGGACGAGTTTGAAGATGAAGATGGAGTCGGACTCTTGGATAGGATCGCGGTCGGCGTCGGCTGCTGCGAGGGTCGTCATATGGCTTCCGGCGGGCATCGCGGGCGTGCTCGAGGCGCCCGTGAGCGTCGCGAGAAGCCCGGTGAGTCGCTCGTTGTCGGCCGGAAGCACTCGGTGGAATGAGATGTCGATCAAGCCCCGTTCCTGATCGTCATCTTCCGAGTAGTAGTAGGCTAGGCGCCTACCCTTGAGAACGAAGAGGCGAGGTTTCCAAGTCGTCATGAGATTGGCGCTTCTCTTCTTCATCCAGCCAGTGTAGTCGGCATCCTTCATGGCTTCCCGAGGGCTGATCTTCTGAAGGCCACGCGTGTATGCGCTGGTCTCCTGCTTCTTCTTGCGGCTGGTCCGGCTGGGTGCCGTTGTTGCCGTGCTCGGGCTCTTGGTGTCGGGCGACTCCAGATCAAAGCTCTGACCACCAGAGGGTGTGCTAGACCCGGTACGGGCTGGCGAGTACATGGGCGACTCCTTAAGAGGCGACTCAACCGGTGAGAGCTTCGCTCGTTCGCTACCCGTAATGGCATCCGAGGCTGCCCGCAATCCGCCGAGCCCACTCCGTAACATCATGCTCACGTTAAAGTCGGGATGGTTGACTTGGCTCAGCCGCTTGATGGCCGACTTGGGCGAAGACCGGGACTGGTCTGACGAATTACTGTCCAGCCTGGTGACGGTAGGGTGCATCGACTCCTTAGAACCCGTCATGTGACGCAGCGAGTCCGTGGTAGCTAAGGACGGCGTGCGTTTCGACACACCGTAATACTTTTGAGCCGCGGGTGAGAGCGACGACTCGCTTCCGAGTCGAGAATGCCTCGAGAGTGCCGTAGCGCTGCGCACCCGCTGCTCGTCCGCGTAACTCGCCTTTGGCGAGGTTTGGGTGCTCTCGCGCTTTTTCAAAACGTTGCGTCGCCGACCATCGGCATCCGTGCCCGAAAAATAACCACGGTCCATCTCGACAGCCGAATCCTGGAGCTCGGCGGCCCGCCCACCAATTCCGTCCTGGTGCCCTGCAGATGACAGGGGACGAGGCGAGAAATTCGAGGCACCTCCTAGAGTCCAGTTTCGGTCGAAAGAGGGTTGCTTCTTATGCGGCGCGTCTTGTCGCGAGAATGTACCGCTCACGGATGCCTTGGCGGGGACAGAAGAATTAAGATTGGCGCCTTGGATGCGGAAATCGGTAGATGAGTGGCGGCGGGAGTGGTGCAAATCTCGGACGGATGCAGCCGAGGGCCGTTTGTCGTGGAACGCGCGGGTCGGGCTCTCTACGAGAGGAGAAACGGGCGACACGGGTTCGTAAGGTTCGGGCTTGGTAGTTTGCGACGTGTGTTTGGTCGCGACCGAAAGAGACGTGTCGTTGAGAGGTGCAAACCGCGGGCCCGAGCTCGTGATGGTATTTGTTCTGCTCCGGACCCTGCCCACATCCGAACCCGCATCGCTCCCGTAATTCTGTGTGTTCCTGCCTGTGCTCAAGACCTGCCCGGTAACCTGGTCCTGCAACTGCTTGATTTTTTGCCACGTCTTCAACCTTCTCCCGACGGATCCCAAGTCGAGCGCTTTGATGAATACCGACGTCTGGTCCATCCCTAGAATCACTTCGCCCGTGATTTCTTGGTCCCTAAACACCTCGCAGTGGTGCTTCTCTACGCCAGCTGTAAACAGATACTCGGCAACTTGGTCTGCGTTCCACGATTCAACCTCCTGGCGCGTGTGAATCGACTCCTCCTCTTCATCCGTCTCTTCGCCCTGGATGTACGATATTCTGTGACCCATGTGCGAGCTGTACTCGCTGCCCGAGTCGTTACCATTCCGGGCCGAGGCGTTAACTTGCGGCGAGTTCAAATCCGTGATGTGCTCGTCGATTACGTTCAGCGTGTCATGTAGGACATGGCTATCGGTGCTCGTGCCGGGACGCGATGTGCTGCCGAGACCTGACCCAATATTCGCTGGCACGCTGCTGGACGAAGACGGAGGAAGGCTGCTGCTGGTACTTGTTGACTGGAAAGAACTGACCGGGGTGGCGACAGCGATCGGTTTTGACTCGGGAACGGGAGTAGTGCTATGATCGTCCTCTACCGGGGGGCTGGCAACGGGGGTTGTTTGCTCGTGGGACACCTCTGCCAAAGGCGTGAGGGGCTGCTTCGGGGGTAAAAAGGTCGGAGCGTTGGCGACGCTCTTGGGCGCTGGTCGCGTATACACTTTTGTCATGTCAGCCGGGGAAGTATCTTAACGCACCGAGGCAGGAAACCTACCCTCTGGGAACAGGCCACTGTTCCCATTGGCCATATGCTTGCCCAGGTACCATCCATCTCCGAACTCGTCATCGCGCTCGAGCAGCTCTACGCGATCGCCCTTCGTGAGGCTCAGCTCGTCGGAACTGCGGGCTTGGAAATCGTCTGTGAAGCGGAGAGGGGTCAGCCATTGTTCGTGACCACGACGAAGCGCAAGCACTGCGGCACTGCAGATTTCCTTGATACGCAATCGAGGCATTGGCGCCCCAAAACGCGGGGCACAAGGGCAACTCACGGATAACGAGCAGGGTGTCGCCCACGTCGGGCTTGTTGGAATTAGGTGCAGCCATGGTCGTCCCTCGATGGCAGCGGGCTGGCTGCGCGGGTGCGTCTGAAGGGAAAGAGTGAAGATAGAGTCGAGGGGACAGCACGATCAGGTTTGCGGTTCACAGGGAACGCCGAGGTCGGGGGAGGTGTCGCCAAAATGGAGGGAGGCTTCTTCGGAATGCCGGACAGACGGGGGCGTTGAGGGGTGGTTGTCGCAAAAGCCAGGCCCAGAATCAAGCAGGCAGGTCGAGGGGGGGCCGCGAACGGGGCCTTGATTCGACCAGGGGCGTACCAATCTAAGCGGGACCGGCAGGCGGCGGAGAAACGTGAAATGCAGAAAGTGCACGGCGTGGTGTCACTCCCATGGTAGGTCTATGTGCCGCTCCAAACACGTTGTTGGATCTATTTCCAGGGACGGCGCTTGGCGGGTATTCGTACTCGAAGGCGCTCAGGTGGGATGGGGCGCTTGGGGGGGGTTCTTCGGTCGTTCGCGGCAAGACGGGACCACGTATGTTGGGGGTTGAATGGGGCTGAAGCATTCGGCGGCGGCGGCGGCGGCACCCGGGCTTCCGTCGCTGATTGGGGGAGCAATTAACGGGACGAGGGGGGTTGTGTGGGTTGCCGTTATTGGGCCTGAAGTACCACAGTGCAGAGCCGGTCTCTCCAAGCGGCGCCGTCACACCTTGCACAGCGAAGTCGAAACAAACCACAGCTTAAGATAGTGAGGGAGTGGTTTACAAGAGGTGTCGTTGAGAAAACTTCTCGTCTGGGATGAACGCTGGTAAGGATGATCTCGGTTAGACACGTCAATTCAGCGCCCTGTGCTTTTTGGCGTCTTTAGCTGAAAAACGGGGAAAGGAAGGTTCGCAATTATGGGTCCGTTAAGTCGAGCAGGCGGCGTCCCACTGGCCAAACCCTCGAACCCTCAACCTCAAAGCCAGGGCTGGAGCCAGGGTTAATTAAGTCCGCGAGCTCTGGTGCAAGGGATACTTCGTCCGAGCTCTGGCGTCTTTTCCATTGCTCGTACTTTGGCCGCGCCATGAATATATTGGCGTCTACTCAACAACCACAGCATGATCCAGAAAAAGAAACGGCACTCAGACGGCGCAGTTGCGCAACTGTTGCCTGCATAGGTGAAGCCGATGGGGGTGTTGCGGCGCCACTCTCGCATTCCCACGCGGCTGGGACCCTCAACCGGGATCAGAAAAGGGCGCGGACAATGCATTGACAGGGGAAAAACCACGCGGTACAACCTTGCCTCTTGAGAAAAGACGCAGTCCAGTCCCCGCCACCCAGGCTGTGATCACCGAGAGGGAGGGGCGGCTGATGCGCGAATCGAGATGGGCCCTGCTTCTTGATCTCGAGGTGTCACATCCCGATCATGTGCTGCTGTCGTGGCATGTGTGTTTTTACACACAAGTTGCCTCACGAGTATTGCTCTAGTTGCCATCTGCTCTGCTCGGCCACAGAGTGAAACTAGTCAGGTATTTACATCTGTACAACTCTTTGTCGAAAGGAATTGGAATGGCAGGAATGGTTTCCTTCACTTCAATTTACACATGCACCCCAAAGGCAAAAAAAGCCGGACTCCAAGTGTAGACGTCGACCAAACGTCGACTGTAGGAACGAACCCAAAACCATCCAAAGGCCCAAAGAAGCTGTATTAGCTGAATTTACTTTTTATTTTACTTGATGTAATTTATTTGATTTGTTTTTCCCGATTACTTTCGCTTCTTATTTTCCTTTGGAGTTCGGCTTTCTTTGGCCAGAGGATGGCATGCTCTCAGTTAATCCCCACATTTAACTGGCCGCCGGCCGGCAAGTGAACCCCTGCGTGCCCTGCTGCTTCCCCAACTTCGGCGTCGGCCCGCTTCTGGCCTTCAACCCACCCTAAACCTCGGCAACTCCAAGGGTCTGTAATCGTTGAAAGATGGCATCCCTCCGGGGCTCAACATCGACGAACATTTCGTCAGATTTTACAGCATCACTGTTTCAAGAACCGCCACCGTAGCCGCCAAACACGCAATCACCCATCCCGAGTAACCACTACGCCACACCCGTCTAACCTCACCCTCACCCTCAGCCCACGGCACCGTATCCTCGGGGTACCCCATTGGACAACAACCCCGCGACAGGCCGACAACCACCAAGCAGAACAGCAAACATGGCCCAGCAGCAGCAGCAGCAGCCGCAGCCCCTGGCCGGCTACACCAGCTACCAGCACTACCGCATCACGGCGCCGTCCCCCTTGGTGGCGCACGTGGAGATCAACCGCCCCGCCAAGCTCAACGCGTTCCACGAGGCCATGTGGCTGGAGCTGCGCGCGGTGTTCCGGCAGCTGTCGGCGGACGGCGACGTGCGCGCCGTGGTGCTGTCGGGCGCCGGCGACCGCGCCTTCACGGCCGGGCTCGACGTCACGGCCGCGAGCGAGGGCGGCGTGCTCTCGGCCGCGGAGGGCCTGGACGGGGCCAGGACCGCGGCCAGGCTGCGGCGGCATATTGCTGAGTTTCAGGAGTGTCTTTCGGCGATTGAGAAGTGCGAGAAACGTACGTCTTTTTTCGGAGTGTTTCTTTTTTTTTTTTTTTTTTTTGGTTACCTTGGAGAGTGTGTAAGTAAGCCAGCTGACCGGCATGGCCCCTATTAGCGGTGATCTGCGTCATGCACGGCATTGCCATCGGGCTGGCCATCGATATCTCGTGCTGTGCCGATATTCGGGTATGTGCCAAGGATGCACGGTTTGCCGTCAAGGAGGTCGACATCGGGCTGGCGGCCGATATTGGCACCCTCGCGCGCTTGCCCAAGGCAGTTGGTAGCCAGTCGTGGGTTAAAGACGTTTGTTTGACGGCGCGCGGCTTTGACGCGGCCGAGGCCCTCGCCGTCGGCTTCGTTAGCCAGGTGCACGATTCCAAGGCCGCCGCGCTGGCCGCGGCCGTCAAGACGGCCGGGTTCATCGCCTCCAAGAGCCCTGTGGCGGTGCAGGGGACCAAAGAGTTGCTAAACCACAGCCGAGACCACACAGTCGAGGACAGTATGTATTTGCCTTGCCACCGCATAATGTTTGTTCTCGGAACTGACAGATTGCAGACCTCAGGTACACGGGCGTCTGGAATGCCGCCGCCCTGCAGACCAACGATGTGGCGGCCGCGCTGATGTCAGGGCTGAACAAGAAAAAGCCCACGTTCGAGAAGCTTTGAGCCCTTGGGGTGGCCCAGAAGTGTCTAATTATATGCCGGGGTAACCTTGGCCCCTGTGTTGTAGAGTATTGATACACAATCATGAACGTCGTTATTCGTAAAGTCCCAAGACTGCCCCTGCCGAATCATCGCCCTACGACTGTTGCAATGGAGAGGACGTCGCTCTCTATCCCGGGGCCCTATTGGAAAAACGATGTCCTGGGATCCTATTCTGCTTTTCCTCCTACTCACTATCCTCTAACGGCTCCTCCGGCCGATACGTCTCCCGGAGGCGCTGCCCGGCACAATCAGCCTCGATCGCTAGCGGGAACAAAAACATCAGACTCACCTCCTCAAGCTTCGACTTCAACACCTGCAACATGGCCTCTTTGACAAAGAGATGCGTCTCGTCCAGGTCTTCAATGATGAATTCGTGGTGATGGGTGCTGTCGATGTGCACGAGGATCGACTTGATGGCGGGCTCGCACTCCACGAGAACGCCTTCGGGGCATCCATCAGCCATCGAAAATAATCTCTTTCGTCACCTACACTTACCCCGGACGGCCTTGACCATCTTGCTCATACAGATGGTCGAGTTGAGTTGTTGGATACTGATGATTTCCAGGTTGATGATGATGAATTAATCGGTCATGCAAAGTGGATTGCTTGTAACTCCCGATTGCCTGCAGTGCACTGCCTGTCTGTTGAAGTCTGCCAAGGCCGTTCATTCTTCTTTCCGCTGTTTTGGCCTGGGGCCCGAATCCAACTGGCCCACTTTAAACTTCAGCTTCCTTGACTCTTTCCTTCGTTTGTTATTGATGCGTTTCAACTTCCCAAGCAACTGCCACCCTCTGCTACGCCGCCATTGCTCCGCCCCCAAAAACACTGGGAAACAGACCGGGTTTTCGAGTGATCTCTGTATATTTTACGTGTTTTACGGAAGGATTCCGCTCGCCAACGGTTCCAAAACATTCGCTCCCTCTTCCGGACGCGCAATGACAATTTATTTCTCCAGGTTCGAATCCTTCACGAACAAATGTGCATGTATCAACAGGGGCACAATCAGGCTGCCATTTAACTAGCTTCTTAAGGACGAGTCCTCTCTCTATTCATGTCATCCCATCTTTTTCTCTCTATAATCACTTGAATCCACTTGAATCCACAAGTTGAGAAGGCTACCAAAAATGTATCCACGCTTCTCGTTAATCACTTTGCTTGCGGCAACAACCGTCTCGGTTGCAATCGCCGACCCTGCTCCGGCCCCAGCCGGCCTCGCGCCGGTGGTGGCCCCGGGCCCGGCACTCGATGCCCGGCAAAACCCACCACCACCGCCGCCACCACCGCCGCCACCACCACCGCCGGAACCAACACTCCCAAATCCAAACCCACCACCACCGCCACCACCACCCAACCCATCAGCGCCAAATCCATCAGCGCCAAATCCATCGGCGCCGAATCCATCACCGCCAAATCCATCACCGCCAAACCCATCACCGCCAAACCCAACCAACCCACCAATGCCAACCCTAGTACCCCAGCCGAAACCCCCCATCTCACTGTACTCCCTCCCAACAAGCTGCAGCACCTCCCTCTCCTCTATCATCTCCGCCCTGCCCACCCCGGCCACGACAGAGCACGCCGACCTGCCCGAATGGGCCTCCTCATCAGCGCCCATCCAACAAGTCGTATCAGTGATCACCAACAACTACGCGTACCGCGACCTCGGCCGCGACGCCACCGACTGGTGCGGCGCCGCCGCCGAGGTCGTCACCGCGCCGGCCTCGCTGTCCGCCGCCTACTCCCAGTACCTCGACCAGGTCCAGAGCTGGCGCTACGACTGGGAGGGCCGCGCCTACGAGCTGGCCGCCAAGTGCGGCTACCAGGTCGGTTTGGGGGCCGAGATGCTCATGGCGACTGAGATGGCCATGTGCACGAGCGGCTTGGCTGCGAGTGTCACGCCTTTTGCGACGGCGGGCGTTGGCGGTGAGGGGGGTGGTGATGGTGACGGGGAGAATGCTGCTGGGAGGGTGGCGGGTGCTGGGAGGATGGTGGTTGCGGGTGCTGTGGTTGTGGGCGGTGCGTTGGCGTTTTTGTGAGTAAAGGGGGGCTAGGGGGGGAACTGGACGTTTGAAGGGTCCGAGTAATATGCGGCTGGCAAGTGTTGGTATAGACAGACTCTGACATAGAGGGGGTTATAAGGATACCCAGATAGCAGGGGGGGGGCGTCATCGGCATTGGGCTCAGGTGGGGGGATGAAGCCTACCAGCGCCATGTCGGTGGCTGGCGTCCGTGCAAGGTAATATAGAGTGTATCTATGCGCAAAAGTAATATATACCATCTGTCTTCCGTCGGTCTATTCATTGCCGCAATGTGATAATGTTTTGTTTCTCATAGCCGGTGACCCTAAGCTGTTTGATGTCCTCCGAAGGCTAGGATAGTTGAAGGAACCCCCAGAACTCAGCACCTGTCGATAGATTTTGCACCTTGGACATCGATAATGTGCGCTGCGTCGCACGACTGGAGCGAAGCGCACGAGTCAGCCCAGCGGATAGTGCCACCTTGGTACCAAGACTGCCGTTCCTTGACCGGTGTTGAGACAGTCGACTCCTACGCTTGGCCGGTCACCGTTCATGGTCTATACTCCGACCTCGATGTGGTTTACAGGGCAAAAGAACTCGGGACCAAGGCGGGCACGCGAGAGGAAGAGCAGGCCGCTCCCCATGCTCCGATACACCCCGTTTTCTTCACGTAAACCAACAACTAGACCATAACAACACCTATTCGCAAACGACCCGCGCAGTATGACGTATTCGGCAAAGCCGCAAACGGCGTGGCAAGCATATCACTCGCAACACTACGGGACCATGCCGACGTTGGCCAAACCACATTGTGCTGTATGAGGACTTGAGGATCCCAAGTCAGTGATGTTTACTGTCCGTTATAATCACGTAGGATAGGGGCAAATTGTTGATTATCGAGGCCGGTGCCAACGCTCCTAGTAGATATAGTCACCCATGAGTGTTAACTACCACAAATACAACTATGAACATGACGTAGGACGAGCTGACCCTCAGGCGCTCGCTTGGTGAGCAGACCCAGTCCAGGGAGCTCTAGTCCAGTCCAGCGAGCTTTAGTGTCGGGCTCAAGCATAGGGTGGCAATGTCGTGATTGCCCTAGAGGCCCGACCACGTTCCGTGAACAGGCCCAGTTCCATGAGCTTCGGTGCCGGGCTGACTGCACTTGTTGGTATCCATCCACACTTGATGAACAGGCCCAGTCCCGTGTGCTCTAGCGTTGGGCTGATTGCACACGCTCGGTGACGTATAAGCCCCCTGCCCGTAGCGCCAGAAATTGGTAACCGCTGGTCGATGGATAGAAGTCCTAATAAATGCGATTGTAAATAGATGTCAAGCTCTTAGACAGCAAAAGCAGAAAGAAGCCAGCAATGTGCAGAACCAGAGCAAGCCAATTGCCCACAATGACATTCTCCCACACTAGTCCACCCTCCTGGAAGCACCCATCGCATAGCATACATACATACAACCATCCCCCTCAGATCTCTCGCCAGCCCGAGATAATCCCGAGTGTCTGATCTCTCCTTTTCCGACAGCAGCGCCGCAGCAGCGACCCTTCCCATACAACCAAACAGCAAAAGCAATGCTATGCTTCCCAGAATAACACCCTGCACGACCCATCTAATGCAGAAGCCAATTAATGATACCTTACCTTGTATATAACCCCGCTCCCACCGCCAATATGTCCTCCGCACCAAAGGTATTGCCTCCCCCTGCTCCAGCAAAAAGAGCTATTATTTTTCGTTTGCTTTCTTGTGTTCCTCCAGCGCCTCCGCAAGAGCCTGCGCCGACGCGGGTGTCGAGAACCGGAGCATCCACGTCTCCAATCCCTTGCCGTCGTCCGTCGCGGTCGTCAGCTTGACGTTCTTCGCGTCCGCCTTGTAGGTAAAGCTCGGCAGCACCATCTTGTTGAGCGCGACGTGGCCGCGGGGTTCAGCGCGCAGCAGCAGCCGCACCGCGCCGGTAGACTTGTTCTTCAGGAGGCGCAGGGGCCCGACCCCTTGAGTCTTCCACTCGCTCTTCTTCGCTTTGCCGGCGCCGGCGCCGGATTCGTCGTCCGAATCGGAGGCCGTGACGAGTTTGACGGCCTTAGCGCGCACTTCATGGACGACGGCCTCGCATTCCTCGCCCGGCCCGCCGTCGGTTAGCGATATTTGCTCCTGTGGTGCGTCATCCCCGTCAGCGTTTGTTCCTTGACCATCTTCAGCATTGGCAGACGGCTCAGGGGTGGTCGCCGCTGGCGTGGTTGCCAAACTTGAGGCGCCGCCGAACGCAAAAGGGGAATCTGAGCAGGCATATATTAATGATAGATTCGCGGTATAAATATGCCATTATACAACTTACTAGTACCTGTTGAGGTCCCCCCGCCGGGAGCTAGGCTATTGCCAAAGATGGATGTTGCTGCAGGGGGGTTTTGTGAGAACACGGGAGCGCTGCTCGGCTGGGACGACCCTCCGAAGCTGAACGCTGGTCCCGACGTAGCCCCACCAAACGAGGCGGGTTGCTGAGCACCATTGTCTGAGGGCCCGCCAAAGCTGATGGTGGGGGCATTGCCGGAACCGGCACCGAAAGTGAAAGAGTTGGACGCGGACGGGGTATCGCCGCTGCCAAAGTTGAAGGACGAGGGTGCCGAGAAAGCGCCGTCCGATGAGAAGGGGTTTTTAATCGTGTTGTCAGAGCCTCCGGCCCCAAAGGTAAACGAGGTACCCCCGGCGGCGCCAAAGATGGACCCATCCGGCTGCGATGCGGCGGGCTGCGTTGCAACGGGAGCCTGAGAAGTGGTGAAGTTGAAGATAGGCGCCGACGATGCCGGGGTCGGTGCAGGCGGGTTCGCAAATAGGCCTGCGGGCTTCGCCTCGGTGGATCCGACGGTGGCGCCGAAGATCGGCTTCGATCCGGTGGATTCGGCAGTAGCGCCGAAGATAGGTTTCGGTTCGGCGGCGATGTTGCCAAACAGAGGCTTTGCTTCTTGGGCGGGGGCCGGTGCCGGGACCGAGGGGGTCGCACCAAACAGACTCGTAGGCTGCGTCGTGGGCGGTATTAGCGCCGACGCTTTACTAAACATATTGTTCGCCTCCGTGGCCGGGGCCGCCGATGTCCCGGCAACGCTAAACAAGTTCTTCGTCTCGGCGGGTTCGGGCGCGGGGGTGGATGCAGCAGAACCGAACAGAGAGCCGCCAGACTTATTTTCGGTACTCCCAAACGCAGGCTTCTTCGCAGCGGGTTCATCGGTGCTGGTATTGGCGAGAGCTGTGCCCGAACCAAAGAGGTTGCCGGCCGGCTTGCTCGCATTGGCAGGGAAGAGGGAGGAGGCGGGCTTCTCTGCCTGAGACTCGGCCGATTGGGTTTTACCAAACAGGCCGCCGAACTGAGGCTGAGTGGCCGGTGCGGCCTCAGTCTTGTTTTGGTTACCGAACAGGGTCGACGTTTGGAACAAGTTGGTTTTCGCAGGTTCGGGAGCACTGGCTGCTGGCTGGGCCCCGAAAACCGGAGCGGCGGGAGCAGGTTTGGATTCCTTAGCCTCCTCACCCTCCTTCTTCTGACCAAACGCAGGGGTGGTGGAACCGAACACGCCCGAGCTTGTGCTGGCAGACGTGCCGAAACCACCAAAGGCGGGTGGCGCGGCAGCCGGCGCATCTGCGCTCTTTGCTCCAAAGGAAGAGAAAATGCTAGGCGTGGTGCCATTGACCGTAGCGGAGGTGGCGGCTTCATCAGCTTTGCTCGCCTGGGCCCCGAAGACGCTCTGCGGGGCCGCGTCCTTGGGAGTTTCGGTAGGGGGGGTGACCACTGGTTTCTTGCTGGCGGCAGCCCCAAAATCAAGGGTCGAGGGGCCGGCAGGCTGCTGTGCAGAAGAACCGAATGAGGGAGCCGTGGTAGGAGCGAACTTGATTGGCGTGGCTGCATTCCAAGTGTTGTTGGCGGGTGCGGGAGCAGGCTGGTCCTTGACAGGGCTTGCAGACCGTTCCTTTTCAGGCGGCGCAACAAATAGACCCCCGTCACTAGGTGACACCTTCCTGACCGGCTGGCCGTCAGTACCCCTGGTAATGCGGTCAAAAATGCTGCGGCCCTGGGTGCTGTCCCCGGCATCCGATGATGCACTCGACATGCCGTTCGTAGTTGGCTTCTTGGTATCGATGAATTGCGGGGTCGATACACCGCCGCTCGCCGCTTGCTCGTCGCTCTGGCTGACGTCCTGGGGCTCGGATTCGTCTTCCTCCATCTCGGAGCCAGTCTCGCTGTCTTCGTCGGCACCCTCATTACCGCTACCCTTGCTTCCATCGGAGAGGTGACCAAAGATGTTGGTAGAGCCGGCAGGCTTGGGCGTCGCACCGAAGATGGACGTGCCAAGGGAACCATTGAGCTGGGGACCGGTACTCGAGGCAAACAGGCTCTTGCCGGTCGACTTCGCCGGTGTGGCGGAGGCCGATTGGGCATTATTGACAATGCTTTCGAACACGGACTTGGTAGCAGACGGAGGGGCAGCCGGTTTTTGAAGCTTGGCTGGGTGGTTCTCGTCAGGCTCGGAGTCGGCCTTGCGCTTGCTCTTGGCCGAGGTCTCTGGAGCGCGCGCACGTTTGTTGGCACCAGAGACCGATGCCGTGAGGGTGTTGCTGCTGGGTGTCAACTCTTCCTCGGCCTTTCTCTTCGGCGTCCCGTTTACCCTGGGGGCGGTTCCGGACTCGTCCTCCGAGTCGGGGATTCCATGCTTCTGCTTCCACTCCTTTTTGACCGCCTCGGACGCCCTAACAGTTTTGAACTCGTACAGGCCGTACCGCAGCATGATCAAGCTGCGGCTCTTTTCATACTCCTTGGCAAAGTTGAGAATATTGATCTTCCAGTCCTTCTTGGTGAACACGTCGTCTGCCGCATATTTAAGCCGCCGTAGGTCAAGGATGCAGAAGAACTGGCGCCTCTGGTGCTCATCCAGGTCGGGCGGGCAGTAATGTGCGAGGAATTCGTCCGCATAGACCGAGCCGGACCTGTTCGGGTCATCGGGTACTTCGTTGGCGAGCATCTCGCCAGTGAGATGGCGCGGGGGGGACGGGATCCTCATCTTGAACAACTCGGTAGACGTAGTGTTTGCAAGAATGCGGCCATTGACGTCAGCCGTTGAGCCACGGGGTGGCTTTCCCGGCGTGTTAGGTGGGAAGCTCTGGTTAAGCGTGCTCGCGGCGGCGGGCACCCGGGGGGAGAAGGTTTGCAGGCCGGGTCGCGAATACAGCGCCGAGGAGCGGAAAATATTTCGAGGGGTGGAGGTGACACCCGAGAAACTCGTCGATTTCGGGACGACGTTGGACGGCGCATGCGACATGACGGATGCTGACATGGCGGGCGGTCGCTTGTTCGGGTTGTCGCCCGGCATCCGCCTGGGGGTCGCGACCACCATGCTGGACGGCCGGTGCGCGATATCCGACGCGGAGATGCTCTGGGATAGTTTACTTGATGGACCTTGAGGCCGACCGATGATCCTGCGGGATGCGATTTGCGACTCGCTGGCGCGCTTCATCGGGCTGTGCGGCGCGGACGCGCTGTTGAATTCGCGTTGCGCGGATGCCGACGCGGCCGGCTTGGGAGACGCATCGGTATCCATATCCCGGTCTTCTGTGGGAGCAGCAGGACTGCGAAAGAGCCCGGTGAAGCCGAAGATGCTTCGCTTCTTGGATGGCGGATCCATCATGTCGCTTCTCGGGGAGGAGCTAAGCTCGCGTGGGAAAAGATGCGAGGCGGAGATGCGAGGGTATGCGTTCTCAGTTTAGGATCTGGGTGAAAGAAAACGAATCGTAGCCATGTGCATCCGAACTTGGGTTTGGCGCGTCGCTCGTCGCGTCAGGGCCGGGATGGGCAGCGGCTGTTCAGGTCGAGAACGAGGTTTAGGGGGGATGTGCGCGGTTGGTCTGAGGGTCTCGGCGTGGAAACCCGACAAGACGCGCCGAACAATGGGAATGATGGGGAAATGAACAAGAAACTCGATGATGAGGATGAAAGTGGCAATTGAGGTTGCCACTAAGTGACGCCGTGTCTCCTGTCAAAGCAGGTGGCTGATGAAAGACGCCGCACCAAGTGAATGGTGTGTGTGTTTGTGGAGGAACGCCTCGAGAGCAACGCTCAGCTTGGGAGGCCAGAAAAAATTGAATGACGGGAGGTGCCCTTGCAAAACGCGGGCAGCTCAAACCCTGCTTCTGCGGCGCGTGCACAGACCACCGCCCCCCGATCAAAATGTGGAGTCGGTATGGGGGCGGACGCCTCAGGCACCATCGTCCAATGGGCGGCAAAATTCAGGCAGCGGGCCCTGCCGAAAGCCAAAGTCAACCACAGGCTGCAGCCGCAACCGGGCTTCATCCCTCGACAACCAATTGCGCCTGCCGTCTTTGACACCCATCCATCTGTCTCCGTTCGGCCATGGGGGTTCTGGAGTACCACCGTATTTGGTATGTACTGCTACATGCATCGACACTCCGAACCCAATGCCAATACGGCCGCGTGACCAACCGAGGCACACCACCGCCAAAAATGGTCGCGTGTACATGAGGCGGCGCAGGCTTACTTGTTTCCCCCCTTAAGCAAGGGATAAGGTGCCTGCAGGGTAAGAGCGTCGAAAACCAATCGAGACGGTTTGCTGCACAAAAAATACATGAATACAGGTCGACATGTCCGGCTGCGGAACTGGACGACCCGGGTTTGCATACTGAGGTTGGAGACTCTCCCGTAAAACGGCGATACGGGGCCAAGTATTTGACGGAACTCACGAGCAGTTGGGACGACGGAAAATGCTCATTACATGGAACTTGAACTCGAACCTGGCAGAAGCAGCCATCGGCAAATTTGCCCACGAACAGCTTTCTTATTGTTGATTTATCCCCAATCCTTAGTTTTTCTGTTCCGTTCCCCGCCTTTCGGCGTTCAACACCATCAATGCAATGTGGGACATACATATGAATGAACTACACAGTAGAACGCCTGACGATGTGCCAATGGTGTCATCACTCGGGCCGGAGATTTCAAGGCCTCATTCCCGAAGTCTAATACTTCGTTATTAAACGGACTGTAGATTCAACTCGATTCAGTTTTCTTCCCTTCAGAGTTCCGACAAACTACCCCACCTCCGTCCTTCCCATCTACGTGGTTATTTCATCCAATGTATCATCACTCAATCCACGGAAGCCGGTGATCCGACTAAAGATACCGAGGGCTCTAGTACCTAAACTAAGAGATGCTATTAGGAACGGGAAGGGGAGCGGATTCTCGGCAACCAGGTGGTGCCTTTTGGGTACTGATGGGCGGTCAGACTCTGTTCACTCGCAAAAAGCCATGACCAGGTGAACAACCCTGAAGATGCGGGCTAACATATTCATCCGTAGGCTGTGAAGTGGATGTGAGGGTAACAGCAATCCGTTTCCATGTCTTCTCGGAGATGTACTCGTGCCTCGGTCTGTTGTTGGAGATCGGAGGTAAGCGTGTGGTAAAATTGGTGTACAAACACTCCCTTGGCCTTAACCCGCTGCGAGAAGCAGGTACATCAACACAGTCAGTCCTTAGCGATGTCACAAAGAGTTGCCAACAAACAGCAGCTAGGCCGAGACAGGGATTAGATATTTCTAAACAGCAATATGATTTGCGCCGCCCACGGGGTATTGTCTCGGGAGGAGACAAGAATGGTATTATACAAGAGAACCGTCATCCAACGTCATTACGTATCGCCCGCCAGAACTTCTTCGTTTAGAGCTTGGCCTTGGTCTGAGCCTTCTTAAGAATGGGGTCGAGCTTGGTGGCCTTCATGACATCGCCCTTGATCTTGAGCTTGCCAGACATGAATAGCCGTTGAGCGTTGGCCTTGCCGGCGACGAGGGAGCCAAAGTCGGACTCGGAGAGGGAAAGGGTGACTGTAACAGAACGTGTTAGCAAGGCTTGTTTGGTGGGATCGTTCGGGAAGAGTGCAAACGGACCAGTCGGCTTCTCGCCAACACCCTTGCCAACGGCACCCTTGTTCTTCAGGTCGATGTTCCAGCTCTCAGTCTCGCCGGCGGCGTTCTTAAGGGTGAAAGCAAAAACGGCGTTGCCCTGCTTCATCGCATCCTTGCGGTCGGCCTCGCTGGCGTTCAGCGCATTGTTGATCTCGTCAAAAGCCGCGGAGGAAGGAAACTTGTCTAAAGTTTGATGTCAGCTCCCGGAATCCGTGCTGGAAAAACAACAATTTGGGCACGTTGGGGCCAACAAGGTTGTGGGGGTGGTAAGGGGCGCAAAACTCACCGTTCTTGAGAGACATTGTGAAGGTAGATTGGGGTTCGGAAATGACAGCGGTGGGCGTTGGCGATGGAAAGGGGATTCTTGTTGAATTGGGTATATTGAAATGATGAGCGGAAAAATGATGACAACTTCAATGAAGGGGGTCGGGGCAGGGTCCGAGTTTATAATGCAGCGGTGGAGGAGGGTGCAGGCATTGGTCGTTCCGTCCGAAAGCGATGACGCTGCAAAATGTTGCATGTGAGAATTGAACCTCGGCGCATTCCTTCCTTGCAGGCGCTGAACAGCCCCCCAATGGAAACAGGGCGCCATGTGCCGCCGAGAGGGTGGGGGCTTGGGTCATCAGCGGGTGCCGTGCCGTCCGGTGCCAGCCTGCCCACCTGCGAGCCTCGCTAGGTTACCCCACATGGGGAAAACTGCTCCCCACAATCACTCAACTGGAGGGATTCCGTTGCGATTTCAACAATGTCGATCGACGCTGAAACGATGGGGTTTTGGCTTTACGGGGCGGTGCCGACTCGACCGGCCGCCACCCGACCCGCGGCTCCTTGATCGGACACGTTCCGGGAATGTGACGGATAACTTCGATTGCCGAAACAACGCCAGGATGCGATCGTGACAAGCTGCGCAAGAGATTTATTTCCAGTCCAGGACGTGGCCTTTGAAAACGTTCAATATATTTCATGGCATACATACATAGGTACTGACTCCCGGTGATAACTAGGTACACAGGAGTTCTGTGCAAGTCGGCTCTCATCCGAACAACATCAGACCAGCCACAATCCCAACAATCGTCACGACCAACCCTAACCCCGATACCATTGTGCTTGCCCCTGAATCCCCTCCCCTCTCCTCATCACCATCCCCATCCTCATCACCACGATCTGTGTTCCTCAAGTACGCAGCCATCACCGCACCCCAACTCCCCGGGTGATCATTCATCGACGTGACAACTACACTCCCATCTCCCCCCGAACCGTCCCCTACATCAACCACCAAATTCTCCGCCGCCTTGCTGCTCGCCGAGAACCACCACATCCCCCTCGCCCCCTTCACATACGCCATATTCGTCTGACAGATGCCCCCCGTGAGCCCACACTGCGGGTCACTCCACGACCCATCACTCATCCCGCCATAAAAGCTCCACATGGCCGACCCATGAATCACCACATCCCTCACCCCATCCACATACAACCCCCACGCCCGCCGACACATATCATCCCCCTCCTCACACCCCTCAAACCCCGGATCCCCAAACCGCACATCCACCGCCCACGGCTCCGGCGCCCGCAGCGCCGTCCCTTTCCCCTGCCAATACGGGCTCTCCGTCTGGTGCTGACCGATATACACCGCTCGCGCCCCGCGCAGCGCATACTGATACAGCACACAATGCTCAAACGAGGTGCCCACCAGCCACGCACCCCCGGCCCGACTCTCAACCAGCACCCCGCGGCCGACGGCGATATTCTGCGGCGGGTCCGACTTCGACGCGCCGCCGCCGCCGTCGAGGCGGTGGTCGGCCACCCAGCCCCACACGTCCTCGAGGTAGGCGGAGGACGTGTTGGTGAGGTGGAGCAGGGTGTGCGCGGCGCGGCAGGTGCTCGGGTCGCGGGCGCCGCAGCTGGTGCTGACGAGGGTGTCGGCCGCGCCGCCGACGCGGAACACGCCGTTCCAGACACCGACGTCGCCTGGCTCGGCGCCGGCGGTGTTGATCTGCGTGAGGATGGCGCCGGGCAGGGGGGTGGAGACGGTTATGAGGAGGTCGGTGAGTTGGGACACGCCGCGGTCGCCCGGGTGGCCGATGCGCACGATGGGTTGGGGGTTGAAGGGGTCGGTGAAGTGGGTGCCGGCGCCGGAGATGGTGCTGAAGACTTCGCCGGTGAGGCGCGAGCCGGGCGGGACGTGGATAGTGGTGGTGGTGCGGTAGACGCCTTGGGGGAAGAAGATGATCTTGCAGTTGGCGTGCTTGCGGAGGATGGCGTTGATTGAGGGGCCGTCGTCGTGCGAGTCTGGTTGGGGTTAGTGAGGAGGGTTGGCTGAGGGTGAGGAACGACTTGCTATCGCCGTATACGGGGTGCTCGGGGTCCTCCGTTACGCTGACGACTTGGCTGATGTCGTACTTCTCGTACTGCGGTAGAGGAGCGGCAAAGTATTTTCCATCTACCAAGAGGCTTGCCGGTCGGTGGATAGGGTAGGTTTTGCCGGGCTGGTAACCATCGGGGTTGCTGGTGCAAGTCAGTCCCCGCACTTTCAGGTTTGGTATAGATACTCACGTATTTCCCATTACCCAGACCTGGCCGGCAGGGACTGACCCCTGGAGCAGCGTCGAGCCGCTTTCGGACCTCACAGCTACCGCATCGGTGACAGCAAAGTTGTCCAGGACAAGCGAGCCCTGACCGTACCCGCTCACATAGGCATTCACGCCAGCGGTGCACCGTGAGACAGAGGAGTCGACAATGGACAGCGCGCCGCTACTATTAGCTGCACCCATGTCGACGCCATAATTGCAGTTCGTAAAGCTGCACCCCTGAATCGTCGAGACGAACGACCGCTGGATGAAAATGCCAACGTTGCAGCCGTCAAACTTGAGTCCCTTCAGCATGTACTGCTGGTTGGCAAGCAAGATACCAATGGCACCGCCCGTGAAGGAACAGTCCGAGATGATCTTGCCCGAGCCGCCCTCATCCATGGTGACCCCAACGTGGCCGGAGGACGGCGCCATGTTGATGTGGACGTTTGTCAGACTGCAGCCTTGTGAGACGGACCATTCGATGGCTTTGGCCGGCACGTCCCTGGGAACTCCCGTCGTGTCGATGTTGAAGTTGCGGACGGCCATGTAAAAGTTCTTGGTGGCGCCGCCCTCGCCTTGGTGTGCATCGTAGCCGTGGATGACGGGGTGTGACTTGAGGGCTGGATCGGCCACCAGAGTGGGCAGGTCCAGGGGATCGCCTATCAGAAAGGTGCTGACCAGCATCTGGATGGGCTTTTTGATCAGGTATCTGCCGGGAGGAACATAAACGTATGCTGGCATGGTGGTGACGGTGTTGCCCGTCCGATTCCACGCTACGTTGGTTTTTAGCCTTGTCTTCGTTCATCTAACCTATTCACCTACCGTCTATGGCACGGTTGAAGGCATCAGATGAGTCCTCTTTGCCGGAGCTATCTGCTCCATACTGAACCACTGTGCGGTAGTACTCGAAAGTCGAGTCAGCGGCATAAGGGGTCGTCCCATTGTGGCCTATCTGAGCCCGCCACCAAGTTTTGGGGTTCCCAGGCGATGGTCCTTGACATGATTGCCTTTCATGTATAGAAAGCCCCTCAGATGGTTGATGGGCAGTGACACACGCGGCTGTAAAGACCGTGAATGCCAGTTGAAGCCTCATCGAAGTTGTACTAGAGCCTTGTGAGTGGCGCAACAACCTCCGTTCTAAAATAAAGAAAGACAAAAGATCTAGCAGTATCAACACAAAACAGAGGGCAGGTTGAAAAGAGAAAACGCCAGAATAATTACCGCCATTGCCAGGAGATGGGACAACAGCGCATGAGATGTCAGCGCGTCCAACATTTCCATGCTACTTTGTGAATGACTGAGGCAGGGGAAGAGATGGTGAATGCAACCACACTCTCCCGCAGTCGGATCCCGGAGAGTGTGAGTCTACGCATGATCATGTTGGGGTCACCCCTCGATTGGGTAGGCAGCCTTGGGGGAGCCGTACTTCCGGGAACTTGTGTCAACGTGTTGGCTCTGAACCAACCAACCGTCTGGCCAAGGACACCACGATCCTCCCAACACGACTCTACAACAACCCCTCAAAGAATTTGGGGTCTTGGTGTAAACGTCCCCCTCCTCGTCAGGGGTAGCATTTTTGACGGGGTAAAAAAGTGAAAAAGAAACGACGTGGGCCTGATTCGAACAGACGCTCCCGAAGGAACAAGATTTCTAGTCTTGCGCATTAGACCACTCTGCCACCACGCCTTGGGTGTTGGTAGAAAAGTTTTGGGTTTTTGTTTGGCGCTGCAGACGCACGACAGGGAGAACGGCACTTTCGCCAAGGCATCTGCCAAGCAATTCCATAACACCTTGCAGGTCCAGGGCCAGAGTCCCTATCTTATCGAACAAACGGAACTCGCGACTTCCCGTTTGTCCTCGTGTCTCGAGGCCTCGGTCGACTCGTTCCCTTTTATTGTGCCAATCCATGCTACGCTTCCCTTCTTTTCAACTTACCATGCCTGACTATCGCTAAACAATTTACCGCAAAGAAAACCAGCAGCATCAACCATGTCGGCCCTCCTCTCGCTCCTTGGTTGGAGCTTCCTGCCAAGCGTACTGCTTCCCTCCTCCCTGCCCTCATTCACAACCCCCACCATAATGACAAGCAAAGAAACTAACGCAACCCCCCTACCTCTGTAGCTAGTAACAGGCTGGACCCAATCCCTCTACTACAGCATCACGATCCGCGCCGGCGACCCGAAGCCGCAGCCGGGCACGCCGCGATGGGCCGAGCACCGACGGCGCATCCACATCGCCGTGGTCACCCTCTACCTGCTCTACACCATCTACGAGGCCGACTACGAGCTACAACGCGCAGGCAGCTTCTACACGGACCTGGGGGTGCCGCTGGACGCGACGGAGCGCGAGATCAAGTCGCGCTTCCGGCGGCTGGCCGCGCTGCACCACCCGGACAAGGCGTCCACCTCCGGAGCAGCGGGGGGTTCGACGACGACGCAGGCGGACATCAACGCGTACTTTGTGCACCTCAAGACGGCGGCCGACGCGCTGGCGGACCCGGCGCGGCGGTTTGCGTATGAGCGCTTCGGGCCCGATGCCGTGAGCTGGCCGCGCTGCGTGACCATTCGTGACTTTGTCGTGCGCGGCGCCCAGGGCTTGATCCCCTACTACGCCGTGGCGGCGGCGGCCATGTACGGGCTGGGTTTGTTGGGGTATCTGGAGTGGGGCCGCTACGAGCGCTGGCTCGTCCTGGCCGTGCTGTTCGTCTTCGAGGCCCACAGCGTCACCCGCCCCGGCATGCCGCGCGTTCTGGAGCGTGTGGTGAATCCGTTGCTGGGCCGTCTGGCCGGCCGCCCGCCGTACCTGCCCTTCCAAGCGATAGCGTTGGCGAGGAAGCTTAGTGTGACGCTGTATATTGCCTTCTCCCAGATCGGGCCGCTGCTGGCGGCGGATACGAAGAGCGGGCAGCTGGTGGTGGGCGGGGCGAAGGGCGGGGATGACGAGAAGACGACGAGGGAAGGGCTGGAGAGGTTGGAGATGGCGGTCAAGCGGTTGGATGCGGATACCACGAGGTTGTTGGAGACGGAGATGGCACCGTTCGCGGGGGCGGAAGATGCGAGGAGTACCATGTCGGCCAAGGTCAAGGAGTGGCTAGTCCAGAACACGATCCGTTCGGATCCCATGGTGCGGGATGCCCTGGGGAAGTCGTTCGCGAAGCGCAGGATGGACGCACCGGCAGGGGCTAGGGGGACCAGGTAAAAAGCAGATAGAAGCGCGGATTAGAAAGCAATGTCATTTTACTGCCCGGTGTTGTCTTTTGCCGGGTGCAGCTATTCCGTACACAAAATACCCCGTACTTGTAAACCCATTCTATCGTGTGTATCCTGCAGTATATCTCGAAAATCGCCTGCTGATGCCGGAAATCGTAAATGCTGGTGCAGAACCCAACAACGCTTCCCACCCCCCCAACCACATACAATCTACAACCTCTGCCGCCCACGCGTCTCAATGGGAATCATGCAGATGCCCACAAACGCAGCCAAAATCAGCGCCGCCGCCATATACACCGGCGTCGTCGTGCCATCCCCGGGCACCGTGGCGGCAATAATCGGCGCCACCAGCCCCGTCGCTCTATTCAAAAAGCTCGCCACGCCGGTGCCCGCCCCGCGGACCGGCGCGGGGAAGACCTCGGGCGTAAACGCATACAGGACGCCGTACATGATGTTCTGGGCAAAGGCCTCGACGCAGGTGAAAGCGAGCTGCGACGAGGGGGTCTTGCCGAACCGGACGAACAAAAACAAAAACACGGCCGACACCAGGGTGGAGATGGCCAGGGTGCCGCGGCGGCCCAGGAAGGGCGACTTCATGTCGACCGAGTAGGCGGCCAGCAGGCTGCCCGGCACGCCGACGATGCTGGTGATGGCGTAGCTGCGGTAGGTGTCGCCCGTGATCTCCGAGGCCGGCGCGTCGCCCGAGTTGTTGTCGTTGCCGCCGTGCGAGAGGTACTGCGGGAGGAAGGCGTTGAAGAGCGGGTAGCCCATCCCGATGGTCGCCCAGGCGAACCAGATCAGCGCCGTGGCGAGGCCGAGCTTGCGCGTGTGGAAGAGCGGTCGGATGCGCTCGGCCGAGAAGGAGGCCAGCTTGTTTCGGATGATGTTTCTGGTCGATAGCCGTTGCCGGACGCGCGGGGCCGTGTCGTCGACTACGGCGTCCAGGACCTCTTGTGTCAGCCAGGTCTTCTTGCCGTTTTTGAGCGCTATGCCCTGCACGACTGCGACTGCCTCGGCCTGTCGGCCTCGCGAGAGCAGGTATTTGGGCGACTCAAACATCTGGAAGAGGAAGAAGCGGACGAGGAACATAATGAAGGTGATGATGCCGATGGTGAAGATGAAGTATCGCCATCCTTGCTCAACGGGCCAGTTGGCGATGAAGAACCAGGCGAATAGGGATGAGCAGAGCTGTCCGACCGGCCACCAAACGGAGAGGAGAGTCAATAGGGAGCTAGAGGCGTCAGGTAGAAACTCAAGAAAGAGAGCCCCGTCTACGGGCAGGTTGCCGCCAACGCCGAAGCCCAAGATGGCGTACAACACACAGACTCCGCCCCAGGTTGACGCGTACGCCGTGGCAGTTCCGAACACGCTGGCAATGAGCAGCGTTACGTTGAAGGCAATGCGTCGACCCATCATGTCGGAGCCGATACCCCAGAAGAAGCTCCCGAAACACAAGCCCAGGAACACGGACGATGTTGTGTAGCGTACTGATTTTTCCGAGATGCCAAACTCGGCTGAGAGGGAGGGGAGAGTGAGCGATACGCCCTGGGTGAGTTAGTTTTCGTTTGACGGCCCTTGGATCACAGGGTACTTGAACATACTTGCATCCACAAACTAGAAGCACAGTGTTAGTGAATGATATGGGGTCATCCAACAACTATGGGCACTCACTTATCGGCAAACCACCCAAACCCGCAGAGCACAAACAACTGCCAGTTGTACCTCCCCATACCAATATCTTGGATGGCTTTGTTGATGAGTTTAGATCTCACTATCAAGGTCCTATTAGCGTTTACTCATCCGGAAGCAAGCAAGGAATAAGTACTCACTCTCATACGTAGTCCACTCTCCTCCTTTCTTACCCGCCCTCACCTCCCTCCTCAGCCCCTCGATGCTATATTCATCAACGGAACGAGTCATGACGAGCATGGTTGTGTCCCCGTCATCACCGTCCTTGTCTGGGTCGTCGTCGTCGTCAAAGGCTTCATCGTCCAGCTGCCCCTCAGGGTCAGGTCGCGGACGTAACCGGTATGAGTGGCTGTGCTGATGGGCCTCGTTCAGAGGAATCACGGCGCTGGAGTAGTCGGCTGCCGTCTCGGACCGGCGCCATGTCCATGGTATTGATATCATCCTGCCCCTTTCTATCCCTTTCTTGAACCTCAACCCCCAGTACGCGGCTTGTACAGTCGTTCGAATTTACTCCGTTTCCACGTGGAGTAGGGTGAGAGAACGTTATGATCCGTTTAATGTTGGATGTCCGGCCTTGGAAATTGTATGAAGGTTATTGTGAGATGGGCGGTGGAATTAAACCTTGAGTAGCTGAAATGCTGAAACACGGCGCGAGTGAAACAGAAAAACTGGGGCGCCCGAAACCAATGTCTATCTAAATCTAAAAGGGCGGGTTGCGAACGTCGAGGCCTTGGTGTGTCGTTTATGAGTTGCTCGCTGATGCTTGAGTCGTCTGATGGAAACAAGGAGTTTAAAGTTTAGGGATATCCGGAAACTGTCAACAGTGGGTATTCCACTGAAGGAACAGGTGAAACCGCCCTGTTGGAAGGAGTTCGGATAGGGACAAAAACGTGCTCCAGCTGCAGCCAATCGTTCGGATCAGTTGACACGGCACAGCGTGGGGGCTCACGACCTGTAATCTGTACCCAAGCTGCACCTTCCGCAAAAGAGCAGCACCCCTCGAATTGACGCGACTTGCAGATTTAACTCGATAATTGAAACAGCGGCAATACCTGACTGCAAAAATGATGGCGAAAAAGAAACGCTCGAATTGAGCTGCTTGCTTCGACGTGGGCCTGATTCGAACAGACGCTCCCGAAGGAACAAGATTTCTAGTCTTGCGCATTAGACCACTCTGCCACCACGCCTGTGATGATTGTTCACGTGACCGCAACTCTGCCTTGTCAGGGGATGGGTGAGCGGCGCGAGTGGTTGTCCGGAGGAGGTACAGAGTACTTGGCAGCTTCCTTTCACTCCACACTGTTCCCTTGCGGCTCTATCTAGGTAGATGACCGTTCCGAAAGTCCCAAGATTTGACAGCGTGATACAACGCATAGTGCCTGGGGCCGTTCCGAAAGCACCAGCAATGTTGCCCATGAATGCCGACCTTCCGTGGGTGAGATGAACTTGGTGGAACTCTCGAGTCAGCTGCGGGCCTTGAATGTGGGCGATCAGAACGGCAGTTTCCCCAAAGCTTGCAAGAACGGACCGCAGTTGAAAGAGGCTTTTTGGCGGATACCGAAAAGTCGCGTCACGCAATCCGCCGTCGTACATACCATCGGAACACGCACCATGACCGCTTCTACAAGAACAGCCAGTCGGCGCTAGGCAAGGTACTCGTTCTCTGCAAAAGTGCTATCAACACCTCAGGTTTATTCACACAAAGGCCCACCATCCGCCGGGAAAAATGGAGAACACCAGCCATCAACCAGACGGAACCTGATCTGCCCGTATCGGAGATAAGATGGCTTTCGCAACTCCAACCCCCCCGAATCCGGGCCGGCCAGGAAGCCAGTGCCTCGGCACTCTTGCCAAACTTATGGGGAACCCTGTCCCTGGATGCGGGGAGCCAATGGTTCCCGCTTATGGCGAACCAATCGGCAAGGCGCTCCGCTCGCCTCCCAATCGCAACGCCCAGGTTCCAACGCTGTACAGGCGGGTGCTGCAGCCACCATGCAGTTCAACTCACGAGACGAGCAAGCGAGAAGCCGAGGAACGCGGCTTCCGGTGGCATGGAATGTGGGAAACAAAGAGCAAAAGGGAAAGGGCCCGGTGCTACAGAGAGACCAACAGGCGCAAATACTGTGGAGTGTCGCTGAGGAGAACCCCGGCCTGGGATTATCACAACTCCATTTCCAACCTCCGCATCCCCCATTCCAGGTTCCATCGCAAAAAGTGTCCCCATTCGGAGCGTTGTATCCGTGGCAGGGGTAGTTACCTGGCAACCTTCACCAAATCCACCCGCAGAGCATCTCGGAACCCGCGGGGTCTTTTGAGGGACTCGGTTTGGGGTTGAGAGCCTGACGACCGAATCTTTGACTTGAGAAAAAGCAAGGGTTACTTGAGGAGGGACTGCCTCTGCACCCCAGGATCAAAAACCTCTCGTGCCTTCCTCCCATTGTGCCTTTGTTTTGCTGTCGTCTTTATCCTAACCGGTGATACTCCGTACACCCGCCACGTTCTCGTGTTGTTCTCGTGGCTACGGGAAAGCAACCTGCCTACCTCCGCTCGCCGTGCGGTTAAGGTTTTGCGCGCTTGGGGACACTTAACCATAGCTGGGTATATATACTTGGAGGCGAGACATCTCTCTCTGGTCCCCCATACTCCGCTCACACCACCGACACGAGGACCTGACCCCCTCCCCTCCTCGTTGCCGTTTAATAGCGAATTGCTTTTATGAACACCAGCTTGCAATAAACTATCCTCCCCGAGCTTCTCATATATCAACTACACCACAATATTCTTCCACCAACTCCCACGAAGTAGGCAAACAGATTCTAAGAACCCCCTCCTCGCATTCTGGTTTGTTGACCCTATTGCTAGCACCACCATCTTTTCCTCATCATGACCATCTCATCGCGCTGGTCGGTACCAATTCCGCAATGCTCCCTACAGAAATGGGTCCTTGGGTCAGCCTGTGGCCCAATCTCCGACCACAAAGCCTTCATCGACCCAGACAATCATGAGACCAACTATTTGACCATGAGCGACTACCGTCTACTCTCAAAGCGCGTTGCCTTGGGCCTCCAGAAGGCAGGGCTCAATAAGGGCGACCGGGTGCTCATCTTCTCCGGCAACAGCCTCCTCTTCCCCTCCGTCTTCCTCGGCATCCTCATGGCCGGTGGCATAGTGACCGGTGCCAACCCATCATTCGTTCCAAGGGAGCTGGCATACCAGCTCAAGGACAGCGGAGCCAGCTTCCTGTTCGTCGCCGAGCACGCCGTGAAGACGGCCTTCGAGGCAGCAGCCGAGGTCGGTCTGCCCAAGGACCGCATCTTCGTACTGGGGAACAGCACCGTGCCAGTCTCCCGCCTCGCACAATCCCCCTCCCCGGGACCCGGCGCCAACGGCCGCGTGGACGGCGCGCGCCACTGGACCGAACTCCTAACCGGCAACCCCAGCCAAGCCGAAACCTGGAGCTGGGAGGAACCCTCCAACCCGGAAGAAACCACCTGCTGCCTCAACTACTCGAGCGGCACGACCGGCGTGCCCAAGGGCGTCGAGATCAGCCACCACTCCTACGTGGCTAACGGCGTCGGCGTGGTGCACATCAACAACCTGCGGCCAGACGCCGCCACCCGCCAAAAGTCCGAACGCGGCCTCGCCTTCCTCCCCTTCTACCACACCTACGGGCAGACCTACTTCATCGCCAACCTCCCGCACCTCGGCATCCCCGTCTACGTGATGCCGTCCTTCGACTTCATCAAGATGCTGTCCCACATCCAGCGCTTCCGCGTCACCACCTTGCCCGTCGTGCCGCCCATCGTCGTCCTGCTCGCCAAGCACCCGGCCGCCCGCCAGTACGACCTCTCGTCCGTCGAGACCATCGGCTCGGGCGCCGCGCCCCTGACAAGGGAGGTCTGCGAGGAGGCCGAGCGCCTCTTCCCCGCCGAGCGCGGGCTCGTCGTGCGCCAGGGGTGGGGCATGACCGAGGTGACGTGTACCGCCATCGCGTGGGACCCGACGTCGACGGTGGGTGGCTCCGCGGGCGTGGGCGAGGTGTACCCCAACTGCCGGGCGCGGCTGGTGGCGCTGGATGGGAAGACGCCCGTGGAGGCGCCGAGGGTTACCGGGGAGTTGTGGGTTACCGGCCCGACGCTGATGCGGCGGTATTGGAACAAGCCCGAGGCGACGGCGGAGACGATCGTGGTGGATGCGGAGGGCACGCGGTGGTTGCGCACGGGGGATATCGCGTTTGTGGAGGAGTACAAGCCGGGGGCCATCTTCCATGTGGTGGACCGGGTGAAGGAGCTGATCAAGGTGAAGGGAAACCAGGTGGCGCCGGCGGAGCTGGAGGGGGTGTTGCTGGACAGCCCGGACGTGGCAGACGCGGCGGTGGTCGGCGTGACGATCGGGGGCGAGGAGGTGCCGCGGGCGTACGTGGTGCGGCGGCCGCAGTCGGCGGCGTCGGAGAAGGACGTGGCCGCGTGGATGGAGGGCAAGGTGACGCGGTACAAGCGCCTCAAGGGCGGCGTCGTCTTTGTCGATGCCGTTCCCAAGAATCCGGTAAGCAAACATCCACCGGACTGACTCACCGATTTATGAAGTCCCCCCCCTCCCCCAAAAAAATTGTGCTAACAGGTTTGCGCAGTCTGGAAAGATACTCCGCAAGCAGCTTCGGGATCGGGCAAAGAAGGAGGTGGGTGATGGCGGACGGAAGCCGTCACGACTCTGAGCAAGCGAGTCTGTTTTAGATAGACACACCCCTTCAACTTCTGCTGGACTCGGTCGACACAACGCACTGAGTTTGAGGGGCAGAATCTAGCTCTTTTCAGCATGATAGATGTAGAGCCAGAGAACATCGCCGTTGCTTTATCTTAAAGTGCTCCTCATACCCATCACAGAGCATCTTTGATGTTGCCATCCTCGTCAGTCTCAGATATACGTAGCGGAATGATTTCAACACCATGTGCCTGTGTTGCTCATGTAGTCTTGATGAATCCACGGTGTTCAGCTGAGGCGCAACCAGGGAGATGGCATGAATCTCACCAGGGAAACAACAACGATAGGCAACGCCTTCTCACATCACCCGCATGATCACTTAAAAGAGCAAGGCCCGGGTAACAATCTTGGGATTTTCTGTAACGACTGTGTAGATGGATAATTGCCGTAACATTCCTTTCTTAAAAGAATAAAAACCCTCATATCCACTCAACTGTGACGCGAAGTGTCGCGCAAGATGTTGGTTCAAACGATGACCCAAAATCGGAAGCAGAAGTCCCGAGTTTAGAAACGAAGTGAAGGTGCAGCGCAAGAGGCAGACAACTCTCTAAGTTTACTCAGAGATGGGCCATCCTACTGCGGGGGCGCCGGACAGCTTAGAACAGCTTGTGCTCCAGGGTCATGTCCGACTCAGGCTCGAGGCCGACGCAGGCACGGAAGATGTTGGCAAGTGCGGCGCGCTGCTTAGCCAGGGCGTTGACGACCGGGGTGCCGGGAGGGGTCAGGGGAGCCTTGAGCATGTAGCTGAGCACGCTCAGCACGCTGTGGAAGTTCTTGTACTTGGCGCCCTCTCCTTCGGCCGAGTGCAGCTTCCACTGGATGCGAGTCATCAGCTCGGCGATCACGACCAGGTCGATGATGAGCGGGGAAGCAAGCAGGGAGTCCTCGCAGACATTGGACATGCTGGGAATAGCTCAGTTAGCAAATGATACTCAGAGGTAAGACGTTGTAATGCTTACGAGATGGTCTGGTGGCCGCCAAGGAAGATCTCAGCAGAGTACTCGTCCATGGCGCGCTTGCTGTCACCGACTGCGGGGATGTACTTGATGACGACTACGTGGTCGGGGTGCTCGTCTTTACCGTACAGCACGGTGTTGGCGGCGACCATGTCGTCCACGACGTTGGACTTGGAGATCTCTTTCGAGCGGAACTGCCTGTGGGAGCTCAGGTTCATACCATCGTTGTTGCCAAGGTGGTTGTAGCTGGCAATCGAGGTGAGCTTGATGCCGGCACTGATCATGAAGTCCACCAGGGCCGACTTCATCTTGGTCTGGCCAGACTTGAAGTCGTCGCCGCCGATGAAGGCGCCGCGCTTCTCGGCCAGTTCAATGCAACCCGGAACAAAGGTGTTCTGGGGGGAGCCGTTGATGAAAGGGGCGTCCTCGAGGATGCAAGCAACAGCGAACACGGTCGAGGGAGAAACCTCCTCGTGGCCAGCCTCGATGGCCTTGAGCAGATTGTCAGCTGTGTCGTTGACGCCGTCGATGAGGTCGGCAAAACGCTCCGTGTTGGCAGTCCACTGGACAATGACCTTGTCTAGGTTGTTTGCAGCCTTGAAGTCACTGTTGTTGGGTTAGAAATAGGACCACCGTAGATTCAGGCGTTGGTTACGTACCGGATATCCTTGCGGATCTGCTCGACGTGGGCGTTGCAAGCCTTGGAACCGGGAATCACGTTGTCGGCCCGCTCCTCCTGGTTGGCGGCGATGAAGTCGGGGTAATAAATGCTGGGAAGCGGGACAATTTCGGTCATCTCCTTGCGGACGAGCCCCTTGAGGGTCGGCTCGAGGACCTTGGCGCGGTCCATGGCATCGGCCAGGTTCATGCCGCTGATATCCCAGCCGCCAATGACCATGTCGTTGGGGTGAACCATGGGCAAGACGTCATGGAAGGGGATGTTGACATCCTGCTGTGTCTTGGTGTCAGTGCCCAGCTTCAGGGTCGAGCCCATGACAACGGAGCCGTAGTAGTTGGCAGCCTGGCGTCCGTTGCGCGTGTCCCAGACAAGGCCGCGGCGGTTGGCAATGATGCCGGCAGTAATGGTAGTGCCATTGTTACCGCCCAGGCCGACCAGCATGACACCGACCTTGGGGATCTTGGTGTCAAGCTTGAAGTCATAGACGGTCTCCTTGGGGGTGACCGTGCGGGTGCCGTCCTCGCCATCAGTCACCATGGTAGTGCGGTAGGTGTACTTGGAGCGGATCTCGCTGTCCGAGTACACCACATTGGGAGAGTTCACAATGAACTTGGGGCGGGCGGGCGATCCATTGCCAGCAGCGCCATTGTTGGAGTGTCCACCACCGTTCGCTGTGCCCGCGTCAGTCTCAGCGTGCGGTGCCATTTTCGCAAATTCTTAGATCAGCAATATTTGTCTTTTGGAAACAAAGACTTTATTGTGTCTGGATCGAGTCCGCTGCTCCTCCGGGAGAGGCAGAACAACGGGCTCCTGCGTACGGGTGGTGGACGCTGTTGGTGTGATTAGCATCATTGTCACAGAGAAGAAAACTTCCAGGTTGCTGCCGGTAGTCGACAAGATAAAATCTAGGTACTTACGAGTTGAGGAGGTTGGAGAACGTTTTGACGGCTGGAGCGACCGCAGCTCGGAAGCGCGATCGGTTAGAGCACGAAAGACGAGATGAAGGTAGATGAAGGCGTCGAAAGTGCCAGTGAACTGGGTTGTGTATCGAAACTTCCAAGTAACAAATGTGGGTTGGGTTAACAAAGAAAAACTTGCTGGGCAGAAACGGCAGCAGCGCCTGCCTCTTATACCCTCGAACCCAGGCGGTGAAAGATGCAGTGCGCTAACGTCCGTCTGTCCATTACCTATCGATTCCAAGTTCGTGCCTACCTAATCTAACCAACTTCACTCCCTCCATAGATCGGGGCTCCACGTCTCGGATTACTCGGCCGCTAAATCTGGGGAGATTCAAATCATTGACCACTGGGCATTCGACGGGCAGTTGACAGCGGGTCCATCCCGCCTCTGCCGCCGTTGAGATGGTTGCCGTGGAACGGCCATCCTTTTTCAGATTCGCATCCCAACAGAACGCAGGGAAACACGGAATCGAGACCTGGATGGGCACTCCCACACGTTATAATTTTGAATTGATCGATGTTTTTTATTCTTCTGCTGTTGATGGTTGTCCCAAAAGTCTGCTCTTTCTTCCCGTGTCGTCCACCCCGCTACCCCTCCAAGACGCACTGTTTTCTGCGTGACTCGTGTGTTCAAGCGCGGGCGTGCGGGGGTGTGGACCGGGGGGTGCTCGTTGATTGGTGGCCGACGCTGCCGGAGCCAGCCCGTCACGCGAGGACCGGCCGTCTCCGGAACGGGAGGCATGAGGTTCCCGATGGCGGAGCCGCGCTCTCACTTCACCCGCGGCACCGCTCCTCTCCCGCCCGCGCCCAGCGCGGAAAAGGTTGAAATGATCTTTGATGGTGTCGATCATCTCCTCATAGAGACGGCGACGTGCCAGCAAACAGATGCGGCACTCTGTCCCTTACAACTCGGGACTCGGCAAGGAGCATGAGTGTTGCTGTTCGCTCGTTAACCCGCAGTTTCCGGTCTCTTGCGTGCGTTGGCTCGTTGGCCCAGGTCATTCCGCTTTGCCGACGCCGGAGTTACGGTTGAGCCGCCCCGGATTCGTCACCTGCAGCATCCATCGTGGTCTCGAAATCTGAAAATCGTTCGAGTTTCGGGAAGAACCTACCTCTGCGTAGCGAAGGTTGCGATCCCGTTGGTGCTTCCACAGTAGCCGATCCCAACACCACCTTGCAATTGCAGAAGCAGACACACGTGTTGTTGGTCAACTCGATACAGGCGGTGAACGCTGCAGCCAAAGCTCTCACTTGGCAGTCTTCATGCGTGAAAATGGCAAAGCATGGCGGATTCGTACCAAGCCCTTGGCCGCAAAGCCTTTCCCTCGCATTCGGGTTGGCACATCTGTTGCCAGATTGGATCGTTTGTCAAAGTCAAAGCTTTTGATACCTGATTCCTCAGACGTCGACTGCAGTGACATACCGATAACGACGAGGTTCACTTCTCAAACACCGCACGTTTCCCACCAACTATAGGCTGAGAACGACCTCGCATAATCTTATGGGAGAGGCGACATATCCGAACGGCGAAAGGAGGTGGGCCATATACCTGCTGTCAACAACACATTATGCAATGCAGTCACCAGCGCTGCGGAGATTGACATGCAGCTGTCTGATGACAGCCTGGCTAAGATGCGTGATGGAGGGGTAACGGTATGGTCTCGTTGGTATTCGTTTCACCAACACACCCGGACGCGAGGCATGAATTACCCGTGCAGACGAGTGGTTCGGTTGGGTGTGGGGTTACAGCAAGATGAGTAGGTAGTATATCCGGATGCAGCGCTGTCACATTTCCGCCGTCCGGTCGAGCACCGTTCAAATGGGACGCGGAATTACTCTGATCTTTCACCAACGAATCGAGTTGGGAATCGCGGCTGATATCAGCGGCTGGAATGATGGGACTTGGCCGAGTGGTGGCGGCAATTTGATGACCCCTTGATCAGCCGCTGACGTTCAGCCTGACACAAGGAGTTGGCCTAAGAATGGGCCGGGCAGACGACAACTCTGATTTACCGCTGCGTCTTTGTAGAAGGGGAGGGAAAAAAGGTCTCGCCAATGGTCGGGCCAGGTCGCTAATGTGGTCGAGTGGCACCGTGGGCAGGAAGACCCTCCAACCACGACATAACCAAGCTCGGTGGAACCGCAACGACGGGCTCTGAGCCCATCGCTCGGAAATATCTCGATCTTGCGTGATCAATCCGGCACTTGGCCGAGCGGTGCTTCCATTCGCCGGGTGCGCGGTTGGTTGACGTGAGCGAGATGATGACGAAGGACTTTCGAAGTTCTGGAAGTCAATCAGCCACAAGGGTGTTCGGGGGCCGGCCGTGTTTCTCCAGGTCTAAAGTGACAGGGGCCCTGGCATGGGAACGACTTGGCAGGGCAGCAGCTCATCCCGATACGATCATTGGCTGCTTCAGGGGGGGCAATCTTAAAACACCAACACCACACTGCGCGAGAATGTGCAACGCCGATGAGCCTTGTGAGCAGCTGGAAATGCAATGATTCGCTGGCGTGCCGCTCGGTGCCAATCAGCTGATGGAATCAGAGACAGCCCTAACGGAAGAGTGTTCGAAGCATCTGTCTGGAACTGAGAACGAACGAACCAAGACGGCGGTACGTCGTACGTCGCACCAAGGACGTGCTGCGGGGACATTGGGGGGGAACGTGGTGGCCACCACACCAGGCTCCGCGGCGTTCTTTGGCGCCAGTTTGTTTGAGATATACGAGAGAGAAGAGAGTGCCGTCAACGGCATGATAACTTCAAACTTGAGACGCGGTGGCGGTCAGAATCTCGTCTCGTAGAAATGCTGGGACGGCAATGACATCCCATTTACGAAATAAGGGGTGGCCGCCGGTGGTGTCAGTCTCCCATCAGCCATTGGACGAGGCGAACACGGCGAATCAGGTGAATGAGGCGAAAGCTGCTGCAAGGTACCCGCTCCAACAGCCGACTCTCGCTCTCTTCTTGTTGGCGCTCCAACAGGTGGGCGTTGATCGAGAGCCATGTGGAGCCCCAAAAGATTGCGACAAGCCTCTCGCGACAGGGAAAGCGACGTGTGGTTTCCTCGATCGCGTTGCATAATGAGGCCAAATTTGCCGAACGCGGGCATTGCAACGACGACGAACAAACCGCCGAAATGACGCCCAAAAGGACCGGAGAGTTAGGTGGGCTTCCACTCCTTCTAGGTTCTTGCCAGTTACCTCTGTACCGGAAGCCGCCATTCGCCCGCCACCGGGCAACCTGGAGCCGGACAGCGTTGTTCCTTCCTGCTGCTCGCCTCCTCACCGCTCATGGACCACAAGCCGCAAGTTGCGATTGCCATCTGGGGAACTGTCACGGCGCCCATTCACAGATCGGGACTAGACTAATGCAAGACGCGCGGACCATCTGCTCGCTTTGGCCTGGTTGCACTGGGGATGGAGAGAAGACGTGGGAGAGCAAAAGGGATTCGGCAGCAGTGCAGATGCACCAAGACGGCGACGTTTGGTTCCATGGACAGATGTCAGGGGGTCAGGACCCTGGTCTGGCTTGATCCTCGCTCCATCTGTGCACATCGTGCAAATCCCCGAGCTTCCTTTGCTCCAAAGCGGGGTGAGCTCGGCACGAGACCCCTGTGCGGCCACCGAACCCCCATCGACGTCCCTGCAGCTCGCTGCAGAGGCCCGGGGCCAGGGTCGGTTTAACGGGCTGGTCTCATGGCCTTTCGCCCGTGGCTCTTCATCCAACTCATCGTCCCTTTGGGAAACACTTGCATCTTGCATCTGCAACCCGACGGCCAACTTCACCCTCCACTTTCGAGACACGATCCGCAACAACACCGCTCACCCGCCTTCCCCCCCCGCAAATCGTTTATTTCGTGCAGCCGGTTGGGAATCGCGCACAGCCCGGCTTGGCAGGTCTAGACTCTCTCGTTGTCGGGGCCCTGCTCGTGTAAAACCAGATCGGTCCCGGCGCACCGTGGGATCCTGCCCTCCTTCTGGTAGAATCCACTGTCTGAGCGGTTGCTCCCAAGTAATTGTTGCCCTCAACATCCGCCGTTGCTTGTTTGGGGTGCTTGACCCCTGGACCGACACAACAAAAACATCGATCAGTAACTACATATTCCGTCTCTCTCGGCCCCGGTTTGGAGGAGGGCCGGTCCGAGGACAACAACACACGCTCCCCGGCGATAGGATAGGGCGGTAGGAGACCCGGGGGGCAGGTCGACTTCGGAACTTCGCACCCGCTTCCCGATTTTAGACACCAAAGCGCCTGCACTTCCCGTCGCGAATCAGTGGAAAGCAGCGGGCACCACAAAGGACACTCGAGGATGGCAACGGTGGGAAGGGAGTCGCGCTTCATGCCGACAGTGAAATGTTCGTCATGCAACGAACAGGTGGAAATATCCCTGATGGGCGAGCATCTCTGCACCGGGTCGGGTTCACCGGTGGAACGTATGATGCCAACAATCCCCTCCGTTCACCCGCGGCTCCGACTAACATCGTCTCTAGCCACGCCGCCACTGCCTGCGGCCTCCTTGTTTGGGAGACTGATGCCAGCTTTCGGCAACCCATTAGCCCCAAAGCAACAACCCCGACCGCCCCCTCAAGTGGACACGTCTGCGGCGAGTATGTGTTACCCCATGCCCGACCTGCCGGGCTTTGCTAACAGTGGCTTAGATCGCGCGTATATGGGTCAATCTCAACTCACACCTATCAGCCAAGAAAGTGGTTCCCAGAGTGGGATATCACCCCAAACCCCAATTGGGCAGTCAGATACCGGGAAACCCGATGAATACTTCACACCAGAGATTGCGGACAACTCTCCGCCACAATCGTTGAGACCCGGTGGATATGGAGGACTTGGAGGTGGTAGTACTTATGAGGACTCGGCGTTCCGGGCATATGTCCCGAAGAAGCAGGAACCGGATTTGATGGGCAACACAGCTGGTCCCCTCGATCCGGCCCGTCGACCTTCGGCAGCTGGCCTTAGTGTGTCGGGAGGTGCGGATGAGCGCCCTGGCACTGCGGCCTCGAATGCTAGCAGCAGCCTGGGGAGCGGAAGAATGCCGATGCCACAGAGGCAAAATGGATATGCGGGTTTTGGTCCACCGAAAACGTCGGAACATGGCCTCGAGCCGCCCGCTACGCCGAACAGGTCCGAGACATTCCCCCGACCCAGCGAACGTTTCGCCCCGCCCCCTCGCACACCGACCGCCCCGCTTCCTTCAGCGACATTGCGACCGGATCGACTACAACTTCCGGCGGACTCGCCGGGCGCACCTGACGGACGATCTCCGATGACGAGCCCGAGAAGGCCGAGTAGAGGGCCAGATACCTCTCGGCCGCCGCCACCACGAACCAGCACGATTCGGCCAACGACCCCCGTTGTCCCAACAATCAATCTCGCCGAGGAGTTTGGGATCGGGAACCCGTACCACAACCCGTCAGAATCGACGTCATCGACCGACTCTTCGGAAAACAGCAGTCAACCGGAACGCCGGCCGAGCCAAGCGAGCCAGGCGAGCTCACGAACAAGCCCGTCAAGGTCTCTAGGCTCGAGGTCCGGGAAAAGTCCCTCTGATACATCAAGTTTCGATAACTTGATGACGGATATCCAGTCTTCCATGGACGACATGAAACCACGGCCACCAGTACCCGCGCCTTTAATGATACCGGGTAGAGATATGGTGGGCCGCCCGTCTCCTTTGAGCGCGCGACCGCCTCGCTCGGGAGACCGAGGATATGACCCGCGTATCGACCCTGCAGTACAAAACCCGCGCGGTGGTCAAGAGAAGGCTTCTCTGACATCGCCGTTGTCGGACGCTCCGCTCCGCGACAAGCTCACTATTCAGACATCTAACGACATCATCTCCCCGGGCACACCCGGCTTCCCCTCCCCAGGATGGGCTAGGTCGCCTGACGAGGACGAGCAGATGGGCGAAAGACGCCCTTCCCAGGCACCGCCTCCACTACAACCACCACCACAATTCCAACCACCATCGGAACGGCAACCACGACCACAGCAACAGCCACCGAGGCCCCGGTCGCGCTCTCGCTCCCGCTCACGCGAACCGGCTCCCCTCTCAGCACGCGGCGATTGTAAAGCCTGTGGCCTCCCAATCAAGGGCAAGTCCATATCGAGCGCCGACGGCCGCCTAACCGGGCGGTACCACAAGCCGTGCTTCGTCTGCTCAACCTGCCAGAACCCCTTCTCATCTTCCACCTTTTACGTGCTCGACGACAAGCCGTACTGCGAGCTGCACTACCACAAGCTCAACGGCAGCCTGTGCGGCAGTTGTGGCAGGGGCATCGAGGGCCAGTACCTCGAGGACGAGTCCTGCGTGAAGCACCACGTCGGGTGCTTCAAGTGTGGCGAATGCGGGATGGCGCTCAGGGATGGGTACTTCGAGGTCAACGGGAAGGCCTATTGTGGAGACGATGCTTGGAGGCTCACTGGTGGCGGACCAAATGATGCCCCAGGTGGTATGGGTATGGGCGGGAGGGGCGGTATGGGTGGTCGCGGCAGGGGTGGCCGAGGTGGCAGGGGTGGTGGCATGGGGTTCCGGCCTCCGCATATGGGTTTGCCCGGTGGACCGAGGGGTGGCATGGGCGGCGGCTACAACCCCAGCCGACTGGGACCGATGGGGCAAAGGCCCAAGATGGAAAAGAGGATGACGAGGTTGGGAATGATGTGAGCAGGTGATCCATTCACCAAATCACCGACCTGTGGACGACTATGCCTACTCCACGACGGCTCCGGATAATACGCCAAATATGCGTCAACGCGCACGAAACGGCTTGATGCCGACATCTAATATTCGCATTTGGCCCGAGCACTCCCGGATTGAGGCTCCTACACTTTTTTTCTTTTTTTTTCGATACCCCGATCACCATTTCGCTTCATATACCCACTGGATTCGGACTAGCATATTTTTTGCATTTTCCTTTGTCTCTACGGTCCGGTAATTGGGAGATTGGAAAAGGGGACCGGAAAGCACTTGCCCAACAGCAACAGGCGGGAATTTTTGAGAGGCCCTAGTTTTTGCAAACGGACCATTGGGTGCGGTCAGAGCAACGGTTGGCAAAGTCTGGGTTTCTGGGGTTTACCTGTGTAACGCCGTGGGCTTCAAACCTGTTCCAGAGGGTCTGAGACAGCGTCGTCACGCTATCCGGAAAACTTCGCCCGCGTCCTGTCAACGGGTCGATCCCGACGCACAGCAGCAGCCACCTGGTTGCGTGCATGGGACGCGCAAGCCTTGCGGCTTACATACACGCAAACGCGCAAGCACGGAGGCGGATTGAGGCGGAGCGACCAGTCACGCAGCCCCACACGTGGAACTGAGGTCGGGAAACAGGGCGATGTTGGCGTAACGAGCAATAGTAAAATCATGTATGTAAACAATAGTGCTTAATCTTTACTCAACAAAAAGAAGAATACTCTGCACAAAGGCACACATCGGATCAAGTTGGCGGTCAGCTTGTGACATGTTGGCCGGCGAGACAGTCTCACCCTCGAGCCGAGACATTGTCCGTTTCGTTTCGTTGAGGAGCGTTGAGGTTTTATGGTAATTATTACAAGCCGATGCATCGATGCCTATGTATACGAGAGGCGCGGACACACTCGAAAACTCCCCGACCCCTCCTACTTATTATGTATTCTCAATGGTGTGTCGTACCGGAAGGATGCGGATGATGATGGATGGTTGCACAGGCGTCGCTCATCGGTGAGTCTGACCCGGTTCGAGAATCCCGGCAGATCTCACCTCCTGCAGAACGCTTATTTCCACCCATGTCTCTTCGGGTCGGCTTGCTTTTTTCAACGTCCCCTCACTCATCTCCGTCTTTCTTGTTTCGGTGCCACACCCCCGCCAACCTGCGCATCCGCCGGGACTCTTCTGATTGCAGGGCTCAAGAATAAGCTCGGGATTGGTGCGAATCCACACCTCGCTCTAGCCGGCTTGAGAACGGCGGCGGCACTGGCTACTGAAAAAAAAAAAAAAAAAAGATTAGAGGCGCTTGCGCGGATGGAGAAAGGGGAGCGCGGTGAACTCGCATTTGGAAGATAATCAATCTGATGAGCCAGGTCACTTTCCTAACCAGGCTGGTCGTCACGGCGGCGCGTCGAACCAGGTTCGGAGCGGTCGGCGGTGAGATACTTTTTGCACTATCATTCCGCAACATGCTCATCAAATTCGCTCACCCCGAGCGTACCGAGCGTGCGAACCCTACCTATGTAATAACAAATACGCTGGAATATTCTGACATCATGGGTCTCGGAAGCCGTGGTTATGTACTTCGTACATATGTATACGCGACACTCCATACAAACTCTGTAACAACCACCAGAGATTGCGATTTGTTGACACACGTGTTGCCCTTGTTTACCGGTTGACTTCAAACAGTGGACCGGCCGAACGATCGAGAACTGAATTTCCCACCGCTTGGTTCGGTACCCCTCCGAGCTTTTCGATCCTCCCACTCTTGGCAGAGATTGGGGCCAGACCTGGAAGTTCTAGACCTCCTCCCCTCGGTCTTCTTTCAGGGGGAAGCGCCCCTTCGAGGGTGGTGGCGTTAGCCCGCATTAGGAAAGAGCATGGATGCTGTCGGTCCACTGTCCCCAGACTTGGAAGTGTGAGGGAGTGACTGTTCGAGATGGGGGATGTCGAGAAATCGTCGCAGCCACTTGCTCGTTGGTTTTCACAAATCTCGGAAAAGCCGTGAGCAGGGCTCGGAGCTACATGCAGACTTGAAAATTCTTGAAGAAGCAGGTCTCGGTCGATCGCTGATGGTGCGACATGTAAATGACGTTATAGCGGGAGTTGAATGGCGATCGCCCAACACAGCCCGGTACGTAAAGATCTGTACTCGAATAAGATCTTCAGCCACCCCTTCCCTGCAGGAAGGGGTTTGCAGTGACGGGTCCACCCGAAATCCACTCGATGCAGCTGGCATTTTGGCGGCTTCCCTATCTGCCAATCGCCGCCTATGGATTCTCAGGGACTCCCTGTGACCATCAAGGGTGTTCTGGGTTTTGAGCGTGGGCGGCCGGCTGCGCTTGCAGAAAGAGCATGAGACCCTTGCGCGCCTGCCGCTTCATAGGCTGATAGGGTGGGTGAGAGGCAACAAGCCGCTTGTTGACTTGCGAGCCTCGCAAATGGGAATTGCCGTTGGTGACATTCTGTGTTGTTCCCCTGTCTCATCTCGCTCCCCTCCGTCCCCGACCTTGAACCTTGTCACCGGCGCCGTTTTGAAGCAACATTTTCGACTTACCACCCCACTGCGGCAGAGTGACCCCTGCCCACCGCCCCTGATGCCCGCCACGCCCTCGTTCGTTTCTTGAGAATTCGCCTAATTAACACTGGTCTTCCAAGACCCGAAACCGTTTCACTCTTTTCCCACTCTTCACCCACAGTCGCTATCGTTCGTTTGATACGGAAAGCTGGTCGACCACTATTCCATACCAGCCTCTCGCAACTCCATCCTCGACGTCTCCCGTCTTGGATCAGGCATCCGATTTTCCCCTTCGTTCGTGCAATCACTCGTTTCAGCACGATTCGGCAGGCCCTGCATTTTCTCTTCCCTCCTCCTCCCAGAGTTGTATCAGCAAGCCGCCTGGCATTACTCTACAACAAGCCTTTCTTGGGAGATGCATTTTTGAGAGCGACCCTCTTCACTTCAGATTTCACGAGTTCTGATTATCTTCCCTCCCGACCACCTCCTCCTCTTGTCAAGCCGTCGAACCTCCTATCTTCAAGATGCTCGTGAAGGCGGCGGCGGTGAAAACACAGGCCCGCCGGGTCCTGTTTCGGCCTAGAACCTTGCTACCGGCGATCTTTGGTGTCTTCGTGGTGTGCATACTGGGGTTGATGCATCACAACGGCCAGTTGAATCAAAAACCTACGTTTCTGGACGGCGGCCACTCGCTCGAGCGGGTTCCTGGTAGGAAACATGGGCTGCCCCGAACCTATCTCTTAAAACACCAGCTAACAATGCCAAAGGCGAACGCCGTGCTCGGGAACTGCAGGCGCAAAGGGCACAATTCGAAAAGGAGTACCATCAGCTTAAACAGTACGAGTCACAGTTATGTATCCCACGCATTTGTTGATGGCACTGACGTGGTGGTTTAGTCGACCCGGCTACAAGGCCATCTACGGGAACACTCTCGAGACTCTCGTTGACCAGGACACCAGGGGGCCCTCGCAAGAGGAGCGACTCGGTCCGGTCTTCAATACAACCGTCAACTTCAGCAAGGCCCAGCCCGTCACCTTTAACCCATATCCCAACTACAACAGCCCCGAATGGGAAGCGGAGCACGCAGCATATGTGCCGTGCCTCGGTCCGACCGGGCAGGAGGTCGAAGATATTGGCGTGTTCAAGGGCCGGCCGCAGAAGTTCCCCAACCCCGGCTTTGGAAGTTACAGCGCCCTAGGGCTCGACCGGAATCTGTGCTTCGAGAGAGAGACCCGCATGGGGCAGTACGGGATGTCGCCGGTGTTGAAGGCTGACGGCGAAGTCCTGAACTGGGACAACGTCAACTGGGGCGATCTCCAGGATCAGTGTCTCGAGAGGAATCGCGCCCGCTTCGCCCCCAACGCCCCGGCGAACGAATACGTCACCCCGGATACGAGTGGCTCCACCGATTCGAAGCGAGATGTCGACGGCAACGAGAACAACGGAAACGACCACATCATGCACACCCTGAGGCGGTTCTGGCGCAAGCCGGGCTCTCGACGGAGGTCAACCAAGCCAGTCGTCAACTCCAAGCGGCCGTCTAATGCGACGTCCAAGCCGGAGCTGAGGACCGCGTTGCTCCTCCGTAGCTTCTCGGGGAAAACCTATACCGACAACGACAAGGAGGTCATTCGTTCGCTGGTCACCGAACTAAGTCTCAGGACCGGTGGCGAATTCGAGGTTTTCTTGTTTGTGCACATCAAGGACGAGCACCGGGAGATCTGGACCGACGACGCTTATAACAAGGCGCTCGAGGACCACGTCCCCGCCGAGTTCAGGAGCATGTCTGTCCTCTGGAATGAGCCCGCCGTCAACAGCTTGTACACCAACCTGACGACCAAGGCCCGCAAGGTGCATCACGGGCAGTTCCTCCCGGTCCAGATGTTTATGCAAGAGTTCCGAGAGTTTGACTTTGTCTGGAACTGGGAAATGGACTCGCGCATCATCGGACACAACTACGACGTGCTCTCCAAGCTGGCCGACTTCGGCAGGAACCAGCCGCGGAAGGGGCTGTGGGAACGTAACGAGCGGTTCTATATCCCCTCGGTCCACGGCAGCTTTGACTCGCAGTTCCGGACCTCGGTGGAGAAGGCCGTCGGCAGCAAGACGGTTTGGGGCGCGCCCAAGGTCCCCGTCGTCAGCCCCTTCGGCCCCGAACCTCCCGTCGCGGACCCCCGGGACGACGATTACACGTGGGGCGTGGGCGAGGAGGCGGATTTGATCGAGTTGTCTCCGATGTTCAACCCCGTCAACAGCGGCTGGGTCATGCGCAATTCGGTCTGGGGGGTACCGCTCCGAGGCATTCCCCTGGGGAAGGCTCCCTCGCCGCGCCACCATCATCACACAGTCTAGGCTCTCGAGACGGCTGATCGACGCCATGCACTACGAGGACCTACAGGGCAACCACGTCACTTCCGAGATGGTGGCTCCGACAGCAACGTTGCTCCACGGCTTCAAGGGCGTGTACGCACCAATGCCTGTCTTTTTTGACCGTGCGTGGAGCGGCTCTCAGCTCGCGAAGTGGTTCAACGGTGGACCCAAGGGCCAGAGCGGCAGCTTCGGCAGCTCCATGGCGTGGGGACAAGAAGGACGATACATGGGCACGACCTGGTACTTCCGCGCCTACCCCCCACAGCGGTTGTACAACAACTGGATGGGCTACGAGGATACCGAGATCGGCGGCGACGAGTGGGAGGCTGAGCACGGCCGCCCGTGTCTGCCTTCTATGATCCTGCATCCGATCAAGGAGATCAGCCCGACTGAGAAGGGCTACGCGACCGATTCCAGACTCACGTACGATTGAGCGGGTAGGCAGGATGGATGGTTGATCGAGCTGCCTACATCATTACACCGCGTTCGCGGCGTAGGGCCCTACCTTACAGGCCGCGCCGAGCGGTGATTTCTGACTATTTGTCTCACTTGCAGGCCCACGTCTGGGTGGAAGAACAACATTTTGTCATGACTACGAACACGGGCGAGCTGCGCGGCTGCTTGTGAGCCAACGCTCCAAGCCGCCTACTATGCGCCGCCAACGGTGGAGGGGGGAAGAGAGAGAGAGAGACCTGGGTCACCCCTGAGTCGAACGGCGGATTCGCTATCGGCCTCGGAAAACCGAGAACATCGCCGGGCCGAGATGAAGGGGTCACCAACAGGGGGCGGGTGTGTTGTGTGTGAAGCATACTGTACATATCAACGGCGCAGATGTGCCTAGAATTGTGAATAACCAACTGAGACGTACATAATTATTAATCTAGTCAACATATGCTTGGCGATCAGCCCTAGCTTAGATATTTTGAGTGTCGTGCAGGCGATGTTTCCCAAGTGTGACTTCGTTAAGATACCTAGGTACTCCAGCTGAGACAAGGGAGACAATGTCCGTCCGGAACAAAACCACCTACCTTCGTACGCCCGGCCAAGGTCGCAGTCCCGTAGACCCCAACCCCCGGTCAATATATCAGTACCGCCGTATTCATGACGTGAGGTGCAAGTAAGTTTTGGCCCCCAAGGCAGTTTGCGGGGAGACTCAGAGCCGCACTCGGCACTCAAAGGGAGGACCCGAGATCTCCAAGCCATTAGGTAATGGTGCAACAGTTATTGTGTTCCCGGTAAACAGCTGGGGGCCACAAGTGAAAACATCCTCCGTGCCTCCCAGTCCATGGGTACGAAGGATGGGGGCGAGGTGCTGGGTTGAGAGGTGGGTGCACTGTGTGAACAGTGATTATTCATCATTCTTTCTATCACTGTTAATTCAGTATTTGTAAGTAAACTCGAAATCGTAGGCAACCATAGGAAATAACGTGTCTGCCTTGCCAGCACGCAAGTTGTGAGAAGAAATCGTAATTCACCACCTGCTGTCAGTCGGTCCAGCGCAGGTGGAGGGCAGCTGCACGGCCAGCGCATGGGACGATTTTTGGCGCCAAACGCACGAGCCTTGCTGCTTGGTCCGGGAAATCAGCCCAGAACGACAAGCCACACTAATTTGGGAAGCCACATTCTTGGTAATACCTCTCTTCTGATTGGTTGGCATGCTCAGCGCAGGGGGCTATTTTGAGGCGGCCGGGACCTGGCTGGCTGGCCGGGATTGCTCATCGTTCGGTCAGTGGTCACAGGGTGGTGTGGGACGAGGCTTGTTGGAAGGTGAGGGAGCTTGTTAATGAACAAGTCATGATTTAAAATCTGCTTCTTCCCTCTTCTGCAGCACCCATAACCTTTGTGCCCTGGTTGTTTGTTTTAAGTTTGGTCCTGTGCCTCTACCGTCGTTTCACCTCTTTCCCACGCCATCTCCCAACAGCAACCTGGTTTACACAGTCCGCTCATTCAGTCATTCACCAACAACCCGCGCCATCCAAACGCCCTTCCAAAACACCTGTCTAAACGAGGCTCCTCATCCAACCTCCCATACCGGTGCTTCTTCACCTCCTCATCGCGTTTGTTTATCCCTCCAGAACTATCCTCAAACAAACGGCCATCATGTCGCCGACATACACCATGTCCGCCCACCTGTGCAAGCAGATCTACACGTCTTGGCGTCAGGCCCGCCAGACCTCACCAGAACCGAGCCCGCTGCCGTCAACTCCCGCGGCTTTCACCAACAATACCCGGTCGTCTTCGCCCAGCGAGAAACGCTCCATGGACAGCGACCGCAGCGAGTCGTCCCATCCCCCGCTGTCACGACAGCCGTCGGGGTCGAACTGGCGGTGGGGGTCTCGCTAGGCTCCTCTCCCCAACTATCCTTGGCTTGCCACGATCCAAGGAAGTGGAAGCGCGACCTCTTCCGGTTGGGTGGACGGATGGCTGGGATTGATCTGGATTAGTGTGCATCAAACCACTCATCCGGACACATGCGGGAGTCTCAGTCTGGCAAGCCGATGAAGACAACTCAAAGACCCCTGCCAACCAACAATAACAATAACAACACCACCACCACCACCAACGTATGGGGCTAGTTAGAACGCACGCCACCAATACTTCATGCGAGCCACCTACTTTGTACCTTTCCTCATCAGCCACGTTCTCACCAACCCAACCGGCGTTTTGTTTTTTTGGGCATCTGGCAACCACCAATCCGGAGTTAAACGGCTTTCATTGAGTTTTGGGTCTGCTGGGCTTTGTCATCACCATGACCACTACCACCTCCCTCAGACCTGCCTTCGCCAAATACACCATCTGCACCCACAATTCCGTCATCTGTCGCCATTCCACCGCATAACTACAACCCCCAACATGCGCTCCAGCAACCACAACATGGGCACACGCGACCTCGGTTTCGGTTTTGATGCCGGCCAATCGGTGCGTTTACCATGGGCGTGCAGTTGGGCTGCCTGAGGTGGTTGCATCTGGGCCACGAGGGAGCGGGATCGGGGCGGCTAAGAAAGCCGTTGTTGACATGCAGCACGGAGCTTTTGCTTTTGCTTTTGGGCTTTCATCTGGGTTTCTTTTCTTTTTTTCCCTTGCCGCTCCCGCTTGCATATGCATGCAAAGCAAGCGAGTGGGCTGGGCCACGATTGGGATAGCATGACGGCGGCGCTCGGTAGTGAATCGATACCCTTTTTTGTCTTTCATGTTTACTTAGCCCCTGAAACCAGATTTCCTAGATCAACAATATCCATCATTTTTGAAACTGCGCTTGTCACCAGCATCTTCAGTCTCATGATCCATCACCACACCTTTGTGATCCCATAAATGGGGATGTCGCAAGCGCATACTACCGACCATTCACAAAGCAGCCCTATATTACCCCCAAAGACGAATGATTTACAATTGACGCCAGCTTCTCTTGCGCCTCCTTTTCCATGTCGGCGAAGTCGCCTCCGGCGACAAGATGGGGCTGGTCGCGGTGAGAGTACTCCCGTTTTGGCTCCCAGCTATACCGATCCGGAACAGGCCGGCCACTGAGGACATCGACAACGGTGCTGCCAATGGTCGGGAGGTCTTTGGCGCGGTTGTAGGATCCCCCAACAACACAAGTGAGGTTGGGAAACTGGGGATGCCTGGCAATGAGAGGGTCCTGGGTAGGGGTGACACCATCCCTAATAGGAGAGAGCCTTAGTTTATGATGCGCACCTGGTCAACACGGATTTACTTACCAATAGGATCTTACCGAGGCGATATAAGCTCCTTGGAGAGCCGGTAAAAACTCTCTGGCCCATTCGATCGTCTTATGCATGTGGTATTTCGCCAGAGCACTGTTGGAAAGATCCTCGACCCGTGATAGAGTAGAGCCGTGTAAGTTGGTGAAAGGCTCTACCCACGTAATCTTCCCAACGCAGCCGTGGGCTGGAGGAAGAAAATCCCCTTCCGGAATCAAGAGTAAGCAGCAAGCAGAAAAGAATAGACGGCGGAGAAACACTGACCTTGCCCGTGGTGGGATATCATCGGCCTGTCTCTGAAAAACTCGGTCTGCTCTTCACTCATCTGAACGCCGTATGAGAACAAGCCGGTAGCCACGGGGGTCCTCCCATCCGGAGGGAGAGCGATGTCGGATGCGGCAAGAAGCTGGGTAAACCATGGTCCGACGGCCAAAACGATCTGCGCGCTCCCAGCCTCGATCTTCTTCCCGTTTTCGAGTATGAGCGAAGTGACACGAGTCCCGTCGTTGACAAGGCTCGCAACACCGCTCTCGTAGAAAGTTCCACCGCTTTTGGTACAGGCGTTCTTGGCTCGCTCCCTTGCATCAGATATGCATGGTTCCCAGTCGACGATACTGTCGTCCCCGGCCGAAACGTACGTCAAGGGTTCCGGAGCCGTCGTTGTTCCAAATTTGTCCCACATCAGCGTGCTACCGCCGAGTGCTCGGCTCTGTAAACCAAGCTCCTCGCGAGCTTCGTTGATCTTCTGGACTGAGGCTACATCGTCTTGTTCGTAAATCACTACACGGCCGATGCTGCGTTGGTACCTGGAGAATCTGTCGCTGTTCCATTGCTTCTGAGCCTCGACTGCTTCTGTCATCCGCTCCACGTTGTTGTAATCAACCCGGACTATCTTTGAGATATCATCGCTCGGGGCAAGGGGAGAAGGCCGAGAAACGATGGACAGCCGTGTGGTGGGCCATTTCTGATGGAGGTGGTCGGCCGTCGAAAGACCAAACACACCGGTGCCGACGATGATGACTTTATCCATATTGCAGTTAAGAGGTGAGTTTGCCGTGTTGAGAGACTTGGGCTTCTACGGCGCGGGGTTTTATCGGTAGTACTTGTACACACCACAGTATATGCGTGTAACAACCACTTCATAACCTCGCCCCGTCTTCGATGACGTTGATTCGCGGCATCTTCGGGGACTTGCCCTGCTTTCAACCACACCCAACTTTAACACCACACACAACCCGTGCACGGCACAAAGCGGTGTTGCACAGATTACGTACCCAGCTCGCAAAGTTTAAAATAGATGTAGTCTCTCCTCCATGCAGCGTAACACATTTTAGTAAGGCATATGTTTTTCCCCAGCGCCTGTACCGGAGCGAGTCATTCCACCTTTCTCCTTTCTTTCTCGGGCTTTCACCTTTACAGACCTCATCATAACCCAATACAAGGCCGCTTCCTCCGGTTCGTCCGAACTGCATTCTCCCACGCACAGTTCTCGGCCATTCTGATATCAAACGGGAAAGAGGGCTTCCCCAAGCATTCGGGACCATTGCTTGTTGGCTACCTCCCTCTCCACTCGATTGTAGAGGATGTTGGGGCGCATTGACTCGCGAGCGAACGGTCTCATCGGATAGTTTCAGTATGTTCCAGAGCCTGTTTACGGTCAGCCCGTCATTGCTCGAGACGTCGACCCGAAGTTCACATAGGGAGAGACGCCGCATAATTACAGGTCCGGCTGAGGATGATAGGGTCACCGCGAGCAGCGGTGAGGCAAAGGAAACCTGGCATATACTGATGGGAGGAGATGGCTGTGAGTAAAAGGGGGTTGGCGTTGGCACAGTGATGGTGTATTACTTACTAGGGTATAATTTCCATTGATTCCTACCCTACGTGCTCCCGTCAGGGTGATAGTCTATAAAGTAAAAAAAGCAGCATACACAACAGACGAAGCAGTCTAACCGCCACAGCAAAGTCTGTATCCTATGTATATTCCCCCCCAAGTAATCTTCTTTTTTTTGTTCAATGGCCAACAAATATGCACTGCTAATAAACCCAATTCATCAGGGGAGAAAGAGCCCAGCCAGCCAACAACAACAGCAGCCGGTAGGCAGGTCTCGCATCAAAACCAAACGCTACGCTAACAACAACAGCAAACACCACCACCACTACCAACCCCCTCTACAATCCCAACACCACCACCAAACACAGCCAAGCTCACCCAGCAAGCTCCGCCACAGGCGGCACCCCCACACCCAGCCCCCCACCGCCAACCCCACCGCCAACTCTCACCCCAACACTCGCCGAAACATCCTCGGCGTCGGGCCCGTCGGGCCCGCTGGCGCTGTCGTCGGGCGACTCCTCGGCGACCTGGCCCTGGATGCGGCGCTTAGCCTCGGCCTTGTCGGCGGCGGTGATGTGGGCCTCGTCCTTGCGCATGTCGGGCGTCCACATGGGCTCGCCGGGCGCGTGGCCGACTGACATGCCGACGCGGATCTATTAAAGAAAAAGAAAAATGGGGGGTTAGTGGGGGTGTGTTTTTAGGTTAGGTTGGGGTGGGTGGGTGTTCGTTGAGGGGGAAGAAAGGTTTGGGGAGGGGAGGGGGGGAAGCTTACCAGAGTTTCGAGCGCCGTGTTCGAGTTGTCGACTAGGTCGTCGTCAAACACCATCTTGCCGCTCTCAAACAGCAGCACGAGCGTGCTGCCGCCAAACTTGAAGTAGCCCAGCTCCTCGCCGCGGCGGACCTCCTCGCCCTCGCTGCGCGTGATGACGGTGCTGCCGACCATCATGGCGCCGACGCAGATGACCATGACGCGGCCGAACTCGGCGGTATCGATGGGCACGACGATGCGCACGTTCTCGCCGTACACGTCCAGCGCCGAGCGGATGGCCATGGGATTGACTGTGTAGTACTCGCCGGCGATGGTCTTGGGCTCGCGCATGACGCCGTCGACGGGGATGTGGAAGCGGTGGTAGTCCTGCGGCGCGAGACGGAAGATGCCCAGCCCGCCGCCGTTCTCGTAGCGGCCCACGTCCTCCGGGTACGCATCGCCGAGGAGCCGCTTGACGCTGAACTCGCGGCCCTTGACCCAGACCTTGGTGGCCGTCTCGATGCGGTTGAAGACGACGGAGCGGCAGTCGGCCGGTGACACGATGATGCGCGAGTTATCGGGCGCCGAGCAGGGGCGCGCCGTGGGCTTGAGCGCCCGGTAGAAGAACTCGTTGAAACTTTTGAACTCGTTAAGCGGGAGGAGCACCTCGGAGAGGTCGAGGCCGTGGAAGGCGATAAATTTGGGAATTTCGGCTTTGGACGCCGGGTCGTCGTACTTCTTGCCCTGTTTGATGCTGAGGCTCTTCAGGAGTTTGCGGACTGTCCGTATTAGTTTGGTTGTCTTGGGGCCCGTCAGGCTTTGTGGTGTACTTACTCCTCTTCTTTTCCATACTGTTCGATTTCAAACCTTTGTATAGGAGCCGGATACCCAGGCGGACGTATACGCTCATCTTCTCCTCGTTAATCTGGCCGGTTATACGGTCCTGGATAAGGATGTTGGCCGAGTTGGCCCCCAGCTTATAGCCACCATACGAAATCTTGGTGATGACCTTGGAGTACCACTTGCGCTGCGCCTGGCTGGAAGTGACGAACCCGCCCATCATCAAGTTGTTGACCTGGCGCCAGTCCTGGCTCGCGCAAGTCGCAATATGCGTTATGATGTCGGCGTCTTTGCGCTTGTTCAGACGTGGCTGGTGGCAGATGGGGCACTCCCGAATCTCAACCACGTGCTCTTCGCTCGTGCTGATGTTCAAGTCGTCCCGATCCAGCAGATCCCCCTCTTCGCCAGGCGTGCTCAGTTCAGGAACGGAAATCGTCGATGTGTCGGTAGTTTGCGACTCAGACGGCGTCTCGAGCCCCTCGGCCGGCGTCTCAGTCCCGGAAGCCGGGGGAACAAGCAGATTCTTGACCTTCTCGGCGTCTGGAAGCATGTTCTTCATCCGCTCTGCCACACCCTGTGGCCGTGACTTGGCCTGTAATTGATCCTCGAGGCAGATGACCGCCTCGTCCATGGTCAGGTCCTCCGCATCATCGTTATCGCTCGCCTTATGAGGAAAACGTTGGAAGAAGCTATCAATAGTGGACTCGCGCAATGTCGAGCCTAGGGTGTCGAGCATGGTCGACAGCTCAACCTTGCTGATGAGACCGCTCTCATCCGTGTCGTACTGCTTCAGCATTGCCCTCCAGAATTGCTGACGGAGCGCTGGATAGGGCATATACTTGGCACGGATGAACAGCTGAGGGTTGTGCTTGTCCTCCCACTTCTCCAGATTCTTCATCTTGAGCGGGAGCGTGCATGGGATGAATTCGGGATCCTCGCCGTCGGGCGGGGTCGTCTCCCCGAGAGTAGAGGCAGCCGCGGCAACGGCGTTGTCTCCCGGATGAAGGAGCCCGGTGTTGGCGACCGCGGGCTGGGGGGATTCGGGCAGGCCCTCTCCCAGGACCTGCGAAGCGCCAGGGCTCGGCGTAGGCGTAGTCACAGGCGGGGTCGCCGTCCCGGCCGTCGCTGTGGACGGGTTCTTGGATAGGCCTGGCCTAGTGAGCTTGCTTAGGCTCTGAGTTGACGGGGTGCGCGATAACCCCAGTCTCATGAACCGGGGACGCTGCGCCGGGGCTGAAAAGTCGGGCACGTCTTTGAGGTTGTATAGCCCGGTCTCCGGGTCTGCTTTTGGAGCCTTGTCGATGAGGTCCTTGACAGGGAAGTTCACCGACGCGATGAAGTCGTTGCCCGAGTACTTGTCGCGGTCAATGACGGTAAACGAGAAGCTGTAGAGCTGCTCATGGCCAAGAACTTGGAAAATCATCTTCTCGTTGAAAACGGGATTCAAGTTGTGCCGAATGGTCTTGGTTCGGTAAGTCTTCTTGCCTAGCGAGGCAACGACGAACGGGTCCATGTCGAAGCTGGTCTTGGTCAAGTTCGACTCGGGCGGTAGGTCGGTAATTTTGCCGATCTCGAGGAAGATGATGCCAACCACATCGCTGCCGCCGTTGATGAACTCGTAGGGGTTGTCCCTCTTCTTGCGCTTCAGACCCCGAATCCGCAGTTTCCTCCGCCTCTTCTCTGCCGCTTCCGGCTTGGTCGGATCTTCGTCTTCGGGCGTCTCGTCCTCGTAGACATCGTATTCGTCCTCCTCGTCATGTTCCGCTCGCCTTCCACCGAGGGACGGAGAGGGCGAGGGCGCCTTCCCCTGTTCGGCCGGGGCAAGGACCGGCGTCCGTGACGGCGTGGGGTTTCGCGACGTATCGGCGCCCGGGGCAGATTTGACCAGCGCGGTAAACTTCTCGAAGGTCTGTTCGTCGGGGGCCTGCGGATTGGCGCTGTCGAAGAGGGTGAACTGCAGCAAGACCTCGCCCGAGACGATGCTGGTCTTCTTCCCGGGCCGCTTGCTCTTCAGGGGGTACCACTTGGGCATCTGCTCTGTCTTCTCGTTGGCGAAGATCTCCTCCAGCGCAAGGTCGAACTCGCCAAGATAGTCCTTCCCGAAGCGGTCCTTGTCCCAGGCGCACACGTCCAGCAACAGGCTCTGGACGCCGGCGACGGGGAGCTCGCATTGTTCGTTCCACTCCGGGTTGAGGGTTTTGGACTCGGTGTGGGTGATGTGCTTCGCTTCGCCAAGAGTCAAGACGAGGTACTAGTATCGGCGAACAGCAGTTAGCCGCGAGCTTGTTTCCCGGCAGGGCTGCAGGGTGGCTGCCGTGTGCAGTGTTGCACTCACCGGATCCGACGTGCCTCCCCTATCCTTGGCGGCGAGATCCCTGGCCTAGACAGTTCGCACATACAAAGTCAGCTCCGCGTTCGTGTTTTCCACCGACAGCGAAAACAAAGCGGCGGCCCGTACCCGCATAATGACCACGTTCAGAACGAGGCCAGTGTCTTTGCGGCCCTCGGGGCTCGCCGCATCTCCTTTCGTACCCATTGGGCTCGTGCTACGGCTGTTGGAGGCGGAATTGGTTGTCGGGGTGTTGGAGAAGCCTGGCTTCAGGCGATTGGGGATGATGCGGACCATGGCGGGCGCGGGGTTCGACAGGAGTTTATGCGATATCCCGGTGCTACCAGGCTGCAGCCAGGGCAGGTTTTCCAAGTTTCGAGTTGGTGGCGGTACGGTATGGGTTTATGGGGTAAGTGCCCGGTATCTGGAGTGGTAAGATATGGCGGGGTCAGATCCAAGTTTAGGTGTCCCGGGTGCTTGCTTGCATTCGCCGTGGCGCTGGCACTGGCTGTTGCAGAGGCAGCAACACCACACCTAGCTCCAACCCAGCGGCAAGCAAACGATTCGCTCCAGACCGCGGGGTTTATCTGTTTTTTTTCTCCACACAATCGGCAAAATCGGGACCGTCGGGGTCGTCGGGGTTTTCGAAGAGGTCGGCAGGTTTCTGCGACACGTCAGGCACCTGGGCAGCAGTGCTGGGACCGAGGAGACGAGGACGTCATCCCAAGCGTGCCGCGGAAAACACAGCCCTGGGTTTATGTATGTGCATCCACTACTCAGCGGCGTACAGGAGATGGTAAAAGCAGTGGGGCGAGGCGACAGGGATCGGCGTCGCGCTGTCTTTGGGATTCGCTGGGATTGGACCGTCTTCCCCACCAAAACGGGAAGAATTACTTGTACAGTGTCATTACCGCACAGGCGAGCTCAGCTGGCACGCTGGGTGGCAGCTCATCAAATGCACACACAGAATGAAAGTGATTTGAGGCTGCCTGTTCGAGGTCTAGGGGATTTCTAGGCGAGATTCGGGTTGGTTTCAGGGGCCGGCGGGCCAAGCACTTAAATCTGACGATTGGGGATAAAAGGAGACACCTTGTGCCACGCATTTGACGGGTAACAAGATCCAAGTGCATCAACATGTGCCGCACGCGCGCCATACAAGAAACGAGTTAACTAGCGACACCCCGCGGCCACCAATCTCCTCGGCCTGGGAGAAGCGGTGGGTGACAGACCGCCAAACGGGCTCGAATGGGGGCGACTGGCGCTGACGCGCGAGCTGCCTCGCGAGGTACCGAGGTAACCTAACTTGTATTCGCAGGAAACTCGGAGATGGGGAGGAATGTGGCTTGCCTTTTACGCGGGATGAACGCATCTCTCCGGATCAACTCGAAAGAAGGATTCCGTCCACCTCCGAGTTGGCCGGATCGAGAAGTTGCACATGTATACTACGACATAACTATGTGCTGGACGGGGACATACATGTCCACTATGAGCGCTTTACGGCTGCCTTTGACCCGAGGAGATGGGCCCGGAACAGGCCAGCAAGTCTTGTGTGGTTGTACAAAGCCGCTCCTCAAGGCCCAAACATCCTCCGGTCGAAAACCCCGCCTCCCAAAACATGGCCCACATCTGACAACTCTGTTGTCTGAGTGAAAGTGATGAACTCGCGATCGGAATCTTGGCCAAGACCGGAATTGGAGAACGATGCGAAATGTTCGTTACCTAAGTTACCGTATTCGGTATCTGTACGAAGTAACTCCTACCCCGAATAAATTCCAGGCCCACAATGAGAACGGGAGCGCATGGTGGATGGGTGATCCTGGTTCCACCCATCTCCAGCCGTTTCGAGTCAACTTCGGGTTAACAAAAAGCTGTTCTTGTGGTTTTGTTGTCATGCTCTCTCCCTTGGATGACGCAGTCAATGCTCGAATGGGCCAATACTTGGTCCACCGATCGTCAGCTCCGAGACTTAACATGTCAGCTCGCCCACATCTGAAGCCGCGGTTGCTCGGGAAGTTCTATGGTTGGTCCCACAGCAGTGTCGTTTGTGGCGCACCACCGCCTGTATGATTTGAGCAAGAGTTCCTCTCCCCAAAAATGATGCCCGTTTGCGGATAATCGGCACCGTATCTCGTCATCTGCATCTTTTTCAGGCTTGCGCAGCCCGATTTGCGACGCTCTGGAGGCCTCAATTGAATGTTGAATGTTGAAAGAGTCTAGTCGGCTTGTCAAAACAGACGATACAACATTTCTTGACTGTGACTGGGATCTTGCGACGAACTAACCCGGGGGCAAAAAAAGGGGCGAGCCAGAAAGGGGCTATCCGTCCACTTCCCCTCTCGCTACGACGGCAGTGGACGGGTACAGAATACAGGCCTCGAACAGGCTACACAGTAGTTATTGAACAGACGAATCTCGCCTCCGCCCTCGACCCTTTAGCGTTCCACCTTGGTGAACCGCCGTTGAACCGGTTGCTCCATCGTGATAACGGTCAGTGGAGCATGTGTCTTCAGCGTGACGTTGTCACGCGAGCCGTTGCTGCTTACGGATCCAGCTGTTCCTGTTTCGGACCAGGCAGTTGCTTCGTTGAGGAGGAGAAGACATAAGGGCAACTCGGCTGGTCTTTGGCAAACGCAGGCCAAGTTCGCGGTACCAGGTCGCCCATGGTTTTGGTACGGGAGGAACCAGGGCAAATATCGGGGAATACAAGACCCGGAATATCTTGCGATATCACGGCTGACATGCCTTGGTGAGCTTCCTCCTGTTGGGCGTATTGTAGGACAGGACTGAAGTGTTCTCACTTCCACTTAAGATTCCATCCTTCAGGTATGGTCCGGCTGTAGGCAAATACGTGATAACTGCCCAAGGAGCAAAATACCAGCCGGCCAGCCAAAACTTGTCCAAATTTCCGACTGAGCTGAACGCGGTGCAAGTCCTCTTCGACAACCTGGTTTGTCTATCCCCAGCCTCTTCTGTATTTTTGGTGGATATCATTAATCGTAAATGATCATAAAACACATCTATGCCGCCACCTTGGCCTTGTACTTTGTAGCGGCTTTATCAAACAACTCGCTCTTTTCCGCCAAGTCCACCAAGAGCGGGTGCTCAGCATCGGCCTTTTGGAGAGAACTAAAACCTTGTTAAACACTGTTGGTGGTAACCTCCACAGGGGGGCATACCTCGTCAATTCCTCGGCGCTTTTCCCAGTGATTACGGTCAGAACCAACAGGTTGGCAATGGCCTCGGCGTGGTCGGGCTCCTTCTTCAGCGCCTGATCCAGCGCAGCCTGCGCCTCCTCCGCGCGGCCGAGGTGCAGTTCGGCGACGGCCTGTGAAACCAAGGTCCGTACTGATGACGTCGCGGGCGCCTGTGCCAGCTCCTCGAAAACGTAAAACGCTTGTTGGTATTTCTCACCGCCCTGGAGGACACCAATATTGTCAGCACTCCCTGATTCGTGAACCGAAACAGTATCGGTTATGACCCACCAGCCTCAAGCCAACCCACGACTCGGCCAGGTTCACCAGCAGGCTATCCTGCGCCCACCGCCGGGCGGCAGCGACCTCCTTGACGGCGAGATCATTCCTGTTCTGCTGCAGGTGAATCTGCACAATAAGCGCAACGGCGTCCACTGTCCAACACCAACCACGTCAGCTTTGTGCACCCCCACAAACCAAACCAACCAAGCAAAGGAGAAGGGAAAGAAAGAAAAAGAACCCACAGCTCCCCTGATGCTGCCCCAACAGCGCGAGCGCCTCCTCGGTCTTGCCCGCCGCCTGCAGCACGGTGCCGCCCAGGACCTGGACGGTCGCGTTGTCGGGGGCGAGGGCCTCGACGGCGGCGACGGCGGCGTCGGCGTTGCCCAGGGCGAGCTCGGCCAGGGCGCCGACGGCCTGCAGCTCGGGCTCGGCGGCGCCCTTGACGTCGGCGAGGACGTCGGCGGCCTGGCCCAGAGCCACGCGCGCCCGCAGCTGCAGCACCCGCGCCGGCAGCGCGTTCTCGGCCGACAGCGAGCCGACGTCGAAGTCGACCACTTCCTGGTACTGGCCCTGGTGGAAGTGGTTGTGGATGTTGATGAGTTCGCCTTCGGCGGAGTAGGGGTCCATTGTGGGGGTGGTGTGTTTGTTGGACGGTTCGGGGGGTTTGTTGTTGGGTGTCTGTCGTCGGGGTGGTTGGGTTGGGTGGGTTGCTGAATGCGCTGCGTGCTGTGATCGAAGGTGGGCTGAATTGACCGACGTGGAGCTTCCTGCGCGGCGTGGATGTGATGCGGGACAAGCCGCGCCAAGATGTGGTGGTGGTGGGAAGAGCAAGGCGGGGTGTCGGGTTAGGGTTAGGGTGTCATCAACTCGATCCAACAACACCTTCTCTCCCACCTGCCCGCGATCTCCCTCTTCACCAACATGGCAATGAGAAAAGAGAGGCGCCACCACCAACTTCACAAAATCAACATCCCCCACTTACCCCAGCCCCTCTAGAACCACAGTGTGTACGGCGCATAATCCACTAGCTCACAGTTTCGCCACGCTCCGGCCGTTGAAACGGGCCTGGCAAAACAAACATCATGCGCAGAACGAACCAACATCAGATCCGACCCAACGTATTCGTAAAGCGATGCCAACCGCAGCTCTTTCCACGAGGCAACATGTCTTATTGATGGCTGGTGTTGCAGTCAGCCCACCATGGCCGCCTTGGCGCCTTGGGTTTTCCCAGCCTCGTCAGAGCCGCCAGGTGACAACCACAGTAGCGGCGGCGCAGCAGGTAGAAGATATCCGGTGACTTTCGGGTTCGGCTCCGGCTCGCACCGAGTACCCGGCCTCTTGGGTGGGGCGTCGCATTGCCTGTCACTTGAGCCCCAACCCGCGGCGCAGGACAGGGGATTCTGTCATTCCTGGGGTTATGCTCCCTCCATCCAGATAGAGAAACAACTCTTTCTCCGGCGTGGGGGGCCATGGGAGTTTTCCTCGTACCATTTCAGCCGGGGGGTGACTGAAGTGTGATCCTAAAGGACTCAAGCCAAAGACTCCCTAACTGAGCGCATGGGCATCCTGTCTTTGACCATGTGATTGCTTCGTGGTGCGTGTGTGATCCTCCCCATCCTCGACAACTATCGAGCCTAGATTCAAGTCAAAGGCATCCCGCACGGCCTTTTCGATTTCGGCGCTCAACTCCTCATCCGTACTTGCAAGATGAGTATGCACGGTTTGATGTGCGGATATCAGCCTTAAAAGCCTCGAAAGGTTGTGGGGGATCAAAAATGTCCGAGCGCTTAACCTAAAATGGGAATTAAGCCAATAATTAAAATTAGTTATGGGCTTTTTCCTAACCTCCCCATTCCGCCAAATCCTCTTCCTCCACAACGCATGATGAGTGAACCAACAAGCGACGATCCTAGGGTCTCGCCTCCAGCACCTCCGCAGGCAACCATCACAGGCCCCTCAGGGTTCGATCGCCAGCACCAACCGCACGGCATGAATGATTCCAACTCAAATGACCTCGAAGCTTAACCTTGCAATTGGTTGTTTGCAAGCGCAAACACCAAGAGGTCAAAGCTCGAAACAGTGCGACCCCAGAGCCTCTTGACATTCGGCTGGCTGTTTCTTTCCTAAAAACCGATTGGTTGTTGCCACTTATCACCGGCAGTGAATCAGTACCGTTACCATCCGCGGTCGCATTCCCCGGGCACGGCGTGCAGATGGCGGTTGGAAGAGCCCTTTCCGATGCAAGACATCTGCAGGGCGGGTCTATTTGAGGACTTGGAGGGGGACTCTCATGTTCCTCGACTCGGAGGTGAACGAGCCTCTCGCCCTTTACTTGGTAAACAGGAGGTTTTGATCCTCGTTGTTTCTTGACCAACCTGATGAAGATTCGGAACCGAAACCACGACGACCAGCTCATCTCCATGCACGGCTGCGGCACTGCCAAGACACCGTCTTAATTTAGCAACTTCCCTGTCGGGATGCGAGCTCATCTTCACCAGGCCACAGGGTGGCGTCCAATCCCGAAGTAGAATTTCCAGAGACAGTTCGAGATGTTGGTGATTTGGGTCTCACATCTGGCCGCTGGGAAGACGCACCATGGCGGGGCAGCGATCGGCCCATACCGTGCACTTACTGAGTGACCTGCAGTCTGGAACCGTTCAATGCCCAACATGTACGAGAGATCCTTCGACGGCTGGGTTTGGAAAAATCATGGCCCATCCGTATAAGACCGATCCTCCAACCCTTACCCCTGCCTTCCACCCTCGCCGCCCAGCCATGCGGGATTCCTTCGAGACTCCACGGAACTCGGAAACCTTAAACTCAAGTTTGCGAAGAATAATTTATTCCCCATGCCCGCCTAAAGGGCTTCTTTAAACAAGCACTGCCCAGCCCTGTTGTCCTCCTATGTGTCACCAACGGACAGCATCCCTATCACGGCTTCCGCCATGGAAACGGTAATACCTCCTCGAGATCATGGCCCGTCAACATACCGCTACACGTGGGACGAGAACGGCGAAGTAGCCCAAGTCACGAGGTACGTACGGCGGAGTTTTCTCTTAGACGACCCCAATATCGAGTACTCAACGATGTACATACGAACTATACCAACTAACACCGTCACCAGAGTAAGAGACTCACGCTCCTTCTCGAACGAACGCCTCCGCCCCGGCCGCCAATCCGCCCAGTGGCCCTTCCAGAGCATCATAACAACCGACAGCGACCTCCCCCGACCCATCTCCCACTACTCAGCATGGCAACAACAAATACCACCACCATTCCCACCACTACTACAACAACCACCCCTACAGCAACAACCACATCATCATCATCAACCACAACATCACCACCAACCACAACACCCCTACGAATTCGACCTCCCCCCCCACCCACTAGCCAGCAACCCCCCCCTCCTCCCCCAACCCCCACCACCACCAACACCACCACCACGACACCCCGCAAGGATCAGCGCCTCCCCCCCAGCCGAGCGCGACATCGTGCCCGACTACGTGCGCACCTTCCTCCTCCACGGCACCCCCGTCCCCACTTCCCCTCACAACAACATCAACCATAATATCGTCATCAACAACCTGCCCCCACACGACAGACCCGCGCTGTACGACGGCCCCAGCCGCGCCGGCACGCCCCAGCTGGTGGTGCCGCGGCGGCGGAGCGCGCTGCACCGGTCGAGGGTGGCGGATTTCTTTGAGGGGTTTCGGTTTAGTGGGGGGAGTTGGGCGGGTGGTGGTGGTGGGGAGAATGGTGGTGGAGGTGGTGAGAATGGTGGTGGAGGTGGTGAGAATGGTGGTGGTGGTGGTGCAGGTGGTGGTGATGGTGAAGAGGTTGGGGCCAGGCCGGGGTCGAGGGACTCGGGGCTGGGGTTGGGGTCGGAGTTGGGGCGGGTGGATAGTCGCGAGGGGGTGCCGGTTGGGGTTGGGGAGGAGGAGAGGTTTTTCCTTGGGGAGGGGGCGAGGGGGGAGAAGGGGGGAGTTGGGGGTGGTGGTGGTGGTGATGATGGTGGGATAGGGGAGTGGAGGGTTTGGAGGGGCGGTGGGTGGCGCGCAATGGTTGCGGTCATTGTGCTGGTGACGTTGGCGGTGCTGATTACGGGGTTCGTATGTCTGGTCGTGGCCATCTCTGGGGTGGATGTGGAGGCCGGGCGGTCAGCTGTCTTCGAGGGGGACTGTGGCAGGGCGGCGGCGGTGGACTGGGGGTTGCATGCGGTGATTAATGTGTTTGTGGTGGTTTTAGTTGGGGCCGCGAACTACGTCTTTCAGGTCCTCAGCAGCCCGACGAGGGAGGAGGTGGCGGCGGCGCACCAGAGGGGGGGTTGGTTGGATATTGGGATCCCGTCGTTGCGGAACCTTAAACGCATCGAGGGCGGCCGGGCGTTGCTGGCCGTTGTGGTTTTAGCGACGGCGGTTTTTACACAAATAATGTGAGTTTTTCCCTCGAGGATCTGATGATGAAAGGCTGACCGAGAAGCTAGGTATAATGCTGTAATCTTTGTCTCGCAGACGGCGCCGGACTACAAGGCCGCCATGGTCGGCGAAGCCTTTCTCAGGGGGGCGCCTTTGAGTAACGATATTTCGAACGATGGCACTGGCTTCAGTCGCCCTGACCTCCTGTCCCTCCAACAACAGGCAGCCCGAGGCGAGCTTATCCGCATTCCCACCCAGGCTTGCATCGACCAATTCAGCGGAGCTTTCGAAACAGCATACTCCGCTGTGCTCCTAGTCTCGAGCCTCGACACCTTCTCTCTCACCCAAAAGTCAGGTGGGATTGTCACAAACTCGATCAATGGCCTAGCCCCCGACACATCCTCCATCCAGTACTGCCTAGCCCAACCCGCCCCTGCTCCGACCTGCGAAGTCAACCTGAACGCATCCCTGCTCGGTTCCGTGGCCCTCCTCAACTCGATTGCCCTCGTCGTCACCGCTGCCCTCCTCTTCAAGCGCCCGTCATCTTTCCGCCCACTCGCTACCCTCGGCGACGCCATCGCCTCCTTCCTCGAAGAACCCGACACAACCACCCAAGGAGCCTGCCTCCTCTCCAAAACCGACATCTGGCGAGGTCGGTGGCCGCTCGAAGAGGCAAAGTACTGGGTCCCCAAGAACCACTACTGGTTCCGCAGCATCTCCCTCCCCCGCTGGATGGCCACCTTCATCATCTGGGCCATCAGCATCGGGCTCACCGCCGCGGGGATAGCCTTCTCCACCACCTTCGACCCATCCGGCCAACTCAGCGCATTTGGCACCGCCTCCCCACACGCACTGATGCACCTGCCCTCCAACACCCCACCCGCCGCGGCCGCCGTGCTAGCCAGCCTCCCGCAGCTCCTCCTCGCAGCCCTCTACTTCACCACCAACGCCCTCCTGACCACCTACTACCTCTCGCACGAATCGTCGCTCTTCGCCACGGGGCCCGCCCGGCCCCTGCGCGTATCCGCCCGCGCCGTCGTCGGTGCCCAGTCCACCTCCCTCTACCTCACCCTCCCGCGGCCCGCCTCCTGGCTGCTCATGGCGCTGTTCGCGGGCATGGCCTTCGTGCTGCGCCAGAGCTGCTTCGCCGTCGCCGCGCGCCTCGTCGACGTGCCCGTCTCGCCCAACGCGCTGCCCTCGGACGATGACATGGGTGGTGACGACGACCCCCTGGTGGTTGCTCTTGGTCTGAGCGGCGTCGGCCTGCTGGTGCTGCTCGTCGCGCTGGTGGTGCTCGCGCTCGCGGTTCTGGGCCTGGGTCTGCGCCGCGCGCCGCCGGTGGGGCTGGTCAATGGGGAGATGCTCGGGAATCCGATGGTCTTGCCCGCTGGGTCGTGCAGCGCCGTGGTGAGTGCCCGGTGCCACCCGCTGGCGAGAGAGAGGGGGTTGGAGAGGAAGCCGGTTATGTGGGGGGTGGTGAGGGAAGGGAATGGGTTCGGGGCGAGCCATTGTGCGTTTACCGCCGGTAGGGCCGGGGCGGTTGGGGCAGGGAGGAACTACGCTTGAGTCTTTTTTGGATTCCTTTTATTATCATTTTCTTTAATTATATTGGGATGGGATACGACTAAGGGGGGATATTGGCGTTGACGGTTGGGAATAGCCGATTCAGGGGCTCGCATATGATGTTTGTTTTACGTTGTATACCCCATTCGTTAGTATAAGTATACCTTAGACTCTAGAACCACTGAATAGGCAGAATTGGAGGTGGGAATGGAAATGAGATTAATGACAATATCTTCTTAGTTGGATTTGTAATGAGAGTTGAGGTGAAGTTGTAAATGGAGACCCAAGAATGGCGCCATCGCCGAAATCCCCACTTAGTATTATCATAACATTTTCGCTTTTCACATTTTCTACGCCCATTACAACACCTCACTCAACAACACACTCATAACCTTATCCGTAACTAAGTTTGGTATTCCTCATGAGAACTTAAGCCCAATCACGAATACACTTCATTGGCTTCGGTACTCTTTCTAAACACCTGCTTCGACAACTGAATCCCGAATTCTAACCTCAACTCATAAACTCGGTAAACATGGTCAGTACTTCATCATTGGTGTTTCTCTATCAGTGTAATACAATTGGTCAAGACTCTGACATTCCCTCACAGGTTCACGCGGACGCGTCCAGTTTCGCCCAGGGCGTGACCAAGGAGGATGCCTACCAGCAAGTCCTACAGCAGGCGGAAGGTCTTTTTTATGAGCAGCGGAACTGGGTACGTAGATGAGGCCCCTATCAGCCCATCGAGAGTCTGATATTCTCTTTGGACCGTTATTCTTTTCCACCACCTCATAAATGCTCACCATTACTAACCTCACTGTGCTGTCCAGGTTTGGTAAATGACCCCCCTAAGCTTCCCCAAAGCCAGCCCCTGACCAACACTAACAACACACCCCCTCAGCAACCTCTCCAACGTCGCCTCCCTCCTCTGGCACGCCTACCAATCCCTCCCCTCACCAAGCAACCAAGTAAACTGGGCCGGTCAGTCCCCCCTTCTCAAGCCTCCCTCCACCCCATCACCCCCTCCAACCCACCACTCCCCCTTCCCCCCCTTTAACCCAACCCCTTAACCCAACCCCAGAAACCCAACCCCAGAAACCCACCCCAAAAACTAAAAGCAAGCAAAAAAAAAAACAGGCTTCTACACCCTCGACCCCCTCTCCCCCGCAACGCGCCCCCAACTGATCCTAGGCCCCTTCCAAGGCAAGGTCGCCTGCCAAACCATCGCCTTCGGGCGCGGGGTATGCGGCGCAGCAGCAGCGACGGGCTCGACGCAGGTGGTGTCCGACGTGCGGGAGTTCCCGGGCCACATCGCGTGCGACGCGGCCAGCCGGAGCGAGGTGGTGGTGCCGATTACGGTGGCGGATGGGAAAGAGGGGGGGAGGAAGAAGGTGGTGGGGATTATTGACGTGGATTGTGAGGCGGTGGGCGGGTTTGATGAGGTGGATCGGGTGTGGTTGGAGAGGTTGGCGGGGTTGATTGCCGAGGCGTGTGACTGGCCTTGAAGAAAAGGGGGTGGTAAGATATGGAGATGGATGGGGTTTTGAGGGTGTGCTGGGTCAAAGGGATGCCGGGGTGTCGTGGTTGATATACTCTAGCCCTGGCGTGGAACATTCGACTTGCATTACGATGTACCGTTGAATTAAGGGGCTCGGGTCCAGCCAACTAAGCAAATCTCAGAAAACAATAATCCATTCATTACCTTCACTGGGAACGACATGAGTTCCGCCCCAACCTCCAAGCCAACGAAAAATAACAGTACCGAAACAATAACTCATTACGCTGGCCCTACACGACCACCTCAGCAGCACCCCCTTACAAGAGCAGGGTCCCAGTCAGACTCAAGGTCACCACCAACCCAGCGATAACAAACGGCGCCTTCTCCACAGGCCCGGCGTGCATGCTACTAGCAGCGTTGTCGCTGCTGGACGGCGAGCCGGTGACTTCGACGGAACCCGAGCCGGGTTTGGCATCACCGGTGCTCGTGCCTTCGCCGGCGTTCTGCGACCCATCCCCCTTTAGACCCGGTCCGGCACCGGCGCCGTCCGACATGAACTGTGGTATTCGTCAACAACAACGAACGAACCAAGTATCAAGAAGACGTATAACTCACCTTCTGCGCGCCCGCCGGGATGGCAGGCAGCAGCGTGCTATCCACCAACCAGTTTGCGTCCTTGGTCGGGCAGGCGACGGCGCGCGTGGTTGAGGTGTAGCCGCCGTCACCCTTGGGCGCGGGGTTCTCCTTCATGGCCTTGGCGAACTTGTCGAAGCCCTTCTTCTTCTCAATGTCTTTGGCCTTGGGGCTCGGGATCTTTGCGATGCCGAAGCCGTTGGCCTCGAGCGTGTACTCGTACATTAGGCCGCCCGAGTAGACGGGCGTCATCTTGTCGCTCATGAGCGCCCCGATCTCCCCAAAGTCCCGGCCGTTGGTGAGACAGCCGTATTCGGAGAGACTGTAAGTGGTTAGCGGTAATGCATGCGAGGGCGTTGGCGAGAGGACTTACAAGATAGCGATGCCATAGTCGGTGAAGTTTTTGACTTTTTGGTCCCAGCCCGACTCCTGAAAGTTGGAGTTGCACCAAGAGTAGTCGTTCTATTTGTGTGTTAGGTATTGAACCAGGGAGGGTGCATCCCGCTTGGAAACACTCACAAAGGCAAAGAAATCGCTCCTCTCGTCGTCAGTGCCGCAGTTCATGTAGTGGGCAAGCTGCATGCGGTTCTCGGCGACGTCCGCGGCCGAGTAGCCAACCGGGACAGCGCGGTGGCCGCGGCTTTTGATGTAGGTGCGCATGTCACGGGTGACAGCCTTGACATAGCGGGCGGACTTTGTACTCTTGACATCCTCGTTGATAACTTCATTGCCGGAGAAAAAGGCCAGGGTGTTGTCGTACTTGATGAACTCGTCGATGGACGCAAAAATGCTCTGGAGATACTTGGTATTGTATGACGGGGCCGGGTCGAGGCGGTTGATCGAATAGAGAGGGTTGTTGGCGTCGATAATAACGTAGATGCCAGCGTCGGCCAGCGCCTTCATGCACTCGTCGTGGTTGGCCGAATTGTCGGTGGTGTAGACGCGGATGGTGTTGATTCCGAGCTTCTTGAACTCGGCGATGTCACGCTCACAGATATCCGTATCAGCCAGGGGATCCTGCATAGCCGATGACCCTCCTGGTTGGTAGTCGATTCCCCGGACATAGAAACGGGTGTCGCCCTGCCAGAAAGCTGTGTTGTTTTCATGTTATTAACGGTCCTCTGCACTGATTCCTATTATCCTCGAGAATCCCCTACCATTTCCAGATACAGTGACTGTTGGCAACGTCGCCCGCTTGCTCGGCGGCTCTGGCAACGTCTCCGTCGGCTTCGCAGTCCCCAGGCCGAGAACGGTTGCCAAGACGGGTACCAAGGCGCAAGGTTTCATCTTGGCGCGGGAGGATCGATCGCCAAGTTCGATGCCAAGACGAGTGTTGAAGTTCCCGGAAACGAAGGTGTTCAGGTCGGATGTTAGATTGTGGTTGAGGAGGGAAAGAGTGCAGACCGAAATGATGGTGATGTCTTAAAAGAAAGACAGACAAGAGCGTGAAACAGGAGAGAGATTACGGGGAGACCTGATCAACCTGAGTTGACGATCCGGGAGTTCCACGAGTTCCACGCGGTCCACGGGGTGGAACATGAACCGGGAAGTAACACAGGGCAAGACGGAGGGATCAACCACCTTTCTCCAGCGAGTCTAGGATGCCAGAGTGGGGTGGTCCGACGAGAAACCGGTTACTCATCGACACATCTGTGGAAGGCAGGAGAGCATGGCGGCACCTGCCTGGCAACAGAGGGATGCTCCACTCCCCGCCGAGTCGATTACGGTCTGGATTTGTTGTGTCCAAGTGCCAGTCTTGCCTTTTCTGGTTGCCACTGTGAGCTGATGTTTTATGTTTATTCTACTAGGTACTTTTGTTCGTCATGCTCGGACTGTTTATCCGCGTAGTGATGACTCGCATCGACGGATTAAACGTATACGTTTTTGATGCATCCCGCCATTTTTGTTGGTACATAGGGCCTACGTCTCGCTTGGAGTAGGGTATGCCGTGTAGACGATAAACAAACTAAGAAGAACGATAGGCAGGGGCAGAAATTAACATCGACGTCATTCCTCCCATCGTCTAGTCTCCAACCCGGTTGTGAGCCAACAACATTCCATAGCCCCTTTACTAGGACATCCCAGTCCCAGCCGTGGCGCAGCATACCCATCTCATCGGCAAAAAGATGATCACACCGGTTTCACCGTCGACAGATACGAACACCGACTGGGTTGCCCCAACACAAGCTTGATTTGATATTCCCGCCCTGTCGTATGTCTACACTCCGTGACTCTCCCTTCAAGACCGCCAGTCTTTGCGTCTCGATGCATGCTATTCGACCTTGCAGATGCCACCCCTCTACTTAGGTTGTAGTCCCCCCCACAGCCTGCCCCCCAACCCAGGCCAAACCAAAACCCATGTTTTCCCACCCACCCACCCGCAGCACCCCAGGCCCGGTAGAAATCAAACAACCTGCACATAACTCGCCGGCACGCTCTTCGTAACACCCCCCTTCTCGACCTCGGCCCACCCGTCGCCGGGGTCCTCCTTGATGAGCACGAAGCGCTCGCCCTCGGCCATGCTGTGCTCGGCGTCGCTCTGGGCGGCGTACTCGTACAGGGCCTCGACGTACTTGAGCTTCTTGGCGCCGCGCCGGGGCGCCACCGCGGGGCCCTTCTTCTTGCCCCCCGGCCCCGCCGTCCCGATCGACGAGCCGCTGTTGGAGTACGCCGACTGGCCCGTGTGCTGCGGCGCGATGGCCGCCGGTGGCGGTGCCGACGACGCCGCCGCGATCGGCTCCACGTAGCTCGCTGGCACTAGGCCTTCCTTATACCCTGCCCGGACGCGGACCCAGCCGGAGCCAGCTGTGTGGGGGGAAAAGGGTTAGTGGTGGTTGGTTGTTTGTGAGTACTGGGAGGTCACTTACTATCTGGTTCTAGTACCACGAGCTCGCGCCCCTCGGCAACACTCAGCTCTCCCGCGCCCCCGGCGTCGAAACTGTACAGCATCTTGGCCTTTTGCTCCGACCCCCCTTGCGACGAGCCGTTCGGGGTGCTACCCGGCAGCTCGCTGATGTAGGCAGTCGGAGGTGGCGCGATGACACGGTTTTTCCTGGCGGCGGGCGGCGGGGCTGCGCTGGTCGGCCGGGTCGCGGTCGGTATTTCCGGGGGCGTCTCCTCGGCTGGAGACAGGGGTCCGGTCATGGATCGCTGTGAACTCGCTGCGTACCCTGATCTTGCCGAGGTTACCGTGTCGGAACGGCTCAGTGTGGGTAGCTCGGCCACATGCTCTGGTGGCTTCCCAGAGGATTTGAGCAGTGAATTCGCGGCCTCCTGCCGCTCCTGCTTCAGCTTCTTGCGCTCCTCCTTCGACTGCTCACCCGGACATTCTGCCGGGACCTTCATCTCGCACTTGCTGTGGCATGTGTAGCCGCAGTCACGGCAGTCAAAGCCCTTCGCTGACAAGCCCCATATCCTCTCGCCGCAAAGGTCGCAGTTCGTTGGGATCTTGAATGTCTGTGACTTGAAGTTGTGGTTTTTCGCACCCAGTGTCACATCGCCCACCGCCGACGTGATGGTTGATGTCTCCACTTCCACCGTGATACGCCTCCGGTCCACCTGATGTAGGTCTTCCTGCATCGAGAATAACTGTGATACCACGGCTACCTCGTCCTTTTGCTCCGCCCCGTCCCGTACCCTCTGCTTCACCCGCCTCAGCCCCTCCACCTCCCGCCTCTTTTTGTCTGCCTCGCGCCGCAGTTCCCCGAGCTGGCCCTTCGACTTGTTGAGCAGGTTGCGCAGGTACACCTTGGCCGCCTCGTCCACAACCATGGTGCCATCGTCGTGCCATACCGGGCTCGGCTCAAAGCCCTTGTCTGGGGGTTCCTGGAAACCGCCCATGTTATGCCGTACATACATCATCGAGTCTAGGTGCGGTTGGTTTCGCATAATCTCCTGGCCTAGGCGGTCGACCTGGCCCGAGCTCTGCTGAAGCATGCCGGCCTCGAGCTGGGAGGCTAGGGTCCAGAGCCCGTTCAGCTTGACCGTACGAAATTCCGAGAGATCTTGGAGACTGTTCATGACCTCGGGCAAGTACTCGTAGTAGTACTTCTCCTTCTGCTTGTTGGTAACATTGATCGAAATTAGGTAAGTGTTTTTGACGTTGTTCATGTCGAGCAACTGTTGTTGGAAGCTGCTCTGCGCCTTGGCCTTGTCAAACGAGGACTCGGTCTTCTTGCGCTTGCTCTCTACCTCCTGGCAAACAGCATCGTATTTCCCTTTCGTCTTTCGAAGATCGGCATAAGAAGAGTCCCGTTCTCTCTCTAGCTTTTCGGCGTACTCGGCGTGGCGCTTGCGCAGCTCCTCAAACCGCACCGACATCTGCTTCAGTGGTTCCGCCACCTTCCCGACCAAGTCATTTCCGTAGCGTTCGTGTTCGTCGGCCCGCGCTTCTAACGTCGTAAGATGCGTCGTCCACGTCGTGAGGGATGCGCTGAGTGTGCAACGTAAGCGTCTAAGCCGCGCAGAGCGCCTGCTGGGTATTCCGGGAGCCGTACCTTTCCAGGGAGCCGGGGGTCATGGTCGGGGTGTCGCCGACACTCAGGCTCGCCGACTTGCGCGTCTTCTTTTCAAAGTACTTCTTGGCCAGGGCATTGAGTTTGGCGCTGTACTCCTTCTCGATCGCACTTCGTTCGCGGTAAAAGGACTGGATATCATCTAGCCAGGCGATTCCTCCGGCGACCCAGGCGTTCGCGGGCTTGAACCCATCCTGCCGCCATCCGTGTTAGCGCAACCCCGCGAGAGTCCCGTTCGGAAACCAGGGCCGAACCTTTAGCTCCGAGCCCAACGTTGGGGCGACGTCCACCTCAGCCATGGTTCCCTTGCGCTTCCCAGAATTTTGATTCCCCGAATCCGGTCATGAAAAGGAGAAGGAGAGACGTAAACAGGGCAAAACCGCTGCCTCCCGAGGGTGTGATGATGGGGTCTGCGATTTGCGGGGGATTCTGGCACATGGCCCGTTGAAGGAGCACGGCGGACACTTCCAATTGGGGAGGTGGCTTAGAGTCCACCCGGGGCGATGCAACGGCGCCAAGGCCCGTACCGAACGCGTGTCACGAAACCAGGAACCGGGGACCAACGAAAGAAACGAAAGAAACATGAGAATAACCAGCTTTTGTTTCTACGGTGTTACTCCAAATCGGCACGGAAATACATAAGAGAAGTGTTTGATTCCTCATAATAAGGGTAAAATAAGATGCCGTGATGCCGTATCTAGCTTTGATACCTATGTAGGTATTTTAATCATTTTGCTTTGTCACTCTCCGGGTTGTCTCGAGTCCCTCGCATCTCGGTAATTACCGTATCATCCCATGTCAGTTTCCTGGGTCCTTGCAGCCTGTTTCGTCAGGCATGCGCAAAAAAGTACCCCGCCAAAACTGTTCCCTCCAAGCTCAGCCCCACCATCGCCAAGGTTGCGCCTGCCGTTCGAGCTCCAGATTCTACCTCTCCGATTTAACCAAACAGGCACAAAGGGACTCCCGCGAAGAATCTGGCTCTTGTCTGTTCACCACATTTCGCAGTAATACTTTGGAATATTTGGCTGGCAGACAAAGTGGCTGCGGAGGTAAGTGTTTGCGGTCATTGGTTTGGTGGTTTGCTTTGCGAGTTCGACCGACCCACTCCCGCTTTCATACCTTCCTTCCATGCCTTTGGAAGCTGCTACTCAGCGACTAACATCCCTAGACTCCTATTTGCGCCTTCCCCCTCAACCTCTTCGCTCGACCTACGTGACATTTCCCAACCTCCTCCCGACCACTACGATCGTAACCATGGCGGACCTGGCGAGCCGCATCACCAAACCGAGCGACGCGCCCGCCGAGGACGCGGTTGCTCCCGCTCCTGCCGCCACCGAGGGCCAGGGCAACGGTACCGAAGAACCAGCGGATGACGGTGTCAACAAGGGCCTCGTTGAAACGACATATGATGTCGAGGTCAAGCTGAGCGACCTACAGGCTGACCAAGACAGCCCGCTTTATTCGGGCGTCTCCTCCTTCGAAGAGCTCGGCCTTCCCAAGTCAATCAATGACGGTCTGCTCGCCATGAACTTCAAGAAGCCCTCGAAAATCCAAGAGAGGGCCCTGCCGCTCATGATCAGCGACCCGCCTACCAATATGATTGCCCAGTCGCAGTCGGGCACCGGCAAGACGGCCGCCTTCGTCCTCACCGTCCTGTCGCGCGTCGATTTGACCAAGCCCACCCAACCCCAGGCGCTGCTGCTGGCACCCAGCAGAGAGCTTGCGCGCCAGATCCAGGGCGTCATTCAGACAATCGGCCAGTTCTGCGATAACTTGATCGTCGAGGCTGCTATCCCCGGCTCCATCTCTCGCGAGACGGGCGTCCAGGCGAGCGTTGTGGCGGGAACTCCGGGTACCGTCATGGATTTGATTCGTCGCCGCCAATTCGACGTGTCCCAGTTGAAGGCATTGGTTATCGATGAGGCCGACAACATGCTGGACCAGCAGGGTATGGGCGACCAGTGTGTCCGGGTCAAGGGGTATGTGATTGGAGTTACGATGAGAGCGAATTTGCATGGGTGCTGACCAGAGTTAGGATGCTTCCGAAAACCATCCAGACTCTCCTGTTCTCGGCCACATTCCCAGACAAAGTTATGAATTTTGCACGGAAATATGCGCCCAACGCCAACGAGATCAAGCTTCGTCACACGGAGCTCACAGTCAAGGGTATCTCCCAAATGTACATGGATTGCCCCGACGAGAGCAAGAAGTACGACATTCTCTGCAAGCTTTACGGTCTGATGACGATCGGCTCGTCTGTCATCTTTGTCAAGGCACGCCTACGTTACCTCACATATCTCCAGTCTTGCATCTTCTAACGGTTCGTTCCAGACGCGTGATAGCGCCAGCGAAATCCAGCGACGCATGGAGGCAGACGGTCACAAGGTCTCGGCGCTCCACGGTGCGCACGAGGGCCAGAACCGTGACGCCCTCCTCGACGATTTCCGGTCGGGCCGCTCCAAGGTGCTCATCACCACCAACGTCCTGGCGCGCGGCATCGACGTGTCCAGCGTGTCCATGGTGATCAACTACGACATCCCGATGAAGGGATTCGGGGATAAGGAACCCGATATGGAGACGTACCTCCACCGTATTGGTCGCACCGGGCGCTTCGGACGTGTTGGCGTCAGTATTAGTTTTGTCTACGACCACAAGAGCTACGAGGCGCTGTCGAAGATTGCCGACCATTACGGCCTCGACCTGGTCCAACTGCGCCCAGACGACTGGGACGCGACGGAGACGAAGGTGCAGGAGGTTATCAAGTCGAGCCGGGCGCGCCCTGACTATGCGCCCAACGCGCTCGACAAATAAGGGTACTTGCTTCGAAAGGGACGAGCGTTGGCTTTGCGTGGCAGTATACAAAATTGCAACCTGACGGCGTATATCCCAGCGAGGGTATCGTCGACGATTAGTAGACAGCTCATGCGATGGAGGGTGGCGAGATGGCATTGCCCATATGATTATGAAGAGGTTGTTGAAGGAACGAAATTCACCATTGCTTGTAATGCAGCTAGGGGACATGAGATACCAAAAGAGCAAAGGGATTTCCGGGTCTGCTTCGGAGCAAGATAAGAAGACGTCATGGGGATTTTGTGTTTTTTGGCGCCGGGCTCGGCTTCTTATGCGCTCCGGTGTATCACACAAGAGGTTGGAGTGCATGTTTGTTTCGGTTGACACAGTGATGGCCCCCTGGCGCTTGCTTGGGCAGCCTCGACAGCTGGGCCCGCGGCTCGGTTGCGACGAAGGACATCCCGAGGTTCCTCCGCTGATCGTCCGCTTCAGCCCTACAGCAACCTCGGGGCACAGCATCAGCTCTCATGGCATCTTGAAGCAGAGCAACACGTACACTCGCCTTGAACAGCGTATCGGTAACTGCTTCATACACCGTCAATAAGCGATCACAAGCTGGCTCGTCTGAGAAAGAAGCACCAACCAACTGTTAACTAACAGTTCAAACCAAAAGCCTTTCGAATTTCGGTCCAAGATTACCCCAACCCCGATGGCTTGGCGAGAACCAGGCCCTCGCATGCGATTGGTCATGGCGCCAAGCTTTCCACGTGACCACCCTAATTGGTCTCATTCATCGGCGCCCAATGACCAACCCGGATCTTGCAGCGCATTTTAAGCGCCGACCAAGCGCGCACCTGCTTTTTCTGCCAGCGCCTGAACTCCCACGCTCTGGGCAAAAAAATGGGAACACACAAACGACTTACAGCTATCTTGAGACGACATTTCTCGGTCAAATCAAGCCCAAATTTGACAAAATGAAAGGCAAATAAAGTCTTTGAGTGTTGCTCTCTTCACTTATCCATTATTGCTCATTTATCTTGTTTGGTGGTCCGTAGACGGCTTGTCCAAGTGTAGTGCCTCTGTGAACGCGATGTGCAGGCGGATCCACCGAAAGTCGGTTTGTGTGTACCGGTTTTTTTTGGCCAGAGCGTGACTCCCCGCAGCCATTCGTCTGCATGCACCTCGCGCTGGGCTTCTGCTTTGCTGCTGCTGCTGCTTCCTGCTGCTGCAAGGCCCCATTCTTAGAACCGCCGATGGTCTCCTCGTGCAGTTGAACCGCCACGCTCTCCCCTCCCAATCGAGCCAATCGAGCCAATCTGAGCCACCGTTCAGACGAAATCAACCCTCTCGGCCAATGGCATGCTCTTACCTGGGATGTTGTTGCGCATGGCTGATGGGGATCGCTGCCGATGTCGATTCCCACCTCCGGGGTCTGTCGCGCCTTTTTGCCAGTCTATCGGTCTGCCAGCGCAGACCTGAGGCTGGTACCTGACGCTCGGCGATGGGTATGACGCACCGGACGCGGTTCGTCGGCAATGTGGGCTCCGCGGCTGGGCTGGGGGGGGGCGGTGGACATGCTCGTGTACCGTGATGTGTTTGGTTGCGGATGGGAGAGCTGTGTCATTAAGCGCAGGGCGAGCCACTGGTGGTCATCGACGGCGGCAAGAGAAAAAGCGCTGCATGGCCGCCGTCGACGGCCACCACTCCCATCCTTTCCCTCGTCACATCTTTTTTCCTTGCTTGACCTTTGTGGTGTAGCATTTTTCCCTTGTTTCAAGTTTTCCCGGGTGTCGGTCCCCTTGTCTTGGATACTATCCGTGTAATTGTTTGGTGGTGTTGTTGCTGTCGAAGCCAACGCGACTTACTCATCTTTCTTCAACCGTTTCTGCCATCGCGGCCGCCCTCGCTTCAGTAGACTCATACCTCGACACTGAGAGATGCTGGTCATCTCCCTTTAATGTTTAAACTCTAAGGCCCGAACTGGTCGGCCGCTTCGCCGCCTTTTCTGCCTTCTCAGCCGCCGAGGTCACCTCGCGGCCGGTCTCTTCCAGAAGGCCTCCCTCCCGCCTTGGCTTCTGTTGCTTTCAAGACTTACTATCTATTCTACCACCCCCCCTCGTCCGGCCCATTGAGGGACCCCATTGTGGCTCAATACTCTCAAGACTCTTGAGCGCAGATGGACTGAACTCCACTTTGAGGTGCGGCGAAGAAACACTGCTGCGAGGGAGCAGCAACACCGCCCCTGAGCCCGACGACTGACCTCATATTTCAGATGTTGCTCGGGAGGATGGCGTTCCGGCTGTCCTTACTATGTCTCGCGATATGGACGACCCTTTTCGCCGTTGCTACCGCCCAAACGGCCAATATCACGCCCGAGATCTTGAACTTCGTCCCGACCTGCGCCCAGGAATGCTTCGAGTCCTTCATATCAGCAAACTTCGACGGCGATATATGCGGCAACTCGCCCGCCTTGCAATGCCTGTGCCGGCAGAAGGGGAACTCTGGTTACACTATCGGGGAAGGGGCGGCGTCGTGCCTGGTCGGAGAGAGCAGGTTCGGTGCTTGCCAGGGACAGGATGGGATCAGTAAGTGAACTTACGAGGAATGGAGAGGTCACGAGTCTGAGCTACGCTGACCATCAACAGGCGACGCGACGGCGACGGCCTACAACATGTGTGTAGGAGTGTCGAGGGCGGAACCCAAGACGCACTCGACCATTGTGGCTACCCTCGTTCTGTCACCGTCAGGAAAGGGGCCGTTGCTCGTACCAACAGAGATCCAGACGGCTACGAGCACTGAATCAGCCGTCACGCCGTCGGCTACTCCCACATCAACCGCCAGTCTCCCGCAAGGAGACGAGCCGAGCTCCACCACGGCCACGCCAACACCAACGGCCTCGGCGTCCACCACGCCCACGGCCGGCGAAAGCGCCGGGGCCTCAGAGGAGCAGCCGAAATTCAGTAGCGCACAGATTGCGGGCATCACGCTTGGATGCGCCGCTGTTGTGGTGTTGGGGATTCTGCTCGTGCTGCTCGCCAGATGCATCCGGAGGAAGAGATTCGGTGATCTGGAGTCGGGCTTTTCGAGAATGAGAGACTCGATGAGCTTCGGGAAGGGTAATCGCCCCGGCAGTGCTCCCGGGGGCTTAGAGATCTCGAGCCCGCTGCCTCGAGTCCAGGTGGCGCGGAACCCAGCGGACCCGCGATGGCAGCCGAGCATACCGCAGGGAAGCCAGCAGGGAAGCCAGCAGGGAGCCGTCGGCCTCGCCATCTCGCCGCTCACCGCTCGCGGCGGAGTTTTGGCGCGGCCTTCGCCAGCTCTAGCTTCTGTTCTTGCTGCCTCTCGCCCACCAACTCCTCCCGCAAAGCCAGTACCAGCCCCAGTAAACCCGGTACCGGTCTCCGCAACCCCGGTACCAGTTCCCTCGCCGACACTCTCCCCGCCCCGGCAAAAGTTGCCGAAGTTTGTCTTGAGCCCTGCGCCCGCACCGAGGGCACCGGTGGCACAACGAAGTCCACCAAAACCGACCTTGACCCTCGCCATACCGAAAGCACCGGAGCGACCGGTCAACGTGCCAGCCAATGCAAGAGACAGCGTGGTGACCGAGTTTGCCGAGGATGGGGAGGATGTTGCTCCCGGAACCGCCATCTGGCGCCCGCCAACATCAGATCCCCTATCAGCAACAACGTTCTACTTTGCCGATAAAGGGGGTAACTGGATTCTCCGCAACGCCTCGATACGGAATTCTGGGGCAGAGGCTCCCGGGGGAGTGTCGGGACCCCCAAAGCCAGCGTTCCAAGAGGTCTCCGCACCGCCCGCCGAGATTGAGCTACCGAGTCCAGACCACAAAACAAGAGCCGAGAGGGCCAAAGACGCATATGGCGGGTTTTCGCCTGAGGCTTTGGTCTCGCCGCTCAGGCTTCCCGGGAAGCCAGGGAACGGAAGGCTTGGATCTCCGATCGCGTTTCAAGATCGACGCCGGGAGCCACAGTTCTCAAGCCCCAGCATGTCTGCGAGATTATCCCAGACTGCGGAGACGATCATGAGCGAGTCGTCGCAGGCTAGAAGCCGACCCGCGGATGCCTATTTCACGGCGATGCGTGAGAGCAGAGACTTGACCGGTGGGGCGAGCAAGCGGCGTTCGGCCAAGAGAGCCAGCCGTCGGATATCGCAAGACTCGGCGACATCGATCGAGTCGGCGATTGAAGAGGTCAATGAAGACGGAACTCAGGCGGACCTATCACCGGTGGCCGAGTCTCCCCGGGCATCGGTCTCGCCCGGGAAGTCGCCTGTCAAATACCCCAATATTCGTAGGCACAACGACAAAACACAGATGTCGCCCCCGCTCAGGAAGACAGCGGAATCCGACCTGCTCCCTCCTGCGCATCGGTACAACGTCTGGCACCCGGCCGGGCAATCCAGCCCTCACGGCGCGGGCTCCATGGCAAAACCCAAGACCGGCACACCGGCCATGCCCCAGTCAAATAACGGCCCCATGAGACCATGGGATGCACCAAACCTCAAGCCCACCGCGCACCGCAACCCGGCACAACTCCGAACCGGGTCCCCCGAGGCCCGCCTAGGCCCGGTCTCCCCCACCGCAGAAACCCAATACTGGCAGCGCCAGCGCCAGCTCGCCAACCCAGCATCGTACTGGAACCAATCCCAACCCCAGCCCGCACGAGCGCGGCAGCAGCAGCAGCAACAACAACATCAACAACAGCAGCAACAACAACATCAACAACAGCAGCAACAACAACACTATCACCACCGCCACTCACAGCACCAACCGCCACCACCCACACCGCCTTACGAACTCCCCGGCGAGAACAGCACGGCGCCGTCCCGGCGCTACGGCACGCCGCAACAGCAGCAGCAATCCCGTCCGCGCCCGGGGCAGCAGCTACCCACACCAGCAGCCACGCCGCAACCGCAGGCCCAACTGGCACGACAGCAACAGCAACAGCAGCAGCAGCAGCAGCAGCAGCAACCACGCCCCACAGCAGGCGGCGAAACGCCGTCGACCCAGGGCTCGCAGCTGCTCGCGAAGCGGCGCGGCGCGGACAAGGCGGCGGCGCTGATGCTGGTTGGCAATGCCAACGGCAGGGGGGGAGCCAAACGGGATGGTGCTGGTAGCGGGAAGGGGTGGGCAAGGGAGCAGCAGCAGCAGCAGCATGAGTACGGGGCGCCGGCGCCGATCACGCCCGGGTGGATGCCTGAGCTGACGCCGACGCGCAGGGGGGAGGATTTGTATTTGGATGTTAGGTAGGTGATGAGTTGGGGTTGGGGCTGGGGGGTGGTTGGGGTGTGTATGAGTGTATGTGGGGTGGGGGGAGGTCTGTCGTTGATACCGTTTTCTTTTCTTTTCTTTTCTTCTTCCGTTTTGGTTTGGTTTTATTTTGTTCTTGCTGGGAGAAAGTACACAGCATATTCTTTTTTTTGTTATTCCCATACTTGGTTTGGGCTGTTAGAGGGTTTGTCAGATGCGCATGACATCTTTACAGACGAGAGGCATACAGATGCATGGGAAGGCGTTGAGGTTATTGAGATATTGATGAGGAGAGGGGAGAAACGGGGGAGCATATTGCGGCGTTGGTGTTATACCCTGCGATGTCTAAGTTGTACGAGAGTTAGTCGGCTGTAATCGAAGTTGGAGCATTTGCATAATTCCTCTCCAAGACCATTACAGATGACAAATGCTTCTCAGAGTCCCCGGTTTGTCTCGGAAAGATATTCTAAGCAACCACGCAGCCAAGACTGCTAGTGAAGCACCGTGGGCACAGTATATACAGGGTTAGGGTAATCATTCTCCGTTTATCTTATCAGCACCGGGCACCCGATATGCAACCGAACACCGGTATTGCCCCTCGTTCCTGGACGAGCGGGGCACGCAGCACATGTCGAAGACGCAACCTCGCCGTTGAGTGAGGGATATGATGCATAAAGAGCCCGCATCTCGTCGCATTACGCAGTATCCCCCCGGCCTCTGCATGTCAGACAACCTGCGCGATGCGACACCGCTCAACTGTTGGAGCGCTCCCCGGCTTGTGCAAGCCGAAAGCGCACGTTTTCTGCGGCATGTCGAGGGTCAAGAGAATGGATTTCTAATCAAGAAGCAGCGAGGACCCACGTTCGCACTGAAAGGATTCCCCCCTTCTTCCCAGGTCTCCCTGTACCCGCAAGGGCGAGATGGAAATTTTCCCTTTGCGCGGCACCGCCATCAGGCCATGGTTGATTGATTTCTGGGGCAAAGCGGCGCTCCCGAGGGCCGAGACTCTTGGCTCCACAAAGTGAAGCTTAACGACGGTGGTAGCATTGAAGAAAAACTCCCCGTCGGCTTCACTTGACCCCCGCGACCGGAACCCATTCTCCGTTTGGGGGAGGTGACTTCCATCCGTTCGGCTGCTGCGAAAATTTACAGGCCCTCGAATCTGCCTCGTAAGAGAAGAAGCAGGAGCATTACTAAACCCCGCGGCATTTTGAATCACTCACCTCCATCTCACCTATCCCTATATGGATGATCCGTCCCAACAACTGAAACAAGGAAACAGCAAAAGCATACTGATTACACAGTACGCCACCATATTTTCTCCCACTTATACCCCGAATTTCCGCTTTCGAAAAGTATCGCCTTTCCCCGCCACCCAACCTTTGAACCAGGCTGGTTAGCGGCACCCACACACTCGCATACATATCCCGCTCACCAACCCTCTGGGATCTGTGGTTTGAAGACCCGCCGTAAACAGTTGACCCAGTCCAAGCATAGAACGATTGCGTGCTCTGGATGACGCCTTCGCGCCAACTACCTTCTCGACGCCATCATAACATCTGATTCGTGCCTGCACGCCAAGAGACCCTGCATCTGCGAGGCTGCCAACGTGGGGTGCAACCTAGACGAATTGGCTCAATCTTTGCCCTTGTGAGAGCGAGGGTTGAAGAGACCGGGAGTGGGAAGAGAAGGGAAACGGCACGGACTCACGCAGGAGTCTAGAGAAGTCTCATCATCGACTCGCCAACGCTCTACTCTTACTACCTGCCCCCAGTCCGGCCGATATCAGTGGTCGTGGTGATAGCCTCAGCCTGCTCTGCTGCCACCGGCAAGCATTCCAACCGAAATTATCATTCTGGTTGCCATAATTGGCCACATTCGACCGCTTTCCGGCCAGCTATTGGCTCTCAAGCTTCCCGGGGGTGCTCCGAGTCCCGACGTCTTGGGACACTCACGTCTCCTCGACTGGCCCTGTTTTTAACGCTCACCGAAACGGGTTAACTATCGGTAAAACCATCCCGCACGGCACATCTAGCCTGTCCTTGGACCCGTAAACAGGCAGACACGCTCCGTTGAAATCTATTCGGGCAGAAGAACTGTGAGAAACAATGGGTCTACTGTGCGTATTCTCCCCCCCCTCCGTTCTCGCAGACGCGGACGACTCGTCTCCGCGAGATGGCACCATCTTTTTGACAATGACGCCATACTGATACCTGGCGTGAAGAGCTCAAGGAACGGCTCTGGATTGGCCAGCTGCCAAAAAGCAGGCTGATTTGGTCAGATCCTGGGGAATCAAGGTGAGGGCGATCCCTGACTTTAACCTTATCTCGACCTCATACCTGCCGGTTTCTACGTTGGGCTATGGCTGACCGTCGATGACATAGCAACTGCTCGAAATATGGAACAAAGCCAAGGGCAAGGAGCGGGATGCCATGCTCTGGGGTGATGAGGTAAGCCTGTTCCCACTCACCAAACCTAGATGGTCTCCTAATTTCCTCCATCGTGTAGGTTGAATACTTGGTTGTGACTTACTCCGAGCAAGACCCTAAAATCCTGCTATCATTGAGACAAGCAAGCATCCTCGAGGCCCTAGCGTCCGATAAAGAACTGTCTCAGGATGGCAGTGCTCCAAATGGCTCCAGTCCACAGTAAGATATCACATTAACTACCGGTAAACCACGGGACTTACACGTGTTCCAGTGCCAGCCAGCCACTCCCGGTGTTCCACCCCGAGTTTGGCAGGTTCATGCTCGAGGCTACTCCCGGGAAGCCCTGGGGAATAGAATTCAAGGAGCTCCTAGAAGTCGAGCCGGACATGAAGCTGAGGTATGGCTACCTTGCCACCCCCGATATTGTACGGCTTGACTTAATGTATACGACAGGCGGCGTATCGCGAAAGACCACATGCTCGCAGACGAATACCCCATCACATTGACGACCTTCCCAAGACTAGGCAGCCCAGGGGTTTTCACCAATCCCTTCTATCCGGTCTCAGGCTGCAAACTGAGGTCCCAGTTTGTCCCCGATGAGATCGCAAACCCTCACATTCGTTTCCCCACGCTCGCAGCCAACATCCGCTCTCGTCGTGGGCGGAAGGTGCAGGTGAACGTGCCGGTTTTCAGAGACGCGCAGACCCCCTGGCCGTGGCGTGACCCAACGGTCAACTTCGACCTTCATGAGTGGCCGGAAGACGATGATGTTCGTAACGGCGCCGCGCCCGACAACTTCATTCACATGGATGCTATGGCGTTCGGCATGGGCAGCTGCTGCTTGCAGATCACGTTCCAGGCGAAGAACATAACCGAAGGAAGGCAGATGTACGACCAGCTCAGCCCGCTCGGGCCCATCATGCTCGCCCTGACGGCCGCGACGCCTATCTATAAGGGTTTCCTCGCCGACACGGATGTCAGATGGAACCAAATCGGCAACGCGGTGGATGACCGGACTCCCGGGGAGATGGGGGAGACGGTAAGTCGGCCGGAGTAATGCCCGAGCCCATCGAATACGGGCTAACCAATTCATAGCCTCTCGCGAACGACCGCTGGCGGATACCCAAGTCGCGATACGCCTCGAACTCGACTTACATCTCCGAGGACTCCCGGCTGCGGCAGGAGTACCTCGACCCAGACCTCGTCATCGATGAAAGCATTAAGCAGCAGCTCGTCGACGGCGGTATGGATGACCGGCTCGCCACGCACTTTGCCCACCTCTTCATCCGCGACCCCATTGTCATCTTCTCTGAAGACTTGAAGGAGCTCGATATGAACAAGACGGACCACTTCGAGAACATCCAAAGCACCAACTGGCAGCACATGCGCTTCAAGCCGCCACCGGCCGACAACAGCATCGGATGGCGCGTCGAGTTCCGGCCCATGGAGATCCAGATCACCGACTTCGAGAACGCGGCCTTCTCCGTCTTCATGGTGCTCGTCACGCGCGCGATCCTCAGCTACAACCTCAACTTCTACATCCCCATCAAGAAGGTGGACGAGAACATGGAGACGGCCCACGCCCGCGACGCCGTGCTCGCGCGCAAGTTCTACTTCCGCCGCAACCTGTTCCCGCCCACCCGCTCCGCCCGCAGCTCCGGCTCGGGCGCCTCCACCCCGAGCACCATCAGCCGCCCGCCCACGCCCACGGGGCCCGTCGAGGACGAGTACCGCCTCATGAGCATCAACGAGATCATCAACGGCACCGCCTACGCCGCCGCCAACCCCTCCTCGGCAGCCGCCGCCGCCGGGACGGACGACGACGACGATGCCAACGACGAGAACGACGACGACGAGGACGACGACTTCCCCGGCCTGATCCCCCTCGTCGAGAGCTACCTCGACTCGGTCAACGTCGACGTCGTCACCCGCTGCCACCTGGCCACCTATCTGAACCTGATCCGCAAGCGCGCCAGCGGCGAGCTGTGCACCGCCGCGACGTGGATCCGGGAGTTTGTCGCCAGCCATCCCGAGTACAGGCAGGACAGTGCTGTCGGGGAGGAGATCACCAAGGATCTGATTGCGGCGGTGATCCAGGTCGGGCAGTGCGAGGCGGAGGGGAAGGGGTTGGAGGCGGTTCAGGGTGTGCCGGGGCTGGATGCGCTGCTGGGGGGGTTAAGGTGAAGTTCCTCTAGTTGCTCTAAAGGGGCGTGTGAGGGGCAGTGGCAGGCGGGTGTTGATGTTGGATAGGGGGGCTCAAGGTACGTGGGGGTAGGTGGAATGTGGTGGTGTATAGAGTGGTTTTGGCGGCCTACTGCGAGTCTACACTTGTGCGTTTCTGTTGGTTGCCAAGGGGCGGCATTCTGCTTTCATTTTGCCTTTTTCTTTCATCATGTTTTGTTTGGTTCGCGCCAGCAACAGTTACTGCATAGACTTTGCTTTTCCATCTCATGATCACATAATGGAACACAACGCTCTCTGCCCCAGCAGAGGAAGCAATCCCCCACCTGCTAGCACATCGCCGTGCCCACCCTTTCCACACTCACAACCTACCGGCCAGTGACGGTATAACACCCAAATAAGTAGAAGCAAATACCGCCTACCTATCGTGTGCTTACCATACCTCCTTACACACCCAACAAAGACATGGATCCCCCGCCCAAACCAAACCAAACCCTTCCCCCCCTCCCCCTTCCCTTTCTCATCCCACCCCAACCCACTCCCCCCATCCCCTCCCTACCCCCCGATCTCAGCCCGCCATGCAAGATCGATCCCCGGCATCCCACAAACAACCAACCGGCACCCACCACAGCCACATGCACGCATGGGATGGAGGCATGGATGGAGGCATGGATGGAGGACACATGGGTGTACGCATGTATGTATGTATGTATGTATGCTTCCCCCATCCCTCGGGGATACAAACGAATAAACGGAGCTGAGACAGCATCCCACAAGAGGAGAGAGGGGCCCGGCCGGGCGGCCGGCTGCGTCTTGTTCCCGCTGCGTGGGCGTGGGTGGGGTTAGGTGGATGGATGGCGGGCTGGCCACGTCGCAGTTTAGATTGATTGATTGATTGATTGATTGAGTGAGTGCTAGGGCTGGACGTGGTGGTCACCTCGCAGGGGGGGGGGGGGGGTCCCCCCTGAGTGTTCCCTGGTGCGGGGTTGTGTGGTCGGGTAGGGGGTTTGTTTGTTTTTTTGGGCGGTGGTTAATCAATGGGGATTGTGGGGGTTCTGTGTGCGTATGTGTGTGTGGGTGGGTGTAAGTGAGGGTTGTCTTCTCTCTCTTGTTTGACTATCTCCTCGGTTGTTTGAAAGGGGAGTTTGTCCGTCTGGCCTCCGGAACTGCCCTACTCCCTCGGGTTTGGCTTCTTCAGCGAGATTTGGCCGGGGGCATTTGTCTCTCCCCCTCTCCTTCGAAACGGAGCTCGGCATCAGACACGCATATGCCGTGTGCCTCTGGTGTGCTGTTACACATGGCCGGGTCGCATTGTTTGCAGTAGACAACCCGGCCAGCCAATGGTCGAGCCGTTTCTCTACCGAGTGTCGTCTTCGTGCCTTCTTGCCTTCCTCGAAGTGGCCTGACCCCGGGTCGAAGCCCGTCTCACGACAGACTCGTTTGATAGCTTCTCGAGAGCCGCCTGGTTGAATCCCTCGTCGGATTACCGGGGAGCCGTCCCCGGCGGATCACTAGCCGTGACGCGGCAAGCGGTGCGTGCTCGGGCTCCTGAGCAAGCCACAATCCATGATACCACAGTAAAGATGTATCTTCCACGCCGGCATCGGCATCGGCATCGGCATGGTCATGGTCAGGATCCTCGCCTGTCAAGCTGCAGTCACCCGGGCTCTTGGCCGGTCAAACAATGCGAGGCAAGGGGTCCAGTCGATTGACGCCGTACTTCGTACTCGAAGAGGGATTGACCGCGGGCGGGCATGAAAGTTCCATCGCTGTCTGAGACGGGTCGGACTGAGATGTATGTATCACAAACAACTGCCACCGGGTCTCGGGGTCTAGATTCTACCCGTCGGGCATCAGATCCCATCAAAGATGGTTTTCTAGAAGACGATTCCGAGGGACGGAGAGTTGGTGGCGTAACGATTACCGCAGGAGTCTGCGACAATTGTCAGCCCACGGAGTTGCACCCGAGAAGTGTCATTGGTTGGTTTACTTTTTGTATTGTCGCCGCCGTCTTGGGGCTGGAGTTGCTTTGGGCGCATCTGGCAGCCCAGACGCACTGTGCTGAGAACGGACCTTTCTTTTTTTTTTTCGCTTTTTTTGCTTTCATCCCCAGTCTGCTCTGAGCCTCTCCCGAGCCTCTGTGCCGTGTGCCTTGAAGAGTCGGAGAGTTTGCGTCCCTACATACGACGCTGTGAGCCTGTTGGTTGATCTTGCATGGTCATGATTTCCCGATTTGGGGCCTCTGCCCGGCTCACCTCCCCAGTCACCCAGTGCGCGTTGCAGAACCAGGCACGCACCCACTCCACGGAAGGCAAAGGCAGAAGCAGAGACATGCATTGCATTGACGAAGTGCGCAGGAAGGTGTGGTTGCCTTAAATTCTGGCCCGAGCCAATCGAGTGCGGTATTGGATGATCCCCATCTGCCGGCTGGCGGTTTTGGGGCGCGCTTGCCGCCGGGCTCGTCGCGTGCTGGACTCATGGCAGGTGACGTCAGTGGGGTGCCTCAAACCTTAGGGTGCTTGGCTTCGGATGGAAATCGCCCTCGCTTATCTCGTTGCGATGGGCAAGATCCGTGCTACCCTGCCGTCTCGAGCCTTCCTCCCTGTCTCCCTGTCCCCGCCGCCTTCCTGCCCGCGAAAACGCTCGAGTACCGCCCAAGGCAAGTCTTTTCGGGGATAATCAGCTGTTTGGGGGCTTTGCGTATCGGAAACGGGCCAACTACCTGATGACCCGGGAGAATAAGTTATCTGATCGACTGATTGGCAGTTGTTGCCCCTACCTCCGGAAATCGCGACATCGATGAGATGGGAGCTGATCCGGCCAGTGTCGATATTTCGAGGACACACTGTACCGCGTGCGATGAAATCGATGTTTGCACTTTCCAAATCCGACACTGTGTGAGTAACTTGAACTCGCCAAGGTACCTACCAGTTATGGACATACTGCGTGATTGCATCCGTACAGTTCAGTAGCTGCCTGCCTGCACAGCCATGGAAGCCACGAAACGCTGCTCCGGGCTTCAATCACAGTGCGCTCCATTTTCATTTGTGCAAGCACGGCGGAACCGGCCAGGGCTGGAAGTTGTTTGCACAAGATCTCGATCTCACCCGGGCTTCGATCCGGCCATACCACGCGAGATTACCTTCCCAAGACCAGATCCGGCGCCCAACAGCCCTCGTGTTTTTGTCGTGGCCCTGCATGTTTGTCTGTTTTCTCGGTTTGTCGGGCCGCCGCGGACGCCGTGGCAAGTCCGTAGGAGAAAAGCGTTATTTGCAACTGCCTGGGAGGATTTCAGGTTTGATGCTTTTTTTCTCTCGAGGTCCCCGCACTCGCGATGCCGGGTCTATCCCTCCCCCGCCTGGCATCGCAGAGCGGGATGGGCTGATTGCTGCAGCCTCCCGATCCAGCGGCTTGCTTGGTGTCACCTCTCCTAGCCGACGCTTGCACTTTTATGCGTAGCGGCCTATTCTCTCGAGGCCATCCCGGGAACTTGTGCACAATCACCACGCCCGTCCGTGGACTGACCTCTCTTTTTTTTTTTTTTTTTTTAATCTTCGTGGCGTGGCTTGGCTCGTAAATTCGTTATTGGACCGCGCTTCCGGTTGCTGCCCAAATTGGTGAACTCGTCAACCGCAGCTGGAAACTGGCAAGCATGCGCCGCATCTAGACCTGAGTCCATGTGCTTGTTGCGGCGTCCTAGTCTGAAACGGGCCTCTGTGCGGCTTGTCGTCGCCGAACCGCTGCACGGGATTTCGGGCTTTCACACGCTATCACATTCTTTCTTTGCCCCCCGTTTTCACTTTTCTTTTCCCTAGCTCCCTGCTGAGCTGATGTTGACGTATGAAGGGCAATATACTTCACAAATATCAACAAATATTAAGGTCAGGAAGTTAGGCAGTGAGTCTGGAAGCCATGGCTGAACCGGCCTATCACTGCTCGGTTTCGCTTCTCATCGATTGTTGGAGGCAGCAGCATCAACCGCTTTCGGCATGCCGCGGGACGGTGCCTACCACCGACAGCTGCACCGTGGCTGCTGCTCCTTACCGGTCTGTATAATCTGTACCTATTCTGAGCTGAGAGGCCGGCTACCCTTTCGGGTCTGCCGGCCATCTCGTCCGCCAGCACACGGTCAGCGAGCCGAAAATGCGGGAACGGGTTGAGCACGATACACGCAATTGCCCCCGTGTGTATGGCGATCTGTATGTGATGGCATTCGGACCAGCCTGGCGCTAATACCCTTTGGTCTCTCATCCGACAGATTGAAAACTGACTTGTCAGAGATCACAGTCTAGTTCAAATATCTGCCAAGTATTCTCTTCTTCTTCAGCGGACGTGGTCTGGCTCGCCAGAAAGAAGAGTTACTCTGACATCTCTTCTTATTTTTCTCTTGTTTTTATGTGATGTTGGCACTCTGTAGATTGGGAGTGTCAAGACCGACTCGGAGTTTGGCTTCATCAAAGTGCAATTCTGCGAGTGTGACGGTACTTGCACGGTATTGAGCATGACTATATTACGCCATGAATTTGTATCCTGCCGTCTCACAATTCTACGGCAAAGGCCGTAACTAATAACCCTCGCCTCCCTCGTTAGCTGGACTGGACCTCAAGAGTCGGCGAGGTTCCACGGCGTCAACACCATGAACCCTAGCCGCGCCAAGCGTATGACGGCCTCGTCTCCTGTCTGGCACTTTCTTTCTTCCTTCATCTCAACCAAAGAGCGGAGGTGCTGTCATCGAAGGCCGAGGGAATGGATGCAAAGGGTAACCGCAGCCGCAGTACCAACACCCAATACATGTGCGTGTGTCTCGCTGTGTCCGCCAACTCAGCTTCGGAACGGGGACTGGAGGCAGCCATCGCATTCGAGGTGGCGCTCGAATCTGAGCAACTGCAGCCGAGTACAGCCACAGAGACGGCACGGCGTGTTGTGAGGGAGGGATCTACCAGAGGGCTGTATGGATGTGTGTCTGGCTGAAGATCAGATCAGATAAGCAAAAGCCATCCTCGCGTAGCTACCTATCTATGGCGAATGTGATGTTCAACATGCCAAGGGGTCCAGCCGAGAATATCATCTCTCACTTCGGGCACCGCAAGTCCTCCGTGTCTCGTCTGTGGGGGGTTCGTTTTGTCTCTCCACTGGCGCAGAGGGATAGAAACCGCATCCCCTTCGCAAGCGACGAACCCCGTGTGTTACGCCACCCTCGCTTCCACCTTCCCCTTCCCTCCCGTCCAGTCACTCAAAACGCCGGCCCTTTGCTTTATTCACATCGAGATGCATCCCGCGGCTATCCACGCTCGGCGTGCCGTGGGGCGGCCCGGTGAGGCGGCAGCTTGCCTTTATGTTTCGGCCTGTTAATGACAGAGCACAACTCTATTTCCTCACACGGTAGTCTCGCCAGAGGCAAACAGAGTGGACACACACACAGGTAACCAGTTCCTAACACCCACCCCCCCGCCATGCCTTTGCCCCCCCTCCCCCCCTCCCCAATCTCACCACCGCCCCCCTCCACCCCCCCCAAAGGTACATACATCGCATACGCAACATAAGAATAATTAAATAAATAAAATACAAAAGGCCATCACCCGTTACGTCTCCCCATGTCGCGCTGCGTGTGCAGGATTCGATAATCCCACGCCGGAACCCGTCTGCAAGCCTCCCCCCCCCCCCCCCCCCCCCCCCCGCCAGACCCAGTTCCCCCAAAGCCCCTACCCGACCGACCGACGGGCGGGCCGTCGTCTGGTTCCGTGGCCCGGCCGGGGGGAAGGGGGGGGTCTCGGGTCGGGGAATACATGGTTGGATGGATGGATGGTTGGATGGGGTTGTGAAGGGGGGGTTTAGAGTGGGGATGGGATTGATTGTGCTGTATTGTAATAACCCACCCGCCCTAGGCGCTTTTGGTGTTTCGTCGGGTGGGGTGTAGTGTGTGTGTATGTACATAGTAAAATCTGGGATGGGAAGGCGGGCGGGCGATGTGCATAACTCCATCACAGTTAGCTAGCTGGGCGGGTTGGGGTAAGCATACGGATACCAGGCAGGTAATGTAAGAATGGATCGGAAAATGGGACAGTGCGAGGTTTTTCATGGGTTCGTTCGTCGTTGGTAAGTCGGCGAGGACGTGGCGAGGTTTGGGGACGGTTGCCCCCATCCGCCCTAGCGTTTGTTGTCCGGTGTGCTTGTCATTAGTTTGTCCGTTCGTCCTTGCAGATTAGTTAGCAGTTTACGGTCACCGAAACATAGGACATTGAAGAGTGTTGGTCTACTAGAATGTAGTATTTGCCGACGGGACGAGCTGGCAGTCCCATTCTGCTGCGCTCTCTCTCTCCCCGGACGCCTATCCGCTATCATATGTATCACCTCTCCCAATGCCTTTTGCCTTCCTCCCAATTGCCCCTTTCTGACCCAACCCCCTCCCCCATTCGCCAACTTCCTCTATTCACGGTCCCGCTAAAGAACACACTCCTGCCAGTCGCCCGGAGGGGGGAGAAGGACCCAAACCAGCATACACCCCGTAGAAATGGCAGAGACGAATGAATGGTAACTCCTGGGTTGGTCCCGAAACCTGTACCAGCCCCCGAATAACCAGGTAAAAAAGAGAAATGGCGGGTATGGGGTATATACAAGTGAAAGAAACCAAGAAAAGAAAAGAAAAAAAACAGATAAATAGATATTTCGCTCCTCTCTCTGAGCTAGGCGATGATCCGATGCAATAATGGTCTAGTCTGTCTAGACCTGGGTATTCCGAAACAGAAGAGAGAAAAGTGATAATAATAGTCGGTGAGAATGGTATATGCCTGCTTTGAGAAACAGAATCGCTCTTGTCCCCGGTCTCGGCTGATTCGGTCGGCGACCGGGGGACAGAGCATGCGGTTGGGGCGGTTGCGGATTTGGATCCAGTTTATTTTCGTTCCTCGGCGGGTTTTGGCCGGAGCGATCTTTGGTCGAGCTGTCGCTTACGTTCCAGTTTGGCGTAGTGGAGGCCGCAGGCGTTGCAGAGCGTCCTCGCGCCGTCGGGACCGCGCCGCCATTCTGGCGTGTCGACCCGGTTACAGCTGTGGCACCGGCCGGGAGGAGCGGCGCGCTGTGAGAAAGGCTGTTAGCGTCCTGCGCCGTTCGCTTGCGGGGGCGAGGCATGAGGGGGTCAAACTTACACCGCGCCGTTTTTTGACCTCGTGCATCGCATATGGCGGTTTCATGCCGTCGCCGTACATTGACACGTCCTCGTCGTCGGGGCTGCGGCCGCCGCTATCGCGCGTGCGCTCGTTCTGAATGCGATTCTGCTGAACCATGTCCCGTACGTCTTCCAGTTTCTTGAGGGCGAAAACGAGGTTGTTCAAGAGCTCGCCCACTTCGTTTTCTGTCGGCATCCTCGACGGGATTGGTTGCGAGCCCTGTTGTTCCTGGGCCGCGGCCACGTACGCCTCGGCAAAGTTGTAGCCTGTGCGGCACGACCGCATTATCTATCGCACGCACGTTAGCCGTCATTCTCGCTCCCTCCCGTGTAGCTCGAGCTCGGATCAAGAACGTACTGCTTGTAGGGCATCTTGGTACCCGTTTGCTTGGAAGTGCTTGTCGAAATTCGCCTTGTAATCAGACGGGCGGTGGTGCGCATAATCGGCTTCCTCCCCGTACGCAGGTGGCCGCTGTGCATCGTACGGCGACGGAAGCGGGGGGCCGGAATGCCTGGGGGAGATGGGATATGCCGGTGCCGACAAGGGAAGTTGCCCAGGCGGGAGTCGCCCGGTTTCCGCGTACAACCCAGGGAGATGTGGCGGCGGCGGCGGCCGGTGGGTAGATGTTAGGGATTGTACTTCCGCATGCCTTTGCTCGGCTTCGAGCTGCTCAAGCTTGACCGGAGGGGACGGTTGCTGCCCCGGGAAGGTGTTCAGTGGAGGTGGCACAGGCCGGCTCGCTAGCCCATGTCGGCCCGGATCGGAAAATGCGGGGAGGGTTTCGGTGCGCGGAAACGTCGATGTCGGGTGCAACGCCCTCGGCGATGGGTTTTTGTCTGCGCTCGTCATGTCTGAAAACGGCCTCGGTGGCGGGGCTGATGTGAAGGGTGACGGCAGGCCGGGAGCTGAGTGCATCGAAGCTGATGGCGGTGGCGGGGCGTACCCAAGTGACTTCCTTTCGGAGAACACTTCCGAGATGGAAGGCAGGGACTGCCGGTGAGCATGGCCTTGCTCAGACCCCTCCGAGGGCCTTCGGGGCTCGACAGGCGAGATCATGCCGGGCATGCCGGTAGTAGGCGCCGAGTAAGGGTAGCTGGAGCTGAACGAGCTGTGGTGCTGATGCTGGTAAGGAGTGTTTGGGCTGACTAGCGGCGCGGTCGCCATGGTCGGTCCGTCTCGATATGATGTCTCGATGCGTTCTCTCGGCCGCTTGTCGTACTGTTCAGCGCTGTTGGAGGTTGGAATCCCGCTACAACACGGGCAACGAGTTAGGGTCCGGGGCACAGTTTTGGAAACGTAGATGTTTTTATCTTGGAACACACAAACCTTTGCCTCTGTCCTAGCCCACCCGCTTCCATAGCGGGTCTCTTGTGTATTCCGTCAACGATATCCTCCTGCAACTTGACCACTCCCAAATCGCCTGACCATGCGAGCGCGTAGCAACGGATAGATAAGGTAGCGAAGGGGCGGGAGGCGAGAGCAGCAGTCGTTCGATGGTGACGACGAGGGGGCAAATAACCGAGTCCTGGTTCTAAGCTCGCTTGCTTTCCTGTCTTGCCTTGTCTTTTTCTTTTTCTTTTTCAATTTCTTTTTTCTATTGTTCGTTGTCGAGAAACCAGGTAACACTCGAGCTTCAATCCGGTGCAACGCACTCGTGAGAAGGCGACAAGTTGCGGATGGGCAGATGGGTAAGGGTGCAGACCGAGGAGGGAATCCGACAAGGCGGTGGCGGGTGCTGCGGTTTTGTGTGTTTCCTGTTTCTGTCAGGAGCTGATTGACCTGGACCGACTCGCCGTGCAAGGGGGGGGGGGGGCTGCAAGTTGCTCGGGGTCCACACTCGGGACGATGGGCACTGTGTGGATTGGGGTGAGGGGCGATCGAGATCAAGTGGATCCGCCCGGGCTCCCGTGGAAATGGTTTGTGGGAACGTGCCGTCCCCCCCCATTCGCACCATTTCCTTGTCTCGCGGAGTTCTGACCAGGTACCTCGACCGGGGCCCACCCCAGCAATTCCCCCGTCTTGTTTCTGTCCACAATGTGATGGGGAGTGGGGAAGCAGGAAAGCCAAACACGCCAAGCTTTACATTACGTGCCAGGTTGTTCCGTTTCTTTGGTGTCATGGATGGATGTCCGTCTGTCTGTCCTTCCTGCATGTACTTACCGTATGTCCATACAGGTCTGGACATACACGCCTCGGGTTTCTCCCGAACTGCGCTGTCCTGCCCTTCGTTCTCGGCGAGGTCCGCTGCGAAGGATCGCCCCGGCCAGAAAGACGTGGGAAAGGGAGGCCCCCCCCCCCTCCCTTTCTTAGTAGTTAAACCATGGCCACAAACCCGCTCCTGCTGTGCTTTGCGCACTCCTTTATGTCGGTACGTACATCGAGTTTGATGAAAGTCCCTGCCAGATTCCAGGACGTTCAGGGCGGAGATCCGCGAGAGACGAAGTGCAGAAGAAGCGGGGACGATCGAGGCTGCAGGGGCGTCGGCGAGATGCTGTACATGCATGTACTGTCCAGTAGTTATACTCGGATGAATGGCAACCTGCAGAGGATCATGACCTGTTAACGTTAGCGACTTCGCGTGGCCGGGGACCAAGGGCGAGGAGAGGCGGTCGGGGGGTTGTGCTGGATTGTCTATCCTAGTGCGAATGCATTACGGGATTCATGCGGCATCCATCGCCAGCCTCGTGTCTCATTCCATCCTTCAGGCAAGTGTTACTAGGGCCCTGGACTCACTTGGGCAGTGCAGCAGGTAAGGCGCTAGGCACACAGTCAATCCCTCTGCGGGCGGGGAGCTTGCAGAAAAGGTTGGTAATCTGTGGGACATGCAGTGAGGGTGTATCGTACCGTATTGACCGTGTTCCGGCATTGGGTAAGGCGCGACCTGGGGCCGGGCATCTGGAAGAGACGCCAGGAAAATGCAACCCAGATTGCCCTGATGAGATTGGCGCGTGGGTGGGGGCCCGTCTTGGTACGGGAAAGGGGGCCAAGGAGGCACAAAATCTCACCGGGCCAAGACGCTCGCCGGGGGTGGTTTGCAAGTTGGGGTACCACCAAACCGGGTGATCTCGATGTTTTCCGGCTGACGAGAACCCCGAACCCCAGTCAGCCGATGCGGTGAGTGCGAGGTGTCAGGAGAGACGGGCGACCTGCGGGAGGATGGATTGCCGCGCTCTCAGCCTGGAGGTTCGATCAAATGATACAAAGATACAGTCTCGTCCTCGCATTGCCCCAGGCAGAGGTCCTCGATAAGAGTCCATGGAGTTGGGGGCCTCGGAGCTTGGGAGCCTGAACAGGAGGAGGATGGCGGTTAGTTATCTGGAATGCACTGTGCATGGGCAAGCAGCAGCAAGCACAGCTTTCGCCCATGCCGCCAACACCCAAACACTGCTGCTGCCCGGCCCTGGATGCCTTTATCAAGGCCGACAAGGCAACTGCCGAATTTGCCATCTCAAGGCCTCCTCCCTCTTGTGCCGCTCCCCACATGCATGTCAGATCTCGCCGTAGTTTTTCGATCGTCCGATCCGCGTGCATTGCACTGTGCCTTGGGGGCACCCAATAACTCGCCCAAGCCAAGGAAACGTCGGCTCCGGGCATCGAACGGAGGTCTTCCGTCAGCAAAGACGTAACTAATAACCATTCGTGGTGGCTTCGAGCAGTACGGAGGGGGTTGAGTGCCTGCAGGCCAACCGTTAACCGCGCTGCGCTGGACATCCCATCAGTCTCGCGCGTTTTCTAGAACGAAATGTCTCATTCGCCAAGACAATATGGATGATGGCCCTTTCTCATCCCCTCCCTCGAGGCACAGTGCCGTAACACGTACGTTTCCAAACAACACACTGACTGGGGCGCTCGATTGAGTTGGAGAAAAGCAAGGAGATGCTACCCGTTTCGGCGGTCAAGCGGGCCCCGGAAGAAATAACGGTCGACCCACCACGGAAACTGGTGGGAATGTGAGCGATCTGCTGCCCCGGGGTGGTGCCATCAGTGGACGGGTGGCGCGGCAGTTGTAATTCGAAACTTTTGGGGGAATTTTGAACCGATGGTGTACTGTGTACGAAGTACGGTGGTACAACTCTCCCAAATGCCGGGAACTTCGAGGCTTGGGACCCCGGACAAGCGCCGTGTGTGCGACGTTTCCAAACGCAGCATGTTTTGGGCAGCGTGGCAGTCGGAATGGATGGACGTGCTGTGCTTGTGTGGTGACAGTGGTGCGGCGAGTCATTGGGCGACAAGGCACGCGAGGCTGGCTCGATCGGATCTTGCGGTGTCCCCGCGAGACGGCCGTTCCCACGGCAAGGGTCACGAGATGAAAGGGCGGAGCCAATTTTGGTCGATGGCGCGGCGTTGTCACTGCGCGCTAGCCTCGGCGCGGCCAAGGTTTGGGGGGTTGGCTTCCCTCGCTAATCGAACGGTTGCATCGGGGCCTCAAAATGTGAAGGCAGATCCGAGAGGCATGGTGCCGGATGGCAGACCCAAAGAACCAACAGGCTGCAGGACGACCGAGGGAAACCCCACCCTCTGGGCAGCCAATGGGATCACTCCAGATTCAATGCACGGAACCAGGGCAAGCGAGCGACCCTACCCTGGGACTTCCTGGCAGGCCTGGCTGGCACTGTTCTGCCCCAGCAGCCCCCAAAAGCCCCCAAAAGCATGAAACACACGAAATGGTCACCAAGAAACGAAACTCGTCATTACCGGCGAGTCTCAGATCGGCGCTGGATGGAACGCCTGTCGGCATTGCAGTCCAGAGTCGGCATTATCCTAGTCAAGCTAGGAAATAATTCTTTTGTTTTATTCACCACAATCCCACGATTGGCTTCCTTCGCCGTCTGGAGAAGCCCACACGATGCCCACAGAGAGCCAGGCGCCACATGGAAAGCCCGCACCCGACTCCGCAACCCAAACACCCGGTCCGGATGAATAGGTCGTGGGCGATTCCCGGCGAGGTGCTCACCCAAATTGGGAAAACTCGTTTATCAGTTAGCGAGATCTTGGGACCATCGTCATTTCGGAGATGAGAGCTTCGATGACCTGACCCGCATTGTTCGACACGTGCGACGCACCCCACCACACCACGCAACGTACGCCGAACCGCGAGCCGCCAGTGCTAAAAATACTCTGGCACACGGGCATCGGGAGACGATCTCGTTCGCCGTTGTGCGCGCCTGTCAAAAAAAAAAAAAAAGGTCGTTCGCCAAACTCGGGTCGAAATAATTTCCTGGGATTTTTCTCGGCTCCAAGGGGGACTTTTCGGCTTGCCGAAAACGCACTCTTTCCTTGGGAGGACATATGTACATATGTACGTACCTATGTGCCGCTATCGAGTCGGCGAGCTTCCATCCTCGGGGGCCTTGGAGCTTTGACCTCGGCCCACTTCCATTGTGACAGAACCGACTCCAACGGAAGGACAGCCGGCGTCGAGCCGGGGAGGAGGGGAAGGAGGGGACACATCCCATGTCCTGGGAACGGAACGCTGGAACATGGGATGTGGAGACTCGACTCGAATCCATTCTCATCTCACATCACATTCCACAGATGCCGGATTGGAGGCCTTCGTTCGGCAACCTCTTCGAAACACCGAAACAAACGAGACTCGGCCGGAATGCGGACGACGGCTCGTTATCTGGCCGCAACGAGGCATCTTCGAGTTGCCCGCGCGGCTCGCCTTGCATGATGCTGCTATGTACAGATTACATGTACTGGTATGTACTGTGCATACCGCATGCACAGCACGACACCACATGACGGAGATGAACCCCAGTCCGAAGGATGATGGAATCCCGCACCGTTCCAACATCCCACACCTCTCTTCCCTCCTCACCTGTCTGCGCGGTGAGTGGGCGGGCTCGCGGGAGAGATGCAAATCCGCCGAGGGGATGTCGGCAATCAAAACCTGGCCGATCAGTCCGTCGCAGGACGAGACATTCATTGGTCATAACGGCGCCTCATCATCACCGAACCAGAAAACCAGAAAACCACATGGGTCGACTCGGGCGATCGCATCCTGCCCATTCTGCGGGCCCGCGGGATGGGCCCCTGCGATCGGGAATGGTTCCTGAATGGGCAAGGACAGCCTCGGGCAAGGGGGGGCAGAACGTGGCCAGCCCTGCCATTGGCCCCGGGGCACACAGCCGCGTCCCAGGATCAGGCGATGACTGCAGGAAATCACATCTCACAACCCTCCCGCTGGGTTCATCCGAGCGGGTCCGCTACCGATGTCGCTCCTGCGCTATCACTGGCGTCCTGTGCAATCGAGTGCCAGCAGTGACAGACGCTAACACCAGCCCGGCCTCCAACACGGTGTGGGATTCCTTGCCGAGCGCGCTCCCTCCACCGCTCAACGTTCGCTCACTGGCCCCCCGGCCGCCCCACTCCCCCCGGTCGCTGTTCGTCTTTGTCCCATGCATCGACTGGCAAACGTCAGATTGGCCCGCAGCATGATGGGCCATGTCAGATACAGTCGCCGATGGGGTTGCATCGTGCCTGCTCCTGCGTTCAGAACAGCAATTTATCTGATCCCTCCTCCTCCTGTCCACCGCCCGCATGACGAGATGCCGTCACCACACCTACACTACCACTCGGAGAACGCTCTCGTCACAGTCACAGGCGAAATGGGTCTTGTGTGCCCGGATGTTCTGCCATGTGGCATTGCCTGAGCCGATCGAAAAGGTCAGTGGGAGGGCACTCTGTCAGCTCAACGATGCCAACAGAACTGCAAGCGCCCAAGGGCCAACCCCATCACTCTCCGACCCATGACGGGGCCCCCAACGAGCCGCGCCAGACCGGGCTCGTTGCCCCAGCAGGGCTCGAAGATATCGCCATCTGAGTGAGCGATTATACATCAGACTCCCAAATTACTTGCCCACCCTTTCGGGGACTTCTTGTTGTTCACCGATGCCCGATGATCTCAACTTGCTTCGCCCGAGAGATCGAAAGATTGGTTCTCCGCTCGGGTCGCTGCCAGATGCGCATAGAAGGCCGGTTCGAAGTTCTCACATGGACACAGGGCCAAGGCAACCGGCCACCCCTGTTGCGATCCAATCTCGATGGGCTTTTGACAGATGGCGCAGGCTTTCGGAACAAGCGCCAACAGAGAAACGAGGCACATGTGCGCCCGCCTTCTCAAAAAAGATCCTATCTGGGCGCTACCGTGTTTCCGAACGTAATCTTGGGCACCATCGGTCCTTATATTTCAGCCTGAACACGAGATGCGCGTGAGACGAGCACGGCGAGCACCGCATCTTGCTTTCCACTTGATCTCTTCGCTCTTACCCCACAGGCACGCCTCCGATTTCCGATCGCCTGATCGGAAAACTTCAGATCCCCCGCCCCGTTGTTGCCCGAGGTCGCGCGGAGAGAAAACCGATCAATGAACAGTCTGACCTCCCCAGTCAGAGCCCTTGGCGCCCGGTTCACCGGCGTCTGCCTTCACACAAGTGGTTACGGCGGCTAGCAACTGAACGGTTGTGATTACGAGTGCCACACGCTGCGCATCCAAGCCTCTGCGGAAGAATGCCACAAAATCCAGCCAGTCGATGCGCTGTGTACGGCCCGTGGTGCCCTTTGCGCTTGAGGGTACACCAACTCATTCCGCAGTTGAGGCCCGGGTGCTGTTTTTGTTCCGAACACTCTCACGCCGCAAATGTCAGTCGGAGATTTTCATACATTAGTCAATGTTGTGCAAAGGTAAGCGAGCTCGCTCAACATCCATCGGGTTAACCGCCCAAATTGTCACCCACTTGTCGTTGGACAGCACCGAGGTTCCTCTGGGGCCATCCTCACCGGGGACGTTTTCCGACCACCGCAAAGACAGTGTGAGACTTTGGGCTGCAGCCTGCCTCGAGAATGGTCTCACCTGCAGCTCTGCCATTGGCCACCAGCAAGTCTTGACATCTGCGAACCGTGCCCTGTGGGTTTGGTCACCCTGGTTGTGCCTCGTGGTCGATGCCTTTGTTGCTGTGCACAAGCGGTCCGAGACCGAACCGACGAGAACGAGGGAACCCAATTGTGACCGGTTCCCGTTTTTGTACTAGCCCTCCCGCTGAGGGCTGAGGAAGGAGGCAAGATGAACAGCACCAGTATTGGCTGCTGACATCGACGTACACAGTATTTCATTGCCTCCTCGTGTGATGGGTACGATACAGTTGCACCCTCTCCGGAGTTCATGAGCTTGTGGAATCGTGCTCCCACCATGGCCGAGACAGGAATCGAGAGATCTCGTCTGCAGAATCCCAGAGAGCTGGTCACGCTGAAATTAGCGTTCGAGGACTCCACATCAAGACCTTGTTAGCAGCGCCATTTTTGATCAAGAGGGACAAGTCAGTCTCACCAGGCGGGACAACCCTGTCTTGGGGTTGTTGGCACATCCCAAGCAATGAGTTCAAGCCTCCGTACGCAGCAAGTGTTCTTCTCCAACGCCGAGCGCAAGCCATCATGCACCGTCAGTCACACCAACCAGACCCTGAATCAGCCACAGCAATCAACACCCGAATAACTTCTCGCCAATTACCCTCCCCGAGAAGTGATTTCTAAACATGGAGAGACACGGACACGGGGAGATCCGGATCTTGGTTATACGTATGTCCCGCACAGCACACACCAGATGCAGCATCATTGTCGATCCACTTGTCGACGCCCCCGAGATCCGTACGAATCAAGATTCAATATTCCACGTGCATCACGACCTTCACCGAAACATGTGAAGAACATCATCCCCGAGACGTGATAGTGGCGCTGCTGTGCTCGTCCAGGAGCGTGGCCACCACGTTCAACCAAACACGCCGTTAGCCATTCCAGACGGTTG